CCTTCGGGGGTATCGATTGCACCAGGCAATGGCCCCAAGCTTTGTCTTAATTCCTCCAACATCCTCCTCTCCGTCTCTTCTACCGTTTCTCCTGGTCTACTCATACTTCTCGTAACTCTCCTCTCTGGCTGCATACAATTTTGATCTTCTCTGAGGTTTGCACGGGTCGTCGGTAAGAGCGATCCTTGATACTGTCACAATCGTCGTTTCTTCTCCTCTACTGACTGACGGTCAAAAAGCCTCGGCTTAATACGTCGTAGTGGGGTGTCGGTGTCTCACTGGGACAGGGTACTTGTCGGGGGAACTACGGCTAACTTCGCCGTAGTAATACGTCGAGTGGTAAATGATAAGATGATCGTCGATGAACTGCGGCTAACTTCGCCGTGGTACGTTGAACTGCTTGGTGGTAGCTCTCCTTAACTCGAAGGTTGTAGCTACTGAATATATCGCTCGCTACTGACAACAATCAAGGATCGCTGAAGAAGTTCAGCGATCTGTAACCTATCTATACTGCTCCTCTCTTCTCATAGAACGTCCCTCAACTCCTGCACAGCCTCGTGCTCAGTCCTCTTCACTCAACTTCGCCGTACCTCGCCATATCCCCGACATCCTACTCTGCTCACTTCTACTAAGTTCGCCTAACTTCCCTGCTCTGCTCTCCTTCGGTTCCCTTCCTCTAACTTCGCCGTAGTTCTCCCCGAGGCGGGGTTATCGTGACAAATACCCTCTTGGTTCTTGTAACTTCGCCGTAGTCGGTCTCAGTGGTTCGAGTGGTAGTTGGTGATGGTGAAAGGAGGGTCGGTGATGGTGGTTGTCAGGGATGTTACGATGTGGTTCGTGACATATTCCAGAAGAATTCAGGGAGGGAGAACAGGTACTACTAAGTACAAAGTACCTGACCACGGAACGACCTAGTCGAAAATTGGAAGCAAAATATGTTGGCCCATTGTAAATTATAAGAAGGGTTGGAAAAAAACGCTTTCGAATTGGATCTACCTCCAACAATGAGGGTACACAATGTCTTCAATGGCACGCTATTGGAACCGTATCCTAAAGACATGATTCTAGGACGACAGATAAAACCTCCACCGCCCGTAATAATTAATGGTCAGGAAGAATTCCATGTGGAAGCAATTGTGGACAGCAGAATTCGACAGGGAAGAGAGGAATTCAAGGTAAAATGGTTAGGATATACAGGAAATGCGGCCTATGACTGGGAACCACGAGAAAATGTAGAAGATCTGGCCGTTTTTGACGAATTTCTAGAAAAAAGGAAAAAGACCGCAGAAGGAAGTGAGAATTCGATCAAAATCAACGAGACTTGGTCAGGGATAAATGCATATACAGGAAATATAGCTACATTTGGAGGAATATAAACATACTTAGCAAAAGGAAGCGTTAGAATTGGCTCGGGGATGACGGGCCGAAGCAGGAATACAAATGACATTGCGGGGAAGAGGAGTATGAGGAGAAGAGGAGGGACCGGCGACTGGTTGGGAGGAAGTCAATCTGGTAGGATCAGCAGACGAGTGACAGTCTTGGCTCCGACAGTAATACCCTATACATCAACATCAATCAAGTTCGAAAGAAGAAGATAGATACCTCGTGGAATTTGGACTCGGGATTGTTGGTTTCCACCGAACACTTTGAAGTTCCCTTGGCGGAGCACTCGCCACAAACACCACCAACTGAATTGCATCAATATCGAACAAGATTTAGTGGAAGACTCACGAGGACCATCACAACCAACACGAAAATCTTCACCACCATCGAGACAACGCTGGCAATCGGAACAGAGTTCACCCTCTAGCCAGACAACAGCGCCATTCTTGTTGCAAAGTCGCCAACCTTGAGCCAGACGATCGAGCTAACAAATTAGATTCGATAGAAAAGGAGGTAAAAAGGACTCACCGCGTTCCGAAACCATTTGACAGTGGGTTTGATGGTGTTAGTCTCGCAAAAGCGATTGAGGTCTTCATTTTACAACGCATCACGAACAGAATTAAAGGTGATACCGGACCAAAGAGTAGCTGACGAGTCAGGAGAGGACAGAATTCTATGGAAATCTCACCATTTCAGAGTCTGTTCGAGCAGATAGCACCTTGACAAGTTCCTCATTGGTAGGGACTTTTTAGGGGTCGTGAAACATCTGTTTGAGTTCATGGGGAACCTCGACAAGATTGTCTGAGTAGTCAGACGGAAGCACACAACCCTTGTTGCTGGGAGAATTTTGATTCTCGACGACGGTATAATGTTCGGATTGGACGGATTTTGCAGGAGATAGGTCCTCACCAGTGGTGGATGGCCCGGCACCCCCCTCGAAGTCAATTAATTGATCAAGGACGTCCTGTTGTTCCAAAATAGACGGTTGGAGGGGTTGATCACCCGAAGAGGAGGATTGATATCCATCCTTGAGGGCATTGAGGGCGCTTCAAGAGGCGTCAACCAAGGGAGGTTGCGCGGGCACAGGTGCTTGAGATGAGATCCTCATCTGTTTTGTTTGACGCATGAGAAGTTTGGGATCTACGTTGGGGAGAATGGCCGCGGTAGAGGCTCGAGTTTGGCGGGAAGAGGTGGAAGGAGACAGCTAATCTCGTCAGCCAGTGAAAGATAGGGAGAAGTGCATCGAGTTCGAAGGGAATTGCTTACAGTACGCTGAGACATGCTCACAAACAGGAGAAAGTTGGAATGATACCCGAAGATATAAGTAAGATATGGATGGATAATGATGGATAAGTAAACAGAGCAACAAACAAGGTAGAAAGAAGGAATGAAGAGGAAAGAAGTGAGAGAGACAGGAGATGGACTTGGTCAGTAATTTCTCGATCACACTGGAGGTCCATGTGGGTGACGTGTTTCATGGCAACCGTCACACTAGCGTGGGTGTGACGTCAGGGGGCACCAAAGGTGTCTCAGAGCAATCCATGTGAATCACCTGGCTACAGGATTCAGGATCCTCGGCGAGGATCCTGAGACAGGGGGGGAAACTTGTTACGGGGTAACAACAAATCGAGAGAACCCCATCGAGTTTGATGGATTAGGATGGAGGAAAGCGGGAGTTGGAGGCAGTGCTGCATTAGGTAGGGACGGGTTTTCCCTTTTCAAGATTTCCCCACTGGGGCTCAAAAGCGGTTTTTCACCTGTCCAAGTATGTACATAGACGCTTGCAGTAGGACGGGCGTAAGACACAGATATCTGTAGACAGTATATAGTACAATCAGCAAAGTACCAACTTTGCTGATTCTTCAATATCATTCTTTGGCTACATCGATTGCAGAGGAGACACAATTCATTAGCACCCAAGACACTTAGACTTCTACGAGACTTCCATTGAGTTCAACCCAACCTGCAACCTAGTCATCGTGTTTCCAGTACTGTTACATGAGGTGATCGTCGATGTACTGCGACTAACTTCACCGTGGTGTGTCAAACTGCTCGGTGGTAGCTCTCCCTAACTTGATGGTTGTAGCTACTGCATATATCTCTTGCTACTGACAACAATCAAGGATCGCTGAAGAAGTTCAGCAATCTGTAAACTATCTATACTTCCCCTCTCTTCTCATAGAACGTCCCTCAACTCCTGCACAGCCTCACGCTCAGTCCTCTTTGCCCAGCTTTGCTGTACCTCGCCATATCCCCAATATCCTACTCTGCTCACTTGGACTAACTTTGCCTGCTCTGCTCTCCCTCGGTTCCCTTCTCCTAACTTCGCCGTAGTTCTCCGCTAGGCGGGGTTGTTGTGACAAATACCCTCTAGGTTCTCGTAACTTTGCCGTAGTCGGTCTCAGTGGTTCGGGTGGTGGTTGGTGACGGATAGTGGTTTGGTGATGGTGAAAGGAGGGTCGGTGATGGTAGTTGTCAGGGATGTTACAACGTGGTTCGTGACATACGTGTTACGACTCGAACCTGGCAGGCCTTGGGCCAGCGACGAGTAGACGGCGGAAGTCGTAATCAGCGAGCTTGGGTTGTGCGGAGGCGAAGTTGCACAACCACTAGACTTGTGTGGTCAAATGATCGAAGGGGGTGGTCAAAGGGACGATGTGACCGAAGGTATGCTCAAAGGATCCCAAAGTGTCGGCGAGTGAAGCGAAGTAAACTGAAGATGTATGTCAAGACTATGGAGGCCTATGGAAGACTATTGTCACTTTTGTAACTTATGTAACTTATGTAACTTGTGATAGATTGATCCTTGAAGAGGATCAAGACAGAATGTACTCCTTATATATCCATCATTTGGCCTACCGGGGTGGTGTCACTCCTCTGAGTGGCGTCACCCTGACACCAGCCTGAGTGGTCCCGTCCCGTGCTGATCCGTGCTGACCCAGCCTGATCCGTAGTGGCGCCAGCCTGACCCAGGGTGGTGCTTGGTGGTGTCAGCCCGACCCATGGTGGTGCCAGGGGTGTCAGCCTGACCTGTAGTGACGTCAAGGTGACACCCGGGTTCTCCAGTATGGTGCATGCCGTGCCGTAATGGTGCCACCATGGCTTGTACTGTCCCACAGCGGTGTGCGGTGTCGTTGGGGTGTTGCCAAGGTGACGATGGCAACACCAGGGTGGTAAAGTTTGAAGGATGTAGTGACTCGCGGAGCGATAGGTCAAACGGTGTGTGTCAAGGATGTCGCAAGGTGTTGTAGGTGTTACGAGGCTGTCGAAGTAGGCGATGGTGGCAAAGAAGTCAAAGAGTGACAGGGTTGTAACAGTACGCAAAATCAGGGAGGGACAAAGTACTTAAGGGCTGAAGTTCCCAGAGATCTTTGACAATCTCTGGTTGTTGTGTTAGTGATAGAAGTTAGTAAAGCACGAAGTTATTACACCCAGAAGTTATTGTCACCTATTCATATTTTGAAGAACAAGGTTGCTAAAGGTCGTAGCCCACGAAATTATTGGCCGTTGGTCCTGAGAAGTCAACAAAGAATCAACCCTGTGACACACCCCAGCTATCGTCTAATTATCAGCAAACATGTCACACATATCACTGTATGTCTACTGAATCTGTGTGATCAATACAATGTGCCGTTTGTGTGCTCCCAGATCAACCCTTCTGGAGGTTCTGCCTCTTCTGATTGTTCTTCTTCTTGTTCCCACGTAGGATTGTCTCCAGCTTGTTCCACCATGTTGTTTTCTGGGACTGCCGGATCCTCTGGCTCCCCTTCTATATCTCCCGCATCTGAAGGACTTGGTGATCGCCAGCTGGTTGGAGAATTTGGTGGAGCATAGGACTTGAGTGGTGTCCAGTAAAAGGGATTAGGCGGGAGGCCCAAAATCTGAACAACAACTGTCTGTAGGTCCAACGGCTCATTGGATACTAGTTCACAGTCCTCTTTTGACCTCTCCTGAAACAGCAGGGTTTCAATGGGCATTCTACTCTCAAAGCAAGTCCAAGGCCGTTTCCAACTGTAAGAATATCTGTCCCATATTTCACTTGCCTTTTGGCGCTCCTCCAAAAGGAGATCCTCAGATAGAGCTAAATTCTTATCTTCTGGCATGGTCAGATCCATCCATGCTTTCTGGAGTTGATCAAAAGGATTCACCTTCAATGGACTGATAAGGTCCTCAAGAGTGACATCTTTCTCGAGCTGCTCCAAAGACTTTGATAAAATTGAGGGAAGTTTCCGCCAGCTTGAAGGCCCCTCGTGTAATTTCAAATTCACCAGATGATCAAGGCGGTGGAAACTTCTAAAGTTGTAGGACCAGCGTAGTGGAGTTACAAGTGTGGGCTTCTCAGAAGGTTGTGACCTTGTTGACAACACTGTGTTGATCATAACATTGAAGTCATCTAGACACTTTCCCAAATTGTCATAATCATCTGTGTTGATCTGTTCTTTTGCAATCTGGCTGATAACATGCATGGCACCATCCCAGTGAGCTGCCATTGCCAGGTCAAGAGTTTTAGTCAATAAAGCATAAGTCTCAGGTGTCATCTGCAGTGACTCTGGTAATTTGAGTCCTGTCAGGGAAGAGATAACGCTTGTGCCATCATGGGAGATACACTTCCTGAGCATCCACAACTCTCGCAAGGGTCCTGAACTATCTTCCAAGACCTTTTTAGCCCAAGATAGTATTTCCCCTTCATGGTCATAGTGAGCACGCCCTAGGGCTCTGTAGTAAGAGTGCAGAACTGAATATGCTGTCCTCACAGTCTGCACTTCAAGACGTGTTGTCTTGTCCAAAGGCTTTGGCACGGCTGTAACCGTTAGTGATTCATCTGCTGGTGATGTGAAGATGATATTCTCCAAATTGCGGTTGAGTTGCTTTGACATTTCCTCACCACACATCCTCACAAAGTAAAACCCAGACTCCACTACCAAAGGCCAATCTGGGTACCCAAACAGACATCTCTCCGGGGAGAAACCATGCGTTGGTGCTGCAGTGGCTTCAGCAGACTCAGAAAATGGCCCAAGATTGTCAGGAATTGGAAGTGGTGGTGGTAGGGGGGGTAGATAGTCCACCAGTCTTTGGAGAACTTTGGGCCAGACGTGAAAAGCTGCACAACCCAGAGTCGTCACAGCCATCTCTCCTGTGTCCCTGAATGAAATACCCAAGGTGAGGGTCTCACCTTCAATGAGGCGATCAGTCATAGTGAGCTTTCTGGTGAGCTAGTAGCTGACAGGTTTGGTCTAGAGCAGGCTGGATCGGACAAGAGGATCGGGCTTTCTAAGTCGAGAAGAATGGTCGCGTCCTCGAATACGCCATTTTATTAGCTATCAAATTTGTCTAGGTAGATAGGTCTTCCTGCCCATTTGAAAGGATCCGTGGGAAAACCGAGAAAAGTGTGAGAAGCAGCGTTTCATAGCCCCGATATCCACACATTTCGTTCATCACGCCATCACGCCCGTCCGTTTCTGGCATTCTCATCTTCCCACGACATTGAAAACTCACAAGAAAACGTCTGCAAAGTCCTTCATTATGATCACACTATCTCCAGGATCTCCCCCCTGGTTCATTCACCATTTCATTCTTCCTCAATCCCCGTACCCATTTTCCCAAGTAGTCACAATCTCACGAACCCACGTTCACATGTTCACACGATCTCACCTTATCTCAAGCTGTGTCTACACAGCCTCCCTCCCCACGAAATCTCAAACCTCATCAACTCCTCCACCATTCCTCCGTTCCCATCGGGGGTCTCCTACCCCACTTGATCCGTAGAGGTAGACAATCTCATCTGAACTCTCACGTCGTGCCCACACATCTTACCACCTCATTGAATCTCCAACCTCATTCACTTTTTCCACCATTCCTCCGCTCCGACCGGAGGTCTTCCAAACGCCCATAAACCCCACTCGATCGGTGGAGGTAGAGGCGGCATCGAAGCTCCTCCTTCAGGTTTACCGTAAAGATTAGTCCACCATTCATATTTCTTCTTCTCATCTGCTGCTTTCTTAGCAGCTGTAACGGCTGCTTGTTCTTTTTCTGCTTGAGCGAGGAGAGATGCGCCGAGGGAAGTAATGAATGGGTTATTGGGTGCTGGTAGATCACCTGGTTTTGGATCAGGGGGAGGTTTTGATAGAGGACGAAGTTCGGATGCTAGTTGTGGTAAATCAGAAGCTGGTAGGAGTTGAGTGAGGACCAGAGCCTGGAAGTGAGCTTGGTAAACTATTCCATTACTCGCCAGATCAGCGTAATTGGCTGAAGTCGTCCCACGACGGTCAGATCGCTCACTCACGAGGAATGACACCTAAGTGGTGGTGTCTTGTCCTGGGGGGGTAAGGGAGTGGGCAGGGAATGGTACTTGGCAACTCACTTTGTGACTGTATGGAGGGGGAAGTTTGAGTCTTGATTTGAGAATACCAAGAATGATTTTTCGTTTCTCACTGTTTGTCAGTTACGACGATTTTTCCATATACGTCTTACATTCCTGTTGATTCCCAACAACCAATTGTCCTTCTTTGCATCCATGCTTTCATGGTGGAAAGAAACAGAGAGAAAGTAGAACAACATGCTTTGGGTGGAGGTATATATATATATATAGTAAGGACTCACTCGCTCTTACACCAATCCCACAACTGCATATAAGTCGTATAATCGACTTGAGAATAAGGATCTCCATTCGTTGCCCATTCCGCCACACTACGAACTTCATTCAATTCCAACGATGCGTAATTGGCTATCAACTCTGCTTCTGATAAATGAGGAATATCACGTCGTCCAACTCCTCCTCCTCCGATATTGACAGTATGTTCACCTGTATCTTTTCCTTTACCGGCATTTGGTTTCCCAGGTGATGGAGCATGACCTTGTAATTGAGCAGCAATGGATGCTGGCATGGGTGGAGCTGAACCGATGGGTATACCACCTGGCATTCCTGGTAATCCCGGAGCACTAGGTCCGGGTGGATATGAGTTTATATTGCCGAAACTACCGAAAGAGCCGTATGGGGAGTATGGGGGGTAAGGAGAAGGATAATGGGTCGGACCAGGATAAGGGGTTGGACCGGGATATGGAGCTGGACCGGGAGATGGGGAATAGAAATAGGCTGGATTCGGGTACATATTTGACTCGAGTGGGTATTTGGGAGACCGATTCCGACTGTTTCTACAACCCGTGTTGGACTTGAAAGGGTGGTCCCAAGCTTGAAAAGCCTGGTTTAAGTGGTATTGCAGAACGCTTACGATGCGTGGTAGTGGAAAACCGGTGGGAGTTCAGGCTGAAAATTCCCGCTGTAGAACCAGGGCGGTGTTGAGTATTGTCGAGCGGGATAGAAGAAGTTGGCTTAAGAAAGGCACCAATACCCGGAGGGAAGATTGAGATAAGTAGCGAGGACGTAAAGTGTATTGAAAGCAGATAAATCTCTCTACAGAATCGTTCCTATATTGCTGGTGGTAACGTGGCAACGGAAAAACGCCACTCGAGGATTACGCGTTCTGAATTAAACCCACTTGCGATGATGAGTGAGAGTAACAGAGCTTGTTATTCGCGACGTGGGGGCATTTGCAGATTACGACGAAAATAGATTTGGCGATAATCGATTCAAGACTATCAGTCAGCTTGAAATTCTGATCCGCAGGTAAAGAAGTCAAGATGTCAAATCCGAATGAAATGACGAGAGACAAGTGGAGAGAAATAAATCCCGAATATACTTGACGGAGATGAGAAATGAAGATGGAAAAGGCGTATGTATGGAGTGGCGAGTGAATTAATATGTGATAATAATGGGTGTTTTGCGACGGAGAAACGACGAGGAACAAGATTCTAAAGGATACAGTTGAGAGAGGATGATATCAAAGATCAGAAGCTATAGCTATAGCTTGGATTGATGGGTGGACCGGAGAGAAGATATCTCACGAACGATAGAAAGAAGTGAAGGACAAGAGGGAAGAAGGAAGAAGCAACTCACTTTCAACTACCTTAATATCCTTGGTTCCCCACCCCTTCCATGCCTTTCAAACTTCAGAAACTCGGCCGACGTTTTGACAGGTGGTAAAGGGCGTGTTTTCATCCTTCTTATACACGTGTAAAAGTACGACGTTCTTTCTTCTCTTGGTAAAGACACGTGGAATGATGTGACTATATATTTATCTCCTCAAGCACGTCAACAAGTTAGCACGTCAGATGGGAACTACGGACTTGGAGTGTATGAGCTAAGTGAGGGAGACATGGGAAATCCAAAATGGAGACTAGGGGAGTTTATGGAGTTGTACTATGAAATGACGATGGAGAATAACATGGTCATTTTTGATGCGGGTTCAAAATATTTGATCGTGTTGGAATCAGGAATGATGGTTAGAAAGATGGAGAGTATGTAGTATTGATAAGCTTGAGGAATCCTAAAGTGTAATTTCTCTTGCCGGCCGTTGCCATTTCCATAACAGACTGAATTTTGATGGTGATACGATGTTGAGATTTGATGGTGGCGTGTTAAAAATATTTTCAACATGAGGCATTGTTGACGTAGGTTGAAGAGTACGCAAGTAAGCAGAAAGAGGACTTGAAAGGTCAGACTGCCCATGTGGGCACCACCAGTTTCACTGACCCGACCGGCGAGTTTTAGTGTTACCGAGTCAAAAGAGGGCATGAGTGATCAGGTGAGTGGGGTCTGAAAAGGACAAGCGGAGTCAGATGGAGACAGAGGGGATGTGTGAAAGACATGAAAGTGGAAGGGGAGTTGGGAAAAGGAGGGATGAGGCGTGTGAGAAATATATGGGGAATTAGCAGATCAATACGCCCACCAATCTATGCATGCCAAAAAACACCCTTGCATGAGATACGTCCGAGAAGAGATCATCGATAGTGATGCACCTCCTCTTTCTCCCTTCCTCGCATGAAAGGCGGCTCGGTGCCTTTGTACTGTTCGTTAGCTTAATCCCGTCCAGTAATCTTAGGTAAAGTAAGCCGGGATGGGAAAGGATTTGGTGTGAAAAGAACCTCTGCTCATAGATGAAAACGCCGAAAAGCGCCACGACGAAAGCGGAGGTCTGATGGACTAAACAGAAAATGATAGGTTAGGTCGACCACTCACGTAGATATCGGTCCAGAAGTCTTTGAGGTCAGGGTGAGGGGATTGCTTGGCCTCTTCCACCGCATGGTCAACTTCCTCCTTGGCGGATTTGTCGATGGCCTAGGCATCAGCAAGTCTTCACGGCCATCTTAGCCTAGAAGCGATAACAAAAGACATTAGTTACGACCGCAAAGCCCATTTGACAAATGGCCCGACTCGGCATCAAGAGCTACTGAGGATTCGAGCTGCCGGGTCCAGAAATTAGATAGTACGTATGAGCCGCCTTGGTGTAGAGTTGGAAAAGTGAAAGTGTCATTTCACTCACCTTCAAGCTGTCCTCATCCGTCACACCCCACTCGAGAATGTATCTCCTGAGACCGGCAATGGCGTCGCTCTTCGAACGCACTTGCTGAATCTCTTCACGAGTACGATAAGTGGTACCGGGGTCCGACATGCTGACCATCAGCTGTTTCCGTGCTAGCGTCTCTTTACTTGAAGCAGATTGACTCACGAGTGACCTCCGTATCGGTAAGTCACGAATTCCATGACTAAAGGTCCTTTGCCGGAAACAGTCCATTCCTTGGCCCACTGTGCAGCTCGGAGAACAGCAAGGATGTCCATACCATTGACCTTGAAATCAGCTACTTGCTCGCTTACTTGGATCGGGAGATTTCAGTCAGCTTCTTGTACTCACCTGCAAACCGGGAATTTGATCACCACGAGTGAAGAATGACGTGTTCATCGCAGCTCGCTCGGCTGACGTTCCCATACCATATTTGTTATTTTCACATGAAAAGACGACGGGAAGGTTCCACAGCTTTGCCTGGGAGTTAGCAGACTGTTTGTCGCGGAGCACATAAACAGGGGTGACTTCATGAAAGCAGTGTAGAGCGACAAGAGTGAAGCACTGACCATGTTGTAGGATTCAAACACCTGCCCCTGGTTGGAGGCACCGTCACCGTAAAGTGCGAACGTCACGGATGGTTTGTTGAGATACTTTTGGGCGAAGGCGATACCAGTTCCGACGGGCACCTTTTGATCAGCCGTGTCCCGTGCGTCAGTCGGTTCAGACACTGGCTTTGAGGAGGTGAAAGAGGTAGCGAGACTGACCTGAGCACCGACGATACCGTTACCACCAAAGAAGGAAGGAGTAAAAATGTGCATAGAGCCACCTTTACCGTGAGACATACCAGCTTGGCGGCCTGATTGTCAGCATGCAAAGCCCTACACGATAGATCGTGTTGATTGACTGGTATTTTCGACTCAGACATCTGCCTGAGCTCGAGCCACTCTTGTACGAGATTTGGCACCCATCCTCGATGGGGATGTCGAGTCCTAATTCATACAAAAGGAGCATCTGCTGCAAGGATCGATACGCAAACCGGGCAGAATGTTGTATAGATCAATGGCCAATGTTTCCCAACGGTACCGGCGGAGTGAAAAAGGGGCAAGCATGTCTAGAGGCATGCGAAGCCTTAACTCACCCATCAACTCGGCCAAAACACCCTTGATAGTCCCTCCCCTCATCACAGCAAAAGTATGACACCTATAAGCCGTGATGACCCTATCATCCGGAGTCATGGCCTTCTCCATACCGACACTGATGGCTTCCTGACCAATGGCCAAATGGCAGAAACCCCTGATGAGCTTTTGCTTGTATAGAGCATCAGCGGCCTGTTCCATTCGACGCATTTGGACCATTTTGTGGTACATGTCAACCAAACCATCTTTAGAAATTTCGATTTCGGGGTCGGGGACGTCGCATCGGTAAGAATGGAAAGAGTCGCCGGGTAGGTTGACTTTGAACTGAGAGGTCAGTTCCTGATAGTAACTCTCTCTCATCTGGGAAGGCTTGAAGGCTTGTAAAGTGTGGTGAAGCTAGCAGATGACTCTAGACTATGGTGACGATTTCACTGGGTCTCTAGATAGGTTTGAATCTGAACACCCGCGTGAAGAGTATAAGGAAAATTGAATGATTGATCGAGAATCCATCAGAGGGTCCGTATGAAAGGTATGAGAAATGATAAGGGGAGAGGAGGGGTGAAAGATGGGAATGTAGAGAAGATGTCCAGACTCACAGTGGCCGATCCAGACTCTGGCAAGCTCTCAGCGGGACTAGATTTATCCGCATCGGTCTGTAATCCTCTGACCTGAGTCACACCCGAACGTAGGGGTTTCTACCATCAGCGACCTTTCTTGAAATTTTGGCATTTAACTGTCGGACCTCGACCACTCTCCCCGAAACTTCTTTCTTTTCTCAACAGTCGCTTGAAGTATACCCATGGCTAGGCCATACCCGTCTGCGCATTCTCGCCAGCCTCACACGACCTGTCATCGATCACTAGTCCACAAGCATCGTCCATCACCCATCCCTCCGCTATCCCCCGGGGCGACCATCAAAGACAAGTTCGACAAGATAGACGCAGATGATGATTGAGGAGGTATTGAACAATCTGGACGACTCACCACTGCTAAATGTCTCGCCCTTAGAGCCCTCGTACGTAGGACGAACGACATTGTAGTGACTTGATAGATGAAAAGAGACGGAAAGAACGGATCGGAATGGGATGGCCCGTCTCCGTGGGGATAAGTGACGTGGCATTAAAATCACATTAGCTTATCACTCGCAAAAGTTGCAACCATCGTTCACTCGAAGATTTAGTCCACACATCTTTCTACCATTCTGCACATTGAAATACGCTACGGCCAATTCAAGTACGAGGGGAACGAATAGGTAGTGTAAAGAATAACCCCTGTCGGAAAGCTGCAGAATAAAATGGCCCCTTCAGCCACTCCCGCCCCAAGCACCCCAGCTCCTCTCCCTGCAAATTTCTCCCAAGCACAAGCTAAGAAGGCCGTAGATGCATTGTTGAATCATCACGAAAAGGTAGCAGCTGAGAAAGAGAAGACCGAATTGGTGCCTAGAGAAGAACATGTTTGGCTGGTGGTCAATACCAAGAGAGGTAGTACGAGGAAGAGGTTGATGCCTGTCAGAGTGTGAGTGATCGTTTCTCTTCTCTCCCATCCATCGTCTATGTCCATAATCTCAGGTACCTAGTAATCACTATCCCTATTCTTGTTTGGTATATAGTATCTTGGTCCTTCTTGCTTGTCGCCAGGATTCGTCAGGAATCTGTCAAAAACCCATATCCTTCAAGTGGTATAGGTTTTTGACAGGAATGAGCATCCCAAAGTAAAATGTGCATCACTGATCTCAGACAATTACCTCATCCTCCTCTTCCCCCTCCTCCAGCCTCCTCAGTCTGTCTCATCTCCAAATCTCCCCAAAGAACGTACAAAGACCTTTTGTCCGATAACAAGATCAAATTTATAAATCGTGTCGTGGGCGTCGAAAAGCTCAAAGGCAAATTTAAACCGTTTGAACCCCGTAGACAATTGTTGAAAGAGCATGATATGTTCTTATGTGATGAGGCCGTTCTGGATATGATGCCGGGTTTATTGGGGAAGATGTTTTTTCAAGCTAAAAAGTGGGTATTTGTTTCCTCTCCCACCCCCATTCTTTCCCCCTTCCCCATATTTACCCTCCTCCGTCGCTCTTTTCGCCGTATTGCTACTCATCATCATGACTTCTCGCCTAGGTTGACGTCCTCACTCGTACTCCTCTACTTCCGCCCCCATTCCTCTCTCCGTGCCCGTTGTTTCAGGGACCTACGGGCACCTAAGAGATCAACTAGACTGGGGAAGATGGAACCGCAGGTGTGACCAAGCTTATGAGGGTCCGAACTGATCGTCAGACAACCCATACCCGTCAATATGAAACGTAAAGATCTTCGAACCGAACTCGCTCGAGCCATCTCATCAACTTACTTCCACCCTACCACCGGAACCTCGACCTCTACACGTATTGCCACACCTGGAGTTACCTCCGCTTCCCAGACATTGGAAAACCTCTTAGAGGCTATTCCGCGGGTGGTGGGTTTGATACCTGACGCATGGGACAATGTTCTGTCTATAGGGATCAAAACGAGTGAATCGGTATTGCTACCCGTCTGGAATGCGAAATTGGATGAGAGATTTAAGAATGGGAAGAAAGAAGAGGGGGATGTGGCTATGGAGGAATCGGATGTTGAGTTGGAGTCAGAGAAGGTGAACACTAAGGGAAGCAGTAAATTGACATTGGAGAAAGGCGCGGATAAGGTCAATTTGAAAGAGGATAAGAAAGGGAAAGATAAGACGAGTAAAGCGGACAAATTGGCAGGTAAAGGTGAAGGCAAGAAGGTATCTTCCGGAACGAAGAAATCCAAGACTTCCGCTATAGGGGTTTTGTAGACTCGGTTCAACATTCATCTTACTTCCCCATTCCACCTTTTGACCTCCTTGTTATACAAATCAACAATCATCGGGGATCTCTTACACAGTTTGAGAATTTGAGATATTATGTTGATATGCATCGGATGTGGCTGAACACTTACTACATATACGAAGTTACCCCGTGGGGTAAGGTGAGTAGTCAAACGTCACATCTTTCCTTCCCTTGTCATCATGGTCCATCCCTTGGCTTCTCCACTTCTCTCCCCGTCAGACCCACCTTGTATCCTGTCCTCCCCACCTCCCCTTCCCTCCCCTTTCTCGCAGTATAGATACCCCCTCTCATCACTGCCTATCGGTGTCGTCTCCCAGGATATCATCTCATCGATCGTGGTTCGTATCTACCGGGCTACCGGCTAGGCTGATCAATCATCAATCACCTCTTGGCATATTGCCCCCATCTTGTGACTCTCTCACTTTCCAACGCCACTCTGTCTATCACAGAACCATCCAAAAATGTTACCTCCTCCAGGTGCATCACCATCTTCTTACGCATATCAACTCTCTCCCTCTCTTCCACGAACAATCAAAAAACATCTCTCCAACCTTTCCTTATCTCCAACTCGAACAAGGAAACCAAGTCGACGGACAAGGTCTGAATATCTTCCTTCCAGCACAGGTGTCGAAGAAGAAGATGGAAAATCGTCTGATATAATGGGAAACGAAGGTTCTTCCAGCGAAAGAAATGTCAAGCGGTATACCAGTGGTGGCAAGGCAGGCATCATGGGAAATCGGGAGAGGGGATATTCTCGTGCAAGAGGATCAGGGTATATGACGGATGATGAGAGGGTGATAGGTTTTAATGATGGGGATGACGAGGGGGAAGTGGAGGGATGCGAAGAGAGAGGATTGGAAGAGACTTTGGAGAGGATTGGAATGGGTGAGTACCTCTTCATATGTTTTTCTGCCCGACTGTGGAATATCATTTCGGCTGGAGAGTAGAGTGCAATGGGGAGGAAAGGGAAAGAAATTGATATATAGGTGCATATCACTGGAGACTTCTTGTCAGTCTACTTTCGGTCTGCAGGTTTGAAGTGAACCTGACAACTTAGGCACTGTGTGGATTCGGATGGATGTCGGACAATTCTGCTTTGCAATGTATAGGTGGGTTGTGTGTTTATCTCTCTCACTCCCAGCAGATCCTCATACCCCTTGTCTGACCTCATAACACGCTCACAATAGTGTTGAAGACGACTCCATCGAGACTCTGAAAGAGTATGAAATCGCGCTATGTCTTTCTAAGTCAGGTATGATGAAAGAGTTTTTGTGAGAGAGTCGTGAACTGGAGCAGTCAGGATGAAAAGAGAAGGAGCTCATGAATAGCTGTAATCTTGCCTAGAGTGCAGGTGCATTATGACCTCACTGCCCGGGTTGTGGGTCTATTATCAGCTTCAACCATGGCGGGGGTGAGTTCATCCCTCGGTCTTTACTTCTTCCTGTTTCTGCTCTCAGCTATCACGCGTATACAGTTCTAAGTCGTACTTCTGCTCTCAAACTGTAGCTTTGTACCGTTTGTTTATCCCCTCAAACGGTTTAGAAGCACGATTGATCGGCACCAGAGAAGATGGTCATCAGACGATCTTCCTCAATAGTGGATCGAGTGGAGACTGACAAATAGATGATGATAGGTGCTGTAGGCTGGGGAGTCCTCTCTGACATCTTGGGTCGAGCATTACCGTTCAACGCCACTTTATTGCTCACTGCTGTTTTTGGGATTGCAGCTTCGTACGCTCCGGGATTTGGGTCATTATGTTTTTGTCTTTTTCTTTTGGGTACGGCTGTTGGGTGAGTATGTGTTCACAGTCCCTCTACCTTGACCCTCTCCACTGATCATATTGCTTCTCTGCTTCACCCATCGCCTGGCATTTCACTCACTCCACTCGTCTTATTGACTCGAATCATCTTTCGCTTTGTCTAGGGCCAGTACATGATTCATCTTTGACTGCAACCCACGCTCGTCACATCCTGCGTGTATCTTAGTGAATGGAAGAACACGGAAGAATGGTCATATCTGCGAGGCTCAGAAGCTGACAAACAGCGGGTCAATGCCTACAGACGGAACATTATTCCTCGAAAACCTTCCTCATAGTAAACAATACCTCCTCACTCTTCTTTCTGTCTTTTTTGGTCTCGGCGCCGTGCTCTCATCTGTCGTCAGCTACTTCTTTCTGCCTGGTGCTAGCTGCAGACATTTCGACGGATGTGATATTGCCGGAGGGGCAAATGATGGCTGGCGAAGGGTATTGTTCATCCTTGGTCTCTTCGTAAGTCGTATTTCTATTTCTATCCTCTGCTCTTCTTCTTCAAACCCTCATATTGAATTTCTTACATGACGTAACTTAGCTATCACACTCACATATCGTGTTCATGATGAAGAAACATCAGACAGGAACAACACGTTGACGATCAGAATCTCATATGTGCACTCATGAGATGGTTTCTTTTCCAACTCCATGAATCTCCCCGATATCTAGTTTCCAACGGTCGAGAAGCTGACGCCGTCGTCGCTCTCCGTGCCATAGCAACATTCAACGCACACGAGATCGAGATCCATGCTGCTGATGTTCAACTTGAAACTGCTCCGTGTGACGAACCAAAACACTCATCTCCTCGTTCTTCTTCTTTCACCTCCATTTCTAGACCTCCATCAGATGAACGTTCCCTAATCCCCATTTCTACTACTTCCCCTAGACCTTCTTCCTCCGACGGAAACTCTCGGACTAGATATGACGCAGTCGGTGTCGGACCTCCTTCCTCAGTGGTGAGAGAACCAGTTCGAATGGGATCGGAATTCTACACCGGTCCCATCACAGATGAACAAGATATGAATGAATTCGATCAAGCGTTCTCTCATTCTCATATCACTCAAGGTGAGGTGGAAGAGGAAGAGGAAGAGGAATCTTTGATAGGTAAAGACAATAAGGATAACGGGTTGAGGTCAGAGAAATCTAGGTTAGATTTGAAAACGGGTAGAAATTTAGGATTAGGTTGGATGGAAAGTTGGAGAGAACAAATGGGAAAATTATTCGTTCCTCAATGGAGAAGGACAGTGATACTCATGTGGATTATATGGGGTAGTATGTCGTTTGGTCAGTCTAGTGTTTCATTTCTCATCGTGTTGTCCTCCTCTTCCCTGTGTGTTTATCCCCTCTCATGTATTCCTTCTCATCTGTTCGTAATCCCTTGCCATCTTGATGTCATCTTTGAGGAGGTCTTTTCTCTATACCTCTCAATCCAAGTGGACCCATTAGCAACTCGAAAATCACCTCTGTTCCTCGATCTTACTTTTTTTTGTAGATCTTCAAGCGGCTTTGATTGATGAGGGACACTCCAGGAGTGACGTTTATATGTGGGGAAAGACAGTCAACTGACGAATAGCATACACTATGTTCAACGTCTGGTTACCTGCCGTATTGGAATCCAGAGCAAAGGGGGAAGGTGATGAAGCTATAAGACGAAGCTTTGACGGAATTCGTTTTGTATTCCCTCGCTGGATGTCCGGGGTCTTTGGTGGGTGTATCTTCCTTCGTCGGTGAAGTGCTACATGGCACATATCCTCTTCCATACCGTTTCCTCCATTTACCACCACCACCACCACCACCACCACCACCAACACCACCAACACTACGCACCCATACACCCTTTTTGTATAGTGGATACTGCCGCTTGACCCTATCATCGTAAAAACCACTTTTTAGTCTATTGCTTTCCCTGTACACCATTACATCATGATTCAGGGTCTCACCTCTGAGTGAGATCTAGGTACAATTTTGCTAATGATCAAGCTCGGAGCATGGATGATTCAAACTTCCCTAGGTCGTCGGAAATCTCTAGCGATATGTACCATAGCCACAGCTTTATCAACGTTTGCTTTTATCCGAGTTTCGGCAGATTGGGCGGTGGTAGTGAGTAGTATGGTCATTGCTTTGGCTGCTACGGCCATGTATGCGGTTTTGTGTGAGTGATTATCTTGAAGTTGTTATCGTCTCCTTCATGTCCTCGCACAATACATGACATACAAATTGTTTCTCATTCATCATTCCTCCTTGTCACGCCATCGACCATGTCAACTCCTACATGTCAATTCCTTCATGTCAATTCCTACACCCCAATTTCTACACGACAATTTCTACATGTCATCCCTTTCATGTCAATTTCTCATATATGTCAATTCTTACACACCATCCTCTCTTCGTTTTCCTTGTTCCAGGACAGACATACACTTCCATCTTTAGCCTTCCTGATGAGACCGTATGGTCATATGGCGTGGTAGGGAAGTCGAATTAAATGATTGATGAATAGACGGCATGACTCCAGAAACTTTTGGAACTGGTATAAGAGGTACAGCATGTGGTACTTCTGCCGCTCTTTCTCGATTGTGAGTTACTTTCTCTCAAGATCAAACTCTATATTCTTCTTTCAACAATTCACACGTCATACCGATTTTCCTTAAATTTTGCACATCCTCTTCCCTTGCCTCTTAGTTCAACTTCACCTGTTATCTGAATCCCCCCTCTCTTGGCGTCTCCTATCATTCAATCACTCTTCATTCAGCGAGGCTTCTCTTAGAATTCCTGATCGTTACCCTCGTCGGAAGACTAGTCACACCTTTCAAAGAAGCCTCTCTCAAATTCTCTCATTCTCCGATGATACCCTTAATCAGAAGTCCACCTTGAGTCTTGGACTCATCTCGAATCATCTGGAGTCAAAACATTTGAAATGATATAAGATATAAAGTTATAAGCTGACTAAAATACAGTACCGGAATCCTTGCTCCTGTCTCCGCAGGTTACTTATTAACCCTCTCACCACAATTACCAGTTTTCACTTCTGCCGCTTTATTCGTCTTTACCGCTGGATGTAGTTTGGCATTACCTTTTGAACGTTTGGCTGAAGGGAAAGGTTTTAAGGGAGGGATGATGCATTGATTCTTGTTGGTTCTTCCTTCTCCATCTTCCATCTTCCATCTTCCCATCTTCCCATCTTCCATCTTCCATCTTCCCATCTTCCCATCTTCCATCTTCCATCTTCCCATCTTCCATCTTCCATCTTCCATCTTCCATCTTCCATCTTCCATCTTCCATCCATACTTCATCTCACATTCCCACCAGTGGTTTTGGGCTCTTGTGAGTGAACACATCGTCTATCGTCTATTCTCATCATTGAAGTTTGACCCCTTTCCTTCTGAATCACAATCATCACATACTGGATAACAATATCAAAATCTACTCTCAATTAATATATATCTAATTTTGCACAGTGAAAGATAAATCAAGAGAAGTTGCATAATTTCATTCAACTTCACTAAATACACAAATGGATTGTTGTAGTATTTCCACCCCTTTCTTGATCATGAACCTCATATATTCCACTGAGTCACTTGTCTCACACGTTTGTTCTATCGAAATCAATATCTTGATTATTTAAGATAACGGAAAATTTACATTCACACGTTAAACTTTTACTCTTACTCAACACTTTACTCTTGCTCGGTTTCAAAAAGAATTTTCGCTGATGATTTCTTCGATATGTTTTGATGATGATAAAGTTTGTGTTCCTCCTGATGTTTTTTTAAACTCCACGTGAATTGGTCTTTGCTTTAAGAAACACTATAGATCCTTGGCCCTGGGTTCTTTTTTCTTCAATCTGTTTTTCCTTCCTCAAGGGATAATTAAGATGACGAAATCGGACATTCATAAACTCATGGATATACCAATATTGGAACTCCAAAAGTGACCTCAAATAGTTTGAAAACCAAGTACATATATAGATAATTGGAAAATGGCGAACGAATGACTGAAGTAACTCAGGTTACGGACCACAAGCTAGAACCGATGACCACATATTTGCATCACCCAATAGATAAACAACGAAAAAAAGCGAATCATTCCAATTTGACCCATTGGCAAACGTATAAACAAATCAATACCATCTCTTCAACCTTTCTTAAACCCTCTGTCAAACCCTTGAAATGACCTCGGCGACCTTCCAGAGGTCGTATCGGTCGTATCGTGGACTTGACAGAGGTAGAAGCTAAAAGGACGAAGGTGAGAAGATTTAAGATTGACGTGGAAGAGCAGAAAGAAGGAAGAGGGAAAAAAGGGTAAATCTACAATAGAGATCCAGGGGCATAGAAACGAAAAGAGGAGACCGAGCTTGATAGATGGAAAAAGTATAAAGACTATTTACTCGTCATCTTCGTCATCTTCTTCGTCTTCTTCGCTGATGATTAGCGATAGGTGCTTTTAGCAATGTCAAAAACAAACTTGATTGCGGAGGTAGTAAGGAAGTTATTAAAAAGGTCAAAAGGGTTGTACGAGATGGTGTGACTTGAATCGCTAACGGAAGAAGCGGGGGTTTGACATGCTGAAATGACCAGTGATAGTTGACCAAAATGGGACAGGGCTTGTCTCCCGGATAGAATGATAGATGGGACGATGATATGATGGAGATTGGAATGAAACTCACACAGCAGGCTTGGACTTTTTAGAAGTTTTCTTCTCTCCACCACCTGTAGCTAGGTAGGCTTTCTTGTCTTTCTCCGCACGAAGTTTGTCTTTGGCGGCGAGGTCTTCGAAAGGCTGTTGGAGGAACCCGTGCGATGTGAGGAATGACGGCGAGAAACGAGAAAAAACGAGCAAGAGGGCAAAGTGGATGTGACAATGCATTCAAGCCGAGTGGATGTTGTAGAGGGGAATATGGTGATTGGGAAAGACGTAGGAAAGAAGAGAAGCGGCGTCAACGAATATTTTCAAACCATTGAAACACGACTCACCTTCTTCTCGGCCGCACTCATGGCCTTCCATTTCTCCCCCAAAAGCTTGCCGGTTTCACCGAAAGAAACGTCAGGATGGTCGTTTTTGATCTTGGGTCGGTAGTCTTGGACGAAGAACATGTAGGCGGAGAGACCTCTGAGAGGGGAAGTCAGAGCACGATTGAACAGGAGAGTGTTGGTAGAGAGGAGTGGGGGAGGGGGGGGGGGGTTATAGGCAGCGAGGAGACGAGTTCAGTCGAGGTTCGAAATGACATGAGAGGAGTTGGAAGGGAGAATGAGGGTAGAGGGGATGCGAGGATGCGGTTGCCGACGAAGTTTACAAGAGATAGGATGGGAGAGAAAAGGTTCCAAAAGGAGCGATTGTCGCGTCGTGAGTATTATGAAAAAAGAACCATGTCAGCTTGAGTCGATGTCACAACCAACGAAAAGACTGACCTCTTTGGCGCATTGGGATCCTTCTTCTCTTTAGGAGCCCTCTTGGTCGTCTCCGTCTTCTTGGAAGCTTTAGTCTCTTTGGTGGATACCTTGGGCATTGTCTGTGGCATGGTGTCAGCGTGTATGTCTAGTGTGGTAGGTTGAGAGTGAGTGGTGAGGTGAATGAATGATCAATTGGTCCACAGTGATAACCCGTGTTCATCGATTGTTTGGATGTTAATCACGTCATCCGTCATCCTTCTCTCTTCTTCTTTCATCTTTTTGAAAAGTGAAGCAGTGATCGACCGATTCGAGTGTAGACATGAGAGAGGGAAGTAGAGGACCCCTTTGGATACCTCGGTGAGTGTAGTGGGAGGAATGCGAATGCACCATCATTCTCCCACCACCATCTCACCGATCTATCAAACTCTACCAAAACAAATCAAAGATGTTGGGAAGAAGACGTATGAATGTGTGGAACGTCATGATGATGATGACCTTGACCCCCACCTTCCCCACCTCGTACAAAAAATCAGGCGCGCCTGGTGATTGATACAGTGAATGGTAAGATGATGCGGATGAATGCACCGACGACGACGACGAAGAGAGTTGTGACGAGAAAAGGTGGTTTGTGAGTGAATGAGAAGGCCAGGGGTATGTATGTTGTATGTATGTATGAAAGTAAGAAGACTCACGATTGTGTATGATATGTATTGGGTGGGTGATGGGGGGTTGGTTGTATTGGCTGGTGGTGGTTGTACTGAGGTTGGTTGGGTGAGTGAGTGAGTGAGTGAGTGGGTGGGTGATTTGGTAGAGAAGCCTTTCTTCTCTATTGACTCTGACTGGGGGCTTTGTTTGGGTGGAGCCGGCTGTTGGGCTGGTTGGGGGGCAGCGAATTACTACTTTTGGTAGAGAACGCGCCACAGCACCAAAACGCCGAAATCACCGTGATTCTGTCATTGGGGATGTGGAGCCCCGCGAGTCGCTTCGCTGCTTCTCCAGATTCGACATCTTTTACCGCTCACGGGTCAGAAGTTCTCTCTCACCATAGATCCATAGATCAGCCAGGAGTGACGAGACCAAGTGCTGAGAACCGTCTCATACCTCATTGCTGAGTTATGGACAAAAAAATGGATTTGTTCCAACCTCCTTACCCACGCTACTCACCTCAGAATAAAGAATCGTCCGTCCCTTCTCCCCTATTTTCAGTCTCTTGCTAACTAGACAGCTTTGCGTGAGCTCTGCTTCTCTTCTTCTTCCTGACTTCTTACTACTTGATATTGGCACTTTCCACTTCTCTCTCGAGCCATCTCTTATCTGAACAGACCTCACAACCTCATGTCTTTAGTAACGTCACTTGAAGACCAGCTGGAATGCTTTTATCTCCGCCATCAACCACTGCCTTAAGTCGGAAGGATGAATGACTCATGTCAGCTACACAACACTTATCAAACGTTGGCCGTCAATTTTGACAAACATCATCTCGACTCTGAGTAACGAGACTCATAAATTACATTCTTCTCATGATGTCAATTCTGAGGAAAAGTTGGAAGAAGGGAAAAAGATGATTGAAAAATTGGCTTTATTGATATATGAAATGGGACATGGGGGAGAGTTAACGTGAATACTTTCATTCATCCTTCCCCTTCTCTTCAAGCTTTGGACTCCATCACCCTTATAAGGCTACTTAATTATGCAATTTATTCACATGCGATCATAACACAGCTGAACTTTAGCCCCCTTGAAAACGACCATGAACCTAACATATCATGTTACAATGACGAACTATCCTTATGGTCACCCCTTCAGCGTAAATGGACCCATGCCAATTGGTTATTCGCAGAATGTTATCTTTATCGTCGGATCAGACAAGTCTTCTCACTCACTCGACATTGGAGATCTTTTGATCCGTTCTTCTATCAGAAAGAGGATACATATAGGTCTAGTTTGGGTGCTATCGTTCGTGAGTGTTCCCTCTTTCCCCGATCTGATTGGCCGGCTGCTATATTTTGCTTTGACTATAACGGTACACGTTCATGTCCCTGCTGCAATCATTCCCAACTCGTCTTATCATATTTTCACTCGTGATGCGCCCACGAATGAGTTTGATTGTTGGATTGTCTTGTGAGATGTGTTTTGGGGATGGGTCAAGACTGACACAAGATCTCGCACAAGCATTAAACTCTATGGTGGAACGAACAGACTTACAAGTTGGGTATGGAAGCGCAGGCTCGCCACTGGAGATGGCCTTTCTGTAAGCTGTCCCTCTTCGTCTCATCTTCTAAACCAGCCCTCTCTGTCCGTATTTTCCTCTTGGCTGCTCGCGTAGATGTCAGCCAGCAAGACCTGTTCCTTGTCCTTCCTATTACCCTCTCATCTATCTTCTCTCTTCTTGCCGTATGTATCGACATCTGCGCTTTGACCAGCCGCAGACTCATTGCCACAGCCATTCACCGCTAACCGTCAGAGAAATGATACAGTCAGACTTATGGGGCAACGCAACTGACCTTTCCCTGCTTGTCGATCTCAAATACGAAGACTTGAAACAGCTGCAAGCCGTCGGAGCGAAGGCTCAGGCAGAGCAGGCTAAGTTGATCCTACGTAATGATTTGCCGAAAGTATGGGAGCATTTGAAGACGTTGAGAGGGGCAAGAGTGGATGTGGTACTTGATAACGGTGAGTAGATCATTTGACCTTCCAGAATAACACCCCTGATCGATCCATGTTATACGGAGACTTGGGCGCAAGCTGATGTGCATAGCCGGCTTTGAAGTAAGTTCATTTGTTGATCCCACATGTCGTCTGATGAAACAGCTATACACCGACTTGATTCTGGCGGATTTTCTTGTCTCATGTACACCCTTCGTCAACGAAGTCGTCTTCCAGTAGGTCATAGCTCTGCTCCTTGGCGTCCATATCTTTCATGTGCACGATCCCGTTTTCTTCGCAGTCCCACAACATACATTTCAGATGTGACACGGTAGAACTCGACTGACCCCAGCCCAAAATCAATCCCCTGGTTCGTCTCCGACGTCGTGCCATTCGATTTCACATGGGCGATTGACATCTTACTCGACGAATCTTTCTTTTCCACCGCTTCCCCTCCTCCAACTCCTACAGAGCTCGAGTCGCTTGCCGTGCTCGCTACTCGATGGAAAGGACACTTAGCCAGTGGGGCATTCAAACTGTCTGTACCACTTGATACTCCCTTAGGAGGTGACACACCCACAGGAGGGTTTTGGACGACTCAATATGCCTATCAGGATATGCCTCTGGTAGCGCCGAAGTTGGTGGAGGAGTTGGGTAAGAGTGGGTTGGTGATTTTCAAAGGGGATTTGAATTATCGCAAGTGGGTGTTTCCTGCCGTTTCTCATCAATCACCTCAGTCATCCGCTGGCGACCCAGAAATGAATGTTCCCATCATGCTTGTTCACTTTACACTCGATCCTTTCAAACCCGCCAGTCAGAAGTCAGAGCTTCCGTGTGTGAAATCCGACTTGAGTTCCGCATATTGGATCGTTGAGAGGAGAATGGAATCAGGGCGAGTATCATGTCCACCCTACCTGCACATATTTCACCGTCGAGGAAATGCGTGTGAACCTGGAGATATCGGCCTTGCTTACTAAACGGAGGCAAAGAGCGAATGTGGAGGAGTGACTATGCTAGGGAAGACAACAAGGACCGTAAGCGAGAATGAAGGACTGATCAGATAGACTCATAGGTGATGCAGCATGGCCACCGACTACTCCATTCGACACAGCTCTGGGTCCATTGGCGGGTACGATGAACCTCGTCAGTTTACGTACCAACAAAGCGGATACGATGTGAGTTACAACTCACGTCCTTGAACTATCCACGGCAGCTCATCACTCCCATCTCATGTTTTTCCCTCTCAGACACAAAGTGGACCAGTGGGATTTACAGTCCGTTCGGGGCGAGCAACTGAAACCTTCTACACCGACTTCGGGTTTCCCTGAGTCGTCTGGTAGGGTTTAAGGTTGAGGTAGACGGTGATTGACAAACAGATGTGGTCTGGATGAAGGTGTCGCGGAGAAGGTAGAAGCACAAGATAAAGATTGGCGAGTGAGCGGAAAGTGAGTCTTCCTTTCTCTCGCCGTATGTCGTTCTACGTACTACCCTTTGTCTCATTTCGGTTATCAGTGACCTTCCCTCTCTGTCCTCCAATCAATTGACACCCAGTCCAGGATGCTAGGGGAAAAATTCACTGATACACCCGAATCTTGTTCAGCCTAAGTATCTAGTATACCATATGCTAATGTTTAGATACGCAGTCATCTCTTTTTCCCCAAAACGAATTTCTTAAACATTACATCTACGTATACACCTATCAAGCCCCATTTGTGTTATTCACCTTCTACACGATGTACATCAAGATCTCTACCCGGTACAAGTAGAGTAAAAGTACTAGTCTAGTACTCTTCGATCGGTTGGAGAGAAGTCTACCAAAATTATCGATAGCATCACCCAGATTAGTAGAATACATATGATCAGTACGACGTATAGACACGTAGATGAACAACTTGAGATAGATGTGTTCTTACTTATAAATGCATAAATAGCATGAAAAACCCAATGAACTAAAATGTACCAATAGATACTTGGTTGGTATTATATTCTGATATGATCCTACAACTACTATCTTTACTCTGTGGGCGGATTTGTCGAAAAGAGGTGTTGAGAATCAAGAAATTCGAGAATTCAGGTGGTTCGGTGTGCCGGAAAGGGAGGAATAAGGTCTAAGAATCCCGCGTCAAGGGGAGGTATGTACAAGTATTCGTCTAGATGTTGAATGAATAGATTATCTTGTAATTTGGAGAGAATAAAGAAATATAAGATGGGTTTTAACAAACTAATGGACTTAATAACTCTCTTTCCCTTTCTCTAATCTCTGAACTTTGTTCCCATTGATTGATCGAAGTCATTTCCGATCCATTAACATTTCCTTCCCAAGAGAACAACATCTTTTTTTCTACTTCTTTAGAAGAAAGATAATCTTCGAGGAAAAGTTGTTCAGATAAACTTTTTGTTCCGATTGCTTCCTCCATTTCAGAAGTAAGACCGTATTCTCCGACTGTTGTTTGTCCTTCTAATGTAGGTGTAGAAGGTAATGAACCTGATCCGGATCCATATCCAAACCTAAACCTAAACCTAAATCTATATCCAAACTCATGTTCTTGTTCTTGTTGGTGTTCGTATTCGTGACTATCTGAAGAAAAACTTTGTCTTGTTGGTGAAGGTGAACCTGAATCAGCTCTCAAAGAAGGAGTTTCAGCGTTGGGGTAATTATATGGAGAATAATGGTAATGATATGAATTAGATTGGATTGATAGATTTGAGTCTTCGATTTCTTCTGATCCTATAACGGATTGAGAGAGAGATGATGGAATGGATACTATTGAGTTGGGTACGTCTTTGGGAGTTGTTGGTCGTCGTTGGTTCTGTTGAGATGTTGGTGAGTCTGTGGGGATGGTCTGGGAGGTGGAAGTGGGGGCATAAGGGGGGGATGGAGATTTGGGTGTGTGGGAAGGATGAGGGTGAGGTTGTAGTATTTCGGTGTGATGTTGAGGGTGAGATTGTACTTCGGATTGAAGTTGGGAATGTGGATGAATTTCCGATTGAAGTTGGTAATGTGGATGAATCTCCGATTGACGTCGAGAATGTGATTGTATTTTAGACTGACATGGGGATTGTGATTGATATTGATATTGTGATTGAGATTGAGATTGCGAAGAAGAAGGACCAGATTCTATTCGACTTTGTTGTCCCGAAGAAGTCCCAATTTGACCAACATCACATTGTTGAGCTTTCAAATGAGCTTCAACAACTTCCTTCTCCGTCATTCCAAATCTTTCAATCTTCAAAATCTCTTCCCTTAAATCCAACAACGTGATCCTTTTCAAAGGATCTACAACAAAAACTTTTTCTAAAACCTTGAAACATTCTTCACTCAAAGGTAAAATCTTTTTCAAAAATTGATGATCATCCAAATAACTTTGAAAAGATTCATCATTAGGTGATGCTATCCTCCATGGATTCCTACCACAAACTAAATTTATTAAAATTATACCCAAACTCCAAATATCACCTTGTTTCGTCGGATAAGAATTTCGAAATGGGGACCATTGACCTAAACGTTCCGGTGCGATATAAAAAGTTGAACCACAACCCATTTCAGTTGAATGATTTTCAGATGTCGCTAAACCGAAATCACAAATACGCAATCTTGTACCGGAATTGGAACAGACTATGTTTTCTGGTTTTATATCTCTGTGTGCTATGTTGAGGGAATGTAAATGGATCAGGGCGTCGATAAGTTGAAGAAAAACAAGTCGGATGAGAGGTTCGTTTCCTATATACTGGAAATTAGATGGGTTATTCTCAGAGTTCCAAATATTGGGAGTTGGCACAAGAAAGGTAGAGTTTAAAGTCAGGAACTGCTAGTGGGGGTATGATCGGAAATTGGGGATTTGGAGATTACACCTAAAGGTGAGGTTCAAATGATGAGACAGCATAAAAAGGGGAGGAAATTGAGAAGAGTAATTAGACAGGGAAAGAATGGAGACAGAGACGAGGAAATTTGACAAGATAAGACGGAAAGATTCAACTCACCCTTTGCTCATCCGTAATCATACCATACAAATCACCTTCCTCTCCATATTCCATAACCACATAAATCAAATTTTTCTCTTCTACCAACCTTATCAATCTAACCACATTAGGATGCCCAGAAGCCATTAAATGAAACCCGACTTCTCGTCTCAAAAAATGTAATTGTCTTTCATCCAATCCATTACATTGTAATGCTTTCACCGCTCGTTTTATAGGTATCCGTTGATCGTTTTCCGTATCTTCGGCGAGATAAACGACACCGTACGCTCCTGTTCCTATGACTGATAAAAGTTTGAGGGAGCCGGAATCGACATAACGGGGTAAAAGAGGGGTGTCGAAAGTTGGTGTCATGGTGGGGGTCGTGGGTGTCTTCCTGAGGAAGGATTGCCCGCCGAAAAGTTATCTAATTGTCTGTCGAGGGAATATGGAATTATAAGCGAGGGAATGTTGGGGTTATCTCACCAGAAAAAGGTGAAGTTGGCTACTCAAGGGAATAAGGAATGTATTATGGACAAAATGTCGTGTTGGCAGCTGAAGATGGATTGGGTCGTATGGAATTATAAATCTAAAATGAGTCCCAAGGGGTAGAAAGAGTGGACGAAAAGAGTTCGACGTCACGAGAAATTTCGGGTCTGGTGACGTAGCAAAGTAATTTCGGGTTTTGAAAGATGGTATGTCGAGAGATGTCAAGTCGGGCGGTAAATGATAAATTGTGATAAAGTGACTGGGAAAGGAAAGTCTTCTCCACCTATCAACCCCGTCCGGTGATTTCCTTCAATCACAAATAATCTCGTATTTCGTGTTTCGTCCGAGTCTGTGTATTCGTCCCGATACCAATAAACCAAATAATGTCAATGTTATTCAAACAAGGAGAGTCAGGTGAGGTGGTGCTGTGGTGCGGTAGGAATGAAAGTGAAAAAGAGTGTAGTGTTACAAGATGATGAAGATCGTGGCGTGAAGAGCGTTCGAATGATTCCTCAGGTAATCTTCGGAAGTCGGGTGACGGGTGACGGGTGTGAAAAGAAGAAGAAAGATGTTTAAAAAGTAGAGGAAAAAGTGTTAAAAGCAAAGTAACATTTTGTTCAAAAAGTAGTAGTGGTACAACTCGTAGTCTCGTACAACTCTACAAACTCGTAACATCCGTATGGTCAGTCACAAAGGGGAGAAAAAGGAAACTTGGTATCCTTTGGTACCTAGACACGCCCCCCTTCAGCCACCAGGGTACTAAGGGTAAAGGATAATTAGACTATCAGGGCCATCAAAAACGAGTTCCCATCAGATCATCAAAAAGGACTTCTTTTTTAGTTTTTTCTCCTCTTTGTCCCTGGTGAAAAAAACGTTCTTATTTGTGCCTGTGTTCCTGTTCGCTTCCCACTAGGCCACTAACCTACACAAAAACGTATCATAGCCGCAACTTTCTTCGTACGCCGTCGCCGTCTGTCTCTTGATCATGTTCGTCGTAAGTTTTGGTAGACCGAAACGAGTGTGACACGCGTACATGTGGCATGTAGTAGTGAGTCTTATTGAGGCGTATTTCTGATCTTTGAGAAACACTCCGACTTCGGTTAACGAACGCATAAGTGGACGATTGACTACTGTATAAGGGTCAAAAAAAAAGGTTCAATGGTGGGCACATGTCAACCCTACGTAACCTTTCTTGCCCTTTTACAAAAGTCACGAGACTAACCCGTTTTGTGATTCCTCAGCTACAATCTCTCAGGATAACAGGATATCAATGACGTCGAGTACTGAATGACGATTCCGGTTGTATTGATTACCTTAGAATACACTTTTGACCCTTGGATATTTCCCCTTGCTTGGTAGCGGAACAATATAAAAAAGAAACCCCTGAATTAGTTTTTTTCCCTCTAGTAATTGTCTCATGTCTCCCGCGTGCGAGACATGGCGGTGTCGGATGCTTTTTTCTAGCCGTATACGCCGTACGTACCTGTGTTTCCCCTCCAATGTTCAGTACTCGTACTCCTACAGTCTGAACGAAGAAAAGCATGAAACGTGGAGTGAAGTAGTACGTGACAGGAGGTGAAGGTAGTACGACAATCGCGATTCTTTCAGCCCTCTCCGCTCCGCTTCATCGTACGTCACCCAGATACATACTCCTTCAAACGTACGTCCTTGGACCACATACGTACTCCGGTGGATCAAATGGAGCGTGAGAGAGTACATACTCTAGGAACGGAAAGAGTATGTACAAAGAAGGGGGAAAAAAAAAAGATTTCCTTGATGTCCGATCTATTGGTATTTTCGATATGAAACCACGGAATCTGATAAAGAGTATGCATCAAATCTTCGTAAGTACCTCAATGTTTCGTAAAAGCACATCTCGAGATCTCGAAATTGTGGTACAATGAAGAGATAGACTTGGTGGCTGAATCGATGAAAAGCCGACAAAACCGATATACCAGTCGTGGTGTCGAGGATGAGATTGAGTGACAAACGCGCGTTCAACGCGTTTTGTTTCGTTTCTCAAGATCTCAAGATCTCAAGATCTGGATCTTCTTGAAATACTCGGACCTTCCGGACCGTGGATCACACCTTGAACCCGTTTTACTGAGTGAAGAACAAAGATGAGGATAGCACATTGATCCACAGGGAGAATATCACCTTTTATCTTCTTGGTGTCTAAATACGGTTGATACGGAATATGATTTTGATTAGCTAGGTGTTCCCGGCTGATCTTAGCTGTAAACCCTCTTCCTTCTCCTTGAATTGGACCCGGACCAATAATGTGAAAGACCTTCATGTGACGTGCATGTAACATAAGGTCAGAGGTTGTTCGTAACGTCAGAGGTTGTTCGTAACGTCAGAGGATGTTCATAATGTCAGAGGATGTTCATAATGTCAGAGGTTGTTCATAATGTCAGAGGTTGTCCATAACGCCAGAGGTTGTTCATGACGCCAGAGGTTGTTCACTTTTCCATCTTCTCTGAATGTCCTGGGCTATATGCAAGTATCAAGTACCCTCACTGAGACGTCTTTTGGTGATTCACGAAAATCCAAAGCTTGATGCTTGATGCATGACGTGTTACGTGTATACAATGATTTCAACCAGATTCCTCATGCTAATCCTTCCTCTACAATAACACAACTATCATGACTTCAACGACTTTCCACCCTACCTACTTTCTCACAACCAAGTACTCCGTCCAACCTCATCCCCAAGAACTCAGATTCGACGTTCTTGTCGCCATCTTCCAAAACGACTAGGAAGTCAACCACCAAGACTCTTCCAGATCATCTAGAAAGTTTACGATCCAAACTCGTCCAACTCGATTAGAATATCCAACAAGACGCAATGGATAGTCCCAACACACGACTCCCACTCAAAACCCGTCATATCCCCATATGCCCACTTTCATGACTCATCCCTTTCTCTTTCTCCACTTTCATCGGTGTCAGCCCAGGGGTGGGTAACGCCCCAGGCCAATTATCGTCATTATGTTTGACCATTTTGGAACTTACTGTAAGAGTGTTTTCTCTCTCCATCTTGGGTTTACTCGGGCTGGAGCCATTTACGACTTGGTGAACTTCATTCGAGTTGGTGTCGTTGGTTCCGTTCGTACCGTTGATACCATTAATCCCATTGGAGTTGGTCGTTCTTGCCGGTGCGGTGGAATTACTGGACAAACTTGATACACTGGGAACTTTGTTGATCCCCGCTCCATTCACACCACTGGGTCCCCCAACTCCGTTAATTGTACTCGATCCCCCAAATCCATTTACTGTACTCATCCCCCCTACTCCATTAACTGTACTCCTTCCCCCAACTCCATTGACTCCACCGACTCCACCTAAGCCACTGGGAGCTTTCGAACCACTCGCAACATTCACCCCACTCGCTACGCTCGTGACCGCCGTCATTCCAAACACCCCAGGAGTAGCAGCACCCGGTGTAGCCGGTGCACTCCTATTATGTTTCATATGAGCCTGTATGAGATGACCAGCGGCCAAAGCACTCATCAAACTCAATTCACCAGCCATAACAGCCGCAGCGATGATACGTGCCAATCGTTGGGCGTTCGTACCCGGTATGGTGGGATGAGCACCGGCTATACCCAACATGTCGAGCATGGCGCGTTGAGGGGAAAGGATGGTTCCGCCTCCTACGGTACCGACTTCAATGGAGGGCATGGAGACTGTGATGAGGAGGTCTTGACCGTCGTTGATCCTGCAAGTCAGTTGGGGTCCGGGAGTGACAAGTTGTGGTGCGGGAAATGAGCTGGAGTGGTCGCTACAAGCAGAAGTGATGAAAGAGCCGACGGGTGTGATGCGAATTAGGCAATGTCTTGACTCAAGAATGGAAACAAATTAAGACGGGATGCGAAGAGATGAGTTGTGATCATATGTATGATAAGGTAAAGGCAATGAAGTCATGTGACTGGACGTGAGAGAGGGAGACAACTTACGGTTCCATCAATGTCATACAATTTGAACTTTCAACATTCTGGGCGGGATCTTGGCCCGTAGCTAGGTATATAGCCTAGTTGTTAGGAATACTCTTTTGTCTAATTCCACCCTCAATGTCTGTGAACGACCGGGATGGCTGGTAAATGTATTGAAGGAAGCTTGCCAAACAAGTGATCGTCCAGATTGTGCACAAAGAGACTAGTAGACGAAGTCGGAACACGGAAAATAGCAGGAAGATGTATGAAGAGACAAAATGATACACTTGAACAATGGAAGTTAAGTTCCCATATGAGAGAAGAGGGAATAAGCAGTGAAACAAAATCTGGCAAGATGGAAGAACGGAACGGGAAAAGAAAAAGAAGATGAAAGATGAAAGTGAAAAAAAACCAACAAACTCACAGTCAAAATATTAGCCGCATGAGCATTGAATCCTCCAATACTACCAGCCATAGCACTTCCAATCAAATTCTTCTTAACATTCAAATGACATAGATCTTTAACGGTAGTTTTCAAAACTTTCTCCACCGTTTCACCTGGAACTATAGCTTCGGCAACTACACTCTTACCTCTACCTTCGATCCAATTTATAGCAGCAGGTTTTTTATCCGTACAATAATTCCCACTCAAAGCTAAAACTTGCATTTCAGGATATCTTTCTTTTAATTTCCCCAAAGCCATTTCTGTTCCTTTTGAAATCATGTTCATACCCATCGCATCACCGGTAGAAGTTGCGAACCTAACGTATAACGTTCTACCTGCTATTGCGCATTCTAAAGTTTGTAATCTTGCATATCTCGAAGTAGAATCGAAAGCTTTTTTCAAAGTTTGAAATCCTATGGGAGAATCGATATATAATCTTGCTGAACATGCCATTGTTATATTTGGGAAATCAATGGCAGGACCTCTTGTCATTGCATCATGAGTCAAGACTGTCGTTACTCCTCCACCTGAATTTAAAGCTTTACATCCACGTGAAGTTGAAGCTACTAATGTACCTTCTGTCGTCGCCATTGGAATATGTAAAAGTTGTCCATCTATCATCAGAGGTCCTGCTATTCCGACAGGAATAGGCATATAACCAATGACGTTTTCACAACATGCTCCGATGATTTGTTGATAATCGTATTCCGCCATTGGCAGTGCGGACGCTTCTAAAGTTTGAGTTAAAGAAGTACGTGAGATGACAGCTCTTCGAATCCGAACAGATCTTTCGAGATCTTTCAATGTTTTTTCAAGAGCGTAGGGAGCGATCTTTCCTTTTTGGACTAGAAGGATTACTTCTTCGTCACTCAAATGAGAAACCCCAACTCCACCAGCGTAGATCTCGACAATTTCGGATAATGGGCGACGTCCGAATGTCGGTATCAATCCCGTATTTGGGGAACTGCGAGAGGAAGATGGTTTGGGTGGTGACGAAAGAATAGGAACTTTGGGTGTTGAAGGTACGACGATATGTCCTTGATCTTGTGTCGATTGTTCACCTCGAGGAGTACGTTCACCTTCATTGATAGGAGCGGGATGAGGCATGTAAGGTGGAATATTTGATTGTGTATATTTAGGTGTTAAATGTCCAGCTATAGATCCTCTCGATTCTCTCATACGTTCTTGACGATAAACTTCTAAATGTTGTCCTCCACTCCATCTTCGTTTTTTCAAATCTCCGTTTGAGGTCGTACCATGTGAAGTGTTAATGTCGAAAGAATCAAAGACACCAACCAACATCTGCGCCGCTGCAGCGACTGGACCTTTACCACCGATAGAATTCGATGCGATACCCTTGAGCAGATATCCATTGAGCATGACAGAGATACCTAAAGCAACGACGATCCATTTGCTCAAGACAGGATCACCGACCAAAAGAGTCCATTCGGACATGAAATGATCAATGCTGGCCATGCGAGATGGAATGAAAGTGTCAAACGACATGACGACTTGAGTGGGAGGTAAGATCTGTACGGCCATATCCGTCTCGGGAGGTTGTGAAGCGTACAACGCGTCAAGCACAGGTGAGAGAGTGGGTGAAGTCGGATCGAGACGAGCAGGGAGAGGTTGGACGGAATGTGTGGAATGACGTTTGAGCGCGGTCTGTTCGGTTAAAGTAGTACACAGATTGAGGATGTGTAAGGTGAGGAAAGAAATGATTAAGAAGAGTTTGAGTCGGACCGCTGGGTTTTCGGGTTGTTCTTCTGAATCTTTCTCCTTTTTGTCCAAACTTTGCTCTTTTGAAGAGATCCGAGACCAAATGGAAGAATAACCACGATCATTGGGAGAGATCCGAGACCAGAAGGAAGGTGAACTACGATCATTCGAAGAGATTCGAGACCAAATGGAAGGTGAACTACGATCATTGGAGGAGATCCGAGACCAAATGGAAGGTGTCGTGGGTGATAAAGCGTCCGCGTTACTGGCCAAAGAAGATGCAGAAGAATTACGTCGAATCGTCTTGACTGCACGCTTATGTTTGACAGGACCTCTAATGAGTTTAATCCTATGAACCTCTACCATGACGGTTAGAATGGCCACATAAAAGGAAAACAACATGACACAGTCGGCCGTCATGATCAAAGCGGCTGTTCATATCAGCTCAGACAACTCATCAAGTATGGAACACGAACCCAGATAACAAAATTCTCTCAATCCCCCGATCCCAGAAGCCGCTCCTACACTTAAAACAGCAATTTCTAATGCGTAATCCCTGACTATACCCACTCCTACCTTTCTCACACTGTCCACAACGATTTGCTTTGCAGCTACCGGAGCAGCCCAACGTACTCCTTTACCTTCTGCTAATCTCTGAAGACGCTCAAGAGGTGCTAGTTCTTTGTGCAAAGTACCTAGATCTAGTCCTAATCCAGCACCATTAGGACCGGTCTCTTTGGTGAAATCATCCGTGATCGGAGACATCTCAGGACTGGCGGCGACAGGAGCGATCTCGGGATTTTGGAATACCGCTCGAGCTAGTAGGAAAGGTTTGTCAAAACCGATGGTGATGACTAGGAAAGGGAGGGCTTCCGATAAACACACTGGATCGATAGGGACGTTGAGGAGATATGCGGCAAGGAGGGATACCAAAAAGCCGAAGATGGAGGAAACGAGAGTGGCGAAAGCTATTTCGTTAGCTTGTGTATGGGATTCGATACTGAGGATGGAAAGATCGCCAAAGGATGGGGCTTTGTGTGATGTATGATGTGAAGGGAGAGAGATCAAGGCGAAACTTACGGAGCCAGAAAGAACTTCCTAATCGACGCATATTGATGAATAGATGGACGAATGTGAGGTGCATGAGCACATAACCAAGTAAGACAACGAATATATCTGCTGAATCCGCGTTCTGTTATAATCAGCACTCTATCCAAATTGAACTGATATGAAAATGACTTGAACGTACCTTTGCAAGTGCATAAAAACGCATGAAAAAAGCTCTTGCGGCATAGGCGAACCATCTAACATTTCTCAATCCCACTAAAGCATCTTCATCCTCTTTCTCACTCTGAGCCGATCCATCTCCTACACCAGTGAACAAACCTCCTCCATCCAAAGGCGGAAAGAAAGTCCAAGAGGAAGAAGAAACAGAAGCGAGTCTGAAAGTTACATTACTTCCAACTGGTGAAAATGGGGGTAATCGATTTAAATGATTTAGGTAAGTGAGAGTAGGTTTTTCCGGTGTAGGTGGTAATAGATATAAAGTGATTGTTGATTGAGATGAATAGAGAGGATGTTGAATGATATTTGTTTCACATTGAAAACATAAATCTTGATAAGTGAATTTATTTCCTCCAACTTCGACGAATAACTCATTTAGTAACCAATTTTTCCATTTTTCAATATCACCTTCTCCTTCTCTAACAAGATTGATTTGTTTGATCAAGACAACTTGAGCTTTTTCATCTTGAGAACTACCTCCTAATTCAGAAGGGAAAACGTGTCCACCTTCCAATGCGTTAGCCTCGAGGATACGTCGGAATGAACTAGCTAGAATTGGTGTCCAGTCATCTGAAGTGAATTGATTATTACCGAGTAGTGAAGTAGAAGAAGGGGATATAAAAGGGGAATCTTCTAATGGTGGAGGATGTGAAAGTCTTATTAAATGTATCGGTCTCGGAGATGGAGAAGTGGTGGGGAGATGAATGAAATCTGATCCTTTTATAGCGTGTAAAAGTTGGAAATAAGTGAGAGTGACGAGAACGAAAGTGGCTGTTATTATTTCTATAGGAGCGGATGAAGCTAAAGAAGAGAGTGTGATGAGGGTGGAACGAAGGGCAGAACGGACCATCTTCGAAGGAATGTGAACTTGGGGAAGCTAGGTACTTTTGGAACGATGAATGGCGTAATGACCAGTTGGGAATAGTCACAATGACCAAGGTTGGTAGGTCGTAGATCGTAGAGGGTGTATCGGACGAGAACTTGAATGGTCAGACAGTAGAAGACCAAAAGAGGGAAAGTAAGATGGTCGATATGGTGTATTCCACTTTTTTGGGGAGAAATCTTGGTGCTAGGGTGCTCGGACTCCTCGATCCACGATCCAATACTTATCTTCTCGATAAAACCCTTTGACCCTCCTAGATCTTCTTGTTCAGCCCACTAGGCCACTAGTAGTACCTATGCAATGTCCAGTGATCCTCAAGACGAGTGATATATTTGTCCGATGATCGATGATCGTGTGAGGCTGTTGAAGAAGAATATGGGGGTAAGGAAAGGTGAAAAGTGGTACGATGTCAAACGCGATAAAATCGGGATCGATGTCCCTTGGTATTTAGAGTATATATATGTATCTCTCAAAACCTTCAATTGGTTGATCCGTAGTAGCGTAGTATGACCCACCTTGGAACTAACGATGTCACAACGTGGTGCCGCAAGATGGAGCTTTAAGAAATAATCTTAAATCCTTTAAGTATCTTCACTCTTGTCGTTTGTTGAATTATTGCTAACGTCGAGGTGTCCAAGGGATGAGATATGACGTGTTGTGTGGTATGAGGATTAGTCCAAGGGAGATGTTTAAGAAGGGATGATATACATGTTTTGGGGTATTGTGAGTGGGGGTGGAATGGAGTGTGGGTATGTGGTATGTGGTGCGCGGTAGAGTAGGTGAAGAGAGGAGGACAAAGGGATTTCTTAATTTCCCTTGAGCCTTTGGAGATTTACCCTGAGTGGAGGTGTTTTCCCTTGGTCAGTGGCAGTGGGGCTTGGGGCAGTGGACAGCAGGCAGTGGTGGGTACTGGGTAGCGTCACAGACCAGCAAGTCGGAACGAGTGTCAAGAGTGTGTTAAAGATAGATGTAACATGTAAGATGCATCACTTATCCCTTGAAATCCGTCTCTACTTAGCCGTCGTACCACCCCGTCCCCCATCTCCCCATAACATTTTATCATCGTATCATACCACCCCATCCATCCACCCTTCCACCCGACCCCGACCATCAATGCCGTCATCGCAGCTCGGGTGTCGTACATGAGTTACCTCTCTACACGTGCATATCCAAACACCACACCAAGTACCATGGTACCACCACTGACAGTTTACCCTCTACCCTACTCCTTCTTCAATGAAGAACTATCGACCCATTGTCCATTAACATCTTTACGTCGAACGGTGAAACATGCAATACCAGTGTATTCACATCTAAAATCAGCTCACTCGCAGCACATAAGACTGGAAAACTGGTACGAGTCTGGACCCATAGTGCACCATGCACCATCACGACCCTCAACCCGCAACCCTTGATCCATGATCCATCATCGACATAAGTACATGGGAACATCGGATCCGGACTACATCGGCATCGGCATCGAACACACGGATGTCCCTCGGGCCGATAAGGAGTGAATGATGCATGTCGCATCATGCATCAATCCTCGTGTGGGTGGGGGATCATTGACACGCGAGATAGATCTTCATTGCCAGAAACACGTAGATCCGATTAGATCCAACAATGGCGCCAACGATCATGGACGAGGAGAATGGTGGATGTAAGACAAAAAAAACATGAAAAAAAGTTGTGATAGACGAGGATGATCCACAGTTCATAAGAAACACATGTAGAAGAGATGCTGAATTCGAATACAACTCACATTTGCCATATCACCTCTCTCGCAAACCTGACGTAATTCAACAAAGCCACCATGAAACTCATCCAAATGAAAACATTCGCAGCCGTCGGCGAACTCTGAACCAAAGGATCTCGACCGAATAAGAATTGAGCGTTGGCATCGATAGCTCCAAAGAGTGAATATACCATCATACCGTTCCAATAGGGGAAAGGGGATTTGGTGACGTGGGCGAGGATGAGTTGTGAGACTTGGTATGACATGCTGAGGGTTAGTTTGTGTAGCGCGAAGTGGTGCCTCTGCTGCGGCGCGGACAAAGTGACAGCAGGTTGTGGGTCATGGGTAGATCTTCTTGGAGCAAGGGGTGTTGACTTAGGATCGAGGCGAGGGGGGGAGGTGGGGGCTTAAGGGATCGAACCGATGGGATAGTAGTGACGTCAAGTATGGGACCAAGGGATGAGAGTGAGGGACAGCAGGATGGGAAAATCAAGACAAATCATAACCCACCTCATACCCCAATACCCTAGAAAAGGTAACAACCTAGCATCATGTACTAAAGAAACTCCACCCCGTAACTCGGCTTGCAACCAAGCGACAAGTACCAAAGTGTGAACGAGGAAAGGCAGATAACCAAGTAAAGGGGTGAGAAGTGGTTTATTGGATTTTCTCCTAGCGACCAGGACGTTCCAGTAGCTTGTTTGTCAGCCAACCTACCAGAGCATCATGAATGACTATCCTTTCCAACCCTATGCTTCTCACCATCTGGCGAGGGAAGGGGTGAGATTGTAATTCAGTGCGCTGAATGGAGGAGGATTGAAAGAAATATTACCCACCTATTCACTATATTTCCCACTGTTCCCAAAGCTCCGACAGACATGAACAAAACATTCAATCCTACACCTTCCAACTTCATCTTTCCTTCCAACCCCAATATCTTATCAAGCCACTGAGCCGTATGCAAAGCCATGTCACCGGGTAAGAGTGTTACTACTGGTTGACGCCAAAAGCCTGAACCGAGAGGATGGATGGCGGTGATGAGGTAGATAGCGCAGATCATAAGAATACCTTCGACAGGTCCGGAAAAAGCGGAGAGGTAGAGTGTACCGGTGTGATATTCCTCCCAACTACGTGTCAGAAACAGTTTCCTTGGTTGACGCAGATGAATGACATGTTGGATGAGGATGATTGATTCGTCAAGAGTGCGAAGATGACTCACGTAGAAGCATAGAAATTGCAAAGACTGGCAGTTTGACTGGCAACAGTCCACCAACTCCTTCCGAGTCCTAAAGCATGGGAACATAGAACGACCTCGAGGGTGGTATTGATTGCATCTATGTGTTAATCTTTGGTCTGGTCTATTTGAAGTCGGCCTTAGGTTCATCCTCTCAAATAGAAGGCTTGCATCTTAAAACATGGAATTGAGACGATAACATTGAAAGGACTGAAGTCACACGAAAATGAGCCCAACGAGAATTGAGTGAACGACGTCTGGAATATAAGGAGATGAAAGGTAGCTTTTGAATAAAAGGATTTAAGAGAATCGTACTCACCACATCCATGATCAAACATCTCTCCTAGGGCAGAAGACATGCCCGTTCGTCTAGCCTGTTTACCGTCAATAGCATCCATGGATTGATATGCAAAAAGGCCTATCGCCCAGCTATACCATCAGCAAACTCATACCTCCCGAGCCCGAGCCCCGAATAACAGACCTTGAGGCTCTAACATGTATGCGATGACTGTGGACGTAACATGCAGGGGAGAATCTGGTTTGGTGTATAAAGAGTGGTCAAAAGGAATACGCACGAGAGATATACCCAAGAAGGTAAATCTTTACCAGAATACGTAGGATCGAGTATTAACAAAGTAAAGACGTTTGTGATGACGAAACATAATCCTATGAAGGTGATCTGCACGTCAATGTTATTCTTTTCCACCAACATTCGACATCCAAATCCACCAGGTCTCATGAGGTTATGTCGTGATAGCCCGTCATTGCCCGCTCAAAGAGAACATGGCGTCGTAGGAGATAGACGGAGATGTCAATACGTACTATCCTCTTCGAAGTAACACCCGCGAGAAAGTTTGTATCGCTGAGACGCGGTGGAGAAGCCAAGAAGGAGATGTTCCATCACATATATGAGGGGGGAAGGTAAGAAAAGGAGGAGACGGTCTATCATATATATCAGGTGACAATGGTATAAAAAGGAGGAGATAGTCCATCAAATATATGAGGTAATAATGGGATAAAGAAGAGGGGGTAGAGAGGATCAAGTTACTCACAGTGTTCGGAGCAACTTTCATAGGAAACAAAGTGACCAACCAAGTCCAAAATGGACCTAAAACATGTTTACTCAAAACGGATTTATCAACACCGGAATATTTGTATTGATCCACACCTGCAAATTGGGCTTTTGTTATTCGCATTTTGCGGGGTTGTTGGGATTACGACTACTCCTCGAACTGTCGTGCTAGATGGATACGAGAGGAGAGAGGACTTGTTGAGTGAAGGAGGGAAGAGTGCGAGTACTCGTTGGGTGAATGAGGGACGATACTAGGATGGTGAATGAGAGATAAGAGTATAGTCGAGAAGAAAAGTAGTGGTGCGATTTGACCAAAAAGTCGACGTATGATCCTGACGAATTGTTATCTACTCAACGCAGGACAGAGTATCTCTCTATTAAAAAGCCGTTTGATAAATACGTATGAGTTTACAGTCGTGCGAGTGGAAAAATCTTCCCAAATCACTATTGGACTGGTACGGGGCGTACGGGCGTAACGAGATATAACCTTTTATCAGATCTCAAAGATGTATCAGGACGTTCCGAGGAATACAGCCGATCTTGCTTATCGTCCTCCGGGTACAACTGGTTTGTCAGATGAGTCGTTGTGAAGCAGATACGTATAGAGAAGTGGTCGAGTGATGAGGTGGTGAGGATGAAAAGTAGAAGAAATATAATTTGATGGGAAATTTCGAGATTGTCCGATTGTCCGAATGACACTCGGGCGTCGGGATGTGGTTCACGAGTCAAATGACTTTTGTTGAATTATTTTGAGAAAGAGATATATACTGGGTTACAATTGTCGTAGGTGCCGGTACCGATAGCTGTTCAGTTGGACAGTATGGAGAGGAAGAGGAAGAGGGAAATGAGGGATAGAGTATTTAGGGGGAGGTTGGAGGAAAGTGTAAACGACGTCATTTGTCCACGTGGTATCTTCTTAAGTACCATCTTCATCGATCGGCAACTCCGCCTATGTAGCTACCACCGTAAGACATTGAGAAAAGATAAAGATCATGTAAATGATAGGGACTAAGCAGTGCTCAGTATTGATTGATCAGGAATACAAGTCATGATAGATTTCATAAATCATCCGTGTCCTAAACCCACCCTCTCATCTTACCAACTTTCAACCAAACTTCTTCTTTCCCCTCACCTGATATCTTATCCTCAGTTGCAGTCGACACCCTACCTTCTTTCACTTCCCCCCCACCCCCGGTTAACTCCCTCCAACCAACTTCATCCAACCCTATGACCTCTTTCCACCTTTCCAATTCCTCCCATTCCACATCTAAAGCTCTCACGGCGTTACTTAAATACCCCAAATCCGACCCCATCTGATTGGCACCGTGAGTAGAAAGAGATTTGATTTTCGGTAAAACGTTGGTAGTGAGGTGAGAAAGGAATGATAGAGCTAGAGAAGATATCCAAGTTGAGATTATTGATTCTGATGATAATTCTTTTTTACCTTCTCCCTTCACTAACCCCGTTGGTGTTATCTTTCCTGTTTCTTTCCCTACGTTCGTAGTCCCATTCGAAGTCCCTATTTGTCCTAAAGTCGGAGAAATCTCTGTGGATCCAGAAATGGAATTTGAACGTTTTCTAAACGCCTCTTCATCCAATACATCTCCTATGACTTCTTCTTCTTCTTCCATCAAATTGGTGAGATCAACAAATGGTAGAGTTTCCAATGAATAACTTAATCCGTTATCCCCTGCATAAACCTCAAATACCCGGAGAAGATTTAACAACCCTTCTGATACTCTCGCTATTGTGTCAGTTGGTGAGAGAGAAAAACTTGGGATTTGAAGTTCACCCCGACGAGGTATTTTATCAGCTTGAGACCAGATGGGAAGTTCGGGGTAATCTGAGAGAAGGGAAAGAAGTGGAGATAGAATGATGGATTGTAAGAATAGCTGAGAGGACGAAGTGAGAGATTTGAGTGACTCTCTTGCACCTATCAATGAGATGATATGAGTGGAGTGGGAGGTGACGGTTGATTGAATATCTTGTGGGGAGATCGAAATGGAATGACGATGAACTTCTGGTGATATAGAAATGGAATGACGATGAGTATCATGAGATGGAGTAGATAGGGGATGACGTGAGTCATGTCCTTCTGTTAGAGATGGGGGAGAAAGAGAAGAAAGAAGTTTTTGAAGTTCGAGAGAGTTGAGAGGAGATTGTTCAAGTAAGATTCTTACGCCAGGTGTTGACTTCTCCAACGATTGTACAGACGAAGAAGGGTAGACATTTCGTCCGGAAATGTTGTGAGTGACGAAAGGGTGTACAGTTGCATTCCCTAGTGGAGGATGAAGACTCGTGGCGGATGACGTTGACGTGGAATTGTGAGTTCGAATGGAAGGTTTCAACACCTCGAAAATCTTTTCTCCTAAAAACTTCTCAAAATCCCCTAACCTCTCCTCCACACCTTTACACTCTTTCAAAACGTTCAAACCTTTTTGAAAACTACCCCAATCTTCCGTAGAATAATCTAAACCTAATCCTTCCAAATCCAATTCATCCCCCATCCCCTCATTCTTCTCACTCATCTTGGTGATATCCAATATAACATTTTGGTTTATATCGAAAAATTCTTCAAAGAAACCATTCAAAGAGTCCAACAGACCTTTGGCGCCGTATCCAAATGTGAAGTCGATACATCTCTTCACCGCTTCTTCGGATAATGTGAACAATGCGTGGGCACGTTCTGCCAGAAGTTGTGCTGGATCGATACGGCTGGTGGAAGAGTTGAGGGTTGGATGTGTGCGGAGTATATGAGAGAGATAACGACGTTCTAATGTTGGATAAGAGGTTTGTAAGTCGATGAAGGGTTCATAAAGGGTGATTTCCCATCTTGTAGGATGGTTGGGGATTGTGGATGAAGATTCGATTGCTCTTGAGAATCTTCGAGGAGTAGAAAGAATCCCGGATTTTGTTTTAAGATCAATAGGACTGAGGGTAGGGTTGAAACTTGTTATGAGGTTTGTGGGATTGGTAGGTGTTACGGAAGTAGGGTTGATAGGTGTCAAAGAAATTGACATTTGTGATTGCGTCGATTCGCCAGAAACATGTCTTTCTTGAATATCCGTTCCAACTTTATCTAACAATATCATAATGTTCATCCCTAACTCTTCGGTAGCTTTAAACGACTTGATTAATTCCGGTAATGCTTGAGCACCATAATAATCTGTCAATCCTGTTAATCTATTTTGCATAGAAGGTGTCAAACCTTCGAAAATCGTCTGAATAAAACTTCCCAATATCCTCCCCGCTTGATCCATCGGGAAAATCTGAGGTATTTGAATTTTTTCTTTCTCCAAAACCTTTAAAACATCTCCATAAAACTTGATCAAAAAAAAGGAAAATGTCACTCCATTAGGATCCCCATAATCACCCGTATCGGTTATCACACTCTCTGACCAAGTTTGGATCAAATGATATCTTCTAGAAGTGAAATAATAAGATTGAAATTCCAAAGACCTATCCATCATTTCGAAAACTTTATAAAATTCTGAACATTGTTGAATATCTTCTTTCTCCAAAGATTCTTTCAAAGCCATACCGAGTGAAGTTTCCAATTGGTTTTGTAAACTTGTCAAAAGAGTTTTACGAGTTTCGTATTCCTGAGGAGTATTTTGAAATACGATTAAACTTTTAGCTGCTTCTTGTAATCTTTCACCTGCTTTTAACCAATCTTGAGAAGATATAAGAGAAGAAATCTCGGATTCTAAAGTTGACCAAGATTCCGCTTCTCGTAACACCGAACGAGCAGATTCCATACGATTTTTCAAAAGATCTAAATGAGAGAGTTTTTCTAATGCTTTGAAAGTACGTGTTTGATCGTCTTCGAAAATGACTTCCTTCCTATCATTGTCAATATCTTGTAAACTTGACTTTGTCTCGAATTCTGCATGTTTTGTAAGATTTGAATTTGTATCAAGGATTTCGAGTGAGGTGGAATTGTTATTTAGACCTGATGGTGTTCTCATTGGTTTGGGAGTTTTAGGAGTTTTAGGAGTTTTAATCGTTGTGAGAGGAGAAGAAGATAATGGTTGTATATGTCGAGTCATACCATCTTGTACCAAACTTAAAGAAGTATGTAATTCAGTAGCAGATTCCCTCATGAATTGTAAATCGTATGTTAACCTAGGAACATTTCGAGAAATATCATGAATCGATTGTTCTAATCCTGAACTTGTATCCGATGATAAAAGAGATAATCGAGTTGATAATTCGTTTAATGTCTTTTCCAAGTCTACGAGATCTGGAGGGTCTTCGGGATCTACGGAAGAAGGGAAATGGGAAGATAGGAGGGAATTGAGGAATGAAGGTATGGTAGGATGTTCGTCGAGGTTTTTTGCCAGTGTAGAGAGGGATGATATCGTGTCAGAGGGGGTTTGTTTGATTTCGTAAGGTATAGAATCTGACATGGTGATGAGATAGGTAGATTATCGTTTTATAGAGAAAATGGGGTGATGATGATGTTGGAAGGTGATGGTGAGTATGAAGAGATGGAAAGAAGGAAGATGCTGATGAAAAAGACAGAGTTCAGTTTGACATCTCTTCATAATTCTAACATGTCTTCTTCTTCACAAGTAAGTTCACTTCTCCCTCATCTATCTATCTAATATGACATCTGAAGAGGTTGAGGAGTACCTCTACATCTTAGATTCGTAGGGACAGAGAAAGACTGATGGGTATAGGACGACGAAGCTCTTCTTCAAGCACCATGGCGAATGAAACAATCTGGAGATCATATTTGGCTTATGGTATGTAATCAATTACCTCCTCTACTTAATATCGTACCATCTCTACCATCTCCCCTCTATCTAGAACCATACGTCCAGCTGGCTGTGGCTCATGAGCTATACTGGTCATAAACTATGAGCTATAGCTGACTTCGTAATAATATCTACACCCGATCATGAAATACGAACCACATCTGACCATCAGAAATACCTACCTCATCCTTCCAAACCAGGTTACTTATTCCTCGCTACTGACCTCGAAAGGATCTTATTCGAACCTCTCATCTCTTCTGCCGTATTGTACCGTCTAGAAGAAATACGGTCTGACTTGAATATAGAGCTTGAGGATGGAGAAGGTGATATGAAATCTCAGATGGAATATGTCTTACGAAGACTCGGCGAGCTGTGGGATGATGAGGAGACAAGGTTGGAAGTGAAGGAACATGATTATCATGTGAGTTCACTTCTCCTTGCAACTATTCAGATTCCTTCATATCGTATCCTTCCCATAAACCGACATCGGTACTGTCTTACTTCTTTATATATCGAGGTGTATCTGACATACGTCTTCTCTGACAATTTGAGGAGTTACCGGGAACATTTGACAATATCTTTTGTTTCTTTCATCTCTCCCTCAATGACAGAAGGTGGAAACAACTGGATTGACTACTGATATCAGGACGCAGTATTTCAATTCAGTAATAAATCATTCACTTGGCAATTTTACACTTCGTAAATCTTTCTCATCCTCCTTTCTTTCCCGTGTCAACGACCCCTGTCATCTGTAGGGACAAAGGCAACATGACTGTCCCGTCCTTGAACTACCACAGGTCGCTGGTGCTGAAATTTACATACGCTGACTACTCAGCGAGATCAAAGGTCGTCAACCCCTTTCCATCCTCTCACGTCATCTCATCTCTCCCCTTGTCTCCGCCTTGACCCATGATGATACTCCAACTCCTTCGTCTTCTTCCTCCTTGACAGTCCAAGACATTCTACGATCTCTAGGTACGGTACCTCGTATCATCACCACTTCTCCATCATCGCTATCAACCTCTGCATCTCCATCAAAAACCTCTCCAGAGAAAAAGAGTCAAATAATCGTTCAAAAGAATGGAAAGAAAAAGACTGAAGTCCCCTCTGATGATCAGGGGGAAAAGAAGACTAGTGGCAGGACAAAGGCTGACCTATCTATTCGGAGCAAAGAAGAATCTGTATCGCCCAATTCATCTCCTCATAAACACAAAAGAAGGCATGTTTCCCCTCGTACTACCAGTCCGAAGATCTCCAAAGCCAGAAAAGAGAAAACAGTTTCCCCTCCATCAAAAACCAAGAAGAAAAGAATGGTGTCACCTCCTGCTGATTACCCAAATAGGGTGTTAGACGCCGAATCTGATGATTCAGAAGAGTATGAACCTGATCAAGAGGGATCTGAATCAAGCCGATCTATCCATAAAACTTTAGAGGATGAAGAGAAAGAAGATGATGATGGTGAGGTAGAAGTGAATGATGATGAATCCGACAGGAGTACGAGGTTAACACGCCAAAATAAGTCGAAACAAGTCGGGAAATTTTTTGAAAACAGTAAAAGAACAAAGCAAACTTCTCATCCAAGACTGCATGATAAAACCAGGCATGGGGTAGAAAACGAGGGGAGAAAAGGAGAACCAAAATTGGAAACTGGAAAAGGTCATGGGATCATAAAAGGTACAGCGAAATCTGTTGAAAATGAGATTAATCGAGAGGGTGATAAAGAAGGTGATAAAGAGGATGAGGTGGCGAAAAAGGTCGAATCGAAGAAACGTGATAGAGAAGCTGAAGAAGAAATTTTATTGGAGAAAAGGAGAGAAGAAATGAAAAGACGAATGGCTCAAGGTGGTGGTGGTGGTAGATTAGGTATCAGGAGGGGAAGGTGAATGTTGGGTCATATCAATATCCCATTCGAGTCATATCCTCTTTCTTTAGACTACCCATGTCAGGTATCACACAGAGGAGGAGGATGGAAAGTAGAGATGTTGTTGTATTATACAGAACTGAACATGATCATGAAGCTGACGCCTCATGAGATGAATCACGAGTAATGACTAATGAATGATGAGTAATGAGTAATGAGACAAAGTAAAGCAATCTACGAAGATTCATATGGACGTGGAGAGTGAAGGTGAGATGATTGTCACACCGGTACGACGACGAAGAACAGGAAGAAAAGAAGGGGGTTTAGTAAAGTGAATAAGGAGGGAAGAAAGAAATCACATCGATGCATAGTTAGTCGTACATTGATACATTGTCTCAACGTCTCTCTTTCACACCAAATTCCAATACTAGATAACTGAGTAAAACAAAGATAGCAAATACTATCCCTAATAAAGCCGTGTCGGGGAACCAAAATGCCTGAGCGTGGAATCCGAACGATGAGAGGACTGAGGGTTAGTTCATGCTTGTTTTGATCTACACCGTCGCTGCAATACGAAGAGAAGAAAGACAAAACGATGGAAACAAAGGAAATATGATGGAGGTGATGGTATCCGGACTCAATATGATAAGGCCAAAGAGGAAAAGACGAGAAAGATTACAAGGTTGTAAGGAATGAGATGGTTTTGAAATGGAAAGAAAGGTGAGGAGAATGAAAAAAGAAAAACATACTGGTAGCACTAGGAACTTGAATATCCAAACCGAATTTCTTTTCAATCAATTGTAAATACCTCAATTCATTCACCAACAGAGCTTCGTATCCCGCATGAAAGAAGGAAAGCGTTTGCATCCATTTCAAACCGTTAGGTACTCTGTCATAATTCATCAATAATCCTGCGAACAGGAGACTGTAGGTTTAGCTTTTCCAAGAGGATCTCTACCTACCAAGGCGACGTGACATTCACAGCACGATTGTCTTCATCGTGGCGACTTGATATTCATGCCACAGAGGGGAAGAACAACTTGCAGTTCACAGAATAAACTAGTGAAACAGATGATCAGAGTTGACGAGACGAGAAAGTGTGGTATCTGAGAGAGGAAAGAATGACCATCGGCGACGAATCGGAACCACAATCAGATGGTTGAAGTAACAAAGGGAGATCTACGGTAGAGGATGAATGAGTGAAGGGGGGAGAATGGATATGGATATGGATATGGGAGAAAGGAGAAAAGTACTCACTTGTAAAGCATGACCAAACTACCTAACAAATTCGCCACACCTAAATCCGCAACGGCAACACTCAAGAACAAGACGATAGACGAAGCTGTCAGATTGAATAATACAAGAGTCATTATGAATTTCCAAAATGATGATACGTCCGGATTCAATCCGGCAAGACCGTAAACTATTGAGCCGAGTACGAAAGGTGGTATGACTCGAAGAGGGAGCATGTCGAATAAGACTTTTGAGGCGAAATAAGAGGATGGCGCGTAGTAACCGTTTGCACTGAGGTCAGCTAGGCTTACAATCTTCATAGAATGACGGAAGTGGGATAAAACATGTGTACTTTCCTAGAGGCATGTCCGACATACCATTGAGAGGAGATCCTGGAAGGAAAGATTGGGGTTTAGATATGCAGTTGATGATACTTTAGAAGTGGAGAGTGAACATTGTGAGAAGAGGAGTCGAGCGAGAAGGAAGTAAGAGGTCGAACGTCTTGATAAAAGAGATCCGGAGACGACCGACGATGGTCTTGCTAGTAGGGCAGTGAGAAACCAGAAGGAGAGGGGGAGGGGGAGGGGGGAAGAGGGATGGAAAAGACAAAAGATACATACCGTTCCCTCATGAACAACATACGTTCATTCGCAAACACCCCCAAAGAGCTCAAACATGAAAACCCAAATAAACTCAGGATGAACAAAAATAATCCTAGACGATTTCTAAAAGTCAATCATCATCTAATCTTGTATGCTACCGACGATGACTCACTGGAATCCGGGAATATCATTGGTAACGTGGTAAAAGAAGAAACCGCAGATCAGTGCGACTATGATAGCCACTGCATAATGAGTCGCCATGAGCAGAGGGTTTCTGGGATTAGTACTTCACTCTTCTCAGAATTTCCGACTTGGATTTGAGATACGTTTCAGACTCCCAATCGAAGCTGAATGGGTCTCGAGGAAGGACGTCTCTAAGTCACACATCTACTAGTCCGTATCCCGAGATGTTCCAAGTTGTGCAAGCGGGGGCGTGACAGAGTGAAATAGAGTGAAAGTAAAAAATGTGGAGAGGGATGAAAACGAGATAAACATAAGAAAGAAGTCTCACCGATACAAATTCTTAAACGCCCTTCCACTAAGTAGAACAAATTGTCTACCCCAACTAGCCTTTTTATAACCTCTCAACTCTCCCAAATCCCTTCCCTCGGTATACCTCCCATCCGGATCTAAACCTTGTTGTATCCTCATAACTTCAGCCTCTACAATCTTAGCATCATCACTCGCCCTTGCCGCCAAAACCAAACTGGCCAATTTCTCCGGTATTTGATCATCGGTCGGAGTCGACATACCAGATGATGAAGTTGTGAAAGCTCCTAATATCTGTTGAGCTTTTTTCTTGATTTCACCAATAACATTTTGTCTTTCTTCCACATTGTCTTCATCTTCCGAATCATTTTCGTTCTCATTCGAACTAGTGGGTTGAGGTCTCGAGAATCCATTTTCTGGATCAAGACTATTTCTAGTAGAAGACCCATTCACAGTTGTTTGAATATTGGAAGAAGGGTTGGAAGGACGTTTATGATCACCAGCAGCGTCCACAGTAAGATCTATCAAGTAATCCGCTATATTATATCCTAATGGACAAGAATGTCCTATACCTTCGAAATGTTGTTGAGCTCGTTTACTCTCTCCTGAATACACAACGTGTCCTTTAGCAAGTAATAATAAACGATCGAATAATGCTACAATGTTGGATTGAGGTTGATGTATCGTGAAGATGACAGTCCTGTTATATGTTTTTGCTAATGTCTTCAAACTTTCAATGACATTGTAAGCGTTGTAGCTATCTAATCCGGATGTGGGTTCGTCTAGGAAAAGAATCGAAGGTCCAGTGACGAGTTCACAAGCTATCGAAACTCGACGTTTCTCTCCACCTGATATTGATCTCTTGCCAGATTCTCCAATACGGGAATCTTTGATACCGAGGATACCAAGTTCGTTCATCGTCTCCAGTGTTCGAAACACTTTAGCTTGGTGGGACATGTCCCGCGGAAGACGGAGGAGGGCGGAATAGAGGACAGCTTCGTATACCGTCAAAGTAGAGAGAAGCGTGTCTTCTTGATCAACATAACCTGTTACACGCCGGTAAACAGTCTCATCAGGTATGTCCATACCATTCACGTACAACTCGCCGGTAGTTCGACCGGTTTTGGCTTTACGAGCGAGAATGTCGAGCAGAGTGGATTTTCCAGCACCAGAGGCTCCCATGATAGCCAATAGCTCACCAGGTCGGACGGTGCCGGTGATGTGAGAGAGGACTTGTTTGCCGGAGGAAAGTTGATAGGAGATGTTGGAGAAGTGCAAAGTGGCCGGGACGTGATCGGTCATGAGTTTGGCGGCTTCGTCTTCGGGAAGCTGAACACCGAGAGTGTCGGAACGACGAGCGTGACCGATATACCAGAGCGCTAGAATGTCAGCCGATATGCAAGCCTCCGCGCGATCGATCCCGAGCCAGGAGCAGTCATAGATGGACATCCCAATGTCAGAACGGAAGGTGGTTATACTTGAAGTGCCCAACAGGGAAGATCGCGAAAGGCAAGCACGGACTCACCGAAACACATGAGAATGAAGATTGCCGCAGCAGCCGCTGCAGATAGAGCGACCAGAACGCTGTTGTCCGGCGGTGCGGGACGTTGATATCCTGGCACCTGAGTGTAATGCAAGCATTCCCCCGATGCACAATCAAGCGTGATAGCCCTGTCACCGAAAATATCATTGATGAGCTGATTCATTGCCGGTTCTTCAAAAGTGCAACCTTTGCCAGACTCGCAGTTGAATGAACCAGGACCCTTGACCTCTTCGGCGAGGAAATCGTCGATGTCTAGAGGTCAGCTTTGTCAGATGAACGAAGAAGCTGGGCACGATTTTTGATCTGGGTGAGATTCATCATGAACGACAGTGCCCGGACAGGAGGGGGGGGGGGGGGGGGGGGGGGGGGGGCAGGCTACTCATCGCAGAGGGTCAGAAAAACACTCACTGACACTCCCATCTTCGCCGCATAGGAAACGACCAGGCACACAGGTGCAATCAATCTTGTTACATTTGTAGTTGGTCTGATTAGAATCTTCCGTGTCAGCCGCATTCACAGATGAAAAGCCCCATCGCGATAGTTTGAAACTACCTCCACTCCTCCTGTGAGTGAAATAGCCGAGGATGGCCTCCTTCGACGACCACATGCGACTTGGACAGATGGAGAGAGCGACACGACGACTCACCATAGTTCTCCTTGCTCTGCCAACTGCATTCCTGCAACTCGCAGTAAAAGCTCTCTATCCTGTCCACCCAAAACTGAAACTCGCAAGTTCCCAAGGCTGTATCTCCGACTTCAGAAGCGCCCTGGAAGGGTGTCAAGAGGGGATGGTCCCAGGATGTGGGGAGGGTCGAATTGGAAGACGGTTCGTCAGCTGTACAAGAAAAGGTGACTTGGGGAGGTTTGTTATCCGGTATTGTGTCTATGATCTTTCGGTCTGAGGTGAGTAGAAACCCCCCCATCGTTTGTTCCTCCATACTTGCACAGACGTAACAGCATCGTGCTGGACTTTTCCCTCCCTAGATTCTACGTTGAAGGCATCGGGGTCGGAGGGTAGAAAGAAGACAAAGGTCTCGAGTGTTGTCAGAAGCCATGTGAAAGAGGCAGGAAGAGAGAAGAGGAATGGCGGGGGAGAACCTGGGAGACAGAACACCAAACTCACTCGTCACATCACACATCTGAAAATTGTGCTCCACCGCTAATCCCCCACTGTAACATACCAAATCGTCCACCGCGTCATCCTCACCTGGATCCGTAGCGAATGCTCCACCTCTCAGACCTTTGAATCCGGAACAAGCTTCGTCTTTCTTACAAACTTCATGTCAGCTTCCGTCGAGGGTACTTCTGCGCTTCCGGGTTGTCCATTTCTCTCCCTACGCTCAATCAACCTGATCTGCTAAACCCCTCTGCCCTCACAACCGACACAGACCTCTTCGCCTATACTGCAACCATCCAAATGAGCTCTTGATATGGGCTGTGGAACAAAGGAAGCCAAGAAGACCGACTGACCATTGCAATTTATCCCTCCCCATCCATCTTTACATTGACACAACTCTCCTTCTGGTCGAGGATATCTCTCATCTCCATCGCTCAACGCCCCACATACTGTAAGTCAGCTCTTCCCACTGATATCAGCTAGTGGAGTAGCAGCTGAGGATAGACAAATGACTCACAAGGAGTAAGACAATCTTGTCCCCCAAACCCTGGTGGACATCTACATTGTCCATCGTAAGGATTACATTCGCCAGCGTTGGCACATGAGAAAGCGGGGAGGAGACAGTTGAAACATGGTGGGCAACCATCAGGTTGCTTCCCTCTTGGTGGTCGTCTTGGGGGTATCTCTTAATCAGCATTTGTTCTCTGCGCCCATTTTGGTAGTAGCTCCCGTCGCTGTCACCAGCAGCTGGTATCCTTTCATTCTTTCTCGATTGCTCGACACGATAACGAGAAAACTCACCAGAGAGGAATTTGTGAAGGAGATATCTGTTTGGCGTAGGAGGGATAGTTCTGAGGAGATGACGTGTCTGGTGGATAGTTGACCATAGGCCGATCTGGAAGAGGCGGATGCTAGGGGGAGGAAGATGGTCGATAGGAGGTACATCTTTGCTGAGGAAAGGGGGTTTGTTGTCACACCTATTGCTTCGAGCTTGGGTTGTGTGTGGTTGGAATGTTGAGCAGCTGTCCGAGAGAAGATTGGGAGCTAATTAGGGCAGGAGGTATGGGTCGAGGGAGGATGTACTCAGTATACTTGGAGGGTAGTCAGGTTGGTCGATCCGAGGTGGCGAGTGGTGAAGGGGGGTTGCCTGTTAAGGGAGGGGATTGAATAATGTATTGTTTTGCTGGAATCGGACCGGAAGGCTGAGCAGAGCACGTTTGTCGAGATGGTTTGATTGATTAAGTACAGACTGACTTGACGTGACATACATCCATAAGGCAGTTGGATGATCTTACAACCTTCTACAAGCAGAGAGAAGGGGGAGAACAGTAAGAAAAAGTTAGTTACTTTTACTAATGGTGATAGCAAACCGATACTACCCGCTTGGGCCTTCCCAAATCCTATCAGACTTAAGTACTTACCTGTAGCGTCATTGATTTTCAAAGGAACGCCCTAATCCGATTTGGATACTAAGTAAACCTTTTCAGCCTATCGAAACTGTTTCCTTCTCTTTCTCTCTGTTTCCCTATCTTCCTCACTGATCACTCAATTGTTCCTGACTCACTCACTCATCTTTCTTCATCACTTCTATCACGATGCCACCCAAAACTACAAAACCTAAACCCAACTCCGCCTCGACAAAGAAAGATGTCAAACCTCCCAGTAAAAAACCAAGATCTACGAAAGAAGATAAAAAATCAAAAAAGACCATCGAAAGTGAAGATGAGGTCATGTCTGAACAAGAAGAGGTGTCAGAGGAAGAGCAGAAAGAACAAGACAATGAGAACGTTGAAGAAAAGTTTATGAAATCTGCGAAAGCTTTAGAAATCAGGTTTGGACATGAAGGAGAAGAAGAGGATTTGGTAGAGTTATTGGCGGATGTCAAAAAGTTTTCTTCTGGGTGAGTTTGTTTCTCTTCTCAGTGATTTTTACTAGGTTCTCTACTACCGGTCGATCAACTCCCCCCCCCCCCCTCCCTTATATTTGCGTCCTCGTGACGGCTAGGCAGCTTGGTCGTGGTGTTTGGTATCTAAACTGTTTGTGCTGTAAATAGACCGGGGAAAGAATAGATCATATCGTCAGCCTTAGAATTGTCAGCCAACTGAAAAAGAAAAATGGTACCCAGATGGACAACATCTTTGGATATGACCTGACATATAGATCATACGGTTGGAACGGGAATAAAAAAACGAAACTTCCCTTGGGACCTGGTGAAGAGGAAGTGGACGTTCAAGTGAGGTTTCATTCTTTCTTTGACCTCCTACCATTCGGATTTAGGACCCGTCATGATCCTCTTTACAACTCATACTCCTTGTATCTCACGTCTTCACTGCTGGACAGTCCCTATCCTTTTTTCACATGTGTACTCCTCGTCACTCCCATCCTCAGCACGGATGATCACTCTTCATCCCTCACATCCTTGAAACACATGTAACACTCATCACCCCCACTCCGTCACACATGATCCTTCTTCATGACTCTCAGTCTATCACACTCGATAACACTCATCCCCCCACTCCGTAACATGTGATCACCATTCACCCCCTCCCAATCTGTCCACACTTTCCCTTCCACGTCTACGCCTTAAAAGATGACTCACATCCCAACTCATTCTTCCACTGGCCAATGGTCACCAAACGAAATAAGTTCTCAGCCGCACCAGTCGGTATATCATCACTACCAAATCATTCTTATTTTGTCCTGTATCAAACAGAAGAAGAAAAGATGCTGATATAAAGATCACAGTAAACATCACCGTACTTCATTCCAAAGTAAAAGAATCTACAAAAACTGAAACTGTAACAAAGTCAAAAGGTTCAAAGACCAATACGAAGACCACTGTAAAAGAAAACAAAGAGAAAGACTCAGGAAAAGAAGAAGAAGAAGAGGAAGTGGAAATGGAAGAAAAGGATAAATCCAAAGGTAAAGGTCAAAAATCTAAATTTATCAAAAAGACGGAAACAGTTTCAGTAAAAGGAAAGGGTGGGAAATCAGGTGGAAAGGAAAAAGAAAAAAATACTGTTAAACCTAAAGGAAAGAAGAGGAAGGTTGAAGAAGAAGAAGAGGTTGAAAAAGATGATGATGAAGAGGAAGAGGAATGATTTATAGTTACCTTTCCTCCTAACCCACACACACACACCCCTCACACGAGACTTGCCTCGTCGAACATCTGAGTTGGATAAAGAAGGATGAAGACTTCGGGTGTACAATAAATCAGAATAAGTGCTCTTACTATACTGAGATACTTGCATTTGATCGGTACTCGTACGATGTGAAAGAAATGACGAATTGGATATATCATCATCATGCATCATGTAAAAATCCCCACTCTTAAAAATCAAGATCTATCATCTTATCATCATCATCTTCTTCTTTCTTATCGTTTGTCTGGTTCAAAGTATGAGAAAGGACATGCGCAGATTTGTTGTGGGCTGAGGGAATGGATCGAAAAGTGGATATGAGATTCGTATCCTTGGGATCCTTTGGAGGTCGGACAGAAGGTATTCGTGGACCTGGTATTTTTCCTAATTTGACTGGTCGATCGTCCCTTAACGAAGCAATACTTTCCATCTGAGTATCAGTCATCACCTCTTCCATTATCTCTGTTAATTTGTCGGTTCTATCAATCTGTGCTTCTGAGACTTTATCACATTTTTTGGACTCTCCCTCTATTGATATGATCTTTTCGGACTCTCCCTCCATCTCGATCGGCCATCTCGGGCGAGTTTCTCCATCCCAACAAGCCCTCTCTGCCTTGGGTTTCCCCTTCTAAATACGCCCTCTTCTGTAGGGTTTCCCATTCCAACAAGCTCCTTCGATAGCCAGTTTATCTTGATCAAGATGGCCTCTCTTCGATACACAGGAAATCCCGGTTGAGAGTCGAAGTGCAAGTGACATGACGTAATAATCCAGGTAAAATGCAATGAATAAATGGGTGATAGTGGTGAATATGGAAAAACTCAAACTGGAGGTGAAAGTGAAAGTGAATCAACTCACCCTCTTCTTCAAATCTTCCCCTTCTCTCCCATTTCCTCTAGTTGGATCGAACCCTATTAACTTTATAGCACCAGCAGAAAAGGGTTTCTTTCTTTCTCTCTCTTCTTCCATATCTTCTTCTTCTTTCTCCATATCTTCTTTATTCTCTCGACTTTCCTCACTCCCATGTCTCTCATCCCTCTCCCGTTTAAATTTCGATCCCTCACTCACTCTCTCTTTACTTTCTCCCACCCCCGTTACTCTTGACCGACCTACACCACCTTTTTTTGAATCACTCAAGTTTCTTTCACCCAGGGTAGAAGTCCGAATAACAGATAAATACTTCCCTCCAGTTGTTTGCCCATCAATCATCTTATTCAACATCTCCTCAGCTTCTTTCTCCTGTATCCTCCTCTTCCTCTTCTCCGCCCTTCCCCTCCCTAGCTTCTCAGATAAATGTTCATCACCGAACCGCCTCAGACCTCCTTCGGTGGGAGCATCACGGACTATACCTCCTCCTACGACGTATGTGGTTCCTCCCCCTCCATTGTCAGATCGTCGAGGGGCGGCTTGAGGTCCAGAGGAAGGTAGAAGACCGGTACGTTTTGAATAGTCTGGTTTTGTGTTCCGAGATGAAGTTGATTTGGAGGATTGGAGACGGGGGTGAGTGGAGAGGGCGAAAGAGGAGGTGCTTTTTGTCAGAATCTACTTTGGACTTGGTTTCACAGATTATCAAAACTACTTCCTCCTCGAAAACACCAACGGCAATGCAGACACGGGATTTATGAGCAAACTTCGATTCAGACGGTTCAATGGAAATTAGATTGGAATTACTACAAATTCTTTGGACATGGAAGAAGTCCCACTTGTGGGCTCAGGTAATGTCATGTGGTTCAGGTGGAAGAGGATACTCAAATGGTAAAACACTCACCTAGCGGTGAACTCTGCTCGACCAGCACGACCTCTTTGTACAGCAGCATGAACATGATATTCACACACATGACTTTGTCTCCTATTCTATCAGCTATTCCTTTTTGACGAGAAGGTAAGATGAACTGACAAGTCAACCCAAGTGGTACATCTATTCCCGTCACGTTGTGTCGCGGAACAACAACCCAGATCTCGGGAATGACCGATGAGAGTTATGCTATCCGCGCCTAGGGGGTTGAGGGCGAGTGGTAGAGTCAGGGGGTGGGGGGCGTTTGTGCCAGCCTGAAAAATGAGTACATGGGTTCATAGTGGATATCATGCCATTCCTATTAGATGAAGAGATGTGCAACGGTTCAAAAGTGGATTGGTCAGGGAGGAATCTATACAAGGTGGAAATTGAGAGCCACAAAGAGAGAAGAGAAGTGAACATGACGTGTTCAGAGCTTCTGACTGATGGCTTGAGACAGAAGTGAAGAGCTGAGATGGAGACAGAGGACAAGGGTGGACTCACCCGAAGTGGACGTAAAATCCTCGGATTCAATATAGCGATAACACTTCCAACTGCCAAATTACACCATTTCTCATATGCACCACCTGAACCTCCTCGATAACTTTTATATTCCTCCCCATCCTCATCCTTTTCTCTCACCACGCAATCCGCTTCGAACAATAACAATTGTAACAAAGCGTCTCCACCTGTACCATCTTTCTTTCGAGGTGGGAGAGAACAAAGACGAAGGTTTATATATTTTCTAGGGGCACGTTTCTTTTCTTTCTTGACCCCTTTCTTGAGATCTGTCCCTTTCCCGTTTTTAACATCTTTCATCCCAACAGCGCGTGCTTTCGACCTCGAGGATTCAGCTTGAGTTTCCGGATCAGAATCGTCAGACGCTAAATTCTGGTCATTCGAGTCAAGATCTTTCGTACCGGATACTCGTATTTCTGACCTTTCAGCGACGACGGCAATAGTGAGCCAATCTCCCATTACGGGTACGTCGTATGTCGCTCCATCTCTAGAAAGTCGGATGACAGAGTAGAGGAGTGAAGGTGCAAGGTAGTGTCGGCCTCGGATATGATCTTGTACTTCTGAATGAGGTAGGATACGTTTTCTGCAAGTCAACAAGAACGGGTTCATTTCTCCAGTCTGGTCCTGAACAGCCCTATGAGGTAAATATGACTGAGGAGGGTACGTTGGGTGGATCATGAATAGAGAGTGTTTATTGGGTTTACTATTCATGAAGAGTACTGGCAGAGAAATCATACTCACGACAATCTTATCCCTGAATTAGGCTCAAGATCCCTCCATACTTGCTCACCTTCCGGATCTCTACCAAACTCCCCAGGACCTAATTTGATATTCTCTAAGATCGTCATATCGTAGCCATCCCTATCCACATGTCCATCGGGTTTATACACTTCCAGCTCATCATCTTCCTCATCTTTTCTCACTAAAGAGGGGTTTGTCAACAGGACCGAAGTGGAGACAGAGGGTAATTCGGGTCGTTTGGCGAAGGATGACGAGCGAGGAACGGTATTGTGTGAAAGTGTGGAGGAGGAAGGACCTTTGCGAAGAGCAGCGAGGGACGAAGACATCTTAGAAGCGATGGGTCTGAGTGGGATATCTGGCAAGTTCTGTTTGAGAGGTTTGGGTTTGGGATGGAAGATGGGTTTAGGGGGAGGGATGGGAAGGTTGATGAGGGCATCTTGTAGTTTTTCTTCTGATCAGCTGACCCAACCCCCTTGATGAGATATACTGAACTTCTTTATGCCACTGAAGTCACGTTGGACATTCGATTTACTTCTTGAAGTTACTCAACAGCTGTGTATGATGTGGAGAGGGTCACGATAGTGTGATATGAACCATCGACTGACCTTTCGGTTTAGTAGGTGTTGTCCCCACAAGAACTTGAGCTTGTTCTTTCTCTCTCGCACGTTGTCCCGCTGCTACTTTGGCCAATCTTTGAGCTTTGATAGCTTCTAACCTAGCTATCTGAGCGTCTATATCAGCAGTATCATCGTCCATGTTCTGTTCTGTCCTTTCGTTGTTCTTCTCAAAAGTCAAAAGAGAGATGTCAAGATGTAAAGTCGAAATGGGATTCACGCGACGGAAATCATTCGCGTGAATTTCGGTTAAGTTCCGTCTGACCACCGCACTTACTTTGACTAACTTGACTGAATTTCATCTCCATCCCATCATCGCCTATCAATACAGACGTAAGAGGTTCGAGTAGGAAAAGTGAATAAAATGACTGGTTTACCCCTCCCATTGATCAAAAGACCGACATATGATCACCTCAACCCACCACCTGTAGTCGTACCTCCCATCAACTTCTCCCTCGTCGCTCCTGGAGTATACAGATCTGGCCATCCAAATAGGAAGAATTTCGGTTTTCTCGATCAGCTGGAATTACGAGGTATCATGTGAGTCATACTCATACTCTGATCTCTGTGTAACAAGCTAGGCGAGGCTTTGAACATAGCTGACAGGTAGGTATGTGGAAGGTATGGACGATTATCGACCTGATTCCATGGATTATGTGCAGATGAACAATCTGATTTTACATCGATATGACCTCTCTGATGAAGCTGTTAGTCATCTTCTCCCCCTCTTTCCCCCTATTCAGAATCCTTCTCTGCTTGTTCATCTTGTCATTGTTCGTACACCAAGCCTGAGCCTCAAGGCGTGGGAATGGAAGTAAACGGGAGAGCGTGTGGCCTTGGCTTATCGAAAGGACGTCTTCACTTCTCATGGAGAACAAATAGTAACTTCTGCCCTCCGTATAATCCTCGACACCAGAAATCATCCTTTGCTCCTCCACGATGACTCGGGCAAGTCCACCGTTTCCCTGCTGTGCGGATTAGTACGTCGTATGCAAGGATGGAGTTTGACTGGGGTCTTCGCAGAAGCAGACATGTTCGCCGGTCCTGCAGGAGGATCAGAGGGTAATGGAGTGGGTGAAGATGGTCGGGAGGTGAGCTCATAGTTTATCGCAGTTTTACAAATGGAAGGCAAGCTGAAACAAAGTACATCGCAATGTTCAAACCGAGAAAATTCAAGTATGATGAGACTTGGAAACCTACTTGGGTTGTATGACCAAAACCGAAATTCGTCACACTTTCATGATATCGCCTTCGACATTCTCAAGATCTCGGCTATAAAGCGTGGGGCTAAGTCACCAGTCCAAATATGACGATTCTCAACTGTGGAGGTCTGGACCCACAGCATACTTCTGCTATGCACGAACTTTGGACGTTGAGACAGAGTACGTAGACTTTCTTTCCTTCTATACTCTACACTCTAACGTTCCACCATATGCTAATCTCCAAGAATGGTAAATCCATAGTCACATTCAAAATTCGAATCTCGGTCATCCGGACTTACTTTATCGAATCAAAAGACAAAACGCTATCCAAATATACCATATACAGCCTTCAACTATACTTCTTTTTCTCACATTCTCACATTCCTTAAACAAACGAACTTCTCTGTCCTCACTCCCTCACCCTCGAGTCGTCCTGAAGATTCTCCCCCTCGCCACTCAACATCTCATAACGTCACCTCCACCCATCCTTTCATCCCTTCGCCCCCGATGTGACGCGTCAGACACTTTCGTATTTGTCGATGGCTGTGCGTTTGAAAACGTTTTATGAGCCTGCTTCATGTGTGAGTATGAAAGGGAGTCGTTTGGTCTGTTCGTCCGATCGTCCCGGATTTTGCCACCCAGGTCAATTCATTCTTGCTATATAACCTAGCACCCCTTGGTCTATTCTCTCTCACAATGTGAACGATTATTCCCGCCAGGCGACGTATCAGCTTTCTAAACAATTCATTTTGTCAGAAGGACAAACTATTGGACTTCCCATCCATCCCATTCGTGTCAAGGAACCAATCTATCGACCTTCCACCTCCTGAGCGACCCATTAGACCACTCGTCGGGTCGACCCCTTAGTACCAAGATGTCAATTTCTCCAAGTTATAAACCACTCGTCCTTCCTAAACCCATTCCGCCCATTAATGTAACAGGCAAACCTCAACTTCGAATCGTCACTTCGTTCCCTACGCCCGTCAAACCCGTCATTGTCCGTTCTGTACCAATTTTAATAAAGAGTGCTCCTCTTTTCCTTCCCCCTCCTTCCCCAACCCACTTCCTGTCACAAGACGAGGAAGAGAAAGAGAAAGAGGAGAAACCTCAAGGATTAGTTGTGAAAGTTGATCCGCCTGGACAAAAAGGACATAAAAGAAGATTATCAGACAAGTTCAAATCTATCTTTCATCTTAAACCTGGCATTAATGACAAACCCTTATCGAAACGATCACTTTCTATTTCTTATCCCAAAGAAATTGTAGTTCATCCTCAAGAACATGATCTTAGTCGTTCTCCTCAAGTCTCAAATGAAGTTGCTGAGATGAAGATTGATGAGAATGTAGCAAGACGTGAATATGTCTACGTTCCTCAGCGACCTCATCGATCACCAGACACAGCTAGTTATATGGTCACTCGACATAATTTCCATCTTCCCTCTGACGTCCCATATTCACCTTCGACTCTGAATTCTTCCACTGTTTACACTTCCATCCATGGCGAAGAGAGAGAAGATGGAAAAGTTGAAGAACCTTCCGATTTGTACATGTTCATACACGGTGAAGAAAGAGATGGAGGAACAGTTGAAGGGTCTTCTACAGTCTGCCATTTGACCCTCAAGGAGGATAGACACGGTGTTAAGGCTGATAGACGGAATGAAGATGGTTGGTGTGGAGGGGAAAGATTGGATGTCCCAAATATGGCCATTAGTCATTTTTCCGATCCATCCACTTTATCCTCCCCGTCATCAGTCGGATCACCAGCGATGAGACGAAGGTCGATCAGTATACAAATGAGGGATATGAAGAGGTTGGTGAAGAAGAGAATGTCATTACCTGAGTCAATAATCAGAGCTTGAGTGGGAATTTGGTTTGTGATCTACACACTTGTATAATATTAACATCCCTCCCCCTCATCAATAATACTTTGTTTTACTGTATACTTTACACTAGGATGGACAGTCACAGTCACGTAAGGGGATTTTTTGTAAGATAGCTATCAAGGAGAATGTTTAATGATCTTGTTTTAAGTTGTATTCATTTTGTCTTATTTGTACAGCGTTATATTTGTAGAATATGTACTCGTATGTATATTGACTATCATACATTCCATGTGCCTGCTTGGACATAGCATTGTCATAAGGACTACAGTATCGACCCGATTTCCAATCCCATGAATAGTATAGATTCTGATCATACATCCTTGAAATTGACCACGAGGTATCAAATCATTTCAGTTATCAAGTCCATTCACCAAGTAGTCGATAACGTCTCATGATCTTGTCTACCATCTGAAAGAGTACTCAAGTACTCTCTACTTGTATTTTATTGTCGAGGGTTGATGATTAAGAGAAGATGACACGATTCCTGATAATCTTAAGGGACATTCAAAGTGTTTATAGGGTCTCACATGTATTCGGTCGTACATTTCTCAGCGCGGGATGTGAATAAATCAAGTCACCGATTTATTTCGACAATCACGAGATTCTGACATCGCGTGAATGTTTACCGGATCGTTACAAGATTGTCACGCCCGAGTAAGAAGTCGAAGTTTGAAGAAGAGAGTCAGCCAAACATTATGGAGATATCTTCGTCGTTGGTTTCATCCCTTTCCCTTGGCCCTTGGGAAGCTACGTTTCGTCAGGTTGAAGTCACCAGAACAGTGAGTTTTATAGCATTACGTTATCGATAGTTTTGGTTGATAATTTGTAGAATCCGGGGCATCGATTACCGAGGTCGTGGCTTAGGACAAATCGATCTGGTACAGAGTCGTGAGTGGGACAAATGTGTTTCAAGCGCGAGGATGGTTTACATCGAGCTAAGGAGATGGTAATTGAGAGGGAGAATCAATCAAAAAGTGAGTATTCATTATGCATAGTAAGTGGTAAGGTGATCACACGTGTAGGAAAACCCAAACATAACAGAACTGGGTCGAATATGGTCAGTTATCACCATACATGTGATTTATCCACCCAGGAGATGGAGTTGGTCTTGGACCGACTGAACTTTGGGCTGGTCTACTATCACGAAGTCGTACGCAGAGATGGATCTTGGAAAAGCGATGAAAGTTCTTTCAATCGTCGATTGTGTCGATTTTGAAAGTACGATCTCTTTGACATCGAGTGAGGAAATTTTCAAGTTGTTGAAGATGGAGTAAGTAGATGAATCTTCGGGGTTTTTCCTTCTTGTTTCGAAGGGAGGAAGGAGGAGCAAGAGCGTTGATCTTATAAATTTTGCCGGAGAATGTGACTCGTCGGAATCATCTTTATCGTAGATGTCAAGTCAGGTAGGCACATATATGATTATCTCCATACCGGATGTGAGCAGATCGAAGACAATTTCATATCACAGTAAAAGGGAATAACACGGTTTCATCCCTGTTATCGTAGTTGGGGCCAATTGACATAGATCTAAATGAACGGGCTTAGAGAAAATACTCCAAGCATGTCTGTATTCATCAGCTCTTTCATCTTCTTTTGACAAAAAAACACAACTATTTCTACTCACTCATTCCGAATAAAAATAAGAAAAAAACTAACACCTTCCTTACAACTGGTTCCTCCTCTCCTGTATCTTCGCTTTGGCCTCAGAAAAGGAATCGGACGGATCCCATACCAAAGATTCTATCCAAGTACAGTTTCTTTCCTTCTCATGATAAGGAAGTATAAATTCTTTAGGTAACCAAAGAGGTTTTCTATACCTATTCCACCTAGTTGTCTCCACAATATCTTTTCTGAAAATCTTTCCATAGAATAAAACTTCCGAAGCGGTTTTTGAAAATTTCAATGCCCGTTCATGATCATACATACCGTAATTATACGGTCTTTCAAGAAATGCTTGGATAATTTCCGAAGCATTTGTATGAATAGCTTTAACTCCATGATAATAGGAAGAATAACAATCATAACGATTAATGACTGATAATTTAACACTTTTAGTCATGTCTTTATCAAGTCTCCTGACTATTTCCCATATAGCCCATTCAAAGTTCGCGGTAGTTGAAACCCATGGAGAAGGTTCAGCATTACCATAATACTCCCAACCACCATTAATATGATTCACCATTCCTTTAATAGTATCCTCCTGATTAAGCCAATCATCATCAGAATGAAGATGTTGGAATTCCCGTTTCCAAGTTGTACCCGAGATGGAGTGTTTAAACTCTTCATCGGTAGCGGTAAAACCGTCATTGAGCAGAGGAGATACAGACGAAAGATCAAATATGCGAAGCACATAGTCACCTTCGTGTATGCCCTTGATGATTTTCGTACAGGTGCGCATGTTTGATTAAGAAAAGAAGATGTAAAGTAGATGAAAAGAGGACGAACGATTAGTCAACTACATGATATGAAGTACTACTTTGTGGGAAAAAAAGACGGAATGTGGCTGAACCTTAAAAGAGACATGCCCGTGTGTGGCATGTTACGAGTAGTTAGCTTTTGACAGATAACCAGCCGGTAGCATAGATAACATAGATAGCACGGATCATGGTAGCTTGTAACCCGTAGCAACTCTGTCACCACTATTTGTAGTAGTAGTTCACCTTTTAGACCGGTGGATCTCTTGGGATGCCTCTCGACTCTCAAACCTCGCCGGAGTCTATCCACGAGTATGGTGCCAGTTCTTCCGAGTTCACTATTCGGTGCTCAAGTGCTGACGGGGAGAAACGTTATCAAGTCAGATCAAGTGAAGAGAATGCATTGACAGAGTACAGTAGGTATGTGGCGCGGGATGAAACTTCGGAGAGCAAACCTTCGGGGTTGGATCTCTCGTGAAGAACCCTATCGCCCTATAGACACTATGGACAGTATGAACGGATCGAGGTTGGGTATGAATGGGATGCGTATGGACAAGTAGACGAGAAAATAGGTGTTGGTCATTGGAGCGAATACAGGTACAAGATAGGTATGAGGTGGATTAAAGACATGGACGTGAGATGAATTGGATAGGGAACCATGTTTACACACTGAGGAATTAGCTCCGTTTGTCAGGTATCCCAGTATACTTACAATTTTCGATGGATTACACATTCAAACCTTTCATCCAAGATGGCAGATCATCTTCCTTCACTTCGTTCAACACGGAGATGATATTTGTATGAAAAGAGAGATCCCTGTGGATATATTCAAGTTCTTCTTGCATTTGAGGCATTTCAGCTTTCAGTCGTGGTATACGCTCTACCATTTGTCGCATGCTCTCTGTGAGTTTTCGAATCTTCTCTCGGGCTTCTGGAGTCTTGACGAACGCATAGGACACATCTTCATCGGTCGAGACCGGCGGCTTGGCGGCATCCTCGTCTTTTGTATCAACGAGTTCTCAATATCAGCTTAAAGTGATCGGGAAAATGGGACATGAACTGACTTGAAGTCTCAGAGGAGGGAACCAACTCTTCCGGGACAACAGGGGTCGACTCCACGACTACATTCAGACCCCCCTCTTGGGGCTTCTCAACATTGCGAAGGCGATCTTGATCGACGGACATGATTTTATGGTATTGACGAGAAGATTGTTTGCGTCAATTGAGATACTTTGTGTTGGATGAAATGAGGAGGTCTTGGTATGGCACGATGGAAGTTTTCGAGTAGAAGGGTTGATAGATGAGAGATGACGAGATACCTGTCTATTTGACCCACCTTATATAGGCGATAAACCAGAAAAAAAATCAAAACGATTCCTTCAAGAAACAGCTCGATACCAGCACATTCGACCGGACTATCTTGACAACTGCCTTCTCGCTGAGACACTGAGTTTCACTCCGCATCCTGCTATCAATCGGGGCGCAGAAAAGGCTGACGATATCGGTTGGTAAAGACTTCTGAGTTGGTGTTCGCTGGGAGAACAACTGTTGAATGGCGATATCACGAATCACGAAGATCTCCGGTTCGTCTGCACTAATAGCTAGGCATATTTGCTTGAGGAAATGCTTGAAAGACTATGATTTGCTTCGCACACGAATGAACGACAGAATGGTCTCTGGTCAAATTCGACCTTCCGCAGGTGACCTCAGTAGGCTACAGAGACAGGGACATGTGTGGTCGAGGTGTTTCGGTTTTGCTCTTTGAAACCTTTGAGCGAGAGAGTCGTCCGTCTATTCAGGAAATACGGATCTGATCAAATGGTCGTTAGTCTGATCATTCCGATTTGGAGACGCGGGCGTGTTGGAGCTAGATCTATGTACAGGGATGGACAACCTATTGTCTTTCGAGTCCAGATGCCAGGTGGAAGGACTGATATCAGGCTAGCCGGGATGGAGAGTCGATAAGAACTTTTCACCCAGCAGACGGTTTGGAAGCTCATTGAAGATTTGGGAAGAGGTTTACATGGTGAAAGATGCTATGTTTGTTTGTAGTACACTAAGTACTTAGTTATGTCAAAGAGTGAGTTGGGAAACCCCCCATTGGAGCCCCTCGTTGTAAGGCGCCTACCGCTGGTACATCTCCTATCACGCATGCCTATCTGATCAATCTATTTGCACCTTCCCTAAAATCCAAATGACTTCCTCTAACTCGACACTACAACATAGACTTCGCCACACGACTTCAATAGCTTGAAGAATATCTACTGGGCACTCGGAGTGGTGTGCTTATAATTCTTCTCATTATTTTCGCTCATCTAACAATCTAACAAGTCCATACGCTGATGAACGTTCATATCTCTGGAAGAACCATTGGGTCGGATTCCTGATTCCTGTCTTTAACTCACACGACAGACCCGAGGTACCTAAGGTGAAGGCACATGTCCCTATATTATGTACCCAAATCCTCAAGCCTCACGCCTCGGAGGTGTGTCATGTGAACATGGACTTATGGTCATCTGCATCGGGCCGAATCTCACGAGAGATGAAATGGGTACGTTTTCTCGTCATTCTGCAATTCGTTCGAATGCTGGAACAAATGCGAAGTATACATAGCCTTCAATAACTCAAAACAGTAGACGCTGGCTGATAGAGCAGAGTCTGGTGACCTGTATCACGTATAGTACTACTCGCCGCTCAAAGTCAACACTGATTATACACTTCTACCTCGCTCCCCTACCGACATGAACCATTCACCCAACGGCGTACCAAGGTGATGATATCGATGAGCTCCTCACTCTAACGACTACATCTTGGCATTCGAGTGCAGCAGTGGACTCTGTTCACGGTTAGCGAACTTTAGTATTCACACAAAAGCTGATATCAGTCGGGATTGGATATGAATATGACTAGTTATGGACAAAATTGCATACCCAAAATAGACACATCCACTTAGTTGGCCACAAATAGAAGATACCCATCAGCCTATCATCTTTAATCGTCCCAGACGATGTATCAATCAAACAGACAATTTCTTCAGCGCCAACGCCAAATCATCTTCAACCGAGTCGACCTTTGTTGACGTTGACGGCGTGGTATGCTCGTTATCCGATGAGGTGTTCGAGGCGTCGTCGCTGATACGTTTGGATAGGTCTACTCATCAGCATCTTGAGTAAATAAGTACCGGACGAACTCACCTTTGGCTTTCTCACGTGCCAGCTCAGCCTTGCGCCGTCTAATCCGATCACGAACAATGTGCATCTTGTGACATCCAGGAAGGCATGGATCCCAAAGAAGATTCTGCCAGTATTTCTTAGTGGGATCAACATCTGCCTTGTAGAACTCGGGAGGGAGGCAAACACCCAAGCCCTATTAATCATCAGCCAGATCATTAACGAAAGCGAACGAACACTCACATTGAAGTTTAGTGGGATGAAACCCACGAAATTTGTGGCTGGAATCGAGGCTAGCACCAAGTACTCGCGGTGTCGAGAGGAGAAAAAGCTCGCACTAGACCATCGGGCGGACAGATAGATTGGTAATGATTTCACACCGTCTCCGGGGTGAAGGATGATATCAGATGGGTCGAAGACAGCCAGAGAAGTATTCACGATCACAGCGATTTTCATGCCTTTCTTTCCGCGCATCATTTGACCTAAAGCATAGTGTAAGGCGTCACCGAAGCTGGATAAACATGAGATGAATGGTGAAGCGAGTGCCGGGTCGCCTGGTTTTTCGTGCATGTTGTGATTCGTCCAACCCTTGGTACAGTGATAAGTCGGGTGACGAGTACCTTCGAAGAGTGTAGTCAAACGTGATGCCGCCTTGCCGTCAATGATACGACCCTCTGTGGGAATGTCTAATGATCTGATTTGGTCCCATATCGATTTGGCTGACGCCATGTCCGTAGCTTTAGTCCCAACATCCTTGATATACGGACTTTGCACCTCATCGTCGTATACTCGAAACAGGACTCCTTCCTTCTGTGCTTTTTCTTCCAATATCCTGACCAAGTGTCCGAGATCGGTCTTGCAAGAATCGCCCATATCAATTCCAAAGAAAGAGTACAATCGTTTCAACAAGTCGGGTAAACAAATGGCACCGTTTAGGTCATCAATAGAGTGGGAGGTGATAGGAGACATTGTCGGTCGAAATATTCTTGATTGGAGAAGAGAACATACCCCTCCTCGTCGCCCATTTTATATAGCCTATATTTCGGAACCCATCAAGTCGATTCCTTCAAGAAACAGCTCGTTACCAGCACTTTCCACCAGTCCCAACTTGACGACGGTACCCTTCTTCGAGCACCTGGTTTCACTTCATGTCAAGCTCGAATTGGGGGCGCATGAGAGGATGACGATAACGAGTTGCATGGGAGATCGAACTTGACATGGTGTGACCTCGAAGTTGTTCGCTTGACCGTACCATGACCTTGTCTCCTCAGCGATCTGCTGGAGCAGTCAGCGTCTGTCTGAGTAGCTAGTGGAGAACAAAGCTTTGCTTCAGCACTCGAATGAACGAGGAGAAAGAAACGCACCCAGTTCATCTCTCGTGAGATTCGACCTTTTGCAAATGACCAGGAGTTCACGTTCATGGGACACACCTCCGAAGACCCTCACTGATCCAGCTATGACACAGGGAATAGGGACATGTGCCGTTATGTCAGGTGTTCCAAGATCGATGTCTCAGCCCGATAGTCTGCCGTCTGTTCAGAAAGTCAGGAATCAACGATCGGACCCGATAGTCGTTAGTTTGATCATTCCGATACGAGTCTAGACTTGTACTGTAGGGATTGAGTTTGATCCAAAGGGTCGTAGCTGGACAGGGGGGAAAGCTTGTAGCGTCACAAGAAGATAGTAGTGTAGGCAGTCTTGGGTCCATTGAAGATATGTGAATAGGATTACATAGGGAAAGAGACAAAGCTAGGTACTTGGCAGCGTTGTGAACATGTCCGAGGACGAGCTTCTCTGGCGCGCCTACCGTTTCCACCTCTCGATCGCTCTGCTTTTACGCATGCCTATACCTTCGGGCTGGAACTCTTCTATGTAGCCGACTATCCCTCTTCGCTTCCACTTTTCCTAACCCATCCATTTCATGTGATATCCTTCAAATTGAGAGCTGATCCCCTTGTGGCCATCGTATCCCGAGTACCGGGGCGTCGAGGAAAGTCTGATGGTACTCAGGATCACTGACACTCTATCCATCTCCGCTTGGAGAAATGTCCGAATCAGGCGCTATAGACTCCAAGGAAGCGGACGGTAGTCGTCATTCGTCAAAATCATCACAGGTCATTGGTTCACATCGTTCTTAGAACCCTCGAGGCGGTGTGAAGGAGCGAACCCTGGTCAATATGTTTCTTATGAGACGTACTGTAGAGTACGTATCTACGTCAAGCTTTCGCCATATCGTTCGGACCGACTTCTCCATCAAAAAGGCCTCTGAGGATAAAATGGACGGGCACGACGAAGATTGTCTTCACTATCAACCTACCGATATATCGATATGTCTACCGTCATGCCTCCCGATCTATCCCATCTTTCGACTCGCCGACACGATGCCGTCTGTCAGCCTGTACAGTACGTACGAGAGGAATGCGTCACGCCCTTCCCTCTGATCACATAAGATACTGTCAGATTGATCCTGGATATCGTGTCCATGAATTAGACAAACAAGCCGAGGGGGGAAAGATTTTATATCGAGTGGACGGTTCTAAGTTGATTAGTCGCCACTGGACTCGAATCGGATTTAGAGCAACGAATATGTGGGCAGCCGATGAAATACTACGACAGATCAAAGCTTCCGGTATTCCGACAGAGGGTCGTATCTTGACGAGTGAGGACGTGAATGACATTTCTACGTTACACGAAGGTACCAATCACCCGACTTTCCACTGTACCAATGGATGGGCCGATTATAACCCACATCAAGTTGAAGATCGCTCATCCCCTTCCATATCATCTTTCAGTTTGTTCCATGACGCAATATACTATGCTGTCTCTCAAGCTCTTTGGTATGACATAGACGTGAATATATCCGTGATCTCTACCTCTGGTCTGGTCGTATTGGACGCATACAGCCTCATTTCCAATCCTGGCCCCGGTCATTCGAATTGGTCCTCACATTGTGATGACTTTAGACGGCAGCGAGCGCGCAACTTCTCGTTTGCGCAACGTGAACTCTTGGTCATAGGTTCTATCCCTTACAGAAACGTTTTGCTACGCATACCGGTGGAAAAAGATGTTACTTTCTTTGCTTGGAAGTGATGACACGGCTGACGCTGAATAGCTTATAGGTATCTGCCTCCCTTCTGAATATTGGAAGATAGACAATGATCCAACGGAACCATATCACGAAAACCTCTTATGGGAACTGGTATACAGGAGGCAACACACTATGCGTTCGAGTCGTGAGCTGGTGGAGTGTCGTAGGATCGAGGATGATGCTAAAAGGCGACAACGTGAGTCCGTCAACGTGCTACCGTCATATCGCTGATGAATAGACTACGTAATGATCGACGACAAAGCTTTGAGGGCCTCAAAAGACGGCTCAGACGCACAGAGCACCACGGTATCGTCTTCGTCGTTGTCAGTCAGGATCGACCAGGAGGAGAATGATTTAACTTTGGCCCTGAAGAAGCTGTCCGTTTGACTCTTTACGGAAGATCTCCCATCTGAACAAGGTCGGAGGTTCTATGTTCGCAGTCAGTAGAGTCAACGGTCCATACGTGTTACAAACTATGTGCATGAGTTATAAATAACTGACACGACCGGAAGAAATATGATGAGTCGGATGAGACTCATACACGTTGATCTCTTCTACAAAATACTGTACATACGGTATGAACTCGTACTTTCCTCTCTTGCCTTGTAACGGTGTAAATTATATCTGTCTGGCTCATCTGATAAGATTCTCATAACGTATGCATCTATTTGAATGAAGGCCATTCCTGAGATCGCATGTCACAACGTCATACATACTCTACTAAACTACTAGATCACTGCCCTTAAATCTTCCTCCTCCCTTCGGGTTAGTAATCATGAAAAAACCGAAGATTCATCTACTCCATCTTGCCACAAATTCAGAAAATTCTCCCTGTCTGTCATATCGATCGAACTATCCAAATCGACAGGACTGTCACACACAAGGGCTTCTAACCCGCGTCCCATGTTCACCTCGTCCCTGATCTCATCGCTTTTCATTCCTAATTCGTTGAACATCAATTCAACCTCCTGCCTCGATATATCTCCTGTTTGATGATAAGTGAGACGGTGTACTTCGTTGTCCTTCTCGTGAACGATCTTTCCTACACATCATGTGAATAACGTATCTAAAAGGTATGCCGAAGACTAACCAGTGAGTTGAATTTTCCTTTCAGCCACTCTTCTCTTGACTCGATGAAAGCTATCCGTTCCTTTGAAACACATCTGTTCCATCCATGGTCCTGTTTCTGAGAAATCATCTTTCAACCACTCTTTAGGTATAGTGATACCTGGATTCTATTCCGACGTCAGCGGCCTTTCAAACAGAAATAAACGTGGTCACTTACATTTCTGCTGACTTCAACCTGACGAGACGTTGCATTCCAAGGAAGGAAACCATACGCAAAGAAGTCCCCATAAAGCTGGGCGGTATGTCGTCTCTTCTCCAAATCCAACTTGGATCGTTTGTTCAATCTCTGAGTCTTGTATCTATCGGGAAGACAATTTTGCGAGGTGATAATTTCGAAAGTGTTGATGTAAAGGGGGATCTTATCTAAATCCACAAATGATACCACGCAAGCTTTCAATTCAGGATTCAATTCGAATAATCGCATAGCAGTCCACCAACCGTATAAAGGGAATTTAGCCAGAGGGACATAAGGAGTAGGACCACCAGTCCAATCATGATCGAGAGGATGAGAACCAATTTGAAACACGCTCTTCAATTCGCTGAATTGTTTCGGGGTCAAACGGGTTGGTATTGTCGGTCTGGCTTCGAAAATGATTTTGGCGGCCGCCGACATGTTCTTACATATCGCCAACATCTGTCGCCCTTGATAGATCATCGGTCCCAATGGATCGGTCGAGACGAGTACTCCGAACGGTCGAGTGGGCCATGATTGAGTATCGTCCTTGAAGACTTGACTCATTTCTATCGAATCCGATAAGGCATACAAACCTTTTTTGAGAGAGACGTTTCCATGTGTCAAACATTGTCAATAAGTAGGCATAAACCTTTCTCCCTGTTTGGATAGATGCATTGGAACACGAGGTCGTATCGGAGTGAAGGGAGATCTTGATCGGAGCGTTCCAGTAAGTTAAAGGAAGTTTAAATTGACGAGAATATGTGCGGACTCATGGTTTCATTCATGATATTGATCAAGCTAGCAGTGATCTTGGTGATTGATGTTAGTAAGACCAGTTACTCGGTAAGAATGGAATGCACATCATCAATTGATGCTTGAGAGGAGGAATGATCACTTGAAAACGAGAACCAAATGTCGACGACGACCCCAAGAGGCCCTCTCGATCAAACATGAAGCCCGGGTACGATGCGGTCATTGATGAGAAATCCTGGCCCCTCAAATACAGTAGTACCCCTCTATCGGGTCTTGGAGAGCATGAGCTGATGACTCCGCTGTCCGCTGTCTGTCATGGTCAAAGTTTTGTGAGTCAACGATGGCATACTGAGATATGTACGGTTTAAGTACTCGTAGTGAAATTTGCTTCCGCTGTCTTCATCGCTTAAGCGAGGGGTCGAAATAGAGACGAGTCGAGCTGGAACTGCTTCCTCCCCCCTCCCCGATCGACCTTTCCCCTTCTCTCCACGTATACTTGTACGTTGAGCGCACTAGTGAGTCTGTGAACTGTCAAGTATGGCTTTGGAGGCCTCTCCCTCGCCCCGTCGTACCGTCGTTCTGGCTGTGATCCTGCAGGTATGGTACCAGTGCTACGGTCAAACTGGCTACCTGGCCGCCCTCTCCCCCTTCCTTTGAAATGGTACGGTAAGTAACGAAACGAGTCTAAGTCACCTCTACCCCTTCACCCTCTGGCATATCATCTTCTGATTTTTTGGCTGCCACTGTTCTTTAATCGCCGAGGTGTCGTCGATCGGACCCAAGGCCTTGTGCTGATGAAGACCGATCTGGGATCGCCTCAACCTCATTTTTAAGTGAAATCCTCGACTGATGCTGATTTCAATCCGCCCCCCTGCACTGTACCCATATACTCACTGAGGATTGAAAACATTGACCAGAAACGGAAATAACTGACCCTCCACCTCGACATCCGACTCTTCATCACGACTGCGATCAATTCGACCAACTAGCAACTAGCAACTACTACTTCCAGCACAGTACGAGTACAACAAATATCCGACCGGGCCCATTTCAGGGAATCAATCGTGATTTCCATACTTCTGTATCAAGGGACACTGGATACCATCGTTGATTCGTGAAGGGCGCTCAGCAAATCATCCGAAGCAATGACTTACTTACCTTATTCATTCTCGAGGTCATTTTTGGGATCTGGCTCAAAGGAACCTTGACTCGAATTAGCACCCTCAAATTCGGAGACTCCAATTTTGGGTTCTCAGCTGCTTGATCAAACAATACAAATACTTTTCTCAAGATGAGGTGGACGGTCAAATCTGACTTCCTTTGCCACTCACCCAATTTGTCGTCGTCATGCTTTCACCCCTTACTTCATCCACCCGTAGATCACAAGGACAGGTAAGTGGGACAATTTTCTACTCTTGATTCATATTGTCCATCGCTGACTTGTGGCAGATTCATCCTGCCGACTCTGTCAGAAAATGGGATGACGGGGCCAAGAAGGACGAGTATCTATTCCGAACATATCATGACGATTCGCAGAGCAAGTTGATCCCTCGCGCCGGATTCACGTCGACCGACTCGAGGTCAGCCCGACTGATTCTAGAGCAGGTGAGGTCACTCGGCATCCCGACAGAGGGTTGTGTTATTGGGAGCGACGACGCATGTGATCTCTTCACCCTCAACGTGGGTACTCGTCATCCGGCTTATCATTGTACCAAGGGTTGGACCGGTCGAGAGAATTACGAGCATGGAAAAGATCTCGCATCACCTTATGTATCGGTCTTCTCCTCTTTCCTCGACGTCTTATACCATGCCCTCTCCCTACTGCTCGTTCATCGCAAGTCGGGTGTAACTATCGCCGTAATAAAGAACCTTTCTCTCACCGTCCTGGACCCATCCGACATCATCGCCCACCCCGGAGTCGAAGCGAAAGCCCTACCGATATATGGGACACAGAGATGGGAAAAGGCTGGGATGTTTTCTCATCGACATGGCGAACGCTTGGTGGTCGGTTCTATCCCTGCTGCAAGCGTTGAGGCATTGATCCCAGTAAGACGAACCGTGAGTTTCCTTGGATCCCTTTCCAATCGTGCTGACCGCGGACAGTATCTGGGAGTCAACCTCCCTCCTGAATACCTTTTGTCAGATTTCAACCCGAACAGGCTCTATCACGAAAATTTGCGCTGGAATCCGTACGAGTGGAGGACAGACCTGATGCACCACGTTCGTGCGCGAGTTCATCGTATCAGGTATCAACTAGAGGCTGGAGTCCAAGATGGTGAGTTCGTCATCAATCCGTGTATAAAGACGCTAATATATAGACTCCGACGTTGAAGACGATAGCGATGTTGTTTCACAAGGTTCCGCAGACGAAAGGCCGCCGAGGTCAGATTCGGCAATGATGGAAAACCCAGACGAGCGCGAGTTGCTATTGGCGATGCATGGCCTGTCCACTTTTTGGACGTACGTGGGATAGAAAATGGCTGGAGTTCTGAAGACGTGTGTTTATAGAATGAACAGAGCTAATGTCTCATACGTGATATGCATCTTGTCTATAAACATTGACTACTGGCAGATTGGCAGAAGACTTGCTCGATAGGGTATCCAATATGAGCAAAGTAAACACTCCGGAGACTCGGGTTATCTCCCTTCCACCTTGACTTTTCTCCATCCACTCTTATCTTACTACTCATCTAACAATTGTATCCTGTCATTAGCTCGTCTGTCCTACCTTTCAGCTGATCTAAGACTCCCTAGCAAAATACCTGCTCTCAAGCGACACCCGACACCCGACACTCGAAACTCCCATCCAGCCACCGCAATCCATCCGGTTCTTCAGCCGGTCATCCGACCAATTCAACCAATCCCCTTCCCTCCATCTCTCCTCCAACATCCAAACTATATCTATTCCTCTCATCCATGAACCCCTCTCAAAACATTTCAAAATGGAAACTACCACTATACCACCCATTCGTCAAACAAACCCTCCCCTGAGACATCTCTTAGACCCATATACGACCTCTCACCCACTTCGCTCACCTTCACCGTTACCCCCAAGTTCTAGAGTAAATCCTAAATTGAAACAACGATTACCACCCAAAACTTCCAGTTCACCTTTGTTATGGACCATACCCACTTGGATCGCCTTCGCTAGGTTTGCCACTGCTAAGGGTATTTATATACTTTGGAGTTTGGTAAAACATGCTTTGTTTGGACCTATGAGGAAAAGTTGGGGGTATAGGATGACTTTTGTGAGTTTTGTCTTTACTTGACTTTACATCGTTCTTCTTCTTGTCTGTCTACTATACCTTTTCAACATTTCAGGCTTCTTGCTACATGCTATTCTGCTCCAACTCATGCTCTGACTCATGAAGGCTAGTTGCGTGGTCCTCCATCTCGATATCGAGTGTTGATCGCGTGTTGGTACAAATGTTGATCAGGGGAGCCAGATAGGACACATCCTGACAAGGACGTATAAGAGACGATAGTCACAATGAAGCGATCTTCAAGATACAATACCCTAAAATGCCATCAGAATGGACTCGCTAACACCTAGATAACATCATTCATGCGAAACGTAGCGGATCACACTTCTCTAGCCGATATCGTCCTAATCCGTCGTTTAATCTCCCTTCATGCTCTCCTCCCTCTCCCTTCAGACGCAGTAGTCACACCTATCACCTTCCTCGTTCCCCGACATCTAGGCGATCAAGTGGCTCGAGGTTTCCTTCGAGAGTTGGATCTGAACGAAACGGGTCATAGGGAATTATCAGGGGAATGGGTAGTAGGAACGGAAGTATGGCAAAGGTTAAAAGCTGAAAGAAGAGCTAGAAGTTCTTTCAGAAATCGGGTAACGTCTAATCCCACAATTAAGGATGATAGGGGAAGGGAAGGAAGGGAAGGACGAGGAGAAGTTAGAGATGATCCTAATGTGGATTCTGAACTTGAACCTAACAAATATGGTGAAAGGGTGATTTATTTCTTACATGGTGGTGCGTATTATGTTGGGTCGGCGACTTCACATAGGGTTTTGACCATTGGAGTTAGTAAGGCTTGTAATGCTAGGGTGTTTGGTGAGTCCGATCATCCTCTTTGGGCTACCTACTATTCCTCGTTCATCTTTCTCCTACATTCGAATCTTACTACTGGTATGTGAGTGGTCGTCAATCTTAGCCGATCGACTTCATCAATCGAATTCACGTCGCTAGAAAGCCAAGAGAGGAATGAGACGATTGGTTTGTCAGGGTAGAGAAAAGCCAGTGATAATCCAAGAGACAGAGAAAAAGGATGAAAGGGTTCAAAGAGTGTAGTGCCTCAACGACCATGACTGATCCTCAGCATTAACATATCGACTCGCACCCGAACATGTATTCCCTCTTCCTCTCCACGACGTCTTACACGGTTATCTAAGACTTCTCTCTCCACCACTCAACATCCCACCTGAAAATATCATCATAGCAGGTGATTCAGCCGGTGGTGGTTTAACTCTCGCATTATGTATGTATCTCCGAGACGAAGGATACAAATTACCAGCCGGAATAGTTTTAATGTCACCTTGGGTAGATCTTACAATGAGTTGTGGAAGTTGGGATGAAAATTCAAATTTAGATGTTGTTCCAAGACCAGAAGCGGATGATCATTTAAATCCAGTAGGTTGTTATTTAGGTCCAAAAGGGTTGAAAAAATATTTAACACATCCATACGCTTCACCTTTATTCGGAGATTTTCATAATCTACCACCAATGTTAATACAATCAGGTGATTCTGAAGTTTTAAGGGATGAAATCACTTTATTAGCACATAAAGCTAGTTTATCAGGAGTCGAAGTGACACATGAATTATATCAAGATATGATTCACGTTTTTCAAATGTTTAGGTTTTTACCTTCTTCAAAATCCGCTTTGAATTCTATTGGTAATTGGGTACAAATCACTTTACCCAAGATACAAAAACGTCATTCGAAAGTCATACCTGGTTCTGGGGAAGGTATAGAAAGAGAAGTTAGATTAGGTGAAAGGGAAGTTGATGAAATTGGTGAAGATATGAATATACATTTGGGTCAAACGGAAGTTATGATGGATGAATTGGAAAGACAAGAAGATTTGGAAAGTTGGAGAAGAAGTGAATTTGATCAAGATCCACCTCCTTATTCTCCAACTCGAGTGCAAACACAACCTTCTCAAATTTCACAATCTCAATCTCAACCTTCACTCATAGCTCCATCTCGAACAACGAACGTTCCTTCGAATTCTGCTGTAAATCAACCGACAACACAAGAAACTTATGCAAGAGGTAGACGACCAAGTGTCGGATTAGGATTGAACGTTTCTTCTTCTCTACCTGAACAAATAAATATCGACGAAGATGAAGATGATAGTTCAGGTTCCCCAACTCCTACTCGATCACGTACACCGACCATCGAATTCCCTTCTGTCCCACCACCTCACACACCCGAAATTAACATACCTAAACTTCGTCGTTCTTTGACGGAATATGAATCATCTTTAGGTATCTCATCTGAAATACGTCATCGTTCACATGGATCTTCTACTTCTTTACATATTTCACCTATTCAAGTATCTTCAATAAGACACCATGATCCATCCCTCACATCCGTCAATCCATCCATCTCTTCCGCTCACCCATCCTCCTCATCCACCCATCCACCTCATACTTCCGCTCAATCTTCATCTCATCGTATTCCCAAACAACAAAGATCCGGTCCTACATCACCTACGTCAAGTATCAAACGACTTCGAAGTCCAACTATAAACCTAGGCATTTTCGGAAGACGAACATCAATAAGTTCACCAACACCAAGTGTAAGACGACTTAGAAGTCCTACGGTATCAGGAAGTAGAGAAGGTAGGAAAGAACAACCTACTACAAGAGAAAGAAGTATGAGTCATTCTGATATTTTTAACCTTGTTGAAGGTTATCAAGAAAGTGGTGCGGCAAATGAAACTGTCGTTTATGCTCCTGGTGGTGAAGTTAAAAGTGTTGGTGTTTTAGGGGAAGATTGAAGAATAATTATTCTTTACTGGTGGATATACTGTATCATTAATCTTTGTCATTTTACTTCGGAGTATATGAGTTGTGAATGTCATCCGAATTCCTGGTGTTGAGACGTCGTCCTTTGGATATCAGGCGTTTGGAATGTTGGAAGGGGTGTTTGTTGGTGTTAGCGATATTTGGGGAGAAGGGGTAGTTGTTGGTTGTTGGTTGTGAAGATCGACAAGGGAGGGGAGTATGTTGATGATGAGGTATTGTGTGGGAGATAGGTCAGAAAGAAGACTCCACAATTGTATTCAGTAGGTTGTAATCTATGCATTCATCTGCTTTATCATATTTGTTCGTCCTCGTCCGCTACACGAGTTTGACAATATACCACGTGTTCCGCATCGTATGCTGGTCCATCCACCATAAACACCTTCTCTCATTGATCTAAGATCAAGTGACTGACCCACCATTACTCAATACACTCTCCTGATCCATAGCATCTAACACCAGTTTCTTGAGCACTATAATTCTACAAACCCAGACATTTTGAGTATACTCTGTCGGTAGTCCACTGCCACACTCACTCAACCGCCACAATCAATTCGCCACCCGAACCTGATCGATCAACAACTCCCTTTGTCCACTCCATCTCATAAGTACAGTATCTCATTCCAGCTAAAACTCACACTAACTTCCATACATACATACATATATCCCAGTATCATCGTGTAGACCTCAAGCAGGGTGAACGAATAAGATCTATAGGACTCAAAAGGGATTTCAAGTGAAAAGAAAAGATGTCTTGGGGTGGATCACCTAATTGTGCTACTTGTTCAAAAGCTGTTTATCATGCTGAACAGGTCATGGGACCAGGTAGGAAGGTGAGTTTGATTCGATTTCTGTCTTTTTCTATCGTATATTTTTGATCTTGAACTTTATCTTTCTTGATCGTTTATCTCCTCTGATATGGAGAGTGAGCTTGTTGATAGAGTCAAGAGATACTCAGCTCATTGATTTCTTTCTCTTATCCCCTCATCCCCCTTGATCTGTACTTGGTCGTATCATTGTTTTCATTCTTGATTCTTTGAAATGAGCTCTCCAGGTGGATGAGATAATAAGCTAACAACCAATATAGATCTACCATAAACAATGTCTAAAATGTAGACAATGTGGGAAACGTCTTGATCCTGGTGGTTTGGTCGAACATGATAACGAACCTTTTTGTACTCCTTGTCATAGACAATTGTTCGGTACGAGGGGTGAGTGACAATCCTTACCTCTATCCTTCTATGATCTAGCGATCCCCCTCCAAATCTAATTCGTTTGACTTCTTTGGTAAACCGCCAAGGCTCCCCTTCGGTGGTATTATCACCGATGCCAATATCTAAGGGTCTACGATTGACATGGCTTTGACAAGCCAGAAGCTTTTGTTGAAATGCTGACAAACTTCAGATCTTCGTCATAACAACCTTTACTCTTCCCCTTCTCGTACACAATCCCCACCTCAATCAACAACTCCATCTCTCCCTTCCTTACCTACTTCCCCACTCTCACCTCCACGCCCTCGTCCTTTACCTCAACCACCTACGGAATTCTATACCCCTCCTCGACTATCTGATCCACCACCAGCATCACCCACTTTACGTGAAAGGGAAGATGGAACACCCATCACAAGACCAGATTTCAGAAGTAGTAGACCTATCAGTGTACCATATGCCGGAGGACCAAAAGCGTTGGATGATAGGGGTTTGTTAAGACAAGGTAATAGTCCTAGAGCTAAATGGGGAGAAAAACCTTTAGTAGGTGAAGAAGTTTGTTGGGGTTGTGAGAAAAGAGTTTACGCTGCAGAGCAGGTAAGTGTTATCCTTTTTCTTCTTTTTCTTTTTTTCCATGCATCTCCATCCACTCTCCTTGATATAATCGTACACTTTTGACGACCCGTCTCTCACTTGCTGGACGAAGGTGCCATCTCTTAAAATGTACTTCTCGCTACACTCGCAGCCAGGCTCAGTTTTTGGAAGCACGATTCGACCAGTCAGAAGGTGTGTAGTTTGTGTCATTGCTCACAATCAGGTCTTTGCAGTGGGACATAAATGGCACCGTGGTTGTCTCAGATGTCATTCGTGCAAAACGACCGTAGATCCATCAAGAGTATCTGATAGGGACGGGGTACCATATTGTAATAATTGTTATGCCAAAGTGAGTATCTTCATCCCTATCTTTCCCACCAACGGCCCTTGCGATACTGTCCATACATCTCATTAGGGAACGAATGCGAACGAGTACGTGTAGACGGTGCTGGGGTCAGAGCTGACCAATAGGAACATGGACCGGGAGGAATCATGGGTAAACGATAACGATAGTTTCTCTAGTCCTCGAGTCGTACAGTATAGCATAGCTTGGCAATGAATTTGTCACGAGTATGAATGATATCATGATTACTCGAGATCTAGTCTGATACCTTTTGCTGTATAGTCCATCCGTCTCAGAACCTTCATTGGATGCACACATCTTTCTCGCCTTTTGTCATTTCAAGAGCATCAACATCTAGTACCTCATCAAACCCCACTTTAGCGAAATTAAGAAGCTTCATCCTCATGTCATCCCTTTCATATTATACAAACCGACTGGGTTCTTTGACGATTGAGCAACTTCTTTTAAGAAATAGTGTCCACGATTTCTTTTCATTACCGTCTAAGCCGGCTGCACTACACTACGTCTTCTCGGCGGATTCAAACCCAGATTGGAGCTTTTCTAACCTTACCAAATTCCTTTTCTTAATCAATAACCGAACTGTACGTTCTTGTTCTATCGGATGAAGGTCTTGCCAATTTTGGATCCTCGATAATGTCTACTATCAGTGAATGTTATTCGTATAATCTCTTTTATCCCTAGAATACGCGATAAGTCTCTTTACATTCTCTCATTCTCCCATATGCTCATATCTCATTTACTTTCCTCATCTCCAATTAGCAGATGAGGTAGTATGAATGATATCCTCTTTTTAAGCACTTCATGACACGAGGAGAAGGGACTAAGCATGTAGTTCCAGTAATCTTCTTATCCTTTTACATTCAAGACTGATCGAATGGTGGGATATCAAGGTGGATTTACGGATTATGAGACAAATGAGGTGAAAGGGGAAAATAAATGAGGGGAAAGAGAAAGGAAAAGAAAAGAAAAAGAAAACTCACTCCATCTGAATTAATTATCATAGGACCTAATTTATCTAACTTTACCACGTTCCCCTCTCCTAGATCTAAAGTATGTACCTCTTCCTCTTCTTTCACCTCTGGATGAGGTGCTTCAATAGCCAATGGGGGATCGTTTTCGATACTCGATCCGACTTGCTGATCGGAATTCAAGATGGATGATGTTGTGGGTAGTTCGGAAGCTGGTAGGTTTGGATCAGGAGGGGTGACGGTGTTGGTGTTCGGAGGATTCGTTTGGGATACTGGGGGGACAGGAGGGAAAGGTTGGTCTACCTCTGCATGAAGAGAAGGAGATGGGATGGTGGGATCGTCCAGCGGTGATGGCATCTCCAAATTTTTCTTTCTTCTATTGTGATTTCCAGGAAGGCAATTTACTACAGCAATGTAGGAGAAGAGGAGGAGGAATGAGAGAAAGCATAGACTGTCTGAAATGGTGTTGGAGAGAAGTGGAGGAATTCTCGAACTCTCCAACGTTTCCGACGGAACTAAGTTCTGCACGTGACCTTCACCCACGTGGCGGACAAACGCGTTGACGCGACTTGGATTCTTCAATTTCATCTTTCCATTTGACCTCTGACCAACTTGAAAGATAACGAGGATGGCCAGTAATAGAGCTGATAGATTCGCAGCTTTGAAAAAAGCGAGGAAAGAAGGTGGGAGATTGTCACAGTGGAAAGTACGTTTCTCCTCCTCACTTCCATCACACACCACACATTCAGAAAAGTATCGTCTAGCCATCGATAGGTTCATGAGAAGATCTTGGTGTGAAGGGGCGGATGGGGCAGACACTCGATGTCGGAGTAGATGGGGATTCACAGTTTTGTCAATAAATAGGGGAGGGGGGTGGAGAGATAGCAGATAAGAAGATGGAGTGAGAAAGAAACGCTAAATGTTAGCCTGGTGATGGAGAGATATACGATACAGTCTCTGACGAACAATATCGCTCTATAGTGGGTGATCGACTGGAGAAAGATGATTTTATTGTGGATGATGATGGGAACGGATATGTCGATAATGGAGTTGATGATTGGGAGGACGAGAGGGAAGAGGAGAGTAGTGAGGATGAAGATCATTTCGAAGGTGAGGATGAAGAGTTGAGAAAAGGTGAGTATTTCTCTTGTCTTACTTTCTTTCGTCTATCGTTGGTCTCAGGCCTGACTGTTTTCAATTTATCTTGACCTTTTTGTGGACACTACACTGGTCTCTCTCAAAGTGATGACTTCCTTCTATTCCCCTTCATCCCGATTGTGTAAAATGATGTATACAACGTTGAAGACGTGGTTGGCTCTAGGATGGGTATGTGAACAGGGTGACATGAATATGAAGCGACCCAACTATGTGACGTGAATGTTCACAGGCGTGGAGGATGATTAGACCATCGAGACGATTCTCATGGAATCAAAACTGAATGATAGCTCGTAAACTCAAAAAAGCAAAAGCCAGAGCTCGAGCCCAGAAAAAGTCCACCTCATCCAAACCAAAGCCCAAATCAGCTTTATCAGATTACGCCCGTCCAATCCAATCCACCTCTACATACCGTCCAGCTCCTTCCGCCATTGCCGAAGACGACTTCATGGCTTCCCTTCTATCCAGTGTCACTTCAGTCCCTTCCGTTCCTTCCCAACCAGCTTTCCTGTCCGACACACGAAAACGGAAATCTTCCCCTGATATTCCTATGTACAGCTCGGACGGAATTGAACCTTCTTCCGAAGAGAGTTTCTTTTCTAAAAAGAGATACGGCGATTCTTCCGATGTAGAAGAAGAACCGCGTATGACGATGACTATAGGAAATAAGAAAAAACCAAGGATATCAGAAATGACGATTGTTCCTGATAAAGATATGGAAATGGATATGCATATGGAGACTGTTGTGAAAGAAGAACGTATTAGTGATGATGAAGATGAAGGTATAAAGGTACAATCTAAACCTCTTGCACAATCGAAGATCAATGGTAATTCAACAAGAAGAAAAATGGTTAATTCTACTTCTGTCAAAGTAAAACAAGAAATACCCGTTGTTCATGGTGTAGGTAAAGAAGTGGAGACGAAAGAGGAAGAAACTCCTTCGAAAGTTGGTTTAAAGAAGATTATTCCAGGTGCAACTCATTGGTCCTCTTTGTCAGAAACGTTGGCACCGAAAACACAAGAGTTGGAAACGGTCACCGCTCCGGTAGGAAGTATCAAACAAGAGAATGTTTTGGAAGAAGATGGCACCTTGAGGATGTTTTGGTTGGATTTCATCGAACAGGATGGGGTGGTCCATTTGGTAGGAAAGGTTTTGGATAGACAAAGTGGGAAATATGTGAGTGCGTGTGTTAGTGTGAATGGAATTCAGAGGAATTTGTTTGTCAAACCTAGACCTAAAAGATTTTGTGAGTCTTCTCCCCCTGCTCCCACCCCCTCGCGCTTTCCCTCTGCGTTCTTCCGGTAGAGATCGTACACTCCTTGAAACACGTCACTCTTTGGCACTATGTGTTACCACCGGAACTGCATGATGTGTCAGTGCAAGATGGAGAATTATCAAAACAGGATCCTAGGCTGACCTCAAGCTGGCGGTCATGAAACAGATCTTGAAGTGACAAAGACCGACGTATACCAAGATTTTGACAAAGCTCGTCAAAAAGCCGGAGTGGAAGAATGGGCAGCAAAATTCGTACAGCGTAAATACGCTTTCGAAGAGAAAGATGTACCTAAAGGAGAGAGCGAATGGTTGAAGGTGGTATATGGATTTGATCGTGAGTCTTGACTCATCACCCTCTACCATTCGTCATGCGTGCTGTTCATCTATGTTTTACGACCAAATTCTTTCCGACCTTCGACGAATTTCCAGTCCAGACTGGCTGTTTTGATCGCTTTTGAAGATTGACAATCACTTTTGTCTATCTGGTAGACTTTAAAGCCGCTTCCCACGGCTACATGTCGTCTTGGGAACATGGATGCAGCGGAATTGACCTCAGAACCCGAAATGCCCATGGACTGCCAAGGACCCACATTCAGTCGAGTGTTCGGGACCAACACGTCAGCGTTCGAGCTTTTAGTGATCAAGAGAAAGATCATGGGGCCATGCTGGTTGGAAATCAAAGGACCTGTTTTGAGTACCAAAGCCGTGCGTTTGACCATTTTCGTTAGATCATCCCGAGATAGGAGCGGCATTTGTTTCACCGTCATCTTCGTCAAATCCACCGGATATCATATATCCCCTGTTCTCTCAACAACGGGTACAGACTTGGTCTGGTTAGCTACCAAGATGGAACAAAGTTATCTGGGTTGCGAAGGAGATGTACAAGATGTATTCAAGCGGGATATTTCCGATTGACTGACTTTCAGACTTCATGGTGTAAAATTGAATTTCACACTTCTTCACCCAAAAACGTCAATCCTCTCACAGAAGATGCCCCAAACGCCCCTAAAGATATCCCACCACTCACAATAACATCCATCTCTCTCCGAACCATCGTCAATCATCGAGAAAACAAAACTGAGATTTTATGCGCCACAACCCGAACATGGGAATCATGTAACATTGATGATCCCACACCACCCGATCGATTACCCAGTACGCTCAATACCATCGTCAGACCAATCGAAAAATTCCCTCCTAATCTCGAAAGCAGAGCCAAAACCGAACGTTCTCCTTTCCAAACTGTTAAAGCAGAAAGAGCGTTATTGAACTCTCTTTTAGCTACAATACAAAGACATGATCCAGATGTTATCGTTGGACATAATTTCTTAGGCAATGGATTCGAAGCTTTGTTGTATAGGATGAAAGAATTAAAAGCGGATCGTTGGAGTAGGATAGGAAGGTTTAGAAGAAAAACATTCAATATTTCCAAAGCTGGTAATAACGTCAGGTTGATGGCAGGTAGATTAGTAGCGGATTTATCTAGTGATGCTGCCAAGGTGAGTCTTGAATCTCTTTCGCATTCCAAGGAAACAAAAAGGGGGGGGTGGGGGTGTTGGGCAGTTTGAGAGGATATTGATGAATAGGGTATGATATCATCAACTACTTGGTCCCTCACTGAAATGTGCGGAACACATCTTAAAATACAAAGAGAGGATATAGATCCTGAAGATACGCACGGATATTTTGATCATACACTTTCAGGTCCGGAAAAATTGATAAAGTTTATTCGATTATGCGAAGTGGATTCTTATTTTCAAATGGCAATAGCGGCTAGGGTGCAAATGTTACCTTTGACAAAACAACTTACGAATTTGGCTGGAAATTCCTGGTCAGTAAAGTCGATTCACCTTCAATTCCAACTTTCCCCTACTTTCCCTCCTCCATACAAACTTATGCTCGTCTACCACTCACCTCCCCCACGCGAATACGTATACCCCGCTATCCTTCATCTAACGAGAGAGCCAAAGTGTCGAACCTTTAACTCCCGTCACGACCTCCTTTCCCTCATACTGTGTAAATAGAAATCGATTTCTAAAATGGCATAATTTCTGACGGACAGGAATTTGACTCTGAATGGAGGTCGTGCAGTCAGAAACGAATTTATCTTATTACACGAATTCCATCGTCTTAAATACGTTTGTCCTGATAAAACATTCAAGAAAACTCGAACAATCACAATGGAAGATGAAGATGAAGAAGTTCCCATGGCGAAAAGAGGAAAAGCTAAATATGCCGGTGGATTAGTATTCGATCCTAAAAAAGGTTTATGGGATACTTATATATTGGTAATGGATTTTAATTCTTTGTATCCTAGTATCATACAGGAATACAATATCGATTTCACCACTGTAGAACGGGAACCTGTGGATGAGGAGGTAAGTTCATTTTTATCCCAACTCATATGGAGTTCATTTCTTTGAATCATATGCGTTCATCTTTCTATTTCACTCACTTTGTGATTCTCTTCATGATCGTCATGACCTTTCCCTTATCGTATTACGGAGACCGGTGCATGCGTTTGTCGGTGTTTTTGAACTGCACGAGAAAGAGGAGGAAAAAAATACAGAGGGTATCTGATACATAGGGGGAAGAAGATAAAATCCCAGATGTTCCAGGTGGTGAAATACCTCAAGGTGTACTACCACGAATAATCGCTACACTCGTAGGTAGAAGAAAACAGGTTAAAGCTTTGATGAAGGATAAAAACGCTACTGCTGCTCAACTTCAACAGGTAAGTTTTAACTGTGTTCTTCAACCACCCTCCCCCGTCCGTTCTGCACGTTTCCTTAGCTCTGACATGTTTTGATCAGATACCATATACATCTGTCCTTGACCTTGCTCCGACATATGTGATAAACAATCTCCACGTCAAATTCTCTCCGCTAGTAGACCGAGACTTCATGTCTCTTTATGGCCTCGACTCGTCCCACAAGGAGACATCACTGATAGCCAGTACGACATCCGTCAACAAGCTTTGAAACTTACCGCCAACTCAATGTACGGTTGTCTAGGTTTTCAAGGTTCTCGGTTCTCCTCCAGACCTCTGGCGGCATTGACGACTTATAAAGGTCGAGAGATTTTGACTCATACGAGGGAATTGGCCGAGTCGCTTCAACTTGACGTGAGTTCACCTAACGCCTACTGCTGCTCATCTCACTCCTCCTACTCATGTCATCTTACATATCCATAGATTTCCTTTCAGCATTTGAAAGACCGCAATCTCCTTAGCCTCTAGCTCCTCTCCTTTCATCACCTGCTCATCCCCGGAGGTCAGTGGGGATGTTATGATGACGATCAATTGTATACGATAAGAAAGATGATGATTGACATACAGGTCGTATACGGTGATACCGATTCCGTATTTGTCAACTCAAATGTCACTTCTTACCCCGAAGCTCTCAAAATCGCCAATGATTTCAAGAAATTGGTCAATGAGCGATACAGATTACTCGAAATCGATCTTGACGCTGTATTTGAACGTATTTTGTTATTGAACAAAAAGAAATATGCTGCTGTGAAGATTGATGCTTCTGGAGACAAGACGACGGAAGTTAAAGGGCTTGATATGAAGAGAAGAGAGTTTGCTAAGATTAGTAAGGATGCTTCTGCGTGAGTTTTCATGACATTTCTCTCTCACCCCTTTGTCTCTTCACTCGTCGCTCTTAGGACTTATAATGAAACATATGGTAGAAGCAATGTTGGACAGTCATTTCTTCCGTAGCTTCCTTCATCTCCTAAGCATTTGATCTGCAGACGCGGAATGGAGCATATGGTAAACGTACCGTAGGACAGTCGCCAGTTTTCACGTGATATATTACTAGTGGCCGAATAATTGAATGATCTCATTTCGTCGTTCAAAGTGTTGTTGAATAAGCGTTGTCATATAGACTTACATGAACGGAATTACTAATTCACAGGGCGGTGTTGAAGGAGATACTCTCAGGTCAAGCGACGGAAGTTGTGGTAGAGAAGATACATGAATATCTTACCAGTCTAGGTGAGACGGTACGTAGTGGAGGTATACCATTGGAAGATTTCATCATTTTCAAAGTAAGTTTTCCAGACACACTCCTCTCAATTATTGGTCTTGTTCCCCCGCAAGCCATACCCCCGCCCGGGTCTCCTCATTCTTCCGACGTACTCAGTTCTTTGGTTTACAGTGACAAACTTTGTCACATCATATCTCAGGCAGTATCATAAGCGCGACTCACCACTTCTCTCCTTTTGTACCACTCTTCTATAATTTCGAACATGAGAATCCAAAAGGACAAATACTGATCACTAGCGATTGGGTAAAAACCCCGAAGATTACCCAGATAAGAAATCACAACCTCACGTTCAAGTGGCATTACGTATGAAAAGTAAAGGTGTCGCAGTACGCGCACATGATGTGATACCTTATATCATGTGTTTGGGAGAAGATGGGAAAAGCGCAAAGAGTGCACATGCTGATAGGGCTTTTCATCCTGATGATTTGAGGCGACAGGGGTCAGAGTTGAGAATAGGTGCGTGATTCTTCACTTTTGACCTACGTATTTTTTTCCTCTTTCTTGACTTCTTCTGTCTTTTCCAATATCACTCTTGCTACCATTGACATTCCTCATCACCCTTTCCATCACTCCTCCTCTGAAGACTGCATTGCTCATTCTGACCTTCTTCATATCACTCCTTCATCAATATTTCTCTACCTCTTCCGCTGTTTTCATTGAAAAACATGGCGTTTGTATGACCTATATCTTTCCCTAAAGTTGTCAACGTGATTCATCGCGATCCGTCTGAAATCTACCATGACATAAAGCAGTGAAGGGACTTATGGATGGAGACTTCGATTTCTACCTCGATGGTCAAATCTTACAACCTGTATTGAGATTATGCGAGTCTATAGAAGGTACGGACCGTGCGCGTTTAGCAGAATGTCTAGGTGAGTTCATGTTCCTCCCTCCTCTTCTCCTTCTTCACCCCCATCTACATCCCCCTCTCAAGCATATCGATCTCTGTCAATTGCGTGTATTCCAGATTTCTGTGGCCTCCCTTGCTACAAGTATAAGTTGTATATATGTATGTAATGGCAAAGTACGGCTAACCTCGAGGTCTCGATCCTACACGGTATGCAACTCATACAGGAGGCGAAGTGACAGAAAAGCAATTCTTCACGTTCGAATCGCAAATCTCGGATAAAGAGAGGTTCAAAGATGCTTCTCCACTTTCTTTACGTTGTATAGGATGTCATAGTGTATCTAATTTTGAAGGATTGTTAGATGATTCTGTAAGTCACCTTCAACCGTCCCTTTCCCTGATCTCTTCTTTCTCTTACTCTATTCCCTGTATACTTATCTCTGTATTCCCCAGCTCCACCATTCACCATTTACCATTTACTCCTCCACTGTATGTCTCTATGGAAGACAAACGACACTCTACACACTCGCGCCCACTCCGACAAAACTTACAATATTTGATACGACAAACCACCCCATTCATCCTTAGACTGAGAAAATTGTGTGAGTAATTCAATAACTCATGTGCAGTCAAACATGCTTCAACCTACCGGTCTTATATGTCCCGTCTGTTCTTCCATCTATCCAACACCTTCCATATCGGTCCAAATGGAAAACCAAATCCGAGCGCATGTGGCGAGATATTATCTCGGTTATACCATTTGTGATGGGGAAGGATGTGGAGCTAGAACTAGGATGATGGGTGTTTATGGACGTAGATGTTTAGGATTGGTGAAAGAAGGATGTAAAGGTGTTGTGAGGTTAGAAGTTGGTTATCCCTTTTTTCAATCACCTAACACATAAGTTTGACCTCTCTCCTTCGAGAGGAAACAGTGTAAAGAGTATTGAGGACGACGTAGTGCAAAGAGTATTGAGAATGACATGGTGTAAAGGGTATTGAGGATGACATAGTGTAAAGAGTATTGAGGACGACTCAGTGTTGTTTAAAGGTCGAGGACAAAAGAACATGTGCTGACGAACAGTATTCTGATCAAAAATTACACGATCAACTCTTATACTTTCATACATTATTCAATACCGACAAAGCTCTTTCAGATACTCGTGGAGGTGCGAAATACGAAGAATTACGAGCTTTGTTGATTCCTAATCTCCAAGCGTTTAATCAGATAACACGTGTTGCACAGAGGTATTTGGATAAGAACGGTAGAAGGTTTGTCGATTTGAAAGGTTTGTTTGGGTTTATGGAAAGGGTTAGAATATGAGTTGAATAGGTGGGATGTGGAGTGTGGAGTGTGGAGTTAAAAAGTACTCTAGGGTGTGGAGTTTGGAGTTGGATGTTTTGTATTTTGAATCTAAGTTGCATCTTTTTAAAACTATATGATACTTGGACTTTATATGACATCAGACAAGCATTATCTGACACTTGCTTGATTCGAGGACAGAAACTCGATGTGGACATGTGGGATGTACTTTGGGTGATCTTGAAAAGCTTGACGAATAGGATGAATTGAGGGCAGTGGGACATGAAGAAAGATAGGCCAACGAGATGCATTGGAAATGACTCTTGTCTTTCTACACTTTTGTCCATGATCATGCATCATGGTCTTAGGCATGTCGCCTAAGAATCATCCATGATCAAACGGTTCAAATGGGTTCAAGTCGAAATCACGACATGAGGGAGAATGAGAGAATAAAAGTATAAAAGCTCAAGCCTGAGGTAACAAAGCTAATCTCGCACTCAACTCCATTTGACTCCTCACGAGATTCGCCACGTATTCCACTGTTAAAGTATCCTGTAAACCTTTCTTTACACCTTCTTCCTCACTCGCATTACTCCATCTTCCAACTCCTTCGAGAAGATATCGTCCTACTTCTGGATCTGCTACGACATCACCTTTGATTACGGATTGTACGTATGTCAAACAGGCGTCGATGAGGTTGGATAGTTCCGACAAAGAGGATGAAAGGGCGGGAAGAGGTGGAAGGGAAGGTTGAGGATTAGGAGATGATAAGAGGTTTACTATTTTGTCAGAGGGACTTCATCGTTTCAAAATATCACGTATTATTTTCTTATGTTTCCAAGTAATGAATATTTTACGTTCGATGGGGGTGGGAGGAACATGTGAGGCAAAGAGGGTGCAAGAAATGGGGAAAAAATGAGTAAAGTTGGAGATGAACTCACATGCAGCACGTTCAGCCTCGCCTTGTTTCACTTGAACAGGAACAGGCATGAAAACACAATTCTCACTTTTATCTCCTATTTGTTGTGCGAACCAACCTCTCACACCTAAACCATTACCCTCAGGAGTAAGGTTCATATCGACCGTAAGATGTATAGCGGCGTATGGGGAGGATTGAGCGGTGAAATAAGCTTGCATGAGAGCAGAATTGGCGTTGATCTCAGCATCGGTTGCGTACCTGTTGGGTAAGCTCAATTTGAGTTTCAGTGATTCCAAGGTGTTCCCTCATGTAAAGGGATGATGGAAATCCCCCTCGGTGATCTTTCGCCCAATAAAACGTCGGGATGAATGTTGAGAAGATGATGGAAAGGCAGAGAGTAGATGTGATACCGATATGAACTGAAAACACTCACCATCCCACTATAACCTCTTTAGGTCCTGCACGGGAGATCAAACCGGCCATACTTTGTTGAAAAGGCATATCTATCGTGACGGCTTCTTCACCTTCAGAATGAGGTACAGCGAAAGAACTGCGAACTTCGACTTCTAGACCAGTTTCATTCCGGATACCGAGAAGAGTGCCGATGACACGTTGTACTGTGGATGTTGCGGGACGACGCTGGTGGTGTATCAAGATGGAGGCGATGACGGATGGGTGAACGACGATGAGAGTAGGCGGGCGACTGTGTGTTAGTGATGAACTTTTCGACAAAGCCACTGTTTTCATGACGCATGGGGAGACAAGCAGTCAAATAACACTCACGCTTGAGAAGAGGAAGAAGGAGGGAGATTGAGATGTAGAGCAGAGGAAGAAGGGTCGAGGGACATGATGTATGGTTGTGAGGGAGGGAAGGATGTCTATAGCCAAGTAGGTTTGAATAGCAGTTTTGGACGGAGGGACAAGAAGCGAAACTGGCTTGACAACCGTGGGAAAAGTATTTGCTTCCGTCACTCCCCACCGCGCATTGCAGCATACAGCATGAGTGCCCTACATTGTATCTACTCTATATCGTCACATTCCACCCTCTGCACACCCACAGACATGTCCTCAGACGTGACTGTCGAGGACCTCAAAGTGGTGGAAGTGAGCTCATTTCTATTATCTGAGAAAGATGAAGGGATCGGAGCTGACAGATAGAATCGTTTCACCGGTGAAGGCGCAGATCTAACTCTCTTACACTGGCTACGACATGCAGAACAAGCTATCGAGTCTCTCCCATCTGTGAGCTATCATTTCTAGCTTTACAACCAGCTGACATGTCAGGATGATTTACTCCCTCAAGTCCAACCCCTTCACGCTTTCTTTCTGAAAATCTTACTTCCCTCACCCTCACCCACCCTGCCCAAACCTGGCAGACCAATCCGACAGCTTCTCACCCGTTGCATGGTCAAGCTGCATCACCGCGTCGAGTCGAGAAGTCTTTTCGATTTTGTTCAAGCCCTCACCAAGGCTCTGAGCGATGGAGGGTCAAAGCATATGAGCTCGGCGGAAAATGTGGCCAGAGTGTATGTGTCCTTTCCCTACCCTAAGACTTGAAGCTGATGACAAGGGCATGCTGGTATTGTATCGGAGAGATTATGAGAGAACATGGTAGTAATGTCAGCTTCCCTCTTGCTCTCGGAGTTCAGCTGACCAAATAGATGATGTCCTTCATGGCTGAGATTTCTATGACTTCGATCAAAGTCTTGCGCAATTCCAACCTCGTAAGTCTTCTCCCAGTGGGATCGTTAACTTCAGCTCACACAAGCTATAGTCTGTCATTCTACGTGCCTACGCAGTGACCACCTTTTCCAAGTCACTTGTCTCAGCCGGCAAAGCTCTCCCAGATGGTCTTCACAAAGAACTCACCAAAGCTCTGCGGAATGGTCTCACGGATCGTGCTTTACCTGTTCAACGTGCATGTGCGGAGACTTTCATATCTCTACAAACATACACCACCGCCTGTCCACTCAAGGAGACATTGGACGCCATCGCTCCACTTGTTGTCAGAAGTTTAGAACATGCCGACCATCTCACTCGTCGTTCCCTTAGTTTATTGCTCGCCCACTTCCTAGCCGCAACGCAAATTCCAGGTTCGGGGATCGTCGTACCGGATCGAAAAGCTGCTGCAAAGCGAGATACGGACGACGCGGGCACCGAACCTACTGTAGTCACTTCAGCCGTTGAGGAAAAAGGAACAAAGACCCGCCTGACAATATTGGAAATGTTGAGATACCTCTCTACCGCTTACAATCGCCCTCAAAGCCCTCGAAAACTTCGTAATGCCATCATCGATGTCTACGCGACTCTGTTCACCTCGCTGGGAGCCACGTATATCGAATCGAACTACGCGGAAATCGTCAAACATCTCATGGACGAACTTGTTCTCCCCTCCCGGAGTCAGAGCAGTCGTTTCGAGATACTCTCCGCCCGAGATTCAGTGAATTTATTACTCCGCGATTTGATCGGCGTTCGTCTTCTCTCCGAATCTGGACAAGTCATGGCGATTCGTGAGTGGACCAACAATTATCTGAAGAAATGGCAAAGTGTACCTTTACCGGGCCAGAGGAAGACCAACAAGTATGTACTCAACGTTGCGTTGCGAGAGATAGCGGGATTATTAGAAAGCCTGGGAAACGCTTCACCCGCCATCATCGAGCTCTTGGCTGAACCACTGGTACGACTATTGTCCCACGAAGCTTATTCTGTTCGATTGTCCGCTTCCTACGCCTTACGCAGATTCTGTGCCATCAACCCGGGTCAACTACCCAGAATGCTCGGCATATTATTCACGGATATCAACAAAGATCTTGGCATCTTGGGAACCCCGACAGCTTCGAAGGACGTCTCACACCGAGTGATCGGAAAGACATTCGCTCTATCCGCCCTTATCGCCGCGAGCAATTCTCGTCCGTTGTATGTCTCACATGACGTCTCCACGAAGGTTTTCGATCTTGCCACTTCTTTACTCAAGAAAGCTGGTGATCACGATATCTCCGTCTCTATGATTGAAGTTCAGGTAGCATGGTACCTCATCGCAGCTCTCATGTCCCTTGGTCCTAGTTTTGTCAAATTGCATCTTCCCCAGCTACTTGTCTTGTGGCGGAACGCCCTTCCCAAACCTACAAGTAAAGACTCGTCTGTCGGGGAACGTGGGGAGACCGATTGGTCCTTTTTACTTCTCGTCCGAGAATGTGCGCTCGCTGCCGTCTTGAATTTTCTTCGGCAGAATATGAGTTTGGTCAATATCGATGTCGCTCGACGATTAGCAACACTATTCTCCAATACCCTCAACTTTGTCAATGGTTTCGCCACCGCTTATGCCGAAGCACTACGGGAACAAGCCGCCAGTCCCGCAGGGGTGCAATCACCCATATTCACCGCAAAACCTTCCCTGGTCGACCGTGAGGCGACGCTGAGGCGAAGAGTCTTGCAATGTTTCACTGCACTAGGACCATCGAGTGCTACCGAAAGCATGCAACCGGCGTTGTTGCAGGCTGCAGTGACAGTGTTTGCGGACCCGGAAAACTATTCTGGCTCGGCCGCCCAAGCAGCGATAGCCGCACAGAGTGGGACATTCACAAGCATCTGGCAATCCACAGACGGGTATGGATTTGGTGTGACGACTCTTCTGCGGGGCAGAGAAGATGGTGATGAACCGTTTTTGAATAGAGACAAGATTGAAATGTCGATCGAGTCGCAGGTGAGCTGTGCAGCTGATGTTTTCAGAGCTGATGGTCAGCTGTCCCACCCTATCCTCGGTTCATTGGAACATGACTTTCTGGCTCTTCTGCCTGCCGAAGCTATCCCGAGTTGCCCAGCTCCCCCTCCATCACAAACAGGAGTCATCGACGCTGGAGTAGAGCTATTCTCTGCCATATTCCCTCATCAATCTCTCGAAGGACAGATTCAATCCTTGGGAACACTCTCTAGTCACATGCGTTCCAGCAAGTTGGAGAGGAATCCAGGGAGGAAGCAGGCTGTTGTCGCAAATACTGTTGCTGCCCTTCGACTGACCCTCATCAACGCCGAGTCAGCAGGGGCCAAGGCAAAGCGAAACATTGGCAGCACTCAGATCAGCGACATGATCAAGTCGCTTTTACAAGTAAGCTTTCCGTGACTCTCTCACATTAGTTGACCCAGTAGGATGCCATTCTTGATTCCAACCCGGCCATCCGCACAGCCGCTGCTGATGCTATGGGTTCTCTATCTTCTTTAGCTGGAAGTGCCTATCTTTCCACACAGATACAATGGCTGGTCGATCAAATAGTCAACAACCGTGTCCCCGAATCCCGTGCCGGATGCGCGGTAGCATTCGGATCTATATACTCATCCGTTGGTGGATTATCAGGTGGACCGATCCTGAAAACAATCGTAAACATTCTCATGTCACTCGCTACGGATCCTCATCCGGTCGTTCACTTTTACGCCATGAGCGCACTCACCAAAGTCGTCGATTCGGCATCTCTTTCATATGAACCTTTTATCCCTACAACCCTCGGTATGTTATCCAACATATATCTTCTTGACACGCACGAGCCAGAAGGTGGTTCTCTCGGTTCTGTCAACCTTCGCGGTGATCTCCCTGCTTATCAAGTCATATGTCGTATACTTCACGCCCTTATCGGTGTGATAGGTCCTGAACTTCAAGAACCAGGCAAGATTCGATCTTTAGTCTTCCTACTTGTCCATGAATTTGGAGAAGAAACAGATGAAGGATTATCTGTGGAAGCGATCAAATGTGTTCAACAATTCCTCATGTTCGCTCCTTCTGAAGTCGATATTCCTAGACTTGTGCAAACTTTTCGAACACATTTAGCCTCTTCCAGACGCCCACTAAAAGTCGCAGCTATCACAGCCCTGTATCAGATCGTACAACGTGATGCGGTTTTGATCTCCAAAGTGGGAGGAAATCAATTAGTGGAGGATTTATTCGGTTTATTGGATGATGATCCAAGTATCGTAGGTGTAAGAGAAGTGATAACTTCTTGGTTAACACAAACGGCCGCTGCTTTACCTTCAGGTTGGATAGATCTTTGTCAAAGGATAATGACCCGAACTCAAGGACAAGCTTCTTCTCAGAAATTATCACAAACTATTCAGATGACACAACGACAAGCAATAACGACAAGCTCAGGATTTATGGATGATGAAGGTGAATCTTTAGGAGCTGCAGAGATGGGAGGAGGGAATAACACGTTGAGTAGTAGATGGAGAACTCAATTGTTCGCCTTGGTTTGTCTACATAATATCGTACAGGCAGTGGCGGATGGTGGTAAAGAAGAAAACTTTGATCCTCTTCTAGCGAGAAGGTTGGGAGTGAATATGAGACATATGTTGTTTTCCAGAGTAGGGGATTTGATCAGGATGGCTTTTTCGGCTTCGGCGGCTTTGGTGGAAGAAGTTAGGTTGGGAGGTTTGGTCGTGTTGAGGGATGTTATTGAGGTGAGTCTTTGACTTTCTTTCTTGTTGATAATCGTACAATTTGACCTTCCCTCATGTTCTCATCCATTACCCTCCCCCCATCTTCCACCTCCTTCCGCCTTCCTCTGATCTGTGATCATTATCGACTTCTGTCATCCGTCTCGGTCTCGTGTATAATTCACCTCTGTTGTATCACAGCCATCACATCTCTTGCATATAGTTTTGGGACATATGCGATGTTTACCCGGCACCTTCACTGATGAAAACACGCCATAGCGCCCTGTGGTTTGACTTTGAGTCCAGCAGGGAACCCCCAAGCTAAGTATCCCCTTGCTGACTGTTAGAAATTCTCCTCATCCGCCGACCCCGACTTCGAAGCCTCCCTTTTACTCGAACAACATCAAGCTCCCATAGCAGCCGCCCTCACTCCTAGCTTCGGTACCGATTCCACGCCTGAAATCCTCGCTAGTGCAGTCCAAGTCTGCGCCGTCTTTGTCGGTAGTGGCGTCGTTCGCGAAGTAGGAAGGATGGGTCGAATTCTCAAACTTCTCACTGGGGCATTGGAACAATGCAAAGATGGTGAAATGACTTCATTAGGAGAAGTACATAACTTGTCGTCGAACGCTGCTGTCATGTTGAAAGTTTCCATATTGGCCGCTTGGGCGGAATTACAAGTAGCTGCTGTCAAAAGGGAATATTTGAAAGATGTTGTGAGACCTTATAGATGGTTATTGGGACCGTTCTGGGTTGGCACTTTGAGAGATTATGCTCAATTGAGGACAGACCCGGAAATGGGGATGATACAGGGAGGTATGGATGCTGGTGTGGGAAGAGATGTGTTGTTGCCGGTGGGTGTTTTCTACTACTGCTTCTCCTTGACTCTATCTCTTCCTCTACTCATCGTTGCCCAATGACTTTCCGTGACCGAAATTTTTCAATAGACACTCTTATACAGGTTCACTACTTCTCCACTTCTCCACTCGTTCCAACAGTCCCCCGTCCATCTACCTCCAAGTCCTCTTGCTTGTCCAGCCCGTCGGTATAGGCCCAGAATACACTTATACGTGGCCCCACTCACATATCATGAGAGGATGCTCATTGGCAGTACTACGAACAAGCCGTCCCAAAAATTCTTCACGCCGTTGCCATCTCCCTCTCACTCTCCGACCCTTATCTCCTCTCCGCCTTAGACGGTCAACCCATTTCGTCCCCTTCCCAAGAACCTTCTCTCCCCGTCATCTCCCCTACTCCCTGTGCAAACTTCTACATAGTATACGGTTTAGCCTTTGAATCCCTAGTCAAATCCATGTCCGATTCCCATTCTTTTCTCTCCTGCGTCGCTCTCAAAGCCATGACATCCCTAGTCCATCCTCGATTATCAGGAACGACCATTTTCTCAGGATCATTCTTTGACGAATTATGTACGGTATGTTATCGTATAGCAATGTCTGAACCCGCTTTGGTAAAATCAGAAATGGTACAACTTCTTTCATCATTCATCATCACCAGACAATCAAATCAATCAAATCATTCTGATATCTCAAAAATATCTGATATATCGGATTCAGGTCAAACACGTCGTATATTAGCCATTTTAGTTTTCGTCTTGAGACAAACTATCCCTTCTCCAGAAATACAAAACACGTTCAATTACAATGATACTTTATCTGACAGAGTAACGTTTTTGAAAGATGGTTTTACGGCTTTATGTAAAGTGATAGAATGTGTGGAAATGGTACAAAGGGCTGAACTTTTAGCTGTGGGTATACATTTATTTGGGGATTTATTGAAAGATGAAGGGAATATGGATTTGGCAGGAGGATGTTTAGGTTGTTTAAAAGGATTATTGGAAATGATTTGGAAAGTACAAGTACCTGGTATTAGTATAGAAGGTGAGAAGGTTATACATGGTTTGTTATCTGCTTGTTTAGGGAATGTGGATGATATGAGGTGAGTGGGGTGTTTTTTTTTCTCTTCTGGTTCTCTTTCGTGTTTGTCTATCATCTATTGGCTATCAGCTATAGTCTATGGTCTACTGTCAATTGCCTTTGGTTTATCGTCCACTGTTTGTCATCTACTATCCATCGTCTACTGTCTGTCGTCTACTGTCTGTCGTCTACTGTCTGTCGTCTACTGTCTGTCGTCTACTGTGTGTCGTCTACTGTACTGTCGTCTGTCCATCATCTATCGTCTGACGTCATGCTGGTCTCGAAAGATTGGCCCTTTTATATGCTGTATGAAGGATAAGATAATAAAGTTTCAAAATGAGTTTTCAAATTTTTGATGGCTTATGAGCAGAACTCGAGTCAACCCAGTGGCCAATACGAAAATCAAGAATAATCTTCTAGCTATGACTCTCGTTTTGACATCTCTTCCTACAAATGTCAAATTGAGTAGAGATGTTTTGGAACAGGTCGGGTATGTCATGGGTCAGTATTTGGGTGTAGGAGCCGATCGACCAGAGGTGAGTGATATGTTTCACCTATTTCATCCTCCTCCGTCAGGTGTCTTTCTTTTTAGTCACATCTTATTAGCTTAGGATCATCACATATCGCTGTTTTTGGTGGACTGGTCACAGATCGCTTTTTCAAGAACTCATGACATCTCACCCTCTATGGATTGAAAGTTTTCACTCTTATCACATGTTTTCAAAACTGTCGCTGATGTCCAGCTCGGTCTCACAGCGGTACACTGCACTTCCACCCTTCTCACCGCCTCCCTTCGTCCCTCTCCCGTTCTTTCTCACCTCCCAATCTCCCTCTTACCACCCATCATTACCTTCTTGGCCGATTCTACCGTTTCCCCCTCACCCCCAATAGAAGCCATTAAAGAAACCATCAAATCTCTTGTCTCGTGGTGTCTCTCCATCCCTGACACTCACCGCGCTAGAGCTTTCGGGATACTTCTGCCTACTCTATCTCTATTACTCGATCCTGAATCAACTTCCGCATCGGTTACGACAGCTTTACATTCAATCAGCACGAGTGCTTTGTTGGGATTAGCGCAGAATAGTCCGAAGGACTTCCGAGAGGCTACTTTGATCATGTCCCCAGAGGAGAGAACGAGGCTAGAGAGAAGTATCAGGGATGCTGTCGGGGATAGAGGAGGTGGTGGTGGAGCAGGGGGAGTGGGGGTCGGTGGGATGGAAAAGAAAGGGATAGAGTTGAAGAGTTTTGTGTAGGTCTATAGGTACTTACTCTACCCTTATATTTGAATCATCTAAGTACAGTATTCTATTGCTCTTTCCGTACGATATTCCTCCGGTGTCACCATGCACTATGGTCCATGCCCGATGATTGACCGTGTAGTTACCCGTTTGCCTCGCTCCTTTGAGCACTAACTCTTTTCGTATTCCAACTTGGTGAACCGTCCTCTTTCTCTACTTGCACTCGTACTTACAAAGTCGTCAGCCACCCGCCGGAACCGAACCTTTATCTGGGGCCCCAAACTTGTCGATAGCCCGCTCTCACATGATTGCATCTCCTCGTCCACACTGTCTACCTCGCTTCCGTCTTTAACACTCTACACTGCTGCAACATACTTACACCGCTTCGATAGAATCTTACTACATCCACATGCTACCTCACCTGATGACTGCGGACTTGGATGATGATCTTTACGCCCAAAGCCATGATGCCCGACCTCGGTTAACCGGTTTGGGAATGTATGACGTAGAAATACCGTTGGTTGATGGGGATGATGGGCATCATGTTTCTAGGGGAGGGGGGGAGGGGGGTCAGGGATCAGGGATAGGATATAATAAGGGGTTGGGAAAGGTTTCTTTTCATTCACTCAATTTCCTTTTCTTTCCTAAGATCATAGACATCTAATATCCCACTCGTCCGTCCTTCTCTTCACCACTCACTTACCACTTGAATTCTGCGAAGAAAGTGAGTCTCTACATGTTCTTTTTCTCGATGTTCTATATTTGGTCTTTTTTCACTTTAACTTTGTAATTTTCATTCAACCCGCTGTATTCTTTTCATGTGGATTCCCTCAATTCATCTTTTTGGTGTATATAAATTCCCAGTTTGGTCATTTGAACAAGATCAGTGAGAATGAGGAGGTCGTGGAGTATTCGAAGTGTCTGACTGATCCCAAGATCAATTCACGATGAAATTCACTTTGATCACTTTGGCTGGGATTTGTGTGACTTTGGTCAGTGCTCAAACGTGAGTTTTCCTTCTTTTCCCTCGTACTTATCTCTATGTGACTTCCTTCTTTTCTCTTCGACTCTTTTCTCTCCGTCTTCCCTTCCCTCCCATCTTCCTGTTTCCTTATTTTCCTTCCTATTCCCTTCTATCCAAGTGAACGTCATGGTGTCTTTGAGAGCGGAGACAGAGACCCTACTTGTTACGAACAATAAAGAAGGGAAAGATTTTACGATTGAATTAACGTATTAGCGTCCCTCCTTGCGTTTTGACATGCGCTACCAACGCCGCTTCATCTGCTGGTTGTCAGAGCTAGTACGTCATCTTTCATCTCGTTCTTGTCTTTTCCCAGTTTCTATCAACCCTCAATGTTATAAACATTTAAGTCCTCTGTCCCATTTGTCTTTCGTCCATCTCCCCCTGAAGTTTGTTAGAGATGAACACCCATTTGGACTGGTGTCACGACCACGAGCTTCTCTACGTGACCACGGCCTGATGATGGAACATACTGATATACAGCACCGACCTCTCTTGCGTCTGTGCCAGTCAAGAGTTTGTGACTGACGCCACTGCCTGTCTTCAAGCGTGAGTTTGTTTTCTTTCCATTTCTCGTCACTTTCCTTCTTTCTTTTTTTTGTTATTTTGACAAATCTGTCGTTCGAACTGCCGAACCACATTCATTTCTCGCTAGTTTATTCTATCCCCTACACTCCAGCTCGTCTCTCCAATTTCCCCCTCTTCATTGTGTCCCGTTATCTTGTCGAATGGCATTCACTCTCTTTCCCCCTTCCATCCAGCTCATCACCCACAACAAACCTCGTGCCATCCTACTAACCCATAGGAACTGTACCGCAGCCGACCAACAAGCCGCAGTAGCTCTCCAACAAACTCTCTGCGCATCTGCAGGGGGCAGTAACACCACCGCCACCAGCTCTGGTTCCATCACCGATTCTTCCTCTTCTTCGGTGACTACTACAACCACCCTCCTTCCATCCGGTTCATCTGGTGTATCTTCCGTTTCCTCAAGTGCTACCTCCGTCCCAGCAGGTATCATCCCCATCGCTTCGTCGATCGTTTCGTCCATCCGTTCGTCGTCTTCGGGAAGCAGCAGCACGAGCTCTGTCAGTTCAAGTAGTAGTGCCGCTTCTGCTTCCGGTAGCGCAAGTGGGTCTATGGGAGAGATTACCGTGTCCAAGTTGACTTTCGGGTTGGGATTGGGAGGTATGATCATGGGTGCTTTGGCATTGTTCTGATAATCCCCATTTTACATATGAACCACAACAAATGAGGGGAGAAGGGAGGTTATTGGAGGAGGGGAAGATGAATAAAGTATCATATCGTACCCGTATCTTCATGCATATCGTTTGTTCACAAATAAATTTGGCTTTTTGACAAAAAGAGTAAAAGTATTCTCTTCATATACATTTGTTTACTTTCCAACGACCGGCGTTTAACTGACTACAATCATCAACATTCTTACAACTTTTCGATCGGTTCGGAGAAATGATAACCTGACCATGGCTGTGTCCGAAGGAAGAACTTTCACAAAAAGGGAGAAGGGACGGGTATGGACGAAAAAAAGAAACGTTAGACTAGATGAAGGGGATTAGAAGAAAAAGTAGAAATGTCAATAGGAATCAAATCCAAATTCAATGGCCCTTGCCTAATTCTAACTGGGGAGAAGGGGGTAAAACAATATCACCTCTACCTTCCATCCCTTCATCCCCATTCTCACATTGTTCAGGTTGTTCATTCCTGTTTTTCCCCTGTGGGAATTTCCCACTTCCCGCACTTCCTCCAAATTTTCCCTTCTGCCCAATACCCTCACCTTCCTCCACTTGCACATCCCGGATTACTTCTCTAACTACTCGTCCCTCCATCACACCCTCCCCAACTCTTTGTCCACCACGATCACTCGAGCCTTCCACTCCGCTCAAATGGTTCGATGGGATGGGAGATCCGGAATGTTCCGAATTGATATACCCATGACGATGGAAAAGACGGATGGGACCTTTGGTAAGTATCACCAAGATCCATAAGAGGATGAAAAAGAGTGAAAAAGTCGAGAATACTGCTGCGCTATTTATATCAGCTTGCTACGATTCTTGTGTAGCTGAAAGTAATTTTTCTCCATCTGTCACTCTATCTTCTTCTGACCTACCTCCTGCTCATCTTTTGGTTTGATTAATTGATTGACTGAAAAAAAAAAACTCTACCACAATTTTGAAGAAATCACGATGGTCAGAACCAAACTAATGAATGGCCGTACGACCTAGCACTGACTGCGGATAGGATGTTTTCGTGCTCAAGGTGGGGTAGGGGGTGGATGAGAATCAGGGAAGAGGGGGGGAGGAAACTCACAAAGCTTTTTCAACCGCCCAAGTCCTAGTGACAATCCATAAACTCGCAAAGACGAAGAAAAACAATATTCCTCCGATGGACAAAGACAATGTCCATTCAACGATACTTTTCAGACCCTCCACAAACCTTTCTCCTCGTGTCAAACCCATTACATTCCCATCATCATGATTCCTTTGGTAACCTTGAGAAAATCCATCTTGAGCAATTACATGATTCCTATCTTGATCTTGGTCATACCCATCTTGTGGAACCAAAACGGATTGTTCCCATTCATCGGAAAGACGGATAGATGGACGTTTTGAGATGATACGTGATAGTGGAGAACCTGCTTGAACGGATAGTAATCCAGTAGGAGGTATCACGTGTCTTTGGATAGCTTGAGAAGAGGAGATGGTCAAGTTTGAAAGATGTGTGAGAGAATTTTGAATGGAAGAGATGATCAAAGTGTGAGTTGGAAGAGGGATTGTGAGATGGGTCCGGTTGTCAGGAGTTTGGTTTGATTGTACAGGGACGGGAGTGATCGGAGGTGAGGTTCCTGACATTAGCTTGAACTGGAATACAGTGTTGGATTGGTGTAGTGATGAATCAGAGCAGAGGAATGGGAAAAGAGAGAGATGGGACATACGTTCAATTGTGGATTCTTTAGATTCTAGATCATCTTGAGGTTCTGATAACAAAAGAGGAGATACTGGTTCCAATCCAGAAGAAACAGATGGAACGGGCTCAGGGTTCTTTGTGTCAGCATCGTCGAAAATCTTCCGTTGAATATTCTGTCGAAAGAATAATCATGAATTGACCTGGATTTGCCTTGGATCTTCTCAGTGAAGGACTTTACAAGGGATATAGAGCGATAGGTGGACGGATGAGTAAAGTGACAAGCACAAATCACGAGAAGTACAGGGAATGAGGTTCAACAGAGACAAACCAAAATTCTGGGGTATGGTGGGTTTATAAATGGGTGATTGGTCAAAAGGAATGAAAAACTTACTGTTCCTTCTATCCTATCATTACGAGCCAAATCACCTAGAGAAGCTTCCAACACAGGTTCGAGACTATTCCAAGCTTCTCGCACCTCCGGAATGGATGTATGAGCCATCAAGGCCGTTCTCAAAAGAGGTACAAGTTCACCCAGTTGATTTTGAGTAGACATCCTGTCGTTCGTTTCTTGCCAAGTACGAGTAAATACTTTCTCCGTGTCCTACGCGTCAAGGTTGATTCTCTTTGTCAGACTGTATGTCCACCTCGCGAGGAGACGTTCTTGAGTTTGGTAGATCGACAACAAAGACGCTGAGATACGACTACAAGGAGTCGATGTGAGAAGAAGAGTCAGATCTAGGGGTAAAAGGGAGTAAGATTGAAACAACACAACGGTAGCTTAAGTATAAACCAGATCGTTAAAGCTGTGCTCCCTTTCTTAGCACTTAGTACAAAATCAGTAATCACCTCCACTTTCACTCACAACTGTCCGTAGTCCTTACTTACCTCCCCCGCAAGGTCGGAATGGGTCCTCCAATCGTCCGTCGGAGACTCCGTGCCTCAAAGCGGTGCTGACACTTTCGCACGGTCTAAGTGTGGAGGTGAATGACGGAGGTCGGGAAAGGTAGGATATGCATGTTGTGTTCTTTCCATGTTGAGCGATGTAAGACGTGTTCCATCCAGCTTGTCTTTCGGTGTGTCAAACACTTTATTGAGAGGCGAATAGGATGAACCAAGGGACAGAAACTGAGAGGGGGCTTGCTAGATGATTAGAAAAGGGGAAATCACAAGACTCCCATTTTGCCCATCTTGCGATCATGACCCCTCGTCCTAGTTTGGTTTTGATGCCCTCTACTCCCTTTATTCTCTCCTCTTCCCCGTCCTCCCCTTCCTCTGCCCCCACCGCCATGCTCACCACGTCCACGACCTCCGCCACGTTCATTACCACTCCCGCCACCCCGACTTCCTCCGTCACTGATGTCTCCTAAATGACCACCGGTGCTGCCTCCCCAACTATGTCCCCTACCTCGCGATCTACCGCGACCACCTCCACCTCCACCTCCACGACCACGCCCGCTGATATGCGATGCTGATGACTCTGGAGCTTCGGGAAGATAGGCATTATTGGGTATGGGAATGTATTGATGTCTTGCGAGAATGGCTTCTTTGTGTGGCTAGTCATCAGCGTCTAATCATTGACGTCTGAGCCATATGCAATTTCCCTCAGCTAGTCGCCGGAGACTTCAGGTTGAGATTGAGACCGACGTCGATTCCTGAGGGGTAAGACTCACGTTCCTCTCCAAATGAATCCTCCACCCTTCCAACTGTGAATCATCCAGTCCAGTTTCTTCCTTTAGCTTCTTCCGTTTCTCGCTGCGTCTCGTGTTCGCGTCTCTGTCGAAGAGCGCAGGGTTGGTGAGATAAGCCAACTCGAGACGAGTCTGCTGATCGACGTTGTACTGGGTAGTAGGAGCGTTTCTGGGCTTTCGCTGCATTTGTCAGCGTCCTCCAAAATGCGTTTCAGACCACACGACCCCCCAACATGATGACTAGACCATTACTCCGTCGGATACTGCGAGCTCGACCGTGCACGAGAACCAACGAGGTAAATGAGTGAACAGGGAGATTAAAAATGGGGTCAAGTAAGATCCGCAGAAAGCAGCCCAGGGCGAGAGACAGCCAGCTCACAGTTATCTTATGACTGCCCGAAGTTTCGTCCGGCTCACTGCTTTCCCCACTCGCGGCCATCATCATCACAAAGGCCGCATCATCCTCCAAACCCGTCTCATCCCCTAATGTCGTATTTTCAACCCATATTTCAGACCGACGTCCTGATCCTGATCTGACACCATTTCCCACAGTCAAAGAACCCACTCTTTCTCCATCGGAAGGGGTGACCCAAGCATGCGCCTCGGCTATGGCGGCTTCCTGAGCTGCAGCTTCTTCCTCTTGAGACTCTACGAGACGGAGTATAGACTCTCGTAGATGATCTGGTATAGCATTCCCCAGCTGCGGTAAGGTTCTGAGATCAGCCAGGAGAATCCAAAAGAGGGATAGGTCTCAAGCATGCAGGGATTTCACCACAGATGTTAGATTAGCATACCCATGCGATGCTTACACGAGAAGAGATCGAGGAATGGGCATATGTGTGACCGACGGAGAGAACTAACGTGTCATCTTTTCCTAGTTTCAATCTCGACATGTCCAGTTCAGCATCCCATATGTTTCTCCTCTCGTCTTTTCTCTCCTTCTCCCTCTGTCCGTCACTGCCTGCGTTGTTTGTCACCGATGCCGAAACGGCGCCAGCGCGTCCCTCGTTTGGCCCCAAGTCTCGGCACAAAGTGGCTTTGAGATCCGCCAGTTCAGGAGGCAGGTCTATCCCGCCTCCTAGAATTGCCTCGATGAGGGGCGCGGCAGCCTCCTCTGGGCTGTGGGACGAAGACGAAGAGGAGTAACGAGGATGATTGAGGGCTGACACGATCATCTTTGGCGGAAGGTGAGGAAAAAGGGAGAGAACGACCTCGACTCTCTGGTCAGTCAGCTCTGCATCAAAATACCCCAGTCAGAGATCGGTAATTGAGAGTAGTGAAGAAGTGCTGACAGCGAGCTCACAGGGTCTTGAGTCACAACTTCCCTCAAACTGTGCAATATCTCCCTCTCCTCATCTCCAATCTCCCCACGCTCGAAGATAGCCTCATAATCGCCTTTGAGACCCATGTCCAACAACGTCCTCCCTTCTTCTGAGCCAATGGTGATGAGTGACTTGAGTGTTGTATAGCTCGTTGGCTGGTTTCTTACTTTGTCTAGTAAAGTGTGAACAAGGGATAGGAGATATTCTTTGATTTGAAGTACCAAAATTCTTACCCCTCCCTGCCCGTCCGTCGAAAGGTCGTTCAAGGCCGCATAGATCCTGCCTAGAGAAGGAAAGACACCGGATGCTTCTTCCAGAACAAGAGCGAGGAGAAGAGGGTGTGAGCGAACTATACTCAGCAAAGTTATCACCGCTCTTCCTATCCTTGCCAAGTCACTTTCCTCCCCGTTGGTACCGTTGGGCTTGGTCTTCGTCGAAGCAAAACTTGCCAGCCGCATAGTGATTGACGTGACTACCTCTCGAAATTCCTCTATGGTTTGAGCCGGTACCCGCTCCACAACGCTGTTGACGACAGAAGGAAGATTACGATATGCGATGATACAATCGAGAAGGGTTTCAACAGTGAGGTGATGGTCAGGGATACGGAGAAGAAGTTGTAAGGGTAAAGTTGGAGGATGAGGGAGTCTGGAGGACGGGTTTGAGGAATCTATGGCATATTGAGAGGATCGAAGCTCGGTGACTTTGACCAATGACTGGCTCGCAAGTATACGGAGGATTATACGCAGGTTCGAGAGCTGCTCCGGGGAGATAGGATATTCAGCGTGGGGACCAACTGGGATCTGCGTAGCGGATGGAGGTAGCGTTCGAATGAGATGAGGGAGGATACGTCCTTGGAGCGCTGCTGACGGGGAATGTGAAGGAATGACAGCCATGTTGTTGCTTTACCTGCACCATGCACCATGGAAAGGAAAGATGTGTAAGTTGTGCAAATTCGAGTGGAATGGAGGAGCCTGGTGGCCCAAAAAAATGATTCCGTCATAAACCCCCTCGATCCTAGCCAATATCCTGCGGGCGAAATATGGGTGAAATCACATGCAGACTTGTTCCACAAAGAGAGCTACATCTCCAAGGTAGACAATACGGACTGGAGAGTGAATTAGATTCGAATTCCCTGGTCGCAAACGGTCCATGTTTTGCAAGATGAACTGGGGTTGGACAGATAGAGCAAAGCCATTACGATCCAATCATACCCTAGCACTAAAAGTACGAGTAACTACGAGTACTAGTACGGCATGAATCCAGGTGCATCCTACTGATAATTTCGACAAGTGCTATGCGCATTCGTACCTACCTGCTTACGATTATCGCTGATTACTCTTCACGGCAGAGCATTTCGTGCGACAATAATGTTTTGTGAAATGTGTACAGCAAGAGTTGCAAGTGATGCTCACTAACTACATGATGACCAATGTAATATCTACAACTCAACTCATCTAAACGACTACCGCCTGTCCGTCTTTCCGCCCTTGCGTTTACCAGCCAACAACCACTTCGGCTTCGTGATAGGTACATGTCTATCACTCTCGCTGGCTTTGGCCAATCTGTTTGGCGTCCTCTGAGCGAATTTACGAAGCTCGACAGCTTTTTCGCTTTGTCCCTGTGTCGCCAGACCGGCGTACTGTCTGTGTGCACGGGGACCACGAGCCGAAGTGAGAGCTCGTTTACCCTTCGAAGGCACTTGCGAGTCCATTTCGACATCTCCGTCTTGGTCCATTCCTGTGTCATCTGGACGTCAGCCCCATTCCTTGCTTAGCATGCTTGAGAGATGTATTCAGTCGGCAGGAACGGACAGACATGACCATTTTTTGACGTACGCTGGATGAGACGCCTGCATTTGACCGAGGTCGATGTGAGTGGTGAAGGGGGAAAGAACATGAGTGACTCACTTTGCTCTTTTGCCTCCCACGCCTCTCGCTTTTGTGTCAATAATCTCTCCGCACGTTTCTCCAAGCGAGCAGGATCAATACCAGACTTGCGCATTCCATTAGTCATCTCAGACAAGGTGACATGTCGTTTCTTCCGAGGTATGATTGGTCGGTTCTGAAGCTTGTTCTTATCCTGCGACATCTTCTTAACCACGGCTTTTCGTTCGCTGACTTGCTTCGCGGCGGCACGGAAGTCTTCCTCATCCGAGTCAATCTAGAGTTCAGCTTCGGACCGATACGACTGAGGGTCTTGGGTCTTGCAGTTCTCAAATGGCGTTCGGACGCTTCAATCGACAGGATTTGAAGTGGAATAACTCACGATGTCCTCATCGTCAGATGCGTAGAAGCCCTCCGCCTCCAGCCTTTCTTCTTCGCGCTCCAACGCATCCAGTTTGGCCTCGATATCCGGGTCGATGAAGTCGGCCACATTCTTTCCTTGCCAAATTTCCGGCACGACATCGTATTTCCATGAATCGTCCGCAAGTAGATAATTCTCTGTCGATGGTTAGCCACGACCATCATCCCCTGAGGGGTACAAATTTTCGATGCGGGGTGAGATGAGGATAGAATGAAAGGGATAGAGAGTAGCACGGTGCTGAACAATGACTCACTCTTGAGATCCTGAGTGAAGATGCGCATATTCTCGATCTCTTGCTCCTCGTCCCTTTCCAAGCGACGGCGATCAGGATCAGTTTTATCGTACTTGACTCTATTCTTCGCCGAATCTGGAATGAATGGTGTCCTCTCTACATCATCCCTCTTTTGCGGCATGGCAATGTGGATCTTGTTCGCCACGTGATCTATTCGGGTACCCCGCATCTTCTGTTCTACTCTGTGGGCCAGGAGAATGTCACAAGCCTTGTTTCGGACATCAATAACACCCTCCTCAGTGTAGGTCGATGTCTCCACCACCGTGACGGATTTGTCGGAGAGGATGCTGTCAAGAAATTCTCGATTCTCAGGAGTGAGATCTGATAGACGGACGATGTCAATCTTGTTTATGACCAGTAAAGTGGGTTTGTTTTGGAAAAGCGGTTTGATAGAATGAAAAAGCTTGCACTGTGCTTCGACGGAGTAACCACACTGCTCGGAGAGGTCCATAAAATATAGTACCGCACTTCGTAAGTGAGCGAGAGCGGTGATAGACTGCATCTCGATGGTGTTCATCTCTTCCAGAGGGTGGTCGAGAACACCGGGGGTGTCGATGACTTGCCATCGAAGATAACGGTAATCCATGTGACCGACGAAAAGGGATTTAGTGGTGAAGGCATACTGTGGAGTCAGAACTTCTCTCTCCGATATCGCAGCTCGTGCCTTGCGAGCTCGAACGTCAAATTGCGGAATGTCTCAATTAGGTGGAAATGGTGGACGACAGTGACACTCACTGGCTGAACATCCACATCCGCTCTGGTAATCTTGTTGATGAAACTGCTCTTGCCCACATTCGGGTATCCACAGATCAACAGCGTCCGTGTGTTCGGGTCGATGGCCGGTAAACGGCTGATGTGTTGCCGAACTTGCTCTAAATATGCGAGTGGGTCCTTTTGTCTCTTCATGATGGTCGCCATACGACCCAGAGCAGCACGCTTGAGTTGCTTACACCGGTAGAGGGAGTCGCCAAATTTGAGCAGACGACAGTAGTCCTTCGCCACTTGAGAGATGAGGTGCCGGCACGTATTGAGCTGGCCGAGGGCGATTTTGTAGTGATTTTTGTCATACAGGACGTTGAGAAGAGAGCTAAGGAAAGGGTGGAGGTTCTCGTGGTCAGCTCAAAGCAAAGCGTGCACCAGGCAAATTTGATCAGGATCACGACGGGACAATACATGTTGCTGTGGCACAGTAAAGATGGGGCACCAAGGAGACAGTCCAAGGGAGAGCTGACTCACGTCAAGGACAGGGAACTCCGAGATGATCTTGCCGAGCTTTTCGTCGAACATGTCTTGGGTGAACTTGACCTTCCGCATGTAGACTGCCTGATGAGTGTCCTATCAAAAAACTGGTCTGAGAGCTTACAGCTTCTGATACGCGAGATCTTAAACTAAGAGCTGTCAGTGATTCTTCTGGCCGTCTAATCAACCGAACTCACATTCTTATGAATCACTGAGAGTCAGCATGTTCAAGACGTCGTTGTAAGGGAAGCAGCTCACCTGTGGGGGTCTTGCGCATCGTCGCATTGAGAACAATGTCGATGAACTCGGAGGATGTAGGTACGGGGGTGATGGCCTGAAGGCCAGATAGACTGGCCATGTTGAGCAGCTGCCTTGGGGCGTATCAGAGGTTGCCAGCAAATTTGAGTGTTGTATATATATACCTAGTACGAGAGGGAGATGGAAGAGGTGAACGTCAAAATCTCATCCCCTGCCCTGATTGACATGACGTGGCATTATATCGGAATATCGCGGGATTATACCCCTGTGTCAAGAATAATAGACAATGTGGCGGTTTGAAGTTTCACGTCCCCGGTGCACGTCTCCTTCCTTTCCTCCCCTTGGCTACTTAGATTTTCTCATTCATCTTTCACTCACCCCCTTTTCTTCATCTCCCACCTTATAAGTCTTGTACTCACACGAAGCCTCTCATCATAGGCAACAAGGCTTCCACAGACACTTTCACTCCTCCGTGACTTTCAACAGAAAGAGCTCACATAGCTGTCTGCACCTTCATCTCATACCTCCTTTCGTCTCTTCCTATCAACCTGACCCGCGACCAGAAACGATTCTCATCAAAACACCATGTCGGCCGTAGACGAGCTGGCGAGAAAGTACCACTCGCAGATTGGGCAGCTGCAAGGTCTCTTTCCCTCTTGGGATGAAGGTGACCTGGCCTTCACGCTACAAGACGCCAAGGGAAACGTGGAGGAAGCGGCATTGATGATCACCGAAGGTGCGTGATGATGCGATTCTTCCCGTTCTCATGTCCCAAACTTTTCATGCCGCTGTCACAACTCAACTTCTGCTCCTGGGACATCTATGCTGACGCTATCTTCTCCCATTGACATGCCAAAATCGGTCCCTCTTTATTCGCGCCGTCATCTCATCATCATTCGCCTGTCCATTATCCGATATTTTACGTGCAGGCCGAGCGTCCCAGTTCACCCAGGCGACTTCGCGGAAGAAGAGTTCCAAGCCCGCCACTAAGGATGTACCCTCATCCAAGGCTCACACCAACAGAAATGCTGACTCTGGCGGGTGGGAAGCCGTCAATGGAGATGTTGAAGGCCGAGCTGGTCGTGGCGGACGTGGTGGCCGAGGTGGACGTGGCGGTCGAGGTGGTCGAGGCGGCGGTGAGCCGACATCCTCATCCCTCGCGACATGACTGACCTTACAGAACCGTTTCGAGGCGCAAGAGGAGGTCGAGGTGGTGCCCGAGGTCGAGGCGGATTCACCAATGCGAATGGCAAAAGCAAGGACTTGCCTACGACCACAGCAACTACCACGGAAGGATGGGCGAATCAAGTCGCACAAGCTACCTCTGAGGGTGCGGACGAGAACGGTTGGAGTGAAGCTCCCCTCGTGGACTCCAAAATCGATGGCGGTTGGGGAGAAGGCGAGGATGATTTAGCTCCTGCTGCTGCCAGCAAGGCGGACGATTTCTCAGCAGCTGGTGGTCTGGGTGATGCTCCGGCCAGAAACGAGCTCGAGAAGGCTGCGGCGCGAGGGGGATCGAGCTGGCAAGAAACTATCAAACGACCTGTTCAAGTGGCTCCTCCTACGGTGCCTCCCGCCCCGGCTCCAGCGGTCAAGAAGACTTGGGCTCAGATCGCAAAGTGAGTCATCCCCATATTTGTTAGAGCGTAGAAGACTGATCAAGAAGGCCTGCCGAGAAACCCAAGCCCGTACCTCCCCCTGCTCCAGCGCCTATACCTGCGGAACCTGTCAAGCAGGATGTCACGTCAGACGAGCCAGTGGCACAAGACGATGTCGAAGTACCCGTAGAGATAGTCGAAGAAACTGTCACTCTGGAAGTAGAAGGATGGGGAGATGCTCCTGCTCAATCCGAGTTCGATGCCGCTGCCGCAGTCACTATCGAGACGATTTCAATCGAGGTGAAGACCAATGGCCATGCGGAGGAATTACTGCCGGAAGAAACCCTACTGGCAGAGGAAGAGTTTGACGACCCTGCCATCGCGAGTGTTGGGGCTAAGCCATCATGGGCACAATCTAAGCCACCACCCGTTGAATCCGCCGCACCTCTGGCTCCTGAACCAGTCACGACGTACACTGTCCCTCCAGGTTTCAACGCATTAGCCGCCAAGACACAAGCACAACTTGCACTTCAACCACGGACCAACTCACGATCTGCCATGAGACACAAAACGGCCGATGATCAAGGTGTCGTTCTTCCGCCTTCTCTCGGTGGGTTGTCATCAATGGAGATGCAATTTGGCAGTCTCAGCTTTGGAGGGATGAATGGTGATGGTATCGATGCTCCTGTGCCAGAACCCGTCTTACCTTCAACTTTGGCTGCGCAGAGTCCTCCTCGTACTACCGCCCTTCCCCCCGTCTCTTCACCGATTCGAGCTCCCCAACCCCCACCTGCTCAACCTGTACAACCTGCTGCAGTGCTCCCTGCTCAACAAGCCTCCGTTACTCAACCTTCTTCTCTGCCTACTTCTACGTATCTTCATCAGACAGCTCAACCAGCTCAACCTGTCGTACCTCAGCCATCGGCACAACATCAAGGTTATCTCGCCCCTCATCAAACTCTACAACAACAGATGCACGCTTACCAAAGTCAAAATCAATATCATCAACAACAACAGCCTGCTCAACCACAAACTTCGCCCTCTGCTCAATCGTTGGAACCCCCAGCTTCGATCCAACCACAGCAGCAACACAACTTGTACGGTCGGCAACAAGAACATTACGGTTCAGTCGGACAATCTCCTCATCAGGCTGCTCAAACTCCCGAAAGTCAACATGCCACTCAACCTCAACATGCTCAAACCGGTCAACCGGCAACCCCACAAGCCGCCGGTGCGGGTCAAGGTCAATATGACAGTTTCGGTTCTGGATTTAGTCAATCGCATCTTTACGGTCAACAGAACCAACCTGCCGAATATGGTCAAAGGGTAAGTTTACATGCCCTATCGTGTATCACAATGTGTGCTGATTATCTAGACATACGATTCATACTCTGGTGCTGGTTACCCTCGTCCGCCGATGGAAGAAAAGCAAACACCTGCTCAGAGTCATACGCCTACCGGAGGTCACCCTCAGCATGGTCAACAAGTACCTCAAGGAGCACCTTACTATGGTCAAATGGGAAACATGTATTACCAGCAAGCGCCTTACAACCCGTACATGCCTTGTAAGTTCTTTTATATCATTTACAAATCTGTTTATTGTCCAAACCCTTCACTCACGGTCACTTTCCTATTTCGACCTGTCTCATCAATCTTGTGTCGTAATTTATTCATTCATTCATCAGTCAATCTCATTGTGTCATTCATGAGAAAAGTAACTCCCTCTCTCCGCTAAGCATCATGTACCGAACTTACGATGAAACCCTACTGACCCATCAGATGGTCAAGCCCCTCAACCAGGTTTCCAACAATACTATCCCATGTCCCAGCGTAACCTCTATGGTCAACCTTCCGCTCCTCTTCCTCCAGCCCAACCCAAACCTGCCGCACCTACTCAAAGCTATCCCTTTTCAGGCGTAGGAAACACATATGACGAACAATCTTTCGCCTCTTTGAACAGGTACGATAAGCCTCATGTTTCTCAAACTCACCTTGGATCTCATGGTCAACATAACGTACCTCATCACGTCCCAGCTCAAGCTCAAGGTCAAACTTTATCTTCTTCGTATCCCAACACAGGGGGATTACATAGTTTCCTAGGAACGCACACCACCACTCCTACCGCAGGGGCTAACACGACAAACTCCAACTCAAATGCTAGTAATACAAATGCGGGAAGACAAACTGCTACTCCTGATGAAGGATTAAAAGGACAGACTCAACAAGGTCAAGGCCAAACTCAAGGACAGGCAAGACCTGGTGCATATGGTTATGGAGCTTATGGGAATCAAGAATGGGGTCAATATGGCGGACATTATGCTGGGAACAGGAATGGATATTCCGGTTGGCCTCAGTGATTCTGGTCATCACTTCCTGTCCTCGACACATTTAAGGGATTGGAGGAGGTAGGGTAAGAAAGAAGAGTCGGAAAGGGGATCAGCTAGAGCGGTATATGAATGTGTCTCACGGAAGAGAGGTAGAAGGTGAGAGGTAGGAGGTAGGAGGTAGGGGAGGTAGGAGAGGAGAGAGAGAGAGGAGAGAGGAGAAAGAGAAAGAGGTGATCATTAGATTGAGGATGAGTTTGATAGGAGAGGGAAAAACACCACCTTTGATAGTCTGTACATAACAAACCAAAACACATCTCACCACATCCAACAGGGGTTGGTCATATCAACCTGTCTTCTTTTCGCCCAAAACGACCAACACTTCATCGTATGTAGGTTTCTGACGATGAATGGTCGTGAGCATGGCTGGGGTAATCCAAGTGCAGCAGTTTTCAATCTTTTAGAGATCCTTCCTGCTGACTTTATCAACAGGAGCATGTTCGACGTCTGACTTTTGTTACCAAGTCGTTGTGGCCTTTGGATTGCGTGACGCGAATGCGCTCCTTGACCTCAAGTGTGCATTACTGAGAGTGACGAAGAGTCAACGGGTCACGGTATGATCATGTCAAGTGAGAAGGCTCAGGAGCAACTTCTGACAGGAAGAAAGAGTCATTTGTGCATGATCAAACCCATATACATATTCGACCTAGTACAACCCGGCTTTCTTCGCAGCCAATTGGAGATGCACTGCGTGCTCGTCGTAAGGGGTAAGACCGGGGGGTATGATGGGCCACAAGTCGACAGATTGGAACTGATATTAGCGACTTTCATACATTAGACAAGGGATGATTGTGGATGGGAAGGATATTGGAAATCATGACCCACCTCGTACGTCTTGGCCAGAGCAGCCATGGTGGCTTTGACGAAGTTACCCTGAGTAGCTGTGGATCCTTTGGATTGGGTGTAACAATCTTGAATACCGGCCATTTGAAGCATTCGTTTTGAGGCTGGGGCGGCAACAATACCAGTACCACGGGCTGAGTGTTAGTGACTTTCGAAGCATATTCTGAGGTACTGATGATCTGCCGCATTCGTACTGGGACAATCACTCTCAAATGAGGGTACCCCAACATATGTCAGACAGGTTGACACGATAGAGAAAGATCAACAATAAGATGATGTGGAGAGGGGTGACGTCGAAACTCACGAGCAGGGATCAAACGACACATGACCGAACCAGACTTTCCCGAAACCTTGCATGGCACAGTGTGGGGTTCAGCAATAGGAGTACCCCAATAACCTCGACGGACAGGGACGATGGAAAGCTTGGCAAGGATGATAGCACCCCTAATAGCGGTAGCCACTTCTTTGGCACATTTGACACCCAGGCCAACGTGACTGAGCGTCAGTACGGATCTTACGCTTTCTTTCCTATGACCCGAGTACGTCCGTCTGTCCAAATCTACGCCTATAGGGCTCATTTCTTTCTCTCTGCAAGCCACGGAAGCCACAGCAATAAGTCGACAGACAGACAGACAGACAGGCTACGAGGAGGTGCAAGACGTCCGAATTGACTCGTGTAACAGCAAAGACGGATGTGGGTGTGTCTACTTGAGATGGGCCAATTAAAGGGGGGGGGGGGGGGGAAGACATGTGGAGGATCAAGTCAACTGACCCATCATGATCACCGACAGCGACGAAAGCCTTAAACCTAGTTCTCTGACCAGCGCTAGTCTGTTTCTGCACAGGCATAATCTTCATCACTTCATCCTTGAGTGTAGGAAGGAAAAGGTCGATAATCTGGAATTCTTTGACAGGGAGAGAGAAGAGATAGATTTCTTCCATCGACTTGATCTTTCCATCTTTCACCAGTCGACCGAGCTTGGTCACTGGAACCCTGATAATCAGCCCAGTTCGATTTGATGCGAATTTTCCCCTCTTATTTATCTCTGCTCCCTCTTGAGAGTACAGATATAACGCTATTATACCCAAGCGTCTTCCCAGATGAAGATACATCAAAGAGAAGTGTGACTATGAAGTATAGGTAAGGACAGATCAAAACATTAAGGTATATGAAGTTTCACAAGGTTATGTGTCCCAGTGAAGAGGGTGCCAGGGAGGAAAAGACATTCATGTTGGATCATGAGATGAGATGAATGTTCGAAACAAACTCCAGGGTCAAGAAGTAGATTTGAAGTAACACGCTGATAACATAGGGTGAGAGATGGAAGGAAACAGCAGAAGAAACTCACCATTCCTTCTCCTCTTCTTTCTTACCTCCCCTTCTGGGTCCTCTCCTACCTCTAGTTCCGCGTGCACGTCCAAATCCACCTCGTTCGGCCATTGTATGTATCTAGGATGGAATGATTCGAAGGTATGCACTTCTACACTCTGCTTAGAGAACAACTGTGTCAAGGATCAGAACGCGGAAGTAGGTTGTATTCCCGAGAGAAGTACAAATGTGGCATCGGGAATAAGGAGTTGCCAGTGCTGAATTTTGCTTAGCTCCGAATGTAACGGAAAATCTAAGAAGTCACCGGATGGAAATGGACCTACAAAATGTTGCTGAGTATACTTGAGACGACGAAGAAAGATAATAATCGTTCATGTCTATATTCATGCAGTCATTGTCGTACCTCATCCCTATGTCATATCTAACAACCGCCCTCACGGCATTATCCCCTTCAACCAGGAGGTTACGAGTACAGTATGTGATACAACCCCTCATGCAAACATTTGATCTGATATCCCCATATCCTTCGTCCTCGTGTTCTTGATGCAGTGCAGACTTTTTCATTCCTTCTTTCCCACTGATGCTTTATATCTTGATGATTCAGACAATCCGATCGTTCCCTCCTTTCCTCAGATCATTCTTTCCTCCCAACACACTTGAGACAGTCTGACTCAGAGGCATGAACATCATTCAGAGTATAGTGCAACATCCCCATGACTTTCTTCCCGATTTGGTAGGTTTACCCGCTCGAGCCTCTTTGTTGCCTTCGCGATCGTATGCGGGTCCGATCCCGCCGTAACCTTGATCACGAACGAGTACCGCAGCTCGAGTGGCGGCTTCGAATACCGCGTCGACACCTTGGTTAAGAAGGGAAGAGGTCTCGTAGTATGCCTTGGCACCGATGGAAGTTGCGACCTTTCGGGCCTGGTCGTTAGCTGTGTTGTTGAGTCGGCCGGGAGAGGGTAAGGACGAGTAGATAAGGACGAGGGTGGGACTCACAGTTTCCGACTCAATGTACTTGTCAGGATGATATGTCCCATTGGCCAAAGCCTTGTCTCGCAAGTCTGCTTTACAAGCGACCAATATGACTGGTATGGATTTACCACATATGGAACGAACTTCTTCTATCCACTGACAGATCAGCATCATGCAAAGCCTATGAGTTGCTTTAAAAGTACGGTGATGGGGCTGGGACACACCTTCTGAGTTACATTGTCCAGGGAATCGGGAGTGTCTACTGAGAATGCAATGAGAATGACATGTGCTTTGGAATATGATAATGGTCTTAAACGTTCGTATTCTTCTTGTCCACTGTCTGTCAGACATTTTTTCACTAGAAAAGCTCAAGAGAGTATCCTGATGCGACAAACGACATGCGGGGCAGGCAGGTGAGGATATGAAACGAGGTGAGGGATGATCATCAACGAGCAGATAGCAACCGAGACTTACGCTGTATCCCACAATGCCAACTGGACAGGTTTACCATCCAATTCAATCTCCGTCACATAGTTATCGAACACTGTTGGTTCGTACGTATCGGGGAAATGACCAACGGCGAAGACGTTTAATAAAGAAGTCTTGCCAGCGGCACCGTCCCCTACAATGACAAGTTTACGTCTGATCTGATGATCAGCTCAGGATTTCCGTGACTCATTCCCCCTTCAGATCGAAAACACAAATGGCCTTCTCTGAAGAGATTTTTGATCGGGCATGGTGATTCGTGAGCCGAAGGGGAACCGAGGTGAGATGCAGATGAGAAATGATAAGACTCGCCGCTCTCAAATTGACATTCTGATTCGACATCTTTTCCATATCTGATAGGTTGAAGGTTCGCGGATCGTGAGTGATGTAGTATATATTGCTGCGGAGGAGTTGACGCGGGAAGGAAGTTGAAATGACGAAACGGCGATTCGATGACGAGTCTTTGTGAAAGGAAAAAAAGTCAAAGAAAGGATAGAGACGAGAATGATGAAAGTGGTAAGTGGTGCCAGTGGCCAGTGGCCAGCGGTCGATTAGATGGATCTTATACAAGACTTAGAAATGTATAGCCCGAATTATAATCGTGTCGTATCGGTCTTGATGTAATCAAGCGAAGGCGTTCGCTCCTGGCGACGTACGTTAGAGTTCTTCGGTCTTCGGTCGATTTTTGCGGCTCTGAGAAATCAGCATAATTTACACGAGTACAACAGTCAATCAAATATGAGGAAGCGAATGTATCGACGAGCAGTGTCATTGAGATGTGATCTGAACCCTTTTCCCCTTCCCTCACAGCTTGGCATTTGGTTAGACGAGGGTTGGGAAACCGGGGATTGGGCTCACCGTTCACACGCCCCTCGGTTGGTATGGTCACAGGTGGTATGGTGGTCGTGAATGATACGATTATGACGGATGTACAGGTAAGTGAAGCGAAACAGATGCTATGACTAAAAGGGATGAAAGTACTCTGTGACGTGCGTTATGCGGACTATTGCGACGGAAGGAAGAAGAGGTTTCTAATGTGACACAGAGGTAAATGGAGAAGGGCTTTCTTGATGGTCTATCTAAAATCTATGGGTCGATGATGAAAAGCACGTCTGAATGATGCAAGTCGATTATGATAGAAGAGGTCTGGACTGGATGAACGTCCACGAGGTGAAGTATAGGATATGCAACCTCTGGTCTCTGGTGTACAGTAGGAAAGAGAGGGGAAGGAAGAAAAAAGATGATCAAAAGTCCAGAAGTGGCACACGTCCACAGCATCCATCACCATCACCAACGTGTGCCCAGCGGCCAGCAAGTAAGCAACCGAACAAGCCGTCACTCAGAGCTCACGCAGGTCACAGCCGCCGGGTCAACAAGAGTGACACTGGGTATAAGAGTGTATGTACTGATGGCTGCATCTACACCTTTACGCCGTGAGTGAAAGAGAAGGAGAAGGGTAGAAAATGATGCTTCAAGGGCGGGCACGAAAGGGAGGACGGAGCATGCGGAGCACTGCCGCAACTTTGTCCATTGCGCCCAACTCCGCTTTCCCACGGTAGCTAAAATGGCTGGCGGTGGTAAAGTGGCAAATTACCCTTTCCGTCGGGAGTCGATGGTGACGCAACCAACCACACATCTCTCCCTTGCTTCACAACAAAGCAATACTTTCTTTCTTTCTCCTCCACTTTATATCCTCTTTCACCTTATCATTGGTTTCTCTTCAAATCCGAACAATTACCCAACCGAGCGATCTGTTCCATCAGAGAAAACCAGAAGGAGATCGACTCATTCTCCCCCGCTACACTCGATCGACTATATCCATTAGCCTATCAATCAAAATGGACATCACCCTCCTTCCCCCTACCGATATCCTAACTCACCATTCACACGTCTCTCGACTCCTTCCTTCCCCTATACCCAACACCCATACCAGACGATACCGTCAATCATCATACTTTGCACCTACCACTTTCCTCCGTTTCCCTCTATCATCATGTTACCTCGGCTATCGAGGTCGTGGTCGTTCTCCTGATCCCCAGCCACCTGCAGATGGTCGATGTTTAGTAGACAATCTACCCGACGAGATATGGTTACAGATAATGGGCAATTTTGAATGGGATGAAATACTTTCACTTCGACCAGTATCAAAACGATTCGCATCTCTATGTCTCTCACCGACTTTACATCATACCCTGACTCTCCTTTCACTACCTCCTTCTCCATTACCGGATCTCCTCGTGCGACATCTTTTACCGGGTATACGTCACTTACATCTTCATCTGTTCCCATACCCCAGTCCTGCAAGCGCTGGCAATCATCCTACCACTGTCCTTTTGGATCTTCTACAACAATTACCGGAGGATCAATTATTATCCCTCAGTTTACCATTCTCAGCACCTTATCTTCCTCCTAGTGAACTGGGAATGGTGCTTGCTCGGATCGGCGGGAAATTAGAGAAGCTTGATTTGAGAGGTAGTGGTCTGGCGGGTCCTGGATGGTTACGATGGATTTCTCTCATCGGTGTCAAAGGTCGAGGTTTAAGGGAACTTGACGTCGGGTTTACTTCCATCACCGCTCTCCCATCATTATCGACGTCATCAACCTTATCATCAACATCATCATTCCCGATCGACTCCCCTCCGTCATCAGACTTAGAGACATTCTCACATTTGCGGACACTCAGCCTAGCGTCATGTTCTTCACTCCCAGCAGCGGCTTTGGCCGAATTCCTCGCTACCGTTCCCCACAATTTAGAACATCTGGATTTATCGAGATTGGATCAAATCACCCTCCCATCTTTGATGGCTCTTCGGGTGGTATCCGCGACAGTGGACGATGTTCGACCAGGATGTACATGGGGTGAAGAGAAACCTGAACCGACTAAATTGAAAGAGATCAAAGTGGTCGGAATCGATCATCTCACAAGGACTGATGTACGTCGATTGAAAGTCAATTGGGAAGATCAACGAAGAGAATGTATGCCATGGGAACCTATGATGGTTGCTGTACCTTTACCAAGAGTATGGGGAGAACCTCGTCCTTCCATTCGACACTCACCCGAATCTATCAATTCACAACTTCCTATCCCTCCAACACCTCCTAGAACACCATTACAACCTCGTAATTTATCACCTCCATCATCTTCCGATTCATCCCCTGAATCAATCATAGGGCCCAGTACACCCATCACACCCCATACGCCCCATACACCTATCACACCGGCTGGATCGTCGGACACTATCAATCTAAAGGGAGTTCATCCTTTCTTGCAAACTCCTCCTAGATCAGTCAGACCTTCTCCTGACCGCCATTTGACTCGAATCAAGGGAAGAGATGAGGTCAGTCCAGATGGTTCAGAATCCGATTCTGAAGATCTTACGAGTTGCTCTAATCCATCCACCTTGTCAGGTCTCACCAATTTATCAAACTTTTTAGACTCTTCGGAATTACTACGTGATGCCGATATCGCAAGGGAAGGTTCAAGAAAGAATCAGAGAGATACATGGGGTCCATGGGAAAGAAAACAGAGAGAAAAAGAGAAAAGAGAAGCAGAACAAAAACAAAAGATGGAAATTATCAATATCAATATCGTTCATAGTGCGATTTTGGAATCGGAGGATGAAGCGGGTTATAGACAGTTTATTGGGGAGGTGGCAGCTGCTACGACTACAACTTTGGGTATGGGTAGATGAAGTTGATCGATGGTCTTCTGTCATCCGTAACTTTGTTCGTGGTCGATTGTTAGTACTTTTGTCGACGGTTGGTCAGATGGGGATGGGAATAGGCAGGGAGATTATTGTTGGGGTTTTTATCTTGATCAAAGAGATATCCACCGTTTGGTCAGGGAGAAGAATTGGTCCTTTGGGTCAATCGGGTCGGGTGGAATGAGGAAGCGAGACGAGTCGTTTTGAGACTATCAGAGATCATACAGAAAGAAGGAGAAGAGGGGAGCAGGTGGGGACTGTGTAAGATGGGGAGGTGTGAAAGTTCGGACAATATATGGAGAGGGATCAAGATGGACATTATAAATATAGAAGAAAGAAGTAGGAATATAAGAAGGAAGGGAGAATAAGGGAAATCCAAGTAATATAATAAATAATTCAGTTGAAAATCTTTCTTTTCCATCTTTTCATTCCGTTGTATAACATCAGGGTTTTTTTGAAATCGTTAGGTTGTTGGAATAAATTGGGATTGTTGTAATAACATCTTTTTGTACAAGTTGCATAATTATTTTTCGTTTTGCGATTACTTTACTTTCAATCTTCGTTCTTTATTTTTTGATATTGATATTGGACTTGATCACATCATAGGATGATGTCTTAACTTTGGAGATTGATACAAGTTTTGACAGATCGTGTTTCTCAGTAGGTATATGCCAATACTGACGGACAAGAATATTCATGTCACATGTCACATGCTGCATGCTATATGCTATATGCTACACCCTATCATACTGTTGATCCGAGTAAAGTCATCGATGAGAGGAAAAGATAGATCCCAAAATCAAAACACGAAGTAATGGACCATTGATATAAGTGAACAATAACATACATTCTCGAATCAGATCAATCAAACACCAAATGACTATAGGATACAAAACATAAAACCCATTTGACACTTTTCTCATTATTTCAAACTATTATGTATTTGTCAGTCCACACAATTTGACATTTCCTCACTCCACAACTCCTAGTACCCCTAGTGCTACTCTTCTTCTTTTTTTTTATCTTCAACATCAAATGTTCACTAAGCACTTTCACATATGACATCAACCTTGTCGTCCACCTCATCAACTGACATGTACCATTTCCACATTAATCATAAACCCTTTTCCTTACCTCACGATTACAACTGACAAATGACAAATGTCCTCTCTCACTTCAATCACGGATTGAAGAGTCAACTCGTGATTTTTAAATGTCCATTTCCACTTCCAGTCATAAAACTTTCAACTTGACCAATGGTGAATGACCTGTCCTACAAGTAAGGAGTAACCCCAACCATAAAACACCCTCTCATGTGACAGACATATGTACCCCTCACCCGACCACCATCCCTTTCTGAGCATACAATCCACCAAAAACTTCTAGATTAAACCTAGCAACTTTTTCGATCCTCCTCACGAATTCCCTAACTTCATCAGAAACCACATCAAAAGAGGTCGACGCCATCAGAGCATTTTGGATTTCTGTACATTGATGATTCAAAGCTTCCAATTTCGCTCTTGTTTCCGGATCTGACGTCGGGATACGAGGTGGATAATTGGGATCGAGTGGAATAGGTTTTGAACGATATATTGGATTATCCAACGTGGTTTGTAAAGATATTCTATCAATCGGACTTGGAGCGTTTCTCCTCGTTTCAAATTCGGATGATATCGATGGGAAGGAAGAAGTTGGAGTTGTGTTGACTGGACTGGGTGAAGAGACGATGGATGTTGGTGGTAATGAAAGTAAATTGGAGAGATTCGGTATAGGTTGTGGTGTTTCGATATTATTGATTGTATGTGAAGTAGAATCTGAAGAAGTTGATGAAAGACAATTATCAAATTTGGAACCCGGAACGGGTTCTATAGGTCGGATTCTAGGAGGGAGTTTTTCAAAAGTTAATGATTGTTGAGGTCTACTGAATGAATTAGGTCGATAGATATTTTGAGAATATCTGAATGAATCACCTAACATTCGGAAAGTTGGAATGGAAGGTTCAGAGTTCATGTTGTTGTTAGAATTAGAACTAGTAGCGTTTGTTGTTCCGGCACTAGTAGAATCAATGATCGTTCTTTGACTGTCGTTGATTTCATCTTCCACAGCAGGACGAGAAACGGTAGGTCTAGAGGGGATAGAATCGCACTTATCAGGAATACTTGACCAAGCAGATGGACACATGGTACGTTGAGCGAAAAGATGGTCACAAGGGTTGTATCGATATGCCAACATATTATGCGTCAAACATAACGCAGTCAATCGACGAAGATCTTCAAATTTCTGGACGAAGAATTTCGAAGTAGGTTGAAGCTCTTTCTTAAGGAGATCGGAGAGTTGATCGGATACCTGATGAAGGGGAGAGAAGTAGTTTCCGAGACCCAAGGAGGCTGATTGGGGTTCAACATGGTCCTCAGAGTCTCCGAAAGTACCTTGTAGGTTCGACTGAGGGGTGATCGGTGTAGTCGACGTCGTATTAGAGTTCGCCTGCTGGAGAATGACATCTGGAATTGTGTTTCCAATCGTCGTACTGGTCTTACTATTATCACCCGGAGGGAAGGAGTGATGGCGATCACGACAGATGACCATGGCCATCCTGAGAGTGATATCCGGGATGACATCCTCCAAAGTGGCCCGAGTGGGAGAAAACTCGACGTCCAACATACGGACAATCTCGACTTTCAATTCCTCCACTTCTTTCTCCATTTCCGTCTTTGACATGAGGGGATTTGTTCTCCTTAACGCAATTCTGAAAACAGCCAACATGATTTGTAAGATTGTGATGTCCACAGCTTCGGCATAAAAATTACGAATACGTCTTTGGTCCATCTTGAATGACTCGGGGAACCAGGTAGGTCCAGTAGGATCGGTCGGCACGGGTACAGACCCTTGGATCAGGAGTCGAGAGTGAGTGGGCGGTGGCCAGAACGAAAACGTCGGTAGATGCGATTCGGAGAAAACCAATTCGTTAAGACCCTCGGCGAGTGAACGAATGACAAAGTCGATGTTGTTGCGGCATTCACATTTACCGAGGAAGTGAAGACGGTGCGAAGGTTCAGAAGACATGAGAACTCGTTGAGAGGCAGCACGAATCCATGTTTGTGTCGTGGATTGTGAAATGGGACGGCCGAGGGTACGAAGATTATGTTGAAATGCTTGCCAGTCGGCTACAACGGCGGAACGTGCTAGGTAAGGTCGGATGGCATGAACTTGGTGGTTGGCAATGTCCTATGAGTCAGCTATGATCTTCGTCATTGGTGAGATTATGGCGAAACAATGTTTCTTGGCAAACCAATATGATTAACGAATGTGTAGCGATGATAATCAAGTAGAGAACATATCGGGACTGACCAGTTTCATCACCTCCAAACAATCGAAACATATTCTTAGTGCCAGAGGGACATCAGGCTTGTCCGTGTCGGTCCCCGTAGCAGTCTGTACCATATCGTCCACCATGAGATCCCTCACAGGAGCGCAATGAACCTTCATCGCGTTCCCTAACAACACAAACAGATCGGTACCTAGACACCCTCTTCTGACTTGTGAAGTGAGGAAATCAGGTTCTAAAGCGGCCTTCAATTCAGGGACGAGGGCGTGTGTGACGGTCGGACAGACCTGTTCGTGTGCTTCGAGGGCAGCTTGCGAGTATGAATGAGCAAAGTGATTGATACAAGGTGTCGTTGAACCCATGAGGGAGTGTAAGATATCTCGTAGGACTGAAAGTCAGCATGATAGCCGTTGATAAACCAGTGAGATGAGATAACTGACCTTTGATTAGAGTAGGAAGTCTAGATGGCCATTGTTTCGCCGCTTGTTTCCATTCCGTATCTGACAAACCCTTCATCCATCCTCCACAAACACAGACTTTGACTCTTTTCCTTCGTTGGAGCAGTTCTACACTACAAACCTGTCCGCTGACCGCTCCTGGTACTTCCCACCTTGTACACCTGCAACCAGTGACAATCTCCGTAGCGATACTGTCCCAATACATGTCACCCGTTTCACTAGCATGTCGAACGTCTATAGTAGGCGCCCTAGTGTTGCTGTAAATCTCTGCGTGTGTTGAAGAGAACGAGGCGTCAGTGACGGGTCGAAAGGCCAGATTATCGAACAAGAGATCATGTCGTAATTGAGGATGTCGTAGTATCTCGCCCGCATCGAGAGCACGTAGTGTGTCAATATTTATGGGTGGTCTGGCAGAAGCCACGAGGTGACCAGGACGACGGTTGTGATGATCCAGAGCGATCTGACGGGCCAATCTTTCAGGGCGTGTGAGTTCTCGCTTAGGTTGACGATAAGTTCGGACAACTTGGTCCGAGGGCGTGATGGTGTCGTGTCTGGATTTACGACGTTTGATCACTGGGTTGGGGAGGGAATTTGAACGAGGACGTTTCCTATGAGAGGGGATCATAGATGGTGTATGGTCAAGAAGGGGTCGTAGTGAAGAGCTGGATCTGACCAGAGGTTGAGATGTGGTAAGTGGCGCTGTCGGTCGATCGGGGTGACGTTGAGGTTGGAGATGGGATGAAGAGGCGACTTGTACGGTATGGGTAGATGGTGTGGCATGACGACTGGAAGGGACTTTAGTCCATCGGGAGTCCATCAAAACAGGTGAAACGGGATTTAAAGAAGGGTCTCTCTCATCTCTTATAGGTTGATTTGCCCAAGAAGAAGGACCGACTTGAGGAGGCGAGTTGCACTGCGCGGCGGTGCCGATGCCAGGTCGAGGAGCTAGACGATCCACTTCAGCATCGGCATGGGAAAGGGGGTTTGTGGAAGGTTCACCATGTCTTGTATGAGATTGTGAACGACGATGTAGAGGTGAAGAAGGTGATTGATTCTCTTCCATTTTAGGAATGATGACCCTTGACAGAGCGAGGGTGTTTACCAAAAGAACACTCAAACTTGTGCGCTTCAAGTGAGAGAGAGAGAGAGTGGGAAAGAGAGTAGAAGAGAGGCGGGCTAGAAAGAGTCAGATCGGCCGAGGACGGGGAGAGAAGAAGGCTCACCGGTGGCCGAAAGGTAGGGTAAATCACAATGCTGTGTTGGTTCAAAGTCGTTGTTGGTGGTGTCGAATGGAGTAACGTCAATGAAGTTTACAATGGTGGCGACTGCAAAAGAAAAGAAAGTCAGCTTTGGGTCAAGACAAGGATTATATAATACGAGAATAAGGGTCGATGAGAGGGGGGAAAAGGTATGAACCGCTCGGGTAAAATGATGTAAAAGCTGCCTTTACGTCGTGTCTCGGATCCAACCAAAGTCGAGATCGAACGACGTAGGGGTCCTCCCAAGGGATAGGGGGTAGAGCGCCGAAAGGGGAGTCGAAGTGTGACACAAAGTCAAAGAAGGAGACGGGAGAAGACGAGACGGTGAGGTTTCGAGGCAATAAGGGCGGAAATGAGAGCGATTGGTTTTAGAAAGCCGGATTTGATATTTCATGTGTCATTGGGCGTAGAGTATGTAGATTAAGGCGTTTATGGCGTGGATACTGTACTCTTTTTGGATAAGGTGCCGTCCGTTCATCGGATGATTGGAAAAGGGGGTGGCTATCTGGGCTGGCTAGACTACTTGTTCCATCTTGTTGCACGCCGTGCGCCGTAGAGTAGAGCAATCGTATGCTGGGCACGCTGGGATCGCCCATACAATCTCAACTTTGTAGATTTGTCCCATCAAGGACCTCGGTCCATCCACCCTCCATCCGAACTGTTTTCGGCCCTTTCCGGCTTCTGAACTCCTTCCGTGTGACCGTAACTTTACTGTATCTCGTACCCCTGTCCGTGTTCGGGGTGAGGTGGAGCCGAGAAGAGGAAGAACAAATTTCCTAATTGCCCTTGGTACATCAAACTGATCGACCATCATCATCATTCCAAAGGAGGTCTCTCTCCTGTCTCGCCATCTTGCGCCTAGCCTCGAGGGTCCGGAGTTGATCTTGCTTCTTTTTGATTCTCGATTGATCGTGTCCAAGTTATGTCCGCTGTACCGTTGTGCCACTGCGCCATAGTGTTCGAGTTTGAAGGAATGATCGTCCATCTTGGAAACGGGGTGAGAGTGGGGGATGAAGAGTAAGATGTGTGTGGCGTATTCGGGAGTAAAGGCATGAGAAGAAAATAAGAATCAAGAAAAGTTTTCTTTTCCACTTACGTTTGTTTAACAAGGGGGATATCAACCCAGTAAGTTTCACACAGAGTTACAAGGATAGATCTGCCCATCAGTTAAATTTGTTCTACCATAAATTCGGTTCAACATATCCGACAGACGGGTACCAAGGTTTAAGCGAAGTGGATCGAGATGCTCACTGAGATCGAGTCGTATGTGTTTGAAGGAAGACTATGGGGAGGGGAGGGGAGGGGAATAGGACAGCTGAAAGATGAGAGATGAAAGATGAGCCAAGGAAAAGAAGTAGAAAAGTAAGGGATAGATGTACTTGACGGACGGATTGATAAACGTAAGAAATTGATTATCAAACAGACTCAGAACGGCGAGACTACTTTTCAAATGTCTCTGAATCTGAATAAAGGACGAGAAGATGAGATATTTGTGAGACGGGTAGTACCGGAAAGGGGAATAGATCATCTTTCGAATTGGGGAATGGTTTGAGACGTTTTTTGTTTACGTGACGTCGTTTCGCGCATCGCCCTCGTCCAAGGGCAGAGGGTAGAGAGTAGTAAGAGATTCCGGGCAAGGGGATGGGAGAGGGGGGGGGGGAAGAGAGTTTCTCAAGAGAGCAAACAATCCAAGCACATCTTGTTCCATAGAGGACGATGGAGGAAGTCGAAGAGGAGAAGAGGATGAATTGATCTGGAACATTTCGACTCATGACGCGGTAGATCGGAAGGTGAAAATGAAAAAGATGTGTTGTTTGTTTTTTGTATAGATGAAACCGTGGCAGAAGAAGAATGAGAGAGAAACAAAACAATAGGACAAATGATATGATCGTTTCGAGTCAAACTCAGTGGAAAGTCAAGGACATTGAATGGGTGAGTGAAACGAGTACCAGTACATATGACGCGGAAATTTTATATTGATAAACTTACTTTATTGTTGACTGTTAACGATGTTAATCTTCCAATACTCCTTCCCAAATCCAGTACTTAGCTGATAAATCGACTGCTCGTGGTGATATCGAAGAGCAATGGGAAATGGATTGAGAGGATTGAAAAGGATCAAATGCTGAAAAGAAGAGATATTGATGCATAGTAACGAAATTTCATTGAATTACTTTCACAAGGAAAGAGGGGGAAAAAAGACGGCATCCCCTTATGAAAGACAATGCCGCAAAAAACTTTGAAGATTCCCGCCAGCCCGTATTTTTTTTGGGTTGGGTTTTACCATGTTTCGGTAATGCTTGGATTTCATATTATTCCTCGGAGCAATACTGGGAGCGTACTGGGACGACTGATTCGAAGTACTCACGTTCCCTCGAATCAAGTTGGCCGACCACGGGAAGGAAGAAGGAAGGGGAGGAGGAGGTAAGGATGAATGATTGGAAGTGCGTCATCTGTTAATGACGACGATCATCACGCACATGTTGGTTCAGGAGATTTAGGGATTTAGGGAACATGGGAACACCTAGTTCTAAGGGGAAATGAGGGGAAAACACCAGGAGAAGAAATGGTAGATCATACAAGGGAACGACAAAATGCGAAACACGGGAAAAGCATTCGACAGAAGATTTAGGGTAAAAGACGGACGACATGTCCGTTTTATACCCGCGAAAATCACGGAATACCTCAAATTCGTCCCGTTGTTTCGGTTCTCTCACCTCCTCTCGGCCACGGTGCGAAGCAGTATAGCAGTAAAGAAGGAGAAGAAGGTGTCACCTGAAATACATGTGGTCACATATTTTGTCAGTGGCGTTATACATACTGCGGTAGATGATTCTTCGAGGTCTCTAACTGCGAGAAAAAGAATGGACCAGGTGTCGATCGAGAATATTAAAGTTTGTCTCCGAGGTAGTATAAGGTTACTCTTTCGGTCTACAACATCCATTTTTCAACTCGATACCGCGCTGGCAAGTGGTTCAAATGGACGTATAAATACTTTACGTGAGAATCGACTACATATGAGAATTACCAAAGACTCTATCTTGCAAATAGCTGCAACTGGTTCTTCGTCCGCCGGTGCGATCGTGATGGTCTTTCGGTCAATACGCGTTTTTTTCCGTTTTGACAGCTCTGGGATCTGGGATCTGGTATCTTCGGATCTCTTGGATGAATCATCGGTATGAAGTCCATCAATCACCGACACTAACGTCAGCATATGTACATAGGGAGACCAGGATTGGTACACGCTTCTCCTCTTGTGACCGATCCGCTCCAAAGCCGATGTTCTCGACCGTCACGCCATGCGCGCCACCGGCTACCGAGTAAAGCAAGTAGCTTACATGAATTCTGATTAGCAGGATGAGAGAAATATCAGCCTTTTTAGTCCGACATCATGGGTAATCATTAATGACGAAGAGGATGGTAGATGGAAGATTGGTACTAAAACACCCGACTGTTATGACTCACAATACATCAAGTATTCTAATACCTTCATGCAATGCTCGACGCTGGCATCTCTACACCCTCTCAAGATCCAATTGACCGAACACTACTTCTCCATCGATGATCGTCGCTTTCACTCTCACTCTCAACATTTCATCCACATCAACAGACATCAGATCATCGTCCCATATCACCGCGTCGAATCTCTTGCCAGGAGTCAACGAGCCTGTCAAGTTGGAGAATGATGCGTATGCGGCTGTTTGTCAGCTGCTTAGGTCTGCGACCTGATGAAACAGAAGTACCGAAGATGATCACTCTGAGAGTTGGAGGAGGTATCACAAGACGGACACTCTTCCATGAAAGGGGAAGTTGGTAGGAGTCTCTAGAAGTGTATATTCTGGGATTTCAAGTGTGGAATAAACTAAGTAGACATACCATCTATCGTCATACCTCTCAACGCTTCCTCCCTGCTCAGTCTTTCCTCGGGATACCATCCACCTTTTCCATGAGGTGAATTACCCTCCTCTGATAATCTCGTAACAGCTGCGTAAAATCCCTTCAGAGGATCGATAGATTCTACCGGGAAGTCGGATCCCAAAGCTATCCGACCACCGAGGCTGGATATCAGCGAAGCCATTATCTTTCGAGTAAGAAATCACTTCAAGTACGTCTTCCATGCATATGCACCTTTGAGACGTTCCTTTCCCTAAGACGTATGAGCTCTTAGATCTCTATGTTCCAGAGTAAACTCACCAGACGCTTCTCAGCATACCACATCTTACGATCAGCGTTCAGTTCAAACAAGTCGAGTGACTTACATCGCTGGTAGCGTGAGTAGGTTGGTAACTCCCAATGACTATCGTATCAGACTTCTATCACCAAAAAGGAATATTGTGGGACAGCTTACTACCTAAACCAACGGCTCTTTTAAGATCTTCCGGTCGCATGATCTGAGCATGTTCAATCCTTAATCGTCTTTCCTTGCCTGATGATGTGTTCAAGTCGATGGCATACTCCATAGCGTCGATGACAACTTTATTGGCTCGATCTCCAATGGCATGTACGTTCTGTATCTGAGCTACACGTGACGTAAATGGTGAACTTACAACTTGCCAACCCTAATCATTAGCATTCATCAATGAGAGCAAGTGAAGAACAAACATGATCATACCATCGCTTGATGAGTGGTTTCCACTGTTCTTCTGGTTTGAGAAGAAATCCTTTCCATCCTGGTTGATCGGAGTAGTCTTCCAGAAGGGCCGCACCACCTGAACCCAGAGCCCCGTCAGCAAATAGCTTGACAGCTTTGATATTCAGACGCCCATCTGATATAGTCAGCTGAACATCCTCCTCAAAGAAGAGATGAACTAGTAAAGGCAGAGTTCAAACATACCAGCGGCGTTGTCAACCATGTCAAAATCGTCCACCCCACATGAAGCCGCCTCTCCGCAAGTCACCATGAGGTTGAATCTCAAACCGAGTCTGCCTTGTTCACCCATCCTATTTGTGTCAGTCTCAACTTTGTCAAAGAGAAAATACCCACTTCTTGTAAAATTCGGCGTCATCTTTGAACGCTTGGGCGTCATGTAGACATGTCAGACCTTTACTCAAAGCATCCCTCGTAACTCGGTGAAGATACGTAGTCCTCTGGGTGTCGCTCCACTTGGGCTTCACAGCATTGACGAGGTCGATAGCGTTGTCCAGCTGCCCATTTGAGTGTGACACGACCATTAGATGAACAAGGCTCACAAAGACTCCGGTAGGATTGCCTTGAGCATCTCTGACGATCTGGCCTCCTTCAACATGATCAGGTAAAGGCCCCATTAGATCCAGTACGGATTGTGAGACCCATTCAGCATGTACGTCTATACGAGCCAGGGAGACTGGGATATTTCTCAGTAGAGGTGATACATTTAGATCAGCCTCTGAAGTTAGAAAGCTGACGAACTGTAGGAGGACATAACGTACAGCTGTAGGGAAAGCTCCTCCCGGCCATAAGTTCTGATCCCAACCCATACCCTCCACCCACCCACTGTCGGGGATACCGGAGGTCTTGACGAACTCCTCCACTCTGTTGACGACTTCTTGAATGGTCTTAGATCCTCTCAAAGGTAGTTGCTCATAGTATCCATACATCAGTGGATGACAATGAGCATCTGTCAAGCCCTGAACATGAGTGTTATAAGTTGACGAGGTAGACGTAACGGACCGGCGTGATGGTGTAGCCCATAGGGAGATGGTATATCGGCAAGCTTTTACTAAGAATTGTCTGATCTTCGCGAGCGTCATTTTCATATTTTCGACGAATCCTTGCTGTTTCACTGAGTCGAGATCTGATAGGTACCTATGAGGAACTCACCAATGCCACCAGTATCTATGACCTCTTTGTCTCGGATCACCAGACATTCCGTAGCTCCTACTCCTCCTACCTCGGGAACGGTGTAGACATTTTTGCCTCTGGTACATATGATATAATCTTGCGGAAGGTTACGTCCACCGACGGAGAAGTGAGCCCCATTGTTCTTGCGTTGAGTGAGGAGGACGATGACAGCTAAGATGAGGAGAGATATAGACACGTTCAGACCTCTCGTGGGTCGTCTTAAGGGGGGAGGATGACGCTTGTACTTTGGAGCGAGGCTTCCATGAGCAGTACTCTGTCCGCCTGTAGCCTTAAGCTCTCTGTGCCAGCCTGAGTCTGACGGTTTGGCCATAGAGATGGTGTTCAGGCCAAAATACAGTAAGAGAAGAGAGATGGACTTCCTCCACCGGCCACCGAGAGCGGAAGAAGGACTTGTGGCACTTTTATTCTCCCACGGCCGCTAGAGCAATTTTGATCCCGTCTTTGGGTTCTCCTTCTCGCCTCTCTGATCCCCTTGAATGCCCGCAAACTGACTCTCCTTTCATTCTTCACTCCATCCACTGGATATCTATCCTCTTCTCATCCATCTTTTCCCACCACTGCATCGTTCGTCCCACTAACAACTCAGCATGTCAGATGCAAGAGAGACAGATCTATACGGCGGTGAGTCCTCTCTCTCTTTTTGTCCCCTTGAGTCGTCTGCCGCGTCATCCTCGTCCGTCCCTATCCTCACTTGCCCGAATATGTCTTCTTGATCCCTTGTCTAGCTATCCTTCCAGTGAAAGACGCGAAGACAGTCTTTGCGATCAAGCCGGTCCTGATGTCTTTCAGAATTCGACTTGGAAGAATTCCAGGATCTCGATGAAGTCGATAACACACAACTCGTGCAGCCCGAATCCGATGGACCGCATCCTGCGACCCAGTCATCAGTCCAGCAAGGGGACAAAGAGCCTGTCGCGTTTCCACCGGCTGGCCAGTCCAGTAAGATACAGCCACAGTATCCTGATATCTCCCAGGCTCAGAATCAGATGCAAGGGTTTCAGGGACAGCAAGGGTCAGGACAGTATGGTCAAAATTTGGATATGGAAGGGATGGACAGGACAAGACCTAGTGATATGCCGGATGAGGGGTTAGTGATTGACAAATTTCTCTTCTCATCTGTTCGAGCAGTAGTCGCAAACACGTATACTAGCAAGATAGTCATTCAGCGTAGAGTTTTCTTTTCCTCTAGAACCGTAGGTATGAACAGAACTGATCCGATGTACTTCCTTGGCAATGCTTTTCTACCTTATTCTATTACGACTTTTCTTACATCTCTTTTCTCCTCGTATTTATGATACATCTAACTTGTGCCAATCGTTACAATCAATAGCAAGATGTTCATTGGTGGTTTGAACTGGGAAACAACAGATGGTGAGTTTGAGTTTATTTCCTTTTCGTACAACTTGTCGTGTCTCGTACAATATGTGTTTCGGGTAGACGACGAAGAAAGCGGGTTGATGAGATCCTCTCGACCGCTGCTGACCGATCAAAGAGAAACTGAGAGCCTACATGAGCGAATTTGGCGAAATCGACGCATGTACTGTCATGAGAGATCCCACCGGACGATCAAGAGGCTTCGCTTTTTTGACCTATGTGGACCCTGCGTCAGTCACGAAGGTATTGGGTCAAACTCACCACCTGGACGGAAAGCAGGTGAGTCATGATATCTGCAACTATGCTATCCAATCCTCTTGATCCCATATCTTCTCTCGTACTTTCGTTGCCCTTTTGATCGCGCAGTCCATATCATTTCATACGAGTGACAGCGCTGATGAAAGATTGATCCCAAACGTGCCATACCCCGGGCGGAACACGAAAAGACAGCTAAGGTCTTCGTTGGTGGTCTGGCGGCGACAGTAACATCTGAGTCTCTGCGGACTTTCTTAAGTACATTCGGAGGCGTCCTGGATGCTACAGTCATGATTGATAGAGACACGAATAGAAGCAAAGGATTTGCTTTTGCTACATTTGAGAACGAAGACGGTGTTTTGAAAGCCATGGAAGCTAGTGGGTCTGAACTTGATGGCAAACAGGTGAGCTTCTCTGATTATCTCGACTCATCTTGTCGTGCCCCAGACACGAGTGAAGGATGCTGACCGTTCAGATCGAAATCCGGAAAGCACAGCCACGAGGTGCAGGTACTCAGCCCGGAAAATTCAGCACCAACCGAAATAACTTCAACAACAACATGGGAGGTCCGATGGGCGGGGGTATGGGTAATCCTGGTATGGGTGGTGGTTTCGATCCTAATGCAATGGCAATGATGTATCAGAATATGATGAAGAACACGGGTATGGGTGAGTGTCCACCCTCCTATGACCTTATATACTGTCATTCTCCGTCCGAATGTCACCCGTCTCTCTCGGCCAGCGACGTGGGGAGTAGCAGCCTGGCACGGCGCTGATGTCTAGGAATGGGAATGGGCGGAGGAGGGTTCGATCCCAACTCAATGGCTATGATGTATCAAAACATGATGAAGAGTAAGTCTCCTTCGTTTTTGTTCTTTGATCAAGGATGGGACTGAGCTTCAGGTATGGGGGGCATGGGGAACGCTCCTGCCATCAATCCAGGCATGATGCGAAACAATATGGGAATGGGCAATATGATGGGTATGGGAATGATGGGTATGAATGGGATGGGAATGGGAGGTATGCCTATGGCTGGTGCTGGAGGTGTGGGAGGAGCTATGGGTGCTGTTCCAATGGCCGGTGGATTCCAAAATCCTGGTGGTCCCGGGAGGAATGTGAGCTCTGAGTCATCAATCCTACACCGCTCGCCTCGCTTTCTCTCTCTATCTCCAAATTATCATAACGTCCTCTCGCCGTGTATAGCTACCCTATTCAGACAATGAGGGCATTCGCGATCGAATGCCCATGTCTTTTCGGGCGCAGGAAGTTCAGCCGAATGTGTATGTGGCGGTGCAAGGACATTGCTGACTAACAGGGACCTGTCAGACCTATCCCCAACGCTCCTAGAGGACCAGCAGCAATGCGTGCACCTGGTCAGAATCCGCCGACTGCTCAAGGACCAGGAGCACAGAGATATACCACTCAAGGAGCGGCTAGATCGAAGCCTTATTGAGTGTCGGACATCGTATGACCAACATATCATGAAGTGTAGGTACTGTATCAATATGTGCATGTACCTCTATTCACTGGTATTTACTGATCTGTGCTTATCTCGACATTTCTCAGACACGATAGGCACACTCAACCCCGGTATCGCGGATGACTTATAATTACTAACAGATTGCCTAAATATCCCGACCGCATTCCATTTCAATCACATACCGCACTCACACTACTCGTATTCCTCTTGTTAGACATCTCTAAACAATAAACTTACTCTTATCTTCATAATACTGTACTATTCTTGTAATCCTCACTCCAATTGAACGACCGCCTCATCTTCCCACTTTCCTTCAATATCAAGATATATATATTCACCCAATACCACCCCACTCCATCTTTTAGGTTCCCCAACGACTTCCATCAAATTGATTTCACCGAGTGAAGTTAAACATTGTGATAACCTACTCATACCCCTTCTAGCCTCATGGTCACTGAGTCGAGTATACTCTATCAATTTTGCAGGGTGGTTAGACCACGCATCCCCATCAAAACTCAATGCGATCTCAGCGAGTAGTCGGATGAAACTAGTCATGGCATCTTCGGTTTCCTGAGGACAAATGAATTCTTCGGGATCATATCCAAGTTGAGTGAATAAAGTCTCAAATTTTCGCCAAGAGTAATTCAGATGATTGAGATATGTGGCGTCGAGACCTCTGTCTTCGGCATAGTGGGAAACGGTATCGAGATAGTTTCTAACGATCTGTCGGGCGGTGAGTCCATGTTGGTTGAAGACGGATTCTCGACGTTTAAGTTTGGACATGATGGATGGGGTTGCACTTTCGGTCGAACCGTCGCTTTCATTGGATGATGCCTCTTCGGATGAAACGCTCTCCGTTTCGGCCAGATCGTAGGGGATGGTGGGTTCGGTAACAGGAACGGATTTGTAAGGTTTGAACCCCTTTTGAGTACTGATACCATGAACTAATCCCACCGTCTGCTTGGTCGGCGACACGGTCCAAGTGGCGTTGCATGTGATGACCTGGGCTGTCATAGTGGACGACATGATTTCAAAAGCGATTTCCGTGGTAATGCAATTCTCGAAGTTTTCGAGACGATTTCACTCAAATGATGGGGATGGTGGAAAATCTGGGAATGATTAAACTTTGACAAGTAGAAAAGGTATGAGTTATAAATTGTTGAGAATCAGTGAGAAGCTCATTGAGTTTGAATAGAAGTTGCAGAAGAAAAAATTCTTGAGAAAATAATTTGATTCAAAAAGGAAGAGAATCGAGTTTGATTCGGTCTTCGATGTGAACGCGGGAAATGTTCCCAGGGCGAGTTCCGAGGTTCCGTCGAATGCGGCGTTGTGTGAACGTTAGCAGGGTTGACATGATCCGGTTCGATGGGGGAATCGTTTCTTGGATACTGACAGATATCGAAACGTCGTCAGGCAAGTGATCTGATCCGAAATGGTCAAACGGATCTTGACTTCGGGGAGAAAAAGATACAAAGGTCGGATTCAACATACATATACAGTACGTCTCAACGTCAGTTCCTGTATCACTGGATATACTTTGATACTCATCTGACAGTCAATCACCTATCTTACAACTCGAATGTGTCTCGAATGTGTCACTACAAGAAGCTAGGCGAATGGAGATGTCTCAGCGAAGCTACTATTGGTGAGTCTCATCCTACCCATCCACATCTAAATCCACCTCTTTCTTCGACGTTCAATCAAATCCAATGATAACTTCCCAAAAATAGCTCATGTCGAACGTATAGGCATCGACCTTAATTGATCATCGACCAACTTGCACTCTTTTATATACTGTTTTGGGAGCGGAGGTTCCGGCATGACCCTACTGTTATGAATACTCAGAATGACACAACTTCTTATCTGCCAGGTCTTCAATGTCACAATCCTTGATTCCGTCGATAAATTATGAATCTCTTCCGAACACGTATCAAAAAATTCTTGAACTTCTTCAGGTAATTGACTCAACGAAGTGAGTAATCCTATTACACTCGTTTCGATATGCGTGAAGATTGCGTCCGTTACGTTGACGCTGACGTGCAGTAGGAAAATGAGCAAGTTCAAATCACTCGTGATACCAACCAACTTATCCACTGTCTCCTGAGGCAATGATGCAGTTGGGTCATCCGAGTCATTTGAATGGTCTGTGGAAATTAGCAAAACTGAGACGCTTGAACCAACATGAATTTCCGAAACTTCCTCATCATCATGCGTCCCTCGATCCTTCGATTCCGTTTCCACCAAGCTGCCCACGATAGTCGCCACTTCAGACCTACCATCTTCCACCTCACTATTTGAGGTTTCTTCGTCCGACATGGTGATAGTTTGACGGTTGGTTGGAGTTTTCTCCGTTGAAGTGTGGGGAAAACGACCGAGTCAGTACAAGCTTTTCAAGTTTCCTTCGGAGGTTGAAGGACGGGGTCTAGCCGTCGGCCTGAAAGGATCGCGTGGGAAGGGGAAGCAGTGGAGGTGATCTGGACTTGATTGATTGAGGGTCTAGACCATGGGTCAGGTTCAGTGTTAGAACAAGTGAGTTCCCACGCTTTCTTCCTAGACTGCTAGGTTCCTCAGGTAAGGGTGGCGCTCGCAGGCAAAAGGAGCATGCATGATGGAGGAAATCAACAAGTCCAACTTGTCACGAACGAGTGGTCTGGAATCCGTGCGTTCGATTCTCGATCCTATAGGTCTCCCCACATTGGATCAAATGCTATGTCTCTCTCGTGTAACAATTGCAACCGCAGGTAGGAAGAGGAGGAGAGTGATGTTTTCAAACCTGAACCTGATATACAGTACTGTCAGGTCTAATTGCACGGCTCAAGGATTACCTGATCATTGTCTTTATATTATCTCAACTCATCTCGCATCTCTCTGCTACGAATCAAAATATGGTTCTAGCATCAAAGACCATTATTCTCCATCTCTCCCCATCTGCCCGGAAGAGCCTGGAGCGTGATGACCCAAGCCGAGGTCCCTTTTTAGACATGGAGGATGTCATCCGGTGTGTTTAGCTGGGTTAAACCCTCCGTGTCACAAGGAAGTCCAGGTGAACTTGGAGCAAGGGTTGACTCCTCCTCCTCCTCAGGATCCGGAGCTCCTTGATTGAGAAGGTTTGCAACACCTAACACACATCCCAAGAAATTAGCAGCCAGCTCGTCCTTGTTTGGAAACATGTCAGTGTTGGACGCTCTCTCCCAACACTGGTATAGTATCTTTGTGTCACCAAGAGCCTCAATCTGAGTCCCATCTGCCGTCCATACTGTCAACTCGGGGAGATCGTTTGTCCAACCCAATTTGTCCTCATGAGTGCGAAATTCTTTCTCCCAGGCCGACAGGGCCTGCTGAAGTGGTACCATGTCTGGGTCCTTCTTGTCTGACATTGCATCAGCAACCTTTATAGCCTGTTCAATTACTTCTCCTGAAAGTCTATCAAGCTGGGTGCGGGCTAGCTGTTCCCACCTGTTGAAGAACAATGCTGTGCTCTCACGTGGTGAGTCGTTTAGTGTCAGGATCACGCGGTTACCACGGGTACCTTACCATGTAGTCGTACTCTTTTTTCCATTCCCGTCCCCGTCTCCATTCCCGCGTCCGGGCTTACTCCGTTCGCTACTACGCCTGGTACCATTTCTTCGACACCTCTACCCTTTTTTACATCTCCGTCTCGGTAACTATCATTGCTCTTCCTCTCCTATTCTACCTCGACTTCATTCCAAACTACGCATGCTCTCATCGGTATCATCCCGCTCTCTTTTTAGTATATAGACGTAGTCTTTTCTCAGCAATGTCTTGTCGAATGTATTTTGTGTTTTCCTAGTTATATCATTTGACATACATCTCATCGATCTTACAGATCTCTTCGATACACTACATCACTAGGTTTGTTCCCTACAAGGCCTCATTGTCACAGCTCATCGACGCAGACTATTCCGACGTCTGGTCCTTACATTTAGCCCGCGTTGGTGCAAGACGTATGTAGCCTGTTGCCAAGGAGGCAGACTTGCAAACATGTAGACATTTGTCTTAACCTCTGGTAATGTTGGCTTGGTATGCTCAAAGTTTCGAGACGATTCTTTTGTGAGGATTGGAGACCCGATGAAGTCAATAAGTGCTCTCACATCGTCATCTTCAACCTCCCTACTACTAGGGTCCCACTGATTCATCCGTCCATGCAGTCTCTCCACCACTTTCTGCTGATAGCTTGAAAGGTTGATTCGACGACCAAACTCTTCAAACCTCTGAAATGATGCTCTGCTATCCACTTGGGTTGAACTACCTGTCCTCACACTCGATTGTGTCAGGATCACGCGGTACCACGGGTACCTTACCTTGTAGTCGTACTCTTTTCCATTCCCGTCCCCGTCTCCATTCCCGCGTCCGGGCTTACTCCGTTTGCTACTACGCCTGGTTCCACTCATTCGACACCTCTACCCTTTTTTACATCTCCGTCTCGGTAACTATCATTGCTCTTCCTCTCCTATTCTACCTCGACTTCATTCCAAACTACGCATGCTCTTATCGGTATCACTCCGCTCTCTTTTTAGTATATAGACGTAGTCTTTTCTCAGCAATGTCTTGTCGAATGTATTTTGTGTTTTCCTAGTTATATCATTTGACATACATCTCATCGATCTTACAGATCTCTTCGATACACTACATCACTAGGTTTGTTCCCTACAAGGCCTCATTGTCACAGCTCATCGACGCAGACTATTCCGACGTCTGGTCCTTACATAAAATACATTCGACCTTACTTGTACCGAACAAGACCTAGGTGATTACCAACAACACGTTATCGGTTGTTAACAATGTCCCTTCCCGATTCACCCACCTTTGATCGCACATCTGTCGCAAATCTTCGCGATTTTCGACATGATCGTCGCACTTTCCAAGCTGAACTCCAAGAGATGCGTCAGCATCACCAAGAACAAAATCAAGTTATTATTCAGCTTCAAGCAGAACTTGCCGCTCTTCGAACAGGGCCGCAAGTGGGGAATCGTCCTGTAGAAGGACAAGGGACTCTCGAGAACCTGGGACAAGAACCTACAGTGCACGGGTTCTCTCCCAACGTGGCGGTAGTGGGTACAAACGAACCCAATCCGCATTCCAATCACTCTTCACCAAATTCCAACCACACGTCGTTGGATTTGAATGACACGTTGCCAGCTGTCAATCAGCAACGTCCAATTCATACTCAACCAATTCCAATTCCGACAAACGCACATCGGGGCCAATCACACCTCAGAACCCCATTTACTAGTACTCCATTCTCTCAGACTCATCCTGAACGGTTCAGACAGGGGACTTACGAAAGGCAAGGTGAACATATGAATTCCAACTACGACTTGTTGGGTTCAGACATAAGAAAGATTGATATCAAGACCCCCGACACGTTTCACGGGAACGGGGACAAGGTTGATGCTTATGTGGCTGAAGTAAGGCTTTATCTGGATCTTAGGGGAAGAGGCATGAACGATAGATTTAGAGTTTTGTGGGCGGCTAGTTATTTGAGGGGGAAAGCAGGAAGGTGGTGGCAAGCGTACTACGTCAAGTCGGAAAAGGACCAGCCAGAGTGGGCTTTCAACTTGAGCCTTTTCTTGGAACAGGTGAAAAGGATGTTTGGAGATCCTGATAGACACCGCTACGCGGTACAACGTCTAAAACGTCTTCGTCAAGACAAGTCGGTATCGGACTATTACTCGTCGTTCCTTTCAATTTCGGCTGATGTCGATTGGGATGACCGAGCACTCAAGGATGCTTTCGAATCTGGACTATCAACAGAAATTCGAGTAGCTCTCGCAAATCGGGAACACCAACCTCAAACTCTTAAAGAGCTTGCAGACGCTGCAATTAGTCTTTACGTTCATCTAGAAGGTGTCAAAACTTCTTATCAATGGAACAATAATTCTGGTGGACAGGGCAACCGTAACAAAGAAGGGGATAGACAGAGGACAAACACACCTAAAGGAAATCCTACTACGTCTTCTCCGAAATCTACATATGGTCAGCGCGATTCCAACAACCAGAATGTGAAGAAAACAGACTACAACAAGTCCAAATCCAACTCTAGTAGGAAAAGTCTCACCTACGACGAGAAGAAATACAGACGAGACAACGGGTTATGCTTATACTGTGGCAACGCTGCCACATGGCTAGCGCGTGCCCAGAAGCAAAGAAGAAACCACCAGTAACAGGGTCAAATAAAATCAAGCTGAACACCCTTACCGTAGATAATGGGTACCCTAGGAGGGAAGAGACGTTGTTGGAAAGGGAAACCTTGAAGGAGGAGACAGAGGAAACGAACCATGTCCACTTCTCGTCCATGGTCAAGGAATCAATGATTTCAACTACACCTAGTAGTATTCCAACCACACCCATCTCCGTTCCAAACAACAACCAATCACTTATCACAATTCCTGTTATTGTTATCGGTCAACCAAATGTACATTCCCGAGCCATGGTAGATAGTGGAGCAACAGTGGACTTTGTAGACGAAGGATTTATTGAACGTTCTCATCTCAAACCTACCACAAAGACCCAAGTCGAACGACTCCGTTTACCAGATGGCGCTACACGCCTTCTGACCAAGGAAATACGTCTTCGAATACTGTTGGGTGAAGGTTTTGAGGTGTACGAATCAACCTTCACAGTCACAAAAATCCACCCTGCCCCTATCGTCCTTGGGCTCACATTTTTGAACAAGATCAACCCAATTATCGACTGGTCAACACAGACTTTGATTCCACGCTCGTTGGAAACCAACAACAGGTTTCAATTCCTAAATATTATTAGCCCAGAAGCTTTCGATCAAGAGGTAGAACCTACCGATATTAGGGGTGCTGTTTACGCACGGACAGTACCAGAAGACGAAACAGAACCAAAGCAAATCGTACCAAAAGAATATTGGGACTATCTAGATGTTTTCTCTAAAGGAGGAGCAAATAAATTGCCTGAACATCGTCCTTTTGATCACCGTATACCCCTGGTTGAGGGGAAAACACCTACTTTTGGACCCATATATTCCCTCTCCCATATTGAACAAGAAGCTCTCAAAAATTATCTCGAAGAAAACCTGAATAAGGGCTTCATCACTCCATCAGAAAGTCCTGCTGGAGCTCCAATCTTGTTTGTTAAAAAGAAAGATGGATCTCTACGGCTCTGTGTGGACTATCGCAGACTGAATGAAATTACAGTCAAGAATCGTTACCCTCTACCCCTTATCGGAGACCTATTGGACCAACTTAAATCCGCCAACATTTATTCCAAAATTGATCTACGTGGTGCTTACAACCTACTACGCATAGCAAAAGGGGATGAATGGAAAACGGCTTTTCGTACAAGATACGGTCTTTTCGAATATAGGGTAATGCCTTTTGGACTCACGAATGCTCCTGCGTCCTTCCAACACCTCATGAACCACATCTTTAGGGATATGCTGGACAAGAACGTCATTATATATCTAGATGACATCCTTGTTTATTCCCCAGATATCCAACAACACGTTAAAGATGTCCGACAAGTGTTAGAAAGACTTCGTCAACACAAGCTGTTCGCCAAACATGATAAATGTGATTTTCATGTTCAAATGGTCGAGTTCCTAGGATATGTCATTCGACCTGGAGGGATAGAAATGGATCCGAAGAAGGAAAAGTCAATAAAAGAATGGCCTAAACCGAAAACGGTCAAGGAAGTTCAATCCTTTCTAGGGTTTGTTAATTTTTATCGAAGGTTCATTGCAGGGTTTGCACATATAGCTAAACCCCTACATGAACTTACCAGGAAGGGGATATCATTCTCATGGGACGAGAAATGTGACAAAGCTTTCGAAGAACTTAAAATTAAAGTTGGATCAGGACCAATATTACGGCATTTTGATCCAAAATTACCGTGCATTGTGGAAACCGACGCTTCGGATTATGCCCTTGGTGCAATCCTTTCACAGCATGAAGACAACGTACTACGTCCAGTTGCTTTTGCTTCACGAAGCATGGCACCGGCGGAACTTAACTATCCGGTGGCCGAAAAGGAGCTGCTCGCAATAGTATATGCCTTTAAGGAATGGCGCCAGTACCTAGAAGGAACCGAAGTACCGGTAGTAGTCCTTACGGACCACCAAAGTTTACAAGTTTTCCTTACCACGAAGCAACTCACAAGAAGGCAAGCTCGTTGGTACGAATTCTTGTCAGAGTTTAACTTTATTATCCAATACAGACCCGGCAAGCAGTCGACGAAACCGGACGCGCTGTCCCGCAGAGTCGACTACAGGCCGTTGGATGTTAAACAGACCTCATTATCTTCAGAACTCAATGATCATAATAACCATCCACTGCTTACCAGCGAACAACTACTTCTCTCCATGATCAAACTACAAGGGGACAAACATTTCGTGAAAACCCAGGAGGAACGGCGTCGAATTATCCAACATGAACATGGTGGAAAGGATGCTGGACACCCTGGTTGGAGAGTAACATTAAGAAAAATTAGCGAGTTGTGGTTTTGGACTGGGATGAAAGAAGATATTAGAAAGTATTGTGAAGAGTGCGAAATCTGTCAACGCACCAAAGCAAGACGTCAAGCCCCTGCTGGTTTCCTACAACCCCTAGAAGTACCCGGAAAACCATGGGCTGATATTACTTGTGACTTTATTGGACCTCTACCAAAATCAAACGATTTTAACTCGATCTTGGTAGTTGTCGATAGGTTGACAAAAATGGCTGTGTTTATTCCCACCGTTACCACTATAACTGCAGAAGATTTTGCGGAATTATTCCTCAAGAAAGTGTACACAAGATTTGGTGTACCAGACTCAATTGTGTCTGACAGAGGATCTTTATTCGTCTCTAGGTTTTGGAAAACCTTCAACACGTTGTTGGGAACGGACTTGAAGTACTCAACAGCGTACCACCCACAAACCGATGGACAGACGGAGAGAGTAAACCAATGGCTTGAACAATACCTTAGAATCTATGTCAATACGGAGCAAGATAATTGGAGCTCCCTTTTACACTTTGCTGAGCTATGCTACAATACAAACTGGCATAGCTCCATTCAGATGTCCCCCTTAAAAGCTTACTCAGGGCGGGACTATAGAACCAACATGATGCAGCCTATTTACGACAAGGCTACACCATTTCCTTCTCCACGTGCTACCGCAAGAGTTACAGCTCTAGGTAAACTTCAACAACGCCTAAAAGAAAACCTACAACGTGCTCAAGAAAACTATAAACACCAATACGACAAAAAACATAGAAATATTGTTTTCGACGTAGGTGACAAGGTTTGGTTGGACTCAAGAAACTTAAAATCGTTAAGACCCACAAGAAAATTGGATCACCGCTTCGTGGGACCATACAAGATTATCCAGAAAATCAATGATAATGCCTACAAGCTAGATTTACCAAAAGAGATGTTAGCAAATAAGATACACCCAGTATTCAACGTAAAACTACTTGCTAGATCTAAAGGACAAGTGATTGAATCAGAACCAGCCTTGGTAACTTCCAAACAAGACGTGGTAGAAGAGGAGGAAGACCTCTACGAGGTTGAAAAGGTGATAGGGAAAAGGAAAATCAGACTTCCTGGTCGTAACAAGGCCGAAGAACAACTTAAGATTGTCTGGACTGGATTCCCTGAAGGGGAAGCCACTTGGCAACCGTTGGAAACCATCAAAACCAACCCAAAAGTTATAGAATTCTTAAAGAATTCCAACAATTCGAGGATGGATTCCAACAACACGTCGTTGGGTACCAATGTACTTCATACAAAACGACACAGAAAACCAACTGCTAAGTTGCGTTTTGCTGAGACCCTTTAGGGGCTCAGCAAATAACAAATTTCAATAATACTTCGACATGACGAGAAAAGAAATGAGTAAAGAGGTAAAGAGAAGAGACGAGAAGAGAAGGAATCGAACTACACGACGAGGGGAACATTATTTGATAAGTAATGACACGTCATGACCACGTGGAATTCCTGACAACCATCAAATTCTCTTAACAACCATCACGATGACGTCGAGACGACGTCTACCGAAGGAGGGGAGTAATGTCAGGATCACGCGGTACCACGGGTACCTTACCTTGTAGTCGTACTCTTTTCCATTCCCGTCCCCGTCTCCATTCCCGCGTCCGGGCTTACTCCGTTTGCTACTACGCCTGGTTCCACTCATTCGACACCTCTACCCTTTTTTACATCTCCGTCTCGGTAACTATCATTGCTCTTCCTCTCCTATTCTACCTCGACTTCATTCCAAACTACGCATGCTCTTATCGGTATCACTCCGCTCTCTTTTTAGTATATAGACGTAGTCTTTTCTCAGCAATGTCTTGTCGAATGTATTTTGTGTTTTCCTAGTTATATCATTTGACATACATCTCATCGATCTTACAGATCTCTTCGATACACTACATCACTAGGTTTGTTCCCTACAAGGCCTCATTGTCACAGCTCATCGACGCAGACTATTCCGACGTCTGGTCCTTACAGATTGAGGGTGACTGCTTGCTTGCTCTGAAGGGTCTGCACTGTTGGATTTTGCAGCTTTGCTTCTACGCTTACCCGGTTTCTTTTCGGCCATGACGGTAACAGTGTTGATGCTGATGACGTGTCTACCTGTAGGTGATGATGAAGTGGCAAAAGGGGTGCTTGATGATCTCTTATAAGCCCTCTTCTTCATATATCATTGTCTTCTGGGGGTGAATTTGGTGGGAACAAGGGAAGTAGAGGGTGGACAGTGAACTTGCCTTCCCGGTCAAGCCAGATCACGCCCCTCCCTTCAGCGTCCGTGTGAAAACTCTCTCAGAGGGGATAACAGAGAGTTAGAAAGTTATTCAGCCAGTGACCTATCATAAGAAAGGCTATCCGCTCCCTTGTCCTCAACATAGCCCCTTTGGGGGAGGGGGGGGGGGTGGGGGGGGTAACAAGTTATGCTGGGAAACAGAAAGGGGGAGATCTTGTTGCAAATTGATATTTTCACCGTTTTTGGCAGGTTATTCTCAGGCATGATTACAACACTTAGTAGGTGGTATCTTATTCCAAGCATTGAACCCTCTCCAAGCATTGAAGAGGGTTCAATACGCTAAGCTGAGTTAATATGAGCCTTTTGTGATCCGGTCATGACCTCGGTGCGAGATTCGTAGAGGTAGTCTTTCTCATCTTTCTCATATTTCTCAGATCTCTCGTGTTCCTCGTTGTTCTCAAATCTCTCAACTTATCAGAGGAGCATCAATCAGTATCAGGATATCGGTTTCCCGACTCTTTCCTTCCTTGGCTCCAAATCTTTGGAAACTCGAGCAATCCGTAGATTGTTCAGTTGTGTTCTTGTAATCCGTGGGACCCCTTTCGTCTTCCTCCCGCCGATATCTCTTCCAAGATGTGCATACGGTTTGATCTATCACCTTCCACCTTCCTCTCTCATCTTTCATCTACCTCTTTCCGTAAATAATCTCGAAATCCCTTCATACCTCCCGTCTTTGGAAATGTAAAAAGAAGCATAGTAGAAGTGACATCAACATCAAATCACTCATTTACCAAACTCCCTTCCGTCCACATACTCACAAAAACCCCAAACATTTCCTCCCATCTCTCATCCCTTCTATCCATCCAACCGAGATTTATAAGACCATCCACGTTCATCCCTTTCAATTCTTCCGAAACCCCTTCTCTCTCTTGTACCTCATCTATGAAACTATCTAACGCTCCAAGACCTCTGTGACAACTTTGTCCATTTTGAATCATTTCCATCCTCACATTATCTAGCCCGTCTGAGAGATCTCCATAGGTCTGTCCCAATGTCCTACAGAACTCGGCTAATGATTCCTTGGTATTATTCCATACATCCTCCTGGATCTGTCCCGTGAGGACACTCAGACCTTGTTCAGTTTGAATCCAAGACTCGTTGAGTTTGGTGATATCTTCATTGGAGAAGTATTGACTTGTGTTTGTGCGTTTCAGGGATTTTCGAATTTCGTGTCTTTCTCTAAAATCATGAAATGAACCTGATTGTAAGGGAGCAGTGGAAACATAGACAAAACCTTTTATTGGTGCGGGCGAATAGACATCCTGTTCTTCCGTGAACAATTGAGGTTGGTTGTAAGTTACAATGGAAGTTTGTTGGGAAGTGGTGGAATGACTTTCATGATGTTCTCTCCTCCGTGGCATGTTGGTTTACTCTTCAATTGGGTGTTCTATTGCAGTATAATAAGTGATCAGGATTATCCTGGTAATTTCTACTTGTTATTTGACGATCGGATGGTGGTAGTTGATGGAAAAGAGAACATGTCGCGGATCATCACCATCGTATCGGTCGGACTTTGACGTGGCGGACACTCCGCACTCACATGCACTGGAGGGGAACAGCTGTTCTTGCCTCTATGGGTTCCCATCGCAAGCTGCTATAGATGAAATAATCGCTAGGCAGCACGCCCGAGATGGGCATTATCAACTCAGACGATTTTCAATGACAGCTGAAGCTCACCCCGCATACGAGGGAAGAAGGGAACGGTCTTCATCATTCTGCTCATCACGTACAGCGGTTAAGCTGAGACGTTTCAAACGGTACATAACTAATGGACAAATTAACGAATTAGCGAGTTCATGGGGTTTTGCACTGGTGCCAAATTTGTACAGGGTGATCACGAAACCATTTGTTTTCGACTCCGTTTGAATTGTCAAACGCGACTTCCTTTTCCTCTGATGCGATGAGGATTCGCCACGATCGCCACAGTGCCACACTGTCACATGTCACATGCCACATGCTGCCACGTGCCGCACGCCAGTCACCACTTGCAAAGTCAAAACTAGGACATTCAGAGTACTTTCACATAGCTGTTAACATCCGATTCTACTCATCCCAAGTCAGCTTTGGTTGGGTTGTAATCATGCACAAAGATACATCGTCAAGGGATCATTAATGTCTCTGTGAAACCAGATAGCCGCTTCCATCATCATCCCGTCCCATTCAAATCATAAGAATTATGGAACCAATTGTATGTCCCGTCCCAGCGGAAAAAAGAATCGATAAACACAGCTATAATCGATGTCCAGGTACCAGTATGAACAAGACGGAGAGACCTGCCGTCAAGGCTAAAGCCAAAGCTTCTACCCATAATGCTCGGATGGCATGTATCTTCCAAACGAATCGTTCACGCACACGGATGGTACGGAAGGGAGATGTCTCGGCGCGGGAGAAAAGGAAGAGAAGGGGGGAATGATCGTAGTATGCCGGAACGAGGAGGTTCCAAGCTACAAATAGGGGTAAGATGATCTGAGATCAGTTTGAGCCTTAGAGCCGACCAATGTCAAGGACGACCACATATCTCGGCCTCGAAAGCCGGGACGAATTGCGCCCAATAGGCTAAAGAAAGAGAGAGAAAGATCACCCACCCATAATCTGGTATGTCTTGGATAGTCCAAAAAGATGAAGCTGAAAGCAAGCACGAAAGCCCCCCACAAAACTGCAAATCCTGCAATCAGACGTATGATCCCTCCTGCCTTGGTAAGATTGCAAAAAGATTTGGCGCGCAAGAAACGAGGGAAGTAATCGGCCTCCATGAGTTTGTAGATATACTGTTTCTGTGCGTGGAAGAGATCGGGGATCAGAGGTGAAGGATCGGATCCGTTGGTCATTGGGAAGTTGTCCATTCTCAATGAGGGCCTATTCTTCAGCGTTCTCCTGTGCACGGAAGCCTGTTGCCCAGACAACAAAGGAAGATAGACATGCCACTCACGGTAAATAAATCTCTCTCTCCGCTCCAGGCAATAGATACCTCAGATATATTCTCTCTGCTCCATCTACCAAAGCAGCTTTCTCAATTGCCCTATCCCTCGGTATTACAACTGGGGCTTTACTATTCCTCGACGCCCATTTATTCCTGATACTCATTCTGCTAGCCGTGCCTTGCTCTCTGCTTGGTCCCCCTGCACCTATGACTCCGTGCTCGTTCGTCGAGTCGTGCGTCTTGAACGACATCGGATCGCTTGACCTGAGATCGGAAGGTCTAGAAGGCATAGTGGGGGACGAGACGGGAGGAACGAATGTGGGGGAGACAGGTGAGACCAATCTTGGAGGATCAAGATCGCTCGATCTACGGGCGGCACGGGGAGATTGTGTAATGCCAGAGTTAGGATTGTTAGGTTCTTCTCGGAGCGCCAGTAGAGGGGAAAAGTGGGAACCGTTTTCTCGTGCGTAGTTGGCATATTCTGGCCAATCTTGGTGAATGGAACGACCGGATCTGCGCAGATCCTAAAAGTCAGCTCTGAGTTTGACTCCATGTCATAGATCCCTTCAGAGAATATTGGTACGGTTTATGGTCGAGTGAAGGCTTCGCCAGCCGACGCCGATTCAAACATCTGCCAATCGATGATGTGGGGGAATGAAGCGGAGAGGGGGTCACAAAACTGACCTTGAAGTACGCTTTACACAAGTTCTCATGCTGTTGCACATCAAGCCAGAAGTCTAGTCCATCTTGACATTGAATCGACTCTAGCCATATCTATTTTTCCAACAATGACATCGAACGTTTTTGCGATACATTGATAAGGCGTAGAAGGGATCAGGGCGTTGAAGGGTGTAGTAAACGGACAGCATTGTATCAGCAAAAAATCATCACGAAGAAGTACCCCACTGACCCAAAAACAAAAGAGATCAAGAGGAGCGCGAGTCCGTCTGTCCAATACTTCTTGAAGGGTAGGTAAACGGTTGAGTTGAAGGTATCTCGGTGCTTGTCGGCGTGGTTCAACGCCGGCTTTTTCGTCCATCACTACGGTCTCAGCCGATTATGTTTAGCTTTTCGGCACAGGGTTTTCTACTGAAATTCGGGTAGAGTTATGCGATAGATCTCACAGTGAGTGTGTATTTAATGAATGTAAGGAGATAGAAGGGAATGAAAGACGAAAGAAGATGTTGATGTATGTTGAACGGTCCAAGCGTTTGTTTTTCGCTGGCACGCGTCCGGTAGGTGAAACATTATGACGTGGCATATCATACAACTCGTTATCAATCCTCAAGTTTCGTTCAACCGTCTTTCAGCCATCAACCATCAGTTTCTCTCTCTCACTTTTCACTCTATCATCCTTCATCTGGCTAAGGTAATCGTCGTCATAAACAGCTCAAGGTGATAACCGACGAAGAGGGTCAACTTCGAATCCATGAGATAGCCCAGACTCGTCAACGGCGACCGAGGAGGGGTCGAAAAACAATCCCATCATTTCATCCTTCCGCCCAAACCATCCATAAACATCTACTTACGGGTGTGAGTCGAGTGGCAAGGACAGACAAAGGTCTGACCAAGACGATCATGTTTTTCCTCGTTCGTATCCTCTGTATCAATAGCGCAATAAGCGCTAACGCTGTGTCTTTGGTTTTGTCTTTGTGACACCCAAATGTCCATTTGATTCGGATGATAGAGAGAATTGACACATACCATCCTACTTCATCCATCTTATTTCGGATCTCAATTAGAGGAATATCTTCGACAAAAACTTTATGAAGATGTTGAAGGTACTTGCAGTGGGAAATATGGGTGAGTCGAAGTTTCTTTGATATTTCAAGGATTTTACAATATTAAGGGGAAGAGGGGACAAGAAAACTGATATTAGATATATAATCTCAGTGATTACCATAACTTCGATAGGTGAGGGAAAAGTACTCCCTGGAACTGGACAAGCTAGGTTTAAAACTACTTATACCGCTATTGTGATGAAACCTTTCAAAGGTGAGGTTGTGGATGGTCAAGTTGTCAATGTCAATAAGGTGAGTTTGAATTTGATTCTTTCATCATACCACTTTTCACCCTTCCTCCCCTTCTTTAGCGCTCTACGTGGCTGAGTTTTGGTATTGAGTATTATTCGATGACTCTTAAGAGAAATGAATCGTGAGGGTGCGATTGCAAGTCAAACAACATGACCAGATTGACAGAATTGGAGGACTTATGTGTAGATGGGTTTCTTCGCTATGGTCGGACCACTCCAAGTTTTCGTTTCCTCTCATGTGAGTCTACTTTTCCTACTCCGCACCCTCCCTGGCCCACATTTGCCTCTCACTCTATGTTCTACTTTCTCCTTGCCTCGGTACGCTTGATACAAACCACCTAACACTCCACACCCACCATAATGATGAACACGAAGCATAGGGACAACAGATCTTTTAAGAAATGTTGATTTATGCGGGAAAACGATCTTGTAGTAATTGATCGAATATTTCTGAATCTTATCTCTTGTCCACTCTATCCCAACACCTAAACTCTTCCAATCTTACATTGCTCCCCTTCCCCCTCTCTCCCAAAAGTGGACCTTGAATGGATTTTCCTGGATCAAATGAAATGCACACAAAGAAAAGTTGATGAGAAACTCATCATCAGCTAGTACATGCAGATATGAAATTCGATCCGAATGCTTCCCCACCATGTTATCGTTCAGCAGATGAGGTAATACAGAAAGATTCGAAAGTTAGGATGCAAATTGTTGGTTGTCGAATAGAAGCGAATGATATTGTAAGCCACTATTTCATCTACTTGTCCTCTTTATCTTTGACTATTCCTCATTATCTCCACATATCATTTTCCTCGCTATCACCCTTCCTTCCCCTTGATCCATTAACCTCACATATAAGTCTCTTCTTGTGCCATCATAAATATCATGCCTGTTGTTCCAGTACGAAGACTCGGATTCACTAAATGCTTTCATGTCCGGATAGGTCGAGGGATTGTGTTGATAAGTAGTTCGCAATAGGTACTATCAAAAAAGATTTCCTGGGTCAGATTAGAGACGATTAACTGGGTTCATCCTTTCTACATATATTCCAATCTCCTATCCTCCGTCATCATCCTCTCTCCAATCGTCAACCTCTTATGTCTCTTCCACCGTTTCTCTTCCTTCCCATCTCTCTTCCTTCCCATCTCTCCGTCTCTCTTTTTTTCCACCTCTCTACCTCTCCAATTAGTCTTTTACCTTGCTATGCCAATATGCAAAAAGAACGTATCATTTCCATACCCCTTTCTGACCAAATAACCAGCGCATTATATTTCTCGAAAATGTCTTGATCAACTAAGAAGCAAAAGCCAAAGTCAAAGGCAGCATGCATAAATATCTATCTAAACGTCAAGTGACGAAGAGAAAGCAGAACGCCTCAGCTAGATCGTGGACCTTCCACATGCTTCTTCTGCAAAAATTGTACTCGACAAACCCGATCGTCGAACATTGACAATTGCTACACCAGATGCAACATGCATAGCTACAAATAATTTGTCTCATCTAATGTTTGAACGATCCTCTCAAAACCCGTTCTGAGTAGAATAACCTCATTCAGTTCCATGTCTTTCTTTCCGAACTCTATAAATTTCAAATGGGAACACCTACTCATGAACTTCTATGTTTATTTTCATCTTCTCCAAACTCCCACATACTGTATCTATATCCCATCCTGGTATCCAAATCCTTATGGCTTTTTGATCGATTACCTTTATCAAGAGTCTGGATTGTTTATCCTCCATGTCTGAATCGAGATGTCTTTCTTTAAGGTTACCCCCCCCCCCCTCTCACAAACAATCAACATGAGAGGAGATTTCATGGTAAATGAAAGAATTTAGATGATACAGTATTTCCCTTACCCACTTGCCAACTCTGATATCAATTGACAAGCCATTTCTAAGAAATGGAAAGGACCTGAAACACCTCCTATACTTCCTCCGTTCCCCTCTCCACTCCCACTGTCACTTTTATTCTTTTTCTCCCCTGTATCAGGTGAAGTCCCAGTCGACACGTTCTCTGGTTTAGGCCCACTTCCACTACCACCACTACCACTACGGGATGAAGAAGTTTGTTTTGGAGATTCTATAGGTTGATCAATTTCCGTAGATGGGGGATCTATAGTTTCGTCGATAATGGGATTGGGTAATTCTTTGGTATCAGGTTTTGTTTGAGGGGCTGAATAATAACCTATATTACGGAAATCGACCAAGTAATTTTCTTGATCAACACGATAAAGTTGAAGATCCATTCTTACCTGATAGTCAGCGAATGTCATTTTTGCTATCACGTTCTGATCTGCACGGGAACAATCTTACAGAATGGGATTCGTAAGGGCGAAACTATAGGCCAAAAGGTGAGGGTCAAATAGGGAGATTGGGTGAGAACAAGATCCACGATATGTCTGAACGATGAGGGGGGAGGATAACAAATGGGGAATGACAATATGTCGATCAAGTGAGGAGGGAAATGATTTGATATGATCAGTGAAGTGATGAATGGACCCACCATGATACTCCCGTACCTCGCACGAGTCTCTACTAAATACAAACCCTGAGCAGCTTTCTCCTGAGCTTGAACTTCCTTCTTTGGAGGTGCTTTTCTACCCATAACTAAACCTTCACCATTCACATCTTTCCATTGTTCTAACATTTGTTCAACTTCTTCTGAATACCCACCAGGAGGAGAATTTCCAATTTCAGGCATACCTATACCTTCTTTCTTTTTCCATTGCATACCCAATGTTCCAAGGGTACGATAAATCTCCAACATGACTTCCATTGGTGGTGAACGTGAACGGATACCAAAATGCCATTTTGGTTTTTGAGGTGGTTTGACGTCAAGGGTTGGGACAAGTGGATAAGATGATGGAGAGTTGATTTGAATGGATCGGATTGTACGTGTCGCAGGATCTGGGATGGAGGTGGGGGAGGTATCGATGGGAGATGGTTTGAGAGGTTCTGAAGATTCAGGAGCGATGAGTGGGGTGATGGAGCCTATTGAAGGTGCTTTGCGTTAACATACTTACCCCATACTTGCAACATTTGAGACCTGTTGACATATATATTCTTTGTTGTGGGAAGGAGAGGGGGAGGGGAAGAGGGAAGAAAGGGGATGGGAAGAGGAGGTGAAGGGGGGAGAAGGAATAGAGGGGGACAGAAGGGTTTTCAGATCAATGGTAAGATGAGGGATGAGATAAAAGTAAGAGAGAACGTACGGGTTTGAAACCCAGGTAAAGAAGAATCTAAAACGTCGAAATGGGCATTGGGAATATCTTGTATATCATCCACGTCTTCTTCCAAATCTAATTCGTCGGATCCTTCCATAGGATACGGCTTGACATTCTGGGTTTGTCAATACAGAAATTGACCAAATAATTGACTTACGTGCATATCAGCATTCCAGGCAGGTGGAGAAGATGCCATGAAATCTTCCATCGCACCTGCCGTTTCATCATCTTCAAAGCCACTCATCGCTAAAATGAGTCAGCATTGACCTATTGAAGCGGGCAAATTGGATCAAAGTACCAAAATGCAGGTTATAGGCATTTAAGGTGACCGGAGACCAGATCATGACGTCCACTTGAGAGAAGACAAAATTTGACAAATAAACTCACAATCCGCTAATATCCGTTTATGATCCCTCACCAATTGATAAGCCACTTTAACTTGGTTATCACCTTCTTTCTGCAAATCCGCCCATACCATCTCTTCTGTATATGTTGTGATTTTGGACAACAACTCGCTCACGATCTCCGGATCCACAATCCCTAGATCTTTAGTCCAAACTAATCCTTTCTGCTCTGCTATTTTCTTCGGATCCGCCCTACCTTCACTCATCATGAGTAAAGTATTCAAATCGTCCATCGGTAAAGTTGGATATCTTTCAATCTCCGGTAATGGTTGTAAATATCTCGGTAAGTCTTGTTGAAAGAAAGGCATCTCTCGGATTTCCGCGATGGTGGCTCGTTTGACTGGGTCGACATTGAGCATACGTTCGAGCAAGTGTACAGCTCCGGGAGAGAGATTCGAGGGGATACGGAAATGTCCAGATTCAATCTTTTTGAACAAAGTGGGAATGTGGTCGTCGTCGAATGGAAGTTTACCGCAGAGTAGGACGTACATGATGACGCCTGCTGACCAAACATCGATCTCTGGGCCGGAGTATAGTCTGAGATCAGTATCGCGAACTCTATCTTCCATACTCGCATAACTTGTAGCGGGTTTGTGGAGCAATGTGAGGAAATCGTAGATAAGGTGAAAGGAAAAGCAGACTCACTTTCCAGAAATAACCTCTGGTGCGGCATAGTTTGGACTACCGCATGAGGTTTTGAGAAAATCACCGTCCGTCATTAAATTGGATAAACCAAAATCGCCAATCTTGATATTATGTCTCGAGTCCAGGAACAAGCTATCACCGTCAGCTCATTTCACATATCCTTCCCCTTCGCTCGGCTTTTAACAGAGCCGGATGAACATGTGACGACGTACTTTTCCGGTTTCAAATCGCGATGAACTATATGATGCCGGTGGCAATACTCTATAGCACCTATCATTTGTTGAAAAAATCTTCTGGCTTCATCTTCGCTCATCTAATCGTCAGTCACCATTCACTCTAGAGTAGTGCACTTGGCCTTCCTTTGGACCATGATAACCGGATGATGTGATGAAAATACACTCACTCCTCCCTTGCCTTTCGAAACTATATAGTTGAACAATTCCTCGCCGGCATATTCCATGACCATGATAACATCTGTGGGAGTGGTGATAACTTCATACCTATTTGTTGTGTCAGTTCGAACGACACCTTCGGATGATGTATGACATACAATTTGATGATGTGAGGGTGACGAAGCACCTTTAGATATTGAATTTCCCTTTTGACTCTGGCGTTCATATCGGGCGTTGTGATCTTTGAACGGTTTATCAATTTCAAAGCTACCAAATGACCCGTGATGGCATGTGTCGCGACTATTTCTCAGCTCATCATCAATTGGGCGTGGGAGTTAGAGGGCGTCGAGAAGAAGGGAAAGTGAAGGTGTTAGAAAAAGAACAAAGAGAGGGAAAAGGAAAAGAAGGTGGACTGACGTTTGACTTTTCCAAAAGTACCAGTACCTAGTGTACGACCGATGATGTATTGACCAACTTTAGCCTGCTTAGGAGGACCATGAGCATAACCTTGAGGGTGCTTCCTAGCCATGTCGATGGGTCGTCTGCCCGGAGCTGGTGGAGCTGGTCTGGTGGCCATTTTGAGTATCGGTCTTTGGCTGTTCCGTGCAACGTGTGACGGTGTACGATGGAATGAGACTAGTCGCACCGAGGGAAGGTCATGAGGATGTCTAGGTAGTAGTTGATGGCAAGTTGTATGGGTGGGTGGGTGAGTGAGTGAGTGAGAAGAGAGGGAGAGGGAGAAGTAGTCCTATTCATACGCATGACTATATACTCCGGCCGCCACCAAAGTTACCCAAAGTGGCAATTCTCTCACTCGAATGTGGACGGGCAGACGACTCACTCTACCTGCTACTGCTACTCTATCCAACCATACCCTGCTAACCTCGCATCCTTACATCCCTCCATCACCTATATCACAACTCGTAACTCTTCATCATGGGTAACACTCCATCCAATAGCAACTCTCCTTCACGTTCAAATTTAGATCGTCCTTCTCCCAATGACAGACGTTCTTCCTCTCGTCAACCCAACCTTCGTCTACCCATGCCATCCCGTCCTCCTTCTTTATCCCCAACTTCCTCCAATCCTACCTCTCCATCCGGTCGATCCAACTCTCCGAGAAGGAGGAAATCATTAGAATTACCAGATCTCAACAGATTAGCTTTCACTCCTGCTGCAGCACCAGTAGTGACCATAGCCACTCATACTTCTCATCTTCAACCTACAGGACATACCAAACGCCCTTCCGACGTAGCAGCCACCAGCGTTCCATCACGTTCCGGTTCAAGACGATGGCCCGCGGGTTTGGGAACTCGTTCCCCATTAGGTGGGATGGGATTAAGTCCTATGTCGAAACTCGATGCGAATGCCCCTATGAGTGCACCGGTTGTAATGCCCAATCCAAGTGTCAGTCCTTCTCGTGCGACATCAACATCGGATAATCCTTTCTTTCCCACTTCACCATTGTCGAAAGATTCAGATGGTAGAGGTGTTAGTCCGAATAGAGCAATGCCGATACCTATTCCTGGGAAAGGGACAGACAGTGGTGTCAGAAAATCTCAAATGGCAAATCTTACTCCACCAAGAAGTGGAATGACTGCACCTGAAAAGTCGACGACGCAAACGCCTTCAGAACCAGTAGAGGAGGAACAAGCGAATGATGGTTTGGTGGCTGTACCTATACAATGGACACAGGGAGGGAGAAACGTATTTGTGACGGGTACTTTTGCGGATAATTGGAAAAACAGGATTCCCTTACGAAAAAGGTGAGTACAGATTGTTTAATCATCTCTCGTTGTTTCTTCTCGCACCTTCCTTCATGTCTATATATCTTATCCTTTCCTTCATCCTGCGATTACTCCCCTACCAAGTATCGACATTAACGTGGACAAGTCTTAGTATTGAGAGACACTGGACATCAACTGACTTTCCAGCACACACGACTTCAACACTGTCCTTCGACTTGCTCCAGGAGAGTATCGCCTTAAATTCATAGTCGATGACGGATGGAGATGTTCTAAGAGTATACCCACCGCCACCGATTCCGATGGAACATTAGTCAATTACATCGAAGTGGAACCTCTGAAAACGGTCGAAGATGAAAAAGCTGAGTGGGCCATGGCTGTTAAACCGACGATAAAAGAAGAAGATGATTCAAAATGGACAAACATTATCCCACCTTCTTTAACACTATATCAATATTTGGAAGAACTACCTTCAACTTTCACCTCTAGAGAAGCTGCCAATTCATATTTCCAATCAGTACCTTATCTCTCTCCCGTACCTCAACCACCCATGTTACCTAGGATCTTAGAGAGGGTGATCGTGAATGGAGAACCTAGACATCCGGATGATCCAAGAGGGACAGGAATGATAGCCAGTCAGATGCCGGCTGGTCATGATGATAATTCTATATTAGCAGTACCAAACCATGTGGTTTTGAATCATTTGACGGCGAGTGCTATAAAGAATGGGACGTTGGGAGTTGGGACAACGACACGATATCGACAGAAGGTGAGTACAAGTTATCTTTCTCCCCACTTTACCCTCACAACAATCGTCGCTCGTAGATGTCTTCATTTCACATGAAACATCACTGCCATAAACAGGTCATGATGATCCTGTTCACCAGTACATGTATGCTTCCGTCATTGAACTTTTTTCAATCATCGTCGTGCTTGCTACATCAATTATCATATAGAGTAAAGTGACTGGAATGCATTGCTGACCAATCAGTATATAACGACAATGTTTTTCAAACCCACACAACAAGATCTTCATCAAGATCAAGTTACACCAATGTGATCATATTTTAGCAATTGACCAAATCATCAACTCAGTTTCATCCCGAAACCTCAATAATCATTTTTTTCTTTCCAAATGCCAAGACTCGAGCACTGCGGCGCGGTTCATCGTCTTGGCTTTTACCTCCCTCCGAATTCATCTAAAACCTTAGAGTTATGGTCAAAGTATGCAATCCACAATTGTAGCTTTTGTTCTCACAGTCCATGCTATTGATTTGCTCATGAAATACCAATGTACGGATAGATGTTCAGTTGAATAGATTTATGTGGTTGAGAGGGACACGTGGATTGATGACGACTTTCATCCACACCGCCTTTCTTACTTGTCCTCCACTTACTTACTTTGATAATCGTCTTCCAAGTTGTTCATTGATTGAACTCTTCTTCTCGCACATCCCAATCCCTCTCTTACTTGCTGCGCAACCGCGTGAGCGAAACCTGACACAGTGATCTGAACTGTACGTTGGGTAAGGTGCGCTGTAAAGAAAGAGTGAAATTTGTGTCCGATCGCGCGTGATCGTACGCTGCTGTGCTCTACCCAACCATCAACCTTACTTCACTCTATCTCCTTTGTCCCCTCCCTATAACACCTTGTCTTCTACCTCACTTCTCTCATCCTTCTTTCACTCTATTTACTCCAAGGGGGAGTGTCTGACCTCTATACTCTATCGATATTCCGTCACGTCGTTACATCCCCGAAACGGTAACCTATTGAAACAAATCACGGGTCACGTCCAAAGTGGAAGTGAACTTGGACATCTCGATAACGACCAACTACTACTGTCTCAACATCTCCCCATCTGTTCAATTGCTGGCACAGCCCACATCTAATTAATCTTCCATATCTGAGGCCCGTCACAAATCTGCTCCCTTACATATCTCCATCTACATCTCACATTTGACCATCCAGCAGGTCCTCAATACTTAATATCCACGCACATAAGAGCTATCTCCACCTCCACATACAGTACCTTCTCTTCTCGACAATCTCATCCATTACTGTCGACCTTCCACACAAAGACATTTATTACAGAATATACGTAAAACAAGATGAAACGTCTTTTTCGAACATCTAAACCTACTATCGAACCACTTCCACCACCCTCTTCAGCACCTTCTTCCCCTCAACCCCGACGACTTCCATTAGAAGAAAAACGTCATCATTTTCATCATTCTTCCAATACCATTACTCCTTTTCCACTTGATGCTGGAGTTAATCCTGTACCTTCACCTACACCTCCTCCTCCACCTGGACAGGTAAAGCCTCCAGACATACCTCCCAACGTCAATGTCAGTCCAGAAGGTAGAAAAGGTAAACAAGCTGGTTTGGTGGAGACTCCCCAATCAAGCTCTAAATATGATAACAGTCCCAAAAACGGATTACCGAGAGATATGAAGTACGAAGGAAAGAGAGGTGATTCAAGGGATATAGACAATCAAAGAGCTAAGGAAGGAAGAAGAGTAGAGAAACAAAGAGGTATGAGTGTGGATAGAACGGGTGTACCAAGTCCAGATGGTTGGACAATGATTTCACCATTATCAAAACCACTCGCAGCACCTGATTTTCCACCAAATACGAAATTCCCTTCTATTTCAGATTATCAAGATACTCATTTCATACAACCTCAACATCATACAAATTCAGTTTCACCCGGTTCTTTGTATTTACCACCAGGAGCAAGACCACCTTCTCCTCCTCCTCATATAACTCGAAACGGTTTATCTTCAATATCATCACCACAACCAATCCAAAATGTCCCTATCATGCCATTACCAATGACAGGTGGTGGGGATATAGAAAGAGAAAGTCAAAGACGAGATAGAGGTTATTCAAGCGCATCATCAGGAAGATCAGATGAAGTAAATAGAATCAAACCTCAAAAAACATCACGTAGTCCTTTTGTTGTGGCAGGAGAGAAATCTAGGAATCCTTTTAATTCGAATATATCAGAAATTGAGGAGAAGAAAATAAATAGAAATCCTTTTGATGATAAGTTGGATGAATTTCGGAAAACGGAAATTGGTATGGGACAATTAGAAATGCCAATTCCCACTATAATAGGACAACAGGCTTTTCCTAATCCTCATCCATTTGGATCTCCCGTGAAAGGTTTACAGAGTCCTTATTCTCCAGCGTCGGACGATACGATTCCAGCCAGACCGTTCGAGGATCAGAGGGATATGAAATCACCAAAGTTTCCCGAACCGAGAGAGATACGAAGTCCCAGGAACATGGAACAAATGCAGATATATCCGAGGGATTTGAGGGAAACGCAGAATAGAGATGTCAGAGATACTAGGGAATTGAAAGAACCTAGAGAATTGAGAGAGCCCAGGGAATTGAGAGAACCCAGGGATATCAGAGAGCCCAGGGATATCAGAGAAACAAGGGATATGAGAGATCCTAGGGATATTAGAGAACCCAGAGATATGAGAGAACCAAGGGAGATCAAAGAGAAGGAAGTTAGAGATGTGAAAGAACCAAAAGAGAAGGAAAAGAAAAAGTTTTGGGGAATGGGATGGGAAAAGAAAGAAAAGAAAGATAAAGTAGACAAAAACAAGGAGAAAGAATTTGAAGAATTCGAACCTCGCGCAAGTACCGATGGAACTGTTGAAGGCAGTGCTTTAGGACATCCAAGTTCGACAGGTCATGGTCATGAAGAAAGAGGTAGGTTATTAGGATTAGACTTGGGAAAATTTAGGGATATCGGACAATCGGATAGTGTCACTGTCGCTATTCGTGAGTTCGACCTTTGACTCTCCATTTCACCCCTGCAGCTTCACCTAAACTGTGAAACCCGGTTTCTTTCAAATTTATGTGTGACCCTCTATACATCCGTACATCAATTTCACAAACATTGAATTCTACAAGTGTCATGAACTGCAATAGTCTTGAAACGGTTCATTCATGTGCAAATACAAATCAGATCAGCTAATTATCAGAAATACTCTGTTCCAACCCCGACCCCTCCCTCGCTAACATATACGACATCATCGAACGTATCAATCATTCTCAATCAGCTGATTCAGTCGCTAAAGAAACTTCTAGAGCAATACGAAAACAATTCAAACATGGTAATGAATCCGAAAGAAGGGCAGCGGCGAAAATTTGGTTGATTATGATGCGTAATGTATCTATCAAAGGTTTTAAAACACACGCTACAAGTAAAAAGTTTTTACAGTCTTTAGAACCAATCATATTGGCTTCACCCACACATCCTTTGGTTTCCGCTTCCACGCATAGGATGATAACGGATATATTGGCGAATTTGGTTTATCAATATGGTGGTGAGAAGGGTTGTGAAGGTTTAGGAGAATTATGGGGGAAGGTGAAAATGCCTCAAGAACCTGATATTGTGAGTGGAATTACTCTCCTCTCTTATATCTAGCTCCTCTCCTTCATATCCCACTTCCAGCTTGGATCACTTCTTACCATCGAATGTCCTCCAGAACAGCTTCAATTCACTGGCCTGGTATGCTTGATGGAGTCTTTCGGAGCCACATAACATATAATCGATGACATGGGGAAACCTCTAGGATCATATACAACCCCAAATAATACTAAAAGGGTACCAGACTTGATAGACAAGGAAAATATGACGAAAGGGTAATAACTAATTTCCAGGGTGTTCCACTCCCTTCTGATCATCCTCTCTACACACCCGATACTCAACAATTAACTCGTTTCCCCGATATCTCTTATACTTCCCATCCCACCCCTCCACATTCTCATCCAACTTCAAGACGAGGTTCAAGTCCTCATCTTCAACATGTAAACGGTCGAACACAAACGAGTTACTCTGGTGTCCCCACGTATCCCGGGTACGAACATTTGACTAATCATGAAGAAGATATGAGAAGGTTAGTAGATGAATGTGCGGCTGCGAAGGAGAGTGCGAGAGTTTTAGGAGAAGCTTTGGTCTATACTAGACCGGAGGAATTGGAGCATAAACCTGTGGTGAGGGTGAGTCGAACGGATCCTTTCCTTGTCTATCTTTCTCCCCTGCTTTCTCTCGCCTCTCTTACCATCATCGGATCATATGGTCAATGGTCAATCACGCGACTCTGCTTGATCTTTTTCTAGTCGGCATTCACCATTTCTTCTCTAACTCGCGACTCAGACTTCTCCTGCTTCACATTGACGACCTTTTCCTGTTTGCTACGAGTTGAGTATCAGCCATATTAACTCATGATGATCCCACTGGGTTTCATGTCCTGGGAGAGAGATTCGACCGGATGGAATAATCAGGTCTACGATCTATCGCACATGAATCACCAGTGTAAAATATATGGATATGACGTGTGATATGCAAAGGATAGGCTGACTTTTACAGGAATTCTACACCAAATGTTTCCACGCACATGAATCCCTTACCAACCAAATGGATTGGGCTCAAGCAGAAGCTTCCCGATCACGAGAAGGGAATCCAGATCAAGGTAGTACATCTGAAGAACGTGCTTTGGCATCTCTGTTCGAAGCTCATGGTCTGCTGAGTGAGGCATTGAGACAATATGATGATTTGGAAAGGATGGCTGTGGATGAGAAAGAGATGAGGGAGGTTAGGGAGAGAAGTAAGAAGGAAACGAGGTTGGATAGGAATGTAAGTTATATCTGGTTCTTACCTATCTCACCACTTCATTCCCTCTTTCTTTAGTTGTCAAGATTCATCTCACGTCCCACTTCCTGCCCTCACGTACCCTTGTCTTTCCCGATGTCCCTCCCCCGCCCCGCCCCCCCTGGTTACCTCACTTCCTGCTTTCTCGTCCATTTGTCTCGCTCTCTACTGTCAACATTCCCCTGTGTTCTTCTTCGAAACTGCGAGATGATATCGGGCCATTCCACCAATAAATGAACTTTTTACTAATTCATCAGCAAGGTCTACTCGACTCATCTGGTCATCTTTACGTTCCTGACCAAACCGCATCATCCTCACGTACTCCATCCCCTCGTCTCATTCCACTTACCTTATCCCCTTCTCAACCTTCTCTTCCTATCCCTCCCGTTTCTCTCACTCGATCCCCCGCATCCCACGTCACACCATTACATTCCTCTCCACAAAATTCCACTCCACTAGCATCATCCCCAGCACACAATATAATCCCTCTACCAAATGATCGTTCCCGTACTCCTTCCCCTTCCTCCGATAGAGCTCTACCACACCCACCGAAAATCGGTACGTCTCCTAGAGCACCATCACCATTAGGAAAAGGTAGATTACCAGGACCTAGACCTTTACCTCAACTTAATCATTCACTCAGATCCGGGACGGCTAGTACTGGGAGTTTAGGTCTTGATAATGAGATTGTAGAGGATGAAGGGGAGAAGAAACCGAGTAGGAGAGCTTTGGGTAAAAGAAGAGCTGTTGAAGGGGATGAAGGTTAGTGTTTTTTTTCATGTTCTCAACATCAACTATCTCGAGGTTTTGACAACATCTCTCATATAATTTATCCATATGTACGAGTCTTTTGGTTGTTGTTGTCATGTTGTTGTAATGGACGGAACTGATATACAGACGCTTTCAACCCTGATGATCTCTTCGTATCCCCTGATCAAACTTCATCGGAAAAATCATCAGAAGAATCTTTGGCTGATGAGGTTTATCTTGTCAAACCTGTGAAATACGCTTACGACGCTTATCAAGAGAAAGTGGAGAAACAGAAAGCTGGGATTGATGGAGTCAGTACTTCCGGGTCTAACGTTAGTGCTTTAGGTGTGAGTGTGGGGGTTGGTGGAGCTTGAGTACGATACTCCAAACTTCTTGAAATACTCCCTCAGGAAGTCCACTCTCACCATCAAATGAGGGAATCTTCCCGGCCGTCCTAGTGAGAGTCGGGATTAGACGAGTTGGGATACACGTAGAGATGGAAGAAGGCAACTTTATCGGGGTTGTATCTTCTGGGGTATGGTTTACTACCTCAGATCCGCGGTCGCTTCAGACTTCAGGTTTGGGATAGCTTCACAAGTGAATCCCGAGCATGAAAAAGGGAGGAGGGGGGTATTGATCAGTGGGGAGTTAGTGATGATGCAAAGGGAAAGATTGCATGTTAAAGATTGAAGTGCTTGTATTGCTAAGAATGTATCATTGCTTCATTCGTGACCTCTTAACAAGTTCAGCGTTTTCAATCTGGTCCGAGGTCTGAGGGTTTGTAAGTTATTTGGCAAATATTCATAGGAGGGTGAATACAAAGTACATGAGTGAAATCACATTCAATCATCTCGAACTTCTGCCCATGTGGAAGACGAGGTATGAAGTCGAATGGACAGTGAGACTCATCATCGAGCTTCGAATTGTACGACTGAACGTCAGATTTTATTTCTAAGCGCGTGGTATTGTTCATCCGACCACTACTCCTTCTAGAGAGATTCCGGTCTGATCACCCGCCAAGATATATAAAGAAATTCCGATCTGATCATCCGTCAAGATATATAGAGAAATTCCATTTTGATCACTCGTCAAATTCCGATCTGATCACCCGTCAAAATATAGGAATAGTGAGTGGAACATGAGATCCAATAGAAGATTGAAAGGATCGATTGAAAAGAAAAAAAGTCAGGACTGACTTCTATATGTTCGAGGTTTATATAAAACCCTATGTCCACATTCTTTACAACGAATGTTCTCCCCTGATTTTATACCATTCTCCGCACCGCAATCTATTATATCAGAATTTATTTCTTCACAATGAAAGGTCATTCGTTAAAGCCTGAGAGTGAAACTCTGACGGATTGAGATACGAGTGCATGATGGAAGATAAATCCTTCTACACCGAGGACATATGCACTGATGATTGTCCATGATATGTTAATGGTAGTGAGATATGATATCTCATTCAATATATCTCCCGATGGTACAGACGGTGTGAGATATTTCCCATTGGATATCTTCCACACTCGAGCCAAGGATGGATCAAATGAAGTGAGAGAGAAGGATGAAGATGGAGATGGGGATGTATCGATGACTCACCCGCACAAAGATAGTTGAGAACGTCTGGAGCTTTGAAAGTTGAAGGACGAGGTGCCATGGGATTAGGGTTTTGTGATTGCCATCTTGTATCTTGTTGTGATTGTGACATATCGTTATGGTTGTTGTTGCTACTTTCTTCGGGGTAGATTATACTGTGATAGTGAATGTGAGTTTGATGGCGGCAAAGCTGACTATGTGATAAGTCAAGGTGAAGAAAACCCGGAGTTGGTGAAGATGGGTAATCCTTCTAAAAGGGGGGTATCAAATACATACAGCACAAGTAAAGCTTATCAAACCACGTGGCTTCTTACTTTGATAGAGCCACGTCAACTCTACTCACTTCTCAACCGCATAACGAGTTTGCCCCTTTCCCATCTTTCTTTCCTCTACTTTACTCCATCTACCTGACTCTTACTCGTACTCTTCAACATTGTGACCACCTGTGGGGTCAAGAAGCGTTGAAAAGAGAAACATCATGTCTACGATTGACATCTCAACGGCTCTCTCAACTCTTCAATCTTTATCTTCTTCCCCTTCCACTTCAGCTTCTGGACCTTTGACGGTGTTGATAGATGATCATCTCACTCACGCCAAGCAGAGGTTGATCAACGGAGAAAACCCTTCGGAGGTAGTGACCGATCTTCAGAAGAATGTTTTGAAAGCGAAGAAAGAAGTGGATAGAGGTTTGAAGGGATGGTATGCTGCTTTAGGAGGAGTAGGGAGAGCGGTTGATAAGGTGAGTTTTAGGGTTTACTTCCTTTTTCACTTCATCTTCTCCGCTTTTTACTCATATTTACTGAGTGATCACCATGAGCATATTTATTTTTAAATCATATGATCACATGTTCCTTTTGAATGGATCGTCTGATCTGTGTTCTCTCGTGCACTTTTACAGCTTTGTATCATCCTTCTACATTGCCCCTTGGGGTAGTACGTCGTTTTTACTTTAGTGATTGTTGCTTGACGATCGATGATAGTGTGTAGACTTGGCTACCTCTGGTTTCTCATACATGTTTCGTGATGAGTGTGAAGTGAAAGAGAGACGTGGACTCACATTCAGACTTTCCCTCCACAACTCTCATCAATGTCATCAGCATATGACGATCCTCCTCTGTTTTCTTCTCCTCCGGCAAAAGAAGCTCTAGATTTTGTCGTTCTTGATTCATTGGGACGTAGAGGGTTGTGGGATGCGGTGGAGGCTTTGGAGGAGGAATTAGGAATCCAATATGATGAAGAGAAGAGAAAGTTGAGTGAGGAGATGCATAAAATCATTGAGGACATCGAGAGAGGTGATGTGGGATCTGCTCTAGAGTGAGTGCTCTCATGTCTTTCTCAAATCCTACTCATCCACTGGTGGTTTTCTTAGGGCCATACTATGACCCTCTGTCTCCATCCCTCACTCAGCATTTGCTGGATACACGGACCACATGACGTTAGCAAATCCTCTCTCATCTCATCAACATTTCTCTTTCACCCCACTCCCTCTCTTCTATAATCAACAAACGTGACCCTTGGTATACCCATCCGTAATCCCCTCACAGAATTGCGCAGTGAGCCCTGTTCCTTTTCTATCAGATTGTAATGAGTTCTCCATCTGTGAATGTGCCCGAACAGGACTGACCATCAGATGGTGTCAAACTAACAAATGGTTCCTCTCTTCCCCTCAACATCCCTCTGCTCTCCCATACCATCTCCACAAATACGTTTTTCTATCCCTTTCTATCCCCCACGAAGCATTATCATACGCTCAAAAGAATCTAATGATTTACATCCCCACTCAACCGGTATTACAACTAGTCACTTCCTGCTTATACCCTCATCTCCCATCTAATACATCCAATACCTCATCATCCATTCCTTCACTTCAATCAGTAGCTTCAAATCCCATGAAGACGAATGGTGTTTCAAATACGAACAATCATCCGGAAACACCCTACCAATCGGAAAATTCTCCTTCTTTGGTCGCGCTGTTTCGAACGGAATTTTGTAGACGACATGGATGGCCTAAAGAAGATCCTCTTGAGGTAGTGGTAGATCTAGGAAGTAGGGGCGGAGCATTGGGTGTGATTGAGAAAGCTAGAAGATTGATGGGTGATCATTTGGGAGGAGTGAGAACTTGGACAGAGTTACCCGTAGGTTTTCATCATATCCTTCGTCGTCTCTTTACTTCCTGAGCTTCATGTTTTAGCCCTATACAGCTTCTCGAGTGTTCTCAGTCAGACGCTTCGGGTCCCTATTGTCTGAGGAGACAGGCTTGGGATATCACTAGAATCCATCAATGCTGACTATTCAGATGCAAGTCCCTTTACCTCCTTCGAGAAGATATCACTCCATATTCGTTTGTCCCGTATCGAAAGAACAAGCAAGTGAAATGAACCCTCCAACGATGTTGAGTTGCGGCCATGTTATCGCTGAAGAGAGTTTCAATAGGTTGTTGAAATCTGGGTATGTGGATGTCCTTCTTTCCACCTCATATACCTTGTCATCTCCGTGTTTTTCTTTTTCATTGTATCCGTCATCCCCGACCTAAAATGTCATTTCTCTCCCTCGCTCTTTTGCTCTGATCACTACTCAAATTGGCGACCGACATGATTCTCATTATGGCTTTTTGGATCTCTCGATGGTTCTGATAACGGCCTTTTGGAGCTGTTTCAGATTAGTAAGATAAGAAGATATTAATGGACAGTCGTCGACCTGCTAAATGCCCTTATTGTCCCACGGAAACCTCTCAAGCAGCCGCGCAAAGATTATACTTCTGACCACTTTGTTCACACTCTCATCGATAAACGACTTGGTAGTTCTACTGTTTGACGAGTTCGACGGCCGACGGTGCATTCCCAAAGGTCGACGATCAGACCTGTTTGGTAATGAAAAAGACTCGATACGTTACCGCCGCTAAGACAAGCAATCGGTCTCCACATATTCTAGCAATCAGGCTGATCGAACGAAAATGCTGTACTTGGACTACCTGGACGATCATATCCAAGCGCTCATGATCGATACTTCGACGGCTCAATGAACTGGCGGGAACGGATCAACGGAATGCTCAATGCATCATCTACAGATTTACGACATGCGGGTTCATGACAATATATACAATTGGCCTCTTGTTTTCAGCCTTGGGAAGATATGATGGGTGGACAGGGATGGGGCTGATTCGTGAGGGTGTGATGAGGGGACATAGCGGGATCATGGATCATGAGGAGTTTCGATGAGCAGAGGCAGCGTTTGTGAAGGACTATTAGGGATAAATGGAGGAAAGGAAGTCGTTGAAGATGAAGTTGATAAATCTTGTAAGATCAGGGAATAAATGTTGTGATGCTAGAATCAACTGTTGAAACCTATCCCTCCGCAACCATTCAATCCCGCTTGCTCTTCTTCTCCCCTACCGCGTGAAGCCCAAAGCTGACGACGTTCTTCCATCAATACCATTGCCCATTGACGTACTACGGGATGTTCTAGGTTGGCTATGAGTCAGTATCTTTCTTTCTCGATTCCAACATTCACTTCTAGAAGACAAGATGCGATACACTATGCAGATATCGATTCCTGATAGACTTGAGAATGGAATTACAGGTCGAATAAAGGATTCTACATGATGAGACTGATGCTAAGGGTAGTGAGTGGTATTTGAGAGAAAGAAGAAAAACGCACGGATAGAACCAGTGAAGAAAGGGTGTAAAGTGCGAATATCCTGAGCTGGACAATCAGCCGTACTTCCTCAATCATCAGAATTAGACTCACTCCGTTCATATTCCACAGCCTGAAGAGCCAACTCGAGTCGATCCAGATCCTATCACATCAGCACTTATCAACCTTTCACAACGTAAATGCTAAGTGGCATCATCTACCTTTCCACGATAGTAATGCTGATTGGGTGAGAAGGAAGAAGTGGAATGCTTGAACACACCTTGACCAATTTTGACTCTGGAGTTTGTCTCGCTTCATATTCTTCAAACAGACTTTTAAACCTTTCTCTCGCATCCATATTCCCACTCCCACCCAACATCTCATTCAAGAACGTCTCCATAGCTTGCTCTTCTAATCTATGTTTGTCCTCGGGAGAGACTCCTTCAACGGGGGTGATATCGCCCACATGGGCTTCGGCGAGATCGTGGACTAGAGCCATCTAGAAGTTAATTTGGATAATTCCTTCGATTTTAGATCGCTCCTTGCCCGGATCGCCGGGATTATTTATTCCTTCCAAGTAGGGTTTAGTGAAATTACAAAGCCCGATAATTTGGCTACCTCAGGATGACAGACAGGCGAAGAGGACCCCTCTCAGAGCGTAAAGAAGACGAAGGAGGTGATAAGGCTTCTCAACGGGACAGAGGTGGGGAACCCATGCACAACTCACCATGACACATTTTGGAATGTCCAGAGGTCGATCCGGATCATTAGGAAGCACCATAGCCATCAATGCCATACGACACATATGATCTGATATTCTAAGAATCAGTGCTCAGTTTCCTCAGTAGCACAGCATATGGATAGAAATGTATCATATCGATGGCACAGGTAGATGGGGCAAACACCGGTTGGCCAAGTAGTGACAATGCTGGAAGAACAAAGGAGAGGCAAGGAGAGGACGTACGATTCTGGTTCACGGACCTGCGTAAGTCAGCCTAGACTTTACAGAGACTTCTTACGACGTTCACCGCTTTCACTTCTTCTACTTGGTCTCCGGCGGCGACGGACAGGACTAAGATAAAGTCAACTCACTCCTTCTCTTATCCACCCTGAACGTTTTTGCACCTGACCATCAGCTGAGTATGTTGTCATATGATTGAAGAACAGACCTTTAGTTGTTCTAGAAGATGTAGAAAGGCAAGTGTATCTAAAGCTTCGTTTCCCGTGGATCTATACTCAGCGTTTCTCAAGAGAGATATGGAATGAAGGAATGAAGGACATACTTGTAAGGAGCTGGGAGGGTCTTACCCCCTGCCCCGATGGCTACAGCAGGGGGAGCTGTAGGGGAATCGATAGGAGCTACCATGGATATCTTATTGATTTGTTTTATATCTATAGGAGATGTGATCTTATGAGGCATAGCTATGATATATATGGAAGTAATGAACAAAAGTGGAAAGGTGTATGAATGTGGGGATGTGAGTGGGGGAAGAGAGAGTGTGTTGCGGTGATCGGAGAACTCGTTACAACTCCGCTCTCACTGTTTCAAGAATGACACGTCATGTGAAATTGATAACCCCATCCTTGCGGGGCTCCTCACAGATCACACACCCGGTCGCGGAGATCTTCCCAATTGCCCCCACCCCCATTCGTTGATCCAGACATACTTTTCCTCTGAATTTGGTCAGTGATCCGTGAGATATATACAGGTAAAGTAGACTCCACATACTATCACGGATCTCGAGCTGATACCAGATTAGAGGATGAACTCAGCCATGCTGTTAAATCACGATGAAACCCCACAACCTCACATCGTCGTACGGGCGTTTTCGACCCAAGAAATCCCTCTTGAACAACCTATCGCCGGACCTTCTCGGATACGCACTCGCACCTCCCCTCGTACCCACACACGCGAGTCAGATAGTAGCAGCGGTAACCTTTTCTCTATCGATTCTCGAAGAGCTCATTCCCCTCTACACTCTCCTCCCCCACACGATGGTCTTCAAGTCGAGGCGGAATCCGAGTATCAAGAGGAAAGCATCCCTTCGTCGGTCGCTTTCCACAGAATGTTCATCCCCATCGATGAGGGTCCGACAAATCAGCATTCGCTCACAAAGCCTACCGACGATCACTTGCCTTTAGGAAAAGAACCGAAGACAACAATCGTTTCATCACCGAAACCATTACTTAGTGTAACACAGAACCCTACCCCTCAGAAGCAGATCGATAGTCCAAATAAGCAGATATCGCAGAAAACCCTTTCTCGCCTGTCATCACCGCCCTCATCAAAGCGTAAACATTCCCGAGAGTCCTCCACAAGCTGTTCTCCTAATCGTAAACGATTGGCCTTGACACGACGGAAATCACCAGCTGGGAAAGCTACCTGGGTCACGGAACCGGACAGTTTCTCAGAACCGGTCAGAATACCATTTGTTAGACCACTTGCACCTGCGGAACGACTGGCTAACATTATTTCGAACCCTCTACCTAAGAAGAGACTACAAGAGAGTCAGTCGGATCAGATCGACGAGTTGGAGAGTAAGGCGGACGAGAGGGACTCATTCAATTCCAGAACTAGTCGGCGGATGGGTTGGATGGGTTTGATGAAAACGGTCGTTAACGGAGAAGCAGAGGAAGAGATAGAGGGGGAGAAGGAACGAGGAGAATCGACCAGAATATCGAAGAGGGATGAATCGGCAAAGTCTCAAGGTGGACCGAATCAGAGAGGTTTCCTCCACTTTCCCGCGTCAACATCTGCTTCTTCTCCTGTATTATCCCTCTTCTCTAGTCCTGTTCATTTCGGAACATCTCAAGGGACGGAACCTTCCCAGTTGATCGCTACTCAATTCGCTACGCTTCCATCCCAATCTGATCTCTCCCCACCAGAGCCTGGACCTTCGGTTCCTCACGAAGACTTTCCGATCGTTCCATCTTTTACCCCGGACAAGTCGGTTCCGTCCACTGCTCCGATACGCGTTGCTACGGCTCGTCGTCTGAGACGGGTCAACGGAAAAGAACCTTCGACGAGTTTACCCCTTAGACCTCTTCGGCCAGTGAACCAGGAAGCTGGTCCGTCATCCTCTACACCGGAAAAAGCGACACGACGAAAGGGAGCTCGACCTTCTCTGCACGACGCTCCGGTGTTAGATGGCTTACAGGAGACCTTTGTGGAAGAAAGAACTTCTCAACCTTTGGAGGATCTTCAAGCAACATTCATTGAACCTAATCCTCACCTTCCGGTTGACATCGAGTCAATTCCAGCTGTCGGTGATGGCATTATCGAATCTACTCCCCCGCCCCTCATACAGAAGTCCACCCACCCTTCAGAGTTGGCTTCACCTTCGACAGATAAGCGAATTCCGCTTGAACGCATACCAGCCCTTGTTCCACCGATCATACCCCATGACAAATCTCGATATCGACCGCTTTCTCCCCCTGAACACAATACTGTTCCGATAAAGAGACAAGCCAGACAGAAACCACCACTCCCTTCAAGTCCAGCTAAGTCCGACACGAGCTGGTCCAGCGGTACTACCGAACCGCCTGATGAATCTTATCGGCCGAACAAAGTGTCCTTACAGGGCAAAGCGTCCAAACGATCATCGAAGCCCAAAATACCGGTCCAGAAATTGAAGGTCCCAACGCGACCCACGAAACCCCAAACAAAAGCGGGCAGAATTGTATCAAAGATATCCTCCACTGTTCAGGCTCCGACTTCGTCTAATGTTCGACAGTCTCGTGCCTCCACCCGTACCGCGTCGGTGGCCCCGTCTTCAGATGTATTTAGGGGGTTGACTTTCGTCATTACAACAAAAGAGCACAAATCTGTTCAAACGACGATCGCAGATAAAATCAAGGCGCATGGGGGAAGGGTGATGGAGAATTGGATAGATCTCTACGCCATCAACAGGTTTGGATCGGCTTTCTCGTCATCATTGAAATCAACACCGTTTGTCATCTTGATCGGGGAGACGGTGATGACACCAAAGTTCCTCACGGCTCTGGCGAGAGGAATACCGATCTTGTCAAAGAAGTTCATTGAGGATGCCATCGTGACACCCCAAGTAGGTGTCTCCGTTTTGCTTTACCTCAAACTGTGATGATATCTGTCGCTTACTACTGCTTCTTCCTGTTCCCCACATTTGTCGGCTCGAAGTTACTTCGTTCGGCTCCCTCTATGGGTTCAATGATCAGTCGAAAGGGTAGATGGTCACTGATGAGCAGGTGAATTGGAGATCATACCTCTCACTTGCTGGTAGGAGTGAAACGCTCGGTACGATGACTTGTCAGTTGATCGATCCTCATTGGGGTGGACCAAATTGGGATCCCTCCAAAGCTGAGAGGGTGTATAAGCCTTTTGAAGGGAGAACGGTGTTGTTTGTTCAAGCGACCAAGTCAAAGATGAGTGAACTCAAGGTAAGTCGTTTTCAACGATGTTCTTGTCGCTCCCGAGCGCATCTCGCATTGAAACAACGGTCCACTGTCGGATCCTGTCTCCGAGATTATCCAGAGACGGAAGTCGAGATGTCATATAGGTCGCTAATTGATAGACATTCGTTCCCTTCTGTCTGCACGCGATGGGTGCGTCGAGGTATGACACAACCACGTCTGTTCCTTCTATTCCAGTCATGAATACTTGGGATTACATCTTGGTGGAAGACAGGGATAAGGGAGTAGATGTTACAGAGATGGCAAAGGCGAGCGGGAAGGTAGGGAATTTGAATTGGTTCAAACAGTGTCTCGTGGGTTCCTCTTCTATGATTTACATTTCCTTATCCGCTCTCCCTACTCTGTGGCCACACGGACATCTTCTCATGGCGAGTATGGTTTACATTCGTGTACTGGTACTCATCGACCGTTATCTCATTCCAGGTCTTCACCGCGTGTCTTTACGACTTCGCAGTCGGTCAAAGGTCGGGTGAAGGTGGTGGGGAAGAAGAGATATCAGCTGATCATCTTAGATCAATAACGCCCTCTTACCCCCAACTCTTCATCAAGAGAAGTGAACGAACAAGACTGGTAGTATCCCATTTCCGGCTTGTACCAGGGATAGAAAGATGACTTGCTATCTTGAGACAGTGACTTTGTACATCTTCTAATAAATTTTGGGTGATTCGGGAGATTGATATTGTGTATGAGCACTTTTGACATGAATCTTAGCTGTCCGCGACGCTACCTACCTTCTAAATTTCGTTTCGTGAGATGTAACATTCACTACGTATGTATCGCGATCCTAAAAGTACGAGTACAAATACTCTGAGGCGGGAGCCCCACATTCGAGTTTCTTCCAAGGTCCACGTCCACATTCCATGTATCCATCCACCTTTACACCCATTTAATGTCCCCTGTCCCTCCTTCATCTTTGTAGAGTACGATGAAACCCCGTCTCCTCCTCTCTCTCTCTCTTCTACTCTTACAACCCATCTTCGCTCTTCAAGCTAATCTGGCAGGAGTGGTAGATTGGCACACTCCTCTCTTGGGTGTTCCCCTGCTCGATTCCTTCTCTTCAGGTGTGAGACGTTCAGGTAGTCCCACCCCTCCTACACTCGTCGATACCCCGGATGGTTTGAGAGGTGTTGTAATAAGTAGAGGGAACGTATTGGGTGTTGTGGATCAAAAAGGGGAAATTGTCTGGAGACAGAGATTGGAAGATGGCGATGAGGTGGGGAGTTATCATGTTGTTGGAGATTGTGAGTTTTCCTGGATTTACTCCGCACTTCTATTATCCCTCTTTCTCCCATCTTTGCTATGATCACATGTACTATTGAGCTGCTGAATTCTTGACGAACCCCCCAGCATGTTCGAGATGACATTCATGTCCGTGCATCATTCATCTGATGGCATTTACCTTTCTGACGATGAATGACACTGCCCAAACTGACATATAGCCATTCTACTACTGTCCGGACCGGGAGGTGATACAGCCCGTCTTTTCACCCTTTCCTCAGGACGTCCATTATGGGAAACTCATCTATCCCTCGTCCAAAACCCTGAACTCACCAATCCTCCCAATCCTATCAATCACGGTTCCGACGTCTCATTCACCTCCGATCTCACTTCGGTGGTAATCCTCAGTAACGGAAGAAGAGTCACCAAACTCGACCTCACCACTGGTCGTATACTCTGGAGTCTAGAAGCTCCAGGAGCAGGTGATACAATCATCTTTCAACATGTTCGTATTTCCGGTCCGACCGTTCATCTACTAGCATATGTCTCTTCATTCTCTTCGGGAACATTAGCGACCATGTCACTCTCACTTGAAACTTCCATACCATTAGCAGAGATGGGTCAAATACCTTCTATTGTGGAATTACCAGAACAATCTTTACTTTCTTCTGGCGCTAAAGAGGGAGAGGTGAGAGTGGTATGGACTGAACATGGACGTGTGCGTTCGGTTGAATTAAATGAGGATGGAAGTATTGGGAAAGTTAAGGATATGTTACCTGGTGCCGGTAGATTATTCACACGTGTGTTAGATGTTGGGAAGACTGCGAAGGATAGAGGACTGCTTTTAGCTCAGATGAGGAATGGGGGTGTGCAGATTGTAGATGTTATCAAAGGAAAGACGGTGGATGAGTTTGAAGGTTCGGTGAGTATGTTTTATCGCTTCTCCCCAAGGACCAAGTCACGAAATGCTCTCTTCATGGTCTTATCACACTTGATATGGAATTCCATGACTTTGGCAACACAATGACCTACTTGGCTTGTCAATCCTCAAGCGGGTGTGCCGGGTGGGTAGAAATAACCAGGAACCATACACTACGATGAGAATGACAGAATACTGACCACCAGGTTGACGCAGGTGACCACTCAGTATCCACCTACTCAGCAGTCAAAACCGACAAAGGGATCGCATTCCACAGACTTTACTGGTCTTTCAACCTCAACGTTAGTCCACCTTTTAGCTAAATGCACGGTATCCGCTGATGGAATAGCTGGCCATGTCTCAAACATACCATGTGCATGATGATGGTTTGGTAATTCAATCTGGCTTCACATTCGGGTTCGATACTCTCTCCCATGGGGTCATGTTACATGTCAGTTCACCCTATCCTCATTGCCGATGCTCGTTGTAAGCTGATTCATAGGCCGCTGTATCGAGCACGTTGTCACAAAATCAACTTCCGACACTTATGATCACCACCTCTACTGGTTCCGTGCAATTGGTGGAGCAGCGCGGTGTGCAATGGGTCAGAGAAGAGGGTTTGTCGGAGTTGACAGCAGTCACATTTATCGATCTTGGTGAACCAGAAGTTGAAGAAGCGCGACATGTATTGACAGAAGAAACTTTCATCGCAAGAGTTACCAGACATCTCACCGAACTCAAAGTCAGTCTCTTCTTTCACATGTACGTCTATATAATTGACTGATGAAAAGGACCTTCCGAGCTATGTGATGAAGTTTGCCAAACGTCTCACTTCTTCTTCTCTGGCCTCGTCAAAACTCAGTCCACTGTCTAAGGAGACACTACACAATGATCAGTTTGGGTTTCAAAAGCTCGTACTGGGTGTGACACCTACGGGCAAGTTGTACGCCCTCGACTCGACGAATGGAAGAGTAGTATGGTCCGCCACTCTTGGTAGGACAAGTGAGGACGGATCGGAGTTGGAGGTGGTGGGTATGTGGAATGTGAGGAAAACGGGAGAAGAACCACCTTTGGTGGATGTTCTGGCCGTGCGTACTCGAGGACAGGTCAGTTGCTCCTTATTTACGTGACCGGTCTCCACTCTTGATATGACATACTGTGAACATCTGACATTGTGCTTTTTGACTAGGTCTTAGCTGTGGGGATTTTTTCAACATATAAATGTTTTAGGATCACCGACTGACCAAATAGCAAGTCAAGACCGTGGTGTTCCAAATTAACGCTCTTACCGGCGATGCTGGACAAAAGGATGAAGCCGGATTACCAGAAGGTAAAGAGTTATTTGATGGTCGACCAGAAACTGCTTTCCTCCTTCCTTTCAGAAACTGTCATACCTCAGCATTGGTATTAGCCATTGTGGACCAAACTAATCACGTAAGTTTGCTCCACTCTTCTACTCTTCATGACAAATATCTAACGGACAGATTCACATTTTCCCATCATGCAAGAAAGTATTAAAAGAACTCTACACCATGTCATCATCTCTTTTCTTTCATACCATTGATAAATCCTCAATTCATGGTCACGCGCCTTCACCTCATTCGGGAGAAGAAACCCCCATCCCTGCCGCCGAAATTTGGTCATTCAATGTTCCTCCTGATGAAACTTTACTTGAGGTCCGTCCGTTATCACCGTCACCCACAGCATCGTTTGGTAAAGTTACCGGAGATAAAAAGACGTTGTACAAGTATCTCAATCCGCATCTCCTAACAGTGACAACGAGGTCAGAAAGTGGAGGAGCAGTGTATGTGGTGGATAGTGTGACGGGGAAGGTGATTTATTCCACAAAAGTTGAGAGTGCGAATGGACATGGAGTGGAAAGTGTTATATTGGAAAATTGGTTGGTTTATCGTTGGAAGGGTAAAGACGGCTGGAGGATAGGGTCAGTGGAGTTGTATGAGAATGTGACGGATAGTAAAGGCGAGACGTACGTTTTCTCTCTCCCCTCATCAAGATTCACCAAATTCCTCCGTTAGATTCTCGTTATTCACTCGCTCACCCACATATGTCGAAAATTTGAAAAACCCCTTCCAAAGAACAGCAACTGTCAAGAAGACTGGTAAACGTAGGGAGGATGATGACGGGGAAGATGAAGACAAACTCGAAGCTGACTTGCAGACCTGGTATATCCGGGTTTGCGGACAAACATGATATCGTAGCTTTTACACAAAGTTGGGTTCTGCCCGGGGAAATCAGCATGTTGGGCTTTACGAATAGTAAATTGGGTGTGACTGCAAGAGAATTGTTATGTGAGTTCATCCTCTTTCTTCATTCTGTTCAGTCTATCTTTCTTCCTTTCTTTCTTTCTCTACACTTCAACATCATCTCTGGTCTTTGTCAACTTCACTCCAGTCGTCACGGTGTTAAACGTGATCTGACTGGTGGGAATTTAAGCATAACCTCCGACGTGTCATGAGACCTTACGGTCGAGATAATGTTCAGGTATGGAGGGATCACTGATACCCAGTCATCAACGCCCAAGGTCAAATCGCTTCTATCCCACGTAAACTATTAGATCCCAGAAGACCAATTGAAAAACCTACTTCGTCGGATAAAGAGGAGTTGTTGATACCATATGATACGTATTTAGCTTCAGAACCGAGAAGAGTTATTACTCATACTTATCCCGTGCGTCTCAACCTCCTTCATATCCTCCTCTCCCCTCTAAACCAACCCATCCTTCTCCTCGACTCACATCTCCTTCCATCCCCGATACTCTTCTCCTGCGTAATCCATCATTAATTTGAATTTGGTATCTCCTTCTATCCACACTTATGACCTTCAACCTTCCCAAGACGCCACACACCCTTTCTGTTAGTGTGACCAAGGGCCACCGACCGAAATGTGATTCCTCCATTTGGCTTTGATACCGGATGGAACTCTAGAAGAGAACGCTCATTCCCAGGTAATTGGTCTAAAACACATTCTCACTTCCCCAACTTTACTCGAATCCACTTCACTCATCTTCGCTCATGGTTTGGATCTATTTGGCAGTCGGATCTCACCTGGAGGAACGTTCGACATGCTTTCTGATAATTTCAATAAACCTCAGTTATTACTTACCCTCGCTGCGTTGAGTGTGGGGATCATGGTTGCTCGACCTGCAGTGAGAAGGAAAATGGAGAGGATGAGATGGTATTAGTCTTTCTGCTATCGCCATGATTTACTCGTACACATTTCGCAACAGTATGAGTATAATCAGAATGATCATCATATGCATGTCGACCATTACATTGTTTTGATGCGTTTTCTCCATGCTGCATAGTGGAAACGTTACAATCTGTCCAGGAGGCTGAGTCAAGCTGATCAGGGAAGACCGAGTTAGAACTTTACAACATCATTCATTTGAGCTCCCTCACACACCCAAGAAAGAAAGAGAGCAAGGAAAACTGTAGAGTGTCCAGTACGAGTACGAGTACTTGACTTAAACTCAATCGAGTATACGTCTAGGTGGATCGATACTGTTTGTATCGGATCAGTATAGGAATCATAGAATGAAGAACTAAAGAGCCAAAACAAATCTCATTGTCCATGTGTGTCTGTCTACAAAAGTTAATCGACTATGTTCTATCGTACATTCCTATAATCCAAAAGTCATAATGAGACCAGGCCTGATAATTCATGTCTTTTCCCTAAGTGAGACTCGTCAAAGCATTAGGTGTAATCCTTCCTTCTACCATCTCTTCCACCCTCTCTACCCTTTCTGCCGCTTCATCCCCACTTACAACCCCTACATTCAATCCAGAAGGTCGTTTCACACTTGCACCTTCCGTCCCATCCGTCCCACCTGATCCATTCGTCTTTTCAGTCCCACTCGATCCACCTGATCTGTCCGAATTCCCATACTCTTCCCCTTCTCTGCGTGCGGGTGTGGAAGGCCCATCCACATTCAAATGACCTATCGTGATATCTCCTGGATCAAACTTTGACTTTGAGTCGACATTGGTATTTGGACTGGGATTAGGATTAGAATTAGGATTAGGTTCAAGTTCAAGATTGGAGTTGGTATTAGAAGATGGACGTAATTCTATTGGATCCTGTAAAAGGTTTGAAGATCTCGTCAAAGATTTTTCCAGTTTCTTCTCCCCTTGTTTTTGCACACGAAGGATGATGGCTTTACGTAGAGATTCGACATATTGTTGATATTTGTATATTTCACTATGAAGGAAAAGGTTTTTCGCTCTGAAGTTGTCTTTTGCTTTTTGGGCGTTTCGAGAATTTGGCATGAACTGGAGGAGCTCAGCCGAGTATTCATACGCTTTTGTGTCTTACGTATGGTCAAAGACGGAAGAAGAGTACAGAGTCAAGAGAAAGACCTAAGGCGAGATGAAATATGGTGGTGACTGGTGTAGAAGGTAGGGGTAATGAAAGTAGAGTGACAGAGTAAGCAGCGATGATGATTAGGATGCTTAATGGAGTAGACGTTAAATGTGGCGTAGAAAGGAAGAGAGCCAAGAAGACAGGAGGAGGGCAGGAGAGAAAAAAGAGCATTCACTCACACTTCTATTCACACCATCTTGCAAAGCTCTATGTCTCTCAATCTCCTCTGTCAAACTACGTACATACGTTTGTAAAGTTTCCAACTGAGATTCCTCATCTAAAGGACTTGGCATAGTAGCCGCTGGTGGAGGTTTCCAATCGTTTATATGTATATTCTTCTCTCCACTAACTTTACGTCTTTGTGAATGACTACCAAACATTGAACTACTCCTAGATTTGACACTAGCACGATCATCTTCATCTCTGTTAGTATTCAGACGACCATCACCACCTTCCAATTCCGCTATAGCTCTACTCCAACCGTATTCCATATTAGATACTCCACCTTGTAAAGGTTGACGAGATCTTCTTGCCGCCCAATAATTACATGTTGCAGTCCATTCGGTTACTAGATCTGCGGTACCTGCTTGAAAGAAATTGATTTCGCCGTTCGGTTGTGAGAGGGAGAAACAATGTGGACGAGAAGCTGAATAACCGGAATGAGGAAGGGGTAAGGACATTGTGTGCATGAGGGAGATTTGACCGATGGCGTTGGCGTTGTTCTGAATGTTAGTTGATTCATCTACGTCATCGCCCTATCATCCCCCCCCCTCATCTTATTGCGGCATTTATCACACATGCCCACTAATATCAGTTCCAACGATTTAGAGGGATCTAGAAAGACAACTGTAAGATGTGTATGCGATATTTTTATACGCCTCGTTACTCCAGCCAGATGAAGAAACAAGTGGTGTAGGTGAAAAAAGTGGACGAGAGACTCACCATCCAATTTCCCCCACCGACTGATCCCCCAGCGAACCCACTCCCTCCTTTACTCCCTTCTCCAAAAGTGAACATATACAATTCCCCTAATGAAACCACCACGAAAAACTGTTTCCATTCCTTCTTACTCGCTTTTTTACCTCCTGCTTCGATATATAACCTTCTACTCAACAATCCCTCCTTGGCCCATGGTGCACCGAGAAGTGCGAGTTCATCATCGTTCATTTCACTCACGCTACTCTGAGATATTTGCGATGCGATGGAATGAGCTTCAGAGTCTGTTTCTTTGGTTTCGCGTATGACAGTGTGGGAGAGGTTACTAGCGAAGCCTATGGTGGGGGTGAAAGACGAATATTGGGTCTGCGAGTGAGCTCGGGTCGGGAATGCTCACACGGTCTCTTTTGCCTATACCCTCTCACGATTCGTAGAAGAACGAGTAACTATCGTGTTGTGAAAAGGATCACATATTCTTCAAATGTGGGAGGATGGGTAGGTATGACGATAAGCAGGAAGGAGGACAGGAAGGAGTGAGGATAAGAAGGAATGAGACAGGAAGGAATGAGGATAGGGAAGGGTAGCAAGGTGTAGCAATAGGAAGGTACGATGATACAAATGTATTGGGACCAAACGTTGACTGGCAGAACGAAAACAACAACTCAGAAAAAAAAGAGAGAAGTAAAGTGGAGAAATGAACTCACCTCATGGATAGAAGTTGAATAACTAGGTGTCGGACTCAATCTACCATCAGAAGAATAAGTTGAAACATAAGGACTTGTCCCTAATCCTCCCATAACACTACCTCTTTTAAAATTAATATTCCTACCTCTTTGACTCGGACTTCTCAAAGTTTTATTCCTTCCCGTTTCATACGGAGAAGTACTACTCGCAATACTTAAAATACTTTGTCTATTATTCTTTCTATTATCCCCTACACTCAAATTACTTCCAGTAGGTAATAAAATCCTATCCGTTCTGACTGACGAATAAATTTCTTTCAAAGCATTTTCAGCTTCTGATTCCCATGCTTTCGAATAAGAAAAACTAGAAATGGTAGTAGATGAATCTTTGATTCTTGGATCGAGATGAAGTTGAGAAGCGAAAGCAGGTTCTAGATGAGGAACATTTACTATAGGTGCTGAAGCGCTTCTTTGTGTTTGTGGAGCTTCTGACCTGTTGAGAGGTTTAGTACGAACACTAGAAGTTTGTCCGACTGATGTGGTGGATGGGTAAGGACGAAGACTACTTGAATCATCTCTTATTAATTCTGGAGTTGAAGAACCTTCTGTTGAAGGTCGAGATTCTTGTATGGCTCTGAGAGCATTACGAATGAAATCTGATCTTGACATATGTTTTGATAAATCCGCTATATGTAGGTCGGTATTGAGCATGAGCATCGCACCTGTGACTGTATGTACGATACCAGGAGAACCGAAGACGGTGGTGGGATTGCAATGATAGTAACGAGCGGAGAAAGCTTCGATGATACGATCAATTTCTTGTGATTCGGCTTTGAGGTGAAGTCTCTTGCATAGGTCGCTATAGCATGAGCTGGAGATGTCCCCGTCATACAGTTAACTATTCGTCATGACTTTTCAAGTCGTGCAAGAGAGGATCACGACATGATAGATACAGAGTGGGTAAGGATTTATGAGATGTATACAATGAGTTCATTTAAAGACCGTCACTCACCGGAAAGCGTCGACAAGATTGAGACCTTTCATATTAAAGTACTGCATGTAGTATCGTAAAGCAATTTGATTGACCGGACGTCTATTGGATCAGTACGAGCTCTGATCTCTCTGCACCCTATGAATTCTAATTCCCCCGGTCCCCTTTGCCTTCCGACGATGCAATTCCAGTGGCCATGCCCCATTCGAGGGCCAGTGACCTCATCGTATCGGGAGAACACGGATCAGGAAGAGTTGTATATGAGGTATCAGCAAAACGATAACTCACGGTCCTCCTAAAAACTCTGCTACCCTCTCTTGACTTATATGACTGAAATCATCTTCCAAAAATTCACAAGCTAACCTTCTTCCTTTCTCCTCATCATCCTCCTTCATGGTGTTTGTGGGAGTAGTCACCGTCTCGTCCTCTTCCTCCTTCACCGTATCCGATCCAACTTTCCCATGTCCTTGACTTTGCTGTCGCCAGACACTCGAGCCTCCAAAAGCGGATGGACCGGGCCGTCCGGTATCTGTTGTATCATTTCCAGCCGAGGTGTCAATACCTAATTTACCGAGTTCTTCTCTTTGTGTTACCAACTTGACTGTCCCTGGTGATAGTGGTGTTTCCGGTTTAGCCTTTATGGTCGCATCTTTATCTATCAACAAAGGTCCAAAATCGTTGGGAGTGACTAATATAGGTGTGACAGGTTTTGATTGTATAATTTCCTCTGGAGGGTCTGAAGAGGCTTTTGGACGGATACCAGAATCGACTTTCGTTTTTGGCGAAGGAGGAAGAGAAGGGGAAGTGTTTGGAAGGGAAGTCGTACGGAATCCCGGTACCGGAGAATTTTGTCCTCTTTCTCCTTTATTTTCAGTAAACAACCTCTTTCTATTCTCATGAGAATTTGATCTTCCTAAGTCACTCAAAATCTTCCCATGTATATCCTTTGGCACTTCTAAATCTAGGGAACGAGTCTTGTCTGGATTTCTGGATTTACTTTTCGATCTCACACTTTCAGGTGGAAGACCAAGTTCTCGAGCTACGTCAGATTGCCCAATGAGATCAAACATTCCATCGACGGTACGAGTGAAACTGTCCATCGTCGCTGGTCCTGGAGAATTTGTGTTGGAAGGATTTGAAATGGGAGATCGTATTTGTTCTTGACCTTCAAATATGGTATCTGCTGGTTGACGGATATGACCTGATTTTCTGATTTCTGATATTCGTCGCATGGTGTTGGACTCTGTCAAAGTGGGAGTGTTGGAGATGGAAGCTTTGGAAGGGACAGGAGAAGATGATTGGTGTTGAAGTGGTGGGAGAGGTTTGTCATGGCTCATGTTGTTATTAGGTGAGAAGCGACGTTTCTCAGGTGTTCCCTTACTGGACAGGGAAGATTTGGATGTAGGGGAGATAGCGTTGTGATCAGGTGGGCTATGTTGAGGAGTCTTTGGATGAGGGACAAGTCCAGGTGGGATAGGAGGGACGGGAGGATGTGAGGGAGAGGAATGAGAGTAGGAATGCGGATTAGGAGTAGGTTGGGTAGTTCCGAACATACGTCCGAAGACACCTTTAGCTTTCGATCGCATACTCTGTATCGTCAGCTTTGGTCATGTTACGGCAGAGTTGGGTGATTCCAACTTGACCACTTCACAATTTGCGAGCCTTGTAAGGGCGTGTGCTGTAAATAGAGAGGAAGTAAGAGGGATCGCGCTGCGCTAACCCCCCTGATGAACAAGTATGAGTTTGAGGAGTACCCGCATGATGATAGCGAAAACAAAAGGAATACGGTCATAGAAGCAGATGAGAAACAAATCACAAACACAACAGAGACCAAAAAGAAATCATAAGGAGATGGAATCAGGAGACAAAACAGGGAAGAAGAAAATTACTGCGCACCTTGAAAGCATCATCCGTAGAACCTTCCCTACTCCTTCTTCCAGTAATCGTAGAAACCCCACTGTTCATACTTCTCACATCAACATTCGATCCTCTGTCCCAATGATCCCCATGCAACCCCTCTCCATGCGATACAGTCCTTTCCCTCCCTGGACTCCTCATTTCCGTCACATGTCCGGTAGGTCGAGATGGTCCAGCTCCTGTTTTGACGTTGGACGGAGTAGTCTGTTGGGAAGATGGAGAAGTGTCAGTGTTAGATTTCGGTTCTTTTGCTCGACGGACTAATGTGGCTAGATCGGGTGAGGAGGCAGTACCGGGGGAACGAAAGATGGATTTCTTTTTTGGCGGTTTAGGGTTTTGGGCTTTTATTTCGGCTAAAGGATGAGCATATTGGGAGCTCTCCTCCGATCTGCGGGGGCCTAGGAGGGATTTGATACCTTGTACAATAGGTATCTGATCATATACGATGATGAGAGTGAACGCAAGGTAAGACAGTCAAAGAATACCTAGATTAAGGAGAGGTGGTCATGAGGAAGGGAAAATCGGAGGGAAGGGGTGAACGAAGGGGTCTGACTCACCATCCAGACCTATAGCCTGTTTTTGTTTCCTGACCAATTTACTAGGTGTTCCATCACTACCAGTTCCCACAGTCCCAATCGTACCTGTACTTCCTACTGTCCCAATGGTGTTCGTAGTCATTGTACTTCCTCTTCTACCTCCTCGAACTGAAGCACTTAAATTATTTGTGATAGTAGTGTTCGTCGACGAAGGGATGGAAGTATTCAAACCATTTGTCATGCTACTATTTGTCGATAAAGAAACCGAAGCACTTAAATTGTTTGTTATAGTGCTGTTGGTCGATAGAGTCCCATATCGACCAGAATCATTTTCCACTCCGAAACCTAAACCTTGAACTTGATTTTGTCCCATCTTGCTATCTCTTTTTTCAATCCTCTGAGCATCTCTTGAGTTTACTCTTTCCTCTCCATCTAGACCAACTTGACTGGTTTCTCTTCCATTTGACAAATCATGGATATCACTCCTTCTTTTCTCTTTTGACTCTCCTGATTCCCCTCCACCTCCTCTTCTGTCATCCTCCTTGATCTTCCCATCATCCATGCGTTCTTCTCCTTCATCATTCCCTTCAAAAGCTGATTTCCCAGAATCTAACGGTGTCTCCTCTTTCACTCTATCTTTCGGACTAAGATCCTGAACGTTGTTCGAAGGGAAAGGGACAGAAGGATAGACCTCTCCATCTTTTCCTATCCCAGGTGCGAAAACAGAAGGTGCTAAAGCTCCCGGAGGAAGGATCAATCCGTGTTTCCTAGAATGTTCCAAATCATCCGATGATAAAAGTAAATCATCATCAAAACTTCTTTTCTCAATAGTTTGTGGTCGATCATAATCGTCTTCTAAATCAAATGGAATGATACGTTGTTGATTTGTACTCGGTCTTCTGTTATTTCTTTTACCTAAAGTAAGACCTTTCCCCCATGCTTTCAAACCTGTTTCTCTAGGTAAATCTTCACTTCCTCTTCCAGATTTCACTCTTCCTTCCATCCCATGATTACCGGGTTTACCAGAAGTAGAAGCGAAAACATTATGATTCTCATTAACCCCTTCCCGACCACTTTCTAATATACCCGTACCACGATGTTTCGATGTACCGGGGATAGAACCAGGGATTCCGGAACGTTCATCTCGATTTTGATGTTGGAAAGTAGGATGTTGTTGTTTTGATTGACTCGTTCGAGCAAAAGGATGATTAGGTGGTAATGCTAATTCCTGATTCAAGGTAGTTTCTTCAGGTAAGACTGGAGATACTGATAGATATGTGGTGCTAGGTGATAATAAAGCAGCTTCAAAGGTCGCTTCGAGATCTTGACGAGATCGTTGGGATGAAGTTGAAGGACGGGAAGGTTGGATAGGAGGAGATAGGGTCATTTTTTAGTCACAATGCTGTGAAATAGTGATCTTGTCAATATTCCAATTTAGTCTTTCCCAACATAGAATGTGATGACTGTATTGGTCGTATTGGTCGTATTAATCGTCAATGTCGTTTTTGATACGTCACAACATGTATGAAATGGGAATGGAAAGTGACTTGAGCTGGTATTTTGAATTACCACCTCACTGTCGATGAAGAAAAACAGTCCAAGCTACCTTAATTGGCGGGATGGTCGTCGTCAGCCGTTGGGTCGTCCCCTATCCTCGGACAACTGTCGAATATAGTTCCTCGGGAAGTAAACTGGTGTTCACAATAGAGAATGGATGATGAACAATGGGAAGTTGGAGTATTGACCAAAACACCTTGATATACTCGATCGTCTCGTAATATCTATGATGTATGTTGACAAGATAGGAGGAAAATCAAGGAAGAGAGAAAGAGTCCTTTGGAATAAAATCCGTTCGTTTTATATTCCTTTGACGATTTGTTCTGCTCCAGTGTGCCAGTGTGCGAGTGAATTAGTGGGATAGTGGGATAGTGGGGTAGTGAGATAGTGAGATAGTGAGATAGTGAGAAGGTAGGGTCGTTATAATATATGATACTTGAAGAAGGAAAAGTTACGTTTGTGATATGATTTGAGATCGAGGTGAAGATGGTGTTTCAAGTTTTTGAATAATGTGGCGGAATTGGACCGTGCTCAAATCGCAAATGTCTTGTGAACCTGTGTAGAGTACTTTACTATATCATAGTGACAAAGACCCTTAATGGATGATCAAGCTGAAAAACAACACTACGAAAGGTTGGGAGTTGACAGGGTGACACGACTACATGTCGAGAGAGGGAGAGAGAAAGAAGGAGTAGGAATGTTTGAGTATATAAAAATAGAGATAGAGATAGATCAAGTGCTGACGAGAGTGATTTGGAGGGAGAACGGTGAGTAGGTGAGTGAGAGTTTAGCAAGTAAAGTGAAAAAGGAATATACCTATTACATATAGACAGAAATGTCTTGGAGGGAAGAGAGCGCAGAGGGGAGAAGATATGGCAGACAGACAGACAGACAGACATAAATACATGATGCATTTCCCTTCTCCACTTAAACATGGCAATATAAACAAGTTCCAAGTTCCAAGCTGACTGAATAACGACAAGACTAAAGACGTGTGTGGACAAGAACGAGACGTGATTCAGGGTTTGGTACAAGAAAGACCATCCGAGGTAATTTGAGGATATCAAAAAGGGGGAATAAAACACATAACATTTTGACCAAGGAATCACGCAAGAGACATCGAAGGAGTGTTGACATTTCCGTTAGGGGTCGAAGGTGAGGAGAAGAAACAGTAGGAATCGTGACAAAACAACAAGAGGAAGGGGAAGAATAGGGTGTAGATCGGAAAAGTTATGCTAGGGGGAGAAGTAAAATAACCAGCCACCTAAGCAATATTCCTAGGTCCTGATTTACTTCTCCTCGATGGTAATTCCTCTTCTTGTCGAATTGTCGCTTCATCAACAGGAACAAAAGCCCAACCCATCGGTGCTCCGTTTCTCGCTTTGATAGCTTCTTTCTTTCTGTTGGCTTTACTTGCACTCGTACTACCACCCATATGATCTCCTGATCCAGAAGCTGAAGTCACGCCGACACTGTCAGGACGTCCGGTGGGTGTGTTGTAGAATGGTATTTTCGATGTCGAAGTGTACGCGTGTGCTCCAGGGATGGAATGAGGATAAGTGGTAGTTGAAGTGGAGACGTAAGGGGCAGGAACGGGAGTGAATGGATATGAAGTATTTTGGTTGGAAGAAAGTGTAAATTCATGATCCCTAATTTCAGGTTGAGCATATTCTAATCTGTGTTCCACCTCTATCAGACCATCTGCCACTTGCTTGGAATCTGGACTGAGCTCGGTATTCAAATGAGAGTCCAAGGCAATGTCATTTCCTTCGGATAGAGTTAGAGTAGAATCTGATAAGTTTGTTGATCCTGAAGATTTCCTCGTTTGCGAGATGACAAGTTTATCGTTATCCGTTTCATGTTCGCGTCTCGTACCTGATCCAGATGCTACAGGAGGAGGGTTTACTTGATCACTCAACTTGGCCAGAGTTTTCTTCACATAACCTCGATTTGACTTTAGATCTAATTGTAGATCAGTCGGTATGATCGCTTCGCCAGTGGTAGAATCGTCCGGTACCACACCAAATTCTTTAATCATGTTCAACATCCACACTTTACCCCTACGACGTTTCATCCTCTCTTCTTCCCATTGTGCCAAAGTACGGGGTTTTTCACCTGCTTTCTTTCGTAACCATTCTGCCCATCCTGAAATTCGAGGTTTCTTCGAATCGTCCGACTCGTCATCCTTCTCAACCGAGTAACGGCCTTTAGCACGTACTTCAACTTTCTCCGCGGTACCAGGAACCCAGTTGAGATCGTTTTGAGCGGTTCGACGTTGCATACGGGATGTGTTCGACTCGCGAGATTCGCTCTTCCTTGCTCGACGAGAGCTAATTTGTGATTTCGTAGATTTGGCCGAACCGGGATGAAATGGTTTCTGAAGTTGAGGATCGACTTCAGGGATAAAGTCGGGATCATGAGGATCATCATCACCCAATGAAGAGATAGGGGTGAAATCTCGGTGAGGGTGAGCAGGGGATGAAGTGGTAGTGAGTGAGTTGGACTGTCTGCGAGAAGACGTAGGCAAAGACTTCCGAGTTTGAGCAGAAGACGATGGTTTGTCACCATTCTTAGACCTGGAAGTAGGTTCGCGCGTAGGGGAATGGATGATACGTTTGATACTGATTCTCGAACTAGCTGTCGTTGGCAAAGCTGACGCTGCCCATCCTTGCAATGGAGCTCCAGTTACGGAGAAGATATCTTGTTGTTGATAATTGTATCCTTGAGCATGATGTGGTTGCACAGCGGGAGAAAGTGTTCTCGATGTAGTAGGAGGAAGCCAGTGCTGTCGAAGAGACATGGACGAATGACTGGGTAGCCGTGTCATCTTGGACGTCATGTCGTGAGATTCAGAGCCAGACGCTCCATATCGATCAGCCCGAGTTGAGGTGGTGCCCGGAGGAGTGGGTAAGAAGTTCGAAGGACCCGACGCTTCGGAGACCGAAGCAGATTCTTTGGTTTTGCTGGCAAGTACGGAAAGGAGTCGTTCGGAACGAGCAAGAGGAGAACCTTCGGGAACCCTGGTAAGACGTTTGAGAGTTCCAGAGGGACCGATCATACTGCCTCCGATAGCCAGAGCTTTCGATTTAGTCTTTTGAGCCAGGGGTGACGCCTTGGGGAAACGACGAGGTTTGAGCTTGATACTTCCCTTGCGCACGGCAGATTTAGCGGCGTTTCGTGCCCGTGCGTTAGTCTTCGAGATTGGTTTGCGAGTCTTGAGAGTCGCGGCAGGTTCTCGAACTCGCTTCTCCCCACGCTGTCGTCCGAGAATCCCGACACAATTGGGCGCACCACATTGACATCTTACTCGAAGATCATCGCTTCCGGGCATACCGAACGATTCAAAGTTGTAATCATAGAATAACTAGACTCAACACTAGCTCGGTGAGATGATGGACTAAGCTTACCTCTTCACCCTTTTTGATATCACGCATAGCCCACATGCCCACTTCAAACTCTTCCAGGCCATCACCGAGGTTTTGGCACTTGCGAACTTCGAGATTGGGTGCACAGCCGTGATTGATGAATCTGGCTTCGTTTCCTCGGAGACCCTTGTTGGGTTAGCCATCGGAAAAGCTTTAGAGTAAGTTTAGCTCACAGCATCAATGACTTCGTCTTGATCGTATGCGAGAGCGTAGAAGTTTTTCTGACCCTTGTACTCGGTCCTGAGACGATCGAAGAAGGTACTTCTAATTAGTATTGATCAGTATCATACAATGAGCTTACTTCATCGAGATGACCTGTGAGTTCCATCAACAGAAGCAAATCGAGTCAGAGAATACACTTACCTCACCGCGGTAATCAATGACGAAAGTTCCCCCTTCGATATCTTCCATGGCGACAAGTCCAAAGCCCCGGGTTCCGGTCTGAAAATGAGTCACCGACAGTACAAAACTTGCAGTATCTCGTAAGTCAGAGACTTACGTAGACGACCTTGGTATTCGGTCTCGGACGCCTGGCGAGACTCCTGTTGGTACATTGTTCTCCCGCCGGACAGTCTTTCCCACAGAGATAGCTCATGATACGGTTGATACAATTCTCTCCGCAACCGCTCGAAGGATCGCACTTGCAGATCGCTTTGTGTTCCGAGACGTATCGTGCTCGTTCAGGGAAGAGATCTTTGATCAGTTTGTATCTTTAGAGTTTGGAGAAAGATGCCCACTTGAACGGATTTTCTGCCATTCCGCCGGCCTCTTCTTACCATCCAACGAGCCGCTTTCCGCTTCTTGGTGAATATTGTACGGTAATACAAATTCGTGTTCTTGACCGAAGAAATGACGTTCACCGTAGTCATAAGGCAGAGGTGGGAAAGAAAGACTCTCGGTGCTGATCGAATGAACCAGCGACGATTTCTTGCCCTTTCCCTTTCGCTGAGCCGATGTTGAGGTTTCTCTCTGCTGAAGGACTTTGTTTACGAGCTTGTTAGGGGAGACGACGTTTTCGTCTTGACAATATAGACCCGCGGCCATATATTTTTTCCCCTTGCGCTTGCCCGAAGGCTTGCTAACGAGAGCACTTGAAGTCGATTGACCTGAGAATCCTTTGAGCTTCTTCCCATTGGCAGGAGTATTGACGTCATCGTCGTCGGAGGAAGAGATCCTATCAATCTCAATCTCTGTATCGGTCGCCTTTGCTTTACCTTTTCCTTTATCCATCGAAGGCCTGGCTCTCAATTCGCGCGTTGTAGACGATCGGACAGAAGTACCAGAAGCAGCAGCTACGTTTTTAGCTTCTCGAATAGCGGCTAATTGTCTCGATCTGATGGCTCGGACATTAGCCATGCGGACTTTGATATCCTCCGCTTTGGCTCCGAGGAGTCTATTCTTCTTTGAACGAACGATCTGTCTCTTGACTTTGGAAGTTGTTACACGTTTGATCTCTATCGACTTGGAATTTGCCACAACAGATTTTGTCCGATTTGACCGGGATGGTAGGGGCGCATGTGTTCCTACTTCCTGAATCTCGTTGACAACTTGTTTCGGATCATTCGCGCTCGGATCGATTTTCAAAGTAGAAGACGAAGTAGTAGTACCCTGTGTGGGAAGAGCGGATGAAACCGCGAGATTGATGTTATTGACGGGTTTGGTAGCAGCGATGAGATCAGCTCGGGCTTTTTCGGCTTTGCTCATGTCGCGTCGTAAGCTCTTTGCGCCTCTTTGACTGAGAGGTTCGACCGTCCTAGGAGCTGAAAGAGCAGCTAACACTTTATCACTAGAAGGTGCTATTGTATGACCTGGTTGTGGAAGTGGTATGATTGAAATGTTTGAACTGAAGAAACTACGTTTTTTCTTCACCCCATTGGGTGGTGCAGAATCGGAAGCATCTTTGCCGCTGTTGTCCGTGCTAACGATTGGATGAGTGGTGGTGAGAGGAGGTGGATTAGAAATGACTCTCATGGTGAGATGGGTGGCGTGAAATGTATGAAAGTGATTGGGCAGAGTGGAATGGACGGAAGTGATGGGTAGTTTGTGTATAGATCGTACGTGATATGTGAGTTGTATGTAAAAAGATGGAGAGAGGGGAAAACTAAGTGACGCACGCATGCACGGCAATTCAAGAACGTCGACGTCACGCTTCTATCCCTTACTATTCATCGGCGTTTATAGTGTGGCACCCTCATTCCACCTATATAACTCTCTCCTCCCTTGCTCCTCCACTCTATATGTTCCTCATCCGTACTAGCACATCTTTCTTCCTTCTTGGGTGGGGAATCAATAGCGGGAATACGGGAACGTGGTAGTACGTAACACTATTTCTCCAATGGACCGTTTCAGAAATCTCCAGAGGTCCGTGGATCGTGGATCGTGGATCGTGGATCGTAGACTTTAGATCCGTGGTCGAGACCTCAACGACACGAGTAGTAGTCAAAGCACCTTGATAAGGATGTTCACGGCAAGGTAAAGGAATGATCTTAGTCCTCACCACCAACCTATTTTGTCTCTCCTCCACCTTGTCATTCTGTTGTACTGTCTGACCACCTTTCTACTCGAGTCTGCCATTGGTTCAAGATCCGATGCATCTATTACACCTTTCGTACCATCCTTAAACCTTTAAATCCCTGTACATCCTTCGTACTCCTGTGAAAGGGCGAGAGTTTTAGCGTGTTGAAAGATTAACGTCAACCACGTCCCGGTCCCCATCACCATCACGGCATTCCTTCCGATGGGGGGGGGGGGGGGGGGGGTCGTCTGACCATCATTGGCCAGTGCGTACATAAGGTGTAGTCAAGGGGACGCCCATTCGCTTAGTTATCTTGTTCAAGGTACATAAATGATTCTTGAAACTATCACATTCACACTACTACGTACTTCTCGTATCGTGACTACATCTACACACTTTCATACTATGGTATATGGCTTATGGTTTATGGTCCGTGGGCAAAGGAAATTCGATCGAATTCAAGTTCCCGTAAAATTCTCCGAGGTGAGAAGAAAAAAAGAGGTTTCACTTTGTTCTCAATCGATACCTGTACACAATGTCCCCGGATTTGAGGTGGTTGGGGGTACCTTGTCGTAATGCACAGACGCGGACACGGAGCAATTCAGGGGTGGAATTTATCCCCCTTTTCTTGAATGACATTTTTGGTTTGAGGAATTGAATGACCTTGAAAATCGTCGAAAGCTACCATGTAGCTATAGAGATGAAGTTCTGTCGTAAGTTAATCATACCTTCCTTGAATGCTTTCTGAAACTTCTTCAAGACCATTTTCCTTACCTGATCGTTCGTCTCCCCCTGACGCCCGTTGGGCCACGAGCCATATGCCATTGATCTGTCAAGCGGCTTTTTGGATCTTCAGCCGAAGGATATCTTCTGGTGCAAACCAAGTCACAACATGACATGTCGATCTAACACTCGTGGTCCGTTCAATCACTAGTGAGTTTTCCCCCGGGACTCTCTCACTCTCATCTCAATGACCTCCACAGGGACAATCACGTAGTTGAAAAAACTTGTCAAAGATATAGAAACCAACCTTGAAACCAAGCTAACTTTCAGTCACTTGACAGACATCTAAATCATCCGTCATAATTCACTCTCTCGAGACATATGAACTTTCACTCATATCCATATCTTCTCCACAAATGGCGTCGTCAATCGCGGACAAATACATCATTCTTTCTCCTACCCTCCGGGAAAAACCTTTTTGATAGAGAATTTATGATCCACCAGAAGATAAATGATCCGAAGAAGTCCAACCCCTCTCGCTGATAGATATTCGGATCTCAAGAATATGTCAGATGTGTTATCCGCAGAGACTTGGAAGGAATGATTTGGTATGTAGGTAGGTTAGGTTTTCAATTATAGGAAAACATCGTATTCTTCCAGATTATCATTTGTTTAAATTATCAATTCCTTCCATTCCATTACCTATGCATCATCCACCAAATTTGTTTCAGACACTTGAGGATTCTTCACAATAGTTCGTTTATCAATTTATCGACTTGTACCTTTTTTTCACCGAAACGACCTCACTATCTTCTTCCTTAGTACTACTATCATCATCAATTTTTCTCACGACGATGACTGTCATTTGTCAACATGAAACTTTCGATCCATGATGCACCAGGATTAACATCAGGGAAGAGGCTATCTTGATATGGAACATAACTTTAATCTTACAAAATATTGATTCGAGAGTGCATACTTACTCCCTCACCCCTAAAACCGGGTATGTACTCCTTCACAAGTATCATCAATTTGATATTCATCCCTTTTCTTTCTTCACATGATGAAGTTCAATTTCTATAATCATCAGATATAAACATTCGGACTGACTTGGGTCTTTGACATTTCTTTTGCATCCATCAAATAAGGCGAGCGATTAGCGAATGCCTTCTACAGGACATCACCTCATAGTATGTCGAAATGACGAATGCGATCAATCAATCAAGATCCATCTCTACACTCTTTGACTCAGATATTTACTAACCAGTGGGGAGAAAGAATAGACCCGCTCATCTTTACATGTTCCGACAGTGGTATCAACATTTTCAATCCAAGTAGGAACGTGTTCATTTATCATAAGAAGAATCTTCACAGCTGTTTCAAGACCGATAACAGAAGTGACTACTTCAAGATGATACGAGATCAGATGTAAAAACAGCTGACAAATGGTCCAAGAGCCAAGACGGTGATGACAGTTAAAAATGCATACAATATCACTTCTATCCCCAACCAGGCATCTTGGGACCTCCTCCACCACCACCGAAATGGAATTGATATCCTTGTCCAGCACCTGGGAAACCTCCTTGTTGGAAAAACTGGAAAGGCGCACCTCCATGGTGAGCGAAAGGATTTTGTTGTTGATTCGAAGTAGGATCATTTGGATCGTCCCCGTTATCATATCTCTTTCGAAGTTCTTCAAGTTAGGTCACCTCCTTCTCAACCGACTCGGAGATCGTGTAATCACATGCTGATGAAGAGTATTAGAAGGGATGATAATGACTTAAGAGGTCTGAAAAGGAGTATAGACAGCCTAAGAGATGGAGAAAATGAAGACGGAGGTTAATCGTCCATCTCTCAATTAGGAAAGAAGACGAATGAGTCAACAATGAACGGGAATCAGGCGCCTCTGTGGGAGACGAGATGATGAAGTGATTACTGGGGAGGAATAAATGGCCAAGCTGAACAAAAACTCACCAGGATCTATCAAAGTCTCATAAGCCTCATTCAAAGCTTGCATCTTCTCTTGTGTTCCTCCAACATCAGGATGAGCCGTTTTTGCTGCTTTCCGGCTATATCGTCAGCCCGATGAACCTCGTCTCCTTCAAACCACACGGAGACCTTGACATGTACATTTACATGATCAGAGAAAGACTCACAAGGCCTTCTTTATAGTCCTATCATCCGCATCTCGCCGTACACCCAATATTTTATAATAATCCTTCTGTTTTGAAATTTTCAATAATTTCTGAGCTTTCTGCAACCGGTTAAGAATCTGACAATCAACTTTACTCCTTAGACATTTCCGCAAAAAAAAAAACCCTAAATGAATAAAGGATATGTTTCAAATGACTCACATCTTGACTACTCCTTCCTGATTTCTCAAAAGCTAATTCCAAACTTCTAACCGCTTCCTCCCATTGTTCCTCCTTTAACAATTTCTCACCTTGACCAACTAAAGCATCCACATTATTCTCATCTAATCTCAAAGTTTCTTCACACCAAACATACCCTTTCTTATGATCTGCCCCCACTGCAGCTTTACACGCTAATGCGTATATCTCAAGTTTGAGCTGACTGTGTTGCCCTGGATTCAATTTTCTGGGTATGTACGGTTCGAAACCATCTTGACCTTCTTGAGCCATTTCTAAGACAGCTTCAAAACGAGCGATGAGACCTTCGGATCCGTCTAGAACTTTGATCGCTTGGCGCCACATGGAACCTTCGACAAAATTTCGGACTTTGGTGATATCTTTATCAAAGGATCGAATGAGCTTGTGCGCACGCTTGCACGGACGAGAATCTGGGTCGTAGTGTAAACATTGTTTGATGTTCTGGAGGGCGGAGGTTGAGGCAAGGAGGAAGTAAGATATGTGAGAGAGACGAAGGGCGATAGAAATTGACGAAGGATTGAGAGCCGCGAGACGACTATACATTAGTATGTCTCTCGAGTGGATGGATGGGATTCAGGTGCCACGTCAAAACTGCCACGCTTGAAGTGGGGGATGTATCAGATGGAGGGCGTCGGCGGTCTGTGAAGGGAGTAGCTGAAACGCTACTAAGCGAGGTCAGGGATATGGAAGGGGAGGTGAGGCCAAGGGCGTCGGAAACAGCGAAGGAATATACGGCATTAGGTATTGGTGGTTTGCAAGATCCGGAAATTTTGTTGATATCTCAATCAGCGATGGGGTTTAAATGCTGAACGGAAGTGGGTGGTGACAAAGAAAGGGGTGAATGGATTTTGATGGTCGCTGAGGGATCTCGGCGGTCGTCAAGCGGGCACATCGGTCCCAGTCAACATTAATGATGGAAAGAATATGAATGCTCACCTGAGATCACCATGTACCGACATGACATTCCCAGTCTCTTCTGAACAGCGTATTCTCAATTCTCGTAATGGGATAGAGTTCGGACTCGTCGTTAAAGCTTGTGTAGCCTCGTCTACACATACGGCCCATTGTTGATTTTCTTCAGCTGCTATAGCTTTCCGCTGAGCTTCGGCAGCGATATGTATTCTCTCTTCCTGACGATCAGCCATAAATCATGCGAGTGTCAGAAGACACTTGAGTGAGATGAGTGATTAAGCATGCGAATGGTCAGGCACGAAGGAAGACAGGGACGTGAACTGGTCAGAAGAGTGTGAAGGCTTGGGGGGACGATGACTTACCATCTGCTTCGCTTCAGGATCTCCTGATTTACCATATTGACGAAGAGTTTCCAGCGCACGGTCAAATTCTCCTTCCTGTGCGAGAATCTTTGCTTTTTGCCAATAGGCCTGTGGGTCAGTCAACCGTACACAGATCCTAGCTCTTGGGACTCATCCAACACTTTCCTCCCTACCATGGAACCGCGTGTGAGTCCTCGAGGTCCACAATGCCAAAAAGAAGATTCTCAAGCGATGGGACCCGTGAGTGGAAGATGAGTGACAGGAGACAGCCGTGAGCCATGTAGACACGAGATCGTCTTAGACCACCCGCATGCATGAAGCGCAACGTAGCAGGAGATTGGAACTCTATCTGAACTGGAATTATGAGGTGATGACAAGACATACTCACCTGAGAGAAGGACGGGTTCAGTTCTAATATAGCATCTAAATCCTCTAATGCCTGGTTATTCCTTCCCAGTGATAGGTACGCAGTAGCTCGTTTATAGTAATTCAAGTAAGAGCTCGGATCAAGTTCTGCTCATCAGCATAATCCTCCCCTACTCTCCCTGACCACCCAAAAACTCTTCTACTCTCGACGAGTACTTCCGGAGCACAGGACATGAGAGCGTAGCAATCCAACTCCGTCTCCTCCCTCTCAATCTATTATCTCGACAGAAATGGCATCAATTCCTTCACCGACAGTCGTCAGAAACCTTTGAACTCGAGGGTCTCATGAAGGAACACGACTCTACTCCCACATATGTTGAGCTCACTTCGCTCGTCCGTCACGACGAGAATTTCTTTGTAAGGGAAAGGTGCCAGTAACGGTAAGGTACTTGGTCATATAGAAGGATCTCAGGACAAAGAAGAGAGGGAGACGAAATAAGAAGATCAAGCTCTGCACTGCCTTCCATAATCTACTCGCAATCAGAGAGGACACTGAGAGGATTTTCATCAGGGAAGTATTCCAGGATCAAGAAGGTAGAGTAAGCCAGAAGAAAAAAACTCACGTATAACCTGTGAATATGTCCTAGCAGCTTCTAAATAATCCCCAGAGGATAAAAACCGATTCGCATCCGCCGTCAAATCATGTAACGATTTGGGATCCGCCAAGGCAAAAGTAGCGACCAAAAGGAAAGACAGGTGTATTCGCATGATGAGTCTTGTCTTTTCTTCCTGACTCTTCTTAGTCTCCTATCTTCCAATTTTCCGAACTCTCCTCTCGCATTCACTTGGAAGTTACCTTACTCCCGGGCTACAAAGTTTTGATCTATCCAGCTTCTTATATTTCTATCGTCCTATAGCCTTGCTACCTGATTTCTCAACCTCTTATTTGTTTATTTGTCTCTCTGGGGGAAGTCCAGATTTCCTTCCTCAGATTATGAGTAGTTGTCGTAATGTCGCAATAGCGAGTTTGTTGGAACGGATACTTGATAGGTATTGAGTATGAAGCTATGGTGGGTAAGGATGAGCAGGATATCAGAGTATAAAACGTTGTAATTGGGACAAAGGTTGGAGGTTAAGGTTCCAGCTCATCGATCGTTATTATTAAAAACTAGTGTTCCAACCCGTGAAATTCACGGGAGCAACTGCAGATGGTCAAGATGAATTTAGTGTATGCCCCAGTTCCCTAGTTGAACCATGCCAAATTTCTCCAAGTTCATGCATAGCATACGCCCCAGTTCCTCACCACCTACAATTCACCCCTCTCCGCCCCAGTTCCCCACATGCGGGAGGCTACTTACACTATATACACTACACACTATAAGTCTAATCTAAACTGCAAACCTATACACATTACATATTAAGCAGCCCTGGCTGCCAAGAGCACATCCTTATACACAATATTCTTCGTCTCACCTCTTCTCCCCTCCTCTGAATCCTCCAGCAAAACCTTGAGACCGTTCTTGAACCGTGCGCGAGAGAGACCAACATACAGCTGACCATGGGTAAATACCGGCTTTGAGAGACATAAGCCAACTGTTGCAAGAGATTGCCCTTGCGCCTTGTTGATTGTGAGAGCAAGACCGACTCGTATGGGAAATTGACTACGACGCAAGGTGAAAGGTAGGTTGGACGATTTTGCTGTGTCGAGTTTGATACGCGGGATGAAACACTTATTCGAATGGAAGTCACCGCCAAGAATGCACCCCTCAATAACATTTGGTAGAAGACGTGTCACATAGATCCGAGTACCGTTGCAAAGACCCGCAGCTGGATCCAAGTTACGAAGTAGAAGAACTGTTCCCCCAACTTTTACAATTGTCTTGTGAAGAGGGAATCCGCCAATTGTGATTGAGTTGAGATATTCAATGGGCCAGAGTTGCTGATTCAAAGGCTGAGCACGCGGGTTTGAAGCACCATCATTCTCCACGATCCAATCCGCACTGAGGTACATCCGAGATTCCCCACTAAGCTGGCCAAGGAGGGTCTTGTTTAATTCATCAACTTCGGCATTGGTTGGCGCAAGAACTGCACGGTCTGCAAAGTACTGAAGAGCAGCTTCTGTTGTCGGAAAACTCTGAGCCAGGTTGGGATAGACATGCTGCAGCAACTCATTTGTGGACTCCACCTGCAATTCCGGAGGTATTCTCAAAGCGTCTGACTGTTCCCCATCTACCAAACCATCCCCTACCCTGAGAAGCCACTCTGCAAACCCACTTGCTTCCTCCCTCTCAATATCAGACAATTCTGCACTCTGGAGCCGCATGTTGATAGTAAGTTTGAGCCGTTTTACCTTCTGCCACAGACGTGAGCTAGTCAAACATGCGCTCTTGATCTGTGCTTGACTCCCTTTTGGCACCACCGGCAAACACTGTCGAAAGTCTCCTGCAAATACCACTACCACCCCTCCAAATGGCTCTTCAGAACCCCGCACATCCCGGAGCATGCGTTCCACCGCCTCTGCACAGTGTCGATGCTGCATGGGCGCCTCGTCCCATATGATTAGCCTGGTACGGAGGAACAGCTTTGCAAGTTCACTCTGTTTTGAGATGCTGCACTGCGAGTCGCCATGAATGTCAATTGGAATTTTGAACCGGGAATGGGCTGTGTGTCAACTCTGCACTAAATGAAATCAACACGGCTCACCTGTACGGCCACCCTTTAGAAGGATTGCACATATACCTGAAGATCCAACCATCAAGACAATGTCACCTTCCCCTCGCAAAACCGCTGCTACCGTGTTCTCCACAAAAGTCTTGCCGCAACCACCTGGACCATCAAGGAAAAAGCACGCAGGTGTGCGAGCCCTGGTTGCCTGAACCACACTGTTGATGACTGCCTGCTGTTCCGGATTTGCAAGGGCCATGTTGAGGGTACTGGTCTGTTGCAATTCTCGCATGTCGTAAGCCAGTTCTTCATTTATAATGCGGCTATCAGTGTCTTCTGGAAAAACTACTGTTGGTTCAGGCAGATAACATCCCGCTAAACTCTTCCCCCTCTCTTCTAGCAAACCCCCCAGGAGATGTAACGCGTAGGAGAGCCGCTCCTCCACACATGGGTTCTCCATCCATCCCTTCTGCCGAAGCATGTGAACGCAATCATCACTCAACGCCATTGAGTGTGTCTCCCACAGGTCCGCCGGGCTGGAGGGTTGATTTTCTATCAAGATGATCACAAATAGTCGACGTAGCTGAGATCCAGAGGCATATGTTGAGGCTTGAGTAAGACACTCATCAAGATCACGGTCGTCATCAAGTAGGCCAAGCGCAACACATGCAGCTCGAAAGGTCGGATGCAGAGTATGATCAACAGTACGGAGACTTTCAAAAGATGTCGGGCAGGGAACATGATAGAGCAGAAGTCGCAGGTAATAGAGCTCCCCAGATTGAGGACCGGCAAAATACACTCTCCCAATAGCTGTTCCACGTTTCCGAGGCTTCCAAGCACGTTCCTTGGTGTGCCAACAGAGTAATTCGGGTACATCGGCGTATATCTTGTCACGGAGTAACTCTAAATAGGTCTCGCAAGCTTTGAAGTACCCCAATAACCGGCTGTTGCGCTGAAGTTCCTCTGGTAGGTTTGCACGTTCGTCTTCAGGCACAAATTGCACTTGATCTTCGTCTGGAAGATGGAGCTGAAGTCGTTCAACGGGTGGAAAGTGTCCATGCATGGGATTACCGCTCAGTCGCCAAACCGCTGATACAATGTTAGCTCAGCAGTACAATCCTCACTATGACTCACATTCGGATGCTGAAACCCAGCGCGCATCCACATACCGATTGATTTCATCAAGATCCACTTGATTAGGAACCACCGCCACATTTGCCCGATCATGACCCTTGTAGACATACTTGAATAAGTATTTGACAGCACTGATTGAAGTGCACACCTCAACATTGATATGGGCGTTGAATCGAGCTGATAAATACGGATTATACGGAACCACATGCTGATTTGTATATGTAATGCGATTCTTGGTCCATGACCGCCCATTATCTCGTCTTCGGTAAATAGGGTATCCATCCTGTTCCATTGTTGTTTCCGGTTGAAAAGCCCAGGGGAACTTTTTTGAACATCGGCCATCACGTCGCATCTGGGCTTGACATCGATCACTGCAGGTATGCAGCATACAGGACGTAACAACCTTGAAAAGCACAGGCTGAGTCTCCTCACAGGGGAGTTCAGCACATACAATCTTGTCAACATCGGCTGGTGTGCGAGGCTTATCGTCTGGTGTAAGGCACATGAGCAGATGACAATGCGGAAGTCCCCGTTTTTGAAATTCGATCACCCAGATCCTTGCAACCACCTTCAGATCAGTAGACACTCAGCAGGAAATAATGAATTGAACACACCTTCCCCAATACCCCCAGTTTGAAAAACTCATGCAGCATAGCATCAAGCTTGAGTGCAAAGACTCGTGAAACCAAGTCAGGGCGGTCTTGGGTGGTCTGTCCTGGTTCCAACTCTTGAGTGATCTCCGGCCAAGTGGGATTGCAGGTGATTGTTACAAATAGGTCAGGCTTTGTCACATGTGAGACGATAGCCATGGCGTCCTGGTACAGGGCGTGCATCTGACGTGGCGAACCGGCAAATGTCGAGGGGAGCACCACTTTTTTGCCTACATCAGCCAAAGGAATCCCAGCATCAACCGCATCGACCAATCCCTTATATGATTCCGCTCGGAGAGTGGTCTGATTCTCTCGGATCCATCGTAGACGGTTTGATTCGGTCTGAGCCCACTGATCCACCAATAGTTCTTGAAAGAGTCGTCCACAATAGAGTGCGGTGTTGAAACTGCCCAATCGTTTGAAGAGATAATAGGTTGCAAATTGCGCTTGAGTCACTCGCTTAGATCCTCCACGCCCATAGCGTCTTACTTCAGCTACCAATCCACCATCTCCAGCATTTCCATCCTCAATATCTTCCCCCTCACCAATCTCGTCATCATCTCCCAGTGGTTGCCCAGCCAAAGGGATCCTTGGATGCCATCCCGGCTCTCCGTGCGGGTATATCAGAGTGAAGTGCAGGGGAAGATATGCTGAGTGGAGTTCACTAATGTTGCGAACCCCACCGCCTCGCAGATAAACTTGAATGTGACGACCCGGGGACGGTTCATTTTCATCGGCAACATATACACATGCAACTTCATCTGATGTAGGTCGGTTATATCTGCGAGGGTCGTTTTGCAGAGGATTCAGAACTGTAAGATACATAATCGGCGTGTCCTCTTCGGATTCCCTATCACGGTCACGGAAAGTCTTGAAAGCAGCATAGTATGGGTTAACCCTTTCTATCATTTGAGCCAGGCGGGTCAGAACACCCTCTTCACCTCTCCCTCGGATGTGAATGTTTCGCTGAGCAGCCTGTTCTGCTTCAGACAGACCCGCCAGGAAGACTTGAGCAAATCGGGGATGTTCGCCAGCTTCAGGAAGTAATGATCCGATTTGGTGGTATGCTCGTCCGCCAATACGAAAGGTGTATATCCCTTGAGGTCCCCAGACTTGCATGTCCTGCTTATCAACACCCATTGAGGTGAAAGCAAGAGAATTATTGTAATTTCGGAGCTGCTCACGACGCAGCTTACCCTCTGCAAACATTTCAGTTAACATTCATCTGGCGGAAAAAGGTCAAACTCACGATGGGTGAGATCCGTCAACAGGTCTTTCAGTTCCGGGGGTGGGTCGACTGGGAGTGGCAACTGAACTGCTCCATTTGCGCAGCAAGATGAAAATCGTGGGTCTGCCACAGTCGAACGTTCTCCTCCAGCAGCAACTTGAAGTGCACGCTCTTCACTCCAGTGTAGGGCTTGACATTTGGGACATATGATATTGCAGCTACCCAGCTGATGGGGTTGCATGCTGTCTGAATAGGTCCGTCGAGCTTTGGGTGCTTGTGGTGGCAAAGGAGGTGGTGAGCCACTCTCAGCCTGTCTTGCCTGTTCTCTCTCCCGTCGAGCTTGTTGTCCAATCTGTCGACCACTTAGGCCAGCCAATGCACCTGCAGGACCTTCAATGATCTGATCAGAGACATTTTCTCTTGGGTCGGTCAATTTCCGGGTGTCCCGCTCCCGCTCCCGTCGATTGCGTTGGGCCAACTGCCGACGTGTCAGACCTTGTATGTTCATTATGATAATATGATTCAATTCAGTCTAGACCAATGAGTCTTTCAAACAAAACACCAAAGGAACATGTAGGCTTACTCTAAAATAGGTATATGTAGTGTGAAGGTCACTGAATAATCAAACCCTCCGTAGGTGTGAACGGAGATGCGAGTTGCCTCGGAGAGCCCCGTGAATGGTGGCGTAAAACGGTGTAAAGGTGCACGGTGTGAACGGGGATGCGAGTTGCCTCGGAGAGCCCCGTGAATGGTGGCGTAAAACGGTGTAAAGGTGCACGGTGTGAACGGGGATGCGAGTTGCCTCGGAGAGCCCCGTGAATGGTAGCGTAAAACGGTGTAAAGGTGCACGGTGTGAACGGGGATGCGAGTTGCCTCGGAGAGCCCCGTGAATGGTAGCGTAAAAAGTGTAAAAGTGCACGTGGACCGGGGACGTCCAAATTCTTCTCCCCTATAGGTGGCAGGGAAGTCCCTGAGCCAATTTACATGTGACGGAACCCCCTGAGCGCGAAAAAAAGCGAGAAACCGAAAAAAAAGTCGAATTTGGCCGGTCGGACCCCCTATTTAGGGGAATTTGAGGCATCGAAAACTCGGTCCAATCGACCAAATTCATGAACTTAGCCAAATCTCACCTCCCGCGTCTCACCTCCCGCGTCTCTGCCTGCGCTCGCTCACGCGACACCCACGTGGTTTATCCCCTCCTTTATCTCGGACCCATCATCTGTTATTATAATAGACTAGCGTGCCAACCTGTCAAATTGACAGGCCCGTCTCCTGCCTCTCAAGCTAAATCCATGAACCCGTGGCCTCTTCTTTCCTCTCCCTCTCTCTGTAGCATGTAGCTTGTAGGTAGTGAATGTAGTGGTTGCGACAACCTGATTTCCTTCTCTCTCTCGCTCTCCCCGCCCTTGTTTATCGTCTCGCTTCGGCCCTACGGGTGTCGCCGCCGGCCACGTGGTTTATCCCCTCCTTTATCTCGGACCCATCATCTGTTATTATAATAGATAGGCCTGCAGGACCATTAGGAAGCTTGTTTCTCGTCAATTTGGCCGTCACAACGGTCGAGGATCCTTTTACAAAGTGTTTCAGGTTTGGAAGGAAACTGAGTATTCAAGTGTCAAGGACAAGCATACATATCAGTAGCGCTGCATGAGACAATCTACTAGCTACATCTGGCTCCACTGACCCAGTAGTCTGGTCACTCACTCCCTTCACCCGTCCAGACACACACGTCGTCCATGGTGCACATGCTTATCGTCAAACTCCCCCGCTTACTTCCCAACAAGAAGCGTGCGAACAAGAAGCATTGGCCTGACAAGATCAGTGATGCGAAAATCAAGAGTTGATAAAAAGTGATCGAGAGACCACGACCCAAGATGTCACCTCAAAAAATACTGGACAAAGATGAACAGTGATTGCGTTGTGTTGAATGAAACAGCCTCATCTTCGATTCGTCAGGGGTACATGATATGGATGAGAGACAGATAGACGCATGAAGTAAAAACGGACACGAACATGAAATTTACATACAAGCCCAATCTCGATCATCTCTCGCCATATCACGACCAAGTAAAGGATCGTCCCCCCAACGTGAGGTTTCAAAATCTATCAAACGTAAAGAGCCATCATCGGATGCACAAATGTGTCTCCTCTCAACGTCCCCATGAGACACTCCAGAAGCATGAAGGAGTTTGTATAGTCGTTGAATTTCATATCTGGTCGTTAGGAGCAAGGTATAGAACGAGTCCAAAGTGAGAGACAGTGAACAGGGGAGTTTGCAAGATACGACCGCGGGGGTGGGTGGCCATTTTGGTTGTGAGGATGACTTCACATCCTCTCCATGGTTCATGATGCGTTGGTATATACCCTTCGGTATTCTGATGCCCCCGAGGAAAACACGTTGCAATCATTGATCAAAGGAATAGGTAAAGAGATACAGGGTTGTGGAAGATGAAATTACAAAGAGGAAGAGCTCACTTGAAGATAGGATGTATCCGTTCTGCTTCGTTACACATGTCCGCAAGGCTTTGACCAAGCTGTTCCATTATGACCATTAATCCGACTCGTTTGCCATTTAACTTCGGATGCTGACCATTTCGTAAATCATGAGACTGTTGAAACTCCAATTGACCAAACTCGCTTTCCCTTCCAGAACTAACACCTTGCGTCAACCTGATATGATTCACCTCGGATTTCTCCTTGTGGAAAATCTCCCACACCCCGTAAACTCGGGGAACCACCTGACCCATTAGACCACGTAACGGTCCATTGTATGCATCTACTTCTGTCAACGCAGCTATTAAAGCTTCATTTGGGGCGTAACCTTCATAACCTAGGTCAGGATATAGACGGTGAGCGAAAGCCTCTGGAAAGCAAAATTTGATTACAACAGATACTTCCGTGGTGACTCGATTTTGGTTGTCGATGATATTCGGTTGAGGGATCATGCCAAGAGGTCCTTTGTTCGCATCATCAAGATAACCATGATCATCTTGGAGTGATGATTTGATGACTTCTTGGTTACAAAGTGGAGAGGTTTCAACGTCCACCGAAGTGAACATGTTCGAGGGTTCATGGGAATGTGACGTGTTTATACTGACATTTTCAACTTGGACTGGCTTAAAGTGACACAATTTGTCTCTCTCAGCCATAAGGGGATCGCGACGGTTCGACGATGGAATGGAAGCATGTGAAGTAGAAGCTGTCGATCGATTCTCCTGGGTCTCCCATGTGAAATTTGACAATCTGTCCATAGATGACGTGACTTCGTCAAATTCAGATGATGCCATATCGGTGGCTTTGAAAATCGATGTCGGAGGAGACCCTAGAAGGGTGAGGGTGTGGCTTATGGAAGATGAGTCACTTTTAGTATATGGGGGAGTATTTTGTTGGGGTAGAGACGACGTAGAGGAACAGTCGGATGTCTTTTCCTTTGAGTGATCGTACATGTCTTTAATGTCTTGAACCAACACATGACCTTGATAGACGTCCCAAAGACGGGAGACACCACCGATTTTAGGACCCAAAGAATATCGCAAAGGTTCGACAACGACATCAGGTTGGGAGGCATAATAAGGAGTATCTGTGTGATTATAACTTTTCGGAGACTTGAAACCCGAGTCACTATATTGTGACGTGGAAGAATATGACACTTGCTCTCGTAAGTCTTCGACCGGGAGGAAGGCTATCGGGTAAGGGTCGACTTGAATGGCAGCGGGAATCGAGGTCAAGTTACATACGGGCGAGGGAGGTGGGAGAAAGATGAAGTTGGTCAAAGGCAAGTAATCCACGTCCGAAAGTGGAACTGCTGGCCAAACAGAACCCGATTGACACAATATTGGAGATGCCTGTGAAATTAGTATCTATCTGAATTGAAAGCTACATGTATTGAGGGGCGGGTTGAAGGGATATCACTTGGGAAGTGGAGATGCAATGTGGGCAATCGTCATAGACAAGAGAATGTGATCGTTCGGAGGTGACACAAGAAGATAAAAGAGCTTTGTAGCCTTAACGAAAAGGCATTTGATATACTGACTCACAGGATGAGTAGTATGTTCGTTTTCCGATGAGTTTTCCTGACATCCGGTAAAGGAGATGACGGATTTTGGGACCGGACCCCTTACTCCGGTTTGTGGACCTCGACCAATCACATTATCGACAGCCGGTGGGGTCGACCGCGTCATCAGAGATGTTCCATCGATGACCGCTCGAGGTGAAGCGTCCAAACCTAACGACATGAATAATCCCTCGCCAACACGAGGAGGATATTCTTTTAGCCCGTAGGCTATCAAAGCCGATAAGATGGTAAATCGTTGTCTTCGGAGGTAGGGGTCTATGACATTTGATATTTTGAGTTGATTGGGCGTTGAAAGTCGAGTGAGAATGGAACTATACCCATTAAAGAGAAAGAGATCGTGCACACGAGCTTGGTGATGTTCCAGAAAAAGCTGTAGGTTAGAGCTGGACTCTTCAATGATAGAGATTGAGTTTTATGAAGACCATCATGAGATTATGATCCCGAACAAAGGCATTCTCTCTGACTTATCACTTCATGCGACAGAACTTATTACCTTTGCTGAATCAATACAGGAAGCTCTCCCTCTGAGATCGGATGGACCATTCGGGGGAGACAGGAGCAAAGTATATTTAATTTTTGGAAACCACAAAACACATACACAAAAATCAGAACAAACATAAACTCACTTGAACAAGAGGAAGAATATGTTTTTGACTTAAAGGTGAAGATGGATCCTCTGTGACAAATCGACGATTGTCTTGGTCATACCGCAGCCGTAAATAACCAGGTCCACCTTGAGCCTCAGTCTCATCCCTAACTTGATCAACGATTTGTCGTAGAGCCATGTAGGGTAAAACTTCTTTTCTCTTGATTTCCCCAGCTGCTCCAGCAGGTCCGAGCGCATTAGCCTGCGAACTCGATTGAAGAGTGTGTGCACCGAACCGTTGACGAGCACCTGATCCACGGACATTGATGAAATCGATCTGACCTGGGACAGCTTTTTGACTGCCATGGACCCATATTGAATCATGTGAAATTTTGAAAAACCTAGATCGTAAAATTATATTGGCCTCACGCATCAAACCTAATCGATGTAGACCGCTTTGGGCAGTCTCGTAAGAAAGCAGTTCTTCTTTTCCGAATATAGCGGTACTAACACGAGATAAGGCGATATCTGACATTACTTTCTCAATCCCGGGTTGAAGCGATGGGTGATTGAAAGGTAAATCGGCGATGCCTGGACGGAGAGAATTTTCGATGACACTTTGAAGATTAGATAGAAAGGTAGGGTCATACTTCAATTCGATATGATCATACCCATGCCGAGAGAGAAGGGAAAACGTATTGAAGGATAAATCGGTGCTGTTGTTGGAAATAGGAGTAGGAGAGAGTCTCTCCGCTGTTCGATGTCGAGAAGGGGAATCGGTGGTCAGGGAAAGCGGAGATGGGTCGACAGGGTCAGGGAGCATGAAAATGGGTGGGGAAACGTAGTTCTCCCAAACTTGACGAAGGGTTGTGGGGTTGAAGAGGTAGGTGTACACATGTTGATGACCTGGTGTGAGAGAGAAGCTGAGGGAAGGAAGAGTGGGTTGTGGCGGCGAAGACGGTTGAATTGACTGCGCTGGCTGAGACGACAACGACGGGGACCTTGTTGGTGATGAGGTTTCCATGATAGAATGAACGCGCAAAGTATAACGTCGGAAGCAAGAGTGTCCAAGGTATTGGGGATCAGAGATTAGGTTGTCAACTCGCGACCAAGTACTGTCAATAAGTAGTAGTGTTGATTTCAGGCAACGGAGCTTCTCGGGGTTCTACTGTAGGTACGGACCCGTGGTGGAGACTGAGTTAGGTGTTAACCATGACGTAATTTGGCGACTTGATCAGAGTATCAACTCATATTGCCCATGGATCCATGGACATACTGTAAACCTCAATACCTCAATCGCGACTGAGATCTCGTAAGGACAAAGGTTGGCAGCTCATCGATCGTCCGTGACGTGGCATATCAATGACGGATTACGTCATCTAACAACCACCCACTTCAGAGAGTGCAAACGTCTGAGTTGAACATAAAGACTTGAGTGCAACTAGCAGGGAAGAAAGAGACAGAGTGGGGATAAACCAAGCATATCAGATTCGTTATTCGCTCAGAGAACTGTTATAATTGTCCTGATTCATTCTAATACCCAAAGTACCCCCTACATTTGACCGCCCTTGTACTCGAAGCCTCCAATCCATTACTTCCATCCCTACCCCTATACCCTCGTGTCAATCTGCCTGCATCGGCTATCGAGATACTCAACATGCACCGTTTCGAATTCCTTTCTTAAACCCCATGCAATCCTGCATTCCCTATCATTCCTTTCTGCTCAATCTCCCAGATTCATCTCATAATTGGATGGTCGGGATATCATACCCCACCCACATCACTGACTGACCGGAGGTTGTGGTAGCGCTCTTCCTGCCACTTGGTCCTGTGCCGCCGCATAAGCAGCTTTCTCGTTCCCCGCTGGTAGTCCAGTAGGTTGAGGAGTAGGGAATGCATTAGGACCTAAAGATGGTGGAGTGGATTGTTGGTCTGTCAGAGTGGGCTGAGTCGGTGAGGATTGTGTGTATTCCTGAGTTGGAGTCACTGCGGAATGTGGATAACCTTGGTTCATCGGTTGAACACTTTGTTGTTGTGTCATCTGAGTGGGTTGGGAATTCTGACCAGTGGAAGGTGGGAAAGGAGTGACAGTAGGTCCTACAGATCCCATTGCTACACCTTGTTCAGCTTGTCCACCCACTAGATCAACTCCTGCACCTGGACGAGTGGTAGTAGAGGGGGTACCATATTCTAAAAGTTGGTGGATTGGTGTACGCCACGTGGGCCAGGAACGACCGTAATGGATGACAGTGTAGATGACTTCGAGGAGAAGGATAGCTAAGAGCTGATGATCAGTTCAAATATCATATTTACCTCTGATCTGAAGGGTTTGTTCAGTATATGAGCGAGGTGAAAAGTACAACTGCAACTGAAGGGTAGGGGGAGAGAATTGTAATTGAGATAGAGGATAGTCAGAATCGTTAGGATAGGACGGGTGAGGGTGATACTTGATTCGGTCATTGGTAACGAACATCAAGATGAGAAGGAAAGTACATTTTGGGGGAAAGGGGAAAGGGTCAGACGCAGGGGGTGATGAGGAGACAAGAGAGAGAGAGATACTCACGAGAAAAGTCAAAACCCATGCTAAACCAATAGTCGCGCTACCCAAATCACAAACATCATATCCTGAACAATTCGAGAAATCACTAGCTTCGGTAGATTCAGCAGCGGTAGAACCGAGAGAGAGTATGAAAAGGAACCCTAGACAGATGGTATCGACCATGACGGAGATGAGAATGGATGAGGGTGTAAGGAACAGGAGAGTAAGCCTAAAGGTTAATCATGTTTCCGTACTACTACAGTTCGTACTTTCAAAGTATGAGAAATGATATGATTGGATGCACGACGTTAATCTCCAATTGACAAGAATGAGACTTGGTCAATAAGTTCCCGTTGATGCGCTGCAGTGAAAAGAAAGGGCATGAAATGATGGAACCGGCACCAACCATGTTGCGTTTGAGAATGGAACAATTATGGGATTGAGGATATAAATGGTAGACTCACGCAACAGCAAGATAAATCATGGTCAATACACCAGTAGCGATTATAGCGTTTCCAGCAGCTAGGTTGGTATCATTCACATAATCCGTTCCATCTATACATCAGCCATCAATCATCTGAGTCGTTCCGCACTCTACACCAAAAGTCCCACTTGTGTGCTTCTGCACATTTTCCACCCTCTCGCATTTGCCATACTACGATACAATCTACCCAAACTCTCTTCATAGCTACTGATACACTGGGACAACATTCCATCCCCACCATGACCGACCAGGTTTCTCTTCACTGGTTTACACAGCCTTCGACTTTCCCTCCCCAAATAACCCCCTCTCTGGAAAAAGAGAAAAAAGACTCAGACACATGATCAGAAGGAAGACTCACAAATATCATTCAGCTTGGCCTGAGTAGCTGCCGCTACGGCCATCGTCACCAATGCCCAAAAACATGTGAAAGCTTTTAAAGAAGGTACGAGGAAGTAAACGAAACGAGACATTTTGATGATGACTTTGTGTCAATCTTTAGATTTCTTTGACTGATTGAAGAAAATATTTCTTTGAAGCAAAGTTGCGGCAATGAGTTTTCGACAGTGTTTTCTTGAGATGAGCTAGAAGAAAGACTCCCTCAGAGAACAAGAAAGATTTTCAAGTAGTACAGTAAAGGGAGACAAGAGGTGACAAGTAAACACGTTTGATGATGGACGGAAGCGAATGCACTTATGCCGAGTGAAACGGAATAGCGAAACAAAGGAATTGAGGGTTTCAAGCAAGAAGCACGGAAGACTCGGCGTGAGTTCAGGGGATCAGGACCCGATCAAAGGCGCAGAAGGGCGTGACGCCAAGAGACGCCACAATGACGCTAAAGCCGCTCGAGCCGCTAGCTCATCCCGTGCCACATGCCACATTGGGCTCACCCGCTTCCGTTCCGGAAAATTCCCGCGCGGTAACCCGACGTACAGTACGTATTTTGGTGACTTGAACTATGAACTCATCTTGCCCAGTGGACAGGTAGCATTGTCAAGATTAGAAGATGGGACCTCCATTGCAACTGAGATCTAGTATCATTTCTTTCCATACACAATTTTTATTTTAGCAGTGACCGATATGATCATCTCAAGTACTCAACCTCAAAGCTCCAGGTTCACTCACATCATCCGCTAATTGTCTTTCTGGTGGAGGTTCGAATAATCCAGCAAGATGTTCCACTTCTCCCCAACTTATGACTTCTCCCTTTATCGACCCACCAGACTTATCTTGGTCATCCATTTCGACGCTGACACGCATGATGGATGTGTTTAAACATCTTCGACGGAGATGGGATTCTGGAGGAGGTGAAAAGTGCATTGAAGTGAGTAAAACTTGTAGAAAGTTGGCGAGATAGGCACCGTGAGAGACGAGAAGGATTGTGTGATTTGAAGGAAGGTTTTGATGAGATTGGAGGAAGAAGAGAAAGAATTCTAGAATTCTTTGACGAAATCTTTAGGGTCAGCTCATTTTAGGAAATCACAACTAGCTGATCGTATTCTGATTTTCGTGGTGGTTGCAAAGAGAAGAGTATCGACCCTTGTGGGGAATATCTGGTTTTGATACACCTTCATTCAGGAAACCCACGATGTGATATTGGTCTTTCCTAGAATCAAGCGTGTAGGGTTTGAATTCCCGTAGAGGAAAGGACGGAAAAGGTGAAAACATGAGAAAAAAGACATATGATAGTTACGACTTTGTGTTGATTGAAGTAAGATATGATCAGCTCACTGCTTGGTAGATTCAGCATCAGAAGGTATTTTCTCATCTTTACTTCTCATACGTCCTTGTAAACTACCCAAATGACGTTCTCTCAATCCGGGATGAACGACAACTGGTAATCCGTGTGGCTGAGCGAGTGTGTAAGCGGTCTAAAGATCAGTCTCCTGAGACATATAATCATATCTTGTCCGAGATCCATTCTGATAACCCATCAAACATTCTCTCATCTTTAACTTCTGCACTCCCGGTGAAGGACAGATATCGCGGAAACGACAGAAAGAATGAAGGGACGATAGCTTTGATTGATATGGAAAACATCTGTACTGGACGGGTCAATATTATGGGGCAAGAGGATTAGGACAAGGAGATACCCACCTCACTAGCTCTAGACAAATCCGAACTCCAGATCTCATCAAACCTAACATCTTTCAACCTTTCCGAACATAATGTCGCTTCGTATTTCCCGTGGTCATTCAAAGGTGTATCAAGTTGACCTTGTATGATACCTTGAACATTACTTCTCGTCAGCTTTTTACTTGCATCATGATACCTCCGTCTCCTCTCCACACTCTCCTCTGCCCTTTCTCGGCTCCCTCTTCCTTCCTCTGCAAAAAAGTCTTGAAGCGATCTCTTCCACTCTAACTAAGGCGGCGTAGAAACTCACTCGTCTGTCTGACCATGTCTCACAAAGTAAAGCAACATCTTACACTTTTTTCCAAACACCAAAAACACAAGGACAAACTAGACACACTGACAAAAGTAACCAGTAAGGATATAAAGTCCTCGAGATGACAAGAAAGCTGGCAGAAACTATTCCACCTTTATATTGTTTATCTCAAGAAAGAGATCAACCGAAAAGACCTTTAATTTCATGAGAACCTTTGGAGGCATACTTTATCGTAATGTAGTATGGACTTAGTCAAGATGAGTGTCCTTTGCGTAACTTGGAAGCGGATCGGGTGGAGGCTTAGATCCGGGAGAAATGCAAAAGAATTGCGGTAAGAAATACACATCACCCCCGCCAATTCCAAATTCAGGTCAGGTCGGAATCCTCGTCAACGTTACGAGTACTTCAACCACAATTCTCAAGTTAGTAACAATGTCCGTCCAACCAATAGTAATCAGTCTAGGTAACCCTCTCGTGAGTCTCTTTCTCTCCTTTCATCTTCTCATCGAATCCCTCCTGTAGTTCAGAATCTTGCACGAGCAAAGGTAGACAGACATGTGCATTCATCAAAGATCAACGTTCTAGGGTCATGGAGTAGTTTCACTTTCTAACAATCTTATCTTGAGGACCCTCGGAGTACTTTCAAATACTCAACGGGTCCTAATGAGATCAATCTATGACCATTTCCAAATGAAATATTATTATGCAGATGAGTAGAGCGTTGAGAGATTTGATTGAAGGGGAAAACTCCTGCGGGGTTCATTGACGAAAGTGATCATGCGTCATGAGAATGTGAAGGAAGGGAATGTTGATATCAGCTCGACATTCAAGTCGGTCCGGAAGAAGGGCCTGCCTATTTGGAGAAATATGGTTTGAAAGCGAATGATGCTATCCTAGCCGAGGAAAAACAGATGCCGATGTGAGTTTCCCGTCGCTTCTCGCGCATCAGACAGAAATTAGAGCAGAGGTGCGCATCGGGAGAGAACGTGTGCGTATCGGAGGACAAAAAATTGGATAGGGGAGAAGAGAACAGGGAGCCAGGCGGACATACATAAGCCTTGGACGGATATAGAGGGGATGCTGAAGATCTGGGACGATAAATATTGATAAGACAGATACGACGATATCGTCAAGAACTGTGACGTTACTTATGTGGCTGGTGGGGCTGCTCAGAATGCCGCTAGGGCTGCTGCTGTGAGTCGTTGAGTCTGTATCATCCACTTATATTTCGTCCTTCGTACCATTCTGCCGATCTTAATGTCTATAAATCAGCGATTACTGGGAACTCTTGGCGGCTATCACGATAGGTAGAATCGTGAAACCCAAATTCCTAACCTACAGTACATCCTCCCTCCCAACCACGTAGCCTATATCGGTTCCGTAGGCGATGACGATCTCATGCGTACCCTTTCCTCTGCCAACGCCGCCGAATCAGTCATTTCAGCATATCAAGTCCAACCTTCTCCAGCACGTACAGGAGCCTGTGCCGTCATTCTTTCCAACCATGATCGTTCTTTATGTACCACCCTCCGTGCGGCTGAAATGTTCACTCCGTCTCATCTTGCCACACCTGAGATCTCTGAATTACTGTCGAACGCCAAATTTTTCTACATCGAAGGATATTTTCTCACTCATGGGATAGAGAGTGCTTTGGAGGTTGCTAAGATGGCTAGTAGTAGAGGAAAAACTGTGGTTTTGAATCTAAGTGCTCCTTTTATCGCTCAGTTTTTCAAGGTTCAGTTGGATGAGTTGTTACCTCATGTGGATATATTGATTGGGAATGAGAGTGAAGCTGGGGCGTATGCTGAGGCTGCTGGGATGGGGGTGAGTGATTGTCTCCTTGTCTTCTTTCATGATCATTCATCACGACCCTCACTGTTCTTTCATCCTTGCGCGTCCTCGTGAAGATCAATCGGTTGTTTGAAAAAATCCATTTCAGGAAGAGGAGACAAACCATTATGATCTGATCCAGAATGATATTCGCTAACCTCCAGTCTCAATCCCTCGAAGCCACAGCTTTGACCTTGGCGGCGATTAGTAAATCCAACCCTTCACGTTCCCGTCTAGTCATCATCACCCAAGGTGCTCAAGCTACTCTGGTAGCTTCTTCTTCCCCCTCTACCTCTCCTTCAAACCTCAAACCTACAGACCCTAATCCCAAGACATACCCCGTACCTCCCCTAGCGCCGGAGAAGATAATCGATACCAACGGTGCTGGTGATATGTTTGCCGGAGGGTTCTTAGGTGCTTTAGCGTTGGGTAAAGATTTGGATGAATGTATTGAGGTGGGACATAAATTAGGACAAATGTGTTGTGGTCAAATCGGACCAAAGTTGGTGTTTCCAAAGGAGACTGTGGTTTGAGTTGGGATGTTGGAAGTATGTCTTTCATCTTCCTCATGATCTCATGACCTCTGAAGTGAGACGATTGGTCAAACACATCTTTCCCTCAATCTCCTCACATATGAATAAAGACTTAGATGGTAACATATATATATAGATGGAAGACGTAGAAGATGACTTTCGACTCATGTTAATGCATCATATTTGACAGATGAATCGATCTCGTCGTGTTCATTCCGGGCAATACGCACACACGTAGATTACTTAGGTACCATTAGTGGGTGTCATTTACAACTTTTGACGTTGCGCAGCCTAACAACGCCCAAAATTGTTGTTAGGACATTTGGACGAAAACTACCCAAAGTGGTAATTATCGTAACAACGCGTGCGCGCAATTTTGCGCAGAAAGTTGTAAATGACACCCACTATTGATGTTATCGTTCTCATTGATGATGGGTTGATGGTTGATGGGAGTGAAGGAGGACAAATTGAGGAATTTGCAATCCGGTCTTTGGTCATTCGGTCAATGTCCGTTAGCCCGTTAGCCATTAGCCGTTAGCCGCCAGCCACAACCAGCATGCCAGCACTCGTAGCCCGTACCCATACCCGTACCCGTATCCGTACCCGAACTTATGTAAGTATACAAGTAGCCAAGTAACATACTCGGCAACGGCCAGAAGACACCACACCGTCCAAAGAGTTCTCAAGATAACACAACAGCTTCTTATACTCTCATAGTTATATCAACTATCAACTACCATACTAGGTCTACACCTTCACATTTTACTCCCATCGGAAATACATCAATTCCTGTACTTGACCACATTATTCAAGATGCACGCAGCATTCCTAGGAGCTTCAAAAGGATGCGGTTGGAACGCTCTTCAAATCTTTTTACAAGATCCTACCAACACTGCCATTTTACTATTACGGAAACCTCTAGAAGTGAAAGAGAAGTTGGGAGAGAACGTCAATAGAGTAGAGATGATACAAGGTAATGGGACTGTATTGGAAGATGTTAAGAAGTTGTTTGAGGGTAAAAAAGTTGATGTTGTCGTTACTTCTCTAGGTCAGTTCTTGACTCTTATTCTTTTGGATCATATGTTCTCTCTCTCTTTCCTATTCCCTTCGAGAAATATTTGTGACGGACATATGTCATCTCCCCTTGCCTATTCCCTTGGAGAGATATATGGGACGGACGAATGTCATCTCCCCTTGCCTATTCCCTTCGAGAGGATAGCGTCGGACGGATGTCATCTACCCTTCTCTATCCCTTCGAGAGACATTTGCGACGGATATACATAAAGGGAGAAGTAAAATAATATGGCTGATTCACTTACGGAGTATACCAGTATCTATGAGAGAAGAATGTGAGAAACTATCTATGGATATTCTTGACTGACTCATATTTAGGCGGAGCACCCGTGATGACACTACGCGGTCCTGTAGTTGATCAACCTACCATCTGTACGGATGCTACTATTACACTTTTAAAAGTATTAGGAGAATTAGACTACACTCCTAGAGTCGTAGCTGTCAGTAGTATGGGTATAGGGGAGAATCATTCTGTTATGCCATTACTTATGAGGGTGAGTGATTGATCTTTCTTCCTTTTCTCAATCATATCCCTTCTACTTGAATACTCATGATATTATTTTCTACATCATTACTATATATCTAACCTCTTTAATTCGTCCGCGTAGATCGTTACACTTCACTTCTACCACACCCCACCCTAAACACTAATCACTCATATCTCATACCTTGCCGCCTCTTCCTCAGGTTGAAAATCGAATACATTGAAAAAATCCTAAAACTCACACCCAGATCTTATACCCATTAGTACTCAGTAAACCTCATCAAGATAAAGAATCCCTCGAATACCTCTTATCACGATCTGCTAAACATATCACCACCCCTACCAATCTTCCACCTCTTCTAACCGCGGGAAAGGTACAAGAGATAAAAGCCGATTTCTTACCTGAAGTAACTATCGTCAGACCTGCTTTTTTCACAGGTGGTGATGCTCCTGCTAGACCGGAGACAGAGTTGCAAGTGGACGAAAAAGCTTGTGTGTATACGGTCAGGAGGAGTGAAGTGGGAAGGTTGATCGTGGAGTGTATGAAGGGAGGATGGGTTAATAAGATGCCTGTGATTGGGTATAAGCGTTGACTGTGAGTGGTTTGAAGTGTAGAATAATGTCTTTGTGATCTTGTTGGATATTTGTATGCAAGATGAATTTGATTGTCGAGGGTCAAGTTTGGGAAGTACTTCATGGTCATACTGTAGTGACTCAAGTCATGGGTGGTCATCGGTGACATCAAGGTCAAGGATCCCCTCGCTTTGCGGTTCGGCCGTTGTGAGTATCCAGGATTTCAGGAACGACCCATACAGCCATCAGGCATCAACCATCAGTGTTTCACCTCGCATCTACTGTACTCTTTGACTTGGTTTGTCCTACTGTATTCAAGACCGACGCAGAGAGGTTTGTCTAGTACAAGTATTTCTCTTACTGTCCCACCCGTACAGCTGAGCTACATGGCTACACCATACCCCCTCTCCACCCCCCTTCAAGCTCCCAACTCGTGCCATCACTTGTGAGGGAAAATACCCAAAACCCAACCTCCCCAGTCGCCAGCCCGCGCTCTGACGCTCGGATCTAACCGACGTTTCATCGCCTCGCCCCTTAGCTCCTTTCTCCTTGTAACCCTTGCTTTTTCTTCTCAACCCTTGGTCTTTTCTTCTATCGGTCACCTCGGCGCTTATCGTTCCTACCACCAGTCATGGCTCTGCGACACCACTAAGCTAGTACCTCACTTGACAACAACAAACACAAACACGAACCATACTTACTGTTCCTTCAACACCTTCTCCTTTCCCACATTCAATAAACCATTCACCTTACGTCAAAAATGGGTAGAGCCAAAGGGGTGAGTTCCTTTTCAACCTTTTACATTCGACTTTTGTACTCGTTGGAGCCTTTTCAACTTTCCAACATTCCAAAAGTGACACATATGAAAAATGGATTATTGTCTCCTTACCGTTACCCCCTTAACTTATCATCCGTATCTTAGTACCGTTGTCGGGTAGTCGGGCAGTTGGCAGTTGACAGTTGACAGTCGGGAACAAGGGGTCAAAGAGATGGAATTGATGGAACGATGATTTTTGTCTCTTGGAATAAAAGCTATGATACGGAGAAACTTGTTTGATACTTGATAAAGTCTCTTTTGATATCTGTTTGGTCTAGGGTACGGATTTGTAAAGAGATAAAGCTTACCATCCTTCTTTCTTCTTCTCTCTTCAACATCTTGTCATTTTACTGGATTCTACTCGATCCGACAATCACTACTCTATCACGTTGACGCTGGCGTCTTCGACATAACCCAACTACCCACGAAATTCTTGCATCAACCCTCACCGACAACCGTCAACCATAACGACCTGAACAACTATCTCGACGATCACATCTACCTATATATCTTTCAATCGCCTGGCGGCTATTACACCACACAACAGCTCTAATGCTCGCTTCTCCTCTCTCACCCATCCACCACCTCTCTCCTCAACCCTATCATCTCTCAAAAGGTACTTCCCCTCACTTCGCACAGACCTTTGGAACCAATTCCAACTCCCTTCCTCAACCCACAAGAGGAATTAAACGATCTTTTTCACAAACCGACACTCCAATCTCTCTCAACACTCATAATCTTACGGTATTTTCACAAAGGTATCATTCATCTCTTTCTTCTCGATCACCTTCTCACACGTGTCACTTCCCCTTACCCATACAAGATATTCCTATTTCTTCGCAAAGGGACAACAAACAAACCCATCACCTACCCCCTTCTCCGTCTTCGCAAAGGTATCACCCAAACAAACGACAACGTACCCCAGCTCCAGGGGTACCTTTAAGATTCCCTCTTCCCACGGACGGAACGACTCGAATCATTGGTGAGAAAGAGAAGGAGACCACTTCAAAGTGGGTACCAAGGAGAGTTGTTTCTCTACCTTTTCCTTTGAATCGATTGTCAAATATAAGATCGGAAACAATGATGAAAATATCTTCAGATGATTTTAACATCACTACTATCGATCGGACTTGCGATACATTAACCTCTATTTCAACATTTACGGCATGTTCGGAGAATCCTGTCACATGTCCCCCGACGAGTAATTTATCCCATACGTTTGCTTCTCCTTGCTCACCCACTGTCACGCCATCTTCACCTTTGAAAACTTATATAAACTCGTCTTCTCAACCCAACGACAAGACCTCTTCTCCTTTTCCAAATCCAACACCTTCGAGTTTGAACACACATAGCGACGAACGAAACCACAACTCTACAATGTCGGATCAAGGCAAAGAAGAACCAGTCACAGATACTGCTCACTTGCCACCATCTCCTAAATCTCTTCGACTATCCTCACCTCTCGTACTCCATACTCCCGCCCCTTCTCTCCTGCAGAAACGTGCCAACCCCAAACGTCTCTCCTTATCCCTCTTCGTGCCCCCCAACCCATCATCAAACATCACAGCGGTTCCAGCTTGTCCCACACCTATCTCTCCTTCCCAAACTCAAGCCAATTCGACAGAGTCGACACCATTCACCCCTGGTCCTCCCAAAACTCCGTCCATCACTTTATCCCTGTCACGCACTAGAGGCGGACTTCGTCGTCCAAGTCTTCTTAGTCTCATCACTCAACCTCCAACTGATAGCCCCTTTACACCTACTCACCCTTACACCTCCGTCCGTCGTAGTGCTCGGCCAAGAACAAGAGCTAGTACTCTTGAGACACCGACAGATCGGACCTCTCTCCTTGCCAGATCAACTTTTTCCGCTTCAGCACATTCTAGAGGTTTCCCCACCATATCAGAAGTAGATGATTTATCAGCACTCAAATCTTCTCTTCCTTCTCATTCCTCCTCATATGGTCAGACACGTCATACCTCTCCAGCTTCATCGGTCTCCTCGGAAAGCTCAGGAAAGTCATTATCAACTGTATCTTCCCTGACCCGTCGAGCGACGCCATACGAACATGGACCTGTGGAGATTGTCCCAGGTGTGTTCCTAGGAGCGGAGGATAACGTTCATGATTTCATAGCTGGACCAAGTCGGCGAATGAGGATTATCAATGTCGCGCAAGAGGTGGAAGATCCTTTCATGGGCATTGCGCAGCAGATTTCCACCTCAAGTCATGGAAAGGAATCCATCGGTCTGTCAGGCCAAAGCGGGGTGAAGGGGAAAGAAAAGGTTCGTTTGGTGAGATATCAAGTGGGAGACAAGGTTGTTGAATATGCTCATCTGAGGTGGAGTCATGGAGAGGCGGGACTGGCGGATTTACCAAAAGATGCCGAATTGAGTCAAGTGATAGATCCTTTCTCTCCTCATTCGGAGATGGACGAGCAAGAGGAGACTTTTGAGGGTTGGGGTTTCTGGAAAGCTGTCAGATGGTTGGAGACAGCTCGGAGGGATGGGATACCAGTGTTGATTCAGTGAGTCTCCTACATTCTTGTAAACATGTTTTCTTTACCCGACCTCATCTCGTCGTGCCTTTTTGTTTCTCTTCAAGGACTGTGACTGACCAACAGTTGTCAATGCGGAGTGTCCAGATCGGCCACATTAGTGATTGCATATGTCGTCGCTCTTGCAGCGGCGGGTCTCATGCCTGAGCATCTGGGTCATTTGACGAGTATGCAGGATGCGTATGATTTAGTGAAGTCGAAGAGTCCGTGGGCTGGACCGAATGTTTCGTGAGTTTTTTCTGTACATAATCGATCTTTATTTTCTTCTCTTCGCTCTATCTTAGTTTCCTCTCATCCTTCATTTACATACCCATCTCACTGAAATTTTCAAATCACCTCTACCTTCCCCAATTGCAATTGTCAGATCCCTCCCCCGAGCCACTCTTTTGATCCGTGGTTCGCGTATCTCGTCGAGAATCGTAGACATCTGACTCTCGGTCGAGTATATCAGTCAGCATGTACTAATCCTTCAGACTCGTATTCCAACTGGTCGAATTCGCTCGAAACTGCACCCAACTTATCTCTTCCCATCTCTCGGCCGGTTTACCTCAACCTATCACTTCTTTCCCCACAGCCAACGAAGTAGAAATGTCCGAAGCTGAATGGGCTCGTCGTCGGAGAGAGTTCGATCTGGCTCAGGAGACCGATAGCGATGAAGAATCCGATATGGAGTCTTCTTCCCGAGCACATTTCTCGATGGAAGGGAAAGAACTCTTGAGACCGTTTGAAGATGAGGAGTCTAAATCAGGACAACAAGTCTCAACCTTTGATTTAAGCTCGTTAAAACCTAGATCGGGAACTCAGCACTTGAGACCGATAGAGTCAGTCACACCAAAGACCAAGAACTTTGATGTGGGAGGAAGAGGACAATTAGATACAGAGATGAAGTTGGCTCAGGAAGAAGCTAGAATATGGGATGAAGCAATGATGGAACGAAAGAGATTACGAGGGTTTAGATAGGTTTGTGACATTGTCCGCTGACCGCTGGATCGGTCTTTGAAGCGAATCAGAATGAGAATAACATCTTGGGAACTTTTATTTGTCAATGAATAGATGTGATGCATAGTATAGTAACTATTGGATAATTTTTATTATTTCAATGGTTCATGTTGTTTCTCTTGGAGTACCATCATGCCCTGTCCGCCTTCTACTTTGAGTCATTTACGAAGATTTTGGTCGTGACCCGAGTTCTTCAAGTGCTGAAGTAGGTATTCAGATGAAGAGGGATTTGACGTCAACTTTGAGTCATCCTACCGTAATTTCTTTCATGACCTCGTTACAATGACAACGATCGATCATTGATCATTGTCAATCAATTGGCAGGAGGACCATAAAGGGTCGATGATTGATAGTTGGGGTCGAATTCGAATCCGAAATTGGAGATGACCAGTACGGGTATTGAAGATTTAAGAATAAGGCGAATGGGGTCCAGTAGTACTCTTAATGATCGGAGTGATGTGTAGAAGTGGGATTCACGATTATGATCAGTGTTGTCAGAGAGAACATGACAACTCGGATAGACGGCCTTCCAATAAATAGTTTTTCACCGGTCGGAGGATGTGGAATTTTTGTTTTCTTTTTGCTGAGGTAAATGATAATGATAATTTTCATCTTCTAAAACGTAATAAAAACCTTTGAATAGGGTTCAAAGCTATCCTTGCGAAAGAAGGTGTTAAAGCTAATGAGATAGTTATTCGGAGAGGTGCTAATGCCTATGTAAGATTAGTGATTTTTTATTATGATTTACTATTACTCTAGGATATAATCATTTAAATCATGGGAGTTGTAAGAAGTTGTTTGACGCTTGATTCCAGGTGGATTGATGATTCTATGTGGTGGAGGATCGATGGTACGATGATACGATGGGATTGTGTGGTTGTGTAGATGTGTGGATGTGTAGTTGTGTAGTTGTGTAGACGTGTGGATGTGTAGTTGTGTGGTTGTGTAGATGTGTGGTTGTGAGAGAAACAGTTCGACCGAGGAGGGAGGGAGTTATGGTAAAGGGAAGAGGACGAGGAAGTGGGAAGAGAAAACTTACTTTAACAACCACATAAGCTGCAATAGCGTTGGTCACTTTATCACTCGTTCCTTCTCTTACACCTTCTCCTGATCCTAAGTCATATCCTCGACCTATTTCTTCATCTTCTAAAGTGTGATTATCATATCCCAACACACCATATTTCTTCCCTAATCTATCTACCCTTCTTTCAGCTTCGTCATACCAATTCAAAACCAATTCTCTCCAACTACTTTTCCCTTTCCCTTCAATCCCATTTTTCTCACTATTCACATTTTCTACCACTTTAACTTTCTCCATCCCACCATTCTCTTCATCATTCATCTCATAATCTTGCTCAACAACAACAACGCTTGTATCTCCTAAACCTAAAACAAACCCAACAACCCCAACTCCTACTCCAAAAAATTGAAACATTCGATAAAAAAGATAAAGCGGTATGATAGCTGTCACCTCATGTAATATCCCGAATGAAAGTATCAAAGAAGAAATAGGAGCACCAGTGTGTTTAGATAATTTCAATAATTCAGATCTAGCTTTGGAAAGGTATGATTGATTTACTACTACATTATTTGATTTGTTCGTACAGGGTCCGACTATTTTGGGTTTTGTTGATATTTGATATTTCGTCGGATACTTTCTTGTAGTACGAGGAGGTGTGAGAGATGGATGAAGTGGGTGTAGAGAAGGGAAGAGGTTGGTTCGGAGAGAACGTGATTGGGATATAGGTTTGAGTGGTGACATTGTGGAGTGGAAGGTGAAGAGGAAAGGGTGAGAGGTTTCTGGAGGAGAGTAACTTACTCGCCCGATCACCCAAGTTTGCCCCACTTTCCCCACTTTCCCTCACTTGTGCACAACCTACCCTCGCAAGTTACTCTAGAGTACAGTAGAGTACTCAAGTACGTGTGTTGAGGGATAACAAAGGTCTCGATGTACTCACTGTCTGTTGTAGATGGGTGAGTTCTTCCTCGTAACAAGTACCAGAATATTATGTAAGCTTGCCTTTCCTGTAAAATCTGTAGAGTTAAGAGTAGGATGCGTTGAGTCATGCAAGTGCCATATCTGAAGTTTAATTTCCCAACCGTTAGGAGTAGTTACTGCAGCCGAACATAGCGGGATTGATGATTACTCAATAAGTACTACCAGAGAGGATGGAAAAGGGGGTAAAAATCAATGCAAACAATTTTCTCTATTAACCGACCGAATCCCACAACCCTCCTTCTCATCTTCCCGGGTTTTAATATAGATCTCATTCCAATCAACATCCCATCAAAATCACTCTTCTCTTCCTAACTCCCTATCCCATACTTCATACTCACGTCCCACCAATGAGCCTAACCAAAGGACAACACACTCTCATACCTATATCTTAAACTCCCCATTCCTGCACGCCAAGACTGAAGGAAGAAAAGATCTCCCCTCACACTCTGGGCGGTTCAGGAGGTTCAAAACCCCCACCCCCACCCCCTCCTCCTTCCTCCGGTCCAGGACTTAACCCACTCGTCACCCTCCCACCCATCCTCGATTCCCTCGGAAGTGATCCATGTGGAGAAGGAGCTTCCGCAGAAGAAGCGTTCGTACCTGCTCGTTTACGTCCTAATATCGATCCTGCCCGTTCACGAATACGAGAGATACCGAATGGTGTACTTGATTTTTCGTTTGGTGAACCAGGTGTATCTTTACGTCCACCACGGAGGAAACGGGATGGACGACGATGTGCGGAGACTTCAGAGAGACGGGATTGCATTCGAGCCATCTGGGGGTTTAGAGATGATACATAATTTATTAATGACCTGCGTATCCCATGACTATTTGGGTCGAGTTAGGAATACGCAGTGGAAGCATGACCGTGGTCGCAGTAAACAGCGATCAAAGAGGGGAGATGGAGAAAAAGAGGGGAAGTGGGTAAAGAAGAGGGAAGTAGAGAGGAAAGAAAAAGGGGAGAAGGTTGGGTTGAAAGGACGAAAATGAAGAACACTTACAGCCACACCACCTTCTTCAGCTATGAACCCAAACCCTCTTGAAGGTTCTCTTTCTAAACCAGTCGACACTGTATGTCAGTCATGCTTGTCATCTCTCTGACCCGAAAACGACGAAAGCTACCCCCACGATTATCTTTGTTCGGATAATCCGATGCACTGGTAGGAGGAAGGTGTCGAAATCAGAAGTGAGATGATTGTAGGGAAGGAAGGTAATCGTCTAAATAACCATGACACAGTCAGATGTTGGGGTAGAAAGAAGAGATATGAAGGATGAAGACGAGTATTGAGTGAAATGAAAGAAATCTGAAAATGAGAGAAGCAAGAAAAAAAAAACACTCACTATCCACTTGAGAACCATAACCTCTAACACCAGTTAAACTCGGTCTACCACCTTCACCACTTTGTCTCACATAACTTTTCCTACGTATATCTTCCATAGGTATTGAATTTTGAGTAATTTCTTTTCTTTCACCCGTCCCATTCACATTCTCATTCCCACTACCTGCTTGATTTCCTTCCCAATTCTCTCTGTCTCTTTCCCTGTCTTCACTCATCCCAGTTAACCCTTCTTCATTCACATCTTTATCCTCTCCTTTCAAAGCTCCACCGAGTAAAGGATGAGTTTCGACATTTAATTCCGGATGATATTTCCTAACCAACCTCATCGTATCAATATCATCAGGTAAATAATTCTGACCGATAGTTCTAATTAAATACCTAGGAAGTAATGCTATGACAAGTACGAAAGGCCAACCAAACCAAAAACCATAAGATCTAAATAATAGAAAATCATTTCCGTAAACCGTTGTATAGAATGAACTTGGTGGTATAACAGAATAAACCGCAGTATAAATCCAAACTAAAAATGGACCTATTGAAATTGCGAAAACAGACCACCATGTCCAAGCGTAGATATTCAAACCGGAGAAAAGGTTGGCGACGAAAACAGCTCCGATAACCATCGTTGTTGAACCTTCATAAATATAAGTTTGAAAACCATCTTTTCTTGTGGTTGTTGTTATATAAGCGTAAAGTAGGAAAAAGAAAACGACAGCAGATTGATATACCGCTTCGAAAATGTAATATGTAAATCTCCAAATACCGAAATATTTCGATTCTCTACTATATCGATATAATTCTGGAATAGCCATGAGAATATCAGAATCGATATTACGATCGAATAAACCTATAGCGATAACAGGTGCTATGGTCCAAAATACGTTCCAGAATAAAAGATATGTATAAGACATGACGTATGTTGAAGACCATCCACAATAGATTTGAAACCAGAATAAAACTCCGATATTGATTATATTCTTGTAAAAGAAATTTAAAATCATACTTGAGTTTCGGAAATATGACCAATGTCCATGAACGAATAATAATCTTTTGAGATATCTGAATTGTGCAATGGCGTAATCGGAACTGTTGACTGCTTGTAAACCTTCTTCTCCGGAAATACCAACTCCGACATCGGCAGCTTGAATCATTGAAACGTCGTTGGCTCCATCTCCAATGGCTAGGCATATCACTCCGAGGTTGTCTTTGATCAAGTGTACGATTTGAGCTTTTTGTAAGGGTGAAACACGACAGCAAACGACGGTGGTACATTTGGTAGAAAGTGTGAGCAAAAGATCGGCAGTTTCAGGATCATCGAATGCGTTTGCCAAAGCACCACCTTCGATGACCAATGAGAATCCTCCAGGTCGATTACCGTTATCTTGTCCGACGAGAGATTGCACACCCGTATTGACACGCGCTAATCGACCTGGTTCACCAGGAGTGTAAAGATCATGTGAAGAACCAAGTGAAGCGGTTGTGTGTGTTCTATGAAGTCCTGCACCATCAAAGAAACCTTCCAGAGCATCTCGAATTTGGTCGTGAACGGTATGATTACCTTGTCGAACAATGATCAAATTCGTATCTTTCGTCAACAAATTGGTTGTGTATCCAATAGCCACGGCAGTCTCCAATTTATCACCGGTTGCTACCCATACCTTGATCCCTGCTCGTGTCAAATCCGCAATGGTCTCAGGTACACCGTCTTGCAATTTGTCCTCGATGGCGGTAGCGCCGAGGAGAATAAGATTCTGTTCAATTAGTCCTGATACCTCTTCTACCTTGGCTTCTCGATCGTCCAGACTGACGGTGGCGGCGTGATATGCCGCGGCCCATTTCTCGTACTCGATAGGATTCAAGACACGATAAGCGAGACAAAGAGTTCGTAATCCTTCCGAAGCGAAATGTTGCAAATCCTGATCCGTTTTCTCCCTCAATTCTCGCTGGGAATTGTCTTTCACCAGTCGCTCGAAAATGACATTATCCGCACCCTTACACAAAAGAAACAATCGACCATCCGCGTCCATTTTGCGCACGATGACAGACATTCGTTTTCGAGCAGAATTGAATTCGAGAACATTCAGGAGCTCGTACTCGTCTACTTGGTCCGAGAATGGAGTCGATAGACGAAGGGTATTTTTATCTCGTCCTCGGAATACGAACCCTACATCTGCGGCCGATTGAACCAATGCTGCCTCGTCTGGAGATTGAGCTTTGTATTCAATCACTCCTGGTTCAGGTTCGGCAGCCAATACAGTGTGACAAAGACCAAGGACGGCGAAGAATCCATGAAGGATACGAGATTGCTCGCTCTCGTGGTCTTCCAAATCACGATCGAGATTCGCATCGTGAAATGGTGCGAGGACCTCTTTAGGTAAAGCAACTTTGACATCGTCCGATTTTTCTCCTTGCCGTTGGGTAGCAGATGAATCCGAGTCGCTCGGTCCGAGATCCGACTGGGACATGGGTCGATGTCCACTATGTATCTGAGTCCTTGGATGAGGTCGAGAGTGAATATCGTCGGGTTTCTTGTCGTCCGTAAGAATGCCATCAGGGGTTTGACCATCCCCAGTGTAAATTTTACCTCCTACTGAACATTGTCGGAAGATCATGGCGTTTTGTGTGAGTGTACCGGTTTTATCACTAAAGACATATTCGATCTGACCCAAATCATCGGACAAATTCCAAGTCCTCGCCAATGTTCTCGTCTTGATACCGTCCTTGATGTATCGGATGTAAGGGTCCCAATAAATGAAAGCCGCTTGTATAGTACGGACGAATTCGATTGAAATGTACAATGAAATGGGTACGATGTTTTGAAAGGTGATCAAAGCATTGGCAAAAGTGACGATACCGTTCACATTTGGATTATCACCAGATCGATCATCTTTGTATGTCCAATACGTTCCTTGACGTACCCATCGACGTTCGTTGAAATGATCCACAATGGCACATACCATACAGATCAGTCCCAAAACAAGAAGATTGACCAGTACTTGAGGGTTCATCTGTCTTTCCACTCGTGATCGTTTAGAAGGGGTGAGTCCGGAATTTTGTACGATCTTCGTGTCGACACCTGTGAAAGCGACAATCCCAATGACCCACGCAGTGTTCTTCAAAATACAACCACGGAGGAGGGTAGTCTCCAAAGTGATTGGGTGAATTTCAGGTTCACCTCCGTCACCCTCTTCGTCGAGCTTGATCACGGCACCGTTCAGTCGGAACATGTTGACTTCAGGGGCGTCCAAATCAATGCGCAGTCGGGTTTGGGCGCAAGCCTCAGCAGTGCCAAGCTCTGCAAGACCAGTGACAGCGTGACGAGATTTGAGATTGGTTTCTCCGTCAAGATTTTTGGTTTCGATATAACAAACGTCTTCTTCTTCCGAAGTGGCGCAAATGATTATGTCTGCCAGTCAGCCATCACTCGGACTCCCAATCACTGTGACGATCACACAGTGCTGACGACATGGAAAGATGAGCTATAACGTCGTACTGACCTGCTGGAAATTGTTCATTGTCATAAATTTTGACGATATCACCAACTTTGACATCCTCCCAAATGGTATTATGCCAACCTATCTCTGCTGGTGTATCCCCTGCCTCTGGATCTTCCTCCCAATTTGAAACCTGACTTCGAACCCTGTTCAAACCTTGTCCTTCCGGTTGTGCAGTGGGTGGAGGAGCATCCGCTGTTGTTCTGTCCCCTCCTACAACCCCTGCCCCAACCTGTGCCTCTTGTTCTGCTTTCTTGGCCTTTTTGCTCTTCCTCTTGGGTAATGGAATAGCAGGAACAAAAGTTTTGCTCTTAGCCGTCATAAGATTTGGATTCTCGAACCCTTGTCCTCCTAATGTATGGACAATGGAATGATTGACTTTATGATCCGCTTGATGTCGATTTATATCCTCGTAAGCATCTTTACCAGCCGTGATGGCCAATACGACCAGTAAAGGGAGAATGACAAGACCTGGTGAGATCGTAGAGAATTTTGAGAAGAATTGTAAGATGGCAATACCCAAAAAGAAGATGTTTGCAACTCTACGAAATTGCTCGAGCAGATTTCGAGGGAGGAAAGTGATGATGGTATATTTGGAAGTGACATTTTGGTTTGAAGCATAAACGTGTTCTTTATTTGGTTTCCCTTTTTTATTATAGAAATCCGGAGGAAGAGGTTCGTTCACGAAAACAGATCTTGGAAGATGGGCGGCTCGACGGGAAGAATTGAATATTGCCGCTGGGTCGAATTGTGTGATGGGATCCATGAGATATCGAGTGAACCATGATGGTTTATGACGCTTTGACCGAGCTACCAACGGGGTCGCAGAAGTGGACGGTGCCATGGTGGATTAGGATCGATGGAAGGGGAGATAACAGAGGTGGGATATAGATGCAAAGGACACTCGGAGGTTGAGGAGATGGAGGAAGGAGTATGTTTAAAGATGCATGAGTAACCCGGACAGACGGCGAGTGATTGGTGATTTGGTGAATAAGGAGGGGTTTGCGGGAAATGGATCGGTCTCGTCGACCGGGATCGTCTACGGTGAGCCGAGGGGATGGGCGATGCTGTGGTATGGTATGATTATAGCTGATGAGTATGGAAGATGGACAGAGAGGAAGATGAGTTTGCTGACAAGTAGTTGAATTAAAGATGAATAGCCTTGGTCTTTGTTGCCGGACGGCCGAGGGTCGGTCACGATGTGTTACAGTTACTTTGAATGATGACGACAAGCAAGATGTTGGTCACACTCGGGCTTCCCCAATGATCGATGACCGATGAGTCTACGAATGAAGCTTGACTGTCGGCTAGTGGGTGAGCAGCTGCAAGGTAGCAGGTAGTAGTGTACAGTATAGAAAAGTAACGAGATGTTTTGAACAAGTCCGAGGTGCCAACGTCTACGTCTGCGATTGATGGCTGGAAACAGTAACTTTGACCTTAAGGTTACTAATCCGTCTTTCTAATCCCCACTTTGGGATTACTAATCAGGTAGGTATTCGAATACTAATCACATTTACTAATGAACTCATCAAAACACCTCGCGCATCGAAAATCTTCTCGGCCGCCGTCGGAAACTGAACTCTTGTTCATCCGGCGACCATTTCCAATCTACCACTACTACTCGACTCGAGTAACTGACCAAGACATACTTGGACGAAAGCATGAAACGACTAAAGCTTTCTCTTCTCCCTCCATTGGTATCACAGACTCAGAACTTGCTTCTACCAATACCACAAGATATTGAGACCATCTCCCAGTTGAGAAAACACATCTTCCGTTCACTTTCGACAGTACGCGATGGGGTACAGAGTAGCAAGGAGATCCGATTGGAAATTGAGGGGTTTGAGCTTTTACCAGGGAGTGAGGTAGATATCATACAAGATGGAGATGTGGTGATGTGTGTCATATACTCGTGTACTGGTGAATTTGACTGATGAACAGAGCTAGGACGGCAGATTCAAGCTCTCATTCCACTTTGGTCAATGGTGTCAGCATCGACGATGGGATAGAGGGAGACAGTATAGTTGTCATTGGGACTAAGAGGAAAGTTAAGGCAAGAGCATCCACCTTGGTTCCGAAGAGTAAAAAGGTCAAGATGATACCGAGTAGGGTGGTTTCCGCTACTGCTACCCCTGCTCTTGCACCTCTTCCGCCATCATCATCTTCTAGCTCGCAAACCTCTTCTTCCTCAGTATCTACTTCTTCTTCTTCGTCATCAGCATCATCTCCCTCTTCTTCTTCATCTACGTCTTCTGTCTCTGAATCCTCCTCCTCTTCTTCCACTTCATCAACCTCTTCCTCAGCACCAAACCCCTCACAGTCCAAACCGTCAACTCGGCCCCCTTACCCAAACCAGACCAACTCGTAAGTGCCCCGTCTCAACCTCAGTCTTATCCTGACACCCAGTATACACATCCCTCCAGGAAAAGGAAAACCCTCCACTCAACTACGAAATCTTCGTCGAAGAAAAGCCCGTCTCATGAAAAAACTATCGGGTTCAATACCCTTCCCTAGTCTCCCTTCCCACTCCAACACCCAATCTCATATCCTCACGACTACTTCCACACTACCCACGAATCCACACTCAAATCTGATGGAAGAAACGAGCCGATCGGTACTTCTGCCACTCCCTTTTGATCTCCCCAGAGACGCTGGAAATCCGAATAAACGGGGTGATTACTTACGACAAATGGGAAAAATACAAGCTACCAAAACGATTTTCTCCCCTCCAGACTCTCCTCATCAGCCTGTGGCTAACGAGCCTACCGCAGGATCAGGAACAATTGTGGATCCGGAACAAACACTTTGTGAGAATGTGGAACATTGGAGAGAAACCGTTAATGGGAATGTAGCAATTCAAGAGATGACAGAATCAGCAGGGGGAATTAGGAAAAATAAGAGAGGAGGTAGGATTGTACCCCCTTCTGAGAAGATTTTACCGGATAATATGTTTGTGACTAGTGTTGATTTCAGTCACACAGGAACACGCAATAGAGAAGGAAGAATGTCATTCTCCCAGAGTCAAGATCAATTCATGGAGGCAGAAGGGAGTTTCGATATTGAGGAGATTGACGAAGGACAGCACGGGACGTGGGATGGAGTGATGGTGGGCACAAAGGTCAATGGGGTAGATCGTGAGGGTGGTGGTTTTGGATCAGTGGATGATCTTGGAGTTCGTGATGAGGCAGAGAAGGGCCTCAATGGTGTGAACGGCCATGAAGAAAACGACCAAGATCAGGCTCTCTGGACCCAAGCAGAGAGCGAATACGACAATTTACCTTTACTCACACCTATGACCTTTCTGTCTTTCCCTCCTAAAGATATTCTAGTATGGAAAGTAAGTTATTCTGCCCTCCCTCTTCCCGCCCGCGTATCATCATACACCCCGATCCTCCCATTTTTTCACATACAACCCTTCCCCCCCGCCATTGTCCTCTCTCCGATCAAGAAATAGTGCATCATGCCCAATAAATCAATGACTGACTCAACCCATCCTCAAACACTTCTCACACCATTTCACATAATGTATTCCTGGTTGTAATGACGGCATAACTTCATGTGAAGTCTTATCTTCCCAACGATCGGCCAACGACCTACCTCCAAGCGAAAAGTCCTGATTGATAAAACTTCCATAAAACCTCATATAAAGTATTTTAGCTTCCAACCGACCTACCACCACATGAAAAACTCGTGACTGATAAAAATAGGAATTAGAATTGAACATGATCACTTATACACCTGAACTTCGAATCCATCTAGCTCGACTTATTCCTCATTACAATTTCCTGTCAAAGGATGAAGAAACCCACGAGAAGAGATTCTTTAGTTTACAATTCGAATTACTTTCTCGTCCTAGTCATAATGATGAATATGAAGGTTGGGATGATACAGATCCTATTGAGAACCACGATGTTGAGGATGGTGGGGAAGGAAAAGAAAAAGAAAGAGAAAAAGAAAGAATGGAATTGAAGATTGAAGATTTACTTTTAAGTAAATGGAGAGTTATGGTAATTCCTCAATGAAGATAATCGATATTGCAACACGAGTGATCCTTCAATTATTCACATTATCATCCATAAGAATCAAATCAATATCATGAAAGAAAGAAAAATGTTATGGATATACATATGGACTGTATCTTACCCGAGTGGGGGTCACCAAGTTAATTGCTGATACTCGTATACGAGTGCTCACAACTATACAAGTATCAACCCCTCGTCCTCGTGAAGCATCATAAGACCGCATCATGAATTTCATTAGATTCAGCATTCCATTAAACCAAATCAGTCAAAAGGATGTCTTTGGTGAACACACGAAATACAAATTTGATATATTATAAATATGAAAGTAACCCCCCGAGAAAAAAAGAAAGATCATTCTACGTTCCTAATTAACATCCTAACTGTATCTAAGAAACTTTGTAAAATCTCATCAAACTTATTCGGTTGACCTGAAAGTTCTTTTTCTCCTTCTGCTAAAAGAGTAGGGACGTCAAGTAATTCAATCTCAATTTCGTATGATAATGTTGGTTTACCTTTATCATCCTATTCCTATCAGCTGTTGTTGTTCTTTCTTTCTTCCACAAATGTCTTTTCTCATAGTGATGAGTTGCGTTTTATACATAGTTGGAAGCTGTGTTTTCGATCCAATTCGCATTCATTAGGAAACCGAGGAACAAGCGAATTCTGGACTTTCACGATCGAAATGACAGGTTGAGGGTTTGATATGAGAGGTTTCGGTGGGAAATGACGGGAAAGTCGTAAGGGGTGGTTTCATACTATACCGAGAAACATAGATTAAAGGAGGATGGAAGGAAGAAGGGCATAGAAAAGTTAGAGGGGTTCAGATAGATGGGGAAGTAATAAGAGAGGGACGATGGAAGAAGGGAAAAGAAAGAAAAAGAAGAAAACGAAGAAAAAGAAAGAAAAACTCACTCGCATGGTAACAACTGTTAAGTCTACTTGAACTAGTTGATGTCTATAACAAGCTCGATCTTTTTCTCTCACCATGAAAGCAGGACCAGAAGGTAAAGGAACTGATTATCAACATCCAACTTCTACATTTTACATCATCTTCCCTCCCATCCTCCTTCCCTTTTCCCTTTCCCCACCTCTCCTGGCCTCACCATTCCTCGGCTTCAATCTACAAAATCACATGTGTCGATCCTCTCCTCAACTCAAAAGGCTCAGCCTGTTATTTAAACCGTATGATCAAACTAAGCCGAGGGAGAGCAGTCCAATTAAACTGAAAGGCAGAGGAACATGGTACGAAAAAGACTAAACAAAGAAAACCCAATACACTCACCAGGCTCTTCAGTACTAACACTAACTCTCCAATCAAATACCTCTTGAGGAGAATAAACGTTCAAATCTCCTATCCTATTTTTTACGATACATCCACCTTCTACAACATTACCATTCTTATCCCTACTAACCCTGACTTTACCTCGACCTGGACCTGACATTTCGTGAAAGCTGTCCACGTGTTGGGCCCTGAAGAAACGGATGGGGAAGGGGGTGGAGAGTGAAGATTCAGTAGCTGAGTTGAGTAGACGATTGAGGGATTGGTTTTGCGTTTTGGTCATGTTGGATGAGAAAGGTCCGATGGGGTAGTTTGGTGGCATTACTGCGCGGACATCAGTCTTGATTTGAGGTTTTTGTTATCCGCTATCAAGTACGGATCTGGGATTGGGACAAGGACAGTTTTGGTGTAGGGAGTCGAATAAGGGATTTGGGGGAAGGACAAGAGTTGGGAGATAGGAGAGGATGAGAAGTGAGTATGGTGAGAAGACAGAGAAGAGGAATGGGAGTGGAGTTGGTGAGTTTAGAGGAATAAGGGTTGGAAGGTGAGAGGGTTTGGGAAGGTGAGAGGGAAGCAAAGTTGGAACCTCACTCATTTCTGTCATTGTGGGCATACGAACTCTTCTTGCTACTTCTCCTGACTTTGTAGGACCCATCAATAGACCTAATTTAATTTCGACCTGATGAAATCAGTCTCACCTAGTTTACACGTGATATCATCGAACAACTAAACCTCAACTCCACCTCTAACTGGGATATGGCTGACGATTGCCTCTTCCTCTCGATATTGTAAAAGCGATAGGAACCCCACACTCACCTCTACATTCTCTCTACCTTTAGAATTGGAAAGTATAAATTCTCCTATCATCTTTGTGAATTCGTTTCTTGGTGAAATCCCAAATATCGAAGGTATGATCAGACCATGATTTTGCCTTTCATCTCCTTGTATTCTTCCATTCCCATTCCCATTTCCATTTCCATGTTCCATATGATCTTGTCCATATCCTACGTATCCATCCCCACCATCTCTTCCATATATATCAACGTTTACACTTCTTTCTCTATAACCATCTCCTTGATCGTATTCTCGTCCAACTCCGGGTTGTGAATATTCATGTTCATTTCTATCTGATCTCCTTTCTCGAGGTTTGAAAGCTTCCACTCTAGATCTTTTCCTACTTGGTCCAGACTCCACTTCACCCGACTGTAATTCGTTCATATCAACACCAAAAGTATTTGAGATAGATGTAAGAGGAAGGGTTGGATCTAGATCCGGTTCTGCGTAACCTGGTTCTCCCGTCTGTCGATCAGAAGGAAAAGAAGGTGTATATCTTCCTTTTTGTTCTGAAGGGTTTAGGTAGTTGACTCTTTGATGTTGGGGTATGTACGACATGGATAGATAGACAGGATTCTTCACTTCTGTTTGAGGGAGGGGAGAGTGAGGGGAAGGGAAGAGTGACGTGGGATTAAGTAAACATATAGTGATAAGCTTTCTCCTGTAACTTACCACCTTACCAAAATGTCAAAATCTCTGTAATTCATGGTTTTTCCCCAACCTACAAGAGAACGAGAAAGACAAGAGAGATAGTGCAAGTTTGTGGGGATAGGCGAAACGACGATGGCATCCATTATCAACTTTTCAAACGTATTTTCGAGACTTTCCCTTCTATCAAGACCTGGACCAAGTCGATTTCCTCGTTATCCTCTTGGTGGAAGATCGACATTCATTCCGAGGATATCTCCCTTGATCGTTCCCAGAGGTTTTGCCAGTACTTCAAAAGTATCAACCACATTACCTCAAGGTGAGTCTTCTTCGAATCTTTTGGTATGTATGCTGACCCATCCCTTCTTATCTTCTCTCATCGTACTGCATCTTCCCCTGCTCCGCAAATACATTCAACTATGTATTCACCATCTTTCTTCCCTTCCATTCTCCTTTCTTCTCCCCCATATCACATCACCGTCCACCTCTCATACCCACAATATATTAAACTATGCAATTCAAAACCTTCATATCGATCATACGGCGGACCTGGCGAATTCACAACGTCATCCGATACTATTTCAACACTCGTCATCATCATCAAAACCAAATCTTGAATCATATCAACATCGTCTTTCCAGCCATGAGAGGTGCTCGTCGTTCCACCACACGTAAATCACGTTCTCCCCTTTTAGAAAATTGTTTTCAAAAAAAAGCAGTTTGTACAAAAGTATACACTGTCAAACCTCGTAAACCAAATTCGGCGGTGAGAAAAGTATGTAAAGTACGTTTGAGCACTGGTAAAACTACGATCGCGTATATACCTGGTGAAGGACATAATTTACAAGAGCATAGTGTTGTTTTGATTAGAGGAGGTAGGACTAAAGATTTACGTGGGATAAAGGTTAGTCATCATTTTCATTTTAACTTTCCTTCTCTTCCTTCCTCTCTCCTATTCTCAAATCCCCCTAGCTTTGTTCTTTGTGGCTCATATCGACGTCTTTATACGTTTACTCTTTTTGAAGTAAATCTGACCCATCTCTGGCTCTCCCAGGTCAATCTATCGGTCCACTGTTTGCGAGCGTGCTCTGAAGGGTGGATCCTCTCCGCCCAATCAACATCTTGGGCTCAAAATCTGGAAATCTTTGGCATTTCTAAACTCATGTCCTTGTCCATGATGCCTAGCTGGAGGGGAGGAACGAGAACGGTGGTCAAGCTACGCGATTAAAGATCTGACACACAGTATAAAGTAGTCCGTGGTGCTCTTGACCTCTCCGGAGTGGCAGGTAGGACCCAAAGTCGGTCTAAATACGGCGGTGAGTTTGTCTCCCGTCCCCCCTCTCTTGATTCCAGGATCAATCTGATGGACAGTCAAAATGCCTAAAAAGGCATAAATCCTCTTTTTCGTAGCACTTGACATCACATGCATATATCTCTCCGTGTCTATTTACTCTGTAGATACTCCTTCGTGATCAAAATGACGAGGTCTCGATATCAAATGTCATAAACCTATCTGAGCCCCGACTCACCAGCCGGAATATCGTCGTTCAGACCTAAGAACCAAGTCGTCTTTGACGCCAGTAAGGATATCCTGTCAGTGGACTTCCCCTCCTTTTGTAGTCCATCCTTCCTTTCGCCCTCGCTCGTATAAATTGGAACATGGGGCGAAGATATGACATGACAGTGTTCTCCATGATCTCGCGGGTCTCTTCAGAGAGAAAGATTCGAACGTTTACAGGGACATTGTGAATGATCACCCTTTGGACCATACCAACTTCCTCGCTCTATGACCCTCTTCTCCACTCCCTTGTTTATGTCCCTCTCGCCAGCAAGTAGAACAATAAGGATCGTCTTCGCACCCAGAACAGATCAGAGTAGCGTCGGCATTACATATACCTAATGTGAGCTGAAATCTGACAAGATCCATGAATCACCCATCATTCGTCTGGTCGAAACGGGGATCAAACCATGAGGGATAATGAACGACCAGAAGATAACATGATGAGGGCCACCACATCAAGATGCTTTTTTGTACTTGTCCACTGGGACATAGGACATGTGTCAGTTATCAAGGAACGATAGGACGAAAATGACGGTAGGGTAGAGAAGATAAAACGAATCAACTCACAACACCAACTCTCCAAAGCATCATCCCTCGCATCTTCCCAACCTGGTATCATACTCTTTTTTCTCCTCCCATCCTCTTCACCCTTCTTCTCCGATTTCCCACCACCATCCTGTTTCTTGACAAATGGGGCAGGTGAGGGGGTCGAAAGTGATGATAAACGTTTCATCATATCGTCCAATTCTGGCTCTTTGGGAATGTCTGTCTTGGTGTCGAGATGGTTTGGGGAAGGAAAGTCTTGTGGCGGTATTGGAAAATCGTATTCCTCATCTCCAGGATCAGGATCAGGTGTCTCCTGATCTTGCCGAGGTAGGGCGTCGCCTATTCGTCCCTTATCTACGTCCTTCCTCACATGATCTATCAACTTGTCTTTACTTTTGTCGTCTTCTGAGTCTACTTCATGTGTTTTGTGTATACCCTCTATAGAAGCTTCTTCCAACGCTCGTCTTAAGATTTCTTCCTCCTCCTCGACCATATTGTTCTCGCTGGTTCCGATCAACTGATGTTCTTCGTCCTCGGGCAAGATTAGAGATGACGAAGGTATTTCTTTACCGACCTCCCTTACTCTCCCCAAAACATCCTTCATCTCTTCTTTCAGACCTTTCTCTCCTTCTGTTCTTTCCCAGTGACTATCATACCCTACCGAATTGAGATCCAAGTCATCAGACAACGACGTCCCTTTATCACCCGCTAAACGTCTGAGCAAATCATCCTCTTCTCTGGCTATCCGAGCTCGTTCCTCCACCCATATAGCGGGATCGACCTTGACGGGCTCTGTGGGAGCTTTGAGTCTTTCTAACCTTTTGAACAAATCATCTTCCCCCTCAGTCATGCTTCCTTCCAGGAAAACGGTGACGGTATAGTGTGAATGATGACCGAGGATAAGACCGAATGGAAGCAGTGAACCGGTTAACTTGTTCGTTTTCCCGGTCGTTCGGTCCGGCTCACGGCATCCATATCCATAACCAAGTCTATGTCTCCATCTTCTTACAATAACTTACCCCTACTGATCTTTCAAGCTGAGCAGCAATAACATACAGAAATCACAAAGCCTAAGAAGAGATTGGGTGCTCAAGTGATTGGGAATTTGAGGAAGATCAAGACTTTGGATAAGATGAACAGTGATAATGACAAACTACCTAAATTACCCATACCCGAACTACGTGACACTTGTCAACGTTACCTTCGAGCATTAGAAGGACTCCAAGATCCTGATGAACATTCTCGTACTAGATCTGTGGTGGAAGAATTTCTGAATAACGGGGAAGGTGAAAAATGGCAGAAAAGGTTGAAGGAATATGATCAAGGTGTTGATAGTTATATCGAAGAGTTTTGGTGTGAGTTATTTGTCGGTTGCAACGTTCCCTCTACACTTCCTTGCGATAGACCTCAGCTGGACAAGACATGGGCATTCTTCGTGTTTTCTATATACAATATAGTCGGTGTGGGGCCGGTTGACATCATGCTGAGCACAGGGGGGGGTTGAGGTTTAGAGGAGGGGTGTGAATCAAGCTGGGGATAGGATGGTTCGAATCGGTTTCACGAAGGAAAGCATGACTGATTGGTTAGATGAAAGTTACCTCTCTCATGCTGATTCGGTGGTACTTAGTCTTGTAAGTCTTTCACTTGAACGTGAGGAAATTGAATTAACGAACAGAACCCATTCTTCGTATTATCGTATGTTACTCCCCTTACCTAACCTGTATCACAGAACCGCTCATGTCATGCTTCTCTCAACCCTAATCCCCGTTTTCCTATTCTGTATGATAAACTCTCTGTGCATATTGCTGCGAAGGAGACCGGGACAAGATATCATATGTACCACGCTGATAAACAGCTCCGACGTCACTCCTCGTGTTCATCCACAATTATCAAGAGCAGCCTCGCTCATCCTTTCCTCCTTGAGTTTCATTCACGATCTCAGAAATGGGTTGTTGCAACCAGACTCAGTACGGGCCATACCGTTGGACATGAGTCAATATGAAAGGTTATTCGGGACATGCAGAGTACCAACTGATGTGAGTATATCATGTTATCCCATTATTAACCTATAATCTCATACCCCTTCTTCCAAGCCGGTATCATATACTCTCTCTAGATACCTGTAGCCTTCCTTGGGACCCATGCTGACTCCAGCGCGGATGCAGGATGCAAGTACACAGCGATAGCAGACATATAGTCGTCATTCGACGTGGTCAATTTTGTGAGGACATTTTGACTTTCACGGTGTTGAACTTACCAGAAAGACTGGTTCGACTGTTTGGACTCTAAGAACAGACCGTTACTCAGTGACCGGGAGATCTTTTCTAACCTCGAGGCTATAGTCAAGGATGCGGATAAGACGCCTGTCTTACAGGTGTGTCCAACCTTGTCTGAAGCATTTCTCTCCCACACTATCTTCTGTTTCCGTCGACACATTTCATTCCTCGGCCGATCCTATCAGCTTCAGGCGGATTTGTGACTGAACAAAGAATCATCAAACCCACATCTTAGCGGATCACGCTGTTCTCTAGAGGTATAATCTCGAGGGGGTGCGGAACGAGTGGAGACTGACTCCAGGTTGCCCAAAACGCCCTCGGTATCCTCACCACTGAATCCCGTAAAATATGGTCATCTCTTCGCACAGAACTCATCAAATCGAATAAGTCAAACGCCACCAGTTTGGATATGGTCGAGTCCGCTTTGTTCGTCGTGTGTTTGGACGATTACGAGCCTGAGGATTTGGCAGAGTTATGTGGGAATTTCCTTTGTGGGGGTTATAAACTTGATGGTGGAGTTCAAATTGGGACTTGTCAGTCTTTCTTCACTGGATGATCGTCGTTTCCCATATTCCATTTCCCATAACTTTCTGCTACCTCTGCCTGATTTTCTTCCCGTGTTCTGAAGTCGAAGGAAGAGGAAGCAGACGAAGGAAAAGAAAAGCTGGTCCTCACAACTGCGTTACATAAGAAGCGTGAGCTAACTCCAAAGGTACGAACAGATGGTACGATAAACTCCAAATCATAGTTTGTTCGAATGGCGAAGCAGGTATAAATTTCGAACATACAGGAGTGGACGGTCATACTGTTCTTCGTTATGCCGCTGATGTATATACCGAACTTGTTTTGTTATTTGCCAAGGTGAGTCTTTTTCATGCCTCACCCTCATATCTTACCCTACTGCATTATCTCTGTCTCCTCGTTCTAAATCCTATCCCTCAGTCAATCTTCCAACACAACCGATCGGTCCAACTTCGGATTTTTCAAATACAAAAGCCAAACAGCTCACTCTTAGACAATCAACCCCTCCACCCCCTCCCTCTTTCACTCCAAACCTTCCCCTTGGGCTAAAAACTCAAAGACAAAACCTTCGAAAGACGAAACGGAAGAAGATATAGATACATCTCCTCGGAAGCTTGAATGGCGTCTAACTTCCGATCTTCGTGCTGGAGTCCGATATGCCGAGACGAGGATCAGCGATTTGATTTGTCAGAACGATAGTCAAGCTTTGGAATTCAAAGGTTATGGAAGTACGTTCATCAAGCGACATGGGTTCAGTCCGGACGCTTTCGTTCAAATGGCTTTCCAAGCTGCTTATTATGGATTGTACGGTGCGTCGCTTATTTCCCATTTCTCCTCAACACCTCAACACCCCTGAAATGATTTATCCTTTTCGGTATCTTGGACGATGTTGCTCGCCCTACTTCATAACTCCCAGGACATTCTTGGGGCGTGATATGAGAGGAGGTTCGAATATTATGATAAAAACTGAAATCAAGGTCGAGTGGAAAGTACCTACGAACCAGCAATGACTAAAGCTTTCCTTCATGGACGTACGGAAGCTATACGTACTGTACAGCCTGAAAGTGTAAAGTTTGTCAAGACTTTTTGTAATGAAGGTCCTACTGCACAAGAAAAAATATCAGCGCTGAGGACGGCATGTAAGAGACATGTTCAATTGACAAAGGAATGTTCAGCTGGGCAAGGACAAGATCGGTGAGTAGATTTCTCTACTACTCCTGTTTCTCCTACTCACCCCTTCTGCTTCTTCTACTTTTCCCGCTCTTCCCGCTTCTCTTGATCTTTATCCATCCTTGCCACATTCTTCTTCCACATCCTCAATCTTCCCCTCTCCCTCAATGACAGCAACCAATAACGCAAAAAGCATATGAAAATGACTAAACCAAAAGTCATCTCTACGCAATGTACTCCCTAATCCAACGTGATATAGCTCATTCCACTCCCAATGGCCACTCGGATGGTGAGACGGATAAAATCACCGTTCCAGCTATATTCACCGATCCGGGATATCAAACTCTAGGTACGAGCGTATTGTCAACTTCTAATTGTGGGAATCCCGCTCTGAGGTTGTTCGGATTTGGACCTGTCACTCCGGAGGGATATGGGATAGGTGAGTGTTTTCGCCATCTATCGGTCTTACTTATCCTATCTGGAAGTCGAATTCTATTTCCAATTTGGTTTTGAGGTACTCTGTCATTTTTCTCTGTCTAGTTACTTTTAGTGGAGATGTTCAATTCATTCTCTCGCATCTCCCCTCTCTGCCCTTTTATCGTTCCAAAGGTATACCCTCCCCATTCTCTTTCCTGCCGGAGGTATATCCCCTCTTCCCCTTTCTTGCTGAAGGTATAAAAAATAAAAAGGCTTGATGTTCGGAAAGTACTCCCAATGACTATGCAAGTCAAGCAATAGTAAAACAAAAGTGGTCATTGAGCAACCAAACCCATGAAGAAAGTAAAAAACCTAATCAACAGGTTACATAATCAAAGAAGAAGGTATATCAATTTGCATGTCTTCAAAACATTTACAAACCCGTCGTTTACTCTCAACACTTCAAGCATACCTCGTAGAAGTCCGTAACATGCTGGTACAATTATGGAAAGAAGCGAATGAACGTCCACAAGCATTTATGGATCATACGGGTGTGATGAGGGATGCGAGGACTGGGAAACCTATTGTTGAGGAAGAAGAAGAGGATAAGGATGAAGAGATGAGTAAGTTGATTTTCTTTTTGACTTGCTTATCATACATATAGAGAGGCCTGAGGTTTTCCCCTTTCTCATCATACAATTGGAGGATTAAATTCCTCTTTTCCTCTGATGTCTTTTTTCTTGTATCCTGATCAAGGAGGATTGTATCTTTCTTCTTGTATCCTGATCAAGGAGGATTGTATCTTTGTTTTTCATGACGAATATGGAGATTTGTATCTTTGTTGTTTTCTATGGTCGATGTGAACGGCTATATCTCCATTTGCATGACAATGTGGATGGATGTGACTTCGTTCATATGTTAGATGGGGAAGACTAATGCACAGTGGGAGGATTTGGATTCTTCGATGTTGGTGCACAAGATGTAGCTCCTCAAGCTAGGAGACGTAGACCTCAAATAGGTATGTCTTCCCTTTGATCAGTACGAGTAGTGATTGAGGGTCATATTGGATGATTGTTGATGAACAGGGAAAACTTTGTCAATTGCAGAGTATTGAACTTGACATTGACGGCTTCTTCTGAGGAAGGTTTGTAAAAAAGGTTGTGGTAGTTCGGACTTGATGTGAGATGACGATAAAGGGGATCTTGGAGTTGTTGTGATTCGTGTACTCGTATGGTGTTTTGATACTGGAAGGTATTCTATGGGGTTATCAGTGTAAGTTTATGTGAGATTATCTTTGTAAAATCATTCGTTTGTGAGATTTATCAGAGAAAGGAGGTGGGGACAAATGCGATTATCATATGCAATGTACCAGTACAATCCATACGATTTGTGATCTACATTTCAACTTCAAGATAGGTATCAAGATGTATTGCCAAAACCTGATAAACTGTCTATCAGTCTAAAGTCCTGAGTCCTACATGTGCTTTTGGGGTAGAAAACCTCTGCTTAGACCAGCAGTAGAAAAAGAATCTTTTTCACTAGTGGTAGCGTCAAGAATGCCAAGGGTCATGTAAATTAGTGCGGGGTGTACGAAAGGGGCATATCCATATGGAGAAGGAAGTGAGGAATGAGGAGAACATTGAACAACCGACTCACCTGAAAAACCCTTTAGGAGTCTTAACCTCTTTCATCTGTGGTCCATTTGTCGGAGGATTAAAAGTGAAGAAATCCCCTCCTGGCATTCTAATTGGACTATCACTAATCCCCACAGACCCTTCCTTATCCTTTGTTTCAACATCACTCGTATTATCCTCTGAAAACGCAGAGGTCAGCTTAGGTGCTCTTTCATGTGCTTTATGATGAACGGATCTGGTTGAAGGTCTATTCGAAGGGGTTGGAGTGGTGATTAGTTCTGCAGGAGAGAGTGAGAGTGAAAGTTTTATATTCCCAAATCCTGTTGATGGTGTTGATAAATTAATACCTTCTTTACTTCCATCTTTATCCCCATTGTTTGTTCTGCTTCCCATGCCGGTTTCACCTGATAAATCTCGCGAGTTGGTTGCTTCTGTACCGGCTCCCGAACCAATTTTGGAATGCAGAGCACCGGGTGTAGACGTGTTGGGTATGTCTGTTTTCGAAAGTGAAGATGAGATGGAAGAAGTTTGGGTAGGTTTTGACTTTTGTATCAACCGAGGAACTGGAAGTGCATCAATCATCACCACTTCCTTTCCCTTGGGTCTTTCCGCTTTGATTTCCTTTACTTTCAAATCCTTCAATCGATCACGCAGATCGTTTCGCCTGGCATCTCGATCAAGAGCACGTTCGGCCGCTTCACGCATTTCTGCAGAAGGTTCGAACGTTACCTTGACTTCAGGCTGAGTAAAAATGAGGTGTGAGTTTGATGGGGAGAGTGAAAGGGATTTGGGACTACCATGAATGTCATTGTTAAAGGGGGAAGGACTGGAACGGGTACCGAAATGTCGAGTGGGAGTATTGAGACGCATGGAAGATATACGGTGAGACAGATCTTCAATGGTTTCTTGTCGAGAACGTATGGCTGCGTCCACGTTACGTACGCTTCGTTGGACTCTTTCAAGAGCTGGTGTACTGAGAATCAGCTCATGTTCCTTGATATTCGATGATTCATTCTCAGGAAGCAGAGCTGATCTGCGACATTATGTGAAGAAGCAGACGCGCAAGATCGTGGGGAGGAGGCTTCCTGGGTCACATGAGGTCAATTTCCAGCAGATCAAGCTGGAGTAAATAAGTCATACGATGAGACAGAAATATACGATCAAGAGTCAATATAGAAAGAACATGTACTCAAGGAAACGACCGTAACGTCAAGACATACCTTATCGAATGTCGGTCTTTCCTTTTCAATCCAGCTATCAAACTCTCCAATTCATCCAAACGATGTTCCGCATTCTGTACAGATTTACGGACTCGGATTTGAGCTTCTGATTGCTGAGGGTTGAGTTCCCGGACTTGCATGGCCGATGCAAAAGCGGGGTCCTGCCTTGCCTTAAGGAACTTCTCCGCTTGGCCAACACGCATGTCCGCTGATTATTAGCCCGTTTATTCTAATTTGACACCCGGCTTCACATGGATCGCGAACACTCAGCCTCTCTTCGGTCAACGCAACAAGTGTCACCATGATAGACACCGAGCTATTTACACTTTGGATGAGTTGAGAACAGGCTGCTATATTGGAAAGGTGAATGAGGCGGAGAACATAACAATGATTGAGAGAGAAATTGTGACGCACATCTAAGCATACCAGCTTGTAACAGTCCCAACTCAACACTAACATCACCTTCTTCATTCCTCAACGTCTCCAACCTCTCACTGAGCTGTTCTACCACATCCTTGACCTGATCCAAAGACGAGAATGGCAGTTCTTCGTAATTAGCTATTGTGTCGAGGGTCAAAGGTCCTATAGACGGTCCTGATAAAGACTTGTGGTACTTGTCTCTACTTTCAAGACTATGTCGCAACTGTGACATCAGCATCTGTGACCTATATCTGTGGCCTTCCGAACTTCCAAGCAAAGCAACGGTTGAGTAGACGCTCGGAGGATTCTGTCCCTGTAGAGATGTACAGAACGGCTGGTGATGACAGTATCAACTCACCTTGTTAAGCCCTGCTTGGAGATCTGTTATGAGAAAGTCGAGCAAGGTCGCTAATGATTCCGTTTTTGGAGGCGGTTGATCTACACTGGCTGGAATCTTGGGTCTGGGAGGGGTTTTGAAAGTCACCACTTCCCGGTCGTCAGTCCTCGACTGAGATGGAGCGGTCGGAGTGATAGCACCGGACTTTGCTAAACTGGATGATTGTTTGGTAGGTGTCTGAGCAGTGAATGTTGTGGCAGGGGAGGATGGCTTTGGGGAGAAAACAGAAGTGACTGGTTTGTCGAGAGAGGATGTGGACGGTGGGGCAAGAGGAGTAAATACAGGTTTGGCGGGAGGCTTTCCTAAGCCTAATCCCCCAAAAGGCGCCGGTTTCTCAGGAGACAAGTTCACATCACTAGCCGATTGGGGAGGGTGAGTTCCCAGGGGTGAACTCGTCCTGGTAGCATGTTTGAACACAAAGGATGGCTTGGAGCTAAGGGGCGTCGAAGTGGAGGGAGCTGGTGATGTTGATGCTGATGCTGCAGTACCAAACCCTGGGAATCCAGAGAAAAGCGAGGGCTTAGTTGATGAAGCTGGAGTTTCTGATTTGACCTGTGTTGACGGGGGTGTCGAGGAAGAAGTGGTGTGAGATGTAGGAAGGGAGAAGAGAGGAGGGTCAGCCTCTGGTGTAGATCTATGTTCTTCGGACGAGGGAGCGGGACTCAAGCGAGAAAAAAGAGAAGGCTGAGATGACTGGGAAGTTTGGTTGCTACCGAAGAAACTGGTTGGCAGTCGGACCGGTTCAGGATGTTTCAGAGGACTTTCGATGGGCGTAGATAAGTCAGGAGGAGGGACGCCTTCGTCGCCTTCGGTCTCCTCTTCGTAATCCTCTGTAGCGTAGCCGTGATCTTCATCCTCCTCCTCACTAGCTTCCCCTTCGCTGAATTCTTCGACATGTTCAGATTGCCCTTCACTGATCTCGTCCACTTCTCGATCTTGATCCTCAGTTTCGTCACTCCCTTCGAAGTCGCTAGACTCGGCAGTCGCCTCAATGATCAGCGGGTCGGAGAAGGTGGCGGCGCCATCGGGCGTCTCGATAACTTCGATAGGTGGCGAGGTCATATTAGGGATTTCTGGTGTTTCGACTCGTGGTATAGGCGAAGAAGTGGGTTCAGTAGACGTGGAGGATGGTCCGGAGGGAAACAGGGGGGTGGTAGGTGGTAATGTTTTGAACGGAGAGGGAAACGTAGTCTGTCCTTCCTGGGATGGCTTGAACGAGAATGCGGGAACAGTGAGCTTATCTGATTGTGGACCAGCCTGGGCTGCAGATCCGACGATGGGGAAAGAGTCTTCAGTCTTGTTCTCGGGGGTGGGGGAGACTGCGGGAGACGTCACTGTTCCTTCAGGGGCCGGATGCGACGACGGAGGGATGTGAGTACCAGGTTCTGGGGAGGAGGCAGTAGAAATGACCGGAGAAGTGAATAGACTCGGTTGACTCGGAGGGTCGCTCGACTTCGCAGTCTTGAATGAGAACAACGGTGTCGTTAGGTTTTCAACTTTGGTTTCAGCTTCAGGTGTCTTGAAAGAAAACACCGGTGTACTCGGCTTGGTTCCCCAACAGGGATCATGTCCTTTGCCATCTTCTCCTCCGTTTTCCCACCAGAGAGACGCAAATGATCCGCCTGTTGTGACATTACCAAAAGCACTTGCTCCTCCACTCTTCGCGGCAAACCCACCAAATCCACCTGTCGCAGAACTTGTCTCGCTAGTTCCCATCGTTTTGGCTGAGAACGCACTGAACCCGCCCGCGACATTCCCAGATCCACCACTTGAAGGTGCCTGACCAAACGCACTAGCTTTGGGTACTGAACTCTGACCGAAGCCGCTGGACCCAAAAGCTGACGCGGTGCTGGGCGCTCGGATGGTTGATGATTGGCCAAATGCTGGCGCACCACTCGACGGACTGACTGTAGTGGTGACAGGTGGTGCGGAGAAAGCTGCGGGTGTAGCGGAAGTTGAAAAAGCAGGTTTGGCTTGTGCTAGCTGGCCAAACACGCCAAAGCTGCTAGGTGTTGCGAATGCCGTACTGGGTTTGATGAAGGATGCAGTTACCGACGATCCTGATGATTTGACAGGTTGGAGTGGAGGTGAAGGTGGGGGAGAGTCATCTAGTCCACTGGGTTTACTTCGACCGCCTAAAGGTGAAGTTGGTGGAGAATCTTCCAGCCCAGGAACAACGGAGGAGGTTTCTAGTGCACTACCAAACCCTCCCAGACCGAATGTACCTTGTACAGGCGGGGAATCGGGGTCGTCTGCAGGAGTAGGTTGAGCGCCAAATCCACTGAATGAAGGTTTCGGCGGTTCAGAGGGCGGATCAGGTGGTTTGACACCGAATGCACTGTTGGAGCCGAAGGCACTGGTGGTACCTAAAGACCCGCCGGTGCCAAAAGGAGTGACGGTCGGTTTGCTTGTTCCTGCCGTACTGGAACCGAAAGCTGAGGTACCAAAACCGAATGCGGGAGCACTTGAGGCGCTTGGCTTTGGACTACCGAAAGCCCCAAAGCCTAGTGAAGTTGATGCAGGGGTGCCAAAGGCGGGAGAAGGGGAGACAGATAGTTGAGAAGGTTGACCAGACGCCGAAGGTGTTGAGGCTGATGTCTTCGGTGATCCAAACGCTGGCGCGCCAAAGGCTACGGGAGTGGAGGACTGACCGAAGGCTGATGGTGTGACGGACGGAGCTGATGAACCAAAGGCTGATTTACCAAAAGTTGCGGGGGTTGTGCTTTGTCCAAATGAAGTCTGTCCAAAGGCGGGAGAAGTGGATTGGCCAAAAGCCGGAGATGCGAACGCAGTTAGTTTTGAAGATGTTCCGAACGCTGAGGGTGTTGTTGTAGCGAATGCAGTAGGATTGGAAGGCGTGCCAAATGCTGAAGCTGTTGCAGTAGTTGACGTAGCAGTAGCAGGCTGCCCAAAACTTGACGCCCCAAAGGCCACAGGCTTGGTCGGTGTACCGAATGGCGTCGTTGTTGAGGTTTGACCAAAAGCTGTGGGTGTAGTACTGGCTGGTTGAGGGGACCGCGTAGGTGTCGCGGGAGAACCAAAAGCAGACGAACCGCTGCCAAATCCACTAAATCCGAATGTGGATTTGACTTCTGTCGGCGGCATTGGAGATGGAGCTGAGGTCATTTGCGTCATCGATGCGGTATCGAAAGATGAAGAGGATGCGATGGCTTGAGATGTGATCATGCCTGGATATTGAGGAACGTCATCGAATTGTATGTCGAAGGACACAATGAAGCCTTCTTGACTATACGCCAACAGTCTTGGTACAGGAGATAGATCTGGCTTATCTTCGCCCGCCACTACACCCCTCCGGACGACCTTCTGACTGGTCAGATCCAGTGCCAGCCCAAGACATGAAGTGTCCTCTGTCAAACCTTCCTTTGCAGCGGGCATGATACCTCTGGCTGTTTCCTCAAGAATCAACACTTCCCATTTTGGAGGTTCCTTCTCTGCAGCGTATTCTCCACGCATGACAGCGATTTCAGAAGCCAAACCGGACATCATAAATGACAGATGTCGGGTTTTATCTCCCCAACTAGATAATGAGACAAAATGTCGATGTGCGCCAGACCGCCCTGGCACACCCATCGAGTTCAGAGGATCGAAAAATTTGGTGTATGTGAAGTTCGATTTCTGACGGTGTATGATGAATAATTCGAGAGGGTCGTCGGGTAAAGCACCGGAGGATGCATAGCAAACGAGGAAGAGGTCGGTCTCGAGCCAGTGAACGAAAGTCGGACGGAATGAAGGATCAAGATCGGGTGGAGAGGGAATGGCAGCTTTCTCGACGCCTTCAGGAGTGTACTGAACTAGAGTGCCTGATGTTGTCCCGCAGACCATTTGTTTGCCTTTGACGGACCAGCTTGCTGTGGTGTCAGCTCATTCTCAGTTCGCAAGAAGGGACACGGACCGCAAGTGAATTGTCCGGGTAGAGGAGCGGACATCTGGCAGGCTTCGATATCTATTATCACAAAGCCTTGGTCGGTCAAGAGGAGAACGTAATGCGAGAGGGCCTCATTTGCCGCAGGAGGGGAAGGATTTGGGATAACGTCTGAAAGGAGTGAGGGTATGTTTGAGGTAAAAATGTGATATGGATTCGTCTGGGATGTCAGCCGAATAAATGGTTAGCTCCTGTTCCTGCTCACGTTACCATTCACAGCATCCATTAGCCGCCAGAGAAACAGCCCAGACCCATCGGCGGTGGCTACCACTAGCCTTGTCTCGTCCATGGCCAATCTTAGGGTGAGCTCCTTTCATGGTCGATCAAGCCACGTACCTGATCCATACAGGTCTGGCATGTAATGACAGTGTGACCAAAGGCTCACACACAGGGCTCGCATCCTTGGCCGCCCCTTCCAGCTCTTTGTGCACATCCTGCAGACGATGTATCTTCACATCTGCCAAGTCAGCTTTGGGTCAAGTGTGATTACTGCACAGCTGACCGGAGTTGCTGCCGACTATCAGCAATCCTAGTCCATTCGATACGGCAATCAAATTTGTGTGTTGAGGCAGCCCATTCAGGTCCACCTTGTCCGACACTCTGAGATTGACATCGTGGTTGGTCTTGACCAACTTGAGGTACTGCTCGTCAGCTTGGGGTTTTTACTCGATGGTCGGGATCTCACATCGACGTCAACTTCGTCTCCTTCCAGCTGCGTAAAGCTAGGCCCTGCTGAGTCATCCGACTCCATAGCCAATGCCCCGAACGAGTTACCGGAGAACATGATGTTGTATGGAAGGAAGAAAAGGTCTGCCTTCGCGTCTGAAAGTGAAGGAAAGTGTGGCCGCCACTTTCAGCGGAATCAAATTTTGGTCCCGTCTGAACAAAGTTCCCACAAGAAGTTTTCCCAAATTCTGTGTCCTTCACTACTTGTACCCAAAGACCTATACTCAACATGGCAAAGGGTAAGAATCATGACCGAAAGGCCAACCCGGGATTTGGCAAAGTCAAGTCAAAGTCGGGGAGTACAGGAGAGTTCAATCTCAAAAGGGTCAAAGGTTTGTTTCGCTAGGTGTTCCGACGAGGTATGTGCTGACGCCCCAGGTGAAAACTTTTATCGCGATGCAAAGGGAGCTGCGAGGGTCAAGATGTTGTCTGGTGGGAAAGCTGTGAGGGATAAAGATGGAAAGATCATCCAGGCCGCTGCGTTTCAGAAAGGAGAAGATGAGGCTAAACCTGGCCGTATACAGCCTGATCGCAGATGGTTTGGTAAGTAGTCTCCCATATCTCGTAGCCTACATCATATGTGACCACCGCCGCTGACACTCAGGAAACACTCGGGTCATCAGTCAAACAGCCTTAGATCACTTTAGGACCGCTCTCAGTGCTCAGAAGGCTGATCCATACTCTGTCCTCTTACGTCGTAACAAGCTCCCTATGGGATTGTTAGAAGATGAATCTGCGGCTTCAGGCAAGGTACATTCAGAATACGTCAATAAAGTGATCAGCTTACACTCAGCGACCTCATATCGTCGAAACAGAGCCTTTTTCAAATACTTTTGGTCCTAAAGCCCAGCGGAAACGCCCTCGGCTTGACATAGGTACCATTGAAGAACTAGGAGAAACATCGGCTGCTGGTGCGGCTGCAGAGATTGACGGTGAGTATCTCTATCTCAATTGAGAGTGGTGTTGATCGAGTCAGAAGATGCAGTTGTCGACCCCGCTGACGCTTACCATCCAACGACTTCGACGGCTCGAGAGCCCATCTATGCTAAAGGCACTTCGCGACGAATATGGGGGGAACTGTACAAAGTGCTCGACTCGAGTGATGTGGTTATACACGTCCTTGATGCTCGAGATCCTTTAGGCACAAGGTGTAAACCCGTGGTGGAGTATCTGAGAAAGGAGAAAGCCCACAAGCACCTGGTGTACGTGTTGAACAAGGTGGATTTGGTGCCTACTTGGGTGACTGTGAGTTCACTTCGCCCACCCTCATCCATGTTGTATTCTTACACATCTGTTTCCTCTTCACCTTTATTCTTAAGACCAAAGTGACATCGCAATCTGTCTCTGAACGTCTGCACCTGGATAGATGAACGAACACCCCACACCACCCTCCAGTCAAGATCATATGCGCGCTTCGGCATTTCCCACGCACATGATCTGTTACGAGAGTGGAAGATCAAGGCAGTCCCGTTTTGCCTCTCCTCGGAACCTCGTCTTGAGCTTTCTGAGGATCATGTTGTCTCCGTTCTGGGGGCAGCTGGGGTTTTGGGATTTTGCTGTAGACCTAAAGAGTTGGGATCAGGACCGTCCAATGGACACGGTTGTCGTTTTGATCCCTTGGTTTGAGGTCAAACATTTGTACTTCCATGCTCCGTCAGACTCTCACTGGCTTGCCTTCTCGCAAATTAGAAGACATCTATCGGATGCTGATGATACAGGCCCGTTGGGTCAAGCATCTCTCTCTATCCGCCCCAACCATCGCCTTTCACGCATCAATCAACAATTCCTTCGGTAAAGGTTCCCTCATTCAACTTTTGCGCCAATTCTCCGTCCTTCATTCCGACAAGAAACAAATTTCCGTCGGATTCATCGGTTATCCCAATGTAGGAAAAAGCAGCATCATCAACACCATCAAGAAGAAAAAAGTATGTACAGTCGCCCCCATACCTGGCGAGACGAAAGTATGGCAATACATCACTCTCATGCGACGTATATATCTAATCGACTGTCCTGGTGTCGTCCCCGTTTCTGTCAAAGACTCCGACACGGACACTGTCCTCAAGGGTGTGGTCAGGGTTGAAAATCTTGCTACTCCTGCGGAACATATCCCAGCTATGTTAGAAAGGGTCCGACAAGAGTATATCGAGCGAACGTATGGATTAGAACACAGGGATGAGGGATGGAAAGGGGAAGAAGGGGCTGCCGTGTTGTTGAGTGCGATAGCGAAGAAAAGTGGAAAATTACTGAAAGGTGGTGAACCGGATCAAGAAGCTGCAGCTAAGATGGTACTGAATGATTGGATCAGAGGGAGAATACCATTTTTCGTTTCTCCCCCAGATACGAAGATAGAGAAGGTGGGAGAGGAGAGAGTTACGGATGAACATGAAGGAGAGAGGGAGGTGATGGAAGCTCAAGAGAAGGCGTTGGGTAAGATCTTAGGACAGAGAAGGGTGAAAGGGGTGGAACAGCCCATAAAACAGATCGTGACGGTGACCAAATTCCTGGCAGAGGATGCGAGACGAGAGGGAGAGGATGACGAGAGCTCAAAAGAGGAGGTAGATCATGTGGGTGACACGGAGGAGGTGGACGACGAGAGCCAGGATGGTGGTGAGGGTGATGAGGAGGAGGATGAGAATGGTGACAAGGATGAAAGTATGGAAGATGATGAAGAGGATGAAGATGACGAGGAAAGTGAAGAGGAAGATGGACAAGCAGATTTAGCATGGGAAGATATCTTCCCTGCTGACCCTTCCACTTTACCTCAAGAATCAGAATCGGATGATGACTCTGTTCCTGCTCCATCAACTGACAGAAAAGGTAAACGGAAGGGTGAGTTGTCCAGTAGCCCTTGTTGATGAGACAGGATAAACTGATACATAGCTGTGACACGTGATGCGGAAAGTGATGTTGAAGAAGAGGAGGGTCAGGTTGAGAAAAAAGTTAGGATGACGACGAACAAGAAGAAAGCTAGTAATTTCTATACTACCGCTGTGAGTATAGCTCATTCGTCTCTCTCGTCTCCCCCTTCTTCATTCTCCTTCTCTTCACCGTCTACCTCATTCTCATTGCTTCTACAAACTACCTCAAATGCCCTGATCTGCTCTTCATCCCTGTCTGATGTGTGCTTCTATCTTCCCGTACCTCCATTGTTCGTCAGTGTCTGCTCAATCAGCTGACGAGACAGAATGTCAAGAACAGGAACAGGGAGAGAAAGATACCTAAACCAGGTAGTGAGAAAGAACGACCCCGAGGATCTAAGGGTAAAGGGATGAGACGAAGATGATGTCCTCTTCTGACCTTCTATCACCTTCATTCTCCTCTCCTTTCCCCTTGGACAAGTCTCAGCCCACTCCTTGGTCGTCCATCTCTCCTCTTTCCTCTCGAATAGTTGTCCACATTTCCCCGGGATGTAAGTCATCCTTTACGTCTACTCTACTGGTGCATCATCAGCGACGGTGAGCAGTGGAGACAAAGCAGATCATAAAAAGGTTTCGTGAAGATGCATGTCATGAATCATAATTGTATAGAATGAAAATTCGGCCAAACTAATTCTTCCACCAAAGTTTTCCTCACTACATCACTTATGAACCTTTCAACTTTACCTACATTACGCAAAACATGAGAATCTTTATCACCTATCTCACTTTCTATAATTAATGAAGGTAATATTTTTTGACCTATAGGTATTGATGTTTTCCCTCCTCCTCCTCCTCCTCCTCCGTTGATGTCTCCTCCGACCCCTGTCCCACTTAACCCAACGATATCGATATCTTCATCAACAATACAAACATGGACTCTATTTTTTTCCGAAGAAAAAGCCAAAACTACATCCGCATCTAAGGTGAAACCCACTATACTTAATTTTAAAGGTAGAGACATGAACCCCAAAGAAGGGTAATTGACTTGAAGAGAAGTTTGGAGTGTTAAGACGAGGTCGGAATTATGATGAAGATGTAAATGTAGTTGTAGACTTGGTAATGAGGTAGGAGGGGATGGTAATGGATGTGTTGGTGGAGATGGAGGAGGGGAAGTGGTGGGGGATGTGTGGTGGTGTTGGTGGTGGTGATGGTCATGAGATCTTAAAGGGTGAGTATGGTGATGATTATTTTCATGGTGTGAATGATAGTGAGGATCATGATGGTCGGTATGAGATTGATGATGGTCGGTATGAGATTGATGATTGTCAAAACGAGGTTGAAGATCTTGGTCAAGATGAGAATGAGAATGATATCGTGAATTCGGATGTACAGGTAGTTCAAAACGATGAGAAGGATAAAAGTCACCGTTCAGATGATTCATTCTCTGTTGTTGTTGTTGTTGTTGTTTGGTATAAACTTCTCCTTGTTTTCCAAATCCAGATAAAGGTCTTGAGAACCCAGATATACTAGCACCCAACCCTACAGTCCCAACACCAACACTACCTCTAGGACTAAAAGAAAAGACGGATCCTTCTTCCAATTCCATATCTAAATCCTTATCCATATCCCCATTTCCATCAATATTTCCATGAGGGGAATCATCAACTAAATCTTGTAATCGCATAGTATGTTCGACTAATTCATACTCTTCTCCATCTAATCCAGATATAATCTTTTTCTGTCCAATCATACCTTCACCATGATGATCCATCACGTCCAGGGGAGGTATCCGTTCATGGTTTATTCGACCATTTATGGGTGAGAGTAAAGGTGAAGAATCATCTTCGAAAGCTCTACAAACATCTCTTATATCTCGAATTTCTACATAAGGTCCAGTTGTACCGAATTTCAGATCAACGATTTGAATTGGACCTATGAAACTTGGTCGAGATAAGGAAGGGGAAGAAAGTTGTCGGTTGAGTAGGTTTATGAGGATGGTTGAGAAGTCGAGTGGGGAAGGATCGGAGAGGAGTAAAGACCAGTTGATATCTAATGACATTTCATGTTTTTCTGTTATTGTTTTGGTATAGCTGGTAGAGTTTACTACTAGTTACTAGCTACTACTACTGTGAGCTCGGAAGTACTTGAGTGAGTTGTATACTTGTTCGCTAGAGGAGGGAAGGAGAGTGAATTGCCACGTCATGTACCTCGGTTCCGATAAGTTAAAGTTGGAAGGTGCTAAGTAAGTGAACGAGCGAAAAAGTAACAACATCTTACATATCTCTGCTTTCGATTTCGACCTACTCTACTCTACTCTGGGTATATCGTCCATGTCGATCACCTCATCTATATCGACTAGTCGATAGAACCTGTAAAGGTGAAAGATCGCGGTGTTACCAAAGGGTCAAGCCCACCGGCAGGTCTGACGACCAATCTATTCGAGTGACAAGATGGTTTCCACAAATATGCGATCTCCCGTATCTTCAGATCCTGATAGATGGATAGAACTTGTATGTTTTTTTCTTTTTGACTTCCATCTTTTTCGAATACATCTCCCCTCACATCTTTGTTCATCACCTATCCCGTATTCACACAGTCATCATTATCTTCTATCTCGAATTAGTCCGGTCGATAGGCACCGCTACTCCCGTGCGATCCCAAAATCCAAGGTCGACAACCCAACCGGGAGGTGCGATGCAATACATGGATATCATAAGTCGCGTGATTGGTTCATTGGTGGATGTTTTACAGGTGTGAACTGAAAATGTTGATATTCAGATACGTCAATGTAAACCCCTTCCCGAACGTCAAATGAAACTTCTCTGTTCTCGAGTACGCGATTTATTATTAGAAGAATCCAACGTACATCATGTCCAAAGTCCCGTCACTGTTTGTGGTGATATACATGGACAATTTTGGGATGTTTTAGAGATTTTCAGACAGGGTGGTGAATTACCAGAAACTAGTTATATTTTCATGGTGAGTTATTATATCCTTTTCCCTATATCACCCTACCACAAATCTTGTATATCAGGAAACACCTTCGTTTCTCTTCAAGGGTGAGAGAAGTCATACGAGGCGTCATAAGAGGAGTCATATAAATTTGGGGGAGACTCAGAATGAAGAGTAGGAACCGTGTGGAAAAAGGTATCCAGCATGAGGTCAACCCTCATCTTGAGAAGAAGATCGGGATCATCGCGAGATACATGTGTGACAAAAGAAAGAGAGGAGCTCACTCACAGGGAGATTTCGTCGATAGAGGTTATTATTCATTAGAAACTCTTACTTTACTATTAGTGTACAAAGCTAGATATCCAGACAGAGTGACATTGTTAAGAGGGAATCATGAATCTCGTCAGATTACTCAGGTTTATGGATTTTACGGTGAGTTGCTTCTTTTCTCCCATTTCCCACGTTCCCCCTTGAGGACATGATGCGCCATGGAGCTTCGACTGTATTATTCAAGAAGAAAACTAAAGATTGTGGTTATGAAGTTGACTTGAGACTGAACTTCAGACGAATGCATGAAGAAATACGGGAATCCGAGTGTTTGGAAAGCTTGTTGTACAGTTTTTGATCATTTAAATCTAGCCGCCGTGAGTGTCGTAATCTCCATCGACCCTCTCCTCAGCCTGATGTGTCGCATGCATATGTTTCAAGGACGAAGACTTGGTTGACAAGGGTTGAAATCAAGGGCTAAATCAACAGATCATCGATACTTCCATCCTTTGCGTTCATGGTGGGTTATCACCCGATATACGATCAGTGGATCAAATACGGACAATCCCAAGAGCTCAGGAAGTGCCTCATGAAGGAGCGTTTTGTGGTGAGTGGTGTCATTTTGTCTCAACATCGAGTCTTTTAAGGACTTCTGTACTTGGTCTAAGAACCGTACATTCTGTCGCCATATGTCCACTATGATTGTTATGCTCTTTTACCGGGGCTTCAAGATCGTGAATCGGGGCGGACTACATGTTGTGGTCCACATAAATTCGAAAAACACTGACCATAGACCTGATGTGGAGCGATCCAGAGAATGTGGATTCTTGGGCTGTCAGTCCCAGAGGCGCAGGATGGTTATTTGGTAGTCAGGTGACTGCAGAGGTACGTATCTGATTCCTTTACTGGTCATCCAGAGTCTCTTTCCCTAGGTTTCATCAGGATTCTGCAGGTACAACATAAACTCAGATACGTAAAACCTCATCCACTTGCCCACACACCCTCTCAACGTCACCATCCGAGATGAAAACATGTTCCATCTTGACATCATGGACCTTTTTCCAGCAGAATCTGACTTGACCAATCAACGGCTGGGACGCAGGAAAATGGATCGTTTAACAGACCTCCTGACTTCCAGTTCAACCATATCAACGCTCTCACTCTAATAGCCCGAGCACATCAGTTAGTGCAAGAAGGTTTCAAACACATGTTCGATGGATCTCTCGTGACGGTTTGGTCAGCACCGAATTATTGTTATCGATGTGGTAATTTGGCTAGTATAATGCAAGTGGACGAGAAAGGAGCCACGACGTTTAAAGTGTATGATGCCGCAGAGGAGAATTCGACTGATCAGAGAAATCCAGCTTTGAGGAGAATGGTGAGTTTCTCTTCCCCCTCTAACAATATACTTATTTCCTCGTGGACACAAAAGATGAGTGTGATAAATAGACAAGGGACTGATGTTCAGGCTGCACAATCATATTTTGTATAACAGCATGTATAGCATGATTCACCAACTCCGGATGTATCACCATCTCTGAAATAATGACCACATTCGCAATATCATAAGTACAGTTTAAGAAGACCCATCAAGTAAAAACACTTTACATCAAATCTTCTGCGACCGGTCTTTTCTTCTTCCGTTCTTTTACCTTCTCCCCCATCTTTTCTGGAGGAGCTATGAAAGCTTCTTCCCTCTCTGACTTCTTCTTCTCCGCTTTCTCTGCTTGTTTCTCCAATCGACGTTTCTTCTCTAATGCTTCGCGTTCTTTCGGTTTCAAGAAATATTCTCCAGAAGCCATTTGAAGATCTAACTTTGATGGTTGTTGAGGTGGAGGGAAAGGTGTATATATTTTCTTCTTTGGTTTCTCCGTTGTTTTCAGTTGAGATGATTGAGACGATTCATCATTCTGTATGACGATAGCATTTGGATTCGTGTTGTTCAATTGGGGATGAGAGAGTTTGGCATTTTTACGAGCTGTTTTTTCTGAAGTTTTCAAATGTCGTTTTTGGAATTCTACTCGTGAGCCAAAATCATTCGTATAGTTTAGATCCAAGATCCAGATCGTTTGTTCCATGGTGAGGAGGATCGTGGCGATGATAATCGTGGTGATGATGATCGTGGTGCTGATGATCGTGGCGATGATAAATGGACTAAAGATGATGATGGGCGGAGAAGAAGGGGTATTGAGAAACAGGGGGAAGATAAGACTTACTAGGTAAGAAACGATCCCAATTTTCATTAACCAATTTTGGATCTTTTGCTAATTCTCGTCGTATCATGAGTTCTTTAATTCGATAAATCGGATGTATGTTGTTCATACAATCAACTATTATACGTCTTACTTCTTTCAAACCTTTGTAGGAACCCATAGCGGAGACTGTGTTGCCTTGAACTAGGACGTAACATTCGGTGAGTAATTCGATTGCCTAGACATCAGTGAGGATTCACAATGTGAGAGTTTCCGGCATCAGGAACCGGATCAATATGATAGAAAGCAGAGGAGGAGATGAACCGGTCCAATACGACATAATGCAGGGAAGATGGATAGGAACAATAATCTAGGAAGCACGTAAGATGGGCTTTGACGAGAAGATGGATGGACAAGTGACAATGGAAGAGATGGGTGAAAAGGGCGATGAAAGGCACATTGAGCATAAATATGTAGGTTGGAGAAGGAAGTTGTTGGGGGAAAGAGAGGAGAATAAAAGTGGAAGGAGATGAGAGAAATGACGTCTCACTTTGAGAGTAGATCCGTTTGGACCGAGTATACGAGCCCGACGTTTAACAAAACGTTCTTTATTTCTAACCAAACCACCAATTGGTATAACGTCACATGCTATGTCATCTTGTAAGATCTTATATACCTTCACATAAGCGACTTTTCTACCTATCCTGTTCGATCCCCGTCTCGTCCTGGCAACATTCCCATTGTTCGTCTGGGATATACAGTCATTTTGAAACCTTGAAGCAGACCGTACCTCAAACCAGCGTCGTACACTGGGAATATTTCCAAAGACTTCTCTTACTGAAGGGGTCGTCTGACTGATGGGACGAGATGACCTAAAAAGAATCCATTGAGAAGGCAAGAGATCACTCAAGCGAAGTGAAAATATGAGACATGTGAATGAAGATCAACTGAGAAATGAGATGGTCGAGAAGAGAAAAATTTACCTGAGGAGGATCAACACCTCTAGCCAACAACTTTAACATATCTCTTCCTTTCAAAACGACATAAGGATCCCATGTTTTACGTGTAGTTTTCACTGTCATTTTACCTTGAACAAGATCTAATTCGCAATCCAGTTCGACGGTCTTGAGCTTGGAGGTGATTTCTCCCCACCATGTCCGTAGTTTAGGTTCGCGATATTTAGGAAAGAGTAAAGAGAATGAAGATTCTTCTGCGAAAGGTGTATGAGATGTAACGGGGGGTGGAGGGAATGGGTCTATCTTCCAACTATACCTTAGCGCTTTCGTCTGGGGGTATATGAAATCACTCACTGATCTATGTCATCTGTATCCCATGCTACTTGTTAGTATACTGACGATACAGAGGAAGAGGATTGAAGACGGACGTTTCTCTTTTCTATGTCTCTTGTTTTTTGGAACTTCGAGCTGCGTCGGGTCTACCTCGTCATCGTCAACAGCCCGTTTTCTAGAATGATCCTTTTTGTTTCTACTGGAGGAATCTGCTGAGCTCATATCGAGTCTATGCTGTATGGGATGGGGTGTATAAGTAGCGTATAGTTGAGAAGTTTGTGTCATGAGCTCAGGCTAAATTTGCTCTGAGATTTTTGCTTCCGTTTCTCCTCAAACTTCCTTAGGTGGCCAAAAGATCATTCCTCCTCAAACTTGTCAATCTCTTGCTTTGACCCACTGGCCACTGGAGACCATTGATACGACAGCTTAGGAGGAACTCAAGATCGCTCATGACTTCAAAAAGAACATGTCATCTCCAGAATGGACGACAGTCCTACCTAAACGCAAAGTCATCTCACCCATAAACGACCCTCGTTCCTCCCCCGCCTCTGCAGCTCTTGACGAGAACGGACTGGACCAGGATGGGTTCAAGAAGGTTTTGACAAAGAAGGAAAAGGGGAAATTGAGGAAGGTGGAGAGACATAAGCCAAAGTTTCTTTTTGATCAGAACGGTTTGAGGAATGGTAGAAAAGTTGGAATTGTAGTAAGTTTCTCCCTCTCAACTTCTCGAAAATGCCCCTCCTACCAATGAGAGAGTCGTGTTTTCCCGTTACATACCTCTACATTGTCATTTCAGAAAGAGAGAGAAGAGGTAGAGGATAGAGAGTTGAGCTGATGATGTCAGCACATACGAGATCTTGTCCTTTACATCACTGCAGATGCTCAAAAACCCAACTGGATATTCGCCCAGGTCAATCAGCTCGTTTCCATTCAAGAAGATAAGAGCTGAATGGCAGAACCATTCTTACATTCAACATACTGTCATTCTTCTGGTCCCTGGTCTTTTACCCGAACACCTTGGTATTCCACCTAGCACCGCACTTTCTAGTTTACCTTTTCCTCTCGTCAATCCGGCTTACACCGAACAGGGTCTACCTCCCAGTAAAGTCCCAATGATGGATACCATATTCATGTATGGTATCCCCACTCGTGCTCCTGGAGATCAACGAAGACTGTTCTCAGTGTTCAATACTTTATTAAACAGTCCTTTGCCTGATCATCTTCGAAAACAACGAGAGAAAGAATCACGAAAACGTGTTGGTTAGTCGACTATTTGCTCGTGTGTGAGTGATGGGCTGACGATGCAGAAATGGCAAAAGTCGATGGGAGGACATCATTACTCTACCTCATGACTCCTGGTCAGATGGCGGACAACGATTATCCCCTACCCTCGTATGTGCAGAGGACTGACAGAACCACTCTACCACACTTGGAGACACTTGTTGAGAATATGGCCATGGCTGGGGATGAGATTGGTATTGCCCGGACGACCATTACTTCCTTTCCTCCACGGGACAGCCAGACAAACGGCAGTAGGGTGAATGATGATCAAGACGGATGGGTCGAAACGCCTCAAGCGATGAGTCCTCCATCCGATGGGCGATATCCAGTCCTGGCGGTGGATTGCGAGATGGTGTGTTGATCTGCATTGCCATGATGGAGAAAAGAAGCTGACGTCATAGGTCGTAGCGGGCAAAGAACAAGTTCTCGCCCGGGTCTCCATCGTTGATGTCGAAACTGATTCTGTCATCTTTGACGAGCTTGTCAAACCTCCCTGTCCCGTGACCGATTACCGTACTCAGTCAGCTTTCCCCATGATTTCACGCGCCGTCCCAGCTGACCGACAGATGGTCAGGAATCACCTCTGCACAGCTAGAATCCGCAACTCATACACTCTCCACTATCCAAGAAGCCCTCATATCCTCTGACTCACCCATAATCACTCCCCACACTATACTCTTGGGTCATTCTTTGGAATGTGACCTCACCGCTCTCCGTCTACGACACGCGCTATGTATCGATACTGCACTTATATTCACACATCCACGTGGAGCACCTTACAAGCCAGGGCTGAAGTGGTTGACACAGAAATGGTTAGATCGGGAGATTCAAGGAGGGACGAAGGGACATGATTCCGTCGAGGATGCCAAAGCATGTGTCGATCTGCTGAAGTTGAAGATGGCCAATGGTGGGCTTTTCTCCTTCTGTCTGTGATTACACTCTGACGAGTCACTTGTGTACATCGATGTAGAAAACACTACTGACACTTAGGCCCTGACTTTGGTAGTTTCATGGACACCACAGAAAGTATCTTTGAAAGGATAGGAAGATATAGACGTCATACTGAGGAGACACCGCCTACGACGGCGGTATGCGATAATAATGTCGGACCACGTCATCCAGGTAACAAGGCAACAACAGCGGTCAGTTGCATAGGGGATGATGATGTCGTCAAAGCCATAGGAGAACAAGTGAAGACTCATGATTTTGTCTTTGGGAGATTATTGGAGTTGTCACATGTTCAAGGGTGTAAGTCCACTTATTCAATCGCGAAACTCTCCCATGGACTGGCCTTTTTTGAAGGACGTACTGATGATCAGGGAACCGAGATACGTCTTCAGAAATTCCCCCGTCAGAGACCGTCGATGAGGATTCGGCACTTTCAGAAGCTTTAGAGAACTTCAATAATCGCCTAAACACCCTTCACTCTTCTCTGCCACCCGATACCGCTTTCATTCTCATGACTGGCCACTCCAACCCTTTACCTATGTTGCAACTATCAGAAAAGAGGCAAAAATGGGAACGACTCGTCAAAAGTCTTGGGAATATCGATGATGTTCCCAAAGACGAAAGATGGATGTTGGAAGATGACCGAGAGTTGGAAAGTGCTGTAAGTCAAGCAAGGGAAGGGATGGCGTTCTTTTGCGTCAAATAACCAGGTTCAATAAATGAGGGGTATGGTATTTTGACTCATATGTGGGGTGAAAGGGGAAGTGAGGGATGATGATCTTGTTGTATAGTAAAACGAGCATGTTCATGGGCAAGACTTCATATGGTAAGTCTAATAGACTCATTCATTTTCTGACTTAACGTGGAAGGCCGTCAATGACCCAGTACCCAATGGAAGCTGACTGCATGAAACTGATCTCGACTTGGAGAGCGAAAGCAGTGGATCCCAGGTACAAAGCGGCACTGACTGATATCGCTGCCGATCGGAGCTGAACATACCTCGTACAGTACGAGTACTTAACAATGACGATGAGCGATTCACCGTGGGAAGGAAGATCTGTGGGTGAGCCATTTCCTCGTTTTCCCATCATCTGAATTCTCCTGACGCCCTGATCCGTGTCTTGACATCATTCACTACAATCACTCACCGTACTCATATGTGACCGAAAGAACTTGTCACCTAATTGCTGCTCGATGTGTGTACGTTGTCAATACTCACAGGAGAACCGATGATTCACGTGCAACGTCGAAAACTTCTCTTATCTTCGAGTCACTCATCCACGAATTCATCGTCCTTGATGGGTGGGGCGAATGCTATTGCCAATCGACCGAGATCACCTGCCGACGCTCAAGCGAAGGCTGCTGCTCACCCCATTCTGACTCATCGAGATCAGGGCGCAGAATGTACTTATCTCGATGGACTCCCAACCCACTTTTGGCCATAACTCATTTACTGTTAGTGTACTCTTCGTATCGTCCACAGCCCTATACGGCGAGAGGCTGTTCCAAAGTGGTTTTCAAGGTCCCTCATATATAAGCAAAGTCGAGGTCTCGCGTCCGAGTCTAGCTATCAAATCGTACAAATCTGGCGACAATCCGAAGACCACAAGTCATCTCGCAAAAGACCGGGACGACACTTAGGAAAGAGCCCCGACGAGAACGAACAAGATGAACGACATGATTAGTCCTGTTCCTTCTGACGACGACACGAATGGTAAGAAAGAGAAAGAATTCAAATCGGATGAAGGATCTCAAGAGGTCGACAAAGAGGTGATGGTATTACCTGTCGAGCAGGGGGAAGATAACAAAATAGATGTGCATACCCATTTGTGTGAGTTTCCCCTTCCGCTGTCTATCGCTACGTCATGCCAAATGTCACTCCACTCATCGGTACTTCGCATTCTCTGTGTGTGTCTGACCCTCGGCTTCCATAAAGAACTCGGTCAATCAACATCGAGAGGTCATGAGCTGACTCACAGACGATGGCTTGCAAAGGAATATGGAACAACGTCACTTGCAGATGATTGCCTTAGCTGGGACGGTCGGTGTTGGTCAGTCTACTCTCACCCGGAGCGTCATTCCAGATCACTTTCATTGCCGGATCATACCGGGATTATTCGTATCTTCAAGCGGGCAGTGATGTGTGACTGATAGTATAGGATTCTTCCTAGGGTCAGGAAAGGCTATAGCTCACGGTGGACCTGTGGGAGCTCTGTTAGCTTATATGCTTATTGGCTCTGTATCGTATTGTCTTTGTGAGTAATCTGCGTCAACTGATTTGTCAAATGAGATTGATGAGGTAGTGATGTCAGTCGGGGAGATGGCAGTGTATGCTCCTATTTCAGGAGGGTTTATTCATCTCGTATGTTGAACCTGTTCCCCTGTTCCCCCCCCCCCCCCCCCCCCCCCCCAAACACACACACACATTCGCCGCAATTGAGGAAACTTCTACTCAAGATGAAATTTCTAGAGTTGAATAGATAGCTTGTTGTTGATGATCAGGTCGAAAGATTCTTCAACCCCTCTGTCGGTTTCGCCATGGGATGGCAGACCGTCTATTCAGGAATCATCACCGTGCCCAATGAGATCATTTCAGCTTCTATACTCATGTCATTCTGGGACGACGGTGAGCTGAACGTCATTGTTGTGGGACTCAGCTGAGAGAAGCTTTCCCTGTTGGAAGACAAGCTTTGTACCTCACGCTCCTTGCCATTTGTTGCGCTTCCGTCGTGAGTTATCTTCATCCTTAATTAGTTGATCTTTTCAATATTCCATAACCACGCTCACAATCGAAATGCTTTCCTGACTGAGAACGTCCCGTCATGATTGTCATGATTGTGAAATATGTATCAAAGAAATAGTTTGCCCGTCTGGGCTTCTTCAGAGGGGACAAGGGAAAGATGTTGATGGCAGAACTTCCTGGGCGTACGTTGGTTCGGCGAATCCGAATTTATCTTCGCTTGCATCAAGATCGCCTTAATTGTCGGTCTGATATTGGGAGGTCTCATAGTGGACTTAGGTGGAAGTCCTTCTGGCGATAGGATCGGTTTTCGATATTGGAGGAATCCTGGTGCTTTTGCGGAATATCATTATGCGGGAAACCTTGGCAAGGTGGGTATGAAGCGAATTCTACCTTCTTCCGTCTTATCTACACCTCTGCTTTGAATCGTTCGTTCCGAGCTTCGATTCTTCAACCGCTTGTTCCCTTCAACATCATTTCTTGGACTGCACGATAGATCTGATGAGGCAAGAAGAGGTCTAGTAATCACAGTACATGACTCACTTTAGTTCCTCGGCTGGTTCACCGACTTGTTACAAGCTGCCTTTTCGTTTTTGGGTATGGAACAAATAGCTGTGGCTGCTGCAGAAGTAAAGAATCCTCGAGTTTCCGTGGCCAAAGCTTTTCGTAGGATCTTTTACCGAATATGTTTATTCTATGTGATTGGAATTTTCATCGTTGGGATGTGAGTCAACAACTCTTTAATCCTGCTTTTCTGGAATCCCTTCACACACAACTGAATTGACATGTCACTCTGCTACCTTTTCAGTCATGTGTTACTAGCTTTTATTGTATCACAGGGTTGATGGATGCGCTTATCAGACCGCTGACATCTAGGTTAGTGCCATATAACAACCCCAAGCTTCTTCAATCGACCGGTACGGCCGCATCATCCCCTTTCGTACTCGCTTTCAATCTCGCCGGTATCAAAGTCCTTCCGTCCATCATCAACGCCGCTGTCCTCACTTCAGCCTTTTCAGCTGGAAGTTCAGCTCTTTACCTTACTTCACGAATGTTATACGGTCTCGGTCTTCGTGGTCACGCTCCAAAGATTTTCGCAAAGACGACTAAAAAAGGTCTTCCGATAGTTGCTTTAATGACTGTGACGTTGTTCACTTCGTTGTCGTTTATGCAATTAGGAGCAGGAGGTGAGACAGCTCTGAATTGGTTATCTAATTTGAGTTCTTTGTGAGTCAAACGTTTGTGACTTCATTATCTTTCTTTTGCTTAATGCCCCAATGATTTAGGTCAGACGAATTAGTGATCTGCAATGAGAATATGCGAGGAGCGTGAGAATATTTGGTGGAGAGGGTGTTAAGGTAAAGTGATTAAGCTGATGATAGATCCGGTTTTATCAATTGGTGCACACTTTCAATCACATTTCTACGGTTCAAAGCTGGTTGTGAAGCACAAGGAATTGATAGAACGAAATTTCATTTTTGGAATAGATATCAACCATGGCCGGCATATTGGGTCATCTTTTGGTGTATTATCGTAAGTTTGGATTTTCGACTTTCTGCGTTTTGTATGACTTAGATCCCTATCAACTCTTCCTATATTCTTTGTTTTCTTGATTCTCTCTATGGAGGACGGTTGACCCACATAAGTACTCTACTCACTGTGTGATTCTCATGTCAAAGATTTATGGGTAGAGGATGGAGAGATGGGCCACTGAGGGGAAGGAGAAAGTGACTAACACCCAGGTAATCGTTTTCAACGGTTGGGAAGTGTTCACCAAAGGCGGGTGGAACACTTCTAATTTTATAGTATCATATATTAACCTTCCCATATTTTTCTTACTCATCCTCGGATATTGGTTCATTAAACGTCCTCGTCATCTTCATTCGGCCGAATTGGATTTCGTGTCAAATATTCCTACCGATGCGGAAGTTTCGTACGAAGAGCCTCCCCCTAAGAATTTGTTCTATAAAGTATGTAATTATCTCTTCACTTAGGGTCTAGTGGCTCGTGTGGGACCGTGTTCAGGCAGGGTGGGGATTCACTTCATCCCTTCTCTTTCTTCGATGAATGGATTGAAAAATACATTTTGTACGTTGACGTATGATATTGTTCATGTTTCGTCTATAGGATATCACAGAAACGCTGACCATGTCGTTCTTCAAATGTTTGATTCTTGATACAACCTGTTGCTAATGAACCCTTTCCACTTGGATGACGAGACATGGTATTCTAATCTGCGATCAATCATCCGCATGTCGGACCAAACCCCCCCATCCTTCTCTCACCCATTCTCCAGCATTCTCAGCCATCGCCCTTTCATCAATGTTCGCCATCCTTACGGCCCCTCTAACGTCTGGATCATCTCGGACAGCTTGCATTTGTACCGGTGAAAGCTCCCCGGGACGTGTAGACTGCAGAGCAGGGTGTTGAGAGACGGCCGTACGTGTTAGAGAAGCCAGACGAAGGGTTGAGCTGGTGTTGGATAATATAGGTACGACGGATGAGTAAGGGGATGGAGGAGGGAGGGGTAGGGATATGTAAATGAGAGGGAAGAGTAGTAGGAGAAGGGTACGGATAGTATGGATGGTGGTATGCAACTGTGATGTCAGTTTCATTCTGATGTTGTCTGTATATCCTCTCCTGCTTTTCATCGAAGGCTGGACATGTCCTGAAGGCAAGTCACCTAGAGAGAAACGCGTGGTACTTGCGTCATATGGACATATCAGTGGTTCTATGACTCGAGTATGATGAGAAGCACACGAGGATATAATAGCTGGATGGTTGGTGACATGAAGAGAAGACCCCTCAATCTCGTACTCACATGTAAACAATCCCCATCTATTATCCGAATCTCCCAACCCCATCTCACTCCTAATTCCATTACAGATCCTATTCCCAAAACCCATCCAAAACTCTTTCTCCATCTCTTTCCCCTTTCTCCAGCATCTTTACCCGTAATGACTCCCAATCCCAATAAAGCAACCACCACCAACTCCCCCACATAAGGAGCCATAACTCTCGGTAGACCATAAAGGATGTAATCGTCCGAATGAAGACACCATTCACAACTCATAATCTCATGTCCGAACCTTGTGTAAAGAGTACGGAAATCCATATCTCTCATTCGATCGAGTAAGACATGTCCGGCTGATCGGTAGTTCTCTCCTGTTATGAGAGATGTAGAGTCAAGGGATGTTCGTAGACCGAATGCGCGTTCAAGGATGGAGTTGGGGACGGTGATGGGAAGATAGTGAGTCGTGAAAATGTCATAAGGTAGGAAAAAGAGATGAGTGATTTGATATATCGTATGTGATAGAAGAAAGAGTTTGAGGGAGAGAGGAAAAGGAGTGGAAGCTCGTCGAGGAGCTCGAACTGGTTTTCGAGCGAGAGATAAGAGTCGAGGGAGAATGGATGGACCAAGGATGATCAGTAAAAAGGTGAGAGGTGTTTGATATGTCTTGAAGAATGATAATAGTAACATTACGAAAATATATCAAAGTAGTAAGATGGAACGGAGAAAGAGAGGACTCTGATATGATATTCCCATCCCCACTTGCCGTCGTGACACCCCTTCTTACCAAATCATCCAAGAAAGAGTCACTAACTCCTTGAGCCATGTTGTGCTCTCTCTAGATCTTCATGCAAATACTCAGAAGCCCTGTAAATAGTCATGGCTATATTATGACATGCTTGGTCGCAACTGACTCCGCAGCTTAACTTCATAGCTGTTTCCCGCTGAATAGTAGTAACGGCTTCAAGCGACTGATTGTCATCACGGTAGAAATCGCGAACAGTCTTGAAATCTTCTAACACCATCAAGAGGAAGTCGGGGTCATGAAAGCGCTCTAAATACTTACTCCACATACCCACCCCTGGCACAAAGCTTCTGGGAAGGCCCAGGCCAGGCTTCCGCAAAGTGTTATACACCTGTTCAAATGCCCTCCAGATGGTGGTTGACCTAGGTTCATTAGGCAGGGACAGCGATTGTGAGCTAGGCTGAATACGAGTATGAGTACTGATTAAAGATGGCGTAGTGAGTGGGGCAGGCCCCAGATCCTGAGTGTCTGCTGTTGAGGCAGCTGGACGGCTTGTCCGAGGGCCAGAGGTCGCGCTACCCTTCCTGGCGGATGAATGGACTGGATCAAAGTGGACACTACTACTGGTGGATGGACCAGACTTTCGAACTGCGCCATCATTTGTCGTGGTAGGTTTGGTGTTTCTCTTACTTGTGTTTTCACTTGTCCCAGAGATATTGATAGGAAGTATTGGTCGAGTGATCGTGTTACCACCTTCGCGTTTCTCTCCCCCAGAAGTATCGATGCCGAGTATTGATGGACTGATGTTGCTACCACCTCTTATGTCTTCTACCCCATGGGTATAGACGATCAATGATGGATCGGTGTTGGGGCCAGAGCTTGATGGTTGAAGCTGTCCAGATGTTTGGGGATTCCTGGGGCGAGAAAAGTCGGGTTGTTTTTTACACGCTTTTAACTGACGGTAATATTCCTGCATGTCCTCCTCCATATGTTGGCGGATTAAATCCCAGTCCGAGCTCAGGGGTAGGTCCATTGCGAGTGAGGGTGTAGGTTGTGGTGGCAAAACAGTGAGAAAGTTGACAGGTCATGGTTGGGGATGTGGTGATTAAATGGAGCTTTCCTCGTGCGGAGTTTGGATCGTCGAGAGGTGTTAGAGTCCACGTAGAACGGTCCTTTGATCCTGTGACGGGATGAGCCCGAGAGACCGAAATTTCTATATCGAGTTAGGCAGAGGGGTTCCACCAAGGGGGGATCGTAACCTTCGATCAACTTTCGAAGCGCTAAGCATCGAACGTGAGATCGTTTCACACCCTTTTCCCAATGATTCCCTGAAAGGTCCATTAGCGGCCAGAACAAGGTGGTTGCTTCTGGTCTCGAAGAGTCGGGGAAACCTATGGATTAGAGTCTAGGTCTATCAAACAGGTGTGACATGTCTACTATCCTACGGACCTACGAGTATTCTACTCCTCTAAATCCTCCCCGAACATGCCCACACTCTCCTCCTGTTTAGACTCATCAGCCAACCTACCGTTCGCCTTGGTCCCGGTTCCTTAGCTACCTCCTCCATCGACCTACTTGTACGACCAGGTGTCTCGGACGTGGGTCATTCGTCATTCATCATCGTCGCCCGAGTTGGGCGTTCCTCGGTCTCAACCGGGTATTGGTACTCGGTAGACGTTCCTTGAGAGGTTGAACTGTCGGTAGGAGGCTTGGAGGATAAGAGCTTATCTATGAATGAAGGCTCTTGGGAAGACTGTGCCCCACTATTCGTTTCCTGCAACTTAGCCTTTCTATCCATTTCCTGCAACTTAGCCTTTTCTAACTGTTCAAGTCTCTCCTCCAAGTCGTACTCGAAGACTGCACTACCTGCCGTCAACAGTTCGACAAATTCCTCACAAGTCAAATTCTGATTGTCCCGGAACAAGATCTTACTTATTGTCTCGCACACACCATTCAATTCTCCGTCCTGGTCTCTTGCAAAATACCTGCTTCCAATCTCATGGACCATCAAAGCCGCGTGTAAGAAGTCTGTTGTTTGGTGTCCATACTGTAGGTAATTATCTTGATTGAGATCACACATGGTGCCTAGTTGCGTCCATTTTCGAAAGTCTGGGATCTTGGTAGCACAAGCCAATATGGCGAATGAAAGTTTGGTGAATGTGGATCGATCAGGAACGTTCGTTATACTAATGTTGCCAGCTTCAAGTAGCTCTATCAGCTTGTCCGTTCCCGTCTTGTCAATAGTAGGATCAGGCAGAAAGTTTTCGTTGTCAACGGATGTGGAAGCATTCCCGTTGTGGTCGACGTCGGTTTGCTAAAAGCACGAAAGGAACGGATTTCTCCATGGTGGGACAAAAGAGGGGATCAAGGATTGTCCTCGGGTAGGCATGGGTGTCTGGTCCTTGGAGTCACGGTTGGATGGATGAATGGCCGGGTCATACAAGAACAAGTTCCCATTATCGAATGCCGGGCCTAATAATGTCTTATTTGGTCGGTCCATATTGTATGGTTCCTGATTGAAAATACTGTGATATCAGAAACAAGTGTCAGGGGATGACGTTGATCGTCAAGAATGGTAAATGATGAGATAGCAAAACAAGGTCGCTCACGGAAGAAGTTGGCTCCATGATGATGACAAGACGGAATTTATACTTTTTGGTTGAAACACGGAGAATGAGAGAAGAATTTGCCTCCAGTCAGATGAAAGGAGTCTGATGTTCTTGAGTATTCTCTGAGTTCCAAACGTCGTCATAGTGACCAAGTTGTCCGTCCGTATACAAGTGCTGTACAGTACTCCTTCCCACGGGTGTTTCGAACGAACGAGCCTTTCGAACAGCCTCTGGTGTCAAGCAGGAAGGAAATACAGGCACCAACATCTATCAGGCGTCAGAGCAGAGGAGTGTTCGAAAGGCTAGTTCGTTCGAGGCGCCCGTGACAACGAGTACAATATTTCAACTTTGTACTTGTTGGTTGAAGCTCCGCAAAGCCCGGGGCGGACAAGTCGGAGTTGTCAAACTCTCCCCAAAGTGGAGCCCGCTCCGTCATTTTCGGCGATCGGCGATCTCTTGTCCTTCTCGGCCGTTGACGGACAACTCACATGCTGCTCCCCGAACAAGGTGGAGGTTTCCGCACGACTGGCAAGTGTAGTTTTGGTAGGTGATTCATCACGAGATGCATCCTAGGGCAAAGCTACAATCGAAAATGGTCCTAGATATCAAGAAAGTCCATACTAAGTCTAAGTACTAACAACCACAAAGTAAAGATTCGGATCTCAAAAACGGAGGACAAGATATCATGTCAAGACGGGCGTAAGAGTTCGTATCTAATAAAACGGATGTGATAGAATAGTTGTCGTTCGTGTTCAAGGTTGTCAAATTCCAAGAGCGTCGTCGTGAGATACACGCATATATGGTAAGGTTAGATCTCTAAATCTTGAGGAGACCTTTTCCCGTGAAAGCACTTTGGTCTTTTTCCAATTTGATCAATGGTTGATTTGGAGAATGGACGGGACGACGTTGATTCAGACTTTGGTTCCTCGGTTGGGGTTGACGATGGAGGGTGAAGCTCTGGATTGTCAGTCTAGCTCATTCTTAACTTATGAACTATCCCTCCTTTTTCGTACTGACGAATATGAGAGGAGTGTGTAGAGCTCATCACTAGGGAGAAAAGGGTTAGGGTGGTGGTTAGGACTACATCGAGTCATGGAATAGGTCATTCAAGGGGAAAGTGAGAAATAGAAAGCGGAACTCACTTTAGCATCATACATCGCCCTCAATAATTTATCCCCCAAAGTCGCATCACACGAAAAGACATGAGCGTATTCGTTGGTATTCTCAAACGATGCGCTGGGTTCGACTACTTCTGTCAGTTGCTATTCCGATCGAGTATTTGAGCTCACCTCTTTTGAGAACAAAGACGAAGGGTTTAGGTGCGGGGTAAGGACGGGTCATATTATAGATGTCGAAGAAGGATGTAGAGAGATGGATTTCATCCTTGTTCTAATATGTCAGCTCTGCCCAGCATGCTGAGACCAAGGCTCGTTTCGACGGATCTCCCTACAGCAGCGGCACAAATAGGGTCCCGTCGAGAGAATCGCGATGGAGGTAGTAAGAGGGAGAGAAAAACTCACCTTCTCATTCTTCGCTAAGAACATCTCCCCACCTCGGGTCTCCAACCATCTTTTCGACCATTTACCAGGTTTCGACTCATACTGAACGAAACTGCCCAGGAAGGGGGCCGTGGTGGGTATCGACTAATGGTCAGTGTCATCATTCTACGTCACTACATGCTACGACAAAAGAGGTCCAGTGGAAAGTACGTGTAAACCAAAGGGGGCCCAAGATTCGCCGCCCCATGTCCGGACTGCTCGTACAGCTGGAGCAGACCATTTGGAAGACGCCAGGAACAAGACCTGAGAGGTAGGACTGGGAAGGAAAGAATAAGGTTGAAAATGAGGAGGACGAGCATGACGACTTACTTTGAAATGCGTGAGCGATGCACGAGGCGAAGACCGGAAGACCAAACAATTGACTTTGGCACCTTGATCCCAGCCTTTCATCACGGCCTGGAGGTTTTCGTATTCCCTAACGGGACGTTCTGTCATTAGCAAAGAAATCTCTTTTCATTTTTTCGTCGACACTCATCTCCTGATAGGCTGGAAGTTGGTCAATCCTGGAAGAGCAGGCAGCTCATATCACGAATGAAGTCTGGGAGAACAACCAGGCCATATCACAATTGAGCTCTGAATCAATCGTGTGAAAGAAGAGGTTTACGTGAAGACTAAAGAGCACAACTCACCACATCCCAATTCGGCAAATACCTCACACACCATCCACCCATTCCCCAATGTCGGTTCCGGCAAATCACCCCCATGTTGAGCGACCACAATGACCTCTCTCGCCGTTGTCTCCGTCCCAATCTCCAGGGTCAACCGTTTTCCATCAAAATCCCCCACATACGCTTTCACATGCATCATCCTACCAGTCATCATACCCCCATGGCCTACCGAGCTCGAGGCAGTTGACATTGTACCCGGCATGGGCTCGTTAGCAGCTGTTCGTATCATGTTTTCATCGCCTGCCATCCCGTGTCGATTGGAACTGACTGATTGAGCTCTTGATCTTCCTCGTCTCGAAGACTGAGTGGTGATGGTGTTACTTCTACTGAGATCGATTTTGACTTCACTGGGGTGAGACTGTGAGGTGTTTTGACGTGTCATGAGAGGTGGCATGGGCGGAAGTCTGATAGATGCCGCCGAGGTGGCTGAATCTTTTCGAGGCATCAGAGGACGAGGTTGGGAGTAATGGTGATAATCGACTGAAGATGCAGTTGTTGACGGTCGGGAAGGTAAGGGACCTCCACAGATGGAAGAAGAATATTTACTCGATGTGGGTGTAGGCAATGGTTGAGAGTATGGATAAGAATGGGTGGAAGATGATGTGTATCTTTGTGTTTGACTTCTCTCCAAGGGGTTGATACCGACATGAGGAATGGGTGCGGATGTGGTGGTAACTGGGGCAGTCGCACTTCTTCGATGAGGTACACTGCCGTCGACAATAAAACCATGCCCTTGATTTGAATGGCTCGAATTGCGGCCCTCACGAATGTCAACGGGTTGAGGAATAGAAGCGACGGCTGCTTGATGGAGAAGGAGCCTTTCGAGTTTTTGATTTAGAACATCCGCTGGGATACCGCCTTCGCCATTCCATCCCGTTTCTCCACCAGGATTACGTCCTATGGCTTTTTGACTAGTCCGTCGACCTCTGTCATCCACAGAGATGCCACTTTTAATCGCTGCAGCTCTCATCGCCTTTTTCTGCCTCGAAGCTTGTTTACGTTGAGCTTGTGCGGCCGCGGCTTCAGGATGAAGCTTGGACAAAGGGGCGTCATCCTCTTCTTCGCTTGATTCACTCGCCCAACCATCGTATTTGCCCTTGTCCGGTTTGGGTTTACGGGATCGAGATGAATTTCGGGATGATCCCCCTGAGCCAGTACCATGTCTCGACATCTGATAAGACGCACCAACGGGTTGGGATCGGATAGCCAAAGATGTGGAGGAACTCTGAGCGTGTTGTGTATTCGAAGCGGATGTTGACTCATTCAACCCCCCTGATCGCGTGTTTTCGGACAGGGTTGAGATCGGCACAGTTTCAGGCGCATCGGAGTATTCTGAAGAGGAGTCGAGATCGTCATTGCCTACAGCCTGGGAGTCAAAAGCCATGGATTGGAGAGCGGAAGGATTGAGGTCTTCCTCTATGAGTGGGAATGCACCCACTGCTGCTTCCCAGGATGACGATGAGAATGCGGCGGACGTTGAACCACTCAATCCCAGATGGGGAGCGTCTCCGGGGGTCGTGAGCAAAGCTTCATCCTGAATGTCTACTGACGTCTCCTCGACCAACGCCGGAGGTGGAGTGATAGTGGGTGGTACGAGGAGGTTCCGACTGCCTGAACGCGAGACAGACCCGGGTGAATTCTCTCTCTGAGACTTTTCCTGAGATGGCCAAATTCCGAGTTGAGCGTAAAGATCGAAAAAGCTCGAACTTGTAGGTGGAGCGCGAGGCGTCATGCTAGTAGATCGTGACCGGGGTAAAAGGACAGGACTGGAGCCACTGCGTGATATGGTGGATCCGCCGTCCATTGCTAGAGGTGTCGTGGTGGCTGAGGGTAGAGGGAGAGGTGGAAGAGGGGCCAAGGGTCCAGGGGTCAGAGGCGCATTGGATTCCGGACTGGTTTCCGGACTCGAGATGGGCGATTCGACCACCGGAGAGGGTAAACTAGAAGGTATAGCAATGGGACCCGCACGCGGTTGACTCACTGGTAAGGACGACGAACGCATAGTGTATGCGGGCGGAAAGTAGGGTGGATTTGGCGGTAATAGAGGAGGACTTTCCACTGGGACAGAAGGGACTGAAGTTGAAGGTCGAACGTTGACATGTGGCATTGACATGCTATCCAGCAAGCTCATCGAGGTGATGCGTCGAAGCAAACCTGGTCTGACGGGAGGAGGAAAGAATTCAGTCGTATCGGCTGGCGCGCTGGCGGGTAGTGTCTCTCCTCTATCTTTCCCCATGATGTTTGCTAGACTCTTGGCTTTCGTGAGCTTACCCTTGCTGGTGCCAGGTAAAAAGTTCTTCAGGTCTCTCAAACTTGGGGAACTACGGGGTAGCCGTGGTCGGTCTAACTGTGGAATAGAGCTGAACCTAGTCGAATCGGGTCGAGTAGGTGAGACTGCCAGCGTGTTGGACGAGAGATCGAGTGAGGAAGCAAAAGGATCATAGGGTATATCACGGTGCATGGGGGATGGAATGCCAGAGTAAAGGGAACCCCCAAAGGCGCTTCCTGGAGAGTAAGGCCGAGGATTGAAATTCGACATTCTAGAGTTGTGTAAAGGCATCGGTGGAGTGGATGAGGCGAACGGTTTCCCTACAGGTCTGGCCTTAGGTTGGGGCAGTTTAGGGACCGGGGGAGGTGGGGTGGATGCGTTGAAGTCCTCTCGAAGGGCTGCAGATGATTTCGTGCGGAAGATTTTGCTCATGCTTTTCTTCCAATTGAGTTTGGGTCTCAAGCCGGAGGTTCCGGTGTTCATGGTGGTCGTGGTCGTGGTCGACTGAAACGACTGATCTCCTTCATGAGGAAGTGGTGGTGTCATGATTGTCATTGACGTCGTGGGTGATAAAGTTCTCGGTAGGGTGGATGATGAGGTTGGTAGACGGTCAGACTTAAGGTCAGCATACGATAAGCTTTCATTTGATGACCCACATCGTCCCCTAGATTGACAGCTACACTCAATTCCCCTCGTCTTCCTTTCCCTCGTAGTTTGGAGAAACTCTTTTTCTCTTTGATAGACTTTTCCTTATCTCCTGTGCCCAATCGCCTACCCCATCCCCACCCACCTTCTTCCTTGACGATGGTAGGTATAGGAGGTGGAGAATCGGTGACACTACTCATAGCTCCACTGGTACGTCCTTTGACTCCTGAAGTTTTTCTTCTGCCAAAGGTGCTCGTTGACGCTCGTTTTGACTGTTGTTGTTCTGCTTCTTCCTCGTCGTCGTCCCAGATCCCGTCCCTGGCGTATATACCCTCTGTGGGTGCACCCCTGTCTAATTCAGAAGAATATCGGTAGACCAGATCGTCAATGTTTTGAGGTTGTTGTTGATAGGAGAAAGAGGAAGGGGAGAAAGGACGGTTGTAAGAGTATGTGTTCATGTTGAACGATTCTGTTTGACCGCAGTGGGAAAGGGGACAAGGAGAATGGCGGTGTCGGTTGTATCGGGAGTGGTTTGTGCTGTGTAGAATGTACGACTTGGTCCTGGGATAGTGTGATCCCAGTCGTGTGATTCTGCAAGTAGATTAGAGATCAGGATATGTAAGGTATGTTGAAAAGAGAGTGTGATGTCTGTGCGTGAGTGAGAGAGAAGGAAGTGGGAAAGCACAGACAAGTTTCAATGAGGGGACGTGCATGTTTAGCGCCAATGAACCCTGAAAAGAAATCATGCACGCTCAAAGATCAAAGAACGATTCCTCTGTCACATCCGACGTGTCATGTCATTCGCACGTTTCGGTATCATGAGGTATAAGGCATCATCTATCTGTTCGTGACCACAGTGATTACAAATGTAGTAGCATGCAGAGCAACGAGGAACCCACGATGCTAGGGAGAATCGCCGGAATGTTTCCAAGCAATGTTTCATCTCCTAGCTACCATCGCGGTCGTCGTCAAGTTTCATCTCTCAGCTCCTATCTACCCGATTACACCATGCCTCCGAGCACTCATGGTCATCCCGACGGCCTACGACCTTTCTCTGCTGATATACCTGACTATCAAATCCAAGCCCTTCAAAAGCCCCTCGCCCATCCACTCATAAGCTCTCCCCTACACCTCACGCTCAACCTGCTTTTCCATCTATCAATTGACCCAGTCACATCTACCTCTCAAGACCCACGCGATGTCCCGTGTCACTCACCCAGCTGACATCAAACCGACCTTCTTGTCAGCCAAGCAAGAACCGTACCCCACGTCATCACCTCCTTCTTCCCCCATGCCACAAACTCCCTCCGGGCCGTCATCGAACGACCGAGTTGATCGAAAACCTAGGATCGTCTATCAAAACGTGTCCGACGACGAGACAGAGAAGAAACCACAGATCACTCCCACCAAACGAAAAGCCGAGACGCCGGACACTCCAAGGAAGAAGTTGGCACATAGGGGTGGGGCGAGAGTTGGAGCGTGGACAGCTGATGAAGATTGGGAACTGTAAGTCATATGTTACCTAACGTACAAGAGGAGTGATGCTGACAATTTAGGTTCAAGATGATGCATCCCAGAGTTCATAAGCCGGATTGGAGAGCTGTGGGTGAGGCAGTGGGAAGGGATGCCAAAGTGAGTGATGATATCTCTCATCAGCCAAGATACTTGAGCTTCCGAGGGTTTTAGATTGAAGGAAAGATACTGAATGTTAGTCGTGTAAGAATCGATATACCATTTTTGGACGGAAACTCGAGTATATGGTCAAGGGAGCTGGCGGGATCTGATAGGTGCGGAATTGAAGTGTGGAGGGGGGATAATTAGCGTCTGTTAGAAAACTAATGGCCAATGGGTCGCCCAAACATGAGCATCTTGTCCCACGTTCTATTTGTCCGAGTGCGAGATCAGTGCAAGTAGAACCAGTTAGGATGAGGGCTAACCCAGAGCACTATGCCAGTCCAACCCGGGTCCTCTTCCGTCACATCTTTCGTCATCCGTGAGGTGATATGTAGGGGGGCATTGACGACCACTAGAGTACCACACTCGTAGTGTCAGGTGCATGCTGCATGCTGCATGCTGCAGGTGCCGAGAAGATGTCATGAAGTCGTGCTCGTGTGTGTCGCAAGCTACATGTCACTTGCTGCGTGCCGCGTGCCGCCATGCCGCCGCATGATCCCGCACCTCGAATATCAATTCGGTCCCGGTCAATAATGACACGACATCACCATACAGAAAAACGACTAGCGCCAAGAACAAGCGTCATGCCGATCGGTCAATGACGCATGACGCGTCTCCACTGGAAACCATCCCATTTCGGGTAACTTTTTGACTCCGCTTAAGAGAAAAGCCGGTGGAATCTGTGATCGCAGTGACGCCATAGCACTTCAACTGCTCCATGTCGACGTGTCAGTGGATATCATTTTACGTATAAAACCCACTTCAAAGTCTATCACCTTTTCTCAACCCACTCTTTACTTTACGAACAACTCCTCATACATTCAACTTTACCACTACCAACCAATCCAATACTTAGTAACAATGTCCGACGCCGTGAGTACCTTTTCTTCTTCTTCACCATCACGTCTTCCATCTCTGCTGCTCACATTCCTTGCCTGTCGCCACCAGCACACCATATCCCTCTCGTCATCTATCCCTACACCTCGGCTCTACCTGCCGACTATCCGTTACCCTTCCATCGACCCTCGCCACACGTATCGCAGTATCAGAGGAGTGGGGTGGGTTGATCACACGGACCCTATCCCATCAGATTTTTCCCGTTGGACGATGGACTCAGCTTAGTTCCTTTCAGGGCCGACAAGATTTCACCGATAAAATTGGGGACGCGGTTAAACCTAATTCCGAGAAAACCTATCTCGAACAAGCGCAGGACACCATTAAGGGTGCTCTTGACAGGTCAGTTTCAGTCCGAAGAATTCAATAGCTTGTTTATGAGCTCACGAGCAGTGTGGCATCCGCCGTGCAGCCCCAGAAAGAGAAAAGCACCACTCAGAAAGTTGGAGACGCGCGTGAGTCGCCAGCTCGTGCTCCCTGACGGTCCGTCATGACGAACTAACTTACAGTCACTGGCGATAACACGAACAAAAACATTGCCTAGAATGTACAATTGTCTCTGATGTAGCAGCCTGGAATGCACATATGAATGGAAGAGTGCGTGTGTGTGAAAATATCGCTGCATGAGCCATTGTCTGCTTCACAGCCAGGTCCATAACTGTCTGTCCAACACTTCTGTCTTGCCTTGATAGAAACACCATGACAACAGGTGTGACCCTGTACCCCGCCGTCGGTTCACGTTGACTCTCCTGCCGCTTTGCTTCCATGCAGCCGCCAGATCGTTCGACGAATCCAAATCCCACACACGGCCCATGTTCCATTCCGCCCCTTGCTCAGAGATCAGTCGGTCCAGGGCCGAAAGTGCGGACGGGAGCACGTCAGGAGAAAGGTTGTGGATATAAGTGATTAACAGACCGTCACCTACCTGCTGGTTGTATAGAGCGAAGAGGATGATGGTGTCGTCCTGATGTACCTCGCCACTTGTCCCTTTGTGAGCCGGGAGACGAATGCCCAAGGGCTGAGGAAATTTTCTCCACGCTGGCTGTGGTCCGTAGGCGCCTCTGACAGAAGCGAACGTTAAGATTCCCTTGGAGGCTGGGTCGGGACAAAAGACGGCTTTGTTGGTGGATGATGTCGCTTGCACTCGCTGCTCAGACAGACGGGAGAGAAGTGCAGCGATGGGCGGGATGTCGGATTCGTACAAAGTTTCCCAGTGTGAGAAATCAACTTGAGGTGAGTTAACGCCATTCTTCCTCCTCCGAGACACTTAGCGACGAACGCCCGTTGTGCAGGTCACACCCTTTAGGAGGGGAAGTATGTTGGAGGGTGAAAAGACGTGATTACGCACCAGAAGCACCCCCATTCCCCAATTCCCATTCTAACTCCCATTGCCATTCCTCCGGAGCGATAAACCCCACACCATCCGGTCCTAGGCCACATCGCGCGTAGAAAGCTTCGCTCACGTCGTTGGACAGCAACATCCCGCACGCCTTTGGGAAATCTGTGGTCCGCAAGGACTTTTTCTCGATAATCACTTCGGCCGACATAGGGGTGGGCGGAGCGCCTTCTTCATTCAACTGTGGATCTTGCCCTTCAGCGACAAGATCTTTCAAGACAGTTGGGAAATTACCCCAATCCGTAGGGAAAGCAGGTGGATCGGAGCATAGAACATAGTGAAGTAGACGGAGAAGATGTGTGGCGTATCCTCTCTCTTATCGTTAGTGCTTATTGCAGGAGAATAGACAGGAGACTCACTTTGATATTGAGGAGGAGTGATCACGTAGGCTAAGGCGTAATACCAAGCATTTTGAACTTGGTCGTGACCTTGAGGTTTGAGAAAACCTTTGATTCGGTGTCTGAAGTGAGTTCTTAAACCTTGGCTTGAATATATCACAATCTTACGACAAATCTCGGCCAGCGTCACATTCGGTGCTGTCAGTGATGGTAGGAAGTGAGCCCTGTCATCTGAGAACTAAGGGGAAGGATAGGTACAGTATTCTTACTCGGAGAGAACGATAAGAGGGCGACTACGAGAGTGTTACTAACGTTTCGCAGGCGGATAAAATAGGGCCATGAGGGTCAGACCGATCCACCAATACCCTATGATATCAGCTCCTTATCTCTACTAAGTGAGAGACCACAGTCATTCGTCGATGAATAGTTTGACCGTATGTCCCGGCTCATGGAGTTGAACCAAGTGTTCAAGTTTGGCAAGACGAACGAGGTGTAAAGGCATAATCATAAGACATACCATACGACATCCCCATTATTTTTCGCCCAGGCCCCTTCAGCCTGTTCTTTTTCTGCCATACCTATGAATTCCTTTTGAGTCAATTTTGATCACTTTCATAGGTCTCCTTTTCTCTTCCCATTCAACCTTCTGCAACCCCGACTTCGCCCGTGGTACATTTCAAGTTCCTTCTTGGGGAATTCTGAGGCAGAAGGAGGGAGGGGGAAATGTAAATCAGAATTGAAGAAATTTTTGATACAGAAAGAAATAAAAGAGACATGAGGCTTACTTCAAGAGACATATCATATCCCCATGTCATATGACAAACCTTGTAATACTCCAACATCTGTTCAGAAGTTGGGAAAGTAATCGTCAATTGATTTGGAGGAAGGGCATCAGGCAAAAGAACCATCTTGTTGTTTCTCTCTCTCTTTCTCTTCACTTTACTCGTTGCTTTAAGTCGTCCGTCGCCCGATGGAAGATTACGATCGATAATGTATTCAATATGTTTGTCGGAGGTGGTGAGGATGAAGATGATGAAATTGACGAAGGGAGTGATGATGGAGATTCATGATTTGGATATAGCAATCCCCAAAGCCTCAAGCCTCAAGTCCCAGATGCAGTAAGTAGTATGTTGAAGTTGGTGATGATCAAATGCAGATTTGAATGATTGACAGAAAATCCATCAGAATCGAATCTCATCTCAGAAATCTCCGGAATAACCGGGATGAAGGAACATGTCTTTCAAGCTGAATATCACTACTGTACAACTGTAAACGACGTATGTAAGTAGATGATGCATGGTAACATTGAGGAGTCTTTGAATCATGTAAATGACAAATTGAAGTCAGCTCGTCAAAGCCATATCCACATTTGACTATCTAACACTTTAGTTTCACCATCAACATACCAACACCAATTATATAAATGTGCCTTTCCACCTTTTCTCTTCTTCACTTTCACTTCTCTCTTCCACTTCTTCTCATCCCTTGGAGAATCTGCATCGGCAATATTCTCGTCCGTTTCATGCACCTCATTCCGATCTTTGAATTTCTCTCTTTCCTCTTCTGCGTCATCATCTCTTGCTTTGTCTTTGAATGATATCTTTGACTCTTTTCCGATGTTCCCCTCACCCAAAGCAGCCCAAGCTTGTACGACTTCACCAGTAGGATCTAACCCCCATGCGGTCCCATACTTCACATCCATCCCTTGGTCCCTTACCACCTCATCTAATTTCTCCACTGCTGATTTGACCAATTCAGGAGGAAGATTATGAATATAAGTGATTAATAATTTATCTTCTATCTGAGGGTTTAGAAGTGAGAATAATATGATTGTATCTTCTTCTTTCACTTCTTCTCCTTCTTCCCTATCTTCCTTTCCATTCACGTATTTCTCTTCTTGCTCCTCATTTTCCTGCTTGGGTGATCGTATGTCGTCCGGTTTATTCCCACTCTTGGAATCCTCGTCATAATCATGATCGTGAGAGGTGTGAGCGATCTTGGACGATTCAGATCGAAGTCTGATACCTAACGGTTGCGGAAACTTTCTCCATCGAGGTTGAGGTCCATAAGCTCCTCTGACAGCTGCAAAAGTCGATGTTCCTTCTGATGCTGGATCGGGACAAAAGACGGAGTTCAAACATGAATCGGCTTGTTCTACCTTTTCACGAGTTGATCGGGAGAGCATAGTGGATATAGAAGGGATATGATGGTCGTAGATGATTTCCCAATTTGGTTTCTTTCCACACACGACCCCTTTTCTCGTGGGAACACTGACCGGAAGGGGTGAATCTGATTCAAGAGATCGTGTATGTATTGGTTCGTCCCATTCCATCAGGGTGAGACAACAAGGACGATACGATCGAGTATGATGATTCTCCAGTGGTCGACATTTGATTTCTCCCACTTCAGATGGATTCGGAAGAGCGGCATGATATATAGACTCTGAGCGGGCAAGGATAGGCGAGGACTTTGAAGGGTCGGAAGGAATTGAGAGCCTTGAGGAAGATAATATTTCCCATTCCACTTCTTCTTGCCATACTTCTTTCGCTTCCCAACCTCTCCTATCGATCCCAACTAAACAACGATAATAAAAGTCAGGACCAATTTCACTAGATAGAAATGTGCCCCACGCTGGAGGAAAGTATTCTTTGAGTTCGATAGGTATAGGAGAGGGTGGAGATCCCCATTCTGATGGAAAGGTGGGAAGATGAAGAGGAGAAGCAAGGATGTAATGCATTAAACGAAGTAAATGTGTGGCGTAACCTTTTCCTTGATGTCAGCTAATTTGTTGACATGCCTTATTTTATGTATTGAATCATTCCATATACTTAGTCAAAGTCTAACGATGTTGGAAATCCTTAAATATCAAGAAACCCATGAAGGATGAGGCCGGACACAAACTTATGGCAGAAACTGGTTCAAGAGGAGAGCAAGCAAGATAGACCACATGAGAAGGGAGGACAAGATGATAATCTTGCTGTCGAAAGAGAATGGATAGGGACTCACTTTGATGTTGCGCCGGAGTGACAACACAAGTCATACCATAATACCAAGCATTCTCAACTTTATTCCCTCCTTTCTGCTTCAGAAATCCACGAGTACGATGTCTGAACATCAGCTCCGAACCTTCATACCAAACTTTCCATAGGTCAGCTGCCAGGATAGCGACATGAAAACACATGAGAGAGAAAAATGACTCACGTCTCACATGCTGATAATATTGAACCTTGAGGATCTGATCTTCTGACTAACGCCCTAACATCAGTGTGTGTTCATATGATCATTTAACAACCGCGGAACAAAGACGGGTCAGAATGCTAGGGAAAGAAATGAGTAGAGAGCAATTTACCAAACAGTATCACCATGATTCTGAGCCCAACCGCTGGTGGTCATTTCTTCATGAGCTACATCGGTGAATTCCTATTGATCAGTATTGGAACCACATTCCAATTTTCCTGAGATGCCCCTTCCATACGTCCCTACTGAGCCTCTCGGAATTGGGCTTGAACATTGAAGCTAGACATGATATCGGGAACAAACCAGAGAATTGAGAGGGGAAGACATGTAGAGCATATTCGATGAAAAGTTAGTGGATGGTTCAAACGATGGAATGAACAGGATGAGTGATGAAAATGAATCATGTATTTCATATAACTCACTTGTAATGTCAAACCACATCCCCAGGTCAACCAACATTCATATAAATGTTCTTCCTCCTGTTTCCCATTGGCCATCACTACCATCAATTCTTTCAGTGGGATAACGTCGCTGGGTATTTGGTTCAACATGATTTTCTCTCTCGGTCTTCCTCACAGGTCAGTTTCTCGTATTTGAAAGTCTGATCTTGGTTGGTTTTGTAGTATTGCAATTTGAAGTCAAGTCTAGTGGAGGTTCTGAACCCAACGAACTCCATGTAGTTAGATAAGTGGAGGTATGTAGATGATCAGTCAGGGGTAAAGCGAGCGTCCGAATATAGAGTGTTTGTGGGTAAAAGGAGAACAGATCAGACAAGGGAGCTGGAGGTTCGTAAGTTTTCTTTTGATGTGAGTCAAAGAGGTGAGAAAGATCATCAGGAGTCAATAATGAAGGAAGGAAAATCAGCTGGTCCTTTCTGTCCGTTTTGATCGGACTGAACATTGGAAAGTGGGTGGTGAAGATGCTGGTGATGCATGGTGAATGATGATTGACGAGTGAGGGGATGGTTCTATTCATCAGTAGCGGTCATCATTCACAGGGGATAGACGCACACGACATGTTCAGACATCATAGGAGAGGAAAGAGGTGAATGAAGCGAATTGCACGCGGAATAATTCGAGGTACTTAAAAAGATGGAAAGGATGGTGACCATCTGGTAATGAGGGTCTTCCAACACCTTGCATGATCTAATACAATGTCATTTAATTTACACACACATGTCACTGGAAACCATGCCCCGTCCCGTCTATCGTTCCACCAACATATCTCAGCAAAGAACTCTAGCTCGCATTCCCTATTCAACAACTCACATCTGCCCACAACAAACACAAGGTTTATTCTCTTCTTCCTCCTCCACCTGTCGTCTCTCCCTCTCCTTTTTTACCGACTCAGAACCTACCACACTTCCTCCCGGCATTCCCTCCGATTCCGTTGGAACCCCATCCATCTCATATAATGCAGAAGTCCTCAACTTCTTAGTGGAAAGAGGTAAAACCGGTCTTTCCAATCGATAATGTACCGTAACACTTTCCAAGATTCCCCATATTTCCAAGGGTCCACCTTCAATCCTACCTTTCCTATTGTTCTTCCTTTTTTCTTTTCCTCCCTCTTCACTTGACTCGAATCCTCCTTTCCTTCCTATTGATGCTCCCTTACGTGCTCGTCCATCCCTCATCCCACGCCCAATCTCCCTTGCCCAACTTTGGTTGCTCATCCGACGAGATAAAGACGGTCGCGGTCGACGAGGGGGTGGCATAGTGACACATAGATGTTTTGGGGTCAAAACTCGAGGCAAAAGCTCTACAAAAGGATCTTCTTCCATTGTGTCGTATTTTGCCAAACGTGTGTATGCGGTAGGACCTAGAACGAGAAATTCGACATTGGGGAATAAAGGTGGAGACGGGGAAGGTCGAATCCTACGTAAAGCGTTGAGACATGGGAAGAAGGGGATACCTTCTGGAATCACGATGGTAAGTGGGATGAGAAATTCGGGAGAGGAAGAAGGATGTTGTCGAAGGAATAGTAAAAGTTGAGAAAGTGTATCTGTATTCAAGGTGAAGGTCGGTTCGAAAGTTCTTGAAATTAGCTCTATCATACAAAGCACTTTAAACTCACATTGGTAAAATTTCTTGAATACGATCAGAAGAGCGTCTTTCTCTTGTCCTTTCACTGAAACGACGTTGAATACCACTCGGTTCTATCGAGTCACTCGCCCGATCGAGATGTCTTGAAGTTCCGCTATGTCGGTGTCCGATTGACACTGCCGATAATCTGGACTGAGTGGAAGGGAAAGGCGTGGGGATTCTCTCTGGTATTGACATTTCCTTGTCTTCTTTCATTTGATGAGTGGAAGTCTCGTATGTAGCGACGACGCTTGACCTACGAAGAATCGACGGTGGTCCTAATAACGATGGTCGTAACCCAGCGCCGAGACCAACGCTCAAGGTAGAATGTTTTCTTGTTCCTACTCCGGGAGGCATATATTTGGTCGGGGTGATCGCCACTTCTTCCATCGGTCGTTCTTGTATCACCTCCATTGTTTGAGATTCAACTTCGATGAGAGGAAGCATTTCGAGAGGTGGGGATTGTGGTTCAGCAGGGTCGGTCTGTTGTTCTGTAGGTTGAGCTTGTACCCATGCTTTGATATCAGACTCGGGCCAAAATTCTTCTTCTGACATGGCAGCTCGCTTTTCTTATAATCCCTAGCTGATATGTTCTCTTCTAAGCTCGTTGTTGTTTGAGAAGTTGGGAAAGTCAATTATCTCCCAGCGCAATAGATTGAGAGCAGAGTGAGAAAGGGAATGATGAGTGAAGATTAAAGAGACCAGAAGTGACAAGTCATAAAAATGAGTATATATAGGAAGACGGGCGTGGGTCAGTCGTGTTAGTCAACCGTGGTTCCAGACATGAGGATCCCGTGCTGCGTCCTCGAGGACACGAGAATAGGGTGGGTGGGAAGGCGGCAGCGGAGGGGTCAAAACTCATGGTCTACATAGAGATTGATGGGCGATGAATGGGTTAGTATCATTCCATTGTAGAACATATCTGCTCTTGTCGATCATGCCTGTGGTCGTGAGTGAAGAGTGGGATTGTAGAGAAGCAGGAGGACAGGAGGACAGGGTGACTGAGAGCGGGAGTAAATTAGATTGATCGGGGGCCGAGCACGTCCCCCGTTGGCCGTCCCGGATCTTTGCCGCTTCCGGAAACACCGTCGGTCATCCCCTCGGTTCGGTTCAAATTTGACAATCGATGTTTCTCAGATGTCCAGGCCACGGCACTGGCCACTGGAGATGTCCTCATCCTCACAGCAAACGTTACATGTATGTATTGAAGGAGCACAATCATGGTGTGTGTATGAATGGAGCAACTTTCATGACACATATGTCTCATCATATCAGAAGTGATGGTCTGTCTCGTCGTCCCATCATGGTGTCCCTTCCTTCTTCCGCTTGCCTCGTACGAGCGATGACGGCGATACGGCGGCTTGACGTTGATCAGCCCGAAGGTGTTTCTTTTTCAAAGGGCGGGAGGGATACACTTGGCAATTCTCGTACGATCAAATTTTCCACATGAAGCATGTACCAGTAGTAGATAGAGTAGTAATGCATCTCTTGGCTTGTTCTCATCTCATTCTTGTCATTGATCCATTCGTTCAATCTTCACGTTCCTTCACATCCTTAAGCTATACATAATTCGAAGGAAGAAAAGGGATGACGCAAGTGTACCTCGGCTTCGGAGGTTTATAAACTCTTTCCCCGCAATTGGCAACCCACCTGCGGCCACCTACGATTCTCCATAGTTTTTCCTTGCAAACGTATTTCGCGGTCTCTCGGTCACTGACCGCCTTTCAACGGTCGAACATCTCCAAGGGTTCGAAGTACATACCCTCTCGGTCATCGTTCGACAAGCCGAGGATACACGAAAAGAGTCACTTTTATTTATTCAATCAGAAAGAAAGCCGTCCCACAATTCCCATAATTCACGATCCACGACTGGCGATTCGGTTCGGCGTACGGTCTTGACGCTTTCGCCGCGCGCCGCGCCACCCTCGTCACTCGCTTCCACTCCCGCTTAATTTTTCTCTTTATCACAACTTTCCAGTCGACGAATCGAATTCGGTCTCATTCAGCATCGCTTTGACGTCTTTCGTCAAAGAGATAGAGCCGGACGCTCCATCTGTTTGTACTGATTGCTGGGATCTGCATACGGGGAGAGACCGACGGCGGCCGTCGGTGTGGATGACAGGACGAAAGTGACGCGTGCAATCGGCAATAGCAAAGCAACAAAGGAGGTCAAAGCGGTCTGGTCTCACTTTTTCATCGACCCACCCAACTATCCGCACTACTCATACTCCATTCATATCCTCTCATCCATTCACTCACTCACTCACTTACTCTTCACTTTTCTCTCCTTTTACAACGGTTACCACTCATCAGCTCACAGATGCTACACCTCGCACCCTCTTTCTTTTGAAATATCACATAGACATCACTCCGGAGGGTGATAGCCCAGCGCCTTACCCTCGTTTATCAATCATCCCTCCCGACCATATTCACTGATTCATCCTCAAAATGCCTTTCCTATCCAGTCTAGCAGACTTCAAACCATCCTTCAACTCTCTCAACCCGTTGAATCTATTCACCGATGCTCCTCCAGCTTCACCTACAAAATCATTCACTTCTCTTCCTAACAAGGCGCCCTCGGTCCCTGCTCCATCACCAGCATCGGCAGTAGCTGGTCCAGGACCCACCACCCGGTCGGCTCTCGCCGCTCGTAGGGCTGCCAACATCAGTGCTAGTACGACCGCTACTGCAGATACCACAGCGACGGGAACAACCATACAACAATCCTCTCCTCCGAAATCATGCCTTCGCGATACTTCCAAAGACGGAGAAAGCAGTAGCGACTCGCTTGATGGGCTCGATCCACAACCCCAACCTCAACGTAGGGTCAGCGGATCAGTCACCATCTTGGATCCAGAGAAGGGCACCGTCCATGAGTCTAATCGATTGGATGTAAAACGTAGGGAACGCCCCGTCTCCGCGGGAAGCGGGTTCTTGGCGACTAGAAGAAAACGTCGTACCCCAGAAGACGTGAGTATTCTTTCTCCCTCCTATCTCCACAAATTGCTTGCCTGGACAAGACTGACTCAATGCAGAATTATGTCATCGTTCGCCCAGCCCCATCCAACTCGAATAAGAATGCAGCAAACCTCCAAGTTCAGCTCCTGGTCGGTCCTAGTAGAGGCCGTGAACGATCCACTTCCGGTCGATCGGCTTCCATGACGTCCGACCAGCTTTCTCCCCCTCCTTCACCTAGCAAACAACCCCTCGATCTTCCACCCGACCAGTCCAGCTCGGAGGGCGAGACGATACCAGCCACACCTGCTTCTGAGACGCCGTCGATCATTTCCACAGCGACTTCTGATGACGCCCTCGCTACGACGTCTGCGACATTAAAAAGGTCGTCATCACTAAAGTCGAGCCTCTCTGGCAAAAGCTCGGCGGGAAGCACTTTGAGTGGGGTTTCCGTCAAGAGGGTGGAGCCGTTGTTCAACTTGACAGTACATGTCATGCAGCCGACCGTGGTGACGGACGGAGCCACTGAGGCAAAGGTTGCGAAAGTCAGTCCCGCTCCTCCCTAATCACCTTTCGGCGACATTTCAATGTGCCTTTGAGAGTAAACGGCTGACCTGCAGTTCCACAAGAGGTCGATAGACATCAACGGGGTCGGTATACTCGAAGCCACAGAAGTCCGCCTGCCTTCCTCCTCCAACCTGATCGATGAGACCCATCTCGCTGCCGCTCGCTCCCGTCCACTGTCTATCGTGTCCCTCACTTCGCCTATCTCTCCTACCATGACACAATCAGATGACGGCAAGCGTGGATCGTTCGATAACAAACGTATCTCCCTTGACTTGAAGAATCTCAGAATGAATGTCAACGACTTGGCTCATGAAGCATCAACCAAAAAATTCTTCGGCAAGATCTTCAGAAAACGCGGTTCACAAGATCCCCCCCAGACCCACTTGCAACCCTCTGCCATGTCCCGTAAATCTCCTGCCAGTTCATACGCTTCGTTAGAACCCCCTTCTCCGTCCCCTGACATGCCTCACCCCCCGGTCATTGTCAAAACTCCCTCAACGGATATACAAGCTGGCGCCACGTTTGGTACTGCCCCGATGAGCGTCATGCGTCGATCATCCGGTACCATCATCTCCCCCGATGGAGCCATAACGGGTCTACTCGCTCGTTCTTCATTACATCCGGAGCAGGACAACATGTCAACGTACCCCCTCATACCGTCTCACCGACCTGTAGGGTACGTATGGACTGTTAAGCGCTGGGCCAAGAAGAACGCCGAAGGATGGGCGGGACATCTGGTTGCTGCTGCCTCTGCCGGTCTTGAGCTAGTGGGAGGTAGTATGGGCGGGGAGGAAGACGAAGTAGTGTTTGAGTGGGTAAAGTTAAAATATCCACCCGGTGGTGCCCCTATACCAGGCATCTCGCGAAGGATGTCAACTTCGACTTCTGGCCTACCTCGATCTTTGCCTAGAGTTCCACCATCACCTCGATCGGAGGCACAGAGATCATATTCGCCGAGTGTATCGAAAACTTCTCTTACGCTCCCTCCCACGAAGCCCACCGCATCCCCGTTCCCATCTGCCCCTCCGAATCCTCAATCTCAAATTCACCATCAACCGTCTTCTCATCTCCAATCTTCCCTACATACACCATCACAAACACAACCACACCTTCCAGTCAATACACATCCGCATGTGCATATGAATGCCAATGTTCTCGATAGTCGTCCAGAACCCCTCAGAAGAGTCTCAGCCTCCCCATCCCCGTCTCATACTCCCGACGATTCACGCTCTGTTGCCGAGAATGAGAATGCCTCCATTCGATCGGGTCATACTGCCCACACAGCTCAAACTGTAGAAGAAGACTCCGATCCTGAGGAATCTGAAACACCCTGGGCGTGTAGTGTGTGGGTGAAATCCACAGGACATCGACAATTATTGGCCACCTTGTATCCCGCCGTTCATCATCCCAGGGTGATAGCCAAGATGAAAATACCCATGAGGTTGGATCCTATCGCTTTGGCTGATTGCAAAATGGATCCGAGCCATACTTCAGCATCAACTACAGGAAGAGCCGGAGCGGCTACCACGGGGAAGAGTCAGGGAATGATGATTGAACAGAAGGAGATGGACATGGAGATGGAGAAGAAGAGAGAAATGATGGACAAGGTCAAGAAAGAAGTTTGTCTGAGTGAAGAAAATTTGAAAGATGTCGTTTGTGTGACCGGAATGTGGCTTGTGGCTAGAGAAGGGTTTGGTGGGTTGGGGAGGAAGAAGGGGAAGGCCTGACGAGCTGGTCAACTCCTGCCCCCAACTACACGTCACCTCTCCCAGCTGAGATCGAGGTGGAAAGACTCTGAGTCTCTCATATTCAAGAGACAGATCGGGACGACGACTGCACGTCGTGTCACCAGAAGTACAAAAATTGTCGGGGATAGATCCGGTTCAGGGGTAACAGGGTAACATTGCATATACAAGCAACGTTTGGGTAAAATATACCATGTCACGAAATGTCTTATGCTTGGTGGTTGTGGGCTATGTTTCACTGCGACGCTCTTGCTAATGCTCCATACCTGACCTGAGTTTTGTATTCAATCACTGAGTACGAGTACGAGTACTCTACTGGACTATCAGACTAGTTGCTATTTTCTCACCATCGGATACTCTGAGGATTTGAGTTTGAGTTACGTAGCGAATCGCACTTAGGCACCGCACGTGATCTCGGCGCTCGGACCTCGTGTCTTCTTCGTCAACTTTCTCTTCTCTTCGTCTTTTGACCATCTCCTACCACACATTACTCTCACAAACATGGCCGAGTCAGGACAAGAGTCCAACTCGGACAAGAAACAAGGTTTAGATCATGTTAAGGGTGGTTTCTATCGCTATCCCGACATCGTCTTTGCCTGGCACAAAGCTCTTAATCCATGGCATGTAAGTGCAGTCATGCCAACGGCCATATGCAAACCTGTCGACTTATTTTCAGGCGAATGCTGTGAAAGCTTTGGTGAATAACGTGGCTCTAGTCCATACCGACCATCCACTTCGTCTACCTGATAATAAAGGTATTGGTCTGTCCTTCGGTAAGCCTCATTCCACAGGCGTGTCTGTAGAGGATGCTGACGAGATTAGGGACTGAAAAAGATGGCAAGAGAAGACTTTATTTCAGTCAAGCACAAATCGAATATCTACAATATTACATTCATGAAACTGGTTTGACACAACCCGACAAATTACTAGAAGTCCTCAAAGATCAAGCATCTCAGCGTGAGACTACGGCTCCGAGTACCCCTACAAGTCAGACGTCATCAACAACGGAAGTTGAACATCCCACTCTCTCTTCTAAACAGCTTCATGATATAGATCTAAAAGACGTGGGAATTGTATCGGAATGGGTCCCATTACCGGATTGTCTCTGCCTTTCAGAAGATGTGACAGATGTGGTGAGTGAAATCCTTGGGGCAAGAAAGAATGTGGCTGACGAAATAGCAAGAAGTTATTTTTGATGATGCGGCAGTACTCAAAAAACAAACAAATTTGCTTTCCAAACTTAACCGTCATATCAAACGAGAACGATATATCAATGATCTACCTACGGAAGTCGATAAATCGCTAGCGAGAATAAAGTTCGATCAAGAAATCGAGAGGAGTAATCAAGCTAATTTGGAAGTGCAAGAAAGGATACGATTAGCTAAGGAAGTAGCAAGTGAGGATAATAATACTCCTGGACCGGGACTATGGAGAGGTCCGAGGAGAGAAAGAACGCAACGGAGTAGACCGGAAGATGATAAAGTTTTATTGGAACAGATGCAGGCTGAAGAGGTGGATCAAGGGAAGGTGACGGAGGAAACTGCTCAGGCATACGGTGAGTTCCTCAACTTTGATAGAGATAAAAGCTGAATCTGCAGCGGAACAAGTTCTAGGTGTACTACAAGAACAGAAATCGTCCATTTCTTCGTCCGTCGATACTTCCGAAGACGACAATTTTCCAAGACAGAATCTTCCTCCGGTCGTTCCAGACTCTACTCCTGAGTTTGTATTCGAGATGACCGAAAGTCCACCTGTCCACTATCACCACGCACAACAAGCTTTTATCCTCGCATCTCACGGTGGTCTGGCGGCCATCATCGCAAATCCAGAAATCCCCTCTTCCCGCGACGCGTCAAATTCCGAGACTTCAACAGCCGTGGAGGTGATAACTCCTCCTGAAGTAGGTAGAAGTCTCTTTGTGGCTCTCGACTTGGTCAAGTGGGAGGAAGATGATAAGACGGTGCTGGAAGTGAGTTACTCGGCTATTTGGTGGCAAGAGAATTTGGAGGGAACGGCGACAGATGCAAATGCCAAATTCGAAGAGAATCGAGAGAGTGGACATTTCATGTGAGTCACCCTCTTTTTTTTCTTCCATATTTTTTTGTCAATGTCTGACGAGTCAGTGTTCAAGATCATCGTTTGACCAAGAAGAATCAAGGCTGGTTAAGCGATTATAGAGATAAATTCGCTTTTGGCCATTCATTACCAGTAGCTGAGAAAGATCTCGCAACTACCATCAAACAAAAGATCATCGATCTATCTCAGAAAGCTGGTGGAGGACATACTTGTCAGTTTTCGTCTTTCCAACAACGCTACGCTCTATTGACTACAAGATATATTGGTGAATTCATCAGAATCAGATCCTATGGACCTAGCCTCCCTCGGTCTTTCCGTCAACAAATGGTGGCAGAGTTTCAAACCCCGAGGAAACTTTTATCCATCATACATGTCCCCTGAAGGGAGCGATAAGACATCTTTCATCGTGAGTCGTCTATCTTCACACATCATTGACTCTAGTTGACGATGCAGGATCTGGCGGTGTTGTTCGCCATGTTGGAATGGGATCAATCGGCAGAAGCTGACTCGGCTACAAAATGGAAAGGTCCGATGAAGACGGAGAAATCGCTGGAAGAGATGGTGGATGGTGTGTTCGGTATTGATGAAGAGAGATATCTTGGGAATGCAGGGAATGATTCGGTTGTGGGTTATTGGTTTATGTTCCCTCTCCCCATCCTTTCCGGCCCAACGCTTTCCTAAGCCTTTCGAGATCATATCTTTCTTCCGCGCGTTCGGACTTGGTGTGCAGATCGTCTTACAATCTTGTATTAATTTGCTGGGATCGCTGATGGATAGTACAAACTCGAAACTTTCCTAGCTTGTATGTTGTTCCTTTGACTTCTCTTCTCTGTTCCTCGTTTCCCTGGACGTGCCTATCAGCTGGATTGTTTCACCGTCTCGCCGCTCTATCATCGCCGTCGTGTTTACGACATAGCTGATAATCTTCATTCTCCCAATGTCGTGCTGAGGGTGTATTTATATAATGATGTGTGAAGTAAGATTGACAATCAGTGATAACAACTACCGACCTTTCTCCTCTCCGACAACAAGTCCAACAAGCGTCAAAAGCGTTCAAATCAGAAGAGGAGAAATTTCGATTGCTTCAAGCTGCTGCTCAAGGATTGGTAGAGTTGGTACCTACCAGTCCCCATCTCAACGACCAGCTCTCTAGTGAACCTACAGAAGAAGAATCTGTGCCTGATGGTGAGGTTCAAGGATGGAACCAGGATGGAGAGAAGGGAGAGGAAGAGAACCATCTTGAAGATTTGCAAGATGAACATGTCGATCATGTGTCCGAGTTTGAAGATGAGAAGGTGAAAAATGGTTTGGCGGAAGAACTCCAAGAGAAGCAGGGAACGACAAATGTCGCAAGAAATGATGATAATACCAAGTATAATCCCCAGGTAGACGAAGATTCGGATGACGATAATATCAAAGGTGTGTATTTCAATGATGATGATGGAGAGATAGTGGAATGCGCATGGGAGTGATTTGTCGGGTTGAATAGAATATGATTTGGAAAAATGTATACACCTAGAAATAGCATTGGTAGAAGTTGGAAGAAGTGCATATAGTAAAGAAAGATTGTATTATGGTTGTAACTACTTTTACATGTCAATGAAAAATCATGCATCATCGTCGTCATCGATGAGATAGTCGTCGATAAAATAGCCGTTTGAGATGTTCTCAAAGACGTACGAGCAGATTCAAGGACTCGTACAGTATGTTGAAGAGTCATCATCTCATGAACCCCCTTCGAACCGTCTTAATAAATCGACCGCACTGACTTTCCCTCCACTCCCCGAAACTTCCCTTGACATCCCTCCACTCAATCCACTTGGTGTACGTCTACGTGAAAAACCTCTGACTAACTTTGCAGCAACACCCAAGGTTCCTCCCGCATTCTGACCAGTAGGAATTTCTAAGCCATCTCCACTTTCCGGTGAACCATCTTCACCTCTTAAAGGAGATGATGGATGATTTTGTTCGTTTGAAACGTTTGAGAATCTACGTCCGTGAATCCCGTCGATCAAACTGACCTTACTAGCTCGTTTTGTAATAGGGAAAAAAGGTTCATTCTCTAAAGAAGAAGAAGTTATCACTGGTGCAAGAGGAGATTTACCGATTGTACCTTGAGGATTTAGACGGTTGGAAGATGATGAAGCGACGGATGAAGGTCGTGGAATGAACGTTTCTCTTGGTGGTGTGAGTGTAGGTTTTGAGATAGGTTGGAGTGGTAGAATTGGCTGGGGTTGTTGGGGTTGTTGGAGTGGTTGGAAAGGTCTAGGTGGGGAAATAGTATGTTCCAATACTGTTGGCAATTTAGGATCTTGATTATCGATTGTGAATTGACTGAGGGGTGGAGTGGCAGGAAGGATATCGACAATTCTTGAGATTGAAGGAAGAGTGGAAGGAAAAGATGGGACCGACGGAACGGATGGAAATGATGAACTAGATGGTATGGTTGGTATGGTTGGTATGGTTGGTATGGTTGGTATGGTTGGTATGGTTGGTATGGTTGGTATGGTTGGTATGGTTGGTATGGTTGGTATAGATGGTATAGATGGTATGGAAGGCATAGAAGAGAAAGGTAAATCATGTGTATTAGAAGGGATTTGTGGATCTCTTTCAGGAGAAGATAAATCATCTTTTACTTCCCCATTCATCTCCGCAATAGGTTCTTCACTCCTACCTCTTTCATATTTCCGTGAATAAGATCCACCAACACGTTTATCATCTTCCAAAGTCGGTCGACGAGGTAATCGAGCAGTACGAGGATCGTATTCTTGAACAGTATGAATATAATATCTTATACCTTCTGCCAGACCGAACGGGTTTGTGTCCACTGTCTAAAAATGTCAACTCAGATTTTGAACAGAAGAATAATATGACTCACATCTCCTGAGGCTATCGCCTCGTCCGTTTTGAGAACACGGGCAATAAACCATTCTCTCCCTTTTATAGCTTCTCGTACGATGGGAGTGACGTTGAGAAAGTTGTGAGGAGCAGAGTCTGTCATTTGTCAGATTACCCATTTCTATTACCAAGAGAGAGAGTCGACAGGAGGAACAGGTGACAATACTCACGATTGAATGCTGCCCAGGCGTTAACTGCAGAGTTTCGAGTAGGGAGGAAGAGAGCCTATTTATCAGCTGACGGACGGACAAGGTATTGGCAGCTAAGCTCTAAACATCTCAGAGACTGAGAAAACACAAGATGATTCGAGCAAAACAATCTTATGAGAGACTGTACAACACTAAGAGAAGTAAAATCACCCACCAGATCACCCTTGGTAAAGGAAGCAAATGACAATTTATTCCTCGCCAACTCCTTGTACGCTTTATAACTCTTGGAATACCTTTTGGCAGTATTGATCGATCTCATCACTGCCTCTCCGAAGTCTATCAGATCAAAACCTTGTGCCATCGCCAAACTCTTCAACAGATCACTCTCATGCAGATTACCATCTTTTTCAATAGTCGGCGATTTGCTCTTGATCATCGTCGAAGCTGTTCCTGATATAGTCGAAGAAGCGTTGATAGCCGCCAACAACCTCTGACAAGCATCATGATATTTCGTGATAAGAGCGACGGCATCATGTGAAACGTCTGACTGATGTGTCTTTTCTTGTGTCATTGCACCTGCAGTATCTTTAGCCATGGCTAATTGATCCGCCAGAACCGTCTCGCGTCTCTGAGCATCGCGTAATTGGGCTTTGGTGAATGATAGTTCTGCCCGAAGTCCATCAGCCTGACGGATAGCGGTATTCTTCGCTGCTGAAAGTTTCTCTTCCATCTCCACTTTGGTATCTTCTACCTGTTTTGTCAAAGTCAGGTTTTGATGTTCCAACACAGCCCGATCTCCATCCGCTTCTGCTATATGATCCCTCATCAATTTCTCAGCTTCGGCAGATTGATTCTTCAACGCCGTGTCTCGTTCTTTCCTAGCTTCTAGGAGTTGTTGTGCTGTAGCCTCGAGTTCCGCTTTCAGTCCGAATATTTCTGATTCAACAGTCTGTCGACGAGCTTGTTCTTCGCTGAGAGTACATAGAAAGGTGGATCGTTCTTCTTGCAAAGCATGAAGTTGAGATATATGAGAATGTTCGGCATTCTTCAATCCATCAACATCTAACAAAGCTTCTTGTAATCGGACCCCAAGATCTTGTGCGCGATCTTTCTCTTGCGTCAATTCCGCTTGAAGGGCCACAATGAGATCAGATTGATCTTCATGTTCTCGAAGTCGATCGTCACTGGCTCGATTACGTTCTTCCAACTCCGCGGAAAGCGTCTGACGGGCTATCATCTCTTCAGCTAGATCAGTTCGCAGACGAACCAGTTCTTCCTGCAATTCAGCCTGACGAGCTTGTAACGCCATAGTTCTCTGTTCGTGGGCTTGTTCGACTTCTTGCATCCTAGCTCGACTTTCGAGGTCGGTTTCTCGAGATCGAGGACTGGTTCCGACATTATGAATTCCGAGTCCATTGGCTGGGGCGGTCACTGAGCGTCAGCTAATCTGAAAGTCTGTCATTTTCGCTGCAACTGACGATTTTGCTTTACAACTTGATCCAATTGACCACTAGCCTCATCCATTTGCTGGATAAGATTGGCCAGACTCCCCTTCAGATCTGGAAGAGGATCCGAGCCACCCTGTTGCACCGCAGCCATCACCTCTGGATCCGTCTTCAACGTCTCAATCCAATCGAGATAATCTTGACATCAGCAACTTTTGCTTCGAAGTAAGGAGAAAGAAACTCACTGGTGATTTCCGCCCTACCGAGGTTCATAAACTCCAAAGCCTCCGCTCCTCCGCTGACCGCTATTTCGAAGCTCGGATTCATGCTATTCTCCAACCCTACGATTGCAAATGGAAGATTCTTCAGCACTTCCTCTTTCACCTGTTGTCGTCTTGCTTTCTCTTTGCTCAAATACTTCCCAAAGACCTCTCCCAGCTTGACAGTCCACTCCAACAGAGATGCCGAGAATTCTTTCCGTCTCACAACTTCGACCACCGCAGCTGAGTACGCAAAAGACAATCGATGTAATCGGGCAAGATGAGAGAATCCATCGTCGGAGTGAAGATCGGCGTCCAGGACCGTAAGAGGGACAACGATTTCTGAGATATCCGCTTGAAAAGCCGCTACTTGACGAAGATGTAGATGAAGGTCGTATGTGAAGGAATTTTTGACACCGGTCATAGCCGTGAGATCATCCCTCATAGCAGCATCAAGCTCCATGAGATCTGTCGCATCAATCAGACATCAATCATGCACCTATGACTCACCCTGTTCATTATCTCCCATCGGACTCGCCAGGAGATGTTCCACCCTGGTCAGACTTTCCTCCAATCGGGCCAAAGCCATGTTAAAGTCTTCCCTAACTAAAGCGGCTTTTTCCTCCAAAGCAAGTCTTTGCTGTTCGCTTTCAACTGCCAGTTGATTGACTTTATCTCCCAAGACATGAAAACGCTCCAGGCGATCGGCTTGCTAATCAGCGGACATGGAGACCGAAGGAAACAGAACTCACCATACTCAACTTGACACCCTTGACGTACTTGATCCATCTTCTTCGCTTTGACATAATCTGCTAACGTCTTTTTCTCCATTTCACTCTCGGGCTCTTCTACCACAGAAGGTCTACCTTTCTTACGTAGGAAAGCTTCGTGTATCGTAAATTTAGGCAACAGGGCCATGTCTACTATAGACGACTGAAGGAGGTTTTCTTCATTGGCAAGGTCGGCCTCGGCACGTCGGGAGAAGGAATGGAATTGTCTGACAAGTGGATTTAAATGGTGCGCGAGGTTGGCATAAGCTATTTGAAGAGCGCGGGATTGTGCTTGAAAGAGAGACTGGAGATGGGATAGGTGATCGAGTGCGATGAGGAAAGGTTCTTGTGCGTGGACGAGATCTTCCGCTTGAGACACTGAGAGTCAATTTATCTTGTCTTTCTAAGTATCACGCATCACATAGACTCTTCTCAAAGGACCGGATGGGATAGGATGGAGGACCAATTGATATATTTGGAAAGTATATAACATGACGATGTGTGGAGCTACAATCTATTCAAAGGAGGAATTTCACTCACGATCTAATGGAGGAGGCAGCTGAACCTCTTCCTGAAATTGCACCACCCACTCTTCTGCTTCTGTCCAAAAAGTCTCCCTATTGTAGAGGAAGAGCACTTGATTAGGTGCCTTCTCGTCAGCTAAGTCCTCAACTTCGCCTGGACCAGCACTGGTCCCTCTCTGCTGAATCCCAAACAGTTCACTCTACCAAGTTTTATCTACTACACCTGAATGATCTGACGGTGTAGCAACATGTATATCTAGAGCGTGGTACGTGTACGAAGTGGCCGCCGGCGGGAGGGGGGAAGGAGTGGGGGTCTAGAAAGGACGTACAACCGATTGCGAGCCCTTACCTCCTCGTTCCCACATTTCTTCCAGTATATTCTGCTTGACTTCTCTTCCATCTTCAAGAAACAATAATATATTTCCAGACTGAATATCGGTGATCGCAGATAATTCCGCGAGAAGATTCGCTATCCTGGAAGTGTCAACACATCATATCTCGTCTTTCTCGTGCTGTTCATTTCCCTAATCCCCCTGATTTTCGACAGCCTTATATTCTACAGCTATTTTATCACTCATTCAAGAGAAAGATTATTTGGGCTTTCCCAAGGTTGTGGGTATGTGATAAGCTGGCAATCGTAACCCATCACGGAGGTAATCCATGGTGGGGAAGTAAGTGGGTGGCAAGTCTGACAGGAATAAATGACATACGATTCGAACGCTCCTAGAGGTCGATCAAGCTGTATCAAGCCGCCATCTGAAGCTTGATATATTTCCATGATGAGCTGTATGGAGAGAGATGCTCTTTGCGATACTTGAGCGAAGAGAGAGAGACGAAGGGGAGGTTATGAAGTGATCGGCCGTACAGTCGTGGGGACAACGACGATTGGGTCATACACGGGGGCCCCGCGACGAGTGTGACCTGCAGTTGATTGTCAAGCTATGCTCTCTATGGAAAGAATAACTTGTCGAGTCCACATAGGGCCAGATCTTCGTGCATGATGCATATGATATGTACAGATGTCCCTCTCGATCCAACATTCGACATGATCAGAAACCGAAAGACACTAGATCACTTTCTTCTGTTGCTAGTTGAATCCTTTGGCAATTCCGCCGTATAGGGTAAAAAGTCCCTGCCTTGCATGTACGGCTGCAACACTTTAGGTATACGTATTCCCTTGTCACGGTTGAGCTCTGAGGCCTCGTTGATAAAGTGGACTCACCTCGGGGGTCTGATAGTTTTCCACGAGGCAGCATAGAGCACGCTCCGTTGCACATAAAGTTCCATTGAGCATATGCACGAACGCTGCTTTTTCTCCACCTTTTTTGTAACCGTATCGGACATTGAGGGAACGTGACTCTATTCCGGTCAGCCACATCCGCCAAGTATTCACCACATGACATAAGCTCCCAAGAGCAAAATGGAAATGACCATGGGAGAAAGATGTGGTCCCAGGATTGGACCATCAGAGGACTCACGGTAATCGGTACAGTTTGAACAAGATACGAGCTCCTTGTATTCGCCTTGGTAAGGGAACCAAGCTTCCAAATCGTACTTGATAGACGCGGCATTGTTCAATGCACCTGAAACGATACCCACCACCCTGTAGGGAATTTCGAGGGATTCGTAGAACTCTCGAGAGTTCTCCACCATCATATCGAGCATTTTGGACGAAGACTCTGGATCACAAACGACGAACTTTTGCGTGAGCCAAGCCACTGTGAGTTTGCATTGGGACAGCTCACCTGCTCGACTTTCTCAAATTGATGAACCCGGAAGATACCCCAGGTATCCTTGCCGTGTGACCCAGCTTCTTTGCGGAAACATGTGGAGTAACCGGCATATCTCTATGTCAGCTTGGGCCGCGTCTCACATCCACGCGGGGAGCTCACAATAGAGGGAGTGACTTTGGCTCGAGGAATTCGTCAGAGTGAAGGGCTGAGATGGGTTGTTCAGAAGTGGCAATTAGATATTTGTCATCTGCATCCCCAGACACCTGGAATGTCAGTGATCCCGTGCCAGTGACTCAAATGACAGTACGCACCTTATACAGGGCCTCATCGAAATCTTCCAATTGAGCAGTTTGAGCCATGATCTCCTTTTTCATCATGAATGGTGCCATGATCTTTTTGTATTGCTTTTTCCGCAGAAAATCCAGTCCATAATTGATCAAAGCTTGATTCAGGTCTACACCGTCGTTGGTCAAAAAGTATCCCCTGTGCCCTGAGATCTTCGCTCCTGTGCTTGTTAACGCTACATCTTGCATGTCAACATCAAACTCACCTCGTTCCGTGTCGAAAGCTTGCAGGCGGGTCATGACTTCATGATGAGAGATGATATCAATTGTTTTGTCTTCAGCTTGAAGACCAGGAATACTGTTGCCTTTATGATTGGGTTCAGGGTGCCAAACGGCTTTGATGGGGTTGTCGTCCTGCTGTCAATGACCATTCACAATGAAGGTTACAGACATTTCTGTCTCGGTATATATCCCGCCTGAGCAGGAGCGCCTCGTAAGACGACATGAGCTCTTGGAAGATGGACCTTGACTCACCTCTGTCAGAGATACATGACAATCTTTGTCCACGATATTTCCAATCAACGTAGCTCTCACATCTCTCTTCTTCATCAATTCTCCCGCTTTGACCGTCCAGTCAGCTATCTTCTTATCCAGTTCAGCCTTCTTCTCCAGAAGCTCAGAAGCGTCCCCTTTAGCCTTTTTGATGGCTCCTATCTCCTTTTGCAAGCTATTGACATCCCGTCGTACTGATTCGGATTCGTAAAGTGCTGTCGTGTCAGCTGAATACTCCGACTGGCCCGTTCCTTAGACAAAGGGGTTTCAATCACAAATTCTCATCATATCATATCATGAGAAGAAGAGCGAGAGTATCTCACCTTGCTTATGCTCCGCGATCAAGGCTATGACCTCGTCCACTAGCTCTACACTTGCTCCTCGTTTCTTCTGAGACTCTTTGACCGATTCTGGGTTACCCCCTTTGTCCGGCTGGACTAAGCCGTCAGCTCACTGCCCAACTCTTCGTTTCAAAAGGCCAGCTCACGTAGTTGAAGATCTATCATTATTGATTGTTCTCTCCGAGCCTACTACACTTGTGATGCAGTGATTTGTGGGCAATGCGGTCGACTCGAGGTGAAGTACGGTTGCGAGGTGGAATGAACGCGACATTTTCATACTCGGAGTTGAGAGAGAGAAGTGTGATAAGGGTGATTCCCCTTTTATGCCACGTCATTAACCTCGAAATGTTTTTCTTACGTTCTTTCCTTGTGTATTGGTCCCAAATCAAACTCACAACTAAACAGACAGGTGGAGCAAGTCCACAATGTCAGACCTACAACTAGGTCATGTCATACAACATGATGTGAGTATTCTCGTCACTGCCTTCCCCCGCCATCCCCTTCATGGCTCTCTTTGACATTCAATGACCTAGAGTAAGTTGTGTGATCTTGTTTGACGGTCATTGGAGATCAGTCGAAAACATACTACTAGACTACTTGCTGATCAAAACAGACTGCAGCAGACGAATTTCCCTCTCCTTCTCCAGACCGATCCATGTCCTATCATCCATCAGACGAAGGACAAGAGGAAGAAGAAGAACAAGCCGCTCAAGCCATTTCTGCCGCTGTAGCAGCTTCATCAGATCAACATCATCATGGACCCTCCACATCCTCATCCCGTTTCATCTACACTCCGCACACTGTCGGCGTCGGGTCTAATCTGAGTAACTCTGAACAGATCGCCATTCTGAGGGAACATTATTCGAGGAATCCTAATCCTGGCAAGAGAGAATTGGAGATGTTAGCTGAGAAAACGGGGAGACCTTGGAATAGGATAAGAGAATATTTCAGACAGAGAAGGAATAAATTAAGGGGTTTAGATACTATGGAAGAAATGGAAGAGCCTGGTAGGGCCACAGGTTGGTGAGTGTTGTTTCGGTTCTATCACAATTATATTCTTCCACAATAGCATCTGCCAATCTCTCTTCTTCTGAGATTTCTTTGTCCCATTCGTGTAATCCAATCCTTCCGCTCAGTGTCTGTGATTTTTGAGATACAAGCAGTGTCTCAAATCGAAATGTAAACAATGCCAGGAGCCATTGTGGAAGCTGATCCCAGGCTACAAGTAACCTATCGAACAGCCCCTCAAACTTCTCATGTTTCCCAACTAAACCTTTACAATTCATATCGTCTTCGATTCGATCCCTACTCCTCTCAAGCTCCCTTACTGGGAGGTCAAGAACTCATCCAACTGGCATGTGCCACATTCCCAGGATGCGAATTGGCAAGAGATGATGATAAGTACATCCTGAAAGGGTTGAAGGAGAGAATGGAGATGTCGATGGATCATCAACCCGAACCTGAATTGGCTGAACCTATTCGAGCGAGCAATTGGTTAGTTACTTCCTTCTCACATTCTTTTTTCCCTTCATCTGACGTCAATTCCACCTTGACTTTCTTTGACTTCCAAGACAGATAATAAACTTGACATTAGCCTTCAAAAGAGGTAGTAGTAGGTTTCAGAGGTTGACTTTCAGGTTACTGAACAACTACCATCCTTCCGAATCAAATAGTATAACCCAAACCGATCTTTACTCTTCGTACGCAACACGTTACTCCCTTCCCGCTCACCAAACATCAGAACCTTCTTCCCCTAACACACAACGTCTACAAGATCTGGAAAACTTAGCGGCCGTTTCTGCTCATCCCGATCACCTGAACTTCTCAACCGACAATGGGTTTGAGGGTGATGAAGATAAAGGAAATACCACTCCACCGAGATTATTGAACCCAGTGGAACTTATCTCACTCACTAAGATCGCTTTTCCAGATGCGGTTCCCGCGGTGGATGAACAAGGGAGATTTGTGATTAAAGGGTTGGAGAGAAGAGAGGGTGTGGAGAAAAGTAGAGGACCGAAAATGGGAGATATTTATCCTTTCGCTTTGATGACTGGTGAGTAAAGTTCACAGTGTGAGGTATGACACGGTTCGAGCCTATCCTCAGAGTAACGAGGTGTGAGGGAGCGTGGGCGGCTGGCAGTTTGGCAGCTGGCAGTCGGGTTCAGAGCTGCTCATTGACAAAAAGGGATGAGAGAAAACCCAAGAAGTATACGCTAATATACAGCTCCAGCACCTTCAGATCCAGATCATCCATTAAGGACGTTAATCAAACGTAAATTAACTTCTTTGGAACAACTTGAAACATCATCAGAGAAGAAAAGAAAATTGACGGTGGATGATGAAGAGTTGTTAGATGGACTGAAAAGGTTTAGGAATTCTGATTTAGGTAGAGAAGTGAGAGACGTTTGTGTACAACAATGATTTTTTTTGTTATTATTTGAATTTATCACACACTTTATCTCTTCTCTGTATATCTCATCTTCTTGTTTCTTCATCTGGTCAAATACAGTCTCCACGGCCACCGTCCTTTCATAGTCTCATTCTGCTCATGCATGTCAAAATATCAAAGAAGTTGATAATTCTGCAACTTGTCGCACCTAACTTAACTCATTTCCATTCCCATGATCAATGATACATTTCCGTTCCGTTCAAAGCGAAAAGTCAGATTTGTTTGAAATCAAATGAATCATCCAAATGATGAGATGATGAGAATATATGAAAACATAGATACATCCCACACATACTCTGGTCTTCAATCTACCTTCTTCCAGGAGGTCCATATCCGCTACTTTGAACATTAGCATATAACCCTCCTCCTGTACCTCCACGTGTACTTCGACTTTGTGTAGATGGTGGTCTTTTGATAGCTGTAGGTAACAAACTTTGTCTAGTGTTAAGTGTGACTGAATATCAACGTTGATCCTCGTATTACATCACACTGTCATTCTTCTTTGATACATCTATCATGTCTACCATTTCGCAGTTTAACTCCCCTCATGTACAATCTCGTACTTGAAAGAGTACCATGCTTTTCCTTGATTTTTCGGACACTTACTGCCTTTTCACACGGATCACCCATACTTCATACGAATGCCCAAAAAGCGGGGATGGTAGAGGAGAAAATCCAGTCTTATCACAGCTTGATACCAACCGAGTCCGATCGCTCTTTACTGAGAAGCAGACGAGACACAAAAATGAAGAATCAGGTCATTCAATGAGACGTGAAATCAGAAACTCACCTCCTCGTCCCACTCCCCGACCTCGACCACGGGAAGAAGTTCCAGTATAAACTTTGGTATTTCTTTCCACCGTTAAACGTTTTTGTTCTTCCGCTTTCAATCTAGCTATTTCTGCTTCTTCCTCCTCTTTCCGTAATGCTGCCAGTCGAGCTGCTTCAGCTTCTGCTAATGCTGCCGCATCCTACTTATCAGTTCCTCGTAGTCCAGCTATGTGAGGGACATGACGAGTCATGAATGACAAACGTATATTGGCCAAGATATGAAGAGAGTTAGGAAAGTGTAACTCGTAGGTTAATCATGTTCAGAAGAGGCGTGGGGGTGAGCAGAAGGAAGATGGGCCGGAAGGGTAAGGAAGGAAGAAGAAACACTAACATCCTCCGCACCGGTCCATAAAGGATTCAAAATGAGGTCTTGTGTATGTTCCGTTTGACCCATAATAGCTGTATATTGATCTAACAACTGAGAGGTTTGTTGAACTCTAGTTGCGAGACGCTAAATGTCAGCGGAATGATGATAGAAAAGTACAACTTTATAATCACCTCATTATGCCCTTTAGCAGCTTCCAAAGCATTTAAAAACCCATCGAAAATTTCGTTCATCCTTTTCAGTTCGTATAATCCTTCTCTCAATTTATCTTCCTTCTGTCTAGAAGAAGGATGTATAGTGTTTTCTTCCTCTTCTTCCCCTCGCATCCCCTCTTTTCCTTCTGATCTTTCGTCTTCATCAAGACTCACATCTCCCTCTTCATCTTTACCATCTTTTCTCTCAACGAGTATTTTTCCATCTTCTTCAAATCGTTTTTCTTGTCTGTCCCGGGAGACTTCACGATGTTGTGTTTTATCTTTTCTGATAGTATGTGAAGATGTAGGAGATTGTCTGCCTGATTTATACTGAGACTGTCCAAGTGAATTAGGAAGTTGAGAAGGTTGAGCGAATAGTGAAAATCGTGGTTGACGTTTCACTTTGATGGGAGTCTCTTCATCTTCTTCATCTTCATACTCTTCTTTTGGATTCTCATTTGGTACATAGGGATGAGAGGAGGAGGAGGTTGTAGAAGATGATGAGAAAGTGATGGGGTGTTGAGAAGGTTGAGAAGGGACGTGATTCCCGTTCGAGCCGGAGGGAGGATCTGGAAGAGGGGAAGATGTTGATGCTAATGATAAATCAGCTAGTGATATGCTATTTTCGGATGGAGAAGAAGGTTGAACAGCTCTTCGGAATGTTGGAAGTAAGGGAGAATCCATCTTTTCTGTAATTTTGTGAGATGAAGAAAGTACAGTAGGTAAAGGTGAGTGGGGGGAGGGTGGAGGAAGAGAAGGAACGCGTCGACGCGTCGGAATGCTGCATCCCTCCCTTCTACAGTGCCAAGTATGAGTACTCGTGGTGTACATACAAGTATGAGTACTCGTGGTGTACATACAAGTATGAGTAACTCTCTACATATGTATTGGTACTTGGTACTTGGTAGATGATACGTTCCCTGAATAGACGCTCGGATCAGATATCTCAGTGGTGAAGACAAAACTATCGAGCTCTTCATCGGGAAGAACCTTAGATTACTGACTTCAGGCTGCACGGCTGCCTGACATACCCAAGAGGAGAGTCATTAGATGTTGTTACATGTTCAAAGTTTCTCATAACCTACTCCAAGCGGTAGTCATGAAAACCAACCAAACCACACCTATAAACCCTAAACTCGCACCGAAGCCCCATCTGGCCCTCCGTCTCTCTCCTTCAGAATGTACCAAAGCAGAAGATGGTCCATCAACTCTTATCAAAGGAACTTTATTAACCCTTCCTTCTTGCTCCTCCCCCTCCGACCCCTCTTCGACCGGATCAGAAGATGGTAGTTGTTCATATTCTTCCGCTATCTCCACACCCCCTTCTCTACGTTTCTTTCTCTCTAATCGCCATAAGAAAAGGGCGCAGATGAATTGCAGTATGTTGATAGTCCAATATACTCGAAGTAAACTGGAACCTGCTTGATATTCCGCTTCTTCTTCATCCGCCCCACGAGCATGATCCAGCCATAAACCTGAAAGAGTTTGTGAGAGAGAGGAAGAAGCCATTTCTAATGATTTATGTAGTCCTAAACCTAATGGAACGAGAGCGGGAGGAAGGAGACGAGGGACGACGATGACCATGAGTAAAGTTGCCATACCGTGTCCCATAGCGAAAAGGATCATCCCAAACCATGGTGATCCGGTGAGGGAAGGAGGTAGGAGGAGATATGTGTAACCTAATAAAGTGAAAAGCGAGGAGAGATGGATACAATGAAATGTGACTCGGGGTGTTGATGTTCCCAAACGATCTGTGAGTATGCCGACCTATGCGTCAGCTTGGTCCGACTTTTTGCCCGATATGGTAGTGTAGTGATTAGAGTCGGTCGGTCTAGTCTCTCGTCTGCAACGAAAGAATTCTTCGCCAAAGGTCCACGCAGTATACAATGTCACTCACAAGAGGATACAGGACGATAGCACCGGCTAGAAGAATGGAAGCTTGGAAACTCGCAATACTCTCAGTGAGATTGTATCGATGCTGCACCAAATTGGCAGAAAGATGTAAGAAAGGTTGCCATATCGCCCCCGCGAGGACATTTCTTTTCTATCAGATTGTCCTCCCTTGTCATGAAGAGCCGCTCACAATAAGATATACACCCAGAAAACATCTCCTAAACTACCTACACCTCCCCAGCTGACTCTCCGCTTGGCTTTGACAGCCGCTTCGCCAGCTTCACTCCCCCATCCGAACAAAAGCCGGAGAGCGTTTCCGAGGAAACTGACGCTGCAGAGTATGACAGCGAGTGTGAATGGCATCCAATCGCCGAACTTTTTGGCCAGGGGAAGGGAGACTAGGGAGGAAATGAATGAGGAAGATTTGCCTGAGACGAGACCGAGCGCTAGAGAGATGCCGAGGTTGTGGGAAGGTGACAGGTGGGATAGAAGGGTTTCTTGAACAACAGCAAGGGGCGTCATCCCTAAGCCAAAGACGAAGAGACCAAGGGTCTGCGAGGTGTCAGCGATGGGCTCATTTCGCGCATGGGAAACTCGAGTGGTAAAAAGGGTAGGTGAGATTATGTGTGAAAGAAGGGATACCCCACCATGATATTGAGGTGTTCTATCGTCACTCCAAGGAGTAGGATCAACTGTCCTACAAGGACACATCCTGTGGTGGCCACAGAACTATACGTCAGCTTTACTAAATCAGGTAGGCGCTGATCAAGCTGACCTGAGTGCAGTCCCAAATCTAGCGACGAAGATCCCAGCGACCAACGGTGTCCAAGTTGAATTCAAGCTGTTCCCGTCAATTCGATAGTATAAAAAAGGAAGGATACTCACTTGAAAGAAGCTACAAGCAATGAGAATTGAGAATTTGAAGTCCCCATCTCTCTATGTAACCTCGACTTCAAAGGACCTAACAGATACGCAGAACTAGACCCTCATTCAGCCACTCGTTATCTGATAAAGAGAAAAATGACTCACAAATGACTTCCTACCGATAAAGCACAAACAGCAGCCAAAGCAAGCCATCGCGAACGAGTCATCTTGATGGGTCGTTTGTATAAAAGGGTAGAACGTGAATTCCGACGTTGTCGTGATGGTCCATCGGGAAGTGGGGCGTGTATTTGATCTGTATCATCCGAGTAGTCACGGGTGTACCAACGGGTAGGGTGATTATGAACGTTCATGGATGATGTTGAGCAGGTAGAGTGTTGAAAGGTGGAGCATGATGTGAAAAGGGATGAAGTAGTTAGTTATGGGATTGAGAAGGCATGATGCATGGCTTCCCTCACGTCACTCTGTCCAATCGGCCGAAACAGCCTTTCCTTCTTTTTACCCACAGTCTTGTCAGCAAGCATAGCATCGGAGCATCGGAGGGCGGCAATCACCGGTCCGAGACACGAGTGAAAATGGGAGGATCGATTAAAAGCAACCACAAGTTCAACCTTCAACTGGGCATTCTGCGCTCTACTTTGGTGACTTTTCAGACGACCAAACAGGATGGATTTAGACGACTTGGGTGAGTGATGCTACCAACACAACGAAAAGAGGTCCGAACTGACTAAGATATAGCCGTAGACAACACGTATGAACTCGGAGGGTCGGATGACGAGAGAGAAAGAGCTCAAAATGCTGCTCTTGTCGAACAGCTCGAGAGGAAGAAGAGGTTAAGGCGTATGGCCGTACCCACGGATGATAAGAAGGTTAAGGAAAGATTGAGAGCTTTTGGGGAACCGATAACATTATTTGGAGAAGGTGTAAGTCTGTCTCATCGTACTTTCCAAGGCAGACATATCAGCCATCAGATGAAATCTGCGGCTTGGAAGTGGGGGAGGGATATTTGTGTTTGATATCATCAGCTGATATACAGCCTGGAGACAGAAGGGATCGACTAAAATTGATACAAGAACAAATAGAACAGAGAAGGGGACTGGAAGGCATCAATTACGCCGATTATGATGCAGAGTCAAGTAGTGAAGAAGAGGATGAAGGAGAGTTTTACACAGAAGGATCACATGCGCTTTTAGAGGAAAGAAGGAAGATTGCGAGGTATTCATTATCACGGCAAGTCTCATCGCTCATTCTCCTTCACTCCTTCCATCTTCAACCTTCATCATCAGTAAGCTCGGTGACTGTCTGGCGTTCCTCGCAGAAGGACTCTTTCTAAAACGGATCGAGAGCATCAAGAATTCATTCCCATGTGGTCACCCTGGGTCCACATCAGGAGCGTGAATATCCTAAAGAGATTTACGCTGATATCTCAGCGCTCGTACAAGAATAGCCAGGCAACGTATAGAAGTCTCTCTCCCCTTGGGCAAAATCATCAACGCTCGCAAAGACCTCTTCTCATCCCTGAAAACGTTCTCCATCCTCGGTTCCCAATTCGGTGATGACAGACCGTTGTCCACTATACGTTTCTCGCCTGACTCAAAGTTGGTCTTAACGACAAGCTGGACGGGTGAGACGAAGTTGTGGGATCTACCAAATTTGAATTTGGTGGGTACGAAAAGAGGGCATAGCGATAGACTAGGAGGAGCTGCTTGGTACCCTGGAGCATCTGTGGAAAAGCGGGATACATTGGGTTTTGCCACTGGTGGGGGAGAGGGAGATGTGAAGTTATGGTCTATTGGGTCGTGAGTCTACCCTGACCTCCTCCGACCTTCTCGTGTTCTTGGACATCGTACCTACTTGTGTGTCTTATTCTGAATTATTCAATCATCGTCCATGAATGGGAAGTTAAGATTGAGACTAACGTCACAGAGACACCGCTGTAGCCACCCTTTCTGGCCATACAAACCGCGTGGGCAGAGTAGCATTCCATCCTTCTGGTGCATACCTCGGTTCGGCATCTTTCGACGGGACATGGAGATTATGGGATGTGGAGAGTCAGAAGGAACTCATGACGCAAGAAGGGCACAGTAAAGAGGTGTATGCTTTGGGCTTTCAAGATGATGGAGCGTTGGTGGCATCAGGGTGAGCACTTTTTCTTTCCCTTAGGTTCTTCCCAATCATGTCGTAGAAGCTGCTCTAATGTTCTTCCGACTGGACGATGTCGGGATGATGTAGGAGAACAATCCCCTCCTTGATACAAATAGTGGGATTGTACATTGCTTCATCTGAGCGAAGAGCATGAGTACTTGGACTGACAATCAGTGGGTTTGACGCCATCGGGAGAGTATGGGATCTACGGACAGGTAGAACGGCTATGGTTCTTGATGGACATATCAAAGAGATTCTAGCTGTGGACTTTGCGCCAAACGGGTGAGTATGGAACTCCTTCTCCCTGTGTTTCCTCGTTCATAAGCCTTCACTTCCCGCCAGTATCCCCTCTCGGCTGTTCATCCCTGCCCGCTGTCCCTTAACTAGTCACATCTTCAATCTTCAATCTTTTGTTTCCTTCCACTATCGAACAATTATTGTTTTTTCGGTGTTCATCGTCCCCCGGTGGCAATCACTCATTTCATCCCTTGAATACCTTCTCGTAATCCAAATGTGAAGTGACACCATGGAGAGAGGGCAACGTTCCAAACTAAAAGTATCGTGTATCAATTACTAACTCTTAGCTATCAAGTCGCCACTGGTTCAGGTGACGATACGGTCCGTATATGGGACCTTCGAGCACTTAAAACTCAATACATAATACCCGCACATAAATCTAGTGTATCGGATTTATCTTTTTTCCGATCTTCTTCTGATATTCCCTTCCAACCTCTTCCCTCCATCTCTTCTCATTCAGCTTCACAACCATCTAACCCCTCTATCGCTTCACCTGTTAATGGAACACAGGGAAGTGTAGATGTCGAAATGGATCATGCCTCACCCTCTAGTGACTTACCCGTCACTGGTCTATTCCTAGTCACTGCTGGATTCGACAATATGGTCAGGATTTGGAGTGCTGATGAATGGGCTTTGTTGAGGACTTAGCGACGGATGCAAGGATTATGAGGCAAATTGAGCAGAGTCGGGATGGGAAACTGGTTGGGAGTGCTAGTTATAGTAGAAGTTTTCATCTCTTTGGCCATGAAGGATCTTTGTGAGGGGTGGGAGGGGGGGGAGGGGGGAGGGGGGAGAGGAAAGAGGGGAGAAGGTGGAGAGAGAGGTAGGAGTATCTGCACGAGGATGTTATGAAAAATGCACAGATATCATTCTTCTTCAGTTTCCATATCAGAAGAGTACATTCAACATAGTCATATACAGTGGAACACCATACTCTGCCGGGCAGGACTGTACAATTCGAGTCGAGTGGGGTTTCTGCAGATCCTTGTATCTGGTGACGCACGGTCAAACTGGAGAAGAAGTCATGCACAGAGCTAGTTGTCCAAAGTCGAATCGGGTAAGGAGGGTGAAGCAGGATAACGAGTGAAAATGGAGATAACATTGCATCAACATACACAAAGATGTTTTCACTCATAATCACTCAAGAAAAACCCATAAGATTCACCCTCTTATCCTATTTAACAATTGACTCAATCGACCGAGATCTACTTGACTTCCATCACTTTCAACACTTTTTGTCAAACCGTCGAGCATCTGTTCATCAACATGACTTGTCTTTTCTTCATTTCACCACTTTTCCCATCTATCATCTCCGCTGCCCCACGGGAAGATTCAGTATCATCTTTGAATATCACCCATAGCTATACCACATACAATGTAACTATATTCACACTCGATCCTTCTCAACAGGTCGAGGGAGTGGGAGTGGGAATGGGAAAAGGTCATTAAAATCATCTGAATTTGAAGATCCGAGAAGAAGAGAACCTCACTCACTCCATCAACTTGATCCACAGGAACTTTAGTACACAAACTGACTAATTTCCTATACCTCACCGCTTTTTCAGAACTTTCACCTTCTAACAATTTCATTTTTTCTTCTAAAATCTGTCCGACCGTATCTTCCCAAGCACACATACGTCTCAACGTTCCAATAGAATCTTTCTCACCTCTACCAGGTATAATAATCTCTTCACCTCCTGAATATCTGATATTGACGTTAGAACCGAAAATGGGGTTGGAAACGATATCATCCATTGATGAAGAAGATAAGATCCTTGAAATGTTATTGGTTTTTTGAGATAATTGTTCGAATTCATCAAGAGATTTTTGAAGAGAAGTGATTTGTGTACGTCTTTCAGCTAATGAACGAGTGGCATGACGAACGTTTTGTTCGATAACATTGAGACGAGTTTGTTTTTCAGTCATTTCTTCGTCGTGGGATCGAGAAATGGTTTCGAACATTGCTGTGATGTCTTTGGGTCAATAAATTGCCTTCGACATGTAGCGGTTTGTTCTTCTCAAATCTGAGATTGGTAGACTAATGCTTCACGTGAGTCGTAAAGTGAGGGGAAGTGGGGGGGAGGGGGGCAGAAGGTTCAGGGAAGAATATTTGATGTTACACAAGTGCTGGGAAGGTTTTGGTGGTAAGAAAGGGATGGAAAAGATGACTTACTTTTCTGTACATCACGACTGTGTCGCTCAGGTTTGGGCACTTCAGATCGGAGACTTGATACCACAACCTCACCAGGAGAGAGTTTCAATGCCTGAGATCAGCTTCGACCTCCTGAGCCGATCCAAATTACAATATACACTATACAAGACAGGATAAACTCTCTACCCGACCAGTAGGCGTTACCCGTCGACAGAGAAACTCGGGATTCATGGCGAATATAGGTTCATCGTATCGGAAGGGAGCTCAATGTTGATCATTCACTCACCTCCGTCTCCACACCGAAATCTGCCGCTTTCAATCCCAATTTATTAGCTCTTGCTTTATCCGCTCCCGCATCTAATAACAATTGCACCAAACCTTTATTCCCAACCCTAGCAGCTACGATCAAAGCCGTATCACCATGTACATCTTGTACATCAACCAAATTCTTCAAACTCATTTCTCCTCCTCCCGCCTCTCCATTCTCTTGACTCTGTTGTTGTTCCCTAGCCACCCATTCCAATACTCCTACCAAGTACGTCCTCGCTGCAGAAGCTCGACCTCGTACACCTGCGATTAAAGCGATATGATGTAAAACGCTTCGATAAGCTTGATCTAGAGTTCGGATAGATGGAGCTAGATGTGTTAAGAGATGGACAAAAGTACCACTTTCAGCATGATTCGTAGTGAGAACTGAACGAATTAAAGGAGTTTCACCTGCGAAATTCCCACGATGAATGTCTGCGCCAAAACCGATGAGTTGTTCTACCAAAGGCATTCGAGCCATGGCGCAAGCCCAATGAAGAGCCGTATGACCATGAGGATCGATTATAGTATCCACATCCACATCCATCGGTGCGTCGGAAGGGATACCGAAAACTTCTCGTAAATCTGGTGTTTCAGGAGAAGCGAATAGACCGAGAAGTTTAGCTCGAATACGTTCAGTTTCTGCCGTTTGACGTGGTCTAGGTGGTCGTGTTGAAAGTCTCATAGAACCTGGAAGTATGGGTCTAGATGAAGGTTCTATATCATCTTCATCTTCATCTTGTTCCATTGATATATCTCCTTGCACTGGGATGACTTCCTGTTGAACACCATTTTGTTCTTCAGAACGAGATCGTTTGATGGGAGGTTCACCATTCATATTTCCATTCACGACGTAATGTCCCGTTGGTAAGATAGGTTGACCATATTGATCCACATACATTTCGTTACCCATAGACATACCCATACCGTTAATCTCTGGAGCTGGGGCTAGAACTCTACCGTCGGGATTAATAGGTGTCAGATCCGGTCTAGGAAGATAATAAGGATGTTGAGGTTGAGGTTGAGGAGAGTAATATAATTGTTGACCTGCATAAGCTAATGCAGAAGGATGATGAGGAAGTGTCATGGAGTGATCTTCATTGAATGGTGTTTGACTCATGGTCAATTGACCATGAGTGAATTGAGTCATCGATCTTCCGGAAGAATCGGTCATATGAGATGGGGTGTATTGAGGAGGTAAAACCATCATTCCTGGTCCCAGACGTGGGACAGATTGATGAAGATGAGATTGGTTTTGAGTCGTTGGTTGAGGTTTTGAACGATCTGGAGTTTCTTGTCGGACTTGAGGAAGAGCCGCAAGATTATGAGGAGTCGGAACGAAATCAAAGATAGGAGCGACGAATGATGTCACGCCGAATTGTGCAGCTAATTCTTGACCGCGAGTAAGTGGAATCCTTGTAATCAGCTCGCGTCACAAAATGTTTGCATGAAAGATCGAATCGAATTTACCATGTTCCTTGATATTTACCGTCTGTCATCATCAACGTTTATGAAAACAAGATATCATGACGAGATAACTTACACCCTCCTTGAACTTTTTCATGAACACCACCAAGAATCTCCTTTTCTAGTATCTTTGTTCTTGCCGATTTTGGAATTCCAGCCACTTTGAGTATTTGAGTTGCGTTAACCCAAGAATCGTGATTACGTCTCATGACGGAAATACCTCTGATCATGCATTCAAGCACTGGGACCTGAGGAGTGAGTATCCACTCACATCCCACCGTCGACAGCATTTCCTCCCCGATGTACGTCTCGATCGTAACACGAAAAACCACTCACTCCGGAATAAACACTAGCGTAAATCTTCGGACCTTCTCCTCCGTGTCCAGCACTCAAATTACCTCCTCCTCCTCCTCCACTACCGACGCCTCCTCCTGAACCAGCCGGATTACCCATGACTGAACCGAAAACGTTCTGATGTTCGGTATTCCCATTCTGAGGTAAAGGTCGTTTTTGTGTAGAAGGAGGATGCATCTTCCCATGAGCGGGGGGAGGTGTCATATTCATCTCCATACTCTGTTGTTGGATGTGAGGTGAGGGTTGAAGATGATTTGGGAAAGGGAGAAGGGTTGCGGTGGTAGATTCCGAGGGATGAGCTGGTGTGTTGGGTTGACGGGATGGACTTAGAGTTAGCCGGATGTCTCTGTGATTTCGAGAGAAAAGTAGGAGAGTTGGGAGATGATACTGACTGTGAGACCATACCACGTCTATTGTGTAATGGACGAGTATGGACGTTTTGAGCCAAGGGAGGGAGGGAGGGATGTATGGGATGGACGTTTAATAAACTCGCGTCCAGGCGCGTCGCGAGAAGTTTCAATTTGACAAAGAAATGGGAAGGAATTTGATTCCGCTCAATTGCACATTCGAGGTTGAACCGCCACACGAGGTTGCATGCTCTCTTGTACTCAAGATCTTGCTCTTGACGATTGCATGTCGCATGTCGCATGTCGCACATTGCACTTCAAAGGTTGTACTTGTATGTAACACGACGTACGGGGACAAGATAAGTCATGTCGAATATTAACCCACAACCAGATCAAGACCCCCCCCAATCAGATAAGAACGAGATTGATGCAGACGGGTGATTGGGATCGGTATGTCTTTCCCCTCTCTCTTTTCTCCTTCCCTCCTTCCCTCCTTCCCCCCTTCCCTCCTTCCCTCCTTCCCCCCTTGCCTCCTTGCCTCTGTCCTTTCTGGGCTATCCACTCATTCTCACTTCTCAGAAGTATATGAACAACAGTAACTTATATTCTTCTTTGAAGAATAGTCTTAGGAACTGTGCAGAATGGTTGTGTAAGGGCTTTAGGAAATCTTGATGAGAAGTTAACAAATAGGATATCTCGATTGCTCAGTGCACGATTACAAGAAGCTGGATGGGAAGATGAATTGAAAGATTTATCAAAAGGTGAGTTCTTATGACTTCTCAATTTCTATCCCTTCCACCCACCCCTCTCGACCTAATGACTTCTTTATCAGCCTATCATCTCTCTCGAGCAAGCCGAAGGAATTTATGATGAATTTGTGGGATGCAGACAAGAGATAGGAATGGAAACATGACCTCGTGCTGATTGACAGAAACGGCCAGAACACAAGAACAACCTAATCTTCAAAGTCTCATTCGTGATATTCGTCCCAAAGCTCAACGTCAATTCTTTTCTCACTTCTATACATGACAGGGACTGATGGTACAGAGATGTTAGATCCGCAAATACGTGCTGCTGTATTACAAGAGATACAAGCTGCTCTTGAACGAGAAGTGGAGAAAGCGTAAATCTACTTGGATTTGTCGAGTGAGATGATGAATGTATAATTGGAGAGATTGGAAAGTATAACGATACGACTGATGCATGACTCTGTACCCTTAGACTGCTACAAAATTTACTTGAAAAAGGTGACAAGATGAGGATCAATGTCTGCATATCAGCATATGTCCTCGACTATGAAACGAGGGTGGAGACGTTCAGTGTAGATGAAGGGTGCAAAAGTGTCAGGTAAGATACAAAACGGGAAAAAGAGGTGATCGTGAACAAGACAGTGAGAAAAGGAGACGTTGCGATACTCACTGACTCCATTCAATCTTACTAATATCAATACCTTCTTGAACCATCTCCCAAAGTGGACTCATCTCCCTTAACCTATTCACAACACCCACTATTCTCGTAATGACCAATTCTATCTCTGCTTCGGTTGTGAATCTTCCAAGGCCGAAACGAAGGGACGAATGTGCCATATCTTCCGCCGCTCCGAGGGCTCGTAATACGTATGAAGGTTCGAGAGAGGCGGATGTACAGGCAGATCCGGAAGAAAGTGCGATGTCCTACTTTGTCAGTTCCGTGTCTTTGAACGATCAAGTATATCCACAAGTCTGAGTGAAGCACTTAAGCAGCCAAAGTGTGAAAATCTGTGATGACACTTTAGAACACAACACAAGTCTCACCCAATCTAGTCGACAACGGTTGATTGGTGGGATTCAGGAGCGATATGACAGAGGAACATTGAGTGGGTAAGGAAAGTATGAACTCACCTTCAAAGCCATAAGTAAAGATTCTCCTTCCACATAGGCAAAAGATAAATTGACACAACCAGGATATCCATTCGGATCCCCATTCCTTACGATATGTTCCACTTGACTTGTTATACCTTCCACTAACCTATCCGATAATTTCTTGATCCTCTCATGATCTCTACCCATTTCTTCCTTTGCCAACCTACAAGCCTCACCCAATCCCACCACAAGTGGAGCAGGTACAGTCCCACTTCTCAACCCTCTTTCCTGTCCACCACCATGTATGAGAGGTTCTAACCGTACTCTAGGTCGACGACGAACATAAGCTGCACCTATACCTTTAGGTCCGTATATCTTATGACCTGATATAGACATTGCGTCTATTCCCATTTCTTCCACATCGATTGGGATTTTACCTACCGCTTGTGCAGCATCGGTGTGGAGAAAAGGTTTTTGTTGTTTGTTTTCTTTTGCCCAAGATTTCAAAGTGTCGGAGATTTCTTTGATAGGTTGAATCACACCTATTTCATTGTTGACTGTCATGATGGAAACGAGGGAGGTGTCCGGGCGTAAAGCAGCGCGAAGTTCTGAAAGGGAGATGAGACCGTTAGGAAGGACAGGGAGATAAGTCACTTCGAATCCTTGTGTTTGAAGATATCGACAGGAGTCAAGTACGCATTTGTGTTCCTATAATTCAGCCCATCAACCAAACTTGTCCTGGTAACCACTCCCCACGTGTGATTGATCAGACATATTTCTGACTCAAGACGCATGCCCTCATAGCAAACAAGTTGTACATTTCATGTGTCCGCAATACTCAACACAGCCAGACTACAAACGAAGCACGGTCCATGACGATCGTCCACATGAGGGAAAGGATTTGGGGGGAGGAGGGGGGGGGGCAAACCCTTATCTACAACTGCGGTAAAATCATCCTAAATTACTCACAGTCTGCGTAGTGATAATATGTTTTCTCTTGGCCTGATGAAACTTCGCAATCCCCTTGATGAGCAAATTATTACTCTCCGTAGCTCCACTTGTAAAAACTATATCTTTACTTTGCGCACCGACCAAAGAAGCTACATGTTGTCGAGCTTCGTCGACCCCACTCTCAGCTTCCCAACCATAAGCGTGAGTTCTAGAATGAGGATTACCGAATTGTTCAGTGAGGAAAGGTAGCATACGATCGAGGACTCGAGGGTCCATTGGTGTGGTAGCTTGCATATCTAGGTATATGGGTCGACCTTCTGATTTCGCATGACCACCGGTTTTTGTGGATACGGGATTGAGTTTGAAACCGAACATTTCTGGGATGAGTTAGGGTTTCCCTTCTATAGATCTTATCTATACTCCAGATTACTTTCGCCATCTCTGCTCATAATTATTGTTCCCCATCCAGGATATTGTGACTCTCTCAATCCTGCTACTACTCTCCTGCAGACTCAAAATGGGGAGAAAGAATTACATGTGGCAGGTATCGTCGATGACCCAAGGGTAAAGAATGAGTGATATCTCCAACGACGATCGATGGAGGAAGAAAGGTACAATATATTCAGTAAAGTTCTATAAGAAGCAGAAAGACATGTAAAAAAAGAGAAGAAGTCACCGAGCAAGGTAAAAGCGAAGAAGAAGACTCACCTTCCCCACTTTCATTTTTTCCCGCCACCGTATCACCCTCATGTCCTTCACCTGGATCCTCTCTGACCTCACCAGGTCCAGTCTGATCGACCATGACATTACTTACACTAGCTCTGATGGGAGACGAAGGAGTAGTGAGGTTTCTATGGTTCATGACGAAGATTGCATTTCGTTTGGATCGGAGTAATGCGCCACTACGCAGAAAAGGTCTGACTGCGTGCATCTTGCGAGTGACGTTGTTGGTATTCTTGCTTGTTGTGTATATAGTCCGAAAGAGCTATGAGAATTGAAAGATGGAGCAGCAGTAGGATAGTAGGGGGAATAAGATGAGGGAGCGATGGAGGGAGGGGAGATGGAAAGATGGGAAGATTGCGAGATCGAGTGCGAGTCTACTACTGATGCCGAAGAACCACGTAAACTATTCGCCACTTTCGGTAATTCCAACTTTTGCTGGTGAATCAATAGAAAATCTATGGATCTAGGGGTACACCATACATCTACCACAACCATCATCCTCAGCATACAACGGCATGTCTCGTACAACTTACACAGAGTGATCCACCATATGATCATAGATGTATACACCACATTGTCCATTTGTCCCCAAGATAACCAACCCTCTCTACACAACTGTCAATGATATCAGATAAGCTTGATTAGATATTCGCCTCCCTCTCAGATTTTCGTCTTCTTTCCTTTACTCTCCTCCACACTGTTCTCAGCATCTTTCACTTTCTCAACATTGCCAACCATTCCAACATTACGCCCAGGAGTCGTACTCTCGCTTCTATCCTTTCTGATCTTCTCGCTCAACGCTGAGGTCGCTGTGGACATGACCTTCGGTGGCATCCCACTAACGTTTGCAGCGTTCAGGACCGTTCTCGCTGGTGTTTGATGAGGTTTGAAACCGCCGGTTTTCATTTTATCGAATCGAGATTGATTCAACGTGATTAACGGGCTTGAAGAAGGCGCGCTACTGGCCAATCGACCGGTCCGCTGATGCGTTTCGATCCCTCGTATAGGTATGGTACCGGACATGTCCGCTTTTGGTCTTAGGTTTAGTTTCGAGCGCCGATAAGCTAGACGCGAGACGGGAGAGGTCATAGGTTTGGGTTGTCGAATAGTACGAGCGAAGAGAGGGACAGAAGTGGGACCAGAGGATGAGCTACCGAGTGATGATGATATAGGGAGTGGGAAAGCCGTGGAGGTAGACAAAGAGTGCAAATGGCGTTTTCGACACCAACACGTGATGAAAAGTACTCTTTTTTGTCGTCTGCAACAGTCAGATAGAACTCGTAAAGACTACATCTGTGTGAAAGACTTACTTGGAGTAGAAGAAGTAATTGGCACTCCATAACAAGGCGCCTTTCGGTCTCTCTCGCACTGTCTCGCCACCTTTTGATTTCGGGGGAGGTGTCGAAAGCACTTTCTCTGCGTTGGCTTGACCACTGGTGGAAGGTTTCCGGATCGTTGGGACAGGAACAGGAACATCATCCATGTCCATAACGATCCCAGCTTGTTCATAGATCTCAGGACCGTCGATATCCACGTCCATTTTCCGATCAATGAGTTCTTCCAGAGGATCCTCTTCCTCTATACCCATCTCACTCTCCTCATCATCATCCTCCAGTAAATGAGGGTCGTATTCCGGCTCAGGGAACCAAGAATATACCTCGCACTCCGCTAGAGGTACGATATCGTTTAAGATCCGGTACAAATCAGAGTTGATCATACCCGGTGGTGGCATCGCGTTCATAGCCGGTGGAGAGGAATGCGAATGACTACCTGGCGTATTGGGAGAGGATCCGAGACGAGGTATGGCACTTGTGATGAGCATCGTGGTGACACAGGAAGCGAGAGTACGTACGGTAGTGCGCCAACCGGTCCGAGGAGACTACCACACAGGTGACCGATGACGGCCGCAGCTGCAGGTTCACGAGTGAAATGGTCCGGTCGAAGAGATGAAAAGTCATGGTCGGGATAAGCGCAATTGAGAGTGGAGACCAATAGAAAATGAACTTTCCTTCATGTCGTCAACTCCAAAGGTCAAATTGGCAAGGGCGAGATGTGACTTACCTAGATTCCTTTTCATCCAAACGACCGAAACACGACATGAGACCAGCTTCACGCATCTCGGGAGAGAATGCCATTCTTTGATGACATCAGCATGTGGGCGTCAGGAGAGACGATCAATCATCTGCCATCACTGACATCGGGGCGGTGAGGCGCGGTGGGGTCCCGAACAAACATGTCAAATGAGTGGCGAGGAGGAGAGAGAAGAAGACCCACATGGCCATTCCATCCTGATCACGTTTATGAACTTTTTCCATGTCTCTGTACGACTTTCTCTGACGTCCACTGAGTTTCTCAGAGTAAGCTTCGAAGCGGGCGTATACTCCCAGTTCGGGAGATGGCTGGTATGTCATGTTCTCGGACAGTCGGGCGAGGGCGGGTTCGTCGAGGAACCGCATAGTGATTCAGGCCGACAGAGGTGTGTCTTGATCTGTACAGTGGAGCAGGGGGTACTAACGAAAAGATGATGATGAGATGTTGAGTTTGAAGGAGAAGAGGGAGAAGTCGCGGCAGAGCAGGCAAATGACAGATGGACAAAGGAGGATACCTTAGGACACAGGATACGACAGATTCGGGTATGTGTATGTAATCTTGAAGTATGTATAGTATATATGGTGTTATAGATATGATAGATGATCGTCCAGATGTACAGCGACCAGTTGTTGTTGTTGATTTGTGATGACCGAACGTGGGTGGTCGTCGACGAGGTAGAGAAAGACAGTGTTTCACTGGGAACCCCCAAGGGGATTACGAGTGATCATTCTGGCTGTCCCACCCTTTGTGGGTTCGGAATGTATGATATATGTCGAGGTCAAACCTAGTAGCGAAGAAAAAAGTAGTTGGGAAAGAGAGATGATGTAGAGACAGAGAGGAGAGAGGAGAGAGATGGGGTAGGGAGGGTACACACCCAAAGTTCCTAATCCAGGGTTTGAAGTAAGTACATCAAGGATAATCCCATTAGTATTTCTAAACCCTGAATTAGAAAACATTTCCTTACTGTAAGTTAGCTTCAACGCGACTGTCCTCACCTTTAAAATCACTCCACCCCGACGTCAACTACTACTTATCCTCACAGCTCTCTAGAAGTACTTAGGTACTTAGGGTAAGTAAAGGAGAGCCGAATGACAGTACAAAATGGACGATTCAATGTCATCTGAATCTCCTGCAGGTCCGTCCCGTCCTACCCCTTTTCCACCGTACCAGACCCCCACAACCGCTGTGGGTTTAGGACTTAACCCTCCTCAACCGTTCCCAACTTCCTTCCCTAGTCCCGGCCCCGTTCACGTTCAACCTATGCAAGGTGATCCTTGGGCCATCCATCGTATTCCTCCTGAACCGCCAACGAGTCCCATTCCCGCTGAGGAGCAACATGGAGAACAAGTTGGGGAAGAGGGAGAGGGAGCGGAGGAAGAAGAAGAAGAGGCGATGTCAGAAGGTAGTTCAGCGGAATATGACCCAGAGACGAATCCTGAAGAATGGGCGAATAGGTTAGATGAGCTAGCTGGAGTCTTAGAAGTAGGTGAAGAAGAGGCCAGGGCGATAAGATGGGGTCCGGCATTAGGACAGGACCGAAATGGTAGGTACACCTTTTACTTGATCTTCCCACCCCACATATCTGTTCCTCACATCTCGTGTCGCAATCTCAATCAATATATCAAGTTCTAGGATATCGAATATGACTACCGACGTGCTTGAGGTGGGGAGCTGAGGTATAGTCCCAGATCTACCACTCGAGGAATTCAAAGCTCTAATCAACCATCATCTCACCACCACCGAATGGCGTTACACTCCAAACCCTACAATGTCATTCGGTACTCGACCTGCATTGCCTATCGAGGCCGTGGATGCGGTTCCGGAGATACATCCAATACGGGTAGTGGGGAGTGAATGGATAGGTGGGGAGGTCGGTGATCCCACCGGACAGTTGTTGGATATACCAATTCCAATTCAAAATACAAGGATATGATGTAGGTGACTTCCGCCTCACACTTCACACTTGCACTCACGTATGATATAAAATTGAGAAAGTGTTAATGAGGAAGATCTGTCATTCACTCTTTGTCCACTATGGTCACGTTGATGTAACCCACATGATAATGACACTGGATCCCCCGCTAGAAGATGTTGATCACCGCCCGCCAGTCTGGACGATCCACAGGATGCTCTATTCGACCCTTGTGACGGACACCGGCACCGGTCGATCTCACGCCGAACACGAGGACGTACCCTTGTCTTGTGTAGTCCGGCAATAAGTGATCCTACCATGCGCAGCGGTGACCCGCATTCAGGCGATACCTTCGAATTCGGACATATGACCGCTTTGGGCCATTTCTGACTCTAATCGCTACTCACGTTTCCGGTGTACTCAATCTGATCCATCAGCCTTGGAAACATGTATAATCCTTCTGACCTTGTCAATTCGCCTCCTCAAGACTCAAGATCGCCACACCTCGGTATAATTCCAAAGGTTATAGAGGGTAAGGAATATGTCCCAACCTAACAATCATCCACCATCTGATCGTCCTCACTTCTTGAAAGTGTACGTGGAAGTAATGGAACGAGATGATTCCATACCCTTCCTTCTTGGACCACCATCTTTGGACGGTGGATCCGGTATCGATGGATCAGATTTTGATTCAGACATTTCTTTCGCCCTCACCTCTCCATCAACCTCTTCTCCAACTTCTACACAAGAACACAAAACCTCCTCTTCCATTCCCACTCTCATCTCATCCATCGACGTCTCTCACTCCCCCTCTTTTTCTTCTACCCCCACTTCGACGGACACGGATACCATTACCCAATCTCCATCACAGCCACCTGATGCGATCGTGAATACATCTCCTATTCAACCTTCTTCCATCAGATTTCTCGTCCCTATCTTCCTCTTGTTCATCATAACGGTAGGAGTATGTATTTACCGCAAGATCCGCGTTATACGAATGCGTCGTATAGATCGACAATCACGTTCCTCAATACCTTCTCCAAGTAAAGAAAAAGGTCCTTCAACTCCTGATAATATCTGGGGAAAAAACGGAGGATGGAAAGAAATCAAAGATGATAATCCTTGGGATGGAGCTTCAGATGACGAGATGGTATATGAGGAGAAAGTTGGATATGTATCTATCAACAATGGAGAGATGGAATATATTCCAGAGTTGACCAAAGGGTATGAAAAGGGAATCGAAGATATTGGTGGGGTTGTTTCTGCTGGGAATTTAGGTTGGGGTTGGAGAGATACTTTTCGTTCTGCTCGAGGAAAAGAAAGACAAAATTTGTCTAATCAAGATGATCAAGATGTTGAAAGGGAAGAAGGGATAAAGGATAAAGTTCGATTAATAAGACTTGTCAAACCGAGAACAACACCTCAAGAACAATATTCTTTAGATGGTACATTACTCGATACGCCTAATCAGATTAATCCTCTCAATCCTCTTATGCCACCAACGGGATCATTAAGAAGGTTAAGAGAACGTATATTGTCATGGACTACAAGAAAACCTATCACCAATATCGCCTCAAATCTAATTCCTTCCGATCCAACTTCAAATGATCATGTCAACTCAGTCAATCTAGATGATGGTAATATCATATGCGGACAAGGAGAAGATAGTTTGGATGGGAAATTAGAAAGAAACAAATCTCCAAATAAACGTCGTCAGATGAGACATGTGCCACCAGAAGCACCAGAATGGATTCGACCAAGAATGGTTTCTCCACCTTCAACATCCGTTTTGAGTCCACCTATGCAACCTCATCTTTTCTTCGCCACCAATTTAGACCCCAGGATGGGATCGACGTACACTCCTCCACAGGGGAGTGATAGTGAGAGCGAATATTCTATGCCATCAATGCAAGGGACACCTGTTCCTGAACAAGGAATTGATGGGTATACTCCCACACCGGGGAGGGTGACGAGGAAACGGTCAGAGAAGGAAGGGAAGAATGGGGTGGAGAGGGGATTGTCAAAGGTTTCCAAAACGTCCAGGGGGTCGAGGATTGAAAAACGAGAAAAGAGTACGAGAAGGAGAGAAAAAGAGATTACGGGAAGTAAGTTCAAGGAGAGGATGGGTAATGAAAAGGAAGGACAGGAAAGAAGGGGAGGAATTGAAGATGGAGAAATTGTAGGGAAAGAAAGAAGAGGATCAAAAAAAGAAAAGAGAGAGAAAAGTTTGAAAAGATCAGGACGAACGGACAGTCAGAAAACTTCCGGGAGGGAACGAAGAGAAAGTAAGAAAGATCAGAAGGAAGATCAGGTGAGGGATGAAGTAGCTGGGATATTACGTGCCAGTTGGACGGATAGAGCTCTGGCTAGTCCTCAAGCGACCGAAGTGACGAAGTTGAACTTGGGAGCTTTGCGCGGTCAGAGTCTTGATGCTGCTGCTCACTTGGATCTTGTGGGGGGAGATGGAGATGAAGACAATGTCCAGAGGAACGAGGGTTCATTCGAGGAAGGTGACAGAGGGGAATCGGTCAGTAGTGAAAGAGGTGATGGAATTCAGCAGCGATTGGGGTTGTAGGGACATTAGCTACGATTTTTCGGCGTAATTTTTTGGGTGGGTATGGAGTCATCAATAGTCGTTTGTTCAAAAGTTGACATGAACAACGGGTATACGCCAGTCAGATGAAATTTGTGAGCCGGACTTTTAGGTCAGAGATGTGCATATTATCGATATAACGAGACTGGAGATTACCCAGCAGGTCCCACTTCTTTCCTCTATTGGTCGAAACGACACGGAAGGTCAAACGAGAGTCTTGAAAAATGACCAAGCACCAGCAGCGGCAGTCATGAGACCTGCTCCTACCATAGCTGGTCGTACGCCGGCTGTAAGTCAGTTTTTGTACAAGTGTAAACTTCAGACGGAACATCGAGCAAAGTATCAGTAGTGTTTGAATCTGGACAAGGATGAGTTACCGAAGGAAGAATGTTAAGCACTGGACAACGGATAGGCTTAATAAAGAGGGGAGATTTGCAACGGGAGGGGAACGGTCGACAATTAGAGATCCAAACTCACCAGTGGCTTTGTATATCCCCCCTGATAGAGCGGCAGCACCGAGAGCATTGAAAACGTCGTGTTTGCCCCTGATGGCGTCCAGAGATGAGTTCGATAGATTATAAAAGATAGCTTGGATGTCAATACTGTTTCTCCTTCTCGATATTCCCTATTTGTAACAGGTTTCGATGGTGGTTTGAATTATATGAGTACATTGTCACACTGTCACCTAACCTCGATTAAGACTCGTGTGACCGAGGTACTATCGAATTGAAGTGCATATCGGATTGAAGAGGAAAGATGACTCACCTAAAACGCCTAAAGAATTACCCATAAAACTACCTCGTCTAGTACATCCATTCAAAACACTATTCAACCTCAACTTGAATGACGGTTTATTACCCAACGGTCTTACCAACCCTTCTCTAAAACCCCACATTCCACCTAAAGCTAAACCTGAAAGATAGGTAGTACCCGTTCCTACACATAAATCGTCCGTCCATCCTCTACTTGGAAGCACTGAAATACCTCCTCCTAAATCTTGAAGTTTGTCTTCTTCGAGTGTGAGGAAATCGAGGTTATCCCCTAGTTCAGCGAGGGGATGAAGTTTTTTAGGATCGAAAGCTGAAGCTGTGGTGAGAGTTCCGAGTGCGGTAGGTACTTCAATGGTAGTATCGGATGAATGAGTGTTCGAATTGTTGGTTGATGTCGTAGATGGAGCGGAAGTGGAAGGATGAGAGAAAGAGGTGGAAGCGAAAAGATCTGATGAGGGTGATTCATTGGAAGAAGGTTGTGAGGAAGATTGTCCTCCGAAAAGAGAAGAGAAGATCATATCGAATCAGACGAGCTGAATGAGCGCTACTATGGTCGCTCCTATATGCTATGGTGCGCTGGTATGCGAGGTGAGATAGTAAGGCTGCAGGCTGATGGCTTTGGGCAAAAGAAAGATCTTTTTCCTCTTTTTTCGATGATTGGCGGCAAAAAAGCGGAATCAAATTTCACCGAGAGGATTTGAGAATTTCTTACAGCTCTCTCCTCCCCCCGTCTTGTCTCTCTCTCCATACATACATGCACTACCATGGTAGAACTCAACACTTACAAAGAGTCAAATGATGCTGGTCCTTCCACACCTAAATCACCAAAGTTAAAGAAACAAAAGCGAAAAGCGGTCAAGGAAGATATACCTGTCGCGAAGATACCCCGCATCACCTCTCCTGTCGGATCACAAGATGAACCCATGACGGGGTCAGCTAGTGACAAAGACCCCATGGAGACGCTTGAAGAGGTCGATCCTATGGCCGCATTGGATAACCAGGATCAAGAAGGAAAGAAGGGAGAAGAGGGTATCAAGGAAGAGGAAGCAGCAGTGGGACCTTTGCCCGTCACGGCAGATGAATTTGAGCAAGAGGCCGAGAGAGAGATAGAGGCGAGCAAAGGGTTGGATGGAGTGGCGGTTGACGAGGGTAAGATGAAACTTGTTCACCAAGTCCGACATCAGGTGAGTCTCCAACGTTACCTTTACATCATGAAGAGAGGGCTGATCATGTAGGTCGCCGTGCCTCCCGACTATCCTTACATTCCTATCGCTCAACACAAACGACTCGATCCTCCTGCTAGGACGTACAAATTCGAGCTTGACCCTTTCCAATTCGTCGCTACTTCTTGTATTGAACGTAATGAGAGTGTACTGGTTTCTGCACATACATCTGCGGGGAAAACCGTGGTAGCTGAGTTTGCCATTGCAACGTGTTTGAAAGAAGGACGAAGAGTGGTTTATACATCCCCCATAAAAGTGAGCACTCATTCACTGGGATATGCGTCTTCTCTCTCTTGGTGGCTGATGAATAGGCTTTATCAAACCAGAAATATCGAGAGTTTCTCGAAATTTTCACCGATGTCGGATTGATGACTGGTGATGTGACAATCAACCCTACTGCTTCTTGTCTAGTCATGACCACTGAAATCTTGAGAAGCATGCTTTATCGTGGATCGGAAGTGATGCGAGAGGTTGCTTGGGTAGTTTTTGATGAAGTCCATTACATGCGCGATAAAGGTTCTCCTTTCACTTCTCTTTTTCTGTAAGCTAGCTGACATGAATAGAGAGAGGAGTTGTATGGGAAGAAACCATAATTCTCTTGCCTCACACCGTTCGATATGTTTTCTTATCAGCTACCATCCCCAACTCTATGGAGTTTGCCGAATGGATTTGTCAAACTCATCAACAACCATGTCATGTCGTATATACCGACTTCCGACCTACTCCTCTCCAACATTACCTATTCCCTGCCGGATCAGAAGGTATCTATCTTGTGGTGGACGAACGGTCCAATTTTCGTGAAGATAATTTCCAAAAAGCCATGGCCGCACTGGCTGCAGGTCAAGGAGAAGATTCAGCCGATCCAAATGCTGGAAAAGGTCGTAAAGGTCAAAAGACTCGTAAAGGTGGTGCGTTGAAAGAAAAATCAGATATTTACAAAATCGTCAGACTCATCATGACCCGTTCGTTAAACCCTGTCATCATTTTCGCTTTTTCAAAGCGTGAATGTGAGGCTTTGGCATTACAAATGAGTAAACTTGAATTCAACACGGAGGATGAATCTACTACAGTGGGTCAAGTGTTCGAAAATGCCATAGGAGGGTTATCGGAAGATGATCGCAAGTTACCACAAATCGAAGCATTGTTACCTTTGCTCAAAAGGGGTATAGGGATACATCATGGAGGTTTATTACCTATATTGAAGGAAGTCATCGAGATTTTGTTCCAGGAGGGATTGATCAAATGTTTGTTTGCCACGGAAACTTTTTCAATTGGATTGAACATGCCGGCCAAGACGGTTGTTTTCACTTCGGTACGCAAGTTTGACGGGAAGGACTTTCGAAATTTATCAGGAGGGGTGAGTACCTTTCACATACTATTTCTTGTCTCATTCTCCACAGTCCTGACATGTCCGACGGGCAGTCGTCATGTGCTAGGAGACAGGGGCGTGATATCTATTGACACAAAAGGAATACATTCAAATGTCCGGTCGAGCAGGTCGTCGAGGTCTGGATGCAAGGGGAATAGTCATCATGATGTGTGACGAGAAACTCGAGCCTGATATCGCTAAAAGTATGGTCAAAGGTCAAGCAGATCGACTAGATTCGGCTTTCCACTTGGGATACAATATGATCATCAACCTTATGAGAGTGGAAGGTGTCAGTCCGGAGTATATGCTAGAGAGGTGCTTCTACCAATTTCAGAATTCGAAGAGTGTACCTGTGCTCGAAGCGCGTGAGTGGGCGTGTCTGTCTGTCCTGCCCTCCTTCCAACTCTTCCACCGGGAATGCATATTCCTCAACATGCCTGCTGTCTTATATGGGAAGATTTGGCTCCCCAGCCGCTGAAGACATTTAAACACTTTCTCGGTGGTCGGTCATCCAAGCAAAATTATCTGAATACAAGAGTAGTGCTGATTGGTAGAACTCAAAAAAGCCATAGCTGAACGTGACTCCATCAAGATTGAACAAGAAGAATCGATCAAAGATTACTATGACCTCCGATCCCTTTTATCTGACAAAGGTGCCGACTTCCAATCCGTCATCACCCATCCCTCTTATTCTCTCCCCTTTCTACAATCCGGCCGTCTCATCGAGGTCCGGGATGGGGATAAAGACTTCGGTTGGGGTGTAGTGGTAGCATATAACAAAGTAACCCCTCCCAAAGGTCGTCCGCCTGTCATTACCGAGAATGATCCTCCTCAAAAGGGATACATCGTTGACGTCCTTATAAAAATTGCTTCTGATTCTACCATACCGCGAGATCGATCAGGGGCAAGTATACTTCCTCCTCCCAAAAATGATCCTGGTGTCGTAGCCATAATCAGCGTATTATTGAGTACCGTACAATCTATCAGTCAATTCCGAATCAATTTACCAAAAATGCTCAAGGGACAAGAAGAGAAAAACGTAGCGTTCAAAGCTGTCAATGAGATTCTGAGAAGAATGCCAGATGGTCCAACTTTATTGGATCCTATAAAAAATATGGGAATACAAGATAAATCTTTCAAAGATCTTGTCAAGGTAATTTTATCTTTCTCTTACTTATTGTAAAAGAGGTCAATTGACAAATAGCAAATTTCTTTACTTGAACAGAAGATTCAATCATTGGAAATCACATCTTCTCCATTATTACCACAATTATACGATGCGTATTCTCGTAAACAACGAGTATCAGAAGAAATCAGAACTTTGAAAAGAAGGATCAACGGGGTTCATGATGTTTTACAGTTGGAAGAATTGAAAGCAAGAAAAAGAGTTTTGAGAAGATTAGGTTTTACGACTCATGATGATGTTGTGGAAATGAAAGGTCGTGTGGCTTGTGAGATTAGTACGGGAGATGAACTTATGTTAACTGAGATGATGTTTGGTGGGGTTTTCAATCCGTTAAGTCCTGAACAATGTGCTGGGTTGTTGAGTTGTTTCGTCTTTCAAGAGAAGGTGAGTTGTATTTTGTCCTCTTGTTCTTTTGCTTACCCTTCTTCACATTGTTGATGTTCACCCTTCTCCTCTTTCCTATCCATCTCCCTTCTCTTTTTACCTTCCTGTCTACGATCTTGCCGCATACATCGTCCGAACTCAGTGCGCTGCGTTGGCGACAAGGTTCTCGTCAATGAAACGTCATCCAAACTGAGGTAATCTGTGGGATAAGATGCTAGACGCGAAAGTAATGAAGGCTGACCTACATAGTCAGAGGCGAAAGTCCGTCTAAAAGAAGATTTAGCAGCACCCCTCAGAGTTTTACAAGAGACAGCTAGACGTATCGCCAAAGTATCAAACGAATCGGGTATAGCATTGGTGGAGGATGAATATGTTCAGGGTTTTAAAGTGGAGATGATGGATGCTGTTTTACAATGGTGTAAAGGTGCTAAATTCGCAGAGATTTGTAAGGTGTGTTTGTCATTTGTTTTACTCCCTTTTGTCAATCTCTATTCCCAATCTTCCCTCTACTACCTCTTCAATCCCGGATCGTCTTTCACTTGGTTTATCGCCTTTTGCACCCGTCTTGCGTCTTGATGCCTCAGATAAATCATCTTTTACCAGTATCTCACCTTCCTTCCTTTTTCCTCTTCCTTACCTCTCAGACCTTCTCCTATTGCGGAGCTGGAAGAATATGATGATGTATGTATGCTGACATTCAAGCTCACAGATATCTTTGAAGGTTCCATCATTCGATGTTTCCGTCGTTTGCAAGAGCTTCTTCGTCAGATGGGTCAAGCTGCACATGCCATAGGTAATACAGAGCTTGAAGAAAAGTTCGGTGCGAGTTTACAAATGCTCGAAAGGCCCAATACGGTTGTGTTCAATCCATCGTATGTCATAATTTCTTGTCTCTCATCCTTTCTTCCATTTTCTAGACTTCATTCATATTGTCAATCCCACATCTCACATTCCATCGGATTGATCTATTTACAGTTAAGTCTGATTGCCGTTGATAGTCACTTACGATCAGTTTGTACTTGTAATCACCTCTATCACATGAATGCAAATGCATATAGAATGGAATGCATCATCCTCTATACCCGGCGATGATAATCATGATGCCCAAACAAAAAATCAACAAACAGGCATCTTTGTACGTTTGCAGAATTAAAGTAAGGTATCTCGAACCGGTAAGTAGTGGTCGTCCCAGGCGAGGAGGCAAAAGAGGTAAGAATTTAGCTAAGAGTGCATGAGGAGGCGGAGGGGACTGTCAGTCAGTCATTGACATGATATACGGATATAAGAGAGAAGAACTCACTTTCAGTATGAAGAATCGTGTAGTTTGGAGCAGAAGTTCGATCGTCGCGAATGCCCAGAAGACCGGCTGTTTATCAGTTTCGTCTTTACGTTGATCAAACCAATTGTTCCCCGGTGCATCTCTTGCTCCCGTTAGATCTCCCCTACGATCTTACGGTAGCAATGTCCATGTCAGTATAGATTCAAGATCTCCGAGTTGCACTCTTCCAGTATCTCGAGAGAATAAGCTTGAGGGAATGTGATATAGAGAAGCAAAAAGAAACATACCAACTCTCCCACCTCTTTACCCCTTAAAGTCGAAACTACCCACCCATTACTTCCCAAACTCCCCCATCTATCTCTCCAGCTGATCATTTGTAGATTCCTCCCAGGCCAGGCATTAGGTTCCCACCATCCCACACAGAACACGAGAAAGATGATCATAGTGAAAGCATGAACTAGCGGAAAAACCTTTTCGATCCAAGGTTTCCCAACTGATACCATACCCATTCCTCCTAAACCTCCATTTCCACTTAATGCTCCAAGAGCTCCCAGAGCATTTCCAAGGTCTCCCATATTCTCCATTCCTGGGAATCCTCCGAGTCCTTCCATACCTCCCAAAGAAGGAAATCCTCCTAATCCTTCCCCTCCTACACCCGGTGGGAACTGAGGAAAGTCCGCATCTGACCTTTCTGAATCTCCTAGTAGACCGACACCGCCAGATTGAGCTCCAAAGAGTTGTGAGAAGAGTTGTGACATATCTTCATTTGACTGAGATGAACTTGAGGAACCGGGAGGACCGAACATGGATAAAAAAGCGTTCATTTGAGTTTGAAGATCTTCATTCGAATTTTGACCGAATGGAGGTTGAGAGTTAGATGGAGAGGATAAAGATGGTTGTCTTGTAGGAGGGGATGTGGATGATGAAGGTGGAGGTGTTTGTTGAAATGAGGAATTAGTCGTTGTGGTATTTATCATTGGGTCATCCTTGGATTTTGAAGGTTGTTCTTCCTTTGAGATAGGTTTAGAACCTGGCGTCAATTCATCATAGACCAACAAGCCTTACATATCCGGGCTTAATGGAAGGTGACGATCAGACAAGACATGAACATGGTGATGAGAGACATACAGACCAAGAAGAGAAATTGACTCACCCTGCTCTCCGTACAACTTGTCAGCTTCTTCCCCCCGAGCTGTATGTGCCAACTTTGTCAACCCAGCATTTCCTCGAGCTAGGATCTTGGCTTTTCTAGCTGCTGCTCTACGTGCTGCCTCACTCATTCCCGCTTCGTCTTGGGACATGGTTCTTCACTTTATGTACTTAGAGTATGTTGCCAGTTGACCAGTTCACTTCCATACGAAAGGTTGTGATACGTGCCGGTGACCAAAATCCACGTCATGAAGTGAGTGCACGTGGTTTCTACGTTTCCACTCGAAAAGTTCAATTTCAACTTTTCCATCATCATCATCCAAAAGCAAAAAAGAGATTCATCCCCCACAAAGCTTACACCGTCAAGAACATCATGTCCTCCTCTACTGAATCCCCAGATCGTAATCGTCCTTTGGACGATAACAAAGTTCTCGGTGTGAGTGATATCGCTCACCTTCCATGCACTTCCCTCTATGAGACGATCCGTCCCATCAACGTTCCTCGTCATTTTTGACCAAAACTGTAGATCACCCTGACACCCATTTGGGGTCGGATCAAATTGCTAGATGCTAAGACTTCATCAACTCGTTTCGAATTTAAGAGACGGTCTGTGTCATATTAAACATGTTAAAGCGGAAAAGAATGGTAAATCTGACAGGACAGTACGACCCCCTCATTCCACCTGCTTTACTTCGACATGACCTTCCTGTTCCTCCCCTAGCTAAGAAAACTATCTCTTCAGCTCGTAGAACTACTGCATCTATCGTACGTGGCACGGACCCTATGGGGAGGTTGTTGGTGATCGTCGGACCTTGTAGCATACATGATGTGGAGCAGGCAAAGGAGTACGCTTCGAGGTTACGCAAGGGTGTGCAAGAGGGGAGGTGGCAAGGTTTGGAGGTCGTCATGAGAGTTTACTTGTGAGTTGTTTTTGGCCTTCTATTGGCAAGCTATTCGACCATTCCCCTCGGTGGAGCAACTGGAGCCCCCTTCCTACCAACGCACGTTCTTCTCGGGAAGTGATACCGATGGTATCCCGGATACGAGGAGGGACGAGAGAGACGATGGTAAAGATGCTAGTGCTTATTTGCAGTGAAAAACCTCGGACGACAGTTGGATGGAAAGGTCTGATCAACGATCCCGACATTGACGGCAGTTTCAAAATCAACAAAGGGCTGAGAATGGCGAGGGAGCTTTTATGCGATATTAACGCTATGGGCATGCCAGTGGGATGCGAGCTGCTAGACACCATCTCGTGAGTGAACGCAATCTCTTGCTCGTCCCAGATTCCAGAACATTCAACATAATCTTGTCCTTTACTTTCGACGAGCTATCAACCACGTCGCGAAATGAATAATGAGACGCTGCGGATCATGTTGTTGTGATACTGATACAATAGTCCCCAATTCATCGCTGATCTCATCACTTGGGGAGCTATCGGCGCTCGCACCACCGAGTCTCAACTCCATCGAGAGTTAGCATCAGGTGCTTCGTTCCCTATAGGGTTCAAAAATGGCACAGACGGCTCGGTAAGCGTGGCTATCGATGCTATGCAAAGCGCATCACATCCTCATTGTTTCATGGGTATCAATAGTCAGGGTATGGCGAGTATCGTCAAAACATCTGGGAATAGGGATTGTCATGTGATTCTTCGTGGGGGAAGTGGAGGACCAAACTACTCGTGAGTGTCTGCTTTGTATGACAACCCCATGCTTCAATGCCTCGTACGTCATGATCGCTCAACGAGAGCTGTGCAGCTCAAGTCGGATCAAGTCACAGCTGTGTCACGTCAGGAACTGGATGTAGAAGGATTGAATGACTGACTGTGTAGGTCAGAACACGTCCAGGCGGCCTTGTCAGCGATGAGGAAAAAGAATCCTGAAATCGACCCCTCCATCATGGTCGATTGTTCGCATGGAAACTCATCGAAGAATCATTTGAACCAACCCAAGGTCGCCGCTGATCTCGCTGCTCAGATTGCTGCTGGTGAAACGGGGATCGTGGGCATCATGTGAGTGTACAGTCACCCCAACACTTCACTTTTCTCTCAGCTTCTTCGTATTTCCCTTTCAATCATATCGCTCACTCGCCCGATTGCTACTATCTTTTCCCCACTGCAATGGCTCACAGACCAGGTTCGAAAGTAACCTCAAGGGTGGAAAACAAAGTAGCGATCTAGGCCGAGAAAACCTAGAATACGGAGTATCGATCACTGACGGTATGTCTCGCCCCTTGTGATCTATACGTTTGCTGATCATCTAGCTTGTGTGGACTGGGAAATGACGGTGGACATGTTGGACGATCTCAATCGGGTGAGTCAGTTACAATCATACAAGAGAGGAGCTGATGGACAGGCATCACTGGTCAGGAGAGAAGTCGTTGCTAAACGGGAAGCGAATGGGCATGGGACTACCAACGGTCATGACGAGACCAATGGTATACCAACTATCGTCAAGCTTAGATCGGAGGCATAGGAGGCAGCGATTAGTCAGGGAACACATGGTCCCATTTGATCAGCTTGGAGCCATCTGGATCTATCATTTTTCGCCGTCTAACTCATGCATGTGGTTCCTTCACATTCACCTTCCACTGCCCCATTCTCTCTTTGAATACTCGTGCGAGTAGGAACTTCCAGACGCGCATCATGTCTCTCCTGTGTGTACGGCATAGGAGTTAAAAAATGAAGGATATAGATTATACTTGAAGATGAATGTCTCACGCAGAACGACCTCGAGACGTTTCTGGACGTAACTGTTGGCCCTCTCGATGTCTGTAAAAGCGTCAAGAACTCGCCTACTTGAAGTATCTTTCGGACAGACGACCCGCTCAGTGACAAGAGGCCGTATTTTAGCCAATATTTCTTCTACCGTCGTATTCCTCTGTTCGGGAAGAGTTACAGTCAACTGATAAGACTGGTCCGTTTCACGAGTCACCCTGGCTCGGCAACCCAATATGCTCACATTTGGCGTATGGTTTTTAAGAAGTGCATCGCGACTCTGAACAATTTTGGTTATGTCCGCACCCTCCATTGGCTTCAGCTGTACCTCAACCGGAAACATGAATTTGAACTTATCGTACGCGCCAAATGTCCGCTTCTGCAACTCTTCTGAATCACCAGGATAACTCCTTTGCTCGTAGTGTTGTTCAATGGTCGTAATGATAGCTGTGATCATATTTTCTACTTGCTCTGTCATGTTATTCCCGTCAACTATAGCATCCTCCGTAGCAAGCACAAGGTCGTATGCCAGCGTCTCGTCGTCAAAGTAGTACAGGATGGTCACATCGTCTGTTTGAGCAGAAGGAGTGCTGCTCATAGTGAGAATATATATTGGTAAATGAAATTGGTCAGCGACATCTCCATGTCTAGCAGCCTCTTATAGGCTGAAATAAGCTGAGTGATCAGCACACAGCCTTGTATAGGTCCATTGTTCCTGATCCGAGGTGTGAACCCCCAGCACAGGAGAAGTATTTACAACCGTCGAAAAGTAGTAGGCTTAGTGATAAGCGTGAGAAGTGTGTGAAAGACATCTTTCGTGTGATCGTGTGAAATGTTGTCGGCCTCTCGGGCCCGTGTCGCCGATGAAACGACTGAGATCGTGACAACAGCGTCGACCGCTCGACGGTGGAGGGCATATAAGTACTCGGCCGGTTCCGCGCGGGATCGTGAGTAAGGTGAGATCGTGGGGTGAATCCTTAACTTATCTCGAGGTTGACCCGGCATGCACAGCATTCTTACTATTGCTTTCTAAGCCTCCCTCTTCACCGGATCACCATATCACCGGGGACCGCTCTCGACAAGATTCCTGGGAAGTGTTAGATCTTAGATATAGATTTAGAACGGTGTGCTTGAACGTGCTGGGCAATAGGCCCGCGATCCCGCGAGACCATTGGCTGGCAGCAGACTCACCACACTCTCTTTCTTTCCAATCTTTCTCTCTCATCGCTTCATACAGATATTCAACATGCCCTCTTCTTTGAAATCAAGGATTCTATCACCGGAAACAGCCGAGGCGTATTCAAGACAGATGATATTGAACACTTTTCAACGTATGGGACTTGAGACTGTCGAAGCTGGTGTGATGGGGGAGATTGCACGTTTGGTCGAACGACGTGAGTCTTCCCACCTGTCTTGTTTCTCCTCATCTTCAATCAGACATACCTCCTCTTGCTTCGACCTCCCCAACCTCCTCAGTATCTGGCTACTCGGACAATACCAATCGACCTCGTCGCTTTCCCCGCACTGTCCGAGTTTTCTCCTTTTTCCCTTTTCTCTCGGGCTGACTATCCATCGGACCCTCTTTCTGCCTGGTTTGACCCAGTAACCAATGTACTCAGTGACTGAGAATATCATCATCAGATCTTGTCATACTCCCCACCTAGATGTCATACCATTTAAGAGATCTCCGGCTCATCATCAGACATTCAAAAACTGTACAAATCCACTTTATCCTACTCTAAACTCTCATCCCGTCGACCAAACATGTATGACCTACACGCAGCTTGGAGTGACACGTATCAAAGAGATTTGAAAGATGTCCGAAAATCAGCTAAAAAACGAAGAAGACGTAAGTCACATATCCTCTCCTTCCTCACCCTATTCTGGCAAACACTTCCCGTCCATAGATTTTCACAGAAGGGAGATACTGATATTTAGGTATCCCATTAGAACCTCTTCCCATAGAACCCGAGACGATGGAACATGCTCCACATTACACATTGAATGAGGAGGATGAAGAGGACAGAAGACCGGATTGGGTCCCTGAGGGTGTACCGGATTTACCTCCTCGGTATACTTGGGCACATGTGAGTAATTTTGAGTGTCATCATGCTTGTCTTCTATGATATGATTGTTGATATGATCATCTCTCCCAAGATCCATGCCGATTCTTGCACACTCTTCCTCCTTTTTGTCCTTGAGACGTCGGTGAACTGGCTCGTCCTTCTCGTTCTCAGCTTCCGTCTCTGGCTGTCTTTACCTTCCTCACAATTGCCATACAAGTATAAGAGGCAGGTAAGACGGTCCGGCCTCTGAGATGATACTTGATGAGCTACGGTGGTATGCATTGCATGAAACTGACAAATAGACCGAAATCACCGACTCTGAACCTCCTCCATCTGTCTTACCTCAACCTCAGGTAACCTCCGCCTCGTTGGACTTTGTCAAGCTCATTTCTGCCGAAAGCGCCGACATACCTCCCGAGCTGGGTGTGGTGGATTATCGTAAAGCACAAAGAGGAAAACGGAAGCAGTGGGGTACGAAAGGTGTAGGAATATGAGGAAATGCATCTGTAGCGATAGTACAACATGAACATGTACGTGATTATAAGCCCAGAATGAGAAGGTACAACTTGCTCCTAGAGACCAGAGACATGGAAGGATTACTCAGATAGGAAGGTTATAATCTTGGATCTTCTTCTTCTTCGGAATCACTTCCTGCGAATTCATCTTCGACCATTTGTCGTCTGCAGGTCAGTCCCACCCTCACTACACTTCCTCGTGATAATCAGTCCGTCCTTGTTATCTTGGCGAGGAGAGGCGGAGGCATTACGAGAGGTAAAGGGAAAAGGATACCGAGAGGAGTGCAATGTAGGGTTGAGATCAGTTGAAGGAGTGAACAGGGGACAGACGGACCGTTTCTGGTTTGGTTGTAATTTACTAGCTCCTGCTGGAGCACGTCTACTCGGACTTGTGGCTGATAGTCAACAAGACAAAACACATGATCGATTCATAATTTACCAGTTTTCGGTTTCTTAGGTGAAGCTCGGACCAACTTGCCTTCCAACGCGGTGATTTTGGATTGATACGTATTGATGGTTTTCTATCGTGTCAGCTCGTACTACTTCTGTCAATTCTTCCCCTTCCCTTGACATCATGCGGGCGCGGTTCTAAAGTAGGATCATATGTTGAAATAAGTAAGAGGAAAAAAATCACATCTTTCTCCGCTAAAGATACTTTCAACATTCTGATTTCATCTCGTAATTTATCAACATCTAAAATTCAGTTGAGCTCCACTGACAAACTCCGTCAGCTCACCTTTAGGTTCCTGGGGTTTTCTCTGCAATATCTATTTCTCAGCATCTCTTCTTCCTTTCATAATGTACTGAACCAGTGGGAATACTACTCTCTTTGGAATTATGTCAGAGAGGGGAGAAATGGACTGACGGTGCCTATGATACCCAACAATTCCATACCGGCATTTTGACCTTCATTCAATTGAAGATGGAAAATAAGTGATTGTTCGTTCGAAAGGAAGATATGAAGCTATCTTTTCAGTCTATCATATTCCATCCTGACCTATGTGAAAAATTCACTGTGAGAGCTTGGGATTTGGATGAAGGAAGATCGAGATGAAGGTTTCCGTCGGTTATAGCTTCGGATATCAAGGAGACTTTCTTTGTCTTCTCGTCAGCTTACACAATCCATACTTCTTCTTCTCCTGTGACCTCGTTGTGTCAACCAAAGATTCGAAGAACTCCTTGTTTCTCTCTTTGAGCTCTTCGACTGATACTTGGGAAGAGGTTGATGGAAGGTGTAAGTGCAAGGATAATGGAATGAGACTTACGTCCGGAATATCTTGTTGAGTTTCCCATATTTGAAGAGAACCAGAAATATTACCATATACCTTGATGGTCCACCTTTCATCAACTTCGGAGGTGAGTACAAATGGTGGGGTTTCCTCGGACGTATGTATAGTCTGAATCACACCTTTTAATTTGTCCATCTTCGTAAACCAGGCTAGTAAGATAGATGAACTCGTACGGGTACTTTACCAAAGAAGTGATAGGAAGAAGATGAAACGAAAAAAGGTGACTGGATTGATGCATGACGCACAGACAAAGTGGAACACCTCCACCTTCACATCTAGTCATCTTGGAGATCTTCCTTCCTTCCCTCTTTTATCATTTTATCCAATCACGCTCCTAATCATCTGAGTAAAATCATATATCATAGGTCCTTATGAAAGAGCCCAATTTGGAGAGGTTGAAGTCAGAAGGGAAAAGTCAAACGAACCCAAGATGCCAACGAATACGGTTCCAGGTACGATCTATCGTCCTGCCTTATCATCCGACGCTAGAGCCGTATCATATCTCATAGGTCAAGTATGGTCTCAATTCTTTTCTTTCTCCGTTTCTCCACACGATCTTGAACATTATCTCACTCATACTTTGGCAATATCAACAATTACGGAAGAAATAAAATCTGAACGATATCGATTTTTACTTGCTATTATTCCCTCCTCTCTTTCCTGTCTCAGCTCGTCTCACAACCTTCCCGCCGAACCGTCTGTCGTATCAACCGCCACGATCCAACCCCCCAAACCTCCCATTCTAGCCAGTTTTGATGATGATACTACAAGTTCACTCAGGCAGAAAGATGATGTATCGTCGGTGGAAGAGCTGAAAGTGGATGATGGGATCCTGGTGGGAGTAGCTCAATTAGTCTTAAATGCTTCTACACCAATACGAATAGAATCAGGAGAAGAGCTGATGTCAAATATGGTGGAACTACAACGATTATACGTACATCATACTCAACATGGTAGCGGATTGTCTCAAACTTTATTTGAGAAGTGTGAAGAAGTAGTCAGGAGGGAAGGTGGTAATGGAATGTGGTTAGGTGTTTGGGAGGATAATATCAGAGGGAAAAGATTCTATGAAAAGATGGGTATGGATCAAGTTGGGGAGAAGAAATTTGTGTTGGGTAATGCGATGAGAAGGGATTTAGTCATGATGAAACGTATTTAAACCAGTAGCATATCATACCACTATTTTTATCTGCGCATCTTCTGAACATTCATATTGCACACGGTTCGATGAACATACTGTACATGATAAAGTCTTGGAATGTCGGCTTTACCTTACGGAAAGTCTGTCTTTTACGCTATGTCCGGCGAGGTGATCATCTCGATTTATCTCATAGATCAAGAAACGGAATGAATCGATCGATCATTTCAATGAGATATGTCCCTTAGGAACTTCCCCAGCCTGGAAATTAGTGGAATGTTTGGTCAGAGAAGAGATGGAAGGGTGAACATGACTCACATTCACGTCCACGCCATCTCTGAACCATCTCTCCGACTCTTGGATCTCTATCGTATGCCCACTCATCTACTCTCAGCGAATCCTCATACATGGAAGACATCAATCACCAACATACCTGGCGTGACTTCATCCGTCCATCTTCTGCGAACACCCAATGTTCCAGACCGTATGTTCTGTACCACTGTCCGCCAAAATCCGATGCGGAGTGTTCGTACCAAAATTCGACAGCGCTAATCATCAGCACGGTCATTTCCTTATAACCGCCATATGTCCGTCCGTTTGGCCCCTACGTCAATGTTTGTTTTCAATTTCTAAGATGGACAGTAGGCCACAAGTCAACAGATCTGGCATTTCTGTAGGACATAAGACCACTCGCAGGCTAGAAGTAAGCATACGCAGGGAGGAAGCATGGAGATAGTATGGTAGTAATTGGAATAGATATTTAACTGACATTCGATCTCTCTCAAAAGCGAATAACTCCTTTCTCAACCTATAATTTCTCTCCTTCTCCCATTTCCGCGTAAGAAACTCCTCTATAGCCTTCGTACCAGTGAAGAATTGATCCCTGTTTCTCCATATGGAATCGGGGGTGTAGGCAGGAGCCACGAGTTTAGGAGATTTCGTGTCTGTTTATCAGCCCCTGATCATCCCACTGAAGACATGAATACCTACTCCACTTATCTTGAGCTGCTTTAACCTTTCTGTAGATTAATTGGACAACTGTGGAGGAAGGAAGACGAACTGATGTGCTGTCTCGGCGGTAAAAGGAGGGAGAGGATGTAGAGGAGCTGTGGAGATTGGTCGAAGGTGAGTGACGAGATATGGCAGGCTACGAGGTGGGATTTGGGTCAGTAGCATGTCAGAGGTCAGGGGCCAGAGGATCAGAAAGGTTGTAAAGCAACGGGAAAGAGATGGAAGAGAGAAGTCGACGTAACCGGAAGCACATGATCCTTCGGAAACGCGATCAAGGCACGTGACGTGAGGATGTTCGAGATCCTGATCGAAGCGAAGAGTTCGAGAAGGGGAGCAAATTTGCGAAATTATGACCTGTTCTGCTGTCAGAGAGCATTGTAGCATTGTATTATGTATCAACTTATAGATCTTGTGAGAAAGAGGAGAATCCACCTGGAACATGTGGAATGGCTTTGTCAAAGTCCATGAACTGTGAATCCAACCCAGGAGGCATATCACCTACCGTCGTTCTTTACGAGTTCTAGAAGCAAGTGGCCAATTTAAGGTTACTGATGGTTAAGAGTGGACGCGAGTGTTTTTCATCCGCTCCACCCCGTACCCCGAAGGCTGAGAGTTCCGAAACCGACCCCTTCTTCAATTCATTTCCATATCGTTCTACCAAAACACATGAGCCTCGATGCTCACATCCGTATCTTGAAGCGCAGTCCTTCAATCAAAAGCCCGTCTCCGTCGTCATACCCCCGTATCCGCTGTTAGCGGATCGTCAAAATCCCCTTTGCCAAGGTACTTTAACTTGGTCAACAAAGCCGTCCTTGCGAGGTGGTGGACTTTTCACGCTCGACTTTGACAGACGACCTGAGGAAAGGATAGATAGAGGTTATGAATGAGGGAGTGGCACAGCAATCGCGTCCTGGATGATAGTAGTGATAAGTGCATGAGTGCAGGTTCAGGTGCAAAGAGTTGTGAGTTGAGTTTTGACGTTTGACGTTTCATGTTTGTCGCATGTCGCACCTACCCGCCTTGATGGCACTTGCTGTGCACTGACCTCACTCTACATTACACCTCTGCTCCCCCGCCTTAATCGAGTTTTATCGATCAATGATGAAGCGATCAATGCTTGATGCGTGCCTCGCTTTGACCCTGTTTCCCCCCTTTGAGCGTGGACCGTGGTCTCGCCATTGGTGTCATCGGTCTCGCTCCCTTCAAACTCTTCCCCTTTACACCACCACCACCACAACTCTTGACCCTTCCTTCCCTCCACTCGTCTCTCGTCGCTTGACAACACATCTCCTTCCTTGTTTCTTACCCCGATCTATCTATTTCCTACGCCATACCGAGGCAACCAGCCGATTTTCAGCTCACCGCAGCACCTTACACTCTTTTCTTTCGCACGTATCAATCTCACCCTATCAACCCCCTTCTCGGTCCCCTCTGGTCAGGTGTGCCGCCACCGTCAGTCCTTTGACCACCTAAAACCTCTCCGTCCGCCCTCTTTTCATTCCCTCACTCCACTCTTCGGCTAGGAGGCTGGGGGTAATTCGACCCCCTCTCAAGTCGTCCGACGCGTTACAACCGGTTAGCAGGCATCTTGTTCGTCTCTCAGGGGTAGGCTCGTCAATTCTCCTCCAATACCCGCTATCATTTGTGTTTTCCCATACTCTTGTGGACATTACCTCGTTTATCTTCTGTTGGCTCGTGTCATCGCTGATCATGTACAGTTTTCGACCCTTTCCCTAGTCTTTCACCATTCGCTAAATAATTTAATCAAACCGATTGGAGATGAGACGAAGAAGGGCGGCGTGGATACCGCTGGTGTTGTCTTTCGTCATCACCGTTCAGGCTATCCTTGCTGTTCCACATCCGGGAAGGGCGGCTCATTCGAGACTCGCTCATCGTAATGATGGCAAGCAGGCCTTGAGGACGACAGAGGAGCAGAGAGATCTCTTGGATTTATTTGTCAATGGTAGGTCCATTGATATAGGTCAAGGCCCTGTTCAAGGTCCGACTGACGCTCAGGCCCCGTGAACTTGACCATTGGTTCGACCACTTCATCGATCTCTTCTTCCTCTACGTCTTCAACTTCTTCTATCACTTCGGAAACTCCCAGCAAGGTTTCTAGTTCTTCAACGTCTTCAGCCCCAGATCTTGGCGCACCAACCTTTGCCCTTTCTTCATCGACCTTGACATCATCGAGTACCTTGTCGTCGAAGACCGTCACGCCGTCTTCTTCAATCAGCTCCTCGTCTGCTGCCAATGCGGTCGCTGAAGTATCATCATCAAAGGCCAGCTCTAGTACCTCGACTACTTCTAGCACGTCGAGCACTTCGTCGCCACTTGCTTCCAACGTTGTGTCATCGACGAGCGCCAAAGCGAGTGACTCGACCTCTTCTACTACGTCTGTCATTTCTTCTGCTATTGCCGATGTGAAGTCTCCCATTACATCTTCGACTTCGATAACATTCATCACGCCAGCATCTCCGACCACTTCATCCTCAAGCTCTTCAAGTACGGGCGTGGTGATAGACGTGGGCCTCACGATCGGTTCCGAATCAACCAGCTCGTCTTCCAGCGACGTGAGTTCTGTCACGCAGTCCGACTCAACTTCTGCGACTTCGACTTCGTCTACAAGTGGGGAACCTTCAGTGATCGAAGATACAACGCCAAGTGAGTTATTATTTCAATTCAAGATTTCAAATCTGGTCAAAACATTCAAACCTTCCCTCCTTGTATCCTCCTTGTTACGTTCATGGTATTTCGCAGATTCTTCTGAGCAAGACCAACTGGCAAGGCCAAGAAATAGGAGCTGGTCTCCTATTCTTTTCGCAAGTGCAAGTGTACTGCCCCGAGGATACCCCTCAAGGCCAAGACCAACTTACATGCCTTTGAGTCCTGCTGTATTGGCTTATAAACCAAAGCGGGAAGGTGGAGATGGCAATGATACGCATTCTTCATCCCCTCCTACTCCCCCTGAATCCACTCATTCCAAAGATCCCCCATCATCGACGATAAATCCTGGCGTGTCTTCTTCCAAAGCTGCTCCGTCCGTCCCCTCCGCTCCCAGTGTCAGTTCTGAGACTCATAGCCAATCGTCTGCCCCTGCTTCATCTCCTCCTCTTAGCTCAGCACAACCGCCTAGCTCGTCACTCCCACCCAGCTCATCACTCCCACCTAGCTCATCACTCCCACCCAGCTCATCACTTCCAACCAGCTCATCACTTCCAACCAGCTCATCACTTCCACCCAGCTCGTCACTTCCACCCAGCTCGTCACTTCCACCCAGCTCGTCACTTCCACCCAGCTCGTCACTTCCACCCAGCTCATTGTCCTTCTCCAGTTCGAAACCGTTTTCTAGCTCATCGTTTTCCCCGGGCTCTTCTGCATTGAGCTCCCACTCAGCAACTGACTCTTCCTCTTTTTCCAGTAATGATCCGAGGATTTCAAGCTCAAGCCTGCTTCTCTCTTCTTCCCATGTCCCATCCTCCTCCCAACCCCATTCGTCAAGTGTTTCATACTCTATTTTCTCTGGTGTTGTAGCCTTCAATAGCTCGTCTTCTTTGCAAGGCTCAAGCTCAAGTCTGCCACTCAGTAGCTTCGCTTCAAGTCTGAGTTCTGCAATTTCCTCTGTACAGGCTCCAAGCAATCCACAGCCTTCTCTTCCCTCAGTGTCGCTGACTTCTTCAGGTGCCTCTTCTACCTCCGGAACGTTGTTCAGCAGCTCGTCATCGGCTGTCAGTCCTCCGCCATCGTCTCCTGCAAGTTCGCCTCCGTCTTCATCTAGCGGTCCGGCCGAGCTTCCGGCATCGAGTTCGGCTACCTCGTCAGCGTCTTCGTTCGATTCATCCGCCACTTCATCTGCAACTTCTTCACAGCCTTCCTCTGATCCGGCACAGTCTGTACCGGCATCCAGTCAGCCTCCGCCCGGCGATGGATTTCCAAGCTCCAGTAGCGCGACATCTTCCGTCACGCACACGGCTACATCCGATACTGCTCATGTGGTTGAGCCCAGTTCAAGCTCAAGCTCGACGCCAGGCGAAACGTCATCAGTTTCATCAATTATTGCCTCTTCCTCTCAGGCTAGTATCGGATCTGGTGGCAGCTCGAACTTGGGAGATACACCATCTTCAACATTATCTTCTGTTACTGCACCACCTTCCCAAGTTAACTCCGCAACGAGTTCTTCGGTCACTTCTGTTACCGACGTCATCTCCGATATCAGTAGCTCGGCTTCCCGTTCCAGAGATCCGGCCAATATCGCGACTGTATCTTCCTCTCTCTCTTCCACAAGCTCATCATCTAGTCGCACATCGACAGTAACAGACAGCGAGACTGCCACCCTTGTCTCAGTCTCGACTACTCCAAATGCGACCGGACCTCAAGTGGCGACATTTTCTCAGCCCTCGAGTGCACAAGCATCTTACTCGAGCTGGTCGACCCCGTCAGACCAAGTATACATTCCAACCCAGACAACCTTAATCATCGCCGGCACATCCTCCTCAAGCTCCTCAGCTCCCAGTGGTGCTTCCGACGTTCAGACTCCATACACCAGTGGGGCACCATCGGAGTCACCGAAATCCAGTCAGCTGCCAGCGACAGCGACTATTCCCAGCGCAATCCCGACTTTGATTGTTCCGGCGAACTCGGTCGCTAATCAGGCTGACGCAGGGAGCGGGGGTAGTAACGATCCTCTGAAGGATAAGACCTTAGTGGCGTTCTTGTTGAGTCCTAGTTATCCGTGGACGTTTGTGGTGCAAGATTCGGATGCGGAGAGTCAGCTGTTCAACACATTCCCCGACTTGATCGCTTCGGCATTGAACATAAGTGGTGAGTGTCAGATTTTCCCGCCAGTGTCACTTCGACACCCCATAAATTCTTTGACTGCTTAAAAGTGCCCCTTGTGGTCTATTCTCATAACTTGGCTGGCGTAAAGTTGAAGGCTCATGCTTTGAATTCTGGACCCCTTGCTGATTCGCAGCCAACGACGTGCCTACGTATGGTCTGTCAGTTTATCAACCGGCATCTTATGACGGCGACACCAATACACTGCTCACACAATGGCTGGGCTACATTCCTTCGTCCATGTTCGGCACCCTGAACGCGTATCTCAAAACCCAATCATCCCCTCTTTACACCCAGACTGGTATCAATGGTCAGCTCGCGGCTCAAATAGACACTTCTTTCCCATTGGCCGCCTCTGCCAGCAGCGCCATCGCTCCATCTACCACATCCGATGGCTCTGGCTCTCACAAGCGTACCATCATTATCGCCGTCAGCGTAACCGTCGGGGTTCTCGTTTGGTTCGCCCTCATATATTGGGTATACCGACGTGTGAAGAAGCACAATGATCATGTGGTTCATAAACGTCTATCGGAGCATATGTCAATGTTCGAGCCACCTCGAGACCAAATGTCTCAAATCCGATCTCAACGACCTATCTCCATCGCTGCTTCCGAAGTTGACGATCGACCTAGTTCATTCTATGCCTCGCCGATAGAGAACGAACGTGCTTCTCGTCGAAACGAATCCACTTATTCGTCTTCGTACGGAGCTGTAGATGGTCACACTCAACAAGGTCGAGGATCGCCTACTTCACCAGGGGCAGATTACGGTCCTTCAGTATTTGGAACATCATGGTTCAACACCGGTGCTCATCAACTCCCTCCACCAATCCCGACCAGTCAAAGTGGAAGAGGATCAAACCCTTTCGAAGATATAGTCACTAGATCTTACTTGAGCACGGCGGGTGGTCAAGGACAAAGAAGGAGTCAAATGCCTAAAGTTCAAAAAGGTATGATCGGTAATCCTACATTACAAGGGAATTCTCTCGAATTTCACGATCCATTCGCCGATGGTCATTCGTGATCTTTCAAAATTTTGAACAAAACAAAACGATACAATATGATCTCTTGTTCCAATCGGACATTTTTCTCTGAAAACCTTTTGCTCTTTTGTCTCACCTCGAAAACATCTTTTTACCTTAGACCCTTTGTCCCTCAGTCCGCATCTTGTTCATTTGAAAGGATGAGATTAAAACGTTACGAGTAAAATCGTAGTGGTGGAAATATACTGTAGATCGCGCGGGCGCGTTGAACGTCTTTCTTTTCATGTTCTTGGTTCAGCAGGGAATGCACGATAATGTCCTTACAACTCTGACCTGTCCGATGATATGCTCACTTGATCACTTGATACACTTTGATCAAACCCCGACGTGCGGCAACTGACAGACCTTTCTACGGTACGTGTGTGTACAGTGGTACATACTCCAGTATTCTCTCACCTCGCGGCAGTTTTTCATAAGCCGGAAAATCAGTCGCGTCCATGGGTTGATGATGTCAGGAACTAAACTGAGCATGCGCTGATCGATGACGTTGTAGATCTTCCGCCGATGGTGGGATCTCTGGATTCTCTGGTTACTGAAGCATGCTAAATTTTTGTGACGTGAACGCATGGATTGCATGGTACTAAAGGAGGGAAGAAATTGACCTGTGACGTCATTGCTCGATCCACGAGTAGTCATAACTCATCTAAACATTTCGCCTTCTTCTCATCGTATCATCTTGTCCTCCATTTCACATAGTGATAAGTAACTAATCTTTTATTTTATAACTCACCAGGATAGACAACATGGAAGCTTTGAAAGATTTAGCTGGGAAAGTGACCGGTGATGAGAACACTGCTGGGATCTTTAACTCTGCAGCGGTGAGTTCTACCTCATTCCTTTTCTTCAACACACCTCCCCCACCACACACCTCCTTCTCCTACACCTACACCTACACCTACACCTACACCTACACCTACACCTACACCTACACCTACACCTACACCTACACCTACACCTACACCTACACCTACACCTACACCTACACCTACACCTACACTCTCTCTCGCTACATCTCTGAGATGATCTCCAAGCGTGATGATATCCATTAGGAAGGAATGATCATCTGACTCGTAGCCCACAGGAGAACGTGCGGGTGAAGGAGAATTCCCCAAACCTGGTGATTTCGTTGTCGAATCTCAAGTCGACAGGGTTGTAGGTATCCAAGCGGATATGGAAAAGAAACCAGAGTCTGTCACTGCTGTTCAAGGGGATGAAGATTTTACAAAGTATAAAGCTGCCGGTTTGGTGAGTTTCTTCATTCTTTTTATCTACTTCTTGTTTCCCCCTGAATCTTCTCCGACATGTGTCTTATACTTGGCTCACACTTCTCCTCACTTCTCCTCACTTCTCCTCACTTCTCCTCACTTCTCCTCACTTCTCCTCACTTCTCTCTCCTTTTCCTCTCACACTTCTCGAATGATTCTCTCGTACTTCCCTCACTCCCTCGGAGATTCCCAGTCCAATGCGTATGGGAAAGTTGCATCTTGTGGGATATTCCGAGCTGTGAGAAGGGTCGTGGGAGCACGTATGTTGATATACAGATGATTGGGAAGAAGACAATTGTCACTGGCGGTGATTCGGGTATCGGACGTGCTGCCGCTGTTCATTTTGCCAAAGAAGGTGCCGATGTGAGTGCCTCATGTTTCGTTCTTGAAGTCTAATCACCTCCCCAATCAAACTACGTAATGTATAAGGCTGATTACCAGGTCGCCATCGTGTATCTCCCCGAAGAACAAGTGGATGCGGATAAAACTAAACAACTTATCGAAAAAGCTGGTCGACAGTGCCTTCTTTTCCCTCAGGACATACGCGATGAAGCAGGTTGCAATAGGGTCATCGAAAGTGTTGTAAAGGCTTGGGGCAGGATAGATGTGTTGGTGAATAATGCGTCTGTCATGGTGAGTCATCTGTGACTGTTGACAGATGATAGTAAAGCTGACCCAATAGTACGACCAGAAGAGTATCACTGATATCACTACGGAACAGTTCAAGCGCACCATGGAGACCAACATGTGAGTTATATTGTGGTGCTTGAAGGGAATCACACTGATTCACAGATATGGCACTTTCTTCTTGACCCGAGCCGCGGTCCCTCATATCCCTAAAGGCGGCTCTATCATTATTACTGCATCGCAGGGTGAGTTTTCCTTGTATTGATCGGTCCAGTTCAAAATCCCTAGTATTCTTGAATCGTGTAACGACAGCTCGCTGACAGCTCAGTCGCCTATGCGTATGTTCCATCTCCCGTCTCCCTTTTCAATTCTCAACGAGTGTAGCCATGCTCTTCTTCTCTCCTATATGGAGTCGCAGTTCCTAGCCGCCTAAGCCTAGCAGTCACGCGGCATATATACCTTGCTGACCCACAGCGGTCCTCCTAGTCTACTCGACTACTCCATGACCAAAGGCGCCCAAGTATCCATGGTTCGATGTCTCTCCAATCAGCTTATCGGACAAGGCATCCGTGTAAACGCTGTCTGTCCAGGGCCCGTCTGGACTCCTCTTCAACCCGCGGCGATGGACAAGGAGACGATGAAGACTTGGCACAACACTCCTGCGCCAATCGGACGTATCGGTCAGCCTTCCGAGCTTGGACCGGCGTATGTGTTTCTGGCGAGTGAGCAAATGGGTAGTTTCATCTCTGGTCAGAGCATTCACGTAAATGGTGGCGCGATCGTCAGCGGGTAAATGGTCCAGTCGTGGGGTCGCATGTTGCGTAAGAGTGGATTGACGGGATATGAGCATGAGGTACATATGTATGTAGCACGCATGAATGGTATTAACAAGGATTATGATGTGTCATCGATGTTTTGTAGATGATCTGCTTGTGGTCGGACGAGGTCGAGGGGGATACAAGATTCGATTGACAAGGTCTATAGGAAGATCTACTGCTTCTTCTGCGAAAGAATCTTCAGGAGAAGAAGATTTAGGAGGTATTTTGGCGAACGGGTCTGTTGTCAGGATGGTCACGTTCTCCAAGGCTGTGATCATCCTCCTGAACGGCATCGTCATCTCTAGTGATCCGAGAACCTTGACCCATCCGCTGAGTATATGATGGGCGACGGAACAGAGATCTGAGGAGGAAAGTCAATGAAGGCAGGAGAGGTACGAGAGCACGAGTAACACTCACCCGTGAACGACCTCAAAGAGTCGAATGGGGGAGTGTTATAAGCCATCAAAGCTGCATAACTCCAATAAGTGAGTAAAACGCAGAGCATCATCCAGCACGGTACGACAATAGCCCATTCTCTATCTCATCAGCTTCTCTCATCCTCTTACTCTGATCATGTCCCACTCGTCTTTCTCTTCCCTAACAGATAACATCTCATTGTTTCTTCCTTTTACCATCTTCATCTTCCTTCTTACTTCATTTCCGACTCGCCCGCATTTCCCACATTCTCCCATATCCTGTCCGTTTCCCATTCATTGGAAAGACTTTCAGTATTCATCCTCACTCCGAATCAACCGACACGTAGGGTCCCATCAGGTTATTCTCAAAGCGGAAGTGAAAGTATATCAAGGACACGAATCTCTGACAAAAGGTAAAAACTCACTGAGAAGGAAACCAACTCCATCCTATTTTTTCTAACCAATTCACGGGTAAAAACGCCCAAGATAGATATAGACCAAAGAGGATATATGTGCCTAATACAGCTATGAGCGCGTAGATCTCAGTTGAGGATGGTAGAGTTGACTGGTGGTTTGATATTGACGGTTGGTCGGGTGGGGGCCAAGGGGAGATTGGAGAGAGAGGTGAGGTGAGTTCGGGAATAAGAGTTGACATGGTGGATTTGGTGGATATTCTGCCGGAGAGTCTTTGGGAGATTCTCAATGTTGAGTGAGGTGGCTTAATCGTCTTTTTCCGGTCATCTCGACGATAGAGTGTCTGAACAGAAGCATAAGGCAGTAGTCATTTAGAGGAGGCGGAGGAACTCTGAGGATGCACTTCTATGGTGATCGAAGAGTTCAACGGCTTCTTTCCGTCGGAAACAACGCACGTGGCAGAGAAAGTTCGGTCTTCTCGGTCTGAGAAGTTTTCTTACAGAACCAAAGAGTTTCGCTATAATTTACGGTCATCGCTTTACCTGACTTTGCTTATCAGCCAAGAGCGATAATACTTGTATTCAGTACCCATTACCAAATCGCTCAATATGTCAGACGTAGAATATCTAAAAAGTTTACTTGGTGTACATCCTGATTTCCCCAAAAAGGTGAGTGATCTCAACTATCTCCTTCAATCCACATTCCACATCAACATGCGATATCAACTCCAAACTCACCTCTTTATTCAATCTCATACAATTCTCAATTCCTTTTAATTGTGTCAATCACAACGAGACTCATCAAATACACTCTCATATCAAGTAATAGAATAAATGTATGAGAAGCATTTCGAGAAACTGACAAATCAAAAAGGGAATAACATTCCTAGATATTTTCCCAATCCTTCAAAACCCTATAGCATTCGAAACTCTCATAACTCATATAGTTCATCACATACTCATAACTCATCCAACTCCACCAGATATAATCGTAGGACTCGATGCCAGAGGTTTTCTGTTAGGTCCTATGATAGCATCAAGATTGAAAACTTCTTTCGTACCCGTTAGAAAAGGTGGTAAATTACCAGGAGAGACTGAAAATGTTACGTATGATAAAGAATATGGAAAAGATGTTTTTGAGATACAAAAAGGTTCTGTGGGTAAAGGATCTAGATGTTTGGTCATTGAGTGAGTTTCGACTTTTCTCATATCTTTTCTTCTTCTTGTTTACTTTGGGTGTCTTGTACACCTTCTCAACCCACGTTTTATCCTTCTTTTGATTACATCTTTTCTCAATTAGCTTCTTTTCAATCTACCTACTTTCCATTACTTGTATATGGCTTTTGTGTCAGTGGGTGAGAATTTGCAGGATCTTGAGATATCCTTGTTCGTTAGTCTACTTCACATGGACTGAGTAGGATCATGTTGTGTTCAGCAGACCTCTTTAAGCGGTGATACGTGGTAGGGGAAAAGCATCGATTCGGATGAACATCATACTTTCCACTTCCCATTCGGTGCCTTGGATCCACCGACGGTATAAGATTTGAACAAAGTGAAAGAATTTATACTGACTGATAATAGCGACCTCATAGCTACTGGCGGATCAGCAGCAGCAGCCGGTCAATTAATCGAGAAATCCGGTGGTGTGACAATAGAATATATATTCATAATCTCTCTTCCTTTTCTTAAAGGAGAAGAAAAATTGAATGCTCCTTGTTATTCTCTCATCCAAGCAGAGGATTGAACCCATCATCTTTCTCCTCTCCCCTAACCCCTACGCGCTTCACCACTTCACCCCAAGCGACGCGATTTTTCGAAACGGTCTTTTCTGTGCTCCGTCTCGGTTGATGATGGTGAAAGGATTGAGAGAGGAATTCGAAATATCAATGAAAGTGTCTCAATGTAGTTGGAAACATGAATCCAGAGATGGATAAGTTGGTAGATATATAGAGAGTGTCGAAGACTACGTTTTAAACATTATATGCACATTCATGAAATTATCCATACACATTTCGTCAATTCGTCATATTTCACCCAAAACTTCGTTCAGACTCTAAAACCCTAGACTTGGAATGTATTTTCACAAAGAATAGTCACAGACCAAAGAAAAAAGAAAGGTATCTCCAATAAACTTCTCCCCCCCCCCCCACACACACACCTTCACCCCCACTCCACATGAATCACAAATCCAACAGACTGATATAAGGTCTAGGTCTGGGTCTTCTCCTACCTGCTCCCGTTTGATCATGTTGTAATTCGATTTCAGCATCTTCCACTTTCGCTTCTGCTCTCGTCCCATTCCTACCATTGACCACCCTCCTCGCTTCTTGTTCACCATTCATCATCTCCCCTTCGTGTCCATTCACATCCATACTAACAACCCTCCTTCTTTGCTGTGCGCTCTCCCTAAAACCTAGACCCTCATATTGTCCTATACGAACGTTTGTTACTGCCGTACCACTGGATGTGAGGGATGAAGCGTTTTCAGCATTTGGTAAAGGTCGATATCGATGTACTCTTTCTACATTTCCTAATTGATGAGCATCCTTACATGATGAAATCACTTCGCACACTTCAATCGAGGATGTTTTGATGGACAGGAAGAAGATCGTTTTAGTCGATGAACGAAAGAATAAACTTACGTGTACCATTATCAGCAGCTAGCTCACGGTCCAGAGCCGCATTCGCAGTAGTTCCACGAGGATAATAATATTGTCTCTCTCCTCTAGGAGTGACAATGGTCAAACGACGTGCTCCAGAAGGCATAATTTCCACTGTTCTAGTTCCATCCAATTCATCCATCTCTTCCGAAATTGGTCTGTCAACGACCGGACCAGGAGGATCTGTTGCTGCGTACCTTGAAGACGATGGAAAGTCCAGACGGGAAAGACTTATGTTTCTAGTATCTCGTGTTTCACCAGGCAAGTATCCCATCAGTGTATCGGCTATTTCATGTTGTCGATCCCATGCCTCCATAGTGAGTGGTCTGGTTAGATTTCGAAATCCCGATAGTCCCTCATCTTCAATATCGTCTTCATCTTCATCCTCATCTCCATCTTGACCTTGACCTCGACCTTCATACACTCTTTCTGGACTATCGCCAGTGATCGCATCCTGAACCCCTTCGCTTAGATCGATCATTTCCACGGTCGATGTTGTAGAAGACTGATTGTCGTCACTAGTACTATTACTCTCACTCTCATCATCTTGCCATGTCTGAAGTGGGACAGACTCCAGCCCAGTGGTCTCTTCTATGACCTCAGGTGGATCATCGTCATCGCCAACTTCTTCTAACCACGTCGCACTGCGTTGTCGGATTGGCCTGACTTGTTGAGCAAGGGGAAAGGCAGGAGGGGTCTGTACGGCGACAGATGGAATCTCACGACGACCGAAAGGCACAAGCGCATTGTCAGTTGATGGAGGTTGGGAAGGTGGGAATCTTCGATAAGCTTCTTCAAGCCTTCGCCCAGATTCGTATTGACTCATTCTCACAAGCTACCTTATCAGTTTTTCAACCTCTCATATATACAAAGAGGCCGTGAATCACTCACCCTGTTTGCATATCCGGGATCCGTAGGTGATAATGCTAAGAGTTCCATTCTCTCATCCAGGGCTAAAGTCGCCTCCGCGTGTCTCCTCATGAGTTCTGCCGACCGATTAGCAGGAACATTGACAGGAGGAATATGAAGTGATGACGGTGTTCTTTGCTGCCGAGGTGGTGGAACTGGGAAAAGAGGATCAACAGTATTTGTCGATGCAGGACTTTCGGTAGACGATGCTCTTCCAGCCTCCACGATACGTCTAGCCAAATTCCTCATGGCTCGAGCTTCGTACCGACGCATTTCTCTATCATCCATTCTTGGAGTAGTGGAGGGTCTTCCAGAACTGAGTTCCCGAATGGTCTCGCGGAAGGTTCTTTCGGGAATGAGACGGATCTCGGGGATGGCGTTGTTCCTGGACACTCCTGTTGTAGGTGAGATATCACGGTCGATCCGAGACGTTACTGCCAAACCTCGGTAGGTGAGTTCAGTGCTTGATGACTCTTGACCCTCTCGAACAGACGTCCTTTGTGTAGCCTGGCCAACATCCTCCATGACCGTTTCAGTTTCACCGTTCCAGTCGGGAAGATCAAGTGTGACTGTTCTGCTGGACCGACCGGCAAGTAATATAGGATCTCGTCGAGCAGATGGGCGTGATTTGGTGGATCGAACAATCTTAGGAGCTGGACAACTAGCCATGATTGCTAGATTTGTTGGCTTACAACCCGCCAGTCGAGCCTTGCGTTCACCAGGTCTTCTACGCCCTTGATCATCTGGGAGTGGTAATACAGCAACGGGTTCAGGTGTAATGGTTTGAGCACTAGGGCGATGAACGGTATTCCCCTGTACTCGACTACGGGAAATCCGCAATCGTTCCCTCCAGTTTGGTTGGTAATTGGAAGGTTGAGGGGCAGCGGGAGAAATGGTGTTTAATCCACCGACGAGCAAACTCGGTTCGGCGGCAGCTGCTCGTAATTGCGCTTGAAGACGAGGATTGACAGAAGACACAGTAGCACTGACTTCTCGCAAAACTTGACGGACAAACCGGAGTCTTTCGCCTATATCATGATAGACCGGATGACCGTCTACGAGAGCATTGGGGATGGGACGTGGTTGTCGCAGAGAAGCAGCATGAGGACGACGAAGAGCGGCTATTTCAGAGCCGATGGGTGAAAGTCGATTAGATGCCTCGTCGGGATTAGCAGTGATAGGAAAGAGGGTTCGTCGTAAGGAAGGGGGAAGATTGGGTTGACCAAGCTGGTAGGTGTTGACGGGTATGTTCTGTGCTATTAGTATTGTTCTACCTGAAGTGGAGGAGCTAATGAGAGTACGAGAGCTTCTTCAGGTGATGGTTGAGATGATGGAGAAGGAGGACTAACTGTGTTAGACGGTCCTGACTCCCCCATCAGATCGAGTTCCCGCGCATGACCACGGAGTCTTTCCACTGCCATAGACAGCTGATCGACCCGAGATGAAAGTTCATCTCGAAGCTGAGTGAGAGAGTTCAAAACGGATGGTCTGCCCGTGTCGTCATACCTAGATTGAGTGGGCATTATCGTTGCAGTTCTTCCGTAAAGAGCACGAGGAGCAGGTGGTTATTGAGCTCGTGAAGCTTGTGAAGTGATTCGTCTTGAGTGATACAATTGGAGAGAAGATGTGTCGTATTTGAAACAAATGCAGTATGATGATATGAGTGAATGAAAATTGAGTGATATCCGTGATGAGAATGTTGAAGAAGGGATGAGAATTTGCTCTGATGCTTTGCTCTGATGTTCGTTTTCTAGCTCTTTATACACTTCGGTTTGTTTGTCTATACGATCATAAGAATTTCACTTGAACCCAATGCGGTGGTCGTGATCGGTATTAAAACACTTTAAGATACCCCAGAGTATACTCTATGATCTGTGAAGTGTGTTGATGAAGTCGTTTTGATGGGGAAGATCGATAATTTGTTCTTCTTTTTGGCGGCGAAACAATTTGAGAATTTGTTTAGAAACTCTCCTTTGAGGTTTGTCTCCTCCAAGATCTTACGGTATTTGGAAATTCGATGTGACTTTTCCTACCCTTTGTATGCAAGTAGCCTGTGACTACGACTGCTCTACAGTCAACAAAACTTGGGAAAGGAGATGTAGAGGGAGAGATGAAAGAGGGATAGAGAAGAAGTAGAGTGGAGAGGGGAAATCCGGATCACCATCAACCATGACGACATTGCAACATTCAACTTCTTTCCCTCTGCCATACTTCGACTTTTCTTGTCTTTCTTATTATTTCTGACGCTACTGCCCTCCAATATCTAGAAGGTATAGGGTGTACAGAACCCTGGGGTCGCTCAATTAGACGATACCATGCTCGATTCGACACATCTTACATGGACAAATGTCTTTTTAGGACTTTTATTCGTCATCTTTGATTCTGTCCTTTCTCTACTTCTTGGACTCGGTATAGGCGGTTCATTACTCGTCGCAAGTGTAAGATGTATCATACAACTGAGTATCATGGCTTTGGTACTAGATAAGGTATTTATGAGTAATAACATCTGGGGAGTGTTTGGGATCGCTGGTGAGCTTCTGTACTTCACTACGTTCGGTCGACCTTCTCTTTGAGGACCTTGCGTAACCTTGATGCGATATCGTCTGTATCATCTGACTATCTCCCATATAAACTCCAGATGTACCCATGCATTGATAGATGTTGACATGTAGTACTACTCAACGTGCTGGGAGCATTCGAAGCCACATACAACAAATCGAAAAGACGGTTCAGCAATATGGTGAGATTTCGTCCCTCATTCAGTCTCATGATCTATGACATATCCATCATATGGTGTATGTGTCAACTACGTAAAAGTGTACTATACTTTACTGCTCTGACACGGTTGTACGAGATTACATTGTGCATTATACTCATGTCTAGTTCCCCTTGGTTCTATCCGCCATGTTATGCGGGACATTACCTATTTCCATACTGGGCTCGGAGTTCGCCATGGCTCAACGACCTTTCTGGCAACCTGATCAATATAGTGAGTACATCACTTCTCACATCCAATATTTTCATGAATCAATTGCTCCTTTAGTCCTCAGTGATGTGGACGTAGGCAACTGCGGAGAAAGTCTATGGCGTCAGGGGAAGGCAGGAGGGAAGCAGAGCAATGCTAGGGGAGTGAACGGAGAGAACGTGTATACTCACCACAGTCCCTATACTCGGTATGATCCTGGGAAACGCCATCTCAGCAATCGGTGAGTTACAGATCTGACCAGCTTCCTTACCCCCATGACATTCCAGGCTTTCAGTCACAATTATTTCGTTCAGCGCTGACCCTAGCAGGCGTGGGAATGAACTCCATCTCCAAGGAATTCGCGGAGAACCGTGACAAAGTTGAGACGTACCTCGCCATGGGAGCGAGCCGTTTCGAAGCTTGCAAGCCTGTTGGGGTGGAAGCGTTGAAGATGGCCTTGCTTCCGACTGTCAATCAGTTGAGGTGAGTATTCCTTAGAGTCATGTGGAGATGATCTACTTTCTCCGGGTGGTAGTCAGCTTCACAGTGTGAGACAAACAAGTGAAGTCGAATGCTGACTGGCAGCGTCATTGGCCTCATCTCCATTCCTGGTGAGTTGACTGGTCGCCTGAGACGGAAAACGTGACTAACCACCAGGAATGATGACCGGAGCAATCGTTGGAGGCAAGTCTGTGGAACAAGCTGCTCGGTTGCAAAGTGAGTCGTAGTAGGAGTACATTTGAACGAGACTGACACTCAGTGATCATCATGTTCATGATCTCTGCCTCGTCTGCGTTATGTACATTAGGAGCGTTAGTATTCGCTTTGTCTACACTGGTGGACAGCCAACACCGCATACGTCCGGACCGATTGGATTCAAGGAAACCTATCATGTACCGATGGCGGGACAGTGGACTTGAACGTGTATGGAAGGGAGTATTGTCGTTGAAATGCTGGGGAAGGGAAAAGGGTAGCGAGGAAGAGAGGAGAGGGTTGTTGAGGGGTGAGTCATAGTGTGTAGTCGGTTCCCACATCGGAATTCGGATGTGGCGTTTTTGTTGAAGAGATGATGCGGTTCCTGAAGTCCCCGAGATCCTGAGATCTGATTGGCCGGCGCGGCCGGCGCGGCTGCGCAATGCGCAGTCAAGTCTTGTCGCGGTGGTCCAAGCTTTCTCAATGACGACTTGCGACATCCCTGAAGCCTGTCCAATTGGGGGCCTTTAGAAAAAAACACTTAACTTTTGCATGATGTCAGGTGACCACCTCGTATTGGCTTCTCTCTCATAGGCCTCATAGGTCTACTACTACTCCTTGTAGCTTTCTCTCACTGCACAGCGCAGTCTCTGTCACTTTATACACCTTCCCTTGAGTTTGTCGGTCGCGGGTGGAGTTGAACCCTGAGTGAAACCCCCGGAACGAACAGCCTAGCCGCAAGTGGGGAGGAGCCAAAAGTCGAAACACGACAACTTGACTACAGGAATGAACTTTTTGGGATGAACCATCCCCTACATCCCTTGGATCGAGCTCCATCGTCAACCCCGGTAGTGCTTGGCCTTGACGACCCATCATCCTTGTCACATGATAATGTTCAAGGACCAACACCGAGGGCAGCGAGGTTATCCAGAAACATTCACCCCACGATCGAGAGCGACCAGACCGCATCCGACAACAGTGCCATTCCTTTGTCCTCCTCACATTCTTCACCCCATTTGACACCGCCTCGTCTAATCTCTGTTGGCTATAGCACTGTTCCTTCTCCACCTCTGGCCGATATCCTAGTACCGCCGGCGTACCGTTCTCGCTCTGCAGCTTTCATCGCGTCTCCGACGGACCCTCCGACGTATTTCTCAAATCGACCTCTGTTGAGGGACTCGACGAGTCCCTTCGCAACTCGCACCATTCCCCACTTCGTGCCAGATCCCAAGGCAGACGGCGTTATAATCAAAAGTATTCCCACTCCTTGTCCGAACAGGTCATCTTCTTACCCTTGTCCCTCTTCCTCTTCCTCTTCCTCTTCCTCTTCCTCCCTTCCCGACCGTTCCACTAGACCCCATCTTTACACCTCTCCCTCTTATTCCTCCACACGATCCCGACCCGACCCTCCTAGTCTCTCATTGTCATTCGCGGCCGACACTTCCACCGCAGCAACCACTTCGGCAGACTTCTCACCTTTCTCTCCCCAGGCGCGCGATAACGGCATTCTTGGGCCTCGACGACGACTCTCAATCTCCAACCCACTCTCACACGTTCAGACACCCGCTTCCAACGTTCACAATAACAACAACGGCAGCGGAGTTATTTCTGCCAACATTATACAGAGACCTCGTAAACGAACTTCGATCGAACAGCCTTCCTCCTCTTCCTCCTCTTTCGCCCCTGTTACGGCTCACTCTACACTTTCATCACAACAAACACGATCTTATCCAAATACTCCATCGAACAAGCGGTTGAAGGAACATCCTAACCAAGCTTGGTACTCCCATTTACCCTTACCGCCTCAACCCAAACCTAGCAAGTCGGACGACGAAGGTGATAGAAGTTCTCTCGAGAGACCGACATTCTTACACAACAGGCGTAAACATTGGTTTTGGGGAATGTCATCCAATACATCTTCACTAAGTGGTAACACTGGTGATCATGTACCTCCAGCGATCAGTATGACACCTCCCTCCAATGACCATATAACTGCTTTGGACGATTCTCCTCCACTTGCTTCCACATCTCTGAACAACTTGTCTCCACCACAACTACCACCGTCATTACAACCTTTACCAATAGATCCACACAATATACTCCCACTATCCCTTCCACCCAGTCCCATCCCTTCACCCCCTGGATCCCGTGCTCCTTCACCTCTACATTCTCCCCGACCATCAAATATCGACTTGAGCGCCGAATATGCGACATCGAACTCCGCTGGACCCTCGTCCTCTCCACGCACCAGCATTTCCACCTCATCTTCTCGACCTACCTGGTCGGGTGGACGGTCAGATTCCAGGAGTTCAGCCGAAGATGAACCAGTATCGTACGGACATGGGCACGGACGCGCTTGGTGGTTCCGTTCTGCGGGTCAAAACCAAGTTGACTCGTCCGTCTCTCCAAAAGTCCTGGCTGGCCCGAGTCTACCGCCGATCCGACGAAGGATCACGTCTACCAGCAGACTCTTGCCGACAGGTACACGACGGTGGGGCTGGTTGTTAGAGTTGATGTCCTTTGTGGAAAGGGCCGACGAGGGGAGGGGAGGTAGGATACGGGCAGGAAGGAGGAATAGAGAGAGGGACAGGCTCATGTCCGGTGGTCAAAGACAAAGGGGAAAGAGTCAAGCAGTTATGGGATCCAAGTGGTTAGGTAGATTATGGGCTTTCGTCCCCACACAACCGCTCACCATTGTGAGTCATTCATCTATCCTTCGTTACCCCTGATCTGACGTACCTCCTTTGTATACTCTCCACTCATTCCTAAATATGTGGTCGCTTAGTTGCTGCGAGATTGTCGATCTGTCCCTGCCTCACGTCACCTTCATGTGACTCTCTTCATCTTACTGCGCATTCAAATTCAGCACTACAATGTTTAGAGCCTCAGTACGTTCAATGCTGAAACATAAGGCCGCCTTTCTTCTATTTCTAACTTTTCTTACCGTCACGATTACCCTTACAATCAAACACATCCTCAATCCCGACAAAGCTCCTCTTCCTTGGCGACAATATTGCACTTCTAATTATCCCACTCTGTATGCTCTTCAAGATCCCGCCACAATCTTCGATCTCGATGACTCTCCATCCCCGAGAGCAGCATCTGTTGATTCCCTCTCACGAGCCCCTCACTCTCTTACTCTCGCTCCCCTGACACCTGCCAGTACCGCTTGGCCATATCACCCTCACACCGAGCTTCCATTCACCGCCGAAAGTAAGAATCTCGACGAAGTCCTGAAACCAGTCGGAGTGCTCGTAGGAGTTTTTACCACCGACGCGGGTACAGCCAGACGACATATGATTCGACAGAGTTGGGCTAGTCACTGGCGTAGTAGGAGCGAAGGGACAGAAGGAGTGAGAGTGAGGTTCGTCATGGCTAGACCAAGACCGAGATATGCGCATGCGGTGCAACTGGAGATGGAGGGTGAGTCTCTCTTCTCCCTGTACTCAACATGAAAGTCTGCCTCTCCTCTTGTTCTCCGCACGTCATTGCCAAATGGGTAGGAGTGATCGGTACCCTGTCGTGGATGTAGCAAAGACCATAAGACTAGGACGGCACTAATTTGCAGCGTTCAACGATATCATTTTCCTCGACATGCCTGAAAAGATGAACTCTGGCAAAACCTACGCGTTCTTCTCTTGGGCAGCGGAGAATGCCACTGTGCCCGATTGGGAATACCCAACGCTCTCACAAAAGCGTATCGAGGGGCAGGTTGGTACCAATGGCCAGGATATTCCCGAAGGTACTGAAGCGGCGCCATCACCTATTTGGCGAGGGGAGCGACGACCTGATTACGTGATCAAAGCCGACGAGGATAGCTTTATCATGTTGGGTGAGCTGGAAAGACGTTTGAGGGCTGCTCCGAGGAGTAAAGCGTATTGGGGATGTGAGTCTTTCTTAGCTCCACATTGAGAGTGAAGCTGACATCTTTGTAGATCTCGTCAAGAATCTATTCATGGGTGGCGAATGCTATGGTCTTTCCTTCGATTTGGTCCAATACATCGCATCATCACCTGCACTTCGAACTCTGACTTATGGTAAAGAAGACAAGCTGGTCTCTAAATGGATCCGAATGCATCCTGCGCGAGAAGAGATTGTCTGGGTGGCAGAACGTTGTTGGATCTACGATCATCCCAAAGCTCCTACCGTTTACGCACATGGATTTCTGTTTCCTTCAGAGGTTGCTCGTGTTCGGAAAGAAAACACCACTGGTCTTTCATCTTCCGTATTGGCTTTACGAGGCGGTCATCAAGAAGCTGCCGACGCTTATTCCTCCGTATCAAAATTCGGTATACCTTATAAAGCGCCATGTACGGATCTTTCAGCTACTGAACGTGTCGAAGCTCTTATCGAAGGATCACCCCTCAGTCGACTTCGGGACGAACCGATAGTACAAGCAACAACACATACTCAGGCATATTCGAGTTCAAAGTCGAAATCGAACGAAAGATTTCAAGTGATGGAGGCGTACGCAAATAGACCTAATAGGACTGAAAGGTTTTTGGGTGACGAAAAGGAAAGAGGGGGTACGGTTGTTGTTCATTATATCAAAAAGGATGAGTGGTTCGTAGAGACCATGGTGGCGTTATTGGGGACTGCGGACGAACAAGGAGTTTGGCATCGTGGTGTCGGAGTAGGATTGGGAGCGTTAGAGAGGAGTAAAGGGAGAGTAGTAGGTGGTGTAGGAGAAGGAGAAGGGGTCAAAGTTGGAAAAGATGGTGGGTTATGAAAAATTATCAATAGTGAAGAAAAGTAACATGTTTCATTCATGCTTTTGACGATGTATACGAAGGCATGAAAGGTATTAATGGGTAATGGTCAGATGTCTAAATACATTAACATGCATGCTTGCGTATAAGGTGTAGACGAGAATTGATACGATCCATCCCCAACATTCCTATCCACTTCTCAAACCACTCTCCATTTTCTGACCATATCATTGAATGAGAGGCAACCACAATCAAGTTCGCAGAAGTCGAGAAGTGGTATATAAATGGATCAGATTCAAGTGATCGACAGACGAGAAGGGAAAGGAGGGTAGATGAAGGAGAAGAAAGAGGAAAGAGGAACAAAATGTCGTCGGGATTTAGTCCTTCGTCTTTCTATAAACAGAAAGAAAAGGGTGGATCCCGTCGAGCTGCTCTCTTCTTCCTCTATCCATTTCAAAAGATCCGAAAAGAGGGAAAGAAGAAAACTCGGCTGTCTGGACCTTGAGCTATTGATCTTCCCATACGGATCTGCTAGGGCGTCTCTAGGAAGAGAGCTCTGTGCAGTTGGTAGGGTGGGGTTGGGAGTTGGGGTTGAACGACTAGAGGTGAGTAAAGTTTCGTCGTTGGATCGTATATGAAAGTCAGAACCATACTGGGTAGATAAGGGAAGAGAAGAAATGATGTTAGGGGGTGAGGGGAAGATATAACGGTGGGACAGGGTTCGAAAGTGTCAGTGGGATACGGAAAGTCAAAAGGTTCGAGTAGTTTTTGGGAAAGAGAATGTGAGTAAAGTAGCAGGAAGTAGGATGGAGAGAAGTAGCAGGAAGTAGGATGGAGAGGAAGACTACAGGTGAGAACAATGTGAATAGGAAGGATGAAGAAATGATATCAGTGGGGTGGGCTGACGAAGATGTCGATAGAGTAGAGATATGTAGCAGGTGAGTTGATCGATGGATGAAGTATCCGGGGAAAGGGTAAAAGTAGAGACTACAGAGGAAGGAAGTGAGAGGGAGAAATGAGCCATATCAAAAGTTAGAACTTGTATACGACATGGGGGACTGAAGAGAAGGTGAAAGATATGAAAGATGAAGGTTTTGAAAGAAGAGGAAAAGGTTGGAAAGGGGTTGAATTTGTAGGGAAGAAGGGGAAAGGGGGAAAGAAGGAGAAAGTTTCGTGGCGGTTTTGATCATGTGGCGGAAATCGATGGCATGCAGTCATAGTACTCGTTAACACGAGACGCTCGAACATACGAGCCTTTCGAACAGCCTCTGATCTCAAGCAGGACGAAATTCTAGGCACCAAAGCGTACCGGGCGTCAGCACAGAGGAGTGTTCGAATAGGTCGTGTGTTCGAACGGCTCGTGACAACGAGTACTCGTACTCGTAAGGTTTAAAAACGACTCATTTTTCTTATGGTACTACATTTCCTAATGTATGTACTGTATATATGATCATATGACCTACCGTCTGACGGCCTCAATGATCGTTCGATCTCGAAGAAGTATCATCTCCCCTACGCCCTGCAGTAGTATCATTCGTTTCTACTGGATTGTCCAGAGATGTCCATGGTTTCCACTTGACGAGGGGGTCGTCGAAGATGTTTAAGGCTTGTTCCGGGGCAACAGGCATGAACTGCCTTCCTGTCATTGTATTTTGAGATGAATCAGATTCAACGGCCCTCCCGGTAGTTGTACTTCGTTGGCTTGCACCGGATGGATAAGGTGTATAGCGACTTTCAGGCAAGTGACATTCAGATTGGTACGGTCCTTCCGATGCACGCCTTGTTCGTCCGCCAATGTTTGCCGTACCACGAATTGATCTATTCTGCCCCTGTGTCAGGAGCTTGGGAGTGTACGGGGCGTCATCAGGACAAGTCAGGGGTAACGGACTGGTTTGTCGGCTTGGTTTTCTGCCTCTTTGGAACGACCAGAAAGGGGATGATTCCGCGGAACGATCCGATTCTACGGACTGTTCCCGATTCAAGACATCGGTACCGGCTTCCGGTTCAGAATGGGTCGTCTCATGATCAGACATGACTTCTATTATCGTTTTGATTCACCAAGAGATCTAACAAATTATTCGGAGATGATATCGAAAAAGAGGGAGAACGTACCATTTTATATACCCTCACCCCTGTCGGAGTTGATATAACCAGGCCTTCTTCTTCCCGACGAGGCTATGCTCATTCGTCTTCCAGAACTTCCTGAAACAGTCAGGAATGTTCCAGACCTAGAGATGGTACTATATGACGCCACTGAAATAGCCCGAGATATCAGTCTCGGCCGTGTCGGGATGGTCGTCCGGGACTCCGGAACTCCGAAGGCGATGGATGACTCGACGACCGGACGGATCTTGAAAATGGCGATACGATCCATCATTTTAGTTGTCCAGTCTAATGGACAAAACGTTAGTCAGCCTAAGTCTCAATAAGTGCCATGCATGTGTAGAGGAAGGAAGTCGATGTTATGATTATCCGTACTCTCCAATCGAACAATCCTTCTATTACGGTGCGAGGCATGTCGGTTCAATCCCCAAGACGACGCCGCTTAGTTGGAGATCCGTCTTGCTCCTGGTCACGATTCTTGTGGTCTGTAGTCCAATTTGGACGCGGTTGTTGACGCCACGGTGTCATTCGGATTATCTGCTTGCACAAAGTCTCTTTCGGGAGTTCGACAGTTGACCATTTGGATATCCGAGTCACCTCCTCTGGAGTCACTCCCGTTTGTGTACCGACCGCCGTACAACTCCTGCGATGATGACACGATCCCGGTAGCTTCGTATGCTGGAGAGCACTCGGTTGCTGAACCGCATCGCGATCGGTTGCAATCTTTTGGGGTACTGGTCCGTTGGATCTGAGTCGGATCAAAGTCAGGAAAAGGGCTCGAGTCTGGGAAGTCTGGTCTATCATCCATGCTAGCTGCCTGACTAGGGGCCGAGCTCGACTCGTCCAATCTGCCAGAGTTGACTGATCCTGCCGAGCTTTGATCATCGTGTGACATGTCGTTTGAATCTTGGGTCGATCTGGAAGATGATGGTAGTTAAACGAAAAGTTCGAGTAGAGAAGATGAAGTCTGAGTTGTAGCGATGGATGAGGAGTGAAATCTCCGCCAATAAGGACAAAGGTTGGAAAGCGGTGGGAGTAGCGCCCGGAGACCATGATGTCACAACCTTCTGGGGAAGACATTGAATGTGAGTCATACGTCTTCTTGACAGACCTTTGTGGGTCTCCGATGCTGGAAATCAGCGTCTTCTCGTAGCTGGAAAAACCCTCGGTGTCAGTGTTGAAACAATCTGTTCCAGACATGGCGGCAGGGGTATAGGATTGGACATGAATCGGAGTGAACAAACTCACATATGTAGGCGGATGGATCACTTAATTTACATCATTTTGATATTCGGAAAATGAGAAGTACTGGTGAGAAGAGGTCTAAGAGTGGAGTTGAAGGGGGGTGCTGAATATCCACTAGGTTAATCGACTCGTGAGAGGCGATGGAAAGCGGGCGTTTAACTTCCGTATGACGACTCATCACGCAATCGCCACTCTAAAAATTTTCCACCCTACAACTAAGGTATCATCCTCTCATTCATCGTTCTCACCATTCTTACATCTCCCCTCGTCACCATCAACTGTCTCCTCACTACTCGTTGACAGCAGTGAGTCAAATCTATCCACTTCACTCGTTTAGCTGATTCAGCTATAGCGTCCGGCCGCCACCAACACACCCTTTCCAAGCCCTCAACTCAGCCATTTCTTGGACACAGTCCGGCTGCAGGCTCAAAATCCTCCAATCCCAATATTGGCTACATACTCAGCACGTCTCGTGAGTCAGTTGTCAGCTCTGTTTGTGTCTCTTTTCTTCATCCCATCACTGCTCCATCTTACTCCGTATCTCAATGTCGTGACTCTCAATCTTCTAACATCTCACCCCTATTTTCCCTTGCTCCCATGTGCGTCTAGATAGGGGGAAATGCTGCCATTTTTTTTTCGGAAGGAGACTGTGCTAACTTGAACTCAGACAATGGAGAATATTCGTCAGTCCTCTTTCACCAATCACACTGTCCCATTCTCATGAGGAATACTGCATCAAGATAGGGGGAAATGCTGCCAAAATTTTTCTTACGACGTAGTTGCTGACAACATCTTTAGGAGAGAACCAACCTCCAAAGAAGAAACCCGGAAATCCTGGCTTCAAGAGAGACTATTATGATTCAAAACGAATTGAGCCGGGTGAGTGTACCAATTGCTGTGGACATTGCTGAGCTTAGACACATTCTATCCCGATTCTCCGTATTCTTTACAAGAGTATTTTGATAGATGACGAGCAATACATAACCCGCGGCCACTCAACAATTCCCAGGACACTTTTGATGAGTTGTTGAGGAAGGAGGACATAAACCTTGCTCCTCCTACCCTTATTCCGGCCTCTAAGGTGAGTTTCCCATTGTCACACACGGTCATCCTAACCTCAGTTTCCCTTTGCTATCCCGTGCAGTTTGGATGACGCCGGTATACCAAATGGAAGGCCTAAGTTTTGGCTCATGGCTTTTAATCTCAATCTTTCCCGAGACAATCACGACATTATGGAGGCCTGGGACATTATTGAAAAAGTAAGTTGTTCAGACACCATATTATTTCACGTCTAAATGAAAGTCCGGGCTTGTTGGCTCCTGCAAGTCATCCGACTCAAGATCAAAAAGAAAAGAGCGACCCTTTCACCCTGGTGTCTGGTTCCCCTCCAACTGTAGGAAAGATCATACCTATCCTTTTCTTTCAAAAGATGCTAGATCCTCCGAAACCCAACAATTCATGACGGTCTTTGATAGGATTGCAGGAGGAGGTACACTCAAGAATCTACGGAAATTCGACCCTGTTACGTCTAAAAAAATGTCCCAGTCAGTTTTCTTTTCTTCTTGATGAAACTTGTACTGATGATTGAGAGCCCACTTTTTTGTACATCACCTAGCCAACCACATGGAGCACCAAACTAGTGTGGGATCTGCTCCCTTGCGTCTTGGCCAAGTTGGATCCTCCCTTGCAATCAACAAGGGACAATCTGAGGAGTGGCATTTTGATCGTAATGATGATGATAGTACGTATTCTATCATCTCAGTCTTTGGCTCAGGAGGATGGACTTCTTCGGCAGAGAATCGTCAGGGATGGCTTGTTCTGCCTCAGCTCAATATAGAAGTTGAAATGCCAATTGGTAAGTCTCCACTTCACTGTCATCAAACATCTAACGTGAAAGGCTCCGTCGTCTTTTTCCAAGGATCACATCTTTTACATTATGTGAGAGAACTTGATGAAGAAGATGCGGACAGAAGGTTAGTTGTCACTGCCTTTGCCTGTAGTGAGATGTCCAAGTATTACGAGAAACACAAACATGAGATCAAATCAACACAAGTAGTAAACTAGTGGAAAAGTGATGCATATTCATTCCTGTCAAACCTATCAGATCACACTGTTGATCATGCGCAACCAAAAGCAGCTTTATACACACCAAATGGGGTGCTTCTCAAACAAGTGTGGGAGAATCAGCACCATGATCAATCATCACATCTCTGTAGATTGAGACCGCCGCCTCCTCCTCCTTGTCACAACCAATCTCAACAGCACATTCCATTGTCGTGGATTTCACCTTGATATTTCCTGTTTGCTATCCTTACATTCATCAATCAGCATACATGACCGACTCACATCAGGTACGTTACTTGCTTAGATGTGCTTGTGCTTATATTCAACAACAAATGAAAATGAAACAGTTCAATCAGCTCATGCATGGAACGGCAACTTTCTACGTCTCTCTTCATCCTGCTGAGCCATCCGTCGAGTCGCTCCTTGACCTGTGACAGTACCACGCCCTTCCACTCTCTGGCATGGAAACCCTGGACGAAAAGCAAGACCTTGGAGTGTTTTGACTCGCGAAACAGCCACAAATGTCAATCCAGAGGCAAACTCTCTAGCACCCAGGTCAATACAAGCCCTAGAGAGAGTCATCCCCTGCGACTTGTGGATTGTAATCGCATATGCTACTTGAAGGGGGAATTGTGTACGAGAGCAGTGGGTACCTGTAGGGCCTTCCCACGTCACGGTGACCGGAACTATAGGGACCAGTGGAACTCCTTCCTCGTCATACCACTTGGCTGGTCCAGTATAAGAAGGGACTGCAACCATGACTACTTCAGGCTGTCCAAGCCCGGCCTCATTGTCTTCCGCCATTCCAATGGAATGGATAGTGCCGCATGTTCCGTTGGTCAATCCTTGAGCCGTCCAAATATTCCTTGTAAGCATCACTTTTGCCCCCACCATAAGATACACCACCTTCACCAAGCCCTCTGCTTTCTCCTCTGTTGCTTTGGCTGCAAACACTCCTCCTACATGTCGAGCAGGAACTCGAAGTACAGGCTTATGCGATGCTAACAACTTCTCCACATTGATTTCATTCACTCGAGCCCTCTCAGAGCAGAGATGAGTTGTATCCCTAAACTCTTTTTGCTCTGTTGCACTGAGTCGGTCCCAGAAACGAGATGACAACAACTGATAGTCTTCAGAACCGTTGTCCCCATTCCGCAACCTTGATAATGTCTGTTTAAACCGTTCAGTCTCCATATCAATTCCTGCCTGCCGCATCACTTGTCCTAACTCAATATTTTCCTTAAAGCTCCTCCAAATCTCCAGGCCCTTGTTCTGCAATAATGATGATGCTGAATTGCCCTCACGCCGGACATTTACAAAGAGTGGAGTGTCGCCCACAGGGGGAAGTTGTCCAAAGTCTCCAATCAGAAGCACACTTAGCCCTCCAAATGGGAGATGGGAGGTTGAAGGAAATATAAGGGTGAGCTGTGTGTGAATGCGACCCAAGGCCTTCCTGCCAATCATGCTTTTCTCATCAATGATAAGATAATGTACTGCTTTCCATTCCTCTTGTAGGGTTGCAAGTCGAGTTGCAGAGAGTGTAGACGGTCTTGATTTGTCATCGGCAGGGAGTCCTAAGGCTGAATGATATGTTTGGCCAGCGATGTTGAAGGCCGCTACACCAGTGGGTGCAAGACGTCTGACAACAGGATGCGGGAAGAGGCTGAATAAAGATTGTGAAATGGCATCAATGAGGAATGACTTTCCGGTCCCCGCTGTCCCATCAATGTTGAGTAAGAAAGGAGCTTTTGGATTTCCATCAAGGTGGGTTTGAGCATGAGCAAGCACTTTGGAGTGGATTCGAAATTGTTCAGGATTGAGGAGGGAAATGTCCACAAGTGGTCGGGATATTTGTATGTTTGACTAGTGTGTCAGCAATATTTACAAACAAGACTTTAACGTACAGTCTTCTTCCATTCAGTCAATGCACCAACTCGCTCTACTAACCCCTCCACCCCCCAGTTTTTTGCTGTCTCATGCCAATCCTGCTGAACATCAATATCTCTTCGTCCTAGCCGATGAGCCACATCATAGTCCACGTCTCTTCTACCTCCCTCTTGACACATGAGCTGCCAATCCTGGAACTCCTGTTCTTCCTCTCCCTCACCTTCTGATGAAGAGTCGCTTTCCAAGCCCAACTGATCTGACCGCTGTCGACAATGTGAAGGTAAAGTATCTTCATGTCCATCTGGATGGATTTCTAAACATCGCTGATAGGCTTGTTCCCAAGTTTCATCCTCCGATTTAAGATCGGCTTTCTCTCGGTGATGGTGGTGAAGAGTAAGTTTAGCTCGGCACCAGTGACCATACTCCTCTGGATCCTCTATGGATGGACGGTAGGGTGGCCATAAACGAATAATCCGGTCATTGCTTGGTCGATAAACAATAGTCCCTCTTTTCTTCTCATAACGTTTGAACCAAGTGTATAGGTTGATTTCTTCAAACTCCATATCTCGTTGTAAGTAATGATCATACCAATCCTTGTCCTCCACTTCATCTTCGGTCTCCTGACCTCTCAACCGCCGCGCCCGGTGGGGCAAAAGACAAAGAGTTCGAAAACTTCGAGATGCAGACATCATGTTGCAATCAAGCAAGCTATGACACACTTCCTGTGCACTATAATCTCGTTCAGTAATGACTTTACTGAGCATCTTTTGAAAAACAACTCGGCTTGGGGTATCTTCTTCCACTTGTTGGCATATTGTTTGCATTATATCAGGAAATGTATGACTTGGCTTCTCGGCTTTTGATGCATATTTGGCGATATAGGTGACAACTGCATGTGGGTCGGTGCATGGCTGAATGTCAATGTTGGCTTGCCATCCGAGGACAAAGACAGGATTATAGACGTTGAGTAGGGTGTCGTTTCTTTGGAGAAATAGTTCTAGGTTGCCCTTTTCATTGAGGGAGAGAGCTGGGAGGCTGCAGACGTCCCGGGGGAAGCGAAATCGGCAAATTGGGTCTACATTTGGAGCACTTCCTTTTGGACGCTTGAGACAGTAATTTGAACATCGGGTGTGACGCTGAATACGATTTAGATGTTCAGCTAGACTCTGTTGATCATAGCTCTGCTGAGAATGTGGTCGGGAAGAGGGGTGACGGGAAGCTGGAGGAAGGTCTAAGCCAGGATTGATTGCCCAGACCTTTGTTTTCCAGAATTCAATGAAGTGTTGTTGAATATCATCTCCACCCGCTTTGAGGACTTCTAGATCCGGACCATTTTTCAGCCAGAGCAGGCCATGCACATGACCTGAGCCCCTACTTTGCCATTCAAAACGTAACCAGAAATCTTGGACATCAAGCAGCGGGGTGACAACATGGTGGAGGAAGAGTACTGCTCGCCTTTGGATCCACCATGCCACCAGAGCCGGATTCTCATTTACATTGCGGCTGTTGGTTTTTTGCCTTTGAGCCTCGGTGTCTTGTGAGGATGGTACGTTGGACATGTGGGAATGAAGATCAGACCACTGGATGTTGGCAGCGGAAAGCGTGATGAAGGTATGAGGTGTCCCAAGCTGTCGAATCATACTATTGAGTTCTTTACTGCGAGCAGACCAATATGGTGGGGTTCCTTGCAGTGATGCAGCGACCTTTCGTACACGTTTCGCCAGGTTTACTGAGTCGGTCTGTAGTAGTTCTAGTATGTCTTCGGCGGTGAGGGCTTGGTCATCTTTGTTTCGGCTGATGTAATAATTTGACATTCGACGGGCCTGCCAACGCATGAGAGAATTGAAGGCATAATATCTGCTTGATCAATTACTGAAAGCCATACTCATGAAGGACTCACCGGAACCGAGGGTGCCGTGCAAACCTTCCATCATCATACTTCATCAGGTGTTTGAAGTAGTCTGATGCTGAGACACTAAGATTTCTTGGGGCATGCAGATCTGCTAGACCCTGGGGGAAAAGGAATGGGAAGGCTTGAATCATATATTGATTGCCCTGGTCGTGTTCGTAGAGAGGTGTATTGCGGAGAGGAGGGGCTGTGAGAGCAGCAGGATGAGGTAGTGCCGCAATGTCTTCCATATGTTCCCTTGTGATTTCCATCTCTGTCCGACCCTCTCCCACATTTGGGACCATAGCCTCAAGTACAATGTCCTCTGCTCCCTCATTGTTGACCTCCGGTATATGTGATTCTGAAAGGCTTGTGATAGTATCTACTGTGGTTGATTGAAGGTCATCAAATACAGAGCCTTGCTCCGGAAGTTGAGCTACAGCGTTGTAGTCAATTTCAATATCACGATATGCCGGATGAAAGTGACATAATGCTTGAAGATTTGCTAGAAGGCGTGCTCGATTGACTTGAAATTCAGGACGGGTAGCGAAATGTTCATTTTGATTTGCCGCATACTTTTGTTTGATAATGAGGACGTCAAGCTGTGATGGGAGAAGGGGGAGTTTAGTGACTAGTTTTTCGTTGTCCCGAGAGAAGAGGCATGTATGACCCGCGTACTTCATCTGACCTCGGCCAGCAACTTGCCAGACCTGAAGCTGAACATGAACTTTAGAGAGAAGCATTTCTTCCATTTGTGTTGGCGGTTCAGGTGGGGGGAGATTGTCTCGAATACACAACTGAGGGAGAGAGAGTCCTGTCCTATCAGTCATAGTCATTGAGGAAAACAACACACCAGGATCCATATTGTTCTCCGCAGACAAGTTGTTCCTTCCTCCCCGTCTACACCTAGCACACATGCCATTGCTGACTTTAAGCTCAAACCACCTCTCCTTGCAAGTCGCACAGTACTCCATCTGAATCCTCTCAAGCTGCTTGTGAAAGTTGTCTATCAGGGTCACTTCATCCTCTGTCAAGCATGGTTTTTGTAAATCCATAGCATTAGCTGGTACCACGGGTTCAGGATGAGGTTGATGGGATTCTTCAATTGGATGTTGCATTTGGCGATTTTGATATCGAAGCCGTTGTTGTTCCCGGCATGTGTGACAAGTGAGATATGAGGTAGATTGGTTGGGATGCTGGAAGTTGATGATAACTTGCCAGGTGCGGCATGTTTTACACCTTTTTTCCCCGGAATGATTTACTGGCCGAAACTGTCTGGTGGGAAGAATTGGTTGGTTGGTAGGGGGGGTAGCATCAGGACGCCTTGGAGGTCGGCGATTCACTCTAACAGGACGGGCAGAGATCAACTGAGCTGCAGCAGGCCGAAGTGGTGATGGTGATGGTGATCGGGAGACATCATGTCGAGGTCGAGGTTGGGATCGTCTCGAGCTGGGAGTGAGCCCGTCCACACCGGGTGACTGAGTGGGTCGTGGGTGGGTCAGAGAGTTGTCACTGTGTGGGTGTTTGTTGCGACAGTCTGAACAAGCAAGTACTGCTCGTCCTCGGTCACTAAGGAAGTGGGGGGAGGGAAGGCAGGTACGACACTGGTTGCATTGCTTGATACGGTGACGTGAGGAAGGAGTAGCAAGGGAGATAGGCTCTTTATGGCGACAAAAGCAGCAACTTTTCCAATATTGATCAGATTTTTGACCAGCACTCGCCTTTCGAAAATGCGAGGAGCCAAAAACAGTGTTGCTGGGAGCTTGACACTTCTTCTTTACTGAGTGATAGCAAGACCATTGTGTTGTCATTGTAGAAGATTTTAGCTATATATGGAAGTGACATTAAGGGACTCTTGAACTACATACATATCAAAAGGCTGATCGACAAAATACACGTCATGATTTGGGAAACCCTTCCAGGCACTTACGTAGAAATTATGTTAAAAAAACCCTGAATCACCCCCAGTAGATTTGCGGGGCTGACGCCCGCAATGATTGTGATCGTCTTAGTCGTGTTTAGCGGAACATGGGATGCCCCTCAACGAAGTCTGACGCATATGGTACTTACTCACACAACCAGATCCGTCCATCAACTTCCTTGTACCTCATCATACTTTCATATACGCACAGACCGGACGGTACGTTTTCTCGGACGGATCATGAAGTGTGTCGGCGGGCTACCGATACGAGGACGTCGACGGCTGAGGTTCAAAGCTCGATGATTGATGGTGCGAATAATTCCAACGAGCGATTGGAAGCACAAGATGACGGTCTTGAAGGCAAAGAATGATGTCCAGGGTTCGGACCTATATAGACAAAAGCAAGTCGAGAAAAGGTTGATTTGCAGAAAAGGTATGAGGATAGAAAGGATGACATATGAATGATCTGCCTGGATATCAGTACGCTCCTGAAGATTGTTTTCAGTGCGAGTGAGGCGTGTATATATCAGAGAGATGGAAGGAAGACGGACGGGATATGATCCCCACGAGTTTTCAGTGACTAAGTTCGGACAACTGCAGGATGTTCGGAGGGCTTGATTCAATGTTGTGAACGATCGAGAGTCGTGTATGGCGGAAAGGAAATGTGGCGAAATCGGAGGACGTGCTTTTGAGATGGTGTAGAAACATCAGCATAACACGTAGTGATGTTCAGTCCCCAACTGGGACATGCACTATGGCTGAAAGAAAGAGAAGGAAAAGATCTTTACATACTGCCATGAATATAATGTCTCTTGGCAAGTGACAAATTCCGACACCGTAAAAGTCATGAGCATCACCACCTCTACATCTCCCAATCTACCGGTTCGATCTAAAGCGTCATCTTAGAATTTCGACGTAGCGTTACCTTCCCCTTTCGATCAACCCTGTAATCGTCTTTTTTCACACCAAGCTCAGCGCACCAAGCTGTACCCGAGTATCGCTCCTGACGGTCATTCTCGCGTTTCACAACGGACCCGTCCCCAATAGAAACGAACGATCCCCATCTGTTCAATCTTCGTCTCTTGTTGCAAGGCCAGCCGTGTCGGGATGTTTCAGCCTTGAAAAGCCATGGTGTAGCCCCTGAGACTGAAGAAGGGGCCTGAATCTGACCAGGGTCGGACAGAAGTGACATGGGGAATGAAAAGTTGAGTGAATCAGAGGTCGTGCTGCTCCGATTGGTCGAATGTTCAGGAATTTGCAACATCGGAGTATAAGTTGAGGGATGATTAAAAGTAGACCGATCAACGAAGGAAAATTGATCGTGTACGGATGGGTGGAGATAAGGGCCTTGTGTGTAAGGGAACAGTGTGGAAGGGGTAGGTAAAAATGTATACGACAACGGAGGGTAGGAATGTTGCAAGTCATTGGCATGATTACCTGTACGAACAGAATCCGGTTGGTTGTAGTAAAAGTCATTCTCACCCAAACAATTAGGCTCTCCGTAGTACTAGTACGAGCAGGCGTCACCACCATACTTCCATGGGTTCCCGTAAGCGGTCGACTGAGCGCCCGGTCCACCTTCGTTTCCATAGGGTGATTGCATGTTGATAGTCGGTAATAAATAAGAGGAACGATGAGAGTTGATCTGGACGGGGTGAAAGATATCGTTCTTATACAACTTTCAGCAAGTTGAAATTCCGCTTTTCACAAATAAAGGATCGATGAAAGTGTTCCAACAACTCGATGACGTGTATTCCTTCGATGAATTAACGATAACGACTTCGAGGAACTATTGATAGACCGTGATGATCGGAGTGTTTTGGAGAGGATCGAAGGCTGAAATTCGAAATATATGACCGTGTATCGAACACAAAGCGCACCGATATCTCCTATGAGGTGCGAATACCTCCAGCGACTTTGGGTCCATGTTATCCTACTAGATGAGGATCAGTATCTTCGATATGCGGGTAAATGTTAAGAGACGACAGGGTTGAAAAAGTTAGAGAAAAGGCGACGAAGCGAAGGGGAATAATGGCGGTGGATGAGGATCGTGACACCCGTCCTGTGATGTGGAATCTCAGCGCACTATTCCTAAGAGTTCATCAAATCGACCAGGCCACCGCAAAGGTAAAACCAATGCATACTCCTGCCTAATGTGGACTTCTGAAAGCCTGGCTCTTCAACAGAAGACGTATGAAGCTCCTATCGAACGTGTCATCTCATGATAAGCATATTCTGCAATTCCGAATACGGAGTGTTGACATCTACCCGCCGAAGTTGAGGGGGTCCGGCATCGTTGGATGACACTGCAATCCGGAGGCTACTCAGAGGAGAGGGACTTTCTGCTGGACGCCTTACGGGGGAGGATTCTCTGGTTTGCAGACCACTGGGGAGATCGAAATCTGCTTCACGGTCTTCAGAGCGGCCGTCATGCTCCGAGTACCATGTTTCTACCGAGCTGCTCCGCCAGAAAGGCTTGACCAGGTTAGCACTTCCTGTCCTGCGCCCGCGGTACTCCTCCTCAGCCTCCTCACTCCCCTCACTCCCCCCTGGGACCTCCACAGTACCTTTGCTGACCTCTTCCCTATTAACCCGCTGGCTTTGATCTCTTCTTCATCGGCGGACGACGGAGAATGCGAACTTGTTATGAGTGGGTGATTGGAAAACGGTACTTGACCATTACCAGCCAGCGAGTCTTGGCAGGCAAGTTTGAGATCTTTTACTAGATAATCGATTACACGTTCCAATGAATCCGATCTTTTTGCATGGCTATCAGCCGACATCGGATCAAATCTACGTTTGTTGTTGAAAGGTATGCTATTGAGAGGGGATATTGAACGTCGAGGAGATCTTGTTGGTCAGGTGGTATGTGTTGAAGTTATCGCGTGTAAAGTTTGTGAAAGCCTCCAACAATTCTACACATATATATCCCCATCATTCAATCTAAAATCATCTATTCGCAATCCAAGGTGAGGGGCTGTGAGGGCCTCCTGACAACTCGAAGTATCATCTTTGACCGTGGGAACTATCTTAGAAGCCTTGACACAGCATAGTTTAGTCATGCTGTACAGGCCATAAAGGATATTCCACACAAGCGCCCCAATCCGGAAAGATTTTGTTCTCTCAATCACCGTAAAGTTGATTCATGTTTCAGCGCCTCATCGAACCATTGTCAAGATTTTTCGACGATTGTTTCGAGCTCTTTCGGCCGCGGGGAAAGTGAAAACTTGGTCGGGCGTTGAACGAGGGGTCGATGAATGGACTTTGATGACGTATTTCACTGAAGAAAGGATAGATTGTGAGTTCATCTTTGTGAGGATTAAGGGACTTGATAAGTGGGTCGATGATGAGGATGAACGAGTCAGGTGTGAGGAAAGGAAGTGGAGGAGACTGAGAGAGGTTGTCGAGGAAATTGAGGGAGGGGAGAGATGGAGTAGGTCTGGTAACGATTTAGCTTGATAGGAGGCGATATCTGGTCGCTGTGAATTGGGTTGAAGGTCAGGTATATCATATCAAAATGCGGATAGTGGAAAGAGAGACAAACGACGGTATGGTTACGAAGGAAAGTGAGTACAAGTAGTAGTGAGGGAGTTGTGTGTCATGACGATCGATGGGTTTATGGCGGGGCAAGCATGCGGCGAAAACGGGACGAGATCATCCCAGGCATGTTGTGTATGACTATGCAATGGGTCAGCAAGTGCAGGATGCAGGATGCGCCAGACATGATGAAGATGTCCTCATTGATGACTCGGGATCAGTACGGGACTAGTCGTACTGCCTCACGAGACGATCGTGACTTCAAAATTCCTCATCATCCAACATCATACATCTTCCATCTCCAGCCTGACAACGACAGAATACTTTAAGTACGAACAAGTTTATATACACTTTCATCCCACTGTCCGTCTCCTACTCATCCAGAGATTTCTCCTACTCATCCAGAGATTAAATCACTAGTCATTCTCTACACTAGAGCTCCTTAGATACACTCGATGGACTTGAGAGATCTGTGACTGTATCACACGGTTCCTGCTCTTCCGGCACGCTTGCTTCGGAATTTGGCCCAGTTGAGGATGCAGGTGGTAGTTTGGATATGATGGGTTGGTCGGAGGAGGATGCCACAGCCGTAGGCGGGCTTTCCGGGAAAAGTCCCAGAACACTGGTCCTCCTTTTGGCGCGCCATACTCCACCTCCCTGCACTGGCAAAACAGGCACTGGTACTGATTTGCTCACTTCAGAACCCTCCGTAGCCACCCCTCGCAGCAGTGTCCCCATGCTTGGCTCAGAGATCTTTGAAGTGTTTGACACATTGGGCTTGGAGAGTTCGAAGGAGTGATCGGAATGATCTGCGTCGTCTTCGGCCTCGACGGGGTCTCGGTCCAGGGCAGAACCGCCCACACCAGTTGACTGTGCCTTTGGTCATTTCAGATTAGCGCGGATCAGCTAGTGGGTCCTCAGGTTTTTGAGAGCCGTCCGGACTGATGGTTGGTGGACTTGTATCGTTAACAGCAGTCGGGGCACCTAGTCCTCCGCGATCTCTCATGTCTGCGAAAAGAATTGCCTCCTCTACAGATTCAAAAGTGTCATTGTCTAGGATGTAGTAAGAACCGCCATTAAGTGAAGGAGCCATTTCAGGTAATAACGTGTTTGCTGATGTGGGATATTTCTTGAACAATGTTCTTTCTGTTGCTCAGCGCTAGCTTTTATACTCTTCATCTCTACCCTTACCAATCTCCGAGCCGTTTCAACGTATCAAGGAGCGCAGAGCTTCTCCGTACTCCGGACACTTTCCATTCTTCCATCCTCGACCGCGAGACTTCACCCATAGCGGAGGCGATCGGGTCAGACGAAAGAGGACTGATCGGATACACTTTCTTCAACGGCGTTTCGATCATGTCAAAGGATGCGTGTGAACTTTCTCACCTTCGACGCTTCGATGCGGTTCTTCGACGTCGGAGATTATTGAAACGTTCGGTCGGATCATATTTTGGTGTTTCTATGATGAGAAAGATTTGTCAGTAGAAACTTCAGCCCGAATTGGCTTAGTGATATGTCAAGACAATTGTTACATATCTCCTCACCTTCCACGCGGAGGCGGTGAGACGGAGATAGTTCTAGACAAGATTTCATAATACACTCGACTTGTTCATGAAGATAATGGAGCGGGGACGGTTGGGATTGCCAATTCGGGTGTGTCGGGTACAGAAGCGAGTTTCTCGACAGCACCGTCGGCCGTACGTATGGACACCGATCCATCCTGTCAATCAGCTAGTCTCTTCAACGGCATAGATCACATCCAGCATCCAAAATCACATGAATTGTGAATTGTGAGGCAGAGGTGGAGATCAGTTTGAGAGCACTGACCTCATTGCCAAAGTACGCAGCTTTAGCCATATGACAGAAAAGTCCCACTTCCACCACACCAGTGAGCATCTTGATCCGATGGAGTAGCTACGAGTCAGATTTGCCTACTATCATTACCAAGAGGCACTCACCTCCAGTGCATTCTTCATCATCTCAGGTGGGAAGGGTGCATCGATAATGAAGTTCCCATTATCGCTGACTACGGGTCCAGCTTTCATCTTACCCATTCGTAGAGACAACCCAGGTTTACCATTGGGTAGAACGGAAGGAGAACCCATATGAGCGAGGTTGGTGAGTACCTTGGCGTAGGCGAAAGGCGCGACTTCAATGGGGATTCCTTGAGTCCACTAAGAGGTCAGCCAAACTCTTGCTTCATACTCAGAAAATCTGTCACCCATGATCCTCCATGACCCTACACACCGAATGAACGAGAGACAAGACAGGAATTTGGGAAGTTATTCAAAGAAAAGGATGCGAGTTGACCATTGGGATGGTCATTGTTTTGATGATGCTGTCAGTTTAGATGGTATCAACTCACAGTGGTCCCGAGTACTTTCGAATTCTTCCTGTAATCCGCCACCATGATCCAAACTTTTGCCGCCTCGGCCAAAACCTTTTCTCTCAATTGACACGCTCCTCCACCTTTGATAGCGTTGAGTTCATCATCGACCCTTATCCGTAAGTTATCATTCCCATCGTCATTGTCGTAGTTGACTCACTCGTCCGCTCCATCGATAGTCACGTCCAAATCGGGATACTGATCGACGTCACCTAGCGTGAGACCGGCTTTGATGATGAGTTCTTTAGATTGAAAACCTATCCGTCAGCATTACATGCGGTGTATTCGGGGTGAAGATGAATGAATAGGTGGGGCGATTTGAATCTTGAGATCGAGCTGGCTAAAGATCGTGAAGTATATATATATATATATATGACGCAGAGAAGGCTGTGATAGATGATGAGAGAAGGATTTACCGGTGGGGATAAAGACTCTATCCCTATTGGCAGCTTTCCCTTGGGCGACGATGCGATCAACTACGTATGGTACGGTTGATCCCGAGCCTATACCGATGAACTGTAGGTTCAGCACTAAGCAACAGTGCAGATCGTCTTGATCTGAACTAGAACTAGTTGCACAGCCTGATTTATGCTCTATGGTATGGTTCACATCAAGGGCAATAGGGTGTGAAGAAGAGATTGTGAATCATGAGGAAAAAGTCTATGAATAAAATCTGACCTTTTGATCCAACCCCACATGTCTATCGACGGCAGCATACCCTGCCAATCTCTTCGCAGCCTCCACAGCGGGCAAAACGGGGAGTGGAATGCTGGTTGGTAATTGATTTCCCGGAGTGACCGGTTGACTTGGTGGGAGAAACTATACACACGTCAGTTCTTCCAGACTTGTTACTCATTCACACGGCTTACGGAACCACGACGGATAGAAAGTGTCAACGGTTTGACAGGTGGGATCATGATTGGATGGAAAGTGATGATACGATTATGGAAAGGATGAATTGAGCGGAAAGGCATGGAAGAGATGGAAATTTGAAAAATTGTATGAATAATGTATGACGTAGGTATGACTGACGTTTCTCAAGGCCGAAAGGGCAGAAGGTGGAGGTGGGAGTATAGTACCGACGAGAGGTGCTATAGAATCGGACGATGGCACGGGTGACATCTAGGGCGTGGAATCGTGCCAAGGTGGAGATGTTGCGGGTGGAACTCAATGTAGAGTATGAGGGTTCGGATATTGGAGAGAAGAGGTTTGATGGCCCAAAGGGGGGGTTGAGAAAAGGGTTGCGAAGGGTTTTGCTTGAATGCTTAATTACCGGACCGAGAACCGAGAGACAACGAAGGGGGTAAGGGGGGCGATTTTAATATCCCCCTCTTCCTTCCAACTCTTCATCCCTACGACGCCTATCACAACCAGCCAATGCAACTCTTCCTCCATTCCGCGACAGACGCCGATCAACGGGAGCGGCAGACTGGCAGACTCGAGACTAAGCTACTGCAATAATCCCTCAAAGCCGTCAGGGATCAAAGTCTGGCCACTGAAGTTGTAAAGACGATTCTACATGAGGCTGACGCGTGTTGGTTTTACTGATTCCGAACAGTGTGGTCACCGAACTACAAACACCAAGGTAAACCCCTCTTAGATGAAGGAGAGGGTTCATGGTTCATGCCACTAGCGACTATGTACTATGAGCCAGCAACCGGGGCGATGCTCGGGGGCACGGGTGGCTAGTGGCTACAGTGATAGCTTGGGCGAGGTGAGTTTGCGTCAGTGGTGGAGTGAGACAATGACGATGACTACGAATCTGGGGTCAAAGGATGTGGAATCGATTAACTTTTGTCATATCCTCGTGTCCCTATAAAACCACGTTGACTATATACGTTGACCATATCTCATCATCTCTCACGTCGTTATCACTACTGTAAATCGTATTCTCTTACTTTAGTCATGTTTCCCTGATCTACTACCATTCTCGTCGTCCTTCACTCGTCTACCCACTCTACAATCACTCGATCGATCCTCCTCGCCATTCCAGTGCGATTCAGCAAGATATATGGAAGACCCAGAGACGAGATGATATCTCTCAACGACCCGACATATCTACACAATTCATCAACTCCAGAAACCCATGTTATACACATGGTCAGTCCATCATCGGATCGACCGCCGCGATTAACTTTGGGGCATATAATCTCAATTGGTTCCTCGAGGCAGAAACATGGTTCAGACCTTGCCGCTACCTCAACGAACGGAAGATTAGACAGACAGTCTTCCGCACCTTGTTCAAGTAGGTCAGCATGTTCATCATCTTCATCTTCATCTCTCTCCTTTTCTTCTGCTTCTTCTCTCGACAATCCATCTCTTTCCCATTCTCCTTTGAAGAATCAGAAACAACAACAATCCTATTCGAACATGTCCACCAGTCCAACATCCTCATTTATGAGCAATGATCTTTCTCGACCGACCACCAATCGTTCTTACAGTCTACCATCCTCACAATCTCAAATATCTGGCAACTCTCGTCCGTCATCTCCAGTCTCTACTCATTCCACGAGGAAATCCCCACGACGACCATCTATACCAGGTGCAACCATGGATTACTCTCTCTCCATGGCTGAACTATTAGCTGGACCACCATCTCCACCTCAATACACCATGGCGGTATATCATGAACCTCTTGCAGGATTATGTTTTTCTCAATTGGAAGTCGACACAAATCCCATTCCATACCCCACCAGTCGACCTTGTTCACCTGTATCAGCACGTTCAATGGCAATTCGATTTGATCCATCTGTCAATCCTTCACGCCCTACTCCTTCTTCACCTAATCGTCGAACATCACCGGAAAGACGCTCACAACCGATCTCACCAAATAGGAGAAAGTCAACTCCGGGTCCATGGGTTCATCGTCCGATAGCTGAAAGATCATTCTCTAGTCCTGACAAACCTACCATGTCTCGTCTACCTTCAACGGAAGAAATCACTTTCTTTCCCCCACTCGAACAGGATGAGACTGTACCTGATTCTGAGAAACAACAAGATAATTCAGAGGAGAAAGATGAGAATGGGGTAACGGCGCCTCCCAATACACCCGACGAGATAGGATGGGGAAAAGGAGGATTTTTCGGAACTATAAGCAGAGGTCTTCGGGTTGCTCAACTTTGGAAACCTGTCAGTCCATCAACCAATCATTCGACTCTGCCCACTCTCCCATCCTCCCCTAATGTTCAAAATTCCTCTTTGGCAGCTCCCGTCATCCAAAGAACACACTCTTCCCCAACCTCTCTTCCACCACCAAGTAATTCACCACGAGCTTCACCTTCTAGACCTCAATCACCTCCGATGGGACAAAGAGACCCACTTTGGTATCTTAACATGGCCAAGGCGTATAATCCAGCTCTTCACATATTATCAGAATCACCAGTTCCCGGAAGACCTAGTAGTGGTGCGAAACATCTCCCTCCTAGTCGACCTCAATCGAGAAGGGGTCAAAGATCAGGTATGGAGACTCCTCGTAGACCTCAAAGTCCTTTGGCGCCGGTGACACAGGTAGACTATGAATTAGGAGATAAGGCGACTGGTTGGGTGTTTAGACCGCGATTGGATACCACAGAGAGTACGAAGAATACTGTGGTAAGTGTCAAAAGTGGTTGAAATTACTTTGGTCTCGGCGATGAGAGAAGGAAGTGAGAAATGCTGATAAAGAGGGAACTCGATATGATTATCATGAATGGGGTATGTCAAGTCCTAATCCATCCAGAAATGCCCTCCCCACTCAGGTGAGTTCCTTATATATAGTCGATGTTCCGACACTAAATCATAGGCTCTCGTCGTGCCGTCGCTCAATCATGGTCGTTAATCTCAATGTTTGTGAACAGGTTTATGCCCCTTCCCCTGCTGGTTTCGTATTCTAGTTTAGCTGCACGCGGAGGAAGATTAATCCTGATAGTCTATAGCTTGAACGTCTTATCTGAATTTGACGAGGTTGTACATGCAAGTAATGTAACAGTTTTGTACAATCTCTCCTTCAGTAAGGTCGTCTATGTAGAGTACCTGGTACTCGTCTACCATCGGCCATCGGCCGTGAGATGGTCGAAGGCACTTCCGACGGAAAGTGAGTAAATGTTCGTATCGAAAAGATCAAAAGTTTGAACGAATTTGCACTACGCACCATCAGTTCACCTCTACTCGTAGATCCTTGCATACGTCCACTTCCAAAAATATTCCCAATATCCCCCCCCCACCAACATACACTACGAGCCCAGTGATTGATTCCCAGTGATCTGACCGATCGAAAGCCGAAGAACGAGAACCGGGGGAGAAGATGAGTTCCGCTTATCACTACGTTATCGAACATATGGAAGAAGATGATGATAGTCATGTTCTTCCTAAATGGGTTGTATTAGAGTGAGTCGTTTCATTCCTGACTACTACTACTACTACTCTCTACCTCATTTCTCAACTGTCCATCTCTTACTTCTCACTGTCATCTACAGGAGATTCATTTCTCCATCATATCATATCCTCATCTTCCCTTGCCTCCCATGTGACCTCCTTTCCTGATCGAACATGGTACACCCCAACCCACTTCTCTCCCATCTTCTCTCTTTCACACAATACATACCATACCCTCTCTGGTGGTTTGGTGAACCGCGATACCCACTTTTCCTGTCTCTTCCAACGGAAAGTCATTCAAATCATCGATGTATTCTCAACAAGAATCCTTCTTGTCCATATTATTGAAAGATCTAACAAATCAGATATCGTCATATGTTATCTATAATCGGTACACAATCTTCACTTCATTTCTCTTCTTTATCATCATCTTCCATCCCTTCTCTCCAACAAAATTTATCTTCAAATTCTACCTCCACCTCCTACCCCTCTCCTTCAAACCCCTTCCGATCCTCTTCGAATGAATCAACAAAACCCGAACTCATCATTCCATCTTCTCAGCCTTCCAGAGACACAAGATCGGAAAGAAACGAATTAAACAAAGACACAAGATCGGAAAGAGACGAAGTAAACACAAAGAAAGCTCATTTACATTCAATCCCAATTTCTGAACTTTTGAATCAACTTTCCTTCCCTGATCAACCTGATCATCCCAAACAAACCAATATCCCCCCTCTTGCTCTTCCTGATTCTCAGCATAATCATACAGATATCGAACAATCACAAATACAAACCTCAAAGAACAAACACCGAGTCTGTCTTTTAGATCCAAAAGCTACTCTCCCCCTGAGTCCTGAAGATAAATCCAAATTCAGTGTATTCCTTTACGGTGGGATACTGGGTGATGATCCTCCTAGGGATAGAACGTCCGAGTTACGTAAATTAGGATACGAAGGAAGACATTTAGGTGAAAAACAAATGACGACTGATACCGCTGTTTTAGTCACGAAGTTGATTGTGGAGGATGGTTGTGAGTTTTTTGTCTTATTTTCATTTCCAAGTTATCATTTATTCGTTCTTATTCTTCCCAATACATGTCATTGTGTAATTATCTCTCGCGTTTCTTCGATTTGAATCCTGCATTTCTTCTTAACTCCTCTTCTGCACTTTTTTGGTGTCAATCCAAAGATATTCCTTCACTAGGTATAGACTCAGGAGAATCACACCTGCATGCTAATAGCATTCGTCTTGTGATGATATCACGTTTTTATTTTATCGTATGGGTCTATGCTCAACCGCTGACGTACAGTCACTTTGGACCAAATACCTTATGTCGACTTTCCTACAATATCATTTTCGAAATACGAAAGTGTCGAAATGCCATTCCGTATGTCTTTCCATTTACTCTTTCTTTTTCCTTGTCCCTTGCCTTTCCTCTTTTAACCCCGCTCATCTCATATCCCAGTTCCTCCACATCAACTGGTCGTGCACCCCACCAGCCGAAGTAGATACTCGACACCGGGTTGTGCACAAGGAGAATAGGTCGGGTGATCAGACATAATTACCGAGTAGAGCTGATCTACAGGGTACGTAGCTGAATCTAACGGTCAACCAATTTTACCTCCGGGGATGAAGCAACATTTAAAAGAGGATTTGAATAGGACGATTGATGATTTTTGATAATCCTCAAATGTCACGAGACCGGACGAGGGATCACTCAATGTCAAGAGCAAGAAGAGATCTGCTTCTACTTGTTTTATCACATCACATCATATCATATCATATCTCACATGCATAGATTTCATTTCGATCTTGTCTTGTAACAAGCTTTTCTTCTTGGTTGAATGAATCAATGGTGTGACAAATCACCCCAACATGTCACTACTCGTCAGCGACTCTTTGTCGGATAAAGCGAACATGGACAAGCGGCGGCTGGAAATATCGAAAAGAATAAAGTGCAAAAACCCACCGAAGCCATTTCTCCCATTCTTCTTTCCCCCAAGAAGACGAAACAGAGTCGTATCTGAGTGCGTCAAACATGACAGTGGGCTAATTTCAGCTCGTCCTCTTGTCCGGGTCGGTAAGATGTATCCTGTCACAAGTCCTCCATTGAAAGTTGTGGCGAAGTGATAAGAGAAATACTTACAGTCACATGAATGGCGTTCTGTCTGCCTCTTTTGACTGAGAATCAGTATCAGTGTCAATCTTCCTGATCCATATGTCCATAAAGCCAAACAGCATGTCTAAGTTGATAACTTGAAATACGATGACGGATTCCTTGTAAAACCCATCTTCACGATAGTTTTGTCAGGTGAGAATGGTAAGTACAAACTATCACAAATCACCACATGGGAGGTCAAGGGAATTGAGATCTCGCAAACTGGAGCTCGTACTTGAAGAATGGAGATTGAACAAGAAGTATTGAGGGGGAAGAACCGAAGAAAAACTACCACAACACTCACTACAATACTTCATCAAATCAAATGCTTCACTACCTTTGTTATCCCCTTCACCAGGTTTACCTCCAACATCAAGTCTAGATCTGATATCACCATAAACTTGACTTTTAGGACCTTTGAGTCCTCCATTCGCTTCGAGTAAATCTACCGCGATTTGAGTGAGTTGATCACGACATTCGGAAGGTGTCATATTGGACACTGGACGGTTTTTGAATGGGTCTTGTGTGTCCATTAGCTATGGATGTTAGCGTGGATCTCATCAAGGACCCTTTCATTGACATTCAAACTTTGATCCATGATCTTGTAACTTTGTCTTGGTTCATTTGAGCTAGTGACAGCAGCAAAGGGTGGAGGAGATAAAAGAGGTGGAATGTAAGACATGATTTAGGGGTCATACCTCGAGGAATCAAAGAAATGTATTCGTAGATGACGTGGTGAGGTGAAAGATTAGGGGGTTTGACGAGAGAGGTTAAGGATAAATAGGTTGAACGTACTTTACGGAAATAATCAACATAGACATGAGGATAGATTGTAGAAACTAGGAGTAAAGCTTCCACGTGGAATGGAGAGAAGTGATGACTGGAGTCAGTATCGTTTCCATGAGAACCAAATCCAACAGATTGATTAGTCGATGTTCCACCAAGTAGCAGAAGGAGTGACATCCCCCCCCCCCCCTCCCCCCCCGGGGGTGGGATGGGCGGGAGGGAGGTTATTGATATTCCTCGAAACATATCACTGTACACAACCAAACGGTATATCATAAAAGATTTCAAGAGACCTGAAGGTGGAAAGACCACACAGCCTAAAAACCCATTGGGTTGAAGAGGAAGAAGACAGAAGCAACACACGTTCATTGTCCAAGGAGAATACAAAAGCATGAAGATAAAACAACGGGGATGGGGAAAGAAGAGATAACTCACAAAGGTTGAGGATAAGGCCATAATACCACACTCAAATCTTTCTCATATTTACCTCCTTTACCAATAAGAGGTAATACGTTATCTTGTATAGATCGAAGTATCTTTCCTGAAAATGGACAAATAGGGTCCAAGTAACTTATTTGTCAGTCCATATTTGCATCTCTATCTTATCCTGCTCATCACCTCATCTGCCAATCCATGTCACCATCTCTAGATGATGATGTTGACCTTTCGTATTATGAATCTAAATCAAGTAATCAACCTCTTCTCGGAAGGAGAAAGTGAGAGGTCATATGATTATGAAGAATGGGGTTTAGGGACATTGAATCGGAACATAGGAGACGGAAGAAAGGATATGGGGAATGGGGGATAGAATATGGGGAATGGGGGATAGAATATGGGGAATGGGGAGTGGGGTGGGGATATGGAGAATCGGGGAGTGAGGTCGGGATATCTAATCTGGGTATTGAAGTCTGGATATGGAATATGGGATTGATCAAAAGGGATAAGCTTAGAAAAGAGAGAAACACAACTAAAACTGACATTTCTAATATCTGACTTCCGGCACCTTGCCTGACAAAGTTTAATCCACGAGGGATGGACATCTTCTATTCTCTCTTCGAGGTAGTCTTGAAGATTGACGATCAAATGAAGAGTTCAGATGAGATGGTACTGTACGAGTAGTACTTTGAAAGCAAAGAGATGATATATATGAGTTGGGTGATTGAGGTTGAATAAGAATGACAAAGACGAATTATTAATAATGTCTAGATATAGATTTCGTCATTCCATTTCGGTCATCCGGGCTTAACCGTACTAAGGTTACATACCCTTCCACGTTTGCATGTTGCATATCCTACCATTCCAAAACTGGACTTTTCCAGAAGTTAGCAATCAGCTTTTTGAAAATATCGTAGTACGAGTTATTTACATTTGGAATGTACCAGGTCAGACAGACTACTATATCGGATAGATACTTGAACCAAATAACAAATACATTCACAATCTAGTTGTAAATCGTATTCGTACCATACGTATTCTAATACACGTAGCTCTTCTTCCCTTTGCACAACTTCAGGTTTTATATCACACCACTAAACCTCTTTCACTCCTAGCGACCTCTCGGGCCGCTTCGTCTAAAGCGAACATTGCTCCCCATTCTCCTTTACTCTCCCCATCCGAACTAGACACTTTAGCGTCCTTTCCTCTCTGAACATCGTCCCGAGGTCGAGATGACTTCTGGTCATCTTCCCGAGGTCGAGACGACGTTTGATCCTCTTCCCGAGACTGAGACGACTTTTGATCATCTTCCCTAGGTTCAGACGAAGGAACACCATTATCTCGAGAAGTTTTTCTCAATGGGATCTCCACTCCTCGACCTATCCCAACACCTACGATACCTCTTCCTCCTTCCATTTCCCTCCACATTTGTCTCCCGACCGTCCTCTCTACGACATCTCTACGACTGGCATAACTCGGAGAACTGGGATATGATCTAGAATGATCTTGAACTTGAGAATGAGGTTGAGGATATGCTTGGGGAACGATTCTAGCTAAATACGCTTGTTCGCTAGATTCACCAGACGAACATTCCTCATCCTCTTTCACTTTCACCAACACCTGAGCATTGTGGGAATAAGCTCTTTGTACCGTCGCTTCATGTAATGAATAACTGAGCGACGAATTGGTTGACATGATGCTAAGTGCTATCGACGCACGTTCGGCCACATCTGCCTTGTCTAAATCCCTCAGAGGATCGTCAGGGTCGATACCTGATAATCGGGTTCCAGAAAGGTTTGAAAGGTTTGATAGACTCGAAAGACTAGTTCGGGAACTAGGGGAGAGATGACTGTTGGGTGAGAGTGGTTCTAAAAAGAGTAGATCTTGGGAGATGGCAGTATGTTCGGAATCTGCACTACCCGCTTCAGCACGTGTCCCGCCATGTTGCACAGGAGTGGATGGTCGATGGGTAAGTTCAGGAGGAGATCCATCTAAGTTCCGAGATGATTGAATTTGGGCGTATGGTGGAAGCAGTCCATTGGGAGAAAGTGTAACGACCGGTAGAGGATTCACAAGACTGTCCACAGGTGTTGATCTTCCAGGTTGGGTGTATGCGGTAGGTAACGGTAACGGCATAGGCGGAGGAGACTCAGGCGTCGTGGGCGAACCAGGTCGAGAGGAAAACTCGTCCGTCGCCACTGCCGAAGCTGGAACGGATACATGAGGATGAGGATGATGTTTGAACTTTTCCGCGGCTATAGCGAACCAATCTCTTTCATTCTCCGTTTCTTCGCTCGAGCGGCGAGACTCTCTTCTTGAACTATCCCACTGATCGTTGTCGTCAACATCGTTTGCCAGAGGAGAAGTGAGGGTTTCCGCGCCAAACGAACCACGTGTATCTCCATCTTCTGGGGGCTGGGGAAATTGGTGGACGAGCACGCCAGATGAAGTATCTTCGTCTACGTCGGAAGAAGTTGTCGAGCGAGAAGATTCTTGTTTGGCAGTCCCCTCGAAAGACTTTTGGAGAGGAGTCACACCACCACTGGAAGATGCAGAAGGAGGACGATGAGTCGAAGGCGTCACCAGGTTGAGATCGGGAGACGAGCGAATCTTGGAATAATGCACACCGAAACTGTCGCTTGATTTACGTATTGGGAAATCTTCCGACGAACTGACTGGGACATCTGGATCCGGGTTCGGAGAGGAAGGACGAGAAGCGCGATCTAGGGATGCCAGGGAAGGACGCTGAGAGTTGCTCGTAATTTGAGATGAGAGGTTGGAATGTCGCCTGTCATTCCTATCTCGCTTGGGAGGCGGAGGAGAGCGTGGCCAGATTTTCTCGCCGTCATCAACGGAGTTATCGACAGGTTTGATGCTATGGCGTCGGGGAGTGCTGGCAATCCCAGGTGTCGATGAGGCAAAGAAGTCGTGAGGTTGGATTCGTCTTGAAGCCCTCTTCCCATTAGACTTTGGCGAAAGAGGTCGCCATGTGGAAGTCTGAGCGGGTCCCGCCTCATCCACTCTACTCAATCCACCATTGACGACACTCAAAAGACCGTCCGCCCAGTCGCCATCATCCGAGAAGTTTAGATTACCAAAGCCTCTGATTTGATCAGACAGTCTTTTCTTATCTTTATCCCGCTGATTCTTGTCAACAAATGTGAACGCACGATCAACAGCATCAACATCTGATTCGGGTTCCGGTTCGCTATCTGTCGGATGAGCAGAGTGAGCGGAATGAGATGTGGTTTCTTCTTCACTGCTGAGTCCTCGTGGCACCTCATGTTTGGAGAGACGTTTCCTTTCTCCTTTTGGTGGTGTACGGGGAGATCGAGATCCTGAAGAATCATTCTTTGTCAAAATTTCGTCCTTTACTCGTGTGATTGTCGCGCCAGAAAGTCGAATCGTGGGAGGAAGCTTGTCCGCCCGTTGTTCCGGAGTCGGTGGGGTGGATTCAACCGATCCGGATAACTCTTGGGATGAGGGTCTCGAAGTCTCGAAAGAGAATTTTTGCAACATCTCGCTAGCTTTTCTCTGATGAGTCCGATCTTTCTTCTTTTGACTGGAGATACTACCGGCAGCCCGTAACTCAGTGACTGGCGTGGGAGTTGATGCTCCTCTTTCTCGGAGCGATCCGTCAGGTGGACCAAGTCTATCAGATGAGGAGGAAGCTGCAAAGTCTCGCACGCGTGGTGGTTCTGAGCCTTTGACAAGACGAAGCATGGGTTGAGAGTAAGTTTGCTTCTTTTTGGTGGCTGCGATGAGGAGAATGTCGGCTTCTGTCATTCCTTGTGCGCGGAGGGAAGAGATCCAAGCGGGAGGGAGATTGCCTAGATCTGGAGAGACATGGAGTTCATGCTGGTCTGTCAGTGGGGTCTGCGGGGAACAACAGTGATCCGAGATGGCTTTCGAGCACAAATGGAAGTCGGGATGGGAAAGACGTGGATTTAAGGAGCTACTCCACCGCGCAATACGCGTTCAAGTGAAGTTTAAGGTGAGTAAAGTGAAAGTGTGGTGAACGGAAATGTCAGAGCGACAATCAACACTCACGGCAACGTTGAAAGGTAAAGAAACGCCAGCATCTCCTTCGTCCTCCTGTACCACACTTATGCCCACACCTATGCTCTGCCACTCATTAATCTCCTCTGGCAAAGATTCACTCGGATTCCATTTCTTCTTTCCCTTTTGTCTCTCATTATCCCTATCCACAGCTCTGGGTATACTTCCTTCTGACGCATTACGTTTCATAACGCTTCCCATCCGGTTCAAACCTTTTGCGATACCTCCAAGTGCCAGAGCTGATCTCTTCTTCTCCACTCCTCTGCCATCACTTACGCGCCGAGTGTGATCGGGTGAATCCGAATGATCCATGTTCAAGGCGGAAAGTGAAAGATCACTCCTCAAAGCTGATTTCGATGGGAATATTTTCTTGCCACGGAAGGAGGATGTGGTGTTCGTACTTGCCACACTGGGACTGGAAGGTGCTCGAATAGTGGAAAGACTGGGATTGGGAAGGGTGGTCAAGGATAACCCGAGTGCTGATGATGAAGTGGTGAGGGTGGTAGAGAATGGAACCCTGAAAGAATCGTGAGTCCAACTGCTGGAACTGGTCTGTCAGTGGGATGATCTTCTGTCATTAGACGTGGAGATGGATTGGGTGGTGAAGGGTAGGGAAGGGTAGGGAAGGGGATGGAAAGGATTAGCGAGCACGCGGGCATGCGGGAAGAGATGTTTAAGGGCGATGCGATCTGTGATGGAGAGTGCGGAATCCCATCTGCAAAAGCACACACAGCTTGGCACGCGTCGTCGGGTGATGCGAGCTCAAATTCGGGCTGTGAAGAAGGGAGACAGACGGGGTTCGTAGATGAGAAGGCGAGACTCAAACTAACCTGGAACTACCTTCTGCCCAGATGTCAGCACTATGGTCCTCACTGGTCGAACCATGACCCAAATTGGCCAAATGGGGAATCGGAGGCAACCTCTTTTCACCCTGACGCTTGTGCCCCACCTTGGACATTTTCCAGATGGTATGGTAGTAGGGAGAGAGATAGGAGAGGAGATGGGTGACGAAATGAGAGGGGGGGGGGGGATAGTGAATGGACGGCAAGGGCCTTTGATGCCAAGGGGTGGAAGGGAGATAGAGTTAAAGTCTGAAAGGGGTATAAAGTGAATTGATACAAAGTGAGAGGCGAGTCAGGGGTAAGTAAAACCATGGGGTCAGATAGACGACCCGAAACGCATTGACCTACAGTGGTAGTATTCTGTCTCGGCCTCATCAATTCTTCCTTTTCCCCAGCTATAGCTATCACGACCCCGTTACGCGTCCATCACCGACATCACCATACCCGAGTATGACAAGGACACTCTTCCAAAGCCACGAGGCAGCCATGCAAGAATGCGACCATGCCGCCATATGCCATGCTGCTGTCGCTTCTCCCTCCTCAGGTGCCCTAAGTGCCGTCATTGTGAGCTTTGACGGATGTGCGCATCGATTTTCCCTTTCTGGATCACTTTGGAACCCCCTTTGAGCCTCGTGGGAAGCGCGTGGAGGCTGCTACCAGTCTTAACGCCGAATATGCCGATGAAACCGTTCTGAATGTGGCGTATGTGGCGTCACAGAAATTTGAACCATCCTATCCTGCCAGATTTTCTAACAATTCAGGTTGAAACCCACTCAACTCTGTATCGACATAAGGAAGAGTCTGACACAGGTTCACACCGTCTCAGCACCCCTTCGTCGACGAACTTCAGCTTCACTACTAGTCACCATGTGCGTGGAACTGCTTGGGTATGGCTAGATAGCTCATCAATCAGGTCCACCCCTGCTATCCTTGGTATCAACTTTGGCCAGTCTTACGCCTCTATAGCCGTCCTTGACAAGGTTTGTCCAGGTCTCTTTAACCATCCCCTCAAAAGAACTGACATCCGCAGGAAGGTCATCCAACTTGCATAGCCAACGAAGATGGAGAACGGCAGATTGCATGTGCCATCGCTTACGCCGGTGAAGAGGTCGTGCGTCTACTTCTTACATGGAATGAGTGGGGCATGACTGACGGGTAGTATATTGGAAATGGCGCAAAGCCACATCTTGTCAAGAATGGCAAAAACACCATTATGGGGTTCAGAAATCTGCTTGGGCACACGTGAGTCGTCACCGAGCCATCATCATGACCCATTTTGGCTTCTAGATTTATCCAACAAGCTCATAGAAAGTCTGACGTAGAAATTTCGCGGCGGACTCAACGATACTCTGCAATGAGTTCTGATGACCAGGTACGACCAAGTAGACCATACTGCTATCTTCACCGCCCCACTCATTCCCGAATCCGAGACACCCGCTTACACCGTCGACATCCTCATTCCTCCTCCCAAAATCGCCTCCGCACCCGGTCTCCGTTCAGCTGCAGCATCAGGAACAGCCACTCCCAATCCCGCCGCTCTCGAACCTGTCCCATCTACCAAAACCCTGACAGTACCAGAAGTCACCACACTCTTCCTCTCCACCCTTTTCGCCTCTGCGATCGACTTTCTGGGTACCAAACCCACCGCTTGTGTCATCTCCGCTCCAACTTGGTTCACACATGAACAGACTGATGCCCTGAAGGCAGCTGCTACTGCTGCCGGCATCAATGTCCTTCAGGTGTTGGACGAGGCTGCTGCGGTTTTGGTTGGGTACAGAGTGGGTCTGAGTGAGGAACGTAAAGAACGAGGCTTGCTAGGACAGCCAGAGGAGGGAGATGCGGGTGAAGTGGAGAAGAGGGATAAAAAGGTGGTGGTGCTTGACATGGGAGAGACTAGTTTGGGAGTATCGGTAATTGCTTGTTCAGAAGGAGAGTATACGGTCTTAGGGAAGGGGAGGGACGATAAGCTGGGTGGAAGGGAATTCGATAATTTGGTGAGTGAAGGGTTTCGAAGCCTCCTCCTTTAGTTCCACCTTTCTCCTTGCTGACCGATCACACCACTGAGGTGATGCATTTCGAGGATCGGTATCGAACTAGGTCAGGGTGGAAGAGGCGAGCGTGGCGTAAAAGTAAGGGATAGAAGCTGACGATGAAGCTACTCAAACACTTTGCCAAAGAATTCACGAAAAAAACCAAAGTCCCTCTTGACTTACCATGCGCCGAAGGTGCTCATGAAGCCGACAAACGGGCCGAAGCCAAGCTTCGTCTAGCTGTCGAACATACCAAACGTTCACTCTCGGCTAGTGCTGGTGCCGCGACCTGTGCAGTGGTGAGTTTGGGTTTGGCTAATTCATGCTCTCACCTTCATGCAAAGCCACAGACAACACGAGATCTTGCTAACGTATAGGAATCCCTCAAAGACGGAATGGATTTATCAACATCTATCAATCGACTCCGATTCGACTCCCTAGCCTCCTCAGTCTACCGTCAAGTCGGTTCCCGTCTCACTGACATCATCACCTCTAGCGGTTTATCCTTGTTACAAATAGACGAGGTACTCTTGGCAGGTTCATCTACCCTTTTCCCGGGTCTTCAATCCCATTTATCCCTCCTTGTACAACCCACGACACCAGTGACGTCTACTATCGATCCTTCTGAGGTGATCGCTATTGGTTGTGCTTTACAAGCTCTTCATCTGTCCACTCTAGACTCTGCTTTGAATTTGGACGAGGTGTTGGCTTTGGGAAAGAACGAGGTTCTAACTTTGGCTCAACCAATTGGGATTTGTCTCCCTCAACTTCACGCTTCCAATGGTGATGGGAATGAAGTGGAGATGGTAAAGATTATCGATGTCGGTGCTCCTTTACCTTCTCGAAGAAGAGTTGTCATACCTACTAGTGGAAAAGGAAAATACGGAGTGGAGATATGGGAGGGAGAAGATGAGGTGAAAGTGACTAAAATCGAAAAGACCGAGACTACGAAAGAGAAGATTGAAGAGGATGGAGAAGATGAAGAGGAGGATGATGAAGAGGATGAAGAAATCAAAACTGTCATTACTCTCAGAAAGACTTTGTTAGGTGCTGTCGAGATAGAAGTGGAAGAAGGGTCGGTGGTATTGGAAATCATCGTATCGCGTGGGGGTGGGGTGGAAATGAGAGCTTGGGAAGAGGGACATGAAGATAGGTCGGAGAAGTTTGAGATGTGAACCAGACCGACGATTTTCTCACTCCTCATCTGGGATCTGGGATCTGGAATCTGGGTTGTGGGATCTTATATTCTGATCTGATCAATGTGAGCCTGGACCTCAAGCGTGGAGATGTAGGAGTTTGGGAATGAACGGAGCAGTGTTTAGACATCTAGATATCTAGATGAAAATTGGTTTTGACAACAAAGACAAGATGAGAAAGAAGATTCAGTATCTCATGCATGGGGAGAATTATGAAAGATGACCATTTGTTGATTTTGTGAATATCATATTCACGTCGAGAAATTTGTGAATACATAAAGTAACAAACAATTCATGCATTGTTTCATGGGTTTATCGTAATTTTTTATCTTCGAAATAAACCTGAGCGTGAGCACTCGTACATCCCATAGTGATTCTTCAGCCTATCAATAGTATTTACCCTCCAACAACCAATATCCACTTTTACATGAGGTTGGAACAAAATGAAGTAGGGCAGAAGAGTGATATGGTACATGTACGATTCCCCCATACACATACACATAAAAACCTTTCATGATTCATGTCATCCCTCTCTTAGTACAAATCTTCGAAACAATCAAGACTTTCTCATGATCCATAACAAATCATCTTCCTACATATCTTATTCGAAAGAGACTCAGCAGACAGAAGACACCAAGTAAGCAAAAGGGAATCCTCGTCAAATATCATCTTCCTACATATCTTATTCGAAAGAAATCGAACAGACATAAGACACCAAGTTAAGCAAAAGGGAATCCTCGTAAAATAAAAAGGCAAAGGAAGCAGATGAAGAAATGTCAAATACAATTAAAGACTATAAGACTCACTCTTAAATGTCTCATTTGCCAAATAGCGGTTCCTACCAAAACCAAAATCTGTACTAAAGACCACCATACAGCTCTGGAATTTGTAGCTTCACTCAAATCTCGGAATTCAGCTTCTACTTCTCTCATATATCTTTGTTCTCTTTGGATATCTGTCACTTTTTTATTGAGGTCTCGAAGTTTTGTGACTATTGTAGTTACGTGAGATATGTCGGAGCTCTCCGTCAGTACATTTCTTAACTTTATCTCATCTCGTTGTTGTTGATTTCCATCTTCTGAATGACGGAATGTCGAAGATGAGAAAATATGATTTTAGACATTGGACTTCAATGGTGTGATGATTCTGACTAGCATATGTTTAGGTGAGTGAGAATTGAGACGATGATCATATATTTCTTTTCCCCCTTTCATATCGGACAAGAACTGATGATGTAGGAAGTCTTTCCTTTTGGTATTCAGGAAGGTAAAGAAAGCGTTTCGATTGAAGGGGATGCAGTCGGGAAATTCTCTTGGGGGAAGTATCCAACAACAAAGAAACGCTCACTCAATATCAACTTTAGAAGTCCCAACGTTGATATCTAAATACATTTTAATAACTTGTGTAGTGAGCCATCCACCGGTGATATTAGAATGTAAACATATTTTGTGATCTCCTATGGTGTCAGTTTGTGTTTTAAGATTTCATCTTCCTGATCCTTCACTTTCCTACACGAATCCTTACACTTATCAATCTTTCACTTCACAATCATTTGGATGAGGAATTAGAGATACGAGTCTCACGATTCTCACTTGGCACAATAACGGGTTTGTGAGCCGCTTCAAGCTATAAGGCAGGAAGCAGGAAGCAGGAAGCAGGAAGCAGGAAACAGGAAGCAGGAAGCAGGAAACAGGAAGCAGGAAGCAGGAAGCAGGAAGCAAGAAATCCCAGAGCTGATCGTTGACTTTGGACCAGACCCTTTTCTACTCTTCTTCCTCAAATCCGAAGTACTTCCTTCCATCGGACAAACAAGATATGATCGTGATGTGATACATCCAAGTTGAAGAATCAACAAGCCCAGAATTATCAAACACTCCATCCCCCTTGAAAAAACGTTGAGGTGAGAGCAACAATCAACCACGTTCACGACAAAACCAACATGATGGTCAAAAGTGAATTTCGACTCACCAGCATCATGCGAAGTGAATGTAAACCTTCCATCCGATGGTCCACGGGTATTTACGACAGTATGACCTGTTGATAATTCTTCAACATTTACGTGAATTCCCATAGTTTCTTCAGATTTCCAATTTTTTGAATCTTCATCATATAAGAATGCTCTGTAATGACCTATCTTATGAGTTGTTCCCTCCCCTTCTCCCCCTCCCCCCATTCCATTCCTCACACTCTCTCCCCTTCTCCCTATCTTTGTTTCCGTCTCCATCACCATTATATTACTCGTCTACAAGGAATGGTAAGTTGGTAGACCATATACGTCAAGAGGCTGATGAGTTCGCTGACAAGTGGGTAGGCCTAGATGTCACAGGTGTCTTGGAATGAGGTCTAGGTATGAATGAAGGAGTGAAGTCGGGAAGTGTGAGGTGTGAGAGTTGGGAATGAAAGATAGATGAGAGGTTGGACATGGAGGAAGGTTTGAAGATGATTAGAAGGATAGAGAGCATCTACTCACCTTCTACTATAGTCTCTGATGCTAGTTCTTCCAAAAAACATCTCTTCTCATTTGAATCAAAGTAAATGTGAAGTGCCTGTTCGTCAACCATGTCAAAGTAGGTGGTAGGTGAGAACGACTGACCAAAGCACTTTGGACCACTGACAACGCCGTCCACACGAGTAGAGGACGCATGGAGAGTGACTGCTGACTACTTCGTTATGGTTCAGAAGAGTGATGGTCAAGACAGATGTTGAGATGGAATGTACAAGGAGCCACGTGGCGGAGTGGCACTTGCCCCTTGCTGAAACAAGCGCTGATGGACATGGTTACTATACCGCACGAATGCTCACTGCAATGACCCATTGGCCATTAGACACAACCTGGACTCGGCGAGAGCGGGACAGCTTGAGGTACTCGAGCGCACCATATCCGTTGACAAAACACCATAGCAACAAGTCCAATACGTTCATCTCGTCATCTACAAGCGTCATAAACAATGCACGGAATAAAGGATATAGGTGTAAAGGTATAGAAAGAAAAAAAGCATCGTCCAGCATCATCAAGATACCACATGTACTCTTAAGCATTACTCGTCTGGGATGCTTGTTGTTGAGCCTTCGCGGAAGACTCTTTCAGCGCTAAAAGCTGTTTGGATCGGAAGGTCTCATAGTGGATATGAGCCGTGGTCTCGATGAGATCCTGCAGGTGGGTCCTAGAGGTCAGAAATGCTCTCCAAAGTTTTACTGGCCCGTCTGATTCATGGACCAGGCAAGGGGGGAAAGGAAAGACGGAGAAGATGTTGAAAACGTTGAAACAAATTGACTCACCGCGTCAAAAAGTTTCGTAGGTATACAAACTCGCAATGCCTTTCATCTTCAACGTTCACAATTCCCCAACGATGTTTACGAGCAGGGGTCGCCTTGCCGTCGATCACAATGGTACGTTCCGATCCGACCACGGCAAAAGGCTGCATTTCCTGACGAATGAGCTCAGGTTCAACCTCGATGATAGGCACTAACCCTGATACGCTCATTGAGCTGCAATTCCTCGTCATCGTTCTCGTCTGCGTCGAAGGGATAAAGACGAATCTGGTTATGTTGCATCTCAGACATGATCTGGCTGATCAGTACAATTCACACAATTCACACAAGCAAAATGACGTAGTTGACAGTTAGAATGAGAAGCGCACACGACACTCACTCTTTCCTTGAACAACGCCCTCTCCTCCAAGGTCAAAGAGTCCGACTTGGCGATCACAGGCACAACATTGACCACCTCTGCCAATTTCTTCAACACCACAATATCAATAGGCTTTAAAGTATGGCCTGTGGGGTTGATGAAGAATACGCAGCAGTGGATTCGAGTATCAGGGATGAACTTGTCTCGCATGGCGGTAAGCTCCTTACGGAGGTATGCCGAGTGTTGGTCCTTGATCTGAATACATTAGCTCTTGCAATCATTGTGATCAATTTTGCTGTGACATGATTTATAAGAGAGAACAAGTGAAGTCCACTGACGTATTTGATGATAGGTTCCCAACAGCCTTCATTGTTGATCTGGTCTCCATAACCGGGAGTGTCGATGATGTTCAGTCGAAGTTTGACACCATTTTCGACGATGACTACTAGTAAGTATTGTCGTGATGGACTCAATATGGATGACCGACCATGTGATTGAGGATGAATCTCGGTGGTGGCACGAGGGGAAATGTCCGGCTCAGTACGACCTTTTGAGTCGACCAGGTGGGAAGCAAAGAGAGTGTTGATGAGGGTTGATTTACCCAAGCCGGTTTGCCCTGCATCGAGTCAGCTCTCATTTATGACCTTATGGAGCTCGATCAAATCCATAGTATATGGATAACAGGGTATATGGAGCCCTCGACAAGAGCTGGCATTTGTTGGCAGAGGGAGGTATTCGTTCACGCGGTGAGGAATGCGTGACACTCACCGACGACTATGACATTGAATTGGAAACCCCGCTTCAAGAGCTTGTGCTCGATTTGCCGAGTGATAGCTGAGGGTCAGCATAGATAATCGGACCTTTCGTTGACTGCGAGCCCCTCGAAAGCCCAACGGGCAACCAGTGACACTCACAGTCGAAACCAACATATGACCCCGCGGTGATTTCCTCTGGGGTAGCGGTGGAGACGAGAGACGCTGCCATCTTTTTGGATCTATGTAGAGGGCTATATCAGAGACAGGGAGTACGATAGAGAGAGCAGGTGTGAGAGGAGGAGAGAAGAGAAGCAAAGCAACACGAGTAAGAGAAGGGGCGTACAGAGCAGCAAAACGTTGGATATGCACCAGCTCGGACCTCTTGGTGCTTGGGGTCCGAGCGTGGTCTTAGGATAAAACACAATAAATCCTAGAAAGAAATAATGAGATTGACTTCTTTTCTTCCACGCGACTGTTTGCGTCACCACTTTCCCCGCTCCCCCCAGCTCCCATCATTTCTTTTCCCATCTTTCATCTCACTCACCTCCACAGCCAATCACTGGCACAATTATCCTCTCATCGCCTCACACAATGTCCGCTCCACCCCCAGAGGTCTATCTGGCACCGGACTTTGAAGCTAGCACCCTGCGTGTGAGTCATATTCCCCTATCATATACACAGCTGACATCAAGGTTCCTCAATTGAGGTGAGTTTCAATATTCACTACCCGAGAATTGTGATCGATTAATACCCAGATCCATACTGCTAGAATATGATATTCCATTCCCGAGTACTTCTAAAAAACCCGAGCTCTTGACATTGTTCGAAACTAAAGTGAAGCCTCAAGCTGTGGTGAGTCAGTCAGCTGGGTGGCAATATACAAAGATTGACTCCAAGTCTGTACTGACATCGGCATCGAGAATCAAAGCCTCTGCTCAGGGAATAATCTCGGTATCTGAAAATGGTGACGAAGAGCTGGTGGAGCCAGTCGCAGCCACCGGTGCGAAGCGAGTTCGTGGAAAGCCCAAGAAGTCTGAGGTGAAAGAAGCCACAGAGCCGCCTCCCAAAAAGGCTCGAGGAAGGTCTAGACAGACTAGTGAGACCGACACTGCCGTTCCACCCACTACCAGACGCAGAGGGTCAAGAAACCCATCCATGGCCACAGAGGATGAAGATGCTGGAGCTTTGGCTGAAGTAGAAGATGAGGCGACTCCTGTGAGTTCGACCGACGTACAGTAAGGATAAGCTGACATCGAAGGCGCCTCGAGTCAGCCGTTCACGGCGTTCGGTCACATCGGCTTCACCAGCCTCGCTACCTTCCGCTCCTCCGAGCAGCCGTAGGAGGTCTGGCATACCTTCGTCTTCCTCTGTTGTATCCGAAACGCACGCGGCCAGCGAAAAATCAGTCCTCAAACGGCCAAGCAATTCTAAATTTGACAATGTGGTGGAGTTGGACCAGTTGGAGGAGATCAGTGAGCCTGAGGAGACACCGATCCCTGTATCTACTACCAAAAAGACGCCGAGGAAGTCTCGAGCCGATGAATCTGGATTTTCCGATTTCAACCCATTTCAGAGTGGGAGCGAAGAGGCCGCAGAAAGGGAAAGGAGACGACGAAAGGTTAGCATTCCATATCACTGGCCGGATTCGAGCTAATTCAAGTCATCTGTCGGCCTGTCCACTAGTAAGCCAAAGCAGCCCCGACTGTCAGAACCCGGGCGGATACCTCTGCTCGCCTCTCCTATCAAGTCGTCCCCGGCCCATTCGTCAGCTACTCCGAGCGCTGGTATACTCCGTCGAATGGGTCCCAGTCGTGAAAACTTGAAGCGGACGCCAGAATCGAAGTCTCGCCCCTTGGAGGAGCCGGAGGTACAGACCGAACATGCAGAGATCGATCGGTATAACCATCAACTTCAAGAAAAGGTGGCACGATTGTCCCGAAGCAACCCCGATGAGCCCACTGTGTCTATCACGACTCATATCGAACCCTCGACTAGTCTGGTTCGGCGGTCTCCCAGCATCCCATCCATCAAGGAACCTCGCGCTGCCATACCTCTCTCGATGTTGTTCTTGCTTTTGCTCAGCTTACTGGCAAACTTCAAGTCTCAATCTTCGGCTATCGGCTATTGCGATGCTGGTTCGTCGACGAATGACATTGCTCTTGACCGTCAAGGAGCCATCGAGGATGCTCGAGCATGCGTCGCGCGTCGGGCGACATTAGCACTTGACTCCCCTGAAATAGTCAAGCAGGTTCATTGTGATGCGTCGGCTTTGCCTCTTATCCCCTTTCTGCCCCAGCCTCTTGCCTGTACACCATGTCCGCAACATGCCGTTTGCGAGGAGGGTGATGTCATTGCCTGTGATAACGAGTATCTGTTGTCCGCTCATCCGTTGTCGTTCTTGGCACCAGTGTTCAATGGCCTGCCAGGTGTAGGGCCCGAAGCCTTCCCTCCGACATGCAAGCCAGACACGCAGAAGAAGAGAATGGTAGGTGGTTTGGCCATGGAGATGGAGAAGGATCTAGCAAAGGGGCGGGGATTGGTGGTTTGTGCTGGAATTGGGAAGGACGATGGGAGGCAAGGAGAGGGCGAGAGGTTTGGTATGGAAGAGGATGTTTTAAGGGAGCGGTACTCTTCACGTCGCGATGTGAGTGGTTGCTAGTCACTCTTGGGATCTGAGCTTTTGTTGACACTTCAGCCTCGCTATTCCCAGGAACAATTCAACGAGATCTTCGAGGCGGCGTTGAATGACTTGGTTGAGCATGACGATGTCATCGAGTCCATAGATGTTGAGTGAGTGGTCTGGAACGATGATCTGAGGGTATGTGATTGACACACAGTGGGAAGTCGTGGTATGCTGCGTCACGGACTGATTTGACGTTGGGTTGTCGCGCCAAGATTGAAAGTGTGGATCTCATGTCGAAGTGGAAATCTCAACTTGCTTGTGAGCTCTCAGGGCTTGTTGGATGTTAGACCGCCTTTCAAAGCTGACCTTTAGCTTCCGCTGCCGTCCTGACTGCCATCGCATGGCTGCGCTCTCTCATCCGCCAACACCAATCTGAAAAGTTCAAGGCGGAAGAACTTGCGCAAGTCGTTCTCAAGCGTTTACAAGATCAAGTGAGTCTTCCCTATCTAACACCTTCGCATACTTGCTTTCACTTTTTCAGTAACGTAAGTTAGGCTGAATATGCTGATCTGTAGGAATACCTGCATTATCTAGATCCAGTTCAAACTCCTCATTCCTTCCTACCCCCTGATCAAGTGCGTGACGTAGTCATGCCACCATCCGGCTCTACCACCTCTCGCGCTCGATTATGGTCCAAAGTCGCAAGATTGATAGAAAAGAACGCCAATGTGGCAGTGAGGGAACAAGAAGTGCGTGGAGAGGTTTGGCAAACATGGGAATGGACAGGGGTAGGTGAAAGACATATACGCTTTGAATGAGGAAAAAGAGATCCAGACTGTGGTGGCAGTCGGCGAACTGCTCGTGTGTCGTGCCATTCTGTGAGTTTTATATACATATATATTCTGGGGTTATCTGTGGAGAATGAAATGTGGATGTAAGATACGAGCTACTAGGTACTAGTCACATGCTGTGGTTCAATGAGGCCAGCCTGCAGCCTGAGCTAGAAGTCAGGTTGATTGTCCATACGCCATAGGTCATAGGTCATAGGTCATAGGTGGAGGTGGCAGCATGGCAGCATGGTAGCATCACGTCAACTATCTCGGACCTGATCCCTTTCTTTCTTTCTTGCCTCTTCTCTTTCTTTCCCATTTCTCATTCTGAGTACCACTGCAAGTTACAGAAGAAAGAAATCATCATAACGTCCCTCTTCACATTCTCTTCCATACATATCGACATTTCCTGGTTCATACCCCTGTTCATCTCTCTCTTCACCCTCTTCATCTGGCGAACCTTCCTCAATTCATTTAAGATGGTATGTCCCTATCATTCCTTTCTTTTCCTTTTCCGACCTTTTTCAACTCTCTGACCAATCTCCTTGGAGATTTATTTCCTCACAAATTGGGCTATGTTATAAGAAAAGGAGATAATATAGATCAAAAGCTGATGTTAGCCACCGAATTCGAAAGAATCGGCAGTAACGGATTTCAGAGCGGTTACTGGTGCTTCGTACGTTTTCTCCTTTTTCGGACCGTTTGTTGTTCTGTTCCCTTCACCTTTTTGATTCTTCTTCAGGTGAGATGAGGAACGAATGGAGTGATCTCTTCATCTGCCTGATCCTTTCTACGTGCTATGAGGATCAGATGGATGAGAGGAGAGAGTGATCCCTTCGCCTCTCTGATACTTCTCTGGATGATATGAGGAACAAATGGGAAATGGATGAGGGGAGAGAGTGATCCCTTCGCCTCATGATCTTCCTCGAGTTGATATGAGGATCAAATGGTTGAGAGGAGAGACTAATTCCTTCGCCTCTCTGATCCTTCTCTAGATGGATATGAGGAACAAAACGATCAGAGGATAAAGTACTCTGGGGACGTAGGCATCGAGTTGAGAACTGAAGGACAGGTTGGCAACTGCTAAGACGTATCTCAAGACGTACAAAACTGTGGATGCTGTGAGTTTGTAATTCTTAATCTCATCATCACCATTCTTGCCTACAGAGTTGCATATCTCTTATCAGTTCTGTCTGTGTTATCTCCAGCCAGCTCTCAAGATTTCACATGTGCTCATTTTCCAGGCTCTAGACGCTTTTTATGATCGACAATCTTCTCAAACAGCTGGATCTTCTACAAAAGCCCAAGAAAAGAAATTAGGAGAGATATGGGAAAAGTTCAAAAGTTTGTGTTTTCTCAAATCTCCTCTCTCCTCTATTTTCCCCATATCTTGAGCCCCTCCTGCGCAATGAAATGAAACTGACAGTCAGCCCCCGGCGAGAAGATCGTCACTATAGATGGTACTATGCAACTTTGTGAAGAGTTGGAGATCGATCCTGCCTCCGTGAGTTTCTTTCGAAATGGTGATATGACGCTGAATGAGTAGGATGCAGTGTTATTTTGTCTAGCGTACGATTTAGGATCGAAAACGACTGGGGAATGGGAGAAAGAACCTTGGGTAGCAGGGTGGATGGGTATGTCTGGGAAGTGAGTGTCTACTCTCTTCAGTTATAGCAGGGCTGCTATGGGGTATCGCTCCCCAGTCGACGCTTCACACGTATCCGTTACTTCTCTACCTCCTTCTATCCCGTTGCGCTCAATTGTACCTCGCTTTGCGTCCTGTATATCCCAATGTCACTATCTGATGCCCTCTGGGCCGCCCCGGCGAAGATGGAGAAGGAAGCGAGCACATTCGAACTTTGGCTGATGTGAAGTATCGATTCCATTGAGGGTATGAAATCTCATCTTCCTATCCTGCGTCAACAACTACTTCAAGATCCTCTTTACTTCAAAAAAGTATATATGCATACATTCGACCTTGCCAAAGCTCCCGGAGCTCGAACTTTGGTTCTTGACACTGGTATGTTATGACGTTTTTCGCATCTCCTAATCTACCCTCCCCATCATTCATCATCTCTTTCTCAACCCCCTCGTTTCATCGTTCGCATGAAATCGAGCATTTGGTATGTCGGTGAATTGTGTGACTGACATATAGCCATCGACCTATGGACTTTATTCATCCTTCCTGCACTCGAATCTATCCCTTCTGCTCTGGCCAGACAACCCAACGGAGCTGACGGAATCGACGGAAATATCGACAATCCTCCAGAATTTGGGAAAGAAGAATTCGAACTTTGGTTAGATTTCCAACGAGAGAGAGGGAAAGCAGTATCGAAAGATACTTGGAGTTTATTCGTTGATTTTATAAGAACTATTGATAAAGATTTCAAGACTTATGATGATCAAGGTGAGTTTTGTGTGTTTGCAGCTACCACACTTTTATCCCTCGATTCTCCCCTTTTCCGTGTCATTATAAGGAAAGGGAAAAACACTGCAAGATTTGTCACCCCCTTCATGCCCTTGTACAGTTGTGTCTTTCCTCCTCATATTGGCGGGACATATACTGGATCAGTTACAAGCGATGACTCATGGAGACGTCATGGATACTAATGGTCAGCTGCTTGGCCTTCAACCATTGACGATTTTGTTGATTATGTCAGAAAGAAGAAAAGTCTGTGATCTGTGAAGATTTTGATAATGTGAGATGGCGTAAAGTAGCATCGAGAAGTAATGAAAAGATGTTATATGCATGTATCTCTCACTTCCTCATCACTTGTCTATCACACCGTCATCAATCAATAGGTCAATTCAGGAACTTTGACCAAACGAGGACACGGTCGCTCTGTGAGTATCCTCACTTCTGTCCTCAAACCGATGTTACTTTACCCTACCGAATTTGATATACTTCTCACTGTACCTGAACCACGAACTCTTCATGGAAGCAGACATACACAGATGAGATACAAGGAGAAACCTCGGATTCTGGTCCGGGGAGAGAGAACATGAGGATTGCAACATGAATAATCATGATGATATCGTTCACATGCATATTGTATACGAATACCCCTCAAACCACTTCATACTTCTCAACAGTCAATACTTTTTCTTGACTGAAAACCACTTCTTCACCATCCAACATGACCGCTTTCGTCACGTCCACATCTGGTAAACTACCAGCAGCGACGAATGCCACGTTGACAGGGAAAAACGTATCGGGGTCTGTACCATCACAAGTGAATTCTAAATTACCCGTAGGAGAATCAGAGGAGATGGTATCGATTGACCATATCAACGAAGAACGTTCTGCTCTCCAATCTACATCTGGTGTGGAGACTGTAGGTAGAGAATCAGGAGGGAATGGGATAGAGATGAGAACGTTACGGAGTGTTAAATGAGGGGATTCAAGTTCGTATTCTACTGCAATATCTGATTTCCCATCTCCGCGAGGTTGAGGCCAACATGTGACTGTAAAGTCAGCATTCACACACTTTAACTCCCTTCCTTCTTTACATACTCGCAGTAAACGCGAGGTAGAAAAGTAGGAGTGAAGGAAACTTGAGAGGATATCAGTGGCAAAGATGAAGATGAAGTGTGATGTGGAAAAGAAGACTTCAAGACGACTCACTGGAAAGAGGAACATTCGATTCATCCTTCGCCGTCATCCTCCATCTTAACACACCCAACCCTTGTCCCACGGGAAAGCTCCTACTAGGATCTTTGAGTGCGATGATCTTCTCCCCAGATGGAGAAAACTTCGCAACGTTCGGATGTTGTTTAAATTGCAACTCTGTATAATCCTTTGGAGCAAGAGTCAAACGAAGTTTAGACAAAGCAGCATCGGTGATACGTAGATCCAAATCACCCTTCAGTTCAAAAGACTGTACACCTCCATCGCGCAAAAGAGTAATTGCAAGTTGTTCTTTGATTGTAACGTGAACACTTCCCATCAGACGTTTCCTCTGTCACAAATTCGTCGAAAACTTACCTGTCTTGCTCCACTTTGTCCAAAACATCTGCAGAGACCTCAACGACAGGTTCTGGTTCTGAAACAGCAACAGGTTCAGGCTCGATATCCGGTTCTTCAACTTCACCTCCCAAGGCAGAGATTAAATCAGATTGTTTTCCCTTCTTTCCTCCAAGTTTCATACCAGTCCCCTTGAACGCAGGCTTTTGAGCTTGAGGTGCAGGACTTGGTGCTCGGTATTCCTGTGTTGGCACTTCGTACCTCGGTACACTCGAGTACGCCCCAGCCATACCTCCCCCACCATATCCACCAGTAGAAGCGGCTGCTGCTCCTAATTGAGCTCGCTTTTGTTGTTCTCGACGTTGCATCTCGAGTTGCTTTGCACGACGTTTCAATTCTTCTTTCGCTTCTGCCTCTTTGTTCCGAGCGATGATCTCTTGTATCTTTTCCTCATGAGATTCACCTTCGAGTACATTACGGACTTGAGAAAGAGATACAGATTCTTTGTAGCCGAGAGAGACAACTTCATCGAAAGCACAGAGAAGGTCGAAGGAATGATGAAGGATAGCTGGTTCGGACATTGCTGGGATCAAGGAGGCTATGATGCGGACGAGAAGTTGTAGGGTCGACATGTCCTGTGAGGTCAGCGGGAAGAACAGAAACTCTCGATCCATATCTTTCAACAGAAGAATGCAAGCAATAATGACCTGTCTGGAGCCATAAACGGGTGTAGGTTGAGGGATGGATTGGACACATACCTGAATGACGTTTGACCCTTTATTAGTGATCAAGAGCACGTACAGCTCTTCGAATGGCTGATACACGAACCGAACATCGTTGGTTTCCACGTGAGTATGCTGAGAGTTGGGAGTGATGAGTTTGGGGAAAGAAGCTAAAAGACTGTCTATTCTTGATCGAGGCATGGGGCGGAACTGTCTGGAGAGGAGCGCTGTGAGTTAGGGTAGCTCTGGAATATACGGGTGTGAGCTCACGTTTACCGCTGCGGGTACAGACGGAAGCTGCCAGAACCACCTGTATGTCAGCTTAGAGACCTCCCTGCCAGTCGCTTCAGCTCACCATTTTGGCAGTCGGTGTACAGTCGAGTAGTTAGTTATGGGGGGTGTAGGTGTAGGCGAGCAACGCGATGCAGGACGTCAGGTGTCAGACATCGCGGTGGAATGCACTCAGGAGAGGGAAACGCCGTAAGACCGAGTATGTGGCGCTTGTCCTCGTCCTCAAAGTCCAGACGCAAACCTACCCACCCACACTCTCTTCTCTCACTTTCTCTCGTTTTCTTTTTTCCATTTTCTCTTTCTCTTTCTCTTTTCCATCTCTAAATTTTCCGGGCTTTGAGCACTCACGTCTCTCGTCTCTAGTCTCTAGTCTCTACTCTTACTTCTCACATACCGTGTCTCTTCCCGTTTCGCTTTCTGCTTTCTCTCAGTCTCTTTCACGTCGCAAGAATCACTCAACGTGTCCCAGGTCGCCGCGCAATTTCCCTCCTTCCTCCTTTGCTGATCTCACTCCATAGATTCCACCACACTCCATCTGAGTATCTTCCATAATCACAATGACATCAACTCAACCTTACTCGACATTCGGTCTCACACCTGGTAATCATGCCGAAGCTCCTAAAAAGCCCCATCTCTATGTCGGCAACCTATCCCCTCGCGTAACGGACTACATGCTCACGGAAATTTTCGCCGTAGCTGGTCCCGTTGTCAACGCTAAAATCATTCAAGATCGTAATTTCCAACATGCCGGTTTCAATTATGGTTTCGTCGAATATATCGATATGCGTTCAGCCGAACAAGCAATCCAAACGCTCAACGGGAGGAAAATCTTTGATGCGGAAGTCAAGGTTTAATTGGGCATATCAAGGTCAGCAGAATAAAGAAGACACGCAGCATCATCACCACGTGTTCGTAGGAGATCTGAGTCCTGAAGTCAACGACGACGTGCTCGCCAAAGCTTTCGGGGCGTTTGGGAGTATGAGTGAGGCTAGGGTTATGTGGGATATGAATTCTGGAAAGAGTCGTGGTTACGGTTTCTTATCATTCCGGTGAGTTCAGCGTCTCATCCACTTACCTTCTCCATTCTTCCTGAGACCCACTATGATCTTCTTTGCCGTATTTGTGGTTTCGTCAGCCGTCGTAGCACTCACAAGCGTTGTCAAGGAGAACGTGTAATAACAAGACATGTCTAATGAAATTTTAGAAAGAGAGAAGACGCCGAACAAGCTATTAATACGATGAATGGAGAATGGCTAGGTTCTCGCGCTATTCGGGTCAACTGGGCAAATCAAAAAACGCAAACGGGTAGTTCGGGCGGTATGGCATCTATGGGTACCAACAGAAGCGCCTCCGGTGGACCTCCTCCAATGCCTCCTTCATCTTACACAGCTCCCGTCGGTGGAGTCACTCCAATGGCTCAACCATATCGTCCACCCCCTCAACCAGCATATAGTTCACCTTCATATACCGCGCCATCTTACGGTCATTATCCCCAACTCACATCTTCACCAACTCCTGCGGCACCCATCGCTCCTCTTGCCCCTGTGATCCCTGGCGTCCCACCCGCAGGAGGTGTACCGGCAGCAAGTGCGACACCTGTGATCCCTGACAATTGTACCCTGTTCGTTGGTAATTTAGGCCCATACGTCACCCAAGCAGAGTTGACACCTTTGTTCCAGACATACGGCTATGTAACCGACATCCGCATGCAAGCCGATCGTGGATACGCTTTTGTCAAATTGGACACGTCACAAGCTGCTGTTTCAGCCATGGCAACTTTGCAGAATACGATGGTGCAAGGTCGACCTCTGAAGATTCAATGGGGGAGAGAGAAACCTGCTGAGGCTGCTCAAGCTGGCTGGGGTCAATCACAGTATCCTGTGAGTCAATCTTGATCCACCTTCACCTCATCTTATCGCGGAATCTTTGCCCAACCCTTATCTCACACTCTGGCCCATATATCAAAACCCAGCCTCCATATCCAACCTTTTTTTCGTCGTGACGAGCCCCTACTTGCCTGTGCGAGATTCCCATCAAGTTTCGTAGACAGTAGGGATAAGCTAACTCAGGTAGCAAGTCGACTACTCACAATACGGCTACTACGGGGGCTATGCCTATGGCCAACAAGGCGCCCAACAGCAAGGTTGGGATCAATATTACGGTCAAGGTGGTCAAGGTTGGGGTGGATATTACAGTGAGTTTCAACTCTTCATCCACACCTACCTATTCGATGATTCCTTCACCTCATATGGCGGTGTGCTGACTAAAGATCAAGACGGAACTCAACCCGCACAGACGCAATGAGATTGTTTGAACTCTAGCATAATTCTCGTTAATGCGCATGTGATTGTAATGCATCGACATGTGATCTACACCTTATGACATCTTTTGGCTTCTCCCTCCTGATCTAACATGCTTGTGAAATTGCTCGACAATCGTCTCCAAATCCTTAATTGTCCATACGCCGGATCTAATTCATCTGTATGGTATCTTTCCCAGACTTATCTTCAACATGAGCGGGGTAATCTGGTGGACCAGGATGGTTGAATCCATTCCCCGCATATTGATCTGAAACATCGTTATTGTCGTACATGATAACATCTTTGTCTCCATCGATTTGACCATGTTCGATATGTTGATACATTGTTTGCGAGTGAGGGATGTGTGGTGATAGATGAGTCTGTAGTAACGGTGAAGAGGACTGTAACGGAGAGAATGATGTGGCATGTGGGAAAGGTGAGGACAATTTCGTCTGTGGTATCGTTGGAGAAGACAAATTGGGTATTAGATGTTTCTGTGATTTCGTAGGTGACGAGAACTTTGGAGGAGATGACAATTTTTCAGAAGGAATAGAAGAAGTAATCTGTTGAATTCCATACTCTTGTTCTTTGTCAAGTTGATTTCCAATCAATTCTGGGCTTTTGTTCAAAGGATTTTCAGGTCCTAATTGTGAAGGTGATCTTACAAATGGACCTATTGATTCTCTTTTCACACCTAGTCTGAGCTTGATACCACTTCCTCCTGTTCCACCACCACTCACTCCACCTCCTGTCCCATCTAAATTGATAGGACTTACTGCTCCACCTCCATGAACACCTGGCCATCCGATGCTCGGTGACGAAACCTTTCGCGTGAAATCACCGGGAGTAAGACTTCCTTCTCTTGGACTTGCACTTCTATCACCTTCACCAAGTTTGATTCGAATTTTAGCTTTCTCCTTCGTCCCTAATCCTGACACGAACTCGACTGCGTCCTGAGTTGAATCTGTATTAGACACGTTGACTGCCATTCGAGGTGTTTCCCCTTCTGAAAACTTTATGACTTTCCTTCCGGTAGGTAATTCACCACTTGCCCATCTTTTACTACCTCGAGGACCTTGATCCCAAGTTGATTTATACTCTTCCCTTTTCTCCTCTCCTTCTGTTTTCCCTCGAGCTCGAGAAAGAGCTACAGCATCGGGACCATGAATGGATTCACCATACAACATCAACTGTCCGTTTTCACGTTTGAACGCTAATGGTGTACGGAGAGATGTGAGTCTTTCTCTTAATCCTGGAGGGAGATTAGGAGAGCGCATAGATTCCAACAGATGTGAGAGAAGAGTGGGTGCCAGTCGATGAAGAGGTACAAGTCTTGAGGGTAGTGTAGGGGTATGTGAGGGTACTATAGGGGTTATACGTGGACCTGGAAGGGATGAAGATGCTAAAGATAGAGTTGGAATAGGTGTTAGAGGTGGGAAAGGAGAACGACGAAGATGTTCGGATAATTGCCAACGAAGTTCATTCTGTTGTAATGTTACAGAAAGGTCTGATGCTGTTGCTGCGTAGGTAGACAGTAGAGATTTCAAAGAGGAAGGAGTGGGAGCAAAGACGTCGAGGTCACTGATGGGATTAGATGTTAAGGGATCGCTGAAGGTGGAGGAAAGAGAGGAAGAGGAGAATGTAGAACGAGTACGGAACTTCTCTTCAAGGGAAAGTTTAGAAGATTGGATGGAGAGTGGTAGAGCTGCCAAAGGGGCGTGAGATGAGGCTGGGTCAGACTCATTTGGGAGAGGTGGAAGCCATAATAAATCTGGTGAATAAGGTCGCAGTATTATTAATGGATACGAAGAGGTTGATGAGGGTTCTTCTTTGACCAGTGTGGAGCTAGACCCTGTGAGGGTGGAAGATAAATGACCGTTGGGGGATGAGGGTGGACCATCGGATTCACTGTGAACTTGCTTGCCATTTTGTATGGGGGATGAGGTGCTATTCTCTCCTTCTTCGTCGTCGGTAGAATCCTGATCTGGTGGGATCTCGTCTATAGGAACATAAGACATGTGAAATAATTCTTCCTCGTGATCGGTCGATAATCCCTCTCGCAGATATGCTATTGATAAGTTTCAATTTCGTCCCATAATAGATAAAACATGAGCGGGAGTCGTACAAGCTATCGATAAAAAGATGAGTGAGGTGAACGAATTGATACGAATAGGGATGTAAGGAAAGAAGAAGGAACACCATTCACATGTCAAATCCTCCATTTCACCCGTCAACATCGATCTACTCTCCCTCTCCGCCGTCCAATCCATTACCTCTTCGACTCCACTACCCATCTCCCTCAACACCACAGCCACATCCATCGCCCCGGGCTTCCCTCGTCCGGCCATATGGGCCCGCTGTACACATTCTGTAGCGACTACCTGAAGGTATCGTCCAAGCACCGAGGAGAGGGAGAGGGAAGCGGCGCGAGAAGTCGAAGCGAACCCTGCTTGTGACAGAGCATGAAGTACGGCGAGATGCAGGATGGCCTCTGGGGATGCCATGACGACTGATGTGAGGGTCAGATGGCCATAAACCCCGAGTCGAAAGTCAGGACGTTGGGTCAAGTTGAAAAGGAACACGCGAAGACGAGGAGCAACATGCGGCGGCAAGATAGGAAGGGAAGGTGGGATCGAGTGCCACACCCGGATCAATTATCGGTGTTTTGGAAATATCGCCGGTTGAAATCTTGGGTGAGTTTTTGACAAACGACCGATTGATCATACTTTCATCACATTTCTCCTACCCCTATACCCCACTTTCTTTCAAACAGACTTCATCAGTGAGTGTTCGATATCGATAGAACAGGCAAAGGGTGCTGACAGTGGAAGAAATGGCCGAAGAGGAACATCATGAGACGTTCGAGGCCACCGGGGCCGGGGCTTCTGAGACTTTCCCGTGAGTGCTTGTTGGCTTTTTCTTTTTCTTTTTCTGTGTCACAGCAGGAAGATGAAATAATGGTCATGTCAAGAAGATGAGTAGATGATGTACGACAGGACGATTGAAGTATTGAGGCGAGGTTTGGTAACAGAAAGATCAGTCACAATAAGGAACCATGGGGAGCGAAAGGGGGGGTGGTCGTGGTGGAATGAGAAGCAAGAATGGTGCTCACCCTATCTAGCATGCAATGTTCGGCTCTCAGGAAGAACGGTCACGTAGTCATCAAGGGTCGTCCTTGCAAAATTGTTGACATGTCGACCTCCAAGACCGGAAAGCACGGTCATGCCAAAGTCCATCTTGTGGCCATTGATGTGGGTATACTTCTTGATCCACGTTAATTACGGCCGCTCATACTACAGATCTTCACTGGTAAAAAGCTTGAAGATATTTCGCCGTCTGTGAGTGGACATATTCCGCACCCACTCAGCACCCCCTCACCCCCCCAACCCAGTCCCATTCGTATGACAATTTGGGCAAACTGAGCCTTGGAAGGATGCAATGTCAAGTGGATTTGAGCAGACGAACTCATAATCAGACCCACAACATGGACGTACCTCACGTCAGGAGGGTTGAATATCAGTTGCTTGACATCCAGGATGTAAGTTTTTCTTCCTCTCATCGGAGGAAATCTGTCGTCCTTTTTCTGACCCAGCAGGGATTCCTCAACTTGTTGGACAGTGACGGTAACCCGAAGGATGACGTGAAGCTACCAGACACGGAAATTGGTGTCCAGCTTAAAGCCGCCTTTGATGAGGGTAAGGATCTTATGGTGACCATTGTTTCAGCTATGAGTGAGTTATGATTCCTGCTGTCTGTCATTCATCGATCTACACCTATTACAATCCTGATTGATATTTGGATTGCAATTGTGCGGTCAGACGCCATATGGGGAAACAAAGTTTTGTGCAGTGCTGATCCGTTCAGAGGAGGAACAGGCTATTTCTTTCAAGGAAGCCCCTCAGGGAGCTTAGACGAGTCATTTCCCACGCTGCATCCCGTCATATACAAACGCATACGAGCCAACAGACGACGCATGACCTTTTGACTTGTCCCGTGTTCCCGTGCTTTTGGTCGTGATTAGCTAGCTATTCATGTGCATTGCGTGACGACTAGTGCTGCAGCAATTGTCTGGGTATTGTGGCATACCGAGCAGTGCATATCGAGCCATCAGTTGTGACCTTCTCCCTTCATGAGTCGTCGAACACACAAGGTCTTAGAGAGGTCACTGGCCACTGGATCATGGATCACTGGCTGGATGGATGGGCTGAATCGCTGAGCGTGTCCTGAACCTTCGAATTTGCAAGTTGGGCGGTGAGAGTGAACGGTGACTTTGCCGGTGACACATTCATCAGCCCAGCTTCACTTCCTTCCTTTTCACTTGCACATTCCTTGAGATCCTCTGTACTTTTCTTACGTTACCCCCTCTCTGAGCTAACACTCCTCTCCTATCACTATAAGCAAAGTGACACAATGTCCCAAGCATCATCATCATCATTACCATCCACCACCATCCTAGTTTTGCACGCTCATCCTGACCCTCTCCCTTTCTTGTCTCGTAAGCCTATTCTTACCATCTTCAGACCGCCCTGACAGTCAGGCCTAACTTCCGCTTCAATTATCCCCCCCGACGTTGCCTTAAATGAAAAGCAGACGTGTCTGCCATGGAAGATAGATAACAAATACTACACCGCCGATGTAAACCTGAGGGTGGTTCCCGTCGGTTCAGCATCATCCGTAGGCAATACGGAAGGGATACAAGTGATCATTTTTCTCTTCGAACATTTAGTGCGTGGTCTTTTCTTCTGTCTCTAATCACTCATATATCCTTCTCGAACCCTTCGTCGTTGCCTTGTGTTGTCATACATGACTACTTGTGGGCTTCATACTCTATACCTCCTCCTGTTTCTCTCAACATACACGTTCGTCATAATTCCTTCCCCTATTTACCTCTCTCGGCTCTCTCCAGTCTGCTGAAAACTGGCAGTCTATCTTCGTGTATCCTCCGAGATGTATCTGTGATGACTACGTCCTGGGTGAAACTGACTTTTTAGCCTGACAAGCTACCACCGGAGCTCTCGAGACTCATGCGAGTCCCACGCGATATAGCTCTTGCCGTCCGGCTCTCCACAATCCCCAAGGGCACTCCTGTGGGGAAATCTGTTGCTCAGGAAGATACAGGAATTGGATTGGGAGAAGCGCAGGAACTGACGTCTGCTGAGGAAGAAGAACGATGGGAAGCAGTCGAAGAAATGTTTGACCAGCTGGGTATGGAGTTGTTGGATGAGACTAGGGTGGATGAGGATGATGAGAGACGTGAGTGGAGTTTCCTACGTCTATCATCTCAACTCTCCTATTCACTCGTACTATCCCTCTCAGATGAAAAGACACAAATTGTCTACATATCCTCAACTTCTCACAATCTTTCACGCTTGTGATCTCTTGCCCATCAATCGAGAATTTCAATGTTCTGTACTCAAATTCGGCCAGGCTGCATGAATCACGCTCTGTACCAGATGACAAAGATAAAAACTGATGATAGCCATTCCGATCCATGAAAGAGTTCGAGAGACTCTAATGACACATATGTGGCCAAATATGAGTATGAAACCTCGTCCTCGACCAATCTTTAATCCTTCAATATTAAATCCCCATCCTTCTTCTTCTTCTTCTTCCTCCTCCTTATCTCAACCTCTTAACGCCCCCCAACCCGCAAAATCACAAAGTTCAATGATGGAAGATGATCAAGATGATGATACCTTCCCTACAAAATTCAATCCCCCTCATCGAGTACCGACTCATCAACCTTCTTTACCCCTTTCACCAGGATCTGCCGAATTTCCAGATATCTCAGAATTAAAAGCTGCTTTAGGTCTTTCTCATAATACGAAAGATCATATTCCTTCTGCTGCAAGATACTCCCCTGGTGCATTCGGTGGGGATGTTCTTGATGTACCAGGATTCGTTCTCGACAAAGGTGGAGAAAAACCTTTAGTTCAGCCAGAAGGTATGCTATTGAGTTTCGATCTTGACGAAGATGAAGATGAAGTTGAAGATTTGGAGGTGGTGGGACCGGGAGAAGAAGAATATGCAAGATTAGAAGATTGGTTAGAAGAGGATGATGATATGTTTGGACCTGTACCTGCTGTTCAAAGACAAGAAGATTGGTTAGATATGGATGATAGAGTATTTTCTCCTATCATCGCATCTATCGGTTTACCAAAAGATCTTTCTTCTCCTCATCGTTCAGAGTTGTATGATCATCCTTCTTTGGTCAATAATCAAACACAAAATGTTGAGAATGATGATCGAAACATAGTTCATGTCAAACATTTTTCTCAAGACACTCTTCCGTCCGTTCCCAAACCCGACTTGAAGCAGGATCTTTCAAAAGAACAACCGTCCGTCTCACAATCACCCCCAAAGTTCAACTCTCAACTCCCTCAGCCTCCCAAACCTCAGGAGAATCAACAAGAATCCCCCATTGATGCTCAAGGTTTCGAAGACGATTTCGCAAACTTCATCTCCGCCCCTCCAGCTCGTGAGATACCATTACAAATCCCCCTCGACCCCACTTCTCTTCTCACACATCTACAAACTGTCCGAGCGGAGTTATCCATATTGGGTGAAGGGGAAAGAAGGGAAAGAGCAGCTAAAGAGGTTGTTCGGGTCATGAGGGGTATGGGTGTGGATATGGGGGAATTAGGAGAATTAGAAGAGTTGCTAGACCTGAATGAAGATGAAGTGGGATTTGAAGAGATGAACGATTTTGATGATTCGGATAATGTAGATTTGAATAATGACGATTTTGATGAGTTGGATGGGATACGCATGTCTGGTGGGATGGAGCATCTTGGAAGGGATGATGGGAATTTAGGAGATGGACAAATTGAGTCGGATCATATTCGGGTTGCGTCAGGAAGAGATGAGATAGATAGAGAAAACGGATTGAAGAGATTCGGAAATGATCCAGTAGATGAAATAGAAGGTAAGTTGAAAAGATTAGAAGCTTTGGAGAATGCTTTGGGGTGAGAGATATGTACATGCATGATAGATACGTTAATGTGATCGTTCCTGTCCCATCTTCCCTTTCACAAACCTCTACTGTCAATGTACAGTGTGTGAGGTATATACACCCTACTCGTATACGGAATATGGAAGATTCACTTTCACGAAAAGATTATGTCATCACTTCGTCCCTTCGCCTCTTGGCTGATGAAATCATCCCTCAATTCGATTGATCTTCAAAGCCGTTTGATATTGGACAATCTCATATTTGGTAAACGGATCATTGAGGTTTGGTCATATCCCTCACTCCGGGTTCACTACCATAAGCTTAGTCCATGAAACCGCTTCTTCAACCCGAGGCAATACGATGCTCAACCCTTCCTCGTAGGAGGATTGTCTACCAACACCACAGCCGTGACATCTTTGGACAACGCCAAGGAAGCATATCAGAATACGAAAGAAAAGGAGAGAAGAGAACAAAGAAGCAAGAAAAGCAAGAAAAGCGAGAAGCAGAGTAAATAAGGTGGAAGAAAGGAGGAAACAAAAATCATATGCAATAATACAGAAAGCACGAAAAGTTAGAGAAGTTTACCTCACCTAAAACTCAACATTCCTCCTTCTTGCATCAACTCCACAATCTTTTCAGCTTCAGATACTTTCATCACTCCTAGGACTTTATTCACTTCGTCGAGTTTTTCAGTCTTGAGTGCTGTTTGTAAATTCGAGGAGAAAGAAGTGAAGATTTCCCATTTATGTTGTAAGAACGCTCGGACCTATGGATCAGTGATCCGATTTAGGTATTTCGTCCCCTTTCCTGTAAAACAACGAATGATTCTCTACCAGTAGGAAAAGACAAATGACGGATGCTGATACATTCAAAAACGTAGAGGCAGAAGCCGAGTTGGGTGAAGAGATCTCGTGAGAATATGCTCGGGAGAAGATTTAGTCAGGTAGGGATGTGAGAGACGGAAAAGACCACAACTCACCTCTTCAATATCCAAAGTCTCCGCTCCTTCTCCCTCAACCTTTAATTCAGCAGGAGGAGGTCCATCAGGGATATTAAACCCTATTTGCATATTAGGATCTTCAGCTACTAATTGAATTTGTTCTCTATCTTGACTTTCCTCAGCCATCAATTGTTGTGTACGGGTTTCGATACGAGCGTAAGTCGATTTAAGATCTTCATTGAACATCTTGATGGACTGCGGATTACGGGATATCATCCTGATTGGTCAACATATATGGTCTTTCTCAATCGACTCACACCAGCTCTCAGTGAGCGTCAAGTGATGTAAATTGTCGGAGAAGTTGAAAGTGGCGGTGGGGAGAGGAAGTGAGGCTCACTTCTGGAAAAACAATCCTACGCCATTTCTCCCCAGTTGTCTACAATAATTAACCAATAAACTCTGATGCACACATCGTTTTGCCAAAGCCTTATCGCCTCGTCTCTCAGCATCGAACGCCTCACCGAGGATCGCATCGTGGGTTTGCTCAGTAAGTACTGACGAGTCTTTTTGAATGAAGGCGTAGGACTGTTCAAAGTCCCCAATAGGGATCTGAACGAAAGCTCGAGCCGCGGAGGAAAGGGTGAGGTCGGTTTCGTCGTCGGTATCGTCTGATGATGGTGGAGCGACGGTTGAAGACTATCATCAGTGGACTTCGGGAACCACACAGTAGGAGAGGAGTCCTAACATGGGCAGTGTTGAATGTATCCGATATGGACATGGGTGAGAATACAGAAGCAAATTTCATTTCAAATGAGATATCACTCACACTTGCACCAGGATTCAACACTTCTATAGTCTCCACTTTTTTCGCTTCCTTCTTTACTGGCTTAGGTTTATCCTCCAGCGGACTAGGCTTTACTTTCACCACAGAAGAACTATCCCAACCTTCATGAATGTCCTCTGAAGTGATCCTCTTCTTTTGCTCTTGTTCCTCCTCCTCCATTTCTTTCTTCGCTTCCACATCTCTTCTATCCAGTAACTCCAAATGCCAGCTCAGTCTACTGACCAATGCATCTTTGATCTTAATCGATTTGGTTTCAGGTATTACTCCCGTCGCCCAATCTGGAAGGTTCATAGTATGTTCCACCTTCTTTTCTTCGAATTTGACCGTACCGTCTTCGATCACAGCTCCATCAGCGATGTAAGCAGCTTCGAGAAAAACATCTCCCAATAATTGTCCTAACATCTGATCGTATGTAGGCTGATTGGGCGCGTCGGTAGGTGGTTTTTCCGGCGAAGGCTGTTCTTTCATGCGTCGTTGAACAGCCCGGAAATGGTCGACACCTTTCTCTGACGTGCCGACCAATATGGCCTGTATACGTGGGCGAAGGACAGCGTTGAGAGCGAGTTCAGTTTGTAATTTCGAAATCTTGAGTTTTCTAGCTTGTCGTTTCTCATGTATATCCCGTTGTTTCCATCTGTGAAGCATAAGCTCCTATACCTTTGAGGAACGCAGCAAAACTCACCGGATCATACTCTTCTTGTCGACGTTTGGATGCTCTTCAATATCGGAATCGTCTGACAGCTCGAGTCTGTCCCATTTGGAGTAGTTGAGGGGCATGATGTTGAATAGTGTGTGATGTTAAAGCGGTGTGAAAAGGGTAGTTGTAGTTGCACTGTACGAGATGAACTTTGACGTGTCGGTGGAAAGTGGTCGAAGCGGGGTAGACGGCGATGTCCGCTTTTACCACGTGGCTCCCCGCGGTGGGATGTGGCACCGTCGCACCGCTCACTTACTCTGTCGCCCCCCTGTGCATTCCCTCATCGATCATCAACCTTGTGCCCAACATGTCAATCGCCTTCTCAGATCCAAAGCTGTTACCCACCTATCAAGCTATTATAAGTGGTACTGCTGACTATGACTGGGCTCTATTCAACCAAACTGCAAATGAGCTGAAAGTACAAGCGACCGGAAGTGGGTTGGATGACCTCGAGGAGGAGTTCATGGATGGTCGGTGAGCTGTCCTTACTCAATTCCAGCTCGTTTATCATATTGATCAACAGGATTCAATATGCTTTTGCCAGAGTTAAAGATCCCAGCGTCAGTCATGCATACTCATAAACAATCCAAAAAATGGGCATTGACAAGCAGAGCAATCTTGATAAATTCGTCCTCATTGCATGGTGTGGTGAAGGTGTTCCCGAATCACGAAAGGGACTCTTCCGTACGTCCCGTCACTCTCATGACTAGGCTACAAGCTGATTATAAGATACACACTTGAGTCAAGTATCCGGAAAGCTCCTCACTGGCGCTCATTTAGTCATACAGGCTCGTTCAGAGGTGAGCTGGCCGGCTTGGACGGGGAACGCAGCTCATGTGAGCCAGCTCGATGTGACACCAGCGCATATACATAAACGTATACAAGAATCTTCCGGATCAAAATACTCATCTTCTGCGGCAGCTCCTGCGCCTGTCGCCCCAGCTAAAGTCACTCCAAGCTATAGACCAGGTCAAGGTTTGGGTGGTACTCAAGGGAAGGTAAGCGACATCTGAGTCCAAGCTAAAAAGTGTTTACTGATGTACAGCCTGCGACCGTCTCGGCACCCGCTTCGTCATTCACCAGGACAGTCCCAGTGGTCAAAACTGCCGCGCCAGTGGATCCCACCCCTCCTCCACGTCCCGTAACTCCACCTCCCCCTCCTGAGCCAACCCGACCTGTCGCTCCACGTGTCGTGTCCGCCGCAACACCCGCCCCATCTGAAACCGCCAAACCAGTATACGACGACCGCATCGCTCCTGTAGGTACAGCATACGAGCCTGTCAAACTCGCAACACCTGGAAAGTTGGCCAACCGATGGAATCCTGGTGGAAGTACCACTTCAGATTCTCCGCCTTCAGGAACAGGAGCGAGTATCAAAGACCGCATGGCTGCGTTTTCGGGTGGTGGCACCACGGCGGCACCCCCTCAACCTAGCGGGAAGAAACTGACATGGTCCGAAAGACAAGCAGAGGCTAAGAGACAGAGAGAGGAAGAGGATAAAAAGAGCGCTGCTGCCAGCACTGCTGTGGGCCTTGGAGTTGGGGCGCTGGGAGCTATCGGAGTGGCAGCTGTTGCTAAAGCAGCCTTCTCTGAACCAGAAGCGGAACGAGAGCCTCCCGCAGAGATTACGCCTCCTCCACCACCACCACCCCCGCCGCCTGCTCCCTCCTCTCTTCCAGTAGCATCAAAGGCAATCCCTCCCCGTGCCCCATCACCAGGTTCAGACGAGGAGAAAGAGGAAGACGATTGGGACGCCCCACCACCTCCACCTCCTATGCCTTTCCGTCCCGAACCTGTGGTGGACGAATTTACACAAGAGACTTTCGCTCCTCCACCACCACCTCCGCCCCCGCCTCCTCCCCCTATGCCTTCTGCTGATCCGGTGAGCTACCTCCGACTATGTGAACAGTAGCTTACGAAGGACAGCAATTGCAAGAGCTGGAAAGGTTGAAGACTGATCTGACTTTGGAGGAAGCACCAGGTGCTGGTGCACCTCCACCAGTACCGCTGGCTTCGAGACCCGGTGCGACTACAGCAGCACCCACCGCGCCTGCTGGGAAGATGGCAAGGGTGACGTTTGAGTATGAGGTGGGTGTATACTTCCGTCATTGAAGATCTTTCCTATCAGTCTCAGACAGTAAGCTGACAATCAGGCTCAAGAAGAAGTAAGTCTTCAAATGATTGACCTTCAAAGTGAACTAATATATTAGGGAGAAATATCTCTGTTGGAAGGCGAACTTATCACTCAGATTGAAGAATTAGACGAAGGATGGTGGAGTGGGACTAACCCTCGAGGCGAATCAGGTCTCTTCCCTAGTAATTACGTGGAGATGGAAGAACACGTAGAAAGTGTTGAACAAGAAGAACCAGAAGTACCTGTTGCACCCCCAGCTCCACCTCCTCCACCTGGCGCTGCTCGCGCGGGAGATGTAGATGAGGGAGAGGTGTATGTCGCCGCGTATGAGTGAGTGGTGATCCAAACTCATTTACTCTTCACTGTCCACTATACAACCCGCGAACATTCATCCTTCCTTTGTCTGTTCCCTGAACTTCACTCGTGGCCCGTGTAAAATCATAGCGGCGTTGGGAACATAGCGGAAGTTAGTGGCTAGGGGGTTAGAGTGACGATGATGCGTTACATGTGAGCTGGTCAGCTGACACACAGTTATGCGGCTCAAGAAGATAATGAAATCTCTTTCAACGAAGGAGATAGAATAACCAATGTTGATAAAGTCGATACGGATTGGTGGCAGGGTGTTTGTAATGGTAAAGAAGGTTTATTCCCTGGTATGTGGTTATTTCTCTTCATTCCGATACATTCTCCCGCACCTTCATTACGATATCAGCCTGGATTATCATCGTAGAGGACGCATACCGTTCCCTTTAGACTTAGCGGACCCATCTAGTAGGTGATGAAACTAACGACATAGCGGCGTATGTCGAGCCAGCTTGATAATATCTTCGTTCGGAACTGTGAATACAAATGTGATGCATGTTTCGTTGATCTTCTGTCTTGTCCTCTCCCATGTCATACCTGTGTCCAATAAGAATACCCTCTGAAGTCTGATCAAAGGGATTAGCAGTGAAAGTTCATGGAATGAGTAATTTTTGACCGATACAAAAGACTGCATGCATGGATATGGCTCTGCCCCTCCTCGTGCACACTCCCTCGCATCACCTACTGCTGCTCTTCTCATCCTCACCGGGAAACCAACCCCCACACCAACGACCTAATGTCCATGTCCCGTCCCTGAACCGGTGTAATCATACAGACTGAACCCGGGCGGAGGTGGAGGAGGCGACATGAAAGCACCCATCCCTAAATTTGTCGAACCTTGTCTCTGAGGACCCATTCCTAGACCTCTTTGACCAGGAGTACGATTATCTCCGTTATTCCCCATTGGTGATGCCCATAAATCCGTACCCATATTACCTAAAGCTCCTAATGGTCCAGCAGAAGCAGGAGTTGACCATCTGTCTCCTGCACGTAAACTCGTGGCCGGTGTGCCCCATTGAGATCTGACAGGAGCTCCAGAACCGATATTACCAAATGGACCTGGTCCCATGGATTGTATCGAGTTGGCGGAGAAAGAGTTCATATCGTGCGAGGAAACGCTAGACAAACTTTGACCCATTGGGACGGTGGGTGCCTCCCATGATGTCAACGGAGCAGGGATGATAGGTTTACGTCTGGTATTACGAGAGACTATCTCATCATCTTCTCCTAAAGCGGCAGAACCAAGAATTTGAGTGGGCATCCTAGGACTGGAACGATGTTGGTGTTGATGTTGATGTTGGTGATGATGTTGACTGGAAGAAGCGTGATGATCCGTTCCGATGGGTTGGACTTGATGATTATTCAGACTTTGATGAGGATAAGGTGATTCGGTGTAACTAGGTCGACCGATGGGTGCGACGGAAGCACGTCGATAATCGTCTATCATATTGTCCACTTCGTTGGATGGTCCACCGACAGGTATGGATCGAGGTAATTGACCGATAGGTACCATGTGTGGGGAGAGATCATCAGCGGAGGAGAGTCGACTGGTCGGAGTTCTAGATTGATCGGGATATCCTAACCCTATGCCGATTGGAGCAGAACGGAGTGCGTCGTATGCCTGAGCTTGTGAGGTGGGTAAAGAGATGGGTCCACCAGGGGCAGAAGATCCAGGTGCCAGTTGGAAAGATGATTGTGGCTGCGTAGGTGGGTAAGGACGAAAATTCGGTGGAATAGCGGTTTGAGGAGTTCGATTGACACCATAACTCACTTGACTCGCTGGTGGAGGGAAAAAGTTCGCTTTGGGTGCAGGACGGATGGGTGCAGATTTGACAGGAGACGCTTGTGAAAGAGGAGGAGATGGTTGAACAGGTTGACGGAAAGCTGGTGCAGAAGCTTGCAACATAGGTTGAGATGTGACGCCGTTCCATGATCCGGATCCAGATGCGGATCGTATGGGCGTAGGCTGGACAGGCGTTCTCATAGCTTGTTGAGCGGCGGCGGCAGCAGAGGCAGCAGCGGCCAAACGCTGTCTCTCCTTTTCCTTTTCAGCTTGTAGTTTCGCAGCTGCGGCAGCTCGTTCAGCGGCCTCTTTCTCAACTCGCTCACGCTCTTGTTGAGCTTTGAGAGCAGCAGCAGCTTTCACTTCTTCAGCCTTTCGGGCTTCTTCAGCGGCTTTGGCTTTCCGGATCTCCTCTTGTTTCTCCAACTCACGAAGTCGAGCCTTCTCAGCCTCTTCTTTGGCAATGCGTTCCTTCTCTGCTTTCTCCTTGGCGATTCGCTCCCTTTCAGCCTTCTCAGCTGCAAGCTTCTCTTCCCTTTCACGCTTTTCACGTTCTCTCGCCTCTCTCTCTTTCGCCTCACGTTCCCGCTCACGTCTCGCCTTTTCCTTCTCTTCTTCCTTCCTTTTCCTGGCCAGCTCCTCCTCCCGTTCTCGCTCTTCTTGCTGCCGCTTCTTGCGCTCCATAGCCACCCTCTGCGCCTCTTCTTGCGCTGCACGTTTGCTGGCTTCACGTCGCGCCTTTTCTTCGTTGAGTTTACGTTGCCGTTCCCTTTCCTCGGCCGCACGTTGAGCACGCAGAGCTTCAGCTTCGGCGGCAGCGGCTGCCTCTCGGGCTAGCTTCTCTGCCTCTGCTTTCTCCTTCATGGCTCTGTTGACTGTCAGCATTGCTCCAATCTGTTCGGCCTGTACACAAACGATGAGTGGGGTTCATAGCAGGATGGAAGAGATGCGAAAGTATACACACTTCTTCTTCTCCTTCTTTTTCTGAGCTTCCTTGGCCTTTTTCTCCTCTTTAGCTTTCTTGCTGTTCTCTTCGTCCTCCAGAGCCGCTAGAAGATCTTCTTGATGTCTTCGTGACTGCCGTTCGAGATAAGCATCATATACACGTTTCTCAAACATTCGAGCTGCGAAGATCTGGAACATGCGCATGCCCTCTTCCATTCGCTCATGCTCTGTGAGGGGTTCGCTGATCGTCAGCCTTGATTCATGCATGTCGGATCGATCAATGGTATTGGTGGAACGTCCTTTTCCGCACGGCAGTAGTAGCAGGAGAGATTTGCTTGGTGGGCGTAAAAGATAAAAATCGGTGAAAGAGGAAAGGATGAAAAATGTGATGCTCAGAGGAGGGACTCACTCGAGGCCATCGTCATCCTCATCATCAGTCTCAGCTTCAATGTCCTCAGCGTTCATCTCCTCTCTCTGAGCACGGCAGAGTGACAGTTGCTCCATCATTTCGACAAACCTTGAACTATCGTTCTTCAATAGGTCATCGGCAACTGTAAGGACACCTCCTCGCACTCAGCTTCAGCACAAACGGAGAATCGTAACTCGTCCCTGCTCACCTTTGATATCCGCAAAATTTGCTCCGAACGAATGAAAATCTTCCCCTGTCCCAGCCGGTCTAGGCACGGGCACTTTTGGTGGCAATTTACGAGCCGGGCGAGTGGATGGAGGATGAGGATCATCGATTTCGTCCCCTGCGTCCGCTTCGTCAGAGACGACATCATCTTCTTCTAGATCGTCATCTTCAAAATCGTCCTCGTCATCATACTCGTCACTCTCGTCCAGATCGGCGGCGGAAAGCTTTGGGTCCGGTGCACGATGATCAAGTTTGACAATCTGACCATTGGCATCTACCTCTACACTACCCGGAAAGGGTCCGGCACCTGGAGGAGGAGGTATTTGACCTCTTGCGGCAGCTCGTTGATGTTCAACTTTTGTCTCCATCTCCGTATACCAGGCCGTGTACAGAGCTTGGAGCTCGCGTTCGACTGTGGCTTTCTTTCGACCGCATACCGCACATGCACAGGAGTTACGTTGTTGATCTCGCATCTTTTGCATTGTCTCCTTCACTTCAGCACTGAGCAGTTCCCGCCGTTGAGCCTCGTTGAGCTCGAGCCAGAACTGCTGTATCTGCACGCGTGCTTCAGGAGAGGTCTGCTGCCACACTTTGGGTGGCGGGGCGCTGGTTGTAGCTTTGCTTTTCGCTGGCGCCTTGGCGGGAGGAGGGTGATTGTGGTGCGTGTGATTGTGAGCAGGAGCGGTGGCTGGTGCCTTGCCAGCTGCTCGGGCAGATCGCGGTGGATTGGTGGTGGACGCCGGGGTGCTGGTCATGGGTTGTTTGCCGGCCGCTCGGGAGCTAGGAGGGAGCGGTGCGGTCCCAGGGGCAGGGGCTGGGGGAGGGGGCGGAGGATTGAGAGCAGGTTGGGTGGGGAGTTGAGATGGTAGAGGCGGTCGAGGAGGTTGCTTCACCGCAGGTGGAGGTAGAGTCGCAGGAGGAGGATCCGGCATCGGAGTCGCTTTCTTCTTTTTCTTGTTCTTTTTCTTTTTCGGCAGATCTCCATTTGCAACGACATGTTCCTCAGCCTCAAAATCGTCATCGTCATCCAGATCGTCGTCCCTTGCATCAGGGTGAGGATGAAAGCCAAGCTCGTGGGCTAAACCCGGTTGAGGATATTGCCGTCCGTTTGCTCCGGTCATGTAGTTCGACCCAAGACCGGTACTCAAGCCCATTCCTTGACTAGCGGCTGACACTATACGTTGTGCCATCGAATACAACTCCCTTTGCTGACCCTGAGCCCCCTTTGGCGCATCACCGTTGGACCTTCCTTGGAGAGGGACGGCGTCTCTGACGAACTGTCGGATATGCGGAGGCAGCGAAGACCAGTAAGCATCATCATTGCCAAATTCGGGATCGGCCATTCTCCTATACAACTCGTTGGCTGCTTGTACCAAATCCTCGTGAGAGATGTTGAAATGAGCCAAGGGATTACCCGTGATCGGTGCGCTGGCCTTGAACGATCCCACCGAGTAGTCGAAAGATAAGGGGAGGTCGAAAGAGCTCTGAGCTGTAATGTCTACGGCAGGAGGGAGAGGTACGTCGTCGTAAAATTCGGCGTCGTATTGAAGATCAAGAGGATAGGCGCCAGGAGCGAACAATTCGGAATCGTCGGGATAGCCAGAGTCGAGAGAGTCAAGCTGATCAAGATGGTCTCTGTGGGCCTCTGAATCGGATAAGATGGAAGAGGTTTGTGTGCCTGCCTGAGCCTTGGCCTTCTTTGAGCGCTTCTTTGCGGACTTGGAAAGACCAGGATTAGAGGTGAGGGTCGCTGGTTGGGACATAAAGTGAGAATGAGGAGACTGTTAGGTATCAGCCTAATCGATCCCATTCTTCATTTTTCCCACGATAGTCTTTGACCTTTGATATACTGACGACCTATTACTCCCTCGGAATGACAAAAATCCGAAGTTTATGACATATGGAATGGGTCTCTTTTTGATGTTCGATCGAAGGCTGCGCCCTTGACAGCATCCCGAAGGATTACCCATAGGCATGCAATATAAGGTTGGGAGAGAATGGGATGACGGCACTCACCTCTGTGTCCTCAGAGTCTCTCTTGTGATTACTGCAAGATTGATAGGATGCTCGTAGGTGATCCAAGGGGCAGATAAGATGATGTGTGATGATGCTGTAAGAGGAAGGGAGGGGGAAGGGGGGCTTGACAGAGGGGAGAAAGAGGATGTGCTGTCGAGAAGTGTCAAGTGACCCATTCCTCGCCAATCGAGAAAACTCCGATAACCCCGAGACGAAATGCCACGTCATGGTTCTCACTTGAGAGTTGCCCCGCCCTCCACCTCTCCCGTCCAACGTAGGTCCACCCATTCTCTTCCAACAGTCATCAACCATGCAATGCTTCACCCCACTAGACGGCTTCTCAGTAGTTCATTAACAAGTGGAAGGCAGCCGCGAGTATCTGTTTCTCAACCCACACCGTACTCTTGGGTACCTAGTGATGGACTGCTCGAAGCGGAAATCAAGGCATATCGTGCTTCCACCGGTCGATCCTTGGTTCAAAGACACATTGCGATCAAGGAAAACATCACATATCGTCATGCACCGACAACATGTTCATCTTCCATCTTGAAAGGTTTGTACCAGCTAGGCCGTTGGTAAGCTACGGCTGATTGTCAGACTTCAACCCAGACTACAACGCAACATGTGTCGAGTTATTGCTCCAGCAAGGCGCTGTCATCTGCGGCCAAACCAAGATGGATGAGTTTGGCATGGGGTGTGTCCGAAATCTGACTCCTACCAAGGCTAATATGCTAGATCCAACACCACCCATCTACCAGAGGGCTATACGCCGGTGTATAGCCCCGGAGCGCCTGTGGACGATGATGCTCCTCGATCTGTAGGAGGCAGTTCTGGCGGCTCAGCCGCAGCGGTGGCCGAGGGTAGTTGTTGGGCGTGAGTAGTCGTATTCTGCGCTCCTTCTTTGAAAACGAAGATGATCATGTGATGTTGATGACCAGAGCGCTAGGCACAGATACGGGAGGGTCTGTTCGACTTCCAGCCAGCTATTGCGGGGTAATCGGACTGAAACCGTCTTACGGACTGATTTCCCGGTATGTCCTCGAACTCACTTATCCAGCTCAATTTCCGTCCATCTAACTTGAGGTATTACATGTGAGATGGATGTCACTCACGACGTCAGATTTGGTGTCGTCTCCTATGCCGATTCGCTGGACTGCGTCGGCATCCTCGCTCGAGATATAACCATTGCCTCTCAAATCTTCTCCACTCTCAACCACCCCGATCCTCGTGACATGACCAATGTATCATCTGTGACTCGTCAACGTGCACATACACTGCTCATTCAGCACATCGAAGAGATTCAACGGCATGGAGGTACAACAGGCGCATTACAAGGGTATCGCATTGGTATACCCAAACAAACTCGTCTGCCAAGTCCTCACCTGACGATCCCATCTGAGCTTATAGGCTATCTGGAGAACCAAGGAGCTACTGTGGGGTCTGTTGACATACCGTCCTGGACCAAGACCCTCCCGGCGTATTACGTGCTGGCCAGTGCGGAAGCTTCAAGTAATCTGGCTCGATATGGGGGAGGATTCTTTGGATCTGCTCAACCGGACGGTGAGGACGGCAGAAGACGAGTCAGAACGGAAGGTTTCGGAAGGGAGGTGAAGAAACGTCTATTAGCGGGAACTTACGCTTTATCGGCAAAGTGAGTTTAGCCCATAGTACGACAGAGGAAGATGCTGACGAGACAAGTCAATTTGACAATACCTATCTCAAAGCCTTATACCTCCGACGAACACTTCGACGAGAGTTTGACTCTATATTCCGTATCCCTCATTCGGTCCGATCTTATCCGTCCGTGTATGAATCTGCTCCTAACTCCGACACCACATCTTCGTCACCACGCCCTTCATCCACCTCGACAGCAACGTCTGCTTCAGATGGCGTCGACGTGCTCTTACATCCTACGGCTATAAGTACGGCCCCGCCGCTGTCGCAGACTCTTTCATGCGAGTCCGAATACGCTCAAGATCTCCTCACTGTTCCTGCATCATTAGGCGGTCTGCCGTGTATGAGCGTCCCGGCCGGTGTTGGTTCCGATGGTTGGCCTATCGGTATGAGTGTGAGCAGTCAATGGGGAATGGAAGAGTTGGTATTTGACGTAGGGAGGGTGATCGAACAATGGGGTAAAGGTGAATGACAATCCATGATGAACCCTTCTCCTCGGATGTGTGTGTGTGTATTCATCCATCACTTCCTCCAGGGGGGCCTCTTGCATGAACAGGCTTTCATGCATACATTAATGTTGTTATCGTGAATCACGGAGTGAGGTCATCCAATAGAGGTATCATCTTCCTTCTCACCACTCCCAGTATTTTCTGAGCTGCCAATCTTCCTTGTCCCAAAGCGAGTTCCAACTATCATCAGCCCTCTTCATCAATTTATCATGCTATCCGCTCCAAACTATCATACTTCCCTCTCCAAACATAGACACCAGACCTATTCCCGGGAGAACAGGTAAGATTCGCCCATGGTCACTATGTTTACAGGCAAGATGAAAGCACTCACCTCGGATCTAGAGAAATCTCCCTCACTTTCCGCCCATACCAACTCCCCTTTTCCTTCTTGAACCCCTTCTGGAACCTCATCAACCTCCATACCGTCCATTTTAGTCCCATGCCCACTATGAACCTCTTGTAGATCATCTTTACTTTTATTCCTTTCTGCTATACCATATCCGTACCCAAACGCCCAAGCGAAAATATGTCTACTAATCGCCTTGATCTCTTCTTCCACAGTGGGATCAATAACCAATACCAGCACCTCTTCTCCCGTATCTTGCGTTCCATAATCTCTTCCCGACAAATCGCGTGACCGACGCGCGTCAGATAAAGTTAAAAAAGCAAGATTGATACTGATAGGTAAAGCCATCATTCCAATACTCCCAGAATCAAGTAAAGATAAACTTAAAGCATTCAAACAAACAGATCGATCCGAAAAGAAAATCTTTCCTTCTCCTATTGGAGCCGATCGTCTTTTCCCTTTGTCCCTCATCTTTCCTGTCGTAGTATCACCATGAAAACTGCCTTCCATAACACCTTGGTCCGGGATGTCCCGTGAAGGGGTCGGCCATACCCCTTTGCTCGAGGGATCGACGTCAATAATGGAATTGACGGAAGTGGTAGTGAACGATGAAGGGGAGAAAGATTGAATGACTGATTGTATCATAGATCTAGGATGTTTATCAAGTTGTAATATTGATGAAAAGATTGATTGAAGACTTTGTTCGAACGAACGAGAAGAAGTAGAAGGGATTGAATCTAATGGACGATGAATGATTTCCAATGTTGATCCAGTAGGATTTTCTTTGAGGATACGAACTTCCAACGGACCGGAAGAGGATGCAAGGGCTGATGTAGAGCCTGGATGGTTAGCTTTTGCCAAATATCTTCTTCTCTTATTACATAGTGGGTTTAATTGTTTCGCTAATTGACGAAAAGTTTTCTTCGTTTCCCCGTACTGAGCTGATTGGCAAGCTCAAGCTCACATCATCCGACTTGAGCCTGTAATGTTTGAGGAGGACGGGAGAAGAACGGTGAGTTATGACAAGGTCAGATCAAAGTCAGAAAGTACGGAGCTGGAAGATGGGGCATCTTAGTCACTGCTCGTCTGTAGGGCATACCACGGGGTAAAGGGGGGGGGGGGGGGGGAAGGACTGACCAAAAGAAAATCTGGCCGAACCGTCCGCTCTATCCAATTCACCCAAATTGATGGAAATCGGTCTATATTCCAACACTCCTCTACGTTGTCTACTCGTCATGTTGTTTACTATGCAGCATGCACCTCTGGTCTGGATCTTGAGTATGACAGACTCGTCTGAAATTTCAGAGCTCAGGCAATTGAACACTCAGTGATAACCGGAGAACTCATTATGCCACGTGGGATTATGACGTATGAGGGTCCGTGCCTGGATGGAAGCTATTCTTGGTCCCATTCGTCAATTGCATCTGTACATCCTTCTCTTTGCCTTCCAAGTGGTGGTGACTATCGCAACTCCTCATTGACGGTGAGCCCCCTATACTATTATTTGAACTATCGCTATCACTCAAATGCTCCATAGAAATAGAAAGCCTTGTCTCGTTTGAGTGACTTATATACTACAGGTGAAGGGGGAGATAAGATGAAGCACGGATCATCCCTCACCTTCTATGTACGGTGTATGGACGGTGGAGCAACAACAGACAAGAGCTGATGGGTAGTTTGACCTCAGAAAAAGATCAAGAAGAATACTTTATAATGTCCGCCAACGCAAATCCGAGTCCTACAGGTCCATTACCTGACGAAATGGGTAAACCATTGGAAGAGTCTTTGACACATATCGTCGCGAATTCCGAGGCTCATTCCGGGGCGAAGAGGGATCAACTTGCACGTGAGTTACTCTCTTTCTTTTTCAGCTCTTCCAGGTTATATCATCTCCCTGTCTCCCTCTTTCATCCCATTACTTCATCACATATTTGACTGCCCCCAAATTGAGTACTTTCACTTCGTTCTGGACTTTCCCCCTTCCCCGTTCGATTCCCAAGGACCTGAAGTTTTGAACCAGAACTCTCTCTGGAGAGTTAGGAAGTCACAAGTTTGATGCTGACCCTTACTAGCTAGTGAAATACGAGCCGATGCGGTGCACTCTCATGGTCCGGCCAGTACGAAATGGATCGCCCACTTCTTTCCATCGGCCGAGACTGTAGACAAGGTTGGTGTCGATTATAGCTCACTCCCCCATACCCCACTCTGCCCAGGCTTTACTATCGCCGGTACGAGAGTCCGTTGCTTACCGTCTAGCTGTTCACTTACGAGCATATGGGTAAGCTTTCCCCTCGAAGTAAATGAATCTCCATTGAAAGAAAATCAGGGAACTATGTAATCGACAGACAGACAGGACGAAAGATCTTTGAGACTATGCCAGTGTGTGAGTGAGACTGCTGGCCTCTTCAACTCCGACTGAACATGCACGAGGGAATGCTGATGATCAGACGTCAGAGTCGGCATGCATTTGCTCTTTGTGTCCGGGGTAACTCAACCGCTATCACGAGAATTGCCAGCTGACAGTCAGTGCACGTATATGACCTATCCGTCGGTCGAGCAATTGCTTGAGAAACAGAGTATCAAGCGTGAGTATATTCCAATGAAGTTCTGTTGAGCTCCCTATTCCGGCCTCTGAACGAACACACAAGGACGAGGCAAGATGGAAGAAATAATGGAACTGACGAACAGAGGGAAAGATTTACGACCAAACAGGCGAGGGAGTGCTCGAGCACATCCGGAGTTTTGTGGAGACCTACCAACTGCCATTGGACGAGCTCCTGGTACAGGACCTAACTCAGTATCCTGTGAGCCTCATTTCCCCGCGGTCACAGATTCAGAGCGAAGTCGTGTCAGATACCCAGGTTGATAAGAATAGACTTTCAACTCTTTCTTCTCGCGCAGATTGAAAGCTACCGCACGGCCTATCACTTTACCTGAAGATCCGACTATCCTCGTGTCCCCTGCCGACTGTCGAATGACTGTGTTCCAGACTGTTGACCAGGCAAAACAGTTTTGGTGAGTGTCCAGATATCCACGGTATTTCTGCTCCTGCTCTTGTGAGAAGGGTGCAGGAGCACTTGACCTGAAAGAGCTGATGATCAGGATCAAGGGTAAAAAGTTCACCATCCCTCAATTGCTCAACGGCGACGATACGACCGAGACGCGTTTCTCAGCACTCACCGATGATTCGAAATGTTCGCTGGTCATTGCCCGCTTGGCGCCGCAGGACTATCACAGATTCCATTCCCCTGTTGAGGGTACGTTGGTGGCTTTGAAAGAGATCAAGGGGGAGTTGTACAGTGAGTGATGAACGGTGTCCTTGAATGAAGCTGACGAATAGCTGTCAATCCGCAAGCTATCAACGAGGGTCAGTCCTCATTTTATCCTTGAGCAGCGACCTGTCGCCAGTTCATGGAAGGAGCTGACGGGCAGATCTCAATGTTTTCACTTTGAACAAACGCCAGGTCATGCTGTTACATGTCAACTTGGGTCCGGGAAGGGAGGCAGTACCAGTTGCTTTCGTCGCCGTTGGAGGTGAGTCTTCTTTCCGTTGTGTATCTATCCGGACATCTCACTATCGACTTGAGGGCCTTGCGCCAGAACAGTGGCTGGGTATGACATGGCCCTTTTTCACCTGGATTGAACATGGTGCTGACTCTGAGCAATGCTGGTAGGCTCGATAGGATGGTCTAAGCAACTCGGAGATAAAGTGTCCAAAGGTGAAGAGCTTGGATGGTTCCAGGTGAGTATTTCGTTGCTATTCTCCCCTTCACTATCTCGCGCTCGTTCAAGCTCGTTAATTGGGTTTCAGGGATCGTCGACAACATTTGCGCGTGACTGCACAAGCCTCAGAAACTATCTCTCGCGACAAGTGGGATGAGGGCTAACAAATCAGTACGGGGGCTCGACGTGCATTGTCGTTTTTCCTTCTTCCGCTGGACTGGAGTTCGACGCAGACCTGCGGGACAATTCGGAACGTGAAACCGAAACGTTGGTCAGAGTGGGAATGGAGATCGCCAAGGTTGTATGATGTTTGATAGCCTATAGCCGGGTTCATAAACCCACTTAAGCAGGGGTGGACAATGTAATGACGAGGTGAAATGAAATTATGATGATCTTGTGCATTTGACAAGTGTCTACTTGTGATTCATGAAGATGCCGGATAGTATACAACTGCTGATCAGTCGGTGGAAACGATTGGAGCAACGAGACAGACCAGTCGAGATGCTGAGAGTGACTTATTTCTTGCCTTTGGGTTTATCCTTGCTCTTACTTGATCTTCCTGCTCCCCTGGTGGTCAGCGATACCCGAGCCATGGACCAGTACAGACGAGATAAGATGAGAATAGATATGTTTCACCCATTCGTATAGGCTTCAAGATGACAAGAGAGTCGATTCGATGAAAGTTTTCCTGATCAATCTCACAGAGAGTGCGAAGGATAAAGATACGCACGAGTGAAAGAAATAGCGAATAAGGAAGGACATGAGTCCAAAAGAGTTGGTAGGGAGGAAGAAGCAACGTACGGTTCAACTTCTCCTACTCCTCGCATGATTGTTAATTTCCCACCTGAAGCAGCTTTTACCATTTGTTTTTCAATAGAATCGTTGATCTTTGCGCTCAGTTGCTGAGAGTCAATTTACGATCCAGCATCTTCTCAACATGCCCCGGTTTATATCTTACCGACCAGTAACTACCGAGATGAGTGATGTCGTTCTCTGACCGCCGGCGTTTTATAGACCAACACCGCGCACCATGCACCATGCACCAAGAAGAGTGAAGAAGAAATCAAAGTCAATCAATACCCACCCTTTTTTGTGCGGCCTCTTGTACCCTCTGTTTATTTTTGGGGGCTATCACCCTTTTACCTTTTCTCATCTTACCAGTATCTTTCCTACCTCCCGAATTAGCCTTTGAGCTGAGTTTGTGTGCACCTTGCGCCATCGTTTTGACAAAGTCGTAAAGTTGTACTTGAGGTGATTTAAGCGAAGGATTGAATTGGACTAAAGTGGATTGGTTCCGGCTCAAAAGCTAATTTTGATTCCGCGGATCTTCGGTCATGAGCGCGGTGATCCGAGGTGTAAGGTAAAGTGTGTAAAGTCTACTTAAACTTACCCTTCCTTCCTGCTTTAGTAATCTCTCAAGTCGTCTCATAACCCCTCGGCTAACGGTCTTGAATTTTAAAGTCGGTCTTCAGACTACAGTAGTACCACTTTCTCAAATAATCCTCGACTTGTTCAACCCTGTGATCCTGTGAAATCACGTCGTAACGCGAATTTATCATCTTCTTCATCTTCCCCAATTCCCCTCCACTCTTCGCCTTCTTTCCCCTGTCAACCAGCTGGCTTCCTCCATTTCCAACTCTACCCATCACGAGATCATTCCCTCTTCTTCAAGTATCGTGAGGTATAGTCCAATTCAATAACAAAGATGCTAGACCTTATACCTTCTGAAATCCTTTCTCTCATAGCTTTTCACTTATCCCTCGAATCTCTTTCCCCTCCCATTTCTCTTCTATGTACATCCAAACCCCTCTATACGGCATTATCCCCACGAACCAATCCTCGTCTTTACTCTCGATTATTCCGTCTATCATTCGATACCTCAGCTCCCACTCGTCGACTTGGGAGACGAACATTGACAGCAGGGGACTTGGCGTCAGAATTGAAAAACAGGGTGAAAGTGTTGAACCGTTTGAATAAAAGAGTGACCAATGGTGATGTCACTCAAGTGTCAGATGAAGAATTATGGACAGTTTATATTATGATGATTGAAAATGGTAAGTTTCAACATTGGTTATCTGAGACATCCAAAGGTGAGAGTAAGGATTATCAGGCTGATTATTCAGATGGGTTAAATATCAAGCATTTGATCGGCAAAGATGCAAAGGTTGATTTGATAAAGTTTTTGAAAATGTATCATGAACAACATTTGTTAGCGGCGGCTATCGAGCCTGGTTATCCTAAAGAGACAGTCGGACGATCTTTAGCGATGTGGATTGCGTATTTGTTGAGTGGGTATGGTGAGTGGCTGTCATCCCTCTAAAGTTTCACTCTGTGTCTCTTTCACTTGCACTTTCCTTACGAAACTATATCATTCTTCCCAAATATGAGATTTCTCTGCGGTATTATCAGATGCTGCCATGGTCGAATTGAAGAAGTAATTTCATTGCCGCTGTGGACGGCATCTGATTGAGGGAAGTCTAGCTAGTGATCAGCTCCAGTAAGCCGACCTGTGGAACAAGCTGACATGATCCAGATACAAACCAACAAGAACATCCGGAAGATAGAGATGAAAGACTTTTTGTCTTACGTCCATACGTTTTCGCAGCTCAACAATACGAACTTTATTACGGACCTTGGACTCTTCCTGATCTCCCTTTATCCCTATCTCATCCTCATCTACAAGCTCAAATCCCAGATCATAATCCCTTTATTGCTGATCTCACACCTAAATCTCGTTTACAAAAAATAAACTATTTCGGCTCTACTCTTTCACTTTCTCATCCGATGTTATCACACGCTGCAATCTTACGTTTCTTCGCACGATCCCCTTCGAATCCTCTTGACGAAGAAGATGATATTCAAGCTCCGTTCATTGACTTACCCTCTGGATCATCTAGAACAGATGGAGAACGAAAAGGTTCTTCGGAGATGATAGAACATCGTCCTGTTTTGTCAGATTCAAAAACTCACGATAGGGATTTCAACAGGTTGATTTCATGTTATGATCCCTCTGTATGTAGAGGTATGTCCCGTGCTGCTTGGAGAGGAAGTTGGACAGGATGTTGGGAAGGTAATTTTTCATTCTTCGATTTTGATGCTTTCAGAGAAATGTTAGCTGGACATAGTAGAGCGTTGTATGAAGGTCCATTTGGAGAACAAAGACAAGTTTGGAGGATAAAACATACTTATGTTCGACCTATTCGACATGGTGCAAATTCTCCTTTACGTTCCTCACCAAACAAATCTTCTCAACCTATCGACAATTCTGATCCTTCAGTCACCGATGGAGAAGATACGCAAGGAACGGAGAAAGATGCGAAAAGAACGGATGAGGGGTCAGAGTTGGAGGGAAGAGAAGAAGAAAGAAGACCGAATACAGGATTACCTTTAACAGGACCAATAACGAATGCTGGTTTCCCCACTGAAAATGCTTCTACTAGAAATGCCAGATTAGACAGTCCAGCAGCTGAAGCCGCTACCATAAGGGATATTTTAAAAGGACAAATTGAGGCTATCAAAGGGTATGAGGAAGTCCCGGAAGAAGAATTGGATGAAGCTTTTGGAGATGATGGTGGGGAAAGTCAAGGTTTGGAAATGATTTTGACAGGGACGGGACATAGTGCTTGGGGGAGGTTTGTGTTAAGAGGAAGAGTTAGAGCTTGGGATGGGATGGCTTCTTTAGTGAAGGAATATGCGGTGGGTCAAACCTTTTCTGACTCCACATCAACAATCCTCCCTCTCGAGGAGATCATAAGATAGTCTTCATACACTCTCTTCCGTTGACTAGAAAATAAATATCGTACTCAAGATTCCACACGTTCAACGGATGGTACTTTCTGGTGTAGAGCACTTTCTTTGTGATGCTGACCATGTCGGTTTGAGGGGTCAGAAGCCCAATACAAGATTTTGAGAACTGCTCATGCTACGGAGAAATGGCTTGAATCCTATGTGAAAATCACTGACATGTAGCCTGATTCCAGAGGGAAATGGATTTATCGAGGATATATACTTTCCGGTGATGTGTTCGTTGGACGTTGGAGAGATACTTTTACACCTGAAGCTTTTGTGGGTTACGAAGGTACTTTTATACTGAATCGAAGATCTACATAATTGTGTATGAGCATGTTTGGGAGAGATGATTTGGGTATTGTTGCATGTATTGTCGTCATTATATTTTCGTTGACTATATTTACTTTCCATAATTCCAAGTCTCCGGATCTTCGCTTTCACCCTAATCTACAATGCCGTTGCGACGAAAAGTATCATTTCAATGGTCGATGATTGGAGAGCAGTTGGTAATCGTCATCCGTCCCACGCTGAGACCCGCTTGTTCTCAAGACAGTTCTGCTCTCGGATCGGTGCCTTGCTCGAAGGGGCTACAAAGTAGGTATACTCATCTCATTGTATGTATTTCCCTGACCCATCACGGTCGACGAATGTCTTCTTCCTTACTTTCCCATACGCATGCTTTACGTAGATGACCACTCTTCACTCCCCCTCCCCCTTCACACCCATCTTATACCTCCCCACCAACCCCTCCGTCCTCTCCTTGACCACCCTTTCCATCTCCATCTTTATAACCCCACAACCTTCCACACCTAATAATAACATCTCTTCAAACCTATCCACATGTAACCTAGTTTCCATCTGTGCCAAAGTAACTTTCCCACTAGCAGGTAAACAAGCGACGACTAAAGAAGGTAAATCTGATTCTTCCGGTTGTGAAAGATCTAATAATGGTTGAGTTAAATGAAGACCTAAAGATATAGAAGTGAGATAATCTAGAAGTGGTATACCTGCATCTATCAAAGCTAAAGTTGTTGCGTTTATAGCTGTGGGTAGGATACCTAACATATTAACACATGACAACATGATATATACTGTCGTTATGTAAAGACTCACCTCCATCAGAACTTAAAACTTGTACATTTATCAAAATTTCACTACGTGGATATAAATTCCCCATGATGACAGGTTCAAAACTTTGTTTTAAACTCATTCCCATTTCCACCAAACGACGATCTCCTCTAGTTCTTTTCATGCCACTTTGTTGAGACCATGGAGGTACACCTACTTCCACAGTTAAAGTAACATGATCGTGTGATGATGAAGATCTGATACGTGGTTCACGAGGACCGAAAATTGTTACTGTTACAGAAGTCAAACCGGATGTAACGGTTGCTGAACCGTCTGCTGTTGGATGAGGGGATAGGAGAAGTGATAAAGAACGAAGTTCGTATGGACGTCGAGCGTCGTGTCGTAGACCTGGTAGTCAGTGCTGGCTTCTTCTCGGTAACTCGAGCGGATATTTTTCGTGGGCATAGTTGTACTAGGAAGGTGCAAAGAGGTGGGAAGGGGTGGAGAGGATGGGGAGAACTCACCACCATCGTTCAGTATTTCTAGCCTAGAGGAAGACATCTTTGTACGTCTCTACTGGTCTGCGGGTACCGGGTCTTGCTCTGCGATGCTGATTGCTTTACCTGGTCGGTGAGTGATCAGTGGTGGTCTGGTTAGATCACTTGAGTGAACATTTCCAACTTTTGGTAATCGGCGAGCCTATGTTAAAGGAGAAGGGATGCTACAGCAATTTAGCGAGCCTATCTTCTCTTCGCTCGGACCCGATTTGTCCTGGTATCCAAATCGCTCATCCTTCATCTTGCACTCACTTTCCACGCCCTCTCTCTTTCTCTCCAAGCATACTCTCTACTCATGTCCTTATCCATCTCTTTCCTCGCTGACAGAGACCTCTCCTCGTCATCATAATGAGCCTCGTGGCGACACATCAAACCTCGCACAGCATGTCCCGTCGTACATCCCGTGACCTCAAGGACAAGGAACGAGAGTTGCACGACCGACACGGTCATGCTCATGTACATACTCATGGACATTCGAATCATACGCATACGAGGAGAAGAAGATCGAAACCTGGAGATGTGGAAGATTCTAAAGAACCTTTAGCTGGAGGTAGTATGGACGTTCATATTCGAGTTCACACCGCCGACCGATTCTGGCGTGGTAAGTGATTCCCTCATCTCATCTCCAACAACTGAATGCCTCACTATATCTCTAAGACTTGTCAGTGAGAAGTATGCTATCTGCTACCAGCTGTCATTTGCAAGGGAGGAAAGTTCGAAGGACAACATTCCACTTCTTGTACTAAATATAGCACCATGTTGATTTACAGAAATCGAAGCGATTTTAGTCGTGCCCGATCCCCCCACCCTGATCCAGCTAGACAACACTTTAAGAATGTTTGTCACCTTCTGTGCGGCTTATCATGGTATGTCTATCATATCCTCATCTCCTCAATGTATCAACTAAGGAGAGATTCGTAAGAAGCGAGCTGTTGTCGGATGAAAGGAGGAATGTCGCTCATGTAAAATCAGCCAAGTACCTCCCCACGACCCAGGACATGCAGAATGCTATGTCTTTGCTGCTCGACTCGGAGTTGTTCACTTATCACTACGAACGAATGGTGGGGATCATGATGGCGGATGCTCAGGAAGTGAGTCTATATCCCCTTCCACACAACGTCATGAACCTACGGACTCTTCGGGGGTTATACAAACTCTCTCGAGGCAGAAACACACTGAGTCACCCTGGAGGATGTTGTTACAATTTCGAAGAGGATGGAGCTGACGAAACAGAATACCAACCCTCACGATCTGTATATCATCTACCATCTCATCCTTTACTACGGCCAACGACATCCAAGTTTATTCAAGTCACATCGCAAATGGCGCAAGTTACTTCCAACTCTTGGAGAGGTTGTAGGACTGGATCATGATGAGGCGAGTAACTTATCCACATATCACTCTCATGTTCGAATGTGCCTTCCCTTACCATGTCAATCGTGTCTTGAGGAGAGTATGGGTCCCAACCTGCCCTTCCTCTCTATCAAACACGAACTACATCTCTTGATACTGACATTGGCTGACTGCAGACCTACGTGCTTGGACTGCCACCTATCGAATCACGCCTTCGTCTGCCGGCCACAAACCTCATGTACGAAGTCTGTCGTGTGCAAAAGCTCGATGCTCAGGAACTGGCTCAGTTTGACGATACCTTCATTGATCATCTTTTTGATCTGGTGGAGGTGACTCGGGACCAGCAGGACGAGCGGCTGAACTATGCAGTCATCAAGCTCTTGGTGAGTAACCAATATGTCTACCTCCACCCTTCATCTCTCCCTTCATACTCATACCGTCCTTTCCTTCCGCATGAAACTAACACGCCATCTCTATTTTCCGCCCTGTTGTCCGCACGTATAATTGGCTGCACGAGTCTCCCAAATCCAAGGTACTATGGATGAGTTCGGCTAATGAACAGATCGCCCTCAATGAACAATTCATGGTTGCCACCCTGCCCCCGAAGCCTCACAAGGCAACCTTGTCTGCTCCTCTCGTATCCACGGCCACACTGCCTGAACCCGAAGACTATTCTCGGCCCACTCAATCCACGTCGGAGGAAGCGCCCACCTCGGGCCTGCTGGACACCGGTGCACAAGTGAGACATCACCATCGTGCTCATTCAGCGGAACCGGGACCTTACACCCATGATCACTCGGAAGAGGCGAAGAAGGGGAACAGAGTGTTGGTGGTCTTGATGAGAAGGTTGGGTAGTAGTAAGACGTTTGGGGAGAATATCATTTTCATTCTAAATCGTGCAGGTGAGCTGCGGTCCTACTACCAACCTAAGTGACTTATATGCGGATGGGCGATGTCGAGAAGGGCAATGATGATGACTCTGATATCATACAGCGTCAGCTTCTGAGGAATGTCCATTAAGCTGATTTACAGAAAATACCCCCGAGGGTCTATCGATGCAGCTATTGATCCTCAAAATCTTGTATCTCCTTTTCACTACTCCTGGGACCCAAGAGTACTTTTATACGAACGATCTGAGAGTCTTACTAGACGTGTTCATTCGCGAGCTGGTGGATTTGCCAGCAGAATGCGAGGCTGTGAGTCATCAACTGTTCCTCCCCGCTTGCTTCCCTTAATGATAACCTGACAAATCCAGTGTAAGATAGACGGTGAAGTAAAGGACTGATACCCAGCTTCGACATACATACCTCCGAGTACTTTACCCCCTTCTCAACCATACGCAACTTAGGAACGATCCATACAAGCGTGCTCAAATCAAGCTCGTGTTGAAAAGCCTGATATCCAACGGCCATATACAAGAAGTGGGCAGTACGACTCTGCGCTTAGTCGAACGATGTCTGGAAGAACCTAAACATCTGGAGAGGAGTATCAGGTGGGTCTTCCCATACCTTCACACATATCTGACGTGTCCTCCAAGCTGACCCTTACCACGTCGGAAGCTGATATATAGTGCCAAAGATCTTCGACAAGATTCTACTTCTTCAACTTTCTCGTTGGATTCCGTTACCGCTGCATTACCCCATCCACTCCCTTCCAAACCTTCCCTTCTCAACACTTCCGTCTACACTTCTCGTGATCCCGTAAGACAATCTTCTCTCGTAGACGTATCGGAATCATTAGCCAACGGTCAAAGACCGAATTCTGCTTTATCTTCCCGTTCAGATGTCTTGTCCGATGCTACTTCTCCACCGAGAAGACGTAAACCTCCTGCTCCTCCACGAAAGAAATTCTCAGTGGCAAGTAGCACCAGTACCGATGGGGAAAGTCGGATGGGAACGCCTATGATGTCACATGGAATGTTGACAAGTGATCAAACGGGTGAAACGGATAAGAGTGAAGGGGAAAATGGGAGAGTGTATGGGACTGTACCGATTATTCAAGTTCATCCGGCTCAACCTTCTTGTCCAATACCGGGTTGGATCACATTTGGGTGAGAGAGATTGTTGTATTTATCGTTTGGTTTGGATGCATGCTTGAAGAGTGATCTTCTGCTTTCACTTCCTATATATATCGTCACAAGTTACATCTTGACTCTATCTCACGCCTTTCGATCCAATGGTAGCTTGTCATTCATGATTTCATATGGGACATGCTGGGCATATGGGCATACTGGGAATGAGAGAGTGAAATGCCACACGTACGGCGTCGATTTGGTCTCATCGCCGTTTCTAATTCTTCATCTTCATTTCTCGTTCTTCATCTTACTTATCATCCAACTTTCTTACATCATGCAATCATGCAACACTTTGTCACTGTGCATACATATCTCCTCAATGTATGTAAACCTCCCAGTGTGATCTAATTGCTTGTTCTCGTTGTTCTTCGTTGTGTGGTACATCCTATTTCTTTCTCTCTCAATCTGTGGCCTGATGCTGACATTCTAGTTATAAAGTAATTGATCCTTCTCCTAATGCAGATAGATACATCGAAAGAGCTCTAAGAGGTGATTCTGTCGCTGCAAGTCTGATGGATATATTATTCAGATTATACTGAGTTTAAAAGAGGGGAAAAGACGGAGAACATAATATGGTCTGAGGGGTTCTTGTAAGTAAGTTAAATTCTTCTCTCTCCTTCTTCCACTATTATCTTCTTCCACTTCTTTCCCTACACTTCTCTGCGTGAGATAGTTCCTCACTCCCAGGATCTCTATAATCTCATCATCATCATCCTGTTGATCATCCACATCGCCATCCCCCTCTTTCACCTCGACCTCCATCTTCTTCTCCATCTTCTCTTTCTTTTTTCTCTTGCTCCCTCCCTCCCTCCCTGGCTCTATCTTGATCTCTATCTCTGTCTCTCTCTTTGCCTCTTTGCCTCTTTTCAAGTGTTACCATGCTCATTAGTATAGAACACAGTAGACGGCATTATGCATCATCTTCCATGAATTGACTCGAATGTGGCACTTTTTGCGCTCAGATATCGTCCAGTCTGTCAGATATAGGAAACATCTCTTACATCTGCTTTTGAATGCATCATAAAAGACCGGAAGGTAGCTGCAATTGTACTGGTTCTAACGATGGTACTTACATGCATTTATGAGGTGTATTGATGAAGTTATGGTAGCCTAAAGTTCAATGGTTCTATCATGAAAGATGAGAAATGAAAGGTGAAGAATGAGAAACGGCGATGAGACCAAATCGACGCCGTAACACGCCACAAGTACGGTGGCCGGGAAGTCTCAGGTTAACTACGCCAAACGCCAATCTCCTGCAACATGCAACTTATCATCGGTCGTTTCCTCTGTCACAAAGGTATCAATGACATGCATTCTCCCATACATAGCAGATCAGCTACTCTGTCTCATTCAACACAACATGATGGAAGTGACGATACTGATCCATTCGATCCTGGGTATTCTTATCAGTTCAGCAAGTGAACACCACCTGCCTTCGACTCCCACTCCCTGCTTCTCCCCCTACGCTTTCCCCTACGTTTCCTACGCTCCCTACGCTTTCCTTGTACTTCGCCAACATCGGAGTTATCCCCATGAACGCAGCGCTGTTCTTGATAAATGGTGAGGTACCGACCGCTGGTAGTGGTTCCAACTTATGAAGGTAACGGTGGGCCAAGAAGCCAACAACATCGCCAGGATACACAGGTATGGTACATCCAAGTTCAGGTAGATGAAGGACAGCAGGAGACGTCAGGACTGAGACGATTGTGTAGTGATGGCCTATGAATGAGTCCGGTACATCACTGATGACTTGGGGAGTCAACTCACCATAGTCCTTAGCATCGATATGCCATTCCGTCCCTTCCCCCCATGAGACCGCTAGCATCATACCCATTCCTCCCAGTCTTATTGCCTTCGCTTCAGAGTGAGTACTATCAAGACTTTCAGCCGTTTTCCGGAAACTGGAGGGCATTTGAGTCGCCCTGTCCGTGGGAGTGGTTTTGTTCTCGTACTTGGTTTTCAATCCTTTCAGATAATTGTGAACATGCCAATGGTTGTGTGCCATGGATATAGCTACCTTCTTATCAAGACGATGAAGCATTGACCTCGGCTTGTCACCAAAGATACCATCAAAGGCTTTGACAAGTTCAAGAACTTCTTTTTGAGAGCCTTTCTGTCGAGAGTCGGCCGATATGACACTATGTTTGGCATACCTACACCATACACCAAACCACCACTGATGGAAATCGGCACCTCTAGAAGCTACCGTGTGAGACCTGAGGCCAACATCCCACACGTTCTGTACCAATGTGTAGAGAGTTTCTTGCTGACCTGCTGAGACCATACCTTTCAGTCGGAATGCTGCATAGCAGGGTATAGACGAGTTCCGAGACTGATATTCGGGGTTTGGGATGAGGAGGTGATCTGAATGTGATAAAAAGGTCTGTTTTTGGAAGAATGTCGAGATAAAAAGTTCCTCAGACAAACCGGCTGGGGAGAGTAGGGAAGGATGATAGACAGTGTGCCGGAAGCGAGTAGGTAGTTGGAAGAGGAGGAGTTGATCTTCTGCTTGATTCTTGTGCTGACGACGAGCTTTATTACGATCCCTAGTCATATTGAGGTATACCAACGAGGAGCGCAATGTCAAATGAGTTCAACACTGTCTCTGTCTCAGGGTTCCCGGTCAAATAATCAAAGGGGTGTGCGATAAATTACACATCAGCAAGTGTTAGGTATAAAAATTTTTAGCGTGGTTTATCAAGGAACAGCGTAGTTAGGGTTTTACTTCAGAGGCCCCCACCCACGTTCAAAGTGGCAGATGTGGCACTTTGGTCCGTGTCAACTGAGTTGTCCCGTATGATTGATACACATCAGTATTCCCATGTCACCCCTCACGAGGAAGTCCGGTCTAAGCACATTATTCATTCATTTTGAAATAAAAGTTGACCTAAACGGTGCTATCTAATCTTAGCCATGTGTCTTGATAAGAAGTCTCACCACTTACAGTCAATCTCAGTTACTGGACTCATGATCCATCGACTCATTTTCATTTGTCTCGTTGCCCATACCGATCGCCCCCGGTTCATGACTTGATGAGACCTGCAAAGAATCAATTGTCAAGTAGAAGATAGGAACACAACTTACATTGTCATTTGTACCCGCATCTTCTCCTGCCTTGAGCTTGGCTTCATGTTCTTGCTCAGCTTGTTTGAACCACCATGGCATGGGTTGTCGGGGGACGAACTTCATTGGCCGAGGGAACGATTTTTGGAAGCCCTTAGGAGTGACTAATCCAAGGTCTTTACAAGCGTCTCCACAGATATGTGCATTCATGAAGCTGTTCAGCATTCCCGCACCCCCATCACCCATGCTGGAATCACCCCTAGCACTGCAAGTCAGTTGTAATCGACTATTGACAAACATGCTCACGTATGAGTAACAAGATCAAATAGATGAAATTGACCATGATCATTTGTTCCTTGTCTCTGCTTTCGTGACTTCGCTACAGGCAAGGTAAGGAATCCTGTTCATTATCAGCAAACATATTAATCACAACGGAATTTACCTTGAATGTCGGCAATGACTACCATTGCTGCCTCCCTTGCTTCTGCCGTTTTGGCCCCATTGATAGATCGATGGAACACAAAGTGTGTGAAGGCATACATGAATCGGTACAACCTTTGATGTTGAACTTCAACTTCGACTTCATCTGGCGGGGAGAATTCATCGGTATTGTTGATTTTGATGTAATCTCCAGTACTTCGAAGATCAGGCTCCACCATGAAAGCTTCATCCTTGTTCAGTCCGGACGTTATCTTGATAAGGAAGCAAGGTGTGTATATAAGGGTTGGTAGATCCAATTCTTCATAGGTATCCTTGAGTTTCTCGTTGAAAGCTTCGAGATAGGAGGCCAACAAGATAGCCTTCTTGCATTCCATCTCAAGAAGTTTCTGGTTGACATATGGTGTCATGGTCGCAAGAGACAAAACTTTTTTATCAAAACGGAAATGCTTTTTAGCAACAAGTTCGATGTCCTTGTGACGGAACTAGATTTCATCAACTCTTCTTCAACTGTGATTGTCACTCACCTCAAAGGCCTGCTTGTGACTGCCATTATCAAAGGGCTTATCAGCAAGTAATCCAGTTTCAGGGGCACTCCGCACTGGAATGAAAGAGCCATCATTCCTTTGCTGGTAGACAGTTTTGATGTATTCAATAGATTCAAATATGATACCATGTGTCTCTGAAATGGAATCTGCCATACGACCTGCGTAATTAACCACTACCATGATTACAGAGAAACTTACCAAGTGTGGCATTGTTCTGCAGTGCTGTGCTTGACACACGGAAGCCCGCAAACAAGTTACTGATTGGTCCCATATTACGTCCAGTGACCACAGTCTTGTTTCTTCCAGTGACAATTGATATGCTTGATGTATCACTACTGTTGGTTGAGGTCCTGGTATATGGAGCGGAGGCTGCACATCGAGAAAGACGAGAAGTAGACAACAACGAGCGGTGAGAACTGTGAGATAGCTTGTCGTTGACTGATTGTTGACTGGGCTCAGGAAGCTTATATGAATTCTACAAAGGTCAGCGGTTTGTGCCCTGCTTGTGATGCTTGCTATATAATGACACACCTTATCATCCACGGTCAACAGCAAGAATATGCGGATAAAACCAGTTTGCTCTGTATCCTTCTTCACAAGGTAAAGCCGATTGACCTTGCAATATGTTGTATAGAACTCATGCAGGCTGAGGGGAAGAAATTCGTTTGGAAGGGCGATCGGCTCGTTCTTGATATTGGGTAAAGCTGGACGGGGATTACATCTGTGTGTCAGCACTTAAAATTATGGTAGCAGTATTAACACTCACTGTTCGTAAGTACGCCCCGTCTCCTCTTCTCCCTTTCCATGTTCCCACATGGCTTGACCGAGTTCTAGAGCCTCGTCCAGGTTTGTGTCAAGAGTTTCTTTCCAATTGCCGACGAACAAAGAGTCAAAGACGGCGGGATTCCACTCTTGAGCTTTGCCATCATGAACTGCACATCAGAGACATTGTCAGGGCAAAGATCACTGGAAGACTTACTTATCAGGATTCGTACCTGCATGGCAGGACCCTTCGAGTTCAAGCCTGCTTTCACAGCAGTTTTCCTTTGAGCACGCTCATCTAGTACCCAAGCACCAGGTGTGATCCCCTGCTGAGGCATGGGGAGACTCTGCCTAAAAGTAGCTCCCTGCAGTGCAGCTTGAGCAATTTGACGATTTGCTCCCAAAGTTTTGGTGTTATCCACATTGTCAGCCAAAATTCCTTGTTGAATATACGATGAAATAACATACTTTCACGTCTGCATTTATCGCAGATTTGAGGATCTGCTTTCTCTAGTAGAGGTGTCTTCAGAAAACACTGTGTACCAAATATCCCGCAGGTCAGACACTGTGGTCGTGACTGAAACTTTCAGCACAACTTCAACCAGCTGCACTGCTTACCTCGTAATATGTGATATCCTTCTTATCAGAATCTTTGGGGTTGGTGCTGACCTGTTCAATCTTTTGACATTTCGGGCATGTCTCAAGCTGGAGGCAATCCTTTACGAATGATTTCTGACAATCACGACAAATGTAGGGCATTTTCTTAACTTTCTGTCCGTGCAAGTAAGTTCTCAAAGGTAATGTAGATTCTAGGTGTGTGATGTCAGTAGATGGAATGTGAGCAAAGGAGTACGTTCAGTCTGGGTATCTCATTGGTGGAATTATGTTCATCGGGGTTTGGAGATGTGGCAAACAACTGTGCATCATATCTCCATCCATAGCTTCTGTAGAGACTCACGTGCACCCGCTTCCACCTCCTTGAATAAGAGCCAAGCTGCTTCCCAGTTGTCGGGTGGATAGATTAGTCCTGATCCCTCCACAATACCCATGCAGATAGTGTGAACATCATTAGATACCCAGGCCATCTGTGCACGGGCATGAACTTCAGCTTGAAAGTCTTCAATTACACTTATTTGAGGAAAATGCTGTAGGCAGTCCCTGCCACCCCAGCGAGTTGGATTGAAATATATCTCATTCCTTGAAGCCCCGGAAGGGTTTGCTTTCTCTTTCTGATACCAGACTGGGTAGGAGTTGAAAATTTTGACGAAGTCGTCAAGATATTTCTGGACTAATGGAGGGATGATCCAGTTGATGAGTGTTCTGTCGTCCATCAGCATGACATCTTGTTGAAGAAAAGGTGTAGCTTACTGATGAACAGGATCACCGTCGTGAACAAGACCTGAGCTATAGGCAGAATAAAGAGCAAGCTTGACTTGATCCACAACATTCTCTCGTACATTTCTCCAGGAACGCTCGATGGTGATGTTGTGAGTGCTCTTTAGCAATTTGTAAGGAAAGACCTCATCGGCAGGTACAGGTGAATATGTTGATCTGGGCGTCAGATCCAGTCTGTTGTCCATAAGATGCGGTGAAGACTCACCGAAAAGCAACTTGTGAGGCTACCACTTCCCCAATCTCTGACCCGCGGTCGCTTGCAATCTGAAGTGGAAATCCTACAATCAGTTATGTGAGAGATATTGTGCAGAGGAGATATCACTTACCTGTAACCTTCAACACAGTGTCCACAAATATGCAGTGTACGTCTTCACTTTGCCGATTAGATGGCATTGCTTGCAAGGCAAGAAGACGTCCAGAATAGACATCTCTGATCCCGTAGATACCAATTCCGTATGAGGACAATTTGTCATGTCCATCAATAGACCATTGCTCATTTGGACCAACAGATATGATGGGGAATCGAGCGACTTTCTTGCTCCCAGGTCGACGAGACTGCAGGCCTTCAGGAGCGTATTCTTTCATGGCCTTGTACACCAAGTCACTATTGTGGCTCAGTTGAGTCAGATGAGCAAGTGAATAGACTCACCGAGGAACAAGAAGTCCACGAAGTGCTAAGCGGTGAGTCATTGCACGTTTGCCAATGGCCTGGCCAAGATCATCCTCCAGCTCTTCTTGCATTGCTTGAGCAACATCTTGAGTTGACATCTTGGTCTTGCGTGCAGTACCAAGCCCAAAGAACCGAGTAGCACGAAAAAAGCTTGCTCGGGATCTATGATCAGCATCATCAAAGCGGAAAAGCAGACGGAAAAGCAGACAAATACACCCAAAGTTGATGCCATGTTCTTGCTTCAGTCGTTCGTTGATTGCTTGCCATTGAGTCATTCCCTCAAGGTAATATCTCTTGATGGCACTGCCGAGCTCATCAGTGTACAGAGCTAGGGATTAGCATCCAGAGAGAGCTGCAAGAAGTGTTGACACGCACGTGAAGCTGGCTTGCTGTTCTTACCAGTTGGATTAGGAGGTTTCACGTTGTTGATCAATGATAGAAGAGTCTCTACACATTGTGGGTAGGTCTCATCAAGGTGGATGTCTGTTTCGTCTAGTGGTAGTGTACTATATTCAAGACTCATGTCAAGGAAACAAAGATTGGGTGAAAGATTTGTCAATATAGTGAATGAAAGGTCATGAGTGTTTCCAGCGGGCGAAGCCGGGAAACCTAACCTGAGACTTCCCGTCCACTGTACACAAGAGAGGTCCGTGCTGAATCCTGCTACATAGCTGCTTCTCCTCTTTCCTCCACGTCACTACTACTACTCTCCTTGTTTTCATTCCTCTAACTTAGTCTTTTGTGTCAGTCACATCGTCAACAATGACATCTTTCTCACCTTTGATATGGCTCGATAAAAGTGTTTCTCATCTCGCTTCTCTGGCCGATGATCCGAGTATAGATTGGAAGAATATAGTAGTAGCTTGTACTTGGTTGCAAACCGCTTTCGAGGTTTATCTATAGTACGTCTAAGCTATCTTTCTTTCTCTCTTTTTCTCCATTCTTGTATCCTCTTACCACTTTTCCAATCCTTCCTTAATCCATTGTGTTCTCCTCTTTGACTTGATCCTTCGTTACTCTGCATGGTCCTGGAGATATCTTTACTTTACATGGTCCTGGAGATATCTTTACTCTACATGGTCCTGGAGATAATTAACAGTATTCCCCGCTCACACATAGTTCTCGTCAACTACGATGTTATTCTCTCCCATCCCCACCACCAGAAATCAAAGATCATCTCGATTCTACCACCTTCTCCAAAGCTCAGAAATACGGTAAAGATAAATGTCGTCTGGAATTGTTGAAAACTGTTTGGTCACAGTTGTTAAGTTGGGGTTTGATCAGTGGAGGGTTCTATGTTCGGGCTTGGGGCTGGAGTGGGGAATTGATGAGAAAATTTGGTCTGAGTGAGGAGAGAGTTGTGAGTGGCTCCCCCCCCCCCTCTTCCTTCTCTCTCTCTCTCCCACACACACACACACCCCTTTCACAAATTATCCTGACATGAAGTAAGTCTGTCATGATTCTATCATGGTGGACTTTAATGTGTGATTTGAATGGGTATGATGGGAAATACTTTCTCTCATCTTGAAAACTTACCTTCTCGTCATTCGGCCTTCTGTGTGACATGTTGGAGCAAGGAGAAATCGCTGAGAATTTAGATCACACACTCTTTAATCTGGTTCACCATCCTCTCTCTCTTTCCATCTTTACTTTCCCTTCCATGGGAATATTACCGGACTTTTGTCATTGAAGAAAGACATGGGTTCAATAAGTCTTCTGTGGGACTTTGGATCAAAGATCAACTGGTGACTTATTCTTTGGTCGGCGTGATAGGCTTGCCTTTGTTAGCTGGTCTCTTGAGGATTATAGGGTGGGCAGGAAGAGCTTTCGTTCCTTGGCTTATGGTTTTCTTGTGGGTACAGATTTACTTTTCCAAAATTCCTCCTGCCATCTCCACCATATTAATGCCATCTTCCATGGACTGTTGGCATCGTCGTCCCTCCTCTCTGCCGACGATTTCTTTCTTGACTTGTACTATGACTTCTATCATGACCTGTACTATGACTTCCATCTTTACATGCTATCTAGGAGTCTCGAAACTAGTCACATAGTATTAGGGACCCCATACGCTTTTTTCTTGTCAGACAACTCTACAGCATGGTATTTCGGGCTCGGGCGGATTTGGCTAATTCATAGGATCTCCATTCAGCTGTTACTACAAATCATCTTCCCCACTTTCATTCAACCTCTCTTCAACAAACTTACCCCTCTGCCGGAAGGTGAATTACGAACCATGGTAGAGAGCTTGGCGAAGAAGTTAAACTTTCCCTTGACACATTTGTATCAGATTGACGGGAGCAAGCGAAGTTCTCATTCGAACGCGTGGGTCGTCCCTCTGAAGTTCTTGACTCTGATGACCTCATGACATCCCCACTGCCATGATGGTGTCATGATTGTGGTAGGAAGAAAGTTTGTCGGCAAGGCTGACATCCAGTTACTTCTACGGCTTACCATGGTCAAAGCACATCGTCATCTATGACACTCTTATCGAGAAATCCACTCCTACAGAGGTTGAAGCTGTGCTGAGTGGGTATACTCTTTCCAACGTCAAGAGCTTCGCTGACTGAAAGGTCACGAACTTGGTCATTGGTACTTCTGTGAGTTTCCTTCTCTTGCTTGTTTATGCCCGCACGGATATCGAACCGCGCTGATCCTAGCTCACCCTACCAAACTACTCATCGCTGCTCAGTTCCATATACTACTCAACATCTCAGCATTCCTCATCTTCATGCACAACAAATCACTATACTCTTCCTTCGGCTTTGACCCACGACTCGCTTCCCCCTCTCTTGGTCAAAGACAACCGGTTTTCATAAGTTTTGTATTGTACCAAATGGTATTAGATCCCCTCGACACGATCGTCAAGTTCTTCTTGAATGCTCAAACTAGGAAGTACGAGTATCAAGCTGGTGAGTTTTGTCATCTCGTGATCAGCCAGGTTCACTTTATCTTCCGTCGTCAAGGATTATTCTCAGGTGGCTAATGATCAGATGAATTCGGTGTTCAACTAGGCAAAAAAGACGCTTTATGTTCGTCCCTTATCAAACTTCATGTCACCAATCTCTCTTCACCACATAACGACTGGCTTTACTCGATGTATCACCATTCGCATCCTGTCTTACCGGAGCGTTTGCGGGCGATGGACAATAACAAGTCGACGCCTTTGAAACTTAAGGGGGAAAAGGAACTTTGATTCACACCGTCAATCGATGACTTTGACTCGACGAGTTCAGTCTTTTGCGCTCTCATCCTCCACCCACCAAGCTGTAGTGTTTGCATTGCAATATGATCTCACGAAATGCATACAGATGTACCTGATGCCCTGCTGTAGATCTTTCCGCGTCTATGATCTCCATAGCTACTTCATTCCCTCACAAAGTCATTGTCTCCTTCGCCGACATCTTTCCCCGGTACACAAGAGTGACATACTACTGAATAAGGGAGATGAAGACGATTCGAAAGATCCGAAAGAAGAGTGCGAAAAGGGAATGAAGTGGTGGGACTAAGAGAAAAACCAAATCTCAAGTTTGTTTCTCCTCTTCCGGCTTGGCTTTCCCTCTCTGTTCAACGATACTATCCACGATCCCGAACTCCACAGCTTCTTCAGCAGTCATAAAATAATCCCTCTCCAAAGCCTTTTCGAACCTATCCCTCGCATCGGTCAAAGGTTCTTCCGATCGAACACAATGATATGCGTAGATGTCTGTGAGAGCCGCACGTATACGTAGGATTTCTTTTGCGTGAAGGGCTATATCGGAAGCTTGACCTGATGCTCCTCCGGAAGGTTCTGCAATTAGCAAGCTTGTCACCCTCACCCTAGCAAAGTCGACGACACATGTAAATTGATCCAAAGTACAGTAACGCGTGTCTTCGATATACGATCTCACAGAGAATAGATTTGTAACATACCCGTGTGGGAAGACGAAGAAGAGAAACTACTTGGACTCACGATGTATCATAACACTACTATTCTTCAACGCATACCTATGTCCAGGTTGACCACCAGCAAGTAACAAACTTCCCATACTGGCCGCTTGACCTAAACAAAAAGTATGTACAGGAGAAGAAATGTATTGCATCGTATCGTAAATTGCTAAACCTGCCGTGACGCTACCTCCAGGGGAGTTGATATATAATTTGATTGGTTTTTGTGAATCTTCAGCTTCTAGAAAAAGTAATTGAGCAGTGAGGAGTGTAGAAGGTTCTGATGATACCTATAGGTCAGTTATCAATCAACTATATATTCTGGAAAGGAAAAGTATTAAAAAAATAAGAGGTTTTAGGGGAAAAGGACTGAAAACTGACAGGACCTAGAAAAATAACTCTTTCACGTAATAATCTTGAATAAATATCATATGATCTTTCACCTCTTGCCTGATCATTCAGTTCAGATATCATATGAAATTGGAATGAAAAACCTCACAGTTTGTTCAACTACTATAGGTACCAAAGCATCACGTATGACAGGGTTAGAAGATGGGTCGGAAAAGTTACCATTTTCAGAGTACGAGTATGGAGAAGAGTAGTTGTGTAATTGTCTTCGATTTAGTATTATGAGGTTTGTTGTTTTGGTAGGTATGGAAGAAGTGAGAGATTTTCGCCAATGGGAAAAAGTGATAATCTTGTTCATGGTTGTTATAGCTGTTTGCTTCATGCATGCGTGATTGAAGTATTGAGTGGAATAGAGTTATTGAGTGGAATAGAGTTATTGAGTGGAATAGAATACAAGTACAAAAGACAAAGAGAAAGAGAAAGAAAGAGACAACTCGATTTAATAATTCAAGTTGTTCTAAACTCTTTACACTTTGACATCTAACTACCTATGTACCTGTCATCATTAACACAACCTCAAAGATGACATATTATCGACCCCTTCACGTTTTCCCATTACCTCCTACCCCCTACGACCCTCAACCATGGCCAACAGCACTCACCGTCGACCCCACGTCAGATCTACTTTGGGTCGGTTCATCCTCCGGACTCGTATCGGCATTATGCTCCCCTCTTTCGCTTCACAGGAATGTACAATTCCCCGTGGTCTCAACACCTCCGGGAATGTATAGATTACCGATCAATGAAGAAGTCAAGGAGATCAGAATGACAGAGAGGGATGTTTGGACGTTGACTTTGGGTGGGATGACAGGGAGGAAACGTGGTGGACAACCAAAGTGGATCGTAGAGTTTGTCTTCTTCTTCTTCCTCTCACCAGATACATGATGTGATTTAGCTTTTCTGACAATCAGGGACAAGTTGAAGACGTTAAACACTATGACTCCGAACCCTATCAACAGCCATGAGGTCTTAGCTGGGGGAAGTGGACAAATGTTACTTGCCAATGCCAGTCGAGGAGAAGTAGTCCGTTATGTGAGGAATCCTTCAAGCATCTAATGAGCTTAACAGGGCTGAAGTGCAATAGTATGACACTCCAAGTCCCACGGTTAAACTATTCTCACAAGCTCGAAACGTCGTTTGCGCTTCACTCTCCGGCCAAGTGAATATCCTCGATCCCAGAACAGGTTTCAAACCCATGGTAGGGAGTAAACCCTTTCAAGCCCACACAGGAGGATTGAGCGGAGCGGATCTTCAAGGTAATTTAGTCGCAACGTGGGGATGGACACATAGGTCAGTTTATAAATATCTCAATCACACTATCTTCAGCTGAGAAATAGACAAGGACATCCCTTATCTGATACCTTTGTCAGGGTTTATGACGTCCGAACACTTCGTTCCCTCCCCCCTGTGACGTTCCCCGAAGGAGCGGCATTTTGTCTTTTACATCCTACCGACCCTATGAAAATGGTCGTTACTTCCCAACAAGGTTTCATGCAGAATGTCGACACCAGTCAAGGACCCCAAAGTACTACATTCCAACCTCTCAATGTTGGTTCTTTCGTCACTTCGATGGCTCTCAGTCCGATGGGTGATTACTTGGTATTTGGAGAAGGAAATGGGAATTTACATCTTTGGACTACACACGACATCAGTGAACATGCTCCCAGAAGTGAAGATGGACAATGGTATCTCCCACCTTTCAATGGGTTCGATGGTACTACTCCCGAATGGCCAGATGATGCAGAACCCCCTCCTATGATTTTATGGACAGATGACACGTATGGCATTCTTTTGCATAATTCCAGCAGTACTGATGTAAAGTCCCCTCAACCTCGTTGGAATGCCGGTTTATACCGAACCACTTCTCTCCAACTTTCCACCCGCCGATTATGCCACAGATTATTCTCCTTTTTACAATTCTCTCGAACCTATCCCCGATAACATTCAAGCCAAGCTACATCTTCAAGACGGAACGCTATGGGCACGTCTCGGTCCAGAGGATAAAGGTATTAGTCGTCTCAAATTACGCCCTATCGCTGGTGGCCCGACTGCAGCCAAGCACAGGAGAGATAGACGTCAATCCGCACCTCGTTTTCGTTCAGAACGTCGGACAAAAGATAATGTGTTTTTCGAGGATGACGAGGAAGTCGATCTTGACACAGTACCTAAATATTTCAAAAAGGTGGAAATCAAATATTCAAAGTTCGGTGTGGAGGATTTCGATTTTGCATACTATAACGATACTTCCTTTTCGGGTCTCGAAACGGACATTCTCAATTCATACACCAACGCCCTTCTACAAGCTCTTCATTACACTATACCGGTCAGAGCTGTGGCGAAAGCACATATTTGTGTGGACTGCAAGAAAGAACATTGTTTACTGTGCGAAGCGGGCTTTCTCTTCAGGATGCTAGAAGATGCCAAGGGTATCAATTGTCAAGCTAGCAACTTTTCCAGAGCGTTCAGTGCCACACCGCAAGCTGTTGCTTTAGGTCTTTTGGAGGAAAATACCAGTAGCAAGTCGACTTCGGCTTATGGAAATATGATACAGAACTTTAATCGATGGCTCTTATCTACGTTTAGTACGGAATCCATCGTGGAAGGAAAGACATTTGATCTCTTGCCGAAAACCCTCGCCGATCTCAGTCTTGGTGACAGAAACAATGTAGACGGACCAAATTCCGTCATGTCTGCCATCGATCAAATTGTTGGTGTCAAAGTCAGGACTACCAGTACATGCGCCGCTTGCGGATATGTCACAGAGAGGGATTCAACATTGCAAGCGGTTGATCTACAATATCCCAAAAATGTGAGTTCTTCCGCTTCCTTTGCTATATCCTCGAAGCAAATGGGCTGATATCAGTCTGATGATGTATCCTTCTCTGAAATCTTAGCATCCTCTGTCAGTCGGGATACACTACACAAAGCTTCTTGCCTCAACTGCAAACAATTCGCTCGACTGAATATCTCCCGTCGTTTGGCACACGGTATTACATCCCTACCGCCTGTCTTGTCAGTCAATGCTAAGGTCACCTCTCCAGCAATCTTCGATATATGGAAAGATCATCCTGATCAGGAACCTTTCCTCCCCACCGTGCTATCCATCATTGTAGGGTCTGACGGAGACATGTTTGCCGGAGACGGACCGGAAGCAGTCGCTTATCAACTGAGGGTGAGTTCACACTTTCGATTCATGGCATTGAGTTGATGATCCCTAGTCGCTGGTCATACAGGTACAAGACACACTAGATGCACCTTCCCACCTCGTAGCTTTTGCAAAAAGTACGTCAAGTTCTACATAATGACGTGTGCGCATGGCTGATGACAGTCGATGCGGACGACGATAGTGACGGGGGTTGGGTAATGTTCAACGACTTTGTGGTACGACCCATATCGGAAGAAACCGTGTTTTCTTTCCCTGCCGACTGGAAGGTGAGCTTGGTCGTGTGCGGTGGACGAAGCTGATATCAGACACCGGCCGTGTGCATATTTGAAAGGGTGGATGTGAACCAAAGCTTGGACTTGAGCGTTTTGCCCAAGACTTTGGATCTTCGCTCTCTGCTGGACGATGTCTCCATGGCTAGGTATGTCTGCTTTGTCAGATCTCATTTTGCATCATTTGGCGATTTCCCTTCCAGTAAAAATGTAATCCAGGACCTGAAGTGTCGCTCAACTGTAGACATCGTCGTGATGACGAGATTAAGCATGTCATCCTCAGTCCAGACGAGATGCCCAAGCCGGGCACGACCATCGCTATCGACGCCGAGTTTGTCCTCCTTCAACCTGTGAGTCTCTATCCTCGCTCCCCACTGAGCAGTGTAAAAGTAGAACCTCGCTTCTCTACACGGAGGTGGGTAGAGAAGCAAGCTGACGAAATGTAGGAAGAAATGGAATTCCGGTCAGATGGAACGAAAAATGTCCTTCGTCCTTCGCACATGTCCCTCGCTCGAGTGTCAGTACTTCGTGGTGAAGGACAGAAGGAGACGATACCTTTCATCGATGACTATATCCACACAAAGGAAGTCGTCGTGGATTACCTGACAGAGTTTTCCGGCATTCAAAGTGAGCCAGAAAAGTATTGCTGAAGGTTTGAGACACTGTGACGCTGATCCCCAGGCGGTGATTTAGACCCAGAACTCTCACCTCATACGCTTGTCCCTCTCAAAGTGGCTTACAAGAAACTCCGATTACGTGCGTGGATTTCATCTTTAGCATGTGTCAAACTGACATCTAGTCGTAGATATGGGCTGTGTGTTCGTGGGACACGGATTAGCGAAAGATTTCCGTACCATCAGTGAGTCGTGTATGTTACACGACAACAGCGCTGACGGGATCAGACATCTTCGTCCCCCCATCTCAAGTTATGGACACTGTCAACCTCTTCGTACTTCCCAAACGACAACGCAAATTGTCATTGCGATTCTTATCTTGGTATCTACTACAAAAAGATATACAGACAAGTACTCACGATTCCATCGAAGATGCCGAATACGCTTTGTTGCTGTATAAGCTGTATCGGAAATATCAGAAGGCAGGCAAATTTGAAGAACTGATGGAGGATATCTTCAGCAATGGAGCAAAATATGTGAGTTTTCTTCTCATCCTCATTTGAGACTGTTCTTCCTTCTATATCGTTCAGCTACTGCTTTCCGTCGAACAATTTCAGAGGTATCAGAGGCGGTTGATAGTGTCACCATCCGTGGCACGGCTTTTAGAAGATAGTGGTTGACCAAGTAGAGCTTCAAAGTACCTCAGAATCCTGCAGATCCAACTACCGTCTCGCCATCTTCAACACCTCAAGCTTCTGCCTTTATATCTCTCCCCACTCCTCAGAAATCCCGGACTGGAAATTCACCAACTGCCGATACTCCATCGTGGTCACCTGCATATCTCAGTCCTCACGGCCAAGAAGTGAGTCAACAGCGACTCGAACGGCAAAGACAATACGCACCGGTAACCACACCTTCAAAGGTGAGACCACCACGACGATGACAGCTCTCTCCGTCCTTTCCAAAACAATTCACTGGCACATCTTGGCATTGAGCTCAGAAGTGACGAAACAATCGATACCCAGCATCTCATTACCCATCAGTGTCTCATGGGTCTGTACAACACATTCAATTTGCATGTACCCAATACACCCTTCGACGCTGACCATCATTCTGACGACTTGATTCTGATATACGGCAAGAAGAACAAAACCACGCCCACTCCTGACAAAACGAAAACCAACATTCCAGCGATTCTCCAAGCTGCTCTTCTCTGATATCTCCTCAATATGGGATCCTGAACTTTTCTCACGTTCCATGCCGTTCCTGTCAATCTCCACAACATGATCCATAACCCTTGTCTCCTCTTACCAAAACCACCCGTTTCTAACCTATCCCTTCCTCCTGCAATCACACTTAACGGATAACTATCACTCCTCGACTTCGATCCTCTTTTCTGCAACTTTCTCCTAGGTCTTCCACTATTTCCCATACCCCACCATCGGCTGGATCTCCCTTCTGGCTGACTGGCGTGGGAGTTTAATCTTTCCAACTCTTGATAATCGTAAGGATCTTCCGTGACGCCAAATAATGCAAGCCAGAAACACATTCCAGCTCTTGCGCCAAGACCATAGCCAATCCCTCCCAGGAGGACAGGAATGAGCAACAATCTCCATGGTCTACTGATTTCGCTCTCCCACAATGTAAATGGTGATGGATCGAGAAGGAGGAAGATGGTAGCCAAGAAACTGACTACGCTGGTGGATATTCCCACTAAAAGACGACCGAGAGCAGTATGACGATGAAGATTTTTGATGGAAGCTTGTAAGAATCGTGGGAGATTATCTGAGGAGAAGTGAGTGATCAGTGATGGGAGGAGTGGGTCAAACAAAGTTGGATGGGTGGTATGAGCTGAATAAAGATGAAGGTTATCCAGTATCTCTTCCGTGATGAGATGTTGAAGAGGGATAAGTTGTTGAAGGAGACTTTGAAGTTCAGAATGAAGAGGAAGATCTTTCTTCAAGTTCTCCACACTCACGTCCTCACCGGCCAAGGAAGTCACCAAATTGTCCTTCTCTTTTGACTCCTGATGACCATCTGTTACATTGTGAAGAGCTGTCGTGATTACGGTAGGAGCCAAAGTCGTACCCGACAAGAAGCTTCGAGTTGTCGGACTGGAGTTGATCGGTGATATATCTTCCCTATTCAGTCTCGTTTGCCGGGAAGGAGAAACGACGGCTTTTGGAGGGATCCGTGGTCCTAATCCCGTCGTCAATTTTGATCTAGGGGAAGAAGAATCCCAATCTTCATCATCACTCATCTCATTTGCCTCCTTCTGCTTTTTCTCATTATCTTCATTATGTCTAGAAGGAGGAAGTCTAAAATCACTAGCTAAAGCAGGACCTCCTCTCCTTCCTCTCGAACTCATAGATCCTAAAGTGAAAGAAGATCCAGTAACTGCACTCATCGGAACGGAAGGTACCGTCCTATTCCCAATTTTCCCTTTTTGTAAACTCGACATCTTACTTCCTTGTGGAGATAATATCATTCGGTCGTTCGTTCTTCCTTCATCCGCCAAGACCAATGGAGAAGGACGAACGATAGTACGAGGGAGATCAAAGATGAATGAATTCAAACCTGTTATTTCCTCAGTGGAAGAGGTGATTTCCGATGGTAATTTGGTCGGTTTTCCAGTGAAGAGTTCATCAGAATTCATCGATATCGAATATGAGGAAACCAAGGTCGGTGAGGTCGTTTCGGACTTGACGAGTGATGTGAGGGAGAAAAGGGAAGGTTTGGGAATATGTGTAGGTTTTAAGATTTCAGGATTCGAAAGTGATAAAGAAGATATTGTTTCGAATACTGTTGGGATGGAAGATTTATCTTCAGGAGAAAGTTGATCATATGAGGTTTTGTAACTTTATCGTGAGCTCCTCTAATTTTAACCCCTTTCTCTTCACTGATTCAAATATCTACAATAATAAGGTCTCCTTGGCAAAAAGAGACTTATTCGAAGAGGGAGGGAACGTTCGAAAGGTATATGGTATAGGCTTTAGAGGAAGGGGGAAAAGACTCACTCTTCCACCGCACACAAAAAATTATAGATCATCCTTCCCTCTCTCCCTCCTTCCCCTAAATGATCCAACCATTTGGTCAAGTCCGATTTCCCTACAGGAGATAAAGTCTGACCAGAGACTATACTCTGCAGAGTGATCTCTTCCGCTAATCTCTGCAGATCGTCTCTCTTCTTCGCACCGGGTCGAGGACATGCGTCTAATCCGAGTTTGAAGAAATCCGCCACTTTCCTCAAGGTGCCACTTTCCCCAATCATCTTCATCTTTACCCTCTTCACAAAGACAGTGATGACTCGGTGATACGAGTGTTAGATGGGGATGAGAACACCCAGGTGAAAAGGATAGAAGATGAAGAGAAGCAAAGAGAGATTCGAAGTTGGTAACATGGCGGAATATGTGAAGAAGGCGACAGTCGATCTGATCCTTGACTACCTACCAGTTGACAACGAGTTGCTAGGTGACAATACTCAATCCACAGATCTGGACTGATGATCAGACGTACGGCACCACAGTCACAATCACTATGGATCGATATGATTCAAGTAAGCAATAGTGCATGATATGTATGAACACAGAGAACAAGGATATATTTCCCTCGACACTTCAAAGACAACTACAATCTCTTTGTCTTCCTTCACCACATGCTTCCCATCCCAGTCATATACTCTTCAACCCATTTACTCATACAATCCTGATGCCGTACTACCCATGATGGCGGACATGGCGAACTTGTCCTCTCCGAGCTCGGCGATACATTTACGCAATATAGCATACCATTCCCCCTGCTTCACCGGGGAAGTAATCTCGTTCGAATATTGTGCTCGAGCTCGTAGGACATCCAGAGGAAGACAGTGATCAGAGCCAAACAACAATCGGTGGGTTCCGAAAGTCTCGATAGCGTGGGACACTGATGTATCAGCTGAAAAATCTCGTTAGGCAGTCGGTCGGACGTCTAGAGTTTACAGACGTGGGGCAAAACGAAATAGGTGATTAGATACCGAACAGGGTGGGAATCCGAGCTTGGTTGGGGACCAAGAGATTCAGGACCCACGATACAAGGTGACGACATCAGCTACCTCCTTCCTATCCTCGATGAGGGAATTACCGACTTCCACGACGGGAGGCAACAGCTTGAGATAGACGTTCGCGTGCAAGCTTAGATTGGCTAGCCGTGACGCATGTAGTTGGAATTCTGGTGAATTGACCAGCTGGGCGGAGGGGAGGGTCAAAGGTGGTGGCATCAGACCGGCTACGAGTCAGTTCATTTTCATGTAACTCATGTGGTATCCCCTTTTCCTTGAGACACAAGTAATTGGGGGGAAAGACTGACATAGGGCGACTTTGACCGTTTTTGGAGGAGACAGTCCGTCTTGGATTTCCCCTGCCGGTGCTTCTTCTGATCTCCCGTTTAAACGACTGACTACATCGTCAAGCACATCCCACTTCCTTTCGCTCATAGGTCGACACAAAGGGACGATAATATCCACGGGAGCGTCTTTGGAAGTATCGATGCTTGGTGTGGAAGCTGATGCGAAGTCAAGAACAGTAGGTTGTATCATGATTGGTTGGACGCGGCTGACAATCAGTGAGATCTGCCCTATTTGCATTGCTTACAAACACAACAAGGGAGAACAGGATTTGATGAGGTCACTAAGGGACAAACTCACGGAATCGACGTTATCGGAGTTTCCGAGGGGTCTAATTGAACCTGCACTATACTCTCCAAAGGGGGTTTTGGCAACGTGTTTTCCAGATATTCGAACAATGGATCGGTCCCGTCGGTCTTGCACGCTGGAATCCAATGACCATCTAGGACATATTCCGGATGTACACTTGAAGGTGAGGGAGGAAGGGGCGCAGAACCTGTACAAGACTTTAGCGATTTGGCCTGCTCATTTGACATTCCCCACGCTTTACCTACTTGTTTGCAACCTCATCTCGTCAAGATTCTCCTTCGCCCATGAAACCCATAGGCCACTATGTGAGCGGAGAAGAATCGTCGAGAACAACCAGAGGGAAAATGGGGTAGATTGAACGAAGAGGAGGAAGCAACGTACCAGGCGCTAAAGGACCTTGATTCACAAATAGCAGGGGAGACAACGTGGGAGGGCGTTTGGGCGTCATGTTGACTGTGAGAAGGGGTGAGATCAATATCCAAGTGACGGAATGATACGAGATAGTAGGCTGTGCTCAGTGTAATACTGTAAAGACAGTGTAAGATGAAGGAAAGGATTAGAGATGGGGTACGATGTAGAAGAGGAATGGGAGGGAACAAGGGAAGCAGAGGGTCCGAGCTTTGAATTGTCAGATGCGGGGCACCATGATGTTTCAACTCCACGTGGGAGTGCCCTCTCGTGACCTGAGGAAGTCGGCCGAGATTCGGGTGGATACCCTTCACTCTGACATCTCCGTTTGAGCTTCCGACTTAGACAATATAGCTAATGAGATGAACAGATCTACCTCATTCGAAAGCCAGAAAGATTCGTCTCCAATCCTCCTGGGTCATGTCAAGATTTGTGCGTTCAAAACGGATTATGTGGCCAAGAGGATGCATTGGGGAATTTACATTGTTCACCACTATCCCTTTTGAAACTCATCCAGGAGATGCTAGTCCCGGTCTTCTTCCTCCGCTTGAACCCCAATTATTGACATTATACCACAGATGATAAATCCCGCACCAGATTAGAAACCGGTCGCTCAGGTGAAGTATCTGAAAGCGGGATGATCATCCCCAAGAGCGACAATCTCCGCATGTGTCTTCCCTTCGAGACCCCACTTGCGTTGTGTGGCCGGATCATCCCATTCGTACACTTCATCAGCTTGGGGAGGAGGGCCATAGACACGGTCCCGACGCTTGTTCTCTCTTGAAAGGGTGATATGTAGTAATAAAGCGGCACTGAAGCACAAGGCGGCGAAAGCTATGGCTGTAGCGTGACCGGGGATGAATCTGCGGATCAGACATGCTATTTCGACTGGTAGACACATGATAGATGGAAGAACGACTGGCGGGCAGGTGATTGGGAGGAGACATACCTCGGAGCGTCTTTGTTCCGGTAGGCCTCAGATGAGACGATGCCACCACTGTTACCGGCGGAAAAGACCAAACCCATTGAGACAGCTTTCTTGTCTGGTCTTGTTAGAGAGATTTCCTGCTAAAACTTCAAGCGACTCACAATGATTACCAAAGGTATTGCCCGTCCAAGCAATGGTGGTGGCAATCAGTGGGCCGACAGCGGTGGTCGTGACGAAGACTGCAAAGTAGAGAACGCCCTGTTGATAAGCACACCCGTAGCCAATCGTCGACGAGCGTGACGCCCGTAGACCTGTCGAACGATCGACGATAATCACAGGGACATATGTGTCAGGGCAGTTTGCAGATCACTCACAGGCTTATCAAAGCTCACGCTGAGTAGGATGACATATCCTATGATGGCAATGACCGACCTGACATGTCAGTGTCATGACTTATAGTCTTGAACAACTCACCAGAACATGAGAGGGAACGCCCGTTGGCGATATTTGTCGCTATACCAGGCCGTGGCAAGGGTACTGATAAAGCAGCAAACATAGGCTAGAGTAGAGTCAGTGACTGCCTGCGGACAATCAGAGTGTAACTCACGAGGAGTACTTAGAAGAAGAGACTGAGTGACGGACCAGTGGCCGAGAGCGGCTATGATGGTAGGCGAGAACAGAGAACCCGAGTAGAGAGGTTCAGCCGCCCCGATGTACATGAGCATGAGGACATAGGTCTGGATCATTAACATCGTCATGCCACGGAGGGGTTTCTATCGGAAATCGGTGACCCACCTTGTAGTCCTTTAAGGCAGCAAATACGACCTTCTTCGAGAAAGTACCTTCTCCCGCGAGACCCTGGTCCTGTTTCATCCGCACCAACAGCAATTCCTTCTCCAGTGGGGTAAGGAAACGAGCTTGCTCCGGCCAGTCGTGGATAAACCAGAACGACAAGATGGCAACGATGAGGGTCAAGATACCCTCAAAAATGAAGATCCACGTCCAACCTTCCTTGCCCCCGACCCCGTTCATTCGACTCCATGCGTATCCGAATATGCCACCGAACGCGCCGGCAAGTACCGCGCCTAGCCAAAGTCAATCGACGCCGCCACACGACGCGAGTAACTCACCAGCGAAAAATATGGCACATCGGCGGTTGATTTCGTCTCGACGGTAGTAAAACCTGCCCAGGTCAGCAGAAGCAACGCTATCAGATGAAAGCACGTAAGATAGAAGCATGTTCAGAGACGGGAATAAAGAGCTCTCAAACAGGCCCAGACAGAAGCGAAGGGCCAGGAGTTGGCCGTAGTTGGTGACGAGACCCACTGGAGACGATCAGCGCACGGAGATTGGACGATTTGAAATAACACTGACTGAATATCTGGAAGATGGACCAACATATCATTGTGAACGGGATCCAGCGAGAGGGACGGAAACGTTTCAAGACGAGGTTGCTGATGGTGAGCACCCTCAGACAAATCATGGAAGATTTCTCACCCCGGCACCTCAAAAGCCACGTAGCTGACGAAGAAGACTGAAGCATGTCAGCCTATCCGATTTCCTGTGCCTGTCCTTGTTCTCGTAGGTAGGACTCACTCATTGACGCATTTGAGTACTGTAGTGAGGTAAGTTTCAGTTGGGCGGTAAGACCTATGCGAGTCAGCTCATTCAAGCACGTACGATCTGCGGGAATAAACCTCACCTGTGAGTTTGGCCGTTCCGATGTTGACACGATCCAGGAATGACATGAGATATAGGAGGCTACTACGTCAGCGGGTGTCTGCAGATGTTCAATATTCCATTGATGATCTGGCAAAATGTGAATGGACAAGCTATTCACGTCATCCATGGAATCAAGTTCTTGTCGCTTTTCCGTTAGCTAGCCATCATATTTCAGACACAAACACTCACATCTTCCGCACAAGTTTACGCTCAGCTACCCTATACTCTTCCGGACTCATAGCAGCAATCTCAGCCGCCAACGCCCGCTTATGGTCGGGAAGTGTCGAAGGCATTTTCTGATCTTCGGTGTCAGCAACGAAGGCGGACGAATCTGCCCTGTGCAATTTTTCTGAGTCCATCTCGAGATGTGTGACTATCGGGTGCACAGAGTTTCTGAATAAAGCTGCCTGACAGGCGATGAAAGTGATGAGTGAAGAGATGATGGGATGCGAGTCTGTCACGGGCGACTGCAAAAACCAAAGGACGGCCGAAATTGAGCCGGACCAACCGGAGTCGAAATAATTGGAAAAAAAAAACAGATCAGGGCCGTGCCTTGGGAGTGGGGCCAACCGGCTCTCGATCCGGAAGTCGTTTTTGGGCCCGCTTATAATTTGAACCGAGATGGAGGTGGAATTCCGGTCGGTCATCCACGGCGAATGCCTTCCATCAGTGTGTACGATACGACCATGCACATGAGTCTCAAGCCCTAGTTCTTCCCTTCCGTGGGGTTGCAGACAAGGTGCCAGAACTACGAATCAAAAACGAAGGCTGGCGCTAGCAAAAGCCTCGCGAGGGGCTCGAACCCTCGACCGTGAGATTTTTACAACCAAGGCGGAAACTAAAAGTCTCACACTCTACCAACTGAGTTAGCGAGGCCATGCATATTTTTAGCACTCCGGCGATCAACCAATCAGGAACCATCTTTGATCGTTCCTCGTGCCCGTAAAATTTTACCGAGGCAGCTTTTTTGACCGCCGATTTTACCATTAAACCCAATCCAGATCCAAAGTATCCAACTCTCTCCTGCCAACATGTCTTTTCTCTCCTTGTCACTGAACACTCCCTCATCTCCGTCTTGATCTGTGGTCGTACTAGAAGTGTGCTGTAGTGGTTAGTGTCATTGGGTGATGAGATATGGAGGCACCACAAATTGAACAATCAGGGGAGTCCCGATGTCACTTTCACCCCCGGACCCTGATCTGATCTCAAATCAACCGTGCTCTCTTCTTTCCTTGTATACTGGTACACCTGATGTTGAAGTGCCTACCAGAAGATAAAGAGTCCTTATGCTGGATCACCAGCATTGCCGCTTGAGGATGGAGTAGGGCGCATTGAATGACCGTTGGTTGGCTGTGGCAAGACGCAGGGTGATACCACATTGGCAATGAAATATGCATAAGGCGAAATGGGAGCCTCACTCATACGGAATAAACATCTATATTCTGGCTATACAGCTATACCAAACTTTGCATTTACAGATGACGTCTGTTTCTATCTGTCCCTGACATGGACACTTTCCAAAATACACTTCTTATATGACAGTGACTCTCTGACAAGGTGATCTCCGGGATGGATGCTAATCTTCGTTTGTGCCGATCTTCTTGAGGGGACCCTTGTCGGTGGTCGCGCCGACTGCTGATCAGCGATGCCCTTCACCGGTTAGAACGGAAATGCTCACCGGTGCCGAACAAATCTATCGAGTCGATTCGGGTCGTTTCTTCGTCTTCCTGATTGCTCTTGACCAGGATGTGGAGGTTGCGAACGTTTTGGAAACGAACGTATCGAAGTTCAATCTTCTCTCCGCTGACCTGGTAGTCAGTAGAGTCGTGGATCGTCCCTTGACCTGACGAAAAGGGAGGTGAAGACAAACGACTCACCTGCTCTGGCGTCAAGACAAGTTCTTGGGCCGGGTTCATGCTCTCCGCAGTCGTAAAGTCCATGACAGGAACATTGATGAACAGCTTGACATCCTTGGGTGCCTGTCCAGGACTGACACCGGAAAAGAGACTGATTGCTCGTATTTTGACAGCCTCGTTGAAAGAGATGCTGATGAGAAGCTCGGGGTCGACATCACTCTCAAGATAGCTTGAACCTTTGGGACCGGCGTTGGAACCGAGTATAGACGAGAGCGGATGGTCGTTAGATTGATTGAGACAAACGAGATCTTTACTTGTGATGTAGCCCAGCAAAGATTGGTCTGTGGGTTTTGCCGCCTCGGCGGGTTTGGGAGCTGGGGGTGCAGGGACAGACGTTGTCGACGAAGACGAGGAAGATGATGCCGCCGCAGGTGCACCGGCCGGAATAGGACCCGCAAATCGCGATACGAGTTGGCTGAGACGAGGGGGTGAGGCGCCAGTGAGCTGTTTGTCAGCTACGTCCGTCTTGCGGTGTCATCGCAGAGCCTCGATGTGCGTGTGCGTGTCGAAGGGTAGCAGGTAATACCATGATGGAACAAGACAAGGCTTACCTCTGTGACCTCTCTATTCTCTTTAATAAATTTGAATGTGGGCATGGCACGAATGCTGAATCTCGAGGCCAATTCGGGCTGCCTGTCCACGTCTATTTTCTGTAGTAGTCAGCGTGTAACTGGAGTTTGAGTGACGGAGTACTAACCAGGAATTTGACCTGAGGGTACTACTCGTCAGCATTACTCCTACTATCATGTGCAGGGGGGATATAAATGAGAATAAGGGGATAGTAAGTAGCTCACCTGAAGCGACAGCTGTTCCACGAAAGGAGCGATGGCGACACAAGGTCCACACCAAACCTCATTGATCAGCTTGACGCTGCGTATTCACTGGAAGCTATCTCACAGCATAGAAGTCTGTGAATCAGCCCGGCTCCAGCATCATCCTTGACAGAGGAATGAATGACTCACCTATGACCAGCAGCTGATTTGGCTGCAAACCCCTTGCGATCCCATCGTAGTCTTTACAGATCAGCAAACGGAAAGGACGTGTTCGCAAGCTCAGAGAACTCACGCGAGGTTGAAGTGATATCTATAACGTTCCCTCCCATGTTGGAAAAAGATCTGAGGAAGAAGCAAAGAACGCAATGAGAGAAAGGGTGGTGAGGAGAATATAAGGAAGAAGGTTGAAGACGTCACCGCTTTGTCAAGGAAGGACGGAAGGAAGGAAGGGGTAAGGGGGCCAAGGGGGGGAGGCCTAGAGGGTGACGAGGAATGTTCACCTGAACGTGGCACTTTTCTAAATGTGGCACTTTGAAAGAGAGAAGACGTTTGCGACGTTGGATCAACTTCTACCTATACTTCTCTGCTAATTTCTTGATACGAGTACACATCACTTCTTCCTGTGTTTGCCTTTTAACTACTTATTTTATCCATTTTCACTGATATTGACAAAGACCTCACTTCGTACATCCCCCCTTCCCCCTTCTCACATCGTCATATCTCGGTCGCAATGCTCAACACGTCACTCGTCCATTTCCTCCCTGCTCCATTCGCCTTCCTCCTCGTCATCCTAACAACCTTTCATCTTCTTCCTCTCCTCCACCTGCTCCCTTCATTCGCCTCTTTTTCATCTATCAAGTTCATACCCAAGCGTCGTAACCTTCCCAGGGAATTCTTCAATTTACCCCCAAAAGATGACGTATCGTTGTCATCCCTTCGACTTGGCTCGGTGCTCACACTTAGAGCCAAAGTCATACTCGTCTTTGCGGTTCAAATAATGACGTCTTTGGTAACGGGCTGGACTTTTCTCTCGACGTCGCAATCACTCCACACGGAGAGAACTCGCTGCATATTAATCGCACTATCGATCACGCCATTGCCTGCGTTGGTCGCTACTCTCGCAGGATTCACCGTTGGACGGGGACCACTATGGCTGGTGGGAAAAGGCGGTGTTACTCATGATACAATCTTCGGCCGAATTCTACCTCTCTCACTGGTACCCACATTCTTTGGAGTCCTCCTGTCCGCTGCTTTACCATCAGCAGCTTCGTATATCCTACTGGGCGTCAACGCAGGTCTTCTCTCGGCGATCGTCGGATTGTCCACTTGGAGTCTCTTCGGTCAATCTCGTCATCAAGGGCATATTCGACTGTCGTCGCCACTCCCTGAGGATCAACGTCAATCAGAAGAAAAACAACAGGTCTCGGAACAGGATGAGAGCCAACGTCTTAGAGAGATCAGGGAAGGGAGCTCTTGGATTACCTCACCTTGTGAGTTATTCTTAGGCTGACGAGAGAAAAGGAGCCTGACCATCAGCCAATGTTTCAACAACTCAGATCTCAGATTTCACCTACACCTCTTCTACTAAAACCCCAAAAAGTCGATCTCATCATCACGGCAGCCCGTCGTCTTGGATATCTTCACCCAGCACCACCCCATCCACTCTTCCCTCGTGGACCTACTCACCTTCCATCACGTCTCCAAAACCTGTTGTCACCCGCTCCCGCGCTCCATCCCCAGAACAACGGGCTCGCAAGAGTAGTCAAGCCACGACGTTCACCGATAGTGCCTACGGTCATACACTCGCTTCCACACCTGGATCTGCCTTGCTATCCCCAGGCGGCAGTATCATCGCCGGCTATTCTCCTGACCCCTTCCATCCCATGCCGAGGAGGTTCGAATCTCTGAGCACTTATCCGTTGTCCCCTTCGCAGATGAACTCGCAAGTATCGCTCGCCGCCAGGTTCAGATCCCATGAGACCATAACGTTCATCCCTGAGGAACATCCCGAAGCGGGGCAGTCGACCTGGACGTTGGAGAGGTGGCACTCTGCCCAGTCCACCCAATCAGGACAAGTCGAGCCTGTTACTCCGGCCAATCAGAAGAGTTCCAAACGTTTTGACAGGCAACAGCAGAGTGCCAGACGAGCACCTCCGCCACCACCGATGCCAGAAGTACCTCTGCCTCCCACGCCGGTCACAGATCACTTCAACTGGGACTTGCGCGGACAGGATAGCTACGAGGGTCTTATTGCCAAAGAATGGGTCGAGGTTTGGGGTGAGGGAAGTGTTGATGGATGGAAAAGAACTCATCGCGGGGTGGGTATATTGGCTGCGGCTACTGTTTTGACCTGCTTCGTGAGTCGTTCTCCCGCTATCTTATACCAAGAAATTCGCACACTGATCGAAAGGCTTTGCAAACTCCTCTTCTCGTACTAGACTCGTCCGACCAAACCCTTCTCGCCTTCCTTGTTGCGTTGATACTTCCCACTCCGGCACTTGTTCTGGCCTCGTATCTGCTACGGTACAGAGCTCCAAAAGAGCCTCGTCTACGTCAAACCAAAAAAGGATCGACCACGACGACCTCAACCCATCGTTCCCTCGCGCTGGTGTCAGAATCCCAGCTCAGTCTACCCATCACAGTTTCGCCCAAACTTACTCCTCCACCACGATCAGCTCCTCCAACGAAACACCGCTTCTCCACCTTAATCGAACCCAAGCCAAGTCTGACCGACTTCAATCGCCGTCACACGGTCATCGGAACCTCTCTGTCCGCTTCTGACATCGAAGCAGAAGAACGGGCACGTAAGCTGCTGGCCAGACGAAGTGGGGACATCTGGATCGAGGCTGGTCATGCGAAGCAAACCTACGGGCTCCAAAGGGTCGGAGAAATGCTCAAGCCTCTTCCGGCCATGAGAGTCTTGGGCGAGCAGCCTGAGCGTCGTGGGATAGTTGAAAGATTGAGGGAAAGCTGGCAGTCGATTGGCAGAGGTAGAGATGATTACGACATGGCGGATATGGCGAGGTCGCCGGTGGCAATCCATGTGAGTTCGCCAGGAAAAACGGAGAGAAGGGTCAGTGTGATGAGTGCGGCCGAAGATAGGACTGCCGATGAGATCGAAAAGAGTGTGGGAGGAGCAGAGATCGTGATAGCGCAAAGAGGCAGAATGTCAACTTCTCCCGTGTTCCTCTTGGGAAGACCTGACGCGGGACCGTCTGACATGTCGTCAGGAAGAACAGCGACTGTCAGGTAAGTACTTCTCTCGCGCACAACACCTCAGAGCCACTTTCGAGGTCGTCATTGGAGAGCAGGGCTAATGCCAGACATGCAAATAGCCCAAATGACAGCCATCGTATGACCCACCGTTTCGCCTCTGTCGACGCCACTCCCGCTCGAGGTCTACCCACTGACGTCCCGTCTTCCGCTCGTCACTCCAAAGGTCATTCTACTTCTATTGACTGGTCCGCGTCACCAGGAGTCAACTTCGACGACGTCTCTGCCTCCACTCCCCACGGCAACATTCGTCAACGTCTCCGACATAAGATTTCCTTGTCCCTACCGACGATCAGTGCAGAATTTGCCGACGACATGCGTCGATCGTTTGACGAATGCCAACGCAACTCGACCTACTCGGCATATGACGATGTTCCAGTGGGACTGTCGACAGTGGAAGAGGAACGCAGTAGCGGTTTGACTAGCAAAGACACGACTCTGATGTCGGGTAGCGACGTAGCTATGACTTTACTTGCTGCTGAGAGGTTTGCGGAAGCGAGCGGTTTCAGTTTGGCAGACGAGTTTGACCAAGAAGCAGAGGATGAAGAGAGAGCGGAGATGATGGAGAAGGTATTAGGGATGGATACTCCCACCAGGGCAGAATTTGTCATTTCCCCAACCCCAAGTCATTTCTCCAGTTCGAGCCGATGGTCAAGACCTTCCACCCGACTTTCCACACGACTCAGTACGGATGATTTATTGTCCAAATTGTCGAGTACCACTTCGATGTCTTCTCAATTTCAAATCGATTTTTCTGCGCCTCCTCTGCCAACCATGTCTGTACAATCCAACTCGATGGCAACACCAAACATCTCCTCAGAATCCAAATTCATGCCCACTCCAAGTATCTCGGAACTGCATGAGAACCCAGAAGATCATGAACCCATCTATCTTTCTCATCCACATCCTCCACCCTCATCAACCGAGCAAACTGTACGATTAGCGCCGTCTTTCGAAAGCATAGTTCCTACTGCTGCACATCCGCCAATCAACCCACGAGAATTGAGGGGTAGAAGAAGTAACGAAACCCTCGCTTCGACATATACTACCGATACGGAAGGTACAATGTCTCCCCCGCCAGTGTTCAAACCGAGCAGACAAGAACTGCTATTGGTTCAACAGCTCAAAGTTCGAGCCGAAGAGGTGAAAGAGTCACAACGAAAGATTGAATCAATACCAGTCGTTCAGGACGTACCGGTAAAATCAGCGATGAAGTCAAAAGTGGAAGAGACGAAAGGTTTGAGACCGTTGAGGTTGGTCGATCGTAATTCAGCAAGGTTGTCAATTGTCCCTCCACCTGCGGGGGAGAAGGTGCAGGTGTTCTGGGAGGATGAGATGACGCAGGGCAAGTCGGTACAGACTCCAGGAAAGGAGAATGTAAGAGGGAAGGGAGGGAAGAAGAGGGCAAGTCAGATGAGTGTGATAAGAGTTTGATCCGTCTTTTTCATAGGTTCATTGGTCCATCTTCCAACATCGTGGTTGATCCTATCTGTTCATCATCATTTGTTTCGTCTTCTCGGTTCAGGGCTTCGAGCGATTTCATCATATTGGGCGAGATCCATCTTGAGGGTTGATCTTGTCCATGTCATAGAGAAATGCATGAACATTTGACGTACATACATTTTTCCAGAATGTGGTAGAGCCACGTGGTAACAAGGTGGAGGTTGTCCACCTCGCATCTGTCGACGTGGAGGCGAGACAGCGCGATATTGGCGTTCATACTTGTGCTTTCTTTCTGCATTGTACAATCTTCTTTGACTCGCAATTGGAAGATGACAGGTAGGAAGATAGCATTGAACAGTATAAAAACTTTGACTTTCTATGCTGGGGAACAGACGACAAGTAGGAGGACCACATCTATACGTGAGTTTCACAAAATCCATCTCCCTTCTCAACTCAACTGCTGATTCGACGTATCAATATTATGACTCTTAATTGCTCTCCAGAGGCTGGTAGATGGAGTAGACGATCGGAAGTAGTTAAACGAGTGATTCTAGTCCGAGACAAGGGACCGTGATGTAGACCACGTTGGGGGGAAAAGGAATTCAGTGGCGAGATTCCCGTCCGGTGTTTGGGAGAATATGACTTTATGGTAGAGGAAGATGAAAGAAGTAATGATAATTGACAATCAGCACAACTGAAATGTCTGGGGAGAGCTTGTAGAGAATATCAACCGGAAGTTGTGCAATGTATCAACGTTGGGGAAGATGGAGGAGGAGGAATTCAATGGAAAGTGAGTAATGTTTTCTTATTCTCTTCTTTCCCCCTTCCTCTTACTCCCTCATACACTCTGTTCTCTATTCTCTTGATTTCTGTTCTTTGTTTAGAGTCGAATATTGGTTCTTCGACTATACGAAGCGATGCAGTAGGTAAATATCGATGAGAACAGTTTGGCTCACGACCAGTGTGAAACGGACCTTCCTTCCGCTTTCCGTCTAGGAAAAGTACAAGTAAGTTGTGAGGGATATTCTCACCCTGGGGATAAGAATGTTTTACAAGGTGAGTCGTATCGTATCATTATCATTCCCTTTAACCTAACTCTCTGAACCATCTTAGTAAAGAGATTACCAATCTCTCCGTCCTCTCAACTCCCCATTCACCCTTATAGAATTCACTGAAGCCTTGGAACGGCGGAAGGACCTGAAATAATGATTGGGAACCACTGGACACTGATCCTCACGATCTACAGATACATCGTACATCGATCGTAACGAGGTGGAACGATGGAATGTTTAGGGACTGTCTCAAAGCAGAATGATAGTAACTAACATTAGGTTCTTGTGGATTAGAATACAACCTGATAAAGGTTGACAGAAAGTTGGAATATGGTGAAGGATCATATCTTCCCAGAACACGTGAGTCTCCTTTAAATACTTTTCTTCCCCTCTCGATCCCTTTCTCTCTCCTATATCTTTCCTGCCGGTCAGCTGAAATTTACTGATGAGGCTATGCCGTTCAAATTTCGAGGGCTGCACTGACGACCAGAATGGTTCTCTACACTTTTCACATACCTTTTTCAAACACTCTTCATGGCGATATTACTCTACGTGATTTACACAGTTCTTCGTTTATTCCTCAGACGTTTCTTTCCCCGCTGGACGTTACCTTATCTCGGACCACCTTGGTTTCCTGGGGGCGGGGGTGGACCTAACGGAGGAGGAAGAGGCGGTGGGGGAAGCGGGAGTGATTATGGTGGTTGGGGTGGTGAAGGTGGGAATGGAGGTAATGATTCAAATAGAGGAGATCCCCCACCATATTCTAAAAACCCCTCTCCTCAACCGGGATTCTGGACAGGAGCGTTAACAGGTATAGCAGGATCTTGGTTATACAACACATGGACTAATAGACGTTGGGATTGGACACAAAATGATATGAGACGATATGATTGGGAAAGGAATAATCATCCTACCAGAGTTTATAGAGCTGCAGATGGGTTGACACCGAGAAGACCGGTCGTTAGTCCTGGGATCGGACGATGGGATGATTGGGATGATCATACTGGAGGAGGACCTGGACCTAGTACCAGTACGATGAGAAGAGCGACGGGTTTTGGAGGGATTGTCACTCGATAAAGTGATATTAAGATTGTTTGAGTATGGACGTATCTCATTTAGTGTAGGGAGAATATTTGGTGTGTTGCAGATGCTGTAAGGTATGGAAAGAAACGAAGAACGATGTGGGGAGGATACGCACGTTCAAAGTTTTTGTACTGATGCATACCTGATTTGTAGAATATCTTTCAGTATGGTGGTTATTGCAGCACTGGAGCAGACAATGTATGTGCAGGAAAAAGGATTGAAAATGAGACCAGAGAAGTTTGGACATAATTATGATCATGATGCAATTGTTCAACCTCAACTTCACTTTCCAGCCCTTTGACGACGCTTACGTCCTATCAAACTCCCAAGATTCGCTCCGAGTTTCTCCAAACCTTTCTTCTCCCTCTCCCCTCCCTTGCTATCCCCGTTCCTCTCAAGACCTCCATCACCCCCCTCATTGTTCCTCCTCTTCTCGACTGTTTTCGAGTCAGATCCCCTCTTCCTCTTCTTGTTTTTTCCCTCCTTGCCACTCTTCTCCAGTACAGTTGACCGCTTATCCTCGCCTGCGCCAGACGCGGGTTTCCGAACAAGTCGACTCCCAGAATGATCTTTCGAACGTTTTACAGGATGAGATTCGTCTTCTTCTCGAGGATGTTTCATCGGTTGGGTGGACTCGCGAGCAACGGCAATCTTGTCCACTCTTCTCTTCACCACCTATTTATCAGCTCTTGCCTATCAAGTATCTCATTTTGCAATCTTAAACCTCCGGATGGAGTAGGTGATCTGAATGGAAGTGATAATGCGGAAGAATTTGAAAGCCTATGGCCCCCGCTTACCTGCACATTCTCCACACTGAACTCAATCAACAAAGTTTTCCCTCCTCTCATTCCACCACTCTCCCCCTCTCTCGCTCTGGACTCTAGCAACTTGACCCTTCGCTCGGCCTCTTCACCTTTCCCTTCTTCCCTCGCCTCCTGCAAGCCCTTCTTGGCTTTCTCCACCAACTCCACCAATTCTTCTTTCCACCAAGCCGCCATCAGAGGTCCTGCCTCAAGATTATTGTTGGCCCACCGTAACACCTTCAAAGCATCTTTATGGCTTCTCATTTCCAAAAACCCATATCCCTTCGATCTTCCTTTTTCAGTGATAGGATCGAGTTTGTCGGTCTGTCGAACAATCTTGGATTGTATCACAGGTGTTTGTCTCTCGCCTTTTCCTTTTCCTTTGGCTTTCTCTTTGTCCTTATTCGCTTCTCTGGCTGCCAAGGCGGGGGATAAACTTTCGTCGGATTCTTCCGTCCGCGACAGAGGAGCTCGGGAAGAAGATGCCACTTCAGTATCGAAAGTCCGCACAGCGTGGATGGCCAGACGTTTGAGTGTTCGATCAGTAGCAAAGAGGGGAAGTTGACGGATGGAAAGACGTGTCTTGCTGATATAGAGAGAAGGGTTGGATCGAAGAAGAGCTTTACGGGCGTTGAAGGACGCTTGACGTTTTTCCAACTCGGCGGCAGGGAGGGTAGCTGCTGCTGGGGAGTTGGGGAAGAGGACTGATGGGTCAGTATCTTCCCTCGCCAATGTAACTCAGTGTATGAGAAGATGACCACGTGAGAGGGAAGACTGAGAAGATCACTTACCGCCTTCTCTCATGAGGTATGTATTCCTCTTATCCCCTTGATGTCTGGCTCGCTCGCCATCCTCCTTAATCTGTCCAGCTTCTTCTCTTGTCACGGCACGAGACAACTCAAGAGTCCTACCATGAAGGACGAGCCGGGACGCTAGTGATGACGAGGGGTCAGCTGTAAGAACGGAGGGTAAAGAGAAAGGATTTTTGTCCCCTCCCAGCTGATCGTCAGTGTATGCCCACGAAAGTGAGAAGGATCTGAGTATACTCACGGGAATGGCGTTCGTCCCTGTCTCCTGTGCCACTTTCTCAGCCTCTTCAAGAGCTTTATCCGCATGTTCTGTCTTCCAGAAACATACGAATCCTGTGCCTCTTGACCGTCCGGTGGTCTTGTCAAGTGTGATCTTTGCATATCTCAGAGGGCCAAATGACCGGAAACTGCTCATTAGCGAGAAATACAACAGAAGAGGAGTACGCACAGGGTATTTAGCTCCTGCTCCGTGACTTCAAAAGGAAGATTTCGGATGAAAAGAGTTGACCCTACGTCAACCTTTGGCAGCTTTCGCTCAGTTGCCGCTTCCCCTTCTTTCTCCTCTCCCAGATCTTCACCTTCGTCGTTCGTGTCTTCATCGTCCTCCTCATTTTCGCCTTCACTGGCGTCATCCTCGTCATCGTCATCGTCCTCTTCGCCGTCGCCACTTTCACCTTCAAAGCCGCTCTCCTCTTCCGCATCTCCGTCACTCGAGTCAGAGGCAGAACCTTGATTATCTTCAGCTTCCGCCTTCTCTGGATCTGCCGTCTTTTGCGCCTCATCCCATTTCTCCTTGCTCAACGCCCAATCCACTGCGACCTTTCTTGCCTCTTTTTCTCCATCATTGATCTTGCCCTTTACCTGACTCCCGGCCTTGGCAATGCTCTTCCCGTTAACGCCTTGTATGGCCCGTTCCGCATCGGCCTTAGAGAGGAACCAAACGAAAGCGAAACCTCGGGCTCGGGGTGGTGGTGGTGCTTTATCTGGGTTAGAGGGTAATTTGGAAGGTAAAGTGGGTAGGTCGATGGATTGTATCGGTCCATAAGGGAGGAAAGTAGCACGTAGGTCTTGTTCTGTAGTCTGAACGTCAGCGATCTCCAATTTATGATCAAATCATCTGCCATAGCCCACGTCAGACGGGAAGACAGCTAAGAACAGAGAGGTATTGGTTGAGAGACTCACATCCCACGAGAGGTTGCGCACGATGAGCCGACCGGCATGACTAGTCTTACCCAGTTTCTCCAGTCGTTTCTTCAAGACGCAAGATAAGATGGAGCCCTTGTATGTGTGTCCGTGTAATTTAGGTATAGCCTTGAGAGCGTCAGCGTGAGAAGGGAAGACGAGGTGTGCTACGAGTCAGTACAGTCTCCCTACTGGTCTGTATGTCGCCGAGTGATATACCCTGAAGCTCGTTCTCTGGAGAACGAGTATACGGATTTCTATGGTGCAAGAGACAAGCAGTAAGACTGACCTGTGTCAACCGCACCTTCAACCGGATGCTCGAGTTGTATCCTCTCATCCGTCTTTCGGACTTTCTTCCAGAGAACATTCTTCTCCAATTCCTTGGGTAGACCAGTGAGAACAAGTGTGCGTATAGCCGCCGGGTCGGTGGATTCAATCACTGGTCGAGCAGCTCTAGCTTTGGCTCCCGAGATTTCTTTCGCTGCTCTCTCTTTTGGCGGCGGCTGATATGAGTGTATTCTCTAAGTACAGTCCAAGCTGATCTCGATTGATTCGCAGGCTGTTCAAAGAAAGTAACCGCAACCCGAATTATTCCCCTTCTCTGACAGACAACACAGTGGGGAATAGAAGATGATGAACTATTCTTCATAACCACATGTCATTTGAAAAAGGGCAGATGATGAATCCGAGAGAGGTATTGGAGAGATGGAGTATAGTCCACTTACACGTTTGTCAGCCCATTCCACCCTGATTTTCCTACCCTTATCCCCAAACTCACTCCCGTCCAACTCCTTGACAGCCGTCTCCGCATCTTCTTTCAAAGAATAAGTCACATATCCCACACCTTTTGACTTTCCCGTAGTTTTATCAGTAGCGATAAAACCATGACGTACAGGACCAAGGAAAGAGAAATGAGTGAGGAGATCTGTCGTGGTGGCTGAGAAAGGGAGGGAAGAAACGAAGATTGTTGTGCTGGGCATTAGCTAATGCTCTTCGACCTTCCACCCTCCCTAGATCTCCAGAAGGAATATGAGTTCGGAAGATATTCCACATATAGCATTATCATCTACAAGCCTAAGCATCTGTCGAAGACAGGCGCTCGACATACTTGATAGCACCAAAGTCGGGTAGAGGGATTGAAGCCATGGGCGAAGACGGAAGACGGGATTGCTCTCACTTGACTTTCTCTTTCCTTTCTCGCTTTACTGGCGTACTACCATCTCCGATTTCTAAAGGGATATAATCATTTTCCGACATTGCAGTAGTATGAACACCATGAAAGTTTCCATAATTCGAGAAAGTCCAGAAAGTCAACTTTTTTTGTGATGAGATGACGTGGCTTTCAAGCTTATCAATCTCAACTTGGTCCTGATCCAACTCTTCTCTTTCAAGTGGAAGAAAGTTGAGAACAAAACATCATGTCAGGAGTATACAGGTATCTCGTGAGTATCCCCATCTACTTGACTCAAGTATTGAAGAGGAAATCACTTGGTTTGGAGTAAGAGTTTGGAGAAGGATGAATAGCCGAACTGATGAAAAGCAACGTCAGGCTCATGAATCCCCCGTCATCTTTTATTCGTTGGTTCTAGGTTTTGTCGGTGAGTTATATCCTTCCTCATCTGTGTGTCATCTTCACACTCTGCTCTGTTAATGGACTAATGATTCAACCCGATGAGATTCACAAATGAACTTTGTCAACTTTGAGCGGTTGGACAATGTCAGCCCTGGGGCACAAAAGCTTCATCAATGTCTTGTCCATCACAATTCTCACATATTAGAATAGGATCGGGATAGCTGAATTGGAGAAGCTTGATGAAAAGTAATGGGATATAAGGAAAAATTCTGATACATAGGTCCCACAATGGTTCTCACCGTCCCTCCTATCCGGAAATCTTTCGGTTGGAAACCGGCAGAACGTATACCAACCACTTATCCTTGTGAGTTTTCTCTCTCAATCGTCCTCCCCGTATATCGTCTCGATCTCTCGTTCCCCTTCTTGCCCATCTATATCGTTGCTCAATGATCACTTCAGAATCGCCTGCTGCAATGACGTGTATGAAGAAAGCGTGAGAGTGCAAGACTAAATTCAGTGCCTAACCGACCTAGACGTTCTGTGGAAGGCTACGAAGATCCATGAGATGAGTAAATGCATCAATGACATTCGGACATTTCGACGTTTCGCTTTTTTGTCACTCTCCTACAATGCTCCCTGGTCAACAATTATAAACACCTCATTCCGTCGTCGCGAACAGATAGGACTCTTTGAAAGCGGGCACTAATCTACTTCCCAACCTAACAAAAGGTTATCTATCAATCTGGTCCTCCCAACCCACACAGCCCCAGCTATCACCGCCCCCGTACTTTGCCCCATGTCCCTTCTTTTCTGCTTCCATACATTTACACTGCCTCTTATCGGCTCAAATGTTTCGGGATCGAACACCTCGATGTAATCGTGTCTGAGTTCCACACCTTGTTCATTGATTGATATCCGTCGTTGTTCATCAGCGATGACTGAGGTGGCGGTCGATATGATATCCTCTCCGCTGATATCCGTGCCTGTATCCCAGAGTTTGGATGCGGCGGTCAGAGCTTGGTATAGGACGGGCGCCACAGCACGCTCAGGAGGGGTGAGATAAGTGTTACGTGATGATAGAGCGAGGTGGTCGATGGGATCACGGGTCGTCGGTAAGATGTGAAGGTTGTGAGGTGAGGGATGAGAGACGAGTAAGTCGGTGAGGACTGGCAATCAGCGCTACTCCCAATGAGTCCGTTTCGATCCTGCTAATATGATAGTCGTCAATACGTGCTTGTACGACGTAAGGTGTCAGGGAGCATCTGATAGGCGGTGCAGATCGGTTTGGGGGAAGTATAAATAACCGTTGAGGTAGCTTGGGTCGATTAGCCACCGGGAAGACTCACGGACGCGGAGTAAAAGTGCCTGCTGGATATCCTTTTGCCCGAAATACGCATGGTCCGGCTACGGAATCAGCTTAGCCCTCACTATTTCTACTAGCTGATTCACCTCGACGGCATTGAACAACTTTGTACAGATCGTGGCGACGCCAGTGAAGAACTGTGCTGCTTGATCAGCTCCTTTTGTGCTCATATAAGAAACGTATTGACGACAATGGGCACAAATAGACGCCTTGCGCTCTCATCCTACTCGTCGAGGTCGTAAGGAGGGTCTCAAAGCAAGATCAAGGTAGGAGGTCAGGGCATGATAGTCTGTGGCATGTATACCATGGATATCAAGACCGACTCACGCCTAGAAACCCCTTCCATAACATCTCCCCAACCTTTCATATCTACCGTCACCCCCTTATATCTTCGCAAATCCTGTAATTCTCCACGAAGGGGATACATGACATCGTTGGTAGGAGCGAAGATAACCAGAGGACTTTCTTTGATATCTCCAGCATCCGCCCCGAGTGATTGTGAGGATGTCGGTGTGGTCTTAGGATAGTCTGGTCCTGGGAAGGTGTCTGTTGTTGTTGTATGGGACTGTGATGTGTGAAGAAGCGTTTGAAGGAGATTTAGATCGCTTTCGAATGTCCGTGGATAAGAAAGTAGGTCTTCGGAGGGTGCAAACTGAGATCAGCGATCAGTCTGTTGGCTCCATTAGCATCACACAGATCCTATGGACTGTGCATGGAGTTGTGGTCGAAGCAGGCAAGCGAGAGAACTGTACTTCATTCGAGAAAGGTTGGAGAGAGTCAGAGAAGCACTGGTGGAGAGAGCTTACCTGCATGGGATTGACAAACAAGGTCATAACTGTCAACGGATGTCGTGATAGGGAAGTTTTGACTGAATATCAGCACCTAGATTCAGAGGTAGCTTCTTTGATCCCATGTGTTATTTCAGCACCTGGAACATGATAGCTGGAGTTTATCTCGAGTGCCCAACGAGTGTAACCAACAGGTGCCCAGGTGTAGAAGGTGAGAAGACAGAGAAAGGAGGAACGGGTAGACTCACTGAGATTAAGATGACCTTCGTGTAAAGCTCCCATCTGTTTGTCAATTCCATCTCTACGTTTCAATCTTCCTCAAACCTCTCATATGGACTCATCCTTCTCAGCTTTAGGTTTTTGGATCTCCCTCTGTCCGAAGTCATTTACCCGCCTGTTCCAGTCGATCCAACATCTGCATGACACTTAACTCCGTAGTCGCCATTCCATCCATGACATCTTTCACCGCTCGTTAACCCAGGTAAGTAAGTAGGGTGTGGAGAAGTGTAAGGAGATCCGATATGAGGAAACAACTCACAGTGGGTATACAGCCAACTTTCAGACCTCTAATCCTCGCATCGTTCCTCCATTTCCTCAGAGCTTCCAAAGTCCTAAAGATTGGAATTTCTCTTGATCCTTTCCCGTCGATGCCACTTCCTTCCTTCCCCGAGAGGTCTATTCGGTCTGACCCTATGCCATCCATTGATCTTCCCGACGTCATACCCCTAAATCCTGGTGGTTTCCTGCTCCAGGGACGACGTACGAGAGTGAAACACGAAGGAGAAAATCCCAATCCCAATCCCCGGGTCGTTTCGAGTCGGCACACAGAGCTGAGTAGCATCCGTCACGTCACCGCTCCAATCCTCACACTGTTAAACGAGATATTTGCAGTCTAGCTCCCACTTACGGCCCTCTACACATATATCTAGCCAATTTGATTTACAATTTCGTCGTCGAGTCGGAATGGTACGATCCCAAGGCCGGACTTTGTGGTTGGGGGGGATGATCGTTCGATCGGGGAGCCCCACTCTGCTCTCCCCCACAACGGTACTACGGTCATGATCCGAATCGACCTCGATATCACCGACTTGGTTCGATAACAATCCTTTCAACATTTCTTCCCTACGACTAGAAGACCATGTTGTCGAATTCTACTAGTTTCCCATGACGTTTGAGCATAGAACTTGCTACGTGTGCAGATCAGACTTTCTTTCCCACACTACCGACACCGCCTCATACGTTCCCCGGTCACCATCATTTTTCACACGTACCATTCACGACTTGTTGACCTCGCCCCGCATTCTTTCACCAAGTGCCCGAGCTCGAGAGTATTTATAACCCCTTCTTTCCCCTCTCTCCAAGCAACCTATCCCTTTTGCCACCCAAATCACTTTCTAGTACTTGCTCGTACAACCATAGTACCACAATCACAATGAATGTTGTCGAGCGACTTGAAGCACTAACACATGTGAGCGAGCTGGGCGTTCGCTGTTCCACGTTTAGAAACATCAAGGATGATCTCTCACTTGAAATTCGAGGGATTATTAAACAAAATGAGAAAGCCCTTGAATTTGTCTCTCAGCTCCAGGGTCATGTACATACCGCATTGGGTGCAGGTGATGATAAAGATATATATTACTCAGCTATCAGCTCAATGGAAGGCCTGGTTGAAGAAGCAATGGAAGTGTGGCCCACAATTGATTTCCATCTAGCCAATTTTTCCAGTGACATATATGGAGCTTATGGTGTGGTACTCGCTCTCGAAGCGGCCAAAGCAGGCAAGTCAGAGCTCGAAGAAGACGTGAATTTTTCGACGTTTGCTGTGATCGAGAAAGTGAAGGCCCTCAGAGACAGCATGGGGCCTATTGAAGAGACAAAGTCTGAGTTGCAGGCCTCTTTTCTAAAATTGATCGCAAAAAATGCTGTGATGCAAAGCACAAATGGAGAGATGCATTCGGATCAGGCTTTACTCTCTCTAAATTTGTCTGCTGCAAGGGTGATGAGAAAACTCAGCCAGTTGACAGGTGATCGTGGGACAGGTGATCGTGGGACAGGTGATCGTGAATCATCTTGAAGAGCCACGTTGGTCAGCCAGCATGATGGTGACCGCCGGCCATGATGGAAGGAGTGAGAAGTGGAGTAGAGCGATTATTGGTCTGTGATGATCTCAGGATCAGCGATGAATGATGATAGACGAGTATCGGTCATGTGGTAGAACTGTCAGACATTGACTTGGCTTCTTCGTCACACCCCGTAAACCTACCGCTGTTCTTTCTCATATTCCTCATGTTCGAATCTCACTACTCCATGACCACATTTCAACCCAGACATAACAATTCATATTCTCATACCGACAATTTGACCCAAGCAGAAGTGTCCATCAAAAGAGCGTTGCGTTTATTCTACATCCTCTCGGACCATCCGAGCTATATACAGACGCCAGCGTCTGGCTTGTTCACTTCTCCCCTTCGTCTCTACCTATCTTATGATTTCCTCGCTAATAAACCTACTAATCCCTCAAATCCCTCCGTACGCATCATCCCCATCGAACATACTCACCCTATTCCCAGGCGCACCCGACCATCGTCTCGGACTATCCGTCACGCTTCCCGGTACACTCATACCTCCAGGACTTGGAGGAGGGTAATGCGGACTTGGGAAGACCGTAGCTCCCGCCGTCGTGGCCGAATAAGGTGGTACCAGGTTACGAGAATCGGCGCTATTTGGCATTCTGTCGAATGGGTTCACTTCGGACCTAACGAACCGACCTGCCTGTTGACTGACATTCGTCGCTGTTGATAGAGGTGTGGGTACTTCTTGCAAAGGTGACAGAGGTTGACCATGCATGTATGGTTGAGGAGGTTCCAGATTGAGTTGTGGAAGTCGCATGGGTTCATGAGCGGAAAAGCTGGAGGTGGTAGCTTGTGAAGAGGTAGATTGATTTAATGCTGATGCTCCGGCTGCAGGAGTGACGGGGGTGACAGGTTCGGAAACGCCCGCTGCTCTCGCTACTTCTCCATATAATCTCTTCTGGTCCGATGGAGTAGAAGGGGGGGATACCGGTGTGTGTTCAGGTTCATACATCGACAAAGGCTGTTGTGTTGAATTCCGAAGGTTGAATGATGCCATCAGAGGACTGACAGGAGTTAAAGTCGGCAGCGGAGCTCGCAACGTTTCCGTGTTAGATTGATAGTTCGATGAAGTGGGTTGAGAGTAGGTATGTTTCTCCGCAAGAGGATATCCATACGGTTTGGGCATAGGCATGGAGGTCGCAGCTGCAGGAGGAGGTATGGGAGCTTGAACATGTCCTGCCCATTCATTCGCGGAAGTGGCGGTTCGGGGAGTATACGGTTCCGGGTCGCTATAAGGCAGATAGTTAGGCGAATGAGGTTGAGGTATATCCGCAAAATCTTCCAGATTGTCAATATCCGATGCGGTCCGAGGTGGCAAAGGACGACCCATGGGAACAGCAAGCAAGTTTGAGTTGGCAAATGGATGTCCGGCCGGGGTCGGTGGAGAATTGGGTCCGAGAAGCTGTCTACTGGACGGAGGAGAGAATCCAGGTGGCTGAGTGTAGTCGTCTGCATAAGGATAAGGATTGATAGGGACTCTTCCAGCTTGAGCGTTATATGGTCTTCCCTGAGCATCCACCCCGTATGATGGAGCCATTGTACCATATCCGCCATACCCTGGTTGAGATTGGGGTTGAGGTCGAGCCCTTGTACCCGCGCCAACTCCAGCTCGGTTGTCTTCACCGACGTAAGAGTCGGGTCGAAGAGTACCATCGTTGTTGAATGCGTTCTGTCTAGCGAGGGCTAAAGCGCGACGCGAGCCGATGACAGGCACAGTCGAAGACCCATAAATGTCGTCAGGAGGTGGCTCTGGTTTCTCATGAGGATACGGAGTGATGTCTTCCGGAATCTTGGACCATGGTAGTTTGGTAGAGTAGGAGCGACGCGCATATTTGCGGTACAACCAACCGATCGCGGATCCAACGATAATCAGTCCAATCAAGGCGGCAACGACCACTCCGACAATACCTCCTGTACTCAGGCCGGAGTTCTTGGACGAGGAAGCGGCGGCTTCGGCTGTAGCAGACTTGATTGCCGAGGAGAGAGTTGATGAAGGGAAGTTCGAGGTGATGGTAGGCACCGTAGGCGTAGGAGAGGAGCTATGCGTTGATGAAGTAGATGAAGAGGACTTCGAAGTAGACTGGAAGTCAACTTGATCCAATCGGCAAGGATTAGTCATGAGCACTCACGGAAGAAGAAGTGGTTGTTTTGGACACACTAGATATGGTACTGGTAGTGGAAGAAGACGAGGATGTGGTTGACGAGGACGCAGCGGCTTGGATGGAAGCGATGACAGGGTTCGTCGCCGTCAATTGAGCCGATTTGATGGTCGTACCCGCTGCGGCATTACCAGCGGCTGCTTTGGCAGTTGTTGAAGCTGTGGTCTTTGCCTATCCAGTCAGCAAATCTTCCGATTCCTTGGAGAATACCCACCGTAGTGGCTGTCTTCGCTTTGGCAGCAGCGGCCGCGGCGGCAGCAGTAGCAGAAGCCGAGGCTTTAGCAGCAGCGACGGAGGACGAAGCAGCTGCAGCTGCAGCGGATGCTTGAGCAGCTTGGACAGCTTCCAAACTCGCTATTTCCCCAGGAGTATATATGTTGACTCGAGGTTTCAGTGACATATCGACGACCTGATCGGGACCGTATCGCAACGATTTGATTAAAGCTTTCCAAAGAGAAGCAGGATCTTCACTCTTCGGTATGTTGTGTGGTCTCGCTCGACCCAAGGGAGTGTTGGAATGCATGTTGAATGTCGAAGCTTTGTGAACTGGTGTGTTGTCGACGGAAAGAGTAGGAATTCGAAGATGGGTGTAAGTTGTATGATTCTAGTTGAAGGAAAGGACGCCTGCGTCAAGTTTGTCTCGGATGAAGAGAAACGCGCAAGGCGTCGTCGAATGAAGGAACGTCTTCAGACGTGAAGGTATCGGTGATGAAAGAACGTGAAGGGTGAAGGAAATGAATTAACCACAGAAGAGAGATGGAGATTACGAGTGGTGTGAGAAACAATAAACTTTTGATGATGGTGAGATGAAGGTGAAGAGATCCGAGCGTCACCTGGAACGTTTGAGTAAAAAGAGGGTAAGCAGAGGAATTTGATGGATCAATTGTCTCAAAGGACCGGTGCTTGTCGCTTGTCGGACGTACGTAGTGACAGTGGAATTAAAACGAAAGAAGGTGTTGACGAAGAACCAGTCGCCGCTATGGGAAAGAAAGTAGAGGAGAGGAAACAGTAACAACCATGAAGAGTAGAGGTCGTAGAGAGGAGAGACCAATAGCGCTAAGAGAAGAAGAAGACGAGTGCAAGTCGCGTCGGATGGAGTCATGTCAGAAAACACGCGACCCGTGCCCACCCATCGGATTGATAACGACTTAGGGCACCACCCTAAGTGACCCCGGGCACCACCTTCGGTCAGGAACCTAATGAATCGAACTAATGAGTTAGAAACACAATGCTATTGTGGGTGGTTCCTCTACTAATCAATCGAAAAATTACTAATGATATCCTCCCAACCTCCCTAACCCCCTAACCTCCCTAAACCCCTAACCTCCTAACCCCCTAACCCCCTAAAGGTCAACCATTAGTATTCCGCCTCCACCTGCGGCAGAGGCAATGACTTACAGAGAGTAGGCACGCCCCACCTTGAATTAGGCACGCCAAAGGTGGTGCCCGGGGTCACTTCGGGTGGTGCCCTAAGTCGTTATCATCGGATTTCCGCACACAAGGGTCTCGCGTTCAGGGACGACGTGTTTCAGGTTTTAGCATCTTCCTTTTTACTTGCCACGTGGCATTTACGAGCAATTGGGAGATAATGAAAAGAATGACGATGAGATATTCCCCCAAATGGCAAGTGGAGGTTCGTCTGCGAACGTCGTGAACACTACTATGGCAGGTGAAAAGGGTGAGTGAGTGGACCGCAAGAATGAAAGGCTGAAGAATCAGTAATATGTCCTATATGCAATCGTCTTGTCTCAGGAAACGATATCAACCTTCATCTTGACCTCCAATGTCCAGGTGCTCCCAATGCTGGACCCTCTCGTTCTCCCCCGCATTCGTCACGACAACCATCACAACAGAAGATAATATCATCTTCTCCTGATCTTGAAGGAAAGTCATCTTCTGGTGAACCCCCAAGACATATGGCCCCGGTCTTCGGAGTCAAGCGAAAGGTAATGAAAGTAGAAGATGACGATGGAGGATCCGTGCGTGCTCAAGAGACCAATGGCAGGGAAGAGAAAAAACCGAGAGTGAACCCTCTGTCTGCTAATCAACCGTCAGTCATCTGATCTGTCACATTTTGCTACAGCTCAAATGTAGCTTAGCGGAGAGATCAAGACCTTCATCACTACTCGCATATGTGGGCCAAGAAGATCTTGTTGGACCTGGTAGTTTACTGAGAGCAAGGATAGAAGCAGGTGAAGGAGTAGGTAGTTGTATACTCTGGGGTCCACCAGGAAGCGGTAAGACGTAAGCTCTTTCCGTTGACCTAGAGATATTTGTTGATTACCAGGACACTGGCAAGGTTGATCGCTAAGACCGCCAATGCGGATTTCAAAGAGCTCTCTGCTACCAGGTATGTCTTAGCCTTCAAGACCTCCAGACAACGGCTGATGAGACGTAGTTCCGGGACAGCGGACGTGAGACAAGTGTTTGAACAGGCCAAGAATCTTCTTAAACTCACCGGAAGGTGAGTCGTCTCTTGGTTTGGGTGTGTCAGCTGAGGTGTCAGAAAGACCATCTTGATGGTTGACGAGATCCATCGGTATTCCCATTCCTGACAAGATATAGGTGGGAAACTGACTGAGGAGGTTCAACAAGTCTCAACAGGACCTGTTTCTGCCTTATGTCGAGAATGGGTGGGTGCAGCTGATAGGTGCTACCACGGAGAATCCTTCTTTCAAAGTGAACGGGGCGTTGTTATCTCGTTGCCAGTGAGTTCGCTACACGTTTCCCTTACAATTTCAAACCACTGGTCATCCTCAAATGTTTCCATCTATGATCGTGTTCTCCTTCTTCTCCAGTGGTTCTCCCTTTCTGGCTCATCACTCGTAAACGCTATTCTGGTGGGCTAGACAAGGTCCTCTCCTGATTGAAGATCAAAGATGGTGGTAAGGATGAAATAAGTTGACAACCCAGAGTTTTCACACTATCCCCTCACACATCCAAAGACCTAGAGAAGATCCTTGACAACGCCCGTTCCTCCCTTTCCTCTCCTCCGCCACTTCCACCAGATCTTGTCCCCTTTTTGGCAGACATAGCAGATGGCGATGCCCGACAAGCCTTGAACGGTCTCGAGCTCGCCCTTTCAGCTAGTGAGGCTTTACCGCTTCCATCACCTCCCGAGAATATGGACCATCCTGATCGGGCTTCGGACGTGGACAAGCGAAACAAGGAGTTGATGGAGACTTTACGGAAAGGGCTAAGGAAGGGATATGATAGGAGTGGAGAGGAAAGATATGATATGATTTCTGCTTTGCATAAAAGTCTAAGGGGAAGCGATGGGAGTGCTGCCATGTATTGGCTTGCGAGGTGGGTCAAATCATCTCTGCATGTCGTTACTCATCTACCAACAAATTATCTTATTTAGACTTGTCAACATCATTACATAGCCCACTCTTGGAACATACGTGAGACTGTTGAAGTGTTGGACCAAAAAGTGGAACATCGCGTAGCTGACGTAGAAGGATGATCACAGGCGGAGAAGACCCTCTGTATATCGCCAGACGATTGATTGTTGTGGCTAGTGAAGATGTCGGCTTGGCGGATAATCATGCATTACCTTTAGTAAGCTTTTCATTTGTTGAGTACTCGCAATCAGCTAAACGAAAAGGCTATGGCAACATATCAGGCTTGTCAAGTTATCGGTTTACCAGAATGTAGGATTAACCTTGCTGTGAGTCACCATGTCTGTTCTCCTGTTGTCTCTGCGTACGCTATCGTCTGTCATCACCCACATTCTTACATTCCCTCACCCCTCGATCCCCGCGTTGAAGATGATCCAGGTGATTCGAGTTGTTTCTTCTCAGCAAAAAATTGACGTCCAACGTCTCATATTCTGTCAACTCAACCCCCTTCTCCCTTATATACCTCCCTAAACCACATTGTCCGGGGTACATACTCACGTGTGCGGCCCCAGAGAATTCCCCGTCCAACCCCAGCGTATCTGCATAACCACCCACAAGAGCTGGAAGGATTGAGAAACTCCTGTAAAATCATCGATGATGTAACTTGGAATGTATATCAAGCTGACAATCAGCATCTAGTAGCTTATCTTGCCGAATGTCCTAAATCCACTAGATCATATAACGCCTATAAACGAGCCGAAGCAATAGCCACTTCCCCACCTCTTCCTGGTGTCCCATTACAAATTCGTAATGCACCTACTAAACTAATGAAACAATTAGGGTATGGGAAAGAATATTCATATGATCCTGATTATGTTCATCCCGTTTGGAATGTGAGTTTCATTTAATTACCCCCTTCAGGCATCATCCGGTATTTTTCTATCATGCCTTATATCTCTAAACATCGTTTTCGTTCCTTGGATGACGATCTTCATCGTCTCAAGGAGATATGATTTTGGAGAACTGGAATTTGACGCAAAACGTCATAAGGAATTTGGACGTCGTGAAAGTACCTCATGGAATAAACCATTCTAGGATATTCTGAGGTTCTGGATGTCGATCTAGAGTTTTTGTGGGATTTAAGGGGAAAAAACAAGGCGAAAAGATCGATGGGAAATGTTGTGACAGAGTGGTGTGAAAGTTGACACAATAGGAATACCTTCCTTCATCTATCTCAAAACATTCTTCTTTATCACCTGACCTAGAGGAACATATCCTTCTTTCATCCGAAAATGAGATCAAGATGAAAGAATGGGATGAAGAGAAATTACGTATTTGGGAAAATGTCGTGAATCAAGGTCAACCATGGGAAGGGCGTCGCAAACGAGAAACATAATTACCATTCTGAATAAGACACGTAATTACCGTTCTGGAACAATATGTGTACTAGGAGTGCGCATACTCTTGCTCCATTCCCCCGGATACCGATATCTGCATCACGAAACACAGCCTGTCAAACAACTGAGTTGAATGTATACAGTATCACGGAATGAGGATGACTTCATAGAAATATCTTGGGATAACATGAACTGTCAATCATGATAAGGTGGACGAGTAGATGCAAGGATCAACAAAAGAGATATGCATGCATGTCACTGTCCGATCTGAGTACAAAGTTGCGAAGTATCAATTTGACATTTGTCATTGTGAGTCTTTCGAATCGTGAGGGATAAGTTGTGGTCGTAATGACTTCGTGAGATCGTCATGAGGCGTCCACGTTGGATTTGGGGAGCGATGAGTAATGAGTGATAGGGTAAGGGGAGGAGTTATGTGACGTTCATTCGGCTGGGTTGTCAGTCTACGCTACCACTATCGTTCATTTATCGTCCCCATATCAATCACCTTTACTATGGTTCGACAAAGGTGGAGATCATGAAAATCTGAAAGTGTATCCGGGCAGAAGTTTGGACATTACGACTTGAGAAGATTGAAATGAAAGTCAATAACAAGAGATAAACCAAGTCAACTACTCAATCCTCCACTCTACTCACCTAAAACCCTCTCGATAATCTTTCCTATAGCATCCTTTCTTTCCGAGAAATCACATCCATATTCCTCTTCCAACTGTTTCCTAACTCCCTTCTTTGTCAACTTGTCCAAGTCCGCACCTTGACAAATCCTTCTGATACTCAATTCCAATTGTCCGTCCGTCACTCCCGCTTGACCGAGAGACAAACCTGGAATAGCAACCTCAGGTAACATACCCGCACTAGGTTGATTCTGACCAGACGTTTGGATTTGATTGGAAAGTGAATAACTTGAACCTCTAGCTTGTGCTGGATCAAAATACGAATAACTTGATTGTCTGTCCGTTCCCCCTTGAGGTGGCATGGTTCCCATCTGACCCATTTGAATCATGGGTGGAGGAGGTTGATTATATATGCTTCCAGCGTAGAAAGATCGTTGATCAAAATTACCTGGAGGATGATATGAACCTGTCATACTACCTGCATAACCTGGGTGAGGAAGAGGATTGTATGACGATGGAGGTCTTGATGCCGCTCTGAGATCCACGTAGGATCCAGCGTGAGACATGTTACGCATGGGAGGTTCAAAGTTGTCTCCGCCGTAAGAAGAGGGAGCACGAGATCCGTATCCATATCCGTTTCCTGTGTGATCCTGGAAGGGGTGATCTTTCTGAGGAATGAAAGAGCCGTGTGAATGACTGGACTCATGGTCCCAAAGTTCGTTTCTGCACATCAGCGAGAACGCCAGCGAAGCCACGAGAGGGCGAGATGGAGGAGGGGTGATACACATAGAACGCGGAAGGGGAAAAGAAAGAGTCCACTCACTCATAGTCGTTCCACGATTTAAGTGGAATAGATCGAGGATCAAATTTACCTTCATCCTACTCATCAGCTATCGAACCGTAGTCAGTCAGTCGAGCTGGACATACGTGAATGACAAGCTTTTTGCCCTTTTCTCCGACAACTGCAAGTCAGTGCGAGAGCTGAAGATGGTGCATGTGACTCACCAAGACGAGTAGAACCCCACGAGAAATCGTCCATCCTCCAGAAGGAATACAAGGGGAGGAAGAATGAGAACACGGGGATAGCGAGGATGTAAACTGAAGTCAGCAAGTACCACACCAGTCATAATAAGCAGGTAGCGCCGTAACAGGGGGAACCGAGACGGATGAAGCAACGAAGACCCAAGCGGGGTTGGGACAGTAAAGACGTTCAACACTCACAGACCATCCAGGCAATCATGTCCCAACGCAGACGGAAAATGAAGACGAGTGCTTGCAGGCCGTAGATGGCAGCGAGCATGACGATGGATAGCGTTGGTATGGTGGCGTGATTGTGGGCTACCAGATAGACAAGATAGACGATCTGTGGGTCAGCGGGTGTTTCATTGCCTGACCAGTCTAATCTGGTATACCCTTGACCCGTGAAGAACTATGAAAGACCATCATAATGATGGAAAAGGTGGAATAAGACTATGAATGGACAAGTTCACATCAAGAAAGAAAGTACAGCATAAAAGGACACCTTGATAATGAGAAGCATGGAGTGAGGACATGAAATATCAGACCAACCGAGAAAGAACCGAAACAATGCGAGCCTTCCAAGTGATGAGGAGGACGGAGTAGAAGGTTAAGAGTATGACTTCGACCCAAGAATGAACAGAGAAACACTCACATAGGCCACAGTGACAGGAGCCACGATAGTCGATAACAAATCAATAAACACCACAAACCTCATACTGAAACAACAAAATCCACATAATTGTTCCAAAAACACCAACTCTGCTAAATTATGTACCGTCGAATTGATCCATCTTCTTCTTTGAGAAAGTAAAACTTTCGAAGAGTCCGGAGCGACAGTCTCTGCGTGTGCATCACGAACAAATTTGGTTTTGTATTTCGGGAAATGCTTCAGTACCAGAGTGGTGAGATATCTATCTTCTCCTAAATGAAGAAGGTTTTTAAGATGGAGAGTGTCGACTCTGTTCTCAGAGTAATCCTGAATGATTTGATTAGAGATGAAGAGTGGTTTGTGAGTGTCAGGAGTGCGGAGTCGGTACATGGAGAAACAACCTGGCAGACAGGTTATACTGCCGAACAAAGATTCGAAGGATTTGGCGAGGTGGTGGGAGATGAAATATTCGTACACCTGGGGTTTAGCTGTTATACTACTTTGAATGAACGAGTGGCGGCTGAAATATTCGATACGTGGGGCAAGAACGGTGTAGAGAGTAGAGCAGGGACAGGTGGATATTGAGAAGCACGAAATTGGGGGGGGGGGAGGTACAGGCAAAGGCAAGCCCATGGGAAGACAGCGAGCGGAACTCACTTGCGACATGGTCACAATAGACTGTTTAGCATTCGATATACTAGTCTCGCCACAAACGCCGATGATCTTCTTGTCATGTTGCATTCTATCGCCGTCAGTCTCATCATCCATACTCCGCTGAGTCGAGCGAGCCTTTGAAGTCCCTCAAGCCCAAGGACCAGTAGTCAGACACAGAAGATCTAGACAGGATCTAGACTACCTGTATTGCAAAAGTCCTCAGTTCAACCCAGAAAACTTAGAGTTGAGGGATGATTGAAATTATCGCTGTCGTAAGAATTCAATAGGGGATTCGTACAGAGCAGAGATGTGATGGGAACAAGACGAGAAGACTCACGCAGCGACCAGCCGATTCAATGACAACTTCTCAACGGTAGTATCGGCATCCACCATGAAGATGTACTCGTAGAATGACGGATTCACCCCGATGACATTCTTGATCTGATGATACATTTCCAATTCCAGGGGGTTCATGGGGGCATTGAAGTGGACCTAAGTGTCAGCACGTATTGCAATACGATCTCCCCACCAGCACGTCCTCCTATTCTCCCATGTACTTCCGACTCTCGGTAGCAACCTCACCTACACGTCGGAAGAGGCACAGATAGATGCGAGGGATACAATTAGGACCTATAACGAGCCGTCGAAAGGAATGACGTATGAGCAAAGGGAGTGACTGAGTTGGATGGAGAGACCCGCAGGAGCTAGAGAGACAGATATGTGCAGGGAGACAAGGCGTGTGTATTCAAAGCGGCACAGAGAAAAGACAAGGGGACTGGGGAGAAAAGGAGAACAGAAAACCGACCCACCTTATTCAAAAAGTGCATCAAGATCATCTGCGAATCCCTCTTTCCTCTATTACCAGGTTTTGGTCTTTCCGTAGGTTTACCGACTTTAACAACTACCAAATAAGGTACTATATGACCTGCAGTCTCATATAACCCAGCATATATTTTCCCCATATTATGTTGTTTAGCACCTTCTCCCAAACTTTGAAAACTCAGAGGTTCAGGATCTTGATGTCCTTCCACACCCAAGATATCAAGGACGATACCAGGTGTAGATTTATCGTTCCCATAACCTTTGATATTCCCATCACAAATGATTACCAAAAGTTTTCTCTTGTCATCATATTCCAATCGCACTAAGGAATCGATTGTACGTCGAAGTGATTCTTCTCCTTCTGTATAACAAGGGACTTGACAAATGACGAATTTATCTGGTTTTTCCGGTGCTCGGGACGAAGAGAAATGAATAGCGGCGAGGAATTTGAAACCGATGATAGCCACCATGATACAGGATAAAGCTAAAAGGATGTAAGTGCTAAATTGACATTGGGGACTATCTCGGGTATCGAGTTTACCAATGATGAAAAGATTTCGAAGACAAACTTTTTGGTTGTTGACTACGTCGGAACCGATGGTACCTGATAAATTATCCAGAAGGGTAGTTATATCTTTTCCGGAATTATAAGTGAACAAAGAGACAACCTCTGGTGACATGAATTGTCTATCTGCTTGATCTTGAGCAGTTAAATTGACTCCGTTTGGAGTCTTCAATCCTCCACCATTTTGTTGGATATAAGTGGTGAGTTCGTATACAAGGTTATTGTACACTCCGACGGCTCGTCCGGCGTTAGCCATGTTCTTGAGATCTTTCTTCGTATATCCCATGAAACCCACACGGTACCGATAACGTAACATGATCATCTGTTCGGCGTACCAATCAGGACGAGAGTCGTTGGTGAAAGCACGAAAATCGTGGTACTGGCTGTATGGATCCGACGTGTTGGTCGTATCCAAGGTCACCCAAGGACTCAGCGAGCCGGTGGTTCCTTGACACAGCGCATTCACTTGAACGGGGAACAGGTGGGAAGCGTCGAGACCACCATATTGGAGGACCGATTTGGTCGGGACTACCGATACAGCGGTAAGATGAGTAGTAGCGAAAGTAGATAAATCAAATACCTCCCCACGGATCGACACAAAGGCATTGTTGGGATTGAGTTTTGTCGAATGACTGGCCAGTTCGGAAGAACTGTAGACATGTTGTGTGGGACAGATGATAGGACCAAGGAAAGCAATGACGAAAACGGTGCATCCACAGATGAACCAGATGATGAGGTTGATGGTGAGCTTCTCTCGCCAAGCTTGCCGGATATCTTGCCGTTTCATCCCGCCAAGTTTGTTGAGCATAAAGTTGGGTATCCAAAATGTGAGCATAGTGCAGAGCAAAACCCATCGTCGACGAGCAGCCGATTCACGGTATTCTTCCGTTATCTCCCCGTCTTGCGGCTCCTCGTCAAGGACATCCTTCTCGTCTTTGTGATCCATATCACGGAACATGTTGCGAGAAGGAGCGTAAGTCTCTGTACCAACGTTAGACATGGTGTCATATTGACTGGCCACCTGACTCGGGGCAAAACCCCGGGTGCGGTCGAGGTCGTCAAGGGATTCTTGAGGCAAGGGTTGAGCATATTGCACCAGGGGGAGGGCAACGGACGAATCCTGTGCTGAGTATGGCAGCTGACCGAGGGCTGGGGAGTGGATGGGGGAAACGTCCTTGGAGTATGGAGAGAAAGGGTCGACCTTAAGATCTCCAGAGGTATTTTCGCGCTCGGTGTATTTCGGCCTCTCGCTAGGCTCCTGAGAGCGGAGTCGATCTTCAAATCGTTGAAAGACGGAATGGGATAAGAAGACCTAGTCATCAGTCAATGATAGGAGATGGCTAGATGCTCACGGTAGTCGTCCCGATCCCCATATCCAGATCTTTCAGCCCCAGCTTCTCCTTCAACTCATGCAGCTGCTGCGCGCTCGTCTTCTCGCTGTCCACACCATTCAGAGTTAACTCTTCAGCGTATCTCTCGCAAGCCTCAGCGTGACTCATACGAACCTCATAACACATCTGCAACCTTTGGGCCATCTCTGTCAAGCCGATACTTCGTATCTGCGCCTTGACACTTCGAGTCTCCACCTGTGAGGGAAGCTGAGAATCGTTGGGTCGAACACAAAAGGCGAACCAGGGTTGTGCTTGATCGAAAGTGCCCAGTAAGGTATCTAAAGCGGCTCGATGTTGCCCAGCCACACACTGCATCTCCTTCTCTGCTCCAGCAGGAGCTTCATCGTTTCCACCTCCAACTTGGTCATCTTCCTCCTCCTCGGTCACCGCAGTCAGCCTTGGACCCTTCTTCCGACGAGTGGAAGGTGCCCGCATAGGGCGGACGGGCTGTTGAGCAGCGACGATAGTGTCATCATTCCTGGGATGGGCTTGAGTGGTCATTGCCTTGGACGAGAACAACCCTTTGATGAAGGGATTGTTCGAACCTTGATCTTCACCAACAGCGCCGGGAGTACCCTTCAGAAGACGGAGGATGTCCGCACTTGTCTCATTTGCATTGCGTTCAAGGAAGTTTTCGGTGGAATAGGTGACAGCGCCAGAATAGTGGTTGATCGTGAAACTCGAACCCGCTTGACGACTGGTATCTCCCAGAGAAAACGAAGCATGGACGGTATGTCTCTTGCCTAATGCCTCAAGGAAGCTTGCTTCGGACTTTTTCTTCCTCGCCTGGTCGTCCATGATGTGGATCACACCACCTTTTGGATCAGCAAGCATCTTGAGACATTCCGAGTTATCATAGTAAGGTAGACGTGATATCGGTAATCGTTCTCTAGACGCCTCCTCGAAAGGAACCTCATGTAGTCGATGCAAAGTCCAATTTTGTAGTTTTTCGTTGGCGAAATTGAAGCAAAATTGATCGACGGAATTGACAGCCGACGTGAGACCGGCATTGTTCTGAGGTCCAGGAAGGTCAAGTAAGGCGATGAAAGAGCCGAAGGAGTCTCGGCACAGCTTTTGGTTGATGTGTTCGTTGAGCCAAGAGAAGAGAAGGGAATATAATGTTCTCGCCAGTTCATCCCGAACATCCTCGGCCTGTTGGGGATCGAGGAACGTGGTGCAGACTTCTTTTCGGATGAGGAGTGTCTTGAAGGAGAAGAGCTCTGCGAGAAGGTCGGCATGTATACCAAGGAATTCAGCGACGGTATTGAGGACATCGAGGTTATCGACGATGGCTCCTTCGTGCATGGAACGGTCACCGCTAAACTGCAAGTTTCCGATGTGCAAGATGGCTGCCAATAGCTGACATACTTGTGCAACCAGTCGTGTTGAAAGTCCGACGGCTCTGAAGGCTTGTTTCAGTTGCTCGAATCTCTGTTCGTCTGATACGCCCGTTCGACGAACCCGACCTCTGAGGTAGTGATAATCGTTTACGTGGCCTAATTTGAGGAAAGACTTTTCCTCGCCGACAATGCCAGAAACGAGGTAGTAAAAGACATGAAAGTTACGCTCGCCGGTGGCAGGTGGTTGTGATACTCGAGATCTCTCAAAATAGTATTCGATAGTCTTAAGCCCTTCAAGTCGACCACGATCGTTGAACTGTAGTTCGGTGTAGTTGCCGAATCTGGAGGCGTTGTCGTTGGAAAGAGTGTGAGCGTTACCAAACGATTCAAGAATGAACTGCACAGTCAGCTTCGATACGATATATGTGCTGTGTGACTCACTTCTGCATTGGCAACTTGTGGTCCGACCTTTGCCCCTTTTCTGCCTGGACTGGCGACGCTGACTTCTGAGATGGCCTTGACTGCGAGTCTCCGCATTTCTGTTTTTCCCGATCCGGATGCGCCACTAAATATGTCAGATGTGATCATTGGGTGGAATGACGATACTTACTTCAAGACCATGATCTGATCTTGTCTCGTTCGACGCATGTTATAGTACGCCGATAATGCCAGTCGGAAGATGTGTGGACCCAAACGTTCTTTGTTGCCAGACGCATCTTCAACGGCGTTCCGATGATATTCGGCGACATAGTCTTGTAGAGGAGCATCTCCATTGACTGGGAGATAAGTTAAAGGGTTTACGGAGACAAGGGCGGAGGAAGAGAGGGCGGTGTAAGGTTGTGATGCTAGATAACGTTCACGAAGGGTAGCTACGATGGTGTCTTCTGCTACTGATGGTAAAGCGCTGTGAAGATTTAGCAAATGATTTGGTTGTGAGAGGGATGATTGGGACATACCAGAGATCGGTGGTGAGTTCGAAACGGGAAGTGAAGCGTTTGGAAGCTTCACTCATGTTGTTGACAGCGGGCGGGCAGTGGTGAGTTGTGTCTCACCGATTGGTGTCTTGGAGTGACGATGAGAGCAATGCCTCAAGGTCACTTTGCCACTCGGTGGCAGGGGAGATGGGAGGGATGAAAAGACCTAAGTGTCAAGAGACTGAGTCATGTGTATGAAGAGGATAAGGAAGGGGATAGTTGATATGTAAAAGTGACAAAGGGGCAAAGGCATGACGAATAGTCAAAGTGCGGAACCATCTTTTCGTTTTCCTTTAGTGGCTGTGCCAGCAAGAAGAGGCTCGTGCGCCCATGCGGCATGCAACATGCAACATTGCTACGTATGAGTATATGAGACTTGATCATACGTTGCCCACCGTTGACCATGTCTTCTGAGGATACCTCTTGTTCAGGGATGTATGTTTAGAAGGTGGGCGATGGACTAGCTCTTACCCACAGCATCCCTATGGTCAGAACGTCAAGCTCTCTCTGTTTGGCTGTTGCTTCAGATCGAGCGATCGACCTCCACCCTATCGCCGCAACCACAGGTAGGTTACGTAAACTTAGCGTTCATACCCTCTGAACAAATTTCCCTGGCGTTTTATCCGTCGTCCTCCCTCCCTCCCTCTCTCCCAAAAGGCCTTCATCTCCTGTCTGACTTGATCTCAGTCGCTTGTGAAAACCATACATCATGGTACGTTTCCATCATGGTGATGAGCTAGAGATGCTGACCGACAGAATCGAACGTGAGCCTGCGAATCTCGAGTTGTCCGTCGTGATGCTAATTCTCAAGTGTCCTCTACGTTTCCGGTTTCTCTAGCCATCTACGTGCCAAGGACCTGGCTTACGAATTCGAGCGTTACGGTCGTTTGATCAGGTGTGACATTCCTGCTCTCAAAACGCCTTCAGCCACTCGTGAGTAGGCCCATCTAATATGTCGTCAATCCTTTTTTTCCAATCCTATCCCCGATATCTCCTGTTTCTCGTTGAGCATGGACATGTCTTATTTGAGACCTCGGATACCATTCCGTCCTCGAGCAATGATACGGAAACGATGGCGATGTGCGACACCCTGCGTGATGTTCGATAATTGTCGAATCTTTCCTCAATCGTGACGGTATCACGGGCGAGTCGGATAATATCGTATATTATTGGGTTTTCGGTCGAGCGAACCTATGAACGACCGTCTTTTATCCTTCCCTCGTCCAGTCTGGCGACGCTTCCTCGATAATCAAGACGAACGCTCACACGACCGACAGCTTTCGCTTTCGTAGAATTCCGTCGTGATGTAGACGCTGAAGAGGCATATTACGACATGTGAGTTGATTTTTCGCCTTGACAATGTTCAATTATGTTGATTCATAGGCATGGAAGGTCCATTGATGGAAGGAGGATCACCGTGCAATGGGCAAAAAAGCCTCCAAGTTCTGCCTGGAGGCACGATGGGTAAGCTCTTGTTTCAATTCTCAATCCCACCATCCATTTCTTACACAAACATCATGCAGAAGATTCGGAAGAGTCATTGGAGGAATGCTAACGCACAGCGCTCCAGACAGACGTGATCGTGAATACGACCGTCGTCGTTCTCCACCTCCACCTCCTCCTCGTCGCTCTCCCTCGCCTAGGAGAGACGATCGTTATCGCGATGATCGTCGAGACCGCGATAGAGAAGTAGAAAAACGCAGGTCTCTCTCCCCCCGTAGGGAAGATAAACCAGACAAGGATGTCAAACCTGATGTAGAACCAACGGTTGACAAAGTGAGAAGCCCATCTCCGAAGCCTACGAATGGGAATGGTAATGAAGGACATGTTGAAGACAAGGAGGATGACCGTGAACGTAGGGATGATTGAGGGGAGGCTGCACGAGTGAGGTCAAAATCAAGATCATGCGTTACTGAAAAGGAGGACAATGTGGGATGAAGGAGTTTCATATCTTTAGTCTGCAGGCGATGAAATCGAGTGTCTTCGATCAGTGGTGCTTGTTGCATGTTGCATGCGGGACAAGGTCAAAGCCTTGTTGGTCCCCTTTTGGTCTGAATCTGTAACTAGAGCTCAGACAGTGTGGACGGGCTGTAGCTGGTAGCTGTACAGAGTGAGTAAGGAAATAATGTCCCCTAACTACGGGTCTTGATAAAGTGGACATGTGGAGAGGAAGGAAAGACGTCATCATCGTCGCGGCCGCGGCCGGGCAGTCGGGCTACTCAACTCACTATTCCAAACTTAGACAACCCATCCATCCTCTCTCTCCCTTCTCACAAAACTAGAACATAACACAACCCCTCATGTGGTACTAGGTACTAGGTACTGAACATGCCTATCCCTCGAACCACTTACAGTCAAACCATGTCACATCCAAACAGATCATCAGCAATGAACGCTCGCTCTCCACATTCCCCTTCCTCTCCTTCTCCTCCGCCCCTCCCTTCCCGTCCATCCACTTCTTCACACACTTCCTTCACCTCTACAACATCCCATCCATCCTTTCCTTCTACCTCAACTCGACCATCATACACATCTACATCTCAGAACCACCTCCCGGAATCCCGTTTGGACGCACTTTATAAAACCTCCTCTTTTTTCACTTCTAAAGCTAAAACCGCGTTAGCTCTAGCAAAGACTTATGCTCAGTATCCAGCTGGAGAAGGCGAGGGTAAAAAAGCAACATGGGAAGAATGGATCAGAGATTGGACTACTTCTGGTGAGACTAAAAGAAGTGGCATGGGGAAAGAGGAGGTGCATCTTTTACCGGGATGGGCGGTGAGGCGATATAGGGAAAAGAAAGGGGCAGAAGGGGAAGGTATGTTGAAGTATTGTCTTTTTTATCTCATCTCAATCTCTGAGTCAAGACTACAAGTACTCTTCGAGAGAAGATCTCGTGCGAGGGGCTGGTGGGGCATGGTTGAGATGAGGAATGAAAGGGGGATCGCTCGTTTGTTATGGATCTTGATATGCGGAATACTGATGATCAGGAGCACAACCTTTTGACCTCCATCTTTGGGTATCAGGTTATGCTATCTTATCTCGAGATCTCTCTGAAGCTTCAAGAACACAACGAGCTATTGTATCTCTTGCTAAACGTGAGTCGCTCGCACTGTGTTCTCAAAAGTCCTCCTTTTATCAACTTCTGTCCCTTCACCATACTGTCCACCTCGATCCACCTCGGTTCACTTTATTATCCAATCATAATTTAAGTGATTCTGACGCTCAGGCTATGCTGCTCTATCAAGAGTATTGACTTCCAACCCTTCTTCATCCCCCACCACTCCCCTCACCGCATCACCGCAAGAAGAGCTTGACGAGGAATCCGGTGGACTCTCTTCTGTTACTCCTGCCCCTCCCTCCACTTCCTCGACTCCTCTACCACCATCTTCTGTCAACAATTCCATATCCCCACCTAAGACTTCACCACTTCAATCTCACATCGAAGACCAGCCAGCACGGATTAGCAGCACGGATATCGCTTTCGCCCTTCCTGGAGCGTTACAACTAGCCAGGGAAAACCTCGATCGACGATTGTCTCCATTTTGGAGCAAGAGTCTTGCTTATCGTCCACTCTCCATTTCCGTATATTCATCCCCTCCTCCCTATGCATCCCACCCTAAGTTTGTTGATCCATCAAACACATCAGATTTTTCGACGTCAAAGGACGAAAACGACGAACCACTTTTACAAGTCCAAAGTACTACTGACAGCCAAGGTCATTTTGCCCATCATCTCGTCATTCCTTGGGAAAGATTAGCGGTACATCCCCCTTCTTTACCTATGGTCTTTGATGAAGGAGAACAACCGTGGATATTGAGAGTCAAGGCGGTTATGAAGCCCGTAGAAGTACAGTCTAATCAGCCTGGGGAAAGGAGTAGAGGTAGTTCGCCTCCTTCATCTCTTGGGAATGAAACGAATGTGAGGCCGAGGTTTGTAGCTCCAGCAGGGAGAATTCATTCTGCTCCTACGTCTGTCACGTCTTCCATTAGGGATGACCCTTTGATTGGTGACAGAAACTCGAAAAAGGACGACGTCAATTCATTATCCACTCGACTAAATCAAGCCGTGTTACAGCCTGCCTCTCGACCCGGCCAGAATATGACTACATACCCAGGCGTGAACTCTACGACCAGACCTCAAAGTACCGAGGCAAGTATCGCTGTGGCTGTGAACCGTGATGGGGGAGTAAGGATATTATCAGATTTGGTAAGTTAGGTATGGCCACATGCCCATGCTTTCTGTCTCTTTTCTCCTCTGTCCCCGCCAGTCAATGCCTCAGAGTAGGGATCTGTGAAGGGATGTGCTGATGTACAGGACGATACCATCAAGCATTCTGATATCTTAGCTGGACCACGGGAAACTTTCAGGTGAGCTGACAAGCCCAAGAATCTCTAAGGGAAGGTGCTGACTAGAAGGAATGTCTTCTGTCGACCCCTGGAAGAGATCTGCGTTCCAGGTACCAACAGCATGTTTCAAGCTGCCGAGTCGGCTGGGGCTGCTGGCTTTCATTTTGTTGTAAGTTTGACTACTGAGATGGGGGTCATGAAATGCTGAAAGATAGTCTAACTCGCCTTTTGAACTTTTACCCTCTATCACGGCTTTTCTTCATACTCATCGATTTCCCTCTTTCTATTCATTGAAGGTGTGTGTCAATCTAACTTTTCCTATTCCTTGTCCATTGAACTTGCATTTCAAGGGGGCTATCTCCCTCCACCTGCTGCTTCTGGTACCCTCGGTTATTTGCCTCTTTCACCCTCATTCCTTTCCACAGTTCCCCACTCTCGATAGACTGCTCCGGATCCTAATACACACCCGACATGGAAGGAGGGAGCACAGTCTTGTGAGTGATACTGACTTGCAGCTCAAATTCTACGGCGGCCGATCTATCCTCACCTCCTTATTCGAATCCCCCGCTGATCGAAAGCGCGCCTCTATTCTAGACATTTTCGCCACCTTTTCCAACGCCCGTTTCATCTTATTTGGTGATTCAGGCGAACAAGATTTAGAATTATATCTCTCCATAGCGCAAGAACGTCCTGGCCAAGTATTAGCGATTTTCATTAGGGATATCACTTCTGAACGTGCGGATAAATTCCGGAATCTACCTCTTGTTCCTCCAAAAACGACCTTACCCCTAATCTCATCGGCATCGTCTTTACCCCTTGTCCCTTCGAGAGCGATTCCACTCAATATCTCTACAAAGACAAACGATACTGATAGTTTCCAAGAAGGTGCAAGTATATCCCAAGAAGGTATGAACAGTCGGTCATCTAGTAGACGAGGATCAATCTCGACAGACGATACGACAACGGAAGAGATTCAAGCGTTGACCGCTGCTCAACAGAAGATTTTGAAGAGAGCTGCGTTATGGGAAAGTAGGGTGGAAAGAGCTTGGAAAGAAGTTCCGGATGGTGTGGAATTGGTCTTTTGGAAAGATGTGGTTGAGATACATGATAAAGTAGTGGCTTTGGTCCGGTTGTATAGATAGTCTCGAAGGTACTCACTCGTACAAGTGCAGTACTTTTTTCTCCGTCATTGTGTTTTTCATTGTATCTCGGGCTTTCCGTCAACCAGATTATTACATAGTCGGATGACTGGACGGCCGTAAGCTGTATCATCTGAATTCGGTCATGTGAATCATATAGCACTTTAGCAACAATGGAAAGTATTCAAGACAAAGAAGAAAAAGACTTCGCCACATGATCAGAGACTTGTAAGCGAGCGATCCGTGCCTGAAATTCACACCTCCGTCCATTCCATTCCATCTCGTCCATGGTCCATTCTCCACCTCATCCACCTTCATTCACCTTTCTCTAGACTTGTCATTCCCTATCTGTTCATTTCTCTCCTCACTATAGGATTCAAAACTCTATGACAGATTGATAATTCCTCTATTTGGATAAGATAAGGGAATGGGCAAAATGACAAATTTGATAGAAAGTAAGTACATAGTTAACATTTCGTTTTGTTGAAATCATCTCTCATTTCTTTATGATCTTCCAAACAGTAGCATGACGTCCTTCCCCATTTCCCTCTTCTCTGGTTGAGTGTTTTGTATTGCATTCACCATGAAATCTACAGTAACATGGTATCTCACCAACATCAAACGTTACCATCATATAACCATTAACATTCCTCTTTTCCTTTTGATTGGCCTCACATACTTGAATCTTTTCACATCATTATCACATACAGTCAAATTTGATAAATTTCGTTTTGGAAGTTTGGATATCATCCAAGATATCTAGATGTTGTTGTTGTTGTCTTTTTTGATTGAAGGTACATTCAGAGATGTAGAATGATAAAAGGGGGTTAGTGAAGTTGAAGGAGTGAGATGATAGACTTGTTATGTGAAATGATTGGGATATGATGTGAGAGTGAGGGAAGAGGAAGAGGAAGGTAATTGAATGGAGCTGACGATATAGTAAATGTTAAACATGCTTCTAAAGTATATCCTATAACTGTGGATTTAGAAAAAGATGCAAAGGTTTTAAAAGAGGTAGTGAGTGAGACTGTAGGAGTTCCAGTAGGTACGTCTATTACTTTCATATTTTTTTTGACTCTTTTCGATATCCTCACTTTTTGGCTCTTCATGATATTCTCATTTTTTGACTCTATGATATTCTCCCTTTCATACCCGGTTCCCCCTCACCTTTCACTCTCTAGTTAACGGTTTCCTTTTGCTGAGAGAGATTCTTCGCCCTTGGTCTACAATTTCACGCTGGACTGTAATGGCGCTGCCGCTTATTTTCCCTTCCTCCAACTGCTAAGATTTTCCCCGTCAGTGTATCGTCTGATAAAGTTATGTTGGTGAGGAGAAGATTATGTGATGTGCTATTGTGGTGACTTGGTGTACCCCCCTCCCTCCCACCCTCTTCTCCTTCCATCCTTTTCCTCATGTCATTGCCCCATGCCCCACTCGAGTCATGGTGGTATCCGGCCAACCAAACGTATCTCTTTTCTCACAGTCCCAGTCAGCGAGTTGGCTAGCGTGAGAAAGTATATTCTTCTCACGGTGTCGTACATTTTAGGGGACAAGAGCCGGTGATCCTCTGATTTCATGTCGTCTTGCCCCTTTCCGAAAAAAGAGACGATGCATTTAACGACTTGGCTTCAGACTTGGATAGTTCTCCCACCATACATCTCCTTGCCTCACGCCTTGAGTTTCAACGACGTTCTCATGCACTTCCCACTCCATCGCCTCGTTCCCTTTGTGTTCCTCAAATTTGAGAGAATCAAGACCAGATGCGGCTGTACTGATCGGCAGACCGTTTGAAAGTCATGGTCAAAACAGGTTTATTGAAGGTAGCTTACGAATCATCACATATTTATCCTCCCCTCTCGTCGTCCTCAACTACTCCAACTCATCGCTCGCCATTACTTATCAACCGTGTTCGATTGTCCCCACATGTTGCACATTCTGACTGCACAGGACCAAACGGACATTTCCAAACTTGGTCTGAAACCGGTGAGCTCAATTGTATATTCAATGGTTTGACGAGCTAATAATCAAGGGCGCTTCCATTACGGTCAGTGAGAAATGGAGGTTAATGGAGAGTGACTTATGTTTTAGGCCATTGGATCCGCTGGACCTATCCTACAAGCACCTGAGAAAACCTTAGATGTCGGTGTGTTATGATCGTCTAGCTCAACCTATCACCGACTATGGCTCCCTTGGCTCACATGACTGGACAGTAATCAAAGCATGTCGCTGACTATCCAGAGGAGGATGTTAAAACTGATTCAGTGGTCAGTCCTTCCCCACTTAGCCCGCATCCGCTCACCGTGCAGGATCGCATACCGCCCGGCCTCGTCAACATGGGTCAGACCTGTTATCTTAATTCCACACTTCAACTGCTCCGTACTATTCAACCTCTAACAGATGCCATAAGCGAGTAAGTCTTTAAACAACATTCAAGGTCGAACAAATGTTCACGCTGACACACAGATACAAACCAGAAGAAAACGGTGATCAATACCGTCTCATGGCCAACATGAGACTGTTATATCGTCACATGAATCAACTCACGGAACCAATACCCCCCGTCCACTTTCTCCTCTCTCTCCGGCAATTACATTCACAGTTCGCCGAGACCGATCAGGCCGGCTACTTCGCACAACAAGGTGAGTCAAGGATTTGGAGAATTTGTGGCTGATGACAGATGCGGACGAAGCGCTCACTGTGATTCTTGGTGCAGTCGCACAGAATCTTCGTGGAAGTGGATCTGAATCCCATCAAACGATTGATGATCTTCTCGGGGTCGAGCTCACTCATGCGTGAGTCAAAATGTACAGGTGGCGAAGGGAAAACTCACGAGCAGAAATATCTGCGCCGAGGCCACCACCGAAATACCCATCTCGGTCTCTGAAAAAGTCCTAAAGCTCTCTTGTAATATATCCATCACCACCAACTTTCTCCTTGCCGGCATCCGTGATGTGAGTTGAGATGAAAAATAACGTTCGAGCTGATAGGAGAACCTGACGCAAACAATTCAAAAATACAGTCCGACCTTAGAAAGGGTAGCAGATTACGAACGGTGAGTTGTGAAGGATTGAGTTGACAGACTGCTGATCAGCATAGAAAATCTCGTATATCCCGACTCCCTCCATACCTCTGCGTCCATATGGTGAGCGTTACATTGAGGAGCTGGTTAGATGATAGATGCTTACGACAGGTCCGTTTTTACTGGCGGCGTGATATAGGGTGAGTATCGTCATCTGAAACCAGTAGACCGCGTCACTAACAGAGCAGGAAGAAAGCCAAGATCATGCGTAAAGTCAAGTACCCCCTCCAGTTGGACTTGCTCGAACTAGTGAGTGGTCCCCATCCTGACCAGAAGCCGGCTGAACCGCCTCGAGGTGACAGACGAACTCCGACCACAGCTCGCCCCGATCAACACGGCCATGAAACGTATCCTAGCCGACCGGGATGACCGGGCCCGTATCGCCAAACGAGACAAAAGCAGATCACTGGCTTCATCGGAACTCAAAGCCGAAGAGGACAATGAAGAGACGAAACGTGCCGAGGAGAATAAGCGGGTGACTGAGGTTATTGCGGAGCAGAATATAGATCTTGGCAGAGTGGGACAAAACCCTTCTGCATTGTACGAATTGTGTGGTGAGTAAGATTCATTGTTGTCGACATTATTGTTTGGCTAAAGGGACAATAGCGATGGTGACGCATAAAGGTGCGAGTGCAGATTCAGGTGAGCGTTTGTCTTTTGTTTCAAAAGCGGCGATCGCCGTTCTTATTGTTCCTCATGTGTGATCCGGATTTCCAAAGGACCCTTGAATCTCGTTCCTGAACCTCCGAAACGCCTCCTGAATATCTCATTTTCACAAAAGAGTCTCGAACGCGGCTGACGGCGAACAATAGGACATTACATTGGTTGGGCGCGTAAAGATCAACCTCGGGCTTTTGTGCCAAGCGGAGAAGAGAGTTGGTACAAATTTGACGGTCCGTACTTTTATTGTTCTTCCCCCAACACTCGGCCTCTGTTCCCATGCCAATCTAAATACCTACCCTATTGTCCTCGACCTTTCTCATTCCTTCCCTATTGTCTTTCTTCCACCGGACGCCGGACAACACCCTCTCGCCTAATGTGCATCACCAAAGAGCAAAAAGACCCCAGAACTCTGGAAGAAAAGAACGTAAAGCTGAAACATGAATTAGATGACAAAGTCTCTATTGTCGATGCGTCAGTCTTCCCCCCCCTTCGATCATTACGAGGCATCAGAGCTAACGAAAAAACAGACAAAAGATCCTGAATCTAGATGGAGGAGGTCAGGATTCAGTCGCCTACATTCTATTGTATAGGTCTGTCCATTCTTTCCCCGTCTCCCGTAAATGAAACTGATAGTGGTAGGAGTGTGACGGCATGACCGATAGATGAACAAAAAGAGAAAGAAAAAATCGAAGGAATGTCGGAGATTTTCCTTTGGATCCTTGGAAAAACCAAGGAGGTTTGGAAAAAGTCTTATTGTTCGTATGAAATTCATATCGTCACGAATGCATTACTGTTCAGAGGATATAAAGACGATTTCTTTTACGTCCTTTCTTTCTTTCTTCACCAAACGAATCATCTTTACAACCGAACAACCTTTCACACAATCAACCAATCTCTCTGCCAATACAATGGACGCTTTCACCATCAGTTCCCCTACTCCTGTCAATGAGGAGACCATAATCGTCTTCGGGCCTGTCAACGAGGAGGGCGGCGGCAACCGAGGCGACCCCTCAGGTGTTTGCGTGATTGCCTGATTTCAGGCTTCCGGTGAGTGGAGTTTTGTGTCATCATCTGCGTTAGCTAAGTATAAGTAGAGTCAGCAGCTTGACATTGGACGTCGAGTGTTATCGAAGGAATGACGTGGTGGGATTTCGGCGTGGACCGCCAATATTTATAGTATATGCATGTCACACTGACTGCCATCTACGTTCGGCTCAACATCGCTGACTCTTACCTGTATCCTACCCTTCACCAGTGTGTACAATGCGTTCAAGGATGTTCACTGACGTGGCTCTGACTCAGCTTTGCTCTATTTGGCCCTCGAAGAATTCAATGTGTGGCATTTCCATCTCGTCTCACACTCTGATGCTCAGCTTGGGTACGATCCGAATGCTGCCTCCCGCGACCGGCACTCGTGACGCGCCGTCTTGTGGACCAATCCCGGAAACGGCCGCTGCTGAATGACGCCGGTAATAAAGCCCCACTTTCACTGCGAACCATCCTCTGATTGGTAGAATCGATGCTGCTCTCCTGCACAAACTTCTTCTTCCGGCGGTCCCATCGAAGCTGGCTAGCCTTCTGCAGTCTGGGTCGAGGACCTTCATCGGCAGACATATTGAATGTGGCCGAGCGGAGTTGTGACGAGAAACAGTCCGCACCGTTGATAGAATATCTGTTATCAGTTCACCTGCAAGAATTTGATTATAGGTACGTACGTCTTCTCGTGTTGGGCGTCTTCTCGTGCATGCGGCAGAAAAAATTCTGAGTTCCGATAAGAACTTCGCGAAGAGGGAACAGTCAAAAAGACTCTCTCGTTTGTTGAAGATCTTGAGAGAGCGCCCAAAGGTACAAAGTCGGCTGATCCTTGACGATACTCACTCACGACCGTGGCGCGTTCGAGTTTTGAGACGGCGACAACAGCTTTGCTCGACACCCGACTGCTAGACTTTCCGACTGAAGTCCTGGGCCGATATGTTTCGATAGCACGTAGTAAATCGTCACAGCGTTCGTTCGCAACAGCGGGGTGGGAGGTGACGAAAACGGGTAGGACCGCCAAGTCGGAGCCATCATGTGAGCTTCGGATCCACAATTTGCTCATACGATGAGCGTCTGCGGACGCTCGACTTTTCGAGCGTTCGAACATCGCTTGTCCCCGATCTTTTACCATACGTAACGCTGCCAGAGAGCGATCGGACTCAGCTAGGCCGACAGCAATCCGCTCGCGGTGTGTTTCGAGCACTTGTTGTGGCAGTCTCCCGATCAGTGGAGGTGAAGCATCGAAGATTTTGACCGAAAGGGCCTCGTCCAGGTCGAAGAGATGTGCTATATCACCGGTGGTCACCAGTGACCACGCCATCCCACGGCGTCCCGCTCGCGCTGTCCTCCCAACTCGGTGCACAAATCCTCTCACCCCGGTAGGGAAGTCATAGTTGATTACATTGCCGATCATGGGAATATCTAAACCCCTAGCCGCAACATCGGTGACAACAAGGATTTGTTGGCGACCGGCCCGGAAGGAGTCGATCTGGGTTTTCCGAGCGACCTGATCGAGCGATCCGTATATATATGCCGACTCGTAGCCCGCTGCACGGAGAAGACACACCAGGTATTCTACGTGATGTTTGGTTGCGACGAATATGATGATCTGACTGGAACCCTCTGGACTCGATGGACCGGATTTCCCGAGCAGGACTCCGAGCAAAGCCAGCACCGCGGCGTCTTTATCGGCAGGTTTCACATAGGCAAAATGTAGTCGTAGATCTGCGCTGATGGTTTGCTCGGCATCGAGTCGAATCATGCTGGGATTGACCAGACCGGCCTTGGCGAACTCGGCAACTTTGGTAGGGAGAGTGGCGGAAAAAAGGAGACTTTGGCGAGTCGAGGGTAGCCGGTGCAAGATCTCGCGGAGTTGACTTTCGAACCCCATTTCAAAGAGCCTGCGGTCAGCGTTGTCGCAGCGTTCGGACTCACCGATCGGCTTCGTCGTAAATGACCATCTCTAATGTGCGGAGGTCGAGCGACATCTCGACAATGAGATGCAGCATCCGCCCTGGCGTAGCTACTACTCTGCGTGTCAGATCCTTCATCTTGATATATGCGAGACTCACACATCCGGCTTTCCAGAAAGCACTTCGAAATGGTCGTCCAAGCTTTCGCCGCCCATGATGATAGCCCATCTCAGAGGTTGCTCATTTTTGAGCGGTTCTTTCCGAAGACCCCGAGCCAGATCTTTGCCAGCTTTGAGTATTTGAACGGCGAGCTCTCGACTTGGACATAGAATGAGAGCCTTGATGGACGGGACAGGGACGGCAGAGGAAGACAATCGTTGAAGAAGAGGAATGAGATAGGCCAACGTCTTTCCGGATCCAGTCCTAGCCATGCCTAGAACGTCTCTTGGCGGCGAAGCGAGTGTGAGAGGAAGCGTAGACTTCTGGATGGGAGTGGGAGATTTGAAGCCGCGCAGGAGTAAAGAGTGGATGAGAGATTGATTGACACCTGATCGGAATGAGCTGTGAGAGCATGAGGAAAATCACGAAAGAATATCGCTCACCCAGTCTTTGCCACTGGCTGTCTTTGAGTCTGATGGGGGCTTGAGAACGGCTGCGAGTACCACCTGATATGACGTGTCGCCTAGAGGGAGAATGAGAAAGAGCTTCCGACCGAGGCATGATTCCTGTGTGTTTCGATACAAAGTAAGATGTATGATTATTGTAGGAGGAAGAGGGGAGAAACTTTTGCTGCTTAGCGAGGGTGAGGTCAAGTCACGTGACTCGTAATTCTCACCGCACAGTTTCGCACCCAGCAAAGCATCTCATCGCAGTTGAATCATCCCAACTTACAACCCCACCCCATACTCTATCACTTCTACCATCCGCCATAAGCCATCATGTCCGTCCAGCCCTTGTTCACTTGTATATCATGCAAGGTCGCGTTCGAATCTCCCATCGAACAACGCAATCATTTCAACGCGGATTGGCATCGTTACAATATGAAGCGCAGGGTGGCCAATCTCCCCCCCGTTGCCGCCGATGCCTTCAACGACAAGGTCATCCAGTATCGCGAGCAGAACGCCGTTAGAGCCGATCCTAGATCGTTGATATGTGTGCCATGCGGGTGGGTCGGTGTCTGGCTCTTGGAATGTCTCTGACGCGCAGTAAATCATTTTCCAATGAGAATTCATTCCGCACCCATGTACTCTCCCGCAAGCACCGAGACAGAGAGACCGGCGCTCAGGCAGGTCACAACTCAGCACGAATCGCGCCAAAGCCTTTAGAGAACGCCACGGCTCCTGACGTACAAGATCACGGCTCTAATGACGGCAACGTATCGGACGACGATGACCTCCAAGGCAAACTCGCGACCGCCCGGCGAGGTATTCGCCCGTCAGACTGTCTGTTCTGCCCCAAACGTTTCCAAACGGTCACATCCGCGCTTTCACACATGTCTCACTTCCATAGCTTTTTTATCCCCAGACAGGAGGACCTCGTCGACCTCCCTGGCTTGCTGTCATATCTCGGAGAGAAGATCGTCATCGGCAATCTTTGTCTGTACTGCCCCAACGGTGGCAGAGAATTTGGCACCATTCAAGCTGTCCGAGCACATATGATAGACAAGGGTCACTGCAAAATGGCATTTGAATCGCCGGAAGATAAGATCGAGGTCGCCGAATATTACGGTCACGATCAAGTTTCCGACCACGAGGAATCGGAATGGGAAGATGTGCCCAGCGCTGATGATGGGTCGACGAGTTCGACGCATATATCTACGGTGAGTTCTCTGACGCGATTTACACGGCTGACAGCTAGCACGCTGTCACCATTCGTCATGATGGTCTGTCTCTCACACTGCCCTCTGGTCGCACAATCGGTCACCGATCACTCAAAAGATACTTCGCTCAACGCTTCGGACCTGCCTACGGAACGTCCCACGCGCTGGACCCCACCCAGGAGAAGATCGCCAACATCCGTGCAAGACTAGCTGATCCTAGTCTTGCCTTGGTCCCACTAGCAGGCGGTGTGGGTGTTGCCAAGAAAGGCCTTTCTGTCGTAGCGGCACGCAATCCTGGGGAAGCCCGTTGGGCTAAACGCCAAGGCGGCTCCTTCTTAGATCAGAAGCGCCATTTGGAGAACAAATACAAAATTGGCATGATTCATAATAGTCAAAAGCGTGAGTCCACATTCCAACAACGGTCTAAGCTCATCTTCCAGACTTTCGAGATGCGCTATGTGAGTTCTGCCCTTCCAGCGGAGCGCATTGGCTGACCATGATCAGTGCAATGACAAGAATCCATCTCGTGAACTGTATAACTCTCTGCCACTAGATGTAACGCTTCCCGGCGCACTTTACGTGTTGTGCCCGCTCCAAGCTACCATCTTCTCATCTTCGATGTGCTCTTCGATGAAGTCGTTTACTTTGGCTGGAGACTGTTGCTGGTTGATCAGGACTTCCTGAGTGTGAGCTTCATCATTCACGGCATCAAGACTCACGCCTAAGTCGGTGTCATTCCGGATCGCGAAGGGATCTCCGGAAGCGGCAAACAAACCATACCCTGCCGACTCTCTCTGGCCTTGATCGTCGGTCATGAAAGTTGTATGGAACTTGTTTTGAAAGGCGTTCGGATCGAGTGATGCGGCTCGTTGGAAGGATGATGGGCCGCGTTGCTCCAGTCCCGCTAGATCCGCAGGTGGCACCGTTTGCGGGTAAGGCTGATAGCGTGTGGACCGATGTAAGAACACCCCGTGTATAGGGCCCATCAAGGGATTGGCGGCCATGACCGTTGGAGTCATCGAACGATGTCGACGTGGTGGTGCAGATGGTGAGAGCGCCGCGACGTGGGAGGGGAATGGCGTCGCAAATGCGGGCCATTCATTGACGGCGTGGTGAGATCCATTCAAAAACTGCGTCATGCCCGTCTCGGACGAAGGATAATTGTGTGCCATCACAAGGCGGTTGTATTGATCAGGTTCTGACCTCTGTCAACGACTGAGCATGCAAGAAGTGGGAACTACTCACCGAGTCTGTTTGAGACATCTCCAAATCCTCTCATGTGCGGATCTCCTGAGTGACCCAATTCCATCGGCAAGACATACGCGCGACCCTCCCTTGCAGCCATCGCATCGACTTCGGCTTCCAAATATGCAGCCATATCATCCTCGGTGGTCTCAGACGCCTCCGTCTTTAATCGTTCCCCCCGTGCAGCTCTATCGTGAGTTTTGTTATGTTGGTGTAGATTATCGCTGCGACTAAATCGTTTGTCACACTTAGGGCATACGTACGGCTTTTCTTGGGTATGTGTGCGTACGTGTCGTTTCAAATGTTCTAGTCTTTTGAACAAACGACCACAGGAGAGGAGTGGACAACTGAAGCCTTTACTCGTCACCGCCGGAGAATTCGTCAAAGCGGCCGTTGCCATCGACGTTGATGCTGGTGGACCGCTGGAATTCCGTTCCTGGCCTAGATACGACATCGTCCGCGCCATCACGTTTCCCGGCACCGCGTCAGGCTTGTTATCTTCATGTAGCCACGGCGATGAACGGGTTGCAGCGGGTGGCGGGCTGTTGGTTTCGGGAAGGCGATGAGTGAGGGGAGGGAGTATAGGCTGCATCGTGGCTGGGATGTCGTCCACATTGAATGGAAGCGTGGCTTCATGTAAACGCGGAAATACATTGTCGGTATTGCTTAGGGGTCGCAATGCATAGAACGGATCCACCTGCCCCACACCAAAGGGCGGTTCCCGAGATACGCCATCGCTGTCCGATCCGCTTTCCTCTGTGTCACCATTGGGTGTCGCTCTTCCCCTGGATGGTTTGGCCCTGCGTCTTCGTTTATAGGCAGGACTGCCCTCGAAAAGCGATTGTGAGACTAACACAGAATTGGCAGTCAAAGGTTGCGCGGAAACCTCGTCATCCGTATGAGGCGATTGCCCGGCGTAAATGTCCACCTGCCTCGGAGACTCGGCAAGTTTCGGTAATGGTATCGCCTCTGACTGAGGCTCACAGGAGAGCGGAACCCCCATCAGCGGCCCTCGTGTCGGTCCGATAGGGGACAAATCGTTCGGTCTTGATGTCTCATACGGTCAGCTTGTTCCTAGGGGGGAGAAAGAGGTCTGACCACATTCATGGATTCCTCCAGACCCGGTTGCTTTCCCGCAAATTGCTCAAACAAACTTCGCTTCGGATCATATCTGCGTGGTCATCTCCACGATCACATGTCAGGAGACGTCATACCTAAAACTCCGAGCAGGCTCGCCAACTACGACGGTGGTCGGTTCAAGTCCCATCTTTTCTCTTTTCAAGTCCCTTTCCAGGGCGTCAAGAAACAATCTGTCATGTGGCACTGAAAACCTTTCTCGTTAGCCATGCGGCCTTTACGAGGTTTGCTGCACGAGCTCACCAGTAGAAAACCTGAGAGAAAGGGCAAATGTAAGCAATGCAACGAAGTGTATGGGAATAGCATGCCTTTTGCTGCACCCTTAGCACTCATCAAGGACGGAGTAGCGCACGCACTTTTTTTTGCGTCCTGATGCAGCCGTTGCGGAATAATAAGTCGAGAAAAGGAGACCTTCAGCGTCAGCGGGTAGGTCGACATGTTGCAGGCTCACTTGGGTTCTTCCAAACAAGCATCGGTCCCAGGTTTTAGATTACGGAGATCTGAGAACACGCCCTCCTCGAACCTGAGTATATCAGCCGCGGCCCGCAATTCTCAGTGTGGAAGCCCACTTCTTGATGTTTTTCACAGGCCGAGAGAACGCCTCGAAACGGAATACCAATGCTCGGACTGAGGTCATCAGAGAAACTACTGACATGGAAACGGAATCATACCTATGTCAGTGCCAGTGATGTGGTACAGTCCATTCCAGAATACACAGGACACATGCTCCCCGTTTGGTAAGAGAAACCGGTTGAGGTTAGGATGGGGTGATGATAACGGTCCATTGTGGTATGTCGAATTCTAACGTTCAGCAACTGAGTCCAAGCTGAGGCTAGCTGCATATCTTACCGGGTTCATGCTGGAGTCATCCGCCGCCATCCATCTCGTAGGCGCTGTGGCAAGGAACTGCTCTCAGTCCAGTACGTAAGTGACATTGGCCGTTACTGACGAATTGCAACCGACTCAAATGCTTTACCAGTTGACTCTCTCTTTCGGTCAGAGGTCTAGGTGCGACTTCAGTAGGTGGTGGTAGAGGAGTCGACGGTGTTTGAGTTTGCAGTGGCGTCGGTCTATGAGGTCAGCCTCGATTGACGACTTCATGCTAACGTACGATGGGCTCGGTCCACTACGCCAACTGGGGGTTCCTCCCGGAGCGCTGTAGAGCGCTGGGGGAGGTGCAGGCATGCCGGTATTGGTGATCGGCTGTCGGTTTAATTCCTCTTCCATCGTTGTAGTTCTCAACGATCAACGATCAATGTTGTTGGTATTGAAGACCTTGAGTAAAGTACACCGTCTACACGGTCACTCCTTTGTGGTCCCGGCAAACGAAAGGATTCGTCTTTGTCGAAGAGGTGCTTTCATAAACTTGGGGCAGACATTCTGCACGTAAACCAGTTCTGCTCAGCGCTCGTATGTACTAGATTGAGTGTTTCGGGACTACCGCAGACTATGATGGCGTGTTTCACTCAGCGCGGGCGGCCGTGGTTTCGTGGCCTTCGCCCCAGTTTCAGGCATTATCATCTTTTTGGTTTAGGGATGTGTACCTATGACATACACCCGAGGTGCAGTGCCACAATCGCCAGTAACCACGTGGCGTATCGAGCACAATAAGAAAACACACAGGCACCGTAAGGTTAGAACTGAACCGCTTTTTGTTTGCAGCAGAACAATACCAGCTGCGCGCCTGAACTCGGTGGCCGTTGCTTGGTATATCCGAGCGACTTTAGGTCCATATAAGCCAACATGTACAGATCTGGGTCACTCCCAACCTTCCATCTTTTGCTCACTTGACTGCAGCCAACATGCACGACATTGGCCTGATTGTCCTTACCGGCGTATCTCTTCTACTGTTACTTCTCATAGTTCGGGTTCACTGGCGTGCTCGCAACGTCGGCACCCTTCTCAATATCTTCTGGCTTTTCCTGGGCAACCTGGTGTACTTGGTGAATGCGATTGTGTGGTGGGACAATGTGGAGAATTCAGCACCTGTCTGGTGCGACATATGTGAGAGTTTTATGTCTGTCCTTCCCTTAAGCTTACGTTGCAGCCACCAAAATGCAAAATGCTTTTATAGGGGGATTAACGGCTTCCACACTCTGCATCAACAAACGTCTCGCGGACATCGCAGCCTCTCGAGTCGTGACCACTGATCAACGACGTAAGCGCATAACGCTTGCAGTGGATCTGGGCCTCGGTCTCGGCCTCCCTGTCTTATGCGTAATCCTGGCTTATATCGTGACTCCACATCGCTACAATATTCTTGAAGGATATGGATGCGATGCTGTGGTCTACTCGACCATTCCGACCATCTTCCTTGTGTATTGCCCCCCTCTTATCATCAGTTGTGTGTCAGCGGGGTACGGAGGTGAGTAACAATTCTCGTCGTTCTTTGCGCCATGATGCTCACATCGTCCAGTGACCGCTGGGTATGCGTTTTTAAAGCGACGGCTGGAATTCAACGCCATCCTCAAACAAAGCAAAAGCGCTCTCGATCGAAGCCATTACATTCGCCTCATAGCCCTGTCGTCCACCGATCTCATCATCAGCATCCCACTCACCCTTTATCTCCTCATTCTCGCCGCCACATCCCCATTGGAACCATGGATTTCTTGGGACAATGTTCACTACGGATGGTCATATGTGGGCTTGACTCCAGCTTCAACTTATCTGCGCACTGGGGCCAACGTCGCCGCCTTCAGTCTCCATCGCTACTTGTATCCCCTCTTGACCTTCATCTTCTTTCTGTTCTTCGGAGTTTCCGACGAGGCAGTCAATGATTACTTGAGAATGTTCAAAACCACAAGAAAATTGATGACTCGTGGCAGGAAACCTACAGCAAGCTTGTCAGTAGGACTTTGAGCGAGCTCGCAATGAAGCTGACGTCTTATCAGATCGTTCGTCCCAAAACTGGGTTCTAGCGTCGTCCAATCAGCTCCGATCTGGGGGGACGAGATTATCAAGGAAGGAGTCGAGCCGGAGTCTGCCTCTTTGTCCCCGATTTTCGCGAAGAATGGGCCTGGGCAGCAGAATCTGGCAGTGACGGTGCAAGTTGATCGGGAAATTGTTTAGTGGTCCATACTGTATATCCATATCCGTGCCATAGCTATACCCGTCGGCCGTCGACTATCTAGATTGACATCATGGCAGTCGTCTGCGGTGCGTAATGGCCTCTTGACCCCCGTACTGACTTCATTACCCCCCTGTGACGCGACCTCAACCCTGCTCTTAGCTACATAACTTCATTCGGCGAAACTCACAGAGCCTTGTTTAAATTCGAGTAGAGGTGCTAGATCTCTCACAGGGCATGCGAGTTCGAGGAACTGATGCTATGACCATCAGCTTATCATGATGTACCATTTTATCACGTCTCCTGTACAATGTTGACTTATCTCTTGCCTTGCCATCTATAGCTTCAACCACAGAAAGGCCGATGGTGATTGGGGTAGCTCGGACTCACCTTCAGAAGTTCTGCACTCGTCGCTCTGAAGCTGACATCGACGCAGAGGCATACGCTAAGGAAGTGCTTCAGATCCTGGCTGAGCTTGTCGGGGTTTTTGAGGGTTGGTGTTCCGTTGGTGGCGATGAGATACAGGGCTTTGAGTGGCTCCTCGTCTAGATACGGCGGTTCATTCTCGATCATTTCGATGGCCATAATGCCGAGCGACCAAATATCGACCTTGGCGCCGTACTCCTTCTGCTTCACGACCTCGGGCGCCATCCAGTAAGGTGTTCCGACCATGGTAGCGCGCTTAGACTTTTGGTCGGTGAGCTTGGCACAGAAGCCAAAGTCGGCTAAGGGTATCAGCTCGGTCAATACTTTCGAAGCAGGCGTTGGGATTATGTTCTAGTCCGCCATCCGAGTGGAGAACACTCACTAATTTTGACTTCCCCCTGGGCATTCATGAGTATATTATCTGACTTGATGTCACGGTGTATGATGCTCCTTGAGTGCAGGTGTTGCAGGCCGCGGCATGTCTGATGATCAGCATTGCCTGGTCGCTCAGGCAAAAGAATTTTTGACACGAGTAAACCTCCACATATCACGGAGTTATATGACCGAGTGTCAAGGAGACTCACCTCTAGGCAGATAGCCGAGATCTGCCGCTCTTCCAGCTTGTTGTTCTCGATGACGTCCGTCAACGCTCCGCCCTCCATGTATTCCATCACGACCCACAATTCCGAGTTGCGGATTAAGAACGCCTGAAGAAAGTTAACGACGTTCGGATGCTGCGAGTCGCGCATGACAATAATTTCATTGACGATGAGCTCCTTGCGGGGCTGCTGAGCGAGGTCCATCTGCTTGATGGCGACCTTGCGACCTGTTGCCAAGGTCTTGGCAACAAAAACCATGCCTGAGGCACTGGATCGTCAGCGAAACCCGATATGATCCGAAGCTCCTTTACGAAATTCGAATACAAGGGTGATTGAAGTAAATAGACCTGTAAATAGCGACATACCCTTGGCCGACCTTTTTGATTCGAGAATACAGCTGTGAGGGATCCTCGGGCCTCACGACGGAGCGTAACTTGTCCATGATCTGGGCCTCACTCATCGTGCTAATTCGTCGCTCTGCGCGACCGGAGGCAGGAGCAGGAATCTGGGGAGGAGGGGCCGCAACAGCTTCGGGCGTTATGGCATCGCTCCGAGAAGCTTTGGGCTCCACAATACGAGAAGCAGGAGGAGCACGGGGAGGTGCAGGTGCGGTCCTCTCAGCGAGTAAGCTTCGAGGGGCGGTGGACTGAACGTCAGTTGACAAGTACAGTCGAAAGCCAAGACCTCACTCTGCGGCCATGAAGTGAAGAGGCGAGTATATGGGATGGCTCGGGAGGAACGCGGCTCACTTCAAGCTTGCCCGTATCTTGTTTGAGAGCCCGCTGGGGTTGTAGTGGCCGAGTCTGACCGGCTTCGCGTCGGGATGCTTGCTGATCGAGCGCGTGGATGATTTCTTGAGGGGATCGATCTTGTATTTGCTTGCCTGCTAAGCCGACTCCCTCAAAACGACCTGCGGCACTGGAGTTTGACCTTCCAGATGGGGGAAGAGCCGGCACTGAGGTCGGCTGATAGCTCGGTCCGGCATCACCCATCTGCTGCCTAGTGTAGAATTCCAGAACGTCCAGCACAGCCTCAGGATGTCGGGCAGCCTCTTCTTTCGTAATGGCGGAGCTAGTCAGCAGTTTGGCCCATTGGGGTGGCAATCCCTGTTCATCAGCGTCCTCATCACATCTGAACCTTCGTTGATGAGAAAGCAGTGGCCAGCGAGTCGAACGTACCGTGAAGCCGCCGGTATCAGGGTCAAATCCCACATGGACCTGATGAACGAAGTTCGTCGGTGCGCTCACACCCATCAGTGGCGAACGTGAATAGATATCTTCCATCCAGCCATACAATTCTTCGTCGGATCGGAAAGCGAAGTAGAATAACTTGTCCTTGACTTCGATCTCGATACAGAAAGGCTTCAGATCGACTCGCTGAATATCTTGAACTTCGGCAAGGCTACACACAAACTGGGGAGTGTTTGATTGCTGCAGAATAAGTACATCAAATTTACAGCTATCACTCTCTCGCGCGCTTTGCACCAACTAGGCCGCATATCATATATGGAGGGCAGACGGAGGGCCAGAGTCGATTGAATTGCAGTCATGCCTGAGGGTGAACTCACCTCGTTTTTGAAGATCTGCAAATCCATGCCTCCGAGAACAAGCCATTTCTGTCTCCAGAGGAAGCTCTTCAGACCCTCTTCTTTGACGCTGACTGGGCCGGTTCTGACGGTCGAAATACTTCTTTCGCTGGCGCCTCTGATGCTAGTGTTTCCGAACGTAGCAGATGATATAGTAGGAAATCCAGAGCCATAGGCAGTAGAGGAAAAGGCAGAAGAAGCTGGCAGTCGCGATGTTGACTGAAGGACGGAGGGTGGCGACGAGATGGTACGGGAAGGAACGGGGGGAGCGGGACGAGAGGGCGTCAGAGATGAGTATGCCATGGCGAGGAAATGACCTGCTCAAGAGTGTCGTTACTTGCTCAAGTTATATATGACGGAGTGGATTATAAGGGAGAGGGTAATAAACGTCAACGTAGGGAAGCGCGATGACAAGGAACGAGGAAGAAAGGAACCTGAGAGTTATCGGGTCCAGGTTCAGTCGAGTCGTGTATTTATGAGTTGGTGACAGAATCGCAGTATACTGAGCTTGGTGGGAGACACGAGATATAGTATAGCAATGGGATGCGAGGGACGATGTTATGGCTGGAGAACGAGTAGAGTCACTAAGCTTAGTGATTCTAACTCAGTGCTCGCGACTGGGGGTCGAGAGGTGAGCAAAGGAGGGACGCATTGTCTAACAAATCGAAAAGCGGGTTCACCGAGATAGGCGTGCGGGGAGAAGCCTGTTTACGTAAAAGACTTTTTCCTCCAAAAACTCCTCGCCGAGCTCTGCAACTCGTATCCCGTCCATGTCCATTTGCGTGCCGTCATGATTCGAAGACCGATTTTCCGTCTCTCTCACGCATCTTGGGTCAGCGTATCATCCGCACCGATAATCTGCGAGGGACAAGCTCAACCCAGGCGCTGCTTGCACCCTCGATCAACATCATGGCTTCTCACACATGCTCTTGGGCAATCCTTCCCTCCGACACCTCGACCACTATCCCACCCGACCTGCACGCACGCTGCCATCCCTTCCTCACGGAGCATGTCCTCATCTCATCCCAGCTCGTGCTCATTTGAAAAGCCCGATCGTCCTTCATGGGATAACAACCATATGAATCCTGCTTCTCATCCCTCGTTTCCTGGTTACTCGCTCTCCTCCTCCCTCCCTGCACCCACCTTCCCTTGCTTCTCTAACGAATCCGAAAGTCATTCCACGGCACACAAGATAACGGAGGGACAAGAGTTCGACTACTCGGACGCTGTACGTTGCCGAGAATCTTCCACCTCGGCTCTCCACCGTAGCTCGGCTCCTATCCACCCAGCGCTGGCTTTCATCGACTCTCAGCTTCCGTATCTGGATATGGACCGCGATCTCCATCATGCGGACGCTGTGTGGGACGCATACGCTTCACTCTCTCCGTTTACTCGCAGAAATCTCCGTCCGGAACAGTTCGCACATATCGTCCAACTGGTCGTTCCCTCCATGTCGTATATCCGCCAACGCTTTCGACCATGCCCAGAATGGCGTGCTGTAGAGGATGTTGCCGAGCAGCTCGTAACCCGCATTTTGACCATCACATCAGACTTGAAGTTCAATCGTATAGCCGACACACGTTCCCCACCACCCGTCTGGTACACCTCTTGGCTTTCAGAAAAACCTTTCACAGCCCAACCGATCAGAAGCCACATCACGTCCTGCTATTCTCATGCCGTGCGAGTCGTGTCATATCTAGGGGACTATCACACTTGCGAGGCGCTTCACAACGATCTATCAGCTCTACTATCTGCTTCCTCATCTGCCATATGTGACGACCAACAAGGTGAACTGATTGGCCGACGCCTCTTTGCAATCACTCAACACTGCCATCATCACCGGCGGCGGCATGGCAGAAGCCGTCACCTCAACAGCAGTCCATCTTCCGATGAATCCTCCGTGCTGGCTGCCATACATCGTATCGTGTGGGACATCGACAAACTCGGCCTTTCCGGAGATCGACGTGTGGTCAAGAGCCTCATCAAAGCTTTGCACCTTGCCATTGGTAATGTTGTGCAATCGGATGCGATGAGAGAATTGGATGACATCCTTATTCGTTTTTTACAGTTTGACTACGGTCTGGATCCGCAATATCTCATTATAGACCCCGAAGCAAACGCCCGCTTCACGTCTCATCCACTGGCGGCTTTGTTAGGATGGTACGGAAGACGAGGGAATGGCTGGAAGATGATCAGTGCCTATGAAGTGATCCGACGCCCCGAACCTCTCGTGGCCGCCAACAATGCTGCGGTCTTCGAGAGGAACGACGTCGTCGACACCGACCACAGAATCGCGACTAAGCAAGGTGACTTGCCCCTTGTGAAAGTCGAAACGACTATGGAGGGGGGGTCGTTTCTTGGGGCCACTGGCTGTCCGATTGAACCGCATAGGAGTGACCAGCACGTCAAAGGCAATGCAAGTGAGTAGAGTTTCACTCTGGTCACAGTGGCTTTGTCTGATCTGTAGTGACCTCTTTGCCACTTCCCCTGCCATCACCTCTCTCTTCCACCGAGTTTCGTTCTATCAGAAGGTCATTCGAACATTTTTATGTCCCCATAGATGACCACTTGCGCAACGCGGAAACCTTATACGGACGATTATTGCAAGCCCAAAGTTCCGGAAGTACAGGTACCGACACAAGCAATGTGCACAAGACTATGATCTCGCACTCGTTACTGCTAGGGGAACCGCTTCTCGCTGTGCATACTCTTCGGACCGCCATACTTGTGGATCAAGAGCGCAACAACGCTTGGATGCATCTTATCCTATCACACGGGCAAAATGAACATCTGCAAGTGCCCATTTCTTCCAAATCGAGCTCCCTTTCTACTCGAGAATTTCCTCATCCGTTCCCATCGTTCACAATGCCCTCAAGGCCGGCTACGTCATCACTTCGTCTCCCCTTCGCTTCTACATTGACACCACTTCCACCCGTTCTGCGAGCCGAGTCCTTTCGCCGGGTGTGGTGTTTTCTTCGAAGGTCCACAGAACCGGATGCAGCCCTCACATCTGCCATTCGTTTGGCGCGAAATCATTTGCTTCACCTGCGTCGGTGTCGGTCTTTCGCAACGTATTCCGCCTGTTTCGACTACGGTGTACTGCGTTACTGGAATGATACAATTACTCTGTTAGAGCGTATAGTCAGTGAAAGTGTGGGCAAAGCGGGCTCGGTTCACGAGAGCTTCGAGGACGAAGTCATTTTGTGATGAGTGCAATGGAGGTCATTGGCCCGTACTAAAAAGGCAGTGAAGGAAATCCAGGGCACGGAGCCCACCACCTGAGTCAGTGTCGATCAAGTGGAATAAGAGGCGCGAGTACGACGGTGAAAGATTGGCTCGCGTTTGTCCAAGGGAGGATCTTCCTGACTATACAGACTTGAAACATTTGTCCAATTGACAGACCTTGAAATCACAAGCACTATCGCATGCGGTGTACACTCGTGTATCACACGGCCGGATCTATTGGACCGACGGGCGGCGCGTCTTTGACAGTGCAAGCATCCTCGTGTCACAACTTATTCCACCTTCGATTCAATGACCCGCTGACGGTGGAAGGATCGGGCCGTGTGATCAATAAACAAGATAACTTAACCGAAGTGCTCGAAAATCTTTCCAGTCGAGTAGAGGAGGTACGGACGACATCGAGATTTGATCGACATTGAGCCGAACCTCTGAGATGTGATGTATGCTGTCTGTCTTTGCATTATGCTGTGTGCGGTGGCCCTCACGGACTCACGGCATATATCACGTGTAGTCCGAATAAACGGGGAGCCTGGTATCAGGCGAGAGCATGGGGCAGGAGCAAAACGAGAAATCAAGGGTGGGCGTCCACCCACAACACGCTGTCATAATGGCGCTTTTTAAGCGCAATCCATGATGTTACAAGAGGCAGTTGGTCAACAAAACGAACGTCAATGAGAATAAGGTTCATCAGCTTGATTGGACCGTTGGTGTGCATTCGACTGAGATACCCATGTCGTGGGCGATCGTGGGAGGGTCATGGGAAAATCATAATTGGGAGGTTTCAAGGAAGATGCGACCCGATGTAGCCCTAATATCCCGCCGCGATGCCGTTCTTCCTTGAATCGCTTGAGGCGAAGACGGTACCATTTACCACCACGATCCCCTGTACTGATCATCAGCTACCGTCTTTCTTCTCTCACAACACATCTCCTTTATGTGCTCCTTCATCTTCTCCCCATTCTCCATCTTCCCCTTCTTCCCCTTCTTCCCCATCTTCTCCATCCTGATCATTTTCGAATGAAACGTTGAGATAAAAACTAACCTTCCGAAGCTCCAACATTAATATCATACAAACCTATCTCATGTCCTCTCTTTTCCAAAGCTTTTATAAGATCTCGATCTTCCCCTTCTGGTCCAACTTCTAAAGTAGTGATAGAAGGTACTACTTGATTATGCCATCTAGGTCTTTCGATAGCAGTCGAAAGATCATCCCCACATTCGAGGTTTAATAAAACTTGAGCTACCGAAGGGAATATACGTGAACCTCCTGAACCGCCGAATACTCCCCATAGGGAAGAATTTTGGAGGATTATAGTTGGAGATGTGGATGATAGTGGTCTATTAGTCAGTATGATCGTTCCGTATCGTTCTGAGATTGATGAGTTGTGAATACACAAATGGTGAAACGTGGGCGATAAGAAATTTGCTATTGGAAGGAACGGATGGAACAGATGTGATAGAGTGGTTGGAGATGAGAAGAAGAAAGGTGAAGATAAGGGTATGAGACGAGAGGAGAACAGAAGGGTAGAAGATGGAAGATCTAAAGAAGGGTAGGGTTGAAGAGAAATTGGAGGGACAAACTTTTTTCCCGGTGCGGGATAATTCCATGGACTGGGCCAAAGTCCAAAAGCATCAGGAGCACCAGGAATAGCAAAATCATCTGTACATCAGCTGTGAAGACGAATGGTAAAGATAAGAATGATACCTTGTTCGTCGTTGAAGATTATACCTGTTTCCGAGTCCATGACGTGACTACCCCAGATGAGGTTTACCTAAAGTCAGTTTTTCGTCTTACATGTTTCCTGTAAGATATCTAACTCCTTCAACATCGTCCAGAAACAGATATTCCAGAGCTTCAAATCACATTTTACGATCATGAGGGGAGTCATCGAATAACTCGTTACGAGATGTGAGATGAACCATAATACGACTTACAGTAGAAGTGACAGATGCTGCTCCACCCCATTGATCCACCACACTCAGATGAGTTGTCCCGTAATCGACCGGAGTACCATGTTGTAATCCGTAATAATCCATATCGTGAGTTTGATTCTGTCCATCAACATCTTCTCCTATCATAACTCACAACCTCACTTGACCAGGATCGAGTATACAGATGGAACGATGCGTCAGACGACAGGAATTGCTTGGAAGATGGTACTCACCGTAAGTTTTGAACGTGCAATGTTGGCCCATTCTTTAGTTCTGAACTCGGCCAATCGTGTGAGATTGTGAGCGAAAGTCGGATCTGTCACTTCTGATCTAGCACCAAATGCGAATCGTTGAGCTTCTATTAATCGATGTACGGCAAGTTCGTCCCAACATTGTTCAGATTCGAACGGTTCGAGTATGTTGAGTAAACCTAGCATGACGCCACCGCTGAGGGTAAGTCGTAGTACATTCATCCGAAGAGTTATGGGGTGGAATTGGAAGGTTGTGGAATACGTACGAAGAGGGGGCATCGGTAGTGTAGATTTGTTTTCCTCGCCATGTTTGGGAGATAGCAGGAGATGACCTGGCTTTATAGTCGGCAAGCTGCATATCAGCTGGTTTGACAACTCTCCAATGGAGCTGAAGCCGACGATAAACGAGGCATGAGGACAAAGAAGAAGTGTCTTGGATAGAAAAGGACTGAGAATACTCACATCCCGCAGAGTCATGACGCCTCCATGAGACCCGATAGTCTTTACTATACTCTTCGCGATATCTCCCTCATAGAACGCCCCAGGACCTTCTTGAGCTATCCTTTTCAAAGTCCTGGCGTATGCTTTGCGCTGTATGAATTCTCCTTCAACGAGAAGATATCCTCTTGGAGCGTAGATTTCAGACCATGTCGGACTGTCCAACATGAATTGACCGAAAAGCTGAATGAATTAGCCAATGATTGATCCAATCGTAGAAGTATCAAGAGTACGTGTGAAGAAGGAAAGAAACTCACACGAAGACGTCGAGCTAGTTCTCGACTGACTTGCCAACCCTTTTCAGCTATTTCAGCCACTGGCATGACAAGTTCTTCCCAAGAGAGTGATCCATATAGCTGATGCGCTACGAATCAGTTTCGTATTCTCATTAATCTACCTAGAGTATTCATGAGACAGTCTGAGGGATATGGAAAATTGATATGATCAACGACATACCAGCTTCTAAACCTCTCAATTCTCCAGGCACACCCACTGCCAATCCTCCGACCTGAGCAGCAACTCTTCCAGCTTTAGAAATGCCATACATTTCTCTCTCCACTTTCTCCGGACTGGTTTCTCTAAAATCCACAGCTACCACTCCACCCTCCTTTACCTCTTCCAATCCTTTCCATACTTCCACATCCCTCGATGTACCCTCCGGAGCTCGCAGGACAAGAAAACCTCCACCTCCTATCCCAGAAGCAAACCCGTTGAGAAGTCCAATACATAATGTAGTGGTGATAGCGGCATCGACAGCAGTCCCGTTTTTATCTCTCAAGATTGAGACACCAAGTTGAGAACAAGTGAGGTCTTCTGAAGCTACAGCTGCCGTAGTAGCGTTGATCAGGTAAGCGGGATTGCGTGGTAATCCAGTGGGCTTATGGTCAGCGGTGGGCGTCAGCATGGAAATAAGGTGCTTACAGGAGGAAGATTATATATAGGAGGTACCATAGGTTCATCTCTCACATCTCGTGATCTCCATGGTATTCGAGGTAATAAGGCACCTATACATAATCCGACAAGGAGGATGAGGATGTATGATAGAATTCGGACTAGTCGATCTGTCCGATTTTGGTACTTGTTCCGGACTTCCTGATCGGCCTCATCGGAAGAAAGAGATACCCTATTGAGGGGAAGAGGGAAGGAGATACGACGCCAGAATTTCCAAAGGGGAGTAGGGTGTGGGGAAGAGGAGGGAGAAGGTGGAGGAAGGAGAGGTTGTGATTCATCTTCTTGTGAAGGCATTAAGTTTGACTGACACTGTTGAGTATTACTCCTCGTCACAGCTAGACAGAGGGGCTGATGGTAAGAATATGACTATGGGGACATGAGTTGATAAGCAGGTCGTTTATAAAGATTGCAGCGAGTGATATCCGTAGAGTAGAGTACGGGTAGGATCTACTTATCGCCTCGGTCACCGCAGACATTCAATGGCCGATCGGCAGTTTAATCGATCCCCCCCTCCACCACGTGGTCCCAGTACAACGGGGCTCCGGCCCGATGATCGGACCGCCCTGTTGGATCCCATGGTTCCCCATGCTTCCTTCGTTGCCCCTCCGCCATCTGGAGTAGCCAGTAGCTAGTAGCTTCTTGCCCTCTTTGGTACGCCTTTCGGTTCCCCCTGACGACCGGTCATGTATAAGGGTCTACGTTCCACTTTACACCATCGTCCTTCACTTCATCCACGACTTTCGAACCGGTGTTTGATCACAGCTATCGCTGCATTCCACCCTCGCGTATCACCCAACCATCTAATCCCACCTTCGGCATCTGCACGAGGCATCAGGATGGTGTCCAATTGGCCTAAAGTGACCAAAGAGAATCCTGTATGTCCTCTCCTTCTCTTGCAGATGTCATCTACTTCCATGTGATAAGTCTCATCAAGTTCGAGTGTCGTAGAAAAGACAATAAAGTATCTAAACTCACAACCAGCTTGGATTGGATGACCCCACTTTGCTCATTCAACATGGCATCATCAACGGTCAATATATTGATGCTGAGGAAACGTTTGCTGTTGATGGTAAGTCTGTGACCTACATATACCACAACATCTCGACTATGTTTTCATTTCTGTTTTCAACCAATCACTTGGATGATTTATCGCCACTTCCTCTCCCCTGTTCTGGGTCCGACCATCATGAAACATTCCTAACCTCCAGATCCTGCTACAGGAAAGATCATCGGACATTGTCCCGATATGACAGCAGAAGATACTCGCAAAGCCATTGATGTTGCTCACAAGGCATTCAAATCTTATCGTACTACCACCCCCAACCAACGACAAGCTCTTCTTCTGGAGTTTTACCGACTGTATCAGGAGAATATCAAAGATATTGCAAGACTGATCGTTTGGGAGAACGGGAAATGTTGGAACGACGCTTTGACAGAGGCCAACTATGCTGGTAGTTTTATATCTTGGGCGGCTGGAGAAGCTGTGAGGGTTTATGGAGAAGTCGTCCCTTGTTCTTTACCGGGAGCGAAAAACTTTACCATCAAGCAACCTATAGGTGTTTGTGCTTTGTTGGTTCCGTGAGTTTTGTGTTTCCCTCCAATCTCACACGATCCTCCAAGTCCTTTGCATGCTGGATATGACGAGGTGCCATAGACATCTCGCTAATGTTCAGATGGAACTTTCCCGCAGCAATGATCGCCAGGAAAATCGGTCCGGCACTTGCCGTCGGCTGTACGGCAGTCATAAAGGTTCCAGCGGAGACTCCATTCACCAATTTGGCAATTATGGAAGTGAGCGATTTCTGCCTTTTGTGGCGATTCTTCAGTAACCCCTATCTTGTTGAAGTTCGGTGCTGAAGGCAGCTCGCTAAAAGGGCCGGAGTTCCTGATGGCGTACTCAACGTCATCACCACCGACAAGCACCTCCAAGAGGTCGGTCTGGAGCTCAGTACGAATCCTACCATTCGCAAGTTGTCCTTCACAGGGTCCACGCGAGTGGGGAAGATGTTGGCGAAGAATGCCTCAGGTACCCTGAAGAAGTTGTCTCTGGAACTGGGAGGGTGAGTCCAGCATTGGTCACTCACCACCTACCGTCTGGTATTCAAGTAACGCTCGGGTGGCAGGTGGCTCTTGTCGTGCATAAGGGATGGTTGTTAAGCATGAATCGAGTGCTTACCTCCTAGCAACGCCCCCCTCATCATCTTCGAAGACGCGGATCTTCCTACCGCTGTGACGGGAGCTATCGCCTCCAAATTCCGCGCCTCTGGTCAGACCTGCGTTTGCGGTGAGCCATCTCCCTTTGCCCTCCTCTTGTTTAGGGTATCCGTGAAGAGCATGTGCTGATCTTCAGCCAACAGAATTTATGTGCAGTAAGTCTTCCCTATCCTTCAGCGCTGCTCGATCACTGACTGTTAGTGAAACGATTTACGATGAGTTTGCCAAGCTTTTCGTCGAGAAAGTGAAAGATTTCAAAGTCGGTCCGGGATTTGACGAAGGGGTGACTCATGGTCCATTGTTCCACCCTCGTGCTGCGGACAAAGTTCAAAGTCACGTAGACGACGCCGTGTCCAAAGGTGCTCGAGTGTTGATCGGGGGTAAAAGAGGAGAGAGAAGTTTTTATCAACCGACGGTGTTGGCAGATGTGACGGAGGATTGTGTCAGTTTCTTCTTCATCATCATCCTCATCACTAGAGCTGACTTTTGAAGCTTCTCACGGGGGAGGAGACATTTGGACCTTTGGCAGCGCTGATCAAGTTTTCATCGGAGGAAGAGGTAATTGTGAGTCAAACGTCCTTTTCCACAAACCAACGTTTCATACTATCAAGACCTTTATCAGGAGAAATTAGATTCTTGGGGAATTGAGAATTGAGAGTAGCGGAGTTGATAATCAGGAACTTGCCAACAAGGCGGAAGTGGGCCTATCAGGTTATTTCTTTACCAAAGACACTGATAGGATTTGGAGAGTCGCCGAGGCGCTTGAAGTTGGGATGGTAGGTGCTAACACTGGGATGATTTCTCAAGTCTCGATGTGAGTCTTTGACTTTCTGCAACTTTCCATCCACTGTAGTCATCGATACCACTACTTCGGTGGCGTGTCCATGTCATGTCCATCATATCCCATGCCCGAAGGACGAGAAGAGATTGATTGAATGACGTCATGTCCTAATGTCCAGACCGTTTGGTGGTGTGAAAGAATCTGGGTATGGGAGAGAAGGAGCACATGATGGGACGCAAGAGTATCTGGTCACGAAAGCGATCGTCTTGGGTAAATCTGTACAATAGGGGAATTATCAAAAGTCGTGACGCTCGATGTTATGCATTGCTAACTGCCCAATGCCTGAGCAAATTACATACGTGGCGATAAGGGGGTCCGTTGATTGGAAAATTGCCTTTTTGGGAAAATGCGTCACGATGACGTTTGCGCTCCTCTTTCCCCTCAGTCTTCCCTTTATCCTCTTTTTCCCACCCACCATCTCCTTTTCTTCCACCCATTCATTCATCCGCTCTACCTACAAGACCTCTCTACTGAACCCCAAGTCATTGAATCATTAAACAAGTAGATATCAATAACAATATGGACCCAACAACCCCAGCTCAAACAGATGCAATCTCTCCTGAACCTCTTATCCCCGTATCAGACTCTTCCATCCCACTCACCCCCGCTCCTGGCTTTACTCAAACCACGGACGACGTAGACGGACACACTACAACCAACCCGGATTCCAAATCTCACCCCGCAGTCACGGGTTTACGACAAAGGGTGAACAAATTATCAACTTCGGTAGAACATGCCGCTGAACATCCTACGGTCAAACAAGCCAGAGGAGCGGCGGGAAGACAGATTGAACAGTTTAGAGAAATTTTAGGTAAGAGTGAATGGGTTAGAGAAGCTGAGAAGAGGAGTGGTGTGGATAGGGTTTGGTTAGTTGTTGGAGGTGCTTTTGCGTGGGTTTATTTTTTCTCACTCTATTCCCTTCTATAAGATTTCCTCCATATATATTGTTAACTCTCGTGCCATTGGTGGTATTTTCCAATCCATCGTAGAAATAATCCCCATACACCGTCGTGCCTGGGGTCAATTGAGATTAGGCTATCTCCCTTTTTATCCACTCGGATAAGGGAATGAGGGGTTTACTCCCTTTCAAGAGTCTCACTTAATTCACATTGTCCTGCTTCGTGTCATCATTGGGTATAGTGAGGACGAAGAAACTTCCCAGGTAGCTTGTTTCCCCCAGGTTGATTTAAATCAACCCCCATCCAGTTGTGAAGTGAGACATCGAAGTGGTCAATTCCTCATGGATACGGAGAAAAAGTCAGAAGCTTATTCCTCAGATACCTCCTTCTCATCCCTCTCAACATTTTCGGTCTCGGTCTACCAACTACAACCCTGTTGACTTTTATCCCACCGTCGTACCTCGCTTTGGATCTCCTTGATCGTTCTCCAGCAGGAACGACGAACAAAGATGAACAGATCAAGAGTCTTTTGAGTTATTTCGTAGTTTTGGGCTATATCCAGTTTTTGGAAAGTCTGGCTGCTGGTGTGTTAGCTAGGAGGATTCGTAAGTGTCGTCATTCCCCTGATGCCTTTGTCTTTGATAGCGTCAAAAGATCTCATCATCTGGTAATGATCCCCAATCTTGAAACTCCCCTTTTCTCCATGTCACATAACCTCTCCCGTGTAATTTCACTGGGTACCAAAGAATATAACCACGTGGGAGACACTATGGATCTGATCAGACGTCATGAGGAGTAATCTTATAAGGAGGGTGAAAAGCTAACCCACAGCACAATATTACACCCTCAAACTAGTCTTCCTCGCTTATCTCCTTCACCCAAGCACGAACGGAGCTATCAAGATACACAATGCTGTGTTTCGACCATTCATCCGTTCTCCTATAGGTCACGGTGTCATACCCACTCCTCCCCAGACGGTCAGCGGAAATCAATCTCAGGGCGCTTCGCCCGAAACACGTGAAGGTGTTAAATTGCCCAGTGGACCGGGGAGTGGAGTAGGGATGGAAGTGCCTAAATGAAGTCGAGTGGAGAGAAGGATGATGAAGGTGAGATGAGTACACGAAGGAAGATATTTTTATGTGTATGATGAATTGCGTATGTATGATTTTGATTCGAGATTTGGTATCACAGCAGATATGTATGGTTGACCCAATCCTGAGCATGCCACATCGTCTCGAATGCTGTGGGAGGACAGAGTGGTTGGATGGTACATTAGTGGATGCATGATGTGGTTGGTATTATGCAAGGGAGCATCGAGGTGGAGTTAAATTCTCTATGGGTTTTTGAAGGAATGGCAATGCATGAGTAGAAGTATATATGTAGGCATTCTTGCGAATTCATCTTTTCCCTTCCATCTCATCTTTACTTCCATCCCTCGAACCTGGTTAAACAGTTGTTGTATCCCGTGATGCGTGATGTTTGACATTTGACACTGTCTTTTCTCTTTTCGACCTTATCTCATCACTTCTTTCATCTTGTCTCTCTACAATTCTCTCACTTTCACTTCCGTCTACATCTTTCACTTCTTCTCTTCCCTCTCACAACCTTCCTCTTCGTGATTCTCTAATATTCTCTCAATTTCCTTCCTCGGATCTTAAGTTAACCCCAAAGATTATCGAACCTCCTCAACTCGAGTTTCCGACTCTCAGCTTTGAGATCAATCGTAAATCTCTTCAAACACGTCTGGTCAGATTTGATGATCAGTCAAAGTATTCTTCGATCCGATCCGAATTCGGATTCCTAGGTCTAGAGTAGACTCTGGTATCATCAAATCACTCGATTTACTTTCGAGCCTCGCGCAGAGCTCGCAAGTGCATATTTCAACACGTTCAAAATACGATTCGACCTAACTTAAGAGCAATCGTCCTCGATCTCTCAATCTTTCGCTCACTGGATCACTGATTCTCTCCTTCTTTAGGTCTTTGGAAACTTGGAGACCTGGATCTCTGAAACTCTCGGTCTCTCGGCGTCTGGATCTCTGGAACTCTGGACAATCGGACGATTGGAAGATTGATGCTCATTGTGTCGATACGTTGAATCTGTTGAAACATCAAAATGAGCACAGTTTCGTATAACTATATACCGAGCGTTGTGAAATTGCAAAATGGTGATACGGTAGTAGCCAATGGTAAGTCCTTTCCTTCCCTATCCCCATATACTAGTAACTATTCTTATCCCCATTTTCTCCTTTTAAGATCTACAATATCTCTCAAAGTTTCTTCTTCGTTCTACCAATATCTTACCTTGACCTAAAGGGACGTAAAGTCTCATAGACAATTTCCACTCGTTTCCCCGATTTCGAGAAAGACAATTTGTCTTAAATTTCTGATGAGATCTAAATGACCACGAGATGTGAGGTGAAGGCTAAGTGTTAGATCATGTTTACGTCTCACCCCCTTGGTCAGAACGAGATGGTAAGTCTTATACGATTTCGTATCGTTCGTCCGAAACCTCGTCAACCTCTTGTTCATCCCCTCGACCTGATGACGAATGATGGGATAAAGTGGGACGTCAATGTCCTTCGAAGGTTTCGAGTGGAGGAAGGGTTGATAGGGTCGGTTGATGTCACGACTTCGGAACAAGACGGACATTGTCGACACACGACGCTGAGGGTTTGATTGGACCTCATTTGACATGACGGCCTATGCGATGAAGAGACCTCACTTATCAATGGTCGTCTGGAGGACGTCGGTTCAAAGATCAATACTGCTTTTTCCGAACATATGATAAAGACAGCACAGGAGAAAGCTGACATTGGAGGAAACGCATACACCATAGCTAGGATCATCGAGTTCCTTCCCGCTAATACCACCCCGAAAAAGGGAACGAAACATACCGGCGAATTACAAGTCAGAGTTGCTTTGTATTATCGACCGACCGATGTGAGTCTAACAAATTTGCTACTCTACATCTCTCATCTATACATCTCTGTCCATCGACTTGCTTTATCACGATTCACACCTTCCCCCATTTCATGACTCTACCTCTTCGGCGGATCAGGACACTTGAAGAAGTTGTCCGAGGGAGACTGATGGAGTACACCAGCCCATCAGATCGGGGATACTATGATTGGGAGCTACATAGCTGATATTCAGATCTGGGCACGTCATCTATCCGACTCTCGCCTTCTACTCGCTGCCATACATACTGACACGCAACCCCTTTCCAACGTAAGAGGAAAATGTTATGTGTGGCATAAAGATAGGATAGACGATTTAATCGAATGGAAAAGAAAACCCGACCATTTCTACTTTATTAAATTCTTTGATCCTTATATCAAACGAGAGTTTGAGGTGATACGTACTGAGACGGTGAAGAATAGTGAGTGTCGTGGCGGTTTCTTTTCCGTCATCAGCCCTTTCACTGCAAATCCTCCTGTCGTAAACTTCATGTCATCGACTGTGGTTTTTAGAGGCCCCAAGATATTCTCGTATAATGCTCTTCCTAGCTGTCCAGTGTTGTGCGGCGGTCACCACATCCGCACTGAGGCCTTCTATCGGGTCTTGTCATATGTTTGTCCCCCTGAATCCGTCAGACTTCGATTTTGGGAGCACCCACTGACCTTCAGTCCCCGTCGACGTAAAACAAGCTCTTTTATCCCGCTATGAATACCTCATCACTGAAAAAGAAATGGTGGCCGATTTGACCGACGACTTCCGCTCCTGTATTGTATGTGATCAATGGGCAGCATCACAAGATTCGGTCCGTTGCGAGTGAGTCTGTCTTCAGTCCTCATATCCACATCGAATCTATCTGACGCGAAAGAACCTGCAAAAACAGCTATCACATGGCATGTATGAACCCTCCATTATCGGCGAAACCTGCCAAAGGATATTCTTGGGTCTGTCTTCCTTGTTCGATGCAACGACGCAAAGACGTTCAAGATCAAAAGTTCATTTTCACCTCCAATGGCCCCGCTCCCTCTCGCCCCAATAAAGTCAATGGCAAAGTCAAAGACAAACAGAAATTCGTCGGACCTCGTAGACCTGATGTCACACATCGTGGATGGCCATGGAGATATTTCGGGCAAGTGGCTTTCTTTCGTCCCTCGCATCTGTACTGATGATCAGCATGTATACCCATGTAGAGGACGCTTTGGATCCAGATGATCAAATTTTCCCCAGGTCAGCGACGAGGATAGGAGCGAAATATCAAGCGACTGTACCTTCATGGGAGGAGCAGCAGGAGATGGAAGCGAAGCATAGCATTATTGAAGCCCAAGCTGGACCTTCACGCCATGTCAGAGGTATGTCTGAGTTGACAGTCCCGTGGTGATGTTGATACTGATGATCAGTCGAAAGAGGTCATGACGGTGATAAGAAACATGAACCTACAAGTTTCCTCCTTTCTCGTCCTGCAGATGATAGTGAGTTCAGAAGTGATTCAGTGAAGGCATGTAATGATAAATATAGTCGACTCGTATATGGAAGAAGTCTCCAAAATGCGACTTGCCGTTCCTCCCTATGATTTAGAAAGATTGAACAAAGCCGTCGGGGCTTATACTGCTCATGGAAGAGAGAAGGCTCTCACGATCATGAGAAATGCTCGATTAGAAGACTTTTCTCCTGTCCTCGTGAGTTTCCACCTGTACACACTGTACTTCCCACAGGCGGTGATTGTGTTGACTTTTGCAGTTTACTCAACAAGAAACTCAGATATTCCAACAAGAACTTGATAAATGGGGTGGTCTGGACGCACATGAGATCGCCAAAGTGTTAGGCAAACGTCCATCCGAAGTACTTCGTTTTTCATACATGTGGAAAAACAAACAGCTCGCTTCGGAAAACGAAGCCATTCGACAACATCAAAAAGTCACTCATGCTCATGCTAGGCAAAGTCAGACCTTGGGTGCACCGTCATTAGGAAAAATCAGAACTACGAGGGATTCCAGTGGGTCGGATGATGAGGTATCTCTGTATGGATCAGCGACCAGACGTATGCAATGTGCGGCATGTTCGACTAGGTTAGGAACGGTATGGTGGAGATGTCCAAGGAGTTTACCTGGTAAAGCTATGTGTGAGACTTGCGGGTGAGTAAAATCGAAAACACATATATTCTCGCTTTCAGTTTCTTGACACTTTGCGTGACTGGGAGGATGATTTGAAGATATGGAGAGGACAGAGGTGCTGACGTGTAGATCGAATTATCGAAAATACGGCGTTATATCATTTGTCAAAGCGGAAGATAGTAAGCGTCCAGAGAAGAAAGAACGGGAGTTGAAGAAGTCCAAGGTCTGTTTTTTTCCATTTCTTTCTCTCTCCTGCCGTTGTTGATATTTCTCGCTCGTATTTTCATGTACTGATGATCAGGGAGAAGCAAGTGGTACGGCAACACCAGTTCCTACACCGGCACCCAAATTACCACCTTGTGCAATGTGCAAGAGAATGGAACCGAAGAGTAGTATGGCGAGATGTAAAACCTGCACTTTTTCCGTTCACAGCGGTGAGCTTCTTATCGGATGTCAGTTTGAAGACGGACTGATGAGTAGGTTGTTATGGTATTGAACCTCAGGAAATGGGATCGAATTGGGAATGTGAATTATGTCTCGGTCAACGTGAGACTGATGATGCTTTGGTATGTCCTCTGATTCTTTATATTGTCGCCTTCCAGCATCCCACCAATCAACCCTCTACTCAGGATTCTAACATCCTTCACCAAATCTCACCTAATTCTTCCTCAAGCTAGCCCCATCAATTCTTCCCAAGCCAGTCGCAGAATTCCTTTTGAACCTAAGTATTGTCAAAGAGGGATCGGACGGTAGGTTAATCAACAGCATCCTCGATGCGTATTATGTCCCGCTCAACAACCTCCAATTCCAACAAAACGAAAGAGACTTCCTATGGAATTCGACATGCTCTCCGCTCTCAAACCTACCGAAGGTCGTCGATGGGCTCATATCCTCTGTTCTGTCTGGCAATCCGATGTGGTATTCACCACACCTACCGCTCTCAAGTCCGTGGAGGGTATCTCGACGTTATCCAGGGAAAGTTGGATGGGACAATGTACTCTTTGTCAAAGAGAAGATGGGGCGAAAGTTGATTGTGCGGAATGTGGTGTACGATTTCATGCTAGTTGTGCTTGGTTGGCTGGGTATAAATTCGGCTTTGAGTTTAGTTTGGTGAGTTGTTACGGTTTTCATATCCATCCAAATATCTTCAGAGAGGTTTGTATCCCTTTACACCTTCCAGTGATTTTGCACCTCATGGTGTATCAATCCTACTTGTAGATCCTCCTCTACTTATTTCGCTACCTATCCAACACCCAAAGACACAGTGTTTCAATACACACATATACATTCACGTCATCATCATCATCATCATCATCCATTCATTCCCATCTCTACCCATACTGCTCTCCAATCATCTGTGTGTATTCTCTCCCGCTTCAAAACATTTGAACTTCGCCTCTAGCTCTACAACGACCTTCAGTTTCATTTGTTCAAATCTCAGAAAATGAGTCGAGGAAGAGGGAAGTGGGAAGGTGGGAAGGGGGAAAGTGGTAAAAGTCGTCTACACTTCCTGACACATTCAGGCAAAAGCAGGTAAAAGAGAATCAGTAAACATAACGAAATTCAAAGAAGAAACAGGAATAATGTCATCTCAAATTTATTGTAAATCTCACGATATCACACAAAGAACATTATACGATCCTCATGAGATTGATCCGGAACAGAATGAAACGGCTTTACAAACCTACGTATCGGCGTATAAAGGTTTACCTTTACAAGGTGCTTTTCCTTTATTACGTAAAGCTCAAAGATTAGATTTGTTCATTTCTTCTCCTGAAGAACGAGTGAGGGAGAAGATATGTGCGGGGTGCGGGACGGATGTTTCTCCTTTATGGTATCGTTCACCTAGACTGGATGAGATGGATGTTGATATGGATTTGAGAGTGGAGCAAAAGATGAAGGAGAGAGTGATGGGGTTTGAAGATATTTGTCATTTGTGTAAATTTACAAGATGATTTGAGTTTTGGAGATAAAAAGGATGCAGATGGAGAAGAAGGAAGGAAGGAAGGAAGGGGGAGATTATCATCTAATTGCTTTGGATAGTTGAAGAGTTGGAAAAAAGATATCTTAAAAAAGATAGAAAGGGAAAATGCACATTGGTTCATGATTTGCATTTGACGACGCTATGTACCATGACCGAGTCGATTATCCAATTGACGACGACGAGTGAGACATAAGTGGACTATGAGAGTGAAATAGAGATTGCGAAAGTGATGAGAGTAAAGAAAGTTTCGAATATGGGATTTCATGCAAAGTATTCCAAAGTTGAAACACGGAACTCATCGAGTAGTCAACCCACGAGAGTCAAGGAGATTATGGAAAAGAGTTGACATGAAAGAACGACAACCGAATTGGATAAAAAGCAAAAAGCTGCACCATTATCACGCAATTATCTCCTCAGTATCATCAACCAATTCTTCCACCCATTCTTCGACTTTCTCACTTTCCATCTCCCCAACATCTTTCCTCTTTACGATCTTTCCAAACAACTTTTGTCCTTCTTTGACCTTTTCATGTAATTTGGAATACCAAGCATTCCATTCTGCCAAAGATCTTAATCTACTTGCTAACATTTCAGCACTTCCTCTATTCTCTTCTGCTGCATCTTCTTCGTCGAACACCCTCGAATGTTCTTTAAGTTCTTTACGAACTTTATGTTTTTGATCTTCTGACAAAAGAGATGGAGGTCTAGGACGCCAGATGAATTGTTTGAATTTATCAGCTTGAACGTGAGAAAGAAGTTGACCACGCCAATCCCATAGTGAATAACCTGGTTCGGCCTGGGAAATCAGCGTGACTTCTTTGTTTTCAATCTTCCTGTTTCGATCTACATGTGTTGTTTACTGTCGACAGATATCTCAAGAAAATGAAATCATAGGTGCTGTATACAAGTATACCACACAGACAGAAGTTCGTGTCTTCACATGATTGGTATTCACTTTCACTCTCGTACATCGATAGGTAGAGGATAGCACAAACGGGTGTGCATACATTACCCGGATAGACTCTGAAAATTTGGACGGATGATCGCGAAAATATGAGAAGGAACAAGAAAAGATGGAGATAGATGGTCACTCACAGTGGGCTTGTAAGCACTAGCAACAGTTACCAGATACCTACCACTCGGATCCCAAGCTGGAGCTTCGTTTATCCCAAAATGTTCTCCCAAAGCTAATTGAGTTATATTCGCACCGGGATCTTGACCTTCTTTAGCCCTAACATTCTGATCCGTCGTGAAATCCATATCCCAAAATTCAATGTCATACTTGGTAGCACTTCCCAAAGTCGCAATGACCAAATGTCTACCTTTAGGACTCCAACCTAAATAATTCCCAGTTTTTCCCTCCAACACTTTGATAAGACCGAAATCATCTCGTTTGGTATCACGTTGATAAAAGGAGAAATTATATCGGACCATGACACCAGGAATGGGTTGACCGTAATTAGGATCAGAGGTTGAAGCGATTGCGAATCTATCACCGTATGGTTCCCATCTGAAAGAAGGGATATATTCTTTATGTTCAATGACATCGACTGGGATGGCGGGTTCCCGAACACGGAAAATCTCAAGATTACAATATGTCGCTTTATCCTTTGATTTGGCTTTGCCTCGATGACGATCGACTTTGACACAGAGGTATTTACCTTGATTATGCCAATATAAGTGACACTGAAATTAGCGCGTTTCTGACGATTGGGCTATTCTATTCGAGATATGTATACTCCAAGTGTCTTCTCTAGAAATGAGGAGGGATAAGGACATGGATCGAAGCTCACAGTTGTGACATTATACAAATTCTTAGACCTTAAGACACTCTTTGAAGGGATAGACATGACGTTGACCCTAGCTGGTTTACTCTCAGCCTCAGGTGTCCAATAAGCCAACATGAATTCTTTTTCCTTCTTCAGTTCTGAAGGTCGGAAATCAGCATCACTGGGTGGACACCATTCGAATTCTTGCACTCCATCAATCTTAAGACTTCTCTTATCCAACAACAACATTGACGGTAGTTCATACACTGAGATAGCAGAACCAGGTTGCAATCGTGCCACGTATTTATCGTTCGGTGACCATTTGAGTTGAGGAGGGGTTCCAGGAGGTAGATCAGAACGAGGTTCATGTCGGAATGTACGCAATACGCGAATGTTCTTGATATCCCATACGACGATATGATTTCCTTCATCTTCCGGAGCAAAGGTCATTCTGACACTGGCATTTGATGAAGTGGAAGGATGATCCAGAGGTTCGGGTGACCAGGTGACTAGGTATTTTTCACAAGGAGAGAAGCTGACGGATCGAATACCGGGATGAGTGAAACGAAGGACGTTCACACCGTTTGCCCCATCTAATTCGGGACCACACCATAGAGCCACACCGACCCAGTGGACGGAGGCAAGATAAGTACCGAGAGGCGACCATTGGCAGAATAGTTCTCCCCATTTCTGTGGGTCAGCAAAGTTTTGATTTACTCGGAGTGAATGAGGTTTTGCCTATCGAGACATTCACTTCGCATCTACACTGAGGAGAGAGTGGAGCAGGTGAACTGGTGATCGTGACAGTGATAGTGATAGTAATGGGCAGAGGACTGGGTACGAAGACAGCCAAAAGTCCAACTCACATTATTTTTAACAGGTTTCCCATCCGATTTCCTCACTACCTCCGACACCCCATTCCTTCCATTCCAATACAAATTCGCATCATTATCCCTCAGAGTGAGATACTGATCTCTACCCAGAGGATCCGCCAACCAACTTCGCATATTTTCCTATGCGTCAGTTGATCCGCCACACTGGTCATCACGACACTCACACGTTCGACGAAAGGACGATCGAGATATCCGGTGGGTAAAGCACCATCGCCTGAACTCATGTTGGAGTATTTATCAATGTCCGCAAAGTAATTGGCGAACAATTGATGGGCTTTACCGAACCAAGTTTTGTTGAGGACACGTTGTGCGGTTTGGGCTTCTTGAGCGGTTGGGTAGGTGAGGAAAACGAAGCTGAGAGTTAGCTCATGTACTCAGCCAGAATTCAACAGGACCGGTCAAGTTGCAGATGAAAGTGTTGACATGAATCAAATGTGATGTGATGAAAATCATATACAACAACATGAAGAATATCAAGAGACTCGATACCCCGTAATGGTGCAGAATACACAGTGAGGCAGTAGTGTTGAAGGTTATATACAGTGTGAAATCTTGGATAAGAGGAGAGTTGTAAGTCAAAGAAAGATATAAAGCAAACCAAAACTGACCCTTTATTAGTGTCAGCAACATCATCCCAAGGCATCTCAATCCGATCATCATCAATAGGAACACCAGCTTTCTCAAATAACAACTTGAGTCTTTCTACCAGTCGATCTTTTCGATCCCTGTTGACTATTGGTGTTCCATCTATAACGATAACATTTTCGAAACCTTGTTGAGCGTCTACTGCGTAGCTGAGAGATTAGCTTCCATATGCCTTTGATGTAAATTTTCTCCCATAAGCAGAAGGGGAGGTACTTGGAGGTTGATATACTTACCGCTGTTCTATTTCCGCGTAACCTTGTTCCAGCTCATATTGTAAATCAGACTCTTCGTCTGTAGAGGAACTACCGTTCATTTCGTATGACATGGTCAAGTAGGTAAGGGGTAAAGGTAGGATGAGAGGCCAGATATGTAGGGTGATTTGGGGGGAGAACAAAAACCAGAAGCGTAGACAGCACGGGAATTTCGTTTCGCTTTCTGTCAATGTGGCATTTTTCACGTGGCGCTTGGCACAATCTTAACCGTCACTCAAAGCATTATAATTCATATGAAGGCATTAATCTTGGGCGAGGCGATGGGAAATGAACACAGATTTTGACTCGGAATGTGATAGAGAAACATCTACATGCAAACAACCATGCATAATGCAATACAAATGCTCGTGAATGATCAAAAGAATCAAAATTGGAATAACAACACTACATCATCAGCTTCCCATCTCTCATCGCCACGAAACAAAAACTCACACCATGGGTTCAAAACTATCGGATAGAGGAAATGACAAGCTGATTGAGCCATAAGTGGTAATATAGCCGTAAAGTTGGTTCTGACATTAACATCTGTTCATATAAACAAAAGGAAAGGGGGATGCTTGACTCACATTCTATAACCCACGGGGACTAAGGAAGAAGCCATGAATGCTACTCCGAGGATTTGAATCCAACTTAAGATCCAAACTGTCCAAAACCGTTTCCACATCAATGGCCATTCTTTGAAGAAATGTGATAATTCGACTTCTTTGATGGTCGACGCCCATTGCATGTTGTATCCTACCAAATGGGCGATTCTGATGTGTAAGCTATTTCCATCGTCGAATGGTACATTCGTCTCAACACGCATCACACTATCATATCGAACCGACAACACTTCACTGATTGATGTGCCTATACTGGGTGGGAGGGGTTTCGTCTTTGATGGAACTGTATGGGTGTATTTACACCATTGTTGATTTGTGAGGCACGAAGGGATTAAGGACAGTGAATCTGGTTGAATATGTTGTGAGGGGCAAGAAGATGGGTACAAAAGGAAAAAACTCACAAGGCAGTGGTGAGATGATAAGACATTCCACAAAAGAAAAAGAAAAAGAAGATGATCCATTTAAAATTCCCAATCAAAGCATTACCCAACGAATTGGTATTGAGACGATATTGGAATATCGCCGATGAAATATTTGATAAACCGCAAAAGATGACGATACAAGTTAAGAAGACTTGCCATGATTCTAAGTAAAAAAGATCTAGATTATCGTTGAATAACCCGATGAGGATCCAGTTGAGCCATGAGAGCAAGAGAGCGCAGGCGATGGCATAGTAGCTACCACGTCAGCTAGACCATCTCGACAAAGAACGTCAGCTAACAGCGTGAATTCACAAAGGGAGATTTGCATAGCAGATTACAGGTGTTGCCCACGAGTCCTGGAGAGGATCGAGGGTGAGAGGGGTAAAGAATGCAGGGGGAGGGGGGGGACAGACATACGATGAGATATAGGCCAAAACGGAAATTTTGCTGTGGAGAGGTATCCCATCGGCCCATACGAATTGATGAAATAACGGAGTGATAGGACCTCGAGTAAACCAATATCTTAATGGTTGAAAAAGGAGTTCCGAGCATCCAAAAGCGTATTTCTGCCAACGATTTAACTGACATTGTAAGCTCAAGACTAGGCAACCCATCTTAACGAAGCCATTGTTCATGTTGAATAATGACAGTTGTAATTGATTTAAAAAAACGAGAGATGGGTGAGTTCTGAAAAGACTAACCTCGTCATCGCAAGTCAAAGAAACACCTTCTTGAAACCCTCCATTAGAATAAGAAGCCCATCTCAAAGACCACCCCTTCATCTGCAATCGTAAAGCCTGATCGAAATCCTCCGACACGTGAGTTTCTGACCAACACTTTGTCAAGCCGTCATCGGGATCGACGAATGCGGCATCTTGGATTGCTCTCCATCGCAAGAATCTGATGTTTTAGCACTTATCCAAACACATGCTAAAGATGGGGAAGGGGAGAACAGTCTTGAGACTCACGCGTTATGCCCTACGAACGGAGCGACCTCGCCATTGGCGGCACAGAAAGAAATAGCGGAGTTGATTCGGATGGTGAATGATGTAATTGCATTTTCGAAATAATGTCCGACGACCTGCATGACGGCTGATTCATGTTGGATTATACCGATATTAGGCGAGCTAGCGAATTCACTATAAAGTAAACATGTGTCATCCAATGACACTAAATTTCACAGAGACCACAGAACGTAAGATCGAATGGAGGGCTGATGTGAATAAGGAATATGTTGCAGGTCGACTTACGAAGCAGCATCTAAGAAACAATCTTCTGGAACCCTAGTATCCGAGTCGATAATCAAGATAATCCCTCCTATTCGTATATTACCAGCAGCCCATGCAATCCCATTAGTTTCATCCAACGCCTTGGCCAAAGCCTCCTCGTAAATCTCCATCTCATCTTCGTCCGTCCATTGCCAAGTTGCTAAAGCCAGTGGATCATCTGCAGGCGGTTCAGGTCGAAGTTCATCCATGATTTCCTCCACACGAAGGGAAAGACGATTTCCAAAGTTCATATTGGATGCCTGTGATTCAGCAAGAATGTCATGCACTGTCATCTCAAGCAGATTATGGGTGATGATATATGAAAAGAAGAAGAACCAACCTTCTTGAAACGACCCTTACGGATATACCCATTCGCGCCGTGCTTGGGTCTGGCCGTCCAGCCGATATTATTCCTGTCATAGTACGCTTTCCGGATTTCTTGTTCTTCTTCGTCCCAGATTTGCATACCATCGTCGTAGATGAAAATGTTGACGGAACCTCCTTGTCTCTCGTAACTGAACCGTCAGCTTTTCCAAGCAAATCTTCGCTTTGACTACTTGGAATATCTGAGAAAGTGCATGAGAATGGAAAGTCAAAGATGCGCAGACTTACGTGGTGATGGCTTTCTTCAAAGATTCTACAGTGGGTATGATGACCCCCTCAAGACCTTCTTTATACACAGGCATCTGGATTGTGATGTGGGGCAAGGTACCGGTCATCCTTGTAGGAGTCTTCCCAGAGTAGTAGGATGAATTTTGGTGACAATGAGCTACTGGCCCGAACGCCTGCCAGAGATTGCCGCAGACACAGATAGAGAAGAACTAAAAGTCAGTGATCACCCAGAGTACGTCCTTTTAGGAAAGTCAAGTTCGGGACAAACGTCACATGTGGAAGTTGATGGCAATGGAAGAAAATGAGAACTGACTATAGCAAGTAGGTAGCCGAATGGCGAAGTCGCCAACAGGGCCATCCGAACGTAAGATCCATCAAGCAAAGATTCCTTGATGAGATTCCCTTAAGTCGTCAATCACAGTTCCTATCGGCGTCTCAGAGACTCACGCATTCCCGAACCAATAAAGACGAAAGTCAATATTATAGCCAAACCCGAAATCAACGGCGCATACAGCATGACCGGTCGTATATCTCTCTTTTCCCATTCTCCCTCTTCCGCACCTATAGCTTCCTCTTCCTTCGTTTTGTCCGACTTTTCTTCTCGTAAACGTTCTTCCAAAGCTGCTTCCCTATCTCTATCATCTTGATCCTCCGCATCGTCACTTTCTTCCATCTCAAGAGCTGCCAGTTCTTGGTATCGACCGGACCATACATATGCGATCATACGTTGTTCGAGAGCCTCGGCAGAAGGGATGAGGGTTTCAACTTCGTCTGCCCAAACTACCAGGCATGACTCATGTCTACAGAAGGCGGCGAACTGATGTTTACGGGCACCGGCGAGATGAGACAATTCGTCGAGAATTTGTATTCGAGTATTGACGTCTAACGTTATCTCAACTGCGTCTTCAGGACATCGGGACATGATAGCTTGAACGACTTTGGATGTGATCTTGATAGCGACTTCGGGGTTGAGAGTACCGATGGCAGAGTCCCATTCTTGAATCCGACGGGCCATCTCTCTTGCTCCTTTGGTCCCAGGTCGGGGTTGAGGGTAAGTTCGAAGTAATCTCTTCTTCATCCTGATATGTCAATTGAGAATCGGTGATAAGACAAAGGAAATGTTGTACTCACCGTATAGATACCAAACCATCAAAGTCTGCATCTCTGAACCATCCCTCTCTCTCGCCTACATGCCACAGATGTCGAGTCATCATGTCGTACCTATCTCTAACTCTTCCACCTTCATCCAACTCCGAGTCGCTGCTCTCCGAGCTGTATGACGAGCCGGAGCTGCTTCGACTAGCCCCAGATTCAGACTCGTCATCAGAGTCGGATCTAGTTGAGGCAGTCTCAGAAAGCTCCCAAGAAGCGCGAGAATCGATATCATCATCATCGATCGTATCCGTCGGGTCGGCCTTCCTCGTAGATGTCTCGGTAGCACGACGGGGTACATGAGGAGCTGGGATACCTTGAGCGTTTGGGACACTAGGGAGGATAGCAGAGGACAGACGTCGAAGGAATGACATGTCGGAAAGTGGAGTCGGAGGGAAGTTGAGGGTGAAAGGAGTCTGGGTTTAGAGAGGTGATAGATAGGTCTGGGACGAAGCTGTCATCAAAGAGAAAGCATTGTAAGATGAGATCGCAGTCCAGGCTGCTAGTATGAATGTTCACGGAAACAAGAGGTCAATATTTCCAAGATGACAGAGAAGTCGAAACTGGTCAGTAAGAAATGGATAGTATAAACCCTGACCCGAGCCGATGTCATGACCTTGGGGCGACTATGGGATAAGCCCTGAGTTAACTGGCAGAGAAAGAGGAGGAAGGGTGGTGACTGACCCCAGGGTCTGTGGATCTGTGGAGGGATCGACGACCGGAAAGCATGCTCATTTCCGGTACCGGGATAGGTACGACTGTAGAGCTGTAGCCCCTGGCTGCTTGGAAGGTATGATACTTAGTTGAGGGGAAAGAGGGAAGTGAGAGACGCAAGGGAAATGGCGAGAACAATTTCCACCACTTTTTTTCCGCTTTCGGCGATTTAGACTGAATTTCCTCTTGTCTTCCACCAACCTCCACTTTATCACCATCCTCACTCTTCTACTTCCTAGTCTTCCTGCTCTCGCTCTCGTCCTCTCGTGGTACCCGTGGTGGTACTCACCAACACCTCCCAGGTATACCAGGCACTGGCGCACTGGGACGATGAAATCGCACTCCGTTGCCGGCGGTTTCCTGACTTCTGACTTGTTTGATGTTCACTCACAACAGCATTTTTCTCAAGCTTGACCCGGACTGTGCTGAGAAATGAAGCAAAGATGACAGTCACAGGGAGACTACAACTGCAACTACACACGGAGGGGTGAACAATAAACAACAATCATCAGTAAGTCGATCATTCTTTTATTCTTTGCCAAAAAGCTGACTTTGTTATCAGAGAAATCCCTACACGACTCCACCCATCTTCCCATCATGGGTATCTTCTCTCGCAAGCCCAAGCCGGCTTTCGAGCCACCAGAAGTACCCATGGCTGAAGTTTCTCATTCAAGAAGGATATCTCAACAGCTGAACTCCAATCGTCGTCGTAGCTCACTCTTCCCTTCCTTCTTCCATGCCACCTCCGAAGCACCTCCAGAAATGGATTCTGTCACTGGTCTGCCTCTCGTGCACGGTGTCCAACAATCCACCTTTCTCGGTCGGAAAATGTCATCAACTCTCATACCTGCTTTCGTACGAAAGGCCAGTCTCGCGGCTGCTCATAGAGACTCTGATCCTGGACATTTACGATTGGGAGAGACAAACGGTTTAGTACGAGAAACAATGACGGATGCTTTTTATCGATCACGCCTGACCTTGGACGCAGTGAGCGATGAGGAGGAAGATGATGGACTTTGGGGTGAAAAGGCTTCTCGGACTCTATCGAGAAAGAGCTTCACATCAGCTCCGTCTACGGATACTTTTTCTATTGAACTTGGATGGCAATCTGGACCGCCGAGAAACAAGCGAAAGAAGGAAGAGAAAATTGACCAGAAGAAGAAACACACTCGACATTCTTCTTCACATAAACGACATCGACATCGCCGAGTGGTACGTGAAATGGATCAGAACTTGGATACTTTCAATGCCTTTTCTCAAAATGGTCTTACTCCTCTCACCCGTTCACCGGTCAATTCGACAAACGTTTCCGAATCATCACTACCCCTCTCCACACACCAATACCCTGTCCTTCAACCTACATCGTCCGACCTCATTCTCTCACCGTCGGACAAACCGCGTGCTGTACCAGTTGGCGATGGGTTCGACGCTCTCGACGTCATGGCAGATCATATCTTCCGAATAGGGGTGGAACGTAAACAGTGGTTTAAAGTGCCTCGAATAGGAACCAGACGTACGGTTGGTACCGGACTGACCATTAGAGCCAAGGCTGGACTATACCGTACTTTCCCTGTAAACTACGAAGCTCTTGACGAGTTCGAAGAAGCTATCACCAGATTGAACCCGGAGATCGCTATCAAGATCAAGTCAGAGATCGTCTCAGATATTCTTGCTACCTACATTGATCCTTTCCCCTCTTCCACAGAATTGGTGATCGACGCGGATACACGTATTCAGATACTGGATGAGATTCCTCATCTTGCTAGAGCACGGAAACATCAGTATGCAGCTTTTGTGAGATCCGAAGGCGTTTTGGTCGTATGGGCGGATCATGTGGAGAGTGTCATACCTGCAGCAGAGGCATTGGAGGAGGCTCTGATTCAGTTCATATGGAGAGGCGAAGAGGAGAATGAGAAGATCTTGGCTGATCTGCATCGGGAAGAAAAAGAGATGGCTCTAATTTCTGGAGAAGATGTGCCAACAGAGGAAACTGGAATTGACCCTGAGGATATAGTGATGAGGAGATTAAAGAAGGAATGGAAGGAGAGACCGGTCGTACTTCTTGCACCATTGACGGACGGACTCGCAATCATCGTCACGATGTCATTGATCGCCTTGGGTGCCCGTGGGTTGTTTCTCAACTTTGAACCGTGGTGGAGGTTAACTCTCGCAGGTACTTTGGTTAAGGAATATATCCTTGATGGACAAGCGGCTCGTTTTGCCTTGCTGGTCTTCGCTTTACCCCTTTTCTGCATCTCATCTTTTGCATGTAACTGCTTAGTTGGCTCTATCGTGAGTCGAGTTGAAGCTTCTCATTCCTGATGCTCCAATATCTTCCCTCACTCTGACATGGCTGGAACGAGAAGTTTGTTCTTCGGGCATAGTTAAAACCTCCCCTCCAGATGTCACCTGAGGTATATTCGTTGGACGCCACTGACGACAGATGCAAACCCTCGGTCCTGTCCGTCAAGTTCATCAGAAATCACGTTACTTCTCCGGCATCGCTCCCAAACGAACCATGGGTGAACTTGCCCATGTCACTGTCCAATTACCCGTTTACAAAGAATCTCTCGAAGACGTTATCATGCCCACTGTCGAATCGCTCAAAAAGGCGGTCACGACATACGAACGTCAAGGAGGATCCGTCTCTATCCTAGTATGTGACGATGGTCTTCAACTGTTACCACAAAAAGAAGCCGAACGTCGACGACGATATTACTTTGATAATAATATCGCATATGTCGCTCGACCAGGACATAACGTTAATGGGTTCATTCGAAAAGGTCGATTTAAAAAAGCGGGTAATATGAATTTCGCTAATGCTTTATCACTCCGTGTGGAGGAGATAATGGATGATTTACGACCCGATGCTCAAACTGCTAAATCAATGAGGGATCCTGAACAATTTTGGAACGATGTGGATGAAAATGGGGTATATGAAACGGCTTTAAAACAAGCTTTAGATGAATCGAATGGGAAAGCTTGGGCAGCTGGGAATATAAGGATAGGTAGTACTTTACTCATCATTGATTCGGATACAAGAGTACCTGAAGATTGTTTTGCGGATGCTGTGAGTGAAATGGCGGAAAGTCCTGATGTGGCCATTATTCAACATATGAGTGGAGTGATGCAAGTGGCACATCATTTCTTCGAAAATGGAGTTGCACATTTTACGAAGGGTATACAACATGCTATTTCGTATGTTTGCGCGAGTGGGGAGGGTGAGTGCTTGTTCTACTTCTTCTCTCACCTCTCACTCCGTCTTGGACCAGGCTCGCTGTCTTCTTCTTCCTCTCCCTCATCATCCCCGTCCTCTTCTTCTCCTTCGTCTTCTTCCCCCTTTTGGTTTTATATTCTAAGTCCATCGTCTACTTTGATGATCTCATGGATGAAGTGGGATAAGTGAATCTAGAGGGAAGACCAGAATGAAAGACGAAGGGTTTGAACAGATTCAAGATCTCAAACTCACCATCAGTCGCTCCATTCGTAGGTCACAACGCTTTCCTTCGTTGGTCAGCACTTCAAGAATGCATGTTCGTCGATCCAGACGATGGTGTGAAGAAGATCTGGTCGGAAGATCATGTCTCGGAAGACTTTCAAATTGCCGTCACTCTTCAGATCAAGGGGTATGTGGTTAGATGGGCTACCTATAGCAAGGGAGATTTTCAAGAAGGTGTCAGTTTGACTTGTGATGATGAGATGAATCGCTGGCAAAAATATGCATATGGATGTTCGTGAGTGCCCTCCTCCTCTCTCATCTCTCAACTATCCTCATCTTTCTTCAATATCAAAAGTCACCTCACCAGATAATGGTCCATTGTGGTTCTCCCCTTCTTTAGCACTTCAGACTGACGACCCTCCGTTGTAGCTGTTATATTCCTATCAAGCTGGATTGAAGAAACGTCAGTTGACACTTAGTGAACTCCTTTTCCACCCTCTCCAACAAGTCCTCCGTAAAGGTCCTATCACACCTCTCTTCCATCAATTCATGTGGTCCAACATCCCCATTCATTCGAAATTCACCATCTCCGCATATATGTTTTCTTATTGGGCTATATCGTGCGCTTGGATACTGTCAGTGGGTAATTACGCTATAATGGGATTTGATCTTCCCGTGGACGCTTATTGTGAGTGACCATTTGAACCATTCTTTCAAGATAAGAATATACCGGACACCTACTAGTTGTCTCTGGGGCTGAGCCATTCAAGTTGACCGCGGGGGTAGAGGGAGCAGGATGGTTGTGGACAGAACTAATGTATAGATTTACCTTCTTGGCAAGTCACCTTCGTTTGTATTATCTTATTCGTGGGATTGTGTAATGTGGCTTTTATCACTTTACGATATCGACTCAAGTTACCTGATTGTTCGACCGACGCGATCAATCAGATCAAATGGATTCGTGAGTGGTCACTTCTCTCCCCCGCGAGTTCCCCATATCTCTCTTCAAAGTGAAGGAAATGTACACGATGAATTGTTAAAGAACTACTTGGCTGAAATACAGCATTCTTCGCAATATTCTTCACAGGGATGTCGATGCCTATGAGCTTCGCCCTCGTTTCCCATGCGATAGGCTACAACATGACTTGGTCGACGACTGTTAAAAGTGTCGAAAAGAGTAATTTCTTTTTACAATTGCCTTTGATTTGGAAACGGTTTTGGCCACAGTTGGTATTCTTCACTATCGTCATTGTGAGTTTGTCTCTCAAAAAAAAAATCTTAACTTTCTTTTCCCCCATAACAACCGGCCGTACCTCCCTTCGATGTCCCCTGTGGATCTTCAAAGGAGGTGCTCCCCGATTTGAGAGCGTGTCAGAAGCGGCAATCAACGTGTCAGGAGTTTAAGGAGACAGTGAAAATAGTCATACAAGTGACAATACTGACCCACAGGTCGGAGTCATCATCACATCCACTTCTGTCGTCCCACCTGGATACCGAGTTGGTTCTTTGGAAGTATGGATTCCTATAAGTCTTATAGCTGGTTCTCATATCCTCTGGCCATTTGTGTTGAACCCTTGGTTCTTATCTTTCTCTGTGAGTTTTGGTTTCCATCCCGACCCACTTCTAATCATCTCGTCAATGACAACCTTCCCTTCCATGTTGCCATCTACTTCTTTGAGCGTCATGAAATCTCGTCAAGTGACCATGGCTGACCGTCAGTTCTAAATGTCACACACTCCTGGATAACAATCCCCCCTTCCCCTCCTCTGTTCCAAAGACATGGATTCATTAGCATTGGATTGGTATAGCATTGTTGTATACTCTAGACCCTTCATGGCTTGCTGTTTGGTGCAATGGTGTGTGATGTGTGAGATGCATAGAATCATGAGCGTTGCTCGTACTTGTACGTCACGCCACGTTCTAATCTCGTCACCGATTAGAGTTTAGTTTTAGCAGATCGAGACCAGATCGTCGGTGCCTTACTCGTAAGCAAAGACGCCCAAAGATGTGATCGGAAGCGCGAATCCATCTCAACCCGATATCTCGGAACCTCTTTCCGGACCTCCACCCTCATCTTCGTCCACTAAACCAAAAATCAAACTTTTTTCTCTTTTCTTTCTCTCACAACTCAAACAACACCTCAGTGTATCCTACTGCTACATATCCCTCACTCATCGCGCATCTTGGTATCAAGTTCAAAAAACAAGTCAAAAAAAACATCTTCCAAAATGACAATCGAAACTCATGTCATAGACCGTGCGACCGACTCGGCCCTCTTCTCTCCTCTTCAAGTAGGAGCAATGTCACTCTCTCATCGTATCGTTCACGCTCCTATGGGACGTGGAAGAGGTAGAGAATCAGAGAACGTACCTGGTACTTATGTACCTTGGGAGATTGAAGCTAAATATTATATTCAACGTGCTACTCCTGGTGGAATGTTGATAACTTCTGCTCTTCCTATCAGTGAAGAAGCTAAGGGTGGTTCTTTCGTAGGTGGACCTGCTATGTATACGGAGGATCAGAAATTAGCTTGGAAGAAAGTTTTGACGGAGATCAAAAAGACTGGAGCTGTTATGGTTGCTCAAAGTGAGTTATATCACAATTTCATTTCTTCTAAGGGGTTCTTATCCTCGTACACCTGTTCATATCTCACCGCTGGCCGAGGAGGAGGGGATTCAATTTTCCTAGCCTGAGGAAATCATCCTTGTCACTTCCAGCAGAGAGAGTAAGATCGTAATGATATCATCACCTGGCTCGATGAATCGCACGGGCGTGTACATCCCATCTACTCGGGTAGTTGTTCGACGTGAGAATATCAAACTCAACAATCTGTTTGGTACATCCCATCCTTGGTGTCATCAGTGATAAAGCTAGTAGAAGAAGAGACAGGATCAAAAAAAAAAACATATCTGACACATAGTCTGGCACGGAGGTCGTACATCTGGACATGGAAAATTACCCTGTGTATCAAGTTCCGCCACTAGGATCGAATACAACCCTCGTACAAAGCAACCGAACCCGCCACCTAGGGAGATGACGGTGGAAGATATCAAGAGGACCATTGCGGATTTCGCTAGGTCTGCTAGGCTGGCTATTGATGCTGGTTTTGAAGGTGTTGAGGTTCAGTGAGTTGTTTTGTTTTGTCTCTTCTTCTGTTCTCTGACCCTCACAATCCTGGTCGGAATGGGTATCCCAGAAGATCGACTATTTCGTATTTAGCGGAATGGTTAATGGTTGGAATTTAATTTCACGAGCAACGAGGAATCCTGGGTAATCTCGGACAAGTTGTATCGTTACTTCAACAGGAGGAAAGAGGGTTATGAGAAGAGTTTGAAGAGAAAACCATTGCTTACATACAGCGGCGCTAATGGTTATCGTATGTCAACTTTCGTATACGTCTACCTCCCCTGATGTCATTCAAATCATAGCTAAGAATCATTCGCTACTCAAGTGGCATAGGAAGTGTATAAATAGGACGCTAATCGCTCAGTATGCGATCAATTCCTTCATGATAACATTAACCGTCGCACGGACGAATACGGAGGTTCTATCGAGAACAGGAACAGATTCGTACTTGAAATGGTTGATGCTATCTGCGCTGAGATTGGTTCTGACAGATTCGGACTGTGAGTGGAGTTATTATTTCCTCCTCTTCTACACTGTCTTTTCTCTCTACGACCCTTATCTCCTCTCTCTCTATAATCTCTTCCCTTTTTCCTTTTCACGTATGTTCCACTCTTCTTGTTCCCCTCATATCCCCTCCCTCCCCCCTCAGGTCTTCCTCATCTAGGATCATCTCTGTCTCTCCATACCATTCATCCCATCGTCAACAAAGTACAGACTCAATGATGGTTTGGATAGAATCCATGGTTCAAGCAATGTGAGAATAACATCACGACTTGAACTAACCTACAGCCGTCTGGCACCATACGGTTTCTTCAACGAATGTAAAGGTTCCGACCGTGTAGCTCAATGGACAAAACTCTGTACCGAACTTCGTTCCCGGAACCTTGCCTACGTGTCATTCATGGAAGCTAGATACGACGAATTTTTAGGTCAAAAAGAGAAACTAGCGGCTTTAGGTCAAACTTTGAATTCTGATGATTTCGGTTCTCCGGAAGAACAATCTTTACCTACTATCGCACCTTTCCGCGCTGCTTTGGGTGGTAAGGAAGGTACGAAAGTTATGGTTGCAGGTGGATATGATACGGAGAATTGTTGGGGTGCCGTTGAGAGTGGGGTGGGTGGTGTTTTTATTTTTGTCTTTTCCTTCTTTTTCTCTTTTCCCTCTGTCTCATTTGTCTTTTCTCTGCTCTCATTTGTCTTTCCTCTGTTCTCCCTTCTTTTCGTTTGGCTCATTTGGATGTTGAGATGAGTTCCGTCATATCGGAATCTCTGTTCCTCCTTTCGTCCTCTTCAATTACCATCTTTTCCCAAGCATTCCTTAATATGGTTCTTGACGAGAATAACTGGATCTTTTCAAACTACTGCCATTGTGTAGGAAATACAAAGCCTGCGATGACTACCGTGGAAATGGAAGAGTAGTAGTAGGATGAAAGCTGATCATGTAGCTCACGGATATGATCGCATACGGAAGATACTTTGTGAGTTTCATTCTATCCCTCAAGATGAATGTCCAAACTAACGATCAGACTTCTAACCCTGATGTCAGTCCTTTATCCATTCTCATCTTTCTCTTTTTTTTTCTCTCACATTTATCCTCTCTCTGTATATCCATACGTCCCTCTCAGTCCCTTATGGGGTTACCTCTCTCCGCTTGCTATTTATATATAATATCAAAATATCTCGTACAGAGATACCTCGACTGGGACCATCTAAAGTGGTGGTCAAATACGGATTCCATCCAACAAATGGTCATTGAGAAAACCAACAACTACACAAAGCCTCGTATGGAGAGAAGATCACGGAGTACGAAGATAAAAACTTCAACTGACTTAAACAGTTAGTCTATCGTATCAGACATCAACTACCTTTAGTAAAATACATCAGACCTTTATTCTACACTTACCCTAAAGGACAACCAGAAGCTGGTTATACGACTTTCGCACCTCATGAATCTAATTTGAAAACCGAAGAGGATAAAGAGTTGTATGCTATTCAACAGAAAAATGGGATTTCTTTAGTAGAGAATGGTTGGCAATTGTCACAGGATGGTGTTCAGTGAGTCTTCTCTCTCCTCTTACATATCATTCGTTTTGTCTCTTCGACTTTTATTTCTTCGTCTATCATCAAATCCAATATATAAATGTATATAACTCAGAGTTGGCTCGAGTGTTGTTGAATCTTGATGGCGGAAGAGGGTCGTATTCCTACATTGATAGGAGATTACTCTCTTTCATATGACAATAGATCGTTTAGGTGATATGACGGATTCGGTTCAGAGGAGAAGCAGGAGAAGTGGAAGATAGATTTGATGCTGATGTATTAGGATGGGAGAAATCTTCGTATAAGCCTTTCTCCATTCACATCATATCTGGACGGTTATCGTTCAGTCAATCTGAAAAATCATCTTTCAGCTCATTCCATCATTCTCGCTAGTCATGCTGGAGAATATCTTGATCATCTTTACTTTTTTTGGTTGTTTCTTTTTCACATAGATCGTGTTAGATTGTTTTAGATTGGATCTTGGATGCATTATTTTGTCCTTGATACTATTTCCATTAACTTACTCCACTTCCATCTCTTCCACACTCGCTCCATCGTGATTGATATTCTCAACTGCCCGATTGACAGGAGGAGAGAAAGGTTCGCTCCACTGTTTATCAGCTTGATTTCCTATCCATCTCTCAAACCCTCTCTCGTACCCTTGTTTTTCCTTCTCCAATCACCCATTGTTTGACATTTTCCACAGGGTTATCCTAGGTCGACACGTTCTACGTGAGAAACAACAGGAACACTCTGGAAAGATGTTGAACTATGGGTGACTGAAAAAGGAAAGCTTGGTAAGAAAAAGACGGAGATCTTTGGAGGAACCTGAGAGATGGAAGTATCAAGGGGTTATCTGCGAAGGAAGTGACACAAAACACCTCACGCACCTTTGGGAATTGTCTTTTATACAAATTCATACAAACCGTATCCATCTGTCCCACAGGTCCATCGAAATGAGCTTTAAAATATCCATGTGTACCTAAAGGTTCTTGAACATGACCTACTCTTCCATATTTCGTATGTAATTCTATAGCTTTGAACCAATCCACATCTTCTCTATTGAAAAACATATATCTTATCGTAGCAGTTTTCTTATGTACTTTGAACGGATGACCAGTGAGAACGATTCTTTTAGCTATGATACGTGTAGGATCTGGGGATAAGAAATTTCCCATAGCTATTAATTCCGGCATATGACCTTTTCTTTCTTCTTCGTTACTAGATTCACTTTCATCATCTTCACTATCATCCTCGTTTTGTGAATCTCCGTGATGAACAGAATTTGTAGTTGCGTGAGCGTTCGGATGGGAAGAAACGGAAGGATCTCGGATAAGTAAACACGGGATTTTCCCAAATACCACAGGACCGAAAGTCGTCAATACCGTCGCTGTACCTGGTCGAAGGAATCTTTCCGATTTATGTACGTTGTTGATACCTTTACCACCACCTCGGACATGTTGTGAGAAAAGTGGACGGATGATATATCGTCTTGGTCCGACGCAAAGGATCAGAGGATCTTTAGCACGGACAGGAGCGGTGTATTCGGTATTTCTCTGTACGACGAAATGCAGGACGGATTGTTTGTGTTCATGTCGAAGAAGACCATGGACTATGAAGGGAAGTCGGGGATTGTGATGATCCATGATGGAGCGGGGAACGTTTTTGAGAATGAGAGTGACTCGGGTTCCTGGCTAAAAGTGAGTCAGAAATGCACACCGAAAGAAGGTCCACTTCTGCTCATCTCAAAACGCTCCACAACTAAACAAAATCTGGCACAGATGGGAATGGATGAAAGCCGATGGAACGGTATCCAAACACGTATGTCAAAGACGAGTCGAATTGACACATGGTATGAAAAGATAAGGGAGCGATATAATCCGCAACTCACTCTAACCCCCTCCTCTCTCGCCTCCCTCTCCATCCTCTTTCGAGTGGCGGCGTAATTTTCGAACTGAAATATCCGCGCATAATCAATCGGCAGACTTTCGTAAGGATCCCAAGGACTGGTTCGGAAACTCTTCAGACCTCTGTATCTCTGAAATCGCGTCCGTGCGGGGATATGACGAGGAGTGTCAATTTCGTCCGGGAATAACATATCTTCTTGTTGAGCTTTCTCTCTTCGTTTGAGATATGCTGCATATCTGTATGGGTCAACTCAATACTTCTACCTGACAGGGAGTCGTCATCAGAGACCCCACTATCAATCTACCTGAGAGAATGGAAAGCTCCAGCTTCACATCTCGGCTATTGATCAGAGCTGAAGATTACGGAGGAGATCATCACTTTGGCAGGGGGTATTCTATAGTCACTTTGGCAGAGGGTATTCGATAGAACCGAGAATCCTACTCACTCTTGTTCTTCTTGCTCAGGGTCTAAATCTTTATGTATCTCTCCCCGTCTCGAATCCATCTCTATCTCCTCCGTTTCCTCCTCTTCTTCCACCACATTGCCATCTTGCTCCGACCCGCCATCTTCCCCCTCTTCTCCATCCATTTCCTCGTCTTCTTCTTCATCACCATCTTCGTCCTCGTCATCTTCGTCAGCTATCCAAGCCGCTTGATACGCGCTTGTTCCTTTGGGTACCCTCTTCGTACGTTTATCACCATTTTCGAACATACCCTGTGCCATATCTTCTTCGGTCGGCCATGTTTGCTCGTTGGCCATCAAATCTGGAGTGTTGGTTGATACCAAATCGTCCGCTTCTTCACTCGGCACTGACAGAGGATCGGGGGTGATATCGATTGCCATGTCTGGTTTCTGATGTGGTCTAGCTGCTAGGGTCAATTGAGAAGGAGGAGCGGGAATGATCTTCTTGTCAGCTTTGTCTACAAGTCCACTTCACGCAGTACGGGACGATGTGTACAGTTTGTATTGACTTACAGCTTCCACTTGGAAATCTCCTTTACCAGGAATATGAACTAATCGTTCAGAGCTCAAACACCCTCCTCTGATTGTCCCGGTGATCTCCAGTCTTCCCTGTTCCTCCCCATCCGTACCTTCCAGAGTGGATGGAGTCCATCGGACAGCAGTACTACCCTCAGCTACGAGATACGCTCTTCCCGTATCGACTCTCTTGCCACCGGGTGCCGCTTCACACAGAGCCCGAGCTAAGAGGGCAGCTTCGGAGGGAGTGTCAGAGGAGTATATCTTATCCACTGCCGGGAAGAAATATCGAGTGAATGAGAGAAGAGATTTATGTACAAGATTTCTGGTTGATGGTGTGAGGGATTGATCTTCGGGTGACTAAAGAGTCAGTATATTCGTCTTCCACTGCTCAAATTGCGCACACAGGAAGGGGGGATAAGGATCGAGAGGGTAGGTAGTCGAATAAGAGAGAGGTAGCCCGCGAGGAGGGGTGGGGGGTAAGAGTATCTAAAACATACCTGAACACAAGTAACAACCTCCACACCTCCTGCTTGTCCTTGTAAACACCTCAAAACCCCTTCTCCTTCCAATTGTACCTCATCCTTACTACTCAAAAGTAAAACAACGTAATCGCTAACCAAAGCAGCGTCCAAACTGGCATAAACGTCAAGTGAAGGTAAAAGATTGATTTGTAAAATAGTTTTAAACCTTGGAGCTCTAATCATATAACTTCCAATTTCTCCATTCCCACCTTTTTGTGTCACATCTATCTCTTGTGATATATTTTCAAATTCATCTTCATGTAATCCCAAAACGGGTAAAAAACCTTTCAACCATCTTAAAGTAGATACACCAATCGGAGAGTTTTTAGAGTTTTGATTATGTTGTGAGGGGGAATAAGGAAGAAGAGGAATAACAGAAATGATCCTAGGTACTCCTATACCATTACTGGACGTAGAGAAAAATCGGATATTATCGATGACTTCTTTAGCTTTTAAAGATCTTTTTTGAGCGTTGGCGTTGGTACGAGCTTTTTTGGTTTGTGATTGTGATTGAGATTGTTTAGAAGGTCGGGTAGTGGGGAGTGAGGATGGAGCGGGTTTACCTTTAGCAGCTGATTTGATTGAACCTTTTGTAGAGTGACGGGATTTAAAAGATTTGTTAGTCTAGTATGGGTTAGCTTCACGACGGGTAGGTTGGATCAGCAAGCTTTATATAAACGGTAAAATTACCAAGTATCATGTATGAATAAGATGAATTCTGGGTAACAAGGGGGTCAAAGACGATATAAATCGATGCAAAAGGGAATGGGTATTCGGAGAAGGGGGAGGGAAAGAGGCATGAGTGGAAAGGGAAGAGAAAGTTCGGATTTCGAACTCACTTGTTTGAGAGTTGACCTATGATGATGATCTGCCGGTGCCATCTTGTCTACGACTATCACTATATCGTCCAGAGTTCGCTTGTATGTGAACCTGCTCTCTGTGCCGATGGTTATAACGTCTATGAAAAGTGAGACGGCGACGAAAACTTTTGAAATTCTGTTCACCTGTCAATGCGGGGCTCCGCTTTCTTTCTCCACCCGGGGGCGTCGACTCACTACACTACTACTACCTGACTACTCTACGAGTAGAGAAAGATGATCATGGGTGGTGGATGATGCATGTACCGTGCAGCAGAGGAAGACAGTGCGAGTACTTGTAACATGTGGAACGTGCAACACATGATTCATGCAAGATGAGCAGTGGGGAAGATTGTATGTTGATTGAACTGTTCTGGGACATAGCCAATATCAGTTGTTGGGTATGTAAATGCTAGGTATGTTTTTCTTCCCTTCGTCCCTTCTTCGCCCCTGCTCCACAGTCCACTTCATCTCCATCGCATACCCCTTACCCTTTTCCCTTCTCTCTATCTTTCCCTCTCCCCCGTCTCGAGTGTTTCTCGTATAATAGCCACAGGTTCACACGAAAGAACCATCTTTTCGAGTAATTACAGAGAATGGACTAGAAGCATTCTTTTGTCCAACATCCCATGACATGATCGTCAACGGAAATCACGAAAAGAAATACAAAGAATCCCTCACTCTATCCACCACAAAACTACCTTTTTCCGGTGTAGGAGGAATTATATCTCTAAACCTCACGAAACCCTGTCCGTTTATCTTTTCAATCTTAGTTTCCACACCTAACAACCTCACATCATCTTCGCTTAATTCCGGTTTATTTCCTTTTCCAACACCTTTCTCTATGACTTCCACCATAGATTTCCCTACACTCATCGGACCATCTGACATTTCCTCTTCCAATTCCACTTCTTGATGTTCCTCTTCTAATGATTCGTCCGAGGTATCAATAGTACTGTTTGATGAGATCTCTTCGATAACTTCGTCCGAGGTATTAATAGTACTGTTTGATGAGATCTCTTCGATAACTTCGTCCGATAATCCTGAGACGATTTTATCTCCTTTTTCTTGACCAGAAGTTTTCCCAGTTTTTCGACGACGGATGGAAGAAGGATCAATCTTCCTAGCTTTTTCAACAGGAATCATATGATCTCCATATCTTTCAATAAATTCTTCTCTTAGATTCCCAATAAGATCTTGAGAATGTAAATCTATGAATGTATCCCTTATCAATTCACTCATATGTTCCACACTCGCCGCATGTGTCCAATAAGAATCATGTACGGAAGCAAAGGTTATACCGTTTTGTTTACATTTATAAGCTGTGAGTAACATGTGTGTAGCATCGAGTGAATGAATGAAATTTGGTGGGAAAGCTGATGCTTGTTTTTGTGGACTGACTTCTGCTGGAGCATTGGGATCACTGATATAAACGGATTGAAGAGCTGTCATCACTTGTTTCTTTGTTGGTTTTCGATATGGTTGAACTACCGGTAAACCTAAAGGTGTTGTCCAAATGACAGAAGTCATCAATTCTTTAGGTAATCGATCGTATAATCTGACGCGACCTTTACTATCGGTTTTGTGTAATCTGATGGAAGCTTCGGCGACACGAGAAGGTGGGATAGAACGAGATATCAGTCGAGCGCAAATGGTAAGGAATTCCATTATGTGTTTCGCACCGACGAAAAGATCTCCAATACTTGAGAGTACCTAGATGTCAGTGACTTTTTCAACGACAACATACACATAATCGAGCAGCTTTTCATGTATCCAAGAAGGACAAGGAAGAAGGAAGAGGATTAGACAACTCACAGCTTTGGCAACATAAATCGAGAGCTGATACAATTGTCCAGGTGGTATATCCGTTCTCAACGATAACTGCTTAGCGATTTGTTCCCTAGCACCGACGAATGTTACTCCATACACAGTAGTCATGACAGTCTGTTTCACTACCTTCCTTTCCAACGGTTCTGTGATGAATTGAGCCATAGGTACACCTACTTTCTTATCCGCCTCGATGGCCTTATTGACCAGATCGGCCACTCCTGTGTAGATATCCGCCGGTCTATCTCCATTCTCCAAGTTGACAGCTCGAGCACCATTGACATCCCCTCCTAAGGCTGCATAATGTTGCATCCCATTGCATGTTCCATCTTGATGGATCGGGAGTGCCGATTCGTACGCTTCCGGATTTTCAGACCTCAGAGCAGCCGCTAGATCGAAACAAGAGGCAAGACACTGCCAAGGATCTTCCGCTTGTAACCACCATCTTTGACCATCTAATGGATTATCGGCAGAATTGAAGATTTCTTTCTCGTGATCTACAGCGAACTGTGCTCGTTCTTCGAAAGAAGCTTTATCGTAACCGTAAACATTCGCCAAGTGAATTTGGAGCCACTTCAATCCAGCCCTTCCCAAGGTACGTTTCTCCCCAAACTGCAAAAGCCCTCTACATAAATCGTCTCCTACAGGGGACAGATGAGGTGGAATGGGATACGCCCGACCTCGAAAGTCCATATTGTGCGGTAGATAAAAGGTGTCGTTCAGATAAGATCGAGCGATCTCGAGGTTGTAATTGAACTTGCAACGCTCCGCATGGTCTTTACGTTGTTGAGCGAGTACCGATCTGATCCTCACGACGTAGGATGTACGATCTTGAGGCTCGGAGTTGTCGGGGTCTGGAGGGACGGGGAAATCATACTGAGCTTTCTCCTGGGAAGCTGGTAAGTCGGCGATGGCATCGCCAGAGTTCCAAGCGGATAATACCACATCGAAAACTTTACGATTGATGGTCCAAGGAGTTCCAGAAAGGACATCCAATCCGTGGAAAACAGGTTCCAGATGACCAGCTTCGAACGCTTTACGTAAGTATATCTGCTGTTCTGCAGATTCTTTATATCTCATAACAGGAACTGCCCATCAGCACATGAATTTTTGAATCTGAAAAGCCGAATGAGCATAACACACCTCTGTGTACCAGATACCCGCCATCATCCTGGGACGTCCAGGGTTTCGGGGGGACGAGCATTGGCAAATGTCTAGGATGTATGACGACGTGAAGACTGTCTCGTGCCAGTCGAGCCGCAACAACCGGATTCAATTTGATGACTCCTAGTTTCTTCCCGTAAAGGTATTCGTATTCGTGTGCAAAGGCCGGTTGTTCCTCAACACTAGCGGTCAGCCATGAACAACGTCATATCTGTCAATCACTCACATTTTCTCCCCAGTGTCTGGATCAGTCGCCTCTCGTACAACCTTAGCTGTGGACAAAAGCGCATCGACCAGGAAACCTCCAAGACTGGCATGTACAAGTGGTGACCACGCGGGTGTCCAAACAGCTTCCAGACCGGTGTCCTTGAGGTCCTGAGATGTACTTTTGTTTGGCCGGTGGCGAGATTGGCCGACTTGATTCCACACTTGCGAGATAAGCTGACGACTGGGCTTTTGAGTCTGAGGATCGATCGTTTTCAGCCACAAAGGTGAGTCAACACCTCCAACTGACTTGATTGTCTCTGCTCTGTACTCGGTTTCTACTGCTTTACCGACGGCCATGATCCCACGAAGCGCTTTCATTCCATCCACGATCCCACCACTCCCGCTCATCCGCATCACCTCAAGGATGGTGATTAACGCCAGTTTCTCCGGTGGGAGGACAGTGAGGTAAAGCAGGAGGTATTGATTCTGCATTCCTGCAGCTTTGAAGCTCGTCGGCAGCACATCCCTCTGATGAGGAGTCACACCTTCATCTTTGGTGGCGAGTACCTTGATCGACTGACGCAGCCTCTCTGTGAGTTCTCCGAGCCATCCGTGCATCCAACTCTGAAGACGTTCGCGCTGGAGCATCTGAGCATCGGTTATCGACGTGTTACGCTGTTCTAACATCTTCTGGGCTGAATGTGCTAGCTCGGCTCTGGCACCTTCCAAAGATGCGCGTTCGAGATCAAGCTGTCGGTTGTAAGGGACAGAAGGGGAGGAGATAGCTGAAAGGGTTTTTCGAAGACTTTCCACTGTGAAGCGCACATTGGTCGGTCCAGATTCGACGATTTGTTTTTCTGCACCTTTTCGACGGCCTCTTCCGTCCGACTTAAGGTCAGCATGACATCATGGGAGAGAAAGAAGGGTTAGCTGCGTACCTCAAGAACAGGGCGAACTTCCTCTACCACTGCCCTGGCCTGCATCTCCCTTCGTTCTTTTTCAAGACCTTGTAGCTGACGGACGGCATCTTCGAGATCGCGAAGGCCTTGACGTCGAGCAAGTTTCTCTAAAGAATCATAAGCCACTGGAAGATCCGAGGGTTTCAAAGCCCCCATGAGCTCTTCGAGGGGTAAAAGCGGGTGGACGAGATATTGTGACATTGCTGTCAATGGTGCTCGGGCTCTGACAAATCAATTTCTCATTTTCATCATCAATGAGAAGACTCACGCAATTAAACCGGCCATCCATCCTTGGTAGATTTTCATACCACCTGCATGTAGTCCTGCGGGTTCACCCTTTCGTCCATGCAAAGCCTCCCATTGCTCTACCAGAGTCCTTGCTCTGTTGAGCCATAACTCGGAGTTCTCTTGACCTGCACCACCCAAGGTGGCCACACCTTCGATCATACGTCCCCAGACCTCTGGATCGGGTATGTGTCTATGTCCGGCCCTAGTGTCGTCCAGGAGCTGCTTGAAGATGTTCCATGCCCTGGGGACAAGTTCCCTCCGCCGGAGACATATTGAGATGATGGAAACGGAATCGAGGACGCTGGTGGTGGTATAGAGATTATCTCGACTTGCACTATCCTGAGAACCGATGACATCTGGGGGTAAAGGGAAGGGAAGTTGAAGTACAGGTGGACGATGGCTCTGGTGAGTTGATTGGGATAATGGGAGATAGGTATCTTCTAGAGGCTCCACGTGAGCGAGTTGTGAGCTAGGGGTGAACAGTGGTGTTGATGGACGAGTGTAGCGACGGAGAACAGATGCCGATGCCAAGGAAGGGAGTGAGATGGTGGTCCGACCTGCAGAAGTGGGGGCACGAGCGGTCACCAGGCGGAGCATGTTGAGATCGATGAAGCTATCAAGCGGGAACCCAAGCGACGAGAGAGCGGTCTGAAGGACAGTGAGTGGTGTTACGAAAGCGAATGATCACGTTTCAGAGTGTGGGGAGAAAGAAAGATAACGTCGAGTATAGGGACGATGAGCAAGGATTTCACAACTTTTCATGATGACCGAGGGCGAAAATCGAAAAGAGTGAGGAGAGCAAATTTGGGTCACGTGACTCAACTGGAAGCGGAAGCAAAACTCCGCTCAAACCGTGTCCCATGACGTCTCTCTACAATCCCCCTCTCGCCGCCGTCCATCAACAACTCATCAGGCATGACCACCTCTCCAGTGCTACAGTCTCTCAGGGAAGCACCTACTCCCGACCGTCTTCTGGAAGTGCTAAGAGACCTCAAGAATGTTCTCATTGGTAATACTTTCAAAAAGGTTCAAGTAGCCGGGGACCCTGCGGTTTTAGACTTGTCAGTAGTGCTTCGTCGACCATTCCGCCACCGTTACTGATGTCTATAGTCTATTCAGTCTCCTCTCCCTCCCGTATGAAACTATAGCCTCATATGATACTGTTCAACTGGACGTTATATGCCAAGCAGTCATCATCATAGGTTCTCTCAGTAATGGCGAGTCAATCTCCTTTGTAGATGGGCGGCAATTCAACTGACTCTCAGTCGGTTCATTGATTATAAAGCCTCTCATAATCGCCGGCGCACCTGATCATCTGGTACATCTCATACATATCATCACCACAGCCTCTCTCCCTCATACTCATACTTCCCTCCTTCTCGCCTCGTCACTACGCGCTTTGCGTAATTTGCTCGTGGCTGTGTCGGACCTTTTATGGGGACATGTGTGGGGCGTTGGGGCTGAACAGAGGGTTGTAACCACGGGATTACTGGGAGAGTCGGAGTTGAATAACAGCTCTGAGAGGGGTAGAGGTGGGAAAGGGAAAGCTTCGGCTGAACGAGGCGTATGGAAGGTTGAGGCGTCTAGGGCGTTGTCGTTGATCTTCGAGGTGAGACACAACTTTTCGCTGCATCTCTATCAGTCACAATCCATTTTGTGAGGGCCATCATGGCATTCAATGAGAAAAGAAGGACAGGACTGATTCCAGCCTGATAATCTTGACACCCTCATGTCAGTCATCGAAAATCATTTCGACCCTCAGATCCTATTACCCCTTTATCAACTCTTCTCCCGTCTCGCAGCGTTACCCTGTAACAGAGATGCATTGGAGAGTTGGTATTCTACTTTCGGACCTAGCGACATACCATACATACTGGATCATGTTCTCGTCACTATCGCCTATGCCACACCGGCTCGACAAGCACCAGGGAGTAGGGCGAACCCGAAGTTGTTGGAAGCTGGACTGGAACTGTTGGCTTCCCTCGTCAAGGGTCAGTTGGGGATAGCGAGGAGTATCAGACAATGGACTTTGGGTCAAGATGATGGGGAGGACGAGGAGCAGATGATAGATCCAAGTTTGAGAGGGGAAGGGAGGGATGAGGTTTTGAGTACTTTGGGAGATATGATCAAGGGAGGTCCTATGGCTGTGAGAATAGCGGCGATGAGTTGGTGAGTTCTTAAGTGGGATCCTCGATCTTGACAACGAACGTCGAAGGGGCTCAAGTGGTTCCCGCGCGAAGAGAAGTTGATGTCCAGTTTGGTCAACATCGTCAAAGCTGATAAAGGGGATACTCCGACCGAGATCATCAGATTGAATGTATACATGCTCACAATCCTTGATGACCTGTCAATTCTCTTCAAGCACGATATACCGGAAGATCGTGTCAAGTTATGTTTTATCCTCGGTGGGTGGAATGTTCCCCTCTACTCTGCTTGCGAATAGTCTTACAATTCGATAGCTGATCCTCAGCCTATCTAGTATCTGACGACTCTCATTTACAAAAACTTGCCTTCGACAGATCTCTCCCCTGCCAAGTCCTAACCATCCTTCACGACACCAACTCGTCCCCTCTCGGTCCAGATGTCTCCTCACGTCTCCTTGAAGCCTCTCTTCTTGCGCTCGCATCCCTGGCGATGCAACACGAACCGACTCGTTCCCTTATAGCAGAAAACGATCCTCCTGTCTTACACATCATCAAAACCTCCCTCTCACATCCTTCCTACGGTGTCCGAGCCGCGGCCTGTCAATTAGCCCGAGCTCTCAGTCGGACTATCGCTATCCTCCGTACATCCCTCGTTGACTCGGGTGTCGGTCAAGCCGTCATCCTCACTCTCAAACGTGAAGTCGAAGCTCACCGTCGACGAGAAGTGGAAGAACGATTAGGTATAGAAGAAGAAATCGGTACTTTGACTGGAAAGATGGGTGAAAGAGCATGGACCGTGGAAGTTGCCGCCACTGCTACAGTGTGTAACCTCGTGGCTGATTTCTCACCTATAAAAGCTGTTCTTTTAAAGGAAGACGGATTATCTTTATTGGCTATGTTGACACATTCGACTCATGTACCACTAGCCATCAACGCTTTATGGGCTATCAAGAATTTGACTTATCACGCTTTAGAACCTTTGAAAGTTCAAGTCACCTCGACTTTGGGATTCAGATCCATCATATCTCTGATGGGTCAGGATACTCCGATGGGTGTGAGAGTACAGGTATTTGAGGTGGTACAGAATTTACTAGCGGAAGCTTCGACATATGAAATGACTAGAGTGGTGGAGGGATTAGGAGAAGGACAATTCATGACTTTGTTAGAATTGGCTCTTCGACCACCGAGAGATAATCTTGTGAGTGGGATTAAAAAGTTAGGTTTGGGGACTTTGGGAGAAGTAGGGATGGGGGAATTAGGTTCTGTGAGAGATGCGAGGGACGCTAGGGAATTGAGAATAGCTGGTTTATACGTTTTGAGTAATCTTGCTTTGGGTGGGGAAAGATGGAGAATGGTAATTGTGAATAAGGTGACGTTGTTGGAGAATCTTTCAGAGGCTTTGGTGAGTAAATTGACGACATCCTTTTGCTCCATATTACATTATCACATCCTTCAACATGACTCCTCAAATGCGTGTCGTCACTTTTCCCTATACTCCTGGTTGACATTTCATCAAACGTACCATTCGATCATCATACAAGTCAACTTATCCGTTTCGTACATCATCCCACATCATCATCTTATATTGGATGATTCTCCCCATGACAAGTATTCACGAACGAATGAAAGTACATGGTAGATATGAAGGAAAGAGAAGAATCACGAGCTAAGTTCAGAACTCCCCATACGAACCTGTAAAATTACCAGCCTTATTATGTTTCCGACATTTGATCGAAAGTACAGGCAGATCCAAAAAACCACGTAGTCAAATGTTGTCTACTTTAGAACCTTACAGACTCAGAGCGCGGGTTGTGGAAATGGTCAATTCAACCAGTCTGGACGTTTGTCAAGCTGCCGTGGGTTTGTTGGACGTTTTGGATAAGGGTAAAGAACCTGGAAGTCCAGTGGCTATGAGATGAATGTGGGTATGGTACTGTATTACTGTGTTGCTAAAACATTCATCACTATGATATCTGCTTATGCATCGTAAGGTCGTACATTTTACTTTCTTATCTATACTCTATTCTGAAAGGGTGCTTTTCACGAAGATTCGTCATGGAGTCCGTTAGAGGAAGAGGCATGAGAGTTGGTGGATGGGTTGGATAGGAATGGGGCCGTGTAGAGATGATGGAGACGCAGGATTTAAATGTAGTTGTGTAGATATGGAAAAGAGATAAGAATGAGATGGGTTTTATTGTATAGATGATGGAAAATGAAGTTTGCTGGAATTACGTTCCGTAAGAGAAGACGATGACAGCGACGGGAAGCCGAGGTCGGGAGAAATAATCAAGAGAGATATTGAACAGATCACAGAGGGTTAGAGAGTGAGAAGGAAGAAAATGATAAGGTTGAGGAAGAAGTCAGAAGGGAAAGGGGAAGGGGAAGAAGGTGAAAAGTTGATTTTCATATAAACCCCCCTAACCTCCCTTCATCCCTACGCATCATCTCGAATTCTTCTGCAGTACTGATATTTAAACGATCATAACCACCAGTACCGGCATAAGGTACAGCTCTAGATTGATATCCTCTTGACTATTACATCAGTCTAACTTTTCTCTTCATCTCCCTCTCCCTCTCCATCTCTCTCTCTGTTTCACATACACACTCTCTGTCTATTTTCACATTTATTCCACTTCTTAAATTCCTTTGTGCTTATGTTTTGCTCTCGTGCACTCGTCCTCATCACAGTTTACCGGCATACACCCGGAAAAAAGTCTTATGGTATCATGGTCTGCAAGGGTAAGATGGAAAACTTCAAACTCACCCGAGTGGAGATACCCAACGTCAAAGCTTCCCATAGGTCCGATTTACGTATTCGTATTCCTAAACAAGTGGATAGGAAACAATAAATGACCGAGAGTAGACTGAACTTAGCCTGGTTCAAGGAGACGTTGTACTGGTCGTCGAGGACTCACAGGATGAAAGAGAATATGAGTGTGAATATGAAAAGACTTTGATCCATCTTGTTTTTTCTTCACCCCCCGGTCGCTCCTATGACCGAGTTCTTGGCTTGACTGAGGTCGGACAGGAGAAAGAATTGGAACATTTTGGGTGATGTCATGTATCTCGAATAGGCGTGTAAAAGGGTAATCAAGGACACGCCTACTTTCTCCGTTATCTCCCAGGGACTAAAATTCAGGGTCTTTGGACCGCCGTTTAACGGGCCGGGGGCTTATGTGCTCGCTCCTCTCTCCGCCTTTCCCCCCTCTCCCTACCCACTCCCAATTTCTCCACTTTTCGCTTTCTCTCTTTCTTCCATACTTCCATCATATTCGACAGTGTCTCCGTCTTTCACACATAATCTGAAATTCCACTCGTAAGACATTGTGTGTCGAAAGAACGACATTGAGGACAAGACACAGGGAGTTGAGGAAAGGAAAGATAGGGAAAAAATGGAGGTCATCTCACCTAGGTCAACTTTTCATTATCAACCTACATTCGATTCATACGATCCACCAGGTCCATCTAACGGACATCATTCACATACCGGTAATAACGGACATGAAGGAATAACTTCTTTCAATCAGTTCGACAACATGAACGGTTTGAACGGTATCAATTCCATGAATGGTTTGAATGGATCAGGTACCAATGATAGAAGTATGAGTAATGGTAGTAATGGACATGATATGTTGGACACTTTATCTAGGTCTACACGTTCAAGATCACCTTCACCTGTTCAAACTAAAAAACGACGTAGACCCAGTGGCGAGAAAAGAGCGAGATGCGCAAATGCTTGTAATAGATGTAAAGCGAAGAAATTGAAATGTTTTCAGGGTGAGAGGGCTGAAGGGTGAGTTTATCCATATCTTTTCTTGTTCATCTCACTTTATATACACCTTTCATGACAGTGGTTATAGCCCACACATTTGTCCACATCACATCATGAGTAACCATGGTGCGTTAGTCGTGTGATGGAGATAACACTTTTGTGATCAAAGGAGGGGACAGACCGGACGGTGCCTGACGAACAGAACATGTGCAGCTTGTGCGAAATCAGGCGCAGAATGTGTATTCGAAACACCTCTTCCTCGTCATGCAGGTGGAGAGAAGTGAGTTTTACTTATTTCTTGTCACTCTATCAATCTTCTATCAACGCCCCTCCGCATCCTTCTATAGAAATTCGTAACAGTGAAGGAAAAGGTCTGACCAAAAGATACGTCGTCGCTCTCGAAGCTCGTATTGCTAAACTGGAATCGGCACTCGCGGAGCTGGACCCGAATCATCCAGAAATCAATGATCATTATAACAGCTCGTTTAGCCCCTCGTACAGGCCCAATGTGGAGGATCTTTCCAAAGAAGTGGGTTTTGTCAGTGTTAACAAATCTGGATCGGAACAGTTCTTTGGGGAATCTTCAGGGTATACATTTACCCGAGTGAGTAGTTCTTCTGGCATCTCTATCATTTGTCTTTCTTCCTCAGGCTGTCCCATACTTCTTGAAGTGAGAGCCAACAAGAGAAATCACACTGAGATCAGATTGTCCACAGTTCCATTCGTCATCCCCGTTTAGCCTTTGACAGTCAGACCAAGCCTGACCCAAGATCTTTAGTTCAAAACTCTTCTTCAGCTCCTCCTTCCCGTTATCTCGTCAATCCCAATCCTCCTTTACCAACACCCGAGGTCTCTGAGAAAATCCTCCAAATGATTTACCTACATATTCAATCCCGATACGGATTCGTCGAATGGCATCGTATTCGCGCATGGCACGCTCGACGTGAAAAAGTCTGCTTCACTCCTATGAACGGTCAAGCTTCTTTCGACGATCGTATCGGTGCTTTCTTCCTTTGGGTCATTTACGCCGTCGGAACTGAATTTGTACCTCGTGAAGCAGCTGGACTCGAAACGGCAGATACGTATCTCGAACAAGCCATGAAATACATCGATTTTGTCATTGCTCCTCATGACATTACCACGGTTCAAGGTCTGGTCTGGCTCATCTTCTACGGTTTCAGAGCTAGTGGAGGACCGAGTATTTGGCATTTATGCGGTTTCGCCATGCGTCTATGTGTAGAACTCGGTCTTCATCGAAAAGTTTCACCAGAAAACGATGTTTTAACCAACGAATTACGAAAACGAGTGTTTTGGTCGGTTTATTGTTTCGATAGACTCATTTGTCTTTCTTCCGGTAGACCTTTCAATCTTATCGATAGAGATATCGACGTGGAGCTCCCGGTAGATGTGGATTGTGATAGTACGGATCGTGCACTCATTACGAATTTACAACGTCAAGCTTCGATGGGAGCACCACTTCCTTATACGGTCAATGGAACTATGACAACGATGACTTCTGCTATACATACTTTACGTTTATTTCAAATTCGTTCCAGAGTACAATCTGCTTTTTACTCTATACATGCTCCTCGACCAACAAGAGAAGAAACGGAAGGTTTCTTAACGGAATTGGAAGAATGGAGAAGAACACTTCCACATGCAGCGTCGAATTTCCCTTGTCAAGAAGAAGATAAATATTTAATGATTTACTTTCAAGCTGTTTTGTTCACTCTTCGTCCAGGTGTTATCCGTGCTACTCCGAGAGATCCTTTATTGATGTTGTGCGCTACTGCCGCTGCCGAGGCATGTGAGGTGAGTCGGGTGTTCCTTTGAAGATAATCCTAAAAAGGGATAAATGCTGATGAGATTAGTTGATACGTAAAGTTCATCAAAGTCCTACGGTGGTACATAGTTTAGTATCACTTTATCATATTTTCATATGTGGTATGACTCTTCTTCACTGGTGAGTTAAATTCTCCGTTGTCTATATCTCATTTTATACATACAGGATTATTTTCTGTACCTACTGCGAGATCTCCTTTTAGACGTCACTGTTATAGTTTGCATGATAGCAGCATGAAGACTGAATACGGATTAAGTAGTGAAATAGTCGTCACTGGTGTGGTCTTGCGGCAAAGGAGGAAATTTGTTGACTTACCAGTTTATCCGTCTTACCTACCGTCATTCCCACTCGTATCTCTGCTCGTGCCATTCGAGCATGTTCTTCAACTCTAGCAATATTCGCTCAACTTTTCCCAGCCGCTATCCCATTCAGAGAGTTATTCGAATATATGGCCGATCAAATTTTATCAGCGGATAGTTTCCCTCCTGGTCAAGCATCTGCCATCGGAGAGTTGTTAGTTGGGAATTTGGAGCCTCTTGCTCAGTGAGTATCCTCCCTTCTTCCCTGTATTCACTCCATCCGATCCTCCCATCCCCTACCTTCTCGATTGATCTTACCTCCCGAATCTTTCCTCCACCCAAACTTTCATATCGCATCGCCATCCTCGTTAATAAACGACAACCGGTCAATCGGTTCAAAAATACTTTTAGCAACTCGTCACTGACATCTTAGGGTATACGACAAGATCAATGGAGGTGGTAATAACCAAAATCCAAGTCCACCACTTAGTAATGTTCCCGAAGTGAGTCCTCCAGGAATTTCTCTCCATCCTCTTTCCAATTACCCAACTCTCCAACCCCTCCATTTGTCCATTTGTCCACTTGTCCATTTGTCCATTTGTCCATTTGTCCATTCATCCACTTTGCACTTGTTCACTCGTTTACTTGTTCACTCGTTCATTCGTTCACTTGTGTACTGGTCAAAATCTTGAAAACGCCATCAGAGTCTCTACTAACTCTCAGCCCACTCTTCCCCCCGTCCAAACCACCGGACCAGAAATGCTCACACCCGGCTCATTATCATCCAACATACCTGCCTCAGGTATGATAACGACTTCTGGTAATTCATTCCCTAATCTCGCCATTGGAGAATTTGCCAATCTACATAATTTTGGTGATTTAGCTTCTTTATTGGATTTCCCTAATGATGGTGGATGGCAACATGATTGGGCAGAAGGATGGCCACAGAAGTAAAGTTGGTTTTGTGGTGTTTGTGGTGACACTTTTCCTGATAACGTCTTGCCCGCCATCATCGTTCTCGATACTGTATAGAAATCTTAGAGATTCTTGGAGAAACCCTGAAGAACGATAGATGGTTTTGTCAGAGTGGACCGATGGTGAGACGATATTGGGAAAACGTAAGGTTTGTGGAGAGAGATATGAGAACCTGTGAGATACGAGATGTGACTTGCATGAGAACTCATTGTTTAGTGGAAAAAATACCTTACGTTGAAGTCTGGGTGTAGGAGGGGGGAAGTTAGATCATTTAGGTGTTGTAGCTTCTTTTGTCTCGGTTGAATGAAGATATTTATTTAGGTTTTATCATTTTGATCGTTATCTTCTCCCAAACGTACTCGTATCCGTCACAGTCACCAAACATACCATCTTATCTAATTAAGAATTAGGTGAATCATCAATGAAAGTCGATCCATCTCGTTTCCATGCTATGGCGCTTTGAAGAACGAGTTTGACCACAGTACGAGTTGACCATGATGGAGTAGAGTAGAGTAGAGTAGAGTAGAGTGAGGTAGAGTGAGGTAGAGTAGAGTAGAGTACTCGTACTGTCCTATAGGGCAGGTCCAGTGACAAAAGTATTCAAAAAATTATATTCATATTCATTACTCGTAATCATCCAAAATTGTATAATACCAATAACTACTTCAATATACACCCAAAAACAAACCAAATATCATCTTACTTGCCAAACATTTGACCCATACTTTGCATACCCACTTGCATAGCTTTAGCAGCAGCGTCCATACTTGCTTTTGCCCTTTCAGGATTAATAGTACCTTTTGGTGAATTTTGTCCTATCGGTAAGAGAAAAGGATGATCTAATAATTGTTGAGCTGTAGGACGTAATTTATGATCAATCTCGAATGTTTGTCTGAGAAGATCTTGTGCATCTGGGGAAACGTCTGATGGGGTTGTTGGTCGAGCTGATGTTCCTATCTAAAGTCATTAGCACACAAATCCCCGATGCCTCTCATAGTGAAGTGAACCAAACGAAGGAGTGAGTGAGAGATTCACCAGGTGCTGAAAGTACAGAAATGAGAGGGGTGGGGATACCGACCATTTGATGGATAAGATGGAACGTTTCGAATATAAGGAAACAAGGAAACGTCTATAAGAATATTATATCGATTGACGTCCAGGAGAAAGACGGGCGAGACTGGAGTAGTGGGAAGATCAGGATGAAGAAAATGTATAAAGAGTTAAACGAAAAACCCCACTCACTCGGAAAATAGCTTGCATCTGTGTCAACTCAGCCCAAGGATGAGTCCCAGTTAACATTTCAACAACTAAACATCCCACACTCCATATATCCGCTTTGGTAGTATGTTTAGTTTGTTTAACAACTTCAGGTGCCATCCAAAATACTGATCCTTGTAAAGAAGCTCGATTACCACCTCTCATAGTACTCATCAAATTATCTTCAGCTTTTTTAGATATACCAAAATCGGATATTTTAATACCACCTTTATTATCGACGAGAATGTTGGCACCTTTTATATCACGATGGATGATACCTCTTTGATGAAGGTAATTGAGACCTAACAGGATTTGACGACAAAAGTTTCGGACAAGAGCTTCTTCGAAAGCTCCATAGTTGTTTAGAAGGGCTGCGACGGAACCACCGGGGACGTATTCAAGGAAAATGTTGAGAAAATCGTCGTCGTGTGAGGAGTCTGTTCGTGAGATTGATTCATGGGTTCGGGTTTGCAGCATGAAGGAGTGTCAGACAGGTCCAATAGAGTTCAGTATTGAGGGAAGGAGGGGAGAGGGGTCGGTGGTGAGATAGCGGGGTGATGTCACAACAAGCCTAGAATATGAGGGAAGGATGGAGAGCCAAGTACGAAGGCGAGAGGAGCAAACCACTCACCCAGATACTGCACAATATTATCATGCTGCAATTCTTTCAACAACACAATCTCCCTCTGAAGAGCAGTCACCATGCTTTGTTTCCTCTCCTCGTTCCTACCTCCCCCCGTTGGCAATTCGACCTGTTTGACAGCCATCAATAAACCCGATTGCGCATCCATGCCGAGGTAAACGGAACCGAATGAACCAGCGCCGATGAGGGCTCCTTTGATCCATTTGATCGAGCGTTTGGCTGAGGTCAGTATACCATTCTCGTGTAGTCGGCATGAATCGATGTCGCTGGCTCTGCCACATGTCCATAAGAGCTAGGGATATGATGGCAACAACGGAGAAAGCCTGATCACACCTACAAGTAAATGAAGAGGAGATGAAGCAGGCCGACACGGGCAGCAGTAGGAAGACCAGCAAGGGTGGGAGTGAACATGCAAAGAGGGATACATCCGTGAAGGCGAAAAATAGTGAGCGGCCAGAGGATAGGGAAGATACACTCACCTCCTTTCGAAGTATAAGCCTTACCGTGATCTTTATCCTCTTCCTCCGCTTCCACAGCCTCCTCCTCCTCTTCCAATTCATCCGATATCTCCTCTTCTTCATCCTCATCCTGCCCTTCCTCGTCTTCCTCCTCCTCTACAAAAGCCTCTTCTAATTCTTCCTCCACAACTTCCTCTTCCGAGCTCGACACGTCTTCATCGAAGACCCTCATACTAGCTCTTCTATTCTCAACCTCGGCCGTAATTTCATCCAAAGTCAACAAACTAGCCGTCTCACTCCTATCCCTTTCAGGCTGACGGAATTGGTCCAATATCGATAATCTGCTCCTTGTACTAGCCGCCGAGTTCCTTCTTGATAACATAATACTCTTCGGTCTTGCCGTCAAACCTCTAGGCGAGAAAGCCTGAAGAGAATCCGACAGACTTTCAGAGGAAGGTTCGAAAGGCGGTAAAAACGGAGGTTGGTTTTGAATACCATGTTTCCCTCTTGAAGATTTGATGGAGGATGCGTCACTTCGACGATCATCAGAGACTGGATCTTCTCCATCAATGGATGGACGACTGATTTGACCGTCGTCATCGGACACCGACATACGTGGCAGAGGTAATATTGGTGCTCCGGAGTTAACAGGTTCTGCTGGCTGAACTTTAAGATGAGAATGAGAAGAGTTTTGATGAGCGAGTGGTGTCGTATCTTGAGACAGCGAAGAAGGAGGTTCTGATTCTTCCGGGATGGTAGCTGCTGGAGGTGGTGAAGCAATAGTCACCGATTTCGAACCTGGTCTACCTGTTCGACGAGGGGGTGAAGCTCTAAGTTCGTCTGGAGGTATTCGTGAAGACAATGCGGATTTATCAGAGACTATAGATGATCGTTTACTCGGTAAAGGTGGCATATCGAGACTTTTTCGAACATCAGTAGCAATGATACTGTTCCTCGGTAAACCTCCCGGTCCAAGACTCATACGTAGCATCGAATGTCGTACCGTCTTTTCGAGATCACGTTTCTTTGTATGAGGGAAATAGTCGAGTAGATGGGTACTGATGAGTTCGCTTGGAGGTCGATGACCGAAGAAGTTATACATTTTCCTTCCTTTTGAAGAGAGGAAACTACCGCTGGAAGGACTTCGGGCAGTGGTAGGTGAAGGAGGTATTTCAGATATTGGAACGCCAAGACCTGACATGACGGATACGGTCGAAGCACGGTTCATCTTCTTGCTACCACCTTTGACAGGAGTTGCCAGGGGATCTTCAGAGAAGGCAAGTCGACCAGAATTGGTAGTGTAGTAAGTAGGGGAAGTGGGGGAAAGAGGAGGTGCTTCGCCGAGGAGTGATTCCATGTTTTTGCGATTTTGAAGCTTTCGAGTTCGACGAAGGACCAAACCACGTTCGCGGATGGCAGAGCCGTCGCGGTGCAGACGACATACTTGTAGTAGGGCGTGTTCGGAGAGTGGTTTGGCTACGAGTCAGCTTAGAGACAGAACTATATGTATGCTTATTGTCCCTTCAGCGTATGCAAAGTCACTCCGTGAATCAACGAGACATCGATACCAATCCTTAAAAACCAACGATTGACTGAACAACCAGAATCAGGGAGATAGAGATGATTCATGAGGCGAGCATACGAGAGAAAACCGCCACGCACCATTTTCCTCCCAATCCTCATCCGTGTAAACACCCCAGCCGTCCACTTCGAAATTCCCTCCCTCATCTTCGCTCTCCGTATCGGTCGTCACGTGCGTCGCAGCTCCCCATTTTCCAAACTTCTTCAACACTCGCTCCAGCACATCAACTCCACTCTGACAACTTGAAACATTCACAGTTCTCGTAGTCCCATCTTCTGCATTTGTAAACTTGACTAATTGTTTTCTCAAATCTTCAAGAGACAGTGGTCCTCCTTGCCCCCCTGCTAAAGAGCCAGAACCTGAAGCTGATGAACCAGATTCTGCAGCAGCTCTTTTCGCTGCGACAGAAGGGAGTACACGTCTTTGGAATGAGCTCCCAGATACAGATCCAGTGTCGGATCCTTGTGCCTGATAAGCCTTCTGAGATTGTTGGGGTGGAGAAGGTGATGCTCTTGTATCATCTTCCCGTCTCGCAGCGAATGGATGAACAGCACCTGGACGTGGAAGCATACCGAATTTTGGTTTCACAGGGCTGATTTGTTTTTTCGTTCCCGATGCGTTGGTATCGACACTCGGAGTTTTGCGATGGACGGGATCTATAGCTCTTGCTGCTACCGCTGGTGTTATTGTTCTATTGGCTGGAGATGGACCTTTAGGAAGTCCATGTTCCCAATTAGAAGTAGGGGTTGAACGACCTGTATCCCTATCCACATGACGTTGAAGAGTTATAGATGATGCGTATTCCGCCGCACTTGATTGATTCAAAGAACTCGAAAATCCTGTAGAGTTCAATTGTGTTGATGAAGAGCTATGACTTGGTTGTTGTTGAGTCGGAGCTGGAGGTAAAGATCTTTCAGCGTAATTAGCAGCGTTGAGATCCCCAACAGGACTAGGAGATCTTCTACCTTGACCCTCCCTCGGTGGTGGGGCTCGAAGGTTGAGATTACTTGTATTCGATCTTGCTGGTGGAGGTACACTTCCACTTTGTGATGGATTCGAATTGGGGAATGTAGCTGGAGTTACGGTAGAAGAAGATGATTGAGAAGAAACGGATGGTCTTTGAATCGATGGAATAGGTCTTGGAGTTGCTGTCGTAGTAGAAGAAGAAGAGGAAGGAATATTCGACGTTGATGCTAAAGATTTAAGACTATGAGTTGCACTTGGTGGATTTCCTTGATATGCTAAAGGAAGTGTTTTACTTGAATGTGGTTGTAAATCCAACGGTGCAGGTCTATTCGAATGGAGTCTTCTATTTCCTCTTTCTCTAATAGATCTTTCAGAATCGAAATCGTTTTCCAAAGGTGGGGTAGGTTGTCCATTCAAACGTAATTCAACTCTATGAGAATTACTCATACTTGATCCAATCGATGGACTTGAGATAGGTGTAGCTTTAGCCAATGCGACACGTTTACGTAGATCTTTTATACCAGCTAAAAGTTTTACCCTTTCACCAACTTTAGCAACTCCAAGTTCTTTCAATGTTATCATGTCCAAGTCTAGCAATACGTCTCCCGTGATATCGTTTCTTTTGAATTGATCGGCGTAATGTGAACAACGATAGATAAGAAGGAATTGAGATATTTCGTTATCACCCCATTGTTTTAGATATTGAGGGAGTGGAAGATGAGGGGGAGGGGTGAAGAGGGGTGGTGTAGGTGCACGAGGATGATGAATGAGTATTCCATTAGGTGATGAAGTTGTACGGTCTAGAGAATAGGTAGAGGAGGAATATGGGTGAGAAGAAGGGCCCCCCTGAGTACGAGGGACGGTAGCCGCCTGATGAGCGAAATGAGGGGAGGTCGGTGTGGTAGTTTGTGATGAGGCTGAAGAGGTGGGAGAGTGGGTTATGTTAGGTCGAAGAGAGGTAGTCATGTTGCGATCTGTGGGTCAGTGGGGGTTCGGGTTTGTTGATGAGGGCAAAGGGTGGGTGGATGCGGGTCCGTCAGATGATCTGATAATCACCAGACCCAGGATAGGGGAATCAAGGACGTAGCACAAGAAGCAGAGGAATGGAGAAGAGATGAAGAAGTAGACATGGATTCACTCACAGAGTATGTGTAAAGTCTGTCAAGGAGACAAAGGTGACACTCGTCGTCAAGGAGGGTGGGTGACGAGGAACGAGCCAAGGGCAGTGCTGAGCGTTGTTAATCGGCTGTACGATCGTGTCGATGAATACCACTGGAACGTAGTTAAGAAGGCACCGTCGGGGGATAGTATGAAGAGAGATAATACGCAGATGAGATGAAAGGTGTTTGAGAGTGAGATGAATGAGTAGTATGATGAACACCAAAGACTGGGTTATAAAGGACACTTTGGACGCACTGATCGTCGTCACCTCTTCAACTTTTGTAAGTTACTCGTACTCGTATACTGCCCCTTGTAGATGTATACTCCAGCTTTGCTTCATCTGGTATGATATCGAGTCGTTAAATGAGTGATACGTCAGCTTCGAGGCCGATCTGGGTATGGAGAGTGAGTCGCTTCGTTATACAACGTGTCATTGAGAACAAAAGGAAAAGATGAACAAACGATCGATTTAAAGTTACGTAGCCGAACTAACTGACTCGAGTACAGGTACCTTAACGGGGTTGCCATACTGAGGAGTCATTTCATGCATAATGAGTCATACATTTCTCCTAACTATGCATATTGAGACGTCCAAGATACGATCAAACAGCTTAAGTTATGCCAATCACAAACCACTAAGCCTTATTCTCTTGCACCTTTTTGGTCAACTGCGGGACGGCCTCGAACAGATCCGCCACTAGACCAGCATCGGCCACTTGGAAAATAGGAGCGTCCGGATCTTTGTTGATTGCCACGATGAGTTTGGATTCTTTCATCCCTGCTAAATGTTGGATAGCTCCGGAAATACCGACCGCAACGTAGAGTTCGGGAGCGACGACCTGGTAGTCAGTCAAGGTGAAGTGCATGAAGGGGATCTCTCATAAAGTTTGGTTATGAAAGAGCAGATTTGAAAAATATCATGGGTGATGACTCACCTTTCCGGTCTGTCCTACTTGCAATGAGTTGTCCGCATATCCAGAATCTACCGCAGCTCTACTAGCTCCCACAGCCGCTCCTAAGGCGTCCGCGAGGGGTTCGATAATCTGAGTAAAGCTTTCTTGACTTTTGAGTGCTCGTCCTCCTGAAACCACTCTGCTGGCGGAGGAGAGATCGGGACGAGAAGACTGAGTGAGTTCTTCAGAGATGAACTTGGTCGTGGCTGGGGTCAGAGATGGTACATGCGACACGATAGGTACCGAGAGACAAGCAATAATGGTTGTTGATGAAATGCTCACAGTCCGAAGATACAGTGTCAACCGACTCAACAGTCGCTGACCCATTTCCTATAGAAGCTTTGTCGAAAGCGGTCGTACGGACAGTCACAATCTTGATCTTGTCCTTTGGAGAAGATTTGACTTTGAGTATGGCATTACCGGCGTAGATTGGACGTGTGAAGGTATCACCAGAGGGTTCAAGTGCGATTATGTCGGCGATCTGTGATGAGTTTTTTTAATTTCGATTATTCTCAATCTCATCTCTTTGACTCGCTCGTTGAATCATCAGACAATTTACCTTACGAGCCGGATACCTCTTCTCTCCAAAGGGTGGAATGGAGAACTCAGACTTGAAAGTGATGGAGGACTCACCATGGATGTATCGAGTAATCCGGCCAGACGAGGGAACACATTCTTCCCCACTGCCGTATGAGCTGCAAAGAGGTGGGTAATGTTCTTAGCGGGTAACACGGCGGCTAAAAGTGGGGCGACATCTGACAATCAGCTTCCTATCCAATCTTCACACTGTAGTACTATCGAAGCTCCTGCGTCCGACCCAAGGATGTCTATGGCTCATAAATGTTGGAGCTCAGATAGCTGACCGATTCTTCTCACCCTACAAGAAACAACAAGGAATATGACGACAAGTAAGATTCTACACCTTCGATCGGTTGGGGCATATGCAACGAAGGAAATACTGTCAAACCCACTTTCAGCAAGTGAATTGGAATAAGCGTCAGAAGATGCAGTGTAAATCTTTGATAATCCTTCAATCCTAATCATCAGTCAAACCCTTCGACATTCCCGACCAGAGAAATGATCATACTAATCTTCATCACCAGCACAACGCGATGTCAATATCAGAGAAAAGACGGTGAAGGAATAGAAGAAGTCAGGAAATCGGTAAAGATAGCACAAGGAGGTATACACCATATGTAGACAAGAGGATGGAGGGAGTGTAGTAATGATTTGATCAAACGTACGTTTTGGCTTGACCAGTGACAGCTTCCACATCTGAAGAAGAACCAACTACTATACCAGCTGTCTGATCATTAGTACCACTTACAGTACTTTCCTTTCATTTCCTATCGTCTAATCATCACGCAATTCTTGAACGTTTTCTCCCATTTCAAAATGATGTGAAGATGAGTTCAGTTCACATTCAAGTAGCCAGCAGAGATTTACACCAGGTGTTTGACAAACTATGAGGATAGGAAAAGACACGAAAAGATCAATACATTACCACCTTGAGAGAAAATGGAGAAATAAACAACAACTCACATCCCCATTCAAAACTTTAGCAGCGGTGATAGCTGTTAAACTTGATTCGTTCAATTTCCCACCTTTATGTTCTAATAAAACTAAAGAAGATGCTAGACGTCTTTGAATGAAAAGATGTCTGGTAAGACGGGGTAAAGTTCGGATGATCATCTTTAAATCTTGAGATTACTTTGGGGTGGTGGAGTGGGTACGATCGTTAAGTCGGCGAATCACTTGACCAGGAAAGGGAGTACGCAGGTAAGGGAACAATGAGATGTGGAGGTGATGTCTTGCTATGAGGTGTCAAGGGTAGACGAAGGATGATGGATGATGGACGATGGACGATGGATCGAATGTGAGAAGGGTGACAAGATCCGGGAGAGAACGGACCGGCCGAAGAAAGCCGGTTCGATCGCTGATTTCGCCACGGTTACTGTACGAGTATTGACAATGAACATGATCATATGACTGGCAAGCGCAGACGTGGGATGGGTATCTCAAAGCGAAGAGTACGTAGAAATGCAGAGGGAAGCAAAAACGAGCTTTACACATGCAAATGTTATCATGGTATCGTGTTGGAACCGCAATATCTCTGCTGCGCCATCCCCTTTGCCTCTCATCGACAGTAGCAAGGTACCAAGGTCACAGCGCCTGACCCGTCTAGGTCTCACGCAACTTATCGTCCACTTCCTTGAGAAAAGTATTCAGTTCCTACTCGTCAAAACAATCTTCATCGAGGGGATGAAGAGAGCACACCTTGTCATCCGGCTCAAACTGTAGTCCATCCACCAATGCATCTCGAGCGTCTTCCAGACGGTCTAGACCGACCAAAGCGCGTGCTTTCCTATTTGTCAGCTTGACGTACCCTATTTTCACTCAATTTACCAAAGCTGAGCTGGAGAGTGCATTGGGATAGTAGAATGCCGAATGATACAGGATCAAAATGCAGATCAGGGGCACATCGAGAAGAAGGGAACAGTACTTAGCAGATAGAAGCGGCGGGAATTGGAGAGATGGTGAGGAGCAGTCCGAGGAGGTGATGAGTAAGAATAAGTCAGAGGAGGTGATGAATAAGAATAAGTCAGAGATCGAGGAAGGAGAGGTATACAAAAGGACAGGCGGCGGAAGAAAAGAGGATATACCTGAAATGACCCTTGGTCCAAGGTCTCTTGATCATCACCACAGCCTCTGCGTCTGCCAAAGCGTTCAGCCTGTTGTCAATACCCCCCTTGATCCACGGGACTTTTGTCATCACAAGGTTCCCTCCAAGTTACTTGAAATACGGACAAGAGTGTAATAGCGACGCGAGAGACGACATGAGAAGGAACAGGATAGAGCCGGTGAGAAGAGGTAGGGGAAATTGATGTGAAAGATGATGATAACCCACCACGCCCCGGCAAACGCAAACGCCGCCGAACGATTACACAAAGCTACGACCACTTCGTCTTTCCCAATAGCCGAAGGTTCCCAAGGAGGACGTGTCAAGGCCATATCAGCGGATTTGGAGTAAAGTTGTATAGCTTGACCAAAGTTGTTGGATTTGAATGCGGTCTATGAGTCAATCTCCCTTTTATAACTACGTCGTCCTCATCTTGCCCTATTCACCCAGGCTCTTCTCCCTGTTGATGATCACCTTCACCCCCAGCTGTCCAACCCAACTTCCTCCACTCTTCCTGTTCTCCTTTGTGATTGGAGTCACAGATCCAGGGGAAGAGACAGAAAGTTGAGGAATGTTGGGATCAAACTTACATTCCCCTGTTCCTTCAACTGCTTAACCACGGTAGCCCTTTGAGGTGGAGGTGGCACATTAGGCGGAGGAGGAACAGCATCAGCCGGTGCAGCCTTCAAGAATTGATGTAGATAATTTAAGCCATTAAAGTCGACATCGCATTTCTCACAATAACTCAACCTATGTTCCGAGCATACCACTATGGTTTGTGTTTGAGGTTGTGTTTTCTGTCCTGGAGGAGCGGGTGGGGCAGGAACGGTTTGTTCGTGTAATGTCCAAGGGACAGGGGAATGGGGTATGGAGTCGAGTAGTATTTGAAGGGCTGGACTGGGTTGGAGTTGTATTGGTGTTTGCGTTGGTTGAGGATGAGGGTGAGGGTGAGAGTGAGAGGGACCTGAGGCAGAAGTTGGAGGACGCATACCTGGCATCATGGCTGCCATCGTGAGGTGAGTAGATGGACAAGTTGCAAGAGGTTGTGCACCGCTAGAGTAGAGTCGAAGTGAAGGAAGGGTGCCACGTGGCAGAAGCTCACAGAGTCTGATAAGCGTAAAACCACGTCAGTTTTCTTGAGCACAGATCTGACGAGCGGCGAGCACCGAAAGGGGAAAGTTGCATGACGTATGATTTTTGCCACCCGACTGAGAGTTGAACCAGCGTGGCGGGTCATTCAACTTTCAAAGGCAACAACAAACCTTGTCTCTCTCTAACCAGGTTACTGAGTGTGATACCCCTCTTACTCCCCGTCATATTATTCTTTTTCCTTTTCACCCTTATCACTCTTTTCTTACTTTGATAGGTGACTCACCTTTTGAGATCTTTGTCGACTGCATATATAAACATGACGTGAGTTATCCCTTCTCATCCTTTTAGACTCCTTGCTGCAATGTAGACACAATGTGGCGGGGAGTGCCGAGTGATTATTATCGAGATGTGGCTCCGCCTCTTTCCCCTATATCCTCTATCCTACTTCCATCTAGTACTGGCAACTAGGCATCTATCTAATTACTATGGACATGTTGCTCGTCTCAATGAATTACTGTGATTCACAGGTTACTCATAACTTGATGAATAGGGGTATGCGATCGCGATGTGATGTGACTCACTCACTTGTAGCTCACCATACTCCGGTTCACTCACAGCCAAACGTAAAGCCGAACTCGTCGAGATCGCCCAAGCTCTTGATATCCCCGATGCGGACGCAAAGATATCAGAATTGGTCAAGAAGATCCAACAACATCTCGATATGAACGAGACTTCTTTGTCCAAGAGTCCCATGTTCAAGGGGTTATACAATAAGAAGAAAACGTGAGTTCCAATTCATCTCCTTATATTTCAACCCCTCCCTACTTAAACTCATAGGAAAAGAAGTGATGACGTTTTAAGAGATTATGCTTATGTTCAGTCACGCAGATAGCGAAACTGATACACCTCTCTCGGATGCTAAAGCTGCCGTCGTCTCTACCGTGGTTAAAGGTCGTAAATCTATCAATAAGGCAATAGATAAGGTGGTTGATGCTGCTGCCAATATTCCCTTACCTGAGACGCCTGTGAATGCGTAAGTCCCATAGCTTCTTCTCTCTTCACCCTTCACTCGGACTTACTTCTTTTCCATTAACCGTTGCTGCATGAGGCCCTAAACTCGCGGGCAGAACCCAGCACAATCCTCGTGTTTGCCAGAAGGTGAAGAGAGGGGAAAGATCGTCACTCATGAACAGAGCCAAAATATCTGAAGTCGCAAATCAATCCATGGCTGTAGCTTTAGCACCAGCTAAGAACCTCTCTGGCGAACTCAGCACCACACTCTCTGGTTGGGGACACTCTGTCGTCAAGTATACAGGACAAGGACAACGTAGGGTTGACGTAGTGGTCCGTGCTATTCGTGATGTAAGTTTCTCATTTTTCTCTCAGACCCTTATCCTTCTTTCTCCCTCACGTGCCATTGTCATACATACTATTGAGTGTTTTTCTTCCCGAATTGATCAACATCTCGGTCGTTGAGCTTGTGGAAGATTACTATGTTCCAGAGCTGACTCTTTAGGGCTTGTCCACACCGGAACATATCGTCCTCGCCGCAATCTCCCTAGAACTCGTGGCTCTTTTCTTCCACGTCGTACAATTCTATGATCATACAATTTGGTTCCCCCCTCCTCCAGGAAGCAAAGGTACCGTCGCTTCTCTTCTTCATAGCGCGTTCGGTTGGGCACCTAGTCTTCAAGTCAAGGTCAGATGGCCTGATGTGCATAGTTTTAAGAGAAGTGGGGAATTGTATTCTGCCGTTGTGTGGTGGTGAGTTATTTTATACATTTACTAAAACTTCGTCCTTTCTCCTTGGCGCCTCATATGTCAATTCTTTTTTTACCTCGGAACGAATAGTGTACAGATACTGAACACGCCAGGTTTTTCTCCACCGTCTTGCCACCTTTGACATTATCAACAGTAGTATCGTTCGTCCCTCAGAAAGGAGTTTCCAAGACGGGTCACAACACTCGGCATGCGGGTGGGTCCTCTCTCCCTCCCCCTCCTGCATCTCCTCTCATCTCCTGCCTTTTTTACCTCCCCCTTCACTCCCCCTCTTTTCTTCACATCAGTATCTTCTGTCACACCTTCAGCCAAAATCCCAACGTTGAAAAAGAGAGAGTTTTTAGTCTGATCTTCAGCCGCTCATCCGCCATCCCCAACAGTTGACCCTCTATCATTCTCCATCTTCCGTCTCGCTCTCTTAGTCTTCCCCCTGACTACAGCCGCACCATCCGCTATGGTAGACGCTCTTGAGATGTCTGGGAATTTACAGGGTCGTGCTCTCGGTGCGGGTTTGTTGGCTGGTTTGATGCTTGCCGATAGACTTGGGGGATTTTAGGTCTTCCCGCATTTGTTATCTCGAAGGATTGCTGTGTGAGGAATTAACCAGGACCGTTCGTCTCGTCTACTTTCTCAAGCAAGGGAGGAAGATAGGGACGGCAGGGTGTGTATGGAATGTGATTGTCAATAAATTCGACTTTAAGAGGGGTTAGTGCGGAACGTATGAGGGCTTCAGGACTGTGTCCTTGGAGGAGGGTGAGGAATTGAGTAAAGGAAGACCCTGTTATATCATCTGCAGAGGGAGAAGGGGCTGAAGGGATATGAGGAGCGTAGATCAGCGTTATGGGTGGGGAAAGAGAGGGATTGAAAAGAAGAGCAAGAGGACAAAACTTCGTGTTATCGTGTAATTAATAATCTATCCTTAGGGTTTTTCTTATCTTGGAAAGTAATATGTTAAATCATGCTCGTGTCGACTTTTTTACATATCTACACTTGAATCTTGTATCAAGCCCCAAATTATCAATTCAACCTCGTTCAAGGTTCTTACATCTACGATTGACTCTTGTATAAAACCAGAATTTTCAAAACCTCATTTACGGTTCTTACTCACCAGATGCGGAAACCTTAAAACAAGATACGGTCCAAGTACGAAGTATGGAAAGGGAGTGTCATCCATGTGACATGATCTCAATGATGATGTGTCCGAACGGGAAGAAAAAACCATCCAAATAGATTGTTAACGGATACAAGCATACAGGAGGAAATCATCGAAATGAGATGACAAGGAGTTGAAAGAAATCATAATAGGTAGGCATAAAAGTTTCGTAACGTTATACAAAGACTGACTTAGGATAAGTCGAGTGATACGAGTACTCAAAAATCATCATCATCTTCTTCCCAATCTATCGAATCTAAAGCGGCTTCTCCTTCTTCATGCACTTTATCTAATCCTGTGAGATGTTCAAGATAATCAGTCTCGTTGAATGCTTTGAGAAGCATGGAGAGACCTTGAGATCGATAAGTGTCTATGACCTATGAAATTAGCTCATCAACGGTTATATTTGACACCTGTCTTTTTGAGTGACTATGATTGTTGATTGTGTCTTTGCGCGTTGTATGGAGTACTTTCTGTTCTCATCATAGCCAAAGATGTGTTAATTTGTCAGACAAGAGGTGAAGGGGGTAATTGACAGTCACGATAATCTGAACATGAAGCTGGTCTGTAAGTTTTTCAAGGAGATGTGGAAAGTGGAGAGTGAGACGAGGAAGAGAAAGTAAGAGCTTGATGTAGTGGGGTACGGTGATGTTCTGGAAGAAGAGTATAAGGGAAGGAGAGAAGGGACAAAGAAAGAAGGCTAACAGTTTTGCTACAACCTGTACATTGATCATATGCCGCTCCTTCAACTAACAAAGACTTCCATTGACCAAGTTGACCACGAAGTTGATGAGGTACTAAACCCAAAGGCGAGCCTTTACCTTCTTCAGAATGACTTGTGGAAGTTTCAGCAGGAGCGTTGATCCTATTCCGTCAGCTCGGGTCTGAATTGACGCGAAGTTGATCATTCTCAGCAGGAGTAAAGGGAAAGGTCAAGTGGAGAGAGAAGGAGGTGTAGGCAGAAGGAGGAATAGAGAGAAGGAGGGAGTAGAAAGAAGGAGAGCAGAATGTCAACTCACCCTAAAGGATGTTGGACGAGGGAAACCAACAACTCCACAGCTGTTGCCGAGGCGATTGGTGCGATACCTGGTCGTGTGACTGTACACATTTGATCAAGTGTTCGATCTGTGAGAGACTACACAGTAAGATTCGTTCATACTCCCGGTCCAATCTCGTCCATTGATAAGGGAGAACATAAAATCTGAAATGCTTTCTAAATCTTCGCAAGTGATCGGCCAAACATGGGGCGGCGGGGTGGAAGAAGGCTAAGCTGGACGGAAATGGAGAGGAGTGTAACTTTCACTCACATCGGCCGGTGCTACAATGTCATTACAATAATAACATCCCAATCTTTTCCCCTGGGCTTGGTCCGGTGATGCTCCATGACGCATGACCAAATAACTGTCAAACCCTAATGCAGCGTTGATGACTATCTTCCCTTCTGCCGCAGCGATGACGGTTGGTAACCACCGACTCTCTCTAGAGTCCATGAGCAAGAAGACGGCGTCGTGAGATTTGATGAGATCTTCAAGTTTTGTAATGTCAGCAGCGGTGGATGCTTCGGAGGACGGAGGTATTGGATGACCAGGCATGGGTATTAGGAAGGAATGGGCGGAGGCGTTCTGAAGTCAGATCGAGTCTTTTCATTCCGCCCATTTCACATTTCAACTCGTCCTCAGAATCAGAGGGAACTTGGCCGTGAATACGGGGGTAGAATTTAGAGCAACAAGACGAAGATGAAAGTGAAGCAAAATCTGATCTACCCACCACACCGGGAAAGATCTTCTTAAGCTTGTCCGCCGCACATTGCGCCTTGGGCTTTCCACCATCCAGACAATCCTCAAAATCGAACAGAGGTTGTCGAACAGGGTTAGAGTATGACACTTTGGCTGAATCGACGAAAGTGATATGTCTGATTCCCCACCCCTCCTAGTCAGCCCTTATTCCATGACGATTACTAAGGTAAATTGCGGACGCACCATAAGCGCACGAGCGACATAACATCCTAATGTCCCTGCTCCTAGTAACAGACATTTGGTCGATGCTATCTTGTCTAAGTCTAGTGAAGGCATTATACGCCATCGCATGAGTTTAAGATTCAGATCCACTGCCTGATCTGCCAGTCTGTATCATGAGTATCTCCTGGCAAGTGAAAAATCGGGATCAACATACTTGCTTGGATCCATCATGGGTCCTAAGTCCGCTACCCTGCTCGCCAACTTCCCCGCTTTATTCCTCTCCCAACCTACTGTCTGTGGTTTTTCCGGCTGTCCCACTATCTCTCCTGGAGGAACAAATACTCTTCCTCGTATTGAGGCCGAACCCTGACGCAAACATACAATTATGATGTCTGTGATACCGTGAGTGTGGTGCAGATAGTATAACATGTTTCGTAACGGCCATCCGGGGTTTTGAGGGAGAGCAGAGGTGTCGTGAAAGACCAAAAATCGCTTTGGTCATCAGCTTAAGTCAAGTCTATTAAAAAAGGAAGCTGACCTCTGACTGTGGAACATTCAGAAAGAAAGATTTTGCGTCTGACAATCGACCGATGGTACGTTGTCCTCCCGCCCCTCGAACGAGAAACCCCTCTGAGCGTGATTCTCCTTTGGCGACCCATCCATCTTCCAGTGAACGAACCTCGTTTATCTCCTGGAATGTGAGCGAACAAATCAAGATCGACAAAGCACAGTTCGACTGACCTTTTCATCCACCGCAATAAAGCCATCAGACCCTACCTCCCACCCTGGTTTATCCACCAGAGCAGGGAAGGCGAACCAGTAATGATACACGTATTTCTTCAAGTCGGCAAAGGTTACGAGGAGAAAGGGGTTGAGCAGGGGTTCGGGGGTGGAGAAAGATGTCAACATCTACTCCATCAATACATAACAGCCAGATGACTTGAGACAAAACGAACAGAATCTGTGACCTGGTCGAAGAGAGCTTTCTTAGGTTCAGTCTGTCTGAATTCCTCAATCGTGTTGAAATTCTTGAACACTCCTTTGACCTCGATACTGCCACTGGGAGGACTACGAATCAGCTAGCAAAGAAATCAGGCCGCTGGGGACTGACCGGTCCACATCATCCCCAAACGCTCCACCGCCGACACCTAGACTCCCATCGACTCCTACGACTCCAGTGGAAGAAGGTCCAGCAACGGTCTCCTTGTCCAGAACCTGACGTCCTTCTTCCAGCCAGCCAGTGATGGGTTGCTGAGCGTCATCAAGCTTGAGTCTGTCCAGCTTGAGCGAGTTGAGAGCTGACCAAAAGGATGGAGTAGGCTGAGAGGACAGTGGCTGGAATTGCAGTGGGGGCATGGTGAGTGAGTGGGCGGAGTTGGCGGATACTGTAGCTGATGGGGGGATGACCAAGTCAAGGTTGGACGCAGACAGTGCACCGACCGGCTATGTGCTAGAACACAGCAACCGACTGATAAGCGAGGTTGTCCTTGAAAGCCACGTGGCTACCTACCTCTCCTCTCCCGACGCGTCGTGTGGCGGTCACTCGTCGTCATGGTTTCAGTCGTCTTCACCGTCCACAAGCATACATAGCGACACTTTTACACTTTTGAAACATCCTCACTGCTCTCATCTCCCAGGCCCGGTGCATGGGTCCTGGTTGTTGTGAATCACATCGGAGAGTATTTTGACTCTGTTATTGTATTCATACTCTACTCGTATATTCCGGCTTTACACCCTCCTTGTATTCCCTTCCGGCTGTCGCCGCACGTCCCCCCCTTTGATCCCTCCCCCCCTTGTACATCTCTCGCATAGTTGATCATCCTCCACGTTTTTCTGTCTTTTCTTGCCTTATCACCTATCCATCATACAGTCACACGCATATACCTAGCTTCTCTCTCCTCCCATGGCATCCATCTACGTCAAAGGTACCAGAGTATGGCTCCCCGATTCTCTCACCGGCTGGACCCCAGGGACGGTAGCTTCTCTCACCTTACCCCCAGATGGCGCGTCCAGCTCCCAGGTGACATTGGTGGTCAACTACGATGAACCGGGAGATGAAGCCAGCGCGACATTCAAATTCCCTCTTTCGGTTCTCGAGGCGGCAGCCAATGGTGGCATCAACAATGTTCAACCGATCACACCGCCCCCAGGCCAGGACATGTTACCACCTCTGAGGAATCCGCCTTTATTGGAAAGTTCGGAAGATCTGGCCAGTTTAAGTAACTTAAATGAGCCCAGTGGTGAGCTGTCCCGCCCTGTGACGCCTTTCTCCCGGGATAGGTCTAGGAATGCCAGCTAACGGCAGTTCTCCACGCCATCGCTACAAGGTACGAACAACGATTACCTTATACATATTCGGGTATTGTGCTGGTGAGTGATTTCCATAAGTGATCGGAGAAAGACTCACGCTTCAGGTCGCTCTAAATCCATTCAGTCCTCTGTCCATCTGTGAGCAGTAAGGTTAGCAACACGGGGACAAACTGATGAGCAGATGGCCCGGAGATCATACAGGCTTACTCTGGTCGACGAAAGGGAGAGTTGGAACCTCACTTATTCGCCATCGCCGAGGAAGCATTAGACTGCATGCGAAGGGGATCAGGCAATGGTGGTACAGATCCTACGGGCGCGGGAGATCAGACTATCGTTGTCAGCGGAGAGAGGTGCGTTCCCTTCACGTGTGACATTCCACCGAGGGAACACACCTTTTGTATCTTCTTGTGAGTTGACAGTCGCAGTGGAGCAGGCAAAACAGTCTCTGCCAAATTCATCCTCCGATACTTTGCCTCGGTCGATGATCCCAGCAAGCCTCCGTCCAACGCCCGAAGGCGAGTGACGGATGGATCCGGAGGTGAAGAGGAAGGTCTGAGTGAAGTCGAAAGGCAGATTCTCGCAAGTAATCCAATTATGGAAGCTTTTGGGAATGCCAAGACTACTAGGAATGACAACTCTTCCCGATTTGGAAAGTATATCGAGGTGAGTGGTACTCAAAATTACCTATCATTCCCAAATCATCGAGATAGAGGTGTCGTAGTCTGACTCCAGGTCTTGTTCGATAATCAACATGAAATTGTCGGCGCTCGGATACGTACCTACCTTCTAGAACGTTCACGCTTGGTCTATCAACCAGAATCCGAACGCAACTACCACATCTTCTACCAACTTCTCGCCGGCGCCCCTCACAAAGAGCGCAAGGACCTCTCTTTGTCGTCGACCCATATGGACTTTGCCTATCTTGCCGGCGGAGGTCCAGCCGCGGTCCACATTCAAGGCGTAGACGATGCCAAGGACTTCCGTGATACTCAAACAGCGTTATCGACAGTTGGAATTTCAGTGGAGAGGCAATGGCAGATATTCCGTCTCCTGGCTGCGCTTCTACATCTAGGTAACATCAAGATCACCCAAGCTCGAACCGAAGCGGTCATCGCGGATGATGACTCAGCTTTGGGTATCGCGACGACGCTGTTGGGACTACCAGTGTCAGACTTCAAGAAATGGACTATCAAGAAACAGCTTACTACTAGAAGCGAGAAAATCGTGACGAGCTTGGGATCAGCCCAAGCGTCGGTGGTCAGAGATTCTGTGGCCAAGTTCGTGTATTCCTGTCTCTTTGATGTGAGTCCTTTGTTGCGTTATTACGTCAACTGACATACAGTGGCTCGTCGGTGTGGTCAATGAGTCTTTGACTGGTGAAGGGGGCTCAGGAGCTCAACGAGCGACCAAGTTCATCGGAGTGCTTGATATCGTGAGCCTTGATCGTGTCCCCCGGTCAGAAGCTGACATAGTAGTACGGTTTCGAGCACTTCAAGAAGAATTCGTTCGAGCAATTTTGCATCAACTGGGCGAATGAGAAGTTGCAGCAGGAGGTAAGTTTCTTCACGTAACTCTGCGACATTGCTGACCTTCCCAGTTCAACGCTCATGTGTTCAAGGTCTGTTTGGCTCGCCCCCCTCATCAGATGCTATTGTACTGACGATCCAGCTGGAACAGGAAGAATACATGCGGGAAGAGATCAAATGGCAATTCATCGACTTTGCGGATAACCAAGCTTGTATCGACGTGATCGAGGGCAAGATGGGTATCTTGACGCTTCTCGACGAAGAATCCCGTCTACCAGCTGGTGCCGACGCCTCCTTCGCCAACAAACTGCACCAACAATTGTCAAAGCCTGAACACAAGGAAGTGTTCAAAAAGCCCCGTTTCAATCAGAACGCTTTCACGATTGCCCATTATGCCCATGATGTGGTTTACGACGTGGATGGATTCATCGACAAGAATAGGGACACTGTGCCTGATGAGCATCTAGCCCTTCTTCAAGAGTCATCCAACGAGTTCCTCCGTGAGGTCCTGGACGCTGCGTTGTCGGCGGCAAACATCTCGAAGGCCAATGGCGATGCAAAAACCGCTACAGGGGGGAGTGCAATTGTACCCGGCAAGAAAGGAGGGGCAGCCGCACGTAAACCGACCTTAGGTTCTATCTTCAAGCACTCGTTGACAAGTCTGATGGAGACGATTAACAACACGAACGTCCACTACATCAGATGTATCAAGCCCAACGAGATGAAGAAGGCGTGGGTGTTGGATCCTCAACAGGTCTTAAGTCAGTTGAGGGCGTGTGGTGTTCTGGAGACTATTCGGATCAGTTGCGCTGGCTATCCTTCGAGATGGACGTTTGAAGAGTTCGCTGAGCGGTGCGTTTAGATCTCTGCGTCATCAATTCCTACCCCGACTTGACAGGGCTGACGGCTAGTTATTACATGCTCGTGTCGTCGAAGGAATGGACTTCCGACACTGATGTCAAGACCCTGTGCTCACTTATCCTCTCCACCACGCTCAAGGAAGAGGACAAGTACCAGATTGGTCTCACCAAAATCTTCTTCCGGGCCGGTATGCTCGCCTTTTTGGAAGGTCTCCGTACGCAGCGATTGAATGAACTTGTCACTCTTGTGCAGAAAAACGTCCGCCGGCGTATTGCGTACAAGCAGTACCAAAACCTGCGGAAATCGACTATCAAAATCCAGACGTGGTGGCGAGGTGTACTGGCCAGGAGATTTGTCGAGGCTTTGAGGAAGGAGACCGCGGCCATTAGGATCCAGCGGGTCGCGAGGGGCCATATGGCCAGAAAGAAGTATAACGGTCTGCGTAATGCTGTCATTGCTATACAAGCGGCCATACGGGGATATCTGGCGAGAAAGAGGGCGTCAGAGGAAAAGACTTATGTCGCAGCTCTGACGCTACAGAGCATGTTCAGGGGATTGTGAGTAACTCTATGACTTGATGGTGAGATCAGAATGTGACTGACATCCAGGGCATCAAGACGACGAAGTCAGGCGGAGACAAGAAAAGTGGTTGTACTCCAGAACCTATGGCGGAGAAAGCTCGCGGTCAAGGAGCTTCGTGGTCTCAAAGCTGAAGCCAAGTCTGCTTCCAAGTTCAAGGAAATTTCGTACCAGTTGGAGAATAAGGTGGTCGAGCTTACTCAGACACTGCAAAAGAGAGTTGCGGAAAACAAAGAGTTGTCGTCGAAGGTGTCGATACTCGAGAGTCAATTGTCCATGTGGCAAGGCAAGCACGACGATGCCCACGCGCGATCGAAGCAGTTGGAGGAAGAGCTGGCCAAGCCTACTGTCCCTGCGTCGCAGTTCGAACAGCTTGCCGCTGCCAAAGCGGAGACTGATGAGAAGATCCGACAAGCATCAAAGCGAGTACAAGAGCATGAGGCTGAGATCAATCGATTGACTGCTGAGTTGGAAGAGCAAGCGAAGATGATGGAGGAGAGACAATATGCGGTAGATTCTGCGGTGGAGAGGGAGAGAGAATCAGCATCTGCCGTGGCGATTTTACGAAGTGAGGTGAATACCCTGCGAGAACAAATATCAAGGAACAACGCTTTACAAGCTCTCACGAAGAATCAACGAGAACCACCTCCTTCACCCACCGCACCGAATGGTTTTAGAACGTATGAGAATGTGGCTACGGATCGTACACCTTCAAATTCCAGACGTAGACCCAGACGTCATTCTATCACTGGACCTCGACATGCGCGCAATATGTCCATAGAAGATGACATACCAGATCTCAAACGTGCTCCTAATCCACGAGCAGTTTCCGTCATGTTACCGCCTAACGGTGCCAACGGACTTCCCAGAGTACGAGATTCCAATGGATTACCAACTCTGTCAGACAATGCGACCGACGAAGTCATTCGGATTCTGGAAGATGTCGAGGGGTTGGATCAAGACGTTCTCCAAGGACTCATTTACCAGCTCAAATTACCCTCTCCATACCTTCATAATCCCCCACTGGCCAAGGAGATCATCTTCCCAGCTCATCTTATATCGTTGGTGACGAACGAAATGTGGAAATTATGTATGATCCGAGAAAGTGAAAGATTCCTCGCCGACGTCATGCAAGCTATCCAAACTCACGTCATGTCCTTCAAAGGTGAAGAAGTCATCGCACCTGGGATATTCTGGTTATCAAACGTCCATGAAATCCTCTCTTTCGTCAATGTAGCAGAAGCGGATGCTGCTCAAGGTATCGGCCCTGGCTCAGAGGAGAATGGTAGGGAATTAGATTGGGACGCATATGAACGTTTGGTGTCTTTTGTCAAACATGATTTGGATAGTTTGGAATACAATCTTTATCATACTTGGATGTTGGAAACTAAAAAGAGATTGACTAAAATGGTCATACCCGCTTTGATCGAGAGTCAATCTTTACCAGGTTTTATCACTACGGATGGAAGAGGTCAAATGTTTTCAAGAATGCTCAATAGCATGGCTAGCACACATCAACCTACTGCAACAATGGATGATATTGTCAATGTACTCAATGTTGTTTGGAAATGTTTGAAGAGTTATTACATGGAAGAAAGTGTTATGCAACAGGTGGTCATGGAGTTGCTCAAGTTGATAGGACAAGTGGCTTTCAATGATTTGATCATGAGACGGAATTTCTGTTCGTGGAAGAGGGGTAAGTTTGTTTGTTTCTCATACTAGTTACATACCTTTTACCATATTCTTTCTTTGTCTGCCTTCCGTTACTGAATCTGATGTAGAAAGTTTTGCTCCATCGTACTCGGAGGAGACAATGACTGATTCTACAGCGATGCAAATCCAATATAACATCACTCGGATAGAAGAATGGTGTAAAGCCCATGATATGCCAGAAGGTTTATTACAACTTGAACATCTCATGCAAGCTACAAAGTTACTACAACTCAAAAAGGTTTGTCCTTTCTTCTTTATTCCACACTCCTCACTTCTCCTGTATGTACACATCATTCCTATGGACGCCTTCAACGCAACACCTAAGACTTGACACCAAAAACGAATTCCACGCTGATATCAGGCAACAATGGGAGATATCGAAATCCTATTCGACGTCTGTTGGATACTTTCACCATCACAAATCCAAAAACTCATAAGTCAATATCATAACGCAGATTATGAAGCTCCCATTTCCAATGAGATTCTTAAAGCTGTAGCTGCAAGAGTCAAACCGGATGATAAAGGTGATACTTTATTATTAACACCTGAAGCGGATGAAGTTGGACCTTATCAATTACCCCCCCCTCGTGAAGTCCCAGGGTTAGAGACTTGTAAGTTGTTTATAAAGTTTTCACTATTTATCGAAATACATTCACCTCACTTCCCCCCCCCCCCCCCTCTCAACTATCAGTTCTCAATTCGATTTTCCATCGATATCACAAACAGTCTTTCTAAACCCACCCACATCTCTGAATTTGTATCAGTTGCTTCCCATCGATCTTAATACTACTTAATCCACATATTCCTCATGGCTATGCTGCGGATAGAGATAGCTATAGAGTATATTTGAGCAAACCGCTGAGCTTCAGACGTTCCCGCTTGGCTCAACGTCCCCCTCGTCAGAAGATTAGCAACTTTTGTCGCATAAACCTCCCAACTAGGTCAAATGAGTAAATTCTTCACGAAACGTACGAACTAGAATCCCCATTTGGTCATTCCTTTTCATCTGCATACTGCATTACCTTCCAAACAAATGTATTGACGAGTGATTAGTAGAAATATGAAATGTTCTTGGCTATTCCTTGGCATGCAAGATGAATGAAAATATTCTGTGCATGCATGTGTTCTCTTGTTCAATAACATCGAAAGAAAATCATGATTATGTCATTATCAAAATTACGGATCGTATATATGCAAAGACAAGTTGGGGGAGAAGAAAGAAGAATTGTTACACTATAGATAGCAAGAGTTTCCCATCTTTACTCAATTCTTACTCTTCTCCTTAAGATCGAGATCATCTCCAAAATAAACTCTGAAAGTCTCCTTGATATTCTGATCATCTCCAAATTAAACTCTGGAAGATTAATCAATCAAAGTGATTATTCCGCTCCCATGACGAAAACAACTTCATTAGGTCGAACGAAAAGTGCTCGTGGATTATCAAAACCTTCCCATCCTAAACCATTCGAACCGATAAAAGGACTAACACTTCTTTTTCCTCTACCTCTATTTGTACCTCTATTATCTGATCCTAAACCAAATCCTGATCCTGATGTGATATCTGAGAATTTTGATCTTTTCAAACCTTCTCTGATAATCTCAATCTTCCTTTGTCTTGCTATTCTTTCACTTTCCGGCATCCCATTAGACAAATCGGGTAAACTAAGGGAAAAATAATGTATTCCATCCATTGCTCCAGAAGGTAAAGTTGAAACTTCATATTTTGTTAAATCATCCGTTTCTACACCTACCCAAGGACCTTTACGACCTACCAGTGTCCCTATATATTTCACTTGAGCTTTAAAACGAGCTCTTTTGGTGGTCAATGATACTATACATGGTATTCCCACATGAAGTGATATCCCAGGACCGGAGAATGGAGTTGTTCCTTCTGTTATACGAATACTAGGGAGAGCGCTTGGAGCAGAAGCGAAATCTTGTCGTTTGGGAGGATCGAATGCTGATGCTGGATGAAGACGAAGGATAGATCCTGAGATAGTATGTGTAGAACGTATACTTGATGAAGATACTTTACGAGGTTGTCGGATACTGATCGGTGGCGGAGGTGGTAATTTGGAATTTATCATTAATGGTGATGGTATTGAAGATCCTGAACCTTCTCTTATTATAGGATGAGAGATTTCCGATTGTCGAGGAGTTTGAGCTCCAGGACCATCGTCTGTGGAACTGGAAGGAGATCGGATTTTGGTTTTGGTAGTAGGAGGCTGAGATGAATGTGAAGGTCGGGATGGGAAAGCTCTACTGGTGGTTGTGGTGGAAGGTGGACCAAGTCGTGATGGATTTAGTTTAGGAACGGGAGGGGAAGGTTTCACTAGGTTGGTAGGTACGGGAGGGATGGTGTCACGAGTAGTGAGGGTGGAAATTCTACTACGTGTAGAAGCTGTAGTGGCTGTGGATGAAGTTCGTATTCGACTTGAACCAGGTTCAGTCTTGGGCGTGTTGATTTTCGGTGTCGTTATTCTAGGAATAGGGGCTTTACTCCGGGTGGAAACGGTGGTCATAACTGATGGCGAGCGACGTCCATTTGACAATGGTGACGGTGTAGGTTTCGTCGCCTGAGGACGTTGCGCTACTGCACGCTTTGCAGCTGAGGTGGTCGATGGTGAATCGACAGGTTGTATTTTACTCCTAACAGATGCAATGGTCGACTGAGAGTCTACTCTGGTTCTCGTCGGACGAACGTCCACCGCAGGTCTCGGAGTTACTCTAGGTTTGGAAGGTACTGTCGTAGCCGTAGTCGCTGTCGATCGCGTGGTCTTGGTCGTCTTGACAGATGCGATGGAAGGCGCTCTAGAAGATGTCGTTGCTTTTAGTAGACCCTCCCCGGGACTAGACGCAGGAGTCTTCGATGCGGATGTCCGAGTCAGAAGTGGTTTCACCCCTCCTGTCATCGGTGCTCGAGGTGACGGCTTAGAACTAGGAGATGGACTCGTACGACCCGTCTCAAACTTTGCGGCAGTGGCTTTGACCCTTCCTCCACCAATAGGAACTTTAGGTCCTGCCTTGACCGCGGTCGGACTTCTGGCAGGAGGTATCGCTATGACTTCTTGTGACTGAGATAATCGAGATGGACCAGGTTTGGCTAGACTGGCGGCGGAACTGGTAGACGCCGAGCTGGACAGACGAAGACGTTTCAAACCAGAGGCAGAGTCTGGTGGAGTGGTGGGTCGGTCAAGACTACCATTACGTACTGTGGATTTACTGAGGTGAGATGCGCGGGAGACGGATGTCTTGACACTGGCCGCATCAGACAGTCCTTGGATTCGAGATGTTGTACGGGTGATACCAGAGCGTAAAGGAGGTTTCGGTGTCTTTTTGGCGGATGGTGGTGGAGATGTGATGATGAGATCATCAACAGGGACGCTGATTTCTCCTTGTCAGTCAAGTTCAAGGTCGCAGAAAAGAGAGACTGAAATGGAATAAGCACTCACCATCACTGATCTCTTTCAATGCCCACGCATCCAGTTCATTAAAACCCCCCGCGTCCCGAACCTGCATCCATCTCCGTCTCACATGTGCCAAAATACCCTCTCTTGCACTCTCGACCTGTTGTCGACTCCTTGATCTTGGTGAGAGCGCAGCCTCCAGGGTATCTGGATCCACTTTCAGAAGGATACTGCTAACAAGAGCTTGATACACTCTTGGACCCTCTACGCACCCTTGTGATGTCCCCACTCCAGCGACGATCTCCCGCATGATCAATTCTAGCAAATCGGTCGAGAAATCTTTGCCAGAAACGAGATCCCACAATTCGTCCCCTTCTGCTACAACAGAAAATTGATTGATCAAGACGTTCCGAACATGTGTCTCCACTTGATCTATCATTGTCTCGAGAGGGTCTACCCACGCGGAAGCTTCCCGACCCCTCATTCGAATCCCGGATTCGATTCGATGTCGAATGGACAAAAGAGCTTTGAAAGCAGAAACGACGTTCGAAGGACTGATGGTCCGAGTCACATCTCTGACAAGAGCTTCCCTATCGGATTTGTCCAATAAACCCACTTCTCTGCCCCATGTTTCTCCCCACCCTCGGATCAAATACGCCCTAGTCCTTGAAGCGAGACGGATGGCAGCGACCTCTGGAGCAGAAGCAAATCGCCAAACTCTGGCAACTCGAGCGGCACATTTTCGACAATGACATTTCTCCCAATCGAGACCATGACAGAAATCCCATGCGATCCGACTTTCGATTTCATTTATAAGCGTGTCGAGTTGTAGATAGGCGGCCGCTCGGTGTATCTGGAACGCTGTACCGAGATCAAAGGACCTGTTGGAGAAATCTAAATGTCCCGCATACATATATCCTAAACAGAAGTGTAGCGCTGCGGGTGTAAATGGTGGAGTTGGTAGATGTATGTCTGCTGTTGAAGGTCGGAAGGAAGAAGGGTTTAAGAGTACAGAAGCGAAATATGGTGATCGAGATGCTAGGATGAATCGATGAGAAGTGAAAATAGCAGTTGAAGATAAACTGTCGACCGAAGAATCAGAATCTGATCCGTCCGACATTGAAATAGGATCTGGTGAAAGATGAATTCTAACATCCGCATAAAGCTTTGATCTCCACATGTAAGTCAAATCCTGTCCCATTTTCTCACGTCTTTCTGCTAATCCACCTCGTCTACCAAGAGAATCTCGTAAACTTCCTCCGAGTCCTAAACCAAGACCTAAACCTGGGTTAGGGGATGAAGTAGAAGGTACAGGGATGGAAGTTTCATCTTCTGCGGAAATCCATTCGACAACATTGCCAAATCCTTCTCCTGTGTAGATCCATTCGAGTTGAGCTTGGAACAATTCAGGGGTATCACCATGTGTGAGACGGAGTATACCATCTGGACCTGTGGAAGGGGCGCGAAGGGTGTTGTCAGAGGCGTGTGATGCGACGGAAAGGGAAGATTGTGTGGCGGCTATTGTGCTCGGGCGACGGAAGGAGGAAGGAGGTGAAGACGGTCTAGAGGAAGGGAAAAGTGGAGGAAGAAAATAACCATTGGCGGGAGAAGGTGAACGAGTGAGAGATCGGGTTATAAAGTATTGTTCTTTGAAAGCTTCTGATATTGTTAGCTTAAAAGAGAGTTGTTGTCAAGATAAGACTTACTAGGGGCCCGGGCGTATATCACAGCTATAACATTAGCTCAACAGGTTTGTAATATGGATGTCCATATGACCCACCTTTATGTCCCCATATCCTCTCCCCACCATCCTCACTTTCCCAAGACACATCACCGAATCGATCTTTGGCATGCTCAAACAAGGCCCGTAGGTCCCTAGCCCAAATATCAGTCGAGACCGCGACGCTATCCTCGACGGTGGGTATTCTAGGGGGATCAGACAAGTGAGACGAGGTAGGCATCCGTGGGCTGTGATCTTCTTGATGTTATGGGCATCACAATGGAATATGGAGTATGGCAAGATGTGAGTGAGTGAGTGAGTGAGTGATGGATGGATGAAGAGAGAGTTGTGCGCGATCCGGGCGTGTTGTCTTGTCACGTGACATGAACCAACGTCAAAGACATCCCAAGAACAAGCAAATACATCGCCCTCATAATACCCTCCAAAATCATTGTAAAGATAATTTCCAAGATGTCACATTAAATATCTATTGAGCCTCTGCAAACGTTCGAACACTTTTCAAGCTATTCGCAGTGTGATCCTTTGCCTTCCAAATAATATCGATATGTGAAGAGATCTGAGTTATCATCGTATCTTGTAGCAATGCCGTCTTCTCCCGCAGCTGGTCGAATCTGTCGATCAGTAATGATTCTCAGCGCCCACAAGATACTCACTCTATACGTTTCCTATCCAACTCCCCTTGTGCATTCACGACACCTTGTTCAGATGCAGCCGATACGGCAGTTACCTCAGCTTCGAGCTTTGCGACGGTCTTGTTTGTCTCTGCGGTATCCGCTTGGAGTTGCTTTCCATCAGCGGGAGTCGTCAGTGGAGATCATATCCGCTTACAGCTTTGGCTTCATCAGCTTGATCATTGACAAGTTTCAATCTCATCTCCAGCGTTTTTGCTTCTTCCCTCTGTCTCTCCACCTCTTGTGCCAAACGGTCATAGTTATCTTCCAAGGCGATTTGTCCATGTGCTAATTGTTCACTTTCTTTCCTCACACTTTCACTGAGAGCGTATAAAGAAGGTCTGATTTCCATTCGCATCTTCCTCGCGGCGGATTGAATCTCAGCCAGGTCTTCAAGTCGAAGATCCACATCGAGGTTGAAATCCACGTTGGTCGGTATGGCAGAAGGAAGACCCAAAGAATCGATTGGACGCATCAAACCGATTTGTTGAGCTTGAACGATATAATCAGATAAAAGTTGTTCGAATCGATCCATAGCTCGTGTCACTTGCATTTCGTGATTGTACGCTTCTGTCATGACGGTGGATATTCTCAAACGAAGATCTTCAAGCTGACGATTGAGACTTTCACGAGAATCGTTCATCCTAGTGACTTCTTCCGGTGAAAGGTTTTGAGCTGAGACAGCTAATTCAATACGAGATAATTCCGTTCGTGCGTCGTCAATTTGTTTATCTATGAACTCAATCATTATCATCTCCTTTAATGACCGTGTGACTCACCATGGTCCGATATCGCCGCTCGAGCTCTAATCATCACTTGACGCATCTTTTCCGCTTTGTCCCTATGCATATCGATGTATCCGATAAATTTGGTTTTGTCACTCATCAACTGCACGTATTCTTCTTCGAGTTTCTTCAACGGAGGCTAACATGAGCATCATCACAATCATCTCTCTCACTCACCTCTTGTGCTTGAAGTTGTTGTAATTCGACGGTACGTTTTTGCAACTCTGTTTCCATCTTCTCACATTCTTCAAATGTCGCTTGTGTCATTTGATCTTTCAATCAATGATTGTCAATATGTTTTACAAGTAATGAGACTTACCAAACATCTCTTCAAGTTCTTGTTCTGCCTCTGTAAATTCTTCCGCACCATCATCAAACCATTGTTGATAAGCTTTGGAAGAAAAATCCCATAAAAGTCGATCTTCTAGATTCGGATAATCCAAAGGAAGTTCTCTCGCAGGCATGAGCATAGGATCAGAAACAACATCTGGATCACACCAATGATCATGTGCCTTTCCCTTCAGCTCACTCAACATCAGAAAGCAAAATAAACTCACTCTACACAACTCGACGAGCCAATTTAACATGGAAAGTAATTTCGGCCATTGTTGTGGATCACCCGCAGCACCAAGAGCTGTCCTTCCTAATCCTTCCGGTGATGGATATTTTAGATCTTTCAAAACTTGTAAACAATCATCCTCGAATTTTTTACCCCAAGTCATACCCGGATCCAAGAGATCTTGCACTAAAAATCGAAAAATACCTTGAAACTCTTTTGTCGTAGGGGACACTAATGTCTTCGATGTCAAAGGTAAAGGACAACGAGTATAATTTAAGTACTCCGAGATATTTTTTATACAATTACTTTTGAAAGTTGGATCTCGAATGGGACGATTATCTTTTATAGAGGCAGAAGGATACGAAGCCGGTACCATAGATTGACGTCCACCCATGAAAACAGAACTTCGTCTAATGCTGAAAGTCAATATTCACTATCATGGATAATATCATTTATTTTAAACTCACCTGCTTGGTAAACTTCTTTGAGTTTGAGGAGTACGACCATAAAAACCTCCATCTCCTCTAGGAGCAGACATCTCTCCATTCCTCACTGTACTTCGTCTACCTGCTAGATCATGACCAGAATTTGACGTTGACATCCCGAGTCCTGCCAATGCTTGTGGAGGTGCAAGCTGATGATTACTATTCGAAGACACTCGTGAACGGGCCGCTTCACGCAGGTTTTGTTGACTGTTGGTAGGCATCATACTCAGTCTTGAGGAGCCAAGTCGAGAGGGTGGTTTCTTGATGGCTGAAGATGGGACGGGGATGGCTGATGAAGGTAGTGCATTGCCGAGTGGGCCCTCCGAGGCGAGTGTCCGCCGTCGGACGTCCATGATGGGTGAAAATACCAGTTGAAGAGGTTATAGAGCTTGTTGTAGAGTCGAATACCGAAGTTGACTGATTTTGACATGGGAAAGTCGCGAGGCGGCGCGTGTTTACCACGCGCATGATTTCGCCTCTTCGGGCAATTTCTTTGATCTCCGGGTAACACCACAGCGCAAAAGATCCAGAGCCTGGACATGCATGGGTTTTGGTTACAAGTAGAGTCGCGAAACACTGGCTCGTACGGGAGAGCGGCCACAAATCTTCATGATGCCCGAAGCGAAGTACGGGAGGTGATATACCCCTGCTGAGCATCAAAAGTCACAAGCACTAAACACACCGATCTCAAAACAGTGCGTGTAGGACTCGAACCTACGCGCCTTACGGCACTTCATATCGAAAACAAGGGGGTTCGAGTGAAGCGGAATAGCCACTATCCGAACGCACTCGACGGACAGGCCTGTTTTGGCAATCAACTATATCAGGATGCAGACAAGTACCCAGACGTCCAGCATCCGTTGGGCGTGGCTGCTTTTGGCATCCATTTCAAGACAATGTACATCTTCAAGCTACCTTACATCTATCGTACTTCCCATCCACCGAAACTTACCCTCCTTGCCGATTTTGGCAAACCATACACCGTTTTCCTCAATTTCATCCGTAGTTTCAACTTTGCAAACCGTTTTAAATGTCCGAACCCTGACACCGAGGCTGCAGTGAAAGGCTGTTGTATAGCCACGGCGCCTACACGAGGCTTTCTGTGACTTGATGGTCAACACTCACTACTTTGGGTAAAGAGAACTTACGAGTCAACTTTGATTTTCAAACCTTCTTTCTTCTTATCTTTCCACCTACGACGTTCTTTCTTGGGTACTGGACTAGGCATGAGGGTAGTCATCACTGTAGCGGCAGTCAATGGTGTTTGTGGGATTATTTCTATATTTCTCGATTCGGTCTCTGAAGAATTATGAAATTGACCAGTTAGACCGATACCTGCTTGAAGTGTCAATTTGGGTAAAGCGGCAAATTGACCTGGATGAACTTCGATGGGAATTGGCCTGACGTCAACTTGGCAATAAAGTAGAGATGAGGTAACACGTACATGGGGTCAAGTGGATGAGGCGGTTCTGCTATACTTAGAAAAGATCCTTGAACATATAGACTTATGTCAGTGAAGAACCAATAAGAAAATGGAGCACACTCACTCCATTGGACTCATTCCACCTGGCATACGAGCATTCCCCAATCTTTGACCTTCTTCCCATATTCCACGAAGATGCATTCCCATAACTCTACGATGTTTATCCCACCTTACCCCTGCTTCGTGCAGTTTTTCAGCGAGAGCAATGGATTCCCTCATCATACCTTTTGACGAAGTACGTATAGGCCAGAGATGCTGGGTCAATAGCAAAGTCAGTTGACGAGCTTCGTTAGAAGCCAGAGGACGATGAGGTACAGATTTCGGAGGAGGCAGATCAATCTTGATTGGAGAAGGAGGTCGGTCTGGGGTAGGTGGAAAGAGTGTGATAGTAGGAACGGCGGACTTGATAGGTGACAAAGCGAGAGTTTCCATGAGACCCGATGGGGTTGTAGGGGAATGAACTACGATAGCCATGATTGGTGTATATCAACTGAATCCTGTTCAGTGGTCGTGAGTAAGAAGGTCAATGAGGCCGCATTTATCATGTTGGTAGGTAAAGGGGCAAGAGGGAGAAGGTGGAAAGGAGGTTCATTCGATACGTGTATGATCTCAGTAGGAGAGGTTCAAAGGATCATCGGAAGAGTCCCACTCTGACATTGGTTTATGCAAAAATACGTACATACTTATCCCCTATTCATTCGATTTCCTGCCCCTCGAGGATTTACCTCGGTGTATTGGGCCCAGTTCTCCTCCTTGAGTCGCTTCTGCTCTTCTTTCTCCTCACCAGCAACGGTGCCATCTTGTTCCGCGGCAAGTGCTAGTAGTTCGCTACTTGTCGGTGCGTCATATGATGCTTGTCTGTGAGGTCAGCATATGTTGCGTAGAATCTTGACAGATGTGATTGTGTGTTCATATGAGGTAATAGTTGAGGACAAGCCAACTTACCCTCCACCCGTAATGATATTCCCTCTTCTCTTTTCCTCCTCCAGATACTCATCAATGGTCATACTTGGTAACCTCCAACTTTCCCTAAATACTTCACCTCGTAATCTCTCCCTGTCACTCAGACCCGATGTGGAAGGTAAAATGGTGAAAGGTCTCAACACCCGTCCACCACCGGAGATCAACTCTCTTGGTTTGTACCCCGCTGGGGTTCTGTCCAACTTCCAAGTGTTGTCGATTTCAGAACCTCTTTGTTCTTGCGGTAATTCTGATATTTCTGCAGGGGCAGAAACGAGAAGCTCCAATTCCATAGCTGTAGAAGCTAGTAAGGCTAGGGCGAGTGTATGTAAGAGACGAAGAATGAGAAGGATAGTACGTCGGGTGTCGGGCTCTTCTCCATTCACAGAGGTGGAGCCATTAGATTGACCCTGTTGAGGCAAGCAAGATAGTACGAATACTAATGGAGTAGAAGTTGGATCAGGTTGGTCTGGAACTGAAGCCTGGTGTGAGCAGAAATCGTTAGTGTCGACTTACAGATATGAATTCTCGAAGCTCCTTTTCTCGCTTGTAGGCTCTTATCTTTGCTTCTCGTCTTCTCGCAGGATCCTTAGGTACTCCATTGGCCATTGCAGAGCTTTCAGCTTCTTCGTCGGGAGATAACACCTTGTAGCTATTCAGTAGATGTAAGAAAGCATTGATTGCTGTCTGCGTGGTCAATAAGGTTTAAGAAACAAGGATGGATCACTGACGTCGCTTCGTCTCAAAGCAGCTATGCGATTGTCCTTTCCCCCAAGACCAGCTTTTGCCTCGCACTCTCCTAGAACCCAAGGCACAGTCATGAATACCAATTCCCCGTCCCCAACTTCATCTAGAGATTCGTTATCCGAGAACACACCGAGGGATGACAACATCCTAGAGATCAGGTGAAGATTGTCCAAAGCTGTGGAGAGAATTTCTTGAGTTTTCAGATCGGACAATGAGAGAGTATCATCGAAGATGGGCACGAGGGAATGTAACACTTGTGCGTAGAAAGCTGGGAGGGGAAGATTTGAGCCTTGAGCAGCTGACATGGTGGAATGATGAGATGATTGACAAAATTACAAGTTGAAATACAATGACGCCAACGCGTTCATCCTTTTTCACTTCCACCTCTTCATCTGACATCCAACCATGGCTATCGTACCTTCAGAACCTGGCATGACAGAGGATCTACAGCTCGCCAATTCGGTAGCTGCCAGTGATCCTGCGAAAGCAGAACAATTATATCGGTCTATATTGAGTCGACAGGCAGGTGAATGACCTCATCATCTTATTTGGACGTTACTGAATGAACAGCGGATGAAGATGATCTTAGGGATCAAGAACAAGCTCTTATCAAACTCGGTGCTTTGTACAGAGATCATGAGTAAGTTCTTGGTTTCATATACTGAGCTGACAATGGAGTAAAGCTCAAGAACTTGCTCAATTGGTGGTAGACTCCAGAACGTTCATGTCACAAATCGCAAAGGCCAAAACAGCGAAGCTCAGTATGTTCAACCTTCATCATGAAGACATTGAAAGAGTAGCTTAATATCAGTCCGTACTATGATCGACTACTTTCCTCCTTCTTCTCGAGAACTGCAGATGCAAGTGACGAGGGATAATATCGCTTGGGCGCGAGAAGAGAAAAGAGTGTTTCTCAGACAATCTCTTGAAATCAAACTCATAGGATTGTGAGATCTTCTCCATCTCTGGAATTAGAGATTGTTCTGACCCTACAAAGACAAATCGACGCACAGGATTATAGAGTGGCTCTCAGTGCTACAGACGTATTACTCAAAGAACTCAAACAATTAGACGACAAAATCATCCTGACCGAAGTTTACATCTTAGAGTCCAGAGCCGCTCATGCGATACAAAATCTACCACGAGCAAAGGTAAGTCTAATTCTTGGAGAAGTGATATATGCAAGAGTGGAGACTGATACTGATCAAAGACCGCTCTTGTCTCAGCACGAACCGCAGCTAATTCGGTCTATTGTCCTCCTCTTCTTCAGGCTACCTTGGATTTACAAAGTGGCGCACTCAACGCCGATGATAAAGATTACAAAACCGCTTACTCGTACTTTTTCGAAGCGTTTGAAGGCTTTACCCAAACGGACGATAAAGACCCAAGAGCTCTAAGAGCTTTGAAGTACATGTTATTGTGTAAGATCATGATGAGTCTGGTGGGTTCATCTTTTGAACGTTGACTGAACTCGTGAGCTGACGTGTAGCCTGATGACGTTGCTCCCTTGATGTTGCTCAAATCGGCTGTCTCATACCAAGGCAAAGATCTCGATGCGATGAAAGCTACTGCTGTGGCATTGAAAGAACGCAGCTTGGACATGTTCAAAGCGGCTTTGAAAGATTATCAAGAGCGTGAGCGCACCGTTTCATTCAAATGGGATCAAGCTGACGATCAGAACTTCAACAAGATCCGCTTATCCGTACACATCTCTCCATTTTGTATGACACTCTGCTAGAGCAGAATTTGATCCGGGTGATAGAACCTTACTCGTCCGTGGAGCTATCTTGGGTGGCACAAGAAGTCGGACAAAGTTCACAGATTGTGGAAGAGAAGTGCGTAGTTGATCCACCTGGTGTATCCTCAAGAAATCTCCGTACTCGGCTGACCCTCAGACTCAGTCAGATGATCCTCGACAAAGTCTTTTATGGGGTGATCAACGAATCTATCGGTACACTGGAGGTTTATGACGAGCCGGAAGAGGATGTGCGTTGTTTCCTATATGCCAAAACAACGAGCTCACCATCAGCCCATGTACTCCACCGCACTCGACACGCTCAAACAAATGGGCGAAGTCGTCAAGAGTCTGTACGACAAAGTGAGCATTCAGAGCATTTGCTTGGCTTTCGCTGACGACAAGGCCTCTGGACTAGCCTAGAGGATGCATTGCATTATGCCTGTCAAGAGTTCTCAGACAACTGGGCGCTGCTCATGTGCCTGTGAGATGAGTATTGTACAAAAGGGTATCATGATCAGTCATCTAATTCTCGCTTCTTTGTCAGCATTTCTTTCATCTCACATCTGAGATTGAATGTGAGGTACACTCACGGGATCCTGAATATCGTAATCTCTCCTTGTTTGAAATACCGCCTGTTCTCTTCATCTATCAACACCAAGTTGAGGTAGTATCGAACCGAAAACTTCTTGTTGACATCTCTAAAAGTCGGTGTGAGTTCAAAGCCTCCGAGGAATAATCGAATGGGTATAGTCTCCCCTCTGACGGGAGCTCCATCCATGATTTCAAATTTGGTGATGGTCTCTGATTCGTTGTACTGATTCGGAGCTGATCCAGTCGTCTCCCGTCGGATGATAGACAATTCCATATGTTTTATTTTGATCCGAACTAGGAGGAAATATATTTTGCCGACAATGACGTCTTTCAGGTGGTATCTGATTCAGTGAGCAAGATCCCATGAATGCATTACATATCAGTAGAAAAGGACCCACTTGGCTTTGTTATACTCGAATTCGATATGTAGACAATCTTCGATACCCACTTCCATCTTGATAGTCGTTGTGGAATCTTGTGGCATGCGATAACTGTGTACCCATATTTCACGTTCTTTAATCACTTCGCCCATTCGTCTTTGTAGTGTGACTCGGATGTAGTATCTGCAGTCAGACATATCCTAGCCAAGCAAACCCACGCGGTGAACTTGGAAAAGTGCACCAAGCCGTTGAGAGTGGAGTGGATGTGAGGAAACTTACCGTAACTTGACGTTGATACCAGAATACGACTCGTATTGCTTTTCCACGTTCTTGAAAGTGAAATCATATGACTGAGCTTGTCGCATCTCTCCCGCCGAAGCTAACTCCTGCGCCATGGACACAAATTCGTAATGATTCCCTCTGTCGTAGAATAGTTCTATATCGTCAGTCTCATCTCTGAGTTGCCTCTGACATATCCACGATGCTCAATACAAGAATCAGCTAAGTGATTATAAGTGAAGTGAAGGAGCTCAAGTGAGATAGAAGGAGTCAAGAGGAGACATACCAATAGACCCGATCAACTCTATCCGTATCCCATCATGTTGGAACTTCTTTCCATCTTTGACTCGTACATGAACCTGTGATCAGCTCATCTGGATGAACAAGACCTCATACGGCAGCTTTAGGCACAAACACTTAGACTTACCTGCCCTACAACACTCTCCCCGTCGTAGTACACGGGACACATCTCTTTCTTCTCTTTCTCACTTTTGACTTCCACTTGTTTCCTGTCATCTTCCCCTTGAAGGCGGATCTCCACGTCCACTGGTTGAGAAGCGAAAGAGAAGAAGGACGTCATCCCTTAACAGCTTTCCGATTACTTCTTTTCTATTTCAAAAGGTTTTCTTCTTCTCTTGATGTATCCACCACTATGATGCTTGTGGTGATGTTATGGGTGGTGATATAGGTAAGATATGCAGGTTGAGAAGAGTGGAATGGGTGTTCTAAGCGGTGAACCTGTAATCGACCGTGGGAAAATCTCCTCCCCATACAAAGTCGGCTTCGGACCGTCCTCTACGTCTCTTGGCGAAGAACCATCATGGAAAGTACCATCATACACGCTGTCGAATGGACTCCTATAGGGTGATCTCTATCTTTCCTGTGTTGTATTGATGCGCTGACCTATAGACAAACGTCCAATCAACTCATTTTATACCATCCCTTGTCTCATGCACTCCAAGTCCAACCCCGCCCTGCACTTCCCACTACTCCGGGTCCTTCGAACACCCCTCTCCTCTTACCTTACAATGAACCCTTACCTGAAATTGTATCACATCGTGTCTGTCCCTATTGCTCTCAATCTCTACCTACGACTCCACCCACTCGTTCTCGACCTCTGAGCACGGGATCAGCCGCTTCTGACATTCCTCATGGTCCTGCGTATTTCCGGATACTGGAACGAGCTCATGAGGGTTCACGACCTTCTTCACCTACTCCAACATCAGAGAGAAGGTTTCGATCCATTACTCCGACAGACCAAGGTAGTAACGTTGACGTTCCTGCTAAAGGATACTATGAGAGGTTTTTCAAAGAAGAAGGTCGCTTGGGTATAGGAGCGGAAGGTAGCGTTTATCTCGCTACACATGTCATAGGTGGTAATGTCCTTGGTGAGTCTCTCCAGCTTTAATTAGAATCTTACTGAATGATGAGGAACATATGCAGTGAAAAAGATAGCCGTGGGGACATCAAAAGAATATTTGGTTAGAATGCTACATGAAGTACGCCTTTTGGAAACATTACGACATCCAAATATCATTCCTTATCATCATTCATGGATGGATCTAACCTCTTTTTCTAGGTCAGCTCACCGAACAGTGCCAATTTTCATGAGCTGATGTTCAGTTTTGGACCACCTATCATGGCCTTACACATCTTAATGATGTATGCCACAGCTGGTAATTTGGATGGTTTCCTCTTAAACCGCGCTCATGCCACTCAACCTGCTCGTCCGGACCTTTCTGCGGGAGATATCATGGATGGTGCTTCTATAGGTCAATTACCTAGAGAAGAAAGGATCAAAGCTTTCAAAAAGAGAAGACAAAGTGGGACATCACACAAGAGTTCAGAGACCAGGGGTGTGCTTCTATTACGTTTGGAAGAAGTGGCAAAGTTATTCGGAGATGTAGTGGATGGATTAGCTTTTTTGGTAAGCTTTGCCATCCAGAATTCCTGATCAAAGCTGAGATATAGCATGCTAATTCCGTACTTCATTTAGACCTCAAATGCTCCAATGTGCTTTTACATTGGGAAGAGGGTAAACTCATGTTAGTTCTGAATAAAGTTGATATTTCTGAACTGATCGGTAGTCCAAAAGCTATGATATCCGATTTTGGTACTTCACAAGAAATGTTACGAGGGAAACGTGAACGTACAGGACATACTGGTACCATGGAATACATGGTCAGTTCTCTTCTTCCTAGCTTCAGTATAGATTCACTGAGAACGTTTGTCCTTGTACTCATCCGTAGGCACCGGAAACACTTGCTACGGATGCTTTAGGCCATTGGCGTCCATCTGACTCTCACGCCGACATGTGGTCCCTCGGTATGATCCTACATAAACTTCTTTTCCTTCAATTACCATACTCGGACACGGAAGATTTTGATAATCTCAAGAGACAAATTCTACATTACCAAGGGTGGGTTTAACAACCATTTTCTGAGATTACAAATTCTGATGAACAGATTCATCCCCGATTCAGAACTGGTGGCATTGTGCGAACGTCGTCACATTCCTAGAGATTTGTTGTTATTACTAAGCAAATTGGTACATGTCGTCCCTGAAGCAAGACCATCTGCTGAGAAAGTCCGAACTGGACTGAAAGGATTGGTACGTAACTACCAAGTTCATATCATTGCTGTCCCTCTGAAGTCCTCGTCGCCATTTCTAGCGATACCCAGGAAGATTCAGGACAATGAGATCGTGACTTGGAAACTCAACTTACACCAGCGCCCCGCGATGGCTGCATCAGGGAAGAACAGTCTAGTAGCACGTTCTGCCAGAATGTTCAGTAATGTCACTGAATTGAATGATGAATCTCATCCTTCTCCAAACAATTCTTCCAGAGTGAGTTCCATATCCAAATTGTCATACATGCTAAAGGAGTAGGAATGGATAAATCCTGTATCTCTCGACAGACCCATCTTAGCTCTTCCTTCTCCTGAAAGAGAACTTGAACCTCACTTCTCCCACCCTGCATCACTTTGGAGTAAACGTTATCTCTGGTCCAACGCTAGATTACTACTATTATTACTTAAAGTAAGCTGATTTTTCGCAAATGAGATCAAGCTGAAGTGAAAGATACTTTCACTCCAACCTCAGATCAGTCATATCAGACTTCCTATACCACTATTGATTATCCTGATATGTTTAACAATGTGTGATCTCAAATTTTCTCTTCCCTTCTTAGGCATGTCAAGTTTCATCCATGTTGTCATCATGTTCATGTATTTCAATCAACCAAATGGAATGGGTGATATTTCCCAGCGGTCGTATGCGGAATTGTGAATGTTGTAACTTAATTTGAAATAAGCAATGCATTGTTATTCTTTCATATTGCTTCAATCCTCTTTGATCCCTTCATTCCGACTCAAACCTATCTTCCAATATTTGCAGATCTATATCTGATGACACGTAACGTGGTAGATATCAAAGAGCCATGCAACACACACGAAGAATTCTCACTCAAAGGACTATATTTTTTCATTCATGACACCGTCCAAAACATCTTTAACAATTATCAAATCTTCATCACCCGTACGCCAATTACTAACGGCAATCCTCACCGCCCCAAGACCTCTCCAAACGGTGGAACTGACATACATCTTACCAGTCGAATTGATCTTCTCTGTTAATCTCCGTGCGGAAGTAGGATCAGAAGGTGGGTATGTGGAATTGGGTGAACCTCGAAAGAGGACTATGTTGAGTGGCACTATTTGATCTTTTATCTGATCATCCTTTCCTGCCCCTGTAGATTTATCTTGATTTTCAGACTGATCTCCATGAAAACCTGGTGAGATTATGGGGTTGAGGAGCTCGTAGAAATCAGATTGAATGAGAAGTCGAGCGACATTTTGAGCGAAAGAAACGTTACGTCGGATGATATCTATTTCTCAGCATCTCTCGTTCGTGCTCTTAGAAATTGGTCAAGTCCTGTTTGATGCATCGAACATAGATTGCAAGAGGCAGAGAGTTCAGGTAAGGAAGTGCGGAATGGTATGAGAGGAAAGGAAGAAAGTGAGGGAAATACTTACCTACGTAACCCTCTCTACCTAGAGAAAGAAGAGAAGCAAGTAAAGGAAGAGCTCTAAATCGACGTGAATTTTCTATCCCCATATATAATGGACTGGGAATGTCTAAATCCCCTGTTGAGAGATAAGCTGGACCTTGACCGGTTGGAGGAGCTAGGACGTTGGTCAGTAAAGAGGGAGTTCGGGTGTAAAAAAGGCCAGTGTCATATGGGACCTGTTTTGTTAGTCGAAGGGGGAATGCTACTGTATTACTCACGTTGAGCCATTTATGTCCTGTCTGTCAGCCACGAGCCCATAAAATAAGAGGTATAGCTCAATCTTCTACCGTGGGAAGTTGGATATGGTTCAGTGGGAAGATATCCTGATACAGGGGTTCAGCTTTTGGGAAGGAGGATAAGCGCGCTCGAGTGGGTAGAAGGATAACATACTTACCGTCCAGTGTCAGACTATCAGCTTGATCAATCCCCTCGACCAAATGTCGCAATTCCGGGACGACCCCTGCAAAACCTCCGAAAGCTATTCCGTTACCTCATAAAGTCCTATGATCAGAAAAGTGAGAAGCTCACCACCATCCACATGAAGCCAAGCATCATATCTTTTACATATCCTACCCACCTCTGAAAGTCCTTGACCAAATCCACCCGTATTGACCTCTCCTAGTCCGTATGTCACTATGACTCCTCTTCCGACTTCTCGCTCCTCTTTCAATTTCTTCTCCAAGACTTCCAAATCAATAGCCAGCTCATCGTCTTGTCTTGGTGCCAGTTGTTGTACGACCTCTGGTCCTGCTCCTAACCCGACCAAGGCTGCCGCTTTGAGGATCGAGAAGTGAGGATGAAGACCGAGGATTATGATTGGTGGTCCAGTCAGATTTGGTACAGAGGGCGGACCTCTCTGAGCGAGTGAATACCCGGGAGGAAGATACTTATAATTGGCATAAAGATGATCTCTCGCACATGCTGATTTATCAGTAAGGGAAGATTGGATAGTGAACCTAAGACTGACCCAATCCAAGAACATTGGATGCTGTAGCACCCGTCGTGATTGTCCTTCCTTGATATGCATCCCTAGATATGTGTAAAAGATCAAGTGCCAACTCTAAAGTTCTCGCTTCGATAGCCACACTGGCGGTGGTATTGGGCATATACACTTGCACATTCTCATCGTAAGAGCTCAACAGCATATCTGTCAACTGAGCGGCGGGGGTGACACCACCAACTACGAATCCAAAATATCGAGGGCCATTTTGAGCTTGTAATATACCTGGAAGGACGGAAGAGAAGAGGTGTTGCATGGTGCTGTCTGTTCCCCTACCTTCCTCCGGGAGTGTCTCAGGAAGAGAAGAGAGGGCAGTGGAAATGGCGTCCCGGCTGGGAAGGATGGAGGTGTGTGAGAGAGTAGTATTTCTGTGAAGTATATGGGATACAACGGTGGATAAACCCATTTCGAACTCGTGTTGATCTTGAGAGGACATGGTGTGAGATTGTTCTCGAGATAGATGCAAGGCAAGCATTCAAGCAACTTTTTGGAGACGCAATCGAGTCCGGCAATAGCGGAGCCCCACTGTCTTCTGTAATAGGCATGTGCCCTTGCTCGATGTTGGCGCGCCTAACTACGCACGAGACTCGGTGGCTTCCGCCTCGATGCAAGGAGCCAAGAAGTTGTTTCTAGACTATGACTGGATGACAAACCGAGACGACATTATGACTTCTAGGGAATCGATGACTGGTCCTGATGGTGCGAGTGGGAGTAATGTGACTCTAGAGTAGGTTCTCGCTCTCTCAGGAGTACATACAGTGATACAGACACTGACGTTCCAGATACACACTCCGAGTGGCGTGAGTCTTATTATTCGATGTCTCGCTTTGGGGCAAGACTCATACAGGTCGGGAGACACAGGTCATGGTGGCTGATTGAAAGATGTCTTCAATCACATATCGACCAGCGGGCTCTTCAACCCAAAGAGCCCGAAAAACCCATAACGCCCATGACCACACCCTCTCGACGGAGTAATGAAGGATCCACAAGCTTTTTCGCCTTTGACCTGGGGAGTCTGATGGGGAGAGACTCTTCGAAGAGCCCCAAATACCCAGAGAAACTATTGAAGATTATGGATGCTTCGCTCAAAAGAACTGCTATGGGTCAAGAGCCAAAGTGAGTTGACGTCAAGCTGAGGCTATAACGCCCGTGTCAGGATATCACTAGACATAGGTCATAACTTGTTAGATGGCGAGGGAGGCACGAGGTATAGAACGAAGTATTGTGCTCACACTCAGATTCTCGGACAACAGGTTTCGTCGTTCTGCCGCATCGTTTTGGGGATCCGTCTGGGCCGACAAAACCTTTCAACGTCAACAACGAGAATCTAGAAAGATTGAAGATCTCATTCTCGCTTTTGTCACCGCCTGCACTAAAGTGTTGAAGAAGGATGAAGAGCTAGCTGATGGGGCTTGGAAGTTTGAACTCAACACACAAATATCTCTCTTCCTTGAGCTCGTCTCGGACTCCCTCGCTTCCACCGGACAAACATCTCCAGAACTCGCCAGTAGAATAGAAAGTTACAGAGCGAGGCTAAAGCCCGAGCCCGAAAGAGTCAGCAGTGACAGGGGTCATGGAGAAAGCGACGTCATCAGCGTCAAGAGCTCTAGGAAAGGTAAAGAGAAAGAAGATGATATAAGGGGATGGCAGGTGGAGGAGGTAGCCAAGGTTTGGGGATTGACGGAGGAGACGATAGGGAAGAAATTGGCGGAATTGAAAGGGATATGTACAGAACAAGCTGCCCTGGAGGATCTCAAGGTGAGTCTTTCACACGCTGCTATGTCTGCGCCCTCTCTCACGCCTTCTTCTCATGTCATGCATGGTGGGTTTCATGAGAAAATTGACTAGCAGTCTTGTCTGAAGAGACTCAACACCGACAACCCCTTCCCTTATGGTCCCTCTGATTTCTCGGAACCATCTCGCTGGACCTCATACAGATCACTAGAAGTCTCGTCCCTCTCTCAAATGATGCTCCTCATGATGCAAGCCAACCCTTCCCTCACACAGTCCACTACCGATCGCGATCGTGACCGGCTATCTTCTAGCGACCTCGCCTCTCGAGTCGATAATCTTCGCCTCGATGCACCGCCCATATCCTTCGTTTTTATTCCTCCAGATCCCCGACACGCATATCGAGAGTTGCTCGAAAGATTACTCGACTTTGACCTCGAGGTGTTGAAGACTTTACCCGAAGATGAGGATGTTAGTCTGGGAGTCTTGACTCCGGATCATGTGGCGTTGCTGAGTGAATGTGCGATACGTTGGAGACTGCCTGCTAGTTTTCGAGTTTGGTCGTTTCTTGACGCTATGGTAGAGCGGTGCGAGCAGGGGGCAGTGCCGGCGGCTTGTGTATTGGAGGCGGGTGCTATAGTGGATAAAGTCCGGCTGGATGCTCCAGAGGATACTTGGGCTATATCAGATGTGAGTCTACTTCTTCCATGAATCATAATGACTCAGTCACTCCCCCGTTTCTATCGACAATGACCTCTCCGTGCTAGAATCCTCGGATGCGAACCGAGTTGTAGAGCTGTGAGAACATGGACTGATACTTCAGCGCGAGGGATGGCAGCAAGCGCTCGTCCGACGGAACATCTGTCTTTACTCTGCAGCCCAAGTCGCTCTCGAGTACTCGGGTTACCATTCACCTGACTTCATGGAAGCCGTCACAGATTACCTCGCACTCGAGTCTCGCGACATCAGTCATTCGGAGTTGCAGCGTTTATCGGACAAAATCATAGATGGCATACGAATGCAAGCGTACGAGAGTTATGTGGCACATGCAACCGAGAGGATTGAGCATTGCGGAGGTAAGACGAAGGAGTTTGCTCTTGCAATGGCCGTCTGGATAGAGAAGGAGGCGAAAAAGTTGAGTAAAAAATTTGGGGATAGTCTTAACGAGTGAGCCCATCACATCTTCTGTTCCGACTCACTGGCTTGGTGACGAGCCTTGGAAGTAATGCTGACCGTCAGCAAAGTCGACATCGTTCCTCTGGTCCTGCAACAACATCTCCGTCTCTGGTTCCAAGACCTTGAAGATGCTATGGTATCGAACCCCCACCAATCTTCCACTTCCAATCACGTCAACGAAGATCTGATGGAAGAATCCTTCATCGTATATCGGAAGGCACAAAAACTCATAGAGATGGCTGAAGCTTTCGCCGTCCCAGGCGATCCTGCTCATTATCCCCTCGCACCTCTTTTCGAACTTACTATCCGACAGTGGATCGATCAGACTGCACTCAAAACGCGCATGTGGGCTGATCAGGCATTATCAGTGGACACTTTTGAGCCGACATCGGAGAACGGTCCTTCGTCCAGTGTTACAGATTTGTTCGAGTCGTTCAGGAGCGCAGCGAGATTTCTTATGGAGCTCAAATGGCCTGATGAGAAGCAGTTGGCGATGTTCGCCACTAGGTTGGCCAAGGTGAGTGACGGCTTCGCATTGTGAAGTGCACGACGGCGGTTCAGAACGCTATGGTGCAAGAAGTTTGTGTGATTCGGAGCTGATATGACAGATCTTCAGCTTGTCTATAAATGATTATTGCAACAAGATGGAACAATTGTTTGCTCGGGATATGTCACAAGGGGAGGTAGTGCAACCTGCTCAGACGGCCGCGAAACAGAAGGCTTGGATCGAAAAAGCCAAATCTACACTAGCATCTTTACAAGGAGAACGGAAGATACAACCATTTTTCAACTTTACTCCTGCTGTGAGTTCCATACTAATTCTCCGATCATCTCCTCACTTTTACTTCTGAGCCTTTGAAAGTCTGCTTGAGGGCAACTATCATGTCCGCGAGAAGACGTCAGAGAGTCGAGCTGATCATCAGTCTTGCGTCAAGCTGAACAACATCGAAGCCGCTCGCCAACAACTCGACATGTTATATGCCGACCTGCGTGTCGATGATCTCGCAGCATATGATCTTTCTCCTCCCCTTCACCCCAATCAACAAATCTATCTTTTCACAGTCAAAATTGTCCTCGCTGAAGGATTATCAATGGACGGTAGTACAAAAGCTCCAGACTCATTCGTGATCCTTTCGGACGAACATGGGAATCGATACGCCAAGACACGCACGATATACGACGATACGGATCCGAGATGGGATGAGACTTTTGATATTCCTGTCCAAGGGACTGCGTGGTTCATGGCCACGGTACGACACCGTGCCGCGGTTGGTAAACATGATCTACTCGGAAGGACGTATTTGCGATTGGACCCCAGTCAACATCAAGATCTGATCACCAGCGATGTACTACTTCCATTAGATACTCGGGGACATGTATTATTGAGAGTGTCAATGGAGGGAGAGAGGGATGATATTCAATTCCATTTTGGTCGAGCTTTCAGATGGCTCAAAAGGACTGAATCGGATATGGTTCGAACCTTTGTAGACAAGGTACTTTCCCCTGAGCCTCCACAACCTCCGACGATTCTTCTTGTGATAAGTCATAGAGAGATGATGGCTGATCACAACAGATGACTCCAGTCCTTCGTCATGCTCTTTCTCGTCAAACTATCAAGTCCGTCCTCAAACCACACACCTCCCTCACTCCAGCTTTACCGAGAGATTATAACGAAGCACTAGGTAAACTCTCTGCGGCATATCGAACAGCCTTAGCTTCCTCCTCACTCGTTCCGACCACCACAGACGGTCCTCTCATCCCTCCAGTTGCTGAGAGAAAACGTCCCCCGACCGACGCCGAAACAGAATCCGCCATTCATCCCTTATTTGACTACTTGGACGCCAACAATCACACTCTCGCTTCTACGTTGAGTAAAGAAGCCATGCAAATGGTGATGGCCAAATTATGGAAACAGATATTGATGACTATTGAGAGTCTTATCGTCCCTCCTCTCAGCGATAAACCTTCGTCTATGCGAGAACTGAGTGATGGAGAATTGGATATAGCACTCAAGTGGTTGACTTTCCTCAGAGATTTCTTTTACGTCGGTGGGGATGAGAGTGGGGTACCATTGAGCGTTTTGCAAAATCAGAAGTTTAATGAAATTATGAGTGTTAGGATGTTGTATGATCTAGGAACTGATCATTTGATGGAGGTGAGTTGGTATTTTTCTTCCTTCACAACATACATTGTTTCCGAATCTCTTAGCAAGGGTCCATGTGGAGCAGTGAAAATCGGTCATGATCCTCAGAGTAGGGCGTATGAGTCAGTATACCTCTGCACAAGTAGATCGTGATGTTTGAAGCGAGGCGTATGATCCAGAATGGTTTGCACCGATCGGTCATGGGGTTCAGAAAAGGATGTATGAAGCCAGTATGGTCTGCCTCGATCGATCATGGCGACTCATGGTTGGATGAATGGTTTTTGGAGGATCAGGAGGGATGATTTAATGTGGAACAAGTACAGTACATTACTGATGAGTAGGAATGCGTCAGAGGGTTTCAATCAACTTTGAAATCCCGTCAAACGAGGAGAGGAAAGAGTATGATTTCTCAGAGGAATTTGGGTACCATAAGAGCTCGTAAGACTGCAAAGAGACAATTACCTCCAGCGGCGAATAGTTCAGAAATGATCATGCGGATTTTACGGATGCGGTGGGTTATGTTTCATCTGCCTTTTTACCCCGTATCTTCCTCTCTTTCGCCCGATCCACCTGTTTCTCTTTACAAGTCCCTCTCTGCTACGCGAACTCTCGTAGTGCTAATCCCCCCCCCCCCCCTTACCTCACGCCTACTCCGTCGGTCGTCGGATCGTCGGGAGCGGGCATGACTTGGATCTCAGGATTGGGTGAGAGAAAGATGTGCAGCTGATCACCAGCTCTGGAACACAAGAATTCCTAGCTCAACAACTACAAACCATGTCGGCTGTGAAACTGATTGACCCGAAGAAGAATCGAACGTTGACACGCGGTAGTCTGGGGCGATGACTCTCTGACTCTCTCCGTGTTCGCGTCGGATCATGGAGCGGTCGATCATGGAATCACGGATCACACGCTAGATTAGCCCGTTTGACGTCTCATGGGTCTAGTGGCGCACATGAAACAAGGGTTAGGGTATCGTTTCCAAGCAGTGGGGGGATCGTCTTATCGTTATAGTTACAGCGTTGTAGCATTGCTGCATTATTCTTTGACTTTGCTGCGTTGGAGATGATTGTTCCTAGTGTACAAGTGTAGGACATGCTTGTTGATAATGAGGATATACTCGTACTAATTTGAATGTTGTGTACTGATGTACCTTGGAAGGCCTATAGTGTAAGGTGGTTACTTGGTACACGGGCATTCCTCCAATGTACCAATGTGGTTCCTTGGAATAAGTAGTCGATCGAAGGAATGATCCGCCGCGGCCGTAAATTAGGCGCCCCCTTTTGCCCCTTCGACTACCCCCACATGCTCGTGCTCTCGATCGAGAAGTTTTACATACGACGTGTCTATCGCGATCTATCGGCTGTCAGTCGTTCCATGCTCCATGCCCATGCTCCACTACTTGACATTTATGTATGCCTTCCATCCTCCAACCTTCCAACCTTCCAAGTAAGATTGACAAAGTACAAAGGGGATGAGGTAAATACCATAACGTCATTCCTACTTCGGTACTCGCGGCTCAACCTTCCCAATTTTTCTTCCCTCGGCCTACCGGCTTAGAAGACAAACTTACATACCCGTCAACCATCTTCTTCTCACTCCGCTCCGTCTTCATCACCGCTTTCAACTCACTCCGAAGTCTTCTAATCCTACAACTCCATCACACTACCTTCCTTCTCATTTTCATCCTCTTCGTCTTCCCTCATTAGTCAATTCTTGAATTTGTAATCAAAATTCACCCCTACGTCACTGAGAATACCATCTTAGTAATCAAATTCTCGGTGGGAAACGATGATTAATCCTCTTTCCTACGTAGGTGGATCATACCAACCTATTAACGAACTCAATGGACTTCCTTCCGAAAACATGCAACAACAAATCATACACCCTCAGAAACCCTTGCCAGGTAAGACAGGACATGATCGTGATAAAGGTACGGAAGGAGAAGGAGTTGAAGCAAATGGAGGTAATGGAGGAATTGGGAAATGGAAAGATGGACCTGTAAAAAATGCTTGTTTGTCATGTAGGACTAAGAAGGCTAAATGTGATGGTACCAGACCTATATGTGGACAGGTGAGTACTTTTTTTGCCGATTTGATCTTCATACATACATGAGAGAAGAAGACTGGTCATCATACAACTTTTCGAGATTTATCTTTTCTTCCTTTAGTCTAAACCCCCATTATGATGTTCGAGACCTTTCCCGAGGCCGCAAGTGCTTCATTGCGGTTATGGAATGATTTCTTCATATCCATGATACTCATGATTAAGGGGTAGTAAACATCTGTAAATTTCACTGGTCTTTTGTCAGAATGGTAGACAAGAAAGGCGTCAATCGTTAGATGGATAATGAAAGGCATGAAGAGTGCGTAGGGATAGTCATGTGGGATTGCGCACTATGAGCAGTCATCATCGTGTGGTGTCAGGATTAGATCGAGGACTCTCATACCCCGGTGGTCGTTCGTCGCCACCCATGCTGGCATCCGTGGGCGTCATGACTTTGCTAACGATCAGTGTGTCAAAAAAGGAGCCGAATGCGTGTATGTTAAATCCAGACGTGGAGGTGCGAGGAGAAAGAGAGAAGGTTGGTTCCCCCCGTGGCTCTAACTTCTGAGAATACGATGATGCTGACCTGCCAGCGATGGTCACACCGTCCGCTTTACAGGAATTTCTAAAACGACTCGATGGTCTTTTAGGTATACCAGAATTCAATCTCGCTCCAGCTCCTTCCAACATGCCCACCGACACTACCAACATTCTCCGTCGTTTCTCTTCCAGGGATGAGATGTGAGTTACTTGCACAGATTGTGTGTAGTTCGTGACTCACGGACTAGTCTACGATGTTACTACAACGAAGTTCACCCTTTCTTACCAGTCATGCCACCTCGACAATACATGTCCGAAGTTTCACGATGGCTTCTCCCAGAATCACCTTTTCTCTATGCCGCTCAGACCATTCTCACTCTCGTACCCCATGGTCTCGACCCTCGACCTGCGTCGGCAGAATCAAAATACATTCGTTCTCGAGCTTCTCGCGAATTGGCCAACAAGACCATGGCTCTCATAGACCGTATGGAAGATCCAAAATCTCGAATCGAATGTGTTCAGGCTCTTTCCATGTTGTCTCTCTGGGAATGGGGTTGCGCCGCTAATCCTTCTCAATCCAGAGCTAGATCAGCGCAAGCAGTTCAAATAGCCATGGAATTAGGTTTACACGAATTAGATCGTTTTGCCATTGCTTCTGCTGGAACGGGAGTCAGTGGGGGTAGAAGTATGGAAGGTGTGGATTGGAAACAAGATATGTCAAGAAGAACTTGGTGGTGTGCTTATGTTCATCAACTCATGTCTTGTATAGTATCAGGTGCTTCTCCAGTTTTATCAGCAACGGATCCTCGAATCAAAGTCAATTTCCCAGTTTGCGCAGTCAACGATAACGCTTGGCCGAATTGGATTCTTACCATTCAACAATGTGCTACCGTTTTCGCTTTGGTCAATAACGCGTATTATTCTCAACAAGTTCAATCCGCAGCATGGGGAGAAAGACCTGTGGAAATGCTTTTGGAAGAAAAGATCAAAGTTCATCAAGAAATGTTTGAAATAGATCGACAAGTTATGGAACTTATGCAAGAAGCAGAAAGAACAAGTGTTATCGAACTCGTTCCTGGTGGTGAAGAAGAAGTAGTCCGGAATCAACAATTATCAGCAAGATTAGGATTAGCAGTAATGCACATTCATATTCATCGACATCAAGCTTTTCCAGAAGTTTCTTTATTCAGTAAAAGGATTTGTGGTCTACCGATCAATACCGATAATAACACCTCAACTCCTGCTCCAAGTACGAACAGTTCAAATTCTGCGAAAGGAATTTTACATCCAGATATGAATCATATAAATCCTTTACTCGTTTCTTCTCCACATCACGAATTATCATATGGAGCAGCCAATGAACTCATCGCCAATTCTATGATCAATCGTTCAATTTCACCAGAATCAAATTCACAACATTCTCAAGCTCCGATCCAAAATCTAGCTCAAAACCAAAGTCAGAAACAAAACCCTCTATTATCGACATTTTATCAATTATCAAATGATATGTGGCAACCTGAAACTTATCCAGATTCTTTACCTGCACCTTGGTTTTCTCAACCGAATGGTGCGGCATCTCTTTACGCTCCAGTCGAAGTTTCACCAAGACATTTACCTCCTTTGGTAGGATATCAACCTGTTCCACCTTTAAACCAATCGCCTGCATCTTCAAACTCACATCTCTTGTCTTCACCGGCGGATAGAAGTAGATCGGTCAGTACGGATGGTGGAAAGAAACATAATAAAGCATGGGGTGTGAGTTCGGAAGATAAAGTTGTTGCGGAAGAAGCAAACATCGATTCGGCTGCTATTGCCAACAGAACGATTTTCCCACCTGGTGTCAGTTTGGCGAGATGTGCGACGGCTGCACATACTATTGTGAGGTTGGAGGTTTTACATAGAAGTGCTGTCATTGCCATGTGGGAAGGACCGTGAGTTTAGTCTCATGTGCTCTACCTCATCATCCTCGTCTCATTTTCATTTTCATTCTCCTGATCTTGTCTCCACCTCCTGTGTATCCTTATCCTCTTTCTTGTCTCGTCTGCCCCGTCTCTACGCTCTCATCTCCTTCATCTGGTCTCCCAATTCACCCACGACTATGATAGCCTCCCACCTCTTCTACTACCATCAACTCGTTCCGACAGTTTCTTCTGTGAACGGAGGAAAACAACTTTCAAAACAGAGCTGACCAATCCAGACCAAAATGGCTCCCCTTCTGCGCTTGTGGTCTAGTCACAGGAGCCTACGCTTTCCTTTTACTAGCATTAGCATGTCAACAACAAACCATGCTTCTCGGTTATCCTCCCGATCATATTTCTGAAGAAGTCGACGCTTTGTTGAATAATGTGAGAGTCATCTTGGCTGGTTTGGATGCGTATGGTGTCATGTGGGCAGGAATTGAGGTAATGGCTGGTGAGTCGCATCCTACTTTCATCGACCCAAGTGTATTAGGGCGTCCCTCATTATTACACAGTAATTTCACTTTTTCGCCTCGTACATTGAGGATGTCCCAAACCCTTTCACAACCGTCACTGTTTTGGCCGAGCGATGTCATTCTGCCTTGACCATCCTCATCCTAATCAGTGAATCTGCGATGGAGGCTAATCGCCAGGCGAAGTTCGTGCAGCATTAGAAGCGGCAGTCAGATTACCTCATGATGTTCACGCTCAAATAATGTCAGCTTCAATAAGTAATTCTTCCACTCCTCCGAATCAGAGGGAGGTCTATAATGAAGGTGGGGAAGAGATGTACGAGTATGGTGAATATGAGTATGATAGTTGATCTGGTTGGGGTAAAGTTGTAGAAGATGATTTGATATATACATGACATGCTTTTTCTACCATACCAGTAGTCTCTTGTCCATAGCGCCTCACCCCTCACCGATCATGTCCTCAAGACGTCAGTGGTCAAACAGACACCATGGTTTAAACAGATAGATTCACAACCATAGGACTCAAGTCCGTCGCTGAACTGGTCGTAGAAATATACAAGTAAGGATGTGAAGCGATTGCAGGGCGACGAGAAGAGCAAAGCGAAAAGGGAGATGACGATTGAGGTCGAACATTAACGATCAGGACTCATGCATGATACCATGTACACGTACACCCATATGCCATCTAGATGCCGAGCTTGGTTCGACGCCAGTGTCGACGTTTGGCATTGTACTAGCATGTCAGCTTTGCTTCCTTGCCTCGTCCATGTCCTTCCGACTAGTCATCATTCCATCACTGTCCACTAGATTTCCGGACCTCCATGTCTTTTGAAAGTCACACTGAAGTTCTGCGTGGTCCGTTAAGCACGTAACGAGTAGTCACAGTCTCCACACAGACTCGTAAAGCAGTATGACAACCCGGGGAAACCAGCGGATCAAAGGGGGAAGGGGGTACGAGTTTGTGACGGAACGAGGATGCTTGAGGATTATAAAGAAGCTAAGTGGGAATTATTGAGAACACCATGAAGATGATCTGAGAGAAACGTAAGAGGGAGCAAGGACTAACCTGGATCTTGTCTGTCCATTAGCATGACATGGGCAAATGGATGAAAGGGACTCACTATCGGTCTTAAGCCTGAACCATTGAGGTATGGGACGGTTCTGCCTCGAAGCTTTGGCGAGCTTTTGTTTCGTTCTGAATGATTTTTGGGATGGCTAAGGTCAGTGAACACTCTATAACACGATCACTAGATAGTCCACCATATGAGACGAAGAGCGAGATGTTCTCTTGAGCTCTCTCCGATGCAAAACCCTTCATCGGTAGTTCTTCCCCCAAGACATCGACCCACTACCCACCGACGTAGATCATCGCGACGTGATGTGAGAGTACAAATTCCCCTCTCTCACACAGTGTAGGGTACATGGAGATGGAGGGACAACTCACCATGGTGATCAGACAGACTTTGGATGACCTCTGAAAGAGAAGAAGTGGAATTGTGGATGGTGTTCGTCGTTCGGCGAAATTTCTCTAAAATCCCGGGATCAATGTGGCACTTCATCATCTTTGCCGGCGTTTCCGGAGAATCTTACTGTGGCATCAAAAACACGCGTTTTACACGTGGCAAAATCAACGCGCCACTCTCATGTGCCGATCGCGTCCTTGGTTGACTGGACCCTTTTTCGACCTTTCACCTTCTCTTCATCTGCACTTTGCTTCCTGCCTCTTTGACTTGTTCTTTCTTGCTTTCTGATCATTGTTACTCTTATTCTTATCCATATATCACTCTTAAGACACGAAGACTGGCCTCGGAATTTGAGACGATATCAGAGATTCAACACCAATTGAACGAGAAATAAAGTAGGCTGGCGCGATGCTCCTCACTGAATTGATTCTTTCCAAACGCGGACCGTTGGCAAAAGTATGGTTGTCAGCGCATCATGAACGGAAATTGAGTAAACAGCAAGCTTTAGGTGTCGATGTGGAGGAATCTGTCGGTGAGTTGATCATTTCCCCATCTCTCTGACCTCTGTTCCTTGTTTCGGTTCCAAGAGGGATCTTGCTGACACTTCACTTAGATGCCATCTTAACTCAAGATCAAGGCCCGATCACCCTTCGTATGTCCGGTCAACTCATGCTGGGAGTGACAAGGATATATTCTCGTAAAGTTCAATATCTCCTCGACGACTGTAAAGAAACACGTGAACGTATCACTCTAGCTTTCCGACCTGGTGTGGTCGATTTAGCTCAAGACCAAATTCGCGCTTCTGCACAAGCTATCACTTTTTCTTCCGGTACAGATCATCTTGATCTCATCGATTGGACATGGGCCGCTCCGACAGATTACGCACCTAGGGGATCACACACCGCCCCACCTGCCAAAACACTCCGACCCGCCGGACGGGAATTTGGAGCTTACAATTTCGGTAGACCTCCTGCTGGGTCAATATATGGTGGATCGACAGCTTCCCGTCAGAGCAGTCAGGATGATACAAGTCATTTGGATAGTCAGGATTTCTCAGGGATCGATTTGGATCTACGATTGGAAGATTTCGACAGGAGCAGTGTTGAGTTTGCCAGAAGAGCCGCGACACCGCTCAGTTTGACAGGAAGGAGTGCTAGGAGTGGGAGTGCGAGAGAAAAGAGTTTTGGTGGGTTAGGTGCGATGGATGGGGATGTGTCATTTGAACCTATGGATCTTGGATTGGATTTTGATCTTCCCTTGGATCTACAGCCTCAAAACGTTCAGCTGGCAGATGGAGATGACAGGTCTAGAAGACAGTGTACGTTGACTCCATCTTCATCACATAGCTCACATCGCGGCCTCGACATAGGACATAGTGTATGATGATAATGACTGACGATCAGCAAGCGCCCTCTCGACTCCTCCACCAAGCTCACCTCCTCCAACGCTATTTTTGGCCAAACCTGCCGAAGCAAAATCCAAACGACCCAGACTCGCTCAAGCCGACGACGATATCGAATTGCCCGACGCCGTCTTCGCTCCTAATCGCGACATCTCCGCTCTCCTCATCCCTGAACGTTACATCCCCTCAGACCCCCAAATGATCTACCTCGAATCTATCATCTCTGACCCTGGAGCCCACTTTTTGCCTTCCGTCCGAGTTGGTGACGAGACGAAGATCTACGCTGGTCCGTACGGTCTCTCATCAGAATTAGCCGATTTGTTCTCCTTCCCCTCAAATATCCTTCGTCGTGACACCTCTGATCAAGTGGATGATGTGAACGAGGAAGACCCCGAACGAACTCCCAAGCGCGCTAGAATGGGTACAGAAGCAGAAAGTTCCGTCCCGGATGTCGAAGTAGCTCGTAGAGCCAGTGCGGTCCCCTCAGAATTCGGTTTCCCCACTCCAGGAGGTGACTTTGACATGTCCTTTGGACCAAACGAACCGTTCGAGATGGGGATGGATGAGGGACCTCTTTTCGAGACTCCCAAGAAAATTCCTCAACAATCAAGAATACGTTCACCGTCGTTGGCACCTAGCAGGGCGGAGAGCATTGCCAGACAAATACAATTCGCCGATGATGGGAGTCATCCGTTAGCAATGTTCGATCCTAGAATGGGAGAGGTGGAACCGGAGAGTCAGAGTTTGTTAGGTGAGACGCCGAGTAAGAGTAGTGTGGTGGAGAGTAGAGGAGCGTACTCAAAGAATACAGGTATGGCTATGGGTCTCTTGAGAAGAGAATTGGGGAGTGTCGAGGCGGATAAGAAGGTGACTTTTGGGACAGTCGCGGACAAGGTGAGTTTAAGTGTTCTCTTCTTCTTGAGATCTTCTCCCATTCCCCTCTTGACTTGTTCACTGGCATCTTGAGTTTTTTCCACACTGTCCACTCATTCTGACCCCTCGGGGCCGTCGTGAGGAATCTTGTGTGAGAAGGTGCAAGGCTGAGAGCAGGCTTCTCGTCGAGCGGCAGCAGCTTTCTTCTTCGAACTTCTCGTTCTCGGCACACGCGACTGTGTTTCGTTGGAACAAGACAAATCGTATCAAGATATCGAAATCCGGAGCAAAGAAAAGTTATTCGCCGAAATGACTGCTTGACGTCTGGTATCTTCTTCAGCCTCATCATTCTATCAATCTATTCGGTTTCAAAACGACGTTTCATGATATCAAAATGTTTCAACAGTGGTATAATCCTATCTCGATTAGTAATGCATCTTGTTTTCTATTCCCACGCCAGACGATTCGAGGCTCGCCACGAATCTTCATCGCTTGTCGGGACGTAGAAGTATATTCGTACGCCTGCTCGACGATTTCGCCCGTTTGGGACAAATTCCTACGGATCCTTTCACTCGTGTTTGATCAAAAGGGGAAAAGTCTCGAATGTTCCTTCCCCGCTAAAAGTCGGATCAATGGATCTAGGGTTTCTCACATGAACCAATGTCTATAAGATAGCTGATAATTCTCAGTGCTGCTGACTTTGGGACTACCTCTCTTGCCACTAACTCACAGTGTATACCACATACGGATCACCTTCTCATCGAGCATTTCAGTCCGAGACTGTGGTACAACCAGAGAGTCATGACGAAGAGTGGAGGTTCCGGGTCCGGCACATGGTCTAGTCGGCTTCAAACTTTACGGCTGCCAAAAGCCATGTCGACCGAAGACATGATCCGATCATTCGTACATGAGCCACCCATGCATGCAGGTGAAATTCATTTGGCTAGAACGGTCAACATTATCTCTGCTGAAGCTGCTGACAGTAGCGGCATGCCTGATGGTCCACCACTGCTGATGAGGTTCAGTCCTTCGAGATCAATGTCGTCGAGCTTCCCTCATTCATTGGCAAAGCGTCCTGGGCCGTTGACGCGCGCTTTGTCTTTGATATTGACCAAACCCGACAGCAGAGGTGATCGCGATGGCAGAAGGACCAAATCATCGGGATCATCAGGGAATGACATGGGTGCACCATCGATTCTGAGTCGGTTTTTGTTGAGAGGTAGACCACAATCCGCACCTCCCGAAGCGCTTGTGCCTCGGTCGCCTCCCGATCTCTCCATGGCCTTCTACCAACCTGAAACTCTCCAACACTCTGGGAGTCCAAGTTCCCGGCTTCCGTCGTCTTCCCCTCTAACTTCTTGGCAACACGACGATCACGACGGTCGACTAGAATTACCGGCGAATGACGCTATCGAGAAGCCCCCGCAAGAAGAGACTTCTCGCAGATCGAGTGAATCGGGACATTCGGGCCAATACAGGTCTTCGATCCTGTGAGAAGATCCAGGGGTGGAGATGCAATATATATCTCAACGGCGTATAGTCTATCAACGTAAACGTCAACATGTTCTCCAGCGTCAACATATTCCCCCATTGTCACATTGACCAATGTCATGTGTTGCAACCCGGTAATCTTCCCCCTCGGTTCACGAGTAGAGCAGTATGAGGCACAAGGTATAGTACACATGGATGAAATGACTAATTTCACTGATACTCCCGATTGACTGAAATGACTAGTTAACTAAGTTATCCTACCCAGCCGTCCGCTCGCGTCCGGACGTCGTCCGCCACAAAGTCACGTGACACCCCCCTTTTTGCCCATAGCGTCCGAGGTCCCGTCCTTGTAACCGCGGTTACAGGAATTACACCATACAAACAGCCGCGGTTACAGACCTTCTCGGGTTCCTGAGTGTGAAAAAAGGGTTACAATGAACAATGCAACGTTATTTTCACTATCTGCAACTGTCTTTCATCCATTTCAGCTCTCTACCACCTGCTTTTGCTTTATTCAACTATATAATGTCTCGTCAAAACCGTCTTAACGCTACTATACATGATGAGATTGCGGATTGTTGGAATACGTCAGATAATTGGCGTGAAGACTTTGGGGAACTTGAGAAAATGAGTAATGCTTCCTCAACACAAGCTCATTACCAAGTACGCATACGAAGATGGCAAGAATGGTGTCAAAGAATGAAGTTTAGCACTGGGTACGTGACTTTGTATGAGTTGGCCGACGTCGGCCGACGTCGGCGGCAGATTGCTTGATGGGGCAAAGTAGGAACGATCAAAAGATGCTAATTGTTCCAGAGATACGGTTACACCGGAGTACGCCCTTAGATGGATATATACACAAGTGTTATTTTACCCCAATAATCGTACAGATACACGCAAAAGAGAACGTCAAAGTACCCCTGAGGAAGCAGAGACCTCAGTTGCTGGAGCAAGAAGAGCAAGTTCTGACCTACTACCAACATGCTCAATCGAAGATGTTGAAACAAGTTTGGATACGTTGGAAGAAAGTCAACTACGAGCTTTAGATGTAGTTGAAGACCTAACTCGAGGAGAAAAAGTGCCTACAACAACAGCTAGAGAAAGTGGTGTGTTCACTTGCTAACTGTGATATAAAGTGCTTGCTGAATGCCAGTTTTGTTAAAGCTTAGCCGAATGACGCAAAGTCAAGCGTCAATCAAACTGCATGTAGCTGCTCTGGTCAGTCTATGGAAACAGCAGAAATACAAAGGCATGAACAGTCATCCTCATCCGCGCTCGGCAGCAATGAAAAGCCTTTTGTTAGTCTTAAGACGAGTAGATGAACAAACGAAAAGGGAAATGTTTATCGATAAAACAAGTAGTAAGTAAGCACAGTCAAGAGCCTAATTGATTATTAGATACAATTTTCGACGGATATCAAAGTAGAAAACAAATTGAGGATTGCTTCAGTGCTTACGTCTCTCGAAATACCGAGCAAGGCCTCCGTGACGCTGTTGCTCACGCTCTAGGCCTGTACGTGCTCTACCGGGGCGATAACCAACGAGGCATGGAACTTTCAGATTTGGCGTACACTGTGTGGGATAACGAGGGACCAACACCCATGTTAGTTGTTGTGTGCGTTAGTAGACGTGGAAAAGTCAACAAGCATGGCAAAGTAGAGTATTCGGGGTTAATACGCAACAAAGACGTTTTCATGTGTCCTGTGGGGATCTTAGCAGTTTACTTGTTTGCTCGGTGAGTGAATGTCAGCCGACGTCGGCCGACGTCGGTTTAGCTAAACTAATATGCGTGTTAATTCACTTAGATTTCAGGCCGGCAGCCTTGGAGACAATGGATTTCCCAACCTTGCTTCTCGTGAGACGTGGTACAACGATAAACTCCTCCAACATTCAATATATTCTCGTACAGATCAACTCACGTATAAAGCACAATATGATTCAATTACTCAGGCTCTTAAAAGCGCTCAAGTTAATACGGGAAAGAAGACACATATCAATAGAGCCGGAGGAGCTCAGCTCGCAGAAAGTGAAGGTGTATCAGCTCAAGATATTGCGCGTGCAGGCCATTGGAATCAAGATGTTTTGGAAAATGTCTACTTGGGTCATATGCCTCGTTCAGTATTACGTGCATTGGCCGGGTTTAAGCCTTATGGAAGCCAAGACTATTACCTTCCGCGTGATATTCCTGTACCGGACACTTTACAGAGAATGGTATTTCCTTCTCTTGAAAAATGGTAAGCAAACCTCGTTTGTAAACGCATTGCTCATGTAAAGGGAACTGGATCTTTCCTTACGACAAGGTGACGCTATAGACAGACAGGCTATGACGTTTGTTCAGCTTTTGAAACACCTTCGTAAGGTATTTTTTCAAGACATCTGCGCCTGGCGTCAAAAATACCCAGAGCTGTACCTTTGGTCGCATTCCCTGTTTCAAAATGACGAATTCAAGCAATGGGAAGCTTGTTATTTTGACACATGCTCTCTTCGTACGAATAGTCACGATCGTAGGCTAGCTGAAGCCATGCCACAACTTGCATCAACTCTCTCGGCGCATTTCATGAAGCAAACACAAGATAGTACCGAAATTCATCATAAATTGTCGTCTTTGATCACAACCGCTCAAAATCAAGACGTATCATTGAACCTTAACCAGCAGCAGCTGTCTCGGATCCTTGTCGCTTTAAGCCAGCCGATTATTTTACCTAGTATTCTTCAAGGAACTGAAATTACGGCAGGTGAAACACCCGTGCAATCAGAAACAACATCTCGCGCCCTGCAACCAACGGTACTGCTTGAAAACATTCCTACATCAAGTACAGCAGCAGAAGGTACAGCTTCACCTCTATTGACCGTAGTAAATCAACCTCGAGCTGTCTTGACGCCTTTCAGCCTGCTACGGACTTTACGGACCGTAAATCAAGTTTGGGAAGAATATAACACCGGCTTAAACGGCAAACCGTCTGCTAAAATGATGTACGAGAATCCTCAGCATCATTGGGGCGTTGGCGGTGACACAGAGCGGAGGTTTTGGAACCGACGTCTAGTCATTATTAATCAGATCAAGTTAATGGCTCAGACACGATCAATTACGGAAGACGAAGCTGCTAGGGATCTTGATGCGTTTCGTGTTCGACAGCGTCCTTCGTCGCTTAATGCTTTACATGACACACTGAAAGGTATGTCTGAGAGTGAAAAATTACGCCTCTAAAGCTATAACAATGACAAAAAACCGACGTCGGCCGACGTCGGCCAATGATGGTTTGTTGCGACCATAGTCACCCTCAAAGGATAGTTTCAAACTGTTTCATTGCAATCCCGAGCAACAAACATTGCAGGGCGTAGTTGGTTGAACAATTTTCTACGCAGACAGTGTAAACAAGTGTACACACAACAAGGATGTATTAAGTGTATTGTCGTGAATCTTAACCCACTATTTTCCACCTTTCTTCGTTAATTGAAACTTAGCTATAGCATCAAAATGTCGAATACACCACCTTCTTCCAAAGTACCTCCTCCCACGCCAAAGCGGTACGCAAACAAGGGAAGTCGTCGCAACAACACCTCTCCAGAAAAGGGAGGACAAGCAGTCGATGAATTTTTTTCAACAACAGTATTGAGTACGTTAGAAGCTTTTTTTGAGTCATTGACAGTATCTAATTAGTAGGTGCGTATGAACCGTTCTCATGGGTGCCGGGAACGAAATTTGATCGTCGTATTTTTCCTCAGGATAGCTCAAAGACATTGGCTTTACTGCCAAACACCTTGAAAGGCGAAGTGTGGGCTATACCAGCGAATAAAGAGTTAGAAATAGTGAGCTTGAACTTCTTATGTTAAAACTCGACCAGAACAATACTAATCAATGAAATTAGGTTAAGCGTCACCGTCTGGCGCACAACATCGTGTGTGGCCCCCAATCTATCATTCGTTCCGGCGTGGCAATGTGTTCACATTGCCAAAATCGAATAAATCGTGAGGATGCCGTATCCTTCGGTTGCATAACCGTCAGTGAGAAAGCACAATCAAGCTGTGCTGAGTGCCGTGCAAGAGGAACGAGCAATTGTGATTTTGGGAAGAATGTATTAGAAGAAGAAATTCTAGATGCGTCATTGGCCTCTAACCTTGTTGCCAAGCTCGAAGGATTAGAAGCAATTGTCAGTGGCTTTGGTAAGTACCAGTTAACAATTGTGTGTGCTATGCTAAATGAAAAGCGACCATTGATACCCCGATTCCACCTCAGGTCATTTTGTCGGCTTTGGGTCCCCTTACTCGGGACGGGCGTGCACTTGTTCAGCAGCTTAACGCTGCAGTAGCTGCTAATGTGTTGGACACCGACGATCCTTCCTCACGTCGTCGCCGTACCGCGGTTACCCTTCTTCCCTCGCCGGTGTTGGAACACGGACAACTTACAGGACTCAGTGCGGGCTGGAACGATGAAGGTATGTTTTTTATCACTCATTATTGTGTACAGCACTGACATTAGATATCACGATGGATGACGCTGCAAATAGACAGCTGAATACCGATCCTGCTGCTGCGGCTGCTACCTCTGGTCCTGCGCGGAACTTACGATCGCAACGCAAACATTCTCAGACTTTTGAACAACGTCTTCGATCTGCTCAAGGCTCCGGAAAGCGAGGGAAGTCTCGTCAGATTTCAGAAAGTAGTCGCTTGTCCACTCCCAACGATTTAGATCGTCAAACGTCGAACGCGAGTGGATCAGGTGCCGGGGTGTCAGACAAGGATACGCATGGCCATGATCAAACCATGTTAGAGGAGTTGGATGAAGATGGGGGTTAACTTTGTAGCAAATAGTTGATCAATGTATGCACATGCCATGACTGTCTCATCATTACATGCAAAGGTCGAAGACTTTCAGTAATTGCATGAAGCAAACAATGTTGATTGTTGAAATCGAAAGTCAATCGTAAAAAGCGATCGTAGGCCGACGTCGGCCGACGCCGGCTCACGTGGCACGGAAGATTTGGTTACACCGGACGGGCCCGGACGGCCCATATGGACCCCGTCCGGTCCCTATTGGCCCTGAGGTCGTGTAACCATTAGTTACCCGTACCGATCATACTTAATAGTCATGTTATGTTCGTATCATGCTACCATGCTCACTCCAAGATCTCATGATCTCATGATTCATGAAATCCGCTCGAGTACTCCTCCCGAAAAATGACATACAAATCCATCTTTTGTACTCCTTCTACGGTGGCCCGGTAGTCCTTCGAATTTCCCAAATTTCATTCCGCGTTTTCGATTCTTGTTGGACCAAATCCATGAACCATGGCCTGCATCCCTGCCCCACAGGACACTCTCAAAAGCTTAGACTTAGCCGATATGCTTATCAGATAGTGAAGAGTGTAACCCATGAATTTCATGCATGTAGCTACAGAAGGGACCTAGTAGGAGGGAGTGCTAGATGGTCTCTACATCAACAGTATGAGTATGTGTAGTTGCTGCTTTATATACTTGTAGTCAGTCTCAATGATTAGTGGAGTTGCAGCACAAGACAATGTTCCACTTCATTGAAGCTATACTACTTACCTTACCAGCTCTCATACAAATGGGAGTAAGAGGATCTGATGGGTTGTCCTATGTACAGTAAGTCAGTAGTGACGGAAGGTGGAAGGATAGATACCACGGATACTCCAGGGAAAGTGCCACATTAGATGTAGAAAGAGTGACTTTCTTCCAGGGGTCTTTCTGAGTGGTATGCACTGCACTGGGATGTAGCTACGGTCTGTAGGATCCCAACGGTGGTCTGAACATGTCTCTAGGTGTTTGCATGCATGAGTAATGGGGAAAGAAAGGATAGCATTTGAATCGAAAACGCAGAATCGAAAATGGTCGATCTCGAAGAACTATCGGGCCACCGTACCTTCGGCCGAAACGTCACTTCCTCTTTCTTCCCCAAAATCTCTATACCCCCAATCCCCGGGCCTCGGGACATGTCGTGAGAATTTCAAAGACGAAGACTATCCGATTCTCACCCGTTTCCTCCCGGTCGCCGGGGGGGTTTCAAAGGAAGTCCGAGAAATTCGCACAGACTATAAAGTCCGAGACTGTCTCTTCGTTTCATCGTGCGGCCCCGGCCCCAGCGGCCAGCGGCAGCGGGTGAAAACGCGCTAAGTGATCCACCCGAACGACCCGAAATGACTGAATGGGGTAAACGTATGACAGAGACAAGTTCGGCATACCCCTCTTTCCTTTTATATACCATCCGGGGAGGAGTTTAGATGAGGAAAGTGAAGGGATCAACTTGAACTTTCTCACCTACTTCAACTTCTATAAATCTCATGACTCTTTTCCTTGACTCCACTCTAAAACTCTTTACTTGATATCATCAAAAACAATATCATACGCACGACAACAAAACCACATACCAATATAATTCTTTTAAAAGGTTCACCACATTAATACTTGATTGTACCGATAAGAGGAGAGACGTCATGTCAAACCAGACGGATTCTTCATACATCACAAGGATCGTAATTCCAGGCAACAAAAGTATACTTCCAACTCGTGAATCGGCCGGCAGAATAATCAGAAGGGTAAAGTCTTCTGTCTTACCGAATTCTTCAGGGTACAGGTACTGCATTGACCCCCGGACTTGGAATTCCCCAGCTCAGAATCCCTCAAATCCGACGAACGTTCAGAGCCTAAGAAAGTCAGTTTCAAGTGCTTCTCTACAGAGGTCCTTGACCAAAGCAGCGCATACAGCCACGTCAGTTGTTAGGACCTTCACCAAACCCATCCCATCGGTATCACCTTCTGCTTCTCCGTCATTGCCCCCTCTCTCCTATGATTCTGGCAGTGTACCCATCTCGGCTCCCGACTTGGGTCATGATCCCGGGGAATTGGGCAATGCAAGCAACAGGAAGAACTCCGACAGGCGCACGTTGCACCCATTTCTTGCTGATTGGGGCCCGAACCCAAGATATCCGGTCGTAAATGGAAATTCGGTCAGAAAAAGTCGATCCTGGTGATGTTATGGAGAGAATAGGAGTAATTGACATGCAGATGATGCTATATGTATCACTGAGCAGCTATTCATCCACTGAATGAGTCTTCTTCCCCTCAAAGTGAAGAGTCCATGACAGAAGCTTTCTAGAGTTGACCTCCTCACCCGTCATCCTACCTGTCAGCGATTCCATCATAAGTCATGTCATCACCAACCCCTGAGCCATCTCACGAAAACACAACGTGAATAGCATTGACCCAGTGAGAAGTAAGATGTTTTTCGCAGGTTGTCAGTCATTAAAGAAAGAAGAGGGGTTAAAAGGTAGAAATAGAAATGAACTCACGTAATTCCATAAGTCAACGGAGCCTCCCATAAGAACATCCCTATCGTGACTAACGCCAACACTCCCACTACTCCTAAAGCCACTTTACTCATCCTCGCTCTTACTGCTGGTCGTAGTCTCGTCTTTAATCCAGCGACGGATACCGGGTAATTGACCTCTTCCACCAGAACGAAATTCAGGATTGAACCTGCTATCAGTGACGCGGCTAGATGAGCTGGGAGATAGTGATGAAGGAATCTCTGACGAGCCATGAGGAAGAAAGGGAAGTAATGGAATGCCCAGGCCCCGAAGAAGTAGCCAGTGTTTCTGTATAGACGATTTCGGATACCTATCAATGTCAGCTCAGGTCTGTCCCCCATTGAATTCCTCTCGCTGTCTCATCATGAACTCATGTCAGAGTCGAGTACGGTTCTACCTTATAATAGGGGCAGGGGAGAGGGAAGAGGAGGAAGTAGGAATCGGGGATACTTTGATGACTCACCCTCTTCTAAAGGCTCTATACCTCTCCTCCTAGCCAACTGTTCCGCCAGCACGATACCAACATAAACGCTGACCGATACCGCGGTTATCCACCATCCGATCAAATTCCCAATCATATAAATTTGTTGTTGTGTATCCCCATCTGTCCAGAAACTGATTCCACTAAGACAGAAAGGCCATTCGATAGGATTACTAGCATAAGGATGTTCCGCAGTCAAACCCGCATTATGTTGTAACATCAAAATTTGCAACTCCAAGAATTTCTTGAAAAAATTACGTTTCTTCACCACTTTAGGTTCTACGTGTCCGGTTCGATTCTTGAAATCCATTCCTTGACCATCTTCGATGATATCCTCGACGAACCAAGCTGTGGTACGATCTTGCATGTTCTTATTCCCATTCACTTCTTGTTGTCCGAAAGCCCATTCAGGTAATGCTTTGGCATGTGTCCATAAAAGAACTTTGGTAGGTACATGAATGAGTTTGAAATGACCTGAAAGAGATCGCCACGGTTCACCAGAATGAGCGTCGATAAGATTCAATTGGAAAAGAGTGTCATTATGTCTTTCTTCGTCTTCAGGAACGACGGTCGTGAATTCTTGATTGGTTGGCATTAGAGGAGATGCGACGTCATGAGTCAGGAGAAGAGTATCAGAGTTGATATGACGAAGTTGGATGATATCGTTATGGCGGACAACTCGACCACGACCTGAATCTGGGATTTCTTTGGTTGGAAGGATTTGCCAGTGATTATTGGTATCGTTATGAGGGTAACATGTAACCTGTTGACCTAGGAGTTAGCACGTGTACAAGCGTCCCCTCAAAGAGAAATCGTAAAGTCACTCACCCTGAGATGATATACGTCCATCTTCATATCGCAGAGGATATGACTCTAGATGAGAGTGCAGATATTGTTTGGTATCTTTATGTTTGAGAGTCACCGTGTCGTAATATCTGATCTCTTGGGCGTTGAGTAAAAGTTGATTACCCTGTAGTGTCTCCTGGAATGCGGGCGACATGAATGAGTCTCCGGGACCGGAGTAAATGAGGATCTTGAAGTGAACCCAGAAGAAAGCCAGATATGTGAGGAAGGGTATCAAGATGAGGCCAAGAGCGCGATAAGCGAAATGTCTATAGAAGTAAGACTGACCATCAGTGTTCCGCGAAAAACACCCTCCTCCAAACTTGCTCAATGATACAACCCTTGCAAGTTGCCAAAAACACACGAGTCGAGGAGAGAAAATCTACTCACAATTTCAGGGTTCTTCTTGATGTCTAGAATTCCCCATAGATCCCATAAGACGGCAACTCCGACAGTCGCAAATGTCAATACACCGACCATCTTACATCCCAACGTACAAGCAAGTGATAAACCGGTACAAATGAGCCAGAACCACCATGTTTTGCTAAACTCGCGATAACGTTGTTGGTGAAACTTGATGTAACACAGTAAGGAGAGTGACATGAAGAGGACGAGAGCGGCGTCAAGTAGGATCAGACGGGTTTGCGTTACATGACCGTTGTCTGAAATCAGCCATGTTCATCTAACAACATTCTCATCCTATCCCATAAATCTCTACCCACATTCCAGCGACGCCATAGATGCAACCGATCGTCCGTGCGGGGTGCGATGTAAAGTGATTCATGATTGAGAATGACGTACCAAACAGAACCAATAACGCTGAGAAAGCTGCTATCACAACTGGATACCCGGACTCCCTCATAATGGCATAAACCACAGGTACAGTCACACTTCCCATCACCGCGCAAAAACTCCTCATTCCCACATAAGGGACATTGGCCGTGGTATAGCTATCCCCGATGTTATCGAAACCAAAATCTCCCTTGAAACCGACCAACCAAGCTCCGAGAGCATTGAGAAGTTTAGCGAAGGGCGGATGAACGTCAAAATAATATTCTCTCCTCAGGTATTGTCCGGCAAAAGCACCAAAGTGGACTTCATCAAAGACCACTTGATCTGGGTGGCCGATACGATAAAAGCGGACGACGAAGGCTAAGGTGGTGAGGGCAAGAGCTGTGGAGAGTGAGATGAGGGTTTCAGAATGGGAGGTGGGTGGTGGTCTAGGTCTGGGTAACCGACGCTGGGTCATGAGCTCTTCCTTTCTGATGAGAAGGTGAGGAGGTTCGTAGAGTGGACTGCGATCGGCTGCCTTGCTGCTGAACAAGGCGAAGCGGCCCCAAAGACAAGTGAAAGGTCATGTCAGGGGGTGACGGGAGAATCATAACATCTCCAGTGCTCAAAATCAGAGGAAAGAATAGTATCACTCGGGGTACAAGGTGAAATAGAACCCACCTTTTCATCATCGGAAGTTGTTCGTGAGATGGAATGAGGTAAAGTGGAAGCTTCTCCACCCGTTTTACGTTTTCTTGCCAAAGACATGCTGTACTCTATACCGTCTGTCAACTTCTTTTGTGCAAGGTATGACTTGATGTCGTCGTCGACGTCGTTACGGTTGTCGTTGTCGCTACCACTTTTCCCTTTGTCGACGCGACGATTGATTTAGCGACATGTTCCTTTCCACGTGCCACGTGGGAGGAAAAAAAAGACAAAAGACACGTCATGAACGGAATCAAATGTACGCTCACTTTGCTCCGCCGAACTCGCCGAGCTGAAACGTCATTCGAATTCACTTCTCTGCACTTTACTCGGCAAGCTATAAACATACTAGGGAAGCAGGTGAATCAAAGTGTGATCTACCACCTTTGCGGCAGAAATAGAACATGTCTGGGACACCTGATCTTCCTTCCCCGAAAGCTTTAGAGCAAACTGCTGTACAAAAGGGTGAACAAGAGCTTGATACTCTGGTGGCAGAAGATGCCGACTCGACCGATTCCTCTGTCCGATATGGTGCGTAGCGTCTCTCCGTTCTGGACTGATAGATTTGATGAAGCACTAATGGACAGCTGCTTATCTGAGACGAATAAGAGATATCGCTAGGGCCGGGTCTAGGTATACTGCCTATAGTGAGTCAACCAATATTACCAATTCTTTCTTCACAACAAGACGATGTAGGAACAAATATTCATATTCAGCATCCGATATAGGTGAAGCTTTCCGACCTGTCGTCCCGCCTTATCTCGTCACTCTCGCATACGGAGTCTCCTGGGCATATCTCATCGGTGACGTATCATTCACGACTTATAAATCATCCCGATTAGGTCCGACACCTATAGAAGCTGCAAACATGTCTGAACCTACTAGATTAGCATTAGTAGCTGTTAAACGTAGTGTTTTCCAAAGCGTCGCATCTATGGCTTTACCGGCATTCACCATACATACCGCTGTTAAATACGCAAGTAGGAGTTTGGCAAAGAGTGGGAATGTTACAATGAGGAGATGGGGTCCAACCGCTGTTGGGATTGGTTTGGTACCTGCTTTACCTTATATGTTTGATGAACCTGTAAGTAATTTTTCCTTCTCAGTCATCTGACAATGTTCGTTCACCCAGCCAATATGATTATATGACTGTGAAGTTGGCTCCGAGCTGACATGCAGGTGGAACATGTCGTGGATTGGGGATTTGATAAACTTGAAGAAAGATGGTTCCGATCTGGCTTGAAGTCGAAGGTTGAGTGAATTTTATGGTTTCTGGTACCTTCATTGATCTTCTCTTCGAGCCCACTTTTTCTCCACATGTTCATCTATGCTAGATCAGATACTGCCATCTCTGTGACCTTCCCCGTCATGAACTTTCGAGTTTTGTCTGAAGAGCTTTGCAAGTTTAGAAATGGAATAGATGATGCAGATAATGTACTTGTTTTTCTACCCACAAAACCTCTCGTCGGTAACCTGACGTTTCCCCTGCCTGACCACAACCCAACACCCAATCCGGCAACGAACAATCAAGTCACAACACGGCAACAAACCCGATCGAAGTCTATTTCCAGAATCAACACGTCGCACGTCAACCAACAACCAACAACCAACAACCTAGAACCAACAACCTAGAACCGACATAGAGTCACCTGTTTACCAACTTACACCTCAGACACTAACTGACTCGTGGTACGTACTCGTATCCCACAGAACCATCATCCCATCTTTCCCATCGTCTCCAACCTCACGACCCTCCAATCCCCCGGAGCTTTCTTGACGATCGCCACCATTCCTTCATCCATTTCAGTCTTAACCGCCCTCAGTCCTTCCCAACCATTACTGAGTAATCTAGCTTGTGTACCCAACGCGGCAGGGACCGAACTACCTTTATATTCTTCTGAAAAAAGGTCGATTTTATGTGTGTGTATTATCCCAGAACTCGTCGCTGTGATCCTCAACATCCTTCCTCTCTCTCTTCCTCCATCTCCATCTCCGACTTCATTTCCCTCCATTCCAAATCTTTCAATCTCTTCATTCCTTTCTCGTGAACTCGACTCCGTTTCCCTAACGCAAATACTAATGGGTTGTTCGTGCCATTCAGCCCTTGCTAGAGGAACGTTCCCACCTGCTGAAAAAGGGTTTCTTGTAGGAGACAAAAAGACAAAACTTTCATTACCCCTAGTGAACACTCCGACTTCTCCTTCATCCCTCATTCCGATCCATCGTACGGGACCCCATTCTTTACCTTTCTTACCAAGATCCAAGTCGGTAACTGTACTATCCACTACTTTTATCAAACAAGCTTTAGAACCAAAGCTTACGAATATGCCGAGACTGAGATCTTCACTATCGAGTTCATGGTCGATTATTAAAGGTGTAGAGAGGGTTAGAAGACTGAGATGATGAGGTGAGGAAGGGAGATAGAATGATTTTTTGGTTTTAAATTGGATAGGTGATGAAAGGGATGAATGACCGAGGAAGAGAAAAACAAGATCTTTGGTCCCTATTGCTATGATAATAGGTGTTTCGTCTGATTCCTCGTTGCTTCTTGTGATGTTGTTCGTTATTTCCCCTCCTATCGTTCCACTCGTCCCATTTGGTCCTACGCCACTTCCTACCGATCGGACTGAAGATACTCCACTTCTATCACCAAAACCGCCACCACCATTGACGCCGTTGTGATTAGGGTCGTTGTTGTTGAAGGGGCCAACCTGCGGAGTGACGATCATGGACTTGGAACTCCCTGTGGTCATACACAAAACATCTTTCACTGACAAAACCACAAAATCTCCTGCCCAAGCTTCCGCAATCCCCATATCCCTCATCTCTTCATTCCCATGTGATCTAATCTTCCCTTTCCCCTTTCCACCCGATACACTCAGATCTACTCCTCCATGTGATAAATCCTGCATAGCGCTCCATCTTCCTAAACTTGCTAATGACTCTAATTTCCATACCCTTACTTCACCTCCTTTCTTACCGTCACCACCGCAAAATACCGCTACTGTACCTCTTGGAGTTTGTCCTTCTTCCGTAAAGAAGACAGAAAGGATACGAATGTCCCATACTGGTAAACCGGTCCATACGTGTCGTGCTCCTTGAGAATTCAGGCATTTGAGACCTTCGGCCGTACCGAGCAGAATAAGATCACCGTCGAATAGGGTGAGTGAACAGGTAGGAGGAGAAGTGGAGTGTGGTTCATCCGGTACGGGGAGTATACAAAGGTCGGTGGGTGGGAGAGGTGTGTGTGGTTTTGAGATACGTGTGGAAGGAATGTGTGTGGGAGGGAGATAAGAAGGAGGAGGATGGGATGGGGATGATGATTGAGCTTGAAGAGCTTGACGGGCTTGACGACGTGAGTTGGGATCATTACCAGTTGGATAACGTTCCAAAGCTCTTTTTTCAACTAAGAGAGTTAGCGATGGAAAGCATCCAGACCTCATCTTATAGAGTATAGTATCCCTACAGATGCCAATGTTCACACGAAGTCAAATATATGACGAAAGTGTAAATGGCTAGAAGCTGGGGAGTTATTCTCGTGGAACAAGTGGATACTCAGGAAGTCCAAAGGAATACAGTGATGTATGCCATGAGGTAAGCTAGTCGTGGACAGTAGTAAAGGATATCGTGAAATGAGGGTAGAACGACATATCTCATAGCTAGTACGAGAAGGAAATACAAAAACTCACCCCATCCCCTCCATCTACCAAACCTAGCCGTAGAATTATTCTCCTCTTGTTCCCCTCCTTCAGCCGGAGGAACAACATCAATCGATTGTTCGTACGTCGGCAACCCTTCTTGGCCCTCTACCCGAAGTATATGATGGGTCTCGTCAGCGTCATCTCGCGGTGGAGCTGCATTGTCGTTTTGACCCTCCATGATGATATGGAGAGAGCTGTTGGAGTGGGGGAGGGAAGGTGGAATGTAAGATGGTAGATTATGAGTAAAGGCTGAAGGCTGTGCTTGGTTGCCAAGTTTGGTAAGGAGTCAGAGTGGGGAAAGTGGGGGGAGGGGAGGGGAGGGAAGGTGCTCATTTGCTCATTTGCAATTACTCTTGCTTCAGCCTGTTGTTACATGCTAGGCATAGATCCTAGACTGGATGATGCTCTATCTCATGTGCAATGGTACTCAGCTCTTAGGCTATGCATAATCTGTAAAGCAAGTATCGTGGGGGGGAAGAGGGAGGGAAGGAAGACAAGGGGCCCCGCGTAGTAGTATTCTATGGCGCGCGCGAAGGGCCATTCGATTTTTTTTTTCCTCACCCAGATTTTTTTTTCAGATGGTATAATCCAAAACTTCTCCTCCCTACAACTCCACAATGCATGCAGCTACAGCCTTGAAAATTGAAGGGTGTACTCCTGACACCTTGATGCATCATCTGTCACAATATGAAGCTCTCAAGTGACCCAAGAGAGTAGATCACTTGATTCGATATTTTGATGTGGGGCCCCAAGGGGGGATCGACCCAATGTGGCACTTCCTTCTCACCACCCCCAAATATCACTAAAATATCATTCTGTCATCACTTACCATCTCCATGGTCTTCTTTGAGGCATGCAGACGCCCGAGAAGGCTCTGGATAGGTTTCCTTCTCTTACAGTAGGAATTTGATGCATTCAGCTACCTCCTGTGAAACAGGAGATGGAGAAAGGCTGTTTTCCTCCTTATAGAGAACCTATAATTTGAAGCGTCTGATGTAGGCTGTTTGCATGCATCTAGATAGCACCAAAAGATACATCTAGGTGCACTGAGCTATGTTCAAAAGAGATCTCCTCAATACCTGCAATATTGACTGAGATAGAGGGAGAAGAAGATCATCATGCATGCTCTTCCTGAAGAAAAAAAAGCGTGCAGATGAAAAAAATCAAAAAATCGAATGGCCCTTTCCGCGTTCCATAGTATTCCCCTGCTTAGGCTACGGGTATCAATTAACTTGACCTCCTCCCTCTACCTACTACTCTTGTCATTGTCCAAATCACACTAGAACCAGCTCAATCTGTCGACAAAACCATCTCAACGAAATGTCCAGAGATCCTTATGTAGACGTCAAGCGGTATGTCCTCTTCTACTCTGTTCCTCTCCGCCTTGAGCTTCTCCTTCACATCATCTCGACCCGCCGACCTGAGCCCTTTTACTGACGTCTCGCAATACTCGGACTGTCAGGAATAAAGAATACTATCAGAGGACTCCAGTCGACCCATGGAAGAATAATAACACAGAAAGATGACATTGAAGGAAATTGCGGAAGAGAAAAACAGAGAACACCTCTGACAAACAGAGAAATCGAATCATCCCTCTCATCTCTTCAACCCCTCACAAACCAGTTCGATCGTCTCTCTTCTCAACCATCTACATCAGCGTACATCGAAGTGAGGGATCAGGTTCGTGAGACTCTTGCATTACTAGAAGCCGACTTGGAAGATCTTGATGAGAGTGTGAGGGTTGTAGAAGCTACCGGAGAAAGATGGGGGATAGGTGAAGAGGAAGTGAGACGGAGGAGGGGGTTTGTAGAGAAGGTCAAGAGGGAAGTAGACGTGAGTTCATTGGCTCCTTCTCCATCCCGATTCTTCATCCAGCCAGGTCTTTTCTTCACTTTGACGACGGAGAAAAAGCAAGCTTGAAGATGGTGGTGCTCGGAAGTTCAGGGGAATGAATTACGATGAATGGAATGTTTTCGAGAAGTTTTGGAGTTGATGGACTTGGGGGTGACAGTAGTATGATCATCAATAGATCGAAGAATAGCTGGACTTTGGGTGTAAGAACAAGTATTGATCTTTAGAAAGTGAGAAATAAACTTTCTACTTCTCCTAAAGGAAAACAAAGAGCGAAATATCAAGATCATCCCGAAGATTTAGAAGCACAAAATGATAACGAAGTTGAGCGTTGGGAGAGGGAAGAACAACAAGTTTGTCATGATTCCTTCTTCGACTTGTTTCATCTTCCACCCAGATAATTATATGTTCTAAAATGGTCATCCGGGTTGGACTGAAATACCAACAGGCCAATGCCCGTTTGGTGCAGCTCCAACCCCATAGATTCAGAAGAGTCTAATCGTCACCTTGTCCCTGTGTGGGGAAGGGAGAGAGAGGGGATGAGATTGGTCGTCCACTTCTTGTACTTTAGAATTTTGACCATAGCTCATTTTCAGGTCCTGCTACAACGGCAAGATGATACACTGGGTGTGATCGCAGGTACACTCAATACCCTCGCCAGTCAAGCAGGGTTGATAGGTCATGAAGTTGTTGATCAGAATGTGTACGTTTTCATCTCTCTCATCCCTCATCTCGCATCTGATCTCTCTACTCTCACTCATACCGCAAAACTCATCATCCAATGTCTCATAAGCCCTGCCCCAAACCTTCCCGTCTCATGGCTCATGATACCCGTCAAACCTACCAGTTGACAGAAAATGAGTGATCCATTAAAGACCTGAAGTGCTCACCAGAAGAATGTTAGATGATTTAGGGACGAGAGTTGATCATACTGATTCCCGACTGCGAAAAGTACAAAGAACGATGCAAGATTTTATACGGCGTAATGAGGGTCAGTCTTGTTCCTTGCCCTCTTCTCCCCCACTCTTCCCTACCATCCTATCTCCCAGTCTCACACTCTACTGCCACCTTTCGAAAGGATGTCCATGCTCAGATAAGAGAAAGAAACGAGAAGCCTGTTAAATAAGATTATATCTGACAAACAGAAACAAGATCCGGTTGGTGTATCTGTATCCTCATAGTAGTCCTTATCATACTTCTTATGGCTGTCATCCTCACCTAAGCCAGTTTGTAGTAGGACATAGAAATCATACATATCATCCGGAGTTTAGAGTTGTACATGTTACATAGCATCTGCATAATTCTCTTTACGAAAGCTTTGAATATCTTCGTCACATGTCATTCTTACAAACCGCTGGCTCAGGGGAATCATTCGTGAGAAGGACGAAAGTCTAGTTGACTGACGATGAGGGGCCAAACTGCGGTCAGAGAGTCATCCATCGTACATCAAAGCATTTGTTCATTCCTAACATGATATATCCCAAACCATCAGAATGACCGGTCCGTCCATGAGACCGATGATCACACGGCCACTCGGATGCTTGACTTGTTTGAGTAAAATAAAGCAAACGTGAATCCTGAAGGATTGAAAGCGATGAATGACTCACCTTCTTCAAACCCAACATGTTTACCTACCCTTATCTGTTGCCAAATCTGCATCATCGTCTCGGACTTTTTGATTTCTGACCAATGTTTGAGGAAGAAAGCGATTTGAACCTGTCCATCAGTATCCCTACACAATTTATTATCCAACCTTTCACAAAATCTTCCAAGCTTGTCACCTCCCATCCAGGTCCAAAGACAAGAGCGATGATAAGAATTTATATGAGATTTGTATCTGTAAAAGGAGAGCTCAAATTACCTTCCTTATATCCTCATACGTGGAAGAAAACCTGCTAAAGACCTCCGCGGGTATACTTTGAGCCGTCATACCCGCACAAATATGTTGAAAAGCTCTCAATTTGAGAGCTGGTAAATCCAACTTATCCGCCAACCTATATACAGCTTTGGCCGAAACAGGTCTAGGTCCCAATTCATCAGGTTCATAATTCTTTTCTTCCAACCATTGTTTGATCCATTGTCTTCTCGTTTTCGGATCACCAGGTGTGAGTCTAACATTTTCGAAAGAAGAAGTGAGAGGAGCGAAATATATAGTATCGGTGTATAACCAATAAAGTATATTCCACCAAGTACTCCATGCAGCATCACGTACCATGACTTTCATTTTTTTAGGACCTGGTACATCTCCTCCCATTCCTATATCATCGACAGATTGACGAGTCGTAGTTCCTCTTATTGGTGGAAGAGGTATATCTTCTTCTATAGTGATATCCGCTATACCTTCACCTGTCATAGGTTCATCAGGTAGATCAGGACGTTCAATGATAGATTGATCCCGATTTTCAGAAGAGGATGGGGGGTTTTCAAGATCGACAGGTGGTAAATCACCTGTTGTACTTGATCTACGAGGTTGAGGTGAAGTTTGAATTTGTGAAGGTGCTTGAGGTAGAAGAGAAGTACGAGATAAATTGGTGTGAAATGGTACGTTTGCGAGATCCGCAGCTTCATCTTCTACGTCTGAATCAGAGAGTAAATCAATTTCTTCGTCATCTTCAAATTGTTCTTCTACAATACCTTCTGCTTCTTTGTATCCACCTTCACAGAGGGCTTCGAAATAATCTACTCGTGAAAGTATCCTTTTGTTGGCGTAAATCCTTCGAGGTGTTCCACCGGTTGTTTCAAATTTCCGAGATCTAGCAGGAGGGATGATAAACTCCACATCGGAATATACTGAGATTAGTTTCCCAGACGACATTCGACAAGAATTAATGATTGCAAAAGATATGTCTGCTCAAGGAGAGATGTTGTAGCAGACACATGTGTAAGAACTCACAAGGATCATCCAACAACATTCCAACACCTTCAATAAGTTCCTTAGGAACGACTTTCTTCAATCCTGCACCTGCTGTGGTTCCACCTGCCACACCCCCACTGGCACCTCCCCCACCCGACCAAGCGCTCAAACCTCCGCCCGAGCCCACTGATTTCCCGCTTGGAGTAACATTCGCAGCAAAATCAACTTTTGAGGGGATACCCATACCTAACCACCAACCTGCGGGTGGTTGAGGTTGAGCTTGTATGGTACAGATGACGATGAACTCGTCATTGGTGAGAACACTATGATGGTGGAATAATTGATCACGCTTGGCAAATTGTTGCCATCCCCAATTAGCGGTCTTGACTGCAAAAGTATGATCTGCCGCGTCTTTCGAAGCTAAAGTTGCAAGCTTTTGAGTACGTTCGTCAATGGTGGTAGATTTGATTTCAAAGCGGAACCACCAGAGACCACGTCGGGTCCACTTTCCACCGACGGCTTGATCTTTTTCGTACTGCGTGGGCTGGGTGTGAGTTTGAAACCCTAAACCATGATTCATCCCCATCTCTACCTTGTGCTATTCGTTTTGAAGGTTCATAAGTCACGATGTTGCGATGCAAATACAATACGTGAACAAGTGATGAGATAGGAGGAATGGACGTACCACACATGAGAGGTACAAAGAAGCATAGTCTCCCCCAGCGACACCAGAATTAGGATACCATAAAACTTCCCAAAGATTATCAGCGTCGCCAAACACAGCAGATTTGATACATTTCCTTGTCTCATCAGTCAAGATAAGTAACATCAAAAAAGAACATACGATTTACTCTCTCCTCTACTCTGTTCGTACATCGCTTTAAGCCCACTCAGCCTCCATTCTAAACATACAGAAGAAGTCTCTGCAAATTCAAGCTGAGACGCAGAAGAAGGAGCGGCAGGTGCTGTCATTCCGGGTTGAACTGGGTCATCAGTGCGAGCCACATATAAAAGGGGGGGGGGGAAGAACAGACCTTGGGCATGATCCCTGGGCGCGTAAGGAGGAGGGACATTGGACATGATTGGCGGAATTCTTGATAAAGACGGACGAGAAGGAGGAGAAGAAGGCCGGGGGAACATGTGCTATAGAGTTGAAGGGGTTGATGAGAAGTAAGTCAAAGAGTAGAAGGAAGGAGAAGATGCCAAGGTCATCTTGGGATATGTATGACGAGCGCCGAACGACAATCTCTTCCGACGCGTTCTTCCTCTCATTTTTACTTCTTTACCATACATACACTATTTTCTCACACTTTATACAAGGGCTCAGAGGTAGTCTCGAATATCAAGATGGACGATTCAGGTCCATCTCGACCACAACTGCCCACGAACAGCAGCGGTAGTTCTTCCGGTATCGAAATTCTCGACGTTCCTTCACTTCCTCCTCATAAACCTAGACATCGTCCAGGTCGTTCTCGCAAAGCCTCAAAGGTCACAAAGATAGAAGAGAAGAGCGATAGCTCAGATGAGATCGTATTCGTTGCTTCTCGTCTGGCGGATAGATACACGTACCGTTCTACATCTCCCAAGAGTAAATCTAGCAGGTTATCGGCCAAACGAGAGATATCGGAGGGAGTGAAAAAGATTGAACAGGATTCAGAGAAAGGGAAGGCCAAATCAGAACTCAAGTCGGAGAACGAGGGATCAGGAGAAAGTAAAGCGTTCAGACCATTGGTATTGAAACAACCCATGAACATTCCAAAAGATGCTCCACCACCTCCCGCTTGGCTGGGCAAGACGTCTGTGCTCCTTCGACTTCCAGAATGTGTAGTATGTCATAGAAGGTTCAATAAAACTGATTCTGGAGCTGCTCGATGGGTATGTCTATCTTATACGATTCTCTTCCGCCTTTTCCTTCTTCCCACCTCTCACACCCCTTGATCGGATTGCCAAGCTTATGAAATGTCCTCCTCAAGGGCTCAGGAGAGAGTGGAGTAATTTATGAGAGGGTGTCTCTGATGCGGATGGTCGACGATTGACACATAGCGACACATATCCACATGTTTCCCTCCCCTTTTCAAACCTCCCAATCCCCCACCAGACCTCGAAATCCTCATCCATCAAGCCCTTCTGGACCAAGCTTCCCATCGTCCCTCGACTTTATTAGAACATCATACGAATTCTGTCGATTCTGACGATCTGATCGATTTATGCGAAGGTAAATCGACGATCTCCAGACGTAACTCTACAATCTCTGGTTTACATCTCACTACCAATGTCCACCCTCCTGATACCCGTGGGGAAGTATGGGAATCCGAAGTGGGTGGAAGAGTGAGAGATATCGTAGGACGGAGTAGTCCTCCAGTGTCTACATTCTCAAACAAGACTTCTCCTATCCCTAATGGGAGACAATCACCCATATCACCTGTTTCTCCTATCGCACTACCCGGGACTCAGCCTTTGGGGCAATCATCTCTCGCTTTGTCTTACTCCCGATCTTTGCCTGAACCCGTATCTACCCCGTCGAAGTCTTCATCTCCTTCCCCTTCGCCATCCCCGTCTTCAGCTTCGTCATCACGCTCGCTGTCTCGATCTAGGGAAGAGGTTCTACTTCCTCCTTCCAGCCAAAGAGACCATTCCGAGGAGGATCAGGGAGGGGAGGGAGAAAGTGAAGATCCCTTTCTATCATGGGGAGACTCGTATACCGACAGGAGTCTCTCCAGAAAACGAAGTTCGGTCTCTCCTTTCTTTCCAATCAAACGACTCTGTTACAAAACCCACACAATCTCCTCTCCATGTCCCATCTTCTCCTGAAGACATTATTCACATCAACCCCTCTCCAAATTCGCCTAATTCTCCTATCCGGAACCTGACTCCCAAGATATCCAGAAACAGAGATGATAGATCGACCACTCTAACTCCAACGGCATTCGACACAACCCTCATCGCTGATACTCCGGGGGAAATCATCAATGTTGACGAAGATGATTGGGGAGATGATGCCGTACTTACTTGGGATGGACCTATCAAAATCCCAGATTCAGAATCTGAAGACGACGTCATGTCGATATCTTCTCTTGGAGGAAGTTCAGCGGCTTCTATAGCTCCTGAAGAAGCTGGGTTGTCAGGTGATGAATCATGGGGTCGAGAAGCGATGTTGGAATGGAATTATCAAGATGATATTTATCCTACACAAGATACTCTCTCTATGGGATCAGAATCTGAAGAAGAACCTTTGGCTGTCACTCGACTTAAAGGGAAAGAAAAAGAGATGGTCCCCAGAAAAGTCAAAAGTACAGAAAAGATAGAGGAAATGCCAGATTACGTCTCTATGGAATTGAAAAAATTACAGAAGATAGTAGGTGGATATGGTTTTAGACCAAGTACGAATAAAGAAGCTTTGATCAAAATAGCTCAGGATTGTTGGCGATCTTTACATTCTCCCACAGAAGATCAAACGTCTTTCGATGGTGTTGACTCTGATGATGAAGAGGTACAAGATGTTGGCTCTGACCACAAAGACATCGATAATGTTGAAGTTGACGAGGAAAAGAAAGTCAAGAGTAAAGTGACTGGGAAAGGTAAAGGTAAAGGTAAGAGAAAGATGGATGAAGGGGAAGAAGAGGATAAAGTGAAAGGTGGAAGTAGAACGGTCGTTCCTTTTCAAATACTCGATCAACAATTTTATGAAATGATAAAAGGTGATGTTCCATTATGGACCAGGATATTACGATACGAGGTGAGTTGGTGATACGATCTCATCTCCCATTTGTATGTCTCATATCCTTTTGAGATCTCTTCGATCTTTTTCCTTGACGATCATCGTCACTCGAGGATGACTCAGGCGCGGTAAGACAAGAAACAGGACGTACAGTATCAGTACTAGTAGATCGACAAATGGAAAATTGAATACGGAATGATATATGAGATCATGTGAAAGAAATCGAACTGATACTTAGCCTATCCCATTCGAGGAACTCATAGCCAAGTCGATCAGCGTCGGTATCAAAGGTATAGGATGGAAAATACGTCTTAAACGATTCCTCGACCTTCAAGTGAGTTGTCTCATCTTCCCAGAGGAAGCTAATCGTTAGGGCATAACATTCTTCTCCGGAGATCCAACCGGATCACGAAAACGACATTGAGAGTTGTACTATAATCGTTGTTTGCGTTTCTGTCCATTTTATCGCTCGTTGTCCACCGTACACATCTAATATGTCATATTCGTATGCTCAGCTGGTGGCTCATGTTCATGACAATTTAAAATGGTTTCCCATGACAATTCCACATACTCGGGAAAAAATGTCAATTTCTGTATGTTGGGAATGATTTGACAACTTGAGATCGCATACATCTCTACCACATTGCTTCTACTGCTGATTTTTTTCCTCTTCATTCCGACGTGGTACTACTCTTTTACCAACTAGAAGTTCTATTTGATTAGTACCTCATCACCCAGCGTGCCGAAAACAAGCGGATGAGTTTAAGAGAGGATAGCAAAAAGTTGTCCAAAATCACTCACTTCTTTTCCGAAGAAGAAACGACAACCCATTGGGGAAGTATACTTGTTTGACATTTGATGTAAAGTCCTACTCAAGACAGAAGGACCACAAAAGAAAACACCACAATCGGAATCGGGATGTTTATTGGCAATCGATTCGAACACTCTGTCCCACTTTTCTCTCAGCAATTTCTCATCCGTATTGTTGATCAAACTCACATTGGGTCTACCGAAATGAGTAGGAGCTCGAAGTTTTGTGATGGTATCACTTTCCGCTCCGACGTCTTGTACTAGGATATTGTTCATTTTGTCCTCACTGATTATCAGCTTGACTTGACTCATGTGTCATCAACCAATCGAGAGTCGTCCTCCGTCACCGCAGGAGTAGACAGGTGATTGATATCAATCTCCGATCTGGTCTTGGAAGAAGAGTTGAGGACGTCGAGTTTAGTGAGTGAGTTGGGATGACCACTCACTCAATCTTGGCGGTAAGATAGATATGTATCTCGATTCTGTTATCCACATCTTCCGCTTCCACAGCTTGAAGCAAAGAATGGAACCCTGTTCATCAATTCTTGTTCAAATGTTTGGTGGAAAGTCACGTACATTCAGCAGAACCGAAATCCCTGATAACCCAAACAAAATAGACTTTTGATAACCTGGTTTTCTTCTCTTTCCCAAATTTGTTCATACGATACCATATGGACTTGAGGATGGAAGCGAATGGTGTCACGCCGATTCCAGCTGATAATAAGTCATACATATATCTTACTCTCTCACTAGTCGAGTTCATTTAATCAAAGAGGTGACATAGGATCATGACTTACCTCCCACCAGCAGGACAGTCTCGAATTTGGCAAAATCTTCACTGGCCGACCCAAAGGGACTAAGTATGAGCTGAAGAATCATCATGAAGAGGAGTTTCATGCAGCTTACCCATCTATCATTACCCTTGGAAGCACCTAGTTGTCAGAGTTGCGATGATGTGTACCCGATAGGAGCTCACCTTGCCCACTTGAGGTTCTAAAACCTGACCGCCAAATGCACCAGCTCCTTTTTCCGACTTGCCGCCGTCAAGGTTTGCTCCCAGAGCTTTGGCGAAAGCCTTTACGTCAGTAACGATTTTTCTCCTTCAGTCATGGGGAAAGATGGAATGGGGAGTTCCAGTCGGCTTGACGACAGAAGGAAGCCACAGAAAATGCCCACTCACTGTCGTCCAATCACCCGCGATCCTGATATGCACCGAAATGTAATCTTCCTCCGGAGCCGAAGTAAGAGTGAACGGGTGATACTGAAAGTAACTGACCTCGGGACAGTTGACGAAGATGTACTGTCCCGCACGTCGGGTGGTGTTCTCTTTTTTGATCTGAACTTCGAGGACTTTGGACGGATGAAGGATGACTTTGGAGATGTATGTGGCATGACGAGCTACAATCAGTATGCAGCCTCTCAGAATATATCTCACACGTCAAGGACCACACAGTACAGTAGACCGGTTCGAGGTATGATGCATAGGAAGCAAGAGTGAAGTCAGAACTTCCGGGCTCACCTCGAATCTCACGGAACACTCGTTCAGCAATCCACAACGCGCCACCTGGGATCCAATATTTCTGATCCGTCAGCAAGCACTTGGGTGAATAAGTCTAGAACATACCCAAAATACCCCGATCTGCCCTGCGGAACAGAAAGGTGGACGATCAGGTTGAATCATACAGAACATGCCGTGAAGTTGCCAGCCGAGAAAGAAGACGACGAAGAGCTACAATGTCAGCTGAGGGTTCTGTTCTGCGTCATTGCAACTGACGTGGTGAGAATACCAGAAGCTGATGGTCAGCACTCGGCCGCATAAAGCTCAGAACCAGAAGAGATGCTTCGATGCACATACCGCTCAAAATGCGCACGACGACGTTTTTCGATGGCGAACCAGACCATCGTCCCAAGGGCAGCCCACATGATCCATCCTGTCAAACCCGGTCCAGTCCAAAAATTGTACTCGAGAAACCCGACGACACCTCTGGCATGTCAGCTAGCTCTAATCCGACAGGTGTCTCAAGCTCACGTTCCCTGGGCAATAGCTAGGAGGACCTAAATGTCAGTCAGGCAGGAGTATGTATGTTAAGAAGGACAGACTGACAAAGTTACGCATATGGGCGATGGTATGGATGAGAGAGAAAAGGACAATCATCCATGCTACCTGCAGTGATCTATCAGCTCTTTCTTTCCATCACAATGGTCTTCTACCACTCATCCTACTGAGAGAAGGCAGCGAAACACTTCTCTGAGAAAGCAAGGATCGGAGGCGAATGCTAGGATGGGAGGTATGATGGGAGACGTTAGAAGATGGACTTATTATGAAAAGTGATATTCTTGTCTAGAGGTATGACAGTGTTGAGAGGCGTGCGTCGAAGAAAAGAGATGAAATTTCTGCAAACCGGGAAGAGGATGAAGATGACGTCGACTATGAGATTCAGCATGATAATCTTACTTGACTGACTAGCTGAGCTTTCAAAGCAGAGAGCACTTACTGTGTAAAACCTGAGCAGCACCGCGCGCAATGACTAGGGATCAGCCATGTGTACTTACCAAGAGTCGCAACTCACCATAAGTGTAATTGAATAGCGAACGTGCGGTGACAAGATTGTCCTTCAGGTCGTAATGAATGAGAGCAAAGGCAAATGCGACCATGTGGAGTAGAATCCAGAACACCATGAACAGACGTCGAGGACCTAAAGATCAGCACCACACGTCAATAAGTATCCAGAGTCCCGTGGACACAAAGATTCAGGAGATTGTCATATACCATGAACCCACCTTCGTTCACCATCCACTTTGCGAACCTCATCGGCAAACCCCTCACTTGGATACCGCCACTAGGACGAATACTGGTCATAGTATGCATCAACCCCTGAAGTCTCGTCCTCTCCGTCTTGTTACGAGACAGAAAAGTCGGACCACTCGAGATAGGCTTGTCGGCATCCATGTCGGGAGTATTAAACCCCACTCTGGGGTTCTTGAAAGCGTATCCACGAGGAGACAAGACATTGGCAGGAGGACCAGAGTCGAAAGAGAGTTGAGAAGAGCGAGCCACAGGTTTGGTTGCCATTTCTTGAATTTTTTATGTTTGTGGAATCCTGACGAGTAAAGAGGTATTTGAGGTCAAGGAAGAGGTTGTACCGACCAGCGGTGAGTAGAGAAGATGAGATGAGATGAGGGAAAAGATATCAGAGGAAGAAGAAGAGAGATGTCAGTAGTGTGTGAGTATTCTTGGAATACCTGTCGTATGGCGACGGGTGGAGGAGAAAAAGACGGAGGACGGTTGTGGGGGCAGGAACGGGATTGAGCTGTAGCTTGACGACAGGGACAAGTTTGTTGACGACGGCTGCGACTTGAACGGGGATCGTGACGACTAGACAGGAATGTTTCATCTTGAGCTTCGACTGGATCAGTAATTTAGTTTTTACTGCCTTGGCACCGAGGGAGTTGTGAGAGATACCTTAGGTGAATGAATTGCCTAGGGTAAGTAGGTCGATGAAAAGAAGATGACAAGTTGGTGATGAGGATGAATGACCGGAAAAAAGAAAGTAAATCAATCACTCACGTCAAATCGACTCACTATACCTTACGCTTTGTATCTTCCTCATCATCATGGCCATTCAAATGGATGACCCGGGACCTTCAACAGGTCCATTCACACTATCTCATACACTCACAGGACATGCTAGATCAGTCACTGCTCTTAGATTCACTCATGACAATTCTCAACTTCTCTCCGCTGGTCTGTTCCTCCTTCTCAATTTACCGCTGACCGCTGATGTTCAGGTGCTGATGGCTATGTTCACTTCTGGTATGCCATCTTGTCTTCAATGTTCTCATGATAACGACCAGGGACTCTAAATCTGGACAACACCGACGTTCCATTCGATGTCATACCACAGGTCAGCCATGCACATCTCACTCACCCCTTGGTAGATCATTAAACAAAGAGCTGATGAATATAGGCATCAACGATCTTTCCATCTCACCCGATAATTTATACTTTGCTACGGCTTCCGATGACTCCTTATCCCTGATCTTCCCTATTTCCCCCACTCCTTCTTCTGAACCATACCCTACCGGTCGTTCACGCCCAATACGAATCCTTCATTCTCACACTGCCGCCGTACTCTGTGTGGCTTTCAATCCAAAGGGAAATCTACTGGTAACGGGTTCATTAGACGAGAGTGCTATACTATGGGACATAGCCGCCGGTAAACCTTTGAGAACACTACCAGCTCATAGTGAGGCGATATGGAGTGTTGACTGGGACAGAGAAGGTGGAATGGTCATGACGGCCAGTGCGGACGGCTTGATGTGAGTCAAACGATGCTCCTTCATTTTCAATTTTACTAAATGACAGTCGACTATGGGACACCATCGCAGGACAATGTCTACGGACTTTTGATAATGAAACGAATTCCCCAGTGTTAGTCATATCTCCTCCGCCCGTCACTATGTACTGCTTTATCAAGCCTACCTCCTAGCTTGGATACAGAGCTCACATGGTAGTTCGCACGCCTCTTTCACCCCGTCACCTTTCTTCCTGCTCTCAACCTCCCTATCATCAACAATCAGAGTGTACGGGATTTACAACAGCAAAGTTCTCAAAACCTTAGCCTCACCAGCGTATATCAACGAGAAATACCCATGTCCAACTTACGTCTTTGCTTCACCTGAACAAACGTCAAATGAGTACCCCAATGGAGAGGTGTATGCGGAAGGAGAGGACGGATCGGAATGGATGAGGGGTCCAATAGAACAGGCCTTGGTGGTGGCTGGGAGTGAGAATGGCAACGTTGTGCTTTGGGATCTGGGTAGCAAGAAGACTGCTCAGGTTCTGGGTGGACATACGAGACCTGTCGTCGCTTTAGCGGTGAGCTGACAAGGCTTGTAGGAGCATCTGCTAATGTTCTAGGTTTCAAGCGATGGAAAGATAATTGCTAGTGGAAGTTTGGAGCCTGAGAATAGTATAAAAGTATGGATAGCTAAATGAATCATGTCGTGAATCACATTGCTTCATAGAAGTAGACTTCCGCGATGGACGTCCGTCCTACTAAAGGCATCCGACATCCATGGTATCGTTCAAGAAGACAGGCGATGGGATATATAGATTGAACAGGTTATGCATTACTCACCTCATCCTGTATCTCACAATCTCACTCCCTTACCTCTCAATCCTCTCCTAACATTCTCCACCCAATCCTTATCCTCCCTATCAACCATGACGAATTCCCCTCCTATTTTCCCTGTACTCAAACCTCCCTGCGTCTGACTGGCCAACCCTGCCTGACTTACTGGTGTTCCGTTCAATTTCGCTGGACTTGCACTGTTATCGTCATCAAAGAATAGCCCCGTTGAGCTGGGTGCTTCGGGAGTGAGGTTCAAGGCTTTAGCCGTAGATGAGGATAAAGGACTTGCTCGACCCTGTCTCGTTTGTGTCGGAGTAGATAACGATTGTCTTGAAGTTGATTGTGGTATGTTGATGAGAGAATTTCTGAGTGGTATTTCCTTATTGAAGGGGGAAGAGGATGGGGAGGAAGATGGACGTGTCTACATGTTTAGTGTTCATTCATTTTTTGACCAAAAAGATTACTCACGAGAGGAGAAGACATCTTTGCAGGGGTCAAGTTGAGGGTTGATGGCGTTGAAATTGGAGGAGGAGGGTAAAGAAGGTTCGTGGTGGATTCAAGGATATTCCATAACATTACACATCCTAGTGATGTTTCTGAAAAGTCAGCATGACATGTTGTAAGTGTCAAAATGAAGTACTGGTGATGAAATGTATGGGATAATGATGATGAGTAAACAGAAGACATACCAAGTCCCCAAAAGATCTTACGGATGTATCCTCTGTGCCAATATTCATCCCCAAATTGCTCTAGACCTCGTCTGAGGGCGGTGTAGGGTGTGAAGAGTCGTGAGATGACAAGGAGGAGAAAGAGCAGAAAGATGTTTGACTTCAGTCGGGCAAGAGCGAGAGATCGGGGGAGAGAAGCGAATGGGCCCATGTCAATTTACGTGGAGCGTTTCAGTTGTCTTCCCGTGGTACCCGTGGTACCGTAGTCGGATGAGGCCCCGTAGCTCGCAGAGAAAAGCGCCCGTGAGAGATGCAATAAGAGAATGCAATCGATGATTCGACACGGAAATCGTACTTAGTATAAGTCACTTAAACTTACCTGTATCACTTTCAAAAGACCGAATTGGTTTTTAGGCGCACCTCGAGAATTCGATCACTCATGAGAAAGTCTGACTCGTGCAGTAGGCTGAAATGGCAGCTCGTTATATCTTCCTGGAAACCAGACAACCAGAATGCATACGGCCGCTGAGCTAGCTTCTGAAACGAGATGTATTAAAGTAGGAAAATTTTTGAGGACGCAGGCGAAGTGTCCGAGTGGTTATGGAGCTGTGTTAAGGCCGCAGTGCGAAAGCGCGTGGGTTCGAGTCCCACCTTCGTCAGTATCTTTTGACCCCATTTTCAATGGTAAATACCTTTGTAGGGTCTACTCTTTATGCAGCTCTAGCTTTTAGGGACGTGTATGAATCACCCCGTGACAGATTAAAGTTGAAACGGGTCAGTTTTGGCTGCGGGCGGACCAGAGCAGGCTGAGGCGATCTTAACCGCAACGACAAAGCTCGCCGCGCAGAACCCCATCGCTTCTTGGAGCCGCACCTCTACAATAGACACACCTATCTACCATGACTTGAATCAAGATGAGCATACTCTCTCCCCTAGCAGCGGGTACGCCTCTGCTGTTCTCTCCCTCTCCTTCTCGATCCTCCATCTCACCCTTTCCTGCCACCATCAGCTCCCCTCTCATCTCTCCTCGGCCAACCATGAGACCCCGCTTCGAGAGATCTCGCACCTCGCAAACCCTCCGAGGAGTCTCCGACCCATTCCAAGAAGGATCTACGATTTCGGTCAATCAACCAGTGGGAAGTTTATCGATCAGTCCTTCCAGTCGAGATGTGTGTCTGGCGAGTAGGAAGGGATTGTATATCTTGGACTTGGCCAATTTGAACAATACACCGAGGTTCATTCCTCAAGGTGGGACTTGGCAAATAGCAGAGTGAGTGTCAACCTCATGTTTGTCCCTCCCGTCATCTGACTCGATGTCAAACGGAACAAAGAAGAACAGTCGCTGCTGAGGCCTTGACGTGATATACTAGGAGTGTCTTACCGTCGAGTGGAAGTGACGAGAAGACTCTTCTGGAAATGTAGACTGACAACACAGCTGTCAATGGTCACCTCATCCCTCAACCTCAAATCTGATCTTATCGACCTCTTCACAAAAGCTACTGGTATGGGATCTCTCCGCTCCTAAAGCTTTACACAGCTCTATCGATGCTCATTCCCGCGCCATAACCGATATCAACTGGCATGCTCGTGACCCGAATCTCATGGCCACTGTATCGATGGATGCAGGTATTCGAGGTTGGGATTTACGTACCGGTGATATCCCCTTTATGCGTTTATGCGCTTGGGGTGCAGCTGGAACACAAGTCAAGTGGAATCGTCAACACGAACACATTTTAGCTACTGCTCATGGTAAAGAAGTAGTTGTATGGGATACTAGAGTGAGTTCTGATTTTTCTTCTACAGATCATTAATTCAATAATGTTATGACGGAAATTGATAAAGTAGAAAGGTTCGGTTCCTGTCGTTTCTATCAAAGCACATGATTCTAAAATATATGGTATCGATTGGGATCGACAATACCGAAATAAAATAGTAACATGTTCTCTTGATAAGAAAATCAAATTTTGGACTGTTCCTGAACTCGGTGGAAGTGTTTCGACAGATGATTTTTATCCTTCCATCCCTGCTCCTTCCCAACCCACAGCAATCATATCTACTCCTTATCCCGTTTGGAGAGCTCGTAATTTACCTTTCGGTCATGGAGTTTTAGCTCTACCACAAAGAGGTGAAAAATCTTTACAGATGTTCGGAATGGATTCTCAAGTTCCCGTGGAAACTTTTGAAGGTCATGATGATGTCGTTAAAGAATTTGTTTGGAGATCAAGGGGAGGTGATGATCTTAAGTTTGAAGATCGAGAATTTCAACTTGTCACTTGGTCTAAAGATCGGACATTGAGGATATGGCCTGTTGGATCAGATATAACAGAACGAGTTGGATATAAATATGGGGATCCCATAGAAGTCTTAATATCGCGACGTGGTGCGGCCGATATCACTTATACACAAATTCCAGATGAAAACCTTTCGAACAATGTACCGAAACCAATCCTTCAAAGTGGGATAGCGAAGCTTAAACCGACCAAACCGGAAGCGGGGATGACACGAGGTGGAGGGAAAGTTAGAGGAATGGATCAATTGGAATGGTTAACTAAAGTAGTGGAGAATAAAGCTTCACCAGAATCTAGTATGTTACAATCTAGATTAGGAAGTTTGAGTAGACCTGTCAGTAGACCACAAAGCACGGAAGGAAAGTTTGATTGGATGAGTTTGAAAGATGAAGTTATCATGGTTTCTAAATTGTTTTCAAGACAGAAAATCAATTTCGAAAAGGTATTTCTACATAAGTTTTGAATTGAGATTGACAAAGCTGAAATGTAGATTGATTTGAATCATCGGAAACTGACCATATCTGTGAATGGACCATGGGCGAATGGAGATCGTATGGCATTCATGAGGATTCATTGGTCATTCCCATCAAATTATCCTTATTCAGAACAGATTCCCACTTTCGAATTAGAGAGTAATCCTACTATATCAACATTTACCAGAACGAAGATTGTGACTACTATCAAAGAACTACGAGCGGAACATCGACAATGTCTCATTTCTACCATTGGATTCCTCATAGGGGCTCATGCGCGGGGGAGAAGAGCGGTAACGGAGGATAGTGAAAGTGAAAGTGATGAAGATATAAATATTGGGAATGATGTTCCAATGCTTAGACGAATTTCAGGTGCTACTTTTGGACCTAACGGTCAGTCTTCCTTCAACTTTAAATCCTTTCTTTTTAAAGATATTTTATCAATAGACACTTATATATCAGGTCAATTGGTATGCTTTTTCCCTAAACAAACAGTTTTACCTCGAACTAGAGCAACTTCAAGATCTCCAAGTGTACCTCCAAACGATCGAGAACCTTTAGCACGTGCAATGTCCGCTTTGGCTCATTTAGAGAATCCACGATTAAGATCTTCTCTTCGTGCAAAGGTGAGTAAATTCATGAGGAATGATAAAAGATCAACGGGTGATTGATGATAGGCTCGACTTCTCCGTATTACGCCACCGGTACAAGTTCAAGCAGGATCAACAATGACCATACATGATGTTTCATTTCTTGGAAATCCTGATGCCAATCTGGCAGCTGTATACGGTATGGATCTACAGGATAACTTGTTACATGCTATTCAACATGTACGTTTGGATCATGCGGAAATTTGGGCTACATTGAAGGGATTGTTAAATGAACCTCCACCACCTTATTCACAATTACCACCTTTGGAAAGACCACATGATCCTTGGCGTGAAAGAGCATTATGGGAGCAAGCTATCACTCATCGACGAGCAATGTTTGAGTTACTGTGAGTTCACCTGACCCGACCTTCCCACCATGCCTATCTCTGTTCTATTACTTGGATAGATCGAACATGGAACTAATCGATAGTCTTGTGGAATTGATCAAACAAAGAGACTTTCAAATGATCGCCTTGATCTCATGTATCGCTCTATCCCACATGCGTTCCAATCCCCCACCTCCACTCCCTAGACCAGAACCTTCACCAGTACAAGATTACTTTACTCTCCCACCATCTTCTTCTAATCCTATTCGTAAGCGTTCTGGTCTTACATTTTCCGGACATATTTCTCCCGGTAGATCTATCCGTAATTCCGCTTTTTCAGCATTATCAAGTTTCTCTCAAATGGCAACTGCCAATTCATCTACTTTTTCCTTACGAGGATCATTAGGAAATCCGACTCCACCTTTACCTCCTAATTCAATTCAAGGAATAGGAAGCGGTACAGTAACACCCAAAGATAAAACTTCTTTCGACGTAACTTTCCCTTCTGTTCATACTCCTTTAGGAATGAGTTACGAAGAACATCCTCCTATACCAGTACCCTATCATTCACCTCGACATCGTCCTCCGAGTGGAACGGGTAGTGTCACAGGTGCATCGGCAAGTCCAACACGTATGACACCGTTGAAAACTACTTCTGTATCCGCATCTTACGATTCGGGCGAAATCGGAAGTTTAGAACAAAAAAGAAGTTTGACAGATCGTTCTCTTCCAAGTTCGGCAGAGAGACCACATAAAGTCTCTTTCTCCGATTCGAGTTTTCGACAAGAACAACAGATTTTACAACCGAATCGAACGAAGAAGAGGATTTGTCGTTTGAGATCGGATTTTCCGAGAGATATAACGGAAGGATTGATAGGTGATCAATGGATGCCTTTGCTGGAAGCTATCAAATTGGCTTATTGCGATTTTCTCCTTCGTTGTGGGTTATTTGGAAAGAGAACAATGTTGATGCAATGGGTGTTTGTGATTTCGAAAGCTGGAGAGGTGGCAAGTGGGGATATTCCTCTACAGAAAAGTGAAGATTCCGGGTCCAAGCGGGGAGATACGATAGGTCAGTACTCATACTCCTTGCGACCCTGTTATGTGTTTCTGGAACAAAAGCTGAGTATGAACAGTGTGTGCGAGTTGTTCAGGAAAAACAGACCAAGATTGTTCGGTATGTCATAAAAACTCTACCAGACCGACATGCGCAGTTTGCAGATTACCCATCAAAGGTGAGCCTTCCGAATCCCGGACATCCCACCGGATTGATGTTGACAATCAGGACTCTCAACAGGCTGTGGTATTTGTACTCATCGCACTCACGCATCATGCTTCAGACTTCACTTCTCGACTGACACCTCGTCAACTCCCACTTGTCCAGCTTGCACATGTAATTGTCTGTCCCGACGAGGAACGTCAATTCCATTCTTACCTCTCTACATTCCTCCTCCGACCTCCCCAACATTAATCGCGACGCCATATGTCAAACCTCAACTCGTTCCCATTTCACCTGAAAAATCACTTCCTCGAGGTCTGGGGGTGATCAACGAGTCCAGCGTGTTGGGTTTGACACCTACGGTCGAGGTGGAGACCGAAGAGGGAGGTGCAATCGGTCCAGCTGAGGATTTGGGGACGGGTGTCTCACCGGCTTCACCACCAGATTTACTCTGGGCAGGTGGACAGATGAGTACGATGGGTCAGGTAGGTCAGACACATCCTGCCAATCCAACCCCAGTGATGATAGATCCGGTGGGAACGGTAAAGAGGGAGACAGGTAGTTCAAGGGCGAACAAGACTGGTGATGTTCGGGACAGTCCCAGTGTGCTTTAGGGTGTAGAGAAGATATATTTAGAGCCTTGTAGATATCTACGAAGGTCTTGTCAATGATGTAACACTTTGTTGTATCCGATAATCTTGGACCCCCACTGCCGGCGCTTGTCTACCCTGTGAGAGGAGGATTCACACCGAGGTGAGTGAAGAGATTATCTGAAGGCCAGAACCGATACATCAATGCTCATCATGTCCATGTCCATCCCAAGGATGTCTCAAACCCTGTTCATCAGTACTTGGCCACATGTTCAAATCCAATGACTGACAATAAGTGCAGCCCCATCTTGTCTACCTTGTCAGCTTAAGTCGGTGACACTGCGATACGAGCTTACCTGGCGCGATAGAAAATGAAGAACCACATTCCCGCACCGAGAGCTTTAGCAAGACCTCGATGAAGTAATGGGGGTGGATGAGGGTGGAATCCTGCCACGAAGTCAGCCATTGACCTCGGTTTGTTGTTTCCTCCAGAACGGATAGAGGAGAACCGCTACGAGGGTATTACTGAATGCCCCGTGAGTCCCAAGGGACAGGTACGTCTACCGCTATCGATACTCCAGGACTTGTTACCCTCAAGGGAAGAGGAGAAGGACTCACCTGCGCCGGCCATGTTGATAGGTGTGACGTATCGAATGTCAATGGTGGCTCTGGCAGAAGAGTACATGGGGAGAAGGTAACGCCGAATAATGCCGGAGTGTGGCAGTCATTTCGTGACCGAAATGGTCTTTGTTCCTCTTCAGTCGAAATGTCAAAATCATCATTTCATCTTCCTTTCTGAACAACATCTTCTCTCTATATCTACTCTTCTCATTCATCCCAAAACATCTTCTCTCACACTATACAAAACATCCCAGTATCACAGAAAACAATTAGACGTTTACAGCTTCACTCCATCATGTCCCTCAACGACCCCGCGGCGGCGGCGGCAGCTGCTTCTTCCTCTGCCATTCCTCTCGAAGAGGTTCAAGTTGATTTGACAAAACTCAATGCTCTCAGTCCGGAAGTCATCAGTAAACAAGCTACCGTATGTTGCTCTTCTTTTCACACTATCCTCCCCCGCATCATGTGCAATTGACTGAAGCGAAGTATGCATATTTGGGCGTGATCCAGTAAAGAGAACAACGCTGATAGACAGATCAACATCGGTATGTGTCAATTCTGTCGACTGCATAGCAAATTGGAAGGTGGCGAGGAGATAAATATAGTGACGCTGACTTAAAAGGAACGATTGGTCATGTCGCGCACGGTAAATCATCTACTGTCAAAGCATTGTCAGGAGTCCAGACGGTTCGATTCAAGAATGAGCTCGAGAGGAATATCACCATCAAGTTAGGGTATGCAAATGCCAAAGTGAGCGTCGTGGTCCTTTCTCCCCCTCAATTTCATGATTTCGAGACTCAACAATTATTTTATCTTGTCATGTACCAACACCCACGGGATTATTTTCACCTCCACCTCGTCGATGGGTACGGTCTCACCGACGACCACACTTCTTAGTGGATCAAATTGACTGTCAGATATTCAAATGCCAAAACCCAAAATGTCCCCCACCATCATGTTACCGTTCCTACCCCTCTAGCGCAGAAGCTAGCCCAAAATGTACTCGGCCAGGCTGCGACGGTCGAATGACGTTGATCAGGTATGTTTCCATCCTCTGTTCAAACTACCCTCAGTATGGCTTACTGATGGTAGACACGTCTCATTTGTCGATTGCCCAGGTCACGACATTCTCATGGCTACCATGTTGACCGGTGCCGCCGTCAGTGAGTGTCTCGAACTCGCTGTATGTGATTCGTTAACAATGTCAGTGAACGGCGCCTTGCTTCTTATTGCAGGAAACGAATCATGTCCTCAACCTCAAACCGGGGAACATCTTGCTGCCCTTGAGATTATCGGTGTGGACCCACACAATATCGTCATTCTGCAAAATAAGATGGACTTGGTACGTGAAAGCGAAGCGGTGGAACATTGCGACAGCATAAAGCGGTTTGTCGAGGGTCAGTCTAGGCCTTTTTCCCATTTGGACACTTGCGGTCACGAAGCTTAGCTATACGACGATGTCCGAAGCTGACGGTGTAGGTACAACAGCAAGATTAGCACCGATAATTCCCGTCTCCGCCCAATTGCGGTTCAACATCGACGCAGTGGTTGAGGCTATCAGTAAAATCGCTCCTCCGAATTACGACTTTTCCGCCGATCCAAGAATGGTGGTCATTCGGTCATTCGACGTCAACAAACCTGGTGCGAGTGTGGAGGAGCTCAAAGGTGGTGTAGCGGGTGGTTCTATCCTGCAAGGAGTGTTCAAAGTGCGTCGAACCGGCCTCCCAATGTGTTCCCGATCTTGGAATCATTGTCATGATCGCAGATGCCCCGTGTTCATAACTGTCCACTTGAATAATCGCATCTCATTGATTCTCCTCATTCGGCCAGCCGGAAAAGTCAATAGTCAGGGGAAGACTGAGCCATGCTGACAAACAGGTCGGACAAGAAGTGGAAATCCGACCCGGTCTTATCACTCGAGACGCTAATGGTGTCTGTACCTGTCGACCTCTTCATTCCCGTATTATCTCCCTCCATGCAGAGCAAAACCATCTTCAATTCGCCGTGCCTGGTGGTCTGATCGGTGTGGGTACTCTGGTGGATCCAGCGTTGTGCAGAGCGGATAGATTGTTAGGAATGGTCATGTCTGCCGTTGGAAGAGGTCCAAGTATATACACTGAGATCAAAGCGGAGGGTGAGTGATTGCTCGTCTTTCCAATCCGACCCGTCTGGGTATATTCAAGCAATGCTCGTCAAGACATCTCACACCCTGAAACGTTGTTCCCCTCTCTCATGTTGTTGGGTTCATGTACGTTGTCTTTCCTCGGCATGAGAATTACCGCAAGGAGGAAGGGAGGTAGAGAAGGAAGGATAAAAGGGGGGAAAGGGGAGGGGTAGACTTGAGAACATTCCGCTGACAAACCCCAGTCTTCCTATTACGTAGATTGTTAGGTGTCAAAACGGATGATTCGAAAAAGGCCAAAGTTTCAAAACTCGTCGTCGGTGAAACACTATTCGTCAACATTGGAGCATCTCAAACCGGTGGTAGAATAATGGCTGTCAAAGGTGGTGATGTCACCATCGCTTTGACCACTCCTGCATGTTGTGAAAAAGGAGAGAAGATAGCTTTGAGTAGGAGGATTGATAAACATTGGAGATTGATCGGTTGGGGCAAAGTGAAGAGTGGTGGTACTTTGGCCGATGTGGTAGAGTGATTAAGAGTAGTCACTGGTCGTATTGGTGTTAGTTGCATATGCATTTCAAAAGGTCTCTCCACCTATTTCTCCTTTTCACCTTTTCTCATACGTTCAACCCTTGAACCTCATCCTGTATGATCGTTGTGGGACCAAAGGAAAACTCATGAACTCCCGAGATAAAGATGAGAAGATGGCTGCTCGTATAGTCAACATGTGTAATGATGGGAAGGACTGGGGACTAGGAAGTTCAGTTTGGAGAGAGATATGCATGAAAATCTATCTTTTAGATGTCACAAACTAGAGAACCAAGAAAAGCAAGAGAACCAAGAATAGTAAAATCACAAGATGAGTCGCAACAGTTCTTCTTCATTCCCATCACTCACATCACCACCTTTATGAGCTGCAGATACGACGTTAGGCATTGACATTGTCACATTGGGATCTTTGAGGTAGATGGAAGTTTGGTTTTGTACACCTTGAGAGAGAATACGAGTTTCTATAGTGTCCATGGTTGCGTAGCTGGTTCGTCAGTGTCCTCCTCGGGATAGTGTGCAATATACCAGAACTCAGAGATTTCGTTGGTAGAAGATGCCACATACGCAATGTACGATATAGGGAGATTTGGCAGTGACAACGAACGTAATAAGTATCACAGGCGTCACATGGAAAGAGACGAGATATGGTTCAGCGGTACAGCAGATGGTGTGAGAAGGGACAATGGGTGTGGGGACTGAAGTAAACATACCAATAAACCGCCGTCTCATGTTTTTGTCCCAAACTATAGATTAGCTACACACTTCTTGGAGAGCAGTCGAAGTAGCTTACCGATCCACACGACCGATAGCTATGAATCAGCTCCGTCAATTTACTTGAAGCTGGACTTACCTTGTAACTCGAAACTATGTTTCAAGACAGGTTCTAGAAGATGAACCACGCGACATGATGTCAATGTCAACCCAGCGCTATTGATCAGTCAACCTTTCATCCTCTTTGACTTTCATCCATCCACACTGTATCACAACGGCGTATTTGCTTATTGTGTACGGACCATTGATCACCAAGGATGAAATGGAAAGACAAGGACGATATGAGATTGTTGAGAAACTCACCTTTCTCTCTCAGCATGCAAGAGGAAAACCGAAATACTTTCATCTTTGATGAACAGGTCCACCACATCACGAGTTTTACTGCTTTGATCAAATGATACCCACTTGATCCTATTGGCGTTCAAAGCTTGTAACACGACTTGACATTAGTGGCGTCTTTCGGGGAGGAAGGGATGATACTGACTATTGAGACTGTCACTCCAATTAGAGAAGATAACATGTCGGGCTGGTTCTCAGCAAGGGCCACGAACTTAGTGAAGTATGGAACTTGAAATGACTCACCTTCAGGTTCTTTGACACGGTAATATAACAAATGCTTGATGAGAAAATTGATCTTGTCTTGTCAGCACATTTCTGTTGTAACTAAAAGAACACGGCAAAATATAACATGCATGATCTAGGATGGGGAGAGACGGAAGACTCACTTTCGACCCATACTCTCCCAAAATGTCAAAGTGCGAAATCTCTTGCATTCTCTCATGATCCATCATACGCAGCTTGTCCATGTCGTCCCGTTGTAAAATACGTTCAGCCTCTTCCGCCGACAAGGCCGATTCGCCCGAAGCGGAAGCCGAAGGGAGGAGAGATTTGGTTTCCTTCGAAACTTCTGAAGGCTTCGAGGTTGTTTCGTAGCCTCCAACAAGTTTGATACGGGTTATCGCCCGTTCGTTGACTTGAGTCAGCAGAGAGCTCACGGACACAATCCGGTTACTCACTTGGTTCGCGACATGAGGGACATCTATGACCGATGTGTTGAGAATGCCTGAGTTCTTTGAAGCAAGACTGTTTTGTCAATATCGAGTGATAGCGTTGTTCATGAGGAAAGAAGGGTTTAGAAGTGACAGTCAATTCGAGATATGGATTGTGAGGGTATGTGGGTATTGCGGCAGACAGCAGCAGAGGCAGGAGCGACGACTAGAGGGGGGAGGGGGTACCGTGCCAGTGAGAGCAAGAGTAACAAGTCAGTGGGACAAAGGCAGGAAGCCAGGGAAAGAAGAAACGGGACAACCCACGTTACAAAAGAAATGTCCACACGCCAACAGCACAGCCCTATCATCATCGCTCGATCCCATACACACAATACAATCTTCCTTCAACTCATCCGCGTTCCTCTCTTCCATCCCCAAAGCCTCCAAATACCGACCCTTCACCGCCAAACGTGCAAGTGCAGCTTCAGCCGTCGTAATCTCCTTGTTAATGGATTCTAAATCTTTTTCAGGATCAGTGAATTCAGGAGCAGAAACCTGTTTGTAAGTCATCCGCTCGTGTGGAGAATATAGGACATACGGAATCCGATATCTCTTGCAGAGCGGCAAAATAGATGACACGTTTGTTGAACGTCTGACGGAAGAGGTCAATCTCTTTGTTGAGTTTCTCGAGATGTTTGGCTAATGAATCAGTAAATGTCGAGGAAACGAAGGGAGCGCATACTCTGAGTACTGATGTACGATTTGATGATTTCGGTGAGATCTTTGGCGATGTGAACTTCTTGCTCCCGGCTTGCATTGTGGATGATGGCTACTCGTCAGCCACGATTTGCCGCGGTCACTCTGTTGACCTCTCCGCAACTGTTATCACACATTCAAGCTTCAGATGTGACTTCTTGGAATTGATTTTTACCTCCAAGCAAGACACGGATAGAGGGGTTTCATCTTTGAAACTTTCAAAGCCGCGACAATCAACCTCTCGGAATCTTACTGACTCATAAGATGCAATGACTGAGCGCGGAAAGGAGAGAAGATGACAGAAGGGTTCAGCTCACAATTGAGATCTAACAGCAATCCCTTCAATGGTTTCTCACAATCATTCTCTTTTCTCGCATCCCTGAACGCCTGACGTTCAGCCATCAAAGCTCTCGCCTGTTCCTGCACTTCGTCCGGTACGTTCAGAATCTCAGGAGCCTCAGCAACAGCCTTTATGGCCGCCCGTGTGGATCGCTGTTTCGCAGTTCGGACATCTCGTTCGGCGAGAAGACTACGTTCTTCCAACATCATCTCCCGTCTATCTGCCAGTGCGGCGGCATAAGCAATGAGATACGCTTCGACTGAAGGTTAGTTTCTCTCTCCAAGTAGCGGCAGCGTGATTCAACTCCAGAAAAGGGTGCGTCAGATGGAGAAAGAAACATTGGCATGACGAACAAGATCGGCACAGAGTGACTTGAGTGGAGGAGATGATGTGAGAGTACCTACCTTCTCCTTGAGCATTCAACGCTTCGGCATAATATTCCTTCTCAGGATTCTCCACATTCTGCCCCTGACCCACACCTGGCACGTCGGTCGTTTCAGACTCTACGGGAGTCGACAACAGCTCTACTATCTTCTTCCGCCATTCCACTATGAGCACGGCACTGCGTATTAGTCCAAGTCATCATATGGTTACATCTCCGGTGGTCAGATCGTTCCACATGTGCCAGCGCTACAAGTCCAGCGATTGGAAAAGAAGGGACGGTGTGATAGAAGGCAGAGCAGGAAAGACAGAAGCGAGGGATCACTCACTTTCCATCAAGTATTTTCAAGAGCTCCGTCGTTTGAGCCGTTAGCGTACTGGTCTCGATACCACCCCGAGGTCTCGGAGTGAGAGTGTCCGTCTGTAAGTCCGTCAAAGACAGGACTGTTGATTTTTTCAACGCCTGTGAGAGTTGGCTGATCGAACTGACGGATTGTTGTAAAGGTCTAGAGAGGACTTCCCGGCGAATGGTCTCCGCCTGATTGTACGCCGCCACTGTACGTTAGCGCATGGACCGATTCACACCGATGTGGTTGGGTCCATGAGCCGACACATCTGATGAGACTATAGTCTGGAAGGTGGATGGTCCATGATGCGATGAGTCTGAGCAGTGGGAGATCTACGATCGGTGATTGAAGGAAGGACCAATGTTCGAGGGATTTAACGATGGAAGCTTGGTCAATCAAGAAGAAGTCCAACGCACCTTCTTGTTCCTCTTCCTTCTGAACATGTCGAATATCACCCTCAAAGAACCAACATTGATGTATGATAATGAGCATCTCCCTGATTTGTTGTAAAACAGATATCATTGTCATTCCTCTTTCTCTATCTGCCAAAGAGATGTTCCGATCCGACATATCAATGTCTTCATCGTCAGATCCCCGCTCAGCTAACAATTGCGTCAACTGTTTCCGAATAGGGACGAGTTGAGCCGAAAGTCGATCCCTCACTCGTTCGAGAATCTAAGACATAAGCTTCGCTCTGCTTACAGACCAGTGGATAGTTTACCGTCAAAGCCTTGAGATACCGATGTTGGGGGGGGGTCGTCCAAAATGATAAGTTGGGCTTTTCTTACCATTGCTCGAGACTTGGCGTTAGCTTCCATTCTTTTCGTAACTTTGGTTGTCCCCGATGTGAAGATGAGTTTGAGGGGTTGGAAATGACGCTGAGTTCGGACCGAAGGCCGGGGGGGGGGGGGGGGGGGGGGGAGAGGGGAGTGGAGCTGGGAGTGACGAAGCTAAGAGGGCAATGAAGATGGGAGGTGACGAAGCGGGGAAAGGGACATATGTGTGAGAAAGATTGGAGGGTAGAGGAAGATGAAGCGATGAGAAGGGTGGAGAGGTGAGAGATGTTAGTCCACACACCTGACTCCTCAATTGATTATTATACTCTGAAGAATTATCAATCCTCATCCTCTCCAAAGCTTCGTGCATCGTCATTAAACCTTTTCCCAAATGTAACCTCTGATCTATTCTCCCACCATTCAATTGACCTACTTGAATATGAGTACAAATCTGTCTCAAATTAACCAAAGCCGTTCTTAACTTTGCTCTATCCAATACCCAATTTACAGCCATACGAGAATCATGATCCAATGGTAAACCTAAAGCATAACGTTGACGTTCTAAAGTATCATTATAATAAGCTACTTCAATTTCCGATAATTCAATAGGGACTATCATTCTTTTCTGTAGAGGAATATCGAATTCGTTTTGAACTTCTATTTTCGTAGTACGAACGGCCAATTCTCTGCATAAACCTTCGAAAGCAGGTCGGAAAGAAGGTTGTTGAAGACGATGCCAAATGTGAGAATTAGGAGGAATTGGTACTCGTAGAAAACGGAATGAACCGATAAGATCTTTTATATCTGTTCTAGCTGGAGTACCGGACATTGCTAATGAATTACGACGAGGGATTAATGCTACCATTTCGGCAGCATGGGTAGAATTTCCACAAAGTTGAACTTCGTCCATAATCACACGCCACCATTCTACCATTACTAATGGAGAACGCCAACGTTCGTTGAGTTTGTATACGGTGTTGTTTCGACGTGAACGTTCAGGAGGTGGATGAGCCACTGTGAGATCTTGTTGTACTATGATGTCAGTTATTTCCAGTTCATATGAATACATATGTATATCTCACGATCGCTATAATAGTCAGCTCGGATCTCATGCCCGCAAAGGATGAGCTTACTTGTAAGTGGTAATAACGATATCATGCGCCCTCAGATAATCTATAAAGCCTTTTTGAGTCAAAGGTAGAACAGCACCTTCATCCAAATCTTGTTCACCAGGTTTGATATCCTCTTGCTCTTCTATTTCCACTTTCACCTTCTCTCCCCTCCTTGATTTCGTGTACTTCGTAACGATTTTATTTCGCGTGGCTTCGCTCTCCCTTTTTCTCTTCAACTTGTCCTTGACTTCTATCCGTTTACGATATTCATCCTGACGTTTTAGAATTCCTTTCTGTAGCGATTTCCATCCGCCATACACACAAACGCGTAATGTGGGAGCATGTTTCTTCATCTCTGCTACCCATTGCTTGAGTAACGACGGGGGTGTGATAATCAAGGTGTTCTGGTGGTCAATTTCGTAGTGAGTGTAAATCATTCGAAGGACTTACAGGAACTTCAGCGATGGAAATTTGTGCTTCTGGATCATAAGTTACTTTATCTTTGAAAGCACGTTCTTGAGCTTGAATCCATTCTTTCAGAGAGGGATCTTCCAGACCGGGAGGACCATCGGAAAGGTCGATGAGAGGTACAGGGATGTCATCGTCTGGGTTGATGGATCCCTCTTTTGACGATCCGGCGATGGCAGACTTCGAGTAGTCCAAACGTGGGATAGCAGATGGATGTTGATTGAGAATGATTAATGATATAGCTTCGACAGTTTTCCCAAGACCTTGAGGTCAGCATTTAATCTCGTAGATTGATTGGAGAAATTTACATACCCATCTCTTCACACAACATGGTCCCGCGAATCCCAGATAGATCGATGAGAGCTTCAGTTCCAGGAGGCTGCAATCCCGTCATCACTAAATCCCTCTCTCTTTCCTTCCCTCTGGCTTTACTGGACTTTTTCTCCAATGGTAACAACTCTCCAGTCAATCGTCTGTATGTCAAACTTCCTATGCTCTCCCCGAAATCTACCATTGACCAAAATCCTGGTGGATCTCCTGACGGTTTCTCCACGGCAAACCCAGGCGCGTTCTCTCTCTCCAAAAGCTTTGCTACCGTCCTCAGTTGAAAAGGCAATAAAGTCGACCTCAACTCCTTCGCTTGAATCCTTTCCGCCATCGTCAGACTGACTTGAGGGGCTGGTCTCAGACTCGCGAAGAAATATCTGAGAGCAACCGCTCTATCTTTCTCTTCTGTCGTCGGTAGTCTAGCTGTCGGACTGGGTAGAAGGGAATTAAGAATGAGACCTAATAAATCTTGTCCAGCCGGAGGAAGAGGTTCGTAAATCTTGTCCATATCCATAAAGATTTTGAAGGTGACGATGATTTTGATCTCCACTCGATCTTCCTCTTCGTCGTCATCAATATCATCTTCACTATCATAATCACTGTCATTATCAGTATCATGATTACTGTCATGATCGCTATCTTCTTGATCCCGCGCACGTCGTCTCGGTGCTCGTTGTTGTCCTTCTTCTTTGACTTTTGGTATCCAAGCCATTTGAGCGTTGGTGACAAGTACGAATCGTTCTATATCATCGTTATATTTGATTTTTCCGATCGTTCGAGGAAGAGAAGGATCAAGAGTGACTATAGCGTTTAGATAATTTTGAGTTGAACGTGTTTGAGAGTGAGGCAGCCATTCTTTACGTGTGGTATGAGGCATACTGATTGATAAAAATGGTATTTTATCTTCAGGTGAACGAAGTGTCAATTGATCACGTTCACAACGAAGAGAGTGAATATCAGGATATCCTAAAACTTGTTTTTCTGTTTGAAAAAGAAAAAGAGGGGAAAGAGGCTCGACAGATTTGCAAAGCGAATCACGAACTTGGATATAACTTCTATAATAAGGATTTTCACCTCCACGCCAATGGTAATAGTATGCTGTTGGAGGTTTTAGAATGGTCTCTATGGTCGTGGTGTTCAGATGAAAGAGAGAAGGACGAGTGTTGAGAAGATCGATAGAAAGATCATGATCTGAGAAATTAGCACTTGAAGGGAGAAGAAAAGAAAAAGAGATTGAGGTGTGATATGATATAGTTTGAAGGTCAAGAAGGACGTACTTTCGAGAGATTTCTTTGATGTTTTAGAAGAGAGGTTTTGAAGAGCCTTATTGAATACCAATTGTAGCTGACAAGAGTCATATCCTCTACAGTTGGTCTCGGTTGTGAATGTGGAAGTGGTCGGGAATGAGGTCGGGTTGGACATGACGTCTTGGAATCAAGATGAACCTGTCTGATATAATGTCTGATATAAGCTAGACATTCCTACCATGCGCAAAGAGGCAGCTTACGAACCTGTGTGCCAGCTGGTGAGGAATGGAGCAAGAGAAGGGAAAAGAGAAAATGTCATTGAGGAGGAGGATGGGATCTAGTCAGCCAATTGGATTCCCACGGTCGACTGAAACGAGTGGCGAGTGCCTCCACTTTTCACCTCCACCCAAGTGTAGTCCTACTTTCGGCCTTGTGGATCATCCGACAGAGTGGGTAGTAGGGGTCTCTGAATGACTGCCCCTCATCTAACACTGCACGTTACTAAACACATAGCTAGCAGTCCATAGATCAGCACTTGATGCATGATTTCCTTGATGACAAAATTGTTGAAATGCACAAATATCATGCAGAAAACTTGCATATCATTTCGTTACTCGACAAAATTCCAACCGCTCTTATTCTCATCTTAACTACCTCCGCCCTACTCATCCGATCGTGTACTCGTATCATCGTACAAACTCCCAAACACCTTCATCCAAAACTTCCTTTTCACCCTCTCCTCCCATTCCTTCACTCCTATCACATCTATCACTCCTTGAACCTTCCGTACAAGTTGTCTGTGCTAAACAATCCACAACATCCCTCACTCCCATCAACACCGGCATCATACCCGTTGCACTCGATTTTGGAGATTTTGGAGATTTTGGTGAACCTTTCATGTTATTCGAAAGGACGGTAAATACATTGGTATTCGTACCGTTCCCCATAACTGATGCAGTGGTCAGAATAAACATTCCCGATGTCGAAGTTGAAGCAGACCAAGGGATTGAAGAATTTGGGAAATCTTTAACTTCCAATACTCTCCCAACACCACCTTCTATTTCTGATATAACTCGTAAACCTTCTTGACGTTTTTTGAATATACCTTTATCAGGTTGTTGAGCTAAAATCACTAAATCATCGAAGATCATCATAGTGAGAATATCTTCTTTACGTCTTTTTGGAGTGACTGGTCTTTCGACGGATCCTGAACTTGGTGAACGACCAAGAGGTGATGAATGAGAATGAGTACTATTACTTCTTGAAGGTGTGGAAGATGTTGTGGATACTGAAAATGCTGAAGTCCTTGCTGATGATAATGATTGAAGGTCCCATGGAGATGATGGAGTTGATGAAGCTGAAGAATAAGATCGAGAGGATGACATACTTCCTGTTCGACCCATAGGAGAGGTTGATGGCATACGGACTAACTGTACTTGTGCAGTACCGAGAAGTTTTCTTCCTCGAATGGCTAGATTGAAGTTGTCAGGTAGACCGTGGAGTTTGGAAGAGAGGGAAATAAGAGCGTCGTAGTCATCTTCCTTGGCTTTGGTAGCTTGGAGTGTGAGGATTATGGATTCAGTGTGAGCGAGGAGGGACATGAGTTCTGAATGAGCGGGATGAGGATGAGCGGTAGCATCGAGAAGTCGCTGATTGTCAGCTTTACATCTTTCATGGAACTCAACGCAATCGTCATTCTCAAGCTGGGAAAGTGACACACTTCATCATCGATTGAATAGGTAAGACGGTGACGGAATTGTGTATGAATAGAAGTAGCTATGATTTGACTCACCTTGAGGAACAACGGATACTTGGTCAACCTTTGAACCGGCTTCAACAACATACTCCCTAAAGACATACTTCCCAAAACCTCTTCCTTCATTTGCATCCTCACAAACTCTCCAAAAACGTTTTCCGGATCCCTTACACTCTCTTCCACAAGTGCTACCACCTTTTCAAACCTCAACAAATATTCTTCGTGCATTTCCAACTTGTCCACCCAGTTTCTGAACGAAGCGACGAATTGTCCAACATTCAAAAGTCCTGTCTTACGACGCATATCCCTTTGAGACGCACAAAGAATACCATGAGCATGTGCCACTCCTTCCAAAGCGTCAAACAATTCGGTGACTTGTTGTTGTATCCCATCGATCCAACGACCTTGTGGTGTTTTCAACGGAGTGGCGAAAAGACGTAATGTCGTCCTTACCGATTTGAGGAAAGCGGCTTCCGTCTCACACATTTCCCAAATGACTTCTTGTCTTTTCACCTCTAAAGGTCCCATTTGTTCCGCTCGTCTACATGCTTCAACCCCTATGCTTTCCCTCCAGGACGAGGACATCTCTTCCGTTGGAGAAGAAGATTCGGAGAAGCATTTGGAGATACCTGACGAAGCTACGTCAAAGACTTCTTTACGCTGACGGGGTCGAGGGGGTTCAGGAAGGTTATGATCGGATCCTGAACGTGTCATTCTAGATTTACGAGGTGGGGTCATAGACTTTCGTTTATCCGAAATGGTCGGGATAGCCTTTCGTGATGGTGATGGCCAACCATGATCTTGATCTGACACCTTGCCAATAGCAGAAGGTAAGGTATCGAAAGATCCTGTACAAGCCCAGAACATTACGCTGCTATCTGTCTCGGAATCTGATTCAGAAAATGATGACGATCTCTCGGAGACTCCCCAATGTTGGGAGAAATCGAGATTGGCGACTAGACCTCGTAAGGCTGATAAACGACGTTGTGTCGAATCACGCTTTCTGGAAGTGGTAGTTGAAGTAGAATTGGTGGATGCTGTATCGGATTGGACGGCGTTCAGTACGTTACTCGAATATGGAACGATTGGGTTGGGCCGGCTACCTACAGCCGCGCGGGGAGTAGGAGCGTCGGAACACTGAGAATCGGATGGAGAGACTGAACGGAGAATAGGACGAGGAGGTTGGAGCTCTCTAGGAGGGTCGGAGAAATCCGGTCTGTGAGATCGAGAAGGGGAATGAGACGAGAGAGAAGGACGGGAGGCTTGACGAGACGGAGTGAAGTCGTCTTTGGGAGAGGTAAAGTCTGTCTTGGGCGATGTGAAGTCCGTCCGAGAATAGGTGAGGTTTGTACGAGGAGTAGAGAAATCACTTCGATATGCGACCTCTGGTGAAGGGACCTCCTGGTGATGACGATGCACAGCCGGGCCGGCGACAGAACGAGAAGAGGTAGCAAGGGGAGAGTAAAATTGTGAGATGGGTGGCGTGGGAGGTTCCTCGTGAGACAAAAACGTAGATGATCGTCTCGCTGGTCGTGGCGGTGTTATAGATTTTGATTTGCGCAGCGAACTAGATCTAGGACGTTCCGAAATGTCACGGTCATGGGTGTCGATCGAAGTCTTACACTGTTTCATATCTTCTTTCTCGTCACCGGCTTCACCGGTTGAACCGGTCCCATGACCACTGACCCTTTGCATCTTAGATCCCTGCATGTTTTCTTGGTTTCGATGAGACCATGTAGCTCCCGTCATTACCCTAGAGTTCCCGCTTGACGTTTCACTGTCAGTAGACCATTCCGCTCCGTCATAAGCACTGTTGACGACAATGTGCACTTGGTCGGCATCGTACCTGATCGATTTCCTACGTGATTCGCTTTGTTTGCCATATTTGGTCGATGACGGCAGAGGAGGACTATTCACTTCCACACTTAAAGGAATGGCCGGAAGTAGCTTACTTCTTCTTTTCTGACGGTCCGGAAGGGGGGTGACAATTGTCTGACTTTGTCCACTGTCGGAAGAGGAAATACTTGGGGATCGAGATAAGTTCAAACTCGATAAGGCGAGAGAATCGGAGCGGACTAATCTGTTAGAAGGTTGATTTTGAGGTGATGGAAACGCCTTTTCATTTGGGTAGTCTAAAAAGTGGGGCTCTTGTCTTTGACTGTGACGTCTGAATGATCCGGATTGGGCTAGAGGTGGAGATTTAGGCCTAGGTGATCGATGTGCGGTGGAGGAGGCTAAATGACGAAGAGAGTCGGATCGTGGCGGTGCGATCGAAGTGGTCATTTGGGTCTTGGAGGTTGATGAGATTTGAGGTGAACGATGAAAACTCCCGTTATATGGTGGGATGATTGGGGATAGGTCGGGTAAGGCCGGCATCGCAGGTATAGAAGGCATGGTAGGCATCGTTGGCAGGCGGGAATTTTGGCTTCGGAGGGAAGATGAAGTGTGACCACCGTCAGACCATTGAGGAGGAGGCGATGACTTGCCACGGGAATGTCGCTTACTCGATGGTGAACGGGAAGACATGGTACAGTCTGGAGTACCAGCAGTGAACACGGTTGATCCTTTGAGGTAGGTGAAAAGACTTTGGAGTAGTCTTAGATTTTGCGATGGTAATAAGCGGTTTATCTGGAATCTTGCGTTTTTGACCGATTACAAAAGAGAGGGAAGCCGGGGACGAGGAAGAAGCCAAAGTCGAGGTAAAGAGGAGAAAGTCTCAGTTCAAGCACAGCTACAAACCAGACGGATAGGGCAGGGATTTTGAGGAATGTCTTGTAATACAGTGTAAATCTCAATATGTGATCGAGAGTCAAACACCCGTCCGAACCGGCGAAACGAGTCGAGATAGAGTAGGTTTTTCTAGATACAATGCAGGAAGAAGACGGATGCGGCCAGCGCTGTGAGGTGGAATGACGTTGAAATGATGAAACCAAGCTTTGACTTTGTTTTGTTATGCCTTCGATCGTTGTTGAGCTCTTCTCACTAAAATCACCAAGGCATATGGTGCTGAACGTGTATGAAGACCAAAGCGAGGTCTTTGACATAAAGCTATGGATACCTACGTCGGTGGCTGTCCCTTTCAAGGATCTAGAATTCTCGACCGTTTCTGTCCCGTCAGTTTGACTCTGAGTTCCGGGAAAAAGGACTATTCGGTAGAGGACTCACGGAGGGTTTGACTCGTGAGACGGGCCTTTGAAGGTGAGAGTTTGGGTTTGTAAAGGATACTTTTGAGGCCGATTTGGGAGTTCCGCTAGTACCACCTTAACGGAGCTTGACGGGAAGGTGAGAATAATGGGATCACGATATGAGTCAGAAATGAGCAGGAGGGTGGATTCATGAGTAAAAATATGAGTATGAAAAGGGAGAACCCCAAAAGCCATAGGACAATACAGGTGAGAGGTAGGGGAGACGTGAATTGATGGGATATGTAACAGATAGGCAGATTTGCCAGCTGACACCGTCCCTTACCCCTTTCTTGAATGCCCTTTGCATCTTCACCTGTCAAATCAGTCATGAGCATGTTTCATCTCGTATCGTTAATCAAAAACACGTGTTAGGAGTACGGGGAGGTACAGTAGAGGAATGTGAAGAGAATAGGGAGGGGGGAGGGAGGGCGGGAGGGAGAAGGATCGGACATCGGGGATCGGGGAAACGATCAGTGTGCCTGCAACAAGTCTGCCTGACATTGTTATTACACCGATCATTAATCACTGATGGTTTCAATTGTCAGTGACACCCCTTGAAGATGACGCAACTTTTGCCATTGCCGCCTACTTCGGACCCCCCCCCCCCCCTCCCCTCCGTCGGCTCAACTTGACGCATGTCTCTATCGCTCTTCTTACGGCCCCTCACACCACAATTCGGATCATTGTCACTCCGTCCAACAGTCAAACTCGCATCTTTCAAACTGGGCAACTATCATTCCACAAACCCTTGCGACATGGGCGCCACCGTCAAGGATATGGTGGATAATTCCATCAAGGAGAATGAATTTGTCATCTTTGGCAAATCGTGGTGTCCCGTGAGACTTCTCTTCTATTCTCACATAACATTTTCTTCTTCTTCTCCTACACTTTCCATCTATCGTAGATCGTGATAAGCACTACAAGATAGCTCGTCAAGGGTCGAATGTCGTTATGGTGAAGAATGCTGATACGACAGTACTGCAAACGAGCCAAGGCTATCATGGAGGATCTCACCGATCAATTGATGTATATCGAGTGGGTCATCTTTCTTATACCATGATAGAGCTGATGATCAGTATCGACAAAACGGATAAAGAATGTAAGTTACCACAATTCACAGGAGAGACATGACGCTGAATCTCAGCCGAAATACAAGCTTACCTCCATCAGCTGAATGGACAGGGAACCGTTCCTCACGTTTATATTCGACAAAAGTTCATCGGAGGTTGCTCTGACTTGCAAGCTATACCAGGGGCGAAATTGAAGGAGATGGTCAAGGGTTCTAAGGCCAAGGCGTGACACCACTCGGGTATAGTAACCATAACTAGTACCTAGTACCTTGTTCTTTAGTCATCGAGTCTGAGTCAAAGTCACAGATACAAAGTACACAGAATTGAGCATGCAGCATGCAGCATTGATATGTAAAGCTAGTACAGGTCTTAATATCTTAAAGTTCCTTGACAGTGATGTCTCCATAGCTTGGGAAGGGTGACATGTATGAGTGGCGTTTGATCCGGCCGGCAATGCGGCCTACATAAAAAGTAAAATCAGTAAGTAACAAAAAGCCTCATGGCCGCCGCTCAATCTATGATCTCCACCTTCATATCAAATCGTATCTTGTCATATTCGTACTCTTCCCAGAACCGTACAGCCCCTTCTCCTTGGTCGTGGTGCCATAGTCGTTACAAACACCTAAACCGGACACCCAGATAAGAGTTTCCCAACTTAGTGGCGTGACATTTATCGTCATTCTATTACTCTCCATCTCAATCCAGTAACCGAATCCTATTACGTTGAATCTAAAACAATATCAGGAAAGGGAAACATCTACAGTGATATCAAATCACACTCCCTTCCCGTTTATGCCGGTCATCCATGATCCAAAACCTTCCAACAATCTCCGACCGAATTTGACAAAGGATCTACCAGGTCACTGTACAGTGTGACACTGTCTCGCTTCCTTACCCCGAGTAAGTATTCCCACTCTTGTCCTATAGACCAATCGCTGATCAGTAGAGTTTCTATCTGCCTATAAGTAGCTGACCCTTGATCCAAGACTTCTTCATCGCAAACTCTACTTCCCATCCCACCCCACCCCTACCATTGTCAACCCTTCGAACCTTCGAACAACTTCAATATGATTCTCCCACCGCAGAACATTCCCCTCAGACCACCGACCGGGGTAAGCAAACAAGCCTTGCTAATTCGTCTTCCGCAGGAAACACTCGATGCTTTGATTGAAGCTCAGGAAGATGATTCCGCTAGGGTATGGATGGATGATGGTGTCATGGTGAGTTATCCTTCCAACCCTACTTCCCCTATACCTTGCTTTTCAACTGGGCAATCTGTATATAGTTCCGAAGATTCTTTCTCTTACCCGACACCCTATATCCTTGGTATCGTCCTGTCATTTGACATCCATCTCAGCTGGTGCTCTTACTATCACCTGTCACCTCAAACTCCCTTCACCATTCCTTGACTCGTACAAGGAGTAACCAACGAAAGATGGGTCGCGGAGTAGAGAATCAAACCATGCTGACAGAAAAGAAACTCGACCTCCCAGACGAATGTATAACACTCGATTCCCACATGGTCGATCTGAACGAAATCCATCTCTTCACAAAATCCCCACCCGCTCTCACTCACATCGCAACTGCCTCGGCTCGTGCTTGTCTACCTCTCTCCTCACAATGCGCAGTCAAAGCAGGCGAAAAGCTCAAACAACACGTCAGTGCTCTGGACGAACAACGCAAAGCCCGAGCGGAAATGGTGGATGGATCAAGCAACTCGTCTAAACCTCGTCAAATCCTCACCCCTCAAGTTCCCTCCCCCGCCGGTGTATCCGCCGCGATGAACAGGGTTCAAAGTAGTCCAGCTACCATTGGAGCTGCAACTGGAACGACTCCTATCATACCTCTGAAGACTAGGGTGATGCAGACATTGGCATTGGGACCTATCTCAGCTTCAGAATTGATTTTGCGTGTAGCAGGAAATGAGGTGGATGTGATGAGGGTAGCCAATGTTGTGAGTTTACCCGATACTTTACTACCCTACAGCCTCATTTCCTCCTCCTATTGCCTAAGATACTCTATCATATCACTTATATTTGAACTCGGCTGACGTACACAGATCGGAAGGTCATCTGGTAATCCACCCAAATATACTTTACTCCCTCAACAATATACAAAGATCAAAATTACCGCTTGGCGATACACACCTGCTGAAAAACGTCAAGTTATCCATCTTGCCAGACTGGCCTTCGACGAACTTGGATTTTCCCCAGGATCGCAAGAACATCTAGATTTGGACAAGGTGGAAGCTGAAGCTGAAGCTTCTCCAATTCTTCCAACCCCGGAGATACACAAGAGTCCCGTTATCCTTCCCACGATCTCACGAGAGTCACATGGACACAGTTTGAGTATGAGTACGAGCGGGAGAAGTAATTCACCATCCGATTCTTCCATTTCTATCAAAACTCAACCACCACCTCCTAAACCTTCGAAATCCGTCAAGACTATCAAAACTGCTAAAACGACCTCACCTGTTTCACAACAAAGTTTAGATGATAATACTCCTAAACCTACCAAAGCGCCTGTACCCATCAAGCCAAAAGCTTCAAAGACACCAAAGACACTCATCGGAAAAGCCCGAGCGAAGCATTTGGCAGAAGCGAATAAACGAGCCTCTTCCCTTCCTAACAATAAGAAACTCGATGACGCTTCTGTTCCCATCCCTTCGCCAACATCCAAACCACTGATAACGAAACCGAGACCTCCTGTGAAACGTAAATCCCCAGAAGAGACTGAGAAGGAAAAAGAAAAGGAGAAAGAAGAAACTCCGAATCGTCAAGTGAAGAAACGTCGTCCTTCTCCTCAATTCTCAGATTCATCAGAAGAAGAAAGAGGTAGACCAAAAGAAACCAAGATTACTTCTGTCATTCCTCCACCCAGAAGAGAAAGTATCAGTTCTTCCGACAAACATAGTACTCCACCGGATGATCTCAGACGTTTACCTAAGATAACGAAACGTACACCAATGGAATCAGTGAAGATTCAGAAAGATTTGAAGAATGAAGAAGCTAAGAAGAGAAGAAAATATGAGAGGTTATATGGAGAATATGGAGACTTGACCAGACGTTTAGTAAATTTACATAGGAGATTAGAGGAGATGGAAGATGGTGAAGATGTGGGTGGATTGGAGAGAGAGATTAAGAAGACAGCAGGAGAGTTTAAAGCATTGCATGATGTTTTACAAGATTTGAGGAGGCATTTTGTGGATGAGTAAAGGTTATGTCGAGTTGCTCCTCTCCATCCCCGGTTCAAGATAAGTAAAGGCGACGGGATGATAGGATATGGTTTGGTATTTGCTCAAGAATCAATTCATAGGTACGGAATGAGGATGATAGTGTTGTAGCTATTTTTGTAGAGTATATAGGGGATCTTAATGTAGTTAGTGTGATGACATATTATTTAACGACTACCACTACTTGCGTTCGTTTCACATTCCTCTTCCTCTCACCTTCCTTCATCTCTCCTCTACGTTCAACTAAGTAATCTTGCATTCCAACACTATCCTCGGTCTTAGATCCTCGTGTTACTTTGTATCATCTGTCAATCTTACTCTTATCAAACAACTCCATGCAAGAAAGAACATAGTAGTGAAAGCTCAACAAGTCAAGCCCAACAAAAAGACAAAAAGTGGAAATGGAAGATCCATCAGGTTGGAACCTTATAGAATCTGATCCTTCAGTTTTCGAACAGTTATTAGTTGATGTAGGTGTAGAGGGATTGCAAGTTGTGAGTATCAGTCTTCTCATATTACATAGTAATCTATACATGCAGGTATATCCGTTTCTTTCTTTTGAACCTCTTTGGCAGATTTGACGATAAACCAACGAGATTGATCAACTCCTCGTCATATTCCCTCTCTTTCCTTCTTAGATCTTGTAGTGTTCTATCTCATTCGACTTCTCCCACCTCCCATCTACCATCTACCATCTACCATCTACCATCTACCAGCTACCAGCTACCAGCTACCAGCTACCAGCTACCAGCTACCAGCTACCAGCTACCAGCTACCAGCTACCATTCCAGGATAGCGCAGGAAACTCAGAAACTCCAATCGACAACATAAAACGAAAAGTATCACCCCTCTAACCAACGTGTTCCTAAACTCGACTCTTTTCTCAAAGAATACCTCCATAATTCAGTCCAATCTCCTTCTACTTCTCTCAGTAGACCCAGTTGAGCTATCAGGGGAACCATAGAATTTCTCTCACGATTCACTATTCTTGGTGAATTGAATCGTCAACAAGTATTGTACGACGGGGGAAGTCGCAATACAACTTGGCTGACAAAACAGGATGAACTTTATTCTCTTGATGAAGAAACTTTTGATCAATTGAAACCTGTTAAAGCGCTTATATTCTTATTCCGATGGGTTGGGAAAGAACAAGATGGGTATAAAGCTGGGATAGAAGTTGATCCTCAAGATTGTGGGATTTTCTTCGCTAATCAGGTGAGTTGGGAGATAATCCTTTTATCTTCCTATGTCTAGTGTTCTGATTGATATCTGCTCTCATTTGCATTCAATAATGAATCCTTGGCTAGGATTCGTGGTAGGAAACTTGTACTATTGGTATACGCTGTTGTAACGACTTGCGTCGTAAACTCTGGTGAAGTGACCTTTCGACGATCTTAACTGAAAGGGAAGGTCGCGATGGTAAGAGGGCACGAAAATTTGTAGGGGGGAATGTTCTTCACAATTTCGTAGAATAATCCAAAGGCGATGGTGTGTGATCAAAGATAAAATATTAAATGAGTGTGATTAAAGATATTAGAGATGAGGTGCTGATATAATTTAGGTGGTCAATAATGCTTGTGGGACAATGGCAGCTTTGAATGCTGTTAGTTGAACTTCTTCTGTCCCTCTTTTACACACTACACCAGTCTTACCCCTTCCCCGCCATCCTATGAGAAGCTGAGATAGTCATACTCCTCTTCTGGAGATCGGCGATTCAGTCTTACCTCTATGTTTGAACTACTACTCATTTCAATTCATGCCGATGAAGTTTATGTAGCTCGGTGGGATCAGCTCTTAGCCTGCTCTGCGATTTTGAGTGCTTGAAACAGGACTGACGAATAGGTCATGAACATTCCCGAGGTCGATTCTGAATATCAAGGAGAATCCATAAAAATCGGTGTTAGCTGACGCTACCGATATATTCAATGAGCTGACCATCAGCCCGAGTTACAGAGGATGAAAGAGTTTTCCATGGGGATGGATTCTGTCAAGTGAGTAATTAAATTTACCTTTCAACTTTTCTCTTTTTACATTCCTCAGATATACACCACTCTTCCCTGTTGGCAATTGCATTTACCCCCGTGACGAACAAGCGCCGTAAGGTAATATTCACTCGTCACGCATCCCAGCGAAAAAATTACCACAATCACACCACCTTGAATTTCGTGTGAAACCCCTCCAGAGCTTTGTGTTTCGAGAATTGTTCATGAAGAGTTTAGTGAGAAAGAATTTTAATCCTCAGCTTGGGCCACTTGATCTCCTCAAACCCTCTCATCAGAGAAATCCATAATTCTTTCTCCCGCTCCACACCTTTCACCTTCGATCCGTCCTCCAACCCCGATGCAGACCCTTCTGACGCATATCACTTTGTCACCTATGTCCCCTTCAATGGGCTGGTGTACGAACTTGACGGATTGAGGGAGAAACCGTTAATGCATGCCGCGGCTCTGGACGATTGGACGATTCCCGCTAGGCAGATAGTACAACATAGGATAAATACCTATCCCGAAGGTCAAGTAAGTTCAAGACCTCACTTATCACTTCCATGATCTCTCTGTGTATCAAAACCCTTCCACCCAATGATCTCTCCCGTCTTGAAGTGACGTTTTCACGAGTCATTCGGTTTCTTTAATAACACCATATGATATACTCAAAACTTATAAAAACACCATCTCATATAATCGCTTATTCCGTATGTAAGGATGATAATGTGAAGATATGGGAATCAAAATCACCAAGGAAATGAAACCATAGTGGACAGTTCTGACAATCAGATCCATTTCTCTCTTCTTGCTATATCTGATTCCCGTAAACCTCTTTTGAAACGTCACTTGAAAGATCCGACTTTATCTACTTCTGAAAAAGAAGATCTATCTTGGAGATTAAAATCGGAAGAACACAAAACAATTCAAGCTACACAAGATAACGCTTTGAGGAGAAATAATCTCATACCTGCTGTTCTTGGTCTTCTCAAAGCTTTGGGGGAGAGTGGGGTGGTTGATACGTTGAGAGAAAGCTCGCGGAAAGATCGGAAGGTGAAGAAGATGAGAAGTGGGGATGAGTGAGATTTACCTTAAGGGTAGACTTAGTACCGGGGAGGGAGGGGGAGGCGGGTTAGAGAATAAAAGGGTGAAACCTCCAATACTGTATGTGTCGTCGAAATGATGAATACAAGTATTTAGCACTGGGCATCTCTCAAAGTCTTAAGTTCTTATATCTCTCTCACGGACTTAATCTGCTTCGACACACGTTTGAAGGTCGAATTTAATGGTCAATCTGAACAAGATGACTTCATTCCCTACACGAGGAAAAAGAAGCTAGGACAGGTAATGTTAGCTCACTAGATGACAGCAAATCGTGTCGGTCAATTTTACACTAGGGAAAATAACAAACACTCTCATCTCCTCTCAACATACAGTCAGTATCATTCAAGCAAATTTAGTATTACCTAACAAACGTCGACCATCCATGCATCTACCTACTTCACGATTCCCAATTGTGATCTAAGATGAACCAACTTAATGATGTACCTCCTCTTTGGGTTGATCTTTCTCCAAAAACGTCAAAAAAGCATCAGCGCTCTCCCCTTCTTCTTCTTTCTTCGGAGTTGCGGAAGTCTGACCGATGATAGGTTCTTCAGAATCGAATTTCGCCAACTCGGAAGCTAAGTCGGTTGGTAGTGCCGGTGCTTGAGGAGGAGATGGAGCTGTATAATTACGGACTAAACCGACATGAGCGTCTTGTGCCTGGAGATCAGTAAGGTAGTTTGATAGGTTTATATGGAATGATGGTGTTCATACTCCTGAGCATGTGGGAGTGTTTGGGAAATGACCCTCGGCTTCGGTATAGGTTCTTGCTTATGGTGGTATTGGTACAAGGTCAGGGATCCAAGGTTGAAGATAGAAGTAACATTGTTTTGTGCAAAGTTGGGGGTATGATGGGATTTAGAGAATGATGAGAGATTGAAAAGATCTGGAGATGTAAAGAGAGATGACGGGACTTACTTGTGGAGCAGGCTTATAATTCTTCAATTGAGAAACGTAGAGGTCTTGCAATAAGTCTAACTCATCAACATCTATCCTATCCCTCTATATAGTTATTTAGTGAATTGACAAAGTGGAGAGTCCTAGTTGCGATGGGCTGATAGAGTTTGTGAACATGAAGTTGCGAAACAGAAGAAGACCCAGAACCAACCTTTTCGTCCCATGGCAGAGACGGAGAAAGATCTCGAGAGAGGGGTGGCACGACGGACCTATGTATCAGCTAGTGAATGCTGGAGAGCCGGATAGCTTACGGTGAGACGTATGAGAGAAGCCATGATATTTGCTCAAGTGTAGGATGGTAGGAACAAAGTGTGGAAGAAGCACGGAAGGCGGTTGACGGAACATCTGATAGGCTTGCGTTCACCCTATCCTCGCGGGCGCCTATTTACCGGTCTTGTCCAATAGGCTTCAAGGATCAAGAACAGATGTAGATGCGGGAACAAGAATGAATAGATGCATACAAGTCATATTCAAAAATCATAGAAAGCAAGATACATGGGTTATAGCTTACGAGTCATTTCAGACACTCAGGATCTAGCAAAAGAACTGATTCAAATCATCCCCCTCATATGATCAGACCGTTCGTGCCGTCCCTTTAATAACAAGGAAATTTGGCCGCCAGACGGCAGATGTCTCGCCGGGTCCACCTCGTAAACGAGTGACACCGTTCAACTCTCTGCGACCTTGGAATGTCATCCTTTTGACTGTTTATCAATACGTGATGGAGATCATGAGACGTTCGACTTACAATATGAGGAAGGATGAAGAAAAGTTTCGACAACCTTGACGTCGCTTTTCGGTATGCGGGTGAAAGTGACGTGGGATTTAATCTGTTGGGGGTAGAGTTTCTTATCAATTAATACCTGCAGTAGAAAGAACCAATGAGGTGTCTTCTCACTTTGGTTAGTTTAGTCTACTTTTGACCTTTCTCCCTTGTACTCAATTTTCTACCTCTGGGACACAGAGTTCATATTTGGATTATCAGTGAATCCGCAGGGCTACAGAAGTGAGATTCACTATAGGATATCTCATGATGCCTTCATATGCCGACTCTTTGAGAGGACAAGAACCGTAAGTCGCGTTCCTCACACAAACGCCCCCCCCCACCTGCCAGCTCTTCTCCACCACCACCATCATCATCCCTTGGGGAGCATGTCACTCCTTGATAAGGCAAGGGAAGAAGTTCACATGCACGACGAAGAATTGATGTATAGACAACAACACCCCTCATATGGTATCTCTCATGCACAAGACGCAAATTACCGTCCATCTTCTACCGGATCATATGGATCATCCGTCAGTGCTGTTGGAACCATCCCCACCCCTTATCCTCCTCAACCACCACCTCCCTTACATCCTTCTTATGCAACACCATCCACATCGTATACAAATCAAACGGGTGAACTCCAACATCTCATCTCACTGCCTACAAGAGAACAAGTACATCATTATCTCATCGCGCGTCGGAGACAACCCGCCGGTCTGGAAACAGGATGGAAAATCGAAGACCGTCCATTAGACGCATACATCCTTTTTTCCACCGTCATAGGATTAGGAGGAAGTGTTCAAGTAACTGAAAGAGGTTGGTGGACTAGAATAGCTACTGCTCTCGATTTACCCTTAACAGGATCCATAGATCCTCCTGACGCTTTGAGAAGGTTTTTCACGACCATGTTAAAGGAGTTGGAACAAATGTGGGAGGAGACAAAAGCTATGAACGTAGCAGATGGAAGGCATGCAGGACATGGTCCACAAGATCGATATGGTCAAAATCACGGACGGGACCTTGGTCAATCTTCTCAATCTCAATCTCAATCTCAATCACAACCTCGATCTCAGATCCCCAGGGTCACACACAATACCACGGAAAGATACGATCCTGTAAGACACGATGTGGGGCTTAGAGAATCGTATCTTTCGACAGGGACGGCGAATACAAACCATCATACCACTCCTCAAAGTTCTGTTTCGCCAGCCAACAATCAACCTGGGAACATTAGGATACATCAACCGTCGTCGATCCGTCCTCCTACGCAAGGTAATCAACTTGTACCAAGCAGATTCGGATCACAAACGAGCAACAGTGCATCGCCTGCGACACAGCAACAACCAGCCCAAACTCGATTCAACCATCAAACAACACATGTTCAACCGTCTTACAGTTTCACTCAATCGGTATATTCCCCCAATGCACAAGTACAGACGCAGCCGATACCCTCCTCTGCTCGATCTACTTTATCGACTCAATCTACTAGGACGTTACCCACCGCTACGTCTCATCTCAGTACATCAACCCAGTCCACGTTCAGTCAACAACAAACTCAACATGTGCCTCAAACTCACATTCAACATGATCAAACTTCTCATACCCAGCAACATGTTCAATCTCAATCTCAGCGACTGAGTATGTCCCAACCTTCACCATCTAAGCGTTCTGTCTCACAAAACACCAACCAGGCTGCGGGACTTCCATCTCCAGTTTCTCACCAACCTTCTCACCCTTCGAACACACAAGGTTCAGAGAGAGTGAGCAGTCAGAGGCAGACCGTTAACCAAGCCTCGCGTCCACCCCTCCCCACACCAGGCTCTTCTGCACCTACCAGATTCAACCACGATTCCTCACTACCTCGCACGACTACGTTTAATGCTTCTACAGCGATCCACGAAGCCATCAAAGCTGATCTCGCCGCATATCATCCTCCCAAGTTCTCCACCTTCGACGAATTAGTCAATTCAGACGTTCTGCCATGTCCCAGGTCGTCCTCTGACGAACTTACCACCGGGAACAAAGTATACCAATATGCCAAACGATGTCACGAGATATTGGCTGCTGTAAGGGCGATGGCTACAAAAGAGCCTGGGAAGAGGTTATCTTTGGACGAATTGGTCTTTTGGTCTAAACTTCGTCAGCTGCTCTCTGTTTTCCGAGTTCATAAGCTGACTCCACAGTGGCGATATTGAAAGCCAACAGAGGTCTCGTTATTCCCGGGCTACCCAACAATCCCAATCAAACGCCTTCCATCCCCTCCGGCTCTAATGCTCATATTACGCCTGATGCTCAAGATACTCATGTCTCCTCTACCGGCAATCCGCCTCACCTGATGGCTACCTCCAGCTCTGGATCTCTGAACAACGGTTCCGCCTCTACTATCGATCCCAACTCCATGGGATCAGCGCCCGGAACGTCAAAAAGGAAAAATCCTCCGCAATTGGACGAACAAGGTAATCCCATCAAAAAGAAACGGGGCAGGCCCAACAAAACCTTCGTCGACGCTAATGGAAATCCTATTCCCCGGACTCCCCCGCTCGACGAAAATGGTCAACCCATACTCAAAAAACGAGGACGTCCTCCTAAATTTACTCTTTCAGGATCAGAACTACAAGCTCTAGCTGGGAAATCAACCACTTTCGGATCTTCAAACTCGCCGGCGACGAATAATCAACGTACAGAGCCTATCTCACTGGTCGAAGCTGAGAATAGCGGAGTGAACGACATTATGGGTTCATTCTCCACGCAAGTGTTTGACCAGGTGACACCTACAGTCGATAACCCCGCAAGAGAACCCCAGGCCGGTCCCTCGACTACAACAACACCCTCCAATTCGCAGAAACAACGTATCATTGAGGGAGATACACGTGAGAGTATAGCCAAAGCAGTAGCGGAAGCAGTCGCCAGGGCTGCTCTGGCTAATAAAGCCTCACAAACTCCCCCGTCCACTTCGAAAACCTCCGCGATACTCGACAAGGGGACACCGAATAACGCAGCGGCATCTGGATCAGCAAGTAAAATCACTGTTCCGTCAGCCCAACTACACAAGACGATAATTCCGTTGTCTTCCTCGCCCAAAAAGACGATTAGCCTATCATCTGGTAAAGCTCATGTGGGATTACGACCAAAAGAAGCTCAACTGATCACACCTACTCGTCCACCTTTCAAATCTGCCCTCAAAACCCAGGCGTCCTCTCTCATGGCCTCAGTTTCATCGTCTCTCCCAGTAAATTCCCGACCCGCAGTAGGTCCATCAAGATCAACCAAGATCAGTAATGGCGACTCGTCTTCCACAGTGGGGCCGAAGTCTTCCACGCCAAAGTCATTCACGTCGAAGATACCGGCCCCTAAGCCTATCTCTATGGCTATAAGGAGCACTCGGTCTCAACCCTCACCTCCTGTTATTGATGATGAGCCACAGACCAGAATCACGAGAAACACGTCTGTCATCCCTAAAGGGATCTTGAAACGTCCTTCTTCAGTCACTACAGGGCCCCACAAGGCAAGTCCTATCTCTACCCGAGCCTCAGCCAGCATCCCCATTCCTCGCAAGGCTACGCCCATCTCCATACGACCGTCCACTAGAACTACTCCAACTACTTCTTCCTCCCAGGTCACTCCCAATGGTTCCACGGCCAGAACACGTCCATCACGTGTCATTGTGGATCTGACACAGAGTGAAACAAGCCCAGTTCGATCAATGCGATCATCACAGAATATTCCGACCCAAGCAGATGTGGTTCAACTTCCAAGGTCACTACGAATTGTACAAAATATCCCTTCCACAATTCGGATTTCCAGCATGCCGCCTTCTTCATCTCCCAGTGGTACAACTGGCGAGCCAAAACGACGTCTGGTCCCATTCGTTGAGCTCGTATCTCCATCTTCTCGAGTGTTTCCGGACCAAGCTCGTAGTCTCAGGTCTGCATCTATGGGTCCAAAGCCTACTGGCAAGTTTGTATCGAGGAAGCCTACAATCTTGGTGAAGAAAGTGCCCAATCCTAAGAAACCGGTGATTGTGCCTAAAATACATCGACCAGAGAAGGCGGCGACGGTGGTGAATGTGAGGAGAAAGAGGTTGAGGGCTGTGAATAGAGCAAGAGTCGTAATGACCATTTCTCGGAGAAGACGGGCGAGGTTGATACAAGCTGGTCGATATGGTGAGGGCAGCTCCTTCTCACTTCATCCATCTTCCAAATAAATATCGACCCGAATTTCGCGTCATTTCCCACTGTTTCTCCTCGAACACTAATGAGTCTCGCTAATCACAGACCCATTCCGGGATGATGACTCCGACTCTGAAGGTATCATTCACAGAGGACATCTCCGTCCCAAGATTCCTCTACCCAAAACCGACGCTAGTCGTTGGGCCCGACCTCGATCTCCCGAACCTATCCCAAAACGATTCGTACATCGTCCCGGACCCAATCTTCTCGAACCTTACCGTAGCCTTCTGACCGAAGACACTCTACCCCGTCGAGCTATCGCCCACGAATGCGGGTGGAAAGGCTGTGACGCGGTCCTTGCTTCAGAATGGCATCTCCAACGTCATGTAGACCTTCGTCAACACGCTTTACAAGGTAGATTCGCAGCTGGTACCTATGGCGAAGAAATCTTATGGAAATGTCATTGGCAAGGATGTGAAGCTCCTGCTTCTGCTCCTTGCTTCCCATCCTTGTCAGCATTACGTCAACACATCACAGCTAAACATATCGCTAAAGCTTTGATGTGTCCTTATCCCGATTGTGGATTGGTTTCCCCGAACATTTCACATCTTACCAGACACGTCATTAAAACACACGATCTGCCAGATGACGAACCGGTACCGTTAGCAACTGCCGCTATACCACCCAAAATCCCCGCTCAATTCAAATATACATCCAGAGAGGGAACGAGGACATCATCACCTGAGGTTACAGAGTCGGACGTGTCGTCGAGAAGTTCGGAGTCGGAAATACAATCCAGCGACAGAGATGGAGAACCGTCGGTTGAAATCACTGCCCAACGACTTGTGAGGTCGGTCAATGTCAATGTCGATGTTGATGTTCCCCAGGAGGGTGAGGAATCGGAAAATGTTGAAATGTTCGATGTTACTACGGAGCCAGCTTTGACCGCAGTGGACGATTTGTTGGATTCATCGAATGGTGGAGACAATCCGATTTCGGTGGAAGAATCGCCAGTCGAAGCTGAGGTTGTTCAACTTCCTCCAATTGCGGTCATTCAAGATACGGTGCAGCAGGACACAGAGGCGCTTGCGTCGAGCGATGAGATTATGGGAGTGGCGGATGTCGGTCACGGAGCCGATGTTACGATTCTCCAGGGAACATTGTCGTCCACTGAGACCGTCGTTCCGCCAACAGAACCCACAGATCTATCGACACCTGTCTCAGCTCCGATTCCAGAGGTCTCGACGTCGGATGGTGTCGAAGTTGCAATGGAGACGAGTCAAATGGAAATACTACAGCCAGCCGGAATTGACAACACAGCCGCTCAAGAGTCAGTCAGTCCGCCCGAGGACGTCGCACTTGACAATTTGACAGAACCTATGGTGGATAAGGACGAAACAGGCGACGAACAATCTGGCTTGACAGGGTTAGCAGAATCCTTGACAGCGCCTCAGACATCGGCTCCTACCGAGGCAATGGAACAAGATTCAGTCATCAGTACAAATGGGGTCATGTCTACGGAAGATCTTGAGATGGCTGATGTTTCTGAGGAACCCTCGGGCGAAGTGTCGAAGACCGCGAAGGAAGGTGTGGTGATCGAGGTAGATGCAGACCTTGCTGGGCATGTAGCGGAGGACGCGGGGCTTATGGTTGCAGGCTCAGAGCCAAACGAGAAGGCGAATGAAGATGTGTCGGTAGGAGATCAGGTTGGGGAGAGGGCAACTGAGCCTATTGCCCCTGATCAGAGCAGAGAGGAAAACCAATCGATGGCCGTTTCCGTGACTGTACCAGAAGAGGTCGATGTACCCATGTCTGAGAACAATGTGATGGAAAGGGAACCACCTCTGGTCGCTAGGGAAGAATCAAAGGAGAAGGAAGACGATCCGATGGATGCTACAGAGGCAGTGTTGGAAAAGGTGAATAGTCCAATGGCTTCTGGGCATCTCGGTGCAGAAGGTCAAGATGAGCCAGTTGTCGATGTGGACGATCGGACGGAGTTGGAGAAAAAGTCTGTGACTCCTGCGGTAGATCCAAAAGACAAGGAAGATGGGTCCATGGTCTTTGGGGAGTCGACAGAGGTAGAAAATGATAACGAGTCGAAACTCGATGATCAACCAGCGACAGATATGGTAGATGAACTCAATGGAGAGGTATCCACAGAGAAGGAAGATCAACCAATGTCGACTCATGATTCCACTTCTGTGCGACATCTGGACAATCTTTCCCATATGAACGTGGAACCATCGACCATTGAGGATAATCCCATGGTTCAAACTCATACGCCTCTTCCACCTGTATCCACATCACAAGATCCCACTATCTCCCCAACTCTCATGTCGGATCTCGTGGACTCATCATACAACCCTCAGTCAAACGCGGGATCATCAATCTCACAGCTCACTAAAGAACCTCAACCATCAACTATTATTCCCCAATCACTAAGAACATCTCAACGCATGACCCGAAAACCCAAATTATCTCTATCCTCCAAAAGACCTGAACCTACCCATCACCAACAACATCGTCATCGTCTCCCTCCTTTACCAGAATACGTAAGAGCAGAACAACTGACCACTCCTATAGTACCCGGTACGACTTACCGTTCTGCACATCGTATCGAATGGGTTCGTGTCAAAGTCTTTAAAGGTAGTATGGCAGGACCTGATCCAATCATACATTTCGAACATCCTCCTCATATGCTTTCTGCTCCTGAAGAGGATGATACTCCACCACCAGAAGGGGAAGATGGGAAGGATGTGTTGAGTGAAGATCCTAGAGCTGTCGATAAAGTTTTAGGTAAGAAGAGGAAATGGGAAGTTGTTGTTTTGATAAAAACGAGAAAGAGCGAGTTGGTACTTTAGGTCATTCGTTCGTTTGGGTCATATTATGGATTACATGTTAGAATATGCAGCATATGTTTCAAGTGTTTTTCCTTCTGAACCGAGTGAGGAGTTCAAGCAGTTTTCTTTCCGCTACTCACTTATCACTCAACTTAGTGCTCACCTTTCTTGTTAACCAAGCTACATGCTACATGCTACAGGTATTTTGACACTCAGACTCAGATGTTGAGCGTTGAGACCATGCAGTTTTTGTCAACCTGTCATATAAAACGTGCTCAATTGAAACCATATCGTTCATGCATCTTCATCACCTACGAGTTTGCACGTTGTGTATACATTCTCCTATTTTCACCATCACTCATTCTTTCATAGCCCAACTATCACCTTACGTCTTTGAGGGTATCGTATATATTCATTTGTACCATATCACGTCAATCATCTCCTGATCATGACACACCATCCTGATGATCCTTCTCCTTCCTCATCTGACAGACTACCCCGTAATCCACCGTTCACAATCCACGATTATTACACCACTCACAACTCCTTCTTTGCGCTCTTGCTAGCAGCAGCCGAGACGCTGCTCAGACTGGCAGAGTAAGACGAAGCGCTCTTACTCGCCGAGCTCCAAGAAGAGCTCAAGACTTTGCTAGCGCTCGAGGCGGAGGCGCTGGCCTCAGAGACAGCTTGTTGCGCCGAACGGGTGATAGAGACGGCGAACGAAGATGCGGAGAGGGATGCCTTGTGAGCAGCGACGGATGCTGCTGAAGAGGCGGAGGAGGCGACGGATGAAGCAGAGCTCGAGGCGTATGAAGCGGCGGAAGAGAATGATTTACTGATGCTTGAGGCGGAACTGCTGAGGGAGGGAATACCGGCGGATTTGGCAGCGACCGCAGAAGCTGAAGAGGCGGATGCGGAAAGTGTCTTGGACAAAGATGCCGCGGCGGCAGAGGCGGCGGATGAAGCGGAAGCAGCAGACGACCTGCTTATCAGCGATGTTTCATTCTAAATTGTCTCGACAACTCACCAGGCGCTGTCGGAAGCAACTGAGGCGGCCGAGGTGGCAGAGGCGGCGGCAGCCACGGCATACGAGCTGATAGAGCTGGCAGCATGCTCTAGGGACACGGAAGCAGCAGCTTTCACTTTCTCGTACTTCTCCTCGGCAGTCAACTTGCCTGACGTTAAGAGCTGAGATGTCAGCCAGATCCACAATCGTGAATAATCACTCACCTCAAGAACTTGGGAGAGCTTTTCCTCGGCAAAGTCAACACTGTTCGAAACAGCATCGCGAATAGCACCGAGGATCTGTTCGACCTTGTTTTGGGACTGGACATAATGAACTACAATCAGCTTGATACAAGAGCGGCAAGTCAGCTGTACTCACTTCGAACCTCGTGCAAGAGTGATGGGCGGGATGCGTATTTGGTGTCATCGATTCCGTAGCTTCTCAACTGTGCACGAAGCCTCGCATCGGGCCAAGCGAGATAAGGAGTGGCCGTAGCATCCTTGTACTTGGCTGACATGAGGTTGACGAGTTCTTCACGCTTGACCTCCAAGTCCGATTTGAGGTAACCATGTTCGACAAGCCAAGCGCGCATTTCACTGTCGTACCAGGATCCCCATGCTGTAGATTTGGCACGGGTGTAGTGTTCATCGAGCAGTTTCTCGTACTTTTCCTTTTTGAGCTGAGCAGCTTCCGTCTTGCTGCTGAGTTAGTTGAGTGCATTTTGAAGCTCTTGCGGTAAACTCACATGATACCCTCCGAGATGAGCCAATCACGCATTTCACTATCGGACCAAGAGCTGTACGCTTTGTCCTTGGTTTCGTAGTAGTTCTTCTTCATGGCATCCAGGAGCTTCTCACGTGCGGTGGGTTCAGGAGGGATGACACCGTGCTCGATGAGCCATTCGTGCATTGCAGAGTTCGACCATGCTTCGTATATAGGATTTGTGACCTTGAGGTAGGCAACGCGCACATTGTTCAACAGGGCAGCGCGACCGGTCGGAGCAGGTGTAGCAATGACATTGTGCTCTTCGAGCCAGGTGCGCAATTGGTTGTCGTCCCATGTGGAAAAGATGTAGTCCTTCGTGTCGTCAAACTTCTTGGCGGCTTTACCTGGAATGTTGGAGGCTTGAGTGTAGAGTGAATTGTAGGCAGAGGAAATTGAAGAGGCGGCTTGATCGGTAGGATGACCGTAGATGGCGGTGGAAGCAGCGGAGGCCCTACCAGTCAATTTCGGGCTCTTTTGATCAAAGGAATACATACTTTTGTTTGGCTAAAACGAGCAATTGTTCTCTGGTAGACGAAGGAGAGACAACGCCCTTCTCCATCAACCATTCTCTTAATTGACTTTCGGTCCATCTTCGAGTCAGTCTTTGCCTTCTCGGTCCGTTGCTGGGTGACGGTGACCACTCACGTATCAATGGCAGCCTGACTGTATACCTCGTAGTGGGCCTGAGCAACACCGGCAGCACCAGCTCCCCACTGCATCATCAGAGTCTCCCCCATGTTTGATATATGGAGCGGACTTACGGTAGCGGCAGCGTCAGCATGATCAGCTATCTGCTTTTGGATCTCTGCCAAATTTGCAGACTCTTTGATGGCGATACCCTGTTCCTTGAGGAACTGAATCGATTGATCCAAAGACCAATCTTCATAGACGGCTGTGTGGTGACGGAATACCAGCATTGCATGACATGATCACGGATAGAGGGAGGCAACAAGATCATGAGAGAGACGAGAAAAGAAGAGACAAGCGTCAGCCCCACTACAATCAAACACGGAAACCGAACTCACGTTTGTCTTTACCGAACAATTTCGCCTGAGCACCTAAAGAGGTAGCGAGGATGGCCAGAACGACCGAGACGTTGAGCTTCATTGCTTATTCACTGATGCTTTTGAAATTTGCAACGAGTGAGAAAAAGGAAGTGGAATGAGGGGATGAAAGAGAAAAAGTGTGAGTTGGGGCCGAGACACCTTTCGAGGGGAGGGGGGAGTGATGATGCGTTGCTTGGTGGGGGGGGGAGACAAATGACGTCAACCGATCATGTCATTCCACTAAGGAAGGAATACTGCGGGGCTCCACATCCCAGGCCTGGCATGGTCATCCTCGTGGCCTAGAAAATAGCCTATGGACCACTCTCCTCTCCCTAACGCAATGCACCCAGACTCCTTCTCATCCTCTTCTCTTCCTCCTACTGCACTGACTCGTAGAGATGTGTCGATGGTTCACATATCTAGGGGAGGAGCCTCAATTGCTCGAGGATCTACTCCTGCGACCTGCTCATTCCATCACAAAGCAGAGTGAGTGTTCCAACCAATCATGGGTAGCTTTCTCTTCATAATTCGAGTAGCGTCCGACTACAAGTATGATATATCAGTCCATACTGACCTTCAGTTGATTCCCATTACCTCCCTGCTGGCCATACACTCACCAATTCCCCTTACCTACCTCATCCAGCAGGACACATCATCGCCAACCGAACCAGCCGAAACACTCATCCCGCCAAAGCTAGCGACAAAGGTTCACCCAACGCATTGACCAATATGGATGGCTTTGGTGTTGGATGGTGGTCTGAGGCATTCGAATGTTACACTACTGGGATTAGTGGCGACGAAGCACTGAGACCTGCGACTTACAAAAATATCAGACCACCGTTGAATGACCTCGTGTTGGCTTCTATGGCTCGTGCTATCGAGACCAAAGCCGTAGTGGCACATGTACGTGCTACTTCTGGTGAGTGCAGACAGTACTTTTTACATAAACTCATACACACATACACCACTATTTTTAGTCCCATGCTTACCACGCATTCTAGTTCGTCGAAAGTCAGAGCGAAGATGAAGGAAGATATGTACACTACGTAGGCTGTTGCTGATGGTAGCTACCCCTGTGGTAGAGACCAACTGTCATCCATTCTCCTTTGGTCGTCATCTCTTTTGTCACAACGGTGTCCTAGGTTCTTTCCCTCTTTTCCGAGTGAAGCTCCTCTCCCTCTTACCAGAACGTTACCAAGGTACTATACTCGGTACGAGCGATTCCGAACATATAGCCGCTTTGTACTTCTTCCATCTATGTGGTCCTTCCGGCGATTGGAACATCGCATACCCTTTGAAATCCATGATTGAAGCCATGTCCAAGACCATCAAAGTTCTGGAGAGGATGAAGACCGAAGCGGAGAACAAACATGGTGTGGAACCGGAACATAATGCTCTTAATCTCTTGGTGAATTCTGGAAGTTCATTGGTCGCTCTTAGGTACGCCAGTCCGATCACTAGGGAACCACCAAGTTTGTATTACTCCACAACGGCAGGAGCTACCCTCAATAGGAAATTCAAAGATCATCCCGATCATGGTGTTGAGGCGGATGGAAGGGATAAAGAGGAACATGGGAAACATGTCATTGTGGCAAGTGAACCCAACACGTATAATGCCGACGAGTGGGAGATCATCCAACCCGGGGAAGTGGTCAGTGTAGAGAAGGATATGGAGGTACGCAAGGAGATGTTGGAAGTGTGAAGTGGTCATCGTCGTTCAATCACTTTGTGAGTGTAATGCATGCAACGCTGTAGGCTGTAAGATCGAGGCTGGAGAAGCCCGACGAGAACGATGGTTAGTCACCGGCTAGACGGAAGCCGGTTGGTCCACTCGGAGATGTAAGACGCACGTGTTTGCTCGTGTGACCAATGTACGCACTCGTACTCGGATACATTCCTCACCCACCTCACACTTGTTCTTTCCTATCTAGCATTTCCGAGGGTAGACCACAAGTCATGGCAGAGCAGTCGATCATAATCGACTTGCTCGATGATCCCAGCATCATGAGCTGTGCGTTGCCTTTTCTCACATTCGACCCATTATCGTTCGCTCCTGATTCCATACCATGTACCACCTTGAAGAACCTTATGGAGAATTTGATTACACGGGTCAGAAGCTGAAGTGCTAGCTGCAAAACACGTACATGTCACACCCAACGATCCACTGTTCATGTGGTACATAGTCTTTATAATTCTACTCGTCCTTCTCGGCGGTGTTTTTTCCGGTTTGACCTTAGGTTTAATGGGATTGGATATGGTAAGTCCATCTCCGCCAACTTCTTCCTTTTTTCTATATCATGTCTCTCGTACTATCCGACTCTATCTTTTCAACGAATGTCAACACCCAACAACCTATCCATGAGCGAGTGCGAGCTAAGATACCAAAACCCACCATTACACCAGGATAGCGAACACGTGAAAGCTGAGATGTAGGTCAACCTTCAAGTCCTGAGTTTATCCGGTACGGTAACCGAAAGACTTCAAGCTTCTCGAGTTCTCAACTTGTTACAAAAAGGCAGACACACTCTCCTAGTTGTTCTCTTACTCGGTCCGTCCCTTCTCGCCATAAGTCTATGTCGCTTATGAAAAGGAAACACGTTGGTCAATACTTCCTTACCCATTTTTCTCGATTCTATCGTCAGCTCTCCAACTGTATGATTGGTACGAGTAAGCTGATGAAGAGGTGGGAGGAGGTTGGATAGCTGTTTTGGCTAGTACGGCACTTGAGGTGGGTCATGCTTCCCAGCTTTAGCTATGTCTGTCATTGAGGGGAGGGATGACTCACATCTTAGTTGATCTTTGGCGGTAAATATTCTTTTCATAGGCGTGAAAAGAACTGAACGTGATTTTCTTTCCATCTTCATAGAGTGAGTGAGAAGTGTGGGAAATGGGAAAGAAAGTTAACAGATATGTAGAATCTTACCGCAATGTTTGTGATTTATCTTGGAATGAGAAGGAAAGCTAAGAATAGCTATATGTAACCGATATGGTCTAGCTATAGGCTCACAGTTCGCTTCGACAGTGAGAGTGTTCATGTTGATTTTATACCCTATTGCTTGGCCTATCGGTTATGTGAGTTTGTCTTCATTTTTTGTTCCTCGTCCTCTGACTTCTGGGAAGATTCGGTTATTCAGACTCGGACAGTCTTGAGATGAGTAGATTAGGCTTGTAACTCCACATCATGAACATTGAAAGACACAAAGTTGACGATGGCTCTTGGGGAAGAGAAGAGGGGAGGTGGGATATTGTCGAAGTGGGATGACTTGAAGAGTAGAAAAGACGCTGATGATCAGTTACTCGATCATTTCCTCGGTGCACACGGAGGAGTCACATACCGTAAAGCAGAGTTGAAAACTTTTGTTTCTCTAGGAGTGGAGGATAAATTACAAGAAGACGAAGTGGCGCTTCTTGGTAGCGTGTTGGAATTTTCAGGAAAAACAGTAGAGGATGTGATGACGAGATTAGAGGACGTCTATAGATTGAGTGGGGATAAAATAGTAGTGAGTTTCATGGTTTATCCTTCCTCCTCTACCACATGCGTCTCACTGTCTTATCCTTCTGTCTCCGCCCTCGGGTTGTTGGAAGGAAGTTTTCAACGCCACCGTGAGACGCCTGAAGCCTGACCAAGTGTCTTTCCGGGTGGAGGTATGAAGAGACATCCGAACAGATAGCAGGAAGGCAATTCATGATCAGGATGATGAGCTCGTCAGTGAAATCATGAACAAGGGTTATAGTAGAATACCCATCTACGATCCCCGCTCTCCTGAGACATACCTGTGAGTAAATCTCCCCTTGATTTCACAACTGACCTCAAGGGGCTACATGACTATCCGTAGTCTGGTAGAATACGATCCCACGGATTTACATCCTATCTCTACTTTGGTCGAGCGGGTTTTACCTCAATGTCCACCTGAACTTTCTCTACTCGATGGTCAGTCGTCTTGGTCATCAACGTAATTTTTGAGCTAATCACTAGCTATGTCATAGTACGGTTCAGCTCCCATCATTCTATGGAAGCTGACGAGTAGTTTCCAAATGGGTAGAAGTCATATTCTTCTCGTGACTACCTCACCAGGTGAGGATCAAGGAGCAGTGGGTGTGGTGACTCTAGAAGATGTCGTCGAAGTGAGTTTCCCCCCGTCTGTTTCAGATTGGGCGAGCTGATGTGAAGGAGCTGATAGGTCGTGAAATCATTGTCAGTCCTACGGGTCCACTCATCTTTTGTCTATTGAGCTGACGGGTAGGACGAATCTGATCAATATGTCGATGTTCACAGGTATGTCCGACTTCTTTAGCTCGAACAGAGGTCTGAACCTGAGCTGATTACTAGTCGAGTACCAGTCGTTCGACGTAGATATCGTGGAGTTGGATTGAAGAAGATTTTCGAAGGTCGTCAAGAGCGTCGAGGTAGGGTGGAAGGAAAAGGAGTGGAAGGAAGGTTGATAGATGATTCTTCTGTATGATTCCTTCGTTGCATTATCTCTTTGTCCCTGTATGGTCTTTTGGTCTCTCGACATCTATCACATGTTCTAATTCCTCGCTGATAGAAGCATTCGAGTGGGTTGGGGGTATGTAGAAGTCAAAACAGACACATACACTCGGCCGAAGCATCGAGCGGATGAAGAGATGCCACGTGGCAGATACCTATCCTAGGATCCCCTCTCCGGTCGTTCCACTTGCTTCTCGCTTCACTTTTTCATTTTATTTCTCTCCTTCATCGGCCATCGAGCCTTCGATTCATTCGCCGTCTGACCAATTTCGCCCCCACAACCCTTCATTCTTCCCTCTTATCAATCCACTTGACGGAACTCGGTCAGGCGTAGACGTAGATATCGGAGCTAGTCGATATTTTAACATCGGCCGATCTGCAAATTCCACCCTTTCCTCTAGCGACATATCTCCTCGCTTCGTTATTCGTAAGATCCATACGAGGCGACGTCTTTCAGTATCTCGCAAGACATAAGACAAGACAACTCCACCGATCCCATCATCTCTTCAGGAACAACACAAGTAAAATCAACTGGCTGAGGTATAGTTGTCACTCGAGATTTTCAACAAGATGCCTTCTCCAATTGATATAGTCATACTTCTTCTAACCATCATACTCCCTCTTGGATGGTACTTTCGTAATTCCTTACCATTGATAGGTACCAAGAGACCCCCGACTCAGGTAAAGACGAAGGTGGAGGAAGATGGTGATCCTAGAGATTTCGTTAGTAAGATGGAGAGGACTGTGAGTTTTGATTTTGTTTCATATGCCTCACCACTCTACTGCTTCATATGTTGTGATAGATCTTGTTTTCATTATTCGTATTCGTTAGCTGTGCTTTGTATCCTCGGCTATGGCTCGGTGGGCTTTCATCGCTTTTGTTCGGATGCCTGACCGGCTATTGGAGATTTTCGACATGTGTTGAGGCAATTCATCGTGCCATCTTTCTTACGTAGATCTGTCTTTGTCTGCGTCTCCCTCCTTCCTCTCCCCTCCCCACCTCACCCCATTCTCCCCTCCCTCCCCTCCTTTCCTCAAGCTCGGGAATGCAGCAAAGCCTGGAATATAGGGCCAACAATAGTCGCTGATGGAGGAATACGCAAACGATCTGTCATCTGATGCCAAATGCTATATACTGACCTCACCAGGGAAAACGTCTCGTCATGTTTTACGGATCTCAGACCGGTACTGCCGAAGAATACACTATCCGTCTTGCCAAAGAAGCCAAGACACGATTCGGTCTTTCATCTCTCGTATGTGATCCAGAAGAATACGACTTTACCAATCTCGACACCATTCCCTCCACTCATGCCGTCTTCTTCGTCGTAGCCACCTATGGAGAGGGCGATCCTACCGATAATGCACAACCACTCATGGACTTCCTGCTTGACCCCTCTGTGGAGTTCAGCAATGGCTCCACTCTCGAAAACCTCCGCTATGTCATCTTTGGTCTTGGTAACAAAACCTACGCTTATTACAATGAAATCGCACGTAAGTTGGACAAACGTCTGGAAGAACTGGGAGCGAAACGTATTGGTGAACGCGGTGAAGGAGATGATGATAAAAGCATGGAAGAAGATTATTTAGCATGGAAAGACCCTCTTTGGGAAAGTTTTTCCACCGAATTAGGGATTGAAGAAGGTGGTGCAGGTGACGTTGCGGATTTCGTTGTCACTGAAATCGAATCTCATCCACCTGATAAAGTTTACCATGGAGAATTGAGTCCTAGAGCTTTGTTAGCTACAGCTAGTGGAAATACGACACCTATAGGATCATATGATTCGAAAAACCCTTATCCCGCACCTGTTCTAGCTAGTAAAGAATTATTCGCCATGGGAGGAGAAAGGAATTGCGTTCATATGGAATTCGACATTACCGGTTCTGGTTTGACTTATCAACATGGTGATCATGTTGGTATTTGGCCAAGTAATCCTGATTTAGAAGTCGATCGAATGCTCAGTGTATTGGGTTTAAAAGAAAAACATGATAAAGTCGTTTCTATCGAAAGTTTAGATCCGGCATTAGCAAAAGTTCCATTCCCTACTCCAGCGACATACGAAGCCATATTTCGACATTATTTAGATATATCAGCTATAGCATCTCGTCAAACTTTAGCATTTTTATCACGTTATGCTCCTACGGATATCGCTAGAGAAAGATTAACAAGATGGGGAACGAACAAAGAAGTTTATCATGAAGAAATAGATGGACCTTCTCTAAAACTTGCAGAAGTATTACAAGTCGCTGTTGGTGATTCTTTACAAGAACCTTTTGACTCTGTTACCATTTGGCCAATTCCTTTCGATAGGATAGTATCAGTTATACCAAGATTACAACCTCGATATTATTCAATTTCTTCTTCATCTAAACTACATCCTTCTTCAATACACGTAACTGCCGTTGTATTGAAATATCAATCACAACCTTCTCATGCTCATAGACATGAACCTAGATGGGTTTATGGAGTTTCAACAAATTTCATATTAAACTTGAAAAACGCTTCTGGAACAAATACACCTATATCAACTTCATCCACCATCATACCTGATCACAACAATAATTTCGATTCATATAAACTAGAACCTCAAGCGGTAACAATGCTAAAAACTCCTTCTTATAAATTATCAGGACCAAGAGGTCATTATGTCCGACAAAACGTTTATAGAGTTCCTATTCATGTTAGGAGAAGTACTTTCAGATTACCTACAAGTCCAAAAGTCCCAGTCATCATGATCGGTCCTGGAACGGGTGTGGCACCTTTTAGAGGTTTCGTACAAGAACGTGTGGCATTAGCAAGGAAAGCGAAAGAAAAGAATGGTGAGAATGCTTTGAATGATTGGGCACCGATTTATTTGTTTTATGGATGTAGGAGGGGAGATCAAGATTTTTTGTATAAGGATGAATGGCCGGAATATGAGGGAGAGTTGGGTGGGAAATTTAAGATGAAAGTGGCTTTTTCTAGAGAAGGTCCAAGTGAGTGTTAATTTCTTCCTTCTTCCTGCTTCTCCCTCTCATGTTCACTCCCTATCTTAACAATTATACTTCACTCTCTCTACTCTTCCGTCTACAACTCTGATTGTTCCAGATCTCCTTTCTTACTCCTGCTGCACGTCATAACACTTACCGAGTCTCTTGGACGAGACGACGGTCTCAAATGCAATCACATACGCATGCACACTGTCGAGTGTTATGGATACGAGGGGAAATTCACTGACATACAGCCAAAACATACGTCCAAGATCTTCTATGGGAATTGAGAACAGAAATCGCCCCTCTCATATTAGAGAAACGGGCTTATGTCTACATCTGCGGAGATGCAAAGAGTATGGCTAAATCGGTGGAAGAGAGATTGATCAAGATGTTAGGTGAGGCGAAAGGAGGGACGGCCGAGGTGGAAGGGGTCAAAGAGTTGAAGTTGTTGAAAGAGAGGAATGTGAGTCATCCATCAACGTTTACTTCAAACCTTCTCCTGTTTGTTCCCAGATTCGGCTTTCAGCCATGTATGTCGGACGTCCTTCCTTTCTTCGGAGGAACCACCTGAATGCGCTTTACTCCTTGCTATCTTTGTCCCACCCACTTTAGACTCGATGTCGGGATACATGTTATGTGTGTAAAGAGTGGAAGAAGGCGGGGGGGCACAAGTGGCTTTAGAATATCAAGCACTAACCAGCAGCGCCTCATGACGGACGTATGGAGCTAATTGTTCGTTGTTCTTGGTTGGTGGGATCACGCGGGTAACGGGTGACCGACTGTCGACCTGGGTGCGATTGACCAAGGTAGCATAGCATGGGATTTGATTGCATATGGCTGTCTTTGTCACAACCCTCCCACCTACTTTGATCGTTATTCATGACCTCATGTCTGCTATCCCCAATTTCTAACACCCATCTAACCAAACCGAATCGACCGAAACCGCCGTTCTCCACGTGACTTTACTTACCATAGTCGTACTTTACGATCGGTGCCTCTTTGAGCTGACGATCGATCGAAAGTCTCACCCCTCCCTCTTGACCTTGTGACCTCTGACTTTTGACCCTTGACAACTCTTTCCCCGCCCTCTCGACGTATCGACGTGATACTCTGCAGCGCGCAGCGGCTAGTATGTCCCCACATGCCATCATTGATAAATACAACCTCACCATATCTTTACTCATCACCATAGCATGGCAACTCACTGGGTTCGCAGTGGCGTGGACGTTGCAATTCGATAAAATCACCGAGTGAGTCGACCCTACTCTTCTCCTTCCCAATACCTCCATCTCTTTCCTTAGACAGTCTCATACCCCACAACCAAAGAGACTTGACCCCACAACCCAACCAAATCAATAAGTCCTCTTTTCCTTCTTTCGTCTCTCTGATCACTTGGGGTATGCGTGTGGGACAGATGGCCAACGGCGGGAAGGGCGTGTATTCATAGAAATATCAATATTCGGGATTGAGATGAAAGAGAACGTTGAAGAAAAGGAACGCGACAGAAAGAGGGTATCTTGACTGACAAGATAGTTTCACTGGTGGATCAAATTTCTTCATATTAGCTTTGATCACTTTGACTACAGGAGGGAGTGAGTACCTCGGATACTGATCAACATGTCAATCGCTGATTTCAGCTTATCATGCGAGAAATATAGTGTAAGGGGAGTTTGTTGAGTAGGATGAATGAAAGCTGAGGATATAGCGCTTCAGTGTTGATTATGCTCTGGTCGGCCAGATTGGCTGGGTTTTTGTTATTCAGAGTCTTGAAAACAGGTAGTGAGTTTTCCTTCTTTCCCCAAACCTTCAAATATACAGTATTATCACTTTCACTCAATGTCATTCATAAGACCTCGTGCAGTGGTCCTTGTACTACTCAGCAGTATCGAGTTTATCTTGCTTTGATCCTGGGGTGAAATCAGACGGGGTGGTGGCAAGAGAGACATTCTACAGTCACTGAGTTTGCAGGCGACACCAGATTCGACGAAATGCGATCACATTTCTTCAAATTCGCTGGATTTTGGGGTTTCCAAATCATATGGGTATGGACGGTCTGTACGTTCACCTCATATCTGATTTCTGATACATGGGATTGATGAGTAGCTCTCCCAACGGTGATTCTGAATTCCCCAGCGGTATCCGATCTCAATAGAGGAGGAGGGAATCCTTCGTTTGGGACTGGACGTGATATTGCCGGAATTATCCTTTTCGCCATTGGACTTTCCTGGGAGGCTTTAGGGGATATACAGAAGGTGAATGTCTCCACCTTCTTCTACCCACTGCACATATTGCACCCTTGGGACAGCTCTGCCTGTCGGTCGACCTGGACTTTTGGGTGTCAATGGGGAGAAACAAGACTTCCGATCGTTTGCTCTTATCCGGGCTATGTCAAGCCCAACTTCGGGGTAGAAGGATTGTTCTGGGACGGAACAAAGAAATTGATGAGCAGTACCTATACAAATCGTCCAAACCGCCCAAGGGACAACCATGTACCAAAGGCTTATGGTACTTTTCCAGACATCCACCGTATTTTGGAGAAATCGTCCTTCATTGGGGTATTTGGATATTGTGTCGTAAGTCGTGCCACCTTTTCGTCTGTTTCCAAAACTCTCTTTTGCCCAATCTCCAATATTTGCCCATCATGCTTCACCTTCTCCCAAGACAATTGAACCAAGAACCACTGTTGGGAAGAGGGAATGACTTGGATCAAGACTAATCTCAGTGTCACCAACCACCAATGGCCATATTAGCTCTGGAGCTAAACGAGCGCAATACACAGCTATCGTCGCTCCTCTCTTGACAATGGTTCTGTAAGTCCCCCTTCCCTTCTCCTTCTCTCAAAGCCTTCTCCATTCTTCCGTCATTCTCCCCATTTCTTTTTCTCCCTTTTCTCACCGCCATCCAAACTCCTCGAGATAGGAATATCAGAGGTTACCAAGCCCGTCAGACAAGTACGCGCAAATATTCGTCATAGCAGCTTAGGGTACCTGATCTTTCGAAGCTGATCTTGAGTCTACTTTTCCTCTCCGGTCTACCCACGGCCGAAAAACCAACAGCAAAGAAATATTATCTCCTCTCTCATTCTTCCTCTCCCTCTGATCCAAACGCATGGGATAATTACAAACGGTATTTGAAACGAACGAGCATCCTCATCCCTTTTCCTCCTGCGATATACGTTCGTCTACCGGAGATTATCAAACGGACTATTCTTCTTGATTTCCCAATGTATAAGTTTGATGAGGGTAAAGATGGACGGGAAGCTTTGGCCGAGGAGGCGAGGAAGTAGCATAATCTGTATGGTGTATGATGTATGATTTACAGTATGATGTATGATATCTAACTTCTACACATTTCTTGTGAAGACTAACAAAACTTTTGCTGATGCACACCGGACATACTAGAGTAAGAGTAGCGTACTCCGCTCTCCTGTATCACTCCACTTACTACAAGAGGCAGAATTTGGATGTTCGTCTCGCCCACAGCCATTGTCGATAAGTTGGATTGAACAAGCAGTTCCATAATGCGTTTCAAACATCCAGAAGAAAGTCATCAGGTGTATGATCAAGATTACACAAAATGCATATGTACCAATCAATGCTCACGTATGATATCCATCCTCTTTTTTCAGATCCCAGAGGCATTCTTAGCAGCTTGCATCCTTCTTTTCACACCTTCACTCCTATCATCACCCCTACCGGTAGCTCTTAACAAATAAGCAGAAGCGTATCTTTCCACTTCTGCAGAAGGTATGACTGATTTATCACCCATCCATCGATCAAATATGATACTTACCTCTTCAGCGAGGTAAGTGTGTGCTATTTCATCTTCAGCTTGTTCGGTGAGGATTCGGAGAGTTTCCCAGATATCTCGAAGGGGTATACCACCATCTAATAAAGCCAGAGTAGCCATTCCTTCCGCCGAGGAAATCAAAGCGCATTGAGAGTAAATGATTGGGAGGATGATATCTGATTTATCAGGGTTATTTCTTTCATATACCAGGGTGATCAGTGTGATATGTAAATCTACGAAACATGAAGAATGAGGATGGGGTGATTCATTTAGATTGAAGATGGTTGGTGCGATGTGATGACTGATGGGGAAGTGAGGGTGTGAAATGGTAGGAATGATAGTAGAGGGAATATCAAGTTGAGAACGATGTGTGTGTGATGGTGTGAGGGGAAAAAAAAGCGCAAAGGGAAAGAGAAGAGTAAGAGAAGGAGATAGGAACTCACCCAACGGAGCAGCTTCAGAAGGATAAAACCTTCTACATAAATCAATAATCTTTTCAGAAACACTAACATCTTTAGGTTCTTCACATCCTTCAATCAATTGATTCCAAACAGCTTCACAAACATCATCTACCCTATTATCACTAACTTTTAAAATAGCTAATAAACTTTCTAATAACCGATAAGGCGCTGCGTATTTATGCCATAGTTCGTCCAAACCCAAAAGAGAAGAGTTCAATTCGTCTAAGGCGGTTTGTACGTTTGGATCGGTAGAAATGGGTAGAGAATGGATGGAGTGTAGGATCTCAAGTTGGACTTGAGTGACTTCGAGTAGATCAGATAAGGAGTTTATGAATTCTACGTCGGGGGAAGTTAGGGATACTGCTGATTTTGCCGAAGTAAGAGATTGAGCTAGATATGCTAGACGGGTTTGGAGTGACATTGGACTGAGTGTCAGCGGGGGATAACGAGTTCGTTGAGTGTGTCACATTTGAGTGTGACAGAGAAAAGAACAGTAGATAAAGGATTTTGAAGTAGATAGAAAGATGATTTGTCATGAAATGTGTGAGAAGTGATTGAGATTAGGAAGAAATACTGACCTAGGTCTGGTGGCGAGATTATGTAAAGCGTGAGCGGCTGATAACCATTCTTCCCTTCTAGCGTAGAATTTCCAAAGTAAATCTCGTCGATCTTCAAGATCACTACTGGTGGTTCTGAGGTATTCTTCGATATAAGGAGTGTCGAACTTTGCTGTCAGTTCTTTTCCTATTTGCTGAGCAGGTCCGGCTACCAATACTGGTGCCCATGACGGAAGAGACACCGGTCAGTCATTATATGGAATGACGAAGTGCAAGAAAGGGCAGCTGAAGCCAAGCTAGATGACATGTGGCATGGGCAGAGAATGGGAGATGTTGTGATGGAAAGGTGAGTCCGGATAAGCCGAATATAACATGACTGTGCGGGCTTTTCCGGGAAGTCGTAACGGAGAAGTGGATGGAAGCAAAAGACGCTCTCACCTCTAACAACTGTTCATGAAGCCCACGAACGACATGCCAGTCGTACAAGTAGAAATGGAACAATTCATCGTCCGACGCAATAGCCATGGCATAAGCTTCATTTCGTTTCTGTCCCGCTGAAGCCGCTCCGGTAGCTAATTGTCAGCTCGTATTTCCCATCCATTGCCCGTTTTACCCCTGATCAATCGTCATCCCATCAAGCCTGGGGAAATCGGAAAGTGCACAAGGAATGTACTCTTCTGATCTGGATTTCAAGAAAAAAGCTCATCATTCCAGCAACATTGAAGGGAGGGAGGCAGAGGGAAGGAAATTGAAAGCAAAGTGGAGAAAAAATAGGCAAATGGAAGAAAACAACCCACCATCCCCCCTCGCAGTACTCTCATCCAACATCTCATCATACGCTCCTAAAGCAGCAACGACCAAACCATAACATTCCATCCTCAAATCATACATAGCTTTCCTCGGATCAGCAGGATGTCTACCATCTCTCACATATTCCCTCGCTCGATCATGAGGATCAGCATTAGCAGCACAGTTGAGAGGAAGTTCAACAGCTCCTGGAGTATATTGCATGGCGCGATACCGTGCTGATATATCTTTCAATCTGGAAGTAGGAATTGACGAAGCTGCTTTGTTGAATAAACGGAGAGATTCGACGAGTGCTTCGAAACGTTCTTGCACATCACGGGAAGATTCAGCCCTACGAATGTTTTCTTCGGCCTAGTTGTCAGCGGTCGTCATCACAACTGTTTGACATCTCTACGGTACGACAGACCTCGACGTAAAGTATCCTGAAAGGATGAGGAAAAAGAAGAGTAGTGATTTGACTAAAGAGCTAAGCGGTAGACGGACCTTGTACAAAACCACATCTCCAGGTTGACAGAAAGTTCCACAACGTTGTTGTAAGATCTCACTCAAACTATCAATACCGAGTTCTTGACCGATTTGTTGTTCGATCAAGGCAGTGACTAATTTTCTGGCTACTTCACGTCCGTCCAAACTTGTCAAAAGACCTTGGTATGTGAGATTGAGAAGGGTTGATTGGAGTTGAGCGTCACATCTGTGTATCAGAAAAAAGTCAAGTCGAACAACGAGACTTTCCCATCGTTCTGGCGCTTAATGCACCCCGAAGACTGGTGAACTTTCTTTGAGGAAAGAGGAGACATCAAATTGGGAAATCAATGGCTGTAGAGATGGTACTGGACACAAAGCACTAACCTCGCGATGACATCGGATATTTTATAATCCGCCAAAAGCAAAACGAAACTTATCGCCTCTACAGCCTGCTTTACCAAAACTCCCATTCCATGCAATGACAATTCTTCTTGATCCCAAGCCAATTTCGCATCGCCCTCCGCTTGATGTCTCGGAAACGGATGTCTTTTTACGTTAGCTTTCATCCAAACTTCAATTCCCTTTTGACTCACTCTTCAATATACCGCCGTAATTGATCCAATCTTCCTTGCACCACCAGTAATTGAGATTCTGGAACATTCAACACCTGTCTCCCCATGACCGAAACTGTGACCCTGAGATTCCATATGGGTCTCAAAAATCTAGCCAATATCAAAGCCAATCCATCATGTCGTGAAGAATACACGATAGATCGACCAGTTGTACCGTCCTTAATCAAAGGTTGACCAGCTTGAAGCAGTATACTATTGACAGAGGAATGTAAGTCAGATTGTTTTAAATCCGCTTGAGAACCTAACATTATACCCATTGCTCCTAATTGATTCTTCCCAAAGGTCATACGAGCAATGTTGACCCCAGCGTCTTTCTCAGAATCCAAAGAGGATTGGAGCATGTCCACCGGTCGCGGTTGAACTGCCCAGAAGAGACCACTGGTAGCTAAGATCAAGAACTGTCTGGCTTCTGTAGTAGATTGTCTTGGAAGAGGTGAAACGGCTATACCGTCTGTTCGACGGAGTGAAGGTGGGGAAAAGGCAGGATTGGTAGAATGAGCTTCGACTATCGTCCATACTTGACTTGAAATTTCATCTTGGACAGGCCATTCTTGTAACACTGAAGGTTCGTAATTTTCGAAATTTTCCCGGCCGGAGGATTGTCTTCCTGGATTTGGAACGAAGAAAGTGAGTTGAGAAACTGGGGTAGGAGAGGAGGTGGGATGTTGAACACCTATGAAAGTTCCAGAGGAATAAAAAGAATGGTCGGCGAGACGAAGTTGGAGATGTTGAGGTGGGAAACGGTAAAACACTGGCCCAAATCCTGAAGGGTAGACTGTGAAGTAGACCCGAACCCCTAAATAACCTGTCAGCTTCGTGGTCGAGCGTTTGACAATGACTAAGCATGGTATGCCAGTGGTCCATTGAGACGTCTCGCGTGGAGACGATGTGGGGGACCGGTCAGTCAAAGGCGGATTTTGTCTAGAACACATCGTGCTACCGGCTGATGAAGGGAGAGAAGGAGAACTCACCATTGTCCGCCACAGCCATTAATCCCACACGACGTGATTCGTGGCTTCCAACGACGAAAATGCCTACGATTCGACTCGACAGAGGTGTACCCCTGGATTGAAGATCTCGTTTGAGGGTGAGGAACTTGCTCTTGAGTATAAAGTTGCTTCCCGAAATATCATACTGATCTATCACTCCGGTAGTATGGAGAGTGAATAGTCTGTTCTGCGGGGCGTCTATGACGAATGATTGAATACCTTCTCGGTCTGATGTCAGCTATGAGTTCTGCACGCTCGCGAACTTCTTGGGATCCCTAGCTAGACCCATCTACTCTTGGGCGGAAGAGATATTCGAGGTATTAATCAATGACCTTGAATGTTCGAGCAGCAAGGACGAAAGTAGATAGGTTTTGGAGTCTAGAAAGAAGTACACGCTAAGGAATAGGCGAGGGACGATGACGACGAGAAAACCCACTCTGCGATGATAAAAACGTCGGTACCCAGTTACTCAACGCTCCACTTGTTCGGTTATGCAGAATGACCCTTGTGGAACTCCCAAAGAACCAACCCCCTTCTCCAGAATATTCCAACTCGTACAAATCTCTATTGAGACCAAGCATGAATATCCTTCCAGAGTCGCTACCGTGTATACTGACCATAGTAGTTGGTGTGTCCACTGTGAGACTGGTTTGGTATAGACTCAATTCGCCTTGAGGAGATCTTGATAGTCCGAGGAGTGTAGCACGTGATGATGTACAGATCAGGAGAACGTGAGTGATGTCGTCTACGAATACGTCTGTATGTTAGTGTTATATTTGACTGCTTGAGAGGATTAGAGGGGGGAAACTGACCTTTGCGAGCTTTGACAAGAGCTACAGCTTCGATAGTTTCGCTTTGTTCGTCATACCGACTGAAGTCTCGCCTGGGCGTGAGTATCGGTGTTATATAAGCCGACTAAAGAGATGGGAGACACGACAAAGAGTTCGATTGAAGATAGAAGAATGAACTTTTATGCGCAACATGGTACTTGGTATTAAAGGCGGTCACCTTTTAAGATACGAGAGGATGATTGTGAAAAGGAAGACTTACCCATCATTGTAATTCCATAAGAATAATTTGTTGTCCACTGTGAACCACGCTCTCTCCAATTCTTCGAACAAGCCCATTTTCGCCGTCAGATGTTTGTCTGAGCGGTCAGCGTTTATCAGGGATAGACTAAATCAACACGTTAACATATCCCCACTGAACGTCATGAACATTCGTCCTTCGAAGTCAGGACAAAAGGGAGTAAGGTGATCATATCAACGGACAGCAAGCGAACAATGAGCAAAGCCATGTCGAGTACCATAACCACCAGTAGACAGTGGAAAAATCACTGCTTCGCTCGGGGTGATACACACAAGTCCAAGCAGGATCCAAACTCACAATTCAACTCTTGATGTAAAGCATCCGGTAATGGCGTAGTCTTCGTGATTCTTATCGGTCTAAAAGCGTTCGATCCTCCAGGTGGAGGTACATAAGGTTCAGGATCTGATTATCAGCAAATGACAATAACATATTTTTTCAAATTTCCATGGTCAGATCAAAATTTGAGAAAATGATACTGATGGAAATCCTTCAGTATCGCACGATCAGGTCAAAATCGAGTAAAGAAGAGTAAATCAGATCTGAAGAAGAAGAAGAAGAAACCACTGAACTTACTATTTCGATCTAAACAATCCCCTAAATCCGGTGATATCTCATTATCCCCATTCAAAGCTCTTTCAACTTTACCTCTAGCTCTACTCAAAGGTCCATAAACGGGATCTTCATCTTTACCTACGATCTCTAATGGTTGTGGGATAAGTTGAGAAGATGAATGTTGATACGTTGACCAATTCGTTACTGAATTAGTAGTATTTCCACTTTGTATCATACCTCCATATGACATCCCTGTCGTTGTTGTCATTCCTCCCGTTCCAGTACCGGTTGTAGTTGTAGTTATCATTCCTCCTTGACCACCGGATACACCTCCATAAGTTCCTGATCCTGATCCTCCTCCATATTGAGATTGTTGACTGGAAGTCATTTGTTGAGGATTGATGTTATTCCACATGTTTTGTTGTCCCATTTGACTGACTTGTCCCATTTGACTAGTTTGTTCAACTTGACTCGGTTGCCCATACTGTCCCATTTGACCAGGAGCAGCTCCTGTCGAGGGTTGAGACATTCCATTCCCACTTGATATCCCTCCATGAGGTAAATGAGAACTCACCCAGTTCGCACCGCTCTGAGCTATTTGAGGAAGATGTGGATAGAGAGGTTGAGAAGTAGGATTGGGTTGACGAGAAGGTATGAGGGATTGAAATAAGTTTGACATTTTCACGTCTCTGTGCGAAAATCTTTCATTTACACCAAACTTTTGGTCAGAGACGTACTTTTCTCTTCTTTACTCAATGTGAAGAGAAAAGGTCTCTCCTGCACTTTCGTCGGCTGTCGGTGGGAGAGAAGAAGAGTTTGAATCAATGCGAAAGAGATGTTTGAGAGTGTAGGAGATCAAGCAGAGGTTGACTTTTGTAATGTTGGATGTGGCACTTTTCAATGTGGCATTTTGTCTACACTCACAAGTGATTCGCGTGCGTATAATACCTGGGTAATTGGGTGACTTTTCTAGTACAAGTAAGTTGGCTTAAACCATAGCCCGTGATATACATACTTATGATGATGCATACATGAATGATGAATATACAGTTGACGTCCATATACCAGAGAAGAATCTACATACATGAATCTATCATCACTCCATCCATCCACCTTCCAACTGAGCAATACGCGCTTTAAACTGGTCGTTCAGAGGATGACACAATCTGACCATCAGTCTCAAATTGCCAGCACTATCAGAAGAGAAAGAGATTTAGAAATCGGCGAATGGAAGACTCACCTCCAACGAAGTGCTGTCCAGGTTCGTTCGGCGAATCCTGCAGCGACGAGGGAAGCGCAGATAGGTGACAGAGTCTCACTCGAAAGCGTTCGACTAGTCACTAGATCCAGAATTAGTTTGTCCTGTGGTTCAGCATGTACGACACAATGGATTTGGAAAGAAAGTAAAAACTTACCTCATCTTCCGTATAATTCTTCCCCGTGGAACCCCTCTTGCCATTCCCTCTTTTAGTGACCGAAGTCAGATCCGAAGATCCTGCAGCAGCTTCCGAAGAGGAGTGACGGATCAACTGGGTAGGACGCTCGCTCTTTGATCGCTTTCTGGAAAGAGGTTTTGGTGCACTTGACTCTGTCACCAATGGCTTGTTTGTCTTTGCGCGTTTACGGGGAGGAGGGAGAGAGTCAGAGTCGCCCAGAATGCGGATTTGAAGCATAGGCTCTTCTGTAGCTAGAGTCGATAGTGATTGGGTGATAGATTGGTCCGCCAACATCTGATCCACCGACGGTTCTTCAAGGGAGGAAGAAAAGATGGCTCGGGGAATGAAGGGCTGATCAACACTTGTTTGGGAGAATTTCGGTGCTTGTGGTAGCGAGGCAGGTATGACTGATTGTTGTGTTGGTGATTCATCTTCAAGTCTAATGACATTCCCCCGAAACACTGATAAGGGACATGGCGAAGTGCTCCCATCCATGAGGGGTATCGATGGGAAATGAGCACCATCGACCGATCGCCAGCTGGGTCGAGAAACCTTTCTAGGAGTACCATCCAATTGCCACATTGTGCTGATTCTGGGTTCAGGGGCTGGAGCAGAAGATGAGCGACTGATAGGTCTCTCGAGAGCCCATTCTTGGTGTCTAGCATAACGGGTATCGTTCATCCATATATCATCTAGATGGTAGGGTATACTGGGAGGAGTGAGGAGTTTTTCGATTTCGGCGTCTACATCGCTCATCGAGTCGTCCATGTTTTTGAAGTTCAGGTGTGGACTGAGTTCCAAGTCAACCCTCTTTTGGTCAAAGTTTTTGAGAGGAATTTGTCCATTATAGTATTCCATCTCAGAGATGAGACGGTTGGGTTTTGAGCGTGGGGGAGAGATGGGTTGGAAGAAATTTGTAGAGGTTGGTATCTTGTCATTGAAAGAGGTAGTGGAGTAGGATTGGTTTCCCTCATCTACAAAGCCGGCTAAGCGAGCAAAGTCAGGAGTGTTAACTAGCGTCTTCCCGTGACCTTGACTAGACTGTGTATCGAATGTGTCGAGTTTACGTGGAGACGGAGTGGAGTGGCGTTGTGGGAACCTGGGAGGATTAGGACTGGGATACTGGCTATCAACAAGTATCCATCTATCACAGGCGTGATCGAAACTAAGTGTCAAGGTGGACATAAAGTGGGACAGGGGGAATTACTGCCGTCGACAGAGAGAGGTTGCGTCCAGGATGGGGGGTGGACAACAAAGAAGTGCGGCTGACGCGATAAATACACATTGAATAGAACTCAGAAGGAATTGTAGACAAATTGACTTACCAAAGCTCCCAGAGATCTCAAGGCGTTTTTCTTCGGAGTTGTCGAGGAACCTTTTTGGTCCGGTACTGCTCGATCCTGACCATAAATCAAGTGATCCCAACCGGGAACTTGCATCTCTTTCGGTATTCCTAGTTGTCCCACCACGTCGTTGAAAGCCTGTTGACTCTTGATCATCGAATGATTGGTTTGGCCCTCTGATTCATACTCGGGATGAGAGGATAGTCGGGGTTCTAAAAGGTATGATAGCTGGTTGAGTCGTGACACTAGTCGTCAGCTGTCAAATCTTGACAACTGCTTTAGTACCAGCTTGTACCACTGGGAAAAAGGGAAGGTTTGATGGAGGATGAAGCCGGAGTTGTACGTGGTGTCGATAACGAGCTGAGGATATGGTATGGTTGATTTTGGGTAACGAGACGATCGGAGAGAGCTGAGAAAAGGCGAGGGAGAGAGCCGAAAAGGATTGGCTGACGAGGAATGTGACGGGATATGAAAAGAGGTGACTCACTAAATTTCTACTTGACTCCTGTCTAAGGCCTGGTGAGATCTAAAACCTCAGTGTCGAACTCTGATGGTCACTTGGAGAGGAAGAGCTTAAAAGAGATGGAATGTAATGAAGTATGTGTGAGAGAGAAAGAAGGTGGATGGTGGAGGAATGTCCTTTCCTGGAAACGAATTTCCTCGGATTTTGGCGATCAGAGCGGCATGCGGCATTAGCGTCAAACGGGCACGGAAAAGTTACTACTTTTGGGCTTTTGATGTCTGTGCGTTGATGATAAGTATTTGCCTCATGCCTCATCTCGTCACTGACTGTGGAAATTTGTATAAAGAGGCATTTTCCCCCACATGTCTTTCCCACGATCGATCCCTCCGTGCCACACTGCCACACTTCACCACATTCCCGTCATCGACACCTTGTTTGGGTGTAAGAGTTTCTGATAACGAACAAATATGAAAGTGACATGCATGTACGTACAAAAGATGATTGTGAAGATACACAGGGGAAGAGAAAAGTACGAATCATACCCTACTCCCATACCACCATCCCACACTCGCCAATACCCATCCACATACAAAATTCACCCCAGAGTTGCTCAGTATGTTCAGACCGAATCCGATCGGTTTGATGTCCTCCCCTGACCGACGGGTGGAGAGGTCAGTGAGGATCTTATGGTCTTTTTCTGAGAAAAGGGTTTGTTGGAGGGTAGCACCGAGAATACTGTCGAGCTGAAGTGTCAGGAAAACTCTTCTTTCGAACATTCAGTGTGTCCTGTGATACCGCTCAGAAGGTTGGTAGTCTACTTTGGGTGGATTGTCCAAGGTGTCCAGAAATGATGGATGTTTAAGAATTGAATATATTTGAGGCATGAGATTATGGCATTATGATGAGAGATCAGAACACTCACCACACTTCCAGCCAATCCAGCAAGAATACCAAACACGAGCAACTCTGAAGCCCATCCATAGTCATTCCGAGACATAGGATCTTCAATCAATAAATCCACAACCATAGTCAATCCCATGACCAGACCACCCAAAGCCGAGACACCAAGACCGAGAGGAGAAACACCACCGTTGGTCCCTTTTGGGACTGATTGAAGAGTGAGGATATGACGTGGAGGGGAAGAAGAGAGGATGCCTAATTCTGAAGCGAGGGTATCGGCGAGACAGTTGGAGAAGTGTCTGTAAGATCAGCCATCAGCATATGCGAAGAGAGTATATGTGGACGTACCCGAGAGCGAAGAAGATGAGCGACCTGCTGAGTCCGTTGGAGGAGATAGGACCAGTGCGAAAGATCTAAGTGTAAGCTGGATTTACGATACTTTCCCAGCAGCTGAGGAATCCGATATGCGGGTGTTGTCCAAAGGAAAGGTGGTTGGTGTTTATCAGAGGGAGCATTACGCAAGAGCTCAGTACTCTACTATTGAGATGAGATGAGATGAGTGAGTGAGACAACGGAATTAAGGGAAGAAGTGACATGAAAGATGAAAACGTACATTCTGAGACACGTAGAATCTATAAGCCAATGCCGCAAGAAGGGAAGGAAGAGAATTCGAAAGAACTTGTATAGCATCTCTATTCCCTCCTGGTTTCGTAGGATCCGGACCATCTTCAAGTGTCGCTTTATAAGCAGCTTTCACCTATGATTTAGTTTTTTTCCTTTTACTTCTCCTCCCATACCATCATCAATAGACTCGCACGTCATCACCCTCAATCGCTTTTCCTTTGACTACCAATCCCAACATCATCAGTCAACCGGTGTTTCTGACGGCCTTGTTGACTTGTCTTTCTTTGTCTGCAAATAAAGATGTCGTCGTGTCTCACCAGCTCAAAATAAAATACCCTCGTCTCACCGCCTGACATCGAATTGAGTCCATCTCTGAACTGCGTCGCTTTGAAATATCTGATCACTCGAATCTCAACCAACAAGAAAGCAGCAGACCTGCATAGCCAAAGAATATGAGTGAAAACCCACCTTGGTAGCTCTCGAACCTAAGAGATAAAACACTATCATAGTAGTTCCAAACAACTTCAAAGGATTTGCCAAATGTCCATAACCCACTAACAAAGCTGCTATAGCACCTGAAGGTGATAAAGAACCTTTCCGATAACCATGGCCTGCCAGACCGACAGCTATGAGTGCCCCACCGGGATACAAAGTTGACATGGTTCCGACGGCTGTTTTCGGGTCCAGTCTTCAGATGTTTGAAGAGCTATGAAGATTCACACTGGTATCGAATGATAGAATGATGTAGTGTCTTGCTGATTAGGGAGCGAAGTCGGAGGGAGGGTTAAGAAGGAGGGACCAATTCATGTCCCAAATTAGGAGAAAAGAATTCGGTTGATCGGTGGACCGGCCTTCCCCACTTTCCCCACTTTCACCACGTGAGAACGAAACGCCGTATCTCCGAAGAGTGGCAATGGATTCCCCTTACCTTCGTCCCTCTCACACTCAACCCATCTAGCACGCTCAACATTACTCTATCGACCACATCCTCTATACTCTGGTCAGACTTCTAAAAAGATCCAAGGAGATCACATACACACATAGAAAACGTCGGAAAGAGTAGTTAAAATGACAGCAGACTTGGAAAGAGATCCATTTTACCTTCGGTACGTCCACCCCTAACACCTAGAATACAGCTGACGGTCAGATACTAGTCAGCTTTTTTTTTTCCGACCCCGAGATGAAGCTGATGAGATTAGTACAGGTCATCAAGGAATGCATGGACATGAGTTTTTGGAGTTCGAATATTCACATGGTATGTCTCGTTTCGTCTCTGTCACTTCATCATTCCCTTCGGTTCTCCCATTTAGATGAGCGGCTCGGGCGAATTTGAGGTCAAAATTGAGCCGAGTGTAATTTGAAGTTGATTGATTCCTTTTGTAACATGGGGATTTATGGTGGAGAGCTGACAGAAAGGACGGATCAGATATGCCAACAACTCGAATTATAGAAATGATTCTTTGATCCGAAAAGAGAGTGAGTGTGGTATCCTTTTCATTCACACACCCCTGTGGAGGGACGACTCTTTAGATTGTCAGTCGACATTGCATGGCGAACTTGCGAGGTAGTCATTGCCGTCATGCGTATTTCGCATTGCGGATGACGAGCACGGATCATTATTGGAGAGGGACGGTTCACAGAAGTGGAGAGCGATGGAAGGCCGGAGAGACTTTCCAAGTCATAAGGTCACAGGAGACGAGAGAACAAGACAGGGATACAATGAGAGTCGAGAAACACCAAAGGAAACCATAACTGACTCGCAGTGTTCGTCTCACCCGCAGTGGTGGACGAGTTGAAGCGGATCATCCGAGATAGTGAAATAACCAAGTTGGTCTACGCCCTCGACCATCTGTCAAGCTTTAGGCTGACAATTCAGAGAAGACGACGTCTCATGGCCAAAGAAGAATATAGTGGGGAAGCAAGAATTGGAAGTTAGGATTGACAAAGAGCATATTTCTTTCGAGGTGAGTTCATGGTTTTTCCCACATTCATATCTTTCTCGTTCTTTTCAAGCCAAAACAATCTTGATTCGGGCACTCCCCAGATCTCCCACATACCGAATATGATAATATCCCCTCTCCTCATGTCAAGCGAAACCATCGTATCGACCGAACCACAAGCCTTGTACTCAGCTTAACCGAAGGGAACTCCCAAGCTGACATGTAGACGGCGAAAATTGGATCTTTAGCAGATGTCAACGAATCGGCCGATGCGGAAGGTCTTCGAGTGTTTTATTATCTGGTTCAGGATCTCAAAGTGATTTTTTTCCCATTTCTTTCCTTCCTTGTATTCTTGTAAACGGTGTTGATGAGCAGTGTTTCATATTCTCACTCATCACTCTTCATTTCAAAATCAAACCTAGTAAGTTGTTCCTTACCTTATTAAGGAATCGACTGACAATTCTCAGTTCAAACATGATCCCTCTCGAATCTTTGGGCGTCAAGTAGAATGGATGGCTGTTGGTAAGAGGAAAATGAAGATATGCATGTATACTTTTCAATCTTGTCATGTTCGATGTTCTTTTGGAATCAATCAATGATCTGTGTACTTGTACTCGTATTCGTTTTCTACACATCTTTGTATGATCCGCGATGAAATGTCAAAGGGAGATTTGAAAAAAGTTGAGAAACCTTCCTAATTAACTTTAACCAGATCGGGATGATTCTGCTCTTTCATCCTTCCACCTTTTCATCTTTCTTTGTACATACCTCATGTCTCTTCCACGTAATATGAATCTTCCGTTCTTCAAGATCCGATCTACTCCCTATGGGTATATCCGAAATCATTCGACTCAATCACGATTTCGTCCTTCTTACATTTACCTGAAATCTATCTCACCGATCCCTCCAGGCCCGAATACCTGCTCTATTCAAAGTCATCTTTCCTCGTCCACTCCTAGTGCTAGCTCTACCTCTCTCACCCCTGATTCTAGCTCTTCCACCTCTGATTCCATTGCATCCACCTCCTCCCATTCACACACCCCGATCTCGGTAACGACCCAATTTACCGACTCATCGATCTTCCCCTCTTCTCAATCTTCATACTCATCGACCTCTTCTTCATCTCAATCCTTCCACTCATCGACTCAGCCTTCTCACTCATCGACTCAGACTTCTCACTCATCAATCCCGAACGCCGAGACAGCAGGGAAAGATCAATGGGAACAATGGAAAGCTACTCATACCCGACCGGATCTGACGGAAGAACAACAAGAATTGATAAGTAAGATCATCAGGGTAGACCAGGCTGGTGAATTGGGAGCGAATTGGATATACAGAGGTCAGAAATGGGCTAGTTTGATGAGAGGGGATTTGAAGACTGCTAAAGATGTTGAAGTGGGTTTCATTTCGTTTCGAGCCCATATTTCCATCATATCCATGTACACATTATTTATCACTTCCAATAATCATGATCTTGAAGACGTCTTGTGGACTTGTCATTCTTGTTCTTTTGTGTGATTTTCTATCCGTTTGTCCGCCTTGTCCGTCTTATCCTGATTGCCGATCGAACTTGTCCCTTCGCCTCAACACATATTCGATAGGTCCATTTCATCTTTCCAATTTGACCACTTCGAAACATACATCAAGAAGGTGTATCCAACAAATTATCACAAACCCTTCTGATCAAATGGAGATCTCAACCAACATCATCTCGTACAATGGTAGCCATAAGAGAGAATGATGACATTGAGATATTATCATATTAACCTTTATAAACAAGCTGAACACACAAAGAAGTGGATGTTGACATATTTAGGAAATGTGGGAAAACGAAAAACATCATCTTCATATAACTCATTTACTTCAAAAACAACATCATATCCGTCCTACACTTCTTTACCCTGTATGGCAAGGGTTAGCTTTTTTCTTAGGTGCAAGTACAGGTTTAGCAGGAAGAGAAGCTGCTATGGCATGTACGGAAGCTGTTGAGACTGTCATTGGTGAACATTATGATGAGTGAGTGGTTGTTCTTTTCTTTTCTCTGTTACCTTCCTTTTTTTTTTAATTCTCTCAATCCTGTTCGTTATCTAAGCTTTACCGTCTATTCCTATTTTGGGACAGATCTTTTGTCTTATACACCTTTCCAATCACATTGGACCTTTCATTTGTCTATACTATGTGTCATATGTCCGTATTCTATCTAACAAGATTTCTCTTCCTCGCTCCGCTTCTCATTCTTCAATGGGACGAGTGTCAGTATCATCACATACTTGAGCCTGACGAAAATCATCAAACACTCTCTGGTCAAATCTGTGAAGAACCAAAAACAAGTGTGAAACGTGTTGACATGACCATAGTCAATTAAAAGCATTACAACCACTCATCTCTCCTTCTCCTTCATCATCTCTATCAAACTCCACACCCGACTATCATACATCTTCACAATCCATGATCGATTCGTCATCCCTTCCAGTCAAACCCCATCCTTCACTCCCGTTATTAGCCAATATCATCCGAGAATTCAGAGATGACGAATTAGAACATCTTGATATTGCGGTAGAAGGAGGAGCTCAGAAAGCTCCTGGACACGCTTTCTTAAGTGCCGTAGTGGGATTAGCATGTAAAGTCGCTATTAAAGTATGTGAGAGGGTTTGAGCTTTTGTACAGTATTTGAATTTGTATTCATGTTTTCGTTTCTTTTCTTGTCAAGATTAATCACATAGAGTCTGAGAGGTGAAGGATGATGTGATATGCTTTTAAGTTACAATTGGATTATGCACTTCTCTTGTTTGTATCCCGTCCTTCTCATTCCATTCACTGGTACATGGTACAGAACATAAGTCGAGTCAATCATAATGACTCAATTTTGGTGGAAATCACTCAAGGTTGAGGCTGGTGAAAACGCCCTCACTCGGAGCATGGAGCATCCGGTTTACCGATCGAGCACAATGTAAGAGAAACACCCAGATCATGCATCTGATACATCTAGCATACATCAATCCCCTGACTCTCCTTCCCGATGGTTTTTTTTTAGATGGCTCTGAAAGAGCTGAGATATTGAAAGATATGAAACATGTATCAGACGGTAGTATCCGTTCGAGACTTCTTAGCTCCTCTAGCGGGTGAACTGTCCCTAGAGGGCATATGCTGAGAATCAGTCGTCGTCCAGCTGTCAAAGCATACGGGGATGAAGAACATTTAGAGACGGAATGGTGTGTAAGTGGATATGTTTAAGGATTTTCTTCCAGTAACCCTCGGGAAATCGAAGAAATGAAGGATAGCTGGCTAGCTTGGATGGCAAGGGAAATGAAGGACTGAGCGAGGTGAGGTGAGAGAGTAATGAATCGATAAAAAAATCGAATGAAGACTCACCTTTTCTAACAATCTGTCCAGGACGGCCGATTGACCAACTTGCAGATCTCCCGATTGGATACCAGTGTGGTAAATACGTAAGATCATATCGACATCTTCCATAGATTGAGTTCGAACATCTGCCAATTCCTTGATTTTGGCAGTAGCGTCTTTGATCTGGTACGTCAGCCCAGTGATCTTACATGATCATGATTCGGATGACACTTTCTCAAGGCTGTTACTAGTAAATTCCCTTGTCGAAAGAGCTTGCGTTCGAGTTTGCTAAAGGTTGTCGCGCGATGAACTGTAGTGCGAGGATGACCTTGATGTGAGGATGGGGAAGGGATCTCAAGGATGTTGTGCAAGACGAAGACGGATGAGGGACTAACCTGATCATCCGTCAATTGTAAATTGAGTTGCTCAACACGAGACTTGACGGCATTCCAGCCTGTCAAACGATGTCCAATGGAGACATAACGTGTCATACCGAAATCAGCGGGGTTGAGAATCTCGTATGTTGATGGATTGGCTAGGATAGCTTTGGCGTGGATGCCTGCCTTGTGGGTGAAAGCGCAGAACCCGGTGATGTAGTTGTTACTGAGTGTCAACACAAACTCGTGCTCGAGGTCACCATGAGAACTGTCGAGGAGCTGAAAGAGTCGGGGGTACAGATGTGTCATCATAGGTCAGAGTGATAGGGCGGAACCAGTATCGAGTATGGGCATGAGAGTATAAGAAGGATCAGAAGAGAGGATACGAATGACCCACAATGGCACTTGAATCTCGACAGCCTCTGCGACAAGATTCTCAATCTCACGAAGCATATGAAGGTTATACTTGCTCTTAACGTATTCAGGATCGGCAACCATCATACGGGCGATCAAACCTCCAAGAGGGGTGATACCATTTCTTTCCCCGATACCAAGCTTGACGTCAGTACGTATACTCTCACTGGTGTATCAACTTACCACCGAAGTGTCAACATGGGTAGCACCGGCTTCAAGAGCGGCGTAGGCATTGGCAATTGCTGTTTGTGAGTTCCAAAGCTTTACATTACCCTACATGCAAAATTACCCAGCCATGTAATTTTGGTCTACACGTCTACGAATTAAGTGAGATAGGGGATAGGAGTTGAGAAAAGGAGCAGGGGATTATCATATGAAGAGGGGAGAACTTCACTCACCACATCCAGTATCATTATGGAAGTGCGTCTCGATATCACAACTGACCACACCTCTCAAAGTTCGAACCAGGTCGTAAACTTGTCTTGGATCGGCGCATCCTACAGTGTCCGCAACACCGACTCTGTTCACCCCGATCTTGTCGACCGTACGGTAGATAGACAATAGGTCGACGAGTTCAGATCGGAAAGAATCCTCTGAGGAAAAACGGATTTCGATACCTTTGGACTTTACGAATTGAATGACTTCGATGGCGCTGGATAAAAGTCAGCCTCATTGAAACCAGATACTGACTGGCCTGAAGTAGTGACAAAGTTGAACAGAAAGTCTACAAAGTCCTTCCTTGAGAGATGGAAGAATCCTTCGCGAGATACACAAACAGTGTAGCAGGGGGAATGGATTTACGCGAGGACTATAGTGAGATAGCAGAGAGGGACATCCTGAGTGATAGTTGGTAGACGTACGTCTTAGTAATCCATGTCATATCCTTTCCATGGGAATGTTCTCTCAAGAACGATGAAGTCCCAATAACTACATCCACACCGTCCACCCCTGTATATCAGCATTGTCAATCATATCAATCATACTCTTCACTGACCAGTCTCCACAGCAAGTCTAGCATCATCCATGTGACACCGAATATGAGTCAATATTTTAGTTCTCTTGAGACCTAACTTGCAGATTGCTTCACAGTGTGCACGCGATTCGGGAGATGCGGCCGGGGAAGTAAGTTCGATGTATTCTACTCCAAATTCGTCCAGCCTGTGTGTTAGCGTGTAACAATTTTCCCACCAATATCTCTCCTGCTACAGATACAGATGAACCGGAGATATCATGATGACTCTCTTTTGGAACATCATAGAATGCGATGGTATTGAATGAAAGGGTAGGTATACAGGTTGTACTTGGGGAGGTACAAGGGAAACAGAGGACAAGGTGGGAAAAGACTTACATCCTTGCAATTTTGATCTTGGTCTCAAGTGTGAAGAAAGCATTAGCGAATTGTTCTCCTTCTACGAATATCAGTTTGAGTGTCAAGGATCAGTCGTTACTGACCTCTTAATGTACTCTCAATGATCTGCATTGTCAGCGTTTTCTCTATTGTAACAAAGAAGCGCAAATAACAATCCACCAGATGACCAAATGGTCAAGATCAATAATCCATCATACCGTCCACCCATTCCATCAGACATCATTCTTCTCCCACAGTCATTATACTCCCCACACACATCGCACCCTGTCTTTATCCCCGGAAACACTCAATTTACTATCTAAACATACCCAGGTCGAGACCCAAGGAAATATGATTGTACAATTAACAAACCGTCAAGTTCATAATAAACAAAGATGAGTTGAAGAGAAGAAATGCTCTGACTGACCTTCCAATTACTGGTATTACTCAGAAAATCCGAAGCACGACCATACGCTCCCTTATGTTTCCCACTAGGAGGAGCGGAATGTCCATTGGTCCCATTGGTTCCGTTGACACCGTTTGTCCCATTTGTACGTTCGTTCAGCGAAGGAGGAAGAGCAGGAGCGTCAGTGACGATAGGTACCATTTCTTCTGTTCCGTTGGTAACGGCTGCGTCTGAATCTGGAGGTGGGCACATGTTGAGTTCTTCTTGGAGCTTATATATCCTTTGATGAATGATTTTATTCGAGTGGAGTTTCGGGTAATGTTTTTTTTGTAAATGTATCAAGTACTCGTTTTTGAGTCGTTTGTCGCGAGTCGTTGTGAAAAAAAAAGAGAGGATCTTTCGTGGGAATGGTAGGCGCGCCATTATCCAAGCCTCTGAAAGAGAGTAAAGATAGGCACGCCGGAATCATCTCCGATCGTCTCCCTCGAACTGTTGTATTGAACACCGGCTGCATGGTTGCATGTTACATATACTGAGTAAAAAGCGTTGACTTGTAATGTCGGGCTTATAGCTTTTGGTAACTCAAACATCAAGGCAGCAAAACGATTCAAGTCCAATTTTCACCTCCTTCTCCTCAAAACAGGTTCACCATAAGTCCTAGGTCTAGCACCCGCCTGCCAAATGGTAGGTGTCATATGTACGAAATGAACTTCCCAATCACCTTCACCATAAGATCTTCTTTCTTCTTCTCTCATAGTTCTCCTTCTTTCCCTTCTTCTAGCTCTAGCACGTTCCCTACTTCTTAATTCCCTTTCTCTTCTAGGTAAATACATATCTCTTCTTTTAGCTTCATTCTCTTCACCCCAACCACTCTCACTTTCTTCTTCATCACTCGTCGCGCTAGAATAATCAGAAGCACGACTAATACCTCTAGAAGATAAAGGTTCGATAGGTGGTGGAATAACCCTTTGACCATTTTGAGCGGCATATACTCGGATACCACGAGGAGCGAAGAATGCTACTGCCCAAGAAGCTAAGAGAGAATGAACCCCATCGGTCAAGACGGGTCGAGGACCACGTCCTAAGGCGTTACGATTTCTACCTGCCCAATCGTGTTGTGCCGAATGAAGAGCTTCTTGAGAGAGATCGGTTATGAATCGAGTCCTGGAAAAGTCAGTCAACTATTCAAGCACTTTGTCACTACGTCAAATTGATTTAGAGTCAATCAAAACTCACCAGACATGATACAAAAAGATGAGAAGACGGAAAGCAAAAGAAGGGAGGAGGCAACAGAGGAAGAGAGAGGACAGAAGGAACAGAAGGGGAAAAGAAAACTCACCAATCCTCTTCTGAAACATCATGACTAACAAGTTGTCTAGGAGTGTGTAATTCCCAAGCTCTGTTCAACTTTTGGGCAGGTAAAGAAAAAGCTTCGAAAGGATCGTATCGATAATAACTATCTGCTTGTGCCGGAGGTCGATCGAAACATGGTGGCCTAGAAATGCATCAACTTTAATTCTTTTTACTTACGACTTCTTCTTCCCTTCCCTCAAAACATATCCATCAAATTCAATTCATTTCCACACCCTTTACCCCACTCTCCAAGTGAAGACGATTCTCGAAACCCTCCTCATACCGATTAGTCAAGCCGCCAAATTATTTCCGAAGAAGAAGGTATGATCGTGGGCGAGGATTAATGGAGGAAATCATGGTTTCTGAGGATTCCAAATAGGTTCAGAAGGATAATAAGTCCTCCATCCTTTATATGGACCTTGTTCTCCAATCTTTGGAATGAGTCTATTAGGTGTTATGGTTTGAATTCAAGATATATTGGCGGCTTGACTAGGAACTACCAATCTATCTAATCTCCCTATCCCTCCTCTCACACTTCTGATCGAATCCATTTTCTCTAATTGGAGAGCTTTGGCACGTGCTATTGCCGGTGCTATTGTTTTATCTGATCCAATGGAAATGGTATCACTAGAAGGGGGGTTGAACGTCTTTGTGGAAATGATGTTTTGTGAATGATGGGAAGGTTGGATTGAAGAATGATGATGAGATTTAGTCGCAGGTTGACGATACCAAACACCATGATAAACCCACTGTTCTGGTCTCCCCGTTGTCCCACTTGTTCCAGTCCCAGTTGGGGTGGATTGGGTGGTTTGAGTTGTAGTAAGTGGCATATCCCTCGTACCAGGTTGTTGAAAACCCATTCCTCCTGATGCTGCTTGACCTGGAGGCATAGGACCTCCAGGTGGACCAGCAGGTCCGGGAGGTCCGACAGGTGGTTGTTGTGGTACTCCGGGAACTATAGGACGACCCCAGCCGTCCCAACCTGTAAGTGAGCGAGGTTCGTGTTGGTCATCATTACTTATTCCAACAGTCGTTGATGACATCGACCGGTGTTTAAACGACAGCGAAGGAGTCGACGGCTGGGGGATGGCCAGAGAGACAGAAAGGAAGTGCACAGGAGGGAGGGAGTAGTGATAATTGAGAGAGAAAGAGAATTTTGTAACAGAAAAACTCACCTTCAGGTAATTCCGGTGGTACTTTTCACAATCAGTTTACTCTTTCCACTCCATACCGAACAACTCACTCATTCGTCCACTGAGAATCAGTATTTATTCTCACATGAAACAACAACGACATTGAACAAAAACTCACTAAGCATCAAATCCTTCTTGTCCTGGTCTGGCGATGAAGGGTAATCCGAATGGCATCGGAGGAAGTGTGGAAGGATCAGGAGGTCGGTATGGTTGACTGTGAGTTAGTCGGGTGAATCTTTGTGTGTTTCGTCATTTTTGTCTTTTTAATCTTGTTGGCTGATCATCCTACCACTCTTTGGTACGTTGTAGTCCTGGTTGATACGTGCGCGGAAAGGTCCCCATTCCGGCAGTCATAGTGGGGAGGTACGGGATAGTGTGAACGTGGTTCAGCTGTGCTGGGATGGACCACTAGGTGTGAAGGGAGAGCGAAGGGAGGAGGAAGAGGAGATAGGGAGCGGGAGTCAAGAGAGAGGAAAGAACCCATTTAGCTCACCTCGAACCGACACCTCCTGGACCTGCGAAATCTGCAAAGAAATATCAATTCATATCCTTAATGGTTTTTTTTCTCAACATCGTGTCTTTTTCTCTTTTCCCTCTAATCACATTGCCACTTCCCATCTTTCCTTCTTCCTTCTACACTATTATTCACATTCGAATCCGATCTCCATTCGTCACAGAATATAAACACCATCTTTCTTCCCAACATCTGACATCCGATAGTTTCCACCTGATAAAGAACAAAATGAATAGTGTGAAATCATCCTTGCCCCCTCCCGACACCCCACGAAGCACAAAGTGGATCTGCCTACGTGACAAAAAGCAACCCAGAGGATCATTGATTAGGATAAGGATAAACCTGCGAACCTCTACCCAACATATCCCTTCCAAATCTCCCAGGAAGAGAATTATAATATCCCATCCCAGGCATACCGGGCATGACACCAGGTATAGGTGCACCCATTGGCATTCCCATACCTGGCATTGCACCCATACCCATCATTGGCATTCCCATCATGCCCATACCCATACCCATACCTGGGTACATACCCATCATGGGTGGACCGAACATTGGAGGTCGGGATGCTACTGTGGGTGGCGGACGAGGGAATAGAGCGGGTTGAACGGGTGGATAAGATTGTCTGTGAGTCAGTATATCATATTCTGAGGCATGTGGAGGGACGAATTTCACAATTCTGTAATCTAGAAACGAGTTCGGCCGAGTCGAGTTTCGATCCAAGTGAAATATGAGAAAACAAGTGAAAGTCAAATGATGGAACGAAGAAAGAAGAAGAGACAAGAGAATGAAAGATGATGATGTAGCTTTGGAGAAAACGTGTAGAAAGTGGAGTTATTTGAACAAAGGAGTGCAGGAACAAGGTTGAAAGTGGAAAGAAAAGTGAGGACATGCCGCAATTGGCAAGAGGGCGGGAAAGAGAAAGGACCCTTCCCTCCCTTTTGTCATTGGACCTCCTTTGGATGTGATTCCATCATGATCAAGGTCGGCTACGTATTGCTCGACATCTCACACGACGCCCGCTCTTAGGGGAGAGTGGGATGAGAAGAGTATTCTGAGGAGAGAGAGATGGGAGGTAGGTAGAAGCGACATTTGACAGAGGATGTTTGATAGAAGTGAATACAAACAAAACTCACGCATTCACTTGCCCTTGGGAACCAGGTGGATACGCCCCTTTCCATTTGTTGGCGTATCTTTCCCTCGCGGCATTTTCTATTTCTGTAGGTGCGGGTGGGTATGCGTATCTAGTTGTCAGTATGCTTTATCCCTCACACGTTCACTCCAGGTTTTCTGCACACTCAAGCTATCCTCATGCCTCAAAAATAACTTTCTCATGACATGCTGCTCAAATTCCTTGACTCACGAACACACGGACCCACCAGCTCACCAGCTCAAGTTTCGCTGTTACTCGGGATATTAGAAGGCATGATGTTGAAGATGAAGACGTCCAAAACTCACCTCTCTGACCGTGGTGGCGGAAGCGCATCCCCTAAGGGAATATACGGTTCCCCACCTCCATCCCAATCCCTATCCCTGTCTTTCTTTTCCTTTTTTCCCTTCTTCCGATCTCTATCTTTCTCCTTAGTATCCCTTGGGATCAAATCTTTACCCAACAAACCTAAAGCATCACCGCTGTCCACCCCATCCAATTGTTCCACCCTATGTACACCCGTATGATCCCTCAGCGTGGCGTGAAGATGTTCATGACCTGCCGCATCGACTTCCAAATCGGCAGAGAGGGATGCTATGGTCTGCGGAGCAGGGGTAGGTTTGAGAATGGAATGTAGGGGCTGTCCGACGGTACTTTTCTCTGTTAGGGCCGGCTGGAAGGGTGAAGTAGACCTAGATATCTTGGGTTTGGCAGTGAGGTATTTTCTCGTACTTGGCGGTGTTTGACGTATGAGAGCTGTGTAGTCGACTGCAAGTCAGCAGAGGAATTCAATGACATACTGATCTGCAAACCTGCCCCCCGAGAAATCTTACGCAGCCCTTCCTCATGTTTTCAGGTCGCGGGAGGACGTGATAGCAATAATCTATTGGAATCGCGTGATGGATTACCGATAGGAGGGTGGTTCGAAGAGTAAATGAAGGAGAAATGGAAAAGCTTGCGACTCACTATAAGGTATAGGCCTAATACCAGCTTTCAACCCGGGTTCCTGTACTTCCACCCCAGCCAACTTGTCCGACAACGCCTTTGACGTGGCAGGTCCAACAGGAGAACTAAAAGTCCTCGAATCCAACTCCCTCGCTTTCACAGGAAATGAAATTTCCTCCTCTATAACTCTCTCCAAAACCGGACTGACAGACTTTCGCGATTGCTCATACTGTCCAATGGTCGGTGCTTGTCTCGATTGTTCATAAGCCCCAGGGACATTCTCCACGATATTATGTCCCGCTGGGAAAGAAGGTTCTTCAGGTGAAGCACGACGATAAGTGGTGGTTGTGGTGACTACCTTGGTTTCGACTAATTCTCCAGGAAGTTCTTCAGGATCCGGTTTGGGAGTAGGGGTGGATTTGAACGGGTTGAAACGCATTTTAGTCTGTGCGGGACTGAGAGGGACGGCACGGACTTGAGGTGTGGGAATAGCGTGAACTTGAGGTTGAGTGGGGATGACGGTTGGAGCTGGTATTTCTGTCACGAGAGGAGCAGGTGGTGAAGGAGTAGGAGCAGAAACAGGCGCTGGAGCCGGTGCTGGGGCTGGGATACCTGGTATATTTACGTTCACAACAACTTCTGGTCGATGATTGTTTGTAGGAGAGGCTGCGGGAGGCGAAGGAACTGGTGCTGGAGGTGCAGTTGGAGCCAAGCTAGGTGCCCTAACACTTGGTGCTCGTATGCTGGGTGCTCTAACACTTGGTGCTCTGACAGTGGGTGCTTGAACAGTGGGTGCTTGAACAGTGGGTGCTTGAACAGTGGGTGCTTGAACAGTGGGTGCTCGAATAGTGGGTGCTCGAATAGTCTCGACGATGGTTTCCTCAACAACCTGTAAAGGTTCTGTAGGAGCGATCGTAGGAGGTGGAGGTGGAGGAGTAGGTTCTTCAATCACAGTAGGTGGACGAGGAGGAGCTTTTATTTTTTCATGTATTTCCCTAGTTTCAGTAGTCACAACTTCTTTCACAGTTCTACCCGTTGCTGTCCCACCTGAATGATGAGATCCAGCGTAATGAGAATGATGATGATGATGTTCGTGATCGTGATGTAAATTAACAGATGTCATCGAGCCTGTTGGTGAAGCTGGTCGAGAGAGATTCTTGGGAAGAGGACGAGAGATGGAACGAGTACTATTCGGAAGAGGGACGTTGGCGGTTCTTGTGGTTGCCGGTAAGGGAACAACCTGAGTTCGTGTGGTAGGAGGAAGAGGTAATGCTATTGTTCGAGTGGTAGGTGGAAGAGGTATTGCTGCTGGTTTTGTAGAAAGAGGAAGTGGGATATTTGTTGTACGTGTTGTAGGTGGTAATTCAACTTTGTGAGATTTGGTAGAAGGAGGAAGTTGAACAATCTTTGATTTCGTAGTTCCAGGAAGTTGAACAGTAACAGTTATAGTTTCTGGAAGTTGAACGTTATTCACTTTTGTAGTTCCAGGAAGAGGTACAGAAGTAGATTTATGAGTTGGTGGTAATGTAGGATGTAAAGATCGTGTGCTAGGAGGAGGAGGAGGAATTAGAGATTGAGGTCTAGAGTTTATAGTTGGTGGTCTTGATCCAGAATTAGCGATTACTTGTTCTCCAAGATCTCTAATTGTATTTATTCCTGGGGGTTCTAGATTAGAAGGGTTTTGGGTAGAAGTATCAGGAGGAGCTGTAACGTTGACGATAACAGTAGCTTGTTGATCATCTTCATCTTCAACTACTTCCACTTGAGTTTTCTTGTTCTTATTTTTTTTCTTACCCATATCGGATCGTAGGTACCTTAGAAAGTATTCCTTGGACCTAGTTGACAGGTATCCTTCGATACAAACTTAAAACCTCAAGATCCGTCGGTGTAATTTGGAGTAAGTTAAAGTCCTTGGAGGGCTTGAATGAAAGTCGTAAGCGTCTTGATTGGATTGGTGAAAGCGAATCGAGGTGTTCAAAGACTTTGGGCGTCACCTTTGGTAAAAGGTAGAGTATGTAACTGTATATCAGCCGTGGTCGAAAGGGTGTGTAGGAAGTAAAGGATACTTTGGGAGAAGTGAGATGAGAAGGATGTGGAGGACCAGATGATAAATTCGAGAGTGAGATAAGAGCGAGGAAGAGATTAAGAAGAAAACGGTCAGAGCCTCATGGTTTCGTCCAGCCGAGGGGATCACTGCCCAGTGTCCACTATGTATTGCTTTGATCATATCATCGCCCACGAGGACTCACCGATCGCCGAGACTTACTCTCAATCTTCACTCTACTCGGTCACTTGAAAGTGCCAGAAGAAAGAATGTCATCCACCACAGATACTGATACGTTCCTCGTCAGAAGCAAAAGGACCCAAGTGTCCAATGTCCAAAGGTTAAAAGGTAAGGTGGCAAGATGTTCAAGATGGCTGGGATGGACGGCGGATGGGAGGAAAAGTTGAAAAAAAACGTGTCATGTTGAACAAAGGCATCAGGAAACAATAAGTTAAAGGCGTTTTGAATTGATTGATCCGATAGACGGGGTGTCCTTTGTATCCTTTGGGATTGTTTCATCATCTGTTGCATGTTGCTGGAATCCTCTTGATGGTGGGTTAGAGTGAGTGAGAGTGGAGCGTGAGTCATGACCACAGTATCAATAATGAGAGAGGTCTATGTAAGATGGAGGCATATCGGGAGAAATTGGGATGATGAGTGGGAAAGAAGTGGTAATGAGAGATACCGAAAGAAAGAGTAAGACAAGATCGATGGTGGGAGAAGTGGAGGTGATCAGTGATCGGTGATCGGTGGTAAAGAGGGAAGAGAGAGGTATAATTTTTCAGTAGCTAGTAGTGATTACTTGTGGAAAAGAAAAGAAAAGAGAGTGCAGTTGCAATGAGTCAAGTGTTGAGAGAGGGTTAGATCTTTGTTCCGTCTCGTAAGTACTATAAGTACTCGCACGTACTTGAGTTGCAGTAATCACCGACTGGCAACTGGGCAACCTGGTCCATGCTACCATGCTCTGTACATGGCATGATTAATGCTGCCATGCTACCAAACGCAACGTATGAACCCACGAGCAAAAGTCATTCATCATACAAGCACAACCCAAACTATACTCATGGCAATACGACCAACTAAGACGTAATCTCCTTCCTCATGATCAAATCAACTGTCCAAATCTCCCACCTTCCCTTATTATTCTATCATCATATGATTCTCGCCTTGCCCTATGACCGGAACACCTTCCTTATTACCCAACCCCAAAACACCTTGGTGCATCTCCATGTCTGTCCCACCTTCCCCTGTCACCCCAACACCTGTAGATTCCAACACCACACCACCTTGCCGTGTGTCCCCGTGAGTCTCACCGGAGGACTTTACACTCAGATCGTCCATGATCACATCCTCTCCCTCCCTTAGCCCACCGGCCACTTTTCCATCCTCTTGTGTCGACCCCGGATCTATGACCTTTTGCTCAGAACTCTTCATCTGCTCGATAGTGCGGTTCTGGTTCTCTTTACTCAATCCCGCATCCACCCCCCTAGACTCGGGGACCCTGTCTTGCTCGATAGCTCCATCTTTGTTGCCGATCCCCAGATTAATTGTCGTAAGCTCAGGAATCTTTTCCGGTTCGACAGTCCCACTGTTCTTCGACCCCACAACAACCCCATTGTCAAATATCTTCCCTTGCTCACCATTCTCATCCTTATTTCTTGACCCTTCATCCACAACTCCAAGTTCCTCTACCTTAGTATTCCCTTCAATCCCGACCTGCTTCCCGGAGACTGCACTTAGTACAGTACCAGTAGCGTTTCCCTGCTCCACCACCTCCTCCTTCTTGCCCAAATCTGCAGCTGAAACCTTATCAATAACCTTTCCCTGCTCCACTACCCCATCCTTCGTTCCTCCATTCAAAGCCGAACCTAACCTAGACTCTTTCTCAACTTGAGGATGCCAACTCGAAACCGCTCTAGGAGTCACAACTCCTAAACTTGTCGTGGTGGCTGTACTTCTCGAAGGAGAAATAGGACTGTTGGTCAAGTTCAACCTTCTATCCGTAGGTAACCAAGGATGAGATCTGATATTTGTTCCTGATCCACCTACGTCAAGTGTCGTACGTGGCGAATGAACGGTCCGAGGAGGTTCGTGAGGTCTGAAAGACGGACGAGAGTCTGTTAAGGGATTTTGACGAACAGAAGGATTGATGGGCAAGTGTGAGGGATCATGTGGTCGGGAAGTTGAAGTAGAAGGACGCCAAGAATCTGATCTAGCTTGAATGATGTTTGAAGCCTGAGGTAGCGTTGGTGATATGACAGAATTGAGGATAGTGGCGTTGACGTTTGGTACGGTGGGTACAGTGGGACTAACTGGATTAACGGTGATATGGTTTACTGATTGCGATGAAGGAGGAGGAGGTGGCGGTGGATGGGTAGAGTCGGTATGGGGAAGTGAAGACTGAGTAGAATCAACGGAATGAACAGGAATAGACAGACATGATGTAGAATTATCAAGTTCAGATGGAAGTGTAGGTTGAGTAGGAAAAGAAGATTGATTCGTTAATGGAGGAGTAGGTACCGAATTTTCATTTCCATTCGTATTAGACATTGTCCCAACTTTCATATTAGAATTCCCATTGACTCCTTTTAATTTCCTTCTTTTCGCCATTGGTAAATCTTCAACATCATCATCGTTCTGATGACTTGGTACGTAACCTTCAGGGATGACAGGAGGTATAAACTCTGTACATTCTAAGATGATCACTTTGTCTTCTGGTCCAGGAAGATCGAGATGTTGTGTGATGGGTAAAGTGGAGAAACGGGTGATTGTTTTGCGATAATCGACATAAAGGTCGGTACCTTTGTGTGCTGAGTGTAAGCTTGGGCAAGAATTCATAAAGCCAGCTAAGCAATGAGATCAAAATGTTTTTTTTTGTGGGGAATTCCTTTGGATCATGTACGATGAAAGATCGAGAACGGAGAACGTTCTGTCATTCTGGGAGTCGAAATTTGGTAAAGACAGGCTGTTGCAGAGATAATGGGGACGAGGCCCGAAGCACCAGAAGAGGATTTGAAGAGGGAGAGATAAAGTTTGACAGAAACTTTCAAAGACCGAATTTGGAAGCAAAAAATAAGAGTAGTAGAGTAGTAGTGGTCATATCAGTGGAGAATGAGACGAATGAGAAGAGTAACGACAGAAAAAGAGTACACATGAAATGACAAAGAGAAGCAAGAGACCCACCGGTCATCTGTACCCTAACTTCTACACCTTTTTGATAACTCTTCCCTTCTTTAACACTACAACAAGGACACCTCCAATTTTTACCTTCAATCATCATTTCTTCTACCCAAACACAACCCGAATGATATCCTTGTCCACATTTATGACATTCCACCAAACCCCCTTCTCCCACTCCTTCCCCTTGTTTCTTGCCACAAATACATCCAAAAACCTTTTCGTCAACCTCTTTCAAAATCAATTTAGGTCTTCTAGGTCTAACTTTCCTCCCATTAATCCCAACATTAGGATCATTCTTCCTAGCATCCATCAACCTTTTCGAAACGATTTGTTCCAAGACGATTCTCTTCGTACCATTGACAGCGTCAAAAGCTACTGGTAACCAATACATTTTCCTAGCATGATGAGCTAAAATTTCGGGGTTTGTGATGTATTTAGATTCGTCCAAAGGATCAATTAAAGGAACTAAAATCCTAGCATAACGAATAGCCATTTCTATTGCTGTTTGTAATAACGATAATACAGGAGGTTGAATCAAAAAGTTCCAATGACTCATTCCATCTGCTAAACAAGCTATTTGATGTAATGAAGGTCTTATTTCTTTTCCTGTTTCAAATGATGATGATGTTGTTGGTAGACAAATTGGACAAATGAAAGGATTCGAAAGATGTCTAGGTTGTATTTTCACACATTTAGGATGATATCTTCCTTGACAAATTTGACAATTTACCATTACTTCTAAACTTGGTTCACGACAAAAACAATAATGTTCATCATTTGGTAGATCGTCTTCTGGTGATATATGTTGACGAAATGAAGATAATAAATTATCTAAACCTGAATTTACTTTCGTTTGAGAAACGTTCATTACTTCTGAAAGTCTTTGGTGCCATTGTGAATGAAAATCTAATTCTGATTGAAGTTCTAGGATTTCCGGAATGTCGATTTTACTGACTGGTCCTTGTGATCCTCTAACAGAACGACATAATCTTGTAATAGCTGTTATTGTTGCTGTTGAAGGATCTGATAAGAATTGTTTTGCGTTATTTTGCCATCCTAAAGCAGTTTTTCGTATAGTTTCTAACACCCTCATTTGTTCTATATTCGTTGGGATAAGTTCTTGACCTTCTATCAGTTCGTCCAATTGTTCAAATGTAATCCTAGGAGATTTTAGTACATTTTGTACTTGTTCCATCCACTTTTTACCTTTTTCTTCTCTTTGTTTCAATTCGAGTACAAAAGTGTTGTTTGAAGGTATACCACATTGTTCCGCTTCGTCTAATAAATTGATCACGTCGTTATATTGCATAGTTCGATCATCCACTTCAAACCCGACTTTCTTGAACCATTCGAGACGTTTGACGATAGACGCGATAAGAGGAAGTTCAGGTAACTCGATATTAAGTCCTCGACCAAGGATGAGAACTCTACGACATTCTTCCAATTCCAATTCTTCAAAAGGTGTGGATAGAATCACTTTGGCGGGAGATTGAAAATCATCAATGGCTTTAATCATCTGACGAAGATGTAATATCTCCGGTGCATCGAATGCTAATCTTTGAACTTCTTTCAATAAGGTTCGAACGATTTCAGGATTCCGACTTGAATCTTCCTCGGTACTTCCGGTTTGTCTTCCTTTCTTTTGTCTGCCTGTACTTTTACGCGTTGACAATAAAGCGACTTTCTCGATCCATTCATTGGCTCGTACGACCAAAGCCCGGAGATCGTGGACTTCAGGAATAAAATGATCGATCTTTTCTCCATCGGAAAGTAAGGCTCGCATCGATTTAAGTTGAGGACGAGGGTTTGACATAAGATGTAACAATCTTTCTCTCCATGATTCCGGTATTCTCGCCCTAGCTTCGATTTCTCCTAAAATTTCTTCCAATTGCAATTCAGAATATCTTTTCCGTAAAGTTCGTTTGGAAGATGGACATCCACAGATGGATTGAGCGTGGTCAACACAGGTAACGTGTTTCGTACATCCACACGTCACTTGAGATAGGTAACAAAACCCTTTACAGACGAAACATTGGTATTGGTCCTCGGGGCAATCTTCCTCGACTAGTACCTCGTTGATCATCGGCATCTCGGCACGAAGTTTTTCTCGTCTAGCCGTTTCTTGGATAACCATCTCAGCTAAGCTATCTCGAAGCCTGTTCGTAAGCTTAGTCGTCATCAAATAGCGCAAAAGGTTCATGGACACCAGGATAGAGAAGGATGAGATTTCTCGAGCGATAAGTATGATGCTTCGTCTATTTGAGATGGGCAATGGAGATAAATAATAAAGATTCCATTCCAAAGGATAGGTAGCAAGAATCGGACTCACCACAAAGCAGTTTTGATACTATTAGAGTACAAAGTAATAGTGATCAACAGTTCATTATGCGAAAACACAGGAGCTTTGATATGATGTTTATATCGTAAAACGCATTCTTTCCCGAATTTTAGCCAATCGGGAAGGGCGAAATTGACAGCTTCGTTGAAGTTTATACCATGGTTGAAACCACAATGATAAGCTTTGGGCCAAGTGATGACAAATTCGTTTGGTCTTTGATCACAAGCGACAACTTTAACACCTTGTTCTTTTAATCGACCAGGGTTCATCATGGTGACCAATTGATATAGTAAAGAAGGCTGCTGTTCGAATAAATCTGGAGCTTCCGACATGATAGCAGTTTCGAATTTATCTGCGTCAGATCCAGGTATTCCATACCAAGTTTTGGTCTCTCCCCAATACACTGAGAGTCAGCTCACGTTCATTAAGATCAGGTATCTGAATCGCAGATGAAGTGTCTGAAATGGAAAGAGAGTATGAGAAGGCGAAAAAACATACTGTAATTTATACTATAAGTATAATGATCTTCATTATGCCAACAAAAAGTGGAGAAAAGCATCCCCAAGTAAATCCATGGAACCGTCATTCCAGATATATCAGACTTGATATAACGTAGCAATCTGTTATAGTGAGATCGATCTTTTTGAAAGGAGGGAGACTTACGATTCCCTTAAGATCGGGATGTTATTTAAATTCCAAGGATCTCGAGAGTACGGTTCCAATGGATGACTTTCGAGTGAGGGACAAGCACTACCATGTACAGTCGAATGTACGTCCGCACCATATTCCACCTCTACCGTATCTGTCATACTCTCCGTCAATCTCCAAAACTCTCGCTCAACATCCGCTTCGCTGACGTGTACCTTTCCAAAAACTCTTGACATGGGATGTGGGTCGTCTTGCTCCGGTTGATGCGATTGCCAATAGGCATGTGAAAATGCAGCGTCTCGAGCTTGTAATGAAGGTATTGAATGTTCGTCACCTTGTTCGAAACCGAATCCATTTCCCGGTCCGAGAAGACATGAGGTACAATACCATTCTTCGTAAGCTGGTAAACCTTTTAATGGTGGATCCAGGCAATATATGTGATATCCTACAGACGTCAGCCAGATTACTATTCATGGTAGGTAGACTGACCGCAATCGCACTTATCACAAAGTAACATTTTGTCAGGTGCTCCACCACTTCGACACACCTCGCAGACGTCTCCTTTTTGGTATTCGGTCGGTTCGACTGGCGGCGCAGGTTGAGGGGGTGTCGTGAGTGGAAAATCTTCATCGCTCAACTCGCTTTCACTCCCATCGGCACTTGAAAAACCTGGTACTTTGATGCGACCCGATGGTGCCGACGATCCTGATGGTCCTGACGGCGCTGGACCATTGCTTGAGGATGCAAGTGCAAAATCAGGCAAGGCGGATGTCGCTCTGGTTGGATTGACGTTTGAAGGTGTCGGCGACAAGTTGCTAATCTGTATCCCACCTGTCGAGGCAGATCTGCCTGTACCAGCTTTTCCCGCAGCGGTTGGTGATGCGGGAGTTTCCGTGATGAAATTGGGTGGTTTCGAGGGTATGGTCTCATGACCGTTACTCAAAGGAGTGAGAGGCGATACCGAAGCTGTTTTTGGGCGCATTTGGTATTTCTCAAACGGAACTATGATGTGTTGATATGCCGTCTGAATCTGAGAAGCGTATGCTGGATTATGTCCCACAGCCTCTGCCACGGTAGCCCATTTTTGGGAACGAGAAACTTTTTCGTACCCACCCATTTTGATAACTTCCTTTCTTAGTCTCCATAAATCGAGACGTTGTTTGTCGAAGATAGGGATGGTTACAGTGGGATCTCCCCTTGAACTGTGAAACATGGCCAGTTGGTCTAAAAAATTGACCGTCGCGCGTGACGCTGCTGAAAGAGAGTTGAGTCTTTGTAAACGAGTTCTAAATCGAAAAGTTTCCGTTTCGAGACAAAAAGGCATTCTCCATCCTTCAGGAGGGACGATTTTACAGATTCCATATTGTGAAGCCTCTGGTCCTATGCTGTTAATGTATTCCATAGGATCGACAAATTGCTGTGCTGAAGGATAGAAAGTTGGACATTCTTCCAAACCAAACAACCTAGGTTCTGTACGTGCCGGAGGATGACGAGGGGCTTCCGTACGGACGGTTTTCATGTCAAAAGGCGGGTTAGGGATCGTAGGTCGATTCAACGGGTTTCGAAGGACCGATGGTCCAGCTGGTGGAGGTGGGGGAGGTAAGAAAGAAGTGGCGGTTGGACCATTGGTTTGTTGTACAGGAGTACCGGATCGATCTAATTTTGAAAGGGCGTCTTGTTTCGATCGACGTTGAGAACGATGTAAATCTGAATCTTCTTGTATCGGCATAGGCATGGGCATGACTTCAGGATAAGAACGACATGTTATAAATGTTTTCTTAGCCTTTGAAGAACTTGATCGGGATTGTGAACCACTGGAAGGCCTGGATTGATGGTTGATCTGTCTTGGGGTGGTAGTCCGCGAAGGTCGAGTAGCCGATGGACTGGTACCGCTCACGGTAGATGATTTGCCCCCTGACGGATGTGAAGGAGTTGGTCTGGCTAAGTCTGCGAGTGACTGCATGGTGAGTAAATAAACTTATATAGGTCAGGGGGTGTTGGAAGGCGAGTGAAAAGAGAGAGGAAAGGAAGGAAGGTAGTATGAATGGTGAGTGATAAGTGAAAGAAGTAAGAAAGCTGTAGTAGTTGTAGTGTGAATGGTCCGTGGCCGTGGTGGGACAAAGTGAGACTGGCAGATTGAGCCGAGAAATGCTATGTGCTATGTGAACCCGCTTATCAAATATAACACGTCATTTCAACAACCCCTAGTACCTAGTCGTCTACCAAGTCAAGTATGTACGTGCACCGTGCAATGTCTCACTGTACGAGTAGCCTATGCATCCATGTCAATGTTGTGTTTGGGCTTATCACTCCTTTGCTTTCCCCTCCCCTCTATACCAGACCTAACTTACAGTAAAGTGTTATAATCAGCTAGGTGCATGGAAGCGAGGTACATAGCAACCTGGCTATATAGTAAAACGCCTCGGGCTGGGTGATGGATGGTTCAGGGTAGAGCACGAGGCCAAGAGGAATACTTTACTCTCCCCCTTCTTTCACTATAACATCTCACTTCCCTTCTCACATTCACATTCTTCCAACACACTACACTTATCTTACTATCCTACTCTCCATATCTACTTCATCACCGCTATCACTCGCTCCTTCATTGTTGTCTTCAAACACATCAACCATCGACCTCCCTCCCATCCTCAATACGGAAACCCTTTGGCCGCTTCTGCCCTCTTTGATCTCACCCCTCCCCCTCATCCTTTTGCATCCTTCCACCACCCGTTTCTTTCATTCATGACCATCCTATCCACTCTCATTCCTCCATCCTCGCCTCATTAGACCCTCGAGTCACCCTCGACCACCTGTGTCACCAACATGACATCGTACGAGGCCACAGCAGGACCTTCTCGTCATTACACACCCCCTTTACCACCGCCCGTGCCCTCAAAATCCCCTTCCCCCACTCGGGACGATGCCACCTGGACAGATGGTAATGGTACAACTCCCATGCCTCGATCCATGAGCGAATCCACCAACATCGACGAAAAGGCAGACAATGCAAAGAGGAATCCTCTGATAGACCTTTTGGATACGGAAAAGGTCTACGTTGAACATCTCGGTCTGGTCATCAGGGTAAGTACATCGGACCCCCTTGAATTTCCAAACGTACTTTATGAGTATATACTGATTATTTAGAGAGTCGCAGCTGCATGGTCAAGAAAAGACTTCCCACCACCGAAACTTGACGTCATGTTTAGATGCGTTGAAAGTGTATACAGAGCAAACAGGGCGTTCGGGACGGTCAGTTGATTCAAATTCTGAAATGCTGTGGATGTCAAGTTGCTGATGTGTTAAACAGAAGCTGAAAGAAATCGGACCTAATCCTGCCAGTCCGAAAGCTATCGGTGACCTCTTGATGCGATGGGTATGTTCAGAATACAATCATGCACTCGGCTGATAAATTCAGATAGATGACCTCGAAATGCCTTACCGAAAATACACATCAACGTATCTAATGGGTTTCGATACATATCCGGCAGTCATGAAAAATACCCTTTTACCCAACATCCTGGTCGAGATATCCTCTTCAAATCCCCCTCCTCAACCTTTATCACGGTGGACCCTTGACGCTTTGTTTCTCCTACCCTTCACTCGATTACGATATTATCGCAAGCTCTACGCTCGACTCTTACGAGCGACGAAAGAGGGTCGGAGTGATCATCGTTTATTGCTAGTTGCGACTGAGCGACTTGACTCACTCATCTCGCAAATTGAAAGTCGGCTGGAGCTGGATGTATCAGAGGACACTACTCCCGACCCAACCATTTCACCCCCTCCTCCTCCTATAGCTCGACCAGCGGATAATACGCAGCAAGAGAAGGAAAGACAAAGCCGGACAAGTTCAGCTTTGGACAGCTCATTTGACAGTCAAACAAAGTGAGTCCTTGATTTTCAGACCAGGCTCATCTAACTGAAGCTCTCCTTTTAGTTCCCGCCTGGATCCTAGGAGTTCGAACGCTTCTTCAGCCACAAGTGTCACTCACTCACCTCAACGGAAACCTCAACTTGTACCACTCACCACAACGTCCGGTCCTCCGTCCGCCACGGCACCCATTACGGATTTGGAACTGCGTATCGATACGGAGAGAGCATTGGATTTATTCACCATGCAACGGAAGGTGAGCATATTTATTTCCTTCAAGAGATACAGTTGACATTTTAGAAATGTAAATTACAAATGAATCCCGTCTCATTACCTTTCACCCGGTATTTGCGATCTTCGTTCGACGTATCAATTTACTTCACCCCAACGTCGACAGGTCAACAAGTAGTTCATTCTCGCGCGCACGTGTATATACTATCCGACTTGTTTCTAGTGGCGGAATGGATGGACGTGGCGGACAAAGCTGCGAAAGCTCAACAAGTCGCACAAGAACAGCCGGAACGTGTAGGTCAAGGTGGGCCGATGCCTGAATTGTGGCTCGTCTATCCTCCTCTGGCAGGTAAACACCTGGTCGTTTCTGAAGGGTCGCAGGGTAAGGGATCCATGACGCGTAAGGTTATATGGTCGCTGACGTATAGCCAATGTGCTTCATGTTACGATCATGAGGAAAGAGACGTTTGTCATTCACACGGAATCTGATGTGGTTCGTGATCGTATACTGAAGGACTTGGCGGAGTGTATCGAATTTGCAGCTTCAAGTGAGTCTCTAGCGGATATGTCTGCTCCAATGCAATCAAAGCTAATGATTAGTGTCACGACGGAATACATCCCAACCATCTCCAGCGGATGCTCGGTCACCATCATCATTGTCAGACCATCGTTCAGCTGAGAGTCAATTCCCACCTTTTCGTTACCCCAGTCCATTTTCTGTTGGATCATCACCCGCCACCTCTCCTCGACCTTCTGAACTTCAAGATCCTTCGCCGCCTATGCCTTTGGGTGGTTCGATGCTCGCTACGCAAATGCAAAACTTCTCACTTCAACCTGGTGAGACAGTACCTTGGGGAAGAGGTCCATCACCTCCACCTTCTACACAAACATCATCCCAATCCGGGGGTAATTCTCTACCACCTCGTGGTGCAAGTCTTCGTCAAAGAATCCCCTCCATAGGATCTTCGAACGGACATTCTTCCGGAGTGAACCAACTTGGCATGCCGTCAAATAACAATCAACATCCTTCCATACCTTATCCTAATTCGTCCGAACCTATACTTCCTGGTCAAATACTTCCACGGTCTCTCTCTGGTCGATCAACAACGTCTGGTCCTCGACCACCTGAACCAGAAGTTTATCTACCTATACCTCAGATCCGTGGAGCTGGATCGCATTTATCTGATCCTCATTCTTTTCCATTACATAATCCTCCCTCACGTTCTCGTTCAGCTGACCCACTTCGTCCTCCCGAACCACCTTCTGCTCGATTCTCATCTTTCCCTTCCAGAGGCGCTTCACCAGCTCAAGAACCAGATTCTCCACCCATGTCACCAGTCGAAGAAGAAGCTCCAACCCTTACCGGTCCAGCTGTCATTTCAGCACAAATGAAATGTAAAGTTTTCCTCAAACAAGCTCATCAACAATGGAAATCACTAGGAGCTGCAAGACTGAAATTGTACGTGCAGAAAGAAAGGAACGTCAAACAACTGGTAGTGGAAGCGGATAGTTCTTCAAAGACAATGTTAATTTCGACTATAGTCTTGACGGATGGGGTTGAACGTGTGGCCAAAACGGGTGTAGCTGTTGAGATTTCAGATAGAGGTCAGAGAACTGGAATAGTTTATATGATTCAATTGAGGAATGAGAATTCGGCTCATGGGTTGTTTGAAAGTTTATTAGCTGGATCAGATAGACGTGTGGGAAGGTGAGATGATTATCCGCGATGTCTTTTTTTAACGATGTGGATGGATGACAAGAGTGGGTGAAAAGAGGGGTTATACATAGGTGTATAGTCGTATGACATGCTATTGCTTGCGGTCAGCTTCCCTTTCCCATTCTTCTTCAGAACTGTCCCTCTCCTTCCTCGCTCGTCTCCTGACTCAGGACACTATACAGACGCAACCACTTGAGTCGCCATATTCGATCGCTCATCCTTCATATGTCAGTGTCCACTGTCATTGATCATTGACTCTGCCGTCTGCCGTCTGCCGTCGCCATCACCCGCTCCGCTGATGTCGGTGTAACGTGTAACATGTAACATGTAACAGTGACCAGTAGGGGAATAAAAGCGGCAAACGCCGCCTGCGGGAAATGGATTTGCATCTGCACTTTTGGGCGCGACCTCTCACTTTCTAACAAAACCGTGATTCCTCGTGTCTTTCTCAATCTACAACCCATATACAACCCTTTCATCTTTCCATCTATAAATACCAAGCTAGTCACATATCTTTCTGATATCCGATCCTTGATATCTAGCATCACGTCTATCCTCTATCCTTCATCCTTTATCGTTCATCTTCACTAAAAGAGGAGTATAACCGTCTGATCGAAAAGGCTGAGAAGTACGGGGGCAGCCAGGAGTACGGGATCAGTCAAGGTGAGTCGACTCTCTCAGTCCAATACGGTTTGGTATGTTATAGGAATATATTCTTTCATTTGAGATTAGTCTTCATTATCTTTGCTTGTGGTTATACTTGATTTCCAAGGGAATATCAATATAATCTTTCGTCTTAGGTTCGTTAAACCTCGGTAGATTAGTAAAATGAACCGTTTCCATCAATTATTCACTCTGAATCTCATATCGCTCGATCATCCTATTTTTTTTTTCTCGCTCCTATTTGTATTTCTTTACCTTAGCTCTTGACTTTGGCATCATTCTTCCGGTTGGATAAAAAATTCTCATTCATTTGTTGATCGTTGTGTCGTTCACACGAGCCAGTCTTCACTTTTGAAAAGCTGGTATCTAGGTCATCTCTCGTACACGTCCGACTACGAATAGTCTTGTGATGATTTTCGTCCTGCCAGTTTGACTAATGAGAAGCTGATACTTCAGATCTTGTTCCTTCAATCTTCATCCTTAATCGACTACTATCCTCTAACGACCAAACCAAATAGAATCCGTTCAATTTCCCATCATCCGAATACTCGCTGCCACCTTGGTATCTTCCTATTTGGAACTTTGTCATTGAAAATCGGCTTTTTCAACCTTCTGTCATTAGGCAAAAGAAGCGAATCAGTAACCTACTTTGATCGCGTGTGGAGTACATTGTCAGGGAATCGAAAACCCAGAGACTCAAAGTTCTCATCTCGACAGGATCCTGAACCTGATTATCCTTTTGAATACATCGTTCGGATCTCTAGAGGTGTACTCGAGATATTGGGTGCCATCACTGGAATTTGGACTTTCGGAAAGAAGATCTGATTACGATCGTCATCACTCGTCATATCATTTCCAAAATCCATCCATATCATCGCATACACTCAATCACCAGAATATCATATCGTATATCAAAAGATCACGATAATCAACAAGAGACCAATAGTGATCCAACATAATTTCCCAAACGCAATATCATCCATCGTCCTATCATTTTAATCTCAAGGCAAATCTGGATATCAACACTCACAGATTCTCATAGCAGCAACATACAACGCATAAACAATAGTAGCATACGGCACATTCATAACTCTACACAATCACCAATATCAAATCCATAAATCGGAACGGACATCCTGAAACATATCATCAACCATGCATCCAGGAGTATTACATCGACGATTCCTCAATGACCTTTCATCTTCTTTATTCTCGTTTGTTCTGCCTTTGTTACCTACCAATGAGGAGCTTCACGTGAAAGAAGAGTGAGTGTTTCCATGCTTTTCTATTTTCTGCAGTTTCCATGAAGTAGAGGAACAGGTGTTCGTGCGGGCTTGTTTTTGAAGAAACTTATCATGTCTTCCTCGGCCTCGCTTGTGCGGTGAGATCGTTTACGATTGTTTGGCTTGACCTTACGTGGTGGAGAGTTCATCGGCTAACCCCGCGTGGGATAGGGGAGGAATCATGACGGTACTTGTGAACGCCTTGGGAGGGAAGAACTCTGGGTCGGTCTGTTTGATCTTCTAGAGGAGCGTGTTGAAGAGAGTCGAGATCAGTGTGAACGAGTGGGCTCGTACAGTCGAGGTCGTATGCTCTGTGCCCTTGATCGCATGTGGAAAGAGTTGTTGCGATTGGTTTGCGATGACTGGTCATAATCTGACTGAAAAAGTGGAACTTGCAGTGGCTGACGTGCAGGGTAAGAGGGTTGATCGAGAAATTGATAAAAACCATCGAACCGTCCGCCCGGCTGTTGTCATTTGGGAGTAGCTGTAATTCTTTCGGATTGAGAAATTCCGGTGCGTCCTATCCGCCGCTTACTTTTCCCAAGCCTGTCACTCGACAATATCCGCAAAATTTATCTCACAGGTGCGATGACATGCGAGTCAGCTCCAATGCCATGGCGCATTTACCTATCCAGTGCAGGAGAAAATGACCGAGGGCGTTCTGCTCGGTGGAAGACTTGTGCTACTGTATTCTACCAAAGAAGCTGACAGAATCCAGACATGGACTTGGTGGTCTTGATTGACGATTCGGAGGCCAACATTGAACCATCACATTTTGTCGCTATGATTGCTGACTTACTTGAGAGGGTGAGTCGTATCATCTTCATCTCAGATAGCGGCTGATGTGACGTAGGAAACTAACTTTGATGTGAGACACATCTCTTCCCCTTATGAGCAGAGCTAAGTCAGTATAGGTGAAACCATTACCCAAAGCCAGAATACCAATTTTGAAGCTCAATCTGAAAGCTTCCACAGCTCTTCCCTTTGGTCAGTTGGTCTCGTGCGGCGGTTGACGGAGCTGAGATATAGGCATCGCTTGTGATATCGGTATTGAGAATCGACTAGCTATCGAGAACACCCGCTTGTTGCTCACTTACGCCACCATAGATCCTGCCCGTGTCCGCACTCTCGTTCTTTTCTGTGAGCTGTCCAAGGAATTTCAGGCCCCGCTGACGTGCAGTGAAAGTTTGGGCAAAACGAAGACGGATAAACTCTCCATATCGAGGCACACTATCTTCATGTGGGTCTTCGTGGGATGCAATGTTTCATTATGCTGCTGACCTTTAGATGGCTTCACACTTATGGTGTTGTACTATCTAGTACACGTCAAACAACCCCCAGTACTCCCTAATCTTCAGCGGATAGCACCCTTACGACCTATGACGGAAGAACAATACACGTTGGAAGGGAAGAATGTGTACTTCTTTGATGATGTCGAGACATTGCGGAACGAATGGTCAAGTATCAACTTTGAATCTGTCGGCGAGTTGTGAGTAGACTACTTGTGCTACCACTTCGTTGGACGTCCGGGCTGATCGGTCAGGTTGATAGACTTTTTTCGATATTTTTCACATGACTTTCAATTCAATAATTCTGTATTATCCCTGAGAGCAGGCCAGCTCACAAAAGAAAGCAAGGGATGGGTCAATGATGTGAGCTTCTCGAAGCAGCCATGCTTTACAAGCTGACAATCAGATTGATGTTGGAGGAGTGAATGAGATGGCCAGGGATAGGAATAGATTGTGTATTGAGGTGCGAAGTTTTCACTGCATGACGGAACTTGTCTGATTTCTTTAGGATCCATTCGAGACGACATACAACGTGGCTAGAACAGTGACAAAAGATGGATTATATACAGTCCGTTCATTCTTCATGGACCAGGATACATGCTGATGACAGATCCGTGGAGAATTCATGAGGGCCACTCGAGTCAGCTTCCTTCAAGGAGTCTTCTTCATGTAGCTGATAGTTAGATCCTCACCCAACGACCCGATCGTGCAGTGCTAGCATTAGCTGAACTATGTCGTGAAAGAGAGGAAGAACTCTCACATGCTCCTCGATCCGCTTCACCCGCTCCACGCGCGTTATCAGCCACCCGAACACCTTACACTCATCCAACAACTTATAACGGTTATCGTTCTCAATCTCAAACTCCATTCGAAAGATTAGGTCCTGTGAACATGTACGAAACTCCTGTCAGGCGTGGAAGACAAAGTGAAAGTGATTCATATGACGTTCCACATTCAGCTCAAGATTTATGGTTACAAAGTCAAGGTTCTAATCTAGGTGGAATGGGAAGTTTAGGATTGAGTGATACTTTTGAAAGAGGTAGAGAAATGTTTAAAGGTTTAGAAACTCCTGGAATGACATATCGACAATCTACAAGATTAACAACTTTTGATAATGTTATCCCTGGTCCAAATTCTGGATCAGGACAGGGACAGGGACAGGGACAGGGATCAGGATCAATGTCAGCTCCAATGAGTCCACATAGATTATACGCTCAATTAGAAATGGGAAAAGGTTTATTACCAAATGTTCATTGGCCTAATTATAATAATACATCTGGAACGATCACTTCAACATCTTCTATACCATCTTTACCTTCTATCTCACCACATGGATCTAATCAAACAAGATCGGAAAGTTTGAACAGATCAAGACCTTTGACTTCAAGTTCGAATTTATCAAATCTATCGAATTTCTCAAACTCCGGAATTCAAGGAATGAATTCGAATATACCAAACGTATTGAATTACACTCCTGGAAATATTCAAGAACCAATGAGTCCTTTACCACCTTTTATGCCTTTCTCACCACCAATGCCTCAAACAACATTAAGACCGTTGAATGGTGAACCTGCGAATTACATTTCCCCTTCGACTTTATTATCACCTCCTACGATATCTGTCCCACTTTCAGGAGATCCACATGAAGCCCCTCATCAATTATCTCATACATCTCCTGGTCAAGCTATTGGTGGATCTATGGACGGTTTCAATCGACTTCCCCCGAGGAATCTTGGTATCTCCGATCATGTCATAGGTCAATCATCTGGAATCTCCCACAAGGCCTCTGATCTCCCTGCAATTCCGAATAGACCATCTGGACAAGTATCTGCGACTGTGGGTGGTCCTGGTTATCTGACCGCTGGAGCCGGGCAAGGTTCTGTAGGGATGTCAGATGGAGTGATCGGAGATGGGAAGATAGTCGTGGGTGCAATAGGGAAAGACAAGTCTGACTCGGTGGACACGTTGGTTAAAGGGTTCAACAAGTTGGGCGTTGATCCACCTGGTCAAGGTGTGGAGAATGATGCTAAAGTGCATAAGGATGTGGAACGGTCGGGAAGTGGACGATGACATTGAGCATGAAAATGGGGAGGGGGGGGGGGGGGATGTTGCAGGAAAAGAAAGGATGGTTGGAATGGATGGATGAACATTGCATCATAACATTTTTTTGCATCTGACAATTCTCTTGCATATGCATGACTGTCTTGATTGCTCTGTGCTATGCTGTGTCTTTCCTGGTGGATGCGATACACGTATCGTTGGCTTGGACATGTGGTTCTGTGGTTGAGTATACCCAGTTGCAGTTGGCAGTTGCCAGTTGCCAGTTGTGCGTGACTTAGAGACGGGATCAAATATCGGAACATGCAAGACGGAAATCGTCGGTGCTCCGTGACCGTTGACCGTCATCGTCGCCTCTCAACACACTTTACTTACAACATCTTTATCAATCACATTATCCATACTTCACTCTCTTCTCTTTCTTATAAACCTTTCATCTAAATCTTTTAACTGATCGTCATCAACAAAATGTTATCACGTACATCCCTCGTAAGTGTCTTTTCTTACTAACATCCGTTTCATTCCGATCAGGAAGGGTGTTTACTGACAATATCCTCCAGTCCCCTCTTCTCCGACAACAAAGATACATCTCTAGAAATATATCAAGATCCACTTTTAGAGGTTTAGCAACACAAAGTGAACCTTATGATATTGTCGTCATTGGTGGTGGACCAGGTGGGTATATAGCTGCTGTTAAAGCTTCTCAATTGGGTTATAAGGTGGGTCATGGCACTTTTCTTCTTCTTTCTATCTACTTCTTTTATCTACTTCTTATCTACTTCTTATCTGCTTCTTATCTACTTCTCCAATTTACTTCGGAATTCTTTATCTTGGTCGTGGTCTCTAATCTACTTCTCACTATTGTCTATTGGTCGTAGTCATTTCTCTACTTTTCACTTCTGTCTATTGGTCGTAGTCTCTTCTGCTGCTGCTTTAAACTAAAATCCTTCACTTCGCTAATCTACTTCGGACTTCTTTCTATTGTTCGTAGTTTCTTCTGCATCTGCTTTCAGTAAAATTTCGAATTCTCTATACTTGGAAGAAAGGTCCGTGTCTATCGTCAGGAGGAGTGGTGGTACATGATTTTGATTTTGATGAGTCAATCACTTGAGTGGTGTCCAACGACGTTGTGACACGAATGTACGTGATATCAGATGATTTGTTGGATGCCCGAATCAATAAGCTTGATTGTGTGAGAGAGCAAACTTTTGATGGATTACAATGTGGTAGAGAATGTCACTGATGTAAAGACCGCTTGTATCGAGAAACGTGGGGCTTTAGGTGGGACATGTCTCAATGTTGGATGTATCCCTTCCAAGGCCATGTGAGTTTCGTTCTCTCCCCATGTGTCTTACAGTCTTTCTCGATCCATCACCCAGTCCCTCTCAATATTCCTTAGACTCGCCCGGTCTACATGCATGTGTTTCACATCCATTCCTTACCAGTTCCCTTCAATATTTCTCCACTCGCCGGATCTACACGATTTCAAGTCAGTAGACAAAAGGTCATTCGGCGAGCGAGTCTTTCACCGAGATGAGATCACTACCTGAGACCACCGCTCACCCACCTCAGGCTCAACAACTCTCACATCTACCACATGCTCCAACACGATGTCAAAAAACGTGGTATAGACGTCTCCGGTGTTGAACTGAACCTCAAACAAATGTTAGCTGCCAAAGACGCATCAGTAAAATCTCTTACTGGCGGTGTCGAAACCTATCTATTCAAAAAATACCCTGTGGATTATATCAAAGGCGAGGCCTCTTTCGTTTCCCCCTCCCAACTCAAAGTCGCTCTCAATGATGGAGGTGAGACTCAAGTGGAGGCAAAGAACGTCATCATCGCCACTGGATCAGAAGTCACCCCATTCCCCGGTATCGAAATTGATGAAAAACGTATAGTGTCAAGTACCGGTGCTTTAGAGTTACAAGAGGTTCCAAAGAGAATGGTCGTCATTGGAGGTGGTATCATTGGTCTCGAACTTGGATCAGTATGGTCTCGATTAGGTGCGGAAGTAACCGTGGTGGAATTCCTCGGTGCAGTCGGAGCGGGTATGGACGGTGAGGTCGGGTAAGCTTAACTTGATTCCCATAAAGGAGATGAAAGCTGAAGCACGTAGTAAGGCTTTCCAAAAGATACTGCAAAAACAAGGACTCAAGTTCAAACTCAACACGAAAGTCGTCAGTGCCGAACGTGAAGGAGAGGTAGTCAAGCTCAAAGTGGACGCTGCAAAGGGTGGTAAAGAGGAGACTGTGAGTACTTTCAAACCGACATGTTGTAAAATGACTGATGATGTCAGTTAGAAGCAGATGTCGTGCTTGTCGCTATTGGTCGTCGACCGGTTACCAAAGGTCTCAATCTCGAAACCATCGGAGTGGAAATGGATAAAAGAGGGAGAATCATCATCGACGATCAATTCAACACTTCTGCCAAAGGCGTAAAGTGTATTGGGGATGTGACTTTTGGACCTATGTTGGCACACAAAGCTGAAGAGGAGGGTGAGTCGAAGTTTTTCAAACTTCTTGCTCATGAGACACAACCCTAATTTCAGGTATCGCCGCCATAGAAATGATCAAGACTGGCCACGGTCACGTAAATTACGACGCCATCCCATCTGTCGTTTACACCCACCCCGAAGTCGCTTGGGTGGGTAAGAACGAGGAAGAGTTGAAACAAGCTGGAGTCAAGTATAAAGTTGGCAAATACCCTTTTGCGGCCAACTCACGTGCGAAGACTAACCAAGATATGGAGTGAGTCATTTTGGTCTCTTCAACGAACATGTGCTGATGACTCTAGTGGGTTTGTCAAATTTGTGCGTACTTTATATACATCTGATATCAGTTAATTCTTTAGATCGTGGAGAAAGACACTGATCGGGTACTCGGAGTTCACATTATCGGTGAGTTACACGTTATCATTTACCTCGGAAGTTGTAGAGCTGAGATTTCAGGTCCTAATGCAGGAGAAATGATTCATTCTGCTACGATGGCTATTGAATATTCAGCTTCTGCTGAAGATATCGCTCGGACGTGTACAGCTCACCCTACTTTGTCAGAAGGTGAGTAATCCACATTGTCTGTCTCATGTCGTCACAACTCCTTCGTCTCTCATCGTTCATGACTTATTGGGTGTATAAGAGACATGCTGACTTTGCAGCATTCAAAGAAGCCGCCATGGCGAGTTATGATAAACCTCTCAACTTTTAGTTTGGGTTTACGTCAATGCATTCCTGTCATTCCACAACATCACCGCCATCTGGCCATTGCGCAGATTCCTTCATGGACAGCTTTCCGAGTACGCAGGCTGTGGACCAGTCGGAGCAACAGACGATCCAACCGTGAGACCAACGGACGATTCAGCAGTGGTGCAGACAGGCAAGGGTGCATCAGACGACCCATCAGTCGTGTCATCGGACGATTCAAGCGCCTCAACACGCAAGTATTTTGCCCATCCCTCCGGTTGGAAATGTAGATCCTCATCTGGCCAAATAGGTCCGTGGTAGCTCCACGGAACAGACTCCGGCACCCCAGTCTCAAGCGTGCAGACCTTGGGCCCACCATGCATTGTCTCAAAGGGTATCTTGTGTTCGAGCGCCAAGTTGACCACATAGTTTCGGAAGTCATCCTGGCTTGCTCCCGGTCCCTGGGCCGCTTCCAACGAGTTCCCGGCTGCTTCAAGGAATGAGCGGACCTCGTTGATCACATCTGGCTCCTTCATGTGGAAAACTTGACTCTGTAAATTTCTCCTAAGCTTCTTAAATGTTGCTGCTTGAGGTGGGACGTTGGGCCACACTGCAAGCATATTATTCGGTTCCAGCTCAGCATGATAAGTTCTGGCGCCTTCCTCGGCATCGGCAAGTTGTTCATGACGGCCCAGGTAACTGTATTCTGCCAAGCAAACAAGCACTCTCTTGGCAGAGTACCACAACTGTGTCCTTTCCATTGACATGTTGTCCGCTTCATCTTGTGACGTTGATGTAGACATTTTCGATAAGAAAGTACTAGGTAAAGTAAATGAAAGAGTGATGGACTGATGGAGAATCAAGTTGAAAAACTTGGTTCTTATACTTACAAGCTCCAACTTCTTTCTTACACTGCTTTCAATTCAACCTCTTTCTACCCTCCTCCTTCCCTCTTCCCCTTTCTCCTTTATGATGCGGACATCGTCATCGTCCGATCCGTTGTGAAGCTAGCACCGCCATTCGAACCCCTCTGAAATACGTTCACGTATCACTCGGTCGATCCCTTGTCATCCTGCTTTTTTCAAGTTTGTTCTGGTCTTATGCTTGATGTTGAGTCACTAGTACTTGTTGGCCGACCTGTCAACTTGACAGACCCGTCTCCTGCCTCTCATACCGACTCTGTGGACCCGTGGAACCGTGGACCCGTGGCCCCGTGGATTCTCTTCCTCTCGTTTCTCTCTCTCACACACACTTTTCACTTCAGAATAGCGTCTCGTCGCTCTCCCCCCCCCCTCCTCCCCCTTTATCGTCTCGGTTCGACCCTGCGGACTTTCCCCACACCCCAAGTGGTTTGTCTCCACGTGATTCATCTCGAGGGTAAAATATCTGATTATAAGTACTCAAGTAGTAGATTTCCCTTCTCCTCATACCAACTCTAGATTCATTCAACAACTTCACTTACACCGCTTACACTTCTTCCTCGAGTGATTAGGCCCGCTACTTCACTACGAGCTCCTGACCGTAACTCATTGATCAACATTCGACCCACGAAAAATGGCTCTTCGCGTTTCCACCTTGAACCGTTCTTACATCTACGATCTACGAGGTTACCTCTAGGACGTTGTCGACTACCCGGATCCTAACACTACTACGACCAAGTACATATACTTGCTCATTTTACTGTGAACCTTTATTAATTTAACATACCGTCAGAGGGTGGGTTTCTCTCCTGATTCGCTCATATTGCTACGAGTACTCGTACTGTTCTATCACTCATGGATCACGATAACTAACCTCTTTGAGGTGTACATATGAGAGACGTGCTGATTACGTAGACTCGCTAGTTTCGGTTCACGTCAATGCATCCCCTGTCATCACCTGCCATGCTCACCACAACACGTTCATCACCCACTCTCTGGCAATTTCCATCCTCATTGTTCAACGCTGTAAAATATTCACACAATCAATTTTACGACTCCTGCGTGTGTTGCTGGTCGTGACCGTCATTGCCCTCAGAGTCTTCATTGGAAACCGCTCTTGGGGAGTCGGTGGAGTCGGTGGTGTCGGTGGTGTCGGTCAATTGCGTCTGGATCGTGTTGTCTGTGTCATCAACTAGCAAGTTCTCCTCCGGTGGCTCGTGCTCCGTGCCCAACACTTTCAGCTCAACCCCGTATTCGGTCGCCAAGTCAATTATAAACCTCCTCGAGGTATGTTTGTCAGCCATCAGTGAGTCCAAGAAGGAGGATAAAGTTCTGTTTATCCACCCCTCTGCAATGCTCTTGTGATGTTCAGGAGCGCTATTGGATACACGCTCCCACTCATCACGAGCCGCTTGCCAGCGGACGAAATACTCAGCACTCGCACTATCGAGGCCAAACCAACGTGCCCTGTGACGAAGTTCGGCGATCAGACACACATACTTCCTGGCACCTTCCATCAGATCCTGTCCATTTGACGACATGATTCGCGAGTTGTAAACGTTCGATTATTGGTACAGTACAAGTCTCGCGGAAATGCGGGTTGAAGTGTAGGGTCGTGTGAAATACAGGTGAGTAAGCTAGTTATGCCCGAAGTCAAGACCCAGATTTCATACGTACGTTTTCTCCAATCGAGCTCACCTTTCTTCTCAACTCCCCTTTCAATGGGAGATTGTTTTATGCTCCTCCTTCCCTCTTCCCCTTCCTCCTGTATCATGCGGAAATCATCGTCTAATCCGTGTGATTCCAGCACCGCCTCTCAAACCCCTCTCTTTTCGATCCCTTGTCATCCTGCTTTTTTCAAAGTTTGTTCTAGTCTCAAGCTTGATGTTGAGTCCTTCCCTTCTTCTAATACAAACTCTAGATTCATCCAACATCTCCGCTTACACCGCTTACGATTCTTCCTTCTTGCCCCTGGAAGGGAGATACACATTTCGTCGAGAGCATGTACAAGCCTGGTACACGCGACCACCTTTCGTTCGAGTACGACTCATTAGGCTTACCTGATCCACTGTACGGGCCTATCTCTCAACACACTCTGACGAGTATCCACTGCCCAGATTTCAACACGACTTACTTACCTCAATCTATTGTCAACTTATCCACTTTCTTCCGGGACACATAATGTCAGAGGGTGAGTGACTTTATCGATTCGCTTGTTGTGCTACTTACTATCCTATCAGTCTTGGTTCAGAGTAAGTACCCTGTGGAGTGTACATATGAGAGACGTGCTGATTCTGCAGACTTGCTGGTTTTGTTTTAAGACAATGCATACCCTGTCCTGTCATCATCTAGCATGCCCACCACGACTGGTCCATCAAGCAGACTCGTTTTGTCTTTCATCTTCACCTTCTTCATCTATTTGCCCCTCATTTAAAATTCCCAACAACCACTGTCGTCTCTCATCGGCATTCTGGGAGTCTGTCGTTTCCACATCGGGCTCGGTTACTTGCGCCTGGGATCCCCTGAAGAATCCAATGACGCATCATCCTGATCTAACTTTTGAAGCAAAACTCCATTATCTCCCGCCAACTTTATCACAAAATCGAAGAACTTTTTCTCATCGTTTCTCTTACGGTGCATCAATTGGTGAGTTCTATTCAAGTATTCTTTCGTCCGTGCTCTTGCACTCCAATCAGCAGTAGAATACAGAGTATCAAGTTTCCCTTTAGCCGCTTGAATCTCTTCTTCGAATGGACGGACTTGAATAATCTCATCAGGGTTTCCGTTTGGATTCTCTAATTACCCCATGGTCCAGTCATCTTTGTGATCAGTCATACCTGGATATGTCTCCAGGTACATGGATTCAGCAACGAGACACATCCATTCGGCGGCAGCGTCTGTCAATTCCTGTGTGTCCGTTGACATGATCTGTGACTGAAACTTTGATGCTTGACGATAGTACTCATCAAGTATCGTGGAAATGCGAGGTACAATCGATGATGAGTAGTAGTTGACGGAGTATCAAGTGGAGATCTTGGTTTATATGTGAGCTTTCTACTTTGCTCTCTCTTCTCCCTTCGCTCTTTTCAGAACCCTCTCGGTTGTTGTCACGTCACTCGAATAATCCTTTGTTATTCTTACACCGCTTTCAATCATTTCAATCTCCTGCCTGGATCATAGTCGTCCTCGTCCACCTCCCCTCGTAAGATCATCCCCCGTCGCGCTCACCGTTCCGTGAGCCAATTCCTGCGTTAACTTAGCCTCAGTCAGACAAATTCTCTCTACACTTTTATGCTTCCTTGACTTTTCCAAATCCAAAAAGTCATGTGCAACTAGAACTACAACTGCAACAAATACTGTCATCTCCCGTCCGCTTCAACATCAACCGGCCGCGTCATCACGTACAGCATACACGTACAACCTACCTCTCCTCGTCGTTCAACCCCAGAAGAGAATCCGGAATTGTCTCATGGCCAGGCTCTTCGACCGGTGCAAATCCGGCCTTCCCGCCCTCCTCATCATCTGCATCCTCCGTTCCTTGCTCATGGATCTCCGCCGCGTCCTGTAAGCGTTTGATCTCATCCCACTGGTCAGGCAATCCGTCTACGTACTCCTGGAATGCAGATTTGTTCTTGTTCCATGTCTCCTCCAATCCCACCATGACCTCGTCTATCTCGTCTTGTATCTCACCAAAGTTTCCTTTATTCAATGGAGAACATTGAGTATTCAACCTCAATATGGCAGTTGTCAACTCCTCGGGTGGCGAGTCACCAAGAGGAGGTTTCACTGTGACACTTTTGTCCTCCAAGAAAGAGATCTGATATGGGGTTGTTAATGACTCATAATCCTCCACACTTTTCTTTCCCAACCTTTTGGAGAACTTCATGAACTGCATCCAATGAGATCGCTGACATATTTGTACGATCAGGTTTTTCACGGGTGGATGACGACGGGTTTTTAGTTGCCCTGTCGTAGCTGGGTTGACTAGAAGATACTGATCGAGTGTGAAAATAAAAGGTAAAGGGATAGTAGCCGGGGTGTGTGTATCTGATTGTACTAGAGTTAGAACTGTATAAGATGGAAGAAGATTAGAAAGTTGATATTCAACCTGAAGAATGAGGACCCATCCTCTGTGACTTTGAGGGTATTGATGCACCCCCAACCCAAAAGTACCATCCACCCGCGATATCAATCCCCGCCGCCTTCCATGATGAATTTCCCACTTGGGCAACTATCATAACTATCTCATCTTCTCAGGAGTCTACGCCAAACCTCTCCCTTCTTTTCCATGACCTCAGAACAAAAGTTTCCCATGCTAATAAGTGAGTTGCCTGATTGACACCATGATGTCATACGTTTCCTCCACCAGACGAGCCCGTCTTCCTTCTTACACTGCCTTCCAGTTCATCGTGATCGTTCATCCTCTCCCCTTCCCCCTTCCTCTTCCAATATGCGGACATCCTCAATTCTCATCCCTTGTGAGACAAGTACTGCCTCTTAGAACCCTGTGAGATATTCTCTCACCTCTCTTAGACGTTCCCTTGTCATTCATACACTGCTTTTCTCTTTGAACTTGCTTTCCTTCCCCCCCCCTCTTCCTCTGCCTCTTCCCTCTCACTCCATAGGCGTCGTCATAGCACCATTTCCTCTGCGCTTCCACACCGCTTTGTCTCACACTTCCCACGTTCTCAAATATCTCGGCAAAGGGATCTTGTCAAACACCGGAGTCGCATGCGATGCTAGAAAATTTCTCACATAGATTCAATCCCCTCCCCCACCCTCCCCACGATGACATAATCGATCACTTCTTGCCTTTCTTCTTTGCACCGCCCTTCTCTTCCCCTTTACGTTTACCCTTTACATCCCCACCCTTCGCTCCGTCGTCTTTAGGTTTGACCGTGAAGAAACCGTCGAGTCGACCTTGTTGCTTGGCAGCTAACATCTTTGCTAGTTTGGCCGCTCCTGCTCTCACCCTGTCCTCGCTGTGTGTTAGCGACGCTGTTCGATATTATCGACTGATCCGTTCTCCGCCTACCCATCTCACCCAATGTTGGGATAAGAAGGGATAAGAATCGGTTGGTGTGTAAATGAATTTGAGCAGAGGGAGAAGACGAGACAAGAGGGTCACATGAGGGGAGAGGTTACTGTAGGTGATGAATAGACTCACTTGAATCCCTTGTCACGACAGAGGAACTGTACCAATCCCTCCACATCCGGGGCTTTCCAATCCAACTGTCATCATCAGCTCTTGGAATGGAGGTAAAGCAAGTGATATTCTCCACGACAAGAAAGCAGAATCGAAGACTGAACGGAGGATGAACTGTATGATGGAGAGAATGTAGCGAAATCACTCACCTCAAGCTCATCCCCCTTGACAACATCAGGTTGTTGAAATAATCTCTTCGCTTCTTCCCAAGGCCAATACTCTGGTATTTGCATACCAGCACTAGTGACTTTTGTTTTCTTCTTCTTCTTCGGCGTCTGACTTTTCTTCGGACTACTGATGACTTCTTCCCCATCAGAGTTCATTCTGACGTTCCCATGTCCTTCTTCACTCTCGATATCTGATACGTCACTCAACTGTGAATTGACATGTGCGTTTTCTTCTGCTTTCTCGGCCATTTTACCTCGGACAAAGGACACGACAGCAGCAAGGGATCCGTGTTCTCTGAGAAGCTTCAGAGCGGTTTTGGGACCTATACCTTTACATGGTTCGAGGTAGTCGCAGCCTAGTAAGATGCACAATTCGATGAACTGAGATGAGCGTTTGCAACAGCATGATGAGAACACAGCAGCCGGCGTCGGACCATAGGGTATGGGGGTATCACAAATAAGGCAGTGATTGAACAAATCCCTCAGCGGTGGTGTCCATTCAAAGAGGAAGAAGCTTGAAGAATAAGACAATGAGATAGGGAGGTATAATCTCGGGACAAGGGGAAAGTCAACCGGACTATTGGCTTGGGGGAAGGTGAGAGAGCGTAAGGGGGGGATGAAGCAAAACACTGACCTGATCCATGGTCATCCCCAATTCCTCCAAGACTATATTAAGATGTATTTCCGATATTGGCATCTTTTTCGCTTCACTGAAAGTCAAGTGGCGTAGTAATATAGGAGTGGAGAATGTGAGAGTGTCCATGTCTTCGCTACCGGCAGCGTAGACCTGTTTGTGAGTTTTTGAATCTCTCTTGGTTGGCACCTGTATCTTCTGGCACTGGGCTCACACACGCGGCCCAAAAGATATCGCTCATGGGTCTTCAAGCGCACTACACGACGTTCATCACCACTCGCACGTTGCTTCTCAAACTACCAAACGACCGACCCCTCGTCAGAATTACAACCATCATGAACTAAAGAGTGCGAAATGAGTCGAAAGGGAGAAAATAAACAAATGACCCACCTTGCCTGCTCTGGCCAACTCGGCACACTGTGCCTCTGCCTCTCCCGGAGCCTAAAACTCAGTTCATTACTTAGAACGAACAACAGACCACTCACAGTCACAACGGGTATCCCCATGAGAGCCAATAACTTTTTACATTCTTCATTATGTTCTCGAGTCACTCGGACTTGTCTTCGAGCGAGTTTATCAATATCTTCTACCGTACCTGATCATCAGCACTATTCTTGCTATCCATTTGTCATCCATAATCGAACCCAATTTCCTTTCGTCCATCACACTTTGCCTCCCTTGAAAGATTCTTCTACATCACTCGACCAGTCAAACGTGAGTAAAAGAGAAAAAGCTGAGCTTTGGGAAATGCCAGACAGAGAAGGATCACTTACCAGTCTCCTTAGCTTCTTCTTCTCCTTCCTTAGCCTCTTCTCTTCTGGCGAAACGTTTAGCCAGCTAACAGTTAGCGTGATTCCAACGATATATATATATGAAACTAAAGGAGAGAAGAAGAAACACCATAGGAAGAGACGGGGGAAGGAAGGTAGAGAAACCAATACATGAAAAAAGGAGAGAAGGCGAGTATTAAAGGAGGGAAGAAACTCACCACACCACCTTTCAACTCTGGAGGTTTTCCATCGAATATATAACAAGGTTTTATACCTTGATCCACCATCCTGATCGTACGATAGAAAAACCCCATAAGGTGTCTGAATCGTGAGCAAAGTGTTCGAAGAAACATCTTCCATCATTCCTCTGTCATTGACGTTTCATTGGGTTTTGGCAGAATTGGATTCGCGTTTTAGTTGGTAATAGAGATGATGAGGAGTGCAAAGGGTAGTATCGTGAGATAACCGGGAGAAGATAAGTGTTGGAGATATGACGCATTACAAGAGAAGGGGGAAGATGAAAGGGAAAGGAGGAAGAATAACTCACGAAGTAACATCACCAGATTCATTCATCAACATTTGACCATCTTGTTGTCTTACAGCAATTAGGAATTGGTATATTGACCTGATGTGTGAGGTTCATATCCTTTTGTCACCTTGCATTTGCCTGGTGTGATGGGATCAAAGAGAATACGTGGTATGGAGTGGACGACTGTTCATAGATTGTAAGTCTTGAGAGAGAGAGAGAAGGAGTGTGAGAGGACATTGAGAGTTCAAGAGCAGAAGACGAGTGATGATGAGAAGAGTCAAGGAATAGAGGAGAAAAGAAGAGGGACAGAAGGAGGGGGAGTGGAGGAGGGAGCTTGAAGAAGAAGGAAAAGAGAAAGAGGGGAGTGAGAAGAGATAGAAGTAAACTTACATAGAAGCGTCAATAGCGACTTTCCTACCGAATAACTTTTACCCGTCAACTGGTTTTTCCATGATGTATAAAAGAAACAATGCAGAAACATACAGTCTTCATCTCATGATCTTTCATAGCTCTTGGAGCGTTCTCCGATATGAGAGCTGTGAGTCCTGGAAGTTAGTCCACAAGCTTGTCTGTTTCGCCAAACTTCCTTGCTCTCATCCTCATGCGATCGTACCCCCCTCAGTCCTGCACTGAGGACTGGGATGTATGTGATACTGAAGAGTGAGCAATCTGACAGACCTTTTATACCCATCTTTACAGTTTATGCTTATTCCTGGTTTGACTCAAGTGCAATGAAAGCGATAGAGAGGAGGAAGGAGTGTAGAAGGTGGTCAAGTCAGAATTGAGATCTTTTCATCATTTTGGGACAAAGATTGACGCGACTTTTCTTCAAAATCGATCGGACGCGTAACGAGAATTCAACTCGGAACACACTTTCTTTGCATCTCATCTCATACGATTTCAACTGATAACTACTCTTACTCTACTTATTACTCTTACTGCTACTTAACCATCAAGCGGCAATCCCACTGAAATCGTCAGCTCAATAGCCTTCCAGAGGGGGCGAGGTAGCTCACATGACACCGCAGGCAGCGCGACCACCAGCGTTTCCAGTAACAAGCGAGTCTGCATGACCTCCTTTACCGAGATCATCCACGCCGGCGTGCACGACGACGGTACGACCGATGATGGATTCCCCGCCGAACAACGAAATCACTTTGTCTGTAATGGGCGTTAGCTCTCCTTTTCTTTTTCAACATAACCACGGTGTACATGACGATATGAGAGGAAGTCAAAGTGCTGAGATGGGGTACTCAAGCATTCAACGATATGGACAGAAGAGGAGCAATATAGATAATAAGACGGGAGAAGATGAAACCAGTAAACAGTAGAAGAAGAAAGAGACACACCAGAGATCTTGATGGTAGCAGTTCCCTGTGCGTCCGTCTTGACGTTTCCTCTCCATCAGCATCCTTTATTATCCACTCTTACTGACGAAACGTGACGGAAGATGTACAGTACTCTTCAACTCACCAAGATCACCGACATGCCTCTCGGAATCTGTAGGAGCACCGTGGGTCTTACCATGAGGGTTGTAATGAGGTCCAGCGGAAGTACATCCGTTGGTGTTATCCCCGAATTGGCTGAAGGTCAGCTTCAAATTCGAGCAACACATAGCTGGACCACTCACTGAATGTGGAAACCCCTTTCGGCGTTGGCGTCGAGGTTTTTGATCTGGGATCAGTGTGACTCATTCTTCTCATAAACACATTTCTCCAAATGTCTCTCATATCGTCGCGTCCTGTAGCCAACACCTCCGAAACTTGGGACGATGGTCATTCACCTCACTCCACTTATTTCGGCCTATTGAGCTAGGATTTGAAGTTTCCTTCTCAAAGTTGCGACTCCTTTGATCACTCGATACAACCACGACTCCATTCCCATAGCCTATACGCTCCTGGTGGAAGAACGATCAATGTGAATCCCCAGCGAAGCCAACACAACTTTCCTAGCCCCCTAAACTCCGATCTCTGCACTAATTGGACTGATGACAGGACAGAAGATACTAGATGACTGAAAGTCACTCAACAAAAACCACGAAAAATGAAGGATGGCACGATACGAAGGATCAAGTCGGTTGATATGATATGATATAAACTCAATTGGGTGAAAAAATCAAAGAGAAGAAAGATAAAGAGAAAGTCACCAACCTCGCCAGAAACTTCAACAGGACCACCTTCTTTTTCCTGAGTAAAGGTGATAGTTCCAATAACGGAAGAATCTCCTTTAAGAACAGCTACTGCCTATATATATCAGTATTCTTCGATGTACACTAGTTCATTTTTCTCTATGGGTAACATGCTGTTGACAACGACTAATTTGTGACGGATAAGAGAAGAGTAAGGTGAGAAGCATAGGTCGGACCCCCACGAATGACTTAAGACTCATGAATTACTAAGGAGCACCAGGACAAAGAAGGTTCCTCTGAAGTAGGATATTCTGATAGATGAAGAGTTGGAAGTTGAAAAGAAGGTAGATGAGAAGGATGACCGGATATGTCCGGGGACCTTGACAAGTGAAATGACGGAGTTGTACCGTAGTGTAAAAGATATGGGTGAAATGGAGTGAGAGTAGAGACTCACTTTGACCATTGTATATGTATTGACTTTGTATTTGTATTTGATTTTTCAGTTATATAGCAGAAAAGAGAAAGAAAAGTGGAGGGACGAGGCAAATTGAGTAAGAAGCTGAGGCCTTTATCTGAGAAACGTCATCGGGTATCACGGAAGCTTCCGGGTTTATCGCCGATGTTCTGTCTCAATGTGGCACCTTTCCCTGGTATCGAATGTATGATGAGTTGATGACTAAGGATATGATCATGTTTTACCATTCTGCTACCCGCGTGCCGGATGCTACGTGTACAGTATCGTTGTTCTCAGACGATAATGGCAAGCATGTCAACTTAACTCATGTTGTATCCTTTTTACTAAATGCTAACGTTTCAATATATATGTGATGATGTCTCATGTCCCACCCACCTCTCAACCATCAACTTCATCACACACCCACTCGACAATTATCCAAAGCGAAGATCAAAACATCTTCCGCACCAACAGCTTCTAACCTATCCATAACACTTGCAACCTCTTTTCTCTCCACCATAGCACTAACGGCCACCCAACCTTCTTCATCCAATGGACTAACAGTCGCAGCTCTCCTACCTGGTGTTATACGTAACGCATCCGGTAATTTGGTACGCAAGATATTATAAGATGCGTAAACGTATCGTTTTGCAGCTATGACACCTGCGAAACGAGATTTCACCATTGGTATCAGTGGTGATAATTGTGGAGTTAGGGAAGGGTGAGGGGATCGGGATGTTATTAATACCGCTTCGGATGTTAAAAGTGTATGAATGGGATGAAGACCTGCTGCTCTCATCGTATCGCCCGATTCTGCCGTCAGCGACGATCCACATGTTCATGGCATTCTCGAAGGTAATACTTCTGATGGCAAAAGAGATGAAGAGGACATACCGACTAAATCAACTGTATGTCAGCTTTGAACATCATGTCAATAGTCATTGTCCAGCTAAAAATTATGCATGAGAAGACATATCTGTTTGAAGAAGTGAAAGGTAGAATTACGCTGGTGTAGGACGAAGAGTAGTACCCGTATGTCGGGAGAGGATGTACCAAATGGGTAGGAGAGAAAGCAAAAGCAAAACTCACCAATCCCATCTGCCATACCTAAAGCACAAGCGGCTTCTACGCTACCTCCAACATATTCAATCTTTGTCCTTTCTCCACCTTCCAACTGTTGATCATCATCCACTTTACCGAAAAACTCTCCAGCGAGAACTTCGAAAGACGTTGCTATTCTTCCACCCGCCAATTGTTCCACAGTCTGAACGGGACCATTAATAGGGACTTGAACTTGTAATGAACATTTTCCAAAACCTAATGGTAAGAGTTCGGTTATACTTCCTGAATGAGTAGATTCGGCTATAACATCTTGACCTGTTATTCCTAGAGCCACTGAACCAAGGGCTACGAAACGTGGAATGTCGGAAGCGGGTAGGAAGACGCTGAATGTTAGTTTTGTACTTTGGTCACAAGACAAATGAGTATCTATTCAGCGTTACCCATAATATCCATGAGGCGGAAGTGAGGTTTCAAGTTGAGGATGTAGAAAATTTCAGGTAGAGCGTTGTGGACTTACATGGCAATGGGATGGTTTTGAACTAAAGCGACATCTAATCGATGTGCACGATTATATTTTATATCGGCTCCTATACATGAGCAATCTTTTCAAACTTACTCATCTTAGTCATCTTCTATGTCAAAATATCATCTGCCCTCAAAACTACTCATCTCATCTGCCTTACCTCGTATCTCACGCAGTATGGACCAAAGCGCAAAAGTTCACGCACGTTCCTTCAATCCCACGACCCGTCACTTATTTCACGTCAAAGTGACAATGAAGCTCAAGAAGACAAATGAGTACAATTAAAGACAAAACGTACCAGCTAACAACTCTAAACATTTCTCATACAACCTTCCTTTTTTAGGAACAGCGAATAATAACCTATCTTTCAAACTCTCCATCAAAGCCGGCATAGTGTCCGCTCCAAACGTCGACCTATTGGCCCTGGCGCTGGGAGGAGCAAGAGGAGGGAGTGTTATAGTTGAAGATGACATGTTTTGAAGGAGTACGGGAGTATGAGGGTGACTGCCGGTATCGTTAACGGACATTTGTTGTGTGTGTGGTCCTTTATTGAAAAGAAAGATGAAATTCCGAAAATTCCTTTCGATTTTGATTGTGTTGATCCAAAATAACTCTTCGATGAATGGAAGAGGACTTCTATATGTTCAGTGTTCACGAACTGAAGTACGTCTCCTTGTATTTATGATGATAGAAGATACGGCTGAGAAAAGCTGTGAATGCCAGGAGAAGAGGTTGATAGTCTATGATTTATGACTTCAGCATGGAGAAACTATGGAAAAGTCGAAATTTCAATCGGGACGCGCCTAATTGTACAGTACACCCCTCACTTTCAAGCACACCAAATGGGTCGAAATAGGCGTGCAACAATGTCAGACAGACAAACCACCCTTTTGTGTGTGCAAGTCATGTCAAAGTAAATCTGTCGTCATCAACCATAACGCTATACTTTCTCTATACAACTTGTCTTGTCAACACTATCATCAATCTTATCTTACACACCGTCCTTTTCTTCACGGTTCTGAGATTTCTCTAGTTTACCCGGACATATCCGTGAGTTCTTTACATCCCGTGCCTCTTCTTTCAACGACTGACCTCAGAACTCTCATCGATATTCTCTCTAACCACTCTTCACTATCCTACATACGCTCGAGTAACTCCACGAACTCTCTTGTTAATCAACACAAGAGTAATTCACAAAACTGGGTTATTTCTCTTGATCAGTCTTGAGGAAAAGAGTAAAAAAATGACTAAACGTAAGTCTTCATTCCACTTTACATTCCACCGTTCACTCACTTTCCAGCTAACTCGAACCGTCTTTCTATCCCTCTTTTCCCTTCTTCTAACCCTTCCCCACGTATTTCTCATACACCTTCAAGCTCTTTATCACTCCCTGGAATTACTCCTTCCACCCCAACGACAAAAATGGGAACATCAGACAAGCCCGACAAACCGGAGAAGATTGAAAAATTGGAACGTCCTACCAAACCTCGATCAGATTCATTAATGTCTACTCGACCTGCTCCACCATCACCAGCTTCAAGACCTTCTTCTCGTCCACCTTCACAAATATACTCTCCTCATGTGAGTAGAGATAGATCGGGTTCGACCGGATCGAGAGTTTTAAGAAGAGTTTCAGGTGCTTCTAGGAGAAGATCAACTTTGTCAAATAGTATCGAACCTTCTTCTAATCCCATTCCTCCCACCACGACAAAAACCATCAACACTACTTCTGGAGAAGAGAATGTCGCTTCTACATCTGAAAATCGAATGTCTGTTGGACCTTTAAAAATCGGGGAAAGATCGACTGGTTCTATACCTGAGTTAACTGAAAAGTCCGAAACTCGACCTGAACAACCATCATCATCAACACTTACAGTAGACGTGACTTCGGGGGAGTCGGTAAAGATAATGAAACAAGGAGAGGAAACGAAAGGTGGGATTGGAGAAAAAGATAAACAAGTTGAAAAAGGTAAACAAGTTGAAAAAGAAGAAATCCGATTCAAAATCATTATAAAAGATTACGCCTATCCAACATCTGATAATCGTCATTATGGTATTTATCCTTTACCACCACCACCATCACGTGAATCACGTCAATCATTAGGAGGTTGGAGATTCCCAAACCCACTTTCTTCACCAAACAAAGAAGGTGATAAAAAATCTTGGAGTGGATTCGGTCTTTTAAATTGGAAAGGATTTAGAAGATCTTCTTCTTCCAACGAAAATTCACCTGATCCAAATTCAAACGATGATGAACAATTCGATGAAAGTATACATCATTTCGACGAGAATGGTAATGTTATAAATTTTGATGGATATGATTCAAACGGACAAGTAAACCTAGGAGGTGATGATGATGATGATTTTGAAATAAATAATACATTAGATGATGAAGGTTATTCTTTTTCTGATGGTGAAGAATTAGAAGAACCTTTTGGTTTATATAAAGCAATGTACGATTTCGTCCCTGAAGGTCCACATGAAATAGGTATGAAAGAAGGTGATTTGATGGATGTTAGAGGATGGGGTGGTGGTGAAGGTTGGGTGGTAGTCGTTATTAAAGAAAATGAGAATGAAGAGGAAAAAACAGGTTTGGTACCTGCTGGGTTTATCGAGAAAGTCGAAGAAAGGACAAAAACTCCGAGTGAAATGGGTAGTGGGGAAGGGTTGGTTGATGATCAAGGTGGTGTGATGATAAATGAGGAGGAGGAAAGAAAGAAATGATAAGACACACTAGTTGAACATGTACGTTTTAACCCCAGGGGTAAAGTTATAGGATGAGAAGGATTATTATTCCGTTTGGATTTGAGATATGGAATATGGGATACTGGATGTGGGATTTGAGATAGGGGACTTGAGATATGGGATGTGGGATATGGGATAAAGTTATTTGAACATGAAACGTTTCGTTCTCAACATTGTAAGGTCTATTATGTTCATAGGATATTAACGTAACTTTTGTACTCAACATGTGATTTATGTGAATTTCTATAAATACTAAGATCATTAACAGTTTACTTAATTAAGAATGACTTCCCGTAAGTGAAGGTTTGACGATGGAGGAGGTTTACTGTTGCATATCCTCCCTTTATCTGTCGTAGTTCAAAGAGGAGAAAAGATGTTGTTGAGGATTTACATTACCCTTTCTAAATTGATAAACTTTATTAAGAGGAGAACCTTTCCTCAGAGTCTTGAGATATAAAAAGAATAAGCAGCGAGTATGAAGTAATGAGGAAAAGTGAGCAAGTGGGTAAGTGGGTAAGTGGGTGGATTCATATGAGAAGATGCATTTTGGAGAATTGATGATGTTTTGATCTACTATATTTTCTTTCACCATAAACCACCTCTCTCCCTCTCAAAATTTAATCCCAACTTGACCATGGTCCGGTTCATAGATCTTCGACACTCAACACTCAACACTCAACACTCGACATTCGTCACTCAAAACTCGTCACTCAACACTCTTCACTCGACAGTCTATATGAACTGATGGATCAGTCCTTCTCTCTACCCCAAGTCGTACCGGATTCTACACCTTGAGATGATTGTGACCAAGGTAATCCCCCTGGATAAACTCTAACGTTTATCTTGTTCTCCTTGATAATTCCCATCTCATCGACTTCCAATCCCAATTTCCCATCTTTTCCATGCCATCTACCCGACCCAGCTTCCCTATCCGCCCCACCCAATCCACCAAACCCATCCAATCCATCCAAATCACCCAGCCCACCCAACCCACCCAACTCAAAATCCTCATCAGGAGGGCACCACTCCAATAAACCTCTCAATTCCGGACAAGAAACATGATAACCATGATATTTTATCCAAGGATTTCTATTAATCTTCTTCAATATCAAAGGATCATGACAACCTGTTGGATCTTTTAAAAAAGGTAAAAAACCAAATTTCCATTCTCCCTCATAATGTTTTCTAACATCACCTGAATCGTCAATCCCGACATAATCGAAATTTTCCAATGGGAAACCTATGGTCGCTCTATGAAGATTAACAAAACGGAAAGATTTCATACCGTATCCCACGACTGTTATTCTTTCAGGATAATTCGTTGTTATTTCATGAAAACGAGATATACTGAATAAAAGATTTTGATATGAATCTAATGCGTATTCTTCTGTTGTTGTTCTTGCGCTTAGAGGGAGGATGGAAGGATGCGATGATGTTGTTGGGATTAAATTGAGAGATGAAGCTAGTAGATAGTATGATAGGGATTCGGAAAGTGGAGGTGAGGGGGAAGGACGGGTTGCACCTCTGTCAAATGGTCAGTTGGGGTTTCTTATTCACATGTCTGGTGGAGTGACGAAGAAGAGGAAGAAGAAGAAGAAGTGGAAGGGGAGCAAGAGAAAGAGGAAGACGAAGCGAACATCATATAACCTTAAGATTGAGAATCGCCCATTCCGAATCATCATGAGTCTACACTCTAATCAAAAACCAATTATCAATTCATGAAAGGAATATGGAGGACTTATTCTTGAGACATAATAAGAAATCATAAAAAGACATCACTCTACTCACCCGGAAAAAACCAATAAAGATTTCTCATCCACCTTCATCCTTTCCACCCCTTCTTTCAAATGTTTCAAAAAAGTTTTCACACTACCACCTTTTTGCATATCTTGTAATATCCATTCATCATCATTTTCAATCTTATCAACATCATTGCCGATCCAAATAGCATGTCCAGGTACAATGATCAAATGATTTAATTTCTTTAATCGTTCATCTCTTTCGATAGTTGTTTCTATACTGAGTGGAGTGTTTTGGTTCAATTGTTCTAAAGTTGTTGACCATGTCCAATTTGATTTCATCCATTTTTTCAATTTATATGAAGGTAAGGATAAAAGATTCGATAATGACCAAGGATGAGATGATGGGTTATTCGAGGAATATAATGGTGATGATGATGAGGAGTAAGAAAAAGGAGAAGGAGAAGGATTCGGGTATGTTGAGGAAGAATGGGAGATGTATAGGATAATGTTAAGTAATAATGATGATGAAAGAATAATGAGGATTATGAAAATAGCAAGATTGGTAAGTCTTGTTCTTGTTCTTAATTGTGATATTAATGAAGGGAAATATCTATTTTCTCTTCTGTATAAAGGGAGCATGGTAGCATGAGGGAAGTTTTGAAGGTGTTTATAAATTATTTCTTTGAGTGAAAGTATGATTGAGATTGAGATCGAAATTGAAATTGTCGGTACACTAGAGTACTCGTAAGTGGATGAGGTTTGAATACTTGGGAAAGTGTCGTAGATCTTAGAAAGTAGATCGTGTGGATGATATTCTTGGTAAGATGACATAAGAGTAGGTCTAGGTCAAGGATTTTAGATGATCCGATGGTGATCAACTGATGAAGATCAAAAGAGAGAGAAATGGGAAATTTGTTGATGAAGACCTTCTTCATATCAGTTGATATATATGACATATAATCTTTGGTAGTGAAACTGTAAGCCTACCTAATGAATCATCATGCTTGATTGATGGCATGAGTCGTATAGGAAGAACATTCACGATGTCCGTTTCACTTGTGTAAGTTACTGAATACAGTTTGAAGGAAGTTGTCGTTTGGGCTTTGGTTTTTTTCTGGCGATTGACAGTTGACAGTTGATAGTTGACGGTTGACGGTTGACAGTCGTACGCGGATGAAGGATCAAGAGAGGATGTGAGCAAGCTCAAATGAGGCAGAGAGATTGAGGAAGAATGGCAAAAAATGAGTAGGTTGACAAGAGTAACGAGGGAGATTCACAGTAGAATCCTGATCGTTGTCGCAGATGAAGATTTGAGATCGATCCAGAGTATTGTCTTGGCAGGTAGATAGGTGGGTAGGTAAGGTTAAGTTAAGTGGTGATTTGCAATGGTACAAGATGATGAGATTTAACTTACAAATTACAAAAGTAATGTTGATCGGTCCCCTGAGAAATTCCTACAAGTTCGGAGAGAGAACAAGTTGTATCAGAGGCCATGGATCCATACAGGTGTCACAGTACTTTACCGAGAGGGGGTTTGGTTGAGGTGAATCAGACTTACAGGTACCGAATGGATGGGGAGAAGGAAGATTCTGTCGCGATCAAAAGGAGGTGATCGTGATCAGGTGGTAAATACATTCAGATAATTCTTAAACAAGACAGTTGTTAATTTAGTCACGTCTCCTTTTGGTCCGTGTTCAATCTTCCACTTTGGAAAAAACAGTAAACATTCGCTATTTTGTCTCGCAAGTATACATCTAGTATTCTCGCGTAGTCTTTTCTAAGTTTTCAATAAAAAACTAATCGTACATTTCCCCTTGATCTATGTCCGAGTTCAAATCTCCCATACCTCCATACCTCCATACCTCAATACCTTCTACCTGCAGACATTCCTAATCCTCCATATCCCCACACACCTGAACCTCCTACCTCCTTCTCTTTCTCTCCTACTCCATGTCCCGGTCCAACCATATCTTACACAAACCGTCTCTTTCGAACTCCACCATATCTGACACGACCCTCCATCATACCTTACACGTCCCTCCACGATACCTTACACATCCCTCCACAATAACCCACCACACAAAAATATCTCACACATCGCACCACTCTACAGCGTCCAAAGATCCTATCACTAGGCTCGCCATCTGTCGATGGTCCGCGGGATGGATGAGGCGGCCGGGGGTGGTGTCGAACTAAAAATCGAAAATCGAGGGGGGACGTACGGACGAAATTTGAAATCGAGAATGACGCGACTTGAAGAACGAGTCATATTGGAAAAGGGGGAAAAGTGAAAACAGTAGAGGGTGATATATGTGATGAGTTTGGGAAAAATGGAAGTTTGTATGTGAAGAAAAGAATTTGAACGACCTTGTGTATTCGTCATACCCTTTGTTCATACTTTTCCGAAGGAAAAGTCAATATTTTATCTTCCAAAAACATGCCCAAAAAATGGGCGTAGCGGCATTTTGGAGATTTTTTTTTATTTCGAACGTGGTATGAAGAATATAAAATGTGATCGATTAAGTAGAATTTTGGTTTGTTTGTTTTGAGGAGCGAAAAGCTAAATCCTCTTATTTATTTTTGTTTTGTTTTGGTTTCCCACGTGTCGGATTGAGAACGTCTTTGACTCCTACCTTGAGCTCTTGCAGTTGAAGGAGCAACACCATGTTTTTTAGCTTCCGCCAAAGGACCATCTGAATGGATACCTTGACGATGACGTTCTAAATCGTGTAATCGACTAAAACCTCTTTTACAACTTGAATGAGGACAAGTATGAGGTTTAGGACGTAAAGGATTATGAGTTTGTACATGAGATTTCAAATTGAAAGCTCTTGCAAAACCTCGACCGCAGATGGTACATTTATGTCGTTTTTTAGGATCATCAGGTGTTTGACCAGGTACGTAACCTCTACCACCACCATGAAGGTTTGTCAATCCGATTGAAGGTATAGTAGGTTTATGTTCGACAAGACTTTCATCATGAGATAATTCTTCTTCTCCTTCATCCATTCCTTCTTCTGTTTCATCTTCAACATCACCACTGACGGAATTGATGATTTCGTTTTGTTCTTCAATCTGTTGTGGAAGAGGAAGATTGGTTGGGAGTGTTACAACTTCACGTAATTGAGAAGATATCTGAAGAGGAGTAGAAGGTATGGAATTTGGTATAGTTGACATTGGGATAGGAATAGACATCGATTGTGTCTGTCCTGTAGGAGGTTGTTGGATCCAACTATTTTCAAAAGAAGTTTGAACGGGTGTAGTATAGAAACTAGACATTGATAGAGATCTAGCACGTTCGAAAGCGTCTGCATGAGCTTGCATGTGAGCTTGTGCCTGGGCTCTAGCTTGTGCTTGTGCTTGGATCATGTTGGGTTGAGAAGGGAAAGACATCGAATTCCAATTCGGTACGGATTGTTGATAATAAACGGGAGTAGGTTGAGTAGGGAAGGATGACATGATGATGTTTCCATTTCCATTCTCATTTCCATTTCCATTTTTGTAAATCGGTGTATTGATGTTGGGTTGAATATGAGGATGATTCAGATGATGCTCCCCTTGCATGCTCCCTGGAACAAAGGACGAATAGAATTCTTGGTCTTTAATACTTTGATCGGCTAGGGTTTTGTAATGTAAATAACGTAGAAGATGATGTTCGCTCAACTTTTCCGCTGCTGCAATCTCAACTTTGGGTATGGGATCGATAGATGATGTGAGGGAGGTATCGAAGGAAGTATCAGAGGAAAAGGATGAGTTTAAATTGATTGGTATAGTGGTATCGAAGGATGTTCTAGGAGATACGACGGGATTTGATTCAGGTGAAGAGATTGTAAACGATAGAGAATGATCGTCGTCGATGGAAGAAGAATGTGTGAAGGTATCAAAATCGAACCCGTCGATATGATCAATGTCGAATGCTTCAGAAGTTATGGAAGGGGGAGGAGAAGGAAAGGGAAAGACAGAATTGGATTTGTCGAGGATGGAAGAATAGAGGATGGCGGATGACATGGGGGGAGAAGGGGATTGTTTGGGTGAGAAGGTGGAATAAAGGTGATTTGATCCAGTGAAACGAGGTATATATTTATTGGTGTTTGAATCAAAGTGAGAGGAGAAGAGGATATAGGAGTGTTGCTATGTGCTGAAAATAAACCATTCGTTGTTGAAAGGAATAAAAAGGGAAGAGGTGGTGGTGGTGGGTTTAAAGGGCGGTAAGGTTGTGAGGGCAAACGGGGGAGGAGGGAGAAACGGCGAAAAACGTCAAGGGGGGGGGGGGGGAAGGGGCGGTGTGAGACTTGCCCATTTGGGAAATTATCATAACCGTGACGTCGCGGTGCGAGTGTGGCACTTTTTCACCTCCCTCTTGCGCAGCGTGGCGTTCCTTCCCTTTCCCCTTCAAAGTCAGGCGACGTTCCACTTACCCGTCAGGCCGTGTTATATGACTGCGACCCCATGCATCATATTTCATGCACCATGCACTTGCTCCCCATCTCTCTTGCCTATCCTACGAACATGGCACTGGTAAGAGACTCGGAGTACAGAGAGGATGTCAGTAGACTAAATCACGTGATACGTCAGACGCGCTTGCTTTTGTCGCGTCGCCACTGACTTTTCCTGCCGTAAGTACCGCACCCATCTCTACTCCTTCTGACCAAGCTCTAATAGTGTGTAATCTGAACAATGAAAAGAGCGACATGTTCGAAAGACAATTCACCCCCACTACTCCTATCCCAAATAAGAACAAAAACACAATAGATTTATCAGATGGGATACTCAACCTTTTCACTTCGACCAAAAATCCTAACCTTCCCAGACCTTCTCGACCGGATTTACCACTTTCCCAACATTCTCTATCTCTCCATGAAGGTTTCCATCGAGATTGTCTACTCAACTCCCATCTGGACCAATCTTCTTCACCTGACAATGCTATTGTTCACAACACAAAAGTCGACATAGCTCCACCTTCTAGCTCTCGCTCATTAGAGGTGGACAATGAGATCGGGGACATTCCTTCTTCCATACGACGGAGATCTACCCGTCTATTTCCCTCATCTTCAAAAGGGAAACTTAGCCTAGTTTTGGCAGAAGAAAAGACTGTTTCTTCTCCACGAAATCTAACGAATGATACATCACCACATCTGAATTCCGACCAGTCATTGACCACAAATGGTCCTACTAAACTCAACACCTTTTCTTCAGCGTCAGATACTGCAGATATCTTATCCCACATTTCCGATCCTGTAGTCCACTCGAACCCACAAGTCACATTATCCGACCTCTTCCTTCCTACCCAAGAGTCGACAAGAACTGGACAAGTAGACGAAATGGATGTGGATGAATTCGCAGGGATATCTGAACCTGATTTACTCGAGGATCAAGATCAAGATTGGATCTGGGAAAAAAGTGACAAAATCAGTGAGTTCCTCTCATATTTCACTCTCTCTACAATATCAATCCTTTATACAATGTTCGAATAAATGTATCAATACCATGAAACTGATAGATAGACTCATCATCCAAACAAATACCATCAACAATAGAATCAAACCTTCCTCTCACACCTCCTTCTCCTTCATCTCATATCTATTCTTCACCCGTTATAGTCACTTCTAAAAGATCTTCTGAAACCATGTCTTCTCCCGTACTTCCACCTCCCAAGAAATCGAAAATCGCAAACTTACAGGATGATTCTGGAAGAAACGAAAGAATCCCAGAAAGGGAATTATACTCTATCTTCGAGAAATCTCCATATGACCTCAAGGAACGATCGGATCAAGCTGGGCCTTCTAAGTCTTTCAGGAGATGTGGTAGGACGAATTCTGAAATGGTGTTGTCTTCAGATGACGAATCTATCGATTCTTGCGAATTTTTTAAATCGCCTTCGGGTTCAAGTTCGATTATTCAGATTGACCGTGGGGTGTCTGATTTGAGGAAGAGATGGAAGACAAAGTCGGACGAGGAGAGATCAGTGGGGAAAAGACGAAAGATGTTGGTGTCGGGCGAGGAGGAGGATTTCGGAGAGAGTGGACGGGGGATAGTATTGTCAGATGATGAAGTAGGGGAGGACAATGGGGAAAATGTCGGGTTTGAAGTGGTATCTCCAGAAATCGCCTTGTCAAAGATACGCAGATTCAACTTTGAACCCAAGCTCGGTGTAGATACAGAAAAGGAACGAGTAGGTGTAGGCAAAGAAAAGGAACGAGTAGGTGTAGGCAAAGAAAAGGAACGAGTAGGTGTAGATACAGAAAGGGAACGAGTCGGTGTAGGCAAAGAAAAGGAACGAAACGGAATAGGCGAATCAAGGGAGAGGATCAAAGTGAATGAAATACATGAAGAAAAAGAACAGATCGAATTAGATGAAGAAGAGTTCGATTTCGATCCTTTCCCTTTCCCTCTTTTCGACCAGACCATCCTATCATCTCCTTTCCAAGCCGTACCACAACCTGATGACTCTCAATTACCCTCAAAGCAAACTTCTGGAGACGAAACAACTTTTCTTATTTCTAAAGAGACTCAAAATGATAAACCTAAACCCACTTTGGAGGATTTGTTCAAAGATGATTCACCATCTTCTCATCATACAAATCATTCCGCGGAAACATCTTCATATGTTACTAAAACACCAATAAGCCATCATCTTCCAGTTCATTCAGCCGAATCATCTTCATTTTCTACAAAAACACCTATAAGCGATCATCTTCCAGTTCGTTCCGCCGAATCATCTTCATTTTCTACAAAAACACCAATAAGCCATCATCTTCCATATAAACGAAAGGGATTGGAAGATTCTTCATGTTCCACAAGAACAACTCCAATCACTTCTCATCTTCCTTATGCAAACGTGAGAGGAATGGAAGATTCTTCACGTTCTATAGGAAACATAACCATCCCCTATGATGTTTTGAATCAAGAACGAAAAGAAGAACAAAAAGGAAGAGGAAAGGAAAGAGAAATGGGTGGGGGCAGAGGGATGGAAGGAGAAAGAGAAATAGAAATAGAAAGAGGTAAAATAGGAAGAATGGAAGTAGAAGACACAAATGGAAGTTTCAGATTGATTTCCGAATTATCTTCAAAAGAACAAGAATTCTACATGTTTCATTGGCGTAGAGGAGCAGAACGTATGGTTTCTACTATTGATGATGGAGGTGTTGAAGAGTTAGAGAATATAGCTAAAAAGGTTGGAATCAGTGGGAGGGGTGGTGCTTCCTTAGCAAGAGGAAGTAGTAGAGGTGGAGGGGGTAGTAGAGGTGGAAGAGGTGGGAAGAGAGGTTGGTTCGGTAGGACTAGAGGTAAGAAAACAAGAGGGAGAGGAAAGACTAAAACTTGATTTTCCCTCACATTCCAACTCATCCATTTCAACCCATTCACCCCATTCAACTCATCCAACTCAACCCATTCAACTCATCCAATCCAACCCTTTCAACTCATCCAATCCAACCCATTCAACTTACCTATCCATATGATCCAGATTCTACATCATGTATACTTGGATATGACATTTCGACCGAACGGAAATGAAAGAGTCCACGGTCAATACTAAGGAAACATGACTACGAGTAGAGTTATCATGTTCAACATTGACGTAGAGTGTAGGATTGCGTGCATTAGAAGTTCGTTCATTATAAATCGTATACAATGTACATCATGTCACATGTCAAAAAATCATTTCAAGTTACATACAGTACAAAATCAAATCCACCGATCCCCGAAACACACAGTTGTTTTTTCTTTTTTCCTTTCGATTGAAATTAAGTACAAGTACGTATGATATATAACCCTTGAGTGATACTGGTTATAATACACTATGGACTACTCATCCAACACACCAGCCAACTTTAAAGCATCTTTAGCAACTTGATTAATCCTTTTAAACCTATCTGCTCCAAGAAGGATACCACCGTACCATCTAGTGACTACCACTAAAACATTTTCAACTTCTAACATGTCGAGTAAATGAGCTAATCTACTACCTGCACCATTCTCTCCGTCATCGTGATTATCTACTTGTCAGTATTTCTTCAATTGTCTTTTCTCAAGCCAACACGAGCCTACTCTATAGTATCGCTCTTATGATACGCAAGGACTTCCATCTTTAAGTCTTTCAATTACCCGCCGTAGAATAAGGTTTCTGGAGAGACGCCCAGTCATTCACCATGCAACGATATAAATTACTTTCACACCCATAGGGAGTAGTTGAAGTAGAAAGGAATGATGTGTTAGAGGATTGGAGAGGGTAGATGATGAAAGATAACGATGACCCCGGACTCACCAGCAATCACAACTTTTCCCGCCAAACCTCCAACATCCTTACTTATCCTATAAGCGAAAATACAAGGATGTGTAGCTTTCGCAATCTTCCTATCGCTTAATAATTCATGTATTACCAAAGGTACTTCCCTCTCATCAGTCACTTTAACCGCGTGACCCACAAAAACACTTTTCCTATCTGTTATTGATTCACTAGTAAAGATCTCTAATCCTGTAGTGACTTCTTGTCCCAATTCCATTGCGTTTTTCATTTTATTCACCGCATCTGGCGTTTTAACTCCAGTAGAGGTTTTATGAGTGTAAGAGAATATAGTTCGTGGTAATGGTCGTAAATCTAGATGTCCAACACCAGGTATAGGTCTGGCTGTAGTTTGAGGTTTTTCACGTTTATCTATTTTCGCAGATGTGACATTGTCAGATTTGATTGAAGATTGGGTGATGTCATGTATGGCAGGAGAAGATTCGATGGTGGATGAAATTTGATGATCTCTTTGTCGTTGACGTTCTGTTTCTGCGGAAGCGATGGAGGAAAGATGATCGAGATACCATTTTCGTGCTAGGGATTGAACATGAGTGAGACCTTCGAAAACACATACATCACCAGGTTCGAATGTGACGCCGGTGGAAGAAAGGTAGGTTCGAGTGACAAGACCAACTAATATGTCAGTGAGCAGTGACAATGACAGATAACCTTCCCAAGTCTGGTCTGTCGGAAGGTAGCGACAAGACCCCGAAAAAGTCAAGCCAACTTACCTCAAAGATGGATCAAGATGTAAGGATAATCGAGTAAATAAATGATGTAAGGAGGGAAAGACAAGGGAGCAAAAGCGGACCAATTCGATTATTTGTCGGAGTTTGAAGGTTGGAAAGAAACCGTAGATCAAGTAGTATGGGAAGAAAAAAACTCACAGAAAGCTGAATCTATGGGAAAACTACCTAAATACCTTCCTAGTAATTGTAATTGAGGTGGAGATGTCATAGGATACGTAGGTGGTAAACTGACTAATATCCTCATGAGAGGAGCCACAAGATCGTTTAAATTTTCAGGAGCATCACCTTCATCCCATAATGGTAAATGAATTTCGTATCTTATTCTTTGACCTGATGTCAGACCGAACTCTGAATCAAAGACAGCTTCATCCCAAGCATGTCTCATCGGTGTCTTTGCTTCTTCATCGTATGACATATTTACAGATTTGGTCCGATCATGTCCTTTATTTCCACTTGGGGAGTGAGAGCTGGGAATGGGTGGGGGTAAAGGGATTTGGTTAGGAGTTGGAGGTGTGTTAGGTCTTGAAGCGGCTGAAAGACGGATATTTCCAGGTGAATAGATTGATAAGAGAGCTTCGAGTTCGTATCCTATCGCACCTAGACGAGGGTCGATGTCGGCGTATTTGATTTGGATTAGGTGGTCAATGAACTGCCGATCAGTGATATGAAACTTTTGGTGTGAGAGACATAGAGAGGCTCAAAAAGGATGAAAAGAGAGGACGAAGAAGGTGGAAGAGAAAAAGAGATAAATAACAGGGCGGGAATGACGACTGACTCGTTGAAGTATATCCTCAGGGGTCATAGATTCCAAGATGGGGCTTTTAGATCCAGAGCCCGAAGGTGTCCCTATGGCAGGTGGGGATTCGTGGGAAGACGAATTCGGGATTATACTTGATGAGGCAACATCATCTGGGGTAGATAGCTTCTTGTCCTGTAGTAAACCATGATCAGGCTGGGCGAGGGTCATAATGAACGAGGCGGAGTATAAAGTCAAGAGTAAGGTAAGTTAAGAGCATCGGTACTGGGTTAAGAACTCAGACTTGGCATCGATCGATTGAATAGGCGTGTAAGTCAAAGGGGCTGGGCCAAGAAGACACATTCACACGCCTATTTCTTAAGTGAAAGCTGGATCGAGTGGGGAAAGTGGGGAAGGGGGGAACGATTTCCACATTGAAATGTCATCCAAATCGGTTCATTTGGTAGTCCTCATACATGGTCTATGGGGTGAGTACTACGGTAACCTATCATCACCCATTAGAATGCTGAAACATAGGAAACCCTTTACATCTCTCTGCTGCGAAAGCGGAATTAGAAGATGCTTGGTCTCACCGTCACATCTCCGAGGAGATGTCTGGGAGGATACCGGAAATGAAGGGGAACGATGTAGATGGTCAGGAAGGAGAGAACGAGATGATTATACTCATACCGGAGGGCATGACTTCTCAATTGACTTATGATGGGATTGACGTTTGTGCCAGTCGGGTGTTGTATGAAGTGAGTTTTCTTATTTCAGAACACGTGCTAGGAAACACCTTAAATCCAACTTATCCGTTGAATACCTGTAGTTACTCTATGTAAATGATTTGGCTGATCCGTAGGTAGATCGTGAGGTTGACAGGATCGAAAAGAGTGGGAAGATCATTCGACAATTTAGCGTTGTTCGTTTATCCCTCAAGAGTGTTGGTGAGAGCTTACATCAGACTGGATACTCACTTGGAGGTCGTCAGTCTTTCTTTTCACTCTTTTGCAACCCAGACTGATCACACACATAGTCGTAGCTCGGTATCTTGTAGGATTGTTACATTCTCGTAGTCCTTCGTTCTTCGAAGGTAAAGAGACAGTATCATTCTCTACCATCGCTACTCCTGTAAGCTTTCTCTATCCCATTATATACTGTACATATGATCCTGAACTGACTTCACCAGCACTTGGGTGTTCCGCGCTACAGTCCGTCTATCCGTTGACCCAATTGTCATCCTCTGATAATAGATACTTTTCTCTCTACCTCTCTGGTGTGGTTAGGTGCTCGATTACTATCACGTTCAGGGGAACAACTATACGTATCAGACAAATACTCCCCTGAAGATCCAAGACCATTATTGGAAATCATGGCTGATCCAAGTACGTTTCCCTCTCATATATCTTATCAACTTGTATCCCTGATTTTTCTTGACAAACACGATTAATGTACAGATTTGGTATTTATACAAGCTTTGAAGAAATTCAAAACCATACAGATCTTCGCAAATGGGTATGTTCAGCTTTTCCTCTGAAAAATAAAGTTAAAGGAAAGTATCAATGATCATACTGTTCCTTATCCATCCGCCGCGATTGAACTTACCGATCCTTTCACTTCTTGGGAAACACTGGATGTGACGGTGGATGAGAATGGCTTGTTGCGGTCTTGGGAGTATGGAAGCGATACAAAAGGTTTGAAAAGAGAGGGTGGGTGGAGAAGACGTTTAGGAAGTTTACCACCGGTATTCAAATTTGGTTTTCCGTATAATTACGTGAGTGAACAGAGGTAGGGATAAAATTGATGATGATTAGTTGATATTGGTCCTGTTTCCTGTGATGTTCCCTTTGGTGTTCATACTACTGTGAGTGTCTCAACATCTTTTCTACAGCCTTCTCATTCACCGCCACCAGATCCACAAACAAGCAAATCTCATCGTGATGTCGTCGTGGGCTTCATTCACGAATACCTAGCAAGCTCTGTAGTACGAGAAGAGGAAAAGAATGATGAATCAACGGGACTTACAGGACCAAGTTGAAATGTGGGGAGAGTCCAGGGTCAATACAGAAGATAAGGAGTGTGACCCCTGGAAGATTGCTAATTTTCAGGGTGATCCGATTATCTTTAGACACCCGGAAATCGTGAGAACCCCCCTCTCCCCTTTCCAACCCAACTGATAGCAGCCGACGGCGTCTTCAACTCCTAGCTAATCCTCTTACAACCGGAAGTGTGAAAGAAACAGATTCAGGTCTATCTATCGAACATCTTCGCAACATAGTCCGACGAGTAGAAAGAAGTATAGAATCCGAATTGATAGATGTGGCAGAAGATGATATTCCCTCTACATCTGTACATCCCTTTCAACCCAGTATTCAACCAGATGAAGATGTTGAAACTCAAGTTACGTCTCTAGAAGAAAACTCACCCGAGTTCATTCCTTCTCATCCGGACAACGGACGGGACGATACCATCATTCGATCCACTAATTCTGAGAAAGGGGAGTACGGACTAAGACGTCGAATCCCAAGTATGGAGAAAATAGAAACTCCCGATCATGTAGAGCGGGACGAGATCAGGGAGAATGAAGTGAAAGTAAAATTCAAAGATTCTCAAATCAGAATGATCAATTGGTTAAATTCTCTACCTTTGAAAAAATACGTTACATGGTTTTCACAAGTTGGGAATTCTCATGCTGTTATAGTTGTAAGGTGAGTTGACCTTTGTTCTTCCTCAGATCTCAATCATATTCATTCTTGCACATATCTTCCCATTTGGACAATACTTTGTATCATACGTATGTGTCATTCCATACGTCTCGACTTCCCACTCTTCTACTATCTTATTCAATCTTTGACATCCCAATACAGATTCATATCTTCCCGGTGGTACGTTGTTCCTCATATCACCATTCCCTCGTTTCTTCGGCTCATTTTGATGTGAAGTCGATGGGCGAGGTCAAATACAGTGAAGAGATTGGGTAATTGATATAAATAGAGATCCAACACGTTTTCCGATACATGAACTTGGTAGACCCATCTTACGAATTTGGGCTAAAGGTATAATTCATCCTTCTACCTCTTCCCCTGTCCAGTCAAACGGTTCATATACATCTTCATAAACATCCAGCATCAGAGATGTGCATTCTCTTAAATAGTAACGAACATTGTCATGTTGTTTTGTACGGTGATCCATACATGCACATATGTATGTTCCAAAAATATCATACATGCACATATGTATATTTCAAATACAAAGAAGACAAATAGTTTCACTCATATCACCACACAAAAATCTCAAGGTACTAGCTACATGGCTATAGGTAGAAGAAACAAAATACAAAATATGATCTATTGAGCATGAAGCATACGGTCAAGACCGAAGTCCGAAGTACAAAATGTCATATCAAGGGAAAAGATCGTCATGAGACATTTGAAATGACAAAAAAACAAAGTAACTTACTACTTGAGTCAAATAACACATGAAAACATAAACGCTTCAAACGTTGAACGTTGATACCGTCGTGTAAAATTCACTTTTCTCGTCCCCATTTCATACGAGCTTCCGCCACTGTTTCTCAACTACCAACCGAACGGCAAGAATAGTCAGACTTACTCATGTTACGTGATTCTTGTGTCAACTCGGCTGAAGAGATTTGACTGGGTTGGTTAAGGACTTGCTGGAAATCTATTGTTTAGCTTATAACCGTCAAAACCAATACCCCTTTTTATTCAGTTTCTTCAGTGTGATGAAGGCTGAACGGGAAGTGGTCAATGTTCTAAAATAAGGAGTAGGATGGAAAAAAAAACGAGACATGACATGTGGTACAGGGGCGGCAGATATGATATGTAGGAACAGGTGTAGGTGGCGATCATGGAGGAGGTTTATCTGTGAGGAAGATGACAGAGGTGTTGAAATAAAGAAGGATTTACTTCTAACTGGGGTTATATCACCTTTATTCCTCGTACACTATTTCATCAGCCTGTCCTTTTCGTGAAGATATCCCTCATTTGACTGGTCTTCGATCTCTAACATCACCTCGCTTCAGGGGGACATACAGTACAGAGTGCTAGGAGAATTTGATTAGGCACAAGATGAAGTACGAGTACAACTAATACGGATCGAGAGTGGAGAGTCACATTGATGGAGATAAGGAGGACTCACCATCCCGTAAGGCGAAGTTCTGAGCGATACACTTCCTGTGAAGCTCTCCTCCTCGTAGAACCTAGACCGTCCTGAAGTACGAGATGAGATGTCTGGCGTGAGGAACGAGGGATATGAATGACGATTAGGAGTGAGTTGTAATGAAGAACGATCCGTCGAGGTCATTCGAATAGATGAGGATGTTCTTTTGGTCAAGGAAAGAGGAGAAGAATGTCGGATAGGTTTTGTCATGTTGAGAGGTGAAGAATGTCCAATTCGTTTGTTGAGTAAAAGGGAAGAATCAGCATCACCTTTCCCTTTCCCTTTCCCTTTCTCTTTTGTAAAATGATCAGTGGACATCAGAGGAGTAGTAGGTTTGTATGGAGGAGTAGGAGACATATCTGAGAAATGTATTGGTGAAGGTGAAGATTGTCTTATTGGTTGATATCTTCCAGAAGGGATGAACGAAGGTGGAGTTTGGACAACGTGATGTTTCCTTTCAAGCCTGTCTTTCATCTCCCAGCCTCTTCTCTCTTCATTCCTCTCAATATGTCTCAGTTTCTCATCCTTCTCACCAGTCATGATTACCCCGGAGAAAGACTCATTATTACCAAGCCAATCTCTTTCATTCGCCATCTCGGACTTCACATGATCCACCACCCTGGAATCTTGATCATTACGAGTACTGTGTGTGGGAATGTTATCGACAAAACGATAATTCTGTCCTAGTGAAATAGGTCGAGCTAATCCTCTGATTGGAAGAGGTAATTTTGATGGAGAGGGAGTATAAGGAGAAGAGTGATTAGATATATCGTATTTATCTTCGTCCTTCAAGGGAGTCAATGGAGACGTTTCTGAAACATTTACCAATCTGACTTTTCTATCAATGTCAGTTACTTCTTTCGGAGTGACAGGCACGTCTCTGTCCCATGATCTGACATCTCTCTGAGAAGAGAGATGGCGATTAGCAGAGATGGGAACATTCGGTGAAGAGGTGAGATCGGTTTCGGATGTTGAAGAGGTATTTTTATATTTTTTGACAGAAAGTGGACTAGAGATCGAAGGGCGGACGTTAGGTGGATAGGTCGTACTAGAAGGTCGTTGTTTGGTTGATTTAGACACTTCGGATTTTACGGTAGAAGGAGGACCGAAGTACCAAGCAGACATGACTTCTTCAAACATTTCTTTCACTTCATCTTGATCGTTACTCTTTTCCAGATCGTCTTGATCATACTTCTTACCCATATGGGCGTCTTCATATTTATCACTCTTTTGCTCCTGTACTAACTTCTTCTCCTTATCTTCCACCTTACGTGGGTTACTCAAGGCGTCCTCATCTGTTCTCGTTGCGTTGTCCGGAAATTGTTTTTGCCCTGGCCGAGGAAGCTTTCTTGGGGTTAAACAGAGAGGTGCAGTCTGACCCGAGTGAATAGAAGATCGATTGGGTTTCTCAATGTCTACCATCAGCTTCGTAGCAAAAGTATAACTTCGAGACATACCTTTCTCAGGGCGTACAAGGACACTTTGTGTGGTTCGCGAAGGAATGTTTGAGTCATGTAAGGTGGGGACCGGTTTTCTTCTCCCTTTCATCACATCATAAGGATAGATACTTCTGGTTCCTCCCACCGAGGTTGGCATATTGAATGATGAGGAAGGTCCTTCTTTTGACAAAGTGATATCCGACGAGACAGAGACATGTCCTACTCGTTGTGATTTGAACAAAGGCGACGAAGTAGGAAAACTTGAAACAGGTGGAAATCGTGATAATCCTGATACCGGTTTCTTATCCGATTCATTCGTATTCGGTGCAGAGGGAAGAGGTCTTCTCGGAGGGAGAGAAGGAGGAGTAGAAGTATTTTCAGAATTAGGTGTAGTAGGTTGAACAATCCTTAATTCTACTTTTGTCGAAGTAATTTTTGATTCTGATAATGAAAGAAGACGTATCATATCATCTACTGAACCTGAATATTCGACTATTTTCTTAGCTGAAAGAGCTCGACGTGGTGATTTCCCTTTTCCATCTTGTCTTTCCCCTCCTTGATCATCCTTTACAGCTTCTCTGTGGAATCTTTCATCCGATCCTCGAGAGTTGGAAGGAGGATTCATCAATGATTGTCTGTCGAATCGAGGTTTCGAAGATGAAGAACGTTTCTGCCATATATTGGAAGTTTCATGCTCTATCATAATCTCTTCTTTCTCTCTTCTCCAACGAGGAGATTTAGGTGGTAAAGGTGGTCCTGAAACTTTCCGAAAATGTGCTAATTGTGATTGTGATAATTCATGTAATGGATGTGGTTTCGAAGGTCTTCTCAAGCCATGATAATCAGAATGGTCGTTTCGAATTTGTGTCGATGGTCTACCATTGGAGATGTTTATCTCCGAAGGAAATCGATGAATGCTATAAGTATGTTCGGACGTGAGAGAGTAACGTCCATCTTGACTTTCATACTTTCTAGACCAGGAAGTCTCATCTTGAGGGGTATTTGACGAAGTGGTAGTTTTATCATTGGTGGTGGTTTCATGAAGATGTTTTCGCCTGGATAACAAACTTCTGAGTCTTGATAAAGAGGATCGCTTTGGATCTGGGCTTGTAGATGTGAGAGACATGACATGAGTGAGTGGGTGGGTGAGGGTGTAAAGGCTATAGACAGAGATGAAGGTGGTGATAGGGGAGTAGTGCACCAGTTGGGTGTGATCGGGTGGACACGGCATGTGGAGGTGATCGAATCTAACTTACTCAAAGTATGTACGTATGTCACCCTCAACATACTACTCTTACATCCCTTTCTATCTCACATCTCTCCAATGTAATTCATCTCCCCACCTCATGTACAAGTATCGAATCAACGTGTGACTGACTCGACAGAGGAGCCGACATTCGACATTCGACATTCGACATTCAACATTCAACGAAACCAACATGTTCTCTCCAAATAGAACACTCTACTCTCTATCGATCACTCACAAGTTGTTGTCTTCACACATGAGGTACGCCCACGCAGCCAGGGCGTCCAGTTCGGATGGAGAATTCAGTCAAGCTGGGAGTTCCCGAATGGGTGAATATAGGTTTCCGATAAAAGGAAGAAATGGTGGACCTCCGGATCCTTATGAGGTTTTAGGATTGGGCAGGGGTGCAGATGAGGGAGAAGTGAAAAGACGATGTAAGTGTCTTGTTTTGTTTTGTTTTTCTTTCTTCTCTTGACCTCTCCCATAGATTCTTGGTCTGATCCTCATTTTCTGAAACATTCCTAATCTCTTCAGCCAACTACCTCAAAGAAGAGGAGTAATTTGGGTGTATCGAAAAGAGGAGACGACTTCAAGAAATGACAGGAAGAAGGCAACAAGATATCTCGATCCCAGTCTGACTAAATTCACACAACATCGTCCTCAGTTGATCGTGTACAGCTGATCAAACAAGACTACACCTTGGCTCGTCTAATCCATCCAGACTCTTTTCACCCTTCTTCTTCCACTGAACATTTCGCAACCCTTCACAGAGCTTACACTCTTCTTTCCAATCCATCCACTCGGAATATATACCTTCAAACAGGATACGGTTGGTCTCATTCTTCTCATCAACCCACCGAATCTTGGTCAGACGCTCAGATGAGAGCAGAAATACGAAGGAGAAAACATGCCGGTACGGCAGCATGGGGTCATCATCAACATCGACATCAACATCAACATTATCCACATGGAGGTCATTATCATGAATGGGATGGGGGATGGTATACACCTGAAAGAGGTGAAGGGGAGGAAAGGTTTATGAGTAATGGAAAGTTTTTAGCTTTGACAGCTGGTGTGGTGAGTGTTTTCTTTTGATCGAACATTACAATCTTCCGCTTCGAAATTCACCCTGCAAGGATCAATTGTTCTTGCCGAACCGCTGGATTTCGCTCCCTTCATCTCCCCCTGACACTATTTCAATTCGAAGGACTTTGCGTCAGGGATCAGAGTGTTCTTGCGCGCAAAGGTATCCTGGTCGCTGGGTAGAGAAGTCGGTATTGAAGGATGGAATTTAAAGGGAGTACGAGACGAGGAAAAGGGAAGCAGGATATGGGGAGAAAATAGGGAAGCAACTGACTGTCAGAGCGTAATACTAGCTTGGCTTCAATATCATCGTTTTGGAGCTATAGCGGAAACTCATTCCCAACTTTCTAGACAACAACATACGGAGTGAGTTCTTTTGTTTTGGGAATTTCTTAAACAAAGTTTGCCTCATCTTTACCTGATAAACGTTACTTCTCGTCTTAGACTGGAACTATCCTTCTCATCACGCCCCCCGCAGATACACTTCCCCTCATCTTGTTTCGCAAGAATTCTTCTTCTCATCTTACTATGAAAACATACTTCCTCATCTTGCTATGATCCCACACTATTCCTCATCTTGCTTTGAAACCCTTTCACCTAACAAAACATTTCACAATGAAGACGTTTTGTCAGTTTCGAATGAATAGGAATGATCAGAAGAATTGATGATAGTGCTTCACAAGCATTAGCAGAAGCTAGAAGAGATGCCGCTTTGTATGGTAAAGAAAGAAGAGAACAAATACGACGTAGAGTTAGAGAAAGTGAAGTGATTAAAGAGGTTGAAGAATCTAGTTTGAAATCTTTATCTTCATCTCCTTCAATATCAACAAATTTGCCATCTTCTTCTGAAAGATGAACCAACTTTATACGATTTTCCTTCTTTCAACATATCACCTCACCTTTTCAAACTCGTCATCAACAACACTGATCGGGGTTTGTGTTGGTTATTGAGAATGAACGTTGAACCATCATCATCATCATCATCATCATCGTCTTGTCATCTTGGTTTTCTTCCTCATTATTGTCACTCGCCACCACTAGCATCATCAATTCAACACTTGGGAACACTGTATCTGTCATTTTCTCAAGTATGGTCTCAACCGAGCGTGAAAGCCCTTCAGGACCCTCCGGGACATTTGTATACGAGAATCACCTGCTTGCTCTCTTCATACGTGAGAAGAAATGTAATGTAAGAAAGTTGTATTCCACGAAAGACTGTGAATCGATAAAGAAAGAAAGAAAGATGTAGTTATTGTATTGTATTGTAGCATGCATAGGAAATGATTTGTTAAATAATGCACTTTATTTCCATCACACCTTCCCCCCACCAGCAATTCTGTATCTCCCCCCTCCCTCCCTCCCCCCTCCCCCCTCCCCCCTCCCTCCCTCCCCCACTCCCCAAAAATCCAATCATCCCTCTCACCTCTTCTCCTTCTATCATCCCAACCCACCGATATCCACCAACAATCCTAACACTGAGAACAAGATAACATATGTCCAAGACCTTCGGGGATCCTCGACAGTTGTACTTTAGGCAAGT